TCCTAATCCCTAATCCCTAATCCCTAATCCCTAATCCCTAATCCCTAATCCCTAATCCCTAATCCCTAGTCCCTAACGTCGCAAAAGATAGAAGAGCGTTTTAGAGAATAAGTGAGTGATTAAATAGAAGATTACAAAAAAAGACAAAATACTTCTAGATAATAAAAGTAACAAAGAGACGAGAAAAATGAATAGTACTAATACAAATGTCCAAGTAGATCGATATTCGGGTATTATTATATCGTCCATTATAAAGGGACAAAAGGATATTGTATATAGTCGCGATTAAATAGGTGTATGCGAAAAGGCATGATATTAAAAGAGCTATTTTCAGCACTAGAATAGGCCAGTTCTAGCCGTCCTAGCATAAATGGTTTTTATTTAGAAGGAGATATAATAATATCTATTAGAAGTCTTTAAATATATCTAGATATAAAAGGATAACTATAAATAATATAATTATAGTAATAGATATAATAATATATATTTAATATCTCCACACTTACTAACATATATATAATATCCTAAATAGAAAGTAAGAAAGCGCTAATATAATATAATTCTAAACCTTCACTATTAATACATAGAAATAATATAATGCTATCTTTATCAGATTCAAGAATTCCTTCTTTATAATAACTAATATTAATCTAATATTAGAAGAAACTTTATTAGCTAAGCTATAGATCTAGTAGCAAGTAATCAATATAAAAAACCTAACAATCTTAACAAGTTATTATCATAGCTTAACCCTATTCTTCTTTAATAAAACTATATATAATAATCTAGCGATAATATATTATCACTTTATTAATAGCTTTAATATATATAATAATCTATATAATATAAAAGAGTTATTCAAAAAATAAAAGCTATAATTAGAGGTTATATTATAATAAGGATAGAATCTCTCTAAATAACTAATAATATATAAATAGAACTAGAACTAATAGTCTATAGACTAGATATATTAGATAGCAGCTCTAATATTAATATAAGAAATATAGATAACTTTTAAAAACTATTAATAGAAGCTAGTATATATCTAGGATTTAAAGGAGTCTATAAGTTAGTAGATATAAGTATTAGTAGCCTATTAGAAGGAGCTATTAAAAGAGTATCATTTATTAGAGAGATATTAGCTAAAGATAATAAGTTAATAGTGAATAGGAATTATAGTATAAATTAGAAAAAGGTAAAGATTGAATTACAAATTTAGGATAATAAGATAATAGATTGAAATATATAGATTAAATAAAATAATTTAAAGGTTTCTATTAAGGTTAAGAATTATAAAGTAATATAAATCTTATAATATAGGAAAATATATATATTAGTATAAAAGATAGTAAATATATATCTAGGTATTATAAGATACTTATAAAATAAGATATTATAAATATATAACTAGAGTAAAAGAAATATTAAAAATAATAAGAGTAATAGAAATAATAAGAATTATAGAAATTATAAATCTTATAGGAGTTATAAGATTTCTAAAAGTTATAAGAATCTTAGGAATTCTAGAAAGAACTTATATTATAATTAGAATTAGTTAATATTTAAGATTTAATTAGTTATTTTAAAAATATATTTATTTTTACTTAATTATATAAGGATATTTAAAATCTTAGTATATTAACTTTCTAGTAAGATATTTAAAATAATATTAGATATATAAATAAAACAAGAATCTTTATATAATCTATAGAAATTATAAATCGAAAAAATAAAAGTTAAGAAAGTTATACTTACTTTTATAAATTAGTTATATTAAAGGTTTTTAAAAGACTAAATATAAGATTCTTAATAGATTTTAGCTAAAAAAAGTAATAAAATAAACTCTATCTTTATTCTATCTAGTCGTAAACCCATTTTTTCTAGAATTTCCAATCTTATTAAAATTTTAAAAATTTTAAATAACTCTTCTATCTATAATTCTTTTTTACTTCTATTAAAGGAAAAACATATAATATATAACTATTAGGAATAGAACTTCCCAAAATTTGAATAAAATCAAGCTTGTTCCTATAGATTTACACCAACTTTTATACTTAAGTTACATCTAGTCTAAAAGATACTAGATCTACTTTTATCTACTATAGTTAATTTCTGCATCTAGACTAGATTTATCACCCTTTATAGGATAGAGGGTAAATAAGTCTACTATTTTTAATACCTTATAAATATAGTAGAAATTAGTAGAAAATAGTAAAAATAAAGCGGTCAAGAGAGGGGGGGCATGCCCTAGTAGGGGGGTTAAAATGGCAGAACTGGGGTGGTTAGGGAGGGAGAGATATTATGTTTTCTATATATTTAACTATTATAGCACCTAGAATACTAATAGACCTCGACAAATCCTATAGGACTAGCAAAATTTTAATCCCATCTCCTAGTCCCATCACTTCTATAAGACTAGCAAAATTTTTAATCCCAAAACCCTGATACCCCCATAGGACTCTTATAGAGGTGATGAGACTCCCATATAGTCCCATCAATTACATAATTTTACCAAGAATCTCCTATTTCAGCTGAATAAAATTGCTGAATAATAATACTATAATTCTTGTAAATCAATCTTCCAATAAATCGATTTTATTTAAATTTTCAGGATTAATAGAAATCATACTAAATAAACTATATTTAAATTTTGAAAGTGTTATAACCATAGGATAGGAAGTTATTAAAGAAATAAGAAATTGGATTATCTAATAAAGATATATATATTCACGTTCAATTACTAAACTCTACAATTTCTATAGAACATCAGTAATTTATACAATATTGTTAAATAACTCTTTAATATTCTAAAGGTTGATAATTAATAAATAGATAGATTAAGTATATATATATAACTTAAAATAATTAAATATTACTTATATATAAAAGATAAAAACAGGCTTCAAACATAAAATAATTTTAGTCTTGACATATTTGCACTATTTACAGTCCCATAGGAGTCCCATCAAAGTCCCATAGAAGCGGACCAGACCTCTTGGTCCCATGCTTAGCACTCCCATAGGACCTGATAGGACTCCCATATAGTCCCATGGGATAGTCCCATAGGATGACTCCCATGGGACTTGTCGAGGTCTAAATGCTAAGCATTTTGCATCTAGGGGGTGTGCCGGGAGGGGGGGAGTAGGTCTGTTATTTTGGTGCCTTATATATATGATAGAAATTAGTAGAAATTGGTAGAAATAGGGCGGTTAATAGGGGTAGTAAGTCTGCTATTTTTGGTGTCTTATATATATAGTAAAAATAGCAGAAAATAGCAAAAATAAGGCGGTCAGAGGGGGGTGCTAGGGGGGTCCCCCTAGGGGGGTAGTAAGTCTGCCATTATTGGTGCCTGATATATATGGTAAAAATAGGGCAAATGCTGAATAAAGAGCTCTTATTAGTCAAATTACCATTTATTTAAGCTAGGTGCCTGGATCATCTAGTAGGGTGCTAGGTCTGTAATTATATATATATATACATCTATATTCTAACAATAATCTATCAAAATTTTAAACTATATATATAAGAATTAAGAAAGTTGCACCAACTTTTGTAAATCAGTTGCACCGAGGGTTTTTAAAAGGCTAAGTGCTAGTTTCTTGGCAGATTTTGGCCAAAAAGGGTAATTAAATTAACTCCGCCTTTATTCTGCCCGGTCGCAGACCCATTTTTCCCAAAATTTCCAACCCCATCAAAATTTTGAAAATTTCAAACAACTCTCCTATCCACAATTCTTCTTTAATTCTACTAAAAGAAAAACGCGTGATGTATAACTATTAGGAATAGAACTTCCCAAAATTTGAATAAAATCGAGCTTGTCCCCATAGATTTGCACCAACTTTTATACTTGAGTTGCACCCAGCCCAAAAGACGCTAGGCCCACTTTTACCCGCCATAGTTAATTCCTGCACCCAGGCTGGGTTTATCACCCCCCATGGGATAGGGCGGAGACCCAAAATAAAATAACAAAGGCTGAGAGGCGATACTTTGACCCGCTTAAGCAGAATGTCTCTCGCCTCGGGCCGACCCGTGCCAACTACAACCTTGTTGCTGTCGGTTGTCATGCGCTCCGACTTCATGGTATGAGCGCAGTGCTTCGTATATGGTCAGTAATCTATGCGGCAGCATGTCTAGAAAATTGGGCTCATAAAGCACAAGTGTCCGTAGATCCCTCCTTCCAAAGTTGTAGTGATATATATTGTTACAAAATTCATGTCTAGATAGCCTTTCGGAGAAAACCGATCTATATTTTCAACAGACCAGACTCTAGCGGCGACGGAAGACGCCTACGACAGCCTGACGTATTTTCAACACGAAAGGGGTCGCATTTTCTGCGTAGCATTTGAATAGTCCGTCTTTTCGATCTGCCAATGGCCTCAATCCCCCGAGTGCTAAGGTCCCAGCAGGATCATCTTCTTGAGAATTATCTCCGATCCACCCGGGAAGTTCATCCAATATTTTGATATCCGTCTTGTCTGTCTTCATGAGTAACGGAACTTTGTCCCCTAATGTAGCCCCTATTCTCATCATGGCAAATGAGTCCAGCTGAGAAGTCCAGCGAGGGGTCCACGCTGCGTAGGCTGCAAGCGGGACAAGGATGAGCAGATCTAGTCCAAGTAGACACGATATGATGATTATGCCTGCTCGAGAGATAGACGGTACTTGCGAGTCGGCTCCCAAGTCATAGCTCACTGCCAAGGATCCAACTTTGCTCTCCATCCAAGCTTTATTGGCCAAGAATGCGGCGATTTTGAACGAGCTCTCCACCAATGAGGCGGGATTGTTCGGATGAAAACCAAGATACTCACTGAAAATATCCAAGTGGAAAAACCTCATCCAGTTGACTATTTGAAAAGCCATCGGATCACTTTGGGTACACCGTACCAACATTCTCTCGTATGCATGTTCCGGACGCATGATGCATATCTTGCATAGAGGTCCATATCTTGGGGTCCAAAATGAATTGCAGGGGAAGTAAATTCGTGCAGAACTCAGTAGAGCGACTCAGGTCATCATGGATTTGACTAGGGCTTTTGTACCCAAAAGAGTTCTGCTGGAGGAAAGATCCTTCGCCAAACATAGCCAATGCGATGGTAAGTAGAGGGCCTTTGTTTTTCACCGTCTCAAGGGGCCGAATTGGGCCATCTGTACTGTGACCGGATTTTGGTTCGTTCCTGCGGAAATCGTGGTGACTGCGATATCATCATGTCAGTTCAACAGAGTAAGACGAGCTTATTGTTGATTCTTACAGGATAGGGGATTGGGCTTCCAAATCAGAACCTTGCGTCATGCAATCTATTCCACATAGGTCATTGGGATCTTTATCCAGCAGAGATCCAGCTACCTCGCCATTCATGTAGTTTGGCAATTCAAAATATCCCGCAGTTGTGTTGAGAGTGAGTTTATAGAACGTATTGTTCCACGCCTCGCTGCTTTTTAAGGTCATATTCAAGAATAAATCCTCGGAGAAGTCTTGCCGAGACCTGGTAGCCTTCCATGGTGTCCTGGCCAGATCACCAGGCATACACGCCTGAATTGCCCACCCATATGATGGCGTACTTCGCAAGTCAGGAGCACTTGCGTAATCCATGAAAAAGGAACCATGCGTCTGCTCACATTCCCTGGAAAATTCATGAGAGGCGATCTGAGTGAATTTTGTGCTTGAGTTTATACGAGGAGCGAACTGCCTGATGAGCCCGGAGTTGAAGCCAACGGGCAGCTGTGCGAGAAAGGCGTCGTTTTCTGGTGGAACCCCCAAGGGGTCAAAATGTCCAAATGAGACGGCTAGCTGGCTGCATGCGCCGTTAGACCCCAGTAATTCTGGAGGACAGGCATTGTGCAAATCATACCACAGCAGTGACTGGAAGTCTGCAGTAGTTGCAGATGCCATAGCGGCTCGAGTGAGGACTACAACTTTATTGCTGTCGGTGGTATTGTCCAAAACTGCATCATCAAGGGGATTTCTTGTACGTGGATAATCATCTTCCTGAAACTGATTTGGAATATCACCAACAAAATCATAGGTTTGCGGTACGGTCGGAGTCTTGATAACTTTTGTGGAAAGGAAGATTTGCTGCATAGGTGAAGTAACGACACCAAGGACATTCAAAAAGATAGCCAACTGCAACAGACTGCTTCCGTATCTATTCCATTCCGTTGTTGCGACAAACGGAAAGATTTTTGCATATGACGGAATGTTGGTCCAGGTTTTATCTGCCAGTGCCATGGTTTGACGAAGGCTAAGGCTGCCGTGGCTCTGTCGTCTTTGAATAAAAACGACAGCTGTGCTTGAGCACACTGCCGTTGTGAGTGGTAAAGTCAAGACACCAACGAGAGACTGTAGAACCCGAGCAGCACGATACCATTGTTGATTGCGCGAATACAGGGAGCGTAGCTCCCTGGAGATTTCTACCATCTTCTGGAATCCGTCGTCCGAAGTGGAGAAGGGATACGGACTGCCATTCCCAATCTTGACACTGTAATCTTGTGTTGTCACCGGACGCACGGATAGAACACAAGTGAAAATCCACGCACACATGGCGAGTGCAGCGTAGAAACTGGCCAAAATTAACACATAGCTTTCTCGGCTCATTGAGGAGGTCGGCTGAGTAGAAGCGCTCATCTGACAACTTTGTTTGAGCTTCTCGTGACAGCCAGCACAGGCGCCTGCTTCACGACGGCTAGATGGCTCCTCTGAAGAAGCTCGCATTGCGTCCGTGTATCAGGGATATCCGATATGTTGAAGTGTTGAAGTGTTGACCTATGCAGTTTGTGATGCCGAGCGTTTTCTGGCAACGGTTGACGGCCGACTACCCATCTGTTAAGACAACGGCTGCGGGCCAAGGGGTCAGCCACGAGAGGTATGCAGACTAAAAACGACGGTCTGATTGTACTAGATTGAGGGTGGCGGAGGAAAGAGGAAAGGGAAGGCATGTTGGTCCCTGGGATGGGGGCCAATCCCCTAATGCCAACTCCGCCTGCCGATCTTCACCCTTGCAGAAGGCTTAACAGGAGGCAGCTATGATTGATACATGGAAGGTCTTACGGAAGACAAATTTATATTTCCCACATGTCCATTGGCTGATATGGCTATGTGCATATGCCAAGCGGCCTAGTGTTTGGGAACAAAATGTGATAGTCCAATCATAATGTGAGTGGTGCATTGGTCGCGCGATTCGCGCGATCTAGGGGCCAACTCACTCTGAACCTATACCCGTCCTAAGAAAAAGATATAATGTCGACAATTGATGGATCGGTAAGGTCTCGTACGTAGCAATGGATTATCACTAAACAGTTGTTCCTCTGAATACATCCGTCCGCCTGTTATATACATACCAGACTCAGGGGCTTGCTTCTTAGTAAGCTTCTCTTGTGGATCCTGTCCCAAACGGGCTTAGTGGTAAACTACCACTGACATAAGCCATTTTTACTTCGCAAAACTTGGAATGTTGGGGACCCTCTGTCCCCTTATATGCTATGTCACGGTAACGTGACTTGGCACTTCGTGCTAGGAAATTGCCCGATACGGCAATCATACTCAGTCTCACAGTCTCGCCAAGACTTTAGCGCGTTCTACGCTTTTAGGTAGGCGGTGGTGTAACGGGGTTCTTCTCCATACTTCCCCGTGACAATGGATGCCTGATATTCCAGGCAATGAGAACTCATGCCTCAGGGGTTCGGAGCTCATGGATCGGGAGACTACCGAAAAGGATCAAAACGTCATACAAATCGATGACGAATCGACGCAGACTTTCTACAGCTCACAGGACTTAATGGCTCCCTCGATGGATGGGGTATTTAAGAGAAAAAAGCGAGGCTCCTCTCTGATTCTGATCAAGAATCAGTCTTGTATTCAATAAGACAATACTATTGAATTCCCCCTATTTACTATTGATTCCTAACCGAATCGACGTCTATTCTTATCCTTCCTTTTACCGAGTTGACAGGCATTACACCTGACAACGTATAACCTTCACATCTAGGCATAAAAGTCAGGACATTAAGCCAGTTATCTCCTATTACATAATCAATCTCCCCAAGAACCTTGGAATTGATTATGAAGGGCTCACCTAACACTTTTCCCAACAAATAATGAACAAATGAAAGCAGCGGAGCCTGTCTTCAGCTCCAGGACTCCCACCGGCTAAGCCCTTTCCACCACACATTTTGGGATTTTACCTGTATCATCTCATGTTAACTTTTTCGATATTTGTCTAACCTATTTGTAACTTACCAAGATTACAATCTTCAAGCCTGCCGGCAAAAATAAACCACTGCCCAATTTGGTTATAGCCCCATCGCCTTGGAGCCCCGTTCATGTTAGAATTCTGAAATGCCTGGAGAAATCTTTTACTTTCGGAGCCACCACCTGTAACTTGCGCACCGTTATCCCACATGCAATGGATATTTCGTCTCACTTGATCACCAGCAAGACTGATTTCCCCCACCTTGTCACACGGTTTGGCGGGGCATGTTCTGGTTTGTACTTTGTCGATTCCTTTTAACCGACATGACGTTGTAGGAGGAGTTGGTGTTGAAACCAGTCCAACGCCCTCGCCCTCCGCACGTATGCGACACTTGGGAATCGTATCTGTATGTGCTCAGCTTTGATCACTACTCATCTGACTTGGGGAAATATTAAGTGCTCACTTATGTTGCAGAACTTAAGCTTTGTTGTAGAAATCCACCTTTTCTTGTTGAAATTATAGCCCCATCGCCTAAGAGACCCCGACCCTGTCAGGAATATAATAAAAATTCGATATTTCACTTACTTTTGTCCCTGCACACTTCCCCCTTGTCCCAGATGCAGTCAATAGTTATGATACGACCAGCAGATCCTGACTTAGCGCAAGATGTGGAGGGACAGGTATAAAGGGATGATGGCAAGAAGGTGTTTGTGCGGCATGTCGCAGCAGCAGCCATGCCAATGTAAACGAAAAGAATATAAAGAAGCATGTTCCAGTTCACTTTATTCCTTTGGGTGTATTTCCTCATTGTAAAAATAGGGTACAGCCCGATGTTGTTTTGGCCGGTTGTGGGATATACGATAGTTAGGGGGAGGAAGGGTCAGCGCTACTTATGTCTTTTGAGTCTTGAGAAAGCTCCGAGAACCTACTGCCACATGACCCATATAGTAAGTTTAAACCCACCATTAGACTGATGGTAATCCTAAATGTGAACTTGGAATATAATGACTTTGGTGTAAGTCATCATGCGTAACATGATTCTTCACGAGTCTAGGCTCGGGGAACTCTCGTATAAATCTCCGCATGGGATTGAATCTCGTGGTTGAGAATTTTGTGCTGAATGATTATTTGACAGAGTACGGTCAAGATCTTGGGATGTGATGTTCTAGACTGCATATATCAAAGGATCCTGTATGGTTGCTGATATTTAAAACTAACCAAGGACCCCTCACCTTAAGCGCACGACTATTCTTTATGCTAATAGGATGAGTACTAGTGGCTTATATCGTCTGGAGCATGTTCTGGCTAATCGCCCCGCTTTCTCTACATGATAATTCAAAACTCGCCTGTTTGCGGTTTGTCGCATGATACCACTACAATAGCATACAAATATCAGCAAACTAAAAAGTTGGCTAATTAATATCAGTAAAGACCGGTTCAAGGCAACCAACAGCATTATTTATTTGTACTAAATACAGGGCTGCAGCACTGCTGTACTGATGTTGTAATACCGGACTAAGCACTTGGTACCGTCGTACCTTAGTGCTGCAGCACCGGACGAAGGGGTCTAGTACTGCCGGAGCACTAGTATTATAGGATCTAGATCAACTTTGAATTATCGAGCGCGATCATCCACCGTTCGGAATAAAGTTTGTAGATCTAGTTGTGACTTTTAAGTCGCTTTCTTGCGGAAGTCTTAATATATATGCTATTATAGATAATTCCTTCTTCGAAGTTACTGTCTGGTTTTTGGTTATATATAAAAAAGGAGAAGTAGTCCTCTTCTACGAGTACAATGATCTCGGGGACCGTCCAAATTTCCGATGTAGAAACACTATAACCTTGGAAATATTAAGATATCCATGCTAGTTTCGTCTGCATTCTCTAAAAATGCGAATAGTATTAGATCTCGGCCTGTGTAGCTTTACGAAACTTTGATGATCTTTTTCTTTATGATCGTACTGGAACAAGAAAGACTAGATGCGGGTGGATATCCCTTTAGTCGGATAGACGTTCTTTCTATTCATCTGCTGACCGGAAGTCTAAATTAATCCTGAATAGTTTACTCTTCGAGGTTATTTACTTACTAAGGTTGAGTTTGCCTATAAAGTCTACTGCCATAGCCGTTTCACAAAAAGTTTGCAACTGCTAATTAACAAACTCAAATTCAACCGTGGAGTGACGATCTGCAGGCTGAGTTTTCCATGGCCAGGGTTGATTTAGACTTCCGGGTAGCTGCCATGAAGAATACGAGGTTTGTCCCGGTAAATATCAAGGTAATACGGGAACTTAACTTCGAGAGACGACTGGATATTATTGGTTCCTATTGCACCAGAGCTTTTATTTAAAAATAAAAATGTTGACAGAGTATTTTTCCTCCTATGAACAGCATTGACTTGATGCCAATGGTAGTAGCATATCATGGAATTTTGAAAGATACCAATACCCGTGGATCTGAGCTCATAAATTGATCTCCGTCTCTCAAGGAAACATTAGGAGAGGACCCCAGGAAGTTATTGGGCTGATCGAGTCAGTGGTCTAAAATATACAAGTTGAGCTAACAGAAAAGTTTTATTAATTTCCTGTTTCTTTTAATTGCTACGTGTAATGAGTGATCATATTGAATTGCATAAGCACGATCTAAGATACTGCAAAGTGGATATGACATGCGCCATGAAGCTCACAGACCCACAACAATGTGTTAGGAGGCTAAATTAAGGACCATGATCCTCAAGCCAGCCATGGTATATTCGCATCTCCCAGTCTGGTGCCAAGAAAACCAAGTGAATTATCCGGGGTTCTAAGCGGGCGTACGCCAAGGCCACGTATGCCAAGACAGCGGATACGAAGTGATGCTGGAACAACATGAGGTCTATCATTGACATTACAGCCCGTTGATATGTGCCAACTTTGCTGATCACGGACCAAACTCATACTTAGGTGAAATTGCCATCCTAAATTACTACTACAGTCTTCTCAACCAGAGATATTCTTGTTTCAACAATTATATAATGAAAAATTACAAACAGCCCTTGCATCACACTTTGGCGGCAAATAAACCGAATCTAGAGTGAAGTCATGATCTCATCAGTCGAGTCAGTGCTCTGGATTTCAGATTTTGCATCTCACTCTGACTATCGCTCTCTCTTTGGCTGGCCATCCAGTGCGCATGAAACTTGGAGAATGTGAATAGCATCCCCATGGCTTGGGTAAACATAGATAGCTTTGCGAAGAACCACAAATGAATCAAGTGTAAAATATTAATGTCGATCGAGGCGAGCAAGTGGAAACTGTTTCAAGGTTCTTGGTGATCAAATATTACAGAAGTTCAAACCACTTTGGAGGCATTGAAGCGACAGGACAGATAGTAATTTAGATAACACCGTCGCCAAATTTGAACAACTTTTCTCATTCTGTGCTATCCTAATTGTCCAAACACAGCCTTCGCGCTCTGAGGTATTCAAAATCTGGAATTGCGCTCCGAACCCATCCTTGTCAAGAAATGCATCAGTTGTTCAGACAACGCAAGCAATATTTCCAACAGCGCGGTCTAGTCTCTGCTTGGATCAGACTCGTATTACAGCAGCAATATTGGCTCGGGTATCTAAGAACCGCTCTTGAACTCATCAACTCAACCAAGTTTCCTTCCCTCGGTCGGCATTCCCCGCGAATCACCGAGAGGCTTTGTTTCGCTTGCTCCGGATTGAACTAGGAAACCGTACATCGGCGATCTTGATGAAGCGTTGTTGGCCATTTCCGGCATACCCCTCGCCTTCATGTCATCCTGCCCAGATGTTGGCAAGCCCCAGGAAAGGAGTTGCTCTTTGTCAGGAGCTTCAATGGCAGTGTTTGCATGGCTCAATGGCTTAAGAAATGGTTAAATTACCCACCCTACAAACATTACTTTTGTGTGTTCTAGACCGGAACTAGGTATATCCAGGGCTGCCCTCGTTTGAACAGTCAATTGCACCGAGTCTTGACGTCAATATCCATTGATCACACGGTGCATACTGCTGCTTTTGTGGTTTAAGAAGATCTTAAAAGCCGTGTTGTACCTATCTACTTGATATACCGACCTGGCGAACTGTGTGGTTCATAGTACCTACCCGTAATGCATGATCAAAGAAGCAAATCCCATGTTCTCCTTGGACTCTACGTCCTTGGAATCAATTTCGGGTATGCAACCCGTGCAATAGCTGAACCGGCATCGTGGGTGTCTTACCAATCTGTGAGTATCTCTTCAGTGGAAGCTTCAACATAGAGTTGAGACCTAACGTCACTATAGAGACCTGATATCCGCGCTCCCGTACTCAACGTGAGCATCAACAATGAGAACCTGGTCACTCCAGGATATTTGTTTATCGCCCCGTACATGACGGAAAGGCCAGGACCTTACATTTTCACTACTGATGGGGTAAATGCATCCCAGTCCTCACCAACGACATGTGCTCACAATCACAGGAACTTGTTTGGAGTGGGTCAGATGGCTCTACTACTGAAATTTTTCATGACCTCCATGTTTGCAAGTACGGCGGCTCCGATCATCTCTGCTACTTCCAAGGAAATCAGATTCAAGGCTACGCGCGGGGCCGTAATATAATCCTCAACAATAACTATCAAAATGTTGCGACAGTATTGAGTGGTAACGATCTGGAAGAGAGTGATATGCACGAGCTAGAAGTTCTCGATGAAGAACGCATGACCTTTGCGGTCTATCAGCCTCAGCCACATGATTTATCAGAATACGGCATGAAAACACCAAACGGCTGGGTCATGGATGGGGTCTTCCAAGAAGTCGATATTGAAAGCGGAAAGGTATTATTTCAGTGGAATTCGATTGATCATGTTCCCCTCAAGGACAGTTACGTCCCATTGGGTATCAATCCAATCGTGGGCGATGGGATAAGCAGTTCTACCCCTTGGGATTACTTCCACATCAACTCAGTCGACAAATCAGCGGACGGTGACTATCTTATTTCTGCAAGACATACCAGCTGTATTTATAAGGTCTCGGGTAAAGATGGCGCTGTGATATGGCAACTGGGTGGTAAGAACTCCACAATCGACCAGACGAATTACAACTTTTCCTCCCAGCATGATGCGCGTTTTCACGAGGAAAACAGCACGCATACTGTGCTTTCGCTATTTGACAATGGAAGCAACGGTTACAGAAATACTTCACTTACTTCCTCTGGCATGATTGTCGTGATTGATCACGGACGCGGCTCTTCAACGCTTCTCCAAAACTTCATGGCTCCTGGGCCAGGTCTACGCTCGACCAGCCAAGGCAACACCCAACTACTCGCCGATGGCAATGTAGTTATTGGATGGGGAAATAATCCATCCATTTCAGAGCACACTGCCGATGGTACACCCGTCTATTTCGCTACCTTGAATGACCCTGACGCGATGAACTATCGTGCATTCAAATACAATTGGACGGCGACACCATCGGACCCTCCAACGCTTGTCGCACAAGCCCCCGCACCCAATGGTGCGACTACATTCTGGGTGAGCTGGAACGGGGCCACAGATTACACTCACTGGAACTTTTACGGGACAACACCTGGGTCGGACAAGTTTGTGTTATTGTCTAAATTAGGCAAGCAGGGCTTCCAGACTACTTACACGAGCCCGACGTTCCATCCTCGAGCGTTTGCAGAGGCAGTCGCTGCCGACGGCTCCAGTCTGAAGAAATCGTCAGAAGTGAATGTTTTAGTTCCTTGATTCCAGCGTCAGGTCAAATAGCCTTGGGAAAAGGGGGCAAGAAGTTTCGGATTTTCCTTTAATACAAAAGATGCTATATATTGTAATGGGGAAACCGCGCCACATCTCATCTGCGCCACATGCGCCCCAGGGGTATTTCTAGCCCTATTTTCATAGTAAAGCAATCCAAGTATTCTACATCTCTTTGAAAAACAGTATCTGTTTCCTATTCCGGTAGTCCTGGGGGCCTGCTTACCTCCCACAATCCCCGTCGAGTACTGAGCACCCTACGAAGGTGTATAGCGCCCGAGGGTCGGATGCACGTTTTCATGCCTGAGGATGCCTGAGGATGCCTGCCCAGGTGGTTTTAGACTGCTTGTTACACCGCTCCATACCAAGTACTGTACTAAGGGGAATGAGTAACATAGTTTGCCGAAACTTCATGGAACTTATTTCCTTATTGACACCCCCCGCTTAGACCCTTCGAACTATGTTACACAAGACAATATAAGTCCACAAATGAGCCACGAACTGAGTGGAATCCAAATCAAGATAGATCAAGAATCTAACCAGCACAGACTCATTTGGTAGATGGATTCGGCATTCCAGAGGTATCAGGCCATTTGCGGAACAGGCCCGCGAGATGATCGATCGGCGCCGTCATAAGCCCCACCACTGTCTCAAATGGAGGTTTGTCTGGTGCACTAGGATGAGAACGCGAAGGCACAAACATCTTTGTTCGGCCAAAAGTTTTAGCGTAACCCTGGCTATCCTCTTGAGATAAGGCTGCTTCCAGCTTAGGCAAATCGTCAGTCTCTTCCTCTTCAATATGCTCGGACAAGTTTTCCATAAGCTCCTTAATAGTAGGAATGAACTGTGTCTCCGAAGGCCTCAAATTCTGGAATGCCTTCAATTGCTCTTTGACCTAGATGCATGTGAGTTTCATAACTGAAGGCGGATGGTAGATCAGGTCAAAATTACTTTCAAATGTTCTTTGCGGTCCTTATTGGCCATAGCAACACCATCAGAGAGCATCTTTTCAAAAACAGGATAAACAATGAGCTCCTCTCCAATGGAGTGTCGAGCTAACTCCCAAGTGAACAAATTATGGAAGCGTGTCTGCTCATCCCTATCCGAGGAATTGACAATCTTGTCAAAATACGATTTGATATCCTGATGATCTTTTTTGATCGCGTCGCTAATGCCGGGCGCCATGGCGATAGGTGGGGTTGCAATTTCACGTCTGTGAACAATAGGTGGTATGATCTGTCTGAGTTTCGCGGTTCTTGATGAACGAACAAACATTTTAAAATAAAATGATCAAGTTGCAACCTAAATAGATTTGGAAGAGGCTGTTTTATATGTAATTCAGTCATAACAGCAGGTGAATGTGTCACCAGCTCACATGGCCTCTTGGGCTCACGGTCATCCTGACGTAAATATGCATCCAAGCGGTCCATACTCCGTACTGCGAGTAAATTTCTTCGCTTATACCCTCCAGGGCTGTCGGCAAACCCTCATAAAGTCTAAACGGCCCTCGATGCACCAATCAGAAGAATGGTGATGGTAAGTATCCCGAGGTCATACTGACTTAGGGATTACTTCTGTACGGAGTAGAGGTTTTGCAATACCTAGGTACGCTTTGATAAAACTATGGTATTACTACGGTAGTAATAGGTACCGTGTTTGTTTCTATAGAAACTACTGCATGGCCTAGCGGCCATACGGAACAACTATCAGACATTATATACACAATTTCAAACCAGTGGCATCTCAGGCAGCAGCCTGAATACCTTGTGGGTTGTGGAAAGTATCATGTGGATCTAATTCGGCCTTCAGCTCTTCCAACCTTGGAAGATTATTACGCCAGTACGCATGCTGGGCATCTGGCATCCTAGGATCTGGACAACCGAGATACGCGTGTTCCGCGCTCTCTGGCACAGCTTGAGCGAGAATATCGTAAAGGCCATCAGTGAAATCATAGGTAGTCTGGGAGATCGGTCCAAGCGGGTTAGCAACGAATAGTTGGACCCAGAAAAGCACATCGCGGTGACCATAGGCGGTAGCATCCTCCGGCACAGCGTTGATGGCTCCACCCTCCAGACTGAGGGTGACAAACCAGGCCAAAGTGCCGGCGTTAGTTTTGTGAATGTAATCGAAGAATGCGTCGACGGCATAATGAGGTATAAGCGTGCGGGGGGTAAATCCGAGTGATTTGGCATAGAACCAAGTCGGCGAATCTCCAACCAGTCTCAGAATGGTGTCTTCCAGTCCATGCCCAATCATACCTAGCCAATCGGTTAGGACTAGCACGGTACCAGGCTCGCTTGTGGGGAACTTGTTTTCAAGGTCGAGTGTGTCGTACTGCTCTTTTGAGCCGAAGAATATACCCTCGAGAATGATCTGCCCGTCGAAGATCACCAGATTGGAGTAGAACTGCCAGGTAAGATTCTCCTGGGCTATGAACGCCTGCCAATCTTTGACGAGCTTCGCCTTCTCGGAGGCAGTTCCCAAGTTGAACGTGAACGAGTACTGGACAGCCAGCCCGGGTGCCTCCTCCGTGCGCACCTTGAACTCCGTGACGATCCCGAAGCTAGCTGCAGCACCTTTGATAGCGAAGAAGACGTCCTGGTTCTGGGTATCCGACGCGCGCACGATACTCGAGTTCGCCAACACTACCTCGACTTCCTCGACGTGATCAAGCGCCAAACCCCACTGACGAGCTGTAGGTCCCAATCCTCCCATCGTCAGGTGCCCACCTGTCCGAATAGTCGGACAAATACCGTGCGACATTGCTCTGTTTCCTGAATTGTAAAGCTCTATGTCGAGGTCACCGAGGGAGGTTCCGGGACCAATGGTCGCGACGTGGGTCGATTCGTCCATGGAGAATTGCGAGAAGTGCTTCATATCGACCACGATGGCACCATTCTGTCCTCCGATGCCTAGAAAGAAAGTACGCATTAGCCGACTGAATGCCACGCAGTTCAATCACCGCCAGAGCCATACCGTAGTTGCCAAAACTGTGACCTCCACTGCGAGCCTGCACCTTGTAGTCGAAGTCAGAGGCACATTTAAGCACAGAGGCAACTTCTTCCGCTGATTGAGGGTATGTGACCGCCGCCGGAGTGACCGGGATGTTCAAGTTGTACGGCTCGACCGCTGTAGCTTGGTAAAGAAGGTGATCTTGAAACGCGACATAAGTCGCGTCACCCCCAACGGCAGAAACCAGGCAGTCACGTCCAGCAGTAATGCTGGTGGTGTTCCCCATTGTGAAAGGATCGAGTCAAAAACGCGCTTCGTAGAGGTTCCAACCAAGTACTCCGTAGGGGACGCCATCTGGAAGACGACCCCTATTGCTGCGATATTTTTGCTTTTTGAGCCGCGACTTGATGATTGGTCCGAGCTCGTGGTCCCTGGCACTAGCGTATGCAGGGCGCCGATCCCCCGAGTGACGGAGTACGGGAAACAAATGATCCGAAATAGCCATGCGTGAGCACCCATGCTAGGATACAATCCGCGCCTTATTTCACACCTTCCCTCTCCATTGTGCAGCAGGCGAAGACCGATTGATGTTCCCGAGGTCCAAGTTTGTCTACTCCGGACAGCGGGCCGATCTGCCCGTACCGTGGCCAAATTCAGCAATCCACCCTTTTAGGTGGGTTACAGCCCTGGAGGTTCTGAGCGCTGCCTTACCTGTCTAACAAGAACCAATGAATATCATCCACGACTAGTAAAGATCAACCCGATATATTTATTTTCAATGGAATGTAAACTCTGATGTTAAGTGCATGCTGTATTCCAGACTACGGCATGAACATCCAATCATTAGGCCGCCTTTCTATGCCATTTATTGTCATTGCAATGTTCTGGGCTGGCGGAAAGCTCTGGCTCGACTGCCCTGGGGGAGTGAGGGCATCAAGAGAGCCAGTCATCACAAAGTAGTCAGCTAGAGTAGAATTAGAAAGAAATGAAGACATGGAAAACGTGTGGCAGTGAGGAACTCTCACGATCAAATAAGCTCATGTAATCCGATGACACTGTAGCGTCAGCTGGAAAAGAGCCTGGGGCCTCTTGACTGTCAAGCAAAACACCATTATTGATCTGGAAGTCGCTGCCAGAATGCGCAATGGCTTGTGTTAGTGCAATATCGTGCCTTTTTCTATCATCTGCCCGAGCCAGCACAAAGTTGATAGTCCCGGCCGCTTTCTTAGCTTCTTTGGAACTCTCGCCACGTCTCATCCAAATTTCCCTGCATCGCTGAAGCGCGGCAAGAATATCACGTTCGCGTTGCTGTGTCTCTCTTCGATGAAGCATAGAGCATAGAATCATCGTGGCGGTGAGGAATTGATGATTCATGATGGACGTGACACGAAATCGCATGGTATAAAGTTGTCCCCCCCGGGCAAGTTTCCTCGTCTAGAATACTCTGAATATCAAGTGTGCCAAGGGAAGCCTCCAAGCAGACCTTTCGCGAGTAAGAGATCGTTTTATCATCTGAAATGTCTGAATTGGGGTAAAGGAACCGCCTGTGAAGAAGAACTTGTCCCTTGTAGATCATGTGGTATAGAAATAACCGGGCCATAATGGTCTGCGGGGCGTCCGTCATACTCATTGACATAGACTTGAGCTTTAGTGGTGGGGGGGGATGCTACCTGCTGCCTCTTGGATCATGGAATCAACATGCATGACATCAGCGTAGGTACATGGCCTGACCGCATCAGCCAAATCTATCACAGCCCCAAGTGCCGCGAGAATCCGCCTTCGTGCGATGATTCCAAGGGAGTTTGTATATTCTGTGAGGGGGGAGAGAGAGGCAACTCGGTCGATTGTTCGTCGAAATCTGTGTCATTCAAATTTCGTGGTTCTGAAGTATCCCATTTGGTGTCAGAGATCATTCGCGGCATGCCCATTTGATTAGAGATGAGTATATCCCCCATTAGAACTGTTGCCCAAAGTCGACGACGCATTTCGCCTTGAAAGGGTGAGATCCCGGAGAAGTGGTTTGGGTCACGGTGGTAGCCCATTCGCATCGCCAAATTGACCTCCAGGGCCAGTAGAAACCAGATGTCCTTATCGGCGTCGGTTCGAATGCAGAATTTGGCATATGTGTAGTTTATGACTGTCTCCAAGACGTAAGACCCTGCCCGTGTATATTCCCCTAGCGTCAAACATTGCACAACTTTCTCGCGATAAAGGTCGACTTGGAGGGATTTATCCTCGGCATCCGGTTCGGATATGACATCGGAGGTAAGGCACGCGAGACAAATCATGCTGAAGAGAAGACCGATCCACATAAGAGGCGCGCCCGACGGATTCCCCCAAAATGCCTCGTACTACTCCAATTAGCGACATTGTTCATGAGATTTTGATCAACTTACCTCACATAGAAAGCTTGGTCCATGCACCGCAGCTAGATCAGGATCAGTGACTGTCACCAACGAGATTGAGATCGGAAATGTGAGTCGTACAAGAGGAAACCAGGTCGAGGTAGTTGAAATACCGAGAGATATATCGATCCACGGCAGACCTCGGGGGCAACCCTGCGAGAATCTCTTCCTTTGAGCCTAACCGGTGCCCTCCATACAGCAGAAGCGTATACCCAGACCTAGGGCGAGCCAAAGGGTTACCATGCTCATAAATGTCAAAATCCGACCGGGTATTTGCGAGGCTGAACTGCTCATCACGATTGAGATGGTCTTTGAGATCCGCGATTCCATCGAGAATGGTCGCCCAGTGATTATTCCCAACATAGTGAGATTCCGACTTGCTGATTTGCATATCACCACACTCAGAGTTACCATCAATAGTGTCGACAATGGGATTACTGGGTGATGGATTTGGGATTCTCGATGAAACGGAAACATCGGAGCCTGACGGAGTATGTACTTGTGCCTTATTCCCCGAGTCGGTCATCAGCGACACGACTAAACGCTCCAACTGAGCCAAACGGTCATGCACGCCAGATGCTGTCCCGGAAGACACCTTAGAATAACCCACGAGCTCGGAGTTATCCACATAGGTACATATCTGGCCACGGCTAGAGCAGAAGGCACATGGCTGTTGACGGTCACACCGTGATCTGAGAGAATGTGAGTATGTGGAGTGACACACCCGCATAGTGGACTTGGTTCATACTTGCGACGTCGGCAGGCGTTACACGAAAGCTGGGGCTTGTCTCTTAGTCGACTGACCTTCAGCCGAGGATGTGATAGCTCCGACGGTTGCGACGATATGGATGATTGTGATGGTTGTGGTAAATTGTCATGACTCTCTAGCTCCATTCTGAGGCTATAGCCCTATTCAGAGAGATGCCGGAGGAGGATGGGCGGGGTTCTGCCTGAGGGCTCCTGACACGATCTACAGCACGTGACTCCGTGCTCCGACCCTCCGACGGCCCCACCCGCCAGCCCCACAGCCGTTCAACGGGAGATCTACGGAGTACTATGTAGCCGATCCAATTTGCGAAGGATCGGAGGATCGGAGGATATGTCGGACAGCATTGCGGACGGCAATCGGAGCACGGTGAGCTCGCTTGTTGACGGACGACTGACTTGGGATAGCCTGTAGAGATAGATCTTCTCCTCACACCAGAACTTTCTTTAAATACCGCGGGAATATTTGGCTGGAATATCCTATGGTTTTCATTGGTATCTTCTTCGCATCACAGTCAACAATGGCTTCCTCGTCAAGCTCTTCAGACACTACTCCGGGAAAATTAGAGTCTGCCACCCTCTCGGAGAAAGTATTTGATCATAATCTCGTTGATTGGGATGGCGATAATGATCCTGAGCACCCCCGTAATTGGTCAACGCGTGACAAATGGGCAAACATTGGGAACATATCGATATTGGCATTGATCACGTATGTTTTGAATACTTTCATTGATATGAAGACAAGAAAAGAAAACTAACCACGTTTTCTGTGTATAGGAACATGGCTCCTACAATGTGTGCGCCCGGTGTGGCAGAGATTGCTGCTGACCTCCATATCAAATCGACAGTGGTCAGCACACTGGCCATTACACTTTACCTTATGGGAATCTCCATAGGTCCCATGTTTACCTCCTCACTCAGTGAGATCTACGGAAGGGTCCCGGTCTATCACGGAACTTACGTTCATCTTTGTTGTCTTTATCATTGGTGGCGCCTTGAGCAAAACCACTGCCCAATACATGGTCTTCCGTTTCCTATCAGGATGTGCTGGTGGCACCCCTATGGCACTGGGTGGAGGCAGCATTGCTGATCTCACCACAAGTCAGGAAAGAGCCACGGCGATGGCATTGTTTAGTCTCGGACCACTGGCAGGACCGGTGAGTTTTTGCTTATTTTACCGTCCTCTGCATCCAGTCTGTGTCTAGCTCTTGTTTGAGGTTGTACTAACGTCAGTGCGTTTAGGTCCTTGGTCCCGTCATTGGTGGCTTTGTTGCAGCCGGCAAAGGCTGGCGTTGGACTTTCTGGCTTCTAGCAATTCTCGGAGGATCATTTGGCATTGCATCCCTCGTCCTTCTGCGTGAAACACATCCCAAGATCCTTCTCAGCCGAAAGACCGATCGCATACGTACCATGACTGGAAACCCGGATCTACAGTCCAAACTGGACAGCACTCTATCCCCTCGTCAAGTTGTGTTGCAAGTTCTCGTCCGCCCCCTCATGCTCTTGGTGCAATCGCCAATCTTATTAGTCATTTCTCTCTACGTGGCGCTGGTCTTTGGCGTCATGTACCTGCTTTTTACCACGTTCACCGGTGTTTTCGAGGGACAATATGGCTTTTCCATGGCTATCTCTGGGCTTACCTACTTGGGGCTTGGTGTGGCGCTCCTGTTCAGCATGCTCATTTTTAACATGTTCAATGCCCGGGTTTTGGCGTCCCGCATGAAGGCTGATCGTGTACAGCAGCCACGCCCTGAGTACCGTCTCCTCTTTATGATCTGGTTCAGTCCATTTGTGGCATTTGGTCTTCTCCTTTATGGTTGGACCTCATACTACCAGATTCACTGGATCGTACCCATTGTAGGGACATTCATGATTGGATTCGGGGCTTATTTTGTGATCGTACGCTGCTCGATCCTTCCCTCTTTTGCATGAAAATGGACGACTAACTTCCCCACGCTTAGATGCCCGCGCAACTATACCTGGTCGATGTCTTTGGCTCAGAGGCCGCCGCATCAGCACTCGGTGCCAACAATCTTCTGCGTTACATTTCCAGTATTTTCCTTCCCCTCGCTGGGCCAAGTATGTATAAGACCTTGGATTATGGGTGGGGTAACTCATTACTCGGCTTCCTGGCGCTTGCCTTCCTCCCAGGCCCTATCCTCCTTTACAAGTATGGAGAGCGACTACGCGCTTACACAAAGGTGGCTTTCTAGGCTCGGCCCCGATGCTGGTTTCAAGGTACTTACTAAGAGAAAATTACCCAAATCTTCCTGCAAATGTAAGATTTTGTCCTAGAGGCTTTTCTTTTCTCTTTTTCACTCGTAGATACAGCTCTCACAGTAACCGAGTCATCGTTAGCGTTTATAATACGCGTGGACTAGTTCACCGGGTTGAGCTTTCGAATTGACTATCCATTCACCCTCTCGAGCTACTAATTATGTTCGAATGAACAGTTCACCAAAAGTAGTAGTATGATGACCTCGGGTGATTTATGAGGTGGGTCTCAAGTCCTTCCAAGGTTCCTAGTGAAGTGGGAAGTGGAGCGTGCTGGTGGTCTGGCATCGCTGAAAAGTGCTTAGTGTTTGACGGGGATCATGGTAGCTTAGCAGACTCTCTGAGTTATCGGAATAAGAATTAGATGCTGTTATTTATAGAGGTGTAGAATGCTTGAATTGTTAAACTATGAGATCGCGAGTAAAATCTGTAAAACTAGCTATAATGGCGGACATGAGATGTGCTGCGGTTTTTCTATTGTAATATCTGCTCTAGGGCTTTTGATTGAAACTTCTTCGTCCTATTTTGGAAGTAGAGCCAGAAGACTATCGAACTTTCCCAAAGTAAAGGATCCATCTGATTGGCGGGTTCCTAAGCGAACTCTTGGGAATCTGTTTGGCGGAATGAGGACGATAGCTGCATGTGGGGCCGGTGGCAGGTATAAGTAGGAAGAAATGAAAATAGGTATGAGGAAAATATCGAAAATGAACGCCGTTTATACCTAGTGCTTCTCGAAAACGTCCGAAACGGTCTTGTATCTACGGGTATATTCGTTACGAATATGAGAGTTAGATAAATTAGTCCGAGCCGCCATCCAATCATGGACTTGGTCTGTAAAGATCTCTATGTGATGGGGTATCTTCAACTGACTCTTAAACTTCTTCATATCTTCAGTAGGGTCTTTACTAGCTGCCAGAAGCATGAATGGAATCGAGATATTTTCTGCCTCAGATGGGTCGATCATAGCAGGGTGGCAGATAGCAGCAATCGCGAAGGGGATTTCTTCGTTGGAGGTGATTATTTCGGCAACTTTACCACCCCAGCAGAACTATTCGATGTATTAGTGAATGTAGAGATTGTGGGAGATTCATTGGGCACAAAGACTCACGCCAACAAGAGCCCACGACTCAATGGATGGGTTGGCAGCCTTGAGGGCCGCAACATATTGGGGCAAAGCAGCGGCAGTACCTTGCGGCATGTGATTACCTACCAAACCATGCACCTAAATCCTTTTGCTTTTGCTCGGTATTAGGTGAGAACCTTGATTGGATCCGTCAGTGGGTGTTTTTCCGACACAAGGCCTATGATATCTCACCATTCCGGGGGACAGGGGCTGCTGTCAAACCAATCCGGAATGAAAACCTTATGCTGGTGACGATGACTGGTCGCGAGGATATCGGCACCCTGAAGCGCCTGGTCGGAATATCCGAAGATGTCGGAAATGATTACAATTCCCTTAGTAGCGTTCTCGGGCCCGATTGCATCTGCATTGGAGACTAGTTAGCTCAGAAGGAACAAACTGCTGAGTCTAAAGGGAGACCGACAAGTCTTCAATCCTCCGAGCTGGCTGTACGAGCCTTTGGCCACATAGCCAGAGCAGACAACAGGTGGAACGTTGCAGCAGGCCTTGTTATGACCGTTGATAGCTTCCATGATTGAAATGGTTGCGATCTGTAGATGGCGCGAAGCTGGTCGTACGCACTTGAAAGGAGAGTTGAGAAAGTTTGAAGAGCCCAACGGTCGAGATGCCGAACTGAACGATCTAAACAATGAGCAGGCGGTAGCGTTTCTTGGAGTAAAGGCAGCAGCCGGGACCAGAGAATGTTGAGATAGGCGAATTTGAGGAGGCATGGGCTTGAGTGAGAGCGAGAGATAAGGGTGGGAGAAGGTGAAAATAAAAAAGTGCCAATTGAATACTGGGGTACTTTCTCTCGAGATGTATATCTCTGATTGGACTTGATCTTTTCAACGCCTATAGTACAACACTGGGTATAACCTGAATCTACAGAATGCATTCAAAGTCATTTATACTTAAATACCCTAATGCGGGAAGCCGCGGGGACAGCTGTAGGTCACCGGAGGGAGGGTTATTATCGGAGGAGGTTCGGACCCTCCGAATTCGGCTCCACCGTTCCCGGTCCCCCTAGGAAGCCCTAAGTCCGACTATCTCCGGGAAATACTACAGTATGAATCTACACACGGCGCTTCGGCCGCTCTAGCAACCTCCATTGGATGTAATTTGTATTGTTGTATCAAGGAATTAGGAATCCCTCTAGGGCTTTCTCAAAACGTATGCCAGTTGGCGATAAATTTTGAATGAATTTGAAGGGGGATGCCAAAACGCTGAAGCTGTAAACATTGAAAAAGGATTTTCTAGTATATATTTCTCACATAGATTGGATTAAAGAAAAAAAAAAACGGAGAGGGAGGAAGCTGGCATGATGTGTGTATGGTAGGAGACGAGAGGGGGCAAGGGGGTGGAAAGATAGAGACAGAGATACTCTCTCAACCTCCAACCCTCAACTCCACCTGGGCAGTTCGCGGAGAGACCAAACCAACCGAGAAGCCAGAACGGGCTTTGTCTCTTAATAGTGCTCGATGCTTACCGTTGAGTTTGAACATCGAGCCACGTGGACGACAAATTGCGTGTACAACGAACCTCCATTTCCTATGCGCTCCAGACCTCTGACATGCAGCCAAGTGCCAAAACTAATCCAGACAATACCGTCGAAAAATCATTGTGGAATATTTTTGACTTTCAACAACGCCTGCGCTGGGAAGGGACTTTCAAGGTAACGAAGACGATCGATCCCCCGGCTCCGATGCCGATGGTGAATTTCAGCAAATCGGCTTCTCAACCGAAGCTCCTTTTTTCTCGACTTAACTAGAGCGCCAGCCCCAAGGGTGTCTCATACAGACTTAAACTGAGTACCTCGACGCAACCACACTCGGTATAGGCTCACATCCGTGTACCACAAAATCGCAAAAGCTCACCGAAATCGAAGGCAGTTGGAGAAATCCGAAGATGGCTACGATTCCCGTCGTTTCTATACTCGAACGGCTTATGGAAATTCCATCCACCAGCGAAGAAGAGCATGAGATTGGCGACTTTTTGGGCAGATATTTGACAGCTCGGGGTTTCACCGTGGAGATGACCCCCATATCCCCCGATTCCAACCGGTGTAATGTTTACGCCTATCTGGGAGAGTCCCGCAAAGCACGAACATGTTTGACCTCTCACATGGATACGGTTCCCCCATACATTGGCTTTAGTATCAAAGGTGATGTGATATACGGGCGCGGCTCTTGCGATGATAAGGGTCCGATGGCAGCCCAAATAATCGCTGTGGAAGAATTGCGAGCCGACGGGAAGATCAAACACGGCGACACATCTCTGCTATTTGTGGTCGGAGAGGAGAAGGGCGGCCCTGGTATGCTTGCTGTCAACAAAATGGATCTCACCTGGGAGACCGTGATCTTCGGCGAACCGACAGAGAGCAAACTGGCAGTGGGCCATAAAGGCCACTACGTCTTCGAACTATTCGTGGAAGGCATCGCTGCACATTCCGGGTATCCTGATGAGGGGAGAAGCGCCAACTCGGTTCTAGTATCGTTACTGGAGGAGCTCAAGGCGATCGAGTATCCAGCCTCTCGAATACTCGGATCAAGCACGTTCCATTGCGGCAAGATAGAAGGAGGCGCTGCATACAATGTTTTAGCGGCAGATGCGTACGCCCTATGCGGCGTTAGAATTGCTGCAAGTCTCAAAATTGTGAAGAAACAGGTTCTCAATGCGACAAGCCGTCATCCAGGGGTCACATTGAAGAAAATGTTTGGGTACCCAGAGACATATCTTGACCATGATATTGAAGGTATGTTCTCCTTTTTGACTTCATCTGGCTCGGTTGTAGATACCAAAATTTCAGGACTCGAGACAATGGCCGTCTCATATGGCACAGATGTTCCTCGCCTCCGTGGGAACCACAAGAAATACCTGTATGGGCCAGGGTCCATTTTGCATGCTCACGGGCCGAGTGAACAAGTCCGCATTCCAGATTTAGTTGATTCTGTTGTTGTCTATAAACGATTAGTGTTGAATTCGCTGGTGAAAGACTGTTCTTGACAGAGGTTCCAATGCTGTGACTGGTTGGTTCAGTCGGATCGCCCAGCTACTTGGACTTGTTATATTTGAGCCTGCATCAGATCGACCGCCGGAGCCTCATTAGGTACACACGTTGCATTGACAATCAATTTCAAGGTTCCTCGCAAAGCCGATTGTCACCCTGTGGTATTTTCTATATAGAGATATTCGTTGTTTTGATGGGAGAGGTTGGCGAAAACATACGTTCGGGGTTTGTTGCTTGGGAAGCTTCCACGTCATTTCCGGGGGTCAAGCTCCCGTGATTAGCCCGCCGCACCACAGCTATACTTACTTCAATGCAGATCCTGAGAGAAAATGCGATCGCACCATCACATGGGCAGATCGTTGCTGCGAGACAAATTTCGGAGGTCTGTTTTTGGCAAGACCGGCGACTGCGCCCAAAAGCGGCAATGTTCCCCGCGACAACCCCAGTGCGGGGATCAAACTTCCCCTCATCACAACTCCGATTGCCAATACAATGAGGCCCATGAAACCACCATCTCTATCCGGGCCCGGAACCAAGCCGAGCATTATTTAATTCGGACCATTCCCCTCAGCTGTTGCTGCGCCAGTAACTTTTTCTTGCAAATCCTGTCGAGTTTGCCTATACCCCGTCTCCAAGCGTACCCGCTTGAACCTCAATCATGGCGACTGCAACTATGAAGGCACTCAATTATTTGGGGCCTTATCAGGTCCGAGTTGAAGATGTCGAAAAACCGCGAATGGAACACCCTGATGATGTGATTGTGAAGGTCACTACGGTGAGTACTGCCGCGGACCAATTTGAACCACGCGTCTGACGATCTCGGGAGGCTGCAATTTGTGGTTCTGATTTGCAGTAAGCCTATCCTTTACATTAGGGACCCTCGTAGGACAATCCGCTCTCAACAGACTGACTGGATCACAGCATGTACGAAGGGAGAACGGCTGCGGAACCTGGAATCACCTTTGGTGCGGTTGGCTTGTCATTGATTGCAATGATTCAATGCAGCGTGCTGACGGATCTCAGGTCATGAGAACATGGGAATTGTGGAAGAATTAGGTGATGGTGTCACATTGTTGAAAAAGGGAGACCGCGTTGTCATGCCCTTTAACGTGGCAGATGGGCGTTGTCGAAACTGCGAGGAAGGCAGAACTGCATTCTGTACCGGTGTCAATCCTGGGTTCGCCGGCGGTGCTTACGGTAAGACTCATTGTGTTATCAACAGCTTCCTTTCTTGGTTGACAAACCATAGGCTACGTTGCCATGGGTCCGTACCGCGGAGGTGAGATATTCATTGTACTGCCAACGCTATCAAATACTATGTCTAACGGCCACAATAGGCCAGGCGCAGTATATTCGTGTTCCATATGCGGACTTCAACGCTCTAAAATTGCCTCCGGGTAAAGAACATGAAGCAGACTTTGTGCTTCTTGCAGGTAAATACATTCACCTCTTACCTTCCCTCGCATGGAGCTAGATGTACTGACGTTGTGGCTCAGATATTTTCCCCACAGGTATGAGCCAAACATCTCAACTTCCACAACATGGTCTATTCAGGTGCTGACGATACATACAGGCTGGCACGGTGTGGAGATTTCTGGGTTCCAATCGGGGGAGAGCATTGCCGTCTTTGGGGCTGGACCTGTAGGACTCATGGCTGCCTATTCCGCTGCTTTACGAGGAGCATCCAACATTTACGTTGTGGACCGTGTTACTGAGCGACTAGAGGCGGCTAAAAACATTGGGGCTATTCCTATCGATTTCACTAAAGGGGACGCCGTCGACCAAATCATCCAACATAATGGGGGAATGGTGGATCGCTCGGTGGATGCCGTTGGGTACCAAGCTGTTGACTCCAATGGCTCTGCTGAAAAGGCCAACATTGTGCTGGAGAACATGATCCGTGTCACCCGGGCGTGTGGTGGAATGGGAATCCCTGGTCTTTACGTCCCAAGGTATGCAGATCTTGTACAAATTGCAACTCAGACTCTAACATGCCTTTCAAAGTGATCCGGGCGCCGCCGACGCTGCCACTGCCAATGGAATGATTAGTCTCAGCTTTGGCAAGTTATTTGAAAAGGTACAAGAGATGCCCAGATTTTATAACTCAAACCCTACTAATTATCTCTAGGGACTCTCCCTTGGCACTGGGCAATGCAATGTCAAGGCTTACAACCGTTATCTGCGTGACATGATCATTGCCGGAAAGGCAAAGCCTAGCTTTGTGATCTCTCATGAGATTGCCCTTGCAGATGCCGAGACCGCCTATGAAAAGTTTGACAAGCGAGAGGATGGTTATACCAAGGTTATCATCCACCCCAATGGTGGATTCTAATATATGTTCTTGTCTACAATTGATTTAAAGTTAATAGACTCGATTGTAAAGTTACTCCTGTCTTATCTATCATATCAGTAGCTTCGGTATTAAAGACCCCTTCGACACGCAGTCGAATCAATCTTTTCTAAGGTTGACCCGCCTGGTTCATCCTCCAGGGCTTGAAAGTGATGGAATTGGGTGCAAGCCGAGTGTATCTTAGTACTCCTAACGAGAAGTTCATATGCAAGGTTGCTTCCTGAGATACAGGCCCCCAACGTACCATAGCAAGCTCACTTGCCTAAATGGGCACTTTTCGCCGCAACTTCACTCAGCTGGTGGCCCTTGGGGCCGGGTGTCTTGGAAGTGGATCTTCTTATTTCTAATCGGCCAATCAACGGTTTCTATCCTTCCCCACAAAAACATACTGTGCGGGGATTTTTACCATCCTAGGCCAAGCAGAAATCTCATCGAGAAGCATATAGCGACGAAGATAAGAACCTAGATGACGCAACCTATTTATGGTATATATCCCATCAATATGTCTTGCTGAAATTCATCTCCATCACATCCATGGATACTGCCAGCATGATAGTTCTCCTCCAGGGCTGTTTTTTCTATGATGTGCGCGAATGTACCTACCTACCGAGCTTTGTATTTTGGATAATTGAATATGTAGGTAGATCCATGGATGCCATGAAGCAGGCCGGACATTTTCTTAGCTTTCGATCCACCTCTGATACCTAGGTATAAGAAAGCAGCTGTTAAAACCTGTCGCAAATCAACATAGATTGTTCTCTTGCACTTGCGTCTTGATAGCCTTCCAAGGTTGGAAGTAGTTGTAAAATGGGCCATCGGAATGTTGGGCTTTGGAATCTTGTTTAATGAAGGACGATCTCTCATCGAATAGATAGCAATGTCACTATTCCCCACGTTCATCATTGTTCTTCTCATCAAAGCAGATACACAACGCAGCAATCAATGCTGCATCCACGCCAGGTGCCACCACAACAGCGTAGGTTTGCTGACCAAACACAAGATCACGACCACTGAGCAGTTTGCGATCAATACGAGCCACTGTTTGGCCACTCTTATCATCGACGATGTCGGCGGTATGATCAAACCAGCCTCCTTTCATCTTGAAAGCCCTGGCCTTGCCATTACTGTCAGTGAAACTGGCGGTGGCTTTAGATCCGAGCACTATTGTGGTCAGTAATCCGTGAGATGAGATATACGGAGTCTTGCATTCCTATATTGTCCATGGTAACCTCCAAAGTGATGGCACGTACATGTAAGATTGCTCTTTACCTCACAAGCCTTTCTCCCATGTGTGTCCTCGATTGCATATGTCGTATGGATATGTAGGAGCTCCTTGATGATATCAAACAAATGTTTTCCATGTGCGTCCTCGACCTTCTTTCGGCCAGATAGGGATACCCAGGCTCCGTGTACTTTCAAAAACGGCTGACCATCTGCCAGTTTTATTTCAAAGCTATCTCCAGAGACAGATAGAACTTTTTCCTTCAGGACAATTGTTTGCGGCTCCTTCGCGATGAATTGATCGAATATAGCGATAGGCTCAACGACTGGGGCCAGATTGTGGTGGCCGAAGATGCCCATGGTGACAATTACCAAGGTTCCTGAGGTCGGTATTTAGATTTGGGGAAAGAAAGAGCTCGGATCAAGCGACAAACGGATAAATTGAGATGAGGAACCGTGAGAGGCGGGGTCAGTAAGAAGCCGATCATTCAGTTCAGTAGTGGGATCATGTGATCTTGGGTGTCTATGATGTCATTTCCGCGCTGTCTTCTGGATGAAGTTGGGAATATTTCAAACAATGTGAGAACCTTGGGAGCTTATTTCAAGATTTTCAAGGCCAATCTCACCGTCACTTATCGAGGCATTGTCTGAACAATCGGCACTTTCCTAGGTTTGCTCACTTAGACATAAACCTCGCAATGATCAACGATCAGAGTCTGGAGATGAATAAATAAATATCCAATGACTTAGCACGTATACGCCCCTGGAGCTCCCAGACATGTTTCATGTATTCTACCGAGCTTTTCTAGCCAGTCAAGCTATGCAGGTCAATGAACTGCAAAGCTGAAAGGTTGGTTACATCAACTTAATCACCTTGCAGTTAGCAGAGTTGCCCATGGAAACCTGCATTTATCATCTCACCCATTTGTCCGCGGGTGGCTCGCTGTGGGGATTTCTGTTTGCACTGTTTGCACTGTTTGCAACCCTATGCTTATCGTTTTGTCTTTCCCCACATTGCTGGTCACCATCCACAAGCCCACAACATCGATCCGCGATATCAGCTCGCATGTCTTTGCTTGAACTCGATGGGTTGATTGTATGCACCTGCTGCTTACCTAGATGTCTGCCCCTGGCAACAAAAGTCGGGGTTCGCCGCTCTTCCCCTCTGATACTAGACTCCTAACTAATCTTCAGCGCGCAGGGTGTTTTCAGTGCTCCAAGCGGCGAATCATATGTGATGGCTTACAGCCGATCTGCTCAAAGTGTCAGAAAAAAGGCATTGAATGTTCAGGACAAGGGCGTATCCGCTTCTCGAATGCGGTGGCGCTACGCGGGAAGTTCAAAGGGTGTGCCATTCCCGTGGCCGGCATGTCAGGCACAGCTATTATTCGACAGCCACAGCAAGAACCAATCATACAACCGATGAACATCAGGTGGAAGAATGACCAAAAGTCACGAGTGAACCGAAAATCTACCAAGCGCCGAGCGAACCCGACCGAATGTGAACCCGAGAAGGCAGCGGCCATACGACCCAGAGCGCGAAGTGGACCGGAAACACAACACAACACGGATCACCAAGACGAGAAACTCCCATCTCAAACCAACATGAAGGAGAGTGTCGTGGAAGCCCTGACACCGAAGCGCTCTTCGCCCTCGCAGTCAGCCTATCCAGCGGATCTTGAGTTGATTAGACGTTTCCATGGCACCCGCCACGGAGGCAACATCAGCAACACGGCATCAAACTCGATTCGACAAATCCCTCAGTGGATTGCTCCTTTAAACTCGGACACACGTATGCTATTTTCCCACTGTAAGCATACCTCGGCTCCTCCCGTACGTTCAATAAACAAAAAGCACCACTAAACGCCGGCTTAGTTGCCCAAGAAGTTGCACCAGTTATGGTCATTTTGGATAGTGTATCGAATGGGTATCGCGATGTACTACTGCCGCTTGCCTGCGAGGATGACCTCTTGCAGCATGCTATCTGCGTTGTGGCCACGCAGCACTTGGCATTGCACAACACCTACCACCAGCATGCTGCAGACCAAAGTCGTGCCGCTGTTATATCGCGACTCCGCCGGGAGTCATTGCAATCGTGCCCTGATCGGATCTTCAATGTATCCACGTGGGCTACCTTGATCATTCTGTTAGTTGGCGAAACTATAACGGGTAGTTCAGAATGTGGACACATGCTACAGATCTTAATCTCGTTGGCCTGGAATGTCTCTCAGAAGACACCGTCTGAATTGAGTAGTTTCCTCCTGCAGCAAACTCACATGTACGTGCTTGTCAGCACCGTTTATAACGTTTCCACTTACACAAGATTATAGGTTTCAGCTCCTTGGACAGCCACTACTCGGGACGACTGCGGGATGTTCTTCGTCTTTGAACCTGCCGATTCATCATTACCTTGATTGGACATATTACGATATCCCATCCAACTCCGAGCATTGCGATCTGTTGCGTTTGTCGAGGGATGCGTTCATGAAGGCATTCCAAATATACACCGGCCGCAGAACCGGTAATGACAACCAATGGGAACTACTGGAAAGTCTGAAGCAAGTGGTCTGTCAAGTCGATCCAGGCCAAATGGGCTCACATGCCCTTGTCTGGGTCTGTTTTATCGGAGCGGCTGACAGCGCTGATCCGGCCCACCGAAGATTCTTCTTGGATCGAATGAGCAATATTTATGCCAAAACCAAGTTCCAGAATATTGCCGCAGGCATGCGTGCGCTGCCTGGGATTTGGTCAGAGCAAAGCTCCAGCAAATGGACGGAAGACCTCTTTCGGTTGGCCCCTACATTGGTGATATGAGGTATACCTCGGGGTGACGTGAGTAGTATCACAGTCATCATATAAACAAATCTTTGGATGTTTCACGGACAAAAGTCTTCAACTATGGAACAAAACAGCGTTCTCTAATGCTACGCGGCAGCATCCTTTGACCACAGCCCCAAGGTAAACTGGGAGTTACACATGTTAGTCAACTCCCAACTCTCTGCGCCGAGAATTGCCGGGACGTTCGTATCTTCCTCGTGTCCAGCGGCTCCTACAACAAACAGAGCAGCCATGAAATGGTCGTCAGTGGCATGTGCGTCTCGGAACCGCGGGTGCTTCATCAGCCTTGTCATCGCCCGGCGCAATTGCACTCCAGATGTTTTGGTGATAACATCCTCGAACGCCTGTCGGAACTCCATTGCCCAATCCTCCGGTGCCGTCTCCATCGCAAAATTATCTCGGAACCGCATCATGGGTGCCCATCTATTTCTATACAGGTTATGCACCGCCCCCCCAGTTCCAATGAACATGTAGTTCTCTCGTCTCAGAGGACGCAATGTGGCACCGATCTTCATGTGGAAATGGGGGTCATAACGAGCATTTGCAGAAATCAAAGTTGTTGGTGGACAGCCGTTTGGGAACATTCGGATGAGGATGAGGTACACATCATGGATCCAATCAAATGTAGGATTGCCGCTGACGTTGAATCCCTGGCGGGCAAGCATCATCAAACACCGCTCCGTGGTAGCGAGATCGGGGTTGAGCTTGTAGTTTTGATATTTGTCAGGATGCACATAAGCAACAGGGCTTTTGTCAGGGTTTGGATTTGTTGCCATTTCGATCGTGTCGCCCATGCAATCCCAATGTGCCCCCTGCCATCTGTCAACTTTATTCGAGCGCGCAGCTTCTAGTTCAACAAGGACGCCTACCATGATGATGATTCCCTTCACATCATTAGCTATCGCCTCATCTCCACACTTCTTCCAGTAGTCCGCGCTCTCCGAATCTTCTCCCAGCATCATTGTTGAGCCATGGGAGAAGAAATGCACTGGCGTAAGACCTGTGGTAAATCAGCCGCCGTCCATACACGTCAAAGAAGGAGCAAGGTACCCATGTTCCAAAGTTGAATGACAGATTAAGTCCCAACGCGGATTTCGATTGCTGAAAGATTGGCCCTAAGCTCCAAGGAAATACCCGATTTTTATTCCTATCCAACAAGCACCCCTTCGTCGTGTCGGGTATGCTCCCCCACTTCCCGACCGGGGTGACGTTAGGCCCAACTCGATCTAGTCAGTTTACTTCGTAAGACTGATCGATTTTCCACAGCTACCCCTCATTATGGGCACTAAGCGCACAATTATCGGGATCCTCGAATCACATCATGGGTATATTGTCGGCACTTTCAAAATCCGGGGTATATGACAGACAGTATGCGGAGTATGCGGATCAACCCGGAACACGACGCCCGAGCTGGCCAATCCACCGGGCCCCTTATTTAGATTTCTGTGGATGAATTGAGATCAGCTTGGAGTCGTGCGTGAATTGAATACTGTGCGACGGTTGTGGTTAGTGAGGTGGCGTCGATCCTCACTGCATCCCACATTTCCATCCCCTCCCCCATCCTTCCCCGTTTACCTACTCTTCGAATTTTACATCCTCCTTGAGAAAGACGTTGCGCATGGCCTCAAATCATGTTAAACGACTCATCCAAATTGGAGCAACCCAGCGCTGATACCCTCAACAAAACTCCAGATGGATACTTTCAATGTGGGTTCTGCAAACGCCATTACAACCGAGCAGACCATCTCATCCGACACGTCCGCTCCCATACTCGAGAAAAGCCTTATGTCTGTGAAGTTTGTGACAAGGGATTTGCGCGGCCGTGAGTTCCCCCGACGAGGTACGTTAGCATGTTTGTTGGCTGATATACCTGCAGGGATCTGTTGAAGCGCCACGCAGCGGGCCATGCCCATGACCGCGACCGAAAGCGAAAGCGAAATTCGTCAGTTTCCAAGCAAAGCAGAGTATCTCAGGCATGTAAAGCTTGTGCCTCTTCGAAATTGAAATGCGACGAAGACAAGCCTTGCCGGCGATGTCGTGAGCGGCATATAGCTTGCGATTGGCAGGATCTTCTGCCACAAGCATCCCCCGAACCACACCAGGACGATTTTTTGGAGACCCCAGGAAGGGAAAATCTGCCTTCCAAGCAGATCATCTCGCCCACGGTCGTACTTTCGACCATGTCATCTCCGTTGGAATTTCCGTCTGCGAGCGCCTTGATGACACCTGGTACTACTCTGCAAGACCCAAATCCATCTGAAGTGGAAGACATGTGTAGCCAGCCGAATTCCATTGATAACGGAGGTAAGACTTCAACTCAAGATCAAACCTCTCCCTAGCTGATAGCGGGACAGTCTCACCGAATGATCATGAAAGCGGGATCTTCAGTATTGACGGCACTTTCTTCCCGAACTTCATCCCGGATTCTCTCATCCCTTCACTGGCACGATACAGCGACTCCGACTTGCCCGGAACAGTGTCTGACTATGTTCAATATGGCGCTCTTGATAATTTCCACTTTGACCTTACTCTTACAGACGGTGACTTCAGTCTCATCGATTCTTATAACTCCCAAGCCGTGTTCCCAAGTGTGCCAGACAGCCACATGGACTATCGCTACGGAATAGATAGCGGCGTTGGTATTGGCGCAGCAGCCTATCACAGATCCTCACTTTCTGCGTACCAGCCCGCACGCGAGGACCATGCATTTGATGACCACGAAAATTTGTCGGTGCCTGAAGTGATCAATAGTCCTCAAAATAACCTCTCCTTCAGAGACACAGCCATTTGTGAGAGGCTGTCACCCAGCAGCCGCGATTTAATCTTGAGTTTAATATTGGAAGTCAGCCGAGAGGCCACATTGAGCCGAATCATGAAGTCCTTCCCTGGCACGGAACTACTGGACAGCCTAGTCCAGCAATACTTCGAGTATCAAATTAACACCGTTGAGAGCTTCATCCACACACCGACTTTTCGAACGAATAGCGAAGACCCTGGTGCTCTTGCTGTTATAGCTGCTGCGGGTGCTGTGCGTTCTTCTAACCCTACCATCCGGAAATTGGGATATGCATTAAACGAGGGGGTGCGGATGCATTTACCCACAAAGGTTTGTCCAATGGACTTGATTGATTTCACTTAAAACCATACCAGACACTGACACATTACCAGTACGAGAGAGACAATACGTTCATTCGTGATCTGCAAACCTCTCAAACTTACGCCCTGACTATCGACATTGGTATTTGGAGTGGCAATCGAAGAAAGACTGAGATAGCCGAAAGCTTCTCACAGCCATTGATCACGATGCTTCGTCGCGCCTTACGATTTCGACGGTCGATCTATTCGAACATCATCCCACTTGCTGAGGATGTGGGCCATGATTTGGAACTCAAGTGGCGTACTTGGGTTGACCAAGAGTCATTCAAGAGGTAGGTGATACTGAGTCAAACCGTATATTTCCTGACCTATTGACGCCCACCAACAGGCTCGTGTACTATATATTCCTACATGACGCACAAACGGCCATGGCTTTGAACGTCAACCCTGTCATATCGTATGCAGATATGGAGCTCCCACTTCCCGCACCACGTCATCTCTGGGATGCGAAGTCTGCAAAGGAATGGAAGTCCATTTTCCGCTCAACTGTCACGGCTGCTGAGCGCCTACCTTCACTGGCTGACTTACTTCGGGACATGTCACAATTGACAATATTCCAAGATTACATTGATACCCAGTTCGCTGCTTCCATCCTAGTGCATGGTTTATCGGCATTGGTGAATGAATATCACCGGCTGAAATTCATTTCCACGAGTGGTTCGAAACACTGGCATGCGCTTGTGACTAATTCCCGCCAGCAGGAGCTTGACCAGGCTCTTCAGCACTTCCGAATGGTTTGTTCAGAATTAAAGTCCAAGTGTAGCCCTGAGACAATTATGATCGGCGAAGTCGTGTCGATGCTTCTTTACATGTCTCTCGAAGAGCTCCAATTGTTTGCCGGCAAAGAGGACAAACAGGAAGCTAGACGAGTCTACGACTCGGCATTGGAATGGATTGCCAGTTCTGATTCCAGGCAGGCTGTATGCCATGCTGGTCAAATCATCCGCGCCGCTCGAAGTATGCCAGCGAGCTCTCTGGTAGGGTTCTTAGCCATTGGGGTATACTATGCCAGTCTGGCATTCTGGTCATATGGTGTCGTCTCCAGTGCTAACGCAGCAAGAGTCATTAGGGGCCTGGAGGCACAGCCTCCAGGCAATGGAACAGTAGTGCTTCTTGATGGGGAGAAAGGAGTTGAGGTTTTGAAGTTCGTCACCCTGAATTCCGGTCTCCCAGCCTTGCATGGCCCAGAAGGACCGGTCTATTTACACGATCCCGCCGCCATAATGAGGCTAGCACAAGCAACCTTCCACGCGGAGACGTTGGAGACCAGACCAGCTTTGGTGCAGATGCTTTCTCAGTTAATGGGAGATCTTGGAAATTGCGTCCATGGAGGCGAATAATGCAAATCACGGAGGTGGACTCTCGTCGTTATCGCCTGCTGATAGATAGCTCTACGAAAATACAGGCTCTTGCCAGGCTCGCTCGTGTCTGCTTGTTTATCGTGCAAGGATCCACAGATGATGAACACCCTGATGTTCTGAAGTGCTGGGTGAGCGTTCAAATCAATCATCTAAGGAATCTATCCTAGATTCTAAGACCCGTGTCGTTTTCTAGTATCATGCCTTCTAGTCTGAGATAGAGGGTGGGGGAAGGTGGGACTACATGTAGCTGCTCAACATTCATAACGCAAAGGAAAAGTATTATGGGTAGATATGTGCAGGATTCTTCTCTTCTCCTCCAGCTCTCCCGATTCAGCATCTACCTGCGACATCCATGCATTGGGATCCAGATAAAGCAACATTTCAACGCATTTCCGCATTTATCGACACGATGGTTAAGTTCTTTCCCCTTCCCAATGATGAACAGATCGAGGATTTCGAGAACATAATTCTCCGCCAGTCTCATCATTTTCAAAACCGTGACCTGATCCGAGAGGCCCTACAACTTGCAGGACCCCTCAACCCCAATGGAAATCGGGTTCTGGCCCAAGTGGGCGACGCCATCATTCGCCTAATTCTGGTCGATCAAGGTCGAAACAAAAATAAGACACCAGGTAGGGCTTATTCGTTGCCAATATACACTCTTGTTAACGGCTATCATCATCAACAGGGCAAATTCAGGAATTGATAACCCGGTTGGCCTCCAACAATAACCTCAATGATCGAGCTAATGCCCTGGGTCTGGACCCATACCTTGTCAAGAACTCCTCGTCACAGCAAGGTCTTCCAGCCGGTCGTGTTGTTATGGCGACCTCAATTGAAGCTATTCTTGGGGCTGTGTACTATGACAGCAACAGAAATTGGATAGTCTGTGAGAAGGTGATGGCCATTTTCGGGCTTTCCTGGCCCGAGTGATTCTTCCCTGCCGTCGAAGAGATACACGCCAGACGCGAACCGGTACACCCACCGCACACATTTCACAATCTCCATCTCCGGTTTTTTTGTTTTTTTTTTTAACTCCCCCTTTTTTTTCTCCTTTGCTTCCTTGTTCTTGCGGGGCTGGATCAAGTTCATTCAGAAGTGAAGCGGAGTGCAAAATGACTTGCATTTCATCACTCCTGAATGAGGCCTGTTCCTTCTGTGGTAGGCTATCCTGACGCCACGCACTCAGCTTCTTCGAAGCACGGAGCCAAGCTTCTATGGACGGTTTGTTTCAACGGGGGTTGACAATCACCGAAACTGGGGAGAGAATCATAATGAAGCCCAAAGTTTAAATTTAGGGTGAACCCGCAGAAGCTTAAATGAGCCAAGCAGGAACCTTATATCAAATAAACAGGCAGTATTAAGCACTCCGTAGTGTGTACGGAGTACTCCGTGCAGAGTAATAAAGTAGTAGTTTAAATGCTTCGATCTTCCCAAGTGGGGCTAACCTCCACGGATTCTGGTTTCCGCAGTCCACAGCGAATGCCGTCAATAATTTGCTTAAATTCAGTCCTAGTGACGTTCCTGTCTCCACCCCATTTCACATTCGAAAACTTTTCCAACATGAATATTCATTGTGCGTTTCTTCCAGGCGAAGCAGTCGTTGTCCAAGTGCAAAATGGCGCATCGAGATTTCAATGACAAGAAAGGCTTCCGAGTCGCGGAGGAGGAAGTGGGAACCCCAGGCTCAGCTTTGACACCATCAACAACCCACGAGACAAGAAGTTCTTACGATCTCGAGACTTCTGAAAATGCCGCCGAGTTACAAAAAGCACCTACCACGAGGAGCCGCCGGGACTCACACATGGGCGAGGCCCTGGAGAACCTCTCGCGCAGCTATTCTGTCAACGGAAATGTCGAACACGAACTGGAAAACGTGTCTTCCCGCCGCATGGAGCGCACTGGAACTCGCCGTTCGGCTAGGTATCCTTCGCCATCCCGAATGCCCGACCTGGACGAAGAAATCAATGGTCCAGCCAACTTCAAGTCTCAAGGCGTGCCTCCTGAGCTTGGTAGTTTCACGGCGGAGGTAATCTTCGTTCTGGTCTGCTCCGCTGGTCTTTTGCTGTATTCTTTCTTCCTTGGCGATATCACGGTCAACCAAGAAGAATGCAAGCGCGCGCTTGGTATCAGCAACAGCGAGCTCCCTTGGCTGATCGGCTCGTTCACTCTTCCGCTCAGTCTTTCGGTAGTGGTCTCCGGATCGCTCAATGACTTGAGTCCGCCCAGAACCCTCATGATTGGGGCATTCGCTTGGCTGACCATTTGGAACGTGGTGGGTGTATTCTCAATAACCCCCAGTAGGGCAATTCTGTTTTATATGGTGCGTGCGATGCAAGGCCTTGCTGTCGGCGTTCTCGTATCTGGGTCAATGAGCATTCTCGGTCGTGTATACACGCCAGGCCTTCGAAAGAACCGAGTATTCTCTGCCATGTCAGCAACGGCTCCGTTTGGTTTCTGGCTTGGTGGAATCCAGGGTGGCGCGTTGAAGTCATACCTTTATTGGATCTTTGGTTCCAATGCCATCATCTGCGCACTTTGCCTCGTGGCCGCTTGGCTCACTATGCCCTCGCTACGCCCAGTCGCTGATGTTGCCGGTGGCGACGTGCCCACTATTCGCGAATTCGACTTCATCGGAGCAACGGTTATTGCGACCGGCTGTGTGTTGGTTCTTTTCGGACTCACCCAGGGCTCCGTGGTCATGTGGGTACCCTACACATATGCCTTGGTCATCGTTGGTATTCTCCTGGTCATTGCCTTCTTCTTTATCGAGCGCTGGGTGAAGCGACCGCTTATCCCAAATGGACTCTGGAAAATCAAAGGCTTCACGCCTCTGATGATCGCATACTTCATTGGATACGGAGGCTTCCAGGGTGGGTGGCAGTTCTACGCAGTTCAATTCTGGCTCCGGATTCAGGAAAACAGTCCTCTCACGGTCGCTCTTTACCTTCTACCTAACGCCATTGTGGGAGTGTTAGCGACCTGGGTTGTGAGCCGGACTTTGCACATCATCCCCGGACACTACATCTACTTTACTGCAATGGTTGCTTTTGCGATGGGGCCTGTCTTTTTCCTTCCGCAAACCCCAAACACATCATACTGGCCACTCTCCTTTCCTGGGGTGGCACTCGTCACGTTCGGGCCAGACCTCTCTTTTGCAGCAGCGTCAATTTATATCACTAGCAACGTGCCTCGATCCTACCAGGGCAGTGCTGGGAGCTTGCTGGTCACAATGCAAAATCTGAGCTCAGCCGTGATGACCGCCGTGGCAGATGCAATCGGCACAAAGGTAGACCAGGGACCGGATGGCAATATTGGACTCAAAGGCATCCATGCCATATGGTGGTTCGCGCTTGCTTGTGAGGTTATCGCGGCATTGATCACATTGACGTGGGTCAGAATCCCAAAGGAAGAGGAGAAGAAGGAGCATGTGACCTGATGGGGGGCCATGATCTCTACTGAGGCCGAAAGTGATTATAGTTACGATTGAATGAAAGGTACCCTGGATTCCGACATATCTGCAATCTCTGTCCGACGGGATTTGCTCGAATTTATGTCACCTACAGCGAGATACTATAAATTTGGAAACTGGAGTAGACTTCCACGCATAACACCGAATTGTTTCATCGAGTCCACGAGTCTTGACAAGGTAGACGGAACTCGGACAACTTACCGATTTCAATTGCGCACAGGGGTGCACCCCGATTTGAGTCGGCATTGGGTCCGATCACCTCCATGGGGCCAATCGGGGCATGGTGTAGGGCGTATGTTCCTTTAAGGCGCCGTGTGGGGCATGTCCTGTGTAGGGCGTGGTGTGGGGTTTGTCTGCTCTGACAGCATTGATAGGAAGGGGATCTCACGAGAAGTTTCTTTCATGTGTTGCATCAGGTGTGCTTTTTCTGTATACTGCTAGCGACCATTCACAACGGTGTCTTGCCGCTCATCTCTCCAACCATCCTGGAACGCTCCTTGGGCTCAAGAGCCAAGTCCTATCTTCCGAGTGATGCTTTTGGAGACGTCTGTGGGGTATCGTGATCCTGTCAGCCTCTCGCCTGTAAGTACAAGTCATTCACCCAGACAGTGTAACTTTCAACCCGCTCATTCGCGCGCCGTCCTCAAAATCTGGAAACGGAACTAACCCCGGACTCGATTTGTTTAGCTCAGGAAAGTTCACATCGTGCTCGCAGGAATTCTCTTCATATTCAACAGTGCATTCGGCTCGTCGCTGCCATCGGGAGCTCACGATGCAATCGCAGACTACTTCCACCTCGCCCACGACGACACGAAACTGGTACTTCCAAACTCGCTTTACCTCGCTGGATTCGCGATTGGCCCACTCATATTTGGACCTCTAAGTGAGCATGTCGGTCGAAAGCCCGTCTTGATCGGCACCTTCAGCGGATATCTCATCTTCACCATGGCATGTGCCCTGTCCCCAAATTTTCCCGCTCTGCTTGTGTTCCGTCTTCTGGCTGGCCTCAACGCAGCGTCGCCTAATGCTGTCATTGGAGGACTATATGCAGACATCTTGGACGACCCCAAGACGAGAGGAATTGCAATGGCTTTATTCATGGTCGTGACAGCATTTGGTCCTCAACTGGCACCTCTTGTCTCTGGTTTTGTTTCTGAAGTCTCCTGGCGCTGGGCGTTTTGGGTGGGCTTGGCCGCCGGGGGTGTGGGATACCCGTTGATTGTATTCATTCCCGAGACGTATGTACCGGTCTTGAAAAAAAGACATGCGCAAAAGATGGCTCGACTGGGGGTGAGGGACCCGACACTGGATGAAGGGATTCGTTCGCGAGGTATAGCACTTGAGACAGACGGTGTGTTGCAAATCTTCTTGCGACCGTTCAAGATGATTGTGACCGAACCGATTCTTTTGTTTGCATCGCTATTCATGGGCTTTACGTATGCGCTGTTTTACCTCTATTTCCAGGCGTATCCATTGATCTTCCAAGGTAGGAGCTGTCAATTGGTTGCTCGATATGTGATGAAGCAGAGGATAACATTGGTCCCTAGATTTGTATAAGCTATCGCCCGGAGTAGCAGGCCTTGCATTTTTACCCAGTATGACAGCCACTCCCCCAACTGATCGGAGTCACTGCTCACGTCAAATTGATAGTCAGCGTGGGAGCATTGGTATCATTTTCGCTTTTCTTGGCATATGGATCCTGGCATTCGAAGGCCGTTCAGCGGGGCAAGGAGTGGGCTATGCAGGAGGAATACAGACGCCTGCCACTCGCGGCGCTCGGCGCACCCTTGTGAGTTTCACCCAGGCGCGCGAGTGGCCGTGTTCCCTCGATTCCACCTCGACCCGCGCTCTTCTATCTAGATACTGATTTCTGCAGACTCCCAATCGCTCTCTTCTGGCTGGGATGGACATCCAAGGCATCGATTCATCCCGTGGTTCCCATAATGTCTGGTTTACTTTTTGGCATTGGATACATTCTCATCTTCATGGCCATGATCAACTATTTGACAGATGCTTATAAGCAGTATTCTGCATCTGCGCAGGCTGCTGCTAGCACTTTGCGATCTTGCTTCGCTGTATGTCTGCCGTTGGCCACAAATTCACTGTACGGGAACCTCGGAATCAATTGGGCGAGTTCGATTTTGGCATTTGTTGCCATCCTGCTCGCCGTGATCCCGTTTGTCTTTATCCGGTATGGGCAGTGGATTCGAAGCCATAGTCCATTTTCTCAGCGGGTGATGAAGGGGCAGTTGGCTGGTGAGAGCCCAGTGGAAGGTGATCCCGTTCTCTGAATATTTCAGATTGCAGGTTGCAGATTGTATCGACCAGGAGAAAGAAACCCTTGGAACCTCACCGGAGATAAGAGACTGAACGCCGTGGGTTAACAGTGGGTCTGCGCCATTTTGATTGGCTGTGAATGTCGAATTTAATATTTAGGCTCAGCTAGCGCTGTCAGCAGCCTGCATTAGCGTCTCCGATCTAGGAAATCCATAAAAATCAATTCTACTCAAACGGACCATGGCAAAATCAGCGGTTGGAACAGGCTTGATAGATTGATTCCATCACGTTTCAAATATATCGAAATATGAGTTTTTCCCCTCGACGCGCGCGCCAGGTATTGGTTGCGTTCATCAATTCAGGACAACCCCGAATGACCCACTGCCACTTCTTAATGAATGCCTCGGTGACCTCCCAATTGCGCACATCCGAAGGCTCCCCCACACCAGTAACCCAGCGTCTATACTTGATTCCCCCCAGAATCCCATGATATCATGACAAAGTTGTTCATCATCCCACTCTTCTCCTGCTTCGATCAGATTATCGCGCATTTTCGGTAATGGGAAGAAATCGAGCCATGGATGATGAGGTTTGGTTTTTTGGACCCGGGTAGGCTGAAGGTTCTGGGGAATCCGACTTAGTTGATCTGGGGTTTGCGAGTCTTGCGGTAGTGCCGTGCTGAATTTTGAAACAGCATCGTCGGGCCACCAGGTCTCCGACCAACCGATCATCTTTATATTTTGGGCGAAAGCTCGAAAGACATTGACCTTGGTCAGGGTCATGAGGTGATCAGCAGTCGGGTCGCCGCGAGCGTAGCTTTCAATCGCTGATTTTGCAAATCGATCGAGTAGATGGTGTATTGCTGAGGGACTGCCACAGACGTTCGGTGGGGGATCAATTTGCGTAGTGTCTTCCGCTTTGACGGTGACGGTAGAGACCGAACGTGGTGACAGTATCAAACTCTTGGGATGAACATCCTTGGACGATTGAATGCGCTTGCGTTTGCCTACCAAATGTTAACTCGAATCGCATTTAGGCGCAAACAGCAGCTTACGGTAAGCCCTCTGGTTGATACGATTCTGACGCCGCCGACGTTCAGCTGGATCACTCAATCCAGACCAGGTATCATCTTCGGGATCATCGGAGGTGGACTTAGAGGTGATGCTGGGTGTGGGATCCGTCATCGTGTCAGCACTAGCTGTGTGGATAGTACGGAGTACATGCAACGGGTTAAAAGCAACGGCCCCGGAGATTTGCCGGGGATCGCCACTTGATTGCTAAGCAGATGGTATTACATAAGATATCTTGAAAGGGAAAATCGATCGATCTCGTTTCAATGCGGTGCTTCATGCGCAAGTGTCCGGTCGATATTCGGCCAGGACATCATCAAAATGTGGTGGTTTGAGGAACTTCGAGGGTTTAGGAATACTTCAACACATTGGTGTCGGGTTGCGATAAATCAGTTACCATGTGCAATGTAATCTAAGAGCAGAATACTATTCACGTCGCTTCATAGCGAGCCAAGGGAATCTCAAGTACAAAGTGATCCAAATCGCGAAAAAGAAAAGAGAAAGGGAAACAGCCTGCCGGTCCAGAACAAATAGTTACCAACCAGACCTTCGTATTTCATCCGAAATTTTGCTGCCATGTCATTATCATCAATTGCGTGCCCTTTTATTTGCGGGCAGCGTGAACCGTCTCAATGATCTTGTCCACGACGCTGGGGTCAGACAACTGCGAAAGAGTTAGATGTTTGAGATCGACTAGAGATGGTATTATATGCTCTTACCGTTGAAGTGTCACCAAGACTGTCTTCTTCGCCACTCAGGATCTTGCGCAGAATACGGCGCATGATCTTGCCACTGCGAGTTTTGGGGAGGTCCTCGACGACAAACACAGCCTTCGGGGCGGCGAAAGGTCCAATGGATTTGCGGACCTGCATACTCAAGTCCTTGCGAATTTGCTCGGTGGTCTCGTTACCCTCCTTCAGAGCAACAAAGGCGTTCACTGCTTGGCCTGTGAGTTCATCGGTGATACCGACGACGGCGGCCTCAGCAACGGAAGCTAGACAGTATGAGCGGTTGTCATGTCAAAGGGCAGGGACACAAGCGACTTACGGTGCTCGAGGAGAGCGGCTTCGATCTCGGCGGTGGACAGACGGTGGCCAGACACGTTGACGACATCGTCAACACGGCCCCGAATCCAGTAGTAACCATCGTGGTCACGACCAGCGCCATCTCCGGTGAACTGTCCCGGTCAGTTTCTCATTATTACAAGTCGAGTTGGCAATTTCCTTACGTAGTATCCCTTGTACACATTCAGGTAGGTGTCCATGTACCGCTTGTGGGCACCCCAAACGGTGCGGGCCATGCTAGGCCAGGGCTGCTTGAACGCGAGAACGCCCTCCACATCGTTGCCCAAAATCTCCTCTCCGGAGACAGGGTCGATGATGGCCGGCTCGATACCGAAGAAGGGCAGCGAAGCACTGCCGGGCTTGGTGGGGGTAATACCGCCAAGGGGAGTGATGACGTTGGAGCCAGTCTCAGTCTGCCAGTAGGTCTAGATGAGTCAAAGTTAGCGGATCCGACTTTTCAAAATTCTAGGGGCTTGCAAAACGAACGTCGCAAATGTGCGCTTCCTCCTTGCCGACCGCTTCAAAGTACCACTTCCACACCTCTGCAGCAATTGGCTCTCCAACAGAGCCAAGGATACGAAGGCTGTGCATCTTGTGGTGAATGTGTTCATCTCCGGCGCGCTTAAGCAAACGCAGGGCGGTGGGCGCAACGTAAAACTGGGTGACGTCGTGTTTGTCGATTACATCCCAGTAGCGGGAGAAGTTGGGGTAGGCGGGGGTACTTTCAAACACCACGGTGGCACAGCCAAGGAGCAATGGAGCGTACACGACATAGGTGTGACCGGTAATCCAACCGACATCGCCACCACAGAAGTAGCGGTCGTCGTCGTGGATGTCGAACACGTACTTGCCGGTCATAGCGGCACCCAGCAGGTATCCGGCCGTGGTGTGCATCACACCCTTGGGCTTTCCGGTGGAGCCCGATGTGTACAGAAGGAAGAGAGGGTCCTCGGAGCTCACGGGCTCCGGGGCGAGGTAGTTGGGGTACTTCTCGACCTCCTCGTGCCACCAGATATCACGGCCTTCGGTCCAGGGCACCTCGGCGCCGGTGCGCTTGTACACCAGCACCGTGTGCACATCGGGGCATTGCTTCATGGCCTCGTCGACGATCTTCTTCGTACCAATGACCTTGCCACCACGCTTACCCTCGTCAGAGGTTATGACGACTTTGGAGGAAGCATCGAGGACGCGGTCCCGGAGGGAATCGGAGGAGAAACCGGCGAAGACGACGGAGTGCACGGCACCAATGCGGGAGCAGGCCAGGAAGGCGATGACGGCCTCGGGAATCATGGGCAGGTAAATACCAACGGTGTCGCCCTTCTTCACACCTCGCTCCTTGAGCGTCCAGGCCACACGAGAGACCTCGCGCATCAGCTCTCCGTAGGTGATCTTGCGACCCTCGTTGGGCTCGTCCGCCTCGTAGATAATGGCGACCTTGTCCGGGTTCTTGAGGGCGTGGCGGTCCACGCAGTTGTATGATGCGTTCAGGCGACCCTCGACGAACCAGGCATTGTCGCCATTTTCGAATGAGCCGTGGTGTGTAGTTTGAAAGTCCTTGTCGAATGTGAGGAGCTCGCGGGCCATGCGGGCCCAGAAGGTGTCGGGGCTGCGGATTGATTCATCGTAGAGCTCCTTGTACTCGTTGATATCCTTCAGGTGGGTACCGGTGGGGTGCTTATCGTGGAATGCCTTGGGGACATGGAATGTGTCGACATCATGGGCCTCGTGGACCTGCGACAGAGGGGTCTTAGAAACAATTGCCCACGGGGAAAGATTTCGCGATTGAAAGTGGGGGGAGACTTACCACTGCGGGCTTGGGAGGCTGAACAGGACCGTCCGACATGATTGCGGGAGGGTCAATGGTCAATGGAAGGTGTACAATGCACAGAGGAAGTGAGGACTAAAGCTGTGAAAGGTGAGTGACCGAATTTCAAGTGCGACCGAAATCCGAGTGCCAGTTGGTTGGGAGGAGGCGAAGGTGGGATGAAGCGGGAAGAGCTGAGAATGGTGGGGGGAACCTAAACTTACAGTGACCTTTTTTCCCTTCCGTTTAGCAGTCAGAAAAAATAAGAGCAGAAAAGAATTGAAGGAGAATTAGGGGCGAGGCGACGCATTAGTAGTCGAAAGTCGAAGTGGAGGGCAGTTGCTACCTATCCGGAGTGGCCCGTGCGCCGTACAATACGCAGACGGCCGTTCCTTTTGGCCTCGTCCTTTTGGCTCTTTACGCTCTTTTGGACTCTCCGGTCGACTATCTACGGGGTACACAGAGTCAATTATCTCTCTTTGATTTCTCCCTCACTATATTATCCCCCATTTTCCCTCTTCACTTTCTGTTTCTCCCGTATAAAGTCGACGCATCTGTCAGATGTCTTCCGTTGCCCCGGGTAAGCCCAGCGCGACGGCACTTGACTAAGATCAGCCTATTGGTGTTCGAAGGAGTTCCCGGATGACGAACCCTTTGTCCGAATCTCAACCCCGCTAACTTGGCTTAGCCAAGGCCCGGGGTCATCACGGGCCAGGGGAGGGCGGGCCACAGGAGAGGCTAAGTACGGAGTATAGTATGCTTCCATTGCCCGGTTGCCCTCGGTTTGAAGTGACCTTGGTCTTCACCTTGGCCTTCACCTCGGACATGATGTCAGGGTTCCCAATTTCCAGCGAAAGTCAACTTGCCTCACCTCTCGCCCAACTCTGTGGACTCCTCTCGTTTGCTCATTTGCTCCGGGGGAGCTCACGAGACCGGATTGCGGGGTGATTCCTGCTTAGTCAGCCCCCGAAAACAGCCTGGAAGCCGGGGGCTTTGCTTGTTGGTTCGCGTCAAATCGAGCCGAGTCTTTTTTTTTTTTTTTTTTTTGACTCTCTTTTCTTCCTTCTTTTTGGTCTTGACCTGGGGCAATCTGGCTTTGCTCGACCTATGGGATCATTGGAGCATACGGCACTTATGTACTTATGTACGGAGTACATAATACGAGACTCTCGTCGCAAGGCTTGCCCCTCTTTCAATACACTAGCCACTAGTCTTCATCTAGGTAATATGCCAACGGGATATTAGCATTATTAGCTTTGCATTGTGCATTGTGGGGAGTGGAGAATCTGCCAGGTTTTTATTAGCAATTTAGCATTGAGTATGTCTCACTGGCTCCGGCTTGGGATTAAAACATTGCACATCCCAACTAAAAAAGCTGTCTATATAATGTACATTGAATTATTAAATTCCTATAGTCAAGCGTAGTTTTAGGAGAAAACTTCCCACGTGAGGGCTCCAAGTGCTACGTGGCAGCACGAGGTGGTAATTGTCCCGGGATCTTCACTGTAACTGTAACTACGAGCCCCGAAGATCACTGGGATAGCGCGAACCTCCTGCACCTACTCTGCAACTAAGGAAAAAAGGTTGCTTAAGATCCACTCCCTCCCACTTCGCTTCCCAACAGATTTTCATGCGGCACCGCATGAAAATCTGGAATGAGAAAAAAAAAGAACAGATGGGCCCGTACTCCGTATCCGATACGTGCATTCGGACAACAAAGTCGAGCGGGGAGGATCCGAACATCCCTGCCAATGGCGATGAAGCAATAGCTGACACCCATTCGATAATTGTGGGACAACCCTCGCGATCCACCGCGAACCAACATTGTGCTGTGTGTGTGTGGAAGTTTCCCGAGAAAATGCCGGATTAAGTCCCCAGCGCCCGGCCCAACAACGTTTCCAACTTATATTCAGGGACAGCCTCCGACGTCGCACATTTTCAACCATTTTCACCAATTATAGAACTTATCATTGGTCACTGCGCTCAACGGCTTCTCGGACATGATTCGGCAGGAAGAAGTTCCTGGTCAGACCCATCCAGTGTGGCCCGTTCAGTCTGACGAGCGCCAGGTCCATCATTTGGCTTTGATTACGAACGAGTGCCTGTCGCCACATATCGACCAGTCCCCTCGCCCGAACGGCATGTTCTTTCGAGGGCGCTTGGACAACAAGGAGCATCATGAAGCTGGAAACCGTGGCGAATCCGATCCGACACCAAGAGAACCAGAACGCGGAGAGGTCGCAGGGCATTCGCAGTACCGACCGAAGCATCGTTGCCGCGCAATTTTCGGCCGCTTTGAGCACCGCGTTCCCAGTGTTGTTATCAATGGCGGGGACGGGGTCGATCTCTTCCGCCGAGATGATCTCGGCAATGTAGTCGTCCACCATGGTTTCCAGACTGTCCTGGGGCTCTTCGAAGAGGCGTGGCGGCGCAGCTGAGCGCACCATCGGTCGGAGGAGCGCACGAAAGATGAACACTTCGAGCAGGATGTAGGCGAAGTGGAGACAGCTCGATTGATTGCTGAGGAGGACGGAATTCTCTTGGTGGCGGAGGTAAAGCGGAAGATGTGAGTACCATTCCTTCAGCTTTGCCAGAAGCGCACGCGCTGTTTGAAGAGACTCGGGAAAGTCAGATGAGAGACGTTGAGCCGCGCGTAAAGAACTGGGACATGAATCAGTATACCGACGCCTCACAGTCTGGCGGGGAAACTAACAAGAGGCGATGTTGGACCTCATCAACAAGACAAGCCAAACGAGCAAAACTTTCAAATTGGGGTGCACAGGAAGCAGACTGCATGTGACTGTCGGGCGAAGACACCTGCGTGTCGATGCAAAAATCGTCGTCGTCGAGCTCCGTCACGTCCCACTCATCCTGCCGAATGTATGGTGGCCGGCCCATCAGCAAGCTGCGCCACTTTTCTTCGGCATATAGAGCCCACCACAGTCTCCTGCGCAGGCGTCGTTCCCATGCCGGTCGACCCATCGGTCGACACTCTAATTGAAGACCAAGGGAGGTCGCTAATCCAACCAGCATGCCGACGAACGACCACATGAACGGGCTGTCAGCAACAGCACTTTGGCTCCCGTGCTGCTGCTTGTGAAGGTATAAGAGTCCCGCTTGCAGAACTGCCAAATGGGGGGTGTGAATCTCTTCCATTATCATCTCGAATGCTATTCGCCATAGTTGATCTGTCGGTGGCGTGGCGTATGCATTAAGAACACTAAGGTATTCATCCAATTTGATGAACGGTTGAGCGGAGGCGTAGATAGCTGCCAGAAGGAGCACAGGTATGGTCTGTAACATGTCTGCTTCGGGGACTTGGCGTAAATGTGTGAGTCCGAAGTTGGATCGTGATATGACGGGCAAAGTAGGAAAAACAAATTTCATGAACCTGTATAAAGTCAGATGCTGGATCGATGGACTGTAGATGATCATGAAAGCGGCATAGGTAAAATGCAGCATGATCAAATGCGCGAGAGGTCTGAGGGCACCGTAACGTACAACGAAAAGAGTCTTTTTCCACACTCTGGAGATACCAACGAATTTAGCTGATCTCTCCGTGATGTAATACTGGGATACTTGGTTGTCTCTTTAGCTGCATCATACAGCTCATCCGCCGAGACAAGGAAGTGCACAGGTATCTTCTCATCCCGAGGCACACCGCCAGCGTTACGGAAATGCACTTGGTGGAAAAGAAGAAACCCATACTCATCGAACTTGCAATGTCGCAACAGCCATGGGTCTGATTCACCTGATGCGCCGATAAGTTGTGACGACACACCTTTGAGCAAGTCCAGTGTTTGGATAGCCTGAGGTGTTGGCCGCTCCGGTAGGTGAAAGTCCGATTGCAGAGGAAGCAGGAAATCACCAGCCGGGTCGTTAATCAAGCTCGAATCATAGTTGATGACTGATTCTGGTCCGATGGGGGTAGTAGATGTGGTATATCGGTTCACTCCCACCGGGGAAGATTGCTCACTTCTCCCGTGCCTCGCGTCGGAATCTGGAGCAGGTTCAATTTGTGGTAAAGGATTTGAGCCGAGCCGATTAAAGCTGCAGGGTGATGATTTGGTTTGGCAACGTTGACAACTTCTTCCCTGATCTGCTTCGCATCGAAGCTTTTTGCGACGACATTGATCGCACGGTGGATGACGTTTAGACCGGTAGGGCCGCCCGGTGTCCGAAGGAATAGGGGTCTTTGGGGAGAACTCCATGCTCAGAACGTCCACGCATATAGTGGGGAGAGATCGGCGAGCAGATATAGAATGCGGCGAACACCTCTACTCTTCTCTGAGAGAATTTGGGCATCAATTCGGAACCTTCGGTCAACTGATGGCCTGACTTGTTTCGGCGTCACTGACCACAGCACTCCTTACGGTGAAATTTTGAATGCACGGTGGCTTTCTGCATTCGACAATTTGCGCAAGCTATACAGATCGGCAAAGATATGAGTCTGGAACAGTGGGACAGCCTTGAGTCCGCCGAATGTCAGGACGGCTCGGCCAATCACAAAGCGATTATGCCGTGAATTTCTAAGCCAGCCAGAAACGGCCAATAGACGCTTGATTTGGCCGATTGCTCCACTTTCATAGTGGGCCCTGGGGCTGTCCATGGAGAGTTGGGTCGGAATTTCGACTCAAACGACATATGATAACATTGGACCTTGGGTGCCATTGATCTTGCTCTGCAGCTGCTGAATTCTCACATAAATGCCGCCCGCCTTGGTTCATCCTGTAAGTTTTCTAAAACTCCTAATCATCGGTCCCTCAGGCATGTTACCAACACAAGAAGCCACCGACCTCAACCCTGCATCCGAGACTCTGGAAACTCGAAAGAATGACAATTACCCAGAAGGAGGTCTACAGGCATGGTCTGTGGTTGTTGGAGCATGGTGTGCAATGATCCCTTCGATGGGGTTGTTGAACAGCTTGGGTATTCTTCATGCTTGGACAAGCACCCATCAGCTCAAGGAGTATTCCGAATCAAGCATCGGTTGGATATTTGGAGCATATGGATTTTTTTTGTACCTCGCAGGGGCACAAGCAGGTAAGCACCATCCTAATGGTGTAGATTTTCACCTGCTGATGATGTGATCCAGGGCCTATCTTCGATGCCTTTGGTCCCAGATACGTGATACTCCCAGGATCTATTGGCATAGTCATATCCATGGTGTGCTTTAGCTTCAGCAAAGGTAGTTATCATAGCTCCTGTGGTTCGGACAAGCACTGACAATGTCAAGAGTACTACCAGATATTCCTCTCCTTCAGTGTTCTTGGGGGACTATCTGCCTGCACACTTTTCACACCCGCCATAGCTGCGATCGGACACTGGTTCAATATCCGTCGTGGACTGGCTACGGGCGTTGCATGCACCGCTGGCGGCATTGGTGGGGTCATATTTCCTCTCATCATTCTCTTCGCTGCCCCCAGAATTGGGTTCGGATGGGCGATCCGTATCATCGCACTCTTATGTGCAATACTGTGCACAGCTGCGCAACTTTTGTTGAAGACAAGGCTACCTCCGAACACAAAAGCTGGCGCGTCTGTGGATTTCCGCGCACTGAAGGACATCAAGTATGCCTCCACCACTGCGGCTATATTTTTGGTCGAGTTCGCTGTTTTCATACCAATGACATATATTTCGTCATATGGAGTGTACAAGGGAATGGATAAAACCATTGCCTACCTTCTTGTTCCCTTTTTGAACCTAGGTGCGATCCCTGGTAGATTTCTTCCGGGGCTTGTGGCCGATCGCATGGGTCGCTTCAACGTTATGATATTGACATCATTGGTTTGCTCAATGCTGACGCTCGCGCTATGGTTTGAGGCCGGAAGTGACTCGGCATCGATCATCTGTTATGCAGTTCTCTTTGGCTTCTGGAGCGGTGCCGCCATCAGCCTAACACCGGTGTGCATCTCTCAGGTGTGCGCCACGGAGGATTACGGGAAAAGAAACGGCACCACGTTTACGATTGTAAGTGTTGGAACACTGCTTGGCATTCCAATCGCTGGTGCGATTCAAGAACTAAATGGTGGTGGGTATTGGGGGTTGATAGTGTTTGGCGGCGTGCTGTATTTGGCGTCCACTGGGGCATTCATTATTGCCCGGGGTATTTGTGCTGGGTGGTCGGTCAGGCTCCGGTTTTAGAGAACGTCAAATATTGCATGGATGCAAAGAAGGGAGCACCTGGGTATAGAACTACGTACCAATACAATCAACTAATGTCCTCCGGGGGTCAGACCCAGAATATACTGGTGAACGAAGCCCTTGGAAAGCATACGAGGCAGGAATTAGGTACCAAAGATCCATGAACATTCCAAGATTTAGCCTTCAAACCCGCCTATGTATTGGAACGAGGTAGGACATGGCGGTCGTGACACTTCAATGAAGATCATCCCCATATTTTGTCATGATACGTGTATGGACATCGGCGACCCCCGACAGGGAAATCACACGAGGTGTCATGATAGATGAAGATCGCAAAGTTAAAATACCACACTGAAGCCTATAGGGGAGGTATATAGACTTGCCATTTCCCAAGCGATTCTTGAAATCATCGTTTCATCATCACAGGATCCGTTACATGTCAAAGAGACGATCTGAACAAGCTTGAAGCATCAGGAGCAAGATACTTCTGTATCCCAGTCAGAAACCACAATGACGGGCAAAGAAATGAGCAACAACATCAAGACCAAGGTCCGATCTTTCTTGTCTCCTAATGAGGAGAGATCGAAAACATCTGAAACGAGAACATACCCGTAAGGTGTTCTCATGTTTGTGACGTCATTTCCTCTGACTTGGCCTCAGTAACTCTAGAGTGACTTGCTACGCGTATACTATTTCTGCTCCTTACAACGGTATCCTCTGATCTGTGATCGCTTTGTTCCAAAGATATTGACCATACCAGGAGATCAATGTTTTGGTTCTTGTTGCCGAGGCAAGGGTTATTCCCGGTAGCCTACGTGATTCCGTGAATAAATGACTATTTTTGGGGGGGTGGAGTATCCAGGGCTATAAGGGCAACTCTGGGCATCTTTGACAGTATTGCGCTTCAATGAGCTTCTCATGTATTTACAACGGCGCACATCCCCGTGACTCCATTACGCTACTGAAATTATATACAATGCTTTCAAATACAAATACAAACAGGATATTGGAAGACATGGATGGGACCTCCAAAAACTTAAAAGTTGAAAGAACTGAAAGTGGCACTTCCGAGCACCTGGGCAGTAATGGTCATATTTATATCCCGAGGTCCCTGCTGTCTACCTAGTACTCCGTACCTACCCCTGCATGAAACTTCCTCAAAGCGCTTTCAAGACTTTGAATATGTCTAAAACATCTGGCCAACGACGAAAATAGCCCCAAGATTGGATCTCATATTTCTTCGTACAAATTATCATATGGTTGTGCCACACATTTGACGATCAAGAGGGCAGATCGATGGATGTCGCGGGAAGGCGTTCCCGCGAGTCGACTTTTCCCCCTCGGCTTCAATTGGTTCCCACCTTGGGACGCTCCACCAAAATCCATCTCAAAGACATTTTGGCTAGTCATTCTAGCTTCGGCGTGCGTCTCCACCTGTTGTGAGAAGGCGCGCTTGTGGTATGAGTAGCAAGGGATAATAGGGACATCTGATAGGTCGACATTCTATCCAAGAAAACCATTCCCTTTTGTGCTAATGATATAAAGCTTCAGTTCTGTTTCAACATTTCTGTTTTGGCCCATCGCGCCCGTCACGTTCTAGACAAGAATCATTTGTCATTGCTACAATATGTACGGCAAACGCGCAACGCGCGCCCTTCATTCCAACGTCCGGCAGTTCTCCACTACAAGCAGACTCCAAGCGTCATCGGGACTTGAAATCAACGGCGAGAGGTTATGGAATACATTGCACAATACCTGTGAATGGGGAGCCACACATCGATATGGCGAGTATGTATGAGTCCTCCAGTCCGACGAACATGAGCTGACATCACAGCAGGAAATCCACAGACACGGGCATGGCCCGTTTGACGCTTACCGATGACGATGCTCGTGTGCGCAAGTGGTTTGCCGCAGAAGTTCAAAAGCTAGGCTGCTCTCTATCTATCGACCAAATGGGCAACATGTTCGCGAGGCAGTCTGGTCGACTCAACTCGGCTGCTCCAATGATCGCGATGGGAAGCCATCTTGACACCCAGCCTCGAGGTGGCAGGTATGATGGTATTCTCGGCGTAATGGCCGCCCTGGAGGTCCTCCGTACAATGAAGGAAAACGACTTCCAGACAAACTATGACGTTGGGGTGGTGAACTGGACCAAGTAAGAGTCAACATCCCTGCCATTTTATATTGAGACTGATGTCGAGCCTACAGCGAGGAAGGTGCACGATTTCCGAAGTCCATGTGCTCATCTGGTGTTTGGGCTGGTGCTATCCCCATACAAACGGCCTGGAATCTGCGTGATATTCATGATTCCAATGTGACCCTCCGCTCCGAGCTCGAAAGGCACGGATACCTGGGCGACATTGCTTGCTCCAGCGATCCCGCAACCGGATACCCGCTTGGTGCCCATTTCGAGTTACATATCGAGCAAGGTCCGATTCTCCCAGAGAATAACCGATCCATTGGTGTTGTTCGTGGAGCCCAGGGATACCGCTGGATGACTATGACAGTACACGGGAAAGACGCCCATACTGGAACCACACCGTTCAGCGCTCGTCAGGACCCCTTGCTTGCATCCTCAAGGATGATTGCGGCTTCACATGATATTGCCAAGAAACATGATGCCCTGGCATCTACAGGCATTATCAAGGTTCCATCCAATGCATCCACTAACACCGTTTCATCACAAGTGACCTTTACACTTGACATACGACACCCACAAGATAGTGTGGTTCACACTGTGCAAGAGGAATGTCTCAAGGCGTTTGATTACATCGCATCCCAGGATGGGAAGGGTGTGTCCTTTGATTGGACTCTGGATACGGACTCTCCCGCCGTCAAGTTCGATGATGACTGTGTGGCTTCCATCCAGGCAGCTGCAGATCAGCTGGTTGGTCGGGAGCAATCGATGCTCATGACCAGTGGCGCGGGCCATGATACCGTGTATACTAGTCAACATTGTCCCTCAGCGATGATCTTTGTCCCTTGCCGAGATGGCGTCAGTCATCACCCGACGGAGTACTGTAGCCCACAGGATTGGTAAGTGCTATCGTACCCTCGACTGGGAACTGAATTCTGACAAAACCAGTGCTCTCGGTACCCAGGCTCTTCTGGAAGCTGTTGTACACTACGATCAGTTCCAGGCCAGCAAGCAACAATAAACTAACTATGTCGATGAAGACTAGGTCCGCGGGCGCGGGCGTTGAGTAATTTGCTCCGACACTGTTCAATTGCGTACGTAGCTCAGGAGAACCATCAAGTCAAAATTGAAAGAAAAAGACCATTCCTACGGTGGCCCATGGATTACATCAATCCTTTCCCCAATAGTCATATTGATGTGGTAACTGCAATGACTATCGAAAGTAATGTTGACGTCGATAAGATCGACTCACTGTGCCTCTGTAGCGGCCCATAAAAACTAGCGACCAAAGAAGACATTCAATTAGACTGACTCGAAATTGAAAAATCTGTAACTATTGTTCACGATGTTCCGAGGTTGGAGCGAGAATGGGGTGGAGAGGAAAAAAGGGTTGTCCTCAGAAGGCGCAGCGGACGCCTAAATTGTTAATTCCGACGGCATGTAGCCAGAAGGCGCAATGTCCTTAGAAGGCTCAGTTTACCACGACTAAATATGCTAAACATAAAGTCTGCAGTATGCCATAAAGATAAAAAAACATACGGAGTACTTTGAAATGTCATCTCGCCGACCCATCTTTTTCAACCCCGCGGCTGCGGATGAGCGCATCACCTCCCCACAAATCCAAGGCCTCACACAGTTCCACCAATCATTCCCCAACTATGCCTCAACACCGCTAGTCGAGCTTCCTGGACTCGCCAAAGAACTGGGCGTTCGCTCTGTGTTTGTGAAGGATGAGAGCAACAGGTTTGGCCTGCCCTCCTTCAAAGTTCTAGGCGCGTCCTGGGGATGTTTCCGAGCGGTCGCAACGCAACTCGGGCTGTCTGCAGCAATCTCGCTCCAGGAGTTATCCCTTCAAGCTCAAAATGCTTCCATCGCTCTGACAACTGCCTCTATGGGAAACCATGGAAGGGCGGTCGCATTCATGGCGCGGCTGCTCGGTATTGAGGCGCGTATTTTCGTCCCTCGATCGCTGAACCAGGGCACTCGCGATCTCATCGCTAGCGAAGGAGCTAGTATTGTTGTCGTCCAAGGCGACTATGATCAGGCCGTACAGGCGGCTCTACAAGAGAGTCTAGCACAGAATGTTCTTCTCATTCAGGATACTGCATTTGAAGGATATAACGATGTTCCTGCGTGGATTGTGGAGGGATACTCCACTATGATGAAAGAAGTTCAAGATGAGCTCACCGGCCGTGGAATATCAGCTAGCGTGATAGTCACCCCCGTTGGCGTGGGTAGTCTTGCCCATGCAGTGGTCAAGCACTGCAAGTCGCAGAGTGACCCCATATCCGTCATCGCTGTAGAGCCAGATACTGCAGCATGTCTATCTTCCAGCTTGAACACCGGAAAGTCAGTCACAGTGCAGAGCTCTGAGACTATCATGGATGGTATGGACTGTGGCACTGTATCATCTTCTGCGTGGCCTGATCTTCAACGGTCAGTCGACGCCTGTGTTACAGTCTCATCCTACGAGAGCCATCGCGCACTTCAATACCTCCAATTCAATGCTATGAATGCCGGCCCTTGTGGAGGCGCATCCCTAGCTGGTTTACGCCGTCTGGCTACGTCAAAGGAGGCTTCACTATTGAATGGGGATTCTGTTGTAGTCCTTCTCAGCACCGAAGGGGCCCGTCCATACACCACCCCGAAGGATGTCTCCGTTGACGATGCGGTCGGCCTAACTCAAGCCCTCACTCAAATCAACTCCTCGAATCCGACACTTTCCGTAACAGACGGAGTGGGAGAGAATGAGATCGCCAATTACCTGGCAGCCTGGTTTTCCCATCGAGATATCGAGTACCACTGGATTGAAAAGGTCACAGGACGACCCTCTCTTGTTGGAATTATCCGCGGCACTGGGGGCGGAAGATCGCTCATGTTCAATGGTCATACAGATACTGTCAGCCTGACTACCTACGAGACTGATCCTCTTTCTGGTTCGATCGGAATGAAGGACGGAAAGGATGTTGTCTTCGGACGCGGCTGTTTGGATATGAAAGGTGGCCTTGCAGCAGGATTAGCAGCTCTCGCGGCGACAAAGGCCAGTGGTCGTTTGCCTCGAGGTGACGTGATCGTTGCTGCTGTTTCGGATGAGGAGGACAACTCTCAAGGAACGCAGGACGTGATCGAGGCTGGCTGGCGTGCCGACGGGGCTGTGTTCCCGGAACCAACACAGGGAGCAATCTTGACTGCCCACAAGGGTTTCATTTGGATTGACGTGGAGATCCTGGGAGTGGCTGCCCATGGATCCGATCCCTCATCGGGAGAAGATGCAATCCTTCATGCCGGAGCTTTCCTACAAGCCCTGGAGCAATATCAATCACAGTTGCCTGTTGATGATCTTTTGGGTCAAGGATCTTTACACTGTGGTATAATCCGGGGTGGTGAAGAGCCATCGTCCTACCCGAGCAACTGCACCATCACAATCGAATTCCGCACAGTCCCTGCGCAAACGGAACAGACCCTTCTTACAGATATGGCGGCATTGTTAAAGGACATCGCACAAAAGAATCCTCGATTCAAATACGCTGAACCGCGCATCACCATGATGCGTCCCACGCAGAAGGTGGCTGCCGACCACCCGTTTGTGCAGACTGCTGTTTCATCTGCGTCTTCAATTCTAGGCAATGAACCTCTTGTGAAAAGTGGCCCATTCTGGACTGATGCGGCGTTCTTTGGTGCCGTTGGCGTCCCTTCGATCGTCTATGGGCCTGCAGGAGAAGGACTGCATGCTAAGGAGGAATGGGTTGAGGTTGAAAGTCTCCAGCAGTTTGAGAAGGTGTTCACTCAGCTTGTCAAAGACTTTTGCTACTGAGGAGGCATTGCAATTTCGAGACACATGTATGCTCATAATACAAGGATGTATCTAGATACCCAGCTTAGCACAAAGACTTCGGGATTTCATGACCAACCAACCTGGCATGTTAGGTCCTAGTACTCCATCCGGATTCCAACCTTAAAAGGTTCCTGCTTTGTACTTCAAAGCAAGCTCTCATCCCGTTTTATCAATCACCAGAATTTGACTCAATAAAATAAGGGACACAAGGCGGTTTTGAAATCGTTTATTCACTTTTGCATAGAATTTGATAAACATTGAAAGATTCAAGTTGGTACATTCCTGAGGCTGAGCCCACATGTGGCTAGTGCGCTTATCACCACGGGACCACTGACATGTCAACTTTGTCCTTGACTCAACACCTTCCATTTTATCCATCTCCTTTACCTTTTCCCCTTTGCACAATGTCGGAAGAATCGCCAGCTCAGCGATCCGCGCGCCTGCGCCGTGAGCGCCGCGAGGCCAAAATCAAGGAAGGAGGCTCAGCCCGCCTGGACAAGATCACGAGCTTGAGCGGACGCACAACACAGCCAGGTATGGATCCTCCGGTTCAAGGACTCTCAAAGCAGATGTCCCCTCCCCACTATACAATTGTGGATGCTAACAGGCCACCAGAACGCGAAGAAGCATCCCCGTCGCCCCAACCTCTAGGTCCGCAATCCCAGCTTCGCGCCTCACCCGCCCCGCAGCCAGACATGGAATCCCCAGAAGCCATCCGTGCTCAACAAGAAGCCTTTTTCTCAATGCTCCGTCAATCTGCGCCAGATCCGAGCCAAGGAATACACCCAGATCCCCAAGCCCCGAATTCCATGCAAGCACAACAGGACATGTTCCGCGCAATGCTTAGACAATCTGCCCCCGAACAAGGAGCTGGAGCGGGCACAGGCCCGGAAGAGGAGGATCCTACTATCAAGCTCCTGAATTCTCTCATGGGCGCCATGCCAGGTGGTGACCCAAGTGCCGCGGGAGCGGGAGCAACTCCAGGCTCAGGCGCAGGCGCAGGAGCCCCCGGTCTCGGCTCCTCGCTTCCAGCCATTGCAACAATGCTCGGCGTGCCGCCTTTCCTGGCAAACATGCTTGGCGGACTCGGGGGAGCGGCGCCGACGGAAGCTGAACAGAAGCGTGCGATTGTCTGGAAGACACTGCATACCATCTTTGCGTTGGCGGTTGCTGGGTACTTGCTATTTATCATTGGGGCCTCGGTTGCATTGTTTGGTAGCTCGCCGCCTCCGCCTGCCACAGCGCAGAGTCCATTCGCTATATTTGTCACTGGAGAATTAATCTTGACAGGCGGCAAGGCCTTGTTTGGTGGTAAATCTGGGATGGGGATGGCGGTGCAGTTGTTCCGTGATGTAGTGAGAGATGGAAGCATTGTGCTGTTCATGCTTGGCATGGGGACTTGGTATCATCCTGAGTGGCAGGCTGTAGAGCAATAGAGTATGGCAATTACGATCAGAAGGATATCAATATCATGTCTATCATGTCTATCATTACTTCGTTATTTACATTATTGTTTTTCAGGTACAGGGAAGCCGACCAAACGTTGGGATGGAAAGACAGCATTTCGTAAGACGCTCATGGTGGCTGTATCAAGCCCCCAGTCACCTTCCCATTCCTCCATTCGCGATCCCTCCTTGAAGTGAGCAGCCAGATGTTCTGCCCGCACCGCCCATGTTGACAATGAGCATCCGCAGAAGCCACAGCGACTTTCCACATTTGCACCCGACCCACGCCATGTATCGAGGTCAGATATGGGTGGCTTAGTGCAGCCGTGGAATTTGCGCAGATGCTGCCATAGATAGTCCTTTCGGCTGAAGGACCGCTCTTTGGTCGGCTTTTCAACACAAACATTGAAATCATGTTCATCCCAGTGGGCAGGCGTGGGGAACAGTACGTCACAAAAAGCACATTCAGAGGATTGAAGGTCGAAGGATTGCTGAACATTGCTCAGATCAGGGGTGCATATCCACGAATCGAGAGTGAGATGAACACTTTTTTCATGACGTGACCAATCGTGCTTCTTTTTGAAGGACTGCGTGCAGAATGTGCATTGGTAGTGGTAGTCTCCAGCGGTGCTTTGCCGTCCACGGATTCGTTTGGGCTTGGACTGTTTGGGGAGTTGTGACAATAGCCCAGTTTCTCCCGAAGAACGGTAACTCCATGCCGAAGAGCCACTGTCGGAGGTTTCCGATGCTTTGCTTCCAATGCTCGAGACCGAAGACGCCAGGTGCGATGAGCGTTCGTCGAAATCGAAGAAATCCATTCCAGAAGGGTCAAACTGGAACGGATCGAACCAGCTGTCCGGATCTGTTGTGTTTGAGGAAATGGCATTCTGAATCGCAGTTTCTGGCACGGGTTCATCTTCCGGCGGAGATGCTTGCCATCTTTCCATGGGAGTCAGAGAAGCCAATGTGCTTGTGACCATAGGGGATCCTGTTCTCGTGCGGGAGGTTGAGGAGACACCTGCTGACTGGATCTTCTGTTTCTGACGGCGACGAGCATTGGCAAACCAAGTTGAAATGCGCTTTTGAGAAAAGCCAGTCTCTGTTGACAGTTGATTCTTTTGTGTATCTGTAGGATACGGGTATTCTTGGTTATGGTAGAACCACTCACGCAATACTCTAGCTCCCCTCCTGATGAACTGCTTGGGCTCTTTTCGTTCATCTCCTATCTCTTCGTTATTTGCTGTGACGGTTTCATCTTCTGGGACGCCATGAAGATGACCTAGTACAGGAGACAGTGTTTCAAACCCAGATGGATGGCGTTTCTCGCCCTTTGCAAGGCTACATTCCCGGAACAGAGCTACACAGCTTGAGCAGGAAGTTCTAGGATTTGGGTTTGCAGATGTGGTGCGGATAATAAGGCACTGCAGGCGGTGCCTGCGACAATGGCTGCACGGAACAGGCGGCCGATAGGCACCATCCAGCCACTGCGAGACATTGGTCAGATTTGATTGTTGCGGGGGAGTTCCATATCCGATTTGATCATTGAAGATCCAGGGTCACCTAAGATTCCTGGGCCCTGAATTTGTGAATCTCGGAATTTGGTTTGTCCATCAGGTGACTGTGATTGATACGACTCAGAGGTCATGCACTGCGACCATTCCAGGCTGACATGATCTGACCCATATAGTTCCGGGTCATGAAGAGGGTTAGATGCAAATATATCGTGCTCTAGCCATGGGGTCAGTCCATTTTGGTCTAACGCGCTCTCCAGCTCTATGTCTGAGAGAGACTGTGGCAATTGCCACATGCTGGACGGTGGTTGTGGGTTCATTCCATATGAATGGGCAAGGAACTTCAGATGCAGGTACACTGTATACAGTGGAAGCCCACTATTCTGCGGGGTGAGCTATAAAGGAGAATGATCTGCCTTGAAATTCGAGTCTGGTCTCAAGACTCTCAACTGCTGCACAGTCGACGGTCCACGGGTGATCACTGACAATCGGACGCTAGCCTCAATAAGGCTAGAGTCTCCCCTTGGAACTTGGCCCATCTGTGCTTAGTCACCAACTACCTACCGCATCTAGCCTAGTGGCATTTGGACTCTGTTCACACGGAGAGTCCGCCGAGGATGCTGTGAGGAATGGTTGTTGCTGCGCATGAACGCCTCATGTTTCGTACTGTACGGAGTACTCGCGGGCTTGATCCAAAGTACACCCATATCCTCTGCTGACCTTTCCTGGTCACCGTATCACTTGAGCTACGTTTGACAATTTGATCAAGCAAGTTGCTCGATGCAGCTACGGCTGAAAACAAGTCATGTGTGTGAAGTTCAACCATCGGCTCCTGCGCTTGTACGGCCATCGCGTTCAAGAGTGGCTCAGTCTAAGCCATGGGGCTCAAAATAACCATTCCGGGGGCCAATCAGGGGGACTACTTTTAAGGAATAAGCTTATCTTGCGGTGGTACAAGGTCCAATCGTAGTAGAGCTTGTTTACTTTTCACTTCCGAAATGAGTAATGATGATGGCGACATTGCTGTGTAAACAGTCCCAGAGATGTCCGTTGGATCGCTGCTGAATGCAAGCTCAATGTTTAGCAGCTGAGCTAGGGGTTATTAAAAGTGGGCATTCGGAGTTGTGAGCTCTCTCCGAAGTGGGTCGGAATTTGAGTTGCCACCGAAGCCCGTCCGGTGAAAGGTAAAAGTAAGTGGCCGAAGATGCCGGTGAAGAACTCGAATTTGGAGAGAAAATTCTGCGAAATATGCCTGACGCATGGAAGTTGTGAATGGCGTAGTGCGAGAAACAGGTTAGGAGAGGAGAGGCAAATTCGGTAAAGCACCACGGTAAGATTGAAGGCTAAAAAATGCTTGAACACACAAAATCCAGTGTGGTAGTGGTGGTAGTATAACTTGCACAAGGTCGTTTTCATCACCAAATGAAATCATGAGTCAGCGCGAACCCCAAGATGCCCGCGCACTCATTGGCCGAGCTTCCGGATTTGGTCCGAAATGAAACGGTCATTGGCGAATGAGTCGTGTGCATCGAATTTTCTATGGATCTTCCATTCATGCCCATGGGGCAAAGCCCGGAACTCGAGGAGGGGTTCCATAAGATAACTCTTTGCCCGAAACTGGTGTTCTCATCTCCCCTTCTTCAACCTTCCATCTGCTATTCAACAAGACAGAATGGAGGTCAGCGCAGCTCCTCCTGCGTACGAGCAGGATAAGATTGCTCCACGCAATGACGAGCCTCAGTGCGAAGAGGATGGAGTCACCAAGTCCGGCGAGGTTCACGATGCTTTTGGTAACGAGGAATATGCCGAGATCAAGTATAAAACCTTGAAGTGGTGGTATGTAATATCCTTGGCCCTCCTGCTCCGTAGGGCTGGCTAACGTATGGTCCCTTTAGGCAATGCGGTCTGCTTATGATCTGTGAATCGGTCTCACTGGGTGTGTTGTCACTACCCTCGGCTATCGCTACCCTGGGATTTGTCCCAGGTGTCATCCTCATTATCGGATTCGGTGTTCTCGCGTTATACACTGGATATAACATTGGCCTTTTCCGTGAACGTTATCCACACATCCAAAACCTGGGTGATGCCGGCGAGATTCTCCTCGGCAGCTTCGGTCGCGAGCTCTTCGGCATCGGACAGTTCCTCTTCTTTGTCTTCGTCATGGCTAGCCATCTCCTCACATTCCGCGTCATGATGAACTCCCTCACCGACCACGGAACCTGCTCTATCGTTTTTAGTGTCGTCGGTCTGGTTCTTTCTCTCGTCCTCTCCATTCCCCGCACCATGAAGGGTATGACTTGGATCTCGCTGGCGTCGTTCTTCAGTATTCTCAGCGCCGTTGTGATCACCATGATTGCCGTGGGTGTTGAAAGCCACCCCGGTCGTGTCATTCAGGCTACCGTGGAGACCAATCTGTACACAGCCTTCCAGGCCGTCTCCAACATCGTTTTCGCCTACTGCGCTCACGTTGCGTTCTTTGGTCTGATCGCCGAGATGGAGACCCCGAGCGACTTCAAGAAGTCCCTCTTCATGCTCCAGACATTTGAAATCTCCCTCTATCTGACTAGCGCCGTTGTTATCTACTACTATGTCGGCACCGATGTCCACTCTCCCGCCCTCACGTCCGCCGGTCCCCTCATGAGCAAGATCGCTTACGGAATCGCCATTCCGACAATTGTTGGTGCTGGTGTCGTCAATGGTCACATTGGTCTAAAGTACCTCTACTTCCGTCTCTGTGCCAAGTCCGGTCTGATGCATCAGCGCAATAAGCGCTCCATCGGTCTCTGGATTGGCCTTGGTGTCGTTTTCTGGATCGTTGCTTGGATCATTTGTGAGGCCATCCCTGTCTTCAGTGACCTGAACAGTATGATCAGCGCGCTTTTCGCATCTTGGTTCAGCTACGGCCTTTCCGGTATTTACTGGCTTCACCTTAACTACGGTCAGTGGTTTGCCAGTCCGCGCAAAATCTTCCTTTTCGTTGTCAACGTCGGCATTGCCCTTTTGGGTTTGGTACTGTGTGTCCTCGGGATGTACGCTTCTGGAATGGCTATCCACAACGATAGCAACAGCAACAGCTTCACCTGCGCCAACACCGACGGTTGACTTGTTTTTTGTCAATATTGCATTTCGTTTAGCCATTTTGCATTGTACATATATTGCATATAGATCATGACGGAGCACACTGGTTGGCTCTAGAATATAATGAACACAAACATACTACCTCAGACCTCCGCTCCCTAGGTCCTTCCTTGAACTTGAACAGAGTACTCCGTACTCTGTTGGGGGGGTTCGTCAGCCATGTAGCTGTCCATGGGTCACTGCAGGGCTTCAAAAGGCTGGCCATTGTCCACGTGTTGAGTCATGAGCTGTACCAATTCCCGAGGTTGCAAGGTTCGAGACTAGGAGGGCTTGGTTGTGTCAATACAGTCGTCTAGACCCAACCAGTACATCGGCCGTAGGGTAACTACATGGCTTTACGGGTCGGGTTTTAAAAGATTGGCGTGATTAGGGATATGCTGTACGCTACCTAGACCGACCAGCTATCCGTGGGCGTGGATAGTCCAACCATTCTAGAGGGTAGGCTGATGGCTTCCTCAAGACAAACCTTAGCACTTTACAGGGCCAATGGATTTTACCAGAGTCACCAGAGTGAACGTGTAACCCCAGGTGTACTTCGCCTACCCAAGTCCATTGCTATGATGCTGCATCACTAGGAACCTGATGGGGTCAAGGTAGAGTTAAACCGTGCATGTAGAAGGCTCATTTGATTTCAATCACTGCCCAAATGTTGGCACCCGTCTATATCCAGCAGTTCATACCTCCCGAGGTCCACGTAGAACTCAATGTCCTCGTACAACTCACCTGCAACCACCAGGAATACGGGCTGAAAATATCACATGGAAGCGGGGTTATACAAGTGCGGTTTGGTCAGAACTATACATAGCGCGCTTCACCTAAGTAAACCCGACTCAAATTATACCTCACAGTCAAAACAGCTAGTCTTGAATTGATCATGCCTTGTCCGTACTGTAAACTGATCAACTGCGAATGTTCTTCGGACGCGAGTGATTCCTCGGATATTGATGGTCCCGACGAATAGGCAGGCCAGCTGCTCTGTGTATGCCCAGGTGGGAACACTGTATGTCAACATTCTCCACCAGATGAGGTCCCTTTCACAGACCCGAAGGCCTGACACTGAGCCGGTTATTTAGCAGCTTTGGGAAGATGGAAAACACATGACACCTCCTTTACTCTCAACCTTGAAAAGGGTCCACGGGTTGTTCTCTAGAATGGAGCACGATATGAATTGTTTGCAGGTACATTTTATCCGATTCCATTCCATTCCTGCCAATGTACAATAAAATGACCAGTCTGCGGAGGGGTGGAGGGGGGTTATTGCGTCGAAGGAATGTGTATGTTGATGAAAGTCTTCAAAGTGGCAATACCACTGGTTGCATTATTACTTCAATCGTGTTGGCCATGCCCTCAACAAATAAAGATTAGTAGGTAATTAACACGTTTTTGTTCAAATACTTCGCGTCAATTTGCAACACGAGATTGTTCGCCAGCCACCTACCAGCATCTTCCCGAGAAATGCTGTACCCAACCACATCTGAAACTGGACCGTTAGTAGGATCTTCAATTCCCACTCGAATGGGTTTGCGCGACTCCCCATCGATGAGATGACTGGGGCGAATGATAGTAAAACTCTCGCCACTTTCCGCAATTCGATCTTCCATCACCACCTTATCTTCCCCAGGAACCTTGACAAACAAAGCATAGATGGGTATCATGGCGAGAGGGATATTGCGACCGAATCGAGAAAAGCCAGCGGTACTGCAAGCAATGATGTGAGGGGCCCCAGTAATCCCGCTATGGCGCAGTTGAGCGAGTGCCTCGAGTAGGGTCGCAGCACCTTTTTTGCAAACATCTGGGTCGTCGATGGTCAATTTGAGGGGGACGGGTTTGGCCCCGATGGTGGTTACAACCACGTCAACGATGCGTTTGTCAGTCTGAAGACACCGGGCTACCGCAGCCACATCGTGTGCGTTACCTCTGATTATTTTCAGATTTGCACTCGAGTCTGACGGAAAGATTTTCTCAAGTTTGGAGGGATCGCGACAGAGTGCGACACACCGATGGCCGGCGGCGAGGGTGTGCTTGAGAGCGGACTGGCCAATGCCCGTGCTGGCTCCGAGAAATAAGACAGTTTTGGTTTCAGGGGGCATTTGCATTGCTGTGGTGATGTGTAGGTTTTGTTTCTGAAGATGCAACAGACAGGAGGTTGATGTAGAGCGCGTTGGCGTTTTTCATTCTGCTAGGTTATACCCCCTCTTATATGCAGAGATCGGACTTTGCAATAGCGAGAATCTTTCGAGAATCTCGCGCATTTCTCGCGGTCAGCATTGCATTGGGCACAAGGGCGAGAGGCGGAAATGCCGCTCTCTTGTTGGTTGTCGCCTCCGCCACTCCCCGTTTGCATGCTCAACTTCGCGGTCGCGAATTCAATGGAACTCCTCCAAGACTAACCCCACTTATCAGATTGACCAGGCCCAGAAGCCCAGAAGCTCGCATGTTGCAAGGATCGTCCGGAGCAGGCCCGGGGACTCCCTCGGCCTCGGAGGCCGAGAAACACGCGAGCTTGGACACCTCAGGCAGCAACGAGAATCCCAAGCCGCGCAGCTGCGTCGTCTGCCGAAGCCGCAAAGTTCGCTGTGACAAGCGAGCACCATGTTCGAATTGTCGTCGCGGCAAAATCGCCTGTATATTTCCCCCGACCGACCGACCGCCGAGGTGGGCCCGACGTCTGGATCGCAGCGCGCCCAACCCAACGCGTGTCGATCCAATCGCGGATGGGGTCATGGAGAGATTGCATAAACTGGAGACCCTCGTGAAAGATCTCAGTAGTCAGTTGGAACGAACCAACTCGGCCGCTACATCAGCTACCGGCGGTTCCTCCGGGGTTGGCTCCCCTGAACACTCTACCCATGACCGATCACAAAAGCCCTTGGCCAGCAATGAGAATGTGCAGAGTAGATTTGGCCGACTGGTACTGCAGGACTCCACCAAAAGTCGTTACGTGAGTAGTGGGTTTTGGTCTCAGGTGAATGACGAGGTTTGTCGGTCGGACATGCTCTTCTGTGAGCTCGAGGATTGAGTGGCTGACCATCACTGCAGCTTGACAGTTTGAAGATCGACGCCTGCGATCTTTCTTCGGGTGACTATGAGACTTCCGACAATGAATCCATGCCAAAGAAGACAGACTCTACGCAGAAATTTGCGCGAACACCTGCAGCGCGCCACGGGTTCTTATTTGGACACAACCTGAGCTCTTATTCACCTGAAATTGGTGGGCTCCATCCGCTGCCCTCCCAGATCCCTTTTCTACTTGACGTGTTCTCCGAAAATGTCAACGCGATCATTCAGATTGTTCATCTTCCCACTGTTCGAAAGATGATTCGCGATTGGCGGGATCGAGACTTGAAGAGACTTGGTCCCGCCCAGGAAGCGTTAATGTTCGCTATCTACTATGCGGCTGTCACCTCCATGGAAGAGGAAGACGTAAGTTTCTATTTCAGAGAGGAAAGTGTATCAAGTTTTGGAGCCAGAGCTGAAAATCTATCTACTCAGATCCTACTGAACTTTGGTGCCACGAAAGCCGAGCTTACCTTGAAATATCGCCAAGGTCTCGAGCACGCTCTTGCGAATTCTGATTTTTTGGGTGCCCCCGAATTGACTTTGGTACAAGCATTTGCTATATTCCTCGCCTTGCTCCGCCGACAAGAGAGTCCTGGATTTGTGTGGATGATGACAGGATTAGCAATTCGAATGGGCCAGGCTCTAGGCCTTCACCGAGATGGATCAAATTTCGATCACTTGAGCCCATATGAAGTTGAGGTTCGACGCCGAGTTTGGTGGGTCTTGTGCATGTTGGATGTAAGGGCATCGGAGGACCAAGGCACCGACTATACGATCCTGAGTTCCAGCTTTGATACCAAGATACCGTCGAACCTCAACGATGACGATCTAGATCCTGAATCAACGCGAATGCCCGAAGAGTGTGATAGCTTATCTGATATGTCTGTCGCACGTGTCACCTTTGGCATATGCTACGTGACACGACAGATGATGGCCCACGGATTCAAAGAAAAGGCCCCGAGCCCAGAGGAACAGGGTGCTCTGTTGAATGACATGTACCAACTAGTTGAGCGAGACTATCTTCGATACTCGACTGAATCAGGAAACATAACATACTGGGCGATCGTCATAGTCACTAGGCTCGTGATGGCGAAGATGTCATTGCTGGTCTATTTGCCTCTCTTGTTCTCCACTTCGAAGGACGGGTTCTCAGAGGACTTAAGAATGCAGTTGTTGGTTGCGGGAATTGAGGTCGCAGAGTACAACCATGCCCTCAACGACGAACAGGCATGTCGGCAATGGCGCTGGGCTTTCCAGACCTACACACATTGGTACTCCATTGTTTATATGATGATTGAAGTCTCCCGACGCCCGTGGTCGCCTATCTCGGAGCGAGCTTGGGTAGCTCTTCACAGCGTTTGGCTCATTCCGACCGAATCTCACATGGACAAAAATCGACGAATCTGGATACCATTGCGCAAAATTATGAGCAATGCTCGCAAGCATCGTCAAACTGAGATCACACGTCTGAGAAGTGATCCCGAAGGTACCCAAATTCTGGAGCAACAGTATTGCACCCTCCCGATACCGTCAAGCTCGGGGCCCTTTATCCCGGGAACAAACTCCGCAGATGCCTTTCTTCAGAGATGGCGCGGGCTAGTGAAACCCCAAAATAGTGAGAAATCTAGTTCTGAACATGAAAGTGGCCGGACAAATCTTTCTCAACCGCCGATCGATCCTCAACGAACTCCGGCCCCAGCTGTTTCTTCGCTCATGCACGAAACAACCCGGAATATCATGGCTGATAAAGTACGATCATCTGGTGAACCTCAGTCTTTTTTCCATGTTCCGACGTCTCCTGGTGCATTCAACGACCGTGGAAGAGACTCGACCGGCGCCATACTGAACGACCAGCCCCCGAAGTCACAAGACGTAGACCAGGGTATCATTCCTTGGTTATGGCCAGAGGAAGACATATCTATACACCACACAGGTACAGGGGAAGGCCAAGTTGATATCACCATGGACATGGATGTCGACATAAACTGGTATGATTGGGTTGAATCTGCTGCCAAAGGAGTGGAGTGGGATGTGCCTACGGAGCAGTGAGAGTACACCTCACCAAAGCCCAGGTTGGAAAGCTCCAGCCTACTTTTGCGGTGCTTCCAAATATAAGTTGTCATGTCCAACGGGCTGTGCAGTTGTGGCTTATCCAAAATGTTGACCTCGGGAACAGAGTGTTACTCGGCCCGACCCGCAAACCCAACGGAAACCAGAAAAAAAACAAAAACAAAACAAAACAAAACTCGCAAGAATAAAAATAAAGTTGACATTGAAAACATTTTCATCATGTCCCGAGTTGTTCTGCAAGTACGGAGTACGGAGTATCCAGTCGTCTGATACGGTCGATGCTTGCACGCTGTGGAACGGGTTAAAAGAAATTGACAATCCCGCGTCTTGGCGCCACTTCCCGTGGATTGGCTACTAACCTCGTGAATATGCAAGCCACGCCCTGAAGATCTCGCTTGATTGGACCGACGATGCTGCATGGCCAACGAGGCTTGTTTTCCTCTCCTATCAGATGACTGCGCCCCCAATCCTGCTGCCCCCACCTTGACTTATCTTCAGCAGGTATTTGCGACTAACCTCCTGACCCTGGGCTTCCAGCCTCAAACTTGACTCAGCATGTAAGCCTGGGGTGTCGCAGTGTTGCTATTTTTGTTTTTCTCTTTCTTCTATATCACTGTTCATCTCTATAGTGTTTTTGGTCTCTGGACGCAGCGCCACTTTGTGTGGTTGTATACTAGTAACCATGGAGTTTGGAGTTCGCGAGCGTATCTCTTTGGCTGGGATTGTCGTTCTCATCTGCGTCTGGTATTCCTACAAACGCCCATTTTCACGACGAGAAGATGGTGTCGCGTCAGAGAAGAGCGCGTCGACTAAGGTAAGTGTCAGTAATGCATATTTTCTAGAGATGGTTTTCTATAGCTTACACCAGGGCAGAAAGATGAAAATCGACCCCCGATCGACATTTTGTATCCAAGTCCAGACGCCCACGAAGCAGATGAAGCAGAGATAGAGTGAGTTTTATCCCTCCACAGCAAGTACACACGTCCTGACTCACTCTGCAGTGTCGTTGCCGTCCATGGCCTTGGTTCTCAGGCAGATTGGTCATGGACGTGGAAGGATGACACCTTGCAAGCCGATGGCAAGCCACGGCTGGTAAATTGGCTAAAAGACAGCAACATGCTTCCTGGAGTTGTGCCAAAAACAAGAATATTGGCATACAATTACGATTCTAGGTGGCATAAAAATGCATCAAAGACACGACTTCAGATCTGCGGCGAAGAGCTAGTGAATGCAATTCATGACTTTCGCAAAGGTATCAGTGATCGACCACTTATTTTTGTTGGACATAGCCTTGGGGGAAATGTCATTCAGCATGTGAGTGCAACTCGCGCCTGATCACCTTCTGTTCTCACAGCCTCTGACTCGATGCATGACAGGGTCTCATGTACTCAGATTCCGAGCCCAAATTTCAATACTTGGTTGAGGTCACAGTTGGTCTGGTATTTTTGGGCTGCCCGTTCAAGGGTTCCAAGATCCAGGAGATGGCTTCTGTCGTGACCAACTTTCTACAAGTGGCTGGGTCTGATAGCGGTATTATCAGAGACCTCCGGTATGGAGATCCAATTCTGCTAGACAAGATCAATGGGTTCCAACGGCTATTGGAAAGGAACACAATTCCGTTCTGTGCCTTCATCGAACGCAAAGAGACCGACTACGGCAAAAAGATAGGGTTAACAGGAATTTGGAAGGAGTTGGTACGTGTCATTCAGCCACCTTTCGTGCCGTCGCCAGGCTGACCCTATCCAATTATCCAGGTTGTTGATGAAGAATCTGCTGGGGCCTTAGGGCCGCACAAGTTCCACCTGAATACCGATCATTTCAAAATCAACAAGTTCTCTGGACCACTGGATCGATCTTTCCTCGCGGTTTCTTCCCAAATCAATGAGATGTTCACCAACTGGAAACCGCTAGTTGAGAGCCGAAAGGCGGGCTCCAACCGCCCCGGAGCACAGCGAAAAATCATGGAGACCAAGGAGCGACACGAGAAAATTGTCAAGTTCTTGGCGAAATTTGATTTCTCTGCACGATATCGAGATGTTTTCTCTGCCAGGCACAAAAGGACCGGCCAGTGGTTTTTGGAAACCGAGACCTTCCAGGCCTGGGTAGCAAAAGAAGGACAGAGCCTTTGGTGTCCCGGAATTCCTGGGGCGGGAAAAACTGTCTTGCTCGCTGTTGCAGTGAACTACTTGCAGGAAACCTACTTCAAATCAGATGAGGTGGTTCTTTTCGCGTTCTGTGACTATAAAGACCAAGCCAATCAAAGTGCGGAGAACATCATACTCTCGCTCTGGAGGCAGTTGATGCAAAGGCGCGTTCTCGGTGAGCTCGAGTGTGAATATTTTGAGACAACCTATCTCAAAAGAGGAGTTTTCCCAACGACCGACGCTTTGGTGAAGCTGTTCTCAGATGAGATCAGCAAGTACTCACGGGTCTTCATCCTTCTTGATGCTCTTGATGAACTTCGGACTGAAAGTCGTGATTCATTGCAGTATCTTCTGCGGCAATTACCCAAGCGCATGAACTTGCTGGTTACCTCGCGTGTACCCAAAGAAACCACCGTAGAATTTCGCAATGTTCCTCAGCTCGAAATTCGAGCAAGGGACAAGGATATTACGGATTATATCAACGGTCGCCTGGAGTCTGTCTCGAAATTGCGATCGAAGGTTGAGCACAACCCCAAGTTGAAGGAGGAAATCAGAAGCACTATCACGAAGAAGGCCGACGGAATGTAAGGAATGGTACGATTTCCAATCTTTGACGTTTACTAATCATTCGCTTTAGGTTCCTTCTCGTCAAGCTACATCTGAACTCTTTGGCATCTAAACATACCGTTAAAGAGATCAGAACAGATCTGAAGAATCTGCCAGAAGGAGAAAACGCCATCTCTGATACATATGAAGGGGCGTTCTCTCGCATTAGTGATCAGACCCGCGAAGACCGCGAGCTCGGAGAGAAGATCATCTTATGGATTTCCCATGCGCAGCGACCATTGACAATGAAAGACCTGCAGTGCATTTTGACTTTGCAGGAAGGGGATACCGAGCTCGATTTCCATGATTTAATCCCGGAAGAGCTGCTTGTCTCTACCTGCGCGGGTCTTGTAACCGTGGAAAGTATGTCTGGAAGAATCCAGTTTGTGCACTCCACTGCCCAGGAGTTCGTTGATTCGGTCAAATCCACAAGGTTTCCTGGTGCAGATTTGACAATTGCCAATTCCTGCATACAATATCTCTCTTTGTCAGAGTTTTGTAGAGAGACCAAGGAGATTCACACCACCTCATTCACGAGCACTGTCTCTCATTACCCCTTCCTTGAGTACGCCGCGCTCTTCTGGGGCGTACATGCAAGACACGCCGGCAACTCATCGACCAGAGGCTCCATCGAGAAGTCAGTTAGGCGCTTCTTCAACCTCAGACTACAGTCGGCGTTCGCTGTGCGCACTCTTCTGTGCGGCGTGGCAGGGATTGATGGTGCTGAGATGGGTGACAGTCTGGCGCGAAACGATCGATCTGTCAAACTGATCAACATCCTGGCCTACTTTGGACTCGACTTCATTGTTGCTGATCTAATCTCCAGTAGATCAGAGGTTTTGGTGGAGTCATTTGATGAGTTTGTGGGAAATGTCTTACATTGGGCAGCCCTTGGCCAGCACGAACCAACACTGAGATTTCTGTTAGGTCAGACATCCGCAGACAACATTTTGAACCAGAGAGGGTACTCCCAATTCACACCGCTGCATCTGGCTCTGGTTTACAGGCGAGATCGCTCCGCAGAGATCATTTTGGACTATGGGCCTGATGTCAAAGTCACAGCACATTTCGAGCATACCCCTTTACTCATCGCATCTCTCACTGGAAACAGTAATATCATTCCCAAGTTACTGGCAGCGGACAAAGAGCTGAAAACGTTGTTAATGCAAGGGCATGGATCGACCACTCCCTTCCGTGCCGCTGCTATGTGGGGGCACAAAGACGTGATGGTTGTATTATTGCAAGCTCTCGATGGCTGTGAAATCAGCGACGATCTCCACGAGCTGAGGGATGACTTTTGGAGAAACCCGATGCACCAAGCAGCAGAAGGGGGGCATTTCGGCATCTGCGAAGTTCTGCTCCAGTCTAAGTATGGAGAAAAGTTTGCGACAAGTGAAGATGGGTCGTCGAGGATTCCAATGGAATTGGCCCTTCTCCAAGGCCATGTAGAAGTTACTGAGCTGTTCCTGAATTGGAACGACCAGGCGCTACTAACCAGTGAGCCCGGAACTGTCGCGGGAGCGCTCACAATGGCGGCGCATTTCGGGCAGCCAATGATCGCAGACATGCTGCTAGCTCGGCATCCGGAAGCTTGTGCATCGGACTTCCGCAATTACACGCCTCTTCACCATGCAGCCTACAGTGGCTCGGTCGATACCGTAAAAGTCATTCTCGGTTATCCCGCTGGCGCTTCGACTTTGGAAGCCCGAGATAAATCTGGAAGGACCCCTCTGGTAGGAGCGGCCGATAGAGGACAAGCAGAAATTGTTGAATATCTCATTCAGAATGGTGCCGACATCAATTCCAAAGACGACAGCGAAAAGACCGCGCTCCATGTTTCTTGCGAAGGGGACCTTGATCAAGTGGTCAAGATACTGCTCCAGTCTGGGTCTGGCATTGACATAGAAGCTAAAAACTCCGAGGGAGAAACCGCACTCGCAGTTGCAATCGAGTGGCAAGCAACAGAGGCGATCAAGTTGCTTGTAGCAGTGGGAGCTAAAGTCCCCGACGGGGTGCCTCTGTCTGATAGTACTGACACAGCGGATTGCTATTCCCCGGTGGAGCCACTCGACCAATTGAGAGCATATTTCTATCTGAAGAAGGCATCTGGAGACAAGCTTCCTCAGTTTCTGATCTCGAACATTCTTGATCTCGCGGAGTACTGGCTTGTTGACAAGACCCAGCGCTACGAGCCAAAACTCGCCACCAATTTTGACAATGGCACATTGGTCTACCTACGAAGTCGTCCGATCCAAGGAAATCTTCACCACCCTGTTCGGCGCATCGAATATGAAGTCATCAGTCATGATCAGGGTTTCAGCAACGATTTCCACGTGCATGGGACGTACGAATGCTCCCACACTTGGTTCGACGCCGGCCGAGAGTGTAGCCCCGGTCCTTTCCAGGGCTCGGCTAGCCGAATTTTAGGTCCGATAATAATGCGGAACGTCCATGCAAGCAGAGACTGGCACACCCATCGCATAACATGGTGCTGCCTTACTGGCGCACAAACCGTCCATGTGCGCTCCGATGACAACACAAACGAACAGATCGAAGAGATCGTCACGACGGTCCACAGTGATCACAGACACCCGAGACCGGAGCCGGTCAAATGGATGACGGAAATCAATCCCGGCGAACGATTCCTAATGACAGCCATGGCCCAATTCCCGGGATGGGTCAATTATGTACAGCGTGCCAAAGTCGTCGTTTACACAAGCTTTATCAAATCAAGTGGTCTGTACTAGACCCTGGATTGAACGTGTATGATAGCTATATTGACCTCGGGAGGAGTCTGATCCCATGTATTTGATTAACAGCCCTGGAGACGAATAATATATGTACATGATTGAACATCAGATACTACATAAATTCAGCCTCCACTATTTTGGGCACACGTGCTATATCACCATCATACAAGTATTCACATGTGGACATATTGTACTTCCAAGGTTTCTTGCGTGCTTTCAAGGTTCTCTCTGGAAACTTGGACCCGAATTAGTCGGGAAGCATGTGCAACACCTGGGCAGTCTTATTTGAGTCGAGACTTTGGGGACCTCGGGATGATCGACGGTGTGGGTCATCCCTGATGACGCACCCCTGAACAGTCAATTTTGAGCCGAAAACACGATGAAAGGGATTATGACTGCAACATTTGAATGTACTGAATTTAAGTATCGAATTTTGAGAGAATATAACAAGGTTCCGAGGTTTGCCAACGTAAAATTGCCACTTGTAAACACCTAGGGAATTCACACATAGAATGCTTGACACGTTTCGCTTTGGACGTGACAACCTTGGAACATCACAGCCTGGAAATATACAACTAGATGTGCAAGCTCCAGGGCTCTATAGTATCAGAGTCGATATGGGACATGACTTATCATTAAATTCAATACACCTTGACCTCCAGTCTAGTAATTTCTAAGGTTTGATATTTGAGAAACCTTGGAAGGATCAATCACCAGGTTTAGATATTACCAAATTTAGAGTCTTGGTGTGGGCTCTCCCATTCTTGTCACACTAGATCTGTTTTATTTTGTTTTTGTTCTTTCCTGTTGTGATACGTATTCTTCAACAGAAAGAAAACATTTGGAGATTTATGGCAGTTACTATAAAGGTATGAGATGGGAATATTGGGAAGTGGACTGTGTAGTGGTGTTACTCGATATTGAAGTTAGTTACATGGGAAACTCCAGGCATCTATCTCTTTACATACATCGATCTGACTAACTTTTTTACACACTGCTATATGCGAATAAGATCGGATTATTGGTTGCTGACTCTGTGTAGAATTTCTGTTCGGAAAAATCGCGTCTTTCTTTTCTAGCTCTCTAAACTGTTCTATAGATCTTTTTTGCCCCAATCTCAAACATAACAGAATCAAAACAACATTTGGAGGGTTTGTGTAAGTGAACGCGAGGGAAGAGACAGAAGTGTGGAGGTATAATGAAAAATTACTCAAAATGAAAAATCAACTAGGCCTGAGATTCTCATCCAACGACTTGGGCTGTCTGGAGTGGAGCATGCAAATCAATGGCGTTTCCAATAGGGGATTCGGAAAAGGCAGTGTGTACAGGAGTGGTCTCCACAGGTCCACCCAGCGCATTGAGAACTTGCTCTTTGGTAGCATCACCGAGGCCTGCGGCCTTGAGAGTCCTTCCGTTCTCGAAGTAGTCGAAACCGCTGACGATCTGGGCCATTTCAATGAGAGCTCGGATCGTCGGCGAAGTCAGACCGACCTTCGTACCAAGCTCATACCATGGAACCAGTCCGTAAAGAATATCTTCAAGTAGGTAGCGGTGGTTCAAAGAGCTTGGAGAGCTCTTGGTCTTGTTGTGAACTACTGAGCCCGATGCGAAATCATGATAGTCGGCGTATTGTCGGGGGTTGCTGTAGTTCTGGTTCATGTACGACGTAATGGGGGTAATTTCAAGACCGTATGCATGGGCAATAGCGAGACGCTCCAGATCCAGCTTCTCCGTCACACGGGACACCGAGGGCGACATTCCCTGGGCGTAGAAGTAGAAGTCGCCCTTTGTGGCTTCAATCCAGCCAGCATTCATGAGAGCAGCGGGGCAATGCACAACTGGATTGACATTGTTGAGACCGACCTCCAACAGATTGGTGCACCAATTTAGCTTCTGAGAAAAGATTGACTCGACCTGGCGACGGAGGCCAAGTTCGGCTTGTGGGTCAAGACGCTCGACTTGGGTGGTGGGTGGCTCGGCCCAAATGGCCAGGCTTTTCTTGCATCCTTTCACGAAGACGGTATCGCCAGTAATGCGAACGGCGTAAGGAGAGATATCGGTCTCGAGAATACAATGGGCGTTGACCTTTTGGCGTGCAGAGAGGTAGAAAAAGTTGCCGACATTGATCACGAGGGTATGCTTGCGAAGGTCAAATTGACTGAGCAACGTCAAGATGGTGTCTTGTCCGTACGAGGGAACTGTCGTGACCAGGAAGTTGGAGTGACGAATGGCAAGGTACATGTCACTGGTGGTCTTGATCTGATATCTACCACTGATTTCACCATCTGCATTGAGCCAACCACCGTTGTTCTCGATCATGGTGGTTCCACCACGGTGGTCAGGATGAGCGTATAGCATAACATCCTTTCCACGGCTAGCAAGGTCTGCTGCGAAGGCACATCCGCAGGGACCGGCGCCGATAATAGTCACAGTAGGAACGGAATCGAAGTTTTGAGAGCCCATATTTGCTTCAACTTTGAGATGGAAGTTTGTGGGTGCTAGAATAATGAAGTCTGGGAGGGATTCGGAAATTTTCTGTTTTCTGGAATGATTACAGGCAAACTGCTTGCCTTAAATATTGCTCACTTGGGTCATTGGATCCCAGCAAAAGTCTCAACTGTCTCAAGATGGCAAGATTCGCTCTGTCTGGTCTCCCGAGTCACACCTACTTTGATCTATTTCCAGATTCTCTCCCCCCTGAGGAACAACTTTCGTCATGTCAATCCTCTTGGCGAGAATGTTGCACCGTGAATAGAAAGCACATGTCGCATTACGCGGGCCTATGAAAATCATCGAAGCTGGGATCAAGATGGTGTGATCTCAGGATCACCCATGAGTCGTTACAGCTAAAGGGGTCCTGATATACTGCAGATCACCGAGAGCTTGCTGAGAAAAATATGGCACAAGCTTTCAATCTAGGGGAGTCATTGGTTGTGTACTTGTATTCATTACTCAACTGAAATCGAAGATCACCAAGAAAATGAGACTAATAATATTTTCGGCGCCTAACCAGACGATCAGGGACGCGTGTTTGACATTTTCCAGGTGAAACTGTACATCCAGATTTTGAGTCGGAGTCCTCGTACGAAGTACCCTCCAGGGCTGCTTTTAGTCCTACAGTATTTTCTTCAAGCTTGCCGTGTGTTAACCGCGCGGGGGGTTGAGTACAAGGTACTCAGGCGTAGTCACCCGATGTCGCACGGCATTAAAGTGGGAACAGGTGCATACAATCAATCGATCTGATAATTTTTGCTGTACGGAAATTCACAGCCACCAGAAGAGTGGAACGATGCTAGTACCTTTGAGGCGGGTAAGGGTGTAGATCGGTGGGCAATGATCGTCCAATTATACGGGATCCTCAGGGCCATGAGCTTGTCCAAAGGTCCCTCCAGTGACGAACGTGCAGAATTGTTCGGCTCAGAGTCAAAATAGACCATCAACCCACCAGGACCCAGGGGATCCCGAGGTCTCCCGTTCCCGTAAGCCGAAACACGCGCTTGAGGCGTAGTTACCGAAGATGCGCAACTCGCTAACAGCGCGTTTCCCTTCTGCACAGCAATGGTTTCCTTTTTGTTTCCCGCCGCTCATCGGGCGGACGAGACCATTCTCTCAATGTAGATCATGTCGAGACTTGACATCATACCATAAAACTCTTACTGACTTTGGCAGTGGAACCCCCCTGGATCTTTCCTGTCTTTCCTACGTCAACTCGATTCCTTTCTTTTTCTAGCGGAGTTCTTTTTGCTCCGATGTGTTGTTCATTAGCAACTAGAAATTGGAAAAAGGGGTCAAGAGAACCTCGACATCACTCATTCAATTTTCCGATTCGATTCCCTACAGTCACTCCTTGAATATTCTACCAAACCGAGGATGAACTCGGAATCCACTCTTTCAGAGGCCGTGCCTCCATACAGCTCCTTCAGTCCTGCCAAAAAAAGATACATTGTGGCTACTGCAGCTGGAGCCGGTCTCTTTTCTTCTTTGTCTGCACAAATCTACTTCCCGGCCTTGAATACCTTGGCCGATGATCTCAATGTGTCGACCTCCTTGATCAATTTGACTGTCACAAGTTATATGGTGAGGATTCTGATATGATGATGGTGGAGGCGATGTGCTAATCGAGAATCTCCGATTAGATCTTTCAGGGAATTGCGCCGATGTTCATTGGCGACTTTGCGGACAGGACAGGCCGCCGACCCGCTTACATTATCTGCTTCGTGATTTATATCGCTTCCAACATTGGGCTAGCCTTGCAAGACAGCTACACGGCTCTCATTGTCCTGCGATGTTTGCAAAGCTCGGGAATCAGCAGCAGCGTGGCACTGTCCGCTGCCACGGTGGCCGATGTTAGTACCAAACAAGAACGAGGTTCTATGATGGGCTTCGTCATGGCTGGAAACTTCATGGGCCCCGCTATTGGGCCAATCATCGGAGGTCTGTTGGCCCAATATTTGGGATGGAGGTCCATCTTCTGGTTTCTCACAATTGCATCCGGCGTGTTCTTGTTGCCCCTTTTATTCTTCCTCCCTGAGACAGCCCGGAACGTGGTCGGGGATGGCTCATCACCGGCGCAAACATGGAACCGACCCTTCATACAATACATGCAATGTGGGAAGATGAGCAAAGACACCGCCTCTTCCACGGACAGCATCGACCGTGCCAGCATGGACTCGCCGAAGAAGATTGAGCACAAGCTGCGATTCCCTAACCCACTCAAGCCGCTGATTCTTGTGTGGCACCCAAACTCCATCATCGTACTTTTGGTGACTGGTGTCATCATGGGGGGGTAATATGACTGTGCTCTCCTCTATCACCGAGATATACACAGCCCAGTATGGTCTAGACGAGCTTGAGATAGGTCTATGCTACATCACGTTGGGTACAGGCTCTATTGTCGCTTCTGTGATCACTGGCCGGCTGTTAGATTGGAACTATAAGCGCATGGCGGCAAAATTGTCGAGCAATCCCACTGCTGAACATGTGGGTACAGCAGACTCGGTGCCTGTTGAAAAGTCTCGCAGTATGGTCACGATTCCTCTCGTTGTCCTGGGTAGCGTGACCGTGCTGGCTTTTGGATGGGTGCTCAAGTTCGGGGAGCCACTTCCCGCTCCCGAGGTGTTGTTGTTCTTCGTCGGTGTAGGGCAAACAGGCGGATTCATTTCAACCTCTACACTTTTGGTGGACCTACACACAGCTAACCCTGCAGCTGCCACCGCGGCCAACAACATGGTTCGATCTTTCTTCTCAGCTGCAGCATCTGCAGCCATTGATCCAATGCTCACTGCCATGGGTCGTGGCTGGGCATTCACGCTGGTCGCATTCATTCTGCTGGGGACAATTCCTTTCCTTCTACTGCTTTGTGGAATGGGACGTAAGGAGAAAGATTCAGCAAAGCAGCGGGAAAGTTCTATTGAAAAAGCTGAAGCTCCTCAGCAGGGACCTGAGGATTGATATACTTTACATAGATGGAAGTTTCGAACTCTCATGGAGCACTCGAGATTGGTCAAAACAACTTTAAAAGGCAACACCCCGAGATTCTGAAATCCAAACTTTCTCCTGTCATTTCGTCCAAATACCCCTGGTAGCAGCTTTTGGTCATAAATTCTACAAGTCTTCACTAGGACCTTCGTAAGATCTGGTTGTCACGTCACTTGAGTATGCAGCATAGTACAGCATAGGCCGCAAAGCCTGAGGCAAACAGCCTTGGAGTTCGTTAAAGTCTGTTGAGTTTCATAAATCATGATCTCCATCCAGTTTTTCACGCTTTAATCTTCGGTGACCAACCTTAGAAAGATCACATACATTGAAACCCCAAGTCGCATGGTACATAACTTCAAGATGAACGCCGCAAACGAGGCCAAAGGGACCTTCGAAAGCATTTGTCAGGCCGCGACAATATCTGTAGAAAGCCATTTCTGGATATCCCAGGTTATACATCGTGGGTCGCCAGCGAGGCTCGTTAGACTGATACCTGCACACTGGTATTTGTGTAGATCGATCCCAGCCTTGGGACTTTCCGAACCGATGGGCGCGGGGAAACCCCCAAATCATCAAGATATATCTGAATCGGCCCGACAGATCTCGGACTAGCGAGATTCGCGTGTTCAATTAGTTCGACTTTCACTTCCCGTTACATTTATCTCCCAGCGCCATTAATCATAGCCTCGAAAGAACCGTAGGCATCATGGATCATGTATTGTGTGCCAATTCAAGGCAGCCACATGGTGGCATTCCAAAGTTCCTTCCTCAACTCATGGCTTTGTCCTGAAGTTATCCACCTGGATGATATATATGTGTCGGTGCATGCGAGCTGTAGTTCTAAGTCTAGCAGTGGTTCCCCGCATCACCTCAGTTCAATTCCAAGGTTTCTCAATACCTGCATCGATACACAGGGATATTATGAAACTGTTTCCAATTGATTTGTATCCATGGATCATGTTTGATATTTCTCCAGGGCTACGGAGTAGACCAAATAGGTTTCGCTCCAAGGCTGAGCAAAGACGCCAGGTGCAAACAAGCAAACCTACCTAACTAGGTTTAGCGCCGTACAACCCCTGGGCGAACTCACTTAATTCAACCGCAGTCGGAGCATGAAGTTCCTTCAACGTACTCCAAGACGCTACAACATACTTGTACAGAACTATTGACAACATCTGGGCATGGAGCTGTGTTATGCGGATGCGGCGCGTGTCAGGCACCAATGTAACCCATTTTTATTCCTACAGGAGGAAGGTGAATCTGCTCAGTGGAGACTGCGGCAAAGGACTGGTATTTGAGACCTGCCACGCAACCTGATTGGCTCGAAGAATGAAACGGGAACCCCGTAGCTGTCGCAGCCTTCAGATGAGGGATATAAACATGACGAATCTGCGTGATTATTGTGTGGTAAATTGTGTTCATTTGTTGAGTGCAGGAAGATAGAAGCAGATCCGGATTGCATAGTGATTTCATGCTACTGCTGATTGTGTCTATTCATCACGTACATTTCATGGTTCGGTAATTTGGTTTTCAACGAATCTTGCACTGCCTCGTATTGTTATTTCCATGAAGGTGATTAGCTAACAGAAATTTCCCCCGGGCCATGAGAGGCAATTGCTCAAATGACGACATGGTGATGGTATAAGGGACTCAATGGAAGCCTTTGGGGTCTGGTCCTTTCTCGCGCAGGTCATAGAGTGTTTGTAATATCCTATATTCTCCTCGCTATCTCCAACTACTCTGAGGAAGGTACTCCGTACTACGTGTAGATGCGTCTGACGCGCTCGTATTGCATGATCGGAATCACCCCGGCTTCAACCCCACACGGAACTCTGGGGGTAAACGAAAGGAAATCCCCGCATACACGTAGACAACGAGAATGGATCGGGGGCCAGAATGCGGGATTCCATGACCCCAAAGTCCGCCAAGCCCGGGGTGTTAGGTAACTGTCAAGGTTAGAAACATGGGGACCGGGGACCGGCTAGATGTCTCGCTTCCAGAAAATTCTAGTGTCAGGTGCCCGAGAGTATATTGGTGGCGTCTGGCAGGTGGTATCGCCTGTGCAAGGCAAACCTTGGAAAGACCTTGGATTCTGGAAAAGACCCTTTGGAGGCTCCCAGGGCACCAATATGTGATGACTAACCAGGCTCATATGCTCATGAGTAAGCACTGTGTATAAGCTTGGAAGCTTGGAACTAAGATGTGTATTCCGCATTAGGAAGTTACGAGTAGCAGGAGATATACTATAGTCCTTATCAACATTTATTTGCACTTTTATTGACAATTATGGGGAACATTCGGCCTTAGACTAACAGATATTAAATCACTGACTAAAACTCTATCTCTCGATCGTTATCAAGCCCAAATTGGCACGTTGTCTACCCCGGGGGGTTGCGCCGGGCCGGGGTGGCCGGCCCGGTTACTATCAGTTTGCAGGGCTCGCCGAGTCAGGAAGTCCACGGGTTCGAGTATGGGGTTGGCTCGCCCGAGCCCGAAATACCCCACAATTCACCCTATTCGGTGAAGATGGCTTATGTCATCGCCGGTCTCGCTGTCCAAATGGATGTACGCGCTTCAGATGCGACAATTCTTGCATTGCTTCTCATTGGTATAATGACCGAGCACAATTTTGATATACATTACAATCCCCAGTCATCCCCCAAACAAGATCGGCATCCTAAGTAGGACTAACACCGAAAGACGTGGAGACATGAAATAATCCTCTTATCAACTTTAATGTCCGTCGGGCGCCAAGGAAAAAAAAAATCTGGGTCCGTTCAGTTTGGCCACCGCAGCCAATTTTGGACTTTCTTATTTCCCTTGCTTCTCTGTTCATCTCTCTCACCTCACTTCCTCTCTTTCACTCACTCTATACGCCATCATGAGTGTCCCTGAAGCGCCTCAACCTGTGCAGGACTTTGAAGTCTACAATGATTCCGCCGATATGGAAAAGAAGCCATATCCCGAAGAGCCTGTTGATGATCCTTTTGGAAATGAAGAATCTGGGGAAGTGAAGTATCGTATTATGCCATGGTGGTAAGTGTTCTGTTTCTATCAAACCTGATTTCATTCGTCAATTGTGCGGTTCTAACATTCAAACAGGCAAGCTGGAATGCGTGAGAATCATCCAAATTCCCCACCGTGCATTATTCTCTTTCTAACCCTACTCATCCAGTGATGGTCGCCGAAAATATCTCGCTGGGTATCCTATCTCTTCCCTCTGCAGTAGCAACCCTTGGAATCGTCCCGTAAGTCCCAGCCATCAAGGTATAGAAACACAGGCTCACCATATATCAGCGCATTCCTACTCATTTTAGGCTTGTCCGGCATCTCATGGTACACCGGGATTGTGATGGGTCAGTTCAAGCAACGGTACCCTCAAGTGCATAGCATGGGTGACGCCGGAGAGCTGCTCATGGGCCCTATTGGGCGAGAGATCTTCTATGTCGGCCAGCTCCTGTTTATCATCTTCTTGATGGCCAGTCACATTCTTACCTTCTCCGTGTTGTTCAATACAATCACAAACCACGGAACTTGTACCATCGTCTTTGGAGTCGTCGGCTTGATCGTCAGTTGCCTTGCCGCCCTTCCGCGTACCGCCGAGAAGGTGTTTTACATGTCCACTATCTCCGCCCTCAGTATCCTGATCGCCACCATCGTGACCATGGTTGCGATTGGAGTGCAGGCTCCCGACAACGTTCAGAACGATATCATCACTGCTCCGACTTTCCAGGAAGGTTTCCTGGCTGTCACCAACATTGTCTTCGCCTTCATTGCCCATGTTTCCTTCTTCGGCATCATGTCGGAGATGCAAGACCCCAAGGACTTCCCCAAGGCCTTGGCCATGCTCCAGATCGTCGACACCACCATGTACATCGTTACCGCCATGGTCATTTACTGCTACGCTGGTCCTGATGTGGCCTCGCCCGCCCTCTCCTCCGCCGGTCCCGTCATGAAAAAGGTTGCCTACGGCCTGGCCATTCCTACGGTTATTGTGGCCGGTGTGGTCTTTGGACATGTCGCATGCAAGTATATCTACGTGCGCATCTTCCGCGGCGAGCGTTCACACCACATGCACCAGAAGAGCCTTTTGGCCACCGGTACTTGGGTTGCAATTGGATTGACCACTTGGACTGTTGCCTGGGTTATCGCCGAGTCGATCCCGGTTTTCAACGAGCTGCTGAGTTTGATCAGCTCTCTGTTCGGAAGTTGGTTCAGCTGTATGTTTATCACTTATCAACTCAATGTGGCTTAAATACTGACCAAACGCAGATGGAATGCCTGCTATCTTCTGGCTGAGCATGAACAAGGGACAGTGGTTCTCGAGCCCTAGCAAGATTGCTCTGACCATTGTCAACCTTATCATTCTCGGAATTGCTATCGCTATTGTATGTTCTTTCCATCCATGCCCCATGCCATTGACTACCTACTGACATTACTAGTGTGGATTGGGCCTGTACGTCTCGGGCGTGGCGATCAATGAGAGCTCCTCCAATGCCAGCTGGACCTGCGCCAACAACGCCACCTAAAACGACCGTTGTTTCGAGGCATGGAATGCCACGAATGTCTGTTATATATGTTATTGCTAGTTATATAGATCGCTTGATAGGCTGACTGCATCATCAGCCGGCTAGGTTAACCTAGTCATTGTAAATAAATTGATGAAGTCGCTATTTACTATTTCCACTTGTACCTAACCTTAGAGCCTTCCAAGGTCGTAACCTCCACCTGCCCAGGTGGGCATATTGACCTCGGATCTGCAAGGAAAGGGGGTTCGTTACTCAGGGAGCTCGTTTCTGAATTCAACTCTACAACTTTCATTGACCTCGGGAGCGTTTAGGCTAAAGATTGGTAGCTCCCGAGCTTATTTTCTGAATTGGCCTACTGTACACCTTCAATTTCAACCTCCTCAACTCTAATCAGTGCCCCTTCTTCGTCTCAGATAGGCCAAGACACTCCGCCATGTTGAAGAAAATATCAATGGAGTTGTAGACGCCTCCAAACAACTCCTGGCACGGTCCCTGCGCGAACACGGGCACATCGGTCAAAGAGTGGACCCCCTGGCCCGCATCAAGGGGCAGTGTTCCGTTCACCACGAAGCCAGTGACGGCATCTTTGTAACTGGCATAATATCCATTCTTCTTGTCTTTTGTGGTCGCGGCAGGTGTGCGCGGCCCCTCGCTATGCACCTGGTAATTCTCGCGATGATCCGGGAAAGCGGCCACTCCTGAGTGCAGGGTGTAACGCGGGTCCCAGCGCGAAGGGAAGTGCACCCCTTCAGAATACCGCAGGGAGTTCGGTCCGGCCACCGTATACTGCGACAAACCAGAATTCTCATAATATCCAACAGCATTTCGCTTGCTGCGGTCATCGTCCTGGGCGTCCATGTACTCGGTGTCGACCGAGCCGGTGACGTCAAAGCCGTGGCCGTGATCGGCCGTGACGACGATCAGAGTATCTTCCAGCTCACCAAGTTCCTTCAGCTTTTCGATTGTCGCACGCACGGTGTCATCGAGCTCAAGAAGTTCGCCCAGGGATCGATCGTAGTCCAGCGTGTGCATCTGCTTGTCGATACTGGCGGCTTCGGACATAAGGAACCAGCCATCATCGCTGTGACGTTCGTGGAGCACATCGATCGCCTTCAAGGTCATGTCCTTGAGTCCCGGCAGATCCTCGGCATCGCGACCTGATCCATCGGGGTAGTTGCTCTGGTTGAGCAGGTTGGCCTGGTAGACGTTTCGGTCGAGCCAGGTGGCGAGGTTGGATTTCTGGAACACTCCCAGCAACTTCTCATCGGTCGGTGCACTGTGAAGTGCAGTGTTGTTCCAAGCTACGTTGTAGCCTTTTTCGGAGAAGAGGTTATAATAATCTCTGGTTTCTTCATTCTTGAGGAAATCTTCCGCGCCAGCTCCGAGAAGCACATCGGGGCCATTCCAATCGGTCCACTCGTACTTGGTCAGACCCTCATAGTAAGCGCTGATAACATGATCGTACTCGCCACGGTCGCTAGTGTGGGCAGCCAACCCAGCAGGGGTGGCATCCGCCAAGAAAGCAGTCGAGACGATACCCACGCCACCATCTGGGTTGCGACGCCGGAAGATCTCCGAGATAGTCTCGAATTTGGGGTCATCGAACGGATCGCTGGACGAATCGACATAAACATTCAACGCATTCACTGTCGTCTTGTGGCCGGTGTAAAGGGCAGTGGCCGAGTTGGCCGAATCGGTGATGAATGAATCCATCGAGTGCGTCATCTGGTGACCCAGTACCGGGAACTTGTCCAATGCCATCTTCGTCATGTACTTTCCGTTGATACTCCGGTGCGCAATGAGACGTGCAGCGGTAATCATGTTCGTTGTCATGCCATCTCCAATGAACATGACTACATTCTTCGCACGGCGCTTGGTTGGCAGGTCACGGACAAGCCAGTTTGCTACCGTCTTCTGGTTTCCATAGTAGGTCAAAGTGGCCTCGTATTCTCCGGGCTCATATAGGGCGACTCTCCTATAGATCTTGGAAGTGACGTTTACAACAGAAGGCTTCTCGGCGTCCTGCGCGAACAGATCTATCTTTGTTAATCTGCTTCCGAATCCATATTTGGTTGCATAGGAACTTACCCTCGTACCACGAGAAGTCCCATCTCTCGAGCTCCGGCTCCTCGATTTCGAAGTATTTCGCCGCAGAAACGGCCTTTTTGTCCTTTTTGGTGATTGTAAATTTGAAGTCTGGGTCTGGCTCTCCGGTGCGTGCTTCAGATCCATTGACTGGGGAGTGGACTTCTAGACGAATATCAAAGTATTGACCTGCAAGGAAGTCGGCCCTGGAAGAAATGATGTCAGGAGAGCCCTGTGAACTAATCATCTTCCCGCATTACTCACTGGTCAGGTGGGAAGACGCATCCCAGATCGGGGCATCCACCTAGCCGCTGGAAGGTTTGGGCCAGAGTGGACGACACCAGACATGCTAACACGGAAATCGAGGGCCGCATGATGATCGCGTAGTTAACACAGAATAAACTCCCAGAGGCGAAAGCCCCGGTTTAAGTAGAACGCAAGGCTGCGCGGATTTCATGCGAGAAGCAGAGCCGAAGTTACCCTAATCTCCCATACATTGTGGCGCGGTTCTGGAAAGCGCGATAATGATGGTCTTGGCCTCGGAGGAACACCCAACGATGAAGACGCTCATCAAAAGTAGCGAATGAAACTCAGTGACGCTCTGCACGTGCGGCGTCTTTGGGGTTTCTTTGGAAAGCTTGAAGCTGCCCGCCAAGCTGAGGGGGCGGATGGCCAAGCCCGCCCAGCCAGTCCCCGGTGCTGCCAAGCAAACCGCCTGCAGCACGTGGGATCGTCTCTTGGGAAATTGTGAAAAGGCCGAAAAGGCCGTTGGCAGTCTGGTCTGTTGATTTCGATCACGGTGCCAGTCATGCCACTTTGGGCGGCCTCCGGCGATTCCCAGGCTGAACCATCTATACAGAACGGAGGGACTGAAAATGCCACGGCAATTGAATCTTTTTCTACCTTTGCATTGGGAATGTATTGATTTTGACGGAGGACTTCAGACGAATTGACATTGAGCTTTGGTTCTCAGACCTCCGGAGTTGTCATCCACAGACTGAGTACGTAGTACGTAGTATAAAGATGCTCTGGGACTTATGCACGTGTATGCGAGTTTATCTAAAGTCCCATTACGGAGTACTCAGTACATTCAGGTACAATCACGCTTGGATTGATTTTCACTGGAGCCCCAACCCTGGTGGTCAGGTGCTGACGTCGGGAGGAGATGGATTCAACGATATGCCGTACAGCCATTGAGACTAAGCCGTGCATTAGAGGTGTCTGTCGAGGCTGAATGAATACATCTTAGTAGTCTTCGCCGAAGAACCGTGGACAGACAGCAATACATTGTCATTCTAGGCTCAATTCACTCACGGATGACTCCGTACTCTCTCTCATGCGCCATAAATACCAAGCAGGACTAGGGTCCATTAGCCGACACCACAGCACCAGCCACCTGGGCATTAGCCAAGTACTCCAGTCTGGAAATTGCCCGTTAATCCATGGATTATGTCCCAGGGGGGCTCACCATTGTAGATCTACAGAGGCAGAAAAGAGAAAAGAAAAGAAGCAGTTCCCCTCCCAGGGATGCTCTAGTCAATCTCTGCAGCCATTGGATATGCAAACGGACTACTCCGCACAGAATCCTTTGTTCCAACAGCCCCCCTTCCCCCGAGTCGGCGGAGGCCCGACAGATACTACTTAGCCCGGCCCCCCCCCCATGGATCATTAGCTGGTTCCCCCCCTTGTTGTACGGTCGCTTTTTGCTGCGATTGCTAGGACCATTTCCACTGCTATCAGCTGTCCGTGTCCTACTTCCAATGTGCTTTCATGGGCAAGGGACTTTTGCCACATATGTCCAGAATCGGTCGAGAGATCAATTTGACTTGCGGTTGCCCAATACTGGAAATTGGAAATTCAGAAGTCGACTAAGAACCACCGCAAAGGTCCCGGAAAAAAAAGGCCAGAATGCTGAGTGGGATCCAATTCGATCGTGTGCATAGGGAAAGGATCCGGTAAGTTTGGCCTTTCGCTTGAGCCCCAGATTCTCACGATGTGATTGATTCCCTGCTAAATCACATCGACTTCGGCATTTCCATTGGTCCAATCGTCGACCAATCCCCACACATCGCGATGTCATTGACACAAAGAAACGGCCAGCGAGCTCTCGATCGGGTTAACTCACTCAGAGTCCCCAGTTCGGATTTTGGATCTTCTGAATACTCCACGGAGTACACTTTCACTTGCCTCTTCTCCAAACTGTCATCGACGTTCCTGACATGGACACACTGAGCCGACCCGCTGATCAGCCTCGGAAGAAGATCCGAAAAGGGACCCGCAGTTGCTGGGAATGTATGTGTGGAGAGACCCCCTTACACCGATTCCGCTGACCGACCAGGTAAACATCGGAAGGTTCGCTGCATCTTCAACTCCGAAGGCGACACCAAATGCAAAGAATGTTTCATTCGTGGGATCTCCTGTCGAAGCCAGGATCTGCCAGAACCCGAAAACCCTCGCGAGTCCGACCGAGTGGGTCTCAACGAACGGCTGACCCGCGTCGAATCTCACCTGGAGTCCATCTCGCCCAGGCTTGCCGAGATCTTGCAACGTCTCGAGACTTTCGGGACCGATGGTCGGCACTCTCAACTAACAGTCCGCCTGAAAAATGAACGCGAAAGTCCACCGGCCCGTCAGGAGACTGCTCCTGTCCTGGAGCTTTTCAAGGATGAGTCGGTGAGTGCTACCACACAATACAAATTCTTCTGGGATTCACGCTGAAGCTTGGGCAAACAGCTAGGATTTCAAAAATCAGGCACCGAAATCCCCAAGCGTACCACATACAGCACGACCAGCCCAGACTGGCAAAACCTACGCGAGGAATTGATGGCTCTTTTCCCTTCCCCGGAAACCATCGAAAGGATCTCAGAGGGTAGTGCCGGTTGGTGGATTGGGCGCTCAATAGTATTTCAAGACTCGGACACGTCCCTTTTACCAATTCCGCTCGAGGTTCTCTGGGAGAGCCACCCGGCCGTCATTGGCAAGGTCATATTATGGATTGCTTTGGCTCTCCAACAACTCCCGCTTGGCTATGATGCGAGCTCGCTCGAGCTCCCTGAACCACCGAAAGTCCTGGCTGAGATCATCATAGCCACGGTGACGAAACGAGTCTGCTCAGATGACTCGGTTGTGACCTGTATCGATGGAATCGAATGTTTGGTGGTACAGGCCACAATTTTCGGCAACAGCGGGAAGCTTCGAAGTGCGTGGTTGTCACACCGACGGGCTATAGATATTGCCCAGCTCATCGGCATCCACCATGGTGTAACCAATCAAGCTGCAACCGCCGCATTTCGACGCCGAGCTACGTTTATCTGGAGATATATCCTCACCATGGACAGACAAATTTCTCTCATACTCGGGGTGAATGGATCCGTGACCAACATGACGATAGACTCTCATCAATCGGACCCAACAGACTTAAAAGAGGATCCGGCCAGAAACGGTACTGCGTTGTGGCCAATGACCAGGATCGCCGGTGCAATCATCGAGCGGAACCAAACTTTCACCAAAGTCACACCGGCCATGGTTGAAATGACAATGAGTATCGATTCAGAATTTGAAGGTCTCAATATGCCTGCGATGATTTCACCTAGCACACACGACGCATATGGAGAGGACAAAGATCGTGAACGGGCTTTGATCACCGTCTCGAATCAGTATTGGATGGCTTGGTATCAACTCAAAGCCTCGTTATTTTTACCTCTTTTGCTCGAGTCAGGTGCAGGGAGCCTCTATGCAAGTCATCGAAGGACCTGCCTCGATGCATGTCGTAACCAGATCACATGCTATCAAAACCTCCGAGTTCTCTGTGGCAAGGGATACTACAATCGAATTGAGGATTTCCAGGCTTTCACCGCCGCCATGACCATAATAATCAATGCAGTTGGACCCTATGGCTCGCAGGACTGCAGCCCAAGTGATTGGGAACTCATCTATGGTGTCACGACGACCTTTGAGTTTCTATCAAAGGATACTCCTGCAGATGATGTTGCAAATCAATGTTGGCGTGTTCTCTCGACCCTCATAGCGGTGGCTATGGGAAAAGATTTCCCCCAATTTGCCATCCCGAATGAAGGCGATATTAAGAACGAGCAAGACCTGCCAAGTCGCATTAAACTTGACCTTCCCTTTTTTGGTGCGGTGTTTCTGGAACGCCGCACTTGGGGAAGTATAGCAGACCGGCCCAGAGGCCAAAATGTGGATCAAGTTTCACACAGCCCATCAGCCAACACCCCTTCGTGGATGGGTACTACCTTGAACTCGGAGGGAGCACCTAGCTTGGATGCAGACACGATGCAGCCGCTGACTCCCTCTTTTGATTCAACGAGCGGCTATTGGGCAGTGGACACTAAGTTTACCTTCGAGGCTCCGTTCCTCGCGGACTTTGAAATTAATTGGAGTTCTTGTGATTTTGGTTTAAGTTGAGCCCTCGGAAACAGAACCAGCATATCGATGATCTGTGCTTGGCCGCCATTGATAATATCGCTCAGAACCATAGCCCTTGCATATAATATCTAATAGTGGTATCAAGTTATGGAGTACTGGTATTATACATGTCCAACCTTGAGAAATTCATCCAGCTTCAGTCTGTCCCAAGGTCCCAAGGTCTATGGCAGATCGAAGGATCCGCCGACCTGTAAAAGTTTTTCACGATCGACTGCCTAGTGCCCATTCTGTCTATCTATGGTTCATCTACTATGACTAGCCCTGGGCATGGTCTAAAGGGTAGATTCTTAAGTTATTTAGTCTGCGGGTATGGTCCTTTGAAATGATCTCATTGTGATGGATACGTGAATGAATGGAGGCTTTTAACTCTGCGTTCTGTCTCTGAGCTCGTGCCTATCAAGGTTGAAAAAATGAGAGCAATGACTTTGGAACTCGCCTCCTGCTCCTTGTCGTGTATCATGTGCCCAGACCCAACCTTGGAAGGCTTGGTGAGGACACTCAGCTTAGGATAGCTGTTCGAATGGCCCTTCTCTATCATTGCTGAGGTCAGAGTCCTGCGCAGCGACTGTTTGGGGATCGCGATCCATAGGTGTTCTGGACGGTTGCCGAGTGATCGAATCAATCTGCGTCACGTTCATTTCTCCTCACGGAGGAAATGAACTGTTCAGCCACCGGGTCAACATTGGAAACACTCCGAGCAGATGGTAGCCATCGGTGTTTTCCTCGGATTTGAAGCAGCGAAGCTTTCATTTCGATGGTGAGATGATGACCAGGATCATGCGGATAGCGAAGGGGTCGCATAGTGATTGTAGCGGACGCGAGGGTGGAGACTGGCAAGCTGCAATAATTTTGTTTCAAGCTGGATAAGTCAGTGCTGTGAACGATTATTGGTGTTTGACACTTACCTTAGAATCTCAACAATAGAGAGAAAGTCAATGCCGCTTCCAGGACATAATGTAATCCCCAATTCTGCTAACACTTGTGCTATTGTTCACCATGGCGTTGGGGGAGCTGTCTCAATGAAGCCTCTGCTTTTCGAGCAGTACGATATATGTACTCAAAGCAATGAGGTCGAACTCTCTGCCATGTGTTGTAGTTATCTCCAAACGACTGTACCGCATGGAACCGGATTGGGGCTGGTGAGCTGTAGCAACAACCGAGCCGGTCTCTTCATCCAGGAGGTTCAGGGTTGACGACCTCACCCACGCAAAGGTTCTGGGAGTCTTCACATGGGATGTTTCTTGGGTTGGACCAGGTTGAACCATGGCGGCGAATCGATACAGCGCGACAGTATTTTGAGTCGTCCTTGTCCACCACGCAACAAGCATTTTTCCACCCAGGTGATGTGACTTGTTGCTGCCCCTGATCCAACCGGTATCGCATCGACTGGAGGTGTCGCTTTCGGCGTACGTACACTCGGCGACTCTCTGTCCAGATTCCTTAGTTCCTTGGTAAATTCTCATATCAGGTGTACTAATCTTCCAATTGTGAACCTCCACCGAGAATGCCACATCGCCGTTGTCGGATATCGCCTGGTAGTCCCCGAGACTCGGATGCCGATTTAATGTGTAAAAAACAGGAGGAACCAGTGACTGGCATGTCGGACTGTACACCGGTGGGTCTTCCGTGCAGTATGAGGGTGGATCAACGTGAGCATGAGCCATTTCTGTTGCTGAGGAGATTTTTAGAAGCGCAGGATATGAAACTTGAGTTGAAGTGAGTTGAGCCATTTCCCATCAAGGGTTTGTAAGTCATAGTTAAATGCAAGCATGTTCGAATGACACTATGCTCAGAAAAGGCTGCTGCCCGCCGGGCTCCTAATTCGGTTAGTGAAGAAGTGAGTCAACGGCTATACGAGCTTTTGGACTGCGATTGATTGCAAATCGAATCGATGGATGGAGAGCCTTTGGATTGATAATTCTTCGACCATGCGCGAGCAAAAACCGTGAGATGTATTCACTAACAACATACTATGTTTATGTCGCGACATTAAACTCCGATCTCGGGATGCCAAGCCCTGGAGCCCTAGGTGGTTAGTTTCTTCACCAGACACTTAAGGTAGTCTTAGATCGTATCTCCTGATTCTCAGATCGGTGTGCGGAGTAGATCATAATGCATGAGGCTTACTACTGCAAAGGAACACCCTGAAAGTACGGAGTACTATATACAAGAATTTTCCATTCCCATTTGGGCAATGCGGAAGTCCGTCATTGTGCCCTGTAATTAATCAACTAGCTGCAGATCCAAAAAGCAAAACTATCCCGTTCCAAGAAATAATACTATCAATTATAATATCGACACGCAAGCTTTGGATGAGATCGGAACATCTTCATGGATCTACCTTGTACAGGAGTAGCTGTACAATGTGTTGGGGAGGTGACGTCACTGACTTGAAACACGGCCAAGCCCTCTCCCTCTAAGCTTGGAGAGCGGAAACCCCCAGTGATAGACAGGATAGACATGATAGACACTCCAAGGGTCCCTTCATTGGTGTATGACAGCCTTGATTGTGGGGAAACTCCAGGGCTGGGCTACAATGTGGGCTAGATGCCAAGTCACAAATACAGTGCAGTAGGATGTAGTATCGTCATAGTTAATTCCGGGTTTATACCGATGACGTAGCCATCTATCAGACTCCCCCAGCTCTCTGCTTCTTCTCCAGCTGGGGATTTTCGATCCTCGTCCACTTTGTTCATCATCTAGATACTCACAATGGCGACAGGGCAACAATCCAAGACTCCCCAGAGCCATCGGGTCGGGGAGCATTGGAGTGGTGCCAATCCCATTCCAACAATTCATCATTTTATGGAACATATCGATGCCGAGAAGAAAGAACGCGATCGCAGAATCGACGAGGAGAATCGTATCAAAAAGGAGCAGGCTGCACGCTCCAAGGCAGATGAGAAATCTGGGCAGAAGGCCGAGCAGGATGAGGGAGATGTCGTCGCTCACAAAGCACGCGAGGTGTCTCAGGCTAAGATGCGTACCGTGACGGATCCGACCACAGGCAAAGATATCGGGGTGGAGGATCAAGACGAAACCTCCATGGAAGCTGTCAAGAACCCAATGGTATGCTACACGACGTTTGGTTCGATGCGAGGGGAAGCTAATTGAGTTGCACATTGTAGTTGACGGTTCCCAACGCTAATCTGGGGAAAGACACGGTACGTTGTCGAAACTCTACGGAAATATGACGATTCTCACAGGAAAATAGGAGGTTCAAACCAGCGCCGACCAAAACCTTGCAGAATACAAGGAAAACCAAGATATCACAGCGCCCCCGATCCAATTGCCGAAGGAACGACATCCGATGTCCCCATCCGAGGCGAGAAGACGAACGTTCTATTCCACCCAACACCTACCGTATCATATCAGCCTATGTTCGAGGTCTTGCAAAAGCGTGCTACGGGGCTTTGTATTGGTATCCCTGCTGCGATCATTGTGATCGGTCGCATTTTCGGAGGGTCCTTCTGGGGCCTGGTTCCCTTGGCATTTTGCATCTCGTCGGGCGTGTGGCTTTGGATGCAGGAGGTCGTTCGCAGTGGTCGAGAGATGGAGTGGAGCAGTGAGCAACTGCGTGGTCAAATGGTAAGCAACTTTCTGTTATCTGTACTTTGCAAAGCTGACGGTTATAAGGCCACTGCCAATCTACTACCAGAGTCCGTTGAGTGGATGAACAGCTTCCTCGGTGTGGTGTGGGGACTGGTCAACCCAGAAATGTTGACGCCCATGGCAGACACGATTGAAGACATCATGCAAGTCTCTGCGCCCAAGATCGTGGAGAATGTTCGGATTGCAGAGATCGATCAGGGCAATAACCCGTTGCGAATTCTCAGCATGCGAGCTCTTCCAGACGAGCATGTGCAAGATCTGAAAAACAATATCCACGAGGATAACAAGAAAAACAAAGATCCACAAGAAGCTGCTGCCGCCGAAGAAGGAGGCAGCTATTACAACATGGAGGCATCTTTTGCTTATCACGCAAAGCCAAGTAGTCAGACTGCATCCTCGAAAGCTCGCAACATGCACATGCAGCTGGTCTTTTACCTTGGTGTCAAGGGACTGTTTGGTGTACCGTTTCCGGTATTTGTTGAACTGATCGAGTTGGTTGGAACAGTGCGCATGCGCTTCCAAATGATGCCCGAAGCGCCATTTATGAAAGATGTGACTTTTACCTTGGTTGGCATTCCGCACGTTAGGGCGGGTTGCATGCCTATGCTTCGGAAGGGAGTCAATGTGCTCAACTTGCCTATCATTTCTAATTTTGTTAACTCCGCCATCGCTACCGCGTGTGGAATGTTTGCAGCTCCAAAGTCCATGACCATGGACCTCGGAATGATGCTGACAGGCGACGACATCCACAAGGATACTTTGGCTCTGGGTGTGATGTGGATTCGCATCCACCGCGCAGTGGGCCTGAGCAAGCAGGATACTCGCGGAAGCGAGGGAGGCGGCAGTGACCCATATATAAACCTGTCGTTCTCCAAGTATGGAAAGCCAATGTATTGCACGCGAGTTATCACAGATGATCTCAACCCCATGTGGGAAGAGACTGCTGCCCTCTTGGTGACACCCGAACTGATCAAGGCCGATGAGAATCTGAGCATTGAGCTCTGGGACTCAGATCGCAACACGGCCGATGATATCGTTGGAAAGGTCGAATTACCTATCCGTGAAATGTTACAGCACCCCAGCAGAATGTACCCTCAGGTCTCGAAGCTCCAGGGCATGGACGAAGGAAGCGAGATGCCCGGTCAGCTCCACTGGGAGGTTGGTTACTTCGGCAAGCCCAAGCTACGCCCCGAGCTGCGTAGCGATGGCAAGAAGAAAGACCTCCCTGAGAATCTCAAAGGCGACCCAACCTTCGAAGACGAAAAGGGCACCATCAACAATGACGAAGAGGATGCTGTCATGCACACACCACCTGACCCCATTTGGCCAAGTGGCATCGTACACATCGTTGTCCACCAGATTGTCAACTTGCAAATCGCCAACATCAAAGGCAGCGATGGAAATCGTAAGGGCAAGGAGTATGAACCGGCAAAGCCCTACGGCGAGAACACCGAGGAGCAAGGCGATGACCTTCCCACGAGTTACTGCAAGGTTTTGTTGAACGATCAACTGGTTCGTTGAATTCCCACCGACACCTGTGTCCACATTCTAACCAAGTATAGGTTTACCGCACTCGCGCCAAGGCAGTCAGCTCCAAGCCGATCTTCAATGCAGGAACCGAGCGATTTGTTCGTGACTGGCGCTCTTCGGTAGTTACTGTCACTGTGCGCGATCAGCGCTATCGCGAGCACGATCCCATTCTCGGTGTTGTGCCTATCAAGCTGTCTGATATCCTTCAGACGAGTTCACAGGTAACCCGTTGGTACCCTCTCGATGGAGGTATTGGATTTGGACGTATCCGCATCTCCATTCTTCTGCGCCACGTTGAAACCAAACTTCCACCGGCCATGCTTGGTTGGGACGTGGGCACATTTGAATTCGCCGGCGAGAAGATCACGGCCCAGAACTTCGGTCGCAATACCAAGATCAAGCTGCGCACCGGAGGAAGTATCGGTAAGATCACTCGACACAAGTGTTCTTTGCAGGGCAGCGATGCAGTGTTCGATACATCCGATGAGACCTTCCGCGACTCGTTGCGAATGCCCGTCAAGCATCGATACCGCTCCCCTATCGTGTTTGAATTCCATGTTCAAGGCAAGCGCGGTGCTGTAGCCTATGCTACCTACTGGCTCCAGCATCTCATCGACAACGAAGAAACAGATATCGACATTCCAATCTGGACGACTAAGATGGGAGCTCGTTTGACCCAGAACTACGTCACCGAAGAGAACTGGAGGGCGAAGAAGGTTCCCGGCCTCGAAGACTTGACCGAGATCGGGCGCCTCCAATTCCGAGGCAAATTCTCGCCCGGAATTGACGAATCGCACGAACGATTCGTGGTCGACAATGACTCACGTGAAACATTCGAAACGTGGGAGGCGTGCTTGTCACAAGGCGTCCGATCCCGTAGCGTCCACGTTGAGGTCCCCGAAGAAGTAAAACAGAAGCACGAGCAGTCCCTGATCGATGGTCGGGACGTGTTGAAACAAGCTTCTCCCTCTGAGCGACGCCGATGGATTGACTACGACGGTCACGACTGGAGTGGAGCTTTCGGACATGACCCGCGTGCGTACACAGACTCAGTCGGGCGCAAGATTGCTGAGCCTGGTCGGGATGACCCGCGGCACGACCCATACACTCCGCCCCCACTGAAGGGTCAGCCTGCAGCTCAGCCTACCTTCCAGAACCCCGAAGAACGCAATGAGAGTTCAGACTCCGAGGAGGAGGACGAAGAAAGCTCCTCTTTGTCCACCGGGCCCTCGACTGTTGGAGACACCCGCGGTCGAGCTTCTTCATCACAGGCGAGTGTCACTAGCGGTCAGATGAACAAGGCGAATAAACGCAGTGAGCAGCGGCAGCAGCGTGGTATGATGCAATGGCGTCCTGCGCGTAATGCCGCATTTGCCAAAGACGAGGCGAAGTTTGGTATCGAGAAGATAAAGAAAAAGATAGGCCTTGGTGGTCTCACGGGTCGTGAACCAGACGTGGAGACCGAGACCTGATCTGATGGGTTGCTTTGGGTTTGGAGTTGTTGATGTCGGGATTTGGAGTTAGCTGCATATAATGTCAATCTTCATGAATCATCTTTCAAGTAATACCATGGTAGAAAATAACATCAATGTAGAGGACCCCTAGAGTCGGAGTGAGGACGACAATGTACATTGACGGTCAATCGGTGGATTTGACGCTGGATTTGACGCTGGATTTGACGCTGGAAACCTTGGTAGATTGGCCAGCTGTTCAATGATATCGAGATCGATCAACTTGGCCATGAAAGATGACCCCAATCACTGATACTGGGAATCAAAACCAGTTGGGATCGAGAGTATCAACCGTGGGCAGTTTTCATTTTGCTTTCGCAGGTAATAGAAAACATCTATGTATTCACATCAAAAAGGATACAACGTATGGCATGCTGATGCCATGGCCATGGGTAACAAGAATTAAAAAATAAACAACTTTGCGCCTCAAAGGCCACAGGTCCCAACCTGCGCCTCTATATGAAAATAACATGATTCGTAAGAAAACAAGATATGCAATAGCCATCAAACATGGGGAACGATACGGGCATTAGCCTGGGTGCGTTGGAGGTTCACCGGGATTCTGCGTCCGGTGCGGACTCCAACCTCGGCGATGTCTGAGACGCTGAGACGTCGCGCGCAGGGTTGGGAGGTCCATCCAACGGTCCCAGTGTCCATTTCCATTCTCGACGGCGCTTAGCACGGGGCTGTCGTGGGGTCTGAGGGGTCGATGAGCCATCGGCCTCGAAGCCATCCAGTAAAGCCACCGCGCGGACCTGGCGGTCGATTTGCAAGGTGCGCCTCTTCTTGCGCTCGGTCTTGGTGAGCGATGTGGGTTTTTCATCGCCAGTATCATCAGAAGCTGAGACCTCCGACGGGGCACTGGAGTCTGAATCCTCTTTGTTCTCTTCAGAATCCTCTTCGGGTTTCGAACCAGCGGGGCGGGTTTCAGGTGGGGGTCTCGTGTCTGCCTCGTGCACTGCCTCCGTTACGAGATCCAAATGCTGTGCCGTGTATCGTTCCGTTCTAATCTCTTCTTCGAGGGGAAACCTGTAGCTGACTGATTTCTTGGCTGGGAAAAAGACCCGGCGGGTACCGGTGCTGGGACCATTGCCGCCCGCGGAAATGGAGCCCGATCGTCGTCGGGGTGGTTCAAGAGGGGAGTTGCGCAAAATACTGCGCACTCCTAGCGGTTGTTGATAAATATTGCGGGTGGAAGTATTGTTGGTTGAGTGGATGAAGGGAGGTGTCGGCTTGGGGTTGAAGCGGGTAGCTTTGGAGGGTGAACTCGTCGCGGAGGATGGGGATGCGACTTCATAGGCATTTTTGAAGGTATTTCGAACTGTCGGGGAGGCTGCGGGCGCCGCAGCAAATGCGAAAGACAGACCAGTGGTCGAACTGCCAAAAGTGCGAGGCAAAGCGGTTGTTTGGAGGGTGAGTTTAGGTCGGGAGGTGATGGTGGTAGTTGCATCCGGGGAGAGGCACGACATGGTCGCTGCAGCGAGGGGTAAGGGAGGTCGAGATAAGTCCGAATAGTCCAGTGGCATTGAAAGAGTCAAGAAAGGGTTCCAAAAAAATAATAAAAAGAAAAAAAGAGGAAGAGAAAAGAAAAGAAAGAGGCCGGGAAACAGACTAAGAATAGAGGAGGTTGGCGCTGGGATGTGATAGGAGATGCAGCGCCAATGACACTCATTCCACATTAAGATCTACATACGCTACGGAGTACTCCATGCAAAGTGTATACAAACACAGGCAGAGATTTCCTTTCTTCCAGACTCCTTTGGACTCAAGTGGAGGTTAACTATTTGACGCCACCAAACTGGCGTCTGGCCTTTTGCCGCTCTAATTTAATCTCAATAGGTCGGCTGTTTACTTCAGATCCACCTCAACTCCTCTTAGCTCTTTACATGTTAATCTTATTCATCTCCTTAGTTCGTGCCTAGGCAGTTTCTAGTGAGACTTGATTCAGATTTACCTGGATTCATCAAATCTGATCAGATGCTTCCGAGTACGGAGTACGGAGTACGGAGTAAAGTAGTCATATACGCGTTCCTCTTGGTTACTATAAAAAGAACTGACCCGCCTCCGATCATCTGTGGGTGGCAAACATGCTCTTTGGGTGAATTAGTCTAATCCACTTGTGATGACAATCCAGCGCCGGGTTTAATATACTCGAGCCTCTACTTCAGTACGGAGTAGAGATGTAGATACTGCAGTACCAAGCAACTGAAGACCTGCACCTACACTGAGACTTGGACTTGCAGATATAGATCTTGCCTCTGATCCTGACGTCACTTCCGCTTCAGTCCGCTTCAGCCTCGAATAGTGGCTGCAGCCTTCAAATGCCGATACATACCGAACCGCGACCTTTGCAGATCTGCAACTCAGCTTCTTCTGGTGCATATCCATTACTCTTGCCGTGACTGGCGTTTTGGGTTGTGAGGGTCTTCCCCACTGTGGAATCCTAGCCTTTTTGATCACTCTGATCTACAGGGTTCCGTGCGTGCTGTACATATACACGACAATGATCCTTCAGCTTATGACTCTGTCTATATTTTTGGATACAGCAATAACACCGGCGAGCGGAATACGAGAACATTGTGTCATATCAGATCTTAGATATATACTCCGTACCTCTTACGGAGTAGAAGTCACCTGGGCTGGGCATCCAACATGGTCAGACCTCAACGGACGCATACTGTACATAGTAAGAAACTCCCGAGATCGCCCATCGACTTCAAACAAAATCCAAACAACCTTGGAATGAACAAAGTATATTGTAATCCTGGACCTCTTGTCAAATACCTAGGCCGCTTATGCTTATCATATCTGCCCTGCGCGTGCTCGTATACCCACTACGGTAGCCACTTCGCACGCTTGTTCTGGGTGACTTTATATATAGACATTGACTCAGAACAGGCTTGACTTTGGCCCCGATCGTAGGATTTCTCGTGGTGGTCATAGGCGACACAAGAAAAATAATTTGTAGAATTGAACGCGGCACCATTGTGGATTGGCCCCCATGCCTAAAATAGCTGGAGGGTCACAATTTGCGACTATTGTACTCGTACTCCGTACTCCGTATATCAAGGCAGACTCTTTGATTTCTCGACGGAGTATTAGCTGCTATGACTTTCGGACTATTGACTCAGCCCCGTGGACCCTTCCAGGGTGTGAGAGGTACCTATTGATTTAGATGCTTTTACAGTATGGAGTATGGAGTAGGCAGACATTTAATCATTTTGATGGGAAATCCCCAGTGAAAGCTGGCTTCAAGACCTCGGGAGCCTCGGCTGTGGAGAGGTCCAGGGCTCCCATTCTGGTCTTCCGATCTATGAGGGGCACTTTGATCGGGGCCGATCAAATGATCGAACTTTGATATACTCCGGACATTGTCAACATCGTGCTAGGAGTAGTGTTTACGGAGTACTCCGTACCAACTGAAGAGTGTGCAGTGTGGGAGAAAAGAACAATCAAATTACTATTTTTAGACTCGTCTACACACCAGCCACATCCTTCAGCCACACCAGCTACACCAGCCACACGAGGTATTGGCCATGTTCCTGGCTCTTTTAACTCTTTCTCGCAGTCCGCTCTAGACCAGCAACCTTCCCCACATGGACGCGTCTGCATCGGTCCATGGCTGTACTTCGGAATGACAGTCGGGTCATCCTCCACCTGGTAACTAAAATACCCACTCTCTCCCGTCTGCCTCTAGCTGACCAGGCCAGGACTATGACTGTTTCTACGCCTCAGTCTTCGAGGTCGAACAGCCAGCATTGAGGTCCCTGCCCTTGGCAGTTCAGCAGAAGCAGATAGTGGTGACATGCAACTATGAAGCGCGACGGCGAGGTCTGCACAAGTTGCAACTCATCAAGGATGCCAAGCGCATCTGCCCGGACGTGGTCATCGTTCTTGGTGAGGACCTGACCAAGTTCCGAAATGCCTCCAAAGAGCTCTATCTACTGGTCCGGTCCTTGGTATGGGGTGGTCTTGTGGAAAAGCTCGGCTTTGATGAGCTCTTTTTGGATGTCACAGAGATGATTGCCTACAACGTCGACGTGCTGAATCAGAATGATCTGACCAACTCGTTTTTTCATCTTGATCGCAAAGATCCTACAGTTGGGTTTGCCTACGACGCAACTCGCTTCCAGGGGTCAACCTTCCCGGCGACTGAGGAAACCGCCGCCGCACCAGAGCCCTCGTCGCTGGAGATGAGGTTACTGGTTGCCTCTCATCTTCAGGGTCACATACGGAGTAAGTTGGAGCACCAGATAGGGTTTACTGCCACTGGTGGGATCTCCACGTCTAAATTGCTGGCCAAATTGGTCGGCAGTGTCCACAAGCCCAACGGTCAAACGACCCTACTACCACCGTACACCGGTTCCCCAGAGAATGAGAGTAACGTGCTTCAATTCCTGGACGACCACGAAATTCGCAAAATCCCCGGGATAGGTTCTCGAATGGCCCAGAAGCTAAAGGCGCACATCACTGGCGAAGATGAATCCGACGAGAGGATAACCGTTCGGGATGTTCGATTATTCCCCGGTATGGGTGTATCTTTGCTTGAAAAGATTCTGGGAGGACTGGGCTCGGCGAAAGGTATTGGAAACAAAATGTGGAGCGTCCTCCACGGAGTGGACGATTCCGAAATAGTTGAAGGTCGAGACATACCGACTCAGATCAGCATTGAAGATTCCTACGGTCGCTTGGATACTTTCGAGGGTGTACGCCGAGAGCTCGTTGTGTTGTCTCGAAGCCTGATCCGGCGGATGAGAGCCGACCTAATTGACACGAGTGACACCCCTCACAGGTGGCGAGCGCATCCCCGCACACTCAGGCTGTCAACGCGACCCAGACCTCCACCGGGTTCCGATGATGGTCGTACTTACAGCGCCAACCGTATCTCACGTTCAGCGCCCCTACCAACCTTTATCTTCAGTCTGGATGAACATATTGAGGGATTGGCTGAACGGCTGGTTCATGAAAGCGTGTTGTCCATGTTCCGCAAATTGCACCCTCAAAAGTCTGGCTGGAACCTGAGTTTGGTGAATATCGCGGTGACTAACATGGTGGAAACAGCCGGGGATCAGAAACAAAACAGTGGGCGTGATATTGGAAAGATGTTTCGTCAGCAAGAGACGATCCTACGGGATTGGACGGTGCAGGAACCCGCCGCATCCGTGAAAGTCTCTCGGACCGGGGAATCTGACGTCGAAGAAGCGGAGTCTGAGAATGACTGGGACGATGAACCACTGGCCAGCGTGGACTGCCCTCGCTGTGGGTGTTCCATCCCCCTTCTCGCACAGCTGGCACATGAAATGTATCACTCCGCAGAGTGAGCGGTTATTCGGCAGCCTTAAATGCCAAGCACCGTGGTGGTTTGTCCAATAATACGGAGTAGCATGGCCAAGAGATCAATTACGCGGAATACTCTCAATATGAAGAGACTTCACTGTTTCCTCAATATTCCAATATTGAGGATATTAATTTAAAGAGAGAGCACTGTATAGCATATAGTATAGTTTCCATGGATTTATACCTTGCCACCAAGGAACAGCCTTGGAGCCAGCCCTGGAGCCGACAACCAAAATAGTAAAAACGACCACTCCACAAAATGTTTCAGTCAATGCCAAGCCCCCCAAGGCTGGAGTCTCTTGGATTCCTCAGACCTTGGCAACCGCTCACTTTGTCTCTCTTTCCAGTCTCTCGTTACTTCACCTTCGTTTTTATTCCATCACTTTTGTATCTTTGTGAAAATCCCCTTTGAATGATTCCCGAGAGGTGGACCCTGAAACCCTGAAGTCCCCCCACGATCGCAGACCCTTGAAACTCTATACTGGACCCTGGGGAAACGGACCCTGCGATGAGGTTCTCCAGTTTCCTGCCCCTAATCGGTGCATTTTCGCTCTTTCAGCAATCGGCAGGTATGTTCCCTCTCTGTCTAAATCTTCTCCACACCCGCTCACCGTGACTAGCACGATCCCAAGCATCCGAGGCCATTCGACAAGTGACGCCTGTCGACAATGCTATCATCCGTACCCCTTCACATCAAGTAGACCATCTCTCGCATTTTGATGTTACCTTCGATATACACGGCGGCAAGCGGATAAAACTAGAGCTCGAACCCAATCACGATATCCTCGCCGACGATGCGTACGTACAATATGTCGCCGCCGATGGAACCTTAACACACGCCGAGCCCATCCAGCGTCACGAGCACAAGGTGTTCCGAGGTCGCGCGTTGGAAGGATCTGGCAAGGGGAGATGGGCGCCCGTCGGTTGGGCAAGAATCACCGTCAAGAGAGATGGTCTTGAACCGCTCTTTGAAGGTGCGTTCAGCATCAACGAGGACAAGCACCACGTTGAGTTGATGTCAAATTACATTGACAAGAAGCGCCCGATCGATGCCGATGTTGAGCTCAGGCACGGGGACTATATGCTCATCTACCGTGACTCCGATATGTTCCACTACACGCACTCCGAGCTCAAGCGGTCGCTGCCTGCGAGCACGGGCTGCGGAGCCGATCAGCTCGATTACAATGCTGACCTTTCCAACTCAATTTTCCCATACGGCGTGAGCGAGGCTGACAGCCGGTGGGGAATGACCTCCCTGGATTCCCTGTTTGGATTGAGCAAGCGGCAGTCTGATGATGGCGGCGTTTCGGGTAACACCGGTGGTGTCAATCTGAAATCGACGATTGGAGACACCACTGGCTGTCCCAAGACGAAGAAGGTCGCCTTGATCGGAATTGCAACGGATTGTGAGTTCACTGACTCGTTCAAATCCACCAATTCGACCCCCAAGGCGGCCGCCAAGGACTGGGTTATCAACGTGGTGAACACGGCTTCCAGTCTTTATGAAGACGCTTTCAACGTGTCGATAGGTCTGCGCAATCTTTCGATCTCCGAGCCCGGGTGCTCTAGCTCCAGCTCATCCTCCACACCCTGGAACGTGGACTGCAGCAGTGGAAACGTGACATGGCGTCTGAATGAGTTTTCCAAGTGGCGTGCGAAGTACTCAGACGACAATGCCTACTGGACCCTGATGACGAACTGTCCCACGGACAGCGAGGTAGGTGTGTCCTGGATGGGTCGTCTGTGCTCGTCCGACTTGGTCAGCTCAGGGGACAGCTCAGTCACCGGTGCGAACGTCGTTGTCCGCAATTCCGGCTCTTCCTGGCAGGTGTTTGCCCACGAAACTGGGCACACATTCGGAGCAGTCCACGATTGCAATGAACAGACTTGTGGACAGAAGCTGGACGACTCTTCCCAATGCTGCCCGCTGAGCTCGACGACCTGCGACGCCGATGCGAAATACATCATGAACCCCTACGCTAGTAACTCCATGACCAAATTCTCAGAGTGTACTATCGGTAACATCTGTTCTGCAATTGGCAAGAACAGTATCAAGTCTTCCTGTCTCTCGGACAACAAAGGCGTGGTGACCATTAGCGGCAGCCAGTGTGGTAACGGAATTGTCGAGGCCGGCGAAGACTGCGACTGTGGCGGCGACGAAGGCTGTAGCGATAACGCATGTTGCGACGCATCGACCTGCAAGTTCAAGTCAAGCGCTGTTTGCGATGATTCAAACGACAGCTGCTGCTCCAATTGTCAGTTCGCGTCCGCCGACACTGTCTGCCGCCCCAGCACTGGTACTTGCGACATTGCCGAAAAATGCCCTGGCAACTCCGGTGCCTGCCCAGAAGACAAATACGAAGACGACGGTTCGTCCTGCGGCGACAAGGGCCAGGGGCTTAGCTGTGCCAGCGGGCAATGTACCAGTCGAAACTACCAGTGCCGCACAGTCGTAGGCTCCCTCCTCAACAGTAACGACACCTGGGCCTGTGAAAACACCCAAGACCCATCCTGCACATTAGTCTGTGGCGCGCCTTCCATCGCCCATTCGTATGGCACGACGCCCTGCATCCGCATGAACCAGAACTACCTCGACGGCACCCCCTGTGACTCCGGTGGCCGCTGCAGCGCAGGCCAGTGCAAGGGTTCATCGGCTATGGGCTGGATTCGCGACCACAAGAAGCTGGTGATTGGTGTCTGTGTCGGTGGAGGCACTCTGATCCTTCTCGCTCTGTTCTTCTGCATCTACAGCCGCTGCAAACGCAGCGCACAGCTGCGCAAGGCCCGCAAGGCCATTCCTCCGGGTACTTATCGTCGCTATAATGGGCCCCAGCCTACGGCTCGGCCGCCCATGCAACAGTGGCATGGGTATCCGAATGCCGGATATCAAAATGTGCCACCCCCGGGCCCGCCGCCACGATACTCATGATCCATTTGCTTCTCGTACTTTTTTCTTTCTCTTGATTTTTTAAAGATTCTAATTCTCCAATCTTGTCATGTCTGTACCTTCACCGGAGAAACTTATCACGAGGATTTTGGGTCTTGGCGTCATTGCGGGCGAAACTTGTGCATTTCTTTCCCTCCCGTTCATACAAGCTCTTGATTTACCCGTCGTTCGAACACGAACTTCTCTTTTCGGATATTGGTATTGGTGTTGGCAATGATATGTGTTATTTGTTGTCAAAATGCCTCCGAAGCCTCGTGGCCATGTACAATCCTCCAGTACCGATCAATTTGGCCAACCTGAACTAGAAGCTAGATCTGTATCATGGGAAAGAATATTCATTGAAGTGTAATTGGCCCCAGAACGAAACAACAGTACTCCTTAAAGCAGTAAGGGGATAAAGAAAATAAGTACCCAACACCTAAGCAACCCATGCACAACAGAGCCAAAGTCAGGTCCCGACTCGGCGAACAAAGTATCCAAAAATTTCCCACGAGCCACTGCGCTCATTGCCAACAGATACCCACGAAAGCCTCACGTGTAACGCCGCCCGCACCCTCCAGATCAAACTCCTCAATCATGGCCCTTAATTCCTCCTCTTCGAGACCAGTCTCACCCAGCTCGCGGGCCACGCGCCTCAAATCCTCCAGATCGATATAGCCCTTGGCACCCTCGTCGAAGAGCTCGAACGCGCGCAGAATCTCATCGCGCGGGTCCCGCTCCAGGATCTTGAGTGCCGTCACGGCCTGGAAGGACGAGAGCGGCATGAGCAGGTTGGAGGGGTGTTGGGGGTTCGCAACAGGGCCCTTATTCGATGCAGGCTGACCACTCGCCTGCTGCTGCTGAACTTGCGGGCGGGGAACACCGTAGGTCGTAAGAAGGGAGATCAGCTCTTGTTTACTGAGAGTGAAGCCGAGGGCACGGAAAGCGACACGGAGCTCATGGTAATCGAGGTGGCGGTCGCGATCGAGATCGAAGAGAGTGAACTGTTAAAAAGGAAAAGGAAAAGGTCAGCTTTGATGCAGGTGGTGTGGGTGACGGTGGGCAGGGCGTACGGCTTCGTTAATTTCCTCGCGCTGCTCTTCGGTCAAGCGGCTCAACGGATTGGCGTCCTGCGCTGGACCGTGAGACTGTGCATTTGTCGCGGGGGCAGATTGTTGCTTTGGAGCTTCGGGGAAGTCATTTTGAGGGGCGTTGCCTAGGCCTCGATGCCGTGAGAATGACGAGGCACTGAAGGGCATGGCGTTTGTGTTGATGGAGCGCTCGGGGAGCTTGGTGCCGGCGTAGGAGCGCGACGCGAAAGGTTGGCCGGAGGCCATGGTTCAAAAATTAAATAGAAGTCTGGACCAGAGGGTTGCGATATTGAAGTGGAGGGTATGCGATAGGCTGACGGGGAAGATTTCTGGGGACGCGACGCGGGCGGAATGATAACTTGCCGTTTTGGGTGTTTTTCTATTAACCTCCGTTCAAGCATCTACTCCGTACGGAGTATGCATTGCCATATATGATACATAATTAATTAAGATCAAGTAGGATTCAATTTACATTCCAAACGCCATCACTGATTTTTGACTTCAACATTATCATTTCGTGGGAACTTCCGAACAGCCACTGGCCCTCTGAACTTTCTTAACGCTACCATAAAATGTCTTCCAAGGGTATCCCTATCAATATAAGCTGTTCGGATCTGCACTTACCTGTTTAGACCTCGGCTGAATAAAATTGAGAATACCAATGGCTCCAGGGCTGACTTCAACCTTGGACTATCACGAGATATAAAGGTACCAACCTCCAGAGCTTGTCTGACGAATTATAGCAATGTCTGCACCTATATCTTTTGATATCTTTGGGGTTCACCCGGATAACAGGATAACAGGTTCCAAGGTTATCATGGCTGCCGCTCTTTGTATAGAGTATGTCTATATAAACCCGAGAACCGGCGACTGACGCCGCAGCATAAGAGAAAATTATTAGTGTTAACAATAGTAGTACATCAACCTCCCAAGGTTGGAATGATTTGCCCAAGACCAGCAACTGGGTATATATCCCAAGAACCAACACTCCAACTCCAATAAACCGCCAATAAACCAAAGCACAAAGGTTCAAGTACATAGGAAATAAAGCCAAATTCAACCAAATCAGTTCTCACGATCGTTCTTGGACAACCAATCTTCGAGTTGTTTCAACGATTCATCAATTTCACGCCCCGAGACCAACAATGGATCGGAGGAACTCAACTGACCATCGTTGGCCATGTCATGTATATCAGACACGCCAGGCTCGGGCCAGACCCAGGTATAAGGTTGCGGCTCCTCATCAGGTGTATGGGGATCAATCCGCAAGAATTCCACCATCTCAAGAGGGGCCACTGAGGCGAGTTGTTCGTACCTCACACCCCGCCAGAACTCCAGGTCGATATCCACCGAAACTTGGAGATTTGGAATCTCCTTGTCGAAAACCTCTTTCTTCGCTTTCCGGGTCACAAGTCCGGTTCGAGGCTGCCAAGAAGCGTACAACATGGCCTGAAGGATTTCGCAAATTCCACCCATCGGATATTGTGGGCCGATGATTCTCGCAACCATGGGGTTGCGCTGAAGTTTCCTGACTCCATCTGCGACTTTGTAATACAGAGCAAGGGCAACCCAGCATGCATCGATATCAGTGGCAACCTTGCAGACTGGCCCGCGTAGAGCCTCAAATAGTTCGTGGCAGAAGGGGACAGACATATCGAACATAGCGCGCAAATGTTGTATCAGACTATGGAACACCACACATCTTCCAACTCCAAGATCGTTTTGCACAGCAAGCACCCTCGCCTGCGCGAGCCATTGAATTCCCACGAAGAGTTTGGACATGTGGATCGCTGTACCAATGAGGCTATGGGCCCCAAACGTAGTTTCGAACTGAATGAGACTGGGGGTGAAAGACTGAACGATGACATCGAGAAAACCCCCGAATGGCGAGTTCAAGAAAGGGCCATCACCATTCCAGGTGGTTTGACCTGAGACCACAGTGCCAACACATGGTTGGGTTCCACGCGCGGAAAGATTAATCCCTATTATGTAGAATAGTGAGTTGGGTTCAAAGGCTTCTTGGTTCATGTAGTTCAGGGTGAATCTCGCATGATTGCACGGTAAATCGGGGTGCCAGAAAGCAGTCACCGGAACGAACGCCTCTGATACTCGAAAGCACGGTCGATTATGGGTTGCGCATCTTTCGCAGGGGTTATCCGCTCCACATCCTTTCTTTGTGCGAAGGCACCATAGACACGCGCCACCAGCCGACTTCACGGCGAGAACGTCTTTCCTCATCTTATCCAGTTCGGCCTGGTCGCGGTGCCTTTTTCCAGCGAGTGATTGCACTGGATTTTGAGGGTCGTATTGCTTGATGAAATCGGATTGCAGTTTCTTTGGACTGCATTGAGTTGTTGGTTGGTCACGATATGCCGATTGCCAACGGAGATCATGCTTTTCTTGTCGCTGAGAACGAACCTCAACCGGGGGAGAGCTTGAAGATGAGTATGGGGTGGAGTCAGAAAATGTGGCCCCCGAAGAGGAGGATTGCTGAGAGTCACGTCTCATCTCAGCAGATGACGCTGAAGTAGACGGATCCATACAATTATAGGGTCCCATATCTGAACCAAATGTCTTGCATTGGAGAGCATCCTTCGTCGTGGCACAAAAAGATGGACTGAGCACATGAATGTCGGTTGGGAATGTCATGTTCGTGTGAGATGGCTCTTCCGCCATCAAGTCCGACTCTGAGCCTTCCATGGCATAAAATGGTGTGAAATCTCCCAGGAAATCAAGTTGGCTCTCCTAAAAATAGAAGAGTCAGCAAGCCTTGCGCAGTGGTATGAAACAGAAATGACAAGTTCTAGGGGGACTCCATCAGAGTGACAAAAGAAGGGACGAGAAGAAAGAGACGAAGAGAGCAGCGACCAAAGTGTCAAACAGATGAAACTGGGGAAAAACCGAACTTACGATTCCAAGAGGGTCTGGAGAGAGAGTGCGCTGGCGTTTGGGGGATGGTTCAGAGAGTGGAGGCTTCCCACTATTTGAGGCCATGGCGAATGAGTCGTGCGAAGCGAGCGTTCAAGTAGAAAGGAGAGCAAGGCGACTTGTTTAGAGCAAGTTCCAAACGTATCGAAACTGGTTGTGGTGGGTAAAGATCTCAGGAGGGAACAAGAAGCAATATGAGTTTGGAGGGTATTCTTATTGGCTAAGCATCAGACTGCGTATAGCAGGCACGGCCTCCGATGACCAAAATGGCAGAGTATGTAAGCTCGTAGAGTTCAAAGCAGTGCATGGCGAAGATATGCTGTCATATCATATAATCAGTCACATCACCCAGCCCCTTCTAGCTGCTGCTTCATTGATGGCCAATGGACATTTCTCAGAAGCAGAGTGAATGAACAGTAGAGCTCGAAATTCCCAGGAATGATGGAGCAAATGAACAGTCATCATATCACAAGAATAGGAGAATTTGACGTGTGGTTCGCTTGCAAAGATGGGTTGGAAAGAGAGGGACCTGAAAGCGGTATAGGGGGTTCGTATGAGCCGAGCTGTTCAGACATTGGTCCACCTGCGTGCCCGGTCCCAGGTCTGTAGAAAGGTACGCTCGGGCAGTTGCTCGTGGAGGCAGATATGTCGTGCCTGCCCATCGAGGGAGTCCGTGTTCTGATTGTCCTTCCTTGGCGCTACAGGCGAACAGGAACAGACAGACCCACGAGGCTCAGCCCACCCAATGCCATGCCATGAAGAGTGAAACATTTGCTCTACTCGTGAAGAGCCCTTTAAGGAATATGTATGGACACTGGGCGCATGTCGTTCAACGACGCAAGACGTTGAGATCTCGGTCTCTCTGCGTGCCCAGATCCAAATCCTCTAGGAAGGTCCGACCGAGGAGTTGCTCAGGGAGGTAGTCCTGCTGCACCTTCCCATCGACGTAGTTTGGATTGTATTTGTACTCCGCGCCATACCCGAGCTCCTTCATGAGCTTGGTCGGGGCATTTCTCAAGTGCACAGGAACAGGCAAGCCTGCGATGCCCGGCTCATTCAACGCGGCGTTAACGTTGTTCAGCCCGCGATATGCCCGGGTGCTCTTCTTTGACAGAGCCATAGCCACGGTGGCATGTGCGAGGTTGATTCGTGCCTCCGGGAGTCCGATCTTCTCCACGGCGGAATGAGTAGCGATGGCAAGCGACAGCATTGTGTTATCAGCCAGCCCGATGTCCTCCGAAGCGACCACGATGAGCCGCCGAGAAATGTACAGCGGGTCTTCGCCGGACTGAATCATGCGAGCGAGGTAGTAGAGCGCCGCGTCCGGATCGCTGCCCCGGATTGACTTGTGGAAGGCGGAGATGGTGTCATAGTGCTGGTCTCCAGCGCGGTCATACACCAGGGTTTTTGTCAAGGACTTTTTAAGGACTTCCTTGTCCATTCCGGGTCTCTTTGACAGGTCCATTGCTAACTCCAGCAAGTTCAACGATGTACGCGCGTCACCGTCGGCAAACCGGGCAAGATACTGCACCAACTCATCATCAACAAGGTTTGAAGGAGTATAGTTCGGGCCTTCAACCCGGAGAGCGCGCTGTAGGATCGAGGTGACATCCTCGTCGGAGAGCTTCGCAAGAGTGAAGGTGCGACATCGCGATAGAAGGGCATTCTGGACTTTGAAGGATGGGTTCTCGGTCGTGGCACCGATGAGCGTTACTTGGCCACTTTCTACAGGGCCCAGGAACACATCCTGCTGGGATTTTGAAAACCGGTGAATCTCATCGCAGAAGATGATGGTCTTTCTCCCGGTAAGTCCCAATTCACTGCGAGCTTCGGCAAAGATCTTCTTGCACTCCGCCACGCCACTGCTCGTACTGTTGATCTCGACGAACCTGCTGCCCACCAGCGATGCAATCACACGAGCGATAGTCGTCTTTCCCGTACCCGCACTTCCCCACAAGATCATGCTCGGGACCCTGTCCTGCTCGATGAGTCCACGTAGAACCCCATCCGGACCGACCAGTTCTTGACCACAGACCTCCTCTAGGGTCTTGGGCCGCATTCGTTCCGCCAGGGGAGCTGCTTTGTGGAAGGCATTGATCCTCGGACGCTTTGCCTGCGGTTCTTTCTCTCCACCTACTTCCTTCGATCCAGTCTGTGGCGGTTCTGAGTCTTGCACAAATGATCTCTTGCCGTTGAGAGGTCGTGGTGTTACCGGATACGAGGGCGATTCTTTAATAGGATTCGATTGGGAAGCTTTGCGCGCGGAGGGCGGTTGAAAGATGCTGGGGACAGCCTTTTGGGAGGAATCTGGGGAGGATTCGATAAAATTCTGACAGCCAGAGTCGATGTGATCATTGATCTTCAGCTGAGGAACTGGTTTTTCACAGATCGGACAGTGAACCATTGTTGCTGAGAAATGGAGTGGTCATCACAGGAAGCTTTGCGGGTGCCGAGTGTTGCGGAGACGGAAGACGCGTATCAAACGCGCCTTAGTAAGTGCAGGTGTAGTACGGAGTACACAGCGAACAGATAGAACAGATCGGAAATTACAGACAGTCTGGTGTGAAACAGTCTCTTTACAAGGAAATGTATTAAAACACAATGTTCCAAGGTAATCGAGCCATACTGCCTATGAGGTATGTACAATACTGCGGAGTCCAAAGTAGTGGCATTAGATCATATCAGCCTCTGCTTGTACCATCTTTGCTGGAAGGTTAGTTTGGCAGTAAAATAGTAACATATAATATTTCTTTCCTATTAAAAAACCACCACTGGAGATATATAAGAGAATAAAGAAAACAAAACAGAGGATAGTTGAGTGTTATCTCCCGACTTCCATCGCGGAGTTAAGGCCGACTTTCAACGAATCACCGAGCACGCCATCTGCCCGCACTTGACAACCTTCGTCCTTCCACTTCCTCTCGGTCATGCTGTGTCGGTTCTCACCTTCTCTTCGAATTACTCGTCCTGTACACTCTTCGACGTCATCCCCCTACAGAGCGATGTCCGCAACAGCTGCGCGCCCCGACCCATTCCGCCCCGCCAAGCGGGTAGCAGGACAGCGCCAGGATGTCTGGTAGGCAATCACAACAGAACAGCCGAGGAAGACTCACTGAATGGTATCAGGTCAATCGTGAACGAGGCTGCTGCTGCTTCGCCGGTGCAGCCCATCGTGAACATGGGACAAGGGTTCTTGTGAGTCATTTCGTCATTTCGGCATTTCGGCGCTGCCCGCAATCGCTCCCGAGGGCAATCGCTGACACTGAACGTTTCGTACAGCGGTTACAACCCTCCCAAGTTCGCCATTGACGCCGCAAAGGACGCGCTGGACCGCGTGGAATGCAACCAATACTCCCCCACCAAGGTATGGCAGCGCCGACAAACCCTCCACCCCTCCCCCGCGCACGTTCGGACAGCTTCTTACAAACCTTAGGGCCGCCCCCGCCTCAGACAAGCTATCGCAGATGCGTACTCGCCCTTCTTCGGCAAGAAGCTGAACCCTGAAACCGAAGTCTCGATCACAACCGGCGCAAATGAAGGTGAGGGGCTGATCGCAGGTACATCAGGTTGGACAACGCGCTGACCACATGTTATAGGCATGCTCAGTGCTTTCATGGGCTTCATTGAGCCCGGCGACGAAGTCATCATATTTGAGCCCTTCTTCGACCAGTAAGGAACATTGTGTTCTTGGGAAGACTGGCTTGCTGATCCCGCGGACAGATATATTAGCAACATCGAGATGCCCGGCGGTGCTATCCGTTATGTTCCACTTCACCCACCCCAGGATGGTGCCACCCGAACCTCCCCTGCGTCTGAATGGACCATCAACTTCGAGGAGCTTGAGAATGCGATGAACCCCAAGACTAAGATGATTGTCAGTACCCAATCAAACCATGAGTGAAAATGGAAGCTAACGAGAACAGGTCTTGAACTCTCCGTAAGTGACAATTTTTCGTGAACCGAATAACTCAACTAATCACAGATATAGCCACAACCCCGTTGGCAAGGTCTTCTCGCGGGAGGAACTCGAGCGCATTGGTGAGTTGTGTGTGAAGTACAACCTGATCATCTTGTCCGATGAGGTCTATGACCGTCTGTTCTATGTTCCCTTCACGCGAATTGCTACCTTGTCTCCTGAGCTGTACGAGCGTACCCTGACCGTTGGCTCCGCCGGCAAGGCGTTCTACGCCACTGGTTGGCGTGTCGGATATCTCATTGGCCCCGAGCACCTGATCAAGTATGTGGCCGGTGCTCACACCCGCATCTGCTACAGCAGTGTCTCTCCTCTCCAAGAAGCTGCTGCTGTTGCGTTTGAGAAGGCTGAGGAGGAAGGCTTCTGGGACGAGAGCCGAACGGACATGCAGAACAAGATCAAGTTGTTCTGCGAGGTTTTTGATGAGCTTGGTCTTCCGGTATGTGATTTTATCAAGCTCCTGTTGGGTCTCGCTAACTTGAACCTCCACAGTACTCTGATCCCGAGGGCGGGTACTTTGTCCTTGTCAACATGGCCGCTGTCAAGCTTCCAGCAGACTATCCCTTCCCACCCCACGTTGCCAGTCGTCCTCGCGACTTCAAGCTTTGCTGGTTCCTCATCCACGAGGTCGGCGTTGCTGCCATTCCTCCCACCGAGTTTTACACTGATGACAACACCCACATTGCTGAGGACTACCTCCGCTTTGCGGTCTGCAAAAACGACGATGTCCTCGAGACTGCCAAGGAGCGCCTGCGGGGCTTGAAGAAGTACATCACGCAATAACTCACTGGTAATATATAGAACCAATGCTGTTATAAATGCTTGGATAAATAGATAAAAGCCATACCACATCACACGCTATTCTTGGTCATCTATATGTTAAGCGAATTACTTACAGCAGTACATACAGTAGCAAACGCATATTACGGACTACAGATCTACCGTTTGAACAGAGCACAGCAAACAGACTTCATTTCTTATCAAGGGGACATGACATCCCCCGGCGAGCAAAACCAACCGCCCCACCCCCCAAAAACAACCGGAAAGGGAGCTTCTCCCCCTATCTCCGGTCCAAACCCCAGGGCAACTCCACCCACATTGGGCCCGTTCCCGCGCCATCCCAGCCGTCGCCGCGGGGATAAACCCGCCCCAACCGAGGGGCCCGCCCAAAACCCCGACCACAGACCCGTTCCACCATGTTCCCCACCGCAGGGTGAGTGGTACGGTGTGCTCGCAATAGCCAAAAGTTACCTTCCAGCATATCACAGAGCTCCTTGAAACCACTCATCCCTGCATAGGGAAACACGGGGCGACGATCGGATTTGCAGAGGGGGTTCGAGCAGGGGCTTGGGTCGCCAAACCACTCTGTCTCACAAGCGTGCAGCCTCTCAGCCTGCTCGAAACGGAAAAAGTCTGAAGGGAGACCCATCTCGAGTGACAGCTGGGAGGCAAGCACACTGTCCACGTAGTTGTCACTGAGGCCGGAGCCCCTCAACCAGTCTCGCGCTAAGCGGTACAGATAGCCCACAAGGGCTGGATGTTCAGGCGCCACTGGAGAAGAGATTGGTTAGCTGTGGCCTTGGCAGTGATCGTTAATAGTGAAATGATAGATAGATGAAGGAATATCGAAAGAGAAGTGAGCGAACGGAGAGAATCGGGTCAACTTACTGAAAAGGCAAACCGCCAGGACCCGGCGGAAGCGGTCCTTTTCATGGGGCCTTGCGAACCAAATGGAGAGTTTGGTCCGCGATGAACATCCAAGCCACTCGTGGCTGGCTGGTTGATCCGCAACATCCATGGGTTCGGCTGCCTCGTCAAAGAGAAAGTAATCTCCGTGATTTCTTGACGAGGCGAACCACAGGGCCTGCCGATGGCGAGCAGGCCCGTCCCATCGTTGGATGTTGGGAAGCATGGGTGGACCCATAAGAATCTCCTTTGGAAGATGCTCGACAGCGACTGGGTGGAGGAGCGTAAGGGTACCGCACCTTATCCAGTGGTCGCTGACAGCCTCCCACAGGTGTTGCTTGCCGCAGTAGCGGACCAGGGAGAATGGTCCACATCCCGGGCAGACGACAGAGGTTCCATCCATGGGGCTGCACTGGTTCGGACAACCATCCTTGGAGCAGCGGGTGGTTGCTCGGAAGAGGTTCCAGTGAGCCTGCATGAAAAGGGCCTCGTCGCTGCCGGACTGCATTGCTGTGGGAGATTTCTCTTCCTCGAGAGTCTCAGGTGTGGACATAGTGGGACTATTCCAACCATCAATTGGGAAATGGGGGTATATTTTTGCATACCACTCCAGAACCCTCCGGGGATGGAGAGCAGCAGCCCTTCTCCTTCGCCGCTGGCGGTCTCTCAGCTTTCGGTCTTGTTGTTTGTCGGAGACCGCGGACTGGCGAGTGCGGCTAGACTCGTCCAGAGCTTCGTCCGTTGGCTGGACGGGGCGAACAAAGGCAGCCTCTGTCGCAAGCTCGGACAAGTCTGAGGTACGCCGGAGAAGGGCGCGCGATGGTTGGGAAGTCGGCGAGGCTATCTTCTCGAGACCCTCAAAAAGACCTGATTTGCAGGTTAGAATCAATGCAGAGGTGATAGCGAAGTAAAGCGGAGTGGACTTACCCAATCTGACCGCATCGTTAGACTCAGGGTGGGGAGTTTCAGCCTCCAACACTTCCCGGCGGCAGTCGGCGTACGTTTCGGGGTCTGATATCGAACTTCATTAGCTGCTGACTTCGAATTAACCAAGATGATGTGATTGAACTTACCAGAAAGATAGCCCTGGGAGTCTGACACAGGCCACACACACTCATCCTCCATCTCCCCCTCCAGCGGAGTGAGACACAGGGAGGTGTCTTCCCCTGGCTCGGCTTGCTCCGTGGTGGCATCCTCCACCTCGCCGGCGTCGTTGCTGTTGTCGGCAGCGGCAGCAGTGATAAAGCTGCAAGGAGTACTTGATGGGAGGGAGACGGGAGGGGAGAAATGAGTGCGGGCCGTACCAAACGGCGAGGTGGGTTGTGGGGAGCTCAAGACAGGAGAAGTGCTCGGCGACAAAGACGCAGGGGCTGTTGATTGTTCAAAAGGTGTCCCATACTCCCGCTCAGCCCGGGCATCTCGACATACGATGTCCGTTTGCACTTCTGGCGCGGCTTCAGTCTGGGAGGGGAGCTCGTTGTGCTCTTTGACGTGTTCCTGAGTATCGGCAGCCCCAGACTTGCGCTTGATCTTCTTCTTCTTCTTCTTCTTCTTCTTCTTCTTCTTCTTCTTCTTCTTCTTCTTCTTCTTCTTGCTCTTGCTCTTGCTCTTGGTGTCGATAGTAAGAGATTGGACACTCTTGGTCATTTCTTGAGACTCCTTTGCAACATCGGGAGTTTTTGGCCGCTCCGACACGGGCACTGAATCTGGGATGGTACCTGTGGGCTTTGGCTCCTTGGGCTGCTGGGTTTTTTTCTTGTTCTTGCGCTTCGACTCCGCCTTCTCGGGCGTGGAAGCTACGACGGACTTGGACAACTTGTTGAACATCTTGCAGTCACTTTCAGCATTGCGCGTCTCCCATTGCGTGCGTAGCCAGATTCGTGCTGGCATTGCCAGCCATTTGCCAAATAGATTCTGTGATTTGTTAGCAAACATGCTTAGAGATGGGATGAATATGTTCTGATGCGTACCGGATCATTGAAGGAGATCTTTGTGAACACTGTATGGTGTTCATTCACCGTCATAATCATCTCTTCATCGGCACCAACCTTGTTGATATTGACAAACTTGTACGTGATCATCGAGTCATTCTTCTTCCTCATCCAGCTCACTCGGCAGCCAGCATTTTCCCAGGGGGTACACCAACCGACGTGGCATTGTTGTTCTTTGGCATTGTTCACCTCCTGCTTGACAGCTTCACAGCCAATCTTCATTTCGACGATTCCCAGGTTCTCTGGTTTGTAGAAGACATGCTGCAAGACAGCCATGAAGCCTACCATGCCATCGGGGAACCCGATGGGAATTCGGAACTCCATCTTGATCATAAAATCGTCGACTGTCACATTCAGCCCGCCTTTTGGAGCGCCGTCAACTTGGTTGCTCATGACGAATATGGCACCCCCAGTCCTCCAGTTCAAGACTTCCAATTGGACCTGACCATTCATCATGCTCAAACCAAGCTCTTTGTCGCTTCTGGGCACAATAAATCTTCCAAATGAGGGTGTCGAGGACCGAGAAAGCCCAGTCTCATGCTTCTTCAGCTGATCCGACGAAGTTGGGCTCAATGCAAATTCGCCGGCATCGGATTTAGAGCCACTGAATTCAGGCTCTTTTGGGTCAATCTTGCTAAAAACGGTCGGCATGGTGCAAGGTGATGGATTTGATCGGAGTGGTATGCTGCGTGTTGGTTAGTTGGACTGCGTTGATTCATTATACTTCTGGGACTAACCAAGTTTGCTCAGGTGAGCGGCAAGGCATGTGGTATGACAAAAGAGCTCACGAGAAATGAGACACGTCACTGAGCTTGATGCTCTTTGAGAATCTTCAGCACGTCAGCTAACGGACTGTGATTGAAAGGCACCTGTTTAGGCAAGGTTTGCTAGGCCTTAGGGCTAGGACTTCACGTCTGTCAACTCGAGCTATATCTAGAGGGCCAAAGACATCGACTCATGGCCAGCCAACACTCCATCTCGGAGATAGACCAAGACGACATAGAAAAATCTTCGTGAATCAATCTATGGTCTGTGAATCCAAAGAGGTAGTGTGGCTTTGCTGTGAGTGGACTTCTGTATCCCAGGATAAGCTCGAGCTGTTATAGGTGCAGTTGCAACGAACCAGAAGCCTGAGTGTTACTCGTGAGGTAATGACATACCCAGGTATTGTTTAAGACAAAGTCTGGTCAGCCTGTGTTGCAGATTGACTTGTGTTGTCGTTGGAATTGTCACTGGGACCGAGCCGTCAGGCATCAACCAACATTGCAAGAGGTTGATTGTGAGGGAAGGAAGACATACCAGAGCCAAAGGGAAGTTGCTGCTGAGTATTGCAGGTCCGAGACGGCGCGTATGTGCTGATGATTTACTGTGTCTCAATCAGTCACTGCAAAGCATGATCTTCAAGGACATGCAAATACTGCCGCCGCTTGGAAAGACAAAAGTGCCGAAGGACTTACCTGCTTATCTCTTTTTATGGGATCCAAGACGCCTCAGTAGTCTACAAAGACTGTGTGAGGAATATGGGAAGAAAAGAAGTTGCGAAAGTGTGAGATGGGAGAGGAGGTCGAGAGAGAAGTGAGAGCAGGAATAAATTCGCACCGTTCCCCGCAACGACCACCAGTCCCGAAATACGAAGGCAATTGAATACCTACGCACAGCGGCTTTGTGTTTATTAAGAAGACACTTGCTGATGGGAGTCGAATAAGTTTATGCGTGAAGTTCAAAATGAAGAGAGCATAGGTAAGACGGAAACACAGACGTCTGTTTCTTCTCCCTGTATCTTTGACTACCAGGCCAATCTTCTGGTATAATATGCAATTCAAGACCCAGAATTGAGCGTTTGCTCGAATGGCCAAGCTGAAGATCTCATCAACTTCGATTGCAAGGTACGAATGATACGGCTACTTGATTCACTGATTCCAAGAGTTGTTGCTCTATTCGGTTTTCTGGTTCAAGAAAGACATTTTACTAGTCTACCTAGATCCTCAGGTCTACCCAAGGTGTTTATTTTGAGTAGCTATCAAGATGTAATTAAACCCGGGTCTGTTCTAGTGCATGCTTTTCTTCGAGATCCGGGTAACTATTGTATGAGCTGGGGGCATCTTTCCTGTTTAATAACCTTCCTCAAGCCAGCTGGAAGACTTCGTACTCATATCAAGCGCTCTGATCCAGGACTCTGTTTCTAAGGTACAAAATATAGATCACTAGTCCGTCTTCTGTAGTCTCTGACTCTCTGTATCTTCCGAAGTTTTTAGGGTGTGCCCATATCACGTGACGGGATCCACATGGGCTATGCACGGACTAACGCCACTGAGACCTTCATTCGTCGGGCGATCACTTCAATGCCTTCCGAGCTTGTTGAGTCTCTTAACTTTCGAGGTCGAATGAGACTTTCATGGCTTCAAATGCAAGCATGTTGAAGCACTCTCAAGTCATACAAATGGCTTTGCGCAGGCAAATAGTGCTACAAGAACGCATCGGGCCAGGTGCCGGTCATTCACACTGCACCTTGTGGTGCTGGTAGCTCACGAGCAACAACGGTAACACCAAAAGGTGTATTATAAGGACTCAAGCTTTGCTTCAATGTGAGAAAGATGTTTCCTGATCTCGCAGCGGGTGTTCGCAGTCATCACCCACTGTTCGAAATAGCGGATCCTATTGATGGACTATTGGCTCTGGGTCGTGGGCGGCTAAGCGCCCACGGGACTATATTTGGCACGGCGCCTTTGAGACCTCATGGACCAATGAAAAGCTTCACTCATTGATGAAACAGCCCCTGGCAGACATCTATTGTCTTCAGGCTTTATTTTTTATGTGCTTTTTGTTTCGACAAGGCCATGGTGCACGCTGAGTGGCTCTCTTAACCATGCAGGAGCCATCAAACTGCTTCTTTATTTTTACACCCGCCTTGGTAACGTCAGGTGCCGCCCAAGATGTCTGACAATAACCAGAGAAAGTTAACTGGTTGCTATATATTCATCATTCATTGTCCTGTTTTATTTTGATCCCATTGTTCCTTGCCACCCTCTCTAATTCATCCGACTTTCATTCATTCTCAATAAGACATTATATGCGCCATGTCCCACCATTAGACTGGCTTTCTTCTTCTACTTCTTCTTTCTCATACCTTTGGTTTCGCATATTACCTAATCTTACACGACGACATCGCTGGACGAGAACCTACTTCAAACATTCAAAATGGTCTTCACCCGATCCGGGCGATCGGTCTTTCCGCTGCTCCCACCATATGGAGCTCACGATTCCAGCACTGGCCGCATCATCCCCCTACACCCGGACGGCCTCACTCCGTATCTGGGACTCCGAGCTCGACTTTCACAAGTGTGGATCAATCGCTGGACGATTCTTCTGCTCCTTGTCCTCGTTCGATTGCTGATTGCAGTCGGCGATGTGCGATCCAATATGGCGTCCGCCAAGCGCGAGGCGCTTTCCGCCTGCACTTCGGTAGAATCTATGGGCAGCGCGATGGCTTCGATGCCCCATTACCTGTCCAGAGGCACCAATGAACTTGTAGCCGATTCTGTCGACAGTGCGGTGTCTGCTCTGAAATCAATGCTGTTGATGACTATCACTGGTGTTGGAGAGATCCTCTGGTTTGTTATTAATATGATGTACTCGACCTATGCCTGTCTCATCACGATGGCCGTGCGTGGTACAGTTGGGGCTGGTATCGAGGTGGTCAAAGAGGCGACTGAGTGGATCAACAAAGCACTGGGCTCACTTGGTGACGAACTTGGAAGCACCGTCGAGAAGTATGGGGACGATTTGCAGAGCATCTTAGACAAAATCAACGGTGTGGCCACAATGACCGGCGCAAAACCAACCAACATCAATCTGACCAGCATAATCGACGAATTGGAGAATTTATCTCTCCCTTCCTCGGTCAACAGCACGGTCGAGAAGTTAGACAGTGTTGTTCTTCCTAATTTCAAGGAGATCCAGAACTTCACCAAAACGATCTTCCAAACCCCGTTCCAGGAGGTCAAGGATCTAGTCAATCAATCCTTGGGAACTTACAGCTTTGATCGCTCGTCTCTTCCCGTCCCGGCAAAGAAGCAGTTGACCTTTTGCAACGACAACAGTGGAATCAATGATTTCTTCAGTGGAGTCACAGATCTGGTCTTGACGGCCCGCAAAATCTTCCTTGCCGTTCTCATCGTGGCTGCCATCCTGGTATGCATTCCGATCGCGTGGCAAGAAGTTCGTCGATGGCGCTCGATGAAGGAACGCTCTCAGCTGGTTCGCAAAGAAGCACACGACCCAATGGACGTTGTTTACATTGTTTCGCGACCATATACCGCCGCCGCAGGTATCAAAGCAGCAAGCCACTTCAGCAACAGCCGCCGACAAATACTTGTGCGGTGGGCAATCGCCTATGCAACATCTCTGCCTGCTCTCTTCGTCTTGGCTCTCGCTCTCGCGGCGCTTTTCTCCTGTTTATGCCAGTGGATTCTTCTCCATTCCATCAAGAAGACTGTTCCCGCTTTGAGCGCAGAGGTTGGGGAGTTTGCCGACAAAGTAGTGGGCGCACTAGAGAGTGCCTCAACTGATTGGGCTACCGACGCCAATAAGGCCATCATCAACCTCGACAACGATCTTAACCAGAATGTCTTCGGATGGGTCAATACCAGCACTCATGCCATTAATGAGACATTGAACTTCTTCATCTACAACACATCCAGTGCGCTCAATGAAACGTTCAAAGGGACCATCTTACAGGACCCCATCTACGAACTATACGAGTGTCTGATCGGCCTGAAAGCAGAATCTCTCCAGAAGGGACTGAACTGGGTGTCTGAGCATGCGCACATTTCCCTTCCTACCTTGCCCAATGACACTTTCTCCGCCGGTGCCTCGGACAGTATCAACGACAAGTCCTCGAACCCCTCTGACAGTTTCCTCGCCGACGCAGGTGATGAGACTTCCAACAAGATCACCGAGGTTGTCATCAGCGTCATCAGCAAGCTACAAGACGCTCTACGCATCGAAGCCATCATTGCCACAGCCATTCTTCTGCTTTGGGTTTTTATCGCCTTGATCGGCATCGCTCGCGTCATGATGCTTTTCTGGAGTCGGGAAAAGCACCGTGGGGAGGGGGGCCAGGGCCATGTGATGGATCCCATACCTCGGGGTGGTCCGCCTGAAGATCAGCATGGTTTCACTGAAGTGCCGCTCACGGCCTATCCAAAGCACACCGATGATCATGTTGCGCCTCAATACACTGCTGCATCGGCTGCATCGGATGAGAAGCATGGATTTGCTGGGCAGAGGAATTACGGTAATGCTTTGCAGGTTGATCCCACCCCGGTCGTTCGCGAAAGCAGCTATGTCGAATACGACGTAAAGCGATGAAATAAGACTTTTTTTAGGTTTCAAGGAAATCTACATAGAATTCAATGAATTTTCACCTCCATATGGTTCCGCGTTCAAGTGTTTGATAAGAAATGCTTCCAAGGTTGCTCTCAGCCGAAGTCATGTAGTAGTTGCTTTCCGAGTTTGTTATAATGCCAGTGAAGTTGACCAAAACCACGATCAATTGTGCATCTTTCGGACCAGCAGACACGAGCAAAAGTTCTTTGAAGTAAAATGCTCGTATTTTGAAGCCTAAGCAGGGCTCTTTGCAGGAGCTTCCGGTTTTGAAGTAGACCTTTGCTTCTTGGGTCCTTTCCGAAGACCCATCTCATGGGTCAAACGCCAAATCGAGGAGCGGTTGACCTTGTGATTGATCTCTTTTAATAGCTCTTGGATCGGGATTGACGGAGTTCGCTGTAGAGTCTCATATATATGATTTCGCTCGTCTTCGGTGAGTAATTTTGGCCTGCCTGTCCGACCACGGGATTCTTGCTTTTCCCGTTTTGATTCTTGGGTAATAGTATATTGAATGGTTGAGCGTGGAATATCCGGAAATCGTTCTTTTTTGATCCTTGTTGCGCCCCAGCCATTTGTGGTATGTAATTCGCATATTCTAGCCCTAGTAATGCAGTCGAGCTCTGGGCCTCTTTTCCCACGGGCTTGCGGTGTTGAGGAAGACATGAAGAATGAGGGATCAATGTTTGAATGGTACTAAACGAGCCATGAGTTAGTCCCGCGTCAAAACGCGTGAAGTTGATTACCTGATTATGGAAAGCGGTCAGAAATGGCGGTCACGAAGTGGGATGCAAAGTACTCCGTACTTGGTGTAGTTAACTGGGCAAGGGCAAATATCACTCCGCCCCATTCTGCTGGCATTACACCACGTGATCTCATCCCTCTACGGCTCGCCATTACGCCATGGAACGCAACAGCCTTTCGCCGCATCAATTGCGGAGCGCCTATCACCTTTCTCACCATCTTCGATCAGCGTCAGCTATGTCATTCTCTTGAAGCTGAGCAAACCATATCTCATATTAACTTTTCGGCTTTACACTTGAGGAGCAGACGCCCATCCTCGCACGCGGCCGGGTGCCGCTTTACAACGGACAGTCATGGCCTTCCAAGCCCAGTTCACAAGGCCGGTAAGTATAGTTGCGCGTTATGCCGAACCGTCACTAACAGGCACAGAATGTCGCTGCAGTGGCATCATCTTCAATGACCAGCTTCTTGTCCACCCCTAAGCCGACCGGGCGATTCCCAGCGGCCAATGCCAGCGCACTTCGGACCATATTATCACTCGCATCGATCGCTCACAGTCCCCCGACCGCTCGTTCCCATTCGACTTTGACACCCTTTCGTCTGAGCTCTCTCGCCTCGCCTAACAAGTTGAACGGTCTCTCGGGCTTCCAACAGCAACGATTCTTGTTCGGAGGTTCCTGGCACCATGTGCTTGCGCAGAAAGAGAAGGTGGCCAACAACAGTCCGAGCAACATCGAAGCTCAAAATGCGTTCTATTTAACTTTACTCCGTGCCAAGATGCCCGCCATTGTGATCGAACGATACCGGAGTGGTCACTTTGGTAGCGATATGACCACGGAGGCACTGGTTCAACAAGCCCAATCAGCGATCGGCGGCGACGGCGTGAGGGGACCGAACCACAATCTGAACCAGGACCAGCTCCAAGCTGTTGGCCAAGCAGTCGCTGCTCGGGCGACTGGCAGTCAAATCGGAATGGGAGGAAAGCAAAGTGGTACTGGTGCCAAGGATGCTCCGCTTTACGTCGTTGTGGACGAGTCTCTGGGAAGCACAGTCTTTCGCTGGGTCAAGTTCTTGCTCATCTTTGGATTCTTCACATATATATCTCTGGTCACGGTCACTATTCTTGTGGAAACCACTGGCGTTCTGAAGAATGTCCGTGGCGCGCAGGACAAGGAAGCTCAACCAGAGGAACAGACTGCTCGCTTCTCTGATGTGCACGGCTGCGATGAAGCTAAGGATGAATTGCAGGAGCTTGTGGAATTCCTCATCAACCCGGAACGTTTCTCCTCTCTCGGTGGTAAGCTGCCCAAGGGTGTTCTCTTGGTCGGTCCTCCTGGTACTGGTAAAACCTTGCTTGCCCGAGCCGTTGCTGGCGAGGCTGGTGTTCCTTTCTTCTACATGTCTGGATCTGAATTCGACGAAGTCTATGTCGGCGTTGGTGCTAAACGAGTTCGGGATCTGTTCGCTCAGGCCCGTGGCAAGTCCCCCGCAATTATCTTCATCGATGAACTGGATGCTATAGGTGCCAAGCGAAACGAGCGGGATGCTGCTTATGTCAAGCAAACGCTCAATCAGCTTCTTACCGAACTGGATGGATTCTCTCAGACCAGCGGTGTTATCATCATCGGTGCTACCAATTATCCTCAACTGCTGGACAAGGCCCTGACCCGTCCCGGTCGCTTCGATCGCCGTGTCGTTGTTGACCTGCCGGACGTTCGCGGCCGCATGGACATCCTGAGACATCACATGAAGGCGATTCAGTTCGGTACCGATGTCGACATTGGTGTGATCGCCCGTGGTACTCCCGGCTTCTCTGGTGCCGACTTGGAGAACTTGGTCAACCAAGCTGCAATCCATGCTAGTCGTGACCGCAAGGCCAATGTTGGCTCTTTTGACTTTGATTGGGCCAAGGACAAGATCATGATGGGTGCCGAGGCACGCAACCGTGTCATTCAGGAGAAGGACAAGCTTTTGACTGCTTACCACGAGGCCGGCCACGCCCTTGTGGCTCACTTCTCTCCGTCTTCTACTCCGCTCTACAAGATCACAATTGTGCCCCGTGGCATGGCTCTTGGTATCACTCACTTCTTGCCTGAAATGGACACTGTCTCCCGCAACTATACCGAATACTTGGCAGACATTGCTGTCTCCATGGGTGGCAAAGCTGCAGAGGAGCTGGTATTCGGCCATGATAATGTCACCAGTGGCATCTCTGCTGTAAGTCTTAGCTAATATCTGTGTCACCTTCTGTGCTAACAATCCCAGGACATTCAAAGCGCTACTGAAACAGCGTTTACACTGGTCACCCGCTTCGGATACTCCCAGAAACTTGGTAACGTTGATTTGGGAAGCAATTACGATAGCCTTTCCTCTGAAACCAAGCAAGAGATTGAGCACGAAGTGCGTCGTCTCATCGAGGAAGCCCGTAGCCGGGCAACCAACATCCTGACTGAGAAGCGCCATGAGCTTGAACTCCTCACCCAGGCTCTCATTGAGTATGAGACACTCACAAAGGAGGAGATGGAGCAGGTTCTCAAGGGCGAGCGGTTGAAGAGACTCGAGTCCCTCCCCACTGCGCCTTTGAAGCTTCCTGAGGTTCTCCAGTCGGCCAATCTCAATTCATCTAGAAACCAGGCCGCGGACGAGTAATTCCCCTCATCTTTTCCTATGTTTGATTCTCATGTCCTGTTTCCCCAATCTGCATTCCTGGGTTTGGGCGTCTCCTGAAAATACCATTTTCCTTGATTCTCTCATGTCAGTCAAGCCAACTAGCTCTTGCTCTTGCGTTTGCTGAACATACTGTACCTCTACCTATGTTACAAATTACTTGCATAAAATTCTTCCCCAGTACCCAGGTGTACCAGGACCATATGGAGTACATGTACTTGAGATAACACATCAACGGTGTTTATCGCCAACGGCTTATATACATCGCGTTCCAAAGTTCCAAATATAGAACCCGAACCGAGCGGAACCGAATGCTAAACGTTGATACCGGGCCGGAACATGACTTCATTACCGGCCGTTTCGCCGCGTAATGTAGATCGTGACAAGTCTCGACCTTGATTGCGCAAGTGAGGTTGAACCTGGAATACCGCCCACGGGTGATGTCATGGATGATTCTTGGAATTTCCGGGTTCTTGGCAGAGACAAACACCTGGGTATCTCGGCAATCCCAAGAGCAAGATATACTAAATGTGTAGGTTTGAATTTTGTTTTTCATTTCTCAGATGATATATACAAATGCAAGGCTGGATCCAACAGTAGGAAGCAACAGCAGTATGGGAAAAAAACAAAAAGTAAACCCAAGATCTAGATCCAAATCATGGAAGACCAGTCAGCGGGCATCGTGAGCTGACACGCCTATTAGGACGGACTTTCTAGTCGAAGATTCTCTAAATATGTATAGCTGGAACAGTGACGAAAGCACACAAATGCTCCAAGAGAACCCCGGTGGAATATGTGCGATGTTCAAGTCTTGTGAATCCCACTCCAATCGCTTCTGTTTCCCCTCTCGTTTTGAGTTTCGTGCATGATATAGACACAGATTCGACCGTGGTGTCGACGGTAGACCGACTTCGGGGTGTCATTTCAAACGGAATATTTATAATTGGTTGTTTATTCGTCGTCGTCTTCTTCTTCTTCGTTCTCCGCCCAGCCGCGCGACATCTCAACAGCTTTAGACCACTTTTTATACATCTTGCCGCTGGCCTTAACGCTCATCGCGGGGGCGAAGGAGGCACGGTTGGCGCGGTTCATATTCTTGAGTTCGGAGAAATCCTTCCAGATGTCAATGGCGAAGCCGGCGGCAATGGCGGCACCGAGGGCGGTGGTTTCGTGCATTGAGGGACGCTCGACCGGAATTTGAATGATATCGGCTTGAGTCTTCGTGGGAGTGTTAGCGGGGTAATATTATTCTGTAAACCAAGGAATACCCACCTGCATGCAAATATCGGAGTTACTCATGCCACCGTCAACAGCCAATTCCGTCAAAGCTTTGCCGCTGTCCATTGCCATGGCATCCAAGATGGCCTTGGTTTGGAAACAGGCCGCTTCCATGGTCGCGCGGGCAATGTGTCCCTTTTGTGTGTGTGCAGTGATTCCCCCTGGAAAGAAAATTGGGTTAGTCAAATCTCAAAATCAAAAGGCCTTGGGCACTCACAAATAGTTCCCTGGGCGTCATCGATCCAGTAAGGTGCAAAGAGACCACTGAAGGCAGTGACGAAGATACAGCCTCCGTTATCAGGCACACTGGCAGCCAAATCACTGACCTTCCGCGAGTCACGGAAGAAGCCGAGGTTGTTCATGAGGAAGGAGACACCACTGCCTGCGACGGCGACACTGCCCTCCAAGGCGTAGACCGGCTTGCGGTCACGACCTAATTGGAAGCCCACTGTGCCCAACAGGCCGTGTTTCGAGATGACAGGCTTGTCACCCACGTTGTATAGCAAGAAACAACCAGTACCGTAGGTGTTCTTTGCCATACCGGGGGAGAAGGCACAGTGACCAACCAAGGCGGAGGCCTGGTCACCCAGACAGCTGGTGATGGGAACACCTTCCAACGGCCCTTCGGCCACCTTACCAAAGCCTTCAGGGTCGGATGATGGGAGGATATCTGGGAGGCGAAGCTTGGTCTTGTCGATGTCGAAGAACTTCAACAGTCGATCATCGTATTGGAGGGTTTCGAGGTTCATGAACATGGTCCGGGAAGCATTGGTGACATCAGTGACCAGACGCTTGTTCTGGGGGCCACCGTTGAGGTTGTAGATGAGCCAACTGTCAACGGTTCCAAAAGCAGCCCGCCCGTCATCGTAGGCCGATCGGACATCAGGCAGGTGGTCGAGCATCCATCGTAGGGTGACGGACGAGGGGTATGTGGAGAGAGGCAGGCCGCAGATGTTTTTGAGGTCATCGGCACCGGGCTTGGCCTTGAGTTCGCGAACCAAGTTGACGGTACGAGTATCGGTCCAGGTGATGGCATTGTGCAGGGGCTCGCCGGTTTCCCAGTCCCAGACCAAGGCGGTTTCTCGTTGACTGGTGATTCCAATGGCCTCGATGTCGGATATTTCATAGCCAAGGGCCAGGAATGACTTCATGGCCTCTTCGATACAGATATAGACGGACTCCACCAATTCATATGGGTCTTGTTCGTGCCATCTGTGGGTGGAAACGGGATTAGTCCTGGCGGATGAGATGAGAATGAACGAACTGAGTCCACCTACCCTGGGTGCTCGTGAATCTGACGGAATTCGGTCTGGTACTTGGCGATGGGGACACCTGTGCAGTCGAAGATGATGAATCGAGTACTCGTCGTACCCTGATCAATGGTACCAATAAAACGACGCTTCATATCATCCTGCTCCTCATCTTCTTGCAGCAATGCCCGGTCTCCATCATCCTCTTGCTTTGGTCGGAAGTTAAGGTTGAGATGTCGTTGCTGCAGTTGCTCCTGGTGTTGGTGGACATGGTCTTCCCGGCCCTCGAAATCGGTGGGAGGCTCTGAATCGCCATCGACGCTATCGTAGTCCAACTCGAAGGGGTTCCGCATGATGTATAGGTGAAGAGGACGAAGAGGGGTATTAAGGGGGAGAGAAATGAAGTCACGAATTTACGCCCTCCAGAATTAAAAGAGAGGGGAAACTACGAGGTGGCGGTGGGATACGGGGACCAGCTCCCGTGGCAGAAAAGTGGACCGTGACGTATCGTTTCAGGGCGGTATGATTTATGTGTTGTTCGTCGGAAGGTATTGGCCGTATGAGAGAACCTGGAGACGTATGGCGAGGTAATTGCAAGGTATCGTATCGTATTGAAAAGATGAGGAGGGAGAGGAGAGAGAGAGAAGAGGGAAATATTAGGGAAACAAAAAAAAATATCACAAGAGGTTCATCACGTCCACATATCAGCCCAAGGGGTTTATATGAGTTGAGGTGGGGGGGCTACACAAATCCGGTTCGGGGGTTTTTTTCTGATCAGAAGACCTCGTCACCTCCCCCACTATTTTCCCCTCGGTTTGGCTTCTTGTTTTTTTCTCCTTTCCTCTGGGACTGTGAGAACTTGGGCTTTCCAGATGGCTGAAACCGTGGGATCTCGGGATTTCCATCCTTAAGCTCCCTCCGAACTTAACCCTAACTCCTCCTACTCCCGACCTCAATTCAACGTCGCTATACTCAACCCCAATGTCCCTCCAGAGTCTGGGCACTCCACAAAGCCCCGTCGATCGTACACATGACACGGTCCATTTTTCCCCTGCGGTCCCTTAGTCGTTCTAGAACCCCCTTTTTTTAGCCTACATTCTTTGCAGATTAGTTGATTCATTCCTATTCATGGAGAAAATCCCACTATCTGGAAGAATTATTGATTTTTGCTGTTTTACATTATAGCCTATGGGGAAGGGGGTAAAAAAAGAAAAGGAATGACCATGGAGACGGGTTCTAGTCGAAGCCAAGAACATTCGAGTGCATGGGGAATGGGATCTTGACTCCCTACTTCCTGGGTTTCATTCCTATTGATCGAGAGATCCCTGTCTCCAGCGTCCCGTTTGAACCTTTCGGATATCGAGAACCATGTCTCCAATCATATCAACTTCAGATCATCCGGATATGACGTCTCTAGTCCTCCGTACCAGGTTCCCTCCCCACGGATAACCGGTCTTGTCACTTTACCCGTATGGTCATGGCTAACGTGGAGAGAAGGGAGGATCTAGTTCAGGAACGGGGACGTGCGAGAAGATCATGTGCAGACTCAAAAACAATACAGTGAATATGAATTATTCCAGAAAAAAGAAAATAAAAACAAAATCAGCCATAAAAGAAAGGATATGGCGATCTATCTGAATTCCAGCATGTTTTTCTGGCGCAATCGGACCTGGCTAATTGTATTATGCACGCCTCGCTTTACCTTCCCCTTCCAGCCCTAATAAGCGCCTCTTAAGCATCGCGACATCTCTACAAAAGTACGAGGTACTTGAAACTGATTACATCCAGGGGTCGAGGGTGTAGCTCCTTCTGCTGCTTACTCCGTAATTCAACTAGTCTATCCATAGTAGATCTATAGATATTTTAGGTACCCCGTGACTCCAGAAGGATCGTCGATTATTTATTCCGCTATCCCTCCTTGCATGGGACCCCTCGGCTCCGATTTGCGGCAGCCCGACTTGATATTTGCTTTTGTTTTTGAACCCGTGTGACCATTGCTGATTGCCCTGTTGGGAAAAGATACGTTAGGTACTCTTGCAGCTTAGTATCAAACTTCCTTCGCTAGGCACGTGTCACCCGGCGCAACCATGTTTCGTTCTTTCGAGGTGTACTCCGTACTCCATACTCCGTACCTATTAGACCCCCAGGGTTGTTGCCCACTACTCCGCTATACTCAGGATGCTCTTCTACATTGAACCTCTACACCACTCCCATTTACAATTTCAAAACTCACGATATGTGGGAACTAGGGAAAAAGATTGTGGTTGGACAAAAACTCTAGCCTCTTCGACTATACACTCCAATTGAACAAAAGAAAATTTCAGTGGCCGCCCTAGTGCGTTCTGCGTATATTCTACAGGAAATCACGGGTAATGCAAACATGGATCAGTCTTGTGGGGATGAACGCCCTCGCCTTAATGGGGCAGATTTACTCGGACTCCTCAATCTCACCACGGCGGCGAGCGTCAGCCTCCTCCTTCTCCTTCTTCTGCAGGAAGATTAGAGCGTTGATCTTGTCCTTGATGGTGTGCTCAGAGGTGATGACCTGCTGGATCTTCTCGTGGCTGATCAGGGTAGCGACGATGGAGGCACCGACGATGAAGGTCAGCACGAAACGGTACATGCCGTACCAGTGGGGGGGCACGGCCGGCGGCGGCAGCGCGGGCGTCGTTGTAGTACAGGAAGGTGAAGGCCATGAACTGGGAGATCAGAGCGTACTCGACGGGGAAGAGCAGAGTAGGCCAGGCCACAGCGGGGGCGACCACACCGGCGGCGTAACGGCGGTAGCCGAACTTGCCGCCGTAGCCAGCCCACTCAAGACCCCAGTGGACGGCACCGAGGAAGGAGAGGATCTATTGGGGCGATTAGCGATGTCAATCTTCAAACTTCCGGCCTCGCGGTCGTTTACTCACCACAGCGCCGTAGCCGACCTGGATGGGCTCGAGCATGTGCAGCATCAGCTCAGCGGACTGGCCGGAGAAGATGAGTCCATCACCGAGAGAAGCAGCGCGGCTGATCTCGTAGGAGAGGAAAGCAGACTGGAGCGAGGTCGCGACGTAGGGAACGACACCAGCCATACCGAGGTAGAGAGCCTCCTTGGGAACGTCGTTCAAGCTGAAAGTCTCCTTGATGACTTTCTACATGCCCAATTGCACTTAGCATACATTATCCATTCGAGGGAGGGAGAGATACGTACAGCCTCGGACTTCATACCGGCCATAACGTCAACGTCGTCGTCATCCTAACACAATTAGCCCCGACACAAATCAAACGAGTATCCTTGCGCTAGCTCTTACCTTGGCGGAAGAGGAAGAGTGGCGCACAAGGGCAGTGGTGACGGGCTTGCGAGCGGCGAGCGCGAAGCTGGGCGAGACGGAAGGACGGATCGCATTGCGGGCAGAGGAGGTCATCTGGGCCTTGAAGATCTGGTTACCCAGGGAAGAGCGAGCCACAGAGACATTGGAGCTCTGGAGGGCGCGGAGCGCGGAGCGGGCAGCGGCGTTGCGGTACAGCATGGTGGGGGATGTCACGACTTTTCGAGGTTGTCGGGTCAGCAAGTCACGGCAGAAGAAAAGCTTCGGGTCCGGCCGGATCACGGTGTCGACTCACGCAATTGACTGTCCAAAAAGCTGCAAATGGGATTGAAGAGTGGAGATTAGGGGTATACACCCGGAAAAGTGACTTGATCTCGAAGTCGAGGGCGTAGAGTTTCCGGGAGGGAGCAAATTAGAGAATCCAGAAATGAAGTGACCGAGTGATGAGGTGTGGTTTGATATTAGGGCGACCCGCAGCAACCCGAGATGCATATCTGGCCTGAGGCATGAAATCCGGGGGCTCTCGTGGGTGCCTCAGGCCACGATGACACGGGGGCTGCTGCCCTAGAACCTACGTCACTGTTGGGGTAAACACCGTATCGTTACCGTAAACCAAGATGTTCTCGATATCTGCTTGGAAGATCTTCCTTGCAAGGTGATTTAATTAAAATTGGCCCCCAATAGCCGTACTGCCAAGAAGCTTGCAGCCTCAGTACTGAGTACTACTTGAATACTTGGACAGTGGGCGGAAACAACACCCGCAGTTGGTGTAAAGAGCTGTACCCCATCCGTACCGTATACAACTCCCTCATACCTTTGCGTAACAGCCAACAACCTCTCTTCCCCACGCAATCAGGGCCATTAGCTTGGCTTGGATACCCAACCTCACTTTTTCATCCAGCATTCACTCCTCTACAGTCAACTTGACCAAGAACATCAATTCCCACTCTTGGTTTGCCTGTGACATCGCGCGCGCGCCCCCCAGCCCGCTCCGCTGCATGGATTGGATGTCCGCCAATTTACTAAGGTTTCTAAAGTGAACCGTACATCATGTGAGATTCTACTGAATGGGAAAGGATTCTCGAGTTATTGCTGATCAAACGCACTGTATTGCAGACTGCGACATACCCGAGCCAACCCACGTTGAAGCACCGGCCATAGAGCCCAAACCACCAGGCCCGGTTTACGGCCACCCGCCGCCACGATGCTGGAGGGAGTGGTAGCTAACCTTCTCAACCGATTCTTGGGAATTTACGTCAAGAACTTCGATGCGACACAACTCAACATCGGAATCTGGTCGGGCGACGTTAAGCTACGGAATCTCGAATTACGTCGCGAAGCACTCGATCAACTACACTTGCCTTTGAATGTCGTCGAAGGTCACCTCGGCCAACTCACACTATCCATCCCATGGTCAAATCTTCGAGGGAAACCGGTGAAGGTTGATATTGAAGATGTCTTCTTGCTGGCGGCGCCGAGAGAAGATGCAGACTACGACCCGGAGGAGGAAGAACGACGCGCCAATGCGCTGAAAATGGAACGAATCGAGAGCGCCGAGATCTTACGTGAGCGAAACGCAGAAGGCATGAGCCAGGAAGAGCAGCGTCGGAATCAAAGCTTCACGCAGAGCATGATCACGGCTGTGGTGGACAACCTACAGATTTCCATCAAGAATGTGCACTTCCGGTATGAGGACTCTATTGCCTCTCCCGGTCATCCATTTGCTCTTGGTGTGACACTCAAGGAGCTCAGTGCTGTCAGCACAGATGGGGAATGGAACCCAACTTTCATCCAGTCAGATTCCAGTGTCACGCACAAGTTGGCCGTCCTTGGTGCTCTCTCTGTTTACTGGAATACAGACGCCACACTCCTCGGAACTGGACGGGGGTCTGATATCGGAGCCGAGGCTCAGGGAATCGGCCGCGCAGAATTGATGGAGAAACTGAAAACCTCAATTGATGCCGATGAGGGCAATCAATTTATGCTGCGCCCTGTTAGTGGTCGCGCTGGATTGGAAATGAACAAGTCGGGCAAATATGACACGCCTGCAATCAAGGCACGATTGCTCTTTGACGAACTTGGCTTTGTTCTTGACGATAAGCAATATCGCGACGCCCTGATGCTGGTTGACTTGTTCCATTACTTCATTCGCCACCAGGAGTACAAGAAGATCCAGCCGAAAGCTTCCCCGAAGGAAGACCCACGGGCATGGATGAGGTTCGCGGGAGAAGCGGTCCTCAGTAAGATCCATGAGCGCAACAGACGCTGGACCTGGGGCTTCATCAAAGAGCGCAGAGATGATCGCATTGCGTACATTACTTTGTTCAAGAAAAAGAAGAAGGAAGAAGCCTTCACGCCCGAAGAAACCAAAGAGATGGAGAGGCTTGAAGCTAAACTTAGCTACGAGGATATCCGTTTCTGGCGATCACTTGCACGAAATCAACTGCGGAAAGAGAACGTCGGAGTCAAGAAGCCCGCAGAGCAACAGTCTTGGTCTGACTGGTTCTGGGGCGCCAAGAAGGAAGAATCCGAAGAAACGGCTATGACGGAAGAACAGCGACAAGAGCTGTACAATGCCATTGACTGGGACGAAAAGAAAGCCATCACCGAGAGCGTCGATCTGCCTCGAGAATGGGTCAAGCTTGAAGTCAACTGGAGTCTCCGCGCTGGTAGCTTCACCCTGTTGCAGGAGCCCCACGGTGCAGCAAACGAAGTCATGAAACTAGTGTTTGACAACTTCCGAGCCAAAGCTCTCCAGCGCCCTGACTCCTATCTCCTTGATCTTGACCTGGGAGGCTTAAAGATGTACGATGGCACTACCGCCGGCACTCTGTACCCTCAGATCGTCAAGGTTAAGGACTCTCTTGACTCCACCGATGACCAAACCAGCCTGACACTGGATCAATCCACTTCAGATATCAATGACGAAGGCAGCCTGTTCCATTTACAGCTGGAGCAAAACCCCCTCGAAAGCGATGCAGACACCGCAGTCAAAGTGAAGCTCAAGAGTATTGAAGTTATCTACAATCCCCGGTTCCTCGTGGAGATCGTCAAGTTCTTTGAGCCACCCGAGAGACACATGGAGTCTATTGGTGCCCTTCTGGACACAGCAGGTGCAACCGTCGAAGGCCTTCGACAGCAAACCCGGGCTGGCTTGGAGTTTGCTCTGGAGGAGCACAAGAAGGTTGATGCGCAGTTTGATGTCCACGCACCCCTGATCATTGTCCCCGAAAGTATCACACAGCCAAGCTCGCTGTGTCTTATTCTCGATGCCGGTCATGCAAGTGTCAACAGCGAGCTGGTCGACCGTCAGGCAATGCGGGATCTCCAGTCCAAACAAAAGCGACAGTATGAAGAAGAGGACTACAAGCAGCTAGAACATTTGCTGTACGACAGATTCCTCATCAAGCTTGATTCCACACAAGTGCTCATCGGACCTGGAGTTGAAGCTACAAAAGCCCAGCTCAACACCAACGTGGAGTCCAGAAACTTCCACATCATTGATCGCATCAACGTGGATCTGGCACTGGAGATGTGCATCGTTCCAAAGGTGACACAGCTCACGCGCACACGGATTTCGGGACATCTGCCAGAACTCCATGCATCGATGTCAGACACCAAATACAAAGGATTGATGAAATTAATCGAAATTGCAATCCCACAATTCGATGATAAGTCCGAAACAGCCGTGAAGGAGGAATCAGTGACACGACCCAGGTCGTCCTCCTTCCAGCCACCCATCCAACGAGACCTCCCGGTTGTTGATGACGATGACGACGACGTCGAAGAAGTAGAAAGGAGCAGCGATACTCCGGGCTCTCCCGCCATTCACAGGCGGGACTTCGAATTCAAATTCACCGTCGGTCGTCTCCGTGGATCACTTTCCCGTTCCGATCCCCACGACGCGCAGAAAGATCACTTGCTGGTTGAGCTGGTCGCTGAAGGCTTTGAACTGGACTTCTACATGCGCCCATATGATATGGTCGCTGAAGTTGTTCTCAAATCGCTGAGTGTGGACGATTACATCGAAGAGAACCCAGTTCCGGAATTCAAGAGAATTCTCTCGTCCAAGGGATTCAATGCAGATGAAGACAAGGATCTCTTCCAGCTGAAGATGGTCCGGGTCAAGCCCGAGTCTCCAGAATTCGAATCAACGTATGAAGGCGTGGCCATGAACCTGGATATTGCAGTTTCTACCATCAACCTCGTCGTCACGAGAAAGACACTCCTCACTCTTCTAGACTTCATCCTACTCACCTTTACAAACCCACAACAGCCCACTCAGCCCGCTGAAATCAAAGACAGGGTTGAAGCGATCGAGGAAAAACCACAAGCCGCTGGAAAGCTTCGCATCAGGGCCAACCTCAAGAGTATCGCATTGATTTTGAACAATGACGGATTGCGCCTGGCGACTTTGAGTCTGAACACTGCCGATGTCGGAATCTTCCTCGTGGGTGCTTCTATGCTCATTCAATCTCGCATAGGCAGTCTGACATTGGTGGATGATGTCAACCAAGGTGCCTCGGAGGACTCTGACATTCGCCGCCTCCTCACCATAGAAGGAGAGAACTTCGCTGATTTCAAGTACGAGACTTTTGATTCCGAGAGTGAGACATACCCCGGTTATGACTCCGAAGTCTATCTGCGGTCTGGGTCGATCAAGATCAATTTCATGGAGGAGCCATACCGCAAGATCATCAACTTCCTCGTCAAGTTTGGAAAGATGCAAGCCATCTTCAACGCGGCTCGTCAGGCTGCCGCCAATCAGGCCACCCACATGCAAGAGAATGCATCTCGAATGCGACTAGATGTTGTGGTCAAGACCCCGATTGTGGTGTTCCCGCGAGTTATGCAGGATGATCGCCCACGCGACACAATCACTGCCCATCTTGGTGAAATCTATGCCAAGAATGAGTTTGTGCCTATGGATGAAGGGAAGGACAGTCCTGCTGTCAACGTGATATCCACTGGTGTGCGCAACATCCGTCTTACCTCGAAGTTCCACTTCGAAGATGGCACATCTGAAGAGCTGGAGATGATCCAGAAAGTCAACCTGGACTTCAGCATCTGCTATTTGGAACATCAAGCGAACAATCCCCGTCCAGACATGGAGATCGAGGGCTCATTGTCTCCTATCAACCTCCGCATCTCTCAAAGTCAACTCAAGTTCCTGCTGGAACTCTCGAAGTCGATTCCCGGCGCTTTCGCTACTGATGCTGAGCAACAGGAGCTCGAGGCTATGGAGTCTTTGCCTCCCTCTGTAACGGAGCCGACAAGGGAAGCTACTCAGTCCATTCTCGATAGCTCGGATTCACCGGCTGGTGAAAAGGAGACTTGGGTTCGATTGGACATGATTTTCAAGGTCGACAGTGTCGGACTGGAGCTGATCCTAGCAAACGATAATCAACCTGTTGGTCGTTTGGAAGACTCTAGTCTGTCCAAGTTCTCCCTCAATGACACTCGAGTCAAGCTGCGCATGTTGACGGATGGGTCGTTGGAGTCCGAGCTCCTCATCCACTCATTCTCCATTCGTGACAGCCGGAAGCAGGACTCTAACAAGTTCAGGAACATCATGTCTTTGATCAACAATGATGTCCAGCAGCAATTCATGGCCAGTGTCTCCATGTCCGGAGGCCAAGAGAGGCATTTGATTGCGATGTTGACTATCGATAGCCCTCGCATCATGTTTGCCCTTGACTATCTATCTGCTTTGCAGTCATTCAGTCAATCTGCCTTTGCTTCCGAAGAACCAGTAGAGGCCGAAGAGAGTGAAACAGAGGATTCTGAAACAGGGTCCGTCACTGCCGCTAGCTCCGACAAAGCAATCACAGAGGGCTCCGTCGGTGACCAAGGCTCTGGTATGACTGTCTCGTTCCGGGTGAATCTTGTTGATGCCCAAGTCATCATGGTGGCAAATCCTGCCATTCCTCATTCCGAAGCCATTGTTCTCGGCACTAAGGAGGTCTTGATCTCCCACCAAAATGTGTCCACTTTGCAGATCCAAAAAGTTGGCATGTTCTTGTGTCGCATGGATAAGTTTGAGACCTCACGACTTCGCATCCTCGATGACTTTACACTCGAAATGTCTGTTGATAGCCGAAATCAAGAGAAGGGCTCTGCCTTGACCTCGATTGAAGTCCACCTGGAGCCTCTGGTCCTCCGTTTGTCTCTTCGAGATATCCTGATGGCAATACAGATTGTCAACAAGGCTTCCGAAATGAGGGCGCAAAACTCCCAGCAGATTGAGAGTGGCGACGTGAAGAAGATTGCAGACGCAAAGAGCACCAGGGCCCGCTCTACCAGCAAAGCGTCTCACACCATCGCTAATCGTACACGCCGTCTGAGCCAAAATCTCGGACAAGCTGACCAGTCAAGCGCGCCACAGAGCTCCGTAGTCCTCAAGAGGGAAGAACTTTCTGCCAAGATTGATGGTGTGAGAGTTATCCTGATCGGTGATTTGCATGACCTTCCTCTGCTTGACTGGAGTGTCAAGAAATTCAATGTTGGGGTGCGTGACTGGTCATCTACCTTGAATGCCGATACCAACTTTGAGACATTCTTGAATGTCTACAATTTCTCCAAGTCCGCCTGGGAACCATTGATTGAACCTTGGCAGCTTGGATTCCACATGGCAAAGGAGGTCAACCCAGATGTGTTCTCTTTCGATGTCTACTCCCACAAGACAATGGAGCTCACTGTCACATCTGCCACCATTGCGCTTGCATCGAAGTCTCTTCAATTCCTCTCCACAGATGAGGATGTTCTTTCCAAGCCAAGAGGCGCCGATGCCCCTTATCGCATTCGCAACTACACTGGCTTTGATCTCAGGGTTTGGGCCGATGTCAGTGCCGGAGAGGATGGCCCAGCAGCGAAGCTCACTGACGGCGAGGAATCTCCTTGGCGTTTCGAGGATTCCACTGCTGTCCGTGAAACACTGACACCCGAAGGCCACGGCGGTGTGGTCGGAGTCAAGCTGGAGGGCAGTGGGTTCGACAGTATCAATCGCATCCCCGTTGTTCGCGAGGGCGAGACTGTCTACGCTTTGAAGCCAAAGCAGGAGAATGTTCTTCACAGGCTCCTTGTGGAAGTCACGCTAGGACCTGATAACGTCAAGTGCATCACGTTCCGCTCCCCGCTTCTCATCGAAAACAACACGCAGATCCCAGTGGAGTTGGGCGTCTTCAGTCCTAGCGAAGGCCACCTCCTCAAAATCGAAAAGATTCTGCCTGGTGACGCTCGTCCCGCACCTGTCGGATCCGCTTACCTTCATTCGGTTGTTATTCGCCCCGATCAAGGCTTCGGATATGACTGGTCTAATGAACGGCTGTTCTGGAAGGACCTGATCAAACGACCCACCCGCACCATCAAATGTGTCGGCGAAAGTGGCCAGCAAGCTCCTCCTTTCTATTTCCAGGTCAATGCGACATATGACAGCAAGGATTCACTCACGGGTGTTTACCCTTACATGAGAGTTCGGATTTTCGCTCCTGTGGAGATCCAAAACCTTCTTCCCTATGACTTCAAGTACCGCATATATGACAAGAACACAAAAAAGGACTGGACCAACTTCCTACGCAAGGGTGGTGTCAGCCCGGTCCATGTCGTGGAACTGTCCCATTTGCTTCTCCTCAGCATTGATTTGGAAGACACAGTTTTCCGCCAGAGCGAGTTCGCCATTGTCAACGGAAATGCCCAGGATTACCGCAGGGAGCAGACCTTGTCCCTCAAGGATGAGCGGGGTCTCCAGCTGAAGTTGCAGCTTCACTACTTCAATATTCCCAACAGTGGAGGTGCTTTCAAGGTCTCTGTCTACAGTCCATACCTTATTCTTAACAAGACTGGTCTTCCGATGGACATTCAAAGCAAGGCTTTCCTTCAATCTGCGCGAAACGCAGCTGGGCAAGGCCTTAGAGTCGACCCAAGAGATGAAGGGCGGGCGCTTCCGTACATGTACTCGTACGCCAACGAGGATCAAAGAAACCGATCTATTCTGAAGGTCGGCGAGTCCTCTTGGAGCAAACCGCAAAGTTTCGAGGCTATTGGTAGCACCTTTGAGGTCGTTTTCCCTGATCGCCAGGGCAGATCTGAGTTCCATTCGGGTGTAACCGTTGCTGAGGGAGAGGGCAAGTACAAACTGACCAAGGTCGTGACTCTTGCTCCCCGATTCATATTGAAGAGCAAGCTCAATGAGGATCTTTTGGTCCGTGAGCCAGGTTCGTCCAACGTCCACCAGATCGAGAGCGGGGGTTTGATCCCGCTTCACTTCCTTCGTCAAGTCGCAGAGAAGCAGCTGTGTCTCTGCTTCCCGGGGGTTAACAACCAATGGTCATCTCCGTTCAGCATCGCCGATGTCGGTACTGTTCATGTCAAGTTGGCCAAGGCAAATCAGCGACAGAAGCTGATCAAGGTCGACATCATCTTGGAAGGAGCCACACTATTCTTGCACTTCAGCATCGAGTCTCGTAACTGGCCGTTCTCCATGCGCAACGAAAGTGACACGGAGTTCATCTTCTATCAAGCCAATCCAAACGTGGAGGATGAAGATGAAGATGATCACACCAGCGGTTGGAGGCCTATTCGATACCGGATCCCACCACGCAGTATCATGCCCTACGCATGGGACTACCCGGCAACCAAGAACAAGTCTCTTGTGTTGACTTGCCAAGGAAAGGAGCGCCATATCAAACTTGCTGAGATAGGAAATCTAATTCCCATGCGGATTCCACCCTCGCAGCCCGGTGGACACCAGAAGATCATCGACATCAATATTGCTGCCGATGGTCCTACTCAAACTCTTGTGCTGTCCAACTTCAAGCCATCAAAGAGTATGTACAAGCAGCAGAGAGGACAATCCTCGCAGACTGGTACAAGCACAGGCTTCGAGGTCAAGGAAATGAATTCGGACGTCAACTTCAAAGCCCAACTTCGTCTAGGTGGAATTGGTATCTCGTTGATCAACCAGAATCTGAAGGAACTTCTCTATCTCACGTTCCGCGAGATTGAGATCAAGTTCAGGGAGTCAAGGCTCTATCAAACTCTCAACACCACGATCAAGTGGATTCAGATTGACAACCAGCTCTATGGTGGCATTTTCCCAATTCTGCTTTATCCCAGTGTTGTGCCGAAGACTGGTAAAGAGATGGAGGCTCATCCCATTTTCCATGCGATGGTCACGCGTGTGAAGGATGACTCGTATGGTGTTCTCTACATCAAGTACGCAACCTTGCTCCTGCAGCAGATGACGCTCGAGCTGGATGAGGACTTTGTCTTTGCCATGCTTGACTTTGTGAAGATTCCAGGTGCTTCGTGGACTGAGGAGCAGGAGGGCAGGCTGTGCGATGAAGATCTCAACATCCCTGAGCCGCAACAATCAGACAATGGACAGGATGTGTACTTCGAGCTTCTCCATCTGCAGCCCATGCAGATGGACATTTCTTTCATGCGCACAGAGCGTGTCAACGTGGAAGATGCCATGCAACCCTCCAACCCATTGATGTTCTTTGTCAATGTCATGACGATGTCGATGGGTAATGTCAACGATGCACCCGTCCGTCTCAATGCTCTGATGCTCGAGAACGCTCGTGTTTCGTTCCCTAGACTGGTCGGCAACGTCCGCGCACACTACACGCAAGAGTGCCTTCGCCAGATCCACATCATTCTCGGCTCAGCCGACTTTTTGGGTAACCCTGTCGGTCTGTTCAACAATGTCAGCTCCGGCGTTGCTGCCATTTTCTACGAGCCTTACCAAGGCTTGGTCATGACGGACCGGCCCCAGGAGCTAGGTATCGGTATCGCAAAGGGTGCCACCAGTTTTGTCAAGAAATCTGTCTTTGGATTCTCGGATAGTATGGCTAAGCTCACTGGAAGTATGTCCAAGGGTCTCGCAGCTGCCACCCTTGACAAAGAATTCCAAAACCAGCGCCGGATGTCCAAGGTGCGCAACCGCCCCAAGCACGCTCTCTACGGAATCACGGCTGGTGGCAACGCGTTTGCAACCAGTCTGGCCAGTGGCATCGGTGGTCTCGCACGCCATCCACTTCAGGGTGCCGAAAAGGAAGGTATCCAAGGTTTCTTCAAGGGTGTTGGAAAGGGAGTACTTGGATTGGCCACCAAGCCGGCCATCGGAGCATTCGATCTTGCTTCTAGTAAGTTGATCTGGTTTTGATCCGTTTTGGGACTTTTCACTAACCCTATATTCTAGATCTTGCGGAAGGCGTTCGCAACACAACTACTGTCTTCGATGCCGAGGGCCTGGATCGTGTCCGACTTACTCGCTTCATTGGCACAGATGGCATTGTGCGCCCGTATTCACAGCGAGAAGCCCTTGGTCAGTTCTGGCTTAAGACCACCGACGATGGCAAATACTTCAACGAAGACTACATTGCTCATCTGGAGCTTCCTGGCCGAGACATGCTGGTTTTGTTGACGTACGCGCGCATCATGCTCGTGCGAACGAAGAAGCTCTACACCGAGTGGGACATTCGTCTCACCGACATTCAAACCATCTCGAAAGAGCGCACCGGAATGAGCATCACCCTCAAAGGTGGCGCCAATGGACCTTTCATTCCTGTGCAAGACGAAAGCTCGCGCAACTGGCTTTACAGGCAAATCGCCGTTGGTAAGTACTTGGCTCTCTGGTGTGAGAAGAAATGTGCTAACCTAAGTTTCAGCCGTCAACGCTTTCAATGAGAAGTATAATGCCAGGGGGTAATGACGACGACCCCCTCGCCTAATGATTTCATGAGACGAACTAGTTTTCTTCAGATGGGATTGTCCACCGAGACTCCGATTCAGACTTACTCTCTGGTCTGTTGAACTGTTCCATTCACGTACATAGGCTTGATATTTGCGTTTTGGTCCGATTCATGGGCTTTTTCTTCTTTCTTTGCTCTGTCTGCAGCGATAGTTACTTGCTTATTCTTAATTTCACGATATGTTAATAGAATTCAATCGAGGCACTCATCGTCTAGCCCTCCGTTCCATTGCAAACCCACGCTTGAAGCCGTTCTCAAACTTGATGCTGACAAGCCCCTGGTACTTTATACTCCATACATATGCTAAAGACGCTCTGGGCCATTTAAAAACAAACCTAGGAAGTCTCAAGTAGAAACTACTCAGGATTTGCAAATTATCATCCAAGGCCCGGGGTAAATTCACCAAAAGCGAGGGGACAGCGCCATGGCCCACCACCTCGGCAGTCTCGTCTGATCCGCGAATCACAGCGACACTTGGCAAATGCTTGATACGACATCAGGAATAGCTTCATTTCCCAATCCGATCCTCATTCTTGCCCGCGATGGCGTGCTTTGAAACAGCAGTTGGATTAAATGGAAATGAGTGCCCAATTTCCATAGAATGTCATATTATCTTTTACCGGCATCATGGCCTCTGCGGAGAAAGTTATCACAGCGGAACATGAGTTGAATGCCCAGGCGCTGCAACTCCCTCGCCAGAAATGGTACGAGTGGTTTGCTCCGACAGACACTCCCGCTGAGCGAAAGCTCATCCTCAAACTCGATGGGCTCATCATCGTCTTCGTCTTCCTGGCGTATTGGGCTAAAGTGCTGGACTCGTCCGCGACAAGCACGGCCTACGTTAGTGGGATGAAGGAGGATCTGAACCTGTACGGCAATCAGTTGAATTATCTACAGACGGTTTACATGTAAGTCTCTTGAGGAGCTGATCGGGATAAAACCTAACTCGAAACAGGGTTGGCTTTATCACGATGCAGATTCCCTTGACATTGCTGGTGAGTTGGATCAATGCTCTATTTCTGCAACATGCAAGATCATATTAGAAGTTACTGATCATCGCAGATGACCCGATGCCCGGTGAATTACTTCCTCCCGGCTGCAGATCTCTTATGGGGCGTCTTTACCTTGGCCCAGTACAAAGCCAGCAACGTCACCCAGCTGTATGCTCTCCGGTTCTTCGTCGGTGCGCTAGGTGGCTTCTTCTTCCCAGCTGTGCAGTGGTATCTAGGCAGCTGGTATAAAAGCTCTGAGCTATCTCGCCGTGGTGCCATCTTCTTCATTGCCAGCCAAGTCGGCAGTATGAGCTCCGGATATATCCAGGCGGGTGCTTATGCCAGACTAGATGGGCGTTATGGAATCGAAGGTTGGAGATGGCTGTATATTATCTGTAAGTTCTCGTTCATCCCCATGTCAGAACTCTGTAGACACTAACAAGACCAGGCTTCGCGTGCACAATCCCGATCGCTTTCTTGGGCCTCTGTCTTCTTCCCAGCACCCCGGATACGTGTACCTCACGCTTCTTGAGTGCTGATGAGATCCGTCTCGCGCAGGCGCGCATGGCATCGGAGAACCGTGAGGCTCGTCAGCCATTTACAAAAGCCAAGGTCTTGCAGATATTCAAAGGTTGGAGACTGTGGGTGCTTGTGATCTTTGCGTTCTTCTTCTCGCAGGCCGACGGTGTATCCTCAAACAGCGGCTTGTCTCTATGGCTCAAGGCCGAGGGCTACTCCGTGGAAAGCATCAACACAATTACGACAGTCTCGCCGGCAGTCACCATCGTGGCGTCGGTAGTTTGCGCCGTCTTTTCCGACGTCTACGACGCCAAAGCCAGCTTGATTGCAGTGACAGCCTTGCTGAACATCTTTGCATGCATTGTGCTTGCAATCTGGAAGGTGCCTGTGGGATTGAAGTTCTTCGCCTTCTTTCTCTCCGGTACAGCTGATGGAATTGCGGCTATCATATATGCATGGGCAAATGAGATTTGCTCCCATAGCGCCGAGGAGCGTGCTATTGTGATCAGTGCGATGAACACCATTGGCAATACCTTTGGGGCTTGGATTCCACTCTTGTAAGTCACCCTGCAGGCCCATATCTCATATTCACTAATATTTTCCTAGTGTGTGGAAGACAGTCGATGCCCCGCGGTACCTGATCGGATACAACTGGACTATCGCTCTTGATGTCTGTATGCTAGTCATGCTGGCGGTTCTGGTTCGGTTCTGGGCCCGTGAAAAGAAACGAACACTCGCCTAGATTAGATCTTTGTGTTCTTCGGCGCTAATAAAAGTTGAAATGAAGTTATTATCTTGCAAGCGAGTTAGGATGTTCGTGTTATATGATATTTAATAATCTCTCCCAGTTCAAACTATCAATGTGGAGACCATATGATTCTATCATCTCCTGATTCAAGCACATACGACCACAGGGTGTGGAGAACAGGGCTTCCCGTCCGCTCAGCCGTACTTAAGCCACACGCCGGTGAGTTAGTAGTTGGGTGGGTGACCACCAGCGAATCCTCACTGTTGTATGTTTTTGTTTTGATCTTTTTTGGTCTATTGGATTTGCCTTTTTGCTTCCAGTCCACTCAGCCTTGCCATGAAATTGCGTTGTCAAAACGGCTTAGCCAAGACTTTCTTCACTCGACCAATCATGATTACTCGATGGTGGCGCTAAATAAAGGAAGTATAATCAGGATAAATAGTTGGAATAATAGCCCTGGAGTGAGAGAAAAAAAACGCAGCTAAAAAGACAGCTAAAAAGCGCAGCACTGAGGCTTGTGGGTGCTTCCCGAGGTCCAAGGTTAGGTGTCATAGGAATGCCCAGCCCTGGAGGTGTATATGTTCGTACCAGGTATGGCTAGCTTTCAGATCTATTATCTTGTTTGTTGACATTTAGGATACCCAGTAGGCTCGAAAGTTCTGGTATTGGACAGTATAATCAAAGCTGGCCTTATAGAAACACAAATTTCCTCTTTACCGTAGATTGCCATTCTCAGCAAGCTCTCGGGGTATACTCAACCAGTCCCATTTCTCTCTTTGCTTCTTATTCTCGGCATTCTCCCTACATATTGGCTGCACTGTCCCCATGCTAAGACAGACAAGCCGGGGTGTAACTGCTGTGTGCGTGGCAGATGGTTGATACACCACACTCCCACCTGTCGTCACCAGCTCAGGGAGCCATATGGGATTCCTCCACAAGTATATACCCTCGACAGCTGGCTGTAAGTAATAAACTACTCGTATAACTTGTGGTGATATGTCTCATTGTACCCATAGATAGCCGTGGCGTGCAGTGAAGTCTGTTGATCGACTGGAAATGAACACAGAACCCAGATTTGGTCTTGAAAGGATGTCACAACGAGATGACTGACTTGTAGAAGGTAATTCAGACTCCATGAATCTGAGCACCTTGGAAATTGGGAGTAATTATATCACTCAATGCAGCAAAAGCGTAAGTGGTGAAGATGTCAGTACCGCGTAGTGATGACATCGTCCCCGGCAGCTTCTTTCTCTCAACGCTGCTCATGCCGTGTTTGCCCTCGGCTTTCGTCCTGACGCCGCTCAACGTGGCTCCCGATAGCATGATATTGGAGGTCATTTGCATTACTCGCTGTGAAATCCGACATGGCATCGCCCAAGTTCTACCCCCGAAAGATTTCCCCTTTGGGAAGTCGCCGGTGGGTCTGGCTACGCTACTGTGCCTACCTCACTTGCCTCCTCGTCATGATCAAGACGAGTGTTTTTCTCTTTAATCATCCAGATACTAGTCTCGCTCAGATGGCATACGACTGTTTTCATGGCCCTCGAGTCCTTCGCCCAGGGCAGTACCACCAAGCCACCGAGGTCACATCTTGGAGAGAAGAGGCAGACGGGGACCCATCTGATTTAGTTGGGATGGGCATGTCTCACGACCGCAGGTAAGATCGGGTATGACCCAAGCTATCCATTCATACTGAGTTTGTCAGAGATCAGCGATTCTTTCTCGGTGGCACCTTAACCCTAACCAGCATCACCTCGGACAACGCTTCGCACCCAACTCCATTCATTTTCGATCCGTACCCAGCCTACAACAGTCGTGCTTGGAGGAAGCAATTTCATGGGGATTTCAAGCCCTGTCTTGGACCTCGGGGTCGCGATCTGAGCCGTACCTCGACTGAAGATATGATGCAGGTCTACCAAGGTGTTCAGGCTGGGTTCCCAGCGCCGGGTTTTGGATCTCACGAGGCTCTTGGCTTGGATGGTGCTGTCTGCGCGGACCGATACGCTCGCTTCGGGGCGTACGGGTTTGATGGTGACGGTGAAGACGATGTACCCGGCTTCACACGCCCTCCCACGGTGCCATGGCATGAGGTTGACTGGAACTGGCTGCAGGAGAGCTGTCTGGAAAGGAACTCCGACAGATACGAGCCGGTAGCTACAGTGAACTCGAGCCAGCAGAATCCACTGGCATTTGATCTCCCTGAAGCCCCTCATAAACTTTGGGAGCCGACTGAGGCAGGCGTGAAGCGGTTTCATCCTCGATCAGCGATTCTCATCCGGGCATGGAGCGGTCTCAATTGGAAAACACATCATCGCGAGTATCTACGGGCTCTGATTATGGAGCTTTCACTGCATTCAGGGGGCGAGTATCAGATTTACGTGCTGATCCATGTCAAGGACGACGAGATGCCGATCTTCTCTGATATCAAAACCATCAAGCGATTGAGAGAATCCATCCCCGAGGAGTTCAGAAACATGGCTCTTTTCTTCAACAATAAACTGCTGGAGGCGTGGTACCCGAAGATTGAGGAGCACACCCCCATATTGCAGCACCTTCAGCCACTGCAAATATTTGCACAGCTGTATCCGCACTTCGACTTCTACTGGCAGCTAGAGATGGACGGTCGCCATACAGGGCATAGTTACCATTTCATGGACCGTGCAGTCTCTTTTGCAAGAGAACAACCACGGAAGTACCTTTGGGAACGCAACGCTTATTTCTATACACCAGGTGCCCATGGAAACTGGAGCCAATTTACCCAAATGGTACATGATAGTCTTGCCGACAGATCAGACGACACAATCTGGGGACCAGTGACCGGGACAGGCATTCGATCCTTCGGTCCAGATCCGCCGGTCTCTCACCCCGACAAAGACAACTACACTTGGGGTGTAGGCGAAGAAGCGGACTTTCTTGCTTTCCTCCCGATATTCAACCCCAAAGATACATCATGGACATTTCCCGACAAGATTTGGAATTTCAAGTACGGGGAAAACACACCGCGCCGAGCCGCAGTCATCACCATGGGCCGATACTCAAAACGTCTCCTCGATCTCATCCACCAGGCACAGGCAACAAAGGGTCTGGGCCTCGCATCAGAAATGACAGGTGCATCATGGTGCCTGTTCCACGGCCTCAAAGCCGTTTTTGTTCCCCATCCCATCTACGCAGACGGTCAGTGGACACCGCAAGAGTTAGCGCGGATCTACAACCCTGGTCCACCGGAGAATATCAATGGGGGATCAGACAGCATCTGGAATTGGAACCATATCCTCGATCACATAACGTACCGTCTCTCATACATGTTCACCACGCATTGTGCGGAGACGCTTTACAGACGGTGGCTGGGGTATCGAACTGCAGAGCATGATGGCGGAAAGACAGTAAGTTGGTGTTATTGATTTCATGTGAGCTTGACTGATAACATTAGATTTCCGAGGACCGGTTTGGTAGGCATTGTTTCCCGTCTATGTTTTTGCACACCATCAAGAATACAGCGCAGGGCATGGGGCCAGATAGAGCAGTTCCTTGATATTGTTTCTTTGTCTTTGTGTGCTAGGGAGCCAGTGTTTACTACGAAAAGTAATTTAACCTTCTGGTTTACCTTTGGGATTTTTTCATTTCTTGAGTAAGATCTTGCATTGAAAGAGAGTCACGCGGTGATGGTGGTCTATCTTCAGACGAGCTACAGCCATGGATCTGTACATTTGGGGGAGGACTCTCCGTGAGCACGAACTACCCATATTCTACAGGTATGACAGATTCTGACCGAGGTTCATACTCCTCTTTCCTCTAGTACATTGAAAGCTACCAATCGCGTTAATAGTCTTGGTAAGACACCTTAATCCAATACTGAAATTTCTTCTTCAAACATACTAATGCTCTCATAAAGCGATTTCGATACGCGAAAGCACCAACTCATGACTATCTCTTGATTGAGATCGCAAAATCAGGAGATAAGAGGGTTTTCACAGGGATTGAAATAACACCTTCCTCGTCTGGGATCGGTAGACTTCTACCCTTTAGAGTCTTCACCCTTCTTGTTTTTCGAGACGGTGTTAACTTTTCCCAGTTGTGGTACACAGTCTCTCTAGGCAGCAAGGTCTTGACCAGGCTATTTTCAGGATTGACTTGGGTAGCGACAGTCTCAGCGCCGTGAAGTGGTTTGACAACACTTTCTTCTGGCGCAGGCTCGTCAGAGAGAGGGACGGGCTCCTCAATGACGGTCTCCTCAAGAACGGGCTCCTTGGGTAGAGGGATGGCCTCCTCTTCAAGAGCAGGACACTCTGTCGGAACAATATACTGATTGTCAACCATCAAGCATTCGGTGGAGGCACGCTCGCCGATGGAGTTCAACGAGGGCCTCTTCTCCAGGTTTTCTACATGCGATGCCAGAATTTCGATTACTGATCGCACAAGAGCGCCGTTGAAAGAGTCATGGTCATCAAAAACCCCCGGCATGTGGTCAAAATCGAATCGAGAATTGTTCGATGCAAATGATTGCTGCAAAACCCTGTGCAGGTAGTCTGGGAGCCAGACTTCGTCTTCGGGAAGCTTGGAGAATATCTTTTTTGTCGAACGCAGGATGCCGGATATGGAAATTGCTTCGCCGAAGTACTCGATATACTTCCGGCAAGGATTTCCAGGTCGAGGATCTCGTAAACTCTCGACGCATGGTAGACCATAACAATTCTCTCATATTCTCGTTCGACAAGGGAAACAGTTGCATCGAGTGGCGAATCGGTTGTCTCGTAGGTCCCGGTGTACAGGAAGTGAACTAGAGTGTGGCCGATATCCTCAGCAACTTCAGGTAACCGAACTTGCGAGGTGACGGAGCCGTGACCCAATAGAGGATATTTCTCGATATGCGACTCTAGAATGGTGTACGCCTTGGCGCCGATTTCCATGGTGATCGTTGGATCTTCATAACATCTGTAAGAAATCGCTTAGCTAAATTCGAGTAACTAGTGGGGTATGAAATTCCTCACGATGACAGTGGCTGGTTGTAATCAATATTGGGAAAGGTCTGGCTAGGATCCAGAGGTCTTGAAGCCGCAAGGGTCTTTGAGGATTTCTTTGTCATTTCGAATGGCCTTGGAACCTTGGTAATAACAAAGCAAGCGAACTGGGATACTCAAGATGGAAGCCAGTAGCAAACGTTGGAATACAAGCTTATATATGTATCGAGTCGACAAAGCTAGCGACTGAGAGAGATGCAAGTGTGGGCTGTCCTGTGTGCACATCCCAGATGAACGGCGAGATTCGTCGGAAAACAACCAATTCGATGCTGTCAATCATCCTACGGGTGCAGATGGACAGGACAGTAAAAAGACCGGGCGGCTACCGCGATTGATGACAGTTTAAAATTTCCCCCTCGGCCAGGATGTCAGGATATGGCCCGTTACGTTGTCCAGTCATGACTTGGCGGGAATGTTTCAATCCAGTCAGGCGCTGGATAACGGCACATTGAAATCTGCACTCTAGCTATAGAACGTTGACGGGGACTCAGACCAGCTCATTGCCGCACGAAGAAGACGAGTACAAACTTCGGGGCCCAAAGACTCAAATCTTTGGATTGGAGCTTGAATGGGGTCATATTTCGAGGTAGAAAGGTATACGAATAACTTCCATATCTTGGCAAACGAACTAATTCTCTACTACTCCGTACTCCTTAGTCGAGAATAAGTCTAAAATAGCCTGGAAGGGACGTGACATGTCAAGCTGCTCGGCGAGCAGGGGATGTCTCTTCCCGAGTCCCAGCTTGGACGTGCAAACAAATTTCCTTCACTCTTTTTTTTTGGAGTGTATTCTCAATTGAGAAATGATTGATCCTTGATGAGTAGCCTGGTACGGAGTGTGCCGAGACATTCAACCAATGAGGAGCACCTTGGAAAAGATGGTCACTTGTTGATTGTGGTCTATTCAGAGCAGGAGCTACGTCAATTGATCTATATCATTGAAGACTAGGCATGGGATTACTCGTAGCCTGCGAGATAGATGAACAACCTCGGCTGGAGTTGTTCTACTACACTAGTAGCCATCAACCGGCCGCATTGGTAATCATCGGTTTACTCGATTCTAAAGGGATTGCTTCTCTTGTTTTTGCTCTTGTTACGTTTTCACATAAATGAAGCTATAACCTTGGAAGAGTTGTGGAGAGGCAGCTATTGTATCTAAATCTCGGTAAAATGTACTGTAGCCATTATGATATAAATAACTACCAAACTCCAGGGCTCTTGATACCAAGCTCATTTTGGATTGCTCATAGGTAACATGCGGTGACCATAACCAAACCCTCAGCACAAAGGAATGTCCAAACCCAGCAACATTGATATCACGCCCTTCTTCGCCTTTTTGTTCTTGTTGTGGTTTCTTTTCTGTCGCTAACAGCATTTGCCATGTCTGGCAAGGCCTGATCCTGGCTCTCTTCGAGATTTGCAGTCCCGTGGGTCTCAGTATGTTTCTCAGCGGCATCTGATTCAGGAGCTGGACGCTTTTGACAGGCAACACACCGCTGCTTGGTGAACAAGCGGAGAATTTTGGCCAGTTCATAGCGGCGCTCGGTTCCAAATAGTTCCAAATATCCAGCGGTCCAGTCCAAGTGATCAAACATGTGGTTAGAGATAGCTTTGAAGAAAGAATGATTCTTTGCAAGCATTTTAGACATATCGTCAAAATCGAGATTCCAATCGCCTTGCTTAGCTGACCGCCGCAGCATCGTTCCCACGAAGGTCTGAAGCCAGACTTCATTTTTGGGAAGCTTGGGGAATATCTCCGCTGTCCAACGCAGTACTTCAAGCATGGGTATCTCTGTGCTGTATTCCACAATTCGCTCGCAGGCAAGTGTTACGAGGCCGGAGAGGTGGCAGTTTCTTGCTGCCAGGTAGACATAAACACTTCGTTGGAACTCTCGCTCATTGAAGCTCACATATAGCTCGAAGGGCGAATCTGGGGGCGAATCGATCGTCTGGTAATTACCCGTGTATAGAAAATGGACCACGGTATGACCGGCAGTTCCGTGAATATCGCCTTCGACCAAGAGAGGATACTCTTCGACATGGCACTTCAAAATGACATATGACTTGCCTCTGATGACCAGTGTCTGTCTTTCGTCTTCTTCGTAGTATCTGTCGAGATTTGGTCAGTCGGTTCAGAGTAGAATAACTCAAGATCACCTACGACAGTGGCTCGCTTTCCTCGTCCCGCGCAACCTTTTCTGCGTACAATTCCCTCTTTGAGATGGCAATCATCTCAAAGATTGGACTTTGGCCCATTTTGGATATCCTTGAAGATGGGACAATAGATGGATTCTACCAGACAGTCTGAAAATAATGGCATTGAGTATCATATAGAGGGAGTAGGGAAGTTTCTATTTATATACGAGACTGTAAACAGAGATTCGGACGTATAAACTCCTCCGCATGCGCCGTTCCAGGAAAAGAAGATGATCTCTAAACTAATCAAACAGATATCAAACAGTCCAAGACTGTCGATAGATAAGTGGCCTGAAACACATGCTGATTGGCCTAGAAAACTAGGGTGCTTGTGGAGAGGATGTGTAAATCATGCATCTTCCCGAGCTCCCTCTCAATAGCAAACAATATTTCCAATCATATACGGCTATTACATCATCGAGTTGAAGATTCATATGGAGTACTCCATACAAAGCACGGAGTAGAGCTATCAACTACAATCCAGTTGGGCCAGGTGTGTGAGCTCGAGACCCCACCTGGGCAGTGTTCCAAGTTCCAAGGTTATAGCCCAAGATCTGGTGTCGTCACTGGAGCCCCCTGGATTTCATATTTGGCTGCTTGTGCCAAGTCAGAGAAGCCTTCCAGGGTTCCCAGTTGTGAAACATTCCAAGTAGGAAAAAAACTAGTTTGTAGAAATTTGTGCCAAGGCGGGTCCACGGGTAGTATAGCGGCTATGACGTTTCCAGACAAGCGCCAATTTAGTTGTTTTATGCGGGGAGACAAACTACAGATGGCGACTCTATTGAATAGTCAAATGGTGAAATTAAAAGAGGTATCATATTTTCCAGGACACTGGTTACTTATTTGTGGTACTTGTTGTACATGTCGATGATCTTCTGCACCTCGTTCTTAGAACCGAGGAAGACACCACTCTTATCGTGAATGTGCTCGGGAACGACCTCCATCAATCGCTCCATGCGAGAGTTCACAGCAAGACCACCGGCATTCTCGAACAACATCGCCATAGGCGCACACTCGTACAGGATACGCAGCTTACCCTTAGGACTCTTCGAGTCAGCCGGGTAAGCGAAGATACCACCGTACAGTAGGGTACGGTAAGCGTCGGCAACCATGGAACCGATGTAACGGGCGCTGTAAGGCTTGCCGCCATCCTCGGGGTATTTGAGGCTGTGGAAGTAGGCATTGCACCACTCGTCCCAGTACTTGCTGTTACCCTCGTTGACGGAGTAGATGGAGCGAGTGGGGGGCATCTGCATGTTGGGGTGGGTGAGGATGAACTCGCCGAGGGAGTTCTCGAGGGTGAAGCCGTTGACACCACCACCGCGCATGGTGATGACGAGCTGGGCGGAGGCACCGTACATGGTGAAGCCGGAAGCGACGAGGCTGGTACCGGGGTGGAGGAGGTCCTCGGGACCGACGGACTTGTTGGGGCCGAGAACCTCGTCGGGAAGCTGGAAGACACCGAAGATGGTGCCTACAGAGACACCGGCGTCAAGGTTGGAGGAACCGTCGATGGGGTCGCAGACGACGGCGTAACGGGCGTTGGGGTGCTCGTCGAACTTGATGACTTCTTCTTCTTCCTCGGAGACGATGATACGGCACTTGCCGGAACCGCGCATGGCGGAGATGAAGATGTCATTGCCAATCACGTCGAGCTTTTTTTGGTCGTCACCGGTTGTGTTGGAGGAACCGGCAAGACCGGTGAGGTTGATCAGGGAGGCACGACGGATGTAGTAGGCAATTGACTTGAAAGAGAATTGGAGAGCATGGCAGAGCAGGGTGAAGTCCCCAGAAGCTTCGGGGTACTTAATCTGCTCTTCTGTGAAGAAGCGGGAGAGAGTCACGATATCCGTGTTGATGTTCTCCGCTCCGACGGGGGGGTGCTGAAGCCATGATGGATTATTTGGGGGTATAGTTGAAGAAATTGAAAATGATAGTCAATTGACCAGTTAAATAGTATTTGGATGAGCTCGTCAAACAAGGAGAAGAAGAAAAAAGTGAAGCTTAAAACGTCAGAGAGGAAGTAAACCGGTAGAAGTAGGTGACCTCAAGGCTCAGGCCGGTTTTCGTCATCTGCCCCGCGTGACCCCCGGGCCCCTCGTCCGGTTTTCCCCTCGCCGGGATCGCCCGTCTGAACTTGCTCCTTGCCTGCTCGTTCAATGAGAGAGAAAAAGGTCTTTCCAGTGGAGATAGTTCTATACAGCCATACAACCCCCCCTTATCCACTCTCCCAGCAGTGAATGTATCTCCTGGATGTCATTATCACGCCCTCATCTGGTCAGGGTCTAGAACCCGAGATCCCTCGGCCTCGGGATCGACGGAGAATTGAATTTCCTACGACCCCACCAGACAGTCATGCGGACTTGAAAAGATCCTTGGGTATCCAAGTTGGGTAAAGATTCAGGAGGGAGGCTATAAATAATGGAGCTAGTACCTAATGTACTCCCTACTACAGTAACTAATTGTGTGGGTACCGATCTACACAGTATGGTGGAACTCAATTGATACATAATGTATATTCTAGACACTTTACAAAAAAGAAAAACTGTCCTAGGGGGAAAAGAAAGAAAACTAGTCGACAGGGTCATCCTCCAAGAGGGTCTTGAAGCTGAACGGCACGAAGGGAATTCCCTCACCGACAAAGTGCTTGCTCATCGCCTCAACCCAGTGGAGACGGAGGGAGTGCAACATCGCACTGGTGCCTTCCATCACACACAGAATGGCAATTGTCAACACGAACCACAGGTAGAAGCTGACCACGATCATGATCACACGGGTCACGGGCGATTCCTGGTCGAAGGCACTACCAATGGTCATGGTCCACAGAACGATAGAGAGCTGCTGGTGGGCGAGCGACAGAGCCCAGAGACGGAGGTACGAGGCGGTGTGCGAGATACAGTTGAGACAGAACTCGATGGTGTGGATGACCTGGTGAATCATGATGTCGCCAAAGTCAAACTCCTCGTGCTCCTCGCCGTCACCCATGTCCTGGGCGAGCATGGCCACACCGTCGTCGCTGGGGCGACCGCCCAGGAGGGCGGTCTCATCACCTTCTTCATCCAGGGCACTGACGCGAGAGTGTTCACCGAGGCCGCGGTATCCGAGAGCGCGGTTCTTGTTGTGCTCGTGGCGCAGCCAGAATGGCTTGAGGAACAGCATCACCGGAACCTGTGCCACGGCAATGAGAAGCAGGAGAGTCTGAACCGTGCCCTGGCCTGGGTAGAGTTGTTCGTCTGGTGCGACCGAGCCGGGGCTCAGGAACATGAAAATGAGCATGTTGAGCAAGTTGGGAGGGTTGACTCCCTTCTCCTGCCAGTTCACAGACCACTTGTAGAGGATAGTAAGGACGAGGTAACCAAAGATCGACTGGAAGAAGAGCATGCCGGGAACAAAGTTGCCCCAGATGTCGACCTTGGACTTGAAGTGCCGTCCGTTGACGTACTGCAAGCAGAGGGCATAGGTCATGTGGGACCATCCAAGAAGCACACTCATCTTCATCTTCATACTGTTAGAAAAGAGCAAGGAGTTGTCTGCCTCATGCCAGTTCCAGTCCAGACCGAAGGGGAAACGGTAGCCTTCTTTCAGAGTAGCCTCGACCATCTGGCCGGCCTTGATGTCCGCGGGCCACTGCCACTGACTGGGGAAAATGGTGAAAGATTTGGAGAAGATATCGTTATAGATGAACCCAGTATAGATCGAGAACAGACCCATCATGAGCATGATGTATCGTCCGTAGAATGCCATGTATGTCAGTTCGTCCAGCTTGGTCCGGTGAAGCTTCTTCTCCCAGAAAATCATGGCAGAAGCAGCCATGGTCATCAGGAAACCGTGACCACAGTCACCGAACATGACCGCGAACAAGAAGGGGAAAGTGACAACCGTGTACAGACCGGGGTTGACTTCGGAGTACTTGGCGATACCGTAGGCATCGACAATGGTTTGGAACGCCTCGGTGAACTTGTTGGTCCTGACGTAGGTCGGAGGGGTCTTGTTGGTGCGGATCTGGTTGACAATGGTGGGGACAGAGAGACCGGCACGGTCATTCACGTCCTGCAAAGTCGTCTTGATCAACCCCAGAGAGTTGGTCGGACACCAAGCCTCGGCGATCAGGGTCTTGCGCGCTTGGTCGTACGAGAACGTGTTCAGCGTGGCGTAGACGGCCTTTTCCTTCTTGACGATAATCATCCAAGCAGCGAGAGAGCGGGCGATCTGTGAGAGCTCTGCGTCAAGGGTGCTCTTGGTGTTACGCAGAACGCTGCCAACGTCACCAAGGCGAGTGTTCACTTCGTGGATCTGATCCCTTCTGAGCTCGCTGTTCTCATCAACGCCGTACAAAGATGCCTGGAGACCTTCTGAGATCTTGCGGATCTTGGTCAGAATGTTCTTTCCGTGGGCGAAGATGACGAAGACATTCTTGTAGGTTGGCTCGTTGGTTGCGGGGTCAATGATGGGTTCCGGGATCTCGGACTGGTTCATGTAAAGGTTACCACGCAGAGTGCGCCAGAGCACACGCTCAAAGGTTCCAATCTTCTCCCGGGGAATGACACCAGCGACAAAACCAATGTTCATCTCCGAGAAGCTCTGGGTTTGGGTGTCCCCGTTCTGGCGAGAGGCATGGTGCTCGACATCACGCAGCAGAGGGGCTTCATCGTTATCCAGGGACTGGCGAATATCGTCGGTTTGGGTGTGAGCCTGTTCTGTTAGCTTCGTCCAGACTTATCCAGTGAATGTCTACCTACACGGTCGAAGAATCCGCCGGCTTCTCTAAGCACCCAGCGCCACTCGGTCAGCTCGACCTCGCGCTTTTTCAGTGTCTCGTAGCTGTCATTCAGCGAAACGATGCGTTGCTCAAGGCTCTCGCTGCGATCGGACAACTCGTCGATCTCGGATGCCAAAGGGGCGGCAAGGGTATCGGAAAAGTCCTGCGATGATCTCAGAGGAATACTGGCTTTTTCGATCTGCTCGTGGAAGTAGGTGAGTTGTCTTTCGACATTGTTCAGGCGACGGATCTCCTTGGTGAAGGCACGTTGGAAAGCGTTCGTGTCCGGGTTCAGCTACTCCAGTCAGCGGATTCTTATCAAGCGTGGTGCATCACTTACATCACGGAACTGGACCTGGCCAATTTCACCCAATGCACTGACGACCTCTCTTCCGATCTCGTTGGCGATGTAGAGCTGGGTCAAGCTCATGTCCGACGAGCGGAAGAAGGTGTCCTGCGGAGCCATGGTGGGAGGCTACCGGTAGACGTAGACAGGGAACAGTAGTATGAAAGAGTGACTGTGGACAAATCAAGGAAGGGCGCAGAGTCGGGGTTCTGCTGGATACCGACGCTCCTTTGCTCTGTTGGAGCCCTGGAGAGCAACTTGGCTGAACTGGCCGCATCAGCCACCGTCACGTGTTTTCTTGGCAAAAGACCATACACTTAGTTTCAGTGTGTAACCAACACACCATGACAATATAAGTATTTCTATCTTATAGGAGAAAATGTACTGGTAGAATATAATTTGTAGCTTTGTTCATAGAAATACAGGCTCTGGATGTGTTGTGGATGGGTGTTGCATAATATATATCCTGGGGTGATTCATATTCTTCGATGCAATGGTTTTGGAACTTCTAAGGGTTGAAAGGGTTACGAGAATAGACACAAATGTACACACATGAACAACCAATATACGGTGCTTCTTGTTTTTAAACCCAGGCATTTCATCATATTTAGGTATGCGACTATAGAGGCATCCTACGGCGGAGAGTTGCATCAGACGGTTGACACCTGACTGATAAAGCCAAGGCTTCAAAATTGACACTGAGAGTGAAGGATATTGATGACCATACCCCCAAGCGCTGACCCTGGCTGATCGGGGAAATGCAAGAAGAACGGTTCTAGCAGAGCATGTTACCCCCCATGAAGCCAGAGAGCACATACTGCCACAACGAGAATTGATTGGAGATTCCGGATATACCTGCGAACAGTCGGGAGAATAATCTGATCTCTACTCCCTCAAGTAGACCTCCTGACTAATCATCAGAAATGGACGGTCATTGTGTAGATCTAAGCACCACCATCTCTTTTCGCATACTCTTCTTCCATGCGCTCTTCGTACAAGCGGTCGACTTCTTCCCTCGTCAGAGCGCGACTGGCTTCAGAACTTTGCGCCCCAGTAGAGCTCCCAGATTCAGCAGCGAAGTAGCTATCGCTACCTGTGGCTTGAGTGTTTGTTTCAGTGGACTCTGTGGAGTTGGAGGGTGGTGTGCCGTTGGTCTGCTGGGTTTGTTGCTTGTCGAACAGGTCGGCATTAGGGACGGGCATGGCGGCGATTGAGATTTGTGGTTGTGTGGATGATAAGGACGTAGCGTCGAGTGAGTATGAAGTGATGTGGAGAATGCGACGTAAAGGACGGTAAACCGGTGACTGTTGCTTAGCGGATGATCTTGGTTAAATATGAGGTTGTGTTGGAGCTTGGTTGGAGCTTGTCGCCACAACTGTGGCAAAGCCAATGAAACAACGTCATATCAACAGAGCGGCAAAGCCACTGCCGTGAGCTGAGTGGCTGAAATCATCGAAGTTGCTGGCACAGTTTGGGGAGCAGTGAGGAGTACGCTGTACAATGGAGAATGGAGAGTATCCTGGAGGTCTCCGGTGTGAATCTTCATGATGTCGGCATCGCGACGAGAATCAAACGCGTCGCGCAAACAAAGAGAGGCTTGACATGACCACAAGCTGTGTATTGGGGCAAGGTTACTCAGGATAGAGGTGAATGTTTTGTTACGTGGCTGGGTAACTCGTCTGTTTACAATTTTACTTCGCTCTTCTCCAAGTCCGAGCCACTGGCCCAAGAATTGATGAAAAGAAGATAGTCCACGGATGGAGAGTGCCAAAGAATACGCCTGTCAATGACCCGAAGGCCGTTGAACAAACTGTTCCGCCGCGCTGTGCAATGCAGGGACCAATCTGTGGTGAACCGCCTTTTTGATCGCAGTCACCCAAACAAGGTAAGTATGAAGAAGAAAGAAAAGAAGAGGAAGGGCGGCGGAGGGAGGAGGTATTTATGCCGTTGGGAAACCGCACTAGCGCTAAGCGAGTTTTTGGTTCTGGACTCTCATTGGTCGGGCTGAAAGTCATGTGACACCCTCACAACTCATGTGACTCATCACCTGCCATTCTGCATTTCTGACATTTCGAGGTGTCATTTTACATTTCGGGCAAATACGAAGTACCTTGCATTCAAGTCCCCTGGCCAGTACGCACACTACTGTATGGAGTAGACGCCTGCGACCTGTACAGTGCATGGTAGACACACTGGCCACCAATAATTGAACCTCCTTGTTTACCTCGAAAAGTCTGGCTCCATACCCGAGCTTGTGTGGGCCCCCCCCTATTCCACAACTTTGTATTGTGGCTCCTGCAAAACCCGACCTTTGAATCTCAACTTGATTCGGATGTTGTCCGTCGGGAATATTCCTGTGTTGAGGAAAGGGTGTGTCGCTACTCGTATTTTCTTTCAATGTTCTGGAACCCACACTTTAATCTACTTGTACGTACAACGATAATTCAAATGCTCATCCTCATCAAAGTGGTCCATGGTTAAGTCCTTACCAATGCTCAATCTAGTGGACGCTAGAAGTCGGGAGGCTAGACGGACGGGAATTCCGTCTCCTGTGTCCTGTACTCCGTACACCGCATGGTCGTACTTGGCAGGGTAATCCTACTGGACACAGGGGGAACTTCTTAGTTTGTTCTACCTGAGTCGGTCGTTTACGAGGATTTAGTCTGGGAAGCCTAGAGAATTATTTACCCAGGGACACACCCCGTAGAAGTACGGAGTGAGACTGACTGTCTTTCCTTTTAGCATCTGCATGCCTATTCACCTTGCGACACCGGTAACATGCAAACACACATATAGTAATGCGCAATGTATGTCAAGTACCCCGTGCTCACACATCCCGAAAAGGTCGTCTCCCGAGCTCCGCTCTACATGGCACTTGCATGGTGTCAAAATTTGCGCCATCAAGAGCGGACAAAGATCAACAGTGAGCTTTCGAACAGGGCACAGGATCGTCCATGGCCGGCCAAGAAGCACCATTCACAATGGACAGCGGGATCATGGCCGAGACCAGTGACCGCAAAAAAGGGCAGCGACGGCAGGGTTCGTAAATGGTCGCCCTAACGGGTGGAAAAGGGGCTTCTGATAGGGTGTCAAGGACTACCGAGTGGTGGATCGACCGTACTGGCTATCATTGCCATGAATGCTCCGATGGTCACATTCTGGCAGCCGGTGTCGGGGCCTCATGGTGATCAACTGTACATGCAGATCCAAATCTTGGTTGTCGCTGCTCTGTATCTTTCCTACCCAATGTTAGTGGTATCCGATAGGGGTAAGGCTCACCGATGAAATCGCACGTTTCGATTAGAGAGGCTGCAGCGAACCGTGGATTTTGGCCAAAACAGCCCAACTGAGATCGGGAGCTCTTTGTTCTGCCCCTATTTGATGAGACACGGAACCAAGTTCATAGTCTACATAGTGGGGACTATCGCACTCCTTCTGGATTATTAGTTCGAACCTAAGGATGCACATATAGGGGTTAATTAGGGGCAATTTTCCAAGCCATCTCAGGTGGATACGAATCTGTGCTCTGGGTTCTGTACGGAGCATGAAAGGAATGTTCTTTGATACTCTATAGAATAGAGGCGCTCGTGTGCAGTACTCCGTAAGAGACTAGACGATCCTCGTATAGAACCCTTGGAATGATGCGTCGATCACGTAAAGAGGCAAGCTCCGTACCCAACGAGTCTTGGATTGGGCAGAGACAAAACATCATGGGATCCTTGCCGCTGAGGAAAATCGCCAAACCAAAAAATAGGGAAAATATTGATGAAAGTGATTAATGAAAGCTGATGCGCCGATAATGTACTCCGGCTACATCAAAGCCAAGATGGAGGGGCTGTACGAAAGCTGGTTGGTTGTTCATGAGGATTTCGCACGCCACTCAATCATAGAGTTGATATCGGGGTCATGAGGTTGGCCTAGAGATTGTGTATTGTTGAAGACGCGATGGCCAACCATTGTGCAGAACCTAAAGCGCAACCAAAGACCCCGACTTATCCGACCAACCAGTTCATCCTGGGCTGACTCCGAAGTACGAAGTACGATGGCAGGGCTGGTGGACAGGGATAAGGAAGATGCCCCCCCTTCCGAGGGATGGAGCCTTGCAAGTATACGGAGTACTTAGTTACATACTTGTAGTATAGTATCAATATAGCCTATGCAGACCAAACACTTGGTTGGTTTTGAAAAGAGAAAAGTAAAATGTACTCCGTAGGTAGTATGTGTTTCCTGAACCCGTGTAACTCCATGGAGATGGCAACAATGCGAAAGAGGTGTACAAAGTCCTCCGTGCAATGCTCGTACATATGGCCGCATACCAGGGTCGGATGACTAGTATAACCCCGCCATGACGATGGATCACATTCTCTGTCGTGCAGATGGACTAATGGAAACGTGTTGAAACGTGTTGAAACGGCCCTTAATTGTCTTTAATTGTCTAATCGGTAGGAGGATCCGAACAAGAGGTGGTGTGATCCCCAAGGTTTGCAGAGATTTTCCCATAAATGATAAAAGGATAAACTGGGACTTAATCTAGTTAGATCACAAGGTCTAGCGCCATGCTAGACAAAGAATTTAGGTATACTAGATTGATGTTTCACTAAAGAAAAGTCTGTGATTACTCCGTATTAGATATGGTTCATACTTGGAGGGTAGGTAATAACCATGGGACGGAGTATTCTATACTCAACATCAAACAGGGTATCCCGGACGCAGTACTCCGTATAGAGAAATGGAATATAAGTTTAATAGCTGGAGGGTATTATGGTGATAGAGCAATAGAGTTACTGACTATGGAGTATAGTAAGTAAGAAACAATGAATATCGCCGTACTCCGTACGGAGTAGAAAAGTAGGAAAGTAGATTTTTTTTTACATCCAAAAAATCAAATAAAATCAAATAAAAAAAGGCCAAAAATCACCGAAAAATAAAGAAAAATAAACCCCCTGAAGGTTAGCTAATCGCCGATCCACTGAGCTCTGGGCTCCCTGCAGGTCCTTGCCTGATTCGGAGCAAAGCGCCATCAACAAGCGCCCTCTGACTCTTTTTTCTTCCTCCCTCCCCTCCCCTTTTCTCTCCTTCCATTCCTTCTCCCACAAAGCAAAATACCCCTACTTCGTGATACCCGAGCTTTGTGCTCTTATTTCTTTTGCTTTTCCTTTCGAGATACCCAAATACCCCTCAAGTTTCTTTTCTACGAAGCTCTGCTTCTTTAATACCCAAGTTTAATACTATTAATCATGTCTGACGTCCAAAAGACTGTTGAGGAGACCCCCGCGGTCGTCCCTGCCACCGAGCCCGTCGTGGAGACCCCCGCCACCGAGGCCACCGAGGCTCCCAAGGAGGCTGAGGCCACTGAGCCCGAAACCACCGCTACTCCCGCCGTTGAGAACAGCGAAGCTGCTGAGCCCGTCAAGGAGGAGATCAAGCCCGCCACCGAGGGTACCCTCGGCCACAAGGCCCCCGGTCTTGTCAAGTGAGTAGCGCATGATTGCAAGCAACCGGGCACAATATCTGACTTTAGTAGGGGCTTCCGTTTCTCCAAGCGCTTCTTCTACTTCAACGAGGAGGCTGTTGAGAGCAAGCAGCTCTCCGTCTTCCACCAGAACGAGAAGGCCAGTGTTGCCAACCCCATCGCTGCCTGGGCCAGCCAGACCGGCAAGGGTCTGCTGTTCTTCACCAAGCGCGCTGAGGACAAGGCCACCCCCGCTGGCATCTTCAACCTCGTGAGTAGATCTTGACCCGGAGTGGATGACGTGGGTGCTAACAATGTATCAGTCTGAGGTTTCTGATGTGACCAAGGAGGGCTCCACCGAGTTCCTCTTCAAGGTTGCTGGCCAGAAGCACACCTTCCAGGCCTCCTCCGCCGCTGAGCGTGACAGCTGGGTTGTCGCTCTCGAGTCCAAGGCCACCGAGGCCAAGGCTGAGAAGGAGACCATCATCACCAGCGAGGGCTACAAGGCCGAGCTTGAGAAGCTCACCAAGCCCGCTGCTGCCGTTGCCGCCAAGAAGCCCGAGGAGAAGAAGGAAGAGACTCCCGCCGAGGCCGCCACCGAGGCTCCCAAGGAAGAGGCCAAGGAGGAGAAGAAGGAGGAGAAGGCTGCTACCAAGAGCCGCTCCCAGTCCCGCAAGCGCACCAGCATCTTCGGTACCCTCCTAGGCAAGAAGGACGCCGAGGAGAAGAAGGAGGAGAAGGCCGAGGCCAAGGAGGAGACTCCTGCCACTGAGGAGGCCAAGGCTGCTGAGCCTACCACCGAGACCTCTGTCGAGGCTGCTCCTGTCGCTGCCGAGCCCGTTGAGGCTATTGTTCCTGCCGTCGCCCCCGTTGAGGCCACTGAGGAGGTCAAGGCTGCCGAGCCCGTCGCTGAGACCCCCGCCGTTGAGACCGAGGCTGCCAAGGAGACCCCCAAGGAAGAGATCAAGGAGGAGAAGAAGAAGGACGAGAAGAAGTCCAAGCGCGCTTCCATCTTCGGTAACTTCTTCCAGAAGGTCGCCAGCCCTTCTCAGGAGAAGTCCGAGAAGGAGGCCACTGCTGTCCCTGCCACTGAGGAGACCGCCGTCGCCAGCACTGCCCCTCAGCTCGAGAACCCCGTCGAGGAGACTGCTGCTCCTGTCGAGGCCACTGAGACCGCCGCCCCCACTGAGGCCGCCGTTGAGACCCCTGTTGAGACTCCTGCCGAGACCGTCTCCACCCCCAAGGAGAAGCGTCGCACCTCTTTCTTCGGCAACCTCGGTGTTAAGAAGGAGAAGAAGGCTGAGTCTTCTGACAACGAGGCCACCGATGGTGAGACCAAGGAGACCAAGGCCAAGTCCAACAAGCTTGGTGGTCTTTTCCGCAAGCCCAGCAAGGCTGTGAAGCTCGACAAGGAGGAGGTTGCCGCCGCCGAGACCGAGGCCAAGGCCGACAAGGCTGAAGAAGTCGCCCCCGCTGTCCCCGCTAAGGAGACCGCCGAGGAGGCCGCCGTCCCCGAGACCACCCAGACTGCTCCCGCCGAGGCTACCGAGGAGGCCAAGAACGTCACCGTTCATGCTTCCACCCCTGTCCAGGCTGCCGCATGAACTGAGTCTCCCCGGAGACGCGTCGTAGAGTTTGAGCGGTGGTGGGATATGTCCTACCCGTCGCCAGCTCGCGACATCCCTGAAGGGCTGGTCCAGTCCTGATGTCCAGATTTGATACCATTTCACTACAGTTCTTTTGTGCTTTTGCCTCGCCACTGTCACTATCCGCAGTATACACCCAAGCACCCCTTGGACTGTGATGGTGGCAATGAGATACCCGCTGTCGCTTTTTTAATCTCCTTGTTTTCTCCCAAAAAATAATACCATTGGCGTCTCCCGACGTCAGCAGCCTTTCCGACTGCGGTTCGTTCTTTACGTTCCCCGTCTCGCTGTGAATAATCGCGATGCGACCATGCGTTAGGCGGTGTGCCGCCCGACTAGATTGATACCACTCTGCTGTTTTTTGGTTTCTTGCTTTTACGTTTGATACCCTGTGGGGAGGATGGGTGCTCTTTTTGGATTTTGTTGGATTTGGTCTCTGCCTTGCAACCCCAAATTGACCCGACGTTTGTCTAGCGTTGTCCTGAGCGGCTGGTTTATATTCCGCCCGTGCAGGCGGCACGCCGTTTGACAGGTAATACTTAATAGAATCTCAATCTTTGTTTTGAAAGTTGAATTATGGACCCATGTAAAGTCATCTATAGCCATGGTAGAATTTTGGAAGCCTTTCATACTCATAGTATGAAGCAAACCTGCATGTCATTCTTGATCTACGCGGTATGGGTCCGATGTGAGGACGGTGGAAACCAGCTGCACGAGTTTCATGCAAGTCCAATTCGAGTGTCTCCATTGTATGCGCTGGCAACCTGGGGTACATTAGATAGGAACAGACTTTTTGAGGATTTTATAAGGATTTACGATGGTGGTTCAAAAATGCACTACTTGTACACTAGAACAAGTGTATGCGACAGATTGTACATAATCCGATCACTAATTGGACCTTGGATGGACCGCTATCTTCAAGAATGGACCATTCGGCGGAGGCTCGGCCCTACGTCAGTGAAAAATTAGACAAAACACGCTAGACAATGTACCAAAAACAAGACTACAAATTAACAAAAGAAAAAACAAATTAATAGTGAACTCGCTGCTAGTGCTCGCACTATTGAGGCGACAGTTTTCCTCTTCTTACTCCGTATAATGTCTGAACTCCGTAGAGAAAGCTGTTCTCACAAGTACGAAGGGAAATCTTCAAACACAAACTTTTTTCTCTGCAAATCCTTTCAGCAAAAGCAAAAGTCAATTTTACGCCCTTCGGCAAGGCTAAGGGGCGGATGGACGTTTCATAGGACGCGGCGCATGGACACAGCCCACCGCGGGGAGAGAATTGGGAAAGGTGTGGATCCTGCGCATTATCCTGAACCGGAAGAAGGGGTGTTATTCCGCGAGGTATGTGTGAGAACGGAGTACGGAGTAGTTGTTGCGTAGTTCTTTTCCGCACAGCATGGTAATTGATAAGCTTGGAGTGAAGGAAGAACAAGAATGTCTGGAAGCGAGAGGGATTATTGGTCAATGTCAGATTGGAGTACCTGCGAGATACCTGTCTTGCGCATGAAAGGCAGGCGGATAAGCAAGTAGCGCAGAATGTACTCCGTACCATGGATGCCTTGAGGGCAGACAACCCTCGAATGAACCAATCAGAAGTGCAGAACTCGCTGTGACTCACACCCCGTGACCTGCGTAGGCCTCAGCCCCGTGCGGCTCGGGGACCCGATTGGTCAGCGGGGCTCGCGCACACAAGACGGTTAAGAAGTGCCTGACCCCCCCGCGGTTGCCTGAGTTTTCTTCCCTTTCTCATCTTCCCTTTTTCTCTCTAAACCGCCATATTGTTACCACACCAGAACTACTACTTACATTATCTTCATCGCCATAATGGGTGCCCAATAAGCATCCAGTCTCAAGACCAGTCTTTCTCAACTGAGGACGACATCATTTCTCCAACCGGAACCCAACCTTTTCTCTCTACTCAACCCCCCTCAGAGCCTCCTGTCCCAGGACCTCTGAACTTCAGCATCGCATCGCGTAGCTCGAGTTCTTCCCCCAACAACTTTGCCCCGATCGACTTTACGTCGTTCACCACGGATTATCAACCGCAAACATGGCTTCCCTCGCCCCCGCATCCACAGCCCTTGGCTTCCAATCAGAACAACAACAACAGCAACAACAGTGTACACGAGGACTTCGTGCTCTATCCATCCACACCACACCCGCAACCCCGCTTGCGTGTGCCTGTGAAAGCAACCCATAGACCTTCTGCACTCCAGCCATTCCTGGCGCAGAACAACCCCCGACGACACTCCTTCAATTTGCAGTTGCAACGTCAACTCCAGCAGCTGTACTCTAGCCCTCAAGATCCTAGAGTGACCCAGCTTGCCCGGTCCCCCTCTTATTGGTCCCACCCCACGCTCAAGCACTCCCGTCCACCAACGACTCCTGTGCTTTCCGATTCCCCAAACACCAACCGCCCTCCCGTCCCGACTTTCAACGGTCAACAAAACCAAATTCCTAATACACAACCTTACCGCCGAGTCATGTCTGCTCCCAACTTCGCCATGGAAGGTAATTTGCCATATGTCTCACCTTATGCCAGCGACTTGATCGCTAACCCTGCTCCAGCTGATCTGTTTGGCCTGAACTCTGGTATTCCCTCTGCCGGCTTCCCCGCCGACATGGATTCACCCCTCGCCTTTGACGCCTTGGATGAGGCCGGACTTGTCCCCGCCGGTCCCCCGGGCACTATCTCGCCCCGGGATCTGATGATGGACACCTCTGTTCCTCCCTCGGGCACTTTCACCGACCTGAGCACTCCATCTTTCGAGTCACCTGGTAACTTCAGCCAGAACGCGTCGCCCATGTTCACCGACATGGACCTCGTCGGCCACGAGGAATGGCCCTCTCTCTTTGACGGCGCCTCTGACATGAACGCCTTTGATCTCGCCAACCTCGACAGCCTCGATGTTGCCGCTGCCCTTCAGCAGGAGCCCAAGAAGCCCGTCCTCAAGGTGGAGACTGCTCCTCGCTCTCCTCTCAAGCGCCCTGCTTCCTCGATGGCCTCGTCTCCTATCCCTGCCACTGGCGGCGTCAAGCACTCTAGCATCTCTGGTGTGAGCGCACGTGCTCGCAAGAACCTGTCGCCCGTGGACTTTGATCCCAGCGATCCTGTCGCCGCCAAGCGCGCTCGTAACACCGAGGCTGCTCGCAAGTCCCGGGCTAAGAAGATGGAGCGTCAGGCTGATTCCGAGCGCCGCATTGAAGAGCTCAACGACATTATTGCCGCTCGTGACGCCGAGATTGCCAAGCTCAAGGCTCAGCTTCAGATCCAAAACAACTACCAGTGATCGTTCAAGTTTCGGTTGTCCCTTTTATTTCAATTTGGTTTCCTATTGACCTTCGGGTTATTGTGGGTGCGCGGGTGATGGGTGAAGCCTATCCTCGATGTCTCACGCAGACCAGCTGCATATGGTCTATTTCATCTGAAGTTGCACCTATTCATCTGATCTTACAAAAGTTCTGAGACATTTCTTTATTTTCTTTTTGTACTCATTTGTGGCTATTGTCTTTAATGTTTTTGCTTCTTGCTTTCTGTTCCGGCCGGTTCTGAATGTCTCCCTCATTGGGATTGACTCGTGGCTATCTTAATATGGTATTTGATTTTCAAATCGATTTGAATTATTATGTTCATTTATCTACCCCGTATCTTTACTTCGTATCTCGTACCCACTAGTTCGTAGATGCAGCATTTGAGAGATGTATTTCCGTAAGTCTGAAAGATTACACTGCTCATCCACACTAGCTCAGACTTGCCTTTAAACGCTTCATAAACCCTCACCTCTCCAGACATCTATCCCCGACTTTACCTACTCCCAACGGCATGATCCGACATCCCGTTATGTTCTTTCCCCATGAGCTACACGCCGCCCAAGACTGCGGTTGCTCTATAACGGAAAGAAAGCACAGGTGTGCCGGAACGTGACCTTCAGCAGGGAAGAGTCGTCAGGGAAAAGATGCTGGGAGCAGAGGGTTTCAGAAGTATCTGATTCCATGTTCTGTCATCATCGCCAGTGGAGAATTTCATGTATATACTGCAAAGAGTCCGGAAAGGAATAGGAAAGGCTCAAGTCAATGCGTCTGTGCCTTTCGACTTCCCCGTCTCCATCTTCGCCGTCCTCGCCCCAAACTGAATCGCCCTCTTCTTCTCCCGCGCAACACGTTCCATCCCCAGTCGAATAGCAACAAGCCGCAAAGCCAGCTTCTCACTATCAATTCCAGCCGTGGCTTCACACTCTGGCAGTCCGAACCCACATTTCTCCCAGACCGGCGCCCGCACAACCCAAGCCACGAACTCCTCGTCCAGGAACGGGAATCGCGTCTCCCGCCCCCAGTGCGAGAGAACCCGATCATCCCGTCCTAGATTCCGCGATCCCAACCGACTAACGTCGAGATCGATCTCTGCAATCAAAGACTCGAAACCTCCACGATTGAAAGCCACGCCGTGTCGGCCGTAGCCCGCGAAGAGCTCATCCGCGCCGAGACCAGAGAGGAGAACGCGCGAGGTGCTCGTGTACTCGCCATCTACAGTCTGATGCGCTTGCGCATCTGTAGTGGCCGTGCCTTTCGCGCGAGATGCGAAATATAGGGCGCATGCGATCGACATGTCCATTTCGGTATTGTGGGGTCTCATGAGACGCTTGACTTGATCTCTGTGGGCTAGACATTCTGAATAGGGGATGTCGATGGCGACGAAGCGCCATGTGCGACCTGGACATGTCTTTGTGAGCTCGGCGTGGGCTGAGCGGCCTGTTATACGGTCTGGACAGTTTTCGTAGATTGAGAGGGGGGATGGAGGTGCGTTTTTGTTGAGTTTGGCGGCTGCTGCGACGCGAGGGTTTTCGAAGGCGACGTTGAGGAGGTCGATTGGTTCGTTTGTTGGGAGGATCTCGTGTGAGAGTCTGGCTAGGAGAGTGCAGTCTAATCCGCCGGAGAATAGCACGGCGGTCTTTGCACTTTGGCCTGCGATGTAGGATGGCGGTTCTGGGATGTTTTGGATACGTAGTTCCAGTGACTGGCGCAGTTGGGATTCGAGCTGTTTGACGAATGGGGAGTCTGTTGTCAAGGCTGGTGGGTGCTCTGGTGATGATTTGTTCATGGGTGGGATTGGTTGGTTCTGTGCTTGGTGTTAGTTGCTGCTGTTGAGTTGAGGTGAGACACGTACAAGATGAGCAGAGCCCCATTGCATAGTCTTGGTTTGGCATGATTGCAGGGTCAGGGTTTGATCTAGATCAATCATATGAACGCCGTCAGTGCCCACTTCTCTGAAGCAATCCACCGATGCACTATCACAGATGCTGCATAATTTCAAACTCCCATCGTGGTCATACCCCTGTAGCAGAGATCGTCTGCCAAGGCAATCTCTACTATAGAAAAGCCTTGAGTTGACAGCATCATAGAAGACGAAGGCAAATGGTCCGGAGATGCTTGAAACTGCTTTCGCCAATCCGTCGACGGGATCGTCTTTCACTGCCTGCAAAAATAAGTCGAAGACGCGCTCGGTATCATTGCCTTGGACGCGCTCTCCCTGGATCTTCCAGGCCTCTCCGTTCCAGCAGAGCACAGACTGAGTTTCTGGGTCTACAAGTGGCTGTTCATACACATGGTCGCCTCTCAGCGACAGCACGGTAGATGCGAAGGTGAGATTGCAGCTCAAGGACCCTCCATCTTGGGCCTTGATATCTTTCTGCACCGTATGTGTTGTGTAACAATCCGGACCTCGCTTTTGAAGTAGGTCACAAGTCTCCGAAGTTGGAGCTGCGCCTGATGAGCTCAATGAGAAAAATATCCCACACATCGCGAGAAAGCTGGGAGGAATTGGATATAAAAACACGGCGTTCTCTGGGAAGTTAGCATATTAGTCATGTCTTGGCGGATCCAGACACCGTTCCAAGGTTCGTTGAATCGCGAGAGGAACGCATATTGATTCCAGGGGCGAGAGCAACTGAGAACTTCAAATGGAAGAAAGTGTCGAGTTGATCTAACTTTTGTGCCAAGACTGTCAATCATCCGCCCGGTTTCAGGAGAAGCGCGCCACACGTCCGTTCTGGCTTATACATTGACGTGGACAAGATGATTCCACACAGGAGTACAGCGCTTCTATCGGTGATTGTGTTCGTCGCGTTATTACTTTTCATCTTTTCCTCCTCTCCGGTACCTGAAGTTGAAGGTGAAGAATCGGCAGGTCCGGCCAAGTTCGTGCCCAGACCCAAGCTATCGTCTCTAGCCAATTTCCACCTGCCATCCTTCCGCCCTCCCTCCCACGAACAGCCCGAAGAACAGAAGAACAGTACCCACGGCGAGTCGAAATGGTACAGCACATTGGAGTGGTTGAACCCATTCTCCTCTGCCATCACCTTGGATGAGAACCGCTCCGTCCTGCCCCCCCGTCAGCGAACGTCGGCCGATCTACACCTATTACAATGCGAAATACAACCCCAACAAGGCCAATGGCAAAGACCTGAAGGAGCTGCAGAGTGCCGACGCTGAGCTCCTTCTCGCATGGCGTCGGGCTTGGTATGCACAGGGCTTCAAACCCGTCGTGCTGACCCCCGGAGACGCCATGTTGAACCCGAACTACGAGGTCGTGCAGAAGTTGAAGCTCTCTCCTAAGACGGAGAATGAGGTGTTCGGATGGTTGGCGTGGGGACACATGGGCACTGGCTTGCTTTCAGACTTCCACTGCTTCCCAATGGCCCGCTACGATGACGACATGCTGTCCTATCTTCGCCGCGGAAGCGTGCCAGAGTCAATCACCCGTTTCGAGAACCTCAAGAATGCCCTCTATGCGGGAGAAAAGACAAAAATCGATGCGGTGATCCAGAGCGCAGTCTTGAAACTCGAGGACAAGACCACCTCTTTCGTGGATCTGATGGACGCGGAGTTGTTCAAGGTCGAGTCGCCGAGTGCGCTGGCCTTCTACAAGTCTGCTGCCGTGACTTCCCACTACCCACTCGTGCACGAGAAGATGGGCCAGAACCCCGCGGCTGGACAGCGCGCTCTGGTCCAACTGATCAACGCCCACTTGCACAACCACTTCCAGACCTCATTCCCCGCTGGGTTAGCTGTCTTGAAGCCGTTCCCCCAACATACCACGGCGTTGGTGGAGCCTGCCCTCCGACTGGCCAAGGCGCTCATCCAGTGCCCTGAGTCTCCCATCGCCAACTCTTGTCCACCCAATGAACCGGAATGTCGCCCCTGTGGCTCTGCCAAATCACCTATGCGGATCAGCCAACCCTCCTCGTTCAAGAACACCACTTTCCTCTTCACCATCGGCACTCTCCCCCATCCATACACCCTTGTCAGTCTCCAGAAGAACTCCGAGGAAGTCACTACGCCTCAGATTCGCCGGGAGACCGAGCGCGACGCATGGCTCTCCGAAGTGACCAAGGATCACCTTGGTCCGGAACTGGGATCTGCATACCGCGGAGTGATCTTCAAGCAGGTCGTCGCAGCCCAAAATGCCGTTGGCACCTCCCTGTGGATGACCGTAGAGTCACTCCCCGCCGCAGCAGGCCAAACCCTCCCCTCTGAACTACTGGATGAGTTTGAGTGGCAGTTCGGATTCAAGATTCCTCGCGGAGGCAAGATCGATCCCGCGACTGAAAACGACAAGGACTCCGCGAAGAGCGCGCAGGACCGCACGCCGAGCGAACAGGGCGTTGGAAAGGAGTACGAGCTGATTCAAAAGGCCCGCGAGGTCATTAAGAACAAGGAGACGAACCGCATCAACATCAAGGATGTTGTCGAGGCTTGGAGTCTCGCTGATACTGAAGTTTGGCGGTTTGTCAAGGCCTACCGGTATGTGTTGTCTACTCGATCTATTTGAAATCCTACTGACTTTTGTTACAGCGCCCGAAGCGTCGTGGAGCGCCAGAAGTGGGAGGAAGAAGAGAAGCCATTTGCAGGCTCACGATCATAGAGATTGCATTTACTGTCCGATATTGTAGCATATAATTTCAAGACATGACCGATATTTCACACTATACATACACACTACTCTGTACTATATCTGTACATACTGCAGACAAATCATCCAGTAATGTTTCATGTCAAGTTTAGTAATTGAAGGGGCAAAATAGGCGCCAAGACTGGATCCATCGGATTGTGGCGATCCCCGCAGCGATAACAATTTGTGGGGCTGGGGGTGAGTTGCCTCATCTCATCCGTCTGCACTTCCCCTCCGACTTTAACGACTTCATCGAGAGAGCTTTAGGCAAGTCGTTGCGGATTCATCTTTTTATAAAATGCAAGAGTTTCTCTGAACTCCTTTCTATGTCACACCATGGCGCCCGGAATCCTAGAGACAGAATACACTGGCGTCGAGAAGGCGACCAGCTTGGCCGCCCTCACAGAGGACTGGGATGATACCATCCGGTTCTACCTCAACGGGACCAAGGTAGCGGTGGATGCCGTAAATCCAGAGGTGACCCTCCTCGAATATCTGCGGGGGATCGGGTTGACAGGCACGAAACTTGGATGTGCTGAGGGAGGATGCGGTGCTTGCACAGTGGTGAGTGATAAGCAAAATCGATGGCGAATAAGGGGAAAATCGAGCTAATGTAAGACCAAAAGGTTGTATCTCATGTCAATCCCACCACGAAGGAGATCTACCATGCCTCCGTGAACGCCTGTATTGCCCCACTCGTCAGCATTGACGGCAAACACGTTATCACAGTCGAGGGAATTGGCAACGTCAAGGAGCCTCATGCAATCCAGCAGCGGATTGCGGTCGGCAATGGAAGCCAGTGTGGCTTCTGCACGCCTGGAATTGTCATGGTAAGCTCATATCGTACTCATATGCCAATGCAACCTGGTTGACTAACACTCCCCAGTCTCTATATGCCTTACTACGAAACAACCCTTCACCATCAGAACACGATGTAGAGGAAGCGTTTGATGGAAATCTCTGTCGCTGCACTGGCTACCGACCAATTTTGGATGCTGCCCAGAGTTTCAATGCGAACAACAATTGCGGGAAGGCCTCTTCCAATGGCGGATCAGGCTGCTGTATGGAAAAGAATGGCTCAGGTGGCGGATGCTGCAAAGGGTCTTCCAACGGAAACGAAATTGAGACGGTCGATTACAAGTTCCCCGCACCCAATTTCAAACCCTACAGCCCAGACACAGAATTGATCTTCCCAGCTGCTCTGCGGAAACACGAGTACCGACCGCTAGTTTATGGCAACAAGCGAAAGAAGTGGTATCGTCCAGTGACGGTGCAACAGCTCTTGCAGATCAAGCATGTGCACCCGGACGCCAAATTGATTGGTGGCAGTACGGAGACGCAGATTGAGATCAAGTTCAAGGCAATGCGTTACGCGGCTTCGGTCTATCTGGGCGATATCCCCGAATTGCGGCAATTTACCCTACACGACGACTACCTGGAGATCGGTGCTAACGTATCATTGACGGACCTCGAGCACATTTGTGACCAGGCAGTCGAGAAGTACGGAGACGCTCGAGGCCAGCCCTTCAAGGCGATCAAAAAGCAATTGCTCTACTTCGCTGGGCGACAGATTCGAAACGTTGCTTCCCCTGCCGGTAATTTGGCTACCGCGTCACCTATCTCTGACCTGAATCCCGTATTAGTGGCCACCAACACCATCCTGGTGGCCAAGTCTTTGGACGGAGAGACCGAAATTCCCATGACTGAGTTCTTCCAAGGGTATCGAAAGACCGCCCTAGCTCCCAATGCGATCATCGCTAGTTTGCGGATTCCAGCTGCACAGACACAGAAGGAGTACATGCGAGCCTACAAACAGGCTAAGCGCAAGGATGACGATATTGCCATTGTGAACTCTGCGCTCCGAGTGACGCTCTCCGAGAGCAATGACGTGGTCAGCGCCAACCTTGTATTCGGTGGCATGGCAGCTATGACTGTGTCTGCCAAGAACGCTGAAGCTTTTATTGTTGGCAAGAAATTCACAAACCCTGCAACCCTGGAGGGTGTCATGAGCGCGTTGGAGCAGGACTTCGACCTACCATTCGGAGTCCCTGGTGGCATGGCCAGCTATCGAAAGTCACTGGCCATGGGATTCTTCTACAGATTCTATTACGATGTTCTATCCGGACTCGAGGTCCAGGCTTCAGACTTGGATCCTGACGTGGTTGCCGAAATCGAGAGAGCTATCTCAACTGGTAAAAAGGATAACGAATCATCTGTCGCATATCAAAAGAATGTCATCGGAAAGGCAACTCCGCACGTTGCGGCGTTGAAGCAGTCCACCGGTGAGGCTCAATATACCGATGATATCCCCGTGCAAATGAACGAGCTGTTCGCATGCATGGTCCTCTCCACCAAGGCACACGCCAAGATTATCAGCGTGGATGCATCCGCAGCACTGGAAATTCCCGGCGTTGCAGACTACGTCGACCACACTGATCTACCCAACCCACAGGCAAACTGGTGGGGAGCACCCAAGTCAGACGAGCTATTCTTTGCCGTCGACGAAGTCAATACAGCTGGTCAACCAATTGGTGTCATTCTGGCAACATCGGCCAAAATTGCCGAGGAGGGCATGAGAGCCGTAAAGGTTGTCTACGAAGATCTTCCATGTATTCTCACCATGGAAGAAGCCATTGAAGCAGAATCTTTCTTCGAGCACTATCGCTCCATCAAGTGCGGCGATACCGAAGAGGCATTCAAACAAGCCGACCATGTTTTCACTGGAGTTTCACGAATGGGAGGCCAGGAGCACTTCTATCTAGAAACCCAGGCCTGTGTGGCTATTCCAAAACCAGAGGATGGAGAGATGGAAATCTGGAGCGGTACACAGAATCCCACTGAAACGTGAGTTGCAGAGTACTTTTACATGACATGAGCATCAAAGCTGACGGTTCACAGACAAGCCTACGTCGCCCAAGTCACGGGAGTATCGGCCAACAAGGTCGTCTCGCGTGTGAAACGACTCGGCGGTGGATTTGGTGGCAAGGAGACACGCTCCGTTCAATTAGCCGGAATCTGTGCCACCGCGGCAGCGAAGACAAAGCGGCCCGTCCGCTGCATGCTCAACCGAGACGAAGATATTTTGACGTCTGGGCAGCGTCATCCTTTCCTTTGCCACTGGAAGGTTGGAGTGACCAAGGATGGAAAGATTCTTGCACTTGATGCAGACGTCTTTGCCAACGGTGGACACACTCAGGATCTATCTGGGGCCGTTGTGGAACGAAGTCTGTCGCACATTGATGGCGTGTACAAAATTCCGAACGTCAATGTGCGCGGCCGAATCTGCAAGACCAACACCGTGTCTAACACGGCTTTCCGAGGATTCGGCGGTCCACAGGGTCTGTTCTTTGCCGAGTCTTACATCTCCGAGATCGCAGATCACCTCGACATTCCTGCCGAGGAAGTCAGAAGTATCAACATGTATCAGCCTGAAGAGAAGACGCATTTCAACCAGACGCTCAAGGACTGGTACGTGCCTTTGATGTACAAACAGGTACTCGAGGAGAGCTCTTACAACGAGCGGAGAAAGGCCGTCGAAGAATACAACGCAAATCACAAATGGTCGAAGCGAGGAATGGCCATTGTGCCAACCAAGTTCGGTATCTCCTTCACTGCACTTTTCTTGAATCAAGCAGGAGCCTTGGTCCACATTTACCACGATGGCAGTGTTCTTGTGGCGCACGGTGGTGTCGAGATGGGACAAGGTCTGCACACAAAGATGATCATGATCGCCGCCGAGGCGCTGCAAGTCCCTCAGTCAAGCGTGTTCATCTCTGAGACAGCGACAAACACAGTTGCAAACACATCATCTACCGCAGCGTCAGCAAGTTCCGATCTCAACGGATATGCCATTTACAACGCCTGCGAGCAATTGAACGAGCGTCTCCGTCCCTTCCGCGAGAAGATGCCCAATGCCACCATGAAAGAACTCGCCCACGCTGCTTACTTCGATCGCACCAACCTCTCAGCACAAGGATACTACCGTACACCAGACATCGGATACGTGTGGGGCGAGAACAGCGGCCAGATGTTCTTCTACTTCACCCAAGGAGTGACCGCAGCCGAAGTCCAAATCGACACGCTAACAGGCGACTGGACGCCTCTACGCGCCGATCTCAAGATGGATGTCGGACGCTCCATCAACCCCTCAGTTGACTACGGACAAATTGAAGGCGCCTACGTCCAAGGCCAAGGCCTTTTCACAACAGAAGAGAGCCTTTGGCACCGGGGCTCCGGTCAAATCTTCACCCGCGGACCGGGCAACTACAAGATCCCCGGATTCCGAGATATCCCACAAATCTTCAACGTCAGCCTCCTCAAGGACGTGGAGTGGAGGAATTTGCGCACGATCCAGCGCTCACGAGGTGTCGGCGAACCGCCGTTGTTCATGGGTAGTGCAGTCTTCTTTGCCATTCGTGATGCACTAAAGGCTGCGCGCAAGCAGTGGAATGTTACAGATGTGTTATCTTTGGAATCGCCTGCCACACCGGAGCGTATCCGTGTGAGCTGTGCTGATCCGATTATCGAGCGGGCAAGGGTGCAGCCGAAGGAGGGCGAGAAGAGTTTCTTTGTTGCTATCTAGATGGATGGTGGCTTTGGGGGCTTATCTGGAATGGGGTATTGATGATTACGAATATATGCAGTCCCGGACCTTTCAATCTACATAAATGTACAATCCATCTTAGGCTCGTATAATTGAAGGCATTATGGCATGGGAGCAGGGGAGAACGATTGACCGACGTCAATCTGAATGTTCAAACCTTGGAAGTGACCACCCAAATGTGTTGCCCATTAACAATACCTAATCCTCACTGCACACTGTGATTTTCAAGGTTGTTCCCATTGACCTCATTGAAAATATCGCTGACTGAAAACTTGTTCCAAGGTTTCCATGGGCTCCTGTATTCATGAAGCTATGGATATATACAGCTTTCAATGTTGCTATCCGCGTACTCTCATCGGCTTCTCCACCAGATCACATTCTTGCTCAGCTGAAGGCCAGACCTTGAAGTGCTGCTTCGTTCTTGACTTCCAACTCGCTCTGTTCTCAAGAAAGAGGGCGGTGGAGAAGTCCATCTACGTCGTAGACGATACTGCATCAACTGGAGCATCAAAGCTATTGACATCCAGCCATCCGCCATATCTCAGACGAAAAGGTACCCCGAGCTTCAATTATGAGCCTCGCGACGCCCTTTGAAGCAACAGCTCAATCACACCGTCCCAACCTTCCCAACCCTCCGTCTTCTCCCCAGCAAGCGAGAGCTTCTTGACGACCGAGAGTGGTGTCATACCATCACTGTTTGTGACTTCAACATCTGCGTTATACTCAAGCAGGAGCTTCGCCTCTGCCACACACCCCCACTCAGCCGCAAGATGGAGCGGGGTACAGCCGGTATTGCTGGGGCAATCAATTTCAGCATCACGGCCAAGTAGCAACTTCACCACCGCCTCATGTCCATGCTGGGTCGCAAGATGGAGTGGGGTCAAACCGTCCATAGTCCGGCAATCAATTTCAGCATCACGGCAAAGTAGCAACTTCACCACCGCCTCATGTCCATATTGTGTCGCAAAATGGAGTGGGGTCATACCGTCCATATTCCGGCAGTCAATTTTAGCACCATGTTCAAGCAGCAGCTTAACCACCGCCTCATGTCCATCCTGGGCCGCAAAATGGAGCGGGATCCAACCTTTATTATCCTGATAATCGGGCTGAATGTTATGCTGCTCGAGTAGCAGCTTCATCGCCGCCACATGTCCACAGTCAGCCGCAGAATGGAGTGGGGTCAAACCGTCCATATTCCGGCAGTCGATTTCAGCACCATATTCAAGCAGCAACTTAACCACCGCCTCATGCCCATGGGAAGCCGCAGAATGGAGCGGAATCCAACCCTCATTATCCTGATAATCGGGATTCATGTTGTGCTGCTCGAGTAGCAACTCCACCACCGCCTCATGTCCATTCTCGGCCGCAGAATGGAGCGGGGTCCGGTCCTGATTATCCCGGTGGTCAGATTTAGCGCCGTGTGCCAATAACAGCTTTATCACTGTTGTATGCCCGTTCCAAGCTGCATAATCAAGCGGGACCTGGTTATTCTTATCCTGGGATTCAATTTGACCATTGTGTTCTAGCAGTAGTTTTACTACTGTCTCATGTCCATTCTCAGCCGCGAGAGAGAGCGCGGTCTGGCCATTCTTATCCCTCGATTCGGTGTCAGAATTTTGTTCAAGCAACAGGTTTACCACTGATTGATGTCCATTCTCGGATGCATAGGCGAGCGGCGTTCGGCCATTTATATCACGGGTTTCGGTTTCAGCGTTATTTGCAAGCAACAGCTTTACCATTGCATCATGTCCATTCTCGGCCGCGCGTGTGAGCGGGGTCTGGTTATGTGTATCTCGGCATTCAAGAGAAGCATTTCTCGCAAGCAGTAACTGTACCACTTCCTCTTGTCCACTGATGGCCGCATGAAAGAGCGGGGTCTGGTTATACATATCCCGGGACTTGATATCGGCGTTATGTTCAAGTAGCAGTTTTACCCCAAAATCATGTCCACTCTCAGCTGCGTGAGAGAGCGGAGTCCGATTATTCGAGTCTCGGGTGTCAATTTGCGCACCATTCTCAAGCAGTAGCTTTACCACTGCCTCCTTTCCATTGTTGGCGGCGCCACAGAAAGGGGTCTGCTGAATATAATCCCGGGATTCAATTTCCGCACCATTCACAAGCAGCAGCTTTACTACTGCCTCATATCCCCAAAAAGCCGCATAATGGAGCGGTGTCTGCTGAAGATGATCCCGACATTCAATGTTGATGTCATTTGCCGAGAACTCCGGAGGTGGTGGAGAAATCTGAGATCCAACAATGTTTCTCATGTCGAGCAACAGAGATGCAGTTTCATAGAGTCCAAACCATGCTGAAAGGTGCAGTCCTGTCATTTTGCTAGGATCTGAGTAAAAAGTCCCATAGCGGGATCTCATAACCTGGGTACAGGCGGCGATTTTGGCAGTATCTTTGAATAATTCGATTGCCAGTTCTTGAGCAAGAGCGGATTTTGCGGCGTGGTATCCCCATTCTGTTGATGCATACTCATAGAACGGATGTAAGCGCAATCTTTCTTCGTAAGTCCACTTGTCGTCACATTCTCCTGACTTGAAGTCTTCAAACCGCAAGTAAACAATGCAGACCTTCGTCATCTGAAGATGCGCCTCCGGAAACCAGCGTTGTGAGGTTCGTTGGAAATATTCCTGTGTGGTGTGGTGGACCAAACGTATGATATCACTCTCTTTGTCAACGATCACCAGTCCGGCGGATGTGGAAACAATGAGCCCGATATCCGAAATGTTCTCATTATCAAACTCGGATGTATTTTCCTCGACGCCAATGGCGTGCTGAAGCTCAGTTGATGTCAGACGTCGTTCTGCACAGGAAATCCACAATAGCACTTGTAAAGCAAGGTCCCGGCGGTCTTTGACCTGGTTTTGTATTCGTTCCATGGCACCCTCGTAGGCATTGTCTAGTACTTTTGACCGTGCATCGTCATTGTTTGCCTGAGACATAGTATCTAACTCTCGAAGCGTCTGCTTGATAGCTTTGGGTGTGATCTTGCAGGCCAAAGAATCGATATAAAGTCGTGCGAGAAGAAACCTAGTGAGATTAGCTTATCTGACAGATGATTTTTCCCATAACCAGTACATACATCCCATCGACTGCCTTGGAAATCGTATCTTTTATATTTTGTTTCAAAGGAGCGCCTTGGGAACTCAAAGATTGGGAGTCCTGCAATCTTTTATCCAAATATTTCTTCACATCTTCATCGTTGGCGCGAATCTCAATCTTAGTGGCTGCTTGAAATTTAGACTCAATTTGTTCGATCTTTCGTGATGTGGCAAACAGGTTCGCTTTGACACCATCCTGGAAGGCAAAGATCTCTTGAACAAATGTATCAAGATCATCACCGACGGTTCTGCATTCATCCAATGCATCGATGATGATGAAAGTCTTCGAGTAGAGTGATGCGACGCCACGAAGTGTAGTTCTGAGCTCAATTAGCGATGGACGGGCTTGCAACGATTTGAGTCGGCGGTACAGGCTCTCAAGAGCTGACGGCAAAACATCTTGTCTCATGGCGAGCTGCTTCAAGATATTTGCCATCAGATCAACTGGTTTTTGTTCTTCCCGTTGCTTGAAAGTGCAATAGACATATGCTATACCGACAGAGCGGTCATCTCGAAACTTGTCTTGGATGTGACGGACCACCGTGGATGTGATGATAGTCTTTCCTGATCCTGGTATACCTGGACAGAACAAAGTGTGATTGGATTGCTCAAGCCAACCCTTGAACTCTCTTGAGTTTAGTACCCACTCACTAGTGCCTTCTTGCCTCTGGGAAATGGAGTCATTTTGCTGTGCAGCATAATTGACAGGAGAGAGCCAGTCAAGGACAGTCTGAAATTCTTGATCCCGTTGGTGGTCATGTTGATGAAGGCGAATTTCATCGACAGTATTGGATACTTTTTGAAGCCGGCTTTGCAAATCTAGAAAATATTGGGTAGTTTGTTAGCCCTATGTGCTAAATGGTTTCGGTGTTTTCAGACAACAATAAGGTTTTGCAATTCTGGTCGATATATGTTATGAAGAAACGAAAGACGGAGGACAAAACACAAATTCAGGAGATCAATCACGGCCCACCTTTGATTGCAGGCATCTGCTCCACCTCCTGCACTGGCACAAATGTAAGAAGCTCCTTGGTAAATGCTGCTGCAACAGCAGCTGCATGTCTCTGCCATTTCTTGTTCTTATGCGCATCTGCATAGTCACAGATTCCTCGGATGACAAGGCACGGAAAATCATTCATCAAGCCTGCCGCCTCCATCTCAAAGCAGAGAACCTTGCCGCCAAGTTCCTTGTTGACTTCATTCCGAAACAGCGCATCTTTGACAACCCGGTTGCCAGATGCAATGAGGCCATAATGCACCCGCATGGACCGTGGCTTTCTGCGTAGGATATTGCTTTGATCGCAGTACATGCAAGACTCTCCCTCCTCCTCCTCCTCCTCTTCATCTTCATCTTCCTCGCCATTGTCCTTATCCTCTTCGGCGCTGGGATTGTCAATATGTTCGCAATCTGCCTTGAAGAGGACATCTTTCAATGAATCAGATCGGCAATATTTTGGCGCCAGTTTGGGCCATCTGATCTTCAGGTCATCCAAGTACTCTGGTATCCTCGAGCCAGTCATTTCATGCTCCCTCTCAATCGTGCTCAGGGCAGAAAGAAGCTCTTTGGGAGGACTGTTCAGTGACCCTGTGCGTTCGAAATTGTTGTCTCCTTGGTTGGCTTTCCCAAAGTCCCACTGAACGACTCCGCCATATATTTGTCCAGGAGTGCTAACTACAACATCGCCTAGCCTGACGGAATTTGGCACCCCGCCTCCAATACCGACCATCAGACCAAATTTGATGGATGGGAAAGTGGAGGTCATCCGAGTTGCGACCGTCGCTGCATTGTTGGTGCCAACGTTACCTTTGGGCAAACATGCGACGACAATGTTGTGCTTGCCCAAATATCGAGTCACATCGTTGGCTTCTCGTATCACTTCTATGTGCCCAAGAGTGTAGGTATTGTGGTCGTTAGGAGTTCTGGGAAGGTCTGGGTGCCTTTCATCCAGCATTGCTACAGCTGCAACATACTCCTTCGGTAGCGCACAGATCCAGCCCACGGTGTAGTCATGATGGGATCGAGATTCGGTCTCCCTCTTTTTGTTGGTCGGCGAAGGATGACCATCCGTTCGCTGGCGCTTCATCGAGTTGTTTAGAAAATGGGGTGGACCCACAAGCTCGTCAACTGGTCTCAGTCAGTCAGACTGGCCCAACCAAGCTTCTTCCAAAACAGTGATGTTGGACTGACCCTACTAATCAGTATGGAGTACTCAAGGTTCAATAAGTTTCACTCCAATATGTGGAGGAAAGAACTCCTGGGGATATGTTTGACAAAATAGCGAATTGGGCAAAGACAAGGGGCCACTCAGCTGAGCAGTGCCCAGGTGGGGTCCACGCCAATGCACGCCCGGGTGTATAACAAGGTGCGGACGTTGTGGCAGTGTGCTATTCGCGGGTTGCCTTGATCTCCCCTCACCCACAAAAAGCAACCATATCTTTAAAACGCGATGGTTTCGGTTTTCTCGCGCCACAGTTGTGTCTTCGTGGTGAATTTCCTAAAAGAGCACAGCATAGTGTGGCGCTTCTGCAGGAAGTAGCTCGTTCAGCGAGTGGCTAATGGACCATGGATTTGTTTGACAACTCGGCGGAGTTTTGGCTCAACTATGAGTTTCAAGAAAAGAAGATTGACGATTCCTGTGTTTGAGGTACGAAATCAAATCAAATCATGTGATTGGCTGTTGTATACCCCCGGGCGAGTTGTTGCCGTGGCCTTCTCTAACCCTGCCTGCGTCTCCCATCATAACCTTCATGTGTTCGAATCGATGTGCACAGCTGGATACACTGCTATGGAATGAAGATTGCCCAGATATTTCTGCGCCGCACTGCCTCCTTGAGGACATCCTTACGGAGCGTCTCACAATGTTGCAGTGGTCCCAAATCTATGTCCACCCAATCAAGCAAAGGCTACATGGACACGCCCCTTTATATATCCTCGATCGACGCAGAGCCGCTTCATCGTTACCACGAAGGTGGTTATCATCCAATTATACTCGGAGAATTCTTACATTCTGGAAGATATAAGGTGTTACATAAACTAGGATGGGGTGGTTACTCAACGGTTTGGCTGGCGAGGGATCAAAGGTTGTAAGATAAATATGAGTTTCACGGTATTGAAGCTGACTGGAAATATTCTCGTTGCAGGGATGAACTTTATGTTGCTATCAAGATCGGCGTTGCCGAAGCCTATGATAAAGTGATACAAGAGCTCCAGGTCATGAAAAGGCTGGTGACATGTTGTCCTCGTCCAAAACACATGGTGCTCATGCTTGACCACTTTCATCTGAAGGGGCCAAATGGATGGCATAACTGCCTAGTCTTTGAGCTTTTGGGCCCCAATATCCCTGATATTATTGATGCACACTTCTCCCATGGAAGGCTCCCAGGGAAACTTGCCAAAGGAGTCGCGAAGCAAAGTCTTATCGGACTCCGCAGCTTGCATCAACACAATGTTGGACATGGAGGTTGGTTCCTCATTCCGAGACTCGAAGCGATTTCAACTCCTCTCACATGGTATAGATCTACATACCCGCAACTTGGTCTTTACCATACCGGATGTACACAATCTAACCGAGGACAAACTTACTGGAATTATGGGCGCACCAGAAGTCGGCCATATCCGAAGGAGCGATGGGAAGGACTTGGGGCCTGGTGTACCGGAGTATATTGTGAGGCCTACCTCACACTGGACGCGATTTTGGAATCCAGATTCTACTCCATCAATCAAATTGATCGACTTCGGGGAAGCATTCCTACAAACCGCATCTCCTCAGGTACTACACACACCCCTACCCGTTCGAGCACCTGAAGTCATCTTTGAAGATTGCATTGATTATCGAGTTGACTTGTGGAGCATGGGATGCATGGTGAGTGAAGACGCCCGGAACCGCGATGACTTTGCGGCTGAATACTAATAGGCATTGTAGCTCTTTGAATTGTTCACGGGCCAACCACCTTTCGATTCCTTTTTGATAAAGCCTAGGATACTCGTTGGGCAAATGCGCGAGATGGCAGGTGATAATCTACCTGAAAGATGGCACGACAAATGGAATAAGATGAGCGCAGGGGACTACGCAACTGCAGAAGAGCGAGGGCCCAACTTGCAGGAATGGCTCGAGGAGGTGTATTTTGATCACCCGCAGAGCCCTGATCTTACCAGGGAGGATGTAGCGAGACTGGGGCAAATCATTGGAACGTTATTGCAGTTCGAGCCGTCCGCAAGGGCGTCAGCAGGACAAGTTTTGGATGACCCTTGGTTCAAGGAGTGAGAAGGCCAGGAGCAATCAGTCTAGTATTAACCCGCAAAAACCTTGGAAAGCAGAGAGACATTTTTCAACGTAGTATTTAAGATTTCTCAAGGTATTTATTGATGTTCAAGCTGCCGAAAACGCCAATGTGGCATGTGGAGAAGACAGTAGGATTTAAAAACCATCTCAATAGATAAAGGTCGCAGAATAGCCATTCTTGCTCTAGAATAATTGGTAGTTTCTACAGGCAGCTGGGCCACGATGTAAAAATCGAATTGGGCGTGACGTTGGGGCACTTTAGGATGGAGACCAATTATGGATCCAAACCGGATGAATCTGCCAAGAAGCGTGAAACGGATCGGCTTGGCCGATCCTTATTCTCGGCCCCACGACATCTTCCAGGCTGAGTATATAATCCGAAACAGGGTAGGACAGTCCTCTTAGGTTCACCACCATTTGATGTGTACTGCAGATTCAAGAAGAATTACCATATGACTTCGAGATAGACGAATGCATCATCAAACACAAGGGGCTGGTTGTAGGCCGAATACGGACAGACGGATGCAGCAAGCGGTGAAGTGGCCCACGTGGAATGTCCAAAGTGCAAGGCCTTTCGAGTCTTCTTTTTAGCGAAATACAATCAAGTTAAGTGCTGCTACAGGGCTGAATTGGCACTTGATAAGATTAAGCATACATTCTGTGCTACACATTAAACACTACGGAGTAGGCAGTACGGAGTACTCCGTACTACTCAGAGACGTACTCCTAGTGGGGGACCCCCCACTCCAGAGGACTCTCAATGGAAACGTAAGCTGAACTCTCAGGGGCGACACCCCATGACCGATCTCACCACTTAAGAATGAGGAACAACTTACCCGGACCACTGAGACGTTCCACCAAAAAGCCATGTGATAGTCATCGGACGGTATAGGTCGGGGTAGACTGCACTAGTTGAAGACCTCAGGAGATCCGATATGCATCCGTCCTCTCATCGTTGAGAATGTACGAAGGTGAGGGCCGAATTGATAGAACCTCAATCCTTAAAATGTGCGTATACCTGGGGGGGTACCTGGGTGTGTAGTACAAAAGCCATAGAGTAACCAAGTGCCTCGAGGTACCCCCCTTTTTCCCGCAAGCAGAGCCCCTCCAATCACGGCGACTCACGTGCCCCCACTTGGACGAAAATAAATCAACGGCCAGAGTGTTCCCTAAATACAAGTGCCTCTCTCTCTCCTTTTGCTCCTTTTGTTCTTGCTGAGCCTCTCCCACTTTTTTCCTTTTTTAAAACTAATTTTGTTCTAATCAATTCACGATGAAGGGTATGTGTCTTGTCAATGCTTCTCCCCGCACTCTCCGCTAACCCTGCATAGCTCTCATTCTTGTTGGAGGGTTCGGGACCCGTCTGCGTCCTCTGGTAAGTCGTCGATCTCCCTGGTCCTCGATCCCGGGACAATTCCGTCAATTGGCAATTGCTAAGACCTTTCCTTTCAATAGACTCTCACTCTGCCCAAGCCCCTGGTGGAGTTCGGCAACCGGCCCATGATCCTGCACCAGGTCGAGAGCTTGGCCGCTGCTGGTGTCACCGATATCGTTCTCGCTGTGAACTACCGCCCCGATGTGATGGTGGCTGCGCTGAAGAAGTACGAGGAGCAATACGGAGTCAACATTGAGTTCTCCGTCGAGTCCGAACCGCTGGGCACGGCTGGCCCGCTCAAGCTGGCGGAGAAGATTCTCGGCAAGGACGACTCCCCCTTCTTCGTCCTCAATTCCGATGTTATCTGCGACTACCCTTTCAAGGAGCTCGCCGACTTCCACAAGTCCCACGGAGACGAGGGTACCATTGTCGTCACCAAGGTCGACGAGCCCTCCAAGTACGGTGTCGTCGTTCACAAGCCCAACCACGCCTCGCGCATCGATCGCTTCGTCGAGAAGCCCGTCGAATTCGTGGGCAACCGTATCAATGCCGGTATCTACATTCTGAGCCCTAGCGTCCTGAAGCGCATTGAGCTCCGCCCGACCTCCATTGAGCAGGAGACCTTCCCCGCCATCTGTAAGGAGGGCCAGCTCCACTCCTTCGATCTCGAGGGCTTCTGGATGGATGTCGGTCAACCTAAGGATTTCCTGACTGGTACTTGTCTGTACCTGACCTCCCTCGCGAAGCGCAAGCCCAGCATGCTCGCCCCTCACTCCGAGCCATACGTCTACGGTGGAAATGTCATGGTCGACCCCTCCGCCAAGATCGGCAGGAACTGCCGCATTGGTCCCAATGTGGTGATCGGTCCTAACGTCGTTATTGGCGACGGTGTCCGTTTGCAGCGCTGTGTCGTCATGGAGAACTGCAAGGTCAAGGATCACGCTTGGATCAAGTCCACCATTGTTGGCTGGAACAGCTCCGTGGGCCGCTGGGCGCGTCTCGAGAATGTCACCGTTCTCGGAGACGATGTGACCATCGCCGACGAAGTCTACGTCAACGGTGGCTCAATCCTGCCCCATAAGAGCATCAAGCAGAACATTGATGGTAAGTTGAATTCCAATATCCTCTACACTTCGCCTTGAATTGCAGTAACTAACTTTCTTTACAGTTCCCGCGATCATCATGTAATCCTCCTCCTTCTTCACGTCGCTATGTCATTTGAAATACCTCCAACTCTCGTGCCGATACCATCCCCCTTCTCGCCCTTGTTGATGCATAGAACCGGAGTCGTTTACTGCGTTATCTTCTCTTCTCTTGCTTTTCGCTTCGCCTTTCCGCGCGGGGCCCATATCTCCCGAAATATCCTTCCTTTCGTCTTCCGAATCGATGCATTCCAGAACCTAGATGGTGAAAGCGCGCGATGTCGGCTGTTTTGCAAGAAATAACCCCTTTTAGTCATCTTTTGATCTTCCAAGCTATCCCCGTTTTATTGCTCCATATTGAAGCTTCTGTCCCTGCCCCCGCTACTTTGCGTTTTGGCCGCTTCCTCTTACTTCCTCTTTTTTTTTTCAAACTTCTTCATATCTTGCTCTTCTCTTTTTTTGTTGGTCTTTGGACAATGGGCAAGGAAATCAGGCCATATCTGTTTTAATGAGATCATGGGCGTGGGACGGGTCTTGTCGATGTAAATAATGGGAGGCAATCAAAAAACACAACTTCCCCTTTTGACACGAGTCAACGCTGCAATCACTGTTGCACTTACTGATTATACTCCTCTTTTGATTCTTAACTTGCACGAGCCATGTGATCTAAATGATACTCCGTGGATCTCACATGTGTGCCTCGTCGGTTGTATACGAGTGCCACTCGGAAGGTTCAATGTGCTGTGGTCGCATTGAAAGTAAATGCCATTAAGGTTTATTTTACATTATCATATAGTTTTGACCGAGTTGTGTCAGGATGCGTTGTGCAAGTAGGCCTAGCCCTCAGCGAAAGGCAATTTATAGTCCGTGAACCACGCCCGGGCGTCAGGACCGAGCTTCAGCCCGGTCCAAGATCTCATCCCATTGGACCCGCAGCTCCTCCATCTGTTTCCAACATTGACGGCCGAGCTCTTCAAACTCTTCCTTTTGCTCCTTGGTCAGCTGCTCTGCGCCGCGCTTACGACGTCGAAGCCGATCAGCCTCCACAACTGGCGTTCCAACAACACCACCATACCCCCATCCATCAACTTCCGTGCACGCTGGACTCTCAACTCCGAGTCGGGAGCACGACGAGCCCCACTTCACTCGCCCACCACCAGCCTGGTGGTAAGGCTCTTCGGCAGCTTCGACTTTAGCTTGGGATGCTAGTGCGAGGAACACGGGTGCACAAGCACCGAGGTAGGTAGACAAAGGATGCCAAGGCGAGCCCAGCATCCGAGCAACCCAGAACGAAGCAACCATAGCCCACGCCAGAGGAAGAATCAAAGGAACGATCGATGTAGCACAGATACCAGGATGCGAGAGATAAGACCGAGGCGATGCATCAGGAGCATCGGTATGAATCGCATGAGTATTGAGCTCTGCATCAGACTCCAAGAAGCTATCAACCGACCAAGGCGCCGTAGACGGCAAATTAGACGTCAAAGCGAGGATATCAGTAAGAGCCTTCGAGGACTCGTAGGGAGCATCCGTGCGCAAACCCTGAATATCATCGACCTTGAAGAACTTCCAAGTAGCCTCGATACTAGAAACCCAAACCACACGTCCGGGCCCGTTCAAGTGCGCGCGCTTCAGGAGTGGCGTCACATTATGCGCCAGCATATAATGACCGAAGACATTGGCGCAGAAGACAGAGCCAAGTGCAGGCTCGTCAACGGCTGTTTGTTTGGGTGTTAACACGCCAGTCGGCGCAAGCTTATAGCATGGCCAGGTGACCTGGTGAATGAGATCGGTGCATACGCCCCAGATGGCCTTGGGCCAGTGGATGCCAGACCAGCCACCTATGCCGGCATTCAGGACGATGGCGTCGAGTCTGGGGAGGGAGTGGACAAGTTTTCGGGAGAGGGCGCGGACAGACACGAGGTCGCCGAGGTCGACGCTCTCGGGGACGAAGTGGACGCGGGCGCTAGCGGAGGGGGAGGTTTCGCGCAAGTGAGCTTTGAGCCCGCGGGATGTGTCTTGGGCTTTGCGCGCGCTTCGGGTTGTAAAGATTATGGTGAGGGATTCGGATTCGGGGTGCGTAGAGAGGAATTCGTCGGCGAGACGGCAGCAGATTGAGAAGCCGAGACCGCTACAAGTGTTTTTAGTAAATACTATTGAACCAATTGGGGGTTATTCATGAAGTCTCACCTGTTCGCTCCTGTAACGAGAATGTACAGCATCTTTTGCTGCTCACTAGTGGGCTGGTCCATGGCTTGTTGCGGCGGGTTGTCGGTATCGGAGATAGGGGGTGGGATGGAGATATGCAACCCCTGAAGCCAATTGCAGCGAGAATTCTCGAGGCTTGGAGTTTGGACTGGGCAGTCTTATATACAACAGCTTGTAACACGTTGATCCCAAAGTAGCAAGCGCACCGGACAATCAACAAAAAAACACCGTCGGGACAAACATCGTACAAATTGTCCGACACGTGACAAACTGTAAAGCTTATCGTTATCGGTCTCCGCAGGTCGTTTCCTCCGCTCTCCATTCTCCGTCCTTCGTTCTCCATGGCTGCGATTGAATAATTCTATGGTGCCGTACAGTCGGCCTACGGGGAGCCATGGCAGTCAGGATTGAACGTTTCCTCAACACCACCGGATTTTTCTTTTTCGCCCTCATTCTCGTCTGTCTCATCCTTCTCACACCAGCAGATGCCATCTACCAATGTTACGAAACGAACCGACTCACCAACATCTTTTTCATCACCGGCGCATACATTATTACTTTCATACTTGCAGCTCTCATATATGCGACGCGAATCTACACAAACCGAAACGCGCTTACCGGGATACCCAAGGCCTGGATCCCCGTTGAAAAGGAAGATGTGAACAAGAGCGTCAGACGACTAGTGAAGGAAGGACTCGCGCGGAGCGCAGTCATCGCCTATCAAGCTCGCCCACGCGATGTTTCAACCGATGAAGACTCTTTTAAGAGGTACAAGTCTCTTCTCATTGATTCAGAACGACCTCCGTGGGGCCATGTCGAACATCCAGGCTGGTCCTCACCTGCCTCGCCTGACTTGCCGGATCTGCCTTATCGCACGGTAATCCAAGAGCTTCCCAGCTTGATCGAAGCTAAAGCCGTATCCCTCGCTCCTGCCGATGCATTATCTCCCGCACCTCCAGATCCATTCGGGCCTTCCAACCACCTCACCACCCAATCACTCCCCGATACACGCGTGGTGGAAGTGTTGCAACGCCCGGCTTCCATGGGTCTTAGAGAGTATATTCGACATTTGACGTCCCTGGGCGCAATCTACCCACCGGAATTGGGCGCGGAGTTCCTGTCCCTGTACGAAGCTGCACGATTCTCACCGCGCGAACTCCACGAGGCCGAATTTCGCGACCTGATGCATCTTTTCGCAGAGATTCTCAGGGGCATGACATCACTTGCGCCGCCCATAATAGACGAGATCCGGGATAGTGCCAGTTACCGACGTGCCGAAAGCGAGTCTATCATTGGGCCTTCGGATGAAGAAGGGGAAACCGATACGGTCGAGCATTTTGGCTTCGAGGGGGATCTGCAACCTCTGCATCTGCAGCCTGTGCGGAGTCGCAGCCTGCGACCTTCCACTGCATCTTGGGATGCTGAGTCCGGTTACGATACCGCGTTGCAAAGTCCTGTCTCGGGCTTTTCTTTCAGCAGTGGGTTTGCGCCACAAGACCCCCGTCGCACGCCATCTACTAGGTCTCTCCGGCGAGTCTACTCGGCACAATCTGCCAGCTCCGGAGGAAGTGTTATCCGCCTGACGCAACCACGGTCACCGACAGACTTGCCGTATACTTACAATGTATGAACTGAATGACTGCGCTGGTCGCAACTAATAATGGTTCACCTCATGTACATTACTTATAGACTCGATACCATTTGAGGACCCCGGAGTATTCAAAGGAAGTGGGGTCCTTAGTCAGGAGTAACATTGGAGTTCTTGGCATTCGCTGCAAAATGATTGATAAGATCGATAGTTTTTCCAAGGTTTCTAACCCGGACGCGTCATTGGAGAAAAGCTCGGCTTGGCTTCATTACAGCACCTTACTCGACTTTTTTTGCATATAGATCAAGAATTTGGAATAACAAATTACCGCAAAAATGCATCTCTTCCGCCGAGGGACCTCCTCTCTCTTCAACTCCTCCAACGCCTCGCTCGCTTCCTCCAAGTCCGACGCTACTACCGATGCTGTGGGCGACAAGGCCCTCGCTAAGGATGGATTTCAGACAATCTCCTCAAGCGACAAGCTCTTTTCGAACGTCGACCCTGCTGTAGACGGGGACGACTGTCTGCATGATTGCGCGACATGTACTGTCAAGTACCCCGCCAAATTCGATGTCGATCACGAAGACGAACTATACGGCCAGGTCAAGGGCTGGTCAACGCATATCCTCGTGGCGACAGGGAAATCAGACTGGGTGAGGGACGTCGCAGACGAGGAAGGCAGCGTCATGGAAGCAATTGAGAAAGGTGGACTGGAACCAAGCAACGGGGTGAGACAAACAACTTCACTTGTCCCAACAAGCCAATACGTCTCAAAGCTAACAGCACTCACCATCCAGAGACTCAAGTTGTCAGCTTCCAATATGCCCGTTCCAGACGAATACCACATGGCCGACGCCGGGGAAAAGCCTACCGACGTCCTCCTCCTGCCCAGCTTCACCGTCGTCGAGCACGTCACCCCACAACTAGCACCCGACCTGATCGAGAACTTCGTCAATAAATCCCTCACAACCACCACACCCCTAAGCTCCTCATCAACAAAGGAGAACGAGGTCCCCGACTCACCCGAACCCCAAGACCTCCCCCACCCATCCACAACCTCAATCACCTCCCTCAAATCACACCCCAGTCCCCACGCCGCAGTGATCCTCCTCTGCTCACAGCGCACCCGCGATGCCCGCTGCGGGCAATCCGCGCCTCTCCTCCGCCGCGAATTCGAGCGCCACCTGCGACCCCTCGGCCTATACCGCGATATGGACGATACCCGCCCCGGCGGCGTGGGAATCTACTTCATCAGCCACGTTGGCGGACACAAGTACTCCGCGAACGTAATTGTGTATCGTCGGCGAGACTTTAACTGGCACAAGGAAGGTGGTGAGGACGAAGGTGCGGCGCAGGGAATCTGGCTGGCGCGCGTGCGCCCTGAAGAGTGTGAGAATATTATTCGCTATACCGTTCTTCAGGGTAAGTTGCTTAAACCCGAGACGCAATTGCGCGCAGGGTTTGATCGTGAGCGTGGCTTGACGAGTTGGTAGATTGGTTAGATCTATATTTTGGATGCTGGAGATGTTGATATATTCTTGTTTCTTGGGCTTTCTGGTTGAATGATGTTCGTTTTGGAGAACATTCTTCTATACGGATCGAATTTTGGGATCATCTTTGCACGATCAATCAAGTTGATTGAGATTGACTATAACATGTTGTTTAGCATTGGAAGGGTAGCACAATAGCACTCTACCCGTCTCGTCGCAGACCTATCCACAATTCTGAAACTCGACCCGCGGAGTAGTCTCCGCCTCTGGTGATCAGCTCAATGCCAGGCCCAGCTGTCAGGACCTCAACATTTCGCCACAGTTTACTCCGTACAGCAGTCTTCATCTCAGTTGCCCAGGACAGTAGAAACACCCTCGGACCACAGACTGCGCAGAGGGCGTGCATGCGTGCCCGACTGCCGACCCGGCCCTGCATGGAGTTGCAAGCCATATTTAAGACGTCATAGCGCAGCGATATCCCCGATTAGCAAGCAACGGCGCAACACCATACGCAGATGACCCAGGCAAGGAGGTGACGCACCCCGAAAGGCCGCCACCACCTGGGCAGCCGTTGGGGGCGGGGCTTGGCTTGTACGAGGATAAGAACGGGTATGAAACGATCTGTAATTGTACGAAATATGGAAGACAAAAGACGCAAGATGATACTGGGATACAGAAATGGGGAGCCTCGCAAAGAAAGCCGGCGTTAGCGACGGGGCTGATTTGTGGATTTGTAAACGACCGAATCAGACCCCACGACAAGAAGCCTCTGGTGAGACTCGGAGAAAGTGTTCAATCTGGAAATTGATCTCAGGGCCCATCAGCAAGGAGGCGTCCTGTCTGTGGCAGATAAGGGCTGACATTGAAGTTCATACTTCCGTCCAAACACTACGGAGTACGGAGTACAATCACCACATCTTACTCGCAAGCCCCAAGTGGGGAAAAGACAGAACATCGCAGCCTCGAAATCCATGGCGGATATGAGGAGCCAATGCCTGCAAGGGGCGAGTAGCTCCATCCTCATATTCTTGGCCGGTAAGATGCCGTCTAGCGATACGAGGCAAACCCCGACTGACCGACATTCGAAGCTCGAAAGTAATTTTCCAGCCATTGCAGTTTAGTCGCAGTTTAGTCGCAGTCGCACCAGTTAGGATCTGATTTCCGTTTAGATTATACGCGACGATCTCACACGGATATCACATTCACGTTCACATTCACATTCTCTTCGAACCCTGTCAAGTTAGCTTCTGCGCCATGCGCGCGTCGGAGATTAATTTAGAGTAACATGTGTTGTAGCTTCTGTACTCTGTAAATGGACGAAGTAATGTCATCAATGTAAGCACGGAATGATGGTGGAATACCGTCATTCTCACGGTGTTGAAGGTATTATTATAGGCCGAGATAAAGGAGAGTTCTCCGTAGGGAAAGCAACAATAACAAAAGGCTAGCATCGACGGGCATCACCAACAGCTCGTATCAGACAAATTGCGGGGTATAACCTTGGAAGGTACTCGCAGTGTAGTCCGTACGGAGTACGGAGTACTTCATAGTCTTTGCTGCTTGCTAAAGAGCTTCCTAATTCATCTCAACTCTCAACTCTATCCCGTCCTTGCTTAATGCACCTCCCATCACTTCCGCACATCTACTAACTCGTACATGCGAAACTCTGACTCGACATGCCAGAAGTATCCCTGTTTTGAGCTCTCCCCACACCAATCAACGTGGCTTCAACTGACCCCTCGGTACCGAGTCATGTTCTCTCTCTCTCTCTTCGCATATGCAAATGCGTTCTTTTTTCCCTCATTTATTCCCTTCCGCGTCAAGCACTCCTTGTTTCTACCTAATCTCTACTCCGTACTCTTCCCTGTATTCATGTATATTAAATCTTGCCCGTTCAAGTATATCTGAGCCGGAAGATACCTCCGATCGCATGCATGGCTACGATTTTCCCGTAATCATCTAGCGTGCTGCATCCCGAAAGCTCCACGATAGTCGCAGTTTATTTGAGGATCGACGGGTGGGCCCGCTCATCTGTTGACGGAAGTTCTTACCATTTGGTTTACTGCACGCGTCTGGGCTGTGCACGGCGGACATTCGGTGCTTTACTGTCTATCTAAACCCGTGGACTCTGTGTACGTATGCATTGTTAAGCTTCCGTTTCTCGTCTACGGGAGATTATTGGTCGTTTTGGTTTATTTTCGTTGGTTTTTCTTTGGTAATTTTGGTCAAATTTCAATTTCGCTTTTCGCGTGATTTTTCCAACATGCCCAATTACCTCAATGGCTGATATGGCTGCATCCCCAGGTGGAAATGAGGTAGCTCATGGAGGGACTTTGGAACTTTGTTTTTTTTCTCCAGTGGTTGTTTATTGTTTCCGCCTCACGGACCACGATCTCTACGGAAATAACATACGCGGAGCTTCATTGGACTCCGGTGTGAATCCTGTCGGCATTGGCAGGGCTGGACAGGGAGTAGGATCAAGTTTTTAGCTTAGTTCCAGCTTCAGCGAATACCCTCAGTACCCAGTACCGTCGATTGACAGGGAACCTGGGTAGGGCTTGTCGATCACGAAAACCAAAGGGGTATCTCCTTTGCCCGGGTTAATTTAGTTTGTCCATCATCAGCGGACACGCGTGGCGTCTCTATACTCCATATGAATGGACTAATAAGGCTGGCTCAAAACCGCCCAGCCCAGGATCGTCGGGGAGAGTGGATTGCCACGTTCAGCCCAAAAAGACAAAATGGCATCATAACGCCTCAGTGTTTCACTCGAGACAATACTCCGTCTGCCCTTGATCCTCGCCAGGGTTTGATCCAAGCTCGCCCCGGTATCTCCGAGCCTAAAAGACAACCCGGGCCAACCGCAGCTACCCGAGACTCCACCCCGTGATGGAGAGAGAGAGAGTACTCCGTGTACGGAGTATCGAGTACCGAGTCAGAGTGAAAGGATTTCCGATCAATTTCGCCACCGGGATTTTGAAACCAGCGGGCAAATGTACGCATTTTCCTTCTGCCTGACCCGGAACAGACTTTGAGTGTGGCGGTTGACAGAGTGATCGACCCACCTACGTCGACGGAAAAAGCAATGCAACTAATGTGGCGCTATAGCGTATAATTTAGACAGAGTACAAGTACGGTGAGGAAAAGAGCCCCCTAAGTCCCAGGGTTGTGGTACTCTATTTGCATTGGGGAACAAGTACAGAATAAGTACACAAATGGGTATGGAGTAGGTATGGCGAGGAAACTTGAAAAGTCTATGTTGTACTCCGTACGGGGAGTACTTGTACATGTATTTGAAGGTGCAAATATTCAATACTGATTCATTCTCACTGTTTCCAGAGCCCATGCTCCCTGTAGAAGTTATATGTGGTTTTGTTTTGCCATCTAACTAATTAGTGACAATGTCCTTTCTCCGCGGGTGTTAAGGAATTGTGGAGAAGCGGGAACAGCCCCAACCTTGTGGATCCCGTTATGGTGTGGGAAAGCCATTCCCGTAATGCTCTGGGGTATGTTTTTATTCCTTTTTCTTGCTCTACTTTGAGTACTCGAGTATTGATCTTCTTATTCTCTTGGGATATGTACGGAGTACGGAGTATGGGGTACATTGTAGTCTGCCTTTCTTCTGTGTCAACTATTGCGAATCCTTAAATGCCGCGTCATATCATGTCCCTTGCAGTTTGCCGTCTCTCACGGGATTGGTCTTCCTTTTTGATTTCGATTGCCTTTCCTTGTTTCTCTCCTATGCCGTTTATGATAATTTTTTGACTTTGTTTAGCATTGCGGGGACACGGGGCATTAACGGAGTTGGAACGTCTGGACTCTTGACCTTGGAAAGTTAGTGATCTTTTTCGCTGTCAGCCCGGAGTAGCTCGGCCGCGGCTAGGGTGTCTTGGCTTAAGTTGCATTCCCGAGCCCCCCGTGAAGGTGTGCAGTTGAGACTGGGATGATCTCATGTTGACTCTGCCGATTAATCTGATTCACCGGAAGATGGAAGATGGGACATAGGATGTCGAATATCGAATATCCAGAAAAAAAAAGAAATGGAGAAAAAGAAACATCCTTCGTCTATGGAATAGGACATTGTATAGAACAGACAGACAGTTCTGGTCCCCGATATCCAAAGAGTCGGGTTCGAAAAAGGGGGAGATCGAACTTTATTACCAAATATACCGGGCCAGTCTGGTATTGTCAACTATACTGTGGATGATTGGATATACCGAGTATTATACAGCATGGGAGACATCAGTACAGTTAGTGCATACCATTGGTATCATCCAGTTTGTCCACCTGGGCAGTATTGATTAAGTGTCATTGGCCTTCGGCGACATGGTGTAATTTAATGGTAATGTGGGGGTTTTGGCCGAACCAACACGATACCAACCCCCGTAAGCGTTGTAATTCAATCTATATATGGACAATACTTGGAGGTACTTGTATCGGGTACCTAATAATAATAAACTAAAAAAATAATCCAGAAATAATAAGAAAATAAGAAAATAATCATATATCTAGCATGCCTTCTGATTACTTGATTACTTGAGCCCCCTCTTCTGCCTTTATCTTTATCGTATATCCCCCCAGTCTTTAGTGTTGATGCAACTTCCCCTCTTTCTCTCTCAACCCTCCAACATGGCGCCCGGCAGCGGACGCGATTTTAACTGCTCCTGGGAGCAATGTGGCAAGGTATCAGTGCTGCCCTCTCGTGTCGATCGCATCTAACCTCTCTTCAGTCCTTCAATCGCAAGTCTGACCTCTGTCGCCATTATCGCATCCACACCAATGAGCGGCCCTACCAATGCACTGTCGCCGACTGTAACAAGAGTTTCATCCAGCGCAGCGCCCTGACCGTGCACTCAAGGACGCACACAGGCGAGAAACCTCACGTTTGCGATCATGAAGGCTGCCATAAGGCATTTTCAGATGTAAGAAACCTCCAACATGGTAAAGGAAATCGCAATTTCTGACGTGCCCAGTCTTCGAGTCTGGCCCGCCATCGCCGGATCCACACCGGCAAGCGGCCCTATGTCTGCCATGAGCCCACTTGTGAGCGAAGGTAAGTTCCAAGGTATGCGGAACTGGAACGTCGTCTAATTTCCTGTTGAAACCGTAGTTTCTGTCGCAAGACCACTCTCACAAAACATCAACATCGTTCGCACCCGCCCGGTAGCTTGACCCGACCATCGTCGGAAGAAGCGAGCTCAGAGCATTCATACGCAACACCCGTCCCGGTATCAATATCGAACGAGCAGTATATGCTTGCGCAGCAATCTTACTACCCGCAAGCGGCGACCCCGACGCATGAGTTTTACTCACCGCAGAGCGTCCAGATGACCGCTGTGCCCGTGCACGAAGCCGCGCCGACGATTTTACCCCAGAATGTCCCTGTGATGAACTCCCCGATACACATGCACGCCCAGCACCCGCAGCACCCACAACACCCACAACAGCACCCGCATGTGCATCATCAACAGCAGCAGCAGCAGCAGCAGCAGCAACAACAACAACAACAACAACAATATATGCAGCAGATGATGCAACAGCAGCGATTTGAGCAAAGCCCGCGCACGAACTATATACCAGCGGCTTATGAGCAAGCGGCATTCCAAAATCAGCAGCAACATCACCACCATCAGCAACAACAACCGCAGCAACCGCCGCCGCAGCAACAGCAGCAACAGGTGCCTTCTGAGCAGCCAATCATGGTTTCATACCATTCAAACTATGTGTACAAACCCCCCGGCTCTAGGATCTTGAACCAACCGGCGGGGACTGACTGGGGCTTTCTGGGGGTAGGCTAAGAGAGTCCACCTAGATCTCTGCGATGTGGTTAATGCCCGTTACGACTTATTTCTTCCGACTGTGTCTTCCGCCACACATCGAGCATTCGCATGTTATTTTGGGGGTCTTTTTTTTATATATCCACACTCTCTCCGTTTGAGCCTGGGCGCTTTCATTAATTGCCTTGTTATGTGATTATATATGACATCTTTTCTTATTTACTCCCTACTTCTTTTTTCACTTTTTCAACTTTACTTTATTTATTTTTTGTTGAAAGAGTGGCAGCGGCGTTTGCGAAGTGATATACCCGACTCGGGTTGTTTTTATTTTTATATTCCCAACAGCGTGGATTGGTCGTCTATTTTCACCCAGACTTTCAGATGTTCAGACGTTCAGAGTTTACATTCCAGACCCCAGGCTTCAGACTTCAGACTTTCAATTCGAAGAATTAGTTTCCGAAACACAAAACAAAACCAGCCCCATACGCCTGACAGCGCAAGCCATTGCACGCTTGTTTTGTCCAGACCTCTCAGGCTAGCACTAGTCGTTGCTGACTCGTAAAGGGAAAGTTTTGCCCAGCCTTTCTCGCCGAGAGCAGCTAGTGGCGGAATGCCTTACCACGCCCAGATTGGCGAGCGATCCGAAAAACCGCATGGCATGCATGACTCGTGGCGTGTCTGTTATTCATCATTTCTGATTGCTTTTTCCTCTTTTATGCTAGCTGTTCTTGGTGGGTTTTATTTTCCATTTTGCTTTTTTCTTTTTCTTTTTCTTTGGCTATTCCGTTTTCCGCCTCTATTTACGCGCGGTGGCCCCATTTCCTGAGAAAAACGCCAAGGGCCAAGAAATGCCAGAGGAGCGCAACCCTGTCTCGCTAAGATTCTATTTTACTTTTGTTTTTTTGTTTTTTTGTTTTTTTTTTTACTTTCCAAGGTTTTTTGTTGTGGTTCGCCTGGGATAGTCGGTAATCAAGGTTTCCAAGGTTTGATATGGGATGATTCGAGTTCCTGGAAGATTGTGTGTTGGCACAAGGATCTCGCTTTCTATAGCCGAGTTCCCGATGCAACATTTCATTTGGATGTACGATCCTGGTTGATCCTGGGATCTCTCCCAGGTTATTTACACTTGTAAAGACTAGGTCCTTTGCTGCATAATGAGTGACCGTTGATCGACGGTAGCAGGAATGTTGCACTTTGGCTAAAACACATCGCCACTAGTAGCAAATCAGACAACTTACAACTTCAGCAACTCATCTCCGGGTGGACACCGCACTCTACACGTCTTTTGAAGTGGCGAAGGAAATAAAATTATGGAGTCGAGCAGAAAATTAGAAAAAATTGGAAAAGAAAGGAAATTCTGACAGGGACTGTAGGCACGTTGGATGATAAGCGTACCTCGGGAGTAACTTGGTGAGACATGCGCCATCGTGTAGGTTTGAAGTATACGGGAATTAAAAGTGACAAATACACCAGCAGTGAGAAGTACAAGGGAGGGGCGAATGAAGGGAAAGCCATTCAGAATTAATTTACCATTCTATGTACATACTGTACAAAATTCCATAATGAAACTGAGATCCCGCGGGATCTCAAACGTCCGTTGATCTCGAATTCCGTTCGTGTACATGCCCATCTGCAGGCCAGAACCTGTTTTTTGCAAGTTGGTTGATAGGCTATAGGCTGGACTCCAGGCGGAAAACATATCCATGATAGTTTCGAGGACTTTCTTTGGCGATGTTTCTACATAATATTCCGTACTGCCCGCTGCCTAAGAACAGGTTTTCCGTGTTGCCCACTATATGCATTCAACAAAATCTGCAACGTAGATGAGCATACGGAGTACTTCAGAAGTTCAATGCAGGCTAGCTCGGACGATCGCGCAGTGGAGGGAGTTCGGTGAGTGTGGATGGGAATGATGGGGCGCCGGTAGATCCCGCCCATTCCATAATTTGACGGACAATTTAGATGACAATATGACAGACAACTTGCCATGACTAGCTTGGGGAGTACCACCCCGACTTACTCTACTCGGAGTACCCGGCTTGTCGGCGCTCATTTCCCGGTGCCTTGGGAAATATCACCCTAAGTGGACGCCTCTAGAGCAGCGTAGTCGGAGATAGACCTTGTTCCAGTGATGATCCACCGCCCTGGGAGAGCTCCCCGCATGCAAGTCATGGATAGGATCACCTAGAAGTATTACCTATGCACTAGGAGCTTGAGGATGGTCATTCTCAGGTGTACTTCTCTTTGGGGGATACCTTATACGGTGATTGGTAATGGTAGGCTGACTATTCTGCATGGTGTACTTCATACTCAATCACATAAATCCGAGAACGAGAGCTTCAAATCATATCGAAAAGTGTCAATGAAACTGTTAGAGTTTTGCGTAAGGATCTAGCCGCTTGCCAGACGACCCGTTTGGACGATCGCTGGTTTCAACGCTAATCGGATGGAAACAGAATTGTACGGATTGTACGGATTGTTCGGAGTTTCGATTCCTACTGACATGGACGAAAAGCGAATCCACCACTCCATGTTAAATCAGAGAAAATAACAAGAAACATCATAATCATAATCATATGGTGGAAGTCAACATGAAATTGTATCTCAATGCGACCGAGGTTAACAATTTGGCCCCCAAGCCAAGTCCGGCCAAGTGCCCCAACTCGCGTGGCGGTTCCTAGCCGTTTGGAACTTGTATGGTCGCATATGACCTCTGACATATTACAGCATATACGGAGTACCAGAAAAAGCATACTGTACATGCTGAATACAATCACTTACGAAATACTTACACGATACAAGTGCTATGCGGTACACCTGGGCAGCCAAAAAGAGGGAGCTATCTACTCCGTACTTGCAGAGCGACATTATACGAAGCAACTGAACCATCGCGAAAAAAAAAAAAAGAATAGGATATGCGCAAGTGTTGCCGCATAGAGGCCGATCGGCCAATCACCCACCGGCCATACAACGTGTAAGCTCGAAGCGAAGGCTATGTGGGGAGATACTCAACGGCGATCCAAGGGGAAAGCAGGGAATAAATGGACCCGCAGAATATATCCTCCCTCTTGTGAGTGGCCACGTCGGAGAAAATGAGCTGAGGACCAATTATTTCTATTGTTATGGAGTATGTGTTGGTGTGATCAGGGATGTTCCCTACTGTAGTACTTCCGGAGGAAAGAATCTACAAGGAACGTTGTACAGTATGTACAGTATGTACGGAGTAGAGGATTGCTAGCTGCGCGATGTACGTACATGGAGGAGCTACGTAATGAGGCCTCGAGAGATGACGACACGGCTGAGATTGATGTCGTATTCTGATTTCGAATTTTGTTCTCAACAAATCACTCACACTAGGGGCTAGGGAGAGGAGACTAAGGACGCTAAAAAGACCAACATTCGGGGCACTAAGGTAGGCGCCGGGCTTTAGAGCTTCCCGTTGGCGCGTGGGGAACCGCGAGAGGCTGCGATTGATGAAGCGAAATATTTTTGTGGGAATAATATTTTAAGTGGGAATGTCTTTTATGATTTTTATGGGGCCGGTGTCCATAGAATTAGTACTCCGTAGAGAGTGTTTCTGATTGCAAGCTCCAAAAGAGGAATGCAATTCGAGAAAGATCCGTTCGTATTGATATCTGTCACACGACAGATGTTACCTGCAACTGTAAGCTAGTAAACTTTCAAGTGCGTTTGGCTTAAATGAAGGGCAGTGATCTATCAAATGATCGTCTACATACGTACGGAGTACTGGAGTACGGAGTCCTATGCCGTTCAAGCTACTCCGTAAGTAAGTACGGAGTAAGACCAGAAAACAATCTGAGAGCTATCAAGGAGCTTGGGCCGTTCGGGAGCCTCGGGGTACACGGCGCAGCGACTGGTGGGTGCGTCGGGAAGCCTATCGTGTCATTGTATGGTATGGTATGACCTCGTTATTACCATACATGTATTACTTACTCTACTGATCCCTCCGGGAAGTCCCACCCTCTGTGATCCCGGTACTTGGAAATGAAGATTCTCCTGAAAGCCCTCGTCCCTAGGTTGACCAAGGAGAAGATCCACATAAATCAAGACAAAAGTGGACTTGACAGAGTTCCAATGTAACCTGTTGATGGAAAAAAAAAAATGTAAAAGAGATTGACACAAGAGATGCATAGTCCATATGGAGTATGGACAACAGAGATCCTCGGGATACACCGACATACGCCGTGAAAGACGACTCCGACCAATATCTGCTTTCAGCTTAGACCGATCTTCCCGAGACAGACGGCGAAACAAGCTTTGTTGGATGGGGCAGACGCGCAGACCAGGGCTACTCGGAGAGGGCCTCTGCGCTGGTCTGATCCTGCGACAGCCGCAGAGTATGAAGTATGAAGTAGCGCAGTACAATCGCTATGGATGAACGAGCAAACACCGTCAAGTTAGCAAGTTGAATATGCAGCCTACGGAGTACTAAAGGCAACTCTGATACGAGAGATCGACAATTGAAATGTACTGTAGCACGCCGCGACGGATTTTTCTCTAAAAAAACCCATGTACATACTATACTTGTCATAGCCGTGTGCGGCTCAGGCCGACCAACAGACGACACCAACAGACGACCAATACACCCACGATACCGTCGCCAATCCACAGCCGAGCAAGTGGAGGTGATAAAATCTTGGCCACATGGCCGATCTGTATATTTCGACCGAAGTCGAGAGCTCTGACTCGGGGGAGTTCCAAAGCAGTTCTAGATCATGTTTGGATCGGCATGTTAGAGCGAGGTTGTGGCTGACTCCGGGACCATATACGAGAAAATTCCCCACTTCGCCCCTGACGGGTGAGGTGAAACGAGAAACGAGAAAAAAACGATGAGAATAAGAAATTATCCAGGGGAGTTCGCCAATGAGAAGGGGCGTAATGATACTTTGTAAGTCTCGTGGGGTGCCCCAGGCTCCCCAGATGCCACTAAGCCCTTTTGGGAAATATTAGACGAGGGGGAAAACTGCGAGTTTGTACGAAGTATGACAGCTGAGTCTAATTGGAACTGCCGACGAGCTCGGTATACTGCTTCAGGCAGGTTGATATCAAGGTTAGCGAGGTGCTTCAAGCCGTGTGGAAAAGGGACAGGGGGTAACACTTGTATGGAGTACGGAGTAACCATGTCAATCAAGAGCCATTCCAAACCCCGACAGGATCACCTGGGCATATAGAACTTCAACTACGGAATATAGAACTCATGCTTACTCCATACAATCTACATAGTGGATACATCTCGTTGAATGCAATGCATATGCAAACAAGGCCTCGGACTCTAGATCTTATCTGCATATATGTAGGTCGTAGTTCCACTATGGAGAAAACAACCGTTGAACAATCAAAAGTGCTGCATATAAGCTAGATGCGACCAAAATTTCAAATCATTTCTAGATTTAATCATCAGTAACAGCAACCTCATCCTCCCACTTAGCCACGCCCAGATCACGGGCACGGTTAATCACGCGCTCAATACCATCCAGACCCATCTTCAGCACATCCATCTTGGGTCCGTAGCTCAGACGCACAAAGTGGTGGCAGGGACTATCGAACAGATCACGACGCTTAGCCGGGTTCAAGTCGAAGAAGATACCGGGAACAACGATGACCTTCTCAGTCAGAAGGGCGTTGAAGAAGTTCAAACCATCGGAGATATTAGCCTGGGGAGGCAAGGGGGGATCGAGAGAGGTCAGATCCAACCAGACGTAGAAGGTCGCCTGGGGCACGTCCTGAACGCGGAAACCGATCTCATGCAGACGCTTCAAGACGTAGTCGCGCTTCTCGCGGAAATGCGACTGCAGGGCCTTCATCTCCGTGTGCACCAGCTTGGGTTCCAGCATGGGGATGGCGGCTTCCTGGAAGGGCACGTTGGCACCACCGTCCAGGTAGGAGCCGGCGGATCCAAGGGCGTTGACGAACTCCTTGGGTCCGACGACCCACGCGATACGCCAGCCAGGCAGGCGGAATCGCTTGGTCATACCGTCGATAAGGAGGACATCTACATTTGGTCAGTGGGTGGAGAGGATGATTGGAGGAAGTGTGTTCGTACCATCCTTGTCAACGTCGATGACGTTGGCAGCACCACTGATTGTCGATCCATCGCAATCAGTTGTGTAGTTGTAACCACCGTAGAACTCATCCAGAATGAGAGTTGCACGGTCACGGCAGAGATCCTGAATCTCAATGAGCTCTTCCTCAGACACGAAGTGACCTGTAGGGTTACGAGGGTTGGAGGTCAACAGGACCTGGGTACCGCGGGCAATTTCCTCCGCGATCTTATTGGGGTGAATGTGGTAGTGGTCGTCCGCAGACAGGGGAATGGGGATAGGCGCGATCTAACACTCGTCAGTTGACATTACCCCATCATCGAATCAAGACCCGCCACTTACATTCTTGAACAGACTCAGCATCTCCGAGTACGCTGAGTAGTCGGGAATGGGGAAGGAGAGGTAGGAGTTACCCAGGATGGCGGCGATACGGATGAGACCGGCGCGACCACCGGGCACAATACAGACATTCTCCCAGGTATACTGACTCTCCTTGCCCTGACGGTAGTGATCGTTGTACAGACGAGCGACGGCGGCACGCAGCGGCTTAATACCGGCGGTCGGGCCATATTCCCGCGAGGCGGAAGCAATGGGGATCGACGTCGGGCGGGGGAAACTACCCTCGATCTCATCGTCGGCCTCTGGGGCACCCTGACCTAGGTTGGCCCAGCCGGAAGGATCTTCGGCGTAGCCATGCTCGGAGGCACGCTCGGTACACCAGACGACACCGGTGGAGGCACGGGAAGCGTCGAGACCGGCGTGAGGACGGTGGCCTTCGTGAGCAGCGCGGAACTGCCTATGGGTTTCGGAGTGAAGCTCTAGAGAGGTTTAGGACGTTGAGCCTTGCATTCTTGGCTGCATAGGCACGTACCGTTAGTGGAGAGGTCTTTGGTGGCGGAAGCGCGGCGGTTGTCTGATGGGCGCAGGAGACTAAGGCGGCGACCGGAGAACGACATAGTGCCGAAGGGTGGTAGATGATAATGATAGTGTGTCTATGCAGAGGGGGAAATATTGGGACGAAAGCGTAAGGGTTTTTTTCCCGGTTTGTGTGTTTGTGTTTTTAAATGACGCTTCGCCCATGGAATCGCGGGCGACGATTCGACGAAATCACCGAATCGTTTGCGCCCAACTCACCGTAACTTCAAAGCCGATCGTTGCAGATGCGGGGGCGAATCACTCTTTGCCGTTAGAGCACGAGTCTTGAATTGGTATACATCGTACAGAGTCGATCTTTATGATCTCGATGCTACGAAGCTATAGCTCTACCTGCCAAGCCTGGGGATATCGGCTCTACGGCATCCCGATCGTTCTCGGCTTTTGATTGCGCCGAACTACGTCAACTTCGGCATACGTCAAAAATCCCACACTGCCGTAAACAAATCATTATGCAAAAGCTGTGATAGACTAGCGCTGAAAAGTCAAAGGGAGATAGAAAAAAGTATCCCCCCCCGCTGCTCAATCTCAAGCCAATCCAGTGAAGTCAAGAAGATGAGGGCGATGCAAACCGTGTGAATCAAGAAAGTCTTTGGGGATAGGGTATTCAAAATGAAAAAGAAAACAAAAGCAGCGCGAGAGGTCATTCAGTCCACGACTTGACAGTAGAGCTGGATCTCTCCTACCAAGCCCTTGGCGAGCGAATCGCGATTTTGCTCCTTCCATTCCATAAATGCAAGTTGCACAGCTTCGTCGCTGTCAATAGTCACAAAGTCGCCATCCTCATCACGGTAACGCAAGCGGACGGTCTTGTTTCCAATCGATCGATCGGTGAACCGCGCCAACTTGGCATCCACGCGGTCCGTCAGGGAGCGGAACAAGATGTTGGTGGCAATGACTAGAGTGACGTAGTTGTCTTCGAAGTTGACCTTTGCCTTGAGTTGAGTTGGCATGTATTGGTCTCCTCCCTCGGGCTCTTGGGTCAATGGCGAGGTGGCATGATCTGAAAGCTGTCCAGAGTTGCGAGTTTCGTTGTACTCCGGCTCGTTAAAGTGCGTGGTGTGGAGTGATGGCTGAGGTCGGAGGGGAAGCTGACTGGTCGGCGAGCTGTTCTGGCTACGGTTGACAGGCGCTTTCATGTTGGCCATGTGAGCGGGGATCGGTGGTACTGGAACATTGTCGACCGTTTGCATGGTATGGACGCCCATGTAACGACGAGCCTCGGGAGGGTTGTTATTGTGGTGATGGATGTCGGGGCTACTGGCCGATCGCATGCGTTGGGCCATACCGTTGGCTGTGTGAGCGGCCTGGGGACCCGTGAGCGGAGGCAAAGACGGACGCTGAGCACCTCGGCCGTTAGCCTGAGGTGGGAAGTATCCCCCTGAGGTTGACCCTTCTCGCGATGCCACACGGGACAATGCTGGTGCTGTGTATCGGTTGGACTCCTCATTCCAGGCTGTAGATGCAGATGTGGAGTTTGTGTTCTGGCGACCAAAGGAGAATCCAGACTGAGAACTCGACCGCGTGGATGGTGTCTCTGTGGGGGAGAAGTAGGAGTTCATGTTGCGATCGCCGGGTGACATGCTGCCGTTTCCAGAGAATTGAGTATGCACAGAAAGCGTGGGGTCGGTGCCGGCATAACGTGGTCGGCCATTGGGGTGAGGCACAGAGCTCGTGCTGCCTCCAGTTGCCGACCGAGTCCGGAGACTGGTGCTGGATGCATTCCGGCTCATGGCGAATTCGGAATAGAATTGGTCTTTGCTGGGGTCGTCGGTGTCGTACTCTTGTTGGTAGGGGTTTGGCATGTTGCCCATGCCTTCCATGTAGGTGAATTCGCTGTCAGATGTACCAGTGTTGCGCATAGTGCGTCGCTCCGCCTGGATCGCCCGTTGGGTGTCAATATCCTTGTACCAATTACGCATGGTATCTTCATTGGCATAACGAATGACAAAATTGTCGACCACGCCGGGATCTCCTTTCCAGAAGATCTGGATTCGGTAAAGCCCTACAGCAAATGAATTAGTTTTTGAGGGCTTTGGGCACAACGCCGAGGACTAATACTCACCAGGCTTTTGAAGGCAGACAATGTCAGTGACATTGGCCATGTAAATCCTGCCCTTCAACTGGAGGCGTGCTTTTCCCTTGGCATTCAAAGACGGCTTGTCTTTCTGCATCATCAGCTTCGTCTTTTGCTTGTTGGGGTTGATGTCTTTGCAGCAGAGCAGGATTCGCTCGAAGAGATAGATGTGATACTAATGATCCTGTCAGCGAGATCTTCCCTTCAAGACTGAACGCAAGAGACATCGCGTCGGGGGAAATGACAAACCTCTCTTTCATTATCTTTGCCGCTATCGCCCTTCACGACCTGGAACGTGCCAAACCGAAGAAGCGTTCCAAATGTATCCATCTTCAGAGCCTTCCAATCATCCACGCGCTCAGAAAGATCGACTACTGCCGCAGCAAGGTGTTCTTTGTGAATAGCCTCATTGGCATAGTCAAGCACTTGTTGGATACAGTCAATTGCATGTGTGATATCTGTCTGCAGCTGGGCATCTTCTAATTGCTTGCGTAGCTCCTGAGAAGTTGTTAGCGGCCGATTTGGGGCGGTGATTTCAGTTGGAGTCTTACCGAGAGCATAAGCGGGTATCGAGTCAAGCGTTGGAAAGGTTTCACGAAGAAGCCGTTCAATGTTTTCGGCTGCGCGACCATTTGTTGCAGGTCCAAATGGCGAGGCGCACTATGAATCTTATCCCATTCTTGCATACAAACTTGGTCACATCGCATCTGGTTTGCGATAAATGGTTCATATTGCCTGAAGGCATCTTCGTGCGAGAAGAAGAGCTGACCCCAGTTCTGCAATTCTTCCGGCAAGGCATAATGCTGTTCCATGCGAATCAAAAATCGTTGCGCAAAATCAAGCAGGTTGTTTAAGTTGAGGAAAATCTGATGACTAGCGTCGCCTGTCAAAGCACCTGTCTCCTCCAGTTCCTTTTTCAGTGCCTGAAGATTCTGTAGGTGATGAACATAGTCACGCTCCGTCTCCAGAAGCTCCTTGAGGATGTGCTCTCGCTTGGTGAGTTTCACGTGAGCTTTGGCTCCAGTGGGCGTCTCTGTAACTTCGGTTTGCTTCAATTGGCCCTGCATCTCAAGGATGTCAACCACGCGGTTAACCATCTTGATCACTTTAATAAATCCAGTCGTACTCTCGCCGTAAAGATCTGTGATCAGGAAGCAATCTTGTTGCGGGAACGCCAAGTCCTGCAGGCAGGCCTGCAAGAACTTGAAGGTCGCCGCTTTGGGACGCTTTGCCTCCGTCACCTTGCTGGGATCAATTTCCAATATGTCATCAGGGCCCGATGCATTGTAGATACTCAACAAAGGGTATCCATTCCGAAGGCAGTTCCACAAGGAGGCCACGGGATCCGTGTTTCCCCTAAGAGCATCATCTTCATCCATCTCTTGCAGATACGGCTCAAAGTTGGGGACTTCGGACAGTCTCCGTCTCAAATTCACACAGCTCTGATAAATCGATTCTCCACCACGCCGGTTGATGATATTATCTTCGGCGACCGGAGCGCCGCTCATCGTTGAGTCAATCATATTCAGGTTCCTCGACCGAATTCAGATGAGATAGACCAGCCAGACTCAATTTAAATCTGCGCAGCAGACCCGAGAGGAATGGGTGCGGAGGGATCGCGAAGCGTCGGGAGCGGGGAGGTGAAGATCATGGATTCCCAGGGTGGGTTGTAAGTTGCACGTCGCAAGTACAACAGAGATTCGATATTCGGATTTCAAGACAATGATATGGAGATTTCGCTCGAACGTTACAGTCCAGTTTGCCGATATCTGGTAGGAAGCAACGAAACTTGAACCGCCGAGTAGAGGTTATGTGAATACGGAGGATCGAAAGCGCGGGATGTCGGTCACCGTCACTTGACAGTACAAAAAGGAGAGACTCAAGGAATATCTTCCGACCTGCAGTCGTGCCCAATCGATGGGAGGAGAATTTGAGTATGTGAGTGGTCGCTGCAGCCGGGCAAGCGAGTCAACTCAGTGAAAGTAAGTTCGGGGGGCGGGAGTTGCGAAATACACCGCTAGGAGGGGGAGCAATGGGCAGACCCGAGAAGTGTAAAGGAGTTGCGCAACAACGATATGACGGGCAAGAAGAAGGCCCCGAAAAGCAGATAGAGCAGAGAAACCAAAGTGACAGATGTGAATGCTGATGGAGGAGGAAAGGAGAGAGGGTGAGCCGAAGGAGTTTCAATTACCCAAAGAGGATTAGCGTGTGTTCCATCGGGCGGTGGGATGTGGAGAGGGGCAACTCGACTTCCGATCTATATTTACCTGGTCTTTTGGACATTCTTGACCTTTATTGTGCATTTGTGTGCATTCTTCGTGTACTATGTGTGCATAGAGGTCAATGCTGAATCTTCTGAGATCGTTGACATTATCTGCATTGGGTCTCCACCGTCTTCTTAGCCCTAGTCGCCAATATAAGATCCTAGCTGCGACCACACCCGTGGGCCCTAAACTATGCAGGGAATGGAGAAAATGGAAGTACCGGGGCTGCCACCTCAATTTTGACTACAGCGTATGTATACAAGGCTATTCTCCTCTACATTCACTCGATCGAGGGCCACGGACATGGTCTCCGTTATAGGAGCGACTCGTGAAGACCACTGGAATCGCATTGTTTACATTCATGGATATCGACTATCATTGTGATTCTTGATACGTATGATTCAACTTCCAAGGTTGCGGCTTGAAACCGTACACATATCAATGGAGGGACCTCGGGATCAATGAAGAAACCGAAAACTCTCCAGTTTCTCTAAGGTTTTAGTTCCCGCTCCAGCCATGGAGTAACTACGTGAGGGAGGGGCTACCAAGACAATGTTTACGTTGATTGAAGATCGTGATTCCAGTCCACAGTACTATTCTCAAGAGTACTCCAATGCACTACCTGCTATACCCTTCGCGTATGATGCGGACCAAGGGTGGGTTGGTTTCTTTCTACAAATGTCAAAAGAATATATCGAGAGAGGTGTCGTGGCCGACGGACTGAAGGCAGACCGCAGATTTGTCCTTGGACAGATAGTCCCTGTGGGTACGATCTCTACGCACATGGAAATATGGATGATCAAGGAGTCTCACTTATGGTACTTTGGACATACCCTCAATTCTCCCGAGGTCTCACTTAACGGTGGCGGAGGAAGAGGATTTGGTTGGCTACCAAGTCTGCCCAGGTGCGAAGAAGGGATAGATAAATGAGCGCTTTGGGAAAAGTACTTGGTGCAAAAATACACTGTATACTTCTGTTTTCTTGCGGGCAGACGATGCTTGGTTTGATCCTCTTGTGGCAACCAGGGAGTCTAGCATTGTTCAGTGATCAGTACGGAGTAAGTGGCGAGGATTCCCAGGTGAGCAGAGGGAAAGTCATGGCTGGCCGCTTGATGCCACGGTATATACTTATATACTTCAGCACCCCTTGTAGGCGATATGGTTCGTGCATTCTTGCTCGATACTCCGCGTGTTCACCTTCGGCGGACGTAGTGAATAGATTCCAATGTTTGTCGACACAGACATAAAGAGCCAAATCAAACACATGCAGGTAAATTCAATTTCACGTGACCCACCGCAGGGGCATTCAAGGGTGAATATGAAGTGTCCCCAAGAGGTTCGTTGCAAGGGTAGAAAGAGAAGAAAGCATTGTTAGAAAGCTGCAGAAACCTTTTGGGAAGTCGGCGAAGTACGATCTCTCCGGGGTGGATCCGTGACGTGACAAAAAACGCCGTCTTTTCTCTCCGCGTTCCTCCCCCCTCTCAACAGTTTGCGCTTGTTGCTTTCTCATCTCCTGAAGCGCTGGCTATTTCCATTTCCGTTTTCGCGGATATCGCGCCCTGCGCTTGCCATCGGCAGGATTCATCGTATAGACTCTTGTTGAAAATCCGCACCAATGGAGGGAGAGCCTATGCCCGATGCCCTGATCTCCCCGGCCTTGCAACTGCAGACCGTCTCCGAATTCCCCGCGCCGTCGCTATCCCCATCGTCTAAATTAGATGAAGGCTACTCGGACGACACCCGGAGCCAGACGGACAAGGATCTGGGGTCGGAAAATGTTATGGCACTTCCCAACTGGGTGCTCGCTCAGAGTGAAGCCGGCAGAGCTGGTAAGATATCCTTTCTTTCCCTTTCTTTCTTGGGAATGATCCCTGGTCGCGCAATGAACGCCTCATGTGGAGAAATTGCGCCCCTTCTCACCGCTTCGTTGTTCCCCTGCTAATCCCATCTGCCAGAACTTGCATATAGTCTTCTCCGATCTCTTCGAACCTCAACCATCGTCGCAGTGGTCGAACGATTAAACCCGATACTTCACATGGACCCGGTCGTGAAGCTCCCACCGGAGGTGACATTCGAAATCTTCTCCTACCTCGAACCTCGTACTCTCCTCAATGCATCGCTCGCATCTCGTTCGTGGCGCGACCGGATCTTAGACTCCGGTTTGTGGAGATTTCTATACGCAAATGAAGGTTGGCGATCGGATTTGTCCGCGATTCGTGCTTTCGAGCAAGAAAATTTCGAGCCTGTCTCGCCCCAGACGCGCAAGTCTCGCCTGCGACATCCGGAACCAGATCTCGGAGAACCCAAACAGAAAAAACGTGTCCCTCCCAGCTGGCATGAACGGAGCGGCGAACAGCAGCACTCGACCGTTTTTGGTCCTGTTATGGAAGCCGACGACGAAGGGGACCACCACATGAGCGACGGCAATGAACGCACCCCAGGTTCCTCTCACGATTCAGACTTCACCCTGCCAGATTCACTCTCTGTGGCCTCCTCGCCTCTATACCCACCATTGCAAACTTCTCTGCTCCTGCGATCCCCCAACGGCAATGCTCAAATCAACTGGACCCACCTTTATAAGCAGCGGCGGCGTCTCGAAGCAAACTGGCACAAAGGCCGCTACACCAATTTTCAACTGCCAGACCCTTCTTACCCAGACGAAGCCCACACGGAATGTGTCTATGCAATTCAGTTCGAAGGTGATTGGCTGGTCAGCGGAAGCCGTGACAGGACCGTCCGAGTCTGGAATCTGAGTACTAAACGACTGCGATACAACGCACTGCGAGGGCATGCCAAGTCGGTCCTATGTCTCCAGTTTGACCCTCATCCCGAGGAAGACATAATTATATCTGGCAGCAGTGACAAGACTGTCATCGTCTGGAAGTTTTCCACCGGAGATCTGATCCATCAAATCAAAGAAGCGCATGCTGACTCTGTGTTGAACCTCAAGTTCGACAAACGCTACCTTGTCACCTGCTCGAAAGACCGAACCGTTAAGGTATGGAGCCGCCGGGATATGCTACCCACCAGCGCAGATTACCCGCAGGTATGCCGAGGGGGTGGAGCGGCGTATCCTTCATATATCATTGATCTCAAGGAAGCTTCACCCAATTTCATTGAAGCCGGCATTGCCAATGGCCATATTCAAGCCCTCAAGCCCTACTCGTTGCTAATGGCTGTGCATGGACACAGTGCTGCCGTAAACGCCATGCAACTTAACGGGGATGATATTGTCACTGCATCTGGAGATCGCATGATCAAAGTCTGGAATATCCGAACAGGTGCTTGTACGAAGACGTTGATGGGCCACGAAAAGGGAATCGCTTGTGTTGAGTTCGACAGTCGCAGAATCATTAGCGGCAGCAACGACAACACCGTCCGCGTCTATGATCACATCTCGGGGGCGGAGGTGGCCTGCCTTCGCGGTCACAGCAACCTCGTTCGGACCGTTCAAGCAGGTTTTGGCGATCCTCCCGGCGCCGATGAAACCCTTCGTCAAGAAGCGCAGGCCGTGGAAAATGACTTCTTCGCTGCTCAAGAGACTGGAGAAGCCGTGGATCTGGGTCGGCGAGAACAACGACGCCGAACTGGTTACCAAACTGACACCCACGGATCACGAGACCCTCGCGATATCACTGCGCTGGGAGCTAAGATTCCCCCTGGGGGTGGAGGTAGCAATTGGTCCCGCATCGTGTCAGGATCTTATGATGAGACCATCGTGATCTGGCACAAGGATGGCGAGGGGAAATGGACACAGGCACATCAATTGAAACAACTCGACGCCATCGCCAATACCGCCCATGACAACCTCAGTCAAATGGCGCGCAACACGGTCGCCGCTCAAGCTCAACACCTACAAGCAGCCCAGGTTCTCATGACACTCCCTGGTCAACAGGCTGGCGGCCAACTCCCCAATGCGAACGCCCATGCTGGGCCCGCCAATCCCCACAACCAGGGCCAAGCAATGCCCCCTGCAGCCGCCAACGGGGCCCCACCCAATCCTCTTGCCGCTCATCACCACCATCACCACGTCCACCCACGCCGACCTCCATTTATACCTCATAACACTGCGAGAGTATTCAAACTTCAGTTTGACGCGAGGAAAATCATTTGTGCCAGCGTCGACCCTCGCATTGTAGGATGGGATTTTGCCAACGACGACGAAGAAATCATCGAGGCATGCCCATTCTTCCAGGGACTATGATCATGTTTATGCCTATTAATCTCAAAAACCGACCCCCTTTATTTTGAAACTCTACTGCATTTCGCGCTGGACGCAACCTCGAGACGACATGGTGAATGATCTCGGTGCTCATTGACGACTTCTAATTGCATCAATGCTATTGCTATCACGTGCTATACCTATTATTATCATTTTATTTCTTATTCTTGCTTTTCATGGCTCTTTCTTTGATCCGTCTCGGTGTGTTCGGTGGGCATTTTCGATCTAACGAGGGATTTCTCGCATATTTCGCGCGGAGCCATGCCAACGACTTTTTATCTTTCTTTCGGTTGATTTTGCTTTTCCGCATCTGATTCGCATATGGCGTCAGTGCTGTCATTATTATTATCGTCATTATTAGCCTTGCATGGAATTCTTTCTCATGGTTGCTTGCGGTTCTTCTACTTAGTTGTTTCGGCGCTTGGTACCATGGGCCTTGGACTAGGGTCAAAAATATTTCTTTCGTATCATCATCCTTATCTGTAGAAACTCCGCAAGAATATCAGTATAGACTGCTCAATTACTCAAAGTGGTTTTCTTCGAGTGGTATGCTCAACCGAGCAAATCGCATTGGTCCTCCCATCTTGCCCAGGTGGACATTTATTCCAAGGTTGTACCCCCGGCCATCTGCTCAGGTGTGTAATCACTTCTACCCAGGGAAAAGGAAAAGGTTTATGTACACTCCAGGGCTCTCGGGAGCACGGGTCGATTCCGCCACCAAAACCATGGAAAGCAATCTTCGTAAGCATCGACCAGCGGACTCATCCATGGAAGAAAGCAAGAAGAAAGAGCCCTGACGAGCACCATCTTATGACTCACTTAATATCTTTAGTCTGCCCTGGTGGTCAGCCGAAGCCTACATCTAACTTGAAGTCTGAGGTCAGCAGCAGGTAATGGTTTAATCCACAACACAATGGAAGGTACAAAAGGTCAGGAAATATAAACGTGTAGCCAGGAAGTCATTTCGACTTGTGATTATCCCACCATATACCCAGGTGGAAATAACGCGAGATGTCTTGAGCATCGCGATCGTACCGATTCCGTACTAAGCCTGAATAGGAATAGTGACTCAGAAGACACAAGTCTCATTTGGTCTACGGAGTACTTCGTAATCGCGACCAACTTAAATACCACGATGCCTTTGACTTTTGTGACAGGGAACCCCAACAAGGTGATTGAGGTTCATGCAATTGTAGGCGACACGATCCCGGTCCAGCCCCTGGCGCTGGACATTCCCGAGATCCAAGGAACATTGGAAGAAATCGCGAGCGACAAATGTCGACGGGCCGCTCAAATTGTACGACACCCGTATGCTTTTTACACTCTATTTTTTGACGATCGTCGTTTCAGATCAATGGACCGGTTTTGATCGAGGACTCGGCCTTGGAGTTTCGGGCTATGAATGGCCTACCAGGTCCCTATGTGTATGTGGCTTGGAACTTGCAGTCTTCGCGTGCTAAGTCATACAAAGCAAATACTTCCTGGAGTCATTGGGAAATGAGGGCTTGAACAGATTGTTGTATCCATATGAGGATAAACATGCAGAGGCCGTGTGTACATTTGCGTTTTCATCGGGGCCAACTATGGATCCACTGATATTCCAAGGAAGATTGAAGGTACTCCATCTGACAGCCACGTTGATAATCTCCTAATGCTCGATCATTGACAAATTTAGGGCAAAATCGTACCTGCTCGCGGCCCACCTGTGTTCGGTATGTCCTCTCGCGACTGATTAGTATGCAATACTGATGGCACATTAGGATGGGAGCCAATCTTTGAACATAATGGGCAAACTCTTGCTGAGATGGAGCATGACAAGAAAGTTGGTGATGTTGAAATATGGGTCTTGGTATCAACAGGGCTAATTCGAGGCAGAACAAACTATCCCATCGATATCAGGCATTGTGCAAATTCCAGCAGTGGCTAACTCACACCAACCATCAAGTCTTGACACCAAGAAAAGAGGGTGAAACATCCTCCACTTCTATGAGTTTACCAGCTTGACCTCCCCCGTGTTAAGGTCAGGCATTTTGCCCGCTCTCGAGACGGAAGGTCTCCCCGCCCCAACTGTGCAGTGTGCTCTTGGTCTCAGCGATTGATCTGGCACGGCTCACTGTCCACGAGCGGTGATTGGTTGTCCGGATCTAATGTTCAAGCCCAGGAGTATACAGCAGATCATGAAGATACACGCCAGTGTCTGATATCTGGCTGGCATCGCGGGCATGTTGGCTACCAACTCACAAGGCGAGAGATGAAGGATGCAGAGAGTCTCGATGGCCTCGCATTTACATGCGGGCTCTTCTTTGGTGTTCAAACAATCGCTAACAGAGCTCCTTTTTCTCATTCGCATGTCGACTCGTTGCTCCACTGGGTGGCACTTTATTGACTTGCCCAATTTACTAATTTATCTCACTTGATCCCCCTCTTTCAAAGAAATTTGACACTTTGTTGCCGGATTCATCGGCTGCCCCATATGCCTTTGGGGTTAGCTTGTTAGTTTTTGCGTATTTCCCTATCATACCATATGTCGAATATCTCAGTGACCCAAAGGGTAAGTCTCATATTGCAAACTTCTGTCCTTTTGGACAGCGCAAGGTAGGTACCGAGTTGTGTAGGACTAAGAAGGTATCCGAACCTCATGCAGAGCAACCAAGGTTCAAATTCTCAGTTCACTAGAAAAACTAAGGACGTTCAATTTGAGTTGATATACATATTCGTTTTCAAGCAGGTCATATTTACTCTGATTACCCCACAGAATTGAAGCAAATGAATATTCTTGGCGTTGAAGTCGTAAAAGGAGATAATCCCCCCTCCGGGCACAGTTGCCGTAATCGGGGGACATTTCCTCTTTGGACAACATCCTCTCCCAACCTCACCAATCACAATATCGCCAGAACTCCAGTTCCCCCGCGATATGCTCTCTGATTCCCCGCAATTTCCATTCCACCTGGACAAGTTCCGCAGTCGATAGGGAATGTGGGGTATCGACCTGCTGGGACTTGCTCAGCTGCGGCGAATATGGCCCCATTCGTTCGACCCGCAGTGTGTCTAGATTCCGGATTGGCAGTGATATTGTCCACGTTCGGCGTCGAGAGATATGGTGAAGTAGGAATCGTCATTGCCACTTGGAAAGCCGATCGGAAATTCTAACCAAAAGCTCATCTCGACGGAAACCTATTTCATGACTCGTCTTGATAGGACATCATCTGGACCCTGGAATAATATAAGAATCCATAGGCCCCTCTATGTAACGGCAGAAATTTACCTTGGATGACTTGATACTCTCACTCTCACAAGTCTGTCTTCACCATGGCGACCTTCCCACCTTTGAACATCCCTCCAGAGCTCCTGCAGGAGCTCTCGAAATACACTACCCCGACAGGCATTGCTGATTATGCCGCCTTAGCCGTTCTAGGTGGACTTGGAGCAACATATCTCGCGAAAGGTCGATTATGGGACAAGCCAGATCCTCTCGAATATCTCTTGTACGAGCGACCTCAGCTCAAGAATGGCGGACAGGCCGGTTCGGCCAACCAAGAGACTCGCAACATCGCACAGAAGATGGAAGAAACTGGGAAGAATATTGTGGTATTTTGGGGATCCCAGTCTGGCACGGCAGAAGGCTTTGCCCATCGTCTTGCTCGGGAGATCTCTGTTCGCTGGGGCCAGGAGGCAATGACTGCTGACCTGTCGGACTACGACCCCGTCACTATCAGTGAAATCCCTGTCTCCAACTTGGCCATCTTCGTTGTTTCGACCTACGGCGAGGGCGACCCCAGCGATAACACCGCCGAATTCTGGAGCTGGATCTCCAGGACCACCGATGTGTCGCTTGCCAACCTGCGGTATGCCGCCTTTGGGCTGGGAAACACCAACTATAAGTTCTATAACAAAGTGGTCGACTTGGTTGTCGAGGGCCTGGACAAGCTCGGCGCCGGGGCTCTGATGCCTGTTGGAAAGGCAAATGACGCTGAAGGTGCGACCGAAGAAGACTTCATGGCATGGAAAGAAGACCTCTTCGCCGTCTTCAAGGACAAACTTGGTTTCCAAGAGGTGGAGGCCAAATATATTCCGAGCCTGAAGGTCGAAGAAGATGACTCCCTCGAGCCTATCGACCTACACCACGGCGAACCGAACAATCGCAATGAAGCCCCCAAAGCTGCAGCCCAGTCTTCAGCCATCCGTACACTCAGCATTACCGATTCCAGAGAATTGTTCACCTCTTCTGACCGCCACTGTCTTCACATGGATGTGGATCTGTCTAGCCAGCCTGAACTGAGCTACAAGACTGGAGATCATCTCGCCATTTGGCCTGGTAACCCAGACGTTGAGGTTGAACGTCTGCTCGGCGTGCTGGGCATTTCTGCGCGCCGCGATATCCCACTCATCATCAGAGCGCTTGACCCAGCAAGCAAAATCACCATTCCAACCCCTACCAGTGCCAATGCTGTGTTCCGCTACTATCTCGAGATCTGCGCTCCCGTTAACCGCGATACCATTCGCGATCTTGCGCAATTCGCACCTACCCCCGAAGCAAAGGCCTACCTCCTCCGACTGGGCCAAGATAAAGAAGTCTACGCTAGTTTCATCAGTCGCACCCATGTCAACATCGGGCGTTTGATGCAACTGGCCTGTCCGGACAAGACATGGGACAACATCCCACTTTCCTACCTCGTTGAGACATTGGCACACATTAAGCCCCGATTCTATTCCATCTCATCAAGCAGTGCCGTTTCACCTCGCAAGCCATCCATCACAGCGATTGTCTCATCAACTGCCCTTCCGGACAACCCAGACGAGCTCATCCACGGCGTCACTTCCAACTACCTTCTTGCCATCTCCCAGCAAGCTCGCTCCCAACAGCATCCCAGTGGAATTACCTACCACCTCAATGGTCCCAGCGATGCCCTCCAAGGCGGAAAGATTTTCGCTCACATTCGCCGAAGCAAGTTCAAGCTCCCGGCTCTGGGAAAGACACCTCTTATCATGGTTGCTGCAGGAACAGGTATCGCGCCTTTCCGCGCCTTTTTATCCGAGCGTTGCCAGGTGTTGAAGGTTGGCAAGGAAGTCGGTCCGATGATTCTCTTCTTTGGATGTCGCAACCCAGAAGAAGATTATATCTACCGTGAGGAGTTGGAGGAAATGCAAGCAGCATTGGGCGGCCGTCTGCAGATTGTGACCGCTTTCTCTCGAGCAGAGGGGACGCCGCGCCGATATGTCCAAGACCGGGTTGGTGAGCTTGGAAACGATGTGATGCGACTCATCGAGGATGGTGGTAACTTCTACCTCTGTGGTCGCGCTGGCATGGCCCGTGAAGTGGAGAAGGTTGTTGGCAAGACCATGAAGGAGGCCAAAGGATGGAGTGATGATGAGGTGAATGCTTGGAGCAAGTCCATCAAGAAGAAGAACAAGTGGCAGGAAGATGTTTGGGGATAGAGGACGATTGATGCTTAGATGATACATGTTTTGGGTTATACTATTTAGCGAGCGGATTCAATGAATTTCCAAGAGTTCCTTTTCTCCCCTAGTCACTTCAACTGCAGATCACACCTACAGGCCACTCTATGTATGGGTGGAACTCACTAGCCAGGCATTCTTGGATTCCTCCGATGACATGGCGGTCCCAGCCGATCATCATCCACGACGATCCCATAAACTTCAAAAGCACGCACCAATACGCAAGAATAACCAACGAGTATGGGTCTCTCCCTTCAAGCAAGCAAATAAACTCCTCTGGCCGCCGGTATATCCATCCAACCACAACAGACATGAAACAGGTTCCATCTTTCTGCGCACTGTATATCTGATATGCTTCCTCGAACATTTCTTTCAAATTATCCAGAGCGCCCGAGTATATCTCGCAGTGATCCACGCCAACCTGCGCTTGAATGAAGAGCTGCACACCTTCAATGCGAGACAGATGCCCCCTCAACTCATCCTGCAGCGACGGGTTGACTCCCTGGATAGTGGGATCATCTTGAATTTCCAGAACACCGCTGAAGATTCTCTCATAGTGAGACATCAGGATAGATCGCACTCCTCTCATGAGAACAAGCCATTCTGCTTTTCCCGTCTGACTGAAGACGAGGTACTCGCCGGGTCTTGGGCCGTGAGCAAAGTACACAAAGCAGATCAGCACGGCAGACATGTAGATCAATTGACAGTTATCTGCGTTCAGCCGTGATAGGATTGCAGAGACGGATCGAATGCCGAATGTGAAATGCGCATCTGCTTGCATTACGTACTGATCTCGTTGATCTTGATTGAGATGGCCTTTGTGTAACGCTGACATTGCTAGCATGAGATGGAAGATCGACGGAGTGGAGAATCCCCATTCGGGGATCCGGCATTGCCATACTCGATTGCGGTCGGTTGACTGGTCGGCTAGGGTGCGGTAGGTTTCTGTGACAAAGTGGTGGAACAGTCTGAGGTCGTCAAACGATAGTGTTTCCTGCTGGGGTAATTCTGGCACAGCAGGTTCTGATCTTGGGACGACTTCTTGGGACGCTTGGCGTGTACTCGTCACCGAGGATGAGCGTTTGCTAGATTGATATTTGGAAGGTTTGAATCTAAACCGCGTATTTGAAGATACAGGTTGAGATACTGAAGAGGCAGGCGAAAGAGAGGAGGTCTCTGCTGTGAGGAAGTCACATTCAATGGAATGGTTGGTGCATTTGACACATGCCGGCTTCGTTTCGTCACACTGGCAGCTGTTAGTGAGATTCCCGTGAAGAGTCTCACTCTTTGTCGAATCTCTCTGCTTTGGGCTCAAGCAGAATATCGAACGAAGGATTCTCAGTCCCTTGAGGGGAGTGGATTTCCCGTGATTGTCCATAGTATATGCAGTACAGAGTGGGAGAAGAGTGGATGAAGATGAGTGACAGAGAATGGAGGGGTCACTCACTTTGATACGTCGCTTCTTACAGTTCCCACAGCCCGAGCGAGATTTATGATGAGATTTCCGCGATCGAATCGCGGCTTGTGTGCTTTCCATCATGGAGGCTTGAGAGAGGCAGTCGTACTCGTTCTCCTTTTTTCCTTTTCGGGATCAGACGAAATGACATAAGCGCCGAAAATAGATCACACGTGACCTGAAGTATATCTGAAAGATCAAATGAATGACAGCAGAAAGGTCCAATTAAGGGGGATTGTGCTGAAAAAAACAGGCATTTCTTTCCACAGGACCCTGGAAATGACTCTGACCTTAAACTGGAAGAGTCTTTCAATGTGTCTGCCTATTGCACGATCATCGGCTTCAGGCCAAACATAGATGCCAATGACCACGGGTGTTCACTCGATCTAGCTAAGCCTTGATTCACACAAAGCGGGATCTTTTGCCTAATCTACAATATGATGGAAGCCAATCAGCTTTGGGATCAAGTGCCTTTTTCTATCTTCGACCGATAATCTCGCTTTCTCCGGACCTAGCACATTCCAAGGTTTCTCAACATATTTGATGGCAAGCGAGCACATTGCCCGAATTAAACTCATATCTACATATTGCTTTTCTCTGCCCCCTTTTGTCTCATTTTTCGTGGCATTGCTAACTACCCAAATTGTGGTATGTTGTTGTTCTCTACTCCGTACAACAACCCTAAAAGACCCGGCAGAGCAAGCTCAAAACGCCGGTGAGACTAAAAATCGCCTTGCGAACAACCTTGTGAACCTGAGAGCCAAGTTGTTCAATTTCTAAGCTTGGCTTCCTGGTATATCATAGAGCAACCAGACCTCGACCTTGTAAAAAGGATTTATAGTAGTTACAGGGATGAAGCCTTCTTGAGGACCATGCTTGTAGATAAAAACTTCGCCCATACTACCCGAGTCTGTACGATCTATGGAGAATATAAAATGTATAGAGAGCCCCGATTTAAGCATCCGAAATCCGGGACCGATCATCAGTGGGGAACCGAAAGCTTCCCGGGTACTTCTCGGCTATAAGCGCCACGCTTGTTGTTTTCGGCAGATTCACCGGTGGATTATTAATTCATGAGCACTTCACTTGACTCATTCCAGTTTCAACTCCAAGCTTGTTGCAACTGGTCTACCCGAATAATCAGTTTGAACAGCACTACCCAATCTCTACTCCGTGTATAAGGTGGGTGCTCCACGGCTGCACAGCCTATGCCATTGACGTCATAGCCGTACTCCAGTTATATCAGGCCCAACACTGACAACCTCCTGTATAAGATCATTGAAACCTTCAAATCACATTCAAAATGGCTGAATCAATGGAATACGTTCGGTATGGGTCCTCGACAATCAAATCTTTACATACGCTGACATGGGTGTAACAGTCTTGGAAACTCCGGCCTCAAGATCTCCAAGATCATCTTGGGTACTATGGGCTACGGAAGTAAGCAATGGCAAGACTGGGTTCTCGACGAGGAGGATTCTCTTCCCCTGATTGAACATGCCTACAAATTGGGTATCAACACCTGGGATACGGTAAGTCAATTAGCTCTCTGTCTGACGAGTACCCACGCTGAGATCATCAACTAGGCCGACGTCTACTCCCACGGCAAATCCGAGGAAGTCGTTGGAAAGGCCCTGAAGAAGTACAACATCCCTCGCAACCGCGTGGTCATTCTGACCAAGTGCTTCTTCGGCGTTGATGACGAGGGCAAGTTCCCTCCCATCTCTGCCTCCGCTACCAACAACGGTCCATTCGTCAACCGCACCGGACTGTCGCGCAAGCATATCTTTGACGCAGTCGATGCTAGTGTCGAACGTCTGGGCACATACATCGACGTCTTGCAAATCCACCGATTGGACCGGGAGACTCCTCGCGAGGAGATCATGAAGGCGCTCAACGATGTCGTTGAAAGCGGCAAGGTCCGGTACCTCGGTGCCAGCTCAGTGAGTCAAACAGAATGTCCCCACGGCATCACACGCTAATATTAATGCAGATGGCTGCATGGGAATTCCAAACCCTCCAAAACATCGCCGAGCGCAACGGCTGGCACAAGTTTATCGCAATGCAAAACTTCCACAACTTGATCTTCCGCGAGGAAGAGCGCGAGATGATCCCCTACTGCCAGGATGCCGGCGTGGGTGTTATCCCCTGGTCTCCTATTGCGCGTGGTGCGCTGGCTCGGCCCTGGGGATCTCGCGGAACTGTGCGCGAGAACAGTGATGGCGCTCTGAAGATGTTTGTGCGCAGCCGCGAGTCTGAGGCCGATAAGGCTATCATTGACCGGGTTGAGGAAATCTCTAAGAAGAAGGGCGTCAGTATGGCGCAGGTCGCTATTGCTTGGTCGCTGTCACACACGGGCATCAACCCTATTGTTGGACTCCATAGCATTGATCGTATTGACGAGGCGGTTGCTGCTACCAAGGTTCAGCTGTCGGCAGAGGAGATCAAATATCTGGAGGAGCCTTACATCCCCAAGACTGTTACTGCTCTTGAGCGGTAAGCGATGAGCTAGGCATGTGTATACCGTGCAAATGATGTCATGATGTATTTATGAGATTCCCTTTGCACTCATAATATACGAGATTACTATGGAATAGATTTAACAACCGACATCCATGGATGGACGGATATAGTCATGTGGAACTGATGAATTCGAATTTGAGTACATAGAGGGGATATGGAAATATTCAGGTAGTATGCGCATACAATGCTGTGGGATGCTAGTTGGAATGAGAGGAGATTTGAGATGAGAAAAAACCAACAGGGGCAAGTATCCGTACCAGACGGATCACGCTGCCGATGTAAGAACGCCCGGCTTATGCTAGATGCAAAGGACATAAGGCTGATGTTTGAGGAAAGAGACATGTGTGGCCAGACAGCGGGCATAAATTTGGGGGTATTCGTGATGTAAAAAATGATTCAATGAGTCAGTGGGTATCGTGTTTGCGATGGAAAATCCCAAAGAAGGAGCTCAGGCGGTTTCGGCGCTTGCTCTTGGTTGGCGCTGCATCAGAGGCTTCGGCCCGTGGAGGAGCTGGCTTTTCTTTGGGCGCACTTTTGTGTGTTGTGTTGCGAGGTGTTGGGACCGGGATATCTTTGTCTGGTCCTGATGCAAATTTGATGTCTTTAGGTGCTTTCGTTTTCGTGAGGGACTTTTCCTTCGGTCGAACAGAATGCGATAGCTCCGCCGAGTCGGCAGAACTTTGACGTATAGATGGAGGGCGGGACGTTGGGCGGGAGACAACAATCTCCCGGCCGAGTTCAGAACTAGTGAACATGCTGTGTCTGTTTACTTTGGTGCTAAGGCCCGAGGCAGAGCGGCGTTTGGCTCGGTCCATGAATGCCGCCCCAGTGGAGTTCGAGCGCTTGGACAAACTGCCAAATGCATCCCCGTCTGCCTGGACGGGGTCAGTAGAGCGACGAATTTTGGACATTGACATGCATCGCTTGGCTCCACTGGTGACCTCTTTGATTGGGCTGACCGGTTCATTTTCGGGGAAAGAGTCAATTTCCATCTTAGCAGTTGTCGGAGAGGCGTGTCTGGAAGAAGCTGGAGACATGAGCGCCCTTGCACCGGCGGCAGAGACCGGATCGCCGTATCGGAGATTGTCGGACCATCCTTCCCGGAAAGCGACCCAGATGCCGGTGATGATGATCAGAGTCCGTAGCCCATCATCGAGAACAACTGGGTGAGAATCGAATGGAGCTTCTCCGTCCGAGGCGTCGCTGGCCACTGACATTCCTGAGTTTGGCGTAGTAGGACCGGTGCCAGACCGAGTGGGCATGGAGTATTCATCATTTACTTCAAGCTGGTTCCGTGTCAAAGACGCGATGACTGGATGTCGGCGGGTGCTGGGATCGATAACGCTGAACGTAAATCGCTTGCCACTCTCACGTTGGGTTCCGGTAGGAGCAGTCATTCGACGACTCCTCCCACTGCGCAGCGCCCACCTCACGACCTGCACACCGTTGTCCGTCTGAGCAACAAATTCAAAGGACCCGCTCGGTAGTGGTGTCGCTTCCCAGACAGGCCCAAAGTTGAGACATATCTCCGCCTTCCCTTTCAGTCTCGCGTCTTCCTGTAGCTTTTGACAGATGGTGGCCACAACCTCGCGATGATCCTCGTCCTCGTCCTCCGAGCTAATGCGTTTTTCAGGTATGCTGGCGACAGTCTGTTCATATTGCTCGCTTATCACCACCACGACGTCATTGGGACCCAATCCGTTTCGGGTGCGATATATCGCCGGGAATTTGCGCGCCAGGAGGGGCAGGTAGGAAGTAGAAGGCAGGACATCCACCACTGGTATGGGCCTAGGAGTCTGTGACACCTGTTGCAACTGTAAGAGGAGCTTGGGGCGGAGTCTCAAGCGCTTGTGACGCGCATGAGCCGCAGGATGTGCGAACTGATAAGCTGTTTTAGGTCGCGACTTGCGATCCGTGTGCACACGAACAGGCTGTGGCCTGGCGGCGGCGGAAACTGGTCTCATTTCACTGGAGCCCGATGACAACTCAGTCGGCCTCATTTCCATGGCGGAAACAACCCCTGGACACGCATCAAACCCATCGGGTGTCGTGGGGCGAGAGCAGAAGGTGTTCAAAAAGGGCAGTGTAGACAATGAGAAAGTTGGTGAACGGGCAGTGACGGGGTGTATTTCTGATTCCTTGGGTTCATTCGCGTGGGCAGCTGCGGCATCCGCTGTGAGGCCAAGATTCAATAGCATTCTTGAGCCCTAGCGGAGCCACATTGGTACTGGGAAACCAAGATCGGAATTTCAGCTGGGCACACTCTAGGCGCGAACGCCCGTATTCAAACGCGTCAGCTGCGGGGGAGCAGCCTAGCCGGGGGAGCTCTGTGGGGAACAAAAAAATGAATAATGTAGTATGTACAACCTTGATCACTTGTAATCAAGATTGAAAGATTGAAGAGGCTGGAATGTGCAGGAATATGCAAAGGGGTCAGTGGTTTTTTATCCCATAGAAGGAGCAACAAAGGGTTAATTCCCGAACATGGGGCGGTCAGCCTTATAGAAGCTGAGAAAAAAACCTCTCTTTTTTTAATTTCTTCATTTTATTACTATTATTTTTTCTCTTAGTGCTCCTAGTGGAACCTTTTTTTCTCCCACACAGATGACCTCGGACCAAGTTTATGCCTGTCAGCGGCTCCGGTCGTGTACGGCCTCCGACAGCTCCGAGTGCCGTGGGCGATCATGAACGTCATCTGGATCTCATAGTTACTAGTAGTGTTCATATACTTGTATACTAGCTGCTTGGCAAGCCTCCGGTAATTTCATTTCTTCAGCCAAGTGCTCGTATCTCGTATAGCTTTGGACTACCGCTGTGGGCTGTCATACTGTGATACGAGTCTGTTCAGGCTTTGCAGGGTTGCAATTATTGATGATTGATGATTATGCATCAAGTCGCAGAGGGTTGCAAGGAAACTTTTAAAAGGTGGAGCACGGAGAAGTCAATTTGGCCGAGCTGCTCGGAATTTTCAGACCTCTTTCCAGGGTTTCATGGGCGGTTGTGGCAAATCATACACTTTTGCGCGGGTATAGGGCTGGGTTGTGGGTAACTAGTGTATGTAGTCGCCAGCCTTGCCTTGGGATACGAGACTGGCCGTTCCTGAGGCAACTCTTGAAAATGGTGGATGCAGAACCAGCCCTTTCAATATCAAACCGTCTCTTTCAGTTAGTGCATGAGGGATGAGTGATTCACCCGATCACCGTGAAGATCATCAAGGATGTCCGGGAGATCCGGCTCCCGGTGTCCCGGTCCACTTCACTATTCTCCGCTGACTAATTGTGCATCTTTTATGAACGTGTCATGTTTTTCCGCACCACACGCTGGATCTAGACTCTCGTGTGCCCTAATTAGCTCCTCCCAAATGGCTTCAGTCCAGCCGACTCAACGGCCACCGCCTCTCTTTGCCAAGCTCCTTCGATTGGATAATCCAATTCGAAGTCTGACGGTCGCATTCTGGCTATGGAAGATTCTGTTATACATCGTGGTCAACCTGTGCCCTGGGCCAGGCTATGACACATCTACTTCATTGCTCTCTTACATTGACTCCACAACTGCTAGCAACTCTGAGTCTTTTTCGGGTCCTCTCAAATTTGCCAGGTGGGACAGCATCTACTTTCTTGATATCGCCGAAAAGGGATACACTTTTGAGCAGCAATGGGCCTTTGGCTACCCAAAGATCCTGGGGCTCTTCGTCTCTGGTATTGATCCTTTCTTTCGAGGAACATGTATTTGACCGACTCCATACTTACCTAAACAGGCATTCGTCTCTCTGGTGGTGTGACAGGACCAGCTAGCACTGCAATGATAGGAGTCGCTATCTCCCACGTCACCCATTATCTGTCTGTGCTGGCACTCTACCAGCTGTCAGCCAACATCTTCGGCCATGCCACAGCAACTCAACATCTCATTTGTTTCTTGTCTGCGGCTCTTCACATCATCTCACCTGCAGGCGCCTTTCTATCGGCGCCCTACGGAGAGCCCATCGTTTCCTTCCTCAACATGACTGGGTTTTATCTCTACTCGTCATCGCTGATCGCCGAGCGCAATGGATCAACACGTCTTCGAGACTTCAGGGTTCTGACGGCCGCTGTTCTCTTCGCTGTGGCAACCTTGGTTCGCAGCAATGGCCTTTTGAGTGGTTTCCTCTTTGCCTACGATGCAGTCGTCCTGGCCTGGAAGACCGTGACTCGAGGGCCTACGGTGCACAACACTGTCCGACTGGCAGTCATTGTTCTCGGTGGCTGCATTGTCGCCTCTAGCATTGTCATTCCTCAGGTTCTAGCATACCGCATATATTGTCTGGCTGAATCTGATGCCCGACCATGGTGCGAGTGGACCGTGCCTAGCATCTACGGCTGGGTCCAGAGTCATTATTGGTAAGACTCATTCGTAACTCTCGCTTATTATATGCTGATTATCTCAGGGACGTGGGATTCTTGCGGTACTGGACAATTTCCAACATCCCTCTTTTCTTGTTGGCGGCGCCCATGTTGGTCATCTTGTGCCGTTCCTCGTGGTGGGCCTTGACTAGCCCCTCTTCTTCCTCAACCAGTCCGGGGTCAATGCTTACTCGACTGGCAATTCCCCAGGGCATATTGGCAGTTATGGCCTTCACCAGCTACCACGTCCAAATCATCAACCGGATTTCATCGGGCTACCCTTTGTGGTACTGGTATCTGGTGACTAGTGCCGTGGAATATGAAACTAGTGCGCTCAAAAAGAGCCGCATCCTTGTCGTTGCTGTATACGGCATGGTCGCATATGCATTGATCCAAGGGGTTCTTTTCGGTTCCTTTTTGCCGCCGGCGTGAGCGAGTACGATAAGCAGGAACAATCGGGCTTACATTGGCCCGGCTCACTTGCCATGTATATTAAATTCCATAGGAGGTGAATATCTCGGTCTAGAACCCTGGCAAAGACCGAATATGCAGCTACCCCCAATAGTGAGTGACCTTACCCGGGGGTTGGGCGATTCGCTTGCGTAAGGCGGCTGTCTGCCTAAGTTGTACATCACCGCTCAGAGGTCTTTTGTGTCGTCCATATTTGTAGAAATTTCTCTCAAAGGTCCTTTTAAAAGATAAGTTTTGTGGATTCTTCGTGATTTGCATCTTTAGATCTCCTACTCTTCCATCTTTCCACTCGGGTCTATATGCAGGGCCCAAGCTTGAGGTTACGTAGAATTATGTCATCACAATCTCGACTCTCTCCTCTTTGACCGTCTTGACCTTCACCATCCCAGCTTTCAGAGGTCAATTTACTGAACCGCTGTACATCTCAGGAAACTCTGAACCTGAGCCTATTGCCTCTTTCCTCTCGCTGACCGGAAAGTGTCTCATGCGAATATAGGCGCATGAAACACCGTCTCCCGCAGTACATCGTGCGCTTTTCAGACTTGGAGCTTGAAAGCCATTATTGACAGTAAGTGGGATCTCCAATATCATTGCGTGGGCTCTCCTAAGCAGATAGGAGGCAAATCGTGAAACATCCGCGTTGCTGACGTATTGCCAGAGCTCACCCGGCAGCAACGACTCCTCACCTCATCTCCGCCTCGCGTTGTCGCACCCATTCCCTCCCCACCTCCCTCCCACCATGGACGCCGCAGGCCCGAAGGCGATTCTCACATCCGACAACTTTCATCATGCACAAGAGCTCTCACGAGCGACCTCACCCGGCGGGGAGCCCGTTGCCGTAAATGGCGAGGGTGAGCCCATAGCCCGTGTGCGGCCTCGCACTTATCCATACTTCAAATATCTTCCGTACAAACCAGAGGATGAGTCGGAGCGAAACCAGAACCTGCGAGAGATCTTGAATCAGCTTTACATCGCAGTGGAGGCCGGCGACTTCAATCCCGGAGCCGTACACTGGACACGCGAGCTCCGCGGCTGGCTGTCACTCAAATTTGATCCTACCCGAGCAGAACGCATAAGTTTGGTGAAGCTATACTATGAGCTGGCACTTGCCCCTGGGATTGATCCCCAGGTTGCTGAACGCTTCTCGAGCATGTTCATGCTTCTCACAAAGTAAGTTCGATCTGATCTGGATATAGGCTTGGTATGGCTTTGCTAACTCGGCACTTTAGGCGCAAGCATTACCTGAGACCCATCAGCGATCTGGTGTTAGATTGGAAGCCACTTTACAAGGAACTGAAGGCCTTCGTCCTCCCCACCGAGTCCGGCCTCGTTCACTCGACCAACTTGAAAAGAAATATCAAGACCTTGACCAAGCTTTGCGCGTTCGCGCAATTGTTCGTCGACCCATGTGAACTCCCTGCTATGCTCGAGGAATTTTTGCCGCATTACACCACATCGTTCTCAGAGGGAGCCTTCGTTGTCGCAGGACTCATTAATTTGTTGCTTCCGACATCGCCGCCCCCCCGAATCTCGAGCCGATCTCCTACCCCAAAACCACCTGCCTACCCAATTCCATCTTTGGTCTCTGGTTGGTCGCTCAAAAACATTCGACACAACCTATCTAGATTATCTTTCCCGGCTCGCGCGAGACTCTCTGCCAGCTGGTCACATTCCATTCTCCGAGTATGGTATCTTCACAAAGGAACAGTCTGCGCTCATCTTTACTGCAATTCTGAGACTGTTGGAGATTCCTGTCGGTCAGTCCACTTCTCCATACAGTGCTCTCGTGGATATCTCTTCCGGACTTGGAATTATGCTTGACCGCGATGGGCGCAAACATCCCGTGGCTCATCACATTGCCCGATGGATAGTAATGTCTCTCTCCCCTGCTTGCGTGGATTCCGAGACATCAGTTCTCACACAGTTGGAGGGTCTCATACAAGCCGTAGAAACCTTCTTCCACCCCTCTAACTCCGGTGGCTGGACTAAGACCTTGTCCCAGCTGGTCTACTATCTGACCGACTTCTTCGTTATGCGTTGGAACCGCGAGCAGAGTGGAGAGTTAGATATTCCCCCTGAGCGGCGATTGACTGAGCCCTTGAAGCGACGATTCGTGCTATGCATCAGAGACGTGATCTTTATGGGCATCTATGCCAAGAGCAGCAGCGCAATGACCTTTTCGCTTTCAACCCTCCAAGGTCTGGCCTACCTGGAACCCAATCTTATCTTGCCCGGTGCTCTACAGCGGATTTATCCTGCATTGCAGGGTCTGGTTGAAGTGCACCGAACTACCTCCTCGCTCCGGGCCATGCAGGTGCTATCCCGCATCATTGTACGGACCAGGGGATATCGTTGCCACATGACAACCCTCATGGGTCTCGCCCTACCGGGTATCGATGCCAATGACCTCGAAAAGTCACTCCACGCCCTTTCGTTCATTCAATCAGCGTGTTACAATATCCCTATGTATGATCTCACCCAAGGACAAGAGAATGTCAACTGCAACATGCTCGCCATGCAATGGATCTCGGGTGAGATGGAAAGAATGGAGGAACAAGGCGCAGACCTGGAGATGAATTATGATACTGAGCTGGATGACGAGACAGAAGAAATGATCCTGCGTTCTTCAACATGTGGTTTCGGAGACTTTATAATCTCCTTCTTGGGACGTGTGTTCACCTTGCTTGAGAACTTGCCGGACGTTTCCAGAGTCCGAAACGGATCGCCCGAGGAAAATATTGTGAACACGCTGCCTGCCACATTCATGCCGCTACTTGCTTCATTGTCCCCGGAATACTACGACATTGCACTCGGGAAAATCGTCGATTTCGTGTCTAACCACGTCATTCACCAGGCGAGGGATGCAATGGCTTTCATCTGCAATGCTCTCTGCAAGGTCAACCCCGAAAAGGCTCTTAAGCGTTTCATCCCGGTGTTGACTTCGGCTATTCGGACCGAAATTGAGGAAAACGGTGCTGGCTCGACCCGAACTACGGGGACAGATGTCCTTCCTCGTGATCGTGGTCTGGTTTGGAATGTCAGTATGCTCAGCATGTGTGTTGTTCATGTTGGAAGCGCTGTTATCAATCACCGCAAGGAACTGTTTGACATCGCCGTTTACATGCAACAAAACTGTCGCGGTATTCCCACAGTTCACATCTCCAACTTCATCCACCATCTTTTGCTCAACTTGACGGGAACATACACGAACGATTTCTCTCTGTATGAGCCGTCCGTCGTTGCCAACGGTATTGGACCCCAGCATTGGAGCTACCAAGCCGATGTGAATAACCTTAACATCAAGTGGCATGTTTCCACACGTGAGGAAGTTGAGTTTGCCGTCGATGTTTTCAAAAGCCAGACAGAAACAGCCTTGAAGCAATTATCTGCATTGACTCATGAAACATCGAGCGTGAAACGTGATGGAAGTGGCAAGGATTGGTCAGATGAGGTTACCCGTAACCTTGTCCTCATACGACTCGTCTTGTCCGGAGTATCTATTCTCTTTGACCCGAAGGCAGCATCGACCACCACGCAGGGACCCTCAAATGGCGATGTTGACATGGCAGACGGTACCGGGGCCTCAGAAGCCATGGATTCAGACGCCGATGTCGCACTGGATAGCTCTGACGATGGAATCGTTCGACAGGCATTTACATACCCGACTGGTTACGCCCTCAAAGAAGGAGATCCCTTGTATACCGCGATTCATGAGCTTCGTGAGCGTACTGGGTGGGTCTTGCACGAAGTGCACCGCTTCTTGAGCGAAAACCAAGAGGATGACGTTCCTTGCTTCGGTGCTTTGTACTCTGCCTTTAGATCTTGGTTCGTCGACGTCGGCATTGAAAGGTCTGCCCACGTCCTTGACCGAGTTACAAGACTTCTCGCAGCAGACATTCACCCCTACAAGATGAGCGGCATGCGAAAGAAGTACCCCAGACCTTTACTTGTGCGCAGGGCCAATGTGTATCACCTCCAACGTCTTCGTCATAACGCTGCTCCACGCCCACGATCTAAGCTGGATGAAATCCTCCTCCTTGACATAGCTGAATCATGTGTCTCGCTTTACACAGAGACACGTCGTAATGCTCAGAATGCAGGCGAGTCTGCCCTCAAGGCAGTTTACGGTGGAAGACTCCTCGTGATCCCCCCTCTGCTCACGGCATTGCAGAAGGGTATCAAGGAAAACGACCATGCCCGCATCAAGGGCGCACTATTCTCTCTTCTTCTGAGCAGCGTTGCCAAGACGGTTGGGCGGCATTGGAAGTACACCCCTGCCCTTGTCAGGGCCTTCATCGATGCAAGCGCTGTTGATAAGCCTTCTGTCCAGAAAATCTGCTCCAGTGCTGTATTCCAGGTGATGGACTATGGTCGCGCTATGGAAAGAATGGCAATCTTGGATCAAGAGATCATTGAAGCAATCGCTCCTACCACGAATGTGCGGGAGCAAATCGACAAGAAGCGGGCTGTTGTGAATAGCAAGCGTGCGGCAATTGAGAAAAAGAAAGCTGATCTCGCTGAAGAGCTTGTCAACCTTGCACGTGTGTCACACTGGAAGATCGCTAGTCGTGCTGCAACCATTGTGATCACGATGGGTCTTCGCTTCGATTACATCGCTAGTGATAATTTGCTTGAACTGATGACGCTCGGCTCCATCGACGATCACCCTGGCTTGCGAGGCATGTACTCTCAGGCTCTCATTGCACTGTTCACCATGATCGACGTACGCGCCATCTGCACTCACGACTACAAAAACTACATCCTCGGCCATCAACGATTCCCGTCGAAGATCAAGGTTGCAACAAAGCCTGATGAACAAGGTTGGACTGAAGAGTATCTGTCTAGCTTCGCAAAGCCCGAAGCTGAGTACTATGTTGACCACGACTTCCCTGGCTGGCTCGTATGGGGCAAAACTATGCCAGCTTACAAGTCCAATGTAGCTCGGGACATTGAATATGATGACGTCGAGTGGAAAGTGCGCACCAAGATGGGCAAGCTGTTTACTCGCGAATGGTTCTCCAAGTTCTTCATGTACTTGAAGCAGGAGCCACGGGACCCATCGGCTGATAAATTCCGCATGTCATGTGCCATGATGCTCCTCTATGCATTTGAACTCATGATCCGAGATGAGCTCACGGATGTCTCCTTTGAGGAAATTCAGGAGGAAATCAAGGGCGTCTTTGAAGATGGCAGCGACAAGCACCAGCACCGTGCCACGGCTGAGATTCTTGGTGCTCTGATCTCATCAGTCGCAGATGTGGGTGTTGAGAAACGAACCATGATCTGGGAATATGCATTCCCTATCATCCGAAAGATCTTCACTGACGGCCTCACGCCGGAGAACTCCGGGTACTGGACAACCTTCCTCCACATGATCCTGCAATGTCGCGACCCTCGCCGTGCCTGGCCTTTGGTTGATTGGCTGTCTAGCTTCCGTCTTGATATGTCAACCAATGCCGCCTTCAAGGAAAGCTCTAAGATCAACCTGTTGCACCAGTGCATCATTGATTCCGGCTGGCACTACCAGCTTGAAAAGCCTATTGTGGAAGACTTCCTTGGGCATCTGGACCACCCCTACAAGGGTGTCCGTGAGGCGATGGGTCAAACTCTGGCAACGATCTATCGCACGCGGTACCACGAGTCATACCCGGATGTGAAGCACCTTCTAGAGGCCCAGAAAGCTTCTTCGTCAGTTGGTGACTACCCTTACGCGCCCAGCGAGGATTTCTCCAAGGTGATCCGTGGGGTTTTTACTCAGATCGAGGAATGGCGCAAAGTCAGAACTCCTGGGCAACAGACCCCCTCTTCTTACACTTCGGGCAGTAAGACTGTACTTCTCTGGCTGGATTCGACACTGTCGTCCCATGAGTGCACACAACTTGTCCCATTCTTCCCTGACGTATTCACTGCACAACTTCTACACATGATGGATGTGAAGGAAGACCCAGAGCTTCAGTCTCTTGCATACCACGTCTTCCGTCATCTTCCCAACATCCCCTACCCCGCCGAGAAGGAATCACAATTCATTCAATCCCTTATTCGCATTGGACAAACATCTCCGTCATGGCACCAACGTCTGCGCGTGATGATCAACATCCAAATCATCTACTTCCGTCGCCTCTTCCTTCTCGACCAGGGAGACCGTGACAAGCTCTTCGAATGCATTGCCTCCATGCTCGAGGACACTCAGCACGAAGTCCGTGCTGGTGCCTCAGCCACCCTCTCCGGCATGATCCGCTGCTCACCCGTCTTCCTGCGTGAAAAGATGGTCAGCCGCTTCCAGACGCGCTTCACCAAGGCTCTGGCAGACAACCCTCTTCCCAAGAAACCGAAGAACCTCCGCCCCGGAGTCTCATCTGCCGTTTCATCGAACGCCGGAACCCCCACGCCCGAGCACAACCGTCTCATCATCGTTCGTCACGGTGCCGTCCTTGGTCTAGGTGCTCTGATCCAAGCTTTCCCTTACAACAGTCCTCCGCCTCAATGGATGCCCGAGGCTCTGACTTCTCTCAGCATTCGCGCTGCCAGTGACCCTGGTATCGTGGGTTCGAGTGTCAAGTCCATCATCAGCGAGTTCAAGAAGACCAGGCAAGATACTTGGCACATTGATGCAAAGGTTCGTATTGGTCTCTTTTCTGTCTTGTTACACTATTCGAGTTACTAACCAATTATTTCTAGGCCTTCACCTCGGATCAGCTGGAAGATTTATCGGGAGTCTTATGGAAGAGCTATTTCGCGTGAATGGAGCTTAACTCCGAGTCATCTATCTTTACTCGTTCATACTTTAGGTTTCATTATTCATATCAGTAATGTGATAACCTTGAAAAAATAAGAATTTCCGTGTACATGCTTCCCGTGTACATGCTTCCCGTGTACATGCTTCCAAGGTTCCGATCCATGGGTCTTTCAACCTTGGAAGGTTCCAAGATCGTGAATCGTGGCATACAATTTTAGAATCTGCGCCAATATATACAGGTGAGCCTTGCTGAGATTATAAGTACAAGCCTCAGTGCCGCGCTCACGCGCGGCCAAAAAGACGACGATAGTTACTTGTAAATAGGCGTAGTTATGTATTAGCTCAATCTCATATCTCGATTGGTAAAGAAACAGAACTATCATCAACTTTGGGATCTTTTTTTAACTGTCATTCTAACTATCTTTCTAACTACTCCCCACTCTGTATCTTTTAAACTGTCTTTTGAACTATCTTTTGAACTGTTTTTTTGGCTGTCCATTCAAAGTTCCAACTTATTGTACATACAGTTAACATTCGATTGGTCGAACCCTCGATTCAAGCCAAGCCGTGACCTCGGGAACAGAGAATTATACTTAGGGGACTAGCGACGCTGGGCATCTTCCAAACAAACAGCCTCCAGGGCTTGGAGTCACCTGGGCAAATACTGGACTTTTTCCAAAGTTCCTACAACATTGTAATCTGATCTATTTTGGAAGGGGCAAGGTAATTCATGCGACAAACTACATTTAGCCCTGGTAGGACTGAGCCGAGGAAAACGATGACATAAGAGGATTCGGCTGAGACGGAGCTAGGCCAAATGTGGACTAGGCTCGGGTGAAGGTGGTTCCGGCCCGGGGAGCTTGAAAAAGTACAAATTTCTGCCGCCGAACTCTTCACTCCTCAACATTCCACGCTCATCTCCAGCATGGTTTAATGCTTCCACTGCAATTGGAGATTGATTCCATTCAACCTTGGCCTCAAGTCTTAGAACTCCTATTCTGCTCACTAACCAACAGTCGACTCGCAGGATTTGCAACGATGGTGAGTTTCTTGTCGCCTCCACTCCCACTACCCTCCCATACTTGCACCTCCCTCAATGATGATACCTATAACCAAACAAACTAGAGTCTTTGACCCCAAATGGGAATGAAACTTCTGTTATTGCACGTCAGGCTGATACCACGTCATTACTTTGAATCATCTCACAAAGATTGACTCGGACTGAGCTAACTCGCCTTTCCAGACTTGATTGAAAAAGCCATTTCATTAGTTGCAAATCTTCTCACAACAACAAGCATGGATGGTGAGTGCCTTACTTTTTCTTCCTTTGCTCCTACTTTACCTTATCATGATGAACGCGATGTGTATGAAAATACGCTGGAAATTACCGTCTCAGACCTTCGGGTCGGTGATGATATTTAATGGCTATTTCTGATCTTAAACCTGCCACAACATTTGCATGAAAATCTTGACAAACCATGTGCTAATGAAACCCAAGATCAATAGACATCCGTGCTACCAACTAGATGGTAAGCCTCCACATTCCCACCCTTCGCCTACTTTGTCCGAAGATGAAACGGCACTGGGCTCCGACGGCTTCAAAAGAATGTCCGGTCATGACGGAGATGCCCTTTTGCGGCAGGCCTAGAAAACCTCGCCCACTGAGACAACTCATATATTCATGGACTTGTGAGACGGTTGTGTGACAGCGTCACTAACCTTTTTGAATAGAAGCTTGTTTGCTTATGTCGGATCTGAACCAATTGTAATTGTAGAAGGTATGCGATTTGAGTCTTGCTTTTGCTTCATGTTACCCTACCTTCTATGATGATACCTTTTAGATGACGAGTCTGATTCGAGTTTTCGATGCTGACACATCTTTTAAAATACCATTCATGCCTTTCTGACATTCATTCCTCCACACAATTTCACTCATCAACTTTTTGATGGCTTGTGCTAATTCTTATTCAAGACAGGTCTCTCTATCACATGAACAGTCTGTTCTTGTTTTGACTGGTGTATGTACACCTCACCTCTTCCCCTTCCCTACACTTGCATGATGAAACAACAATACACCAAAGACAAGCATATGTCCAAGTCAGCTTGCTGGCGAAGACGAGAAGTGTTATGCCTGATCAGTCACAAGACCTTGCATCGTCACAATGTCCATCCAGTACTCGACGCTGATGGATCATGAACAGAAGCGAAGCAGGAACCGAAAGAACTAACTCGCCGTTGGCAATGCCTCCATTTTTCTGTAAGTTTCATCTGCTTTTTCTTTCTCTTTCCCCCAACATCTTTATATGATGATTCACTTCAATTTATCACGACGGTCAACGTAAGGATTTTTATTGACGACCATCGCCTGTGACAAGGCTTTATCTGAAATACCTCATTCACACATTTTTCTTGCCATCGATTGTTAGCTTTGATACTAATATCGATCAGTTTATTAGGTTCCCACTGGCCTTCGAAGGTAAATTACATAGTTTTCGAGAATGAAGAAAAAAACCAAAATATAAGATTCACACAATCAAGACTTCCTACTTGTAGATCTAAAACTTAAGTTCGTATTGTTTCCTTTTTGACCCTGCACATGCACCCCCTGATCACTCTATCACTCTTTTGTTGATCAGCCCGTGTTCTTCGATGCCAACCTATGGGATGTTGCTTCGATGCGGGGACCAAAGCGTCCAGCCTCTCATAACGAACGATAAGCGCCGAGCTTCAGTCCGCGTGTGATGAGAACACACCAAGTTGCATGTAGAGTCCCCGCTTCGGCCTTCTGCTAATCTTATTCTATTTATTCTTTGTCGTTCCAATTTTAGATCTTGTGCCATATCGCCGCCTCAATGATTGGCCCTGTTCAGGGCTCTGGAGCTTCCAGCTGCAAAAGTTAGCGTTTTGCCTGTCTCGCGCCTATCCCTCTGTTGTCGTATTCCACTGCATTCTTTTCAGTATGGATGCGGAAGGGGCCTCCTAAACCGATGCACAGCCCAGTATGAATAGGTGTGGCCCATCTGCTTCTATCCGCAACTGTTTTCTATACGCGCGGGAGATACTGATCGTCCCTCTCTAGCTGGTCGGTGCCAAATCATGCCCAGGAGCAGCCAAATCAGTATCCAGGCTGGTCCGTATCTGCAAGTCCCAGAACTCAGCAGTCGCCGGGCCATCGAGAGCATGCTGTGCAGCCGCCTGTGTTGACAACTGCACTGAATGGTCCACAGTACCAGGGCCTTGGTCTCGCGCAAACCCCATTGTCGACTACTACGCTTTCAAGCCCATTTGTTCACGGTCAATCGCCTTACATCCCACCGCCAGCAGTCGAGAGACCAGCTCCCCCGCCTTCGATGGCTTCCAGAAATGCATATAATGTCCCTTATAATCCCCAGGATTGGGGGCCTCCGGGCAGGTCCCAGGCACAGAGCTATGCTCCCCCAAATACTATGCGTCGAACCCCACAGAGAACTGACCCAGGTTTGTCAACTCGGTGCATTGAAAGTAACCTACTGACTGTTGGGAGATGGGCCACTATCATCACCTCCTCCGCCATATTCGCCGCCTGAACAAAATCGAACGCCTCGAAATTTCTCTGGGCAAGGAAATCCCAGCTTTGTGGAGACGCCTTCCCCGCCCATTCGTAGAGAAAATGATTATGATATGTCTCACCAGTACCAAAGACAACCAAATCGCCCAAGGCCACTCTCAATGGTTTATTCGTCCGATCCGGCTTCTCAGGGTCAACCATTACCCCCTCCCCCTCCGCCGCAGGGACATGCAAACAGATCTGTCTCTCAAAGTCGGGTAGAGTACCAGGGCATTCCCTATGGTGACCCGACAGGAAATTACAACGCTCCGCCTAGTCATCGGCCGAGACCACCCCAGGCTCCACCACAGCCTGGATTCTATGCACAGCCTGTTAACCCAGAAACCCCAACTCGGCCGCCTGCATCACGAAGAGCAGCATCCGCTGGGGCCGTCGTGAGCAGTGTAGGGTCATCGAGAGCCGCAAGTCAATCGCGGAATTTATCTCCATCAAACAACAACTGGGGACCTGGCATGCCACTTCCACCGCCTCCTCCAGGACCTCCCCCAACTGCCAGGTCCGTCAGCGTGAGCGGCTCGTCGGAGTCTTCTATGAGAACACCACAAGGATCCAGCACCCAGGGGTCAGCCCGGACCTCGAGAAGAGCGCCTCCCGTCCTTGGAACAGGATTGGGAAGTATCCCGCCTACACCTGCTGATTGGGTAGATGAGGCTTTTCTCAACAACAGGCCAACAGAAGAGCTATATGTTGACACGACAACAGCTGCTGCACACACGGAAAGTGCAGATCACCATGACCCATCTAATCAGAGAACTCCCGGTAGTGGTGGACTGTTCCGTAGTTCAGCGGTACGCGATCCAAGTGCCAAGGGAATTCGCGAAAGAAGGATCGAACGTCGCAATCGACAAAGCCAGGTCTTTGAGCCTCCCAGTGCAGTATCTACAAATGGAAACCCGTGGGCGGACGCTCTGGAGCAGATCAAGCCGTCGAACCTCATTCTCCCGGATCAAACCAGCAGCCCAAACCAAACCCGGCATCCATCGTCGGCAAAGTATACTCCTACTCCCCGCAGCACAAGGAGCATTGCATCGGAGGGTCCATGTCGATCTCGGGCATCTTCTGGAGGTCTGTTCTCCGACCAATCACCCTACGGAACTCCCAAACAACAGCCAAGCTCTGCTGGCCCTTCTACTGCATTTGCACATACACCCCCCTTTTCCCCAGGTGGCATGGGCTCTGCGGGATATCCGAAAGAAGCAAGTCAAGCAGTACCACCAAAGGCATTGCCAACTCCGCCTCTTAATTCTGCAAAAGATGCCCAGCCGCGCCCCCGTGCTCCTTCACAAGGAGCTGAGAGCCGCCCGGTATCTCACATTCTCCATATCCCCAATGATTCTGTATCAATGATGAAACCTTTGTCACCCCGTCGGACGCCCAGTCAATCACCCCAGATGCCCGCATCAATGGAGTCGATGCTCAGACAAGACTCTTCCTTCCTCCAGGATGCTGTCCAGAGACATAAGGCGTTCGTGGAGAAGGAAGCTTCCGCCATGGACGAGGACGAAGCTCTCAAGGCCTTCGCGGACTACATTCTTGCCGAAGCCCAGATTCGCCGCCAGCGGTATTCAAATGCGTGGGATAAATTCCCGGTTGAGGAAGTACGCAGCAGTCTCTTCGAGTTGCCAGCAAAAAAGGCAGGTCCGACTCTGCCGAAGCTGGATATCCCGCGGAATCAAAATCGACCAAATCGACCAGAAACTGCGTGGTGGAATAACTACCAGCCTTGTTTGTCGCCAATTGCTAGCCTCAACATGAGCAATGATGAGATGAGCTCTCGGGGCCGTGCACCGAGTCGCTGGTGGGAGTCCAAGACCGGCTCGAGTGGCGAGGGAGAAGACAGGAAGGTCCAGCGATCGAAGCGGGAATCAAAGTACATGGGACTACAACCATTGCAGTGGGACCAGGAGCTGACACCTCAACAAAATGTCGCCATGAACTACGGACCTCACGAGTATCCACCGGAGAAAGTCGGCTGGCACGACGACTCTCCGTCGAACCCGACTGGCGCTGGGTATCGCTACCCTGGAATTCGAAGCTTGGATATTTCACGATTGATTACTCTGCCTCCGCCTTACCCCCGGCACCACCCTGCTGTGAACAACAGTCACCCTGAACTGGTCATGCACCGGACCACTGTGCGGTCCATTACTGACCTCACCGAGATCAAAACCACCAGACATCGATACAAGGCCGACATGGAACAAATGCTGCAAGAACACCAGCAGCAGGTTGCTGAGGGCCACCGCAACTTCAAGGCCAATATCCAAAGCCAGATCCAGGAAGGGAGCCTCAGCTTTGCGGAGGCAGCAGAGGCAGAGGCAGCAATGATCGTCGAGGAGAACGAGCGGGAGAGGGCTATGGTAAAGCGCCAGCTTGACACGTACCAAGAGACCGTGCTCAAGCCCATGAACGCAATACTCATTGACAGGATCGGCAAAGCAACAAGCTGTATCGATGAACTAAGTCATCTTCTTTCCGATGACGCCCAACGTGGCACACCAGACGAAACCCAAGAAGAAGGCGACGAGAAACCCGAGTTATTGGAGAAGCTCACCCAACTCAAATGGCTTTTTGAAGCCCGGGAACAGCTCCACCGAGAATCCTTCGATCTGATCAGTGACCGTGACGAAAAATACAAAATTGTTGCATTGCTTCCCTATAAGCAAGGCAAAGTAGAAGACAAATTGCGTGAAACGCAAGCTTTCTTCTCCCAAGATGCCCTCGAACGTCGCGTGCAGTTTGAAAACGACGCTCTGACCCGCCTGGAATCGTTCTTGGACGTCATTGAACAGAACGTCGTGCGAGGAGTTGAGGTCCAGCTATCTGCATTCTGGGACATCGCGCCCTCTCTACTAGCCCTCGTGCAACAGGTGCCGGAGAATCTACAAGGGTTCCAGGTGAAGATTCCTGCGGACGAGTATGAGGAAAACCCCAGCTACCACGCGCATCCTCTGCAATATCTTTATACACTGCTTTCACACGCGGAGAAATCCAGCTACCAGTTCATCGAGTCTCAGACCAATCTGCTTTGTCTTCTGCATGAGGTGCGGTCCGCTGTCATGCGAGCGAATCGGATCCTCGTGGAGGCGGAACGCATCAAATGTGGAGAAGCAGAGGAAGATGTGCGTAGGGATATGTTACAGACCCGTGCGGATGAAGAGTTGTCTCTTACTACTGATCTCAAGGACAAGGTGGCTACTGTTGAGGGGCAGTGGACTGAGGCTTTGGGGAGTCAAATTGAAGGGTTGCGGGAGCGGGTGAAGGAGCAGCTTGTGGAAGAAGATGGATGGGAAGACCTGGAGCAGTTGGAGGAGTAAAATGGGTGAGCCCTGGAACATTTCTTTGTGTATTTAGCAACATGATATCCCCCATTCGTTCGTTATTCAGATGTTTCTAGGCAGTGCCTGCAACATCTGATTTTGTGTTGTTTGATAGCTTCGAGGGAAGGTGCACTTGGATCCCTAGGTGGATTGAAAATTATAATTTGGTTTTCATTAAAAAAGAGCGAAATATCTACTTGGTACTTCGGTCAGGAAATGAAGTTGGTGATAGTCGTCGCTTCGTCACTTCGTCACTTCGTCAGAGGGTATCCACAGTCACGTGCACCTTCTAGAGTCTTCCGTCCCGCGACGCCTCAAATAGCTCGTCTCCCTCAACTTCTCCCTCTCTCTTCATTTCAATTCATCGAGTCCTTTGATGCCCTGGGCTTGATTGCTTGAACTGTAAGTGTGCAATTGACATTTCCTCTTTCCCTTTACCCTCGAGTGCACCACGGTGAAATTTCTGCAAATGCAAATTTCTCTCCACTCCACCAGCCTCAAATGATGAGACTTCTAGCTGGCACCAGTCCTAGAGATGCTCTCACATCTCATGCGGACCAAGCTTTACTAGTCCGGGATTACGCCCCAGGACCTGACATTGGCCTTGACCATTCATGCTTTCTTCATTTCAGAAAAAAAAAGTCGAGCATCGCTAATCTGGAATTGTCGAACAGAACCTCTCGTACACGCAGAATCTTAAAGGGAGAAATAACCCCTTGAATCAATTTCTTTTTGTCGATAGTCTTCATCATGGTCCTCCACAACCCCAACAACTGGCACTGGGTCAACAAGGACGCCTCTGGCTGGGCCAAGGAGTACTTGCAGAAGAACCTGGTCGGCCTCAGTGTTGAAGAAGGGGGTGTGTCCGCCCAAGTAAGCAAGTTGTTGTCCATGGATGGCGACGTAGATGTCAGCCAGCGCAAGGGCAAGGTCATCACTCTCTTTGATGTCAAGGTGTCGCTAGAATACTCAGGTTTGTAGTCCAATATCAATATTATTATCATTTTCTCTTGAGAACTGGCAGCTGAGACGCTTCCATAGGTAAGACCAAGGACGATGAGGATGTCAGCGGCACCATCAAGATCCCTGAGGTAGCCCACGATACCGAGGAGGACGAGTTCGTCGTACGTCCCCTTTTCTCCCCCTGCCAAGGTGACAGGTAGCACAAAACTAACCTGTAAACCCTCCACAGTTCGAGATTGAGAACCACGCCGATTCCAACTCCAAGCAGCCCGTAAAGGACCTGGTGCGCACCAAGCTTGTCGCCAAACTCCGCAAGTCTCTGGCCGGCTTCACCAACGCTCTGATCACCGAGCACGGCAAGGATCTCCAGCACGCCCCCGGCGTCAACCCCTCTAGCGGCTTCACCAAGGCCACCGTCCACCCTCAGACCAAGGCCGCCGAAGCCACCCAGACCACCACTTCTAAGGCCGGCAAGGTCGCCGTTAACACCACTACCGTGACTGCCTCCGACGAGTTCCGCACCACAGCCGGCGAACTCTACAACACTTTCACGGACCCCCAGCGCATCACCGCGTTCACCCGCGGCCCGCCTCGTGAGTTCGAGGGCGCCAAGGTTGGCGGCAAGTTCGCCATCTTCGACGGCAACGTCACTGGTCAATTCGTCACCCTCAACGAGCCCAAGCAGATCGTGCAGACCTGGCGTCTGGCCCAGTGGCCCGAGGGTCACTTCAGTACCCAGGAAATCAACTTCGATCAGAATGATATCGATGGTGTTACCCAGATGCGTGTCACTTGGTCCGGCGTCCCTGTCGGACAGGAGGACGTCACCAAGCAGAACTGGGAGATGTACTACGTTCGCAGCATCAAGCAGACCTTTGGGTATGTTCTCTTTCCACCCCTTGCCAATCCCCCCCCTGTCTCTATGTCCCCTAGAATTCTTTGCCAATCTCGGCCTTCGCCTACAGATCCAAGCCTTCATCTTCATTGCCTTCGTGGAATTGGTTACTAATGATTGTTTTCCTCCTTGGTTTAGGTTTGGCACTATTCTCTGATCGGCTCTTACCGGTGGCATGAAAAAAGAAACAATACTTTCATCAAGATTTTGCGAACATAGCTGCGAGAGCGCAAGCTTCGAGTTCTTTGCCTTTATTTTTCCATTTCGTGTCTCTTTCTTTCCACCCTGTGACCTTGCATTTCTTGATTTAGGTCTGGGCACAATGATGCTACGATAGAGTACGGTGTTATGCCTATGATAATGAAGATAAGATTTTTTTTTTCTCGGGTGTCTAATTTCTACTTTTGGCTTGGAGAGGCTTTATGGGGCAGCTAAAGGATGGAACAGAAATGTAGATATCAGTGTCTCAACAGCCTTAGAGTTGGCCCGAGGTCTGATGGCTTTGATGGAAACCTTCCAAGGTTGGACTTGGGCTCCAGTCCTAAAGTAAGACGACAGAAGAGATGACTGAAAGAGGTGAAATATTATGGAAACATTTTTGATAGACATGGATTTGAGAAAGCCCTTGGAAAATGGCTTGTATGAAAAGTTTCAAGGTTAGGGCTTCGTCTATTGTTACGTCCGACCCAACGTTGACGTTCTTTTTCTACAGATCCAATCAAAAATAGCAATGCACGTATTTTTCATTCATCGTCTATGTCATTCCTAAACATATTTTTGTTTCCGATCCAATTTCTATATCATGTGAGATCCGACCTTACAGAGTGCGCTCAATGAGCTCGATACCGTAGTCCTCCTTCAGGGTCTTGATAAGAGGAGCACAGATATCCATGGTCATGGGAGCGAGGACACCCTAGTCAAGTTAGCGGAATGAAACAGAAGAACATTAAATAGGCACTTACAGTCTTGTTGATGGTGCCATCGAGAACCTGCTTAACAGCGACACCACAAGGGACACCGACCAACTACAATTTGTTAGCATGCTGCAACTCAATCTATATTTGAGGGGAAACGAACCTTGGCCATGGCGGAGTAACCAGCGGGGTTACCGTACTCGCAGAGAGTGGAGGTACGGGTCTCCTTGGAACCGTCCTTGTTCTCGATCTCGAACTTGTGCTGCAGCATGACGAGATCACGCTCGTCGGGGCCGTACTGCATCTTCTGCTCGAGGGTAGCGCAGAGGGTGTCGAGGGCGTTGCCACGGGGGATGGTCTGCTCATCGGAGAAGAGACCGATCCAGCGGAGACCGGAGAGGAGACGGTCACGCTCCTCGTTGTTGGGGAAGTTAGTCTTGGAGGCAATAGCCCACTGGAGGTCCTTCTCGGAGGATGAGGTGGCACCAAGAACCTGCTTGGTGGCCTCCTTCCAGGAGGTAGGCTTGTCGAAGACGCTGTTGGGGGCGTCGTTGAGGAAGCCAATGTCAACGAGAACCTTGATCATCTCGGGGAAGCCCTGGTAACGGAGGGTACCACGGACAACGGTCTGGGCCTCGGGGATGTTGTAGCGCTCGCGGAAGGGAGTGGAGTCACGGTTGGGGTAACCAACGAACGCGAAACCGGGGTAGATGAAGAAGGGCTTGGCGGAGGCCATCAGCTCGGGACCGTCAATGCTGACGATCTCACCACCGCGGTAGATCTTGGCGGCGTTACGGAGAGCAAGAAGGACACCACGGCTACATATTTGTTAGTGATAGTAGGGTAATGAAGAGTGGAGTTTTGCGAACCTGGACCAGGAGAACTATATAAAATCCGTTAATCATTGGGCAAATGAGAGTCTGGGGCTCAAAGATATCATACCTTGTATCCAAGAGGGTTGTTGGAGCACTCAGGGGCGGCTATATTGATGCATTAGCATATCGTTCTGTATGGCAATAGACCATGTCACTTACGAACTATCAAATTGGTTAGCAAATGTTCAATAGAAAAACGACGATAATAACTTACGGCCACCACAGAAGGAGATGAACTCGAGGATCTTGCCACCGGCAGCGTGGACCTCGTCAATGGCCTTGACGGCGTCTATTTCAATCAGCAAAAGTTTACTCAGAGTCAATTGCCCAAGACTTACACAGGTGGTCGAGACCAGGGTCGAGACCGATCTCGTTCATGACAACAATACCGGCCTCCTTGCAGCGCTCCTCGAGAGCCTGCATGGCGGGGGAGACGTAAGAGGTAGTCACGACATTGGTCTGTAGGTTATCTCGTTAGTGCTTGCCGGAACATAGCCGTGGGCAAACGTACCTTGGTGCGGATAGCGGACTCAATGACGGTGGCGTGGAAGGTGTAGGGGATGAGAGAGATGACGACATCGGCCTGCTCGAGGGCCTTGTCAAGGGCAGCAGCGTCGTTGACATCAAGGGAGATAGCCTTGGTGTTCTTGAAGCCGCCAGAGAGAGCCTGGGCGCTCTCGAGGGTACGGCAAGCTTGCGTTGATCATCAGCGGAATGTATATAGGGTGTATAATAACGACAGTCACATACCGACAGTGACCTCGACGTCGGCCTTGCTGAGGACCTCAACAGTGGGCTTAGTGACTATTATCCAACATCAATTAGTCTTCGAAGCTTCAATGCGGGGCAGCCCATGACGCATTGGACGAATTGGGGTCTGGGGGTGGACAGGGGACTCACCGAAGCCCGAACCCAAAAGGAGGGCCTTGGAACCGGCGATTTGCTTAACCATTTTGAATCAATTGATTTGTGATAGGATATTGGAGGGATAGAAGAGGGCATCCCGCTGTCCCTCAATTGTGGACCGATATGCGCTTGAGTCATCATCACGTGAACCGGTATCGGCGTGGGGTTGACCGGGCCGGACATTTAATTATTCGCTATGTGGTATATGCTATAGGATGTGGAGTGGAGTATGAAGGCTCAAAGTATTCATTTTGTGGGAGCATCACAAGAGTCTAGCTAATACGGAGTATCGTGGAACAAGCCAAGGCAGCGGTGGTAAAGAGGTATACACAACTCTGAAACTTGTATAGACAGCTCAGTGCCACCAAGTTCACTACCTGCGGCAGATAGCTCCAACTTTAATACCGGGTAGCTGCATCTTTGCGCTAGTATCGAGAAAACACCCTAGGATCCATGGGGAAGAGCCGAAGAAAGAAGGATTATAATGCATGTGATTTATACCGACGCAATAATGCACGGATGAATATCAAGTAGAAAGCCAAGAACGCCGCTGATGCAGAAACAGGCACAGGGTATATAAAAGTGAACTAGATGTCTTTGGCCTTTGCACCTTGACGCAGCAGCATGTCCATTTCTTCCTCGCCGGCAAAGTTACCCTCAGCATCGGGATCTTGCCGCGACTTGGAAATGCGTCGTTGCCACCCGAGGAGCACGGGTAGGAAGTGCCACAAGTCAAACTCGGGCCACATGACTTCCAGGAACTTAATCTCGGTGTTCTCGTGCGTCTGCCAGAGCATGAAGTCGCTCAGGCGCTCGACGCCCGAGGTACGAATGAGAATATCCAAGGGCGGTGTGCCCTTGGTGAACATGTGATCGTTGAGGGTTTGGCGGGAGATGGTTTCGGGGGAGATATAGAGAGGGCTTTCGTTGGCGGGTCGGTGTGGTGAGCCCTTGGATTCTGGACCGAGGTGTAGGGTCGTTGAGGACGAAAAGGATGATCCGGACTCGTATATACCACGACCATTCCGGGATGTGTCGTCTTCTTGTGCGGAAGAGCCGGACGTGGACTCGGAATCGCTAGGCGTATCGTATGTTCGTGTCTGGGCGCGGATGTTATTGGTAATATGAGACTCCGAGAATGGAGTGCGCGCAGACGCAGCACCGGAGTGCGCATGCTGAATAGGTGTGCTGTAGTCATCGACCGTATCGCGAATAGCACTGGTGATCTCATCGCGGGAGGTGTAGGGGAAGCAGATGTTGAGGACGCGGTCTCCGTTGCGGCTGGTCATTTCAACGGCCTTGTTCACGGCCTCCAACACGTCGGGCTTGAGCAGGTCAAGACGGCCCAGAACGCCGACCTTTGCCCCGTATCGATCCAAAATGTCTCCATGCTGTGCCATCTGCGACAGCTTCACTTTTGCGATTTCCATAAGCGCGTCCACCTCGAACTTGGAACGTTTGAAATTCTCGATACTGAAGGCGTAGATCGTGACTACCTTCACTCCGCTCTTGTAGCAAACCTCGAGAATCTGTAGGGCATCAGTAAAGCTTCTCACAGAAAGGGGGTTCTTGCCGCGGATAGCCACGCTCTCGAGTCCACACTCACCCTCGCCAAAGCTTCGAATCCCAGGTTGTGTCCTTCCACGGTCTCAATGCCGTGCGACCGAGCGAAGCGGCGGTTGCCGTCCATGACGAACGCGACATGCTGCGGAATAGGGCCTTGTTGAAGAGCGCCGATCAGTAGCTCCTTGAGGCCGCTGATGGCGTATTCGGCTGGCGGAGAGGAAAGGAACCAATTACGGAGCCGAGACATATGCATTGAGCCCGACATCTTGAAATATGCCCTCCGGGTTCCAGCGCGCTGGAAAGGAAAAAGAAAGGAAGAAAGCGTGGGGAAGGAGATGTGGAAACCGGATGCGTGAGAAGGCAAAAGGTTGCGGTTAGCGGCTGGGCAAATCCGGAGGCGACGTGGTCTATTTTAAAGAATCTCCCTTTTCAACAGTCCAGGCTACACTTTTTTCTGATGTGTGTTTCTATTTCAATTCTAGGCTCTGCCCCAGTGGCGAGGCCCACGACAGCCAAGATCAACAGTCAACAGCTAACATCGCAATTGGTTGAGATCCCCGCTCAGGCCGGGGGATTTCAACGTGCGTCTGAACACGTTGAATTTCAGGGTTCGACAACGGTCCTGTTATCGTATTGGTTTTTACTTTTCCATGCCAATTTGGGGGCCTACGGGCTACATTCGGTGAATAATGAATCAAGTATAATGATGAAAACAGAGAGGATATCTTGCGTGGATATATAAGCACAATAGATACACAGCTTCATGCTGAACGAAAGAAACAAAGTCATCAAGGTAATTAGTTCGGGATCTTAAAGATCCTTTCGGTTCTCCTCAACGCTGGACGGTGTACCGGGACCGGAGCTGGCCATGTCCCAGCTCCCATCCTCGCTGCGGCGGCGACGGCGCTCTCCACGCTCTCTCATGGCATCGCGAATTCGCGAACTGACGTCCTCAAGTGGGTCTTTTTGGGTGAGCGAGCTGAGCGGTTTCAACCCGTGCCGAGACCCAGGTCGGGCGCTAGCAGAGCTGCTGCGGCTGCGGTTACGGCTAGGAGGCCGTGTGGAGAAGAAGCCAATGTTGGCCAAGTTGTGGAAGGATTCGTTGCGGGGCAAGGGTTCCGAGGTGGGCATCTTCTCATTGGATTCGGAGACACTGGATCTCCTGATCTCGGGTGGTCCATCTTCAGACTTCTCCTCAATGTTTGTGGCTTCGCGGAATGGATCTGTCACAATGCGAGAGGCGTCAAAGTCAGGGAACAGCTCGGGGCCCATGGTGTTGATTGCGTCAGTCACTTGCTGTGCCAAGGCGGCACGCTTTTCTCGGAGTCTGACAAGCGTGTTGGCTGATGATGGGTTCAGAGATAGGACAAGAGGACGGAGAGATTTGATAATGTCCATGCCCACCTCACCAATTCGCAGAGCCGCGAACGTGATGGTAGGGAAGAGGACCATGCCAATCATGACCACTGACCAGAGCGGCACCCAGTCGGGGACCATTCCGTTGACTCGGTTCCAATATGTCCAATAAGTGAAGGCAGCCGTATAAAAGGCGTAGAGGGCTGGGGCGAATGCGAGAGCAATCAACAGTTTCCACGTCGCCATGACATCTCGGCCCTGAAGTTTGACTGTCGAAGCAGCCAGTGCTTCTTTGGACTTTTTCGCGGAAAGATATTTGGTTGCGATGAAAACAGGGGTAAAGAGGAGGAAACCAGGGAGAGTTCCAATGGCCAAAAGTGCCAACTTGCCCAGACGATAGATCAAAGTGGCGACCACTTGAACAATGGAGAACTTGGCGTAAGCCACTTGATGATCCCGAATGCCGAGAATGCGGAGTGACTTGTTGTATGACACGATAGCTCGGCGCAGATCAACAATTCGAGGATCATCTTTGAAGTGGGCATATCCTTTCACGAGACGGCGGTTCAATTCAACGACCATTGGCAGAGGAAGCTTCTTGCCTTTGGTGTTGTAGAGTCGACGCGCGGCTTGGATGACCATCAGAGTCTCATAGTCGGGGCTGGTGACGGTAACCGAGACGAGGCCTCCGTAGATGATCTCCAACAAAGCACCGACAGACTCTCGGCGTTCACCCTGCTTGAATTGTTCCACGAGCTCGGGAGGAACGTCGATCGGGGTGCCGAATTCAATCACGGCTCTCGAACGGAACTTGTGGGCATGGAAGTAGTTCATGCCACAAGGCACGATCTTCAAGCCACAGTCCGGGTTCTCAGCGAGAGTTCCCAAAGCCATCAGGGCCACACCAGCTATAGCACGTTAGTTTTCTCAAACCAAGAATCCAGATCAACATGGTGAAGCATACCTTTCAAAGGAAGCAATGTAGTCCGGTCATGACTTCCACCCTCCGGGAAAATACCAACACAACCTCCAGAGCCAAGTCGCTTGAATACTGCCTGGTAGACCGCGGTCTGATCGACATGCGGCGCAACCTTGAACTTGGTGCCCTTGAAATCCGAGTTATCCGACGCATCCCCCGTGAAATTTCCATCGCTATCAATGTCTTGTCGCCCAGTCAGCTGGATGAGCGCATCCCGGTGTTTGAACGGTTTCTTGAGGACAAGTTCTTCCGGGCCTCGGACCTCCGCGATCGCAGTACTGTGTGATGTTCCGTTGACGGTGGGCAAGGCGATGGTGCCGTCCTTCTCGAATGGCTTGCCTTCGAAGTTGGTTCCGACACCCCGCAATAGGGTGGGCTCGTTGATCGGGTCGGGAAGATAGATTGTACCGGTTCCAGGCTTCAGGTTATCCATAGCACGTGCTACTGGCAATGTTCCAATACCTCGCGCGAGGAAGCCGATGAACTTGCGCCGGAAGGATTTCTCGGCGATCAGCCATGAGATTCGTCGGTGCGCTTCGCTGCGGATGACGCGCATCAAAACCAAGGAGTCGACAAACTAGAAAACATACACTAGTCAGTCACATTCGCTGGCCCGGAAGCAGGCGGCTTACCTGGTTCGCGTGGGGAGCGGCCACCAGAATGATGGGACCGCGTCGGGGGATCTTCCATGATCCTCGGGGGTGGACTTCACGGAAGAAGAGGTCTATCAGCACGGAGAAAGACCATAGGACGAGATCGTACATCCAGCCGATCAGCGGCGGAATGTAAGGGCCCTTGTCTCCCATATCGTACGTTGCAGGATGCAGCTATCTCGACATGAAGGGAAAGTGGAAGATCAGGCCACAGGAGCTTGGGCCTACGAAAAAAAGAGGGAAGGCACGAGATCAAAAGAAATCCAAAGAATCCAGGGTCGAAGTTTCCAATCCGGACAGGTTTTGGGGTCTTAGCGCCCTTTCCTGTTTTTTTGTTTTCGGACGCTTCTAGAACAAGTTAAAGCTATGTGTGTTTGTCCGTACTTTATTCTAGGCTCAACGGTCGTGACCTTATATGCCTTTATATCTAAAGTTCTATCTACCCCTCCCACATCGCGAAACTTCCCAACGTATTGCATATGCATAGCGTTGGGAATGGATCAAAGCGTCCTGCAGCTCTTGCGATCCAGATCGACGAGACACAATATATGCTAAAACAATTAAGCATAATGTAGTGGAGTCTGAGAAACAATACATGATCTACAGAAAAAGAAAATAAAAAAGGAAAGACAGTAGAGAGCAGTGTCCACCTGCAAGTTCTCCCCGCCTGCCCCGCAAACCCTTCCCAACTTCCGCCCTTGAATCTGCCCGACTCGAGCTGATCCGAGTTAAAACCCAAGGACTTATTGTGATCGAATCCTCACCTTGACTTTGCCTTCGAAAGAACCACAATCCACTCTTTGCCTGTGGCATGATCCCGCAGCATGTCTCTCAAGTATGTACCTTGTGGTCTGCTCTAGCGCCGGAACTCCGTACTGACTGCCTAGTTGGGTAATGCTTGATCAAGAGGGCTTCGTCCGCCTCCCAAATGAACGTATCGTCTACTCGTCACCTCCCCGCACCGCCGTGTCCTTGACCCCACCATCGGGATACAAAGGCGGAGAGAGCCTATCCGTCCAAAGCAGCGCCGGTTGCATTCACCTCACTAATCAGCGAGTGAGATTCCGCCTGATATATCACTGCTTAACCCCCAAGCTGACTCTGACCAGGTGGTATATCTACCAGCGGCCAGAACCAATGACTTCCAGTCCTTTTCCTCTCCGCTATTGAATGTCCGAGACTCCCATGTGTCGGCCCCTTTCTTCGGCCCCAATGTGTGGACCGCCCTGGTGCAACCTGTCTCCGGGGGTGGCATCTCGGCATCGCTCCCTGCAGTGCAGATGAAAGTGACCTTCAAGGAAGGCGGGGCCTTTGACTTCCACACCAATTTCGAGCGCATCAAAGAGCGAATGCAAGAGGCTGTCGAGAACACTGATCAAGGCACTCGTGGGCAACAGACGGTAGATCTCTCATCTGTTCATTTGGAAGACTTGCCTGCATATGATGCACCGCCCAATGCCAACCAAAATGTCACATCCAGCGAGCCAACGGAGGAACCTCCATCCGCCCGACCCTCTGATGCGAGCGCTGAACCGGTGGAGCCTCCTCCCTGCTATGAGGAAGTTCAGTCGCAGAGCGTAGCGCATGAACTAGAGGAAAGGCTGCGACGAGCCAGTTGATTGCTTTCTATTCTTAATACCAGACCGTCCAATACTTACCATTTGATTTCTTTGGTTTCATTCACAGATGGTCAAACTTATATCCCACTCATGTACATTATGCCAATTAGCGATAGGAAAGCGGTGCTCTCCAAAAGATGAAAAATCCACAATCCCCAAAAATGCAGGCCACAACATGGTGCTCTTAGATACTCTCAATGAAAGCCTAAAAATGTTCCCAAGTCTGCATCAAGTCGAATCCGTGTAATAATTGAAAATGACCACCGCGATCTATAAAACCCCAGTAACCAGACCGAGTTGGCTCTGGCCAATCACGTGCGGCATAATTGTCCTGGCTCAGCGGCCGGGCCTTTCCGATTTTCCAGTCCGAAAGAAGCAGCTCTTGGAAAACCAACATCCTCCCTCAATTCCAACCCCCTTCAGTTCCCCACCACACCGCAACCTTCGGTCATCATTCAATTGATCCCTGTCGCAATGGGTCTCTCCGATTTCTTCTCTGACGTCGTGTCCTCCTGGGGCTTCGAAGCCCAGGCTGAGGCTCCCGCTCAAGACACCGAGACCGAGTCTGCCCCCCCAGGACGAGCCTGCCGAGAAGGAGGAGTCCACCGAATCCGAGTCCGCCGAGGAGACCCCCGCTGAGGAGTCTTCCGAGGAGGCCCCCGAAGAGGAGGCTGAGGCCGAGGCCGAGGAGGAAGAGGAGGAAGAAGAAGAAGAGGAAGAGGAGGAGGAGCCCGAGGACATCAAGCCCAAGCTCGAGGAGGGTAAGTGAATACAATGCCGTCTTTGACGCGTGTCTGGCTTTATCTTGTGCCCGTGCGACCATGAGATCGATCGGTGCTCGCACATATTCTTCCGATGTGTCAGGGTCACGCTACGGGTTGGAATATCGCCAATGGCATCGCAAAGACGTCTCTCGCTCCACAATCCGACCGATTGCTAACAATTTGTGTAGAGTGCGCCAACTCCTCTGTCTGCGCCCCTTACAAGCACCACTACGATGAGTGCGTTGAGCGCGTCACTCGCCAGGAGGAGGCTGGTGATGACTTCAAGGGTCCCAAGGAGGACTGTGTTGAGGAGTGTAAGTGCACCATTGTCATTGATATTGCAATATCGATATCATAGGGAATGTGTTCAATCATCGCAGATTGATCTATTCTTCCAATGTCGAAATCATGGCTAACATCATTTTTTTCTTAACAGTCTTCCACCTCACTCACTGCGTGACCGCCTGCGCTGCCCCCAAGCTCTGGAGGGAGCTGAAGTAAACAACTACTTTCATGAAATGATTTCGGCGCTCCAACCACGCATCGATCCGGCTCGAATTGATTTCCGGCCCCCTCGATATGAAACCCTCTCCGCTGTTGGACTGCAACGCCGAAGTCCCAGTCCCGCTTTGATAGCTACCACGGCACATTGATAGCCTGGTAGCTTGCCGTCTTGGATTGAGAATACAGGATCGAGTACGAAACTCGCTATGAAAATGACTTGTTTTGGTTCGTTCCTCATGTATGTGTGCGCATATTGTTTTCGGGGCAGGGAGGAGGGCGCAGAGGAAGCACGAAAGAATAATAGATACTTGCCCTCCTCTTTCTGCCTTGCATGTACAGATAGCTGGTCTTCCGCCTCATCGAACTGTGCTTTTGTTTCTCTTGTTTTAACACGAATCTCATCTGTACCTGTCTATTTTGACTCCCCACTGGTAGGCTGGCTACGACTCGCGTCGCTGCGAATGTTTTCTCTCCAGGTTTTCAACGTCGCGATCGAGATTACTGGACCATGGTCCGGCTCATTGGAAGTAAATTTCATGATGCTGAACACGCTGCGCTAATTAAAACTGATATCAAGCCGCACCAGAATAAACCTATGAGATACTCGAAGATACCATAGGCACATTGAAGAGGTATAACAAATATGAATGCCTCTGTACATCAAACCTGCTGCTCCGGTCACCACAGAGCTGAGCTGAGCTCAAGCGACCGAGCAATCCCAAAGGGCAACAGCTCTATCCCTTGATCAGAGTCTCTGTGTCACCATCCGAAGGAACCTTCTTCACCCGATCATCAAGCACAGAAACCGGCTCCTGCAACTCCACCCCACGATCAACCTCCAATCTTCGTCTCTCGACCACCCTCCCAAACAGACCAATGGTCAAAGGGAACGGCGCCGCCACAACCGCCACCACAGCAGCAAAGATCAGTGAATTCCGCATATTCGACGGCGGCTTCGCATCATCCCCAGCTTTCAAAGCATCTTGAATCAAAATGAAACAAGCGCCCAGCAGCTGCCCACCCGTCCAGCAGATGGTACTTCCGATCTCAGGCGAGAAAGGATAAGTGATTTCAGCCAGGTACTCTAGCACGATGGGCAGAAGTGCAAAAGACGATGCGCCCAGTAATGCCATAACGACATACGACGGCGGAATCCCCGCTGGGCTGGAAGGCGCGAATATCAGTCCTATATACGTCACTGCGACGATGGGGACCAGGACGCGGATGCTGCCGAGGTAGTGCTTATAGCGATCTGTGATGGGCGACATGATCGCAGCGGTGACGAGACCGACGACGATGAGAATGGCGCCTGCGATACCGGCTTCGGTCTCGTCGAAGTTGTACGGGCTCAGTATCTGGTTCAGCAGTGACGAAACGCTGTTGAAGAAGCCTACGTAGACGGAGAATGGGATGAGAATCTGCCAGAATTCCCACGTCGTGATTAGCTGGTAGGTTGCTATTCCCAAAGGCGTGTGGGGGATTGCTGAAGAGGCACTTGGAGGTGTTGGTGGTGAGGCAGGCAGGAAGAATGATGGGATGGCTGCAACGCTCGACTACGTTTGTTAGCGAGACCCATGGGGTGTTGAGGAGATTGATGTCGGACGTACGATGATGGAGATGTATAGGACCATGTTTGGGATGTCAGAGGGCTTGGTGGCCCATTCTGAATCAACGAGCTGACCTAGTGCTGCGCCAAGCGGATTCGCGAGACTGGCGACGGCCGTTGCGCTCGTGCGGCCTCGGTCTGAGAACCAGAGGTCGCTATAGCGTGTTGGCGCACAGAGGCAGAAGGGCTGCGCGAATCCAATGAGGATCTGCCCGAACATGGCTAGCCCGAAGATACCGCCGTTTGCTCGCGTGCCTGCATATCGCAGCCAGTTGCCGACCAGCAAGAGGCTGGCGGTGATCACTATAGCAGGTTTGGGACCGCCTTTGTTTAAGATCCAGATGACGAGGCTGAGCGTGTTATTATGGGTCTTGCTGCTGGCGTGGGAATCACTTACGGACTGACGGCGCAAAAGGCAAAGAGGTAGCCAGTGCTCATCCAATTGATAGCGCTTTCCGAGACATTGAAGTACTCCGCCGCGGTGGTCGAGATGGACGAGAAGGTCAACCACTATGAGAGTTAGCATGAGGTCTTTGTCTGTTATGAATCCAGCCTCGGCACATGCATCCCAGCTGACGACAATGTTCAGCAAGACCAACTGGGCTAAACCCCAGAAGCGTCGCTTATAGACCTTGTAGATAGGTCGAGTGCCGGACTCGGCGTCAGAAGTCGACATGTTCCCAAGATATGTGATAGAACATAGCCAGGGCGGCGCACTCCGAGTGAACCAGGTGGGATTGAAACAAAGGGTCACATTTGATGCGACTTAAAAAAGGACCCAAGATCTGGGCAGTACTTGGCAGTACCTGGTCAGCCTTACTGTGACGTTATACTTCGCAGGTACCGGTTCGGTACTAACAGCGGGGTCGCTCTTTCGCATATGCTTCCTTTGTTTAGATTGTGCTTAGATTGCCTCTAGGCTTGAAGAAGTTAGTTATCCTTTATGCATTCGGTTAGAATATCTAGTGATATCTACCTGGTGATCTCGTGGGCTTTTATTTCCGAATGCTCAAAGTGTGGGCTTCACCCCAAAACGGCCATGTTGAAATTACGTCTTTCAGGTCTTACATTTCCATCTCTTTGTTCTGCTTCGATACTCCGTCCATTTCCCCCGTCTTTTTCTTTCTATCGTATCTCATAGAGATGACTATACTTCCAGCCTTGGTTGTGGAGAACAAATATCTCCGAGATACTGGACTAGCCTTATGTACGGAGTACTCCGTACTTTGTGTGTGGACCTCTACTTCGTATACTCGTATCGACATGCGTCAGGGGTTATAGATCGCAACTCTAAAGTGTATCTTTCGAACACATCAGCTTCCATCAGATCACATCAGACTACTCCGTACGTCAGAGAAAGTGAGGTTGCTGAACCTTAAGGGGCGCGCCGATCGTGAGGCTGGTGTCTCCCTCACTTCCCGCCATTTTTAATTTCTCTAAAAACCCCAGTCTCTGGCCTGGAAAACCTACTCTCTTCGAGTCGCGATGCGCGATCAGTGTTGAATCTGGTTTCCATTTCTAAATCGAAGCAATGGATAGCAGTATGCGCTCCAGTGTATCTTCCTACGGGGACCCGCGGTACCTGTCGACAATGACCGCCTCCGATGCCCCGGCCCCCGTTGCGCCGCTGGGCAAGTCGCTGGTCGATGGGTATCGGGATTCACTCGACCCCCAGCACGATGACCGGTCGCGTTACAACCCGGTAGGTGGAGAACACCCCGATTCTCAAACGTCGCTAACCATGGTCTTGTCATAGCTAAACACGGCCCACCCGCGAAGCTCGGCTCTCCTGAATGCCAACGACCCCGTCGCCCTGTACCTGTTGACCGAGACCGCGATTGGGGACAGCATAAATTACGAAGTATTGTCTTTTGAGGAGGTGGAGAATCTGAAGAAGGAAGCCAGCGTACTCTCGAGCCGGATCGTAGGCACACGGCGGAAATTGGCGCTGGAGACCAAATTGCGGGATGCGGCGCAATCGCTCGGAAGGCTGTACAGCCCGCCCAGTCCGCGCAGCAGCGGCGAATATGCTGGCAACACACACCGGAGGAGCCGGAGCATCTTCGGTCGCAGTGGGACTTCGGAGGCCCTCGACAAGAGCGACTCCGAGCTTGCGGTGAGCCAGCGGCGATGCGAGCAGCTCGCGCAGGAACTCTGGAGGCTGGAAGGGAGGTCCCAGAAGATCAACCAACGGCTGCTGGAACACACAGCGGGTGTGCTTCAGATGACACACAAGGGCCTAAAAAAAGGGCCCAAGAACGCGGCTTTGGATAACGCTTATGACGAACATGAATTCGACGATCGGAGTCTCTACCGGACCAACGAACATTTGGATCAATTCGGTGTACATGGAAAGGTCCAGTCTGGATTCGCACCCGCGAACACCGAAGCCATGCAGGCCATGGAGAGACGATTGGAGGACATCAGCGAACGCATGCATGATATGATGATTCAGTCCAACCCCGGGGAATTTATCGACCCCCCCTCCGCAGCCGTCAGATGGAGGACCCGTCAACCCCAATGGCACGGCCGAAGCACATTTGGCTTACATACAGAACGGTATCGAAACCATCGCCCTCCACAAGGAAACCGTCCGTTCTGCCCCTGGTGCTTCCGAGGTCGCCCCAGAAGCGGAGGGTGCCTGGAAGTTCCAAATCACCGAGATCAACAACCGCGTGCAGACTATCGTGGATCGATTTGGCCTGACCCGCTCACCAACCTTGCCTCCGCCCCCCCGATGCCACCCACGGCGAGGGACTGGAAGAACAGCTCGCATACCTCCGCACTGGTGTCGACGGACTAGAGAGCCGAGTCGATGGAGTATTGGAGCAGAAGAGCATCCTCACCACGCAGATCCAGCAGCAACGTGAACTCAACTCCAAGTCCGATGCAGAACGAGATGCTCACATCGGCGACTTGACGGAGAAGTTAACAAACGTCCGCAGAGACCTTGAGGTCTCTGAGCGCGAGGCCAACGCCAGTCGTGATGAACTGGCTTTGGTCATGGAGCAACTAGAGGCAATGCGCCACAGTGGTTCTTCCCAAGAAGAATCCAAGGCTGCTTTGGTCCAGGCGGAGGGTGAAGTTGCACGCTTGCAGAGTGTGCTCACTTCATTGCACAGCGAGGCCGATGCCCGAGCCATTGAAGTGAGCGAAGCTCGGGATGCCCAAGATCATGCCGAAACCGAGCTCAAACGCCTCCATGCCCACCTGGAGTCATTGCAAAGAGACCATGACACCCGAGCGGTGGAAGTCAGCGATGCCCGCGACCGTGCCGAAGGCGAAGCCAAGCAACTGCAAACCGAACTTGAGACCCTGCGAAATGCCACAGACTCCAAGAGCGAGGAAGCCAAGGAAGCCCGGGAACACGCCGAGAGCGAAGTCCAGCGCTTGGAGGCCGTGATCGTTACTATGCAGTACGAGGCTGACTCTCGTTCTGAAGAGGCCCGGGAAGCTCGCGAGCTCGCGCAAGAGGAAGTTCAGCGATTGCATCTCGATATTGAAACTTTGCGAAATGACACCGGTTCTCAGAGCGAAGCTAGCAAGGTGGCCCTTGATCGTGCGGAGGGTGAGGTCCAGCGTCTGGAAGCCGTCATCGTTTCTATGCAAGGTGAAACGGATTCGAGATCTGCCGAGGCCAGAGAGGCCCAGGACCATGCGGAGAGCGAGGTCCAGCGCTTGGAGGCTGTCATTGCCACGATGCAGCACGAGTCCGATTCTCAATCTACACAGGTTCGGGAAGCTCGAGACCACGCAGAGAGTGAGGTACAACGCCTGGAGGCTGTCATCGTCACGATGCAACACGAATCGGAAGCTAGGTCCAAGGAGATCAAGGAAGCCCGCGACGACGCAGAAGATGAAGTCAAGCGATTGCAAACTGTCATCGAGTCTCTTCAAACCAACAACAGCGCCAACGAGGAGCTCAAGGAGGCTCATAGTCGCGCCGAGAGCGAAATCCAGCGTCTCCAAGGAATTATTGACACCACCCAGAACGACGCTGGTACTAGATCTGAGGAGATTATTGGCGCTCGTGACCGCGCCGAACAAGAAGTGGCTCAGCTCGAAGCCGCCATTCAAAAGATCCGCAGTCAGTCTGAAACTCGCATTCAGGAAGCAGACAATCAGCGCGCACAGTCTGATGAGACCGTGGCTCGCCTGCAGAATGAGATGACTGAACTCGAAGGCGAGATTGTCCGGGTCACCACCGAGTTGACAATGGTCAAAGCAGAGCTTGATGGTGCGTATGGTACCAGGGCCCAGCGTGCGGCGGAAGTCACTGCCGACCCCAGTATCCAGAGAGAGAACGATGCTCTGGTTACCCGGAACATTGAGCTTACTGAAGAGCTTGCTATCATCAAGAGCCAACGCGGAGGTGGAGATCTCCAACAGCGAGCGGACACTCTCGAAAGGGAGCTTCGGGAGACCATTGATGACTACGAGGCCATGACCAAGGCCAGCATCGAGTTTGAGAAGGAGCGCGAGAGGTTCGAAGGATTCATCGATAGTCTTCGGGATCGTTGCGAGCAGCTCGAAACTCAACTGGCGGAGGAACGGATCAGTTGGATGAACTTGAGTAGTCCCACATCTGTTGGCCGTGATGGTGCTTCCGAGACAACATCAACGATGGTGCTGAAGAACGAGTTCAAGAAGATGATGCGCGATACACGCAATGAGAATATGAAGATATTGAGGGTGAGCTTTGATTTTCCTCCCCGGTTGACTGTCCACTAACACTCCTTCAGGCCGAGCAGGAAGAGCGTCGTAGGATTGAAGGGCTGCTACGAGCCTTAAGAAAGGAGCATGCACAGGTAACTGGCAAGCCAATGCCCAGCCCTGGAGGTACTCCGTTATGATGATATGCACTTTGAAGGTTGGAATGTTGCGACGTACATAATAGACTGCATTGTATAATATTTTGGCTCGGCAGGCACGATGGATTCACTCCACAATATTCTCTTCCTCTCATCTTTTGCTTTTATATGACTTATGCATGATCTTGAAGCCTCACTCTTTCGTCTTCAAGATGAATGCCCGTAACACACGTGATTTCAGTAACCCTCATTCGCAGTTCTTCTCGGCATCGCAGAGTCTTCGACGCGCAGGACGTCCCGTTGGCTCAGGCTCCCTATCGGCATTCGACAACCCCCAATCATTCGAGTCCGCTCAAAGCGATGAACAGTCTATCTTTAATGCCATCCGCGTCGCCACACCGGACCCACCGAGTACTCGCTTCTACGCCTCGCTGAACCAAGACCTCCCGGTTACAAATGGATTGGCTGTCAATATGGCTAGATTCGTGTTGACAGACTCGCACACTTCCTCGTCCGTCAATGAAAACTCTGGACAAAAGCAGAGGCCCACAAGAAAGCCCAGCGACCATCGAAAGATACTCTCTGAACAGCAATGGCATCCCGCACCCCGCAGAAAGCCCTGCCCAAAAGTATCCCGCCCCGACACGCTTCAGCGCCTACATCGCAAAGCAGTATCTCTCGGCGCAACCGACAATGTTCGTGGTCCAATATGGCCTGGAACTGCACAGCCCGCAATAATCATAACCCAGCCTCGATATCCACCACCAGAAAGAAGTCCCACGCCTCCTGGTCTTCCATCGTTCGGTTCACCAGAAGCCATGCGGTATTCAGCACGGTTTTTGCTGCGAGACAACGGTGCCTATGCCCGTGCAGAACGCGACGCAGGCTCTCAGCGCAGTAGCTCATACTCAGAGACTATCAGACGGTTCTTCGGTCTTTTAGTCCCGACAACGCGCATTGATGCCCGCTCCGTAACCGGCATAGGCCGAGCAGAGGATGGAACAATGGTCCAGGGTCGGTTTCCATATCGACAGAGTGGTCATGGAACTAACGTCGTTCGCTCACTGCATGACCATCCATTCCACCACCGTCTCTCGCCTGCTGAACACGAAACTGTGGACACATGTCGCGACCCCTATGACACTGGTCGTGCGAAGAGCCTCGGTGGAGCTGTTCGTACAAGACCATTCCAGTCCTCCCATCTCGCTAGACGGCGCTCATTGACTCCCGGGCGTGGTTTCTCTTTCCCATCGAGTCCGACCTCGGCGATGATTGCTGGCCCGCGCCAACCTAGACCCGTGGCACTTTCAGGTCTTCCGCGAGATCTGTCTGCTCCGGTTGGCCTATCCGGAGCGCCTACTGAACAAGCTGAATCATCCATTCAAGGATCCAGAGACACTTCTCATAACCGCACCTCCGTTTCATCCCGGTTACATTCAGCCCTCTCAACCGTCCGTGAAGATGGAACAAACAGGGGTCCACAAAAAGATTCATCTGTTTACTCGGCTTTTGTGTGTTGGATCAGAGCCCAACCTTGTTACTGTGGCTGCTGGGACGAGCACGAAGAACCTAACGAATCTGTTGGTCAAACCAGTTCACACGATACATACACAACTGCCAGAAGTGAAGTGTCACCCACTGTTTCTCAGAATGGGAACGCGGAGAGAAATCCTTCCCAGGTTCGGAGTCTTCAGTCTTGGGTATCGTCTGTTTATGGTGTCATGTTCCCGACTCTCGTGGATCCAGCCACGGTATAGTCTCCTTTTTGGTTCGTCCTAAGTCATGCTCCCTGCTTTCGCGGTTTTCTTCGTTATTGATAGCCAGAACACCGCTCGTTGGATTTTGTTATTTTTACTTGAACATATCGAGCTCTACCAACCTCTTGCACACCTATACCCACTCGAATCCACCTGGACAGTCTCTGAGTATACCAAAAAAGAACAAATATTCGTCGTTTGAAAAGCGTTCCAATCTTTTTTTACAAAGCTGAACAGCCTACCATAGACGCTATGTTAGACAAGTCGAGACCCGTACCCCAACGGTGTCCCATATGCGACTAAATTGCCAAGACTGATCAGGCAAGTCAAGCTTCCTACTCACTGTCCACCGGCAGATACAGAGAAAACCCAATCCTCGGGGAAGAATCCGTACTGCACACCGTCCACACCCCGGAAGATATCATCATAATGCGCAATGCAAGTCTCGGGATCCTCCGCCTGCCGGAAATACCTGTCGCTCAACCGCTTGAACACAGGATCACTCCACATCTTTGCCATCCAGTCCAGAGCATCCGAGCCGGCACTTTCAAGCGAAAGACCGTATGTGCGGAAGCGCTGTAACCACATTAGCACACAAAACCTAATTACCAGAAGCCGAAAAAAGACAAGAAGACATACCCAGAGAATAGGCCAGAAGAATGCATCAGCAATACTAAACCCGCCAAACAGGAAGCCCTCATCCGCCTCCCCCAATTCAGCAAGCCTCTCCTTGGTCGCCTGCCGCGCAGAGTCCCAGATCCGGAACATCCGGGCTATTTCCGCATCCGCCCCGTCAGGAATAGGGACATTGCCTGTATATCTCACCACGAAGTTCGTGTGGAATGTATTCCGCAGAACTGGAAAGCCGGAGTGCATCTGAGCTGCAGCTGTGCGCGCCAGAGCTCTAAGCTTTCGATCCCGTGGCCATAGAGACAGTGACGGGGTTCGACTCAGCGAGGAACTCGCAAATAGAGAGGGAGTCGCTTATCGTTGTTGAGATTGAGTGGCATTGTAGGACTGGGACGAGTCCGGTTGGTGAGATGGCTTTTACCTAGTTTTGGTTAGATGGATGTGCCGTTGGAGGCTGGACTTAGCGGCTTACGGAGGGGAGGTTGATGAATTCACGAGTATGAGGGATTTGGAAGTATTCCAGAACTGCTTCTACGCGCGCTGTCCAGCCTTTATTGGGCTTAGCTTGGTATCTGGTGGTGATGCTAGGATTGCTTCTTACTGGAGTAGCGAGTATACAGGCCGATGAGGTGGTAGTCTGTTTGAGGCATGTTGGATCTTGAATTTGGAATGCCCAAGTCTGAATAGGTGTCCACGGGTGTGATTGGAAAGTGCAGAAGTTCAAGAATTCAGTGTCGGGACTTTGTTCCTGATGAGTCATGGAATTTACCCCAGCTTTTCTCGTATTCGGTCCCACTTTCCAACCTCCGCGGGTTGCTGGATATAGTAGTCACGCCGGAGAGCTGCGCTGGCACGCAGGTGATAAAACTCATTCGGATCAAAGATATTGACCAGGAGCCAGTCAAGAAACTACAAAACGCTTTTTAAAAGTCTTGAAAGATATATTAAAATTGAATCTAAACACGAAGCAGACTTCCAAGGTTTGAGAACTAGGCAGGTCCGTAACCTTGGAAAACCACGACACGGCAAAACCATTAACCTTCGCTCTAGCATTGATCAAAGTGAGTTTGATTCATGATGAAATCGGATCAATCAATAGTGGTTAGCAAATTTTGGCTTCTGTGTTGACTATTCCAGACACAGGTCCACGGGAAATGATATTTATCATGGCCTTTGGCTCATGTAAGAGTAATTGGAGCCATTTGCAACCTTGGAAGGATGCTGTCATAATTCAAATATTCAGTCAATATCCGTAGATTAGCTTGCTCTCTTCTTTGAGAAAAGAGGGGGGAAGCTGCACCTGGATATCTCTTTCACTTTTTGTCTCAATCAATTCCATATAACTCTATCACATATAAAAGATCTTCGTTTCGTGTAAAGGGATATCCGATGAAACTCAATATAGACATGAGATCTCTGTTCATAGCTTAGCCAAGATTTCTATTCCTCAACCAATTATAATAACTTAACAATTAGTTGGAACCTTAGATAGGCAGTTAGAAAGACAGTTAGAAAGACAGTTAGAAAGACAGTTAGAAAGACAGTTAGAAAGACAGTTAGAAAGACAGTTAGAAAGACAGTTAGAAAGACAGTTAGAAAGACAGTTAAAAAAAGGTCCCGAAGGTGATGACAGTTCTCTTTCCTTACCAATCGAAATATGAGATTAAGCTAATACAAAACTACACCTGTTTATAAGCAACTATCGTCGTCTTTTTGGCCGCGCTCCCGCGCGGCACTGAGGCTTGTCAAATCTACTTTCAACAATGACATCAGTATGAGCCGTTGATAGAACCTTTCAGTAGTCAACCTGCCCCAGCCTGTGGTGCAGTTGAATTCAAGTTCACTTTTGACATCCGCTGTCTATTTGGAAATTTCAACCAAAGCTCTATTCAGAACCCTACAAACCACCCCCCTCTCTTCCTTCGAACGGAATGATTCTATTTTTTCTTCCCGAGCCTTGGAGACTCTGGATATTCGGGATAAGACCCGTACGACGGCCACCTGGCGAGAGGACCTACATGGAGACTGAGCTTGAAAGGCGTGGAAACTTGAAAGAGCTTCAACAGCATCGGTTTGAGCGATTCTACAAGTTCTTTCAATATTATGAGAAAGACCCGTTCTCCACTCTCCTAAACATTGAAACATCTCTACGGGAAACCTTCCAGAGAGAGGTTACATTGAAGCAAGAGCTCATCAAAGCTAAGACTGACAACAAAGAGCACGGTGATTCTTATTATCGTGCTATAACAAAAAAGCTTGATGAGTTGAACCAGAAATATTGGCTTCTGGAGCGCGATTGGTGGGCGAAGCGAAGCAGTCTCCCTGAGGGTCCTGGGACGAGAGGACTCAGCCTATGGAGATCGCATCCCCGATGGTATATGCATCGTGTTCTCAATGACGACTGTGCGGGTAAAGGAGGCTGCTGTGGCCGAGAATGTGGGTGCTGCTCGAGCCGCGAAATGGTTCCAGCTCGCAGACTTGGAGTCGGACACTGCACGATCGAATGTGGATGCTGTATAAAATCTCGGGGCTTTATGCTGAACCCGAAGCAGGAGAAGGAAGTGTCTGCTCGATTCAGGCTATCTGAAAAAGGACGAGCTCAAGATCTACTATCCAGAGACTCAAAAAACTATTACTACAACCGGATCGTTATGGCTTCGATATGGGGATTGTTGCAAGAAAGCCAGGATAGCGCCTTTGATCTGATTGATAAATCGGCCACAGTTGATCACGACGCTAGTGCTTGCATGGGACTCGGGGACTCTGGAACTCCGAATTCAGGGTACCTGTCAGACGAAGGTGACGAGTCAACATCTACAGAGCTCCTTTGATGAATTCAATGAAAATGATGGGAGTTTTGCTGAGCCTCCTGGGTAGGAAGTTATTGGAAGGTCAGGTGACCCTCTTTGGCTAGATAGCTCTTTTTTTTCTCTCTCTCTCTCTTCCTTCTTTTCCCCAGTCGGTCATTTTGCTTCGACGGCCAGAATCTACTGTTTTTGAATCGATCTTTGTTTCTCCACCGTAGATCAGCCTTTTATCATCCTCCCTCCTCTCCCCCCGGTCAGTCCGTAATTTGCTTTGACAGTGAATCTACTGCATCAGCGGTCTACTTCTTCAAAAGAAGTAAATATTTCGATGTTTGCTTTGTCGCGGAGGAACCTTTCTGTGAGAGAGGCAAGCTTCAAAAAAGGTGGTCTGGTTTGACAACGAAACTCACGAGAGGGAAGGAACCATTGAAAGAGAGGAAGCGAGAGCCTTGGGACCTCCCCGGGGCCGATGCCGCATGCAGAAGCATACGCAATTAAAGCCCGATGAATTCACCCTTCGACAAGAGATCATATGATGCACTTGGGCAAGTATTGAGTATTTTTTACTCCGTACTAATTTAAATGCTGAAAAATGGAAGCAGGTTTTATTCGCTGCCAGCGATGGGGTCCATGGTTATAGCCCGCCTTGACAGTAGGTCTCTGGTGAGCCGAAACCTTGGAAGAGCATCCTGAGATAGCTGGAGTGCGGACGTTATGTCAGTTTTCCAGCTTGTATATTGTGAGTCTTTATACATTTGGCCTTTCCACCTTTTTCATCATTTAGGATCTACTAGCTCGCTGTGAAAAGGAGAACGGAGAGCAACCAGTCACGGAAGCAAGTAAAGACATAAGTCACGACAGGTTGCTACTAGAAGAACTACAAAAGACGGTAAAAATTGAATACAAACTTTCAAAGCCAAAAAGAAAAAGATAAAAAGGACTGATCTGGGGAAAGGAAAGAGACAAAAAGAGACAGCGAACTATCTACACTCGACGGTCATCTGACCCCCCAAAAATAACCTGGGAAGGTTCGCAAATTGATGTTAATCCATTTGAATCTTTCATTCATTCTGTGAATGATATCAATATACTCTTTAGCTAACGTGATCTTCCGGGCCTCGTATGTAACTATAGGGTCCATTGAAACCACCATGACCTCCCATGGATCGCCACCGACTTGATTTCTGACTCAATAGAAAGAACTAAGGTAACCACCCGACCACTAGTGCTGCCAACTTCTCTTCTTAGCTTTGATTTGACATTACATCAAGCATCCCTGGAAATCTTTCTCTTCTCTCTTCTCCATCAACTTCTCTTCTCTTTTCTCGGCTATTGACAGTCTTCAAAACAACAATGCGGTTTAATTTCTGGCATGCTTTTGAGAAATTCTCAACCCGTTTTATTTTTCCCTATGCCGCATACAAATCAATTACAACAGGGCGGGAAAACAGAAAACTCAAGAGGGAACTCGATGAGTTGAGACAAGAATTATCAAATGGGAAACCCTACATCGAGGAGAAACAAGATCAAGACTAGGAGGAGATGTCGAACTCCATCTGACAAGGCGAAGAATGCATGAGCTGGGAATGTATGGGCTGGGAATCCTTCTTAACCAGCTGATAATGCCAGCTTGGTTTTGAAGTTATCATGATGGAATATGTGCCTGTTTTCTGGCTATTGGCACTCTGGCTGGGTTGAATGTCTGCTCTCTCTGGTCATATGATCTTGCTTCCCAATTCTACTTGCTTCTTGCCTCTCTAGCTTTTGCTTCCTGAGGCCTTATCTTCATCTTTATTTTCATTGTTGAATGAAAATTTGTTTACAGGGACACTGCCCCATACCACATGAGTTTTCTTTATGGGAAGGTTATGTAGAAAAAGCGAACTTGCCAGTATAAATGGTTTCTCTTTTCCTCTAAAGAAAACAAAATGAGCGACTTAGTTGTGACCGGATTATAGTTTGGGTTGTTGTTCAACTTACTAGTAATCCGTCCAATGCTCCAAATGTCCTCTTATAGATAGCGACTACATTCTTAGGAATGTTCGTCATATTTGTTCTATCTCCTTTGCGTTGCTCCTATTGGTGTATATGCCAACAATCACCAACCTACTTCTATTTTGTCTATTCTTCCCTTTTTATTAAATTGAAGTACAATATAACCTTATCTGTTACTATGCACCTGTACCCACTAACCAGAGTTCAAGATAAATGCAACATGCAGAAGGGGAAAAGCAGTGATGATTTTCAACATTTGATATCAAATTCCATGTCCCCTTGATAACTCTGACTGAAGTCTCGAAAGGGAAGCCTGGAATATTAATCACGACAACAAACCTTCCCCAGGCAACCACCCCAAGCATTGCTACGACTATCTCGCGTAGAAAACACATCATTAGCGACGACATAAGACCGCCATTTGGCTCTTCCCCCTTTGACGAATACAACTCTCTTCTACTCCTGTCCGCTCTGTTACCCAGGTCATATAACCTAGAAGCCTCCATCCTCGTCTTTGCCATGCTTGTAGAGTGGTGAATTGTAGCAAAATCCATCAAAAAAGACAGGAACAGGACTGCTTCTAAGATTTCGGCAATTTAAGAGGACGAGGTTTGATCTCAGTGTCCAGATAGTTGAATGACGCTTGTCTGCTACAAGAGTAATTTACATACAGGAAGCCATGGTATGCATAGTAGACTAATGACTTGTTATATCAGCTGGGTAACAATCATTGTTGATTGGGACCGAGCGTTCTTGTTCTTTGGAACAGAGCAGACTTGGGTTTTAGCAGCTGTTTCGGTTCCTAAGACGTGTGTGCGATCAGCAGTAATTCGGTTGCTGCTGACGGAGTAGAGCTCGCCCCCTACCCGTATCCAAGAGCTCGTTCTCTCTGTCTCACCCTATCTCTTGTAACCCAAGATCCAACAATACATCCTTTGTCAAAGGGGTTGTTTCTCCAAAACACCCAATCACGATCATTACCTTGGGCCGACAGGCCTACCAAAAGAAGCTGTTAGCTATGTTCAAGGGCTGGTAGTGAAATCTTCTCTCTTGAAGTAGGGTAGCGAATGGTTATCCCCGATAACGTGTACTATGGTCACTTCGACAAGAACCTCGGGAGTGTCTAATCCCCTTGGGTCTAGCTCACCCAGCTACGGTGGACTACAAATCGCTTATTCCTCTGCTCTTCAGTATATAATATACCTCATCAATGTATTCTTACAGTTATTGTATACATCCGTTCGCCAGAGAATGCTTATCCTCTTATCAATGGAAGCGTAACTGCTCCCATAACGCCCTAACTGTCTCTAGGCCTACTTTCCGAGGTCCCAAACCATCCCCGGCACCTTCCAATCTGGGGCTTCAATGTACCTGCCTCGTTGAGAACTCAGGATGGGTGAAGGTAAACATCGTAAGCCCCAAGAGGTTCCTTTCTTTTTCTCCTTGCCCTCCCCCTTATATCGTTTACCTGTTATATGTTTTACAAGCATGTCTCTTTTTATCCTCCTGTTGAAGGCGCTGAAGCGCATTAATTTTAGTCGAGCAATCGACCAAACTGCCTCAGTCACGGTCATCACGGATAGTGTTGAGGATCGGCTCAGGCGCGCCAGAGATGGCCAGCCTTCCCAACCATCCGTTCCACCTCGTGTGGAAAAACCGTGGGGTGATATTAGCCCTGAACAGTGTATGCTTCTTGGCTAGTATGAGTTCGTTGAGGGTGGACAATCCCTTGGTGTGCTTGCGATTAAGGCGGTTGTGGGAGCCGTAGGGGCCCACAGTCCGGCGGACATCGTCGCTCACTTGTGAAGCCTGGTTCTCGGCGGATCGAGTTCTCCCAAGCCCGTTGTGTTTCATTGTCCAGCGCCTCTTTGCTTTTTTGTGATTTGTGACTTGGGCCGTCACCTACACTCCTTTGCTTGTTCCTATTACACTCCACTCGTTTGCTTGTTCCTATTACACTCCACTCGCTTGCTTTTCCCTGCCCCACTCGCTTGCTTGTTCCCACCACCTTCCCTTGCTTGCTGGACCCATGTCACTCGTTTGTCTCCCTCGTACTGCCTTCCAAAAACTAACACTAAAAAACAAAACAAAAAGCAGGGAATTTCCGGGTCCAAAGGAAGGGAGGTTGGGCGGGCCTGGGGACAAGGCAGAAGACATTCAAGATGAGTACCTGCAGCAGCTTGGCTAAAATCAAGAATTTGCTAACCACAGTCTTTAGCAAATCTTCTTCACTGACAGTGAGATTCACTTTCCCAATGTCATTATCGGAGCTTTGGGTGTAATGCCGAGTTCAAGTGAACGCTTCATCCGCTGGAGTAGTCGGCCGAGGCCAGCTCTGCCATGTACAGCATGGACACTTGGTCATTCAAATAGTAAGTGGGTACAGCCGTTGACAACCAACCACCTCCCTGGAGACTCCCATCACTTGATTATGATGTCTGACCTTTAATCAGCGGCTCATGCCCAGCTCTCATGAGACCAACCGCCGTCTGTCGCGTTTCAAACAGCAATGCCGACCCCAACCTAGAGCTGCACCGACCCGCAACCTTATCCCGCGGCGAAGCCCCACCGAAAACCCGCACCCGAGCCCTACAACGGATCGCTATGCCCGTGGGGCAATCTTACAGTCATCATCACTCGGTGCCCAGGTGTTGTCAAAACGACGCCTAACCCCTCAAACTCAACGACATTTTACAACACACACACGGACGCTAGAACCTGATATCAGTGCATACGTGTTATTCGGAGGACTTGAAAATTTTCAACATGGTTATTTCAGAAGCTTTCCGGATCGATGAAGGATTCATTCGATATCTATTCGGGCGGTACTGGGAGGTCAGAAGACTGTTACAATAGCAAGATTCAGAAATTGCAAAAACAATGAACGCAGATCCCAAATCTTCTGGGTAAACCTTTGTCATAGGTACAAATGGATGAAATAACACCTGAGTCGCTCGATCAAATTTGTAATCGATCAAAGCAAATGAGTGAGTTTTTGATCATTGTATAGATGTGGCACTCCACATGGCTTGAGCCATTTTTCTTTTTGCACGGTAGACTAATTCCACAGACACCGACTACACAACGCTCTCTTCCCACCCAGTCGCACAAATGAAGTCAATGGATTGAAGCTCATGGGAAGCGGATTACCACTTTGTGCTCCAGGTGATCACTGTAGCGCCGGTAGTATTCCGGAGCTTGCTCAATATCAATGATAGAGCTAACCACAAAGCTGGGAGAAGCTCGATCATTTGCCACAAGGTCGACGAGCGAATGAGCATGCTCCAGCGGCAAGACAATTCCACTCCCAACAGAAACAGCCTTACTCCAAAGCTCAAAGATAGAAATGGGAACTTCGGCAGGGACAGTAGCAGCGTTGGCAGCACCCCGGGTGTTGTTTTGACCACCAGTGTACACGCCAGCGATGGCAATACCACCCTGTTGGGCAACAACAGACAGAAGTTGACGAGGCACAAGTCCATCATCACGTTGACCAGTAGAGTTGACAGATCCGAATCCCACGCAGTCCAAGGCTCTCGTCACACCATTTGGTTCTTGAGACAGAATTTGCTGCACTGGATCGGAGGCATTGAACTGAATGGGAACTGCGCCAATTGAATCGGCCAGCGCCAGACGGTCAGGAACTTGATCCACCGAGTAGACACGTGAAGCACCACGGAGTAGGGCAGAGTATGCGGCCATGAGCCCAACTGGTCCTGCTCCGAAGATTGCAACAGTGTCTCCGGGCTCAAAGCCACTGTATGTCAATGCCTGCCATCCAGTGGTGAAAACATCGGAAATCATCAGGTAGTCAAGTTCCTTGGTAGCATTGCCAGTTTGATTGTTGAAAGGAATCGGGACGAGAGACATGTCAGCGAATGGAACACGGGCATATTCAGCTTATCAAAAATGTTAGAATTGATCGATGAGGTAGAGTATCAACTGAAGGGTAAAGGGAAAAGTACCTTGCAGTCCACCGTAGTGATCTGAGCCAGATCCGAAAGAGATTGGATGCTCCTGGCCGTAGTGACCAGAGTGCGCGTTATCGGGGACAATCACGTACTCTCCCACTTCAAGAGAAGAGACTGCACTACCAACTTCCTGAACATAACCAACGGCTTCATGTCCAAGGTTCCATGGAACATTGGCAGCACCAGTGTAGCCATGATAGAAGTGAAGGTCAGAGCCGCAGATAGCAGAGGAAGTAATTCGAATAATTGCGTCCGTTTGATTAATGATGCTGGGGACTGGCACATCAATCACAGAGACATTGTTGGTCTGACCAAACCATGCCACTGCCCGCATGGTGGCGGCGAGGGTGGCGTTGAGTGACATTTGTGGATAAGAATGCAAGCGTTCTTTAATGTTCAAGCTTGTTGCTTTCAGTGTTGAGAGATGAATACTTGAGCTGCGAATAGTGCGACCTTTTATAGCATTTCATCCAACTCAAGTATGTCGGACCTGCGTCTGCTTACGACGTGATCTGCACAATCATAAGTTGATGCATCGTTGCCTACCGTCTAGCTCATTTTAGGCCTATATCCACTGTTATTCAGCATCATGCAAGGAAAACAAGTCACACATTGGTTGATCGTGCTCCCGGGGAGATCAATGGAGCTCATTTGATATCTCGATTGGTAAAGAAAGAGAACTTTCATCAACTTCGGGACCTTTTTTAAATATCTTTCCAACTGTCTTTCTAATTATCTTTTGGGCTGTCTTTTAAACTGACTGGGTATTGTCTAAAGCTCCGCCACAAGATAATCAAAGTACGAATGACAGCGTAATCCCGTTAATTCCACCGATAAACCTAGTGATTACAGTGTTAAGGGATAAAGTGCTGATAGATGATCTACAAGCAAAAAGCCCACAAATGGGACTACTAGTTCAGGCGGCTGCATATCTACGGAAACCTTGGAATACCCGAAGACGGACACGCGAAACATACTCGAGACCCACACTTGGCACATAATCCCTCGATCTTGATTTCGGAAAGCAATCTATGTAGTCTTTTCAGATGACAGAATGTGCTAATGCCAGTAAAGAAGCTCCTTTCCCCGAATCACTTCCCACCCAGATCTCCGACTTGTGGGTAATCTTGGGCAGCCTTCTGAGGATTGCGGGCTGTAGCAAGCACACGATGGCCTGCTCTGAGGGCATGTTCCGCCATAAGCGCCCCGAAGCCGGAGGATGCTCCGGTAATCAGCCAAAGTTGGGATGCCATTGTGCTTGGAGATGTTGTGAAATGTTGCTCTTGAGTCTGTGATTTGACTGTGGGAGATGTCGTTTGCCTTTATATGTAAGCCCGTAACATACTATGTCCGTGATGAGCCGAGCACTTAGGTATCAAGTCCGAGACTGTACTGCGTTGTTCATGTCGTTGTTAAGGGTGGCGGACAGCGAGTGGAGAACCCGAAAGATCGACCCACATGTCGTTCATCATCGACACCGCTCAGAGATGACAAAGGCGTGTCGAAATTTGACCCGAGATAATCAACCATGGATGTTGCTCGGCAGAGATAAGCAGATATCCCCGATGTGTCCGGAAATAGTATTTTTCCACGGGCAATCTTGTCATCAATCCAGCGATTTGATGTGAATCTTATTGGCGGCGTTCGCGAGGGCCTACACCAGTGCACATTCTTCGTCAAAAGATACTTTCCAAGGCAGGCGCTTTTCTCCCCTGATTCGCCGCCAATAATTAGTGGACCATATGATTTCTGGACAGCCCTTCACCAGCCATCCCCACCTGCGTAGAAACGTCTCGGTGATTTCCCAGTTCATAGGGTCCCAAGGATCACCCCAGACAATCATACAATTGTCATCGTCTGGCATGTTCCAAAAACCCATCAAGTCTCGACAGAACTGAGAATCATCCATAGTATCTTCATGTCGTATTAAGTTATCTCGGAGGCGGCCAAATGGGAAAAAGTCCAGCCATGGATGATGTGGCTGCTTCTGCTGTAGTTCTGTAGGTTGTAGACTTGCTGGTATGACCCTCTCATCCTGATGCGCTGCATGAGGCCCGTGGACACTAAACCGCCAGAGAGATTCATCGGTCATCCATTCTCGTGTGTATCCAAGAGCTGTGATGTTCCGCACAAAAGCTCGGAATACATTCAGCTTAACAAGTGTCAGGCGGTGATCGGCGCGTGGATCGCTACAATAGCTCCGATATGCCGCCGACTCGAATGCGATTAGATGATGATAAAGATGTGGGTGGGACAGATAACATTGCCTCAGTGCCTCCCCGCTAGCATCGCGTGGCTTCTGATAGATCTTCATCAGCTCTGTGAAATTCAAACTGGGAGATCCCGTTGATCCAATGAAGGCTTGCTCGGCGCTCAGTTGAGCCTACTCCCAGTCCTCCGTCTGCGCCGAAATCTTGGCATCTCTTTTCATTTTTTGCCTATCCCCTATGGATTATCAGATCACTCATGAAAGCCTTTTTTTAAAGGGGCAGCAAGGGTACTTACTCCAAGCCTGTGCATTGCGTCGATTCTGCTGCCTGCGTCGCTCCACTTTGGCGTCCTGGGAGTCATGGCTGTGACATGGCTCACTATCAATGTCCTCTGTAGTTGATTCTGCGGTGTTGAGTTCCATCATCGGTATTTTGAGCGTCGTGAGTGATGGTTGGGTATGGCAGAAATGACTGAATTTGGGGGAGGCAGGGGCGAAGACGGGCTTGGCGTTCCGCTCCGGCCTTCCCGGGGCCCTCTGCCACTTCCAGTCGGGCGGTGCTCCGCTTGGGCCAGCTTAGGCATCTGCGATCTAATCTTGGACTCGATTTTTTCCATGAAACAGCTAAGTCTGGGCACACCCAGAAAATAAACAGTGTAAAAATTCAGAGCGTATTGCTGTTTTTAAGTCATGAATGCTAGGAATTTCCTCGAGGTTATTTGATCCTTATCTTTGAACTCCATGTATGCAAGACATATCCAGATATGAAACTTGGAATCCATGAATGCCATTGAAGAGCCTTGGAGCCACCAAACCGAAAATCCATTGAACCCAAAACGCCAAAGTCCATCTGCATGGTATTAGATCCCACTTTTAAGGAATCCACCCCACCTGTTCCATTGGCCACTGCAACCAACAACGGTGCTCCTCGCTCAGGAAGTAATAGATACCTCGCATCAGATGAACGCTCAATCCACGCATCCACCACATCCATTCCAACTCATGGGTGATGACACAAAAATATGAGAAAATAACTAAAGCCTCAGGTTTTCGTTGCCTAAGAAGATGAAGATACTCATCCGATATCTGAAGCAACCACACAAACACATCAGCCGTCTGACAATTCTGAGGGCCTTCCTCCTCGACAGTAGCAAATGATTTGCTCAAATCTTCTATAGCATTAAAATAACACTCCAATTCATCGGCCTGTGTAACGTGATTTCGAAGGAGATCCCGTAAGTCATCCAAGTAGCTAAGTCCGGAAGTAGATCTTGCATTTCGTGCACTGCTCCTTCGTTTGCCATTTGCGAGGATCGGCGAAATTGCTCCAGACTTGATAGTTCGTTCCGCAGTGGCAATGATGAATCGAGTTCCTCGAAAAAGAGACATCCATTCAATATCCCGATCACCAATCACCCAGAAATCATCTGGAAGTCTGGGTTTCGCGCAAGATATGATCGAAGTGATAGTCGAAAATAAATATACAGCAGTCGCATTGTCTTCGTCAATTCGTGGCAAAATTGGGGAAACCGTTTGTAAAGCCAAGTTATGGTGAAATTCCGCCTGAGCCGCGTAATTGGCATGATGATCGGGTTTCAGATAAGCCAGATGAAGTGCAGATAAAGCTAAAATTCCGTGAAGCAGGAACGGAGATGCAAATCCAAGCCTGGGAACTGTGATACGCCACACAGTTTGAAGAACGGGAAGACGAGATATCGTGTAGCAGGTGGATGTAGAGTAGTGATGAAGTAGCTCCATTTCAGCCATTCCGATCGGCCCTGTGCTATACTCGCTAATCACGAGATCACTAGCAGGACTTGCGCCTGCAGTAAATGACGGAGAGGATTTGAAGTTCACACCCGGTGTCTCTGCTGATGGTGACGGTATTTTTGATCCCATTGTCCAATTTTTTTTGGTTGTTCTTGCTTCATTGAAATCACATTCGATTCCATGTTTGACACAGTTGTTGCATTTTGGTTTGTTTTCGTCGCACTGATTTTAAGGTCAGTATTGCAACTGGAGTACTCATCGGATATGATAATTTGACACAGGGGTGGAAATACTAGGCACATACCTTGACCTTACGAGCTTTGCAAAGGTTGCAGCCGTTTCTTGATTTTGTGTGAGTTCTTCGAGATGTCTTTCTCATCTTGATGGGTTTCTCGAGCATTGGAATTTGAGGACAAAGCTGGGAGAATTTTTTTTCTCCCCAGAAAAATTTACAGAGTTCTTTGCTAGGTCCCAAAAAATACTTAAAATAAACCTTCCCACGTTACGAATTGTGGGTGCCTGGTATTGATTGACACGGAGAACCAGGGCAGAATTGCCAAAAATATGAACTTTACTTGTGCACACGCACTGCACACGCACTATACACCACGATGTTACCCTGGTTCACTCTGGTATTCTCTGACAGCTGAGATAAACAGGAAATCTATGTTACTGGAATTAATTCAAATTTAAGATTCAGCCATCCTGATTATCGTGAATTTGGGCTTTATCAATAACCTTGGAACTAGTCTTCACCTGTTTCGGAGACGGGGAAAGGAAACCAAGGAGTCGTTCTGTTTTTCATTCTTTCAAACAAGGTTCATGCCCAATTGGTATTGATAGTCTTCTATCAAAAGCTTGGCTGATCCCCAATCCCTGTATCTCTGTTCACGGCTTAGCCAAGACTTCCATTACTCGGCCAATGATAATTAATCGACGATTAGTTGCAACGACAGCCAAAAGACAGATGAAAAGAGCCCAGGAGGTCCCGAAGTCGATGATAGCTCTGTTCCGCTACCCATCGAGATATGGGATCAAGCCGATATCTAGGTAAATACATAACCTTGGAACTATTCCTGTTTACAAGCAACTATTATCTTCTTTTGAGCCGCTGATAGCAGAACGGATCTACGAGGAGCGTATCGCGTAGGCAGCGTAGCGATAGATCAATTCTGATAGATCAAAAAACGTACAGAGGGGAAAAGAGGAGAGAGGAAGGAAGAAAGAAAGAAAGAAGGAAGCGATATATACTCCGTATGGTCTGCCCTGTCCACGCAGGGTCACCAGGCCTCCAACAGTCGCGCGTGAGCGCGGCACTGAGGCTTGTCCCTTTAAACAATGGACTCCCCGGACTCCATACGTTCCACTTTAGGCTCAACGGATTGTGGGGCCGTTTGAGAAGACAAAACCACCGAGGGATGAAAAAGGCCCATCACAATCATGACCAGCAACATCATTGCCGCGTCAAAGACATACAAGAATACCTCGTGGCTGATCAGATAGCCGCTGTTTCCTTGCACAAACTCCACGATACGATAAACACTCCGGATCAAGATCAAGATGCTAGCCGTATACAGCGCAAATAGCAGGCCGTGCCAGTCACGGGGGATAAATCCTGAGGTAATACTCGAAGCTGTCGACTGCGGAGTTGGGGATTTAATGATGCGCCAGTGGAAGCAGATGGAGGTGACGAGGAAAGCGCCAAAGAAGACGAGTTGGACACAAAGACCCGCAACGATGATCCACTGGCCCACCACGAGGAGGTTTTCTGCACCTCCACTCATGACACCTCCTCCGGCGCCTTGGAGAATAAAGGAGAGGACGTCACCCAAAACAAAAATCTTGGTCATGTATTTCACTGGCACGTAGCTCAGATGCTGACCATGTAGGAACGTGATAAGTCTTCCGAGGACCATGTAAATGGAAGCTGCGTAAAGAGTGGGGGCGAGCAGAATCAGTAGATTCTGAATCGCATAGACTGTGGTTGATGTTGGGTGAAAGTGGGAGACAGCCCGAGCTCCGTATCCGATTATTTGAACTGTAGAGAGAGAGCACTGGTAAGCTATTGTACGAGATCTCGAGGGTTGGTACACAAGATATGGGCAGGCTTTACTTACAGATACCACCAACGATGAATGGATTGAAGTACTTTGCATTGTTGAGAATTCGCTGCCATAGGTGAAATGCAGTGGCCAGGAAGAACAAGGCAGCGAATATCACTGCTGCCACCAAACTCGGTGTATATTGGTAGAGGATATATTCAGATGAGGCCATGGTGGTATAGAGGGTAGCTCTGGAGGAATATGTGAAGATGTCTGCTTGTGTGTGTTGTGTTTCAGAGGATTGAAATGAGATTGGTATTTCAAACGTTTGAGGGTGCTAGTCTGAGACTTTATACAAGATACAAGTTGGCCATGATGTGCCACTTTGATCAAAATTTGACAAGACTGCGCCGCCCTTCGGGTTGCTCACATTAGAAAACTCAAATCATAGGTGGTTTATCGTTCTCGATCCTGGTCGATTCCCAAGCGACCAGGTATTCATGTACAGTAAGTAGACTCGGATAGAAGATCTGAAAATAGACTCTCGGAAATGGCGAACGCGAATCCGATGCGATCTTCGGGTTTGTTGTTAGGCAGTATAGTTTAATCCTTATCTGTATCAGATTCAACACTCAATTCACACATCTTCCAGGGTTTCCTCCACTGCCAGTGCCGCGAATCAAGGAGGTTGAACTCCACTTGGGCATCCATGGGAACCATTTGCTCAACAAACCTTGGAACCAATCACAACATCGGAGAATCCGAATCCGAATACGAAGTTGCCGAACTTTACGAGACCCACCTAATGGCTTTATCCTCCAACCATGCTGTTCATAGAGCACACATCAATCAACCTAAATGAATTAGGTAGCGGGTCCTACGGAGTACATGTTGATGGTTTTCTAAGGATCCACTATTGATGGGTCTCATTTCCTGAAAAAGACCCCCAAAGCCAATGGTGACATGCACCTAGACGCTTTGAATGGACCACCCAGCGACCAATTCACCAGCGTGTGGCATTAAGCTATATGATTATAGTACAAAATTGCGATCCCGTGCCCCAGATGTTCGATACCGCGAGTGTATATATCAAAGCTATTTCCTGCCTTTGGGGCAATCCCTCTTCAAGACTGATACATAACCAGTGCCAAAGGGTCCATTCGGCAGATGAGCCAACGATAAGGAGAAGAGGAAGGTGAGTATAGCTATCGAGCGAAGAGAGCAAGAGCGTAGCGTATGTATTGTCTGAGACCAGGGGAGAGAAGGAGAGAGAGACAGAGAGAGAGAGAGAAGATGAGAGATCTAGATCTATTTACACCAGCGGGGACCCTGCAAACCAGGCAAATACCGGCGCCGACAATAGCAGTCCACGGTATACCCCATCGACTTGCCGCCTCAGATCTCACATTTGTTATGTCAAATTCTCTCTTTTTAATCAATCCGTGGACACATCCGCTCCAGCAATGCCATCTCCGAACTTCACCCCAGCTCATTTGCCGATCACATTTCCCCATCATTTCCCAGATATTTGCTTCCTTTTGCCCCATATCCATTTAAGTTCATTAGTTACCGCAATCATCAAGCCCACTGTGGCTCGACTGCTTTTCTTGTGACATTCATGTGTTGTTGGTTTTCTTACATATTACACTAGAGCAATGTCTAGCAACTTGAGCCCTTAGCGCTTTTCTTTTGTATAAGCTACACTATTCATAGCGTGAGATATCTTGCTCACTAATGCAAGCCTATGAAGTTCAAAGGTTTGCCTCACAGAACTAGATCGATTGCGAGCATTTCCCGAATGTCAAGCGCCAAATACCCATTCTTATGGCAAGATTTCGAGACTAATACGTGAATAAGTAACACCGAAAGCGAAATCATGGTAACCCAAGTGTTGTTTGGTATTCTTACACTTCACAGGGTCCGCTTTTGCTCCAGACATAACCAATGACCCATCTACACATTAGTATACAAATGACTCATGAGTGACTCCTCCTTCCTAGATGCCTGCAGCAAGCGACTCGGATGATGAACAACAAAGATCACCTCCATAGCCAGCATCAGGACTGCATCAAATACATATGCGTAAATCTCGTTGCTCTTGAATGACTTTGACGAGCTGGCGTATTCAACAACACGATACAAACAACGAATGAGTACCAGTCCACTAGCAATATAGAGAAACTTCAAGTACTGCCTCCATGGCAGCTGGGGATCCGAAGAAGCTGAGGTAGGACGTCCGTTCAACCTTTTGTGAAACACGGACGCAATGATCACAAAAAGTCCGAAGAATAAGACCTGCACCACTAAGCCTGTTATGATGACATTTTTCCCAAGGGAAAGTTGACTAGCGGTTTTGGCACCAGATAGCATTCCACCGCCTGCTTTTGTGAGTCATGATGGATCGAAAAGAAATGGGTATGAGGGAATCCATTTTTACCTCCAACTTGGACAAGAAATGATATGACGTCTCCGCAGACAAAAATTATCGTTAGAAATCGACCGCGAATGAGTGATCGGGAATCTCCGTCAGTTACACGGATTATGCGACCGAGAAGCATATAAATTGATGCGGCGAAAAGCGAAGGCGCAAGCAAAATCAAGAGATTTTGGACAAGGAATGGCAGAAGCGTGTAATCAGGACTTTGATTTGCGCTTATAGCTCGAGCCCCATAGCCGACAGTTTCGACTAGAGTGTTGATAAAAGTCAGTATAAGTCCTGCTTGAAATCTTAGAAAGGAGAAACAGACAGAGGCCACCGATCCCAAATACTATGAAGAACCATGTTCTGTTTCTGAGCAATAGCCAATAATGGTATCCAGTGATACTGCCGAATAGTATACAAAAGATAACAGCCGCGGCCAAAGAGGGTGTATAGTCGTAGTAGTTCATTGCTGACAAAGGAGAAAGACAACATCAGCGCTTGAATAATGGTGTGTGCTAGTGTTGAATTTGAACGCCGTGGTGATATGAAAGCTTGGTTTATTCAATTTGGAATAAGGACTCTGAGACGCTTTTATATCCTGCTTGAAGGTTGCTCAGTTTGGCATTATCCACTAGTAGTGCCCAGGTGGCTATTTGAAGCTGGGAAGAAAAGGTGAAACGAGCACTAACAGAAAATACTGATGCCTATAAGCCTTCATTCGAAAATGAAAATCTTGTTCAAAGCCTCTACCGTGAAAGATCCTTAATTGGTTTTTTGATCGACCGATTAGGCATAGCTTCAGCTCGTCGTGTTGTTGAATACTTCAAGATGGTTCCAATGTTGTCGGGAAGAGTGGATCATAACCCGAACCCGAACCCGAACTTTCGTTCTCAACCAAACAAATGAGGGTATTTTTAGGCTATCATTGGATTTTCCAAACCAAGCCTCAGTACTGCGCTCATCTGGGCACGCGCGGCCAAAAAGACGATAATAGTTGCTTATATTATGTAGTTATTGGCTTAATCTCATCTTTCGATTAGCAACGGAAGAGAGCTTTTATCAAATTCAGGATCTCTTTTCGACTGTCCTTTCGACTGTCTGGCCAATCAATCCTCAAGTAATCAGGACTGGTCGAATAAAGGAAGTCTTGGCTAAGCCGTGAAAACAGAATTAGGGATTGGGGAAGAGCGTACGGGACGTGGCGCGAACCCATGGAAGGTTTCACGGGTCTGAGCTCTACCAGAGCACCACAGGGTCTAGGATGACTTACATGCTCTACGAATGGCCCTTCACTAGGAGTGGCAATTGCCAAAGTGTCTTTGCCGTCGCATTCTCACTCAAAGGCATGGCTCATGCATATCCATGGATCTTCCAAGGGTTCAATTTGAATATAGCTCAATTTGCCTGAGAGATCCTTCAACCTTGACAATTTGTCCCCCTTCAGCAAACCATTTCGAGTCCACTAATCCCGCTTCTAACCATACCAGACGAACTACAGGTCCGTACACGGTATCTGACAACTAGCAGAGAAAACGATGACACAATAGTCTTCAACGAGGTACTGCTGGATAGATGACCAGTAGATTAACGGTGAGAAGCAAGAGGAAAGTGCTCGAGGTAAAGAGATTTGAGCACGGATATATCAAGATAAATCACCAAGATTTCAACAAACGCAAATCCGTCGTCACACTGGAGCCTCCATACCCTAGTAATCCCACCCGCAGAGTGACATGATTAGCGCGACGGATTCGCTCTCCCCGTTCACATCACCACAGTACACCAGCGTGCCTTGGCCGATACGAGCCGCCGCAACCGCAGCCTGCGAGCGATCCACATCTTGAGGCGCAAAAACGTTACTCTGCGTTTGGGCACCGGGAGCCGCAACAAACAACCTCTAGCTTTCGGTAGCACCTTGAACGTGGACAGCCTTCATATTGTATTCATGTGGCATTGCGCCTGGACGAAGGCCAAAGGGGAAGATGCAGGACGGGTTGATCCGGAAGTCTGTGCGGTGATAATCGCCCCTCTTCCAAGGAAGACCGAAGGCCTTGAAGAAATCGTCGAATTGGTCTCCACTGGTGGAGCTTGGAAAGTGTTGGCCGACGATGACGAGTCCACCGTGCTCGATGAATGATTTCACCAACGCAAAGACTTCTTGGTTCTTGGGGTCGGGCATAGCGAGACCTTCATCCGTGGTGATGATTGCCGTCAGAGGGGTATTCTCAAGGACTGTGAGAGCGGCTTTGGGTGTCTTTGCGTGCTTGACGTTTGCCACTGAGAGGAAAGCGTCGACCAGCTGACCATGAACGTCATCAAAGTAGTCTTCATATGCAAGGGAGAGGAGAAGAACGGTGCGTTTCTGTGATGCCATTCTTTGCGTGAGGACGGTTTAGTTGACTTTGCAATGGCAGGCACTTGTGGTGGTGGGACTTTCGGAGGGTGAGATTTAGATTATTCAATCTTGAGTACTCTGCTGACGAAGAGAAACAGAAATGTATTGCGAGGCAATGTAGTGTGAGATGCAGAGAGGAAGAAAAAGGGGAAGGGAAGAGAGGAAGAGGGGGGGTAAAAGAAGGTCCCGATGTCTGATTATTAGCAAACTGACTCATGAGATGGACATTTTCGACCAAACTGACGTTTAGTAGAGCCGAAAAACTCAACAGTGCATCTTTCAAGTTTCGCATTGCCCTTTCCACTGCCCCATTTGGACCAGAGTGATATGTTGAAAGCATGGTTTGGTTGATCTCTGATTGCTTCAGGAAATTTGTGACCTCGCTTCTATTTTCAGACCCTGTATCAAGCACAAGCAGTCAGGGCTCCGACATCTGTATCAAGTTGGAAAAGGGTGCTGGGAATTTGTGGCTCATATGCCATACAAGTAGTTTGCCGCAGGTAAATCTTGGCATCTGTATGCCTCAGAAATCTACTTCGCCCGTGCAGCTCTTCAATCGACAAAGCTCACCTAATCGGCGCTAAAATACTCCGTATGCAGGTTACCTTTACGGATGTCAATTGCTTCTTCATGCAGTTATCCCACTGAAGGATACCAATTTACTGGAACTGAGCTCAAACAAAAGAGATGAGACATGTCGTTTGAACTCTAGGGTTACCTCCATGCTGGGCTGATTGTTGTGATTCCAAAACGGACTAGCGTGTCTTGGCAAGCTTCCAGTCACATGACGTGTTTCCACTCTTTTTCGGGGTGGAATTACTAAAGGTTTCTTAGGACACGCCGCTCTTCATTTTCTGGGTTTGAAAATGAGGTGTCCCAGTGTGGTCAATCATATACAAACTGCAACTAGGTCGAGCTATTTAAAGTTGTGTGCAAGCGAAATCCTTTGCAAATTCCATGATTGTGGAAACCCGTCCACTCGCCTTGAGCCACAAACAGCCTTAAAATTCGAGCTGGCGACAAGACCTCGGGAATAAACATCGTCAACATTCTCAATGAGTAGTTGACAGCCTCCAGGAGAAAAGGTTGAATGGTCTTAAACATGCGAATGCTGAAGAGGGCCATACCCGAATGTATGTGATTGTCCACGGGCCAGCTCTTCACGATCGAGAAGTCTCTGCTCTGTCAAGGGGTATTCCATGCTCGTACTAAGAACAGGAGGCTCGTAGACATTCTCCGTCTTAGGAAAGTACCAGAAGTTGGAAACAATCATAATGATCAGCATCAGTCCAACATCTAAGGCATATGTAGGCCACTCCACCGTGGATAGATACGCCTCCGTACCAGTCGCATATTCAATTAACCGGTAAATATTTCGGACAGTGATGAGAGAACTGCAAAGGTAGAGATTCCAGAGTCTGATCTTCAGATTCACGCCCAAATGAACGGGCTTTTCTCGGACCAGAGAGTTAAGTCGACTCTGGAAGACAACAGCGACCAGAATAAAGACAGCAAAGAAGAACAGTTGCAGTGCAAGGCCAGCCAAAATAACTCCCTTGGCCAAGTCGAACCTAGATTTAGACTCGGCTCGAAGAAGTATCACGACACCAATAGCTTGAACGAAGAAGCAAAATATGTCACCAACGACAAAGATAGGCGTGAGCCATTTTATGCGGATAAATGATAGCTCTGGGTGTTCTGATTTGCGGATCAAACGACCGAGGAGCATGTAGACTGAAGCAGCGAAGAGGATGGGGGCGAGGAAAATGAGCAGAGTTTGAATCTCGAACGGCCTCTGCTTGTCGAGGTGCTTGCTTGAATATGCCCGTGCAAGCAGACCAACGCCTTCAACTGCAGAGGGTTCTCATGTCAGTTTGTGGGATCCTTTCAATTCGCACCTCGGGGAACAGGGGCTCATACAGGCAGCGGCAACAAGGATTACAATTCCAAACCATTGACGCGTCACGATAATTCTCCATATCTGGACCAAGGCACAGAGGCAGAAGAGAATTGCTACAACAGCAGCCGCAGCGATAGAGGGTTTATAAAATGTGTAGTAGGGATTCTCATCATCGGAGCTTGAAGACATAATGGAGTTAGGAGGGTACCCGAGTGTCTGGGTTTCCCAAGATGGTATGGTCAAATTGAATAGTTGTTGTAGAGGATGATATGGGCTTTCCTCGGGACATCACTCCTTTTTAAAGTACCACCGAACTTTCAGAAGTTGCTTCATCCACAAACAAGTCATGTATTTTTAGACTGCAAAGGTCCACCTAACTATACCAGTCCAGGTTCATCTGGGGCTGATTGAACATTGTGCACATATGGGATTGGCCAGCAGTACTACGTAGTTGGAGAATAATACGAGTACGTCTCTCAATTAGGTTACCTTATGCTGCTCGCAAGGTGGAGAGCTCGTGTGCGGAATAAACAGCAAGTGGATGCCAGTAGGAAATGAAGGGCTAAGCAACACCAAGGCATAAAGCTGTCTCTTGCTTACCACAAAGTACCTGATCTCAAACGCTGTCAAAGCATCATATCTCTCCAGCTGAGTAAAGTGATCGACAACCGCTCAGCCTCTCATTTGCGACTAACCCGTTCTGGGTATTCCCTGCGACATCCTTTTGATTGGTTCTTTGGGCAGTCTGGACCCATAATTTTCATACTCCGTACCCAGCCCTAGGCTTTCTAACGAAGAGGCTAAGTACGCATTCTGGCTTACAGCAGTTTGCACAATCGCCGTGCAGTTTTCCACGCTCGTTTTGTTTCCCGCCCCATTTGCCAAGGCCATGTTCACCCGAAGCAATTTGACTAAGGGGCAGCACGACGACAACACAGTTGTAACGGGCGCCCACGACAGCAGCTATCGCCCATCGTGCACTTTCATTTGTTCCTTTTCAAATATTGCCATTCTGCTTTTTTTTGAATCTGACCATGGAAGTCTACAGTCAAATTGCTATTGATTTGTTTCTGCCAGTTTAGTTTTCAAAAATGACAGTAAAAAAGATAGCAAAGTTTCAGAGGTTCTATGTAGTAATGAGCAAAAGTCCAAATTGCAAGATGAGCACTAGCTACTGCTGTAGGGCGCCTTGCGATCTATGTTGCTCTTTCCATCCATATCTAAGACATGGGTATAGATCCATGAGCTATTCTGTGGTAATCAATCGATCCAAAGGTTTGCGGCAGTCTGTTTGGCCTACCTGGGAATGAATTCAGGTTCCCACGTAGAGTGTACGATATTACAGTTGAAATTCAATTGGGTTTATGTCTCAAGTTTGCCAGCCTGGCTATGTAGCATTCGTTGATCAGAAAAGATACTTGCGGTTGATACCCGTGTAGGAATCGGTGGCATTGCGCGCTTTGCTCAAATCAACATCCGGAGTCCTTTGACAGTCAAGGTTCAGGATATCACAAATGGCAAAAGGTAATCCACCTTGCCTAGAGGCACACCTTCCTTGCGCAAGATGGCATAAGCAGTAGTGACATGGAAGAAGATATTCGCTTGCATAATAGATGCATACGCAATTCCAGACAGTTGTTGTATATTGCCTCCCAAGGGGGTGGGACCAACGGCTTCAGATTGTTCGATGATGAGGTCTCTGTCAACGGTGTTGAGTGTCTCAAGCACCTTGTCGATGTGAGCGTACATTTCCTCATATGTGAGGACAACGTCGCTCTTTGTGTCCTCCGTTGGGAAAGGCTCCGCTGTCAGCTTAGCCAGAGTTAGCCGCGTTTGCGTGGTTGCTGCGAAGACCTGATAGCTGAGTGATTTCATATCATCGCAGAGTCGACAGGACGGAAGGCTGGAGGCATTGGGCCCCTCCTCAGCTTTGTGGAGGATGTTCGAAAGCGCAGTCAAAGCTCGCTTTGTTTGTAGGACAAAGCCCTCATAAATTGTGTATGTCATTCTCGCGATCGAACCCGGAGCAATTTTGGTGACGTTTGTGTCGAGAAACTTATTTGAACTGAGACCAGGGGATCGTTGGAGACCAAGCATTTATGTAATTTGCGACCTTTCCTGGGACCCCATGGTACGCAGCGCCTTGGGCAGCGCTAAAGTGAACATGTAAGCACTAGCGGGTCGGTGTCTCCGGGGGCGGAAAATACAGCATCCATTGACGTAAGTTCACAGAGACCTTGGGTCAGCTTACGAAGTGAGAGCGACTCAAATTCAATCCGAATCCACTAGAAGAACGACATTGGAAGGATTCCACAGCTTGTTGTTGAGGCTGACGAGAGTCAGGAGCGCTGCATCAGATGGTTGAAAACAAAATCCGTTTTGTGTCGTTGTGAGTTATGTTCGCCGGAGTGAAATATCTGAACAACGCCATACTGATACCTGGCGCAAATCCGTTGAAAAATGGCTGACATCTAAATGAGAAAGGCTGCAACTGGTGAGCAATGAGAACTGCGAATCGATCTGCGTCAATTAGATTATTGTGTTTGTCTGGTTTGTCTGGTTTGCATGACTTGCATGACTTGCACGGTTTGCACGGTTTGCACGGCTTCCTCGGCTTCCTCGGTAGATCCCATAAGCTCGGCGCACTCGGTAGAATCAGTGAATTCGGTAAGATCGGTGATATCGGTTTGTACAGCTGTACCCAATTTTGGCTGACCTCCTGTCATAGTATATTTCATGAGAGGTCCGAGATATATATAATATGACATGATATTATTGAGCACTGTTGGCATCTTCCACTTGTGGGGTAATGTCACCACCGCACATCGCCGACAACGGGGGCCCTACTTCAAGACCAGCAAGACCAGCAAGACCAGCAAGACCAGCAAGACCAGCAAGACACGCAAGACACGCAAGACACGCAAAAACAGTCCTGGCTGCTGCCATAACTGAGCGTTGGAAGGTCACCGGTGCGCAGCAGCATTTGGGCTGATCCATCGATCGATCGATCTCGACTAATAGCCGGAGGACAGGATGCTACTAATCTGTTTTATGACTTCGCAGTACGTAGCCTCGCAACTTGCCGCATGAGCCGCATAGACCGCTTGTGCCGCCTGCGCCACGACGTATGCCTGCCTCTGCTCCGTACTGGCCCCTGAATCTGTCATTGCCGCGAAGGAAATCACTGATTAGTACTCGAAGCAAGAGAGACGTCTGTCTGCCCTTCAGAGTGCAGCTCTGGTCACATCGGTACTTCACCGTCTTGTCAAAGAGAAGTCACTTGATCTAGCTGATGAGATCGGCACGGGTATGTTGCGATCGACCCGAAAGCGTCCGAGCGTTCCATCGCTGTTCATACACATCTGCTCGTCTATTGCGCAGTCCCTCCAATAAATTCCCGGTTGGCACTTTTCGACGAGCGGGCTCTGAGATGCTAAGCGCCAACAATGCGCATGGTGTTCTAGATGACTCGCAGAACTTAGAACGATTTCTGCACCCATGTCACCTCGTGTCGCTCCCCTCGTGGTCAAATCCAAGTCCCGGGTCCGCAGATTTTCGGTAGGATAATCTGGTTGTGAGCCAAGGATGAAGATCGTGTGATCTTCGCTATAACAAAATTCAGGGAGCAAGAAGAATACATGATGTCTTGGCATGGCTGCTAGAGCTTATGATCATGAGAGTCTTGTAGCTAATTCCATTAGCACACTTGCTCGAGATGAACAATTGTCATTGACGCTGATTGTTATCCATTTGTCAAATCCACCTACCCAATCGCAGTGAGACTTCAGGCTAAAGATAGTAGTATTAATATGGAAGCCCTGATATGAAGTCTGAATTTGGAAGGTCTCAACTAGGTGAAACAATCACAGCTGCAGGTAGTGCAAGCCGTGGATAAACGCTGTATCGAGTTTGTGTGTGAATTTCAACCCCCATAGCTCGTCAAACGGCTTTCCAGCTACTCGCCTTCTTCCTCCAGCATCGCAACACGTCTTCTTTTGACCTCTTCGAGCAAGTACAGCTGCAGTTGATAATCCTCCTCGCCTGCGACCGCAAGTCCACGTCTGAGATGGGAGAAATCCATCACGTTTTCGTTGGCGAGCGCATCGAGCCTTTGAATTTCGGCTTCGGCGAGTCCCTTCTGGCGAAGTCTCGCGCGGTTGTGTCGTTGTGCGTCTTCAAGGATGGTGAGAATGTTGTGAATTGCAGCGTCATTCCAGTCCAAGTCGCGGAGCTCGTCTTGCATCTTCTTTTGGGCAGAAGTCAGGGTGGAAAGGTATTTTCTGATATCCTCTGCGGATGGCTCAATGGGCACAAAGTCATCAGTAATTTCCGTCGCGGTTCGGTTGAGCTCTTCTCCCGACACGTGTCTGAGATTGTTTCCAGTGTCATCGAGTATGCACAATCCCTCGGATGAGGTAGATTCCGGTTGGTTGTTTGCCATTGTGGGGGTGAGATCACAGGGAGGAGATTGAAGAGGGGGTTTTCTCCCCCAAGATTTCCTAGCAGACGGTCGTTACACACACCTGTGGACCCAACCACGGATGTGTCAGAATGCCCTCATTTAAGGTTTACGGCTCCAGCAAGACTTCCATGGTAGACTTTCTCCAGAGCTCTTCGGATAGGACCCGGGGACTATGCATTCTGGGACAAATCATTGACACCTTTATGCTTGCGCAATTATTACTACACACATACCCTAATCTGCGAGAACAATTTCTCTCCATGGTCTTACACTGGCATTTACCGGATTTTCAAGCATCTTGAAGCACAACTAAAACTGGAGTTCGATTTTCTCCATGGCCAAACACTGCAGTAAATGAGATTTCAACCTAGCTACAAACAGCAAAAGCACTGGTGTCAGACCAGCTACACCAATGCCCAGTCCGAGCGCACTGTAGTTCTCTTGTCAATATAGATTCTAACCATAAGAGCAGCCTACTCACTCGATGGTTGCTTGCACATCTTGTCCAGTAAAGTTGCCCGTTGACGCAGAAATTGCATCTTTGGGTTGTACCGGCCGAACAATACTGCTTCTGGTTAGAGTCTCTCTTTTCTCTGAACACTGGAGAGCAACTGGATGGAAAGGGTAGAAATACGCCCGGGTATATTCTCTGGGTTCCCGCTATTTCATCGGGTTCGTTTCCGGTTTGGCCATCCTGTATATTAGGAACGGGATATTCCTCAATCGACAGATCTGGGAATTTCGCAGCTTCGAGGGCAATCCGGCATGCTAGAATACCTCAGGTGCTGTCAGAGTTTTGCCCCTTTGTTTTTCATTCCTATTTGTAGGAAGAATGCCAACCTTGAGACTCGGCAGGCTCTGTCTGAGGAAGCGCTCCAGCACAGATAGCATTGATAAAGAGAATTTTCAAGATAGCCTGTGTTGGGAGCATATTGAAAGACGACTTCAAAGGTTTTTTTCACTTGAATGGTTCAATCTGTATTGTTCGCAGTTCTGCTTCACCGATGTTTAGATTCGTGCTTCCTTTTATAGGTATATCTCGTGCGGCGTGCCAAGATGTGCCATCTATGCCATACCTACCTAGGTAGTCATTCTCGTACTTTTTTTCTGGGATTGTCAGCTGGGAATTCTAACATCGGGATACTGGTTACATGTGGGGAGGATCAAAGTTTACGATGGTACAATTGTCAGTGGTAACATGTCAAGACCGGAGGCCTGTAGATAATCATAGTAACTAACATGATTTATCTTCACGCATACCATATCAATCTTCTCGCGTGTGTTTATATCAATGGAATAAAGCTGGCTGCAAGTTTTGAGATCGTTAGATTTCTACTAGGAGCAAAGTCACTTCCCGATTTTCATATTTGGTTCATTTCTTGTGTACTAGAGCCGTACCTAGCGGTGTCAAGTATCAGCCGAATAGGTATACTGAATATATTCCATATCCACCGGCCAGCTTATAAGATGTTAAAAGACTAACTCGAGACATCACTAATTTCTCAACTGCTTCGAAGGTTTGTGACACCCAGACGAATTCCAGGTTGTTCAATAGTCTTTTCTGGTGTAGTCAGATGGATAAAGTTACCGTGCTCTTCGACTTTCACAAGCTTGTGGTCTCTAGAGAATACGACTATATCTCATTGCAACTTGTCATTGATGACAGGATGGGTGTCAAGTTCCTTGGAAATATGGTGTAACACAAACCTGACGACTCGCCCCGTTCTCAGAAATTTTATGGCTTTTGGATTCAATCCTCGCATCATAGGCTCTCCATTCTTGAAACCAAGCACATACGACCACAGGGTGTGGAGAACAGGGCTTCCCGTCCGCTCAGCCGTACTTAAGCCACACGCCGGTGAGTTAGTAGTTGGGTGGGTGACCACCAGCGAATCCTCACTGTTGTATGTTTTTTTTCCGTTGTTTTGTTTAAAGCTTTTTTGTCTGCCGGGTATAGTGTGAGATGGGGGCTCCTTGTTGCTATTACTCATTTTGTTGCGGAGAAATACTGAGGGGAGCGGGAAGCGTATTTCGGCCACGCGATGATTAGCCTTGACTTCCGAGCTTTTGGACTTTGCTGCAGGAGTCTGGCTGGTTGATGCTACCAGTACGGAGTACATGAGTGGTACACTAATCCATACAGTATCTATTCGCCTATTCATCGTGTGTCTTGGATGCCAAGAGGCATCCCTGCTTGCCATCATAAAGAGGGAGAGGTTTGGCCATTCAAAATGCGTATTAGTGGCTTCTAATGGTCCAATATTCCATTTGAGGGTACGAGGAGAAGATATAAAATCGAGACAGTGCAGGAAAACGAGAAGACACAAAATGGACCGAATATGCAAACGGCCGAAGAACATGAACAGAAAACCTCCAGGATCTTGACATACATATCCAACCCGTGGACGCAGCTGAAAAGCGAAGTGGGAAAGCTGAGAGTCAAAGCACCTACACCCACCTGTACATCCGTACGGAGCACACGCATATTTGCCTTTTCGACTAGTGATCTGCAGATTTCGTTCATTCACCTCCTCTGGCGGGGTTGGAGGTATCACCTGATTCCTGAAAATTTGATTTTGTAACGAAGCCTCACTCCCTTCACTCCCGTTGTGATTCAGAGAATTTACCGCTTTGACATTCGGATTCTGACCTCCCCCGGTTGTCGTTTTTGCAAGCATCATGCCTTACCTTGAGAACATTCAAGTATATCCATTGAGTGGGTCACTCGAGTGAGAAACATTATCTTTACGTGCTTGGGCCTTACGATGCTTCGGGTTCGATTCGGTTGTGCTCAATGCTGCAAGCCAAGCCAGATCGATCAGATGGAACAACTCTGCATTTCGTGCTGGGTGACCAAGTCTCACCGAGCGAAGTATTGAATACAGGGCCTTTCGCTACATGGTTTTGCCATCTTTTGAATCCCACCAGACCCGGTCAAACTGATTCCAACCCCAGGGTGGTGCATCCCACATAGCCAATTCACGAACCACTGTCTCATAGCACCCATCGGCAGGCATATTTCCCTGGCAGACATTTCCTCCCACAGCGATGTTGATGAGAATTCGGAACTCACTCATCTTCCTCGTGCCAGGCGGCTTCTCCGCCCGCATGACGGGCATGCCATCAATCAACCAGATCAAGCGCCCGCCACCTGTGCTTTCGTCTTCGTCCCAGACAAAATCGTACCTTACCCCCACCGGCGAGCTGATGTTGGGAATAGGTGTTTCGAGAACACGATGTTTGTTCCAGTCCTCGCCGTTGAAATGGCCCCAATGCAGACATGTGTGGTTGATGGCATCTCCATTCCACGCTTCCATGATATCAATCTCACCATCCTCGGGCCACTTGAAAGGATCTTTAGGGAGCAACCAAAAGGCCGGCCAGATACCCCCGGCCACCGGGGCCGTGATTCTAGCTGATAGGCAGCCTCGCGATCGGTCCAGGGTCTGATGACTCGAGAGTCTGGCGCTGGTGAACTTTTGGGTATGTTCCGGATGCCCGTGGTTGATCAGAGCGCGCACGATCAGTGCATCACCTTGCGGGGAATGGAACGAGTTTTGGGGGCTGTCGATGTAGTTTTGTGCCTCATTGTTGCCCCATCCATGTTGGCCTTGCTCGTGATAGAAGTTGGATGACACCGGAGCCTGAGGATGTAGGTTGGGTTGCCAATAAATCTGGGGTTGCTGCTGCTCCGGATATCCTAGTGGGGGTTTGCTGGAGGTTGGGATAGGCGGTGGGGCATTGTTTGACGGCGCTGATTGGGAATTTTGGTTGGTTATGTCGTCCCAAGCCTTATCTGCCTTGTCGATTAGACCCTGAAGTGCTTGTCTGAATGGCATATTGAGCACGATATTGGCATGGATGTTGTTGGACAAAGCAGTGATTTATATGCTGTCGTTGATTCTGTCTCGGGCGATTTGTCTTGGCGCGCCAAGGCCAGGCTTCATCATTCTTGTTTGTTGTGTGTTTTCAACATTGTGCACACTTCGCGCTTTGAACTCAGTATGATCACTGTTCTCAGCTTAGATATTGACGAAAGAGATTTTGAATATCAAGCATTGGCTATTTGAAGTCTAGAAAGCCCATGGATGTGTCAGACGAATAGCTGGAGAGCCAAATAAGAATTGATGGATTCGGAATTCCAATGCTGTATTCCATTCTCATGATCCTTGTGGGATTTCTGCATAGATGGAGGCGATAATTCCCACGGGTTTCAAGAGAGTTACAAAAGCCGTCAATGCGCAAATGAGTCTTACTGTGCGGAGTAGTGGGGGCGTATGCTCTCTCTACTGGTGATATTTAGTAGGCAGTTCCCAGAGTTCAGACAATTAAGCCATTCTTTCCCTTTGCTTCAAACTGGGCTTGCCGATTTCCTCCCATTTTGTGCACATTCTTGGCACCCCTTGCTTCTCCGTGGTTGAATTGATCGGCGCTCTTGAGAGTGCAGGTAAACGTTTCTTTGTTCACTAGGTAGCCCTTGAGGGGATATCGAGCGAAGCACAGAGCAGTATGTAGCATCAACTGTATGTATTGTGGGAGCCTCCCTCAAGAAAGGAGGAAGAGAGGGAAGCTCCCGATCACGACCACCTGGCACTGCGAAGACCCTGCAAACCAGGCAAACACCGGCGCCGACAGGACACTCCACCTTCTGTGTCACCCAAGTGTTGGCCTCAGCGCCCGACTCAGGCATCTTTCCCTTCCAGCCAACCCCTCGTTGCCTTTCTGGTGAGGTATTCGAAGGCCCAGGGCCAATCTCGTCAAGGGTGAGAAATTATTGACCCGTTGATGTTTTGAGTGAGACCGAGGAGAACCAAGAGACGGAGAGAGGGAGAGATAGACAGCTGGCCTAAAGCATCGATATCGGACATCACAAATCGAAGATGGTCTCTGCTACACTTTCTTCACTTCAGTGTCTCGTGATAATGCATCCTAGGATGCCTTGGAGCGAGTAGCCCAGATCTTTGGGGCACAGATAGCCGGCTGATATGTCATTCGTCAAGGCTGACCTAGCTCACGGCTCTATGTGACACGGTGGGAGACTTCGTGTCATTCGTCATGATGATCAGTGGGGGAGACGACTGTACTACCTCACATATTGGGCAAAAATTCCGAGGTCTGAATCGATGAGGCTAGAGCCACAGGACAGCGAACATCCGTGGATCGGTCGATATATCATTTGTCCAGTCTGCAGTCTTAGCTGCTATTCATGATGTGACCAAAGATATTCCTCCATTCGTCATGATGATTGTTGGGGAGCTTTCTGCCCTGTCTCAGATGATTGAGACGGAATCAAGGGTTGCCTTGTCTATTCCTTCAGCCAGAATACGAGCTGAATCGATCTTTCGCCTAATAAAGAACACCTTTTTCGCCTCGATGAAATAGATCCCACATCTCTTATCCGCCCCCCACTTGTCTCTTGATCCGTATACCACAATCCAAGATGGCCCTGTCTTATCCGGAGGGTGAGTGTTTCTTCAAGCGCTCTGGCTTGGAAACAACTTACTACGATTCCAATAACACTCATCAATTCTATGGCCACTTTCTGCTGGAATACATATGGAATAAGCCTTCCTTTCATGGAAGCGACGCTAAGCCAGAAGGCTATCATCGCCGCTCAGGGTACAAAGTGGTCAAAGGCAGTCTATGGAACACAAACTATGGTGCATGGACTCAAATGTTCGTCATGTACGGAAAACACCCTTATTCGGACTATGCGGACCCGGATCAATACCGGGTCGCAGAGCACAACCTGTGTACCTCTGGAAATCGATTTCGAGACCAGGAAAAGGGTGGATCTTTGGAGTCCTTCTTCATGGTGCTGCCTATGCCGAAATTGTCTGATGCGGAAGAGTGGCTTCTTATTGATGTACGTTAGCCGCGTACTCAAATTGCTAAGATCAAGGTACACTTGGTCCCAGAATTATGAGACTAACGCCAATTGTTCTTCCAGCGGACTGCTCATATTCGGGCAATCTACATCCCCGTTGCCCAACAAACGTCGGAAGAACATCCCGAGCTGTGCACATTCCTGAACGTGAATTTTGCAACTGGTCGAGAAATTCGCATTCTAAGTCACCATTACAAGGCGGAACATGACCTTCCAGGTTCATACAGTGTTACCGATGGTACCTGGGAAACGGTGAGAACAGAGGTTGCCCTCGGACTACACTCTGATGCAAATTGGACCCTGGCGATCAACATTCCGCATTTGGTGAATCTACTGTCGGTGCCGCGATTTCTGCGAAAGCATAACGTGTTTTCATCTAAAACCATTCGAATGGTTGATCAACTCTGTGTTTCTACGAAGGGAAATGTTCAAAAATTCTCTGACGGCGCCGACATAGATTGGACCACGATTGTCAACGCAAATTTCGGCCTAACGGTTCAATGGGCTCCCCCGATCCGAGTGCGTGGCTTGTGGATTTTATCAAGAACAGTGTGACGATCGCCGCAGGATTCATGCCAATCGTTGGGCCGATTGCAGCGGTCGCCTTCCCTTTGGTTTTCACGGCTATAACCGACCCAGCAAGCTTCGAAGCTACACTTCGAAGTACCATACCGCAGCTTGACTTGGCAAAGCATATCGAATACCAGCTTCAAAAAAGCACTCAGGATCAACGAAGCTATTTATCTGATAGCTGGAGAAAGTCAATTCAGGGTGGAGGGGGGCTGTTCCTTCCACCAACAAAAGTCCCAGGCACTAGCGACACTACATCTTCTCGGTCAATTCCAGTGCCACAAGTGGTGAAACCAAAGCCCACAATACCACCAGCTCCAGTACCCGAAGTGAAGAAACCTTCCCAGCCCAAGACAAGATCCAAGCTCACGGAAGGAGATTTCAAAGAGTTGTTTGCCACCAAGCAAGTGATACGCAATTATGTACAAGACACTCAATCCGAAGATATCATAACTCAGGCCGAGGAAAGTGATATGCCTCCGGGTCCACCGCAAAGAATAACAATTCTCGATCACGACTATCCGCGAGAAGATTTGATTCTAGGAGATTCATTCGTGGAACAGAAATACCCGGTCTTGGAAACCGTGGAGAACGAACCTCTCAGTGATTTAGTCACAAGCGCCCAATTCCAATTGGCCGATCAGATCTTCCATCGCTCGGATGAAGAGTCCACTTCTACCTTCAACGCAACGGATTCCACGAATGACCCACCGGAGGAAGTGATTGACGAGCTATTTCCAGAAAATCCACTTGTTTCGGACACAAGTATCCCGGAGAATGACTATCATTGGATGGAGAATTATCTTTATGATCTATGGTTTGGATCAGAGGAGCAAACAGACGAGACCGAGGTTGACTTGGACCCGGAACAGGGGACTGAAATGGAGCAAGAGGCTGAAGAGGAGTCCGGCTATGGATCTCAAACATGAACATCAAGATATCAAAGGCAGGCTCAGCTAAGTCGACATTGTAGTACCTGAATTCAAGCATTGGAACAGAAAGAAGAGAAAAGACAAGAACTCATCGAGTACTTGGATACATTCCTTGTCTATGACCTGATTCTATGTCCGATCACCCACCTGGACAGCTTGAGAACACCCAAGCGTCAAGACGACATGATGGGACCAGACCTCCTCATCTCAGAAATAGAATTCAGCCGATGGCTGATGAATGAGCTATTGACATCCTTCGGGATGTAGGATGGGTAAGCATCATTAACCTGCTGCAACGCTGCCCAGGAGTATTCAGTGGTATCGTAGGTCAGATTACTACTGATGAATTCTGTCGCGTTGATAGAATGATATAGAATAGGAGTTTCGTTGGCGCAATCCGATGCCTGGATAGAGGCGACCGTGGTTCCGTTTGGTGCAATCACAGCGGCAGTGCCAACTGCTGGCATGAACACATAAGAGCTCCCAACGACTGCGTATAATCGAGCGGCTGCTATTGATACTTCTGACCGAGTGACACCGGTATCAACGTCCAAGTCTGGAGCCCAAGGGAAAGCAGCAATGTGGATATTTTCGACTTGGGCGTGCACAGGAAATGTCATTGTCGGATGCATGTGTCTTTCATTATCAGCCAAGGCCTCCAGCTTTTGATTGTTGGAATACTTACTCCCAGCATTCTAGCATCCCCAATCTACCGAATGGTGTCTTGTGGACCAACAATTGGTCAATGGTACCGTCGCTGAATATAGTCCTCTCGTTCCCAGAAGGACGAAGCTTTTGACGGACTTGAACGATGTTTCCATCTGAGTCAATCAAGCCCTGACCCATGTAGATATGGTCATTGATGTGTTGTGCAAAGCCGAATTCTAGCCAAACGCCGTTCTGACGTGCGGCCGAAACAAGTTTCCTCCAGTTGTTATCGTTAACGGTAATTGTTTGATTGAAATAGTTGTCGAGCATTTTGCTTGGGCCGGGGTTAACATCGATGTATCTGGAACAGAATCAGTTAGCGCGCTCATATCTGATTGGGAGGTAGTTTTTACCCTGGAAACCACAGCTCTGGAAATGCTACAAAGTCTGCACCAGAGAGTGCCGCACGTTGAATGAGCTTAACGCCAAAATCAACGGTCGCGTTGATGTCGTGCATTTGACCATACCAATTATTGGAAGGTGGAGGGTATGGCACATTGACGGGTGATGCCCGGACCAAAGCCACAGTGAAGTTCCCAATGTCCGTTTGCTCTTTGATAGCATGGGCTGACGGCAGGCTCATGCCAAAAAGAATCAAGCCGACAAAAGGTTTGATGATCATAATGAGAATCTCTCAAGTCTTGTTGGTCCAGAGTTTGGGATGTCTTTCTTGACAGAAAGAGGCTTGAAATGAAGAAGAGATCGGCTGCTTTTTATAACCAGCACTCTTGCTGTGGTTTCTTATCACAGGTAAAGTGGGACCTCACAGGGGATAACATCCATGTGATGTCAATGTACGGAGTAATTTCAACCCCCAGCAGGTAAGCCAGCCTTAAATCTGTGCTGTGATTAACAATCTTTTGAAAGTCTAGTTTCCATTACACGATGGTTACCTTATCAGATATGCTGCTGGTGTGATTTCCACACTAGTCTTGGAAGTGTCAGTGAATTTTGACCATCCGGCACCGGGGGTCCGCAGCTGCAGTGCGAGCAAATCCCTAAACCCCGAATTGTGGAGATATTTCCCGAGATCTACGCCATACTCGCGATAATCGGTGCTGCAATTAAAACCATTGGACCTGGTCACCAGTGGGCCATGTTGAACCGTGGGAGTTGATTCTCTCTTCACGCCTGAGCAGTGACACCGGTCTGCGAAAGCCTCAATCTTGCCGTTCTCTGCCCAAACGGGAGGTAGAGGACTAACGCTTCCTCTCAGGAGCAAGGGGAAATCGCCTGAAGCTTTCAGAATGCATTCATCAGTCGCCTATGGCTTTTGGGTCCAGATAACCGTTGGAGAAAAGATAAAGGAACGCTCCCAGGAAGCCGGCTGACTGTAGTAAGACGTGGCCCCGGGGGTATAGAAAGATAGGCTTCGCGGGTAGTTCCCGGGCCTCGGGAACTTGCCGTGCCCGAGTCATAGTCTTAGGGGTTGAGACTTCTCATCCGTTTCGCCCCCGGATATCTGTCAAAGAGTGGAATCAATAGGTCATGGGTCGTAGTATCGAGCCCCCACCCAGATTATAGCCAATTCATGGGGTCCCAGTGGTGGGCTGGGCTGGTCTGTGGGCTTCCTGGGCTGGTGAAGAGGGCTCGTCCGGGATATTGTATCAGGTACTGCGCTGTTCGTGTATTGCGTCTTTGGCATGAGGGTTTCGTGGAGCCAGCTCTGGTAGTGATGCTGAATGTTATTATGTGGAGCTGCGATTTGATTCGACAGGATGTGGTGGACGGCTATGTCGCGCTGTGTCGGCTTGGAGTAGAGACGCGGATCGAATCGAAAGGCCGAACTGTTAGAACGGCTGATATATCAGTTAGCCCGGAACAAGGGGACGATGAAAGATGGGTCAAAAACAGGTCAAAACATCGTACGATCTGACAGCGGTGGGCTTGGTCGGATGCGGAGTGGCATCTCAACATCAGTACGTCGAAACACCGGAGACACATCACAGAGCCTTTGTGTTGGATAGAGTAGCCCAACGCGTCATCCAATGAAGCCAAGCATCCCTTGAGTGGAGATGGTCAAGGGCTCTGTGAGGATGAGGCTCTTTGTCAAGGAGCCGGGCCTGAATTCGATGGTATTGCACTCTCTGACTCCAAACTTGGAGTTGACTTTCTTACGGCCAGTTATTGATTCAAAGCCTGAGGCAGCAGGTGTTAGCTCCGACACTCTGTCCAGGTAGATACGAATCAGATATGTGTGTTTGCCTCTTGGGCGCAGTGCTTTGATACGACTAATCGGCCTGCCGGTGAAAGAACTTCGTCGTCCTTTTCGCTGACTAGGTCTGCGTTTCTGGTCACGGAATGAGGCAAAGATCAGTTTCGAGGATTGGGGTCCGCTTCAATATCTCACCCCATGGGTGTCATCGAATATGCTCATCGTCAACTTCAGCCCCAGAACAAAGACCCTCACTTCCTCCGTTCTCCGAGCTGTGACCCTGCTGACTGGCATCTTTCCAGCATTCAAACCTCGAACTTTACACTGCCACCAATGAGGGCATTACTATTTCTGTGAGAATTCACATCCCCGGTCGAACCCTTTCCAGCTTATACAGATCTGAAGCTCTCCGCCGCGCTAGCCGCGCCGGCCGCGCCCGCCGCATTTGCCGCATATGTTGTTATGGAAATGGAGATAGTGCGACGCCTTTCTCGCTTGGCGCATGAAATCTGGTCACCTCGTTTCTCAAAGATCACACCATGGTTCTGTCATACAATGCTTCCTTGGTACTAGAAGACATACCGGTATACGAATAAACAGCTTTCCGCTCTTGCAATAAGCCCCATGGTATCCACTTTCGTACCTTGGTCTGTGCGGTAATTAGAGTTGCCAAGCTTTCGGGAACTGCGGGACTTGAGCCGAAGCTAATGCAGGAGTGCTACAGTCAACGCAACTGGGGTCTTTCTCACCTATGGGCTTTGATATCCATGGCTTGTTTTTAATGCTGGGAGGAGAGTAGAATCGGATAAGCGAATGTTGGAATGGCATCACTCTCTGGTCCGATGAGAAGTGCCAATGGGAAGCGTTTGAGATCCTTAGCCCATGTGTCTACGTCTGCGTTGGGCTCACAAGAATCGACCTTTGGTGTAGTAGGATAGAATATTGATTTGTTGCTATCTATTGCTTTATACATTGCTGAGAAATGTGCGGCAAAAGAACCCAGACAACTCCCTGTAATTTGATCCACATTTGGTGCGGCATTTGCCCTGATCAGGCGTAAGAGTTGGAGATATTCTCAAATGCCAGGAGATGTGTGTCAAATTGATGTGCCTTCACCTGGGGGTGGTTTTCTTTCGTTTTTTTCCCCAAAGAGGCTAGCTGGTTTCTTTAGCTCCCATCCCTCCAGGTATAAATACCTCTTCCTTCCCTCTTCTCTCTCTTCTCTCTTCTTCTTCTCTTCTCAACCCAAGGTTGAACCTTAACGTGAGTCCCCTACCCTTTCCTTCTTTTTTTTTTGTCTTCTTTTTTTCATTTGCTTACCTCCCTCACAGGTGCGTCTTGGTAGTGGGCGCCTTCTACTCTTTGAGGACCAAATCCTTCAACAGGACAAGCGTGCTGAAGGTACCTCTCATGGTGTTACATTCGTTTTATGCCGGACCCCCCGTCGGAGGAGAATGTGTTCATCATGTTAGAACCTCACCGCATTGCGAGAAGGGTGTTGGCTTGTGGGGTTTGGACACCTGATTACTTCGGTAATCGGGTCCGAACTTGATCTGCTTGTACCTCTTTCAGGCTACTCACTGTGGTTCGCCATGGTGAACTTTCACCCTGGAAGCGGTACTCACAGTGGATCATAGATTAACGTCTCTGGGTTCCCATGATCTTGCGGGTAGGATGGCAACTCGCCTCCTGGTCTCCTCGGTCCTGGGAATTCTAAGACAACATTCCATTACTCTCTCATCACTTTAATCTCATATAATGTAGCTAGATCTTCATCAGTCCCATTCTGTAATTGTTTCCTTTGTTACTGTTCACCTGTGTGACTATATTGCATCCCCTCACCATTAATTCCCCAATCTTGCAAATGTAAAGGATGATAGCCTACCCTGGCTTCCACCTCCACCTTCCACGTTCACTCTATAGGATGAAATTCGCTAGCATGATAACCTGCGATAAATTCCCCACTGTGGTCCCGCCACGTTTGGTTTGTATCATCAATACAATTTGCATCTTGACTACGGAATACTGTAGGCATAAATCTGCACGTCCACGATTCCCTTAGATCCTGTACTCATTGTGAAGAAGATCTTCGCATTTCTGGCGGCTTCACAACCTTGGAGAGTCCCAGGGCTTTAGGCTAGTGTGAACATCGTCCAACGTTTCCGACTAACAGAAACAGAGCCTGCCTCCCTTGACACCATCCACTCTTCTCGTCTCCCAAAGAAACGCCAGAATCCATTCCGCGTGCTGCGACTGTGTCTACCTCTGGCCAAGTCCCATAACCTACGGCCTTGCCTCATCCGCGACATCGCGGTCGGATCCTCCACCAGGCACAATCCCGTGCAATCTGCATAGGGACTCACATTCAGGCTGGCAATAATCCAGAATAAGATTGATTGACTGTCAAATGATGTGTGCTAATGACTGTGTGCTTTCAGAACCTGATTCCCACACGTACAAAGAGCGTCGATGGCCTCGCGACGACAAACACGAGTGCCAGACACGCCAGAATGACCTGGCCTGACCTTCACGATTCCCTCAGAAAGCAGTCAACATTTCCAATCGCGCAAATTACACCACTAGCTGTGACAGGCTGGAGGGCGAGCTCCACGGCATGTTTATACCCATCATGGACATACTTCCCACGTTGTGGCGTGGCTATCCTCCGAACCAGCTGGCTCCACAAAGCCAGTCACAGCTTTGGAGGCGTTGACGGTTCACTACTTCGTATGAGCCAGCTTGATGGCATGCAGATGAGGCTCCATACTTCGCAGCTTGTGAGGTTACCACATCTCCACAAAAGGCACATGAGAATCAGCTACGCGCAGAGGCTCTCGAGCTCTGTGCACAATATGACGCTCTCTCAAGCTTGCTCGCTCTCAGTCAATGGACGAAGGTGCGTGTTGATCTTCTAGCACTGCTACAGAACATGGAAAGATCACGACGTTGCTCTTCAGTATGACCTTGATGGAATTTGCCAAGACTAAAGCGTTTTTGGGCTACCTGGCTCGAGCCGGTTTGTTCGGTCCATCAGACGAGGTAGTCCGACACCGGACGAGGTACGCATTGTTCGGGGCAGCCAGAAGTCGAAGACTGATGATTCCTAGCTTGCTTGATGTTGCATCCAATTCACGAGTTGTTATGGAGAACCGGGAGGTGACAAGATCAGGGGACAAAGCAATCCCCAAGGGGATTCTGGTGGCTGGACTGACAAGCAGTGATCTGGGCGACAAGGAATCTAGCAGGGATGGAAGGACCTCTGCGATGTGCTACCCTTTGACCTGTCAGATCAGAGTACCTTGCTATCTCTAGGTCGTGTGAAATTTTGCGGTTATCAGCAAGTAGTCTTGACAAGGCAACCCATTCATGGCTAAAGCTGAAGATACTAGCAGCAGCGTCGTACGTTGCCTGTTCCCACCCACAAGGCTGGCATATATTTCAGCTCCGGGTGCGCGCAAGACGAAAGATTAGATCAAATCCGAAAGGCTGCACTCTTGGAATTAATTTTGGTCCCGAAATTCTGCGCCTACCTGTAAGGCAAAATGCAGTGCTTCGCGGGTGGCGACGGCAAAGAAGGTCATTGCGCGGCTAACCTCACCTCAACCTAAACATCTATCATCCAAACCACAACAACATCCAGAATGACATCCACAATGCCACCCACAATGAAAGCCTGGTTTTACTCCGGTACAACAAATGGACTTGAAAAAAATCTCACCTTCGACGCCTCAGCGCGCACCCCAAAAGTATCAGGCGATGACATCCTGATCAAAGTCCTCTCCGCCTCCCTGAACCCAGCAGACTACAAAGTGCCCGAGATGGGTCTAGTCGCCCAGAAGCTTGTTATCGGCACCCCAGCCACCCCAGGCATGGACTTTTGTGGCGAAGTCATCACCGGCAATGAAGCCTTCTCGCCGGGCCAACTGGTCTACGGCTGCCTGAGCAGACCCGCTCAATTCGGTTCCTTGGGCGAATACCTCGTGATCTCCGCGAGTCTGCTCGCGCCCGTACCGGAAGGCGTGGAAGTCGACCATGCCGCTGCCATTGGCATCGCTGGACAGAGCGCGTACCAGAGTCTGGCGGGCTACGTGAGTGCCGGAGATCGGGTGTTTATCAATGGTGGGTCTGGAGGGTGCGGGATTTTCGCGATCCAGATTGCTAAGGAGATGGGCTGCCATATTACGACTACGTGTTCAACCAAGAATGTGGAGTTCCTGCGTGGACTCGGGGCAGATTTGGTTATCGATTACTCGACTGAGGATGTGATCGCGGTGTTGAAAGATGGCGAGGTCTTTGATCACGTCGTTGATCATATCGGGGCACCCGAGCCGCTGTATCGCGAGTCCAACACTTTCTTGAAGCCCGGCAAGGCTTTTGTCCAGGTCGGAGCTTCCGCCATGGCTACCTTTGCGGGCAGATTGGTTGTGCCAGGCTTCCTCGGTGGTGGGAGGAGGAAATACGTGATTTTCTTCTTCAAAAACACAAGGGAGGATCTGGTCAAGGTTGGAGAAATGGTTAAAACCGGCGCTATCAAGGTCCAGCTAGATTCCACTTTCGAGTTTGAGGATACTGTGAAGGCGTTTGAGAAGCTTCGTTCTGGGAGGGCCAGAGGCAAGATTGTCGTTCATGTTGCCCAATCTTAGGCTGTGCCCAATACAATACGTTGTCGCAAAAGGCAGTTCCCATGCCCACGCTGCTGTCTGAAATCTCTAAATCCCATCTGGTTTACCCCCTAGGATGGACCCACAGACAGAGCAGCTGTTGGATTGAAAATCGCTCAGAGCCCAGATTTAGTGTTAGTTTACTCGTTTTGCGGTTGTGGGTGAAATGTGAAGACTGTGGTATTGAGTACATGAATCGATAGATGCTACGATCGCTGGAGAGTACCCACGCGACGGTAACCCAGGTGGGCATGGCTAAGAGCATGCCTTATATACACAAAGTTCTTGTGGAAACAAGCCCCGGACCTAGAGCGCAGAGTGCTTAGAAGGATCCTCCCTCAAGGGCGCCGAGTAGTCATCATCATCCAGATCAAGCATTTCAATCCGGTGACTCGCCATATTCTCCTGTGTTTGCGAATCAACCTGTTTCTGCAGACGGGTATCTTCACCAAACCCTTCCTTGCTATTCACAGCCTCCTGGGCAGCCGAAGATTCTGGGTCTGTGACGCCTGCTTCTTCCTGGTTCTGCAACCGTTGCTTTTCCTGGCGCTTATCCTCAACCGCAAGAGCAGCTTCCTCGAGCTCGATCTCGCTGGCGTCGAGGTCCTGCAGTCCAGTGATAGTGAGGATCCTTCCAAGCAGGTACTGGTATCGCAGGTGACCGCTGATCATCTCACTAACATTGATGTTCTCGATTCCAGGAACACCTTCCACAGCCTGAAGTCCGGCGACACCGAGTTGCATGCTACTGGTGCGGTACAGGAAGGCTAGAACAGAGTCATTCTCCGAATAAACGTTCACGACCCGCCCGCTGACGACGCTGCGAATCTTTTGCCAGTACTCCTTATTCGAAGGAGTCGGCGAGCCCATCAGAATGACAGACTCGACCAGCCCATACGCGTTCTTCTTCTCTAGGGTCTGGAGGCAAGAGAAGATGAGTCGGGATCCAAGAGAGTATCCTATCAAAGTCACCGGGCGTTCTCCTTGCGCCTTGTTGATCAGCGCATCTGCAAGTACTTCCCCCGCCTTATCGGCGCGGGACTTGGCCACACTGAAAGGGTTGTCAACAACGCCTGCAACCTTCATCAAGCCAAGGGGGAGCATGACAGCGCTCATGAGCGTGGAGAAGACAGTACGGGCCAGGACCTCACGGCCGGCAACCGACCAGGCGGCGCTGGTCACAAGCGCGGAAATGGCATTGCCCAGGTTCATGAGTGGTTCCATTTCCCAACGAAGAGCGAAAACCTCCGAGTCGGAGCCGACCACCCGCCATGGGACCACGAAGTTCGATTCCTCTTTGACCCAGCCAGTGACACCAATAGTGACTCGCAGGCGATGATCCTGCTCAGCAGACTCTTTGTCCTTCTGATTGCGACGACCTTCGCCGCGAATAGGGATAAACGCAAAGTCGTCCACTTCGCGGGCATATTTGTCCATCATGCGACCGGTCATGCGTCCACCATAAGCACCGAAAAGCCCACCGACCACAACACTGCTTCCTGCCAATGTACCTAGCAGACCGGCAGCGGCAGTAGCGCCTAGGCCTACTCCACCCAGAACGGTTCCTAGGCCTGCGGCTACCAATGGAGCGGCAAGACCACCAGTCAGACCGATCAAAGCGGCACCAGCCACTGATGCAATGCCAACTTTCCATTTGCGCATGTCGTCGTTCTTCTTCGGCTTTTCTTCGGCGCTTTGGTCGGCGGAAAGGGCCAGTGCAGTAGCCAGCAAGCCACGAGCGACCTTGACTTCATCCTGATTAAGAATATTGATATCTATATTCAGGCTGGACGCAACATTCAACATCAGCACTCGCGAGTAAGCACTGTAATGCTCCAAGCTAAGGAGCAAGAGGAGCAGCGAGTGAAGAATGAGGAGTCTTGTGGCTTTAGGAAGTTGCAGCAGCGGCGTTTCCACGGGGTGATAGATTTCTTGCAATTTCTTCAGTCTATCTTCATCCTCGTCTAAAGGAAGATCATCTGCCTGAGCAGCCTTTTGCAAGTCAGACTGACCCTGCTGGTCTGGCTGATCCTCATTGTCTTGGTTCACAACCTCGCCAACCCGCAGCAGAACCGAGTCTCTCCAGTTCTCAAAAGTGGACAGCGCAGTTACTTTAGCTTGAGGCTTCAACGGCTTGCTCGGCGACTCGGGTTTCTTGCTTCCAGCTTCACCTGGGACTGGCTTGCGCTGTGGGCGCGGGGGCAACTTCGGCGAATCTTCTGGTTTATCTGGATGGGGATCCTGTTGTGGAGACGGACGCGGAGACGAGGGATCGAGAGATCCGTCTTTCTTGTTTTCAAATAGCTCCAGAATCTCGACGCGCATCGACTCGGCAGTTTCGGCCACGAGAACCGTCAGGTCTCCACGCTGTGATCTGTCTAAGATCGATGATAGATCTTGACCTCGATCGCTTTCCGAAGTATTCGATGCATTGGATTGTTTGGAATCAAACAATGAAGCACCTTTTTCCTTGAAATTTTTGAACATTGGCGACACCTAAGAGATTGATGTTGGAGAAACAGGCAGAACTCGCGAACGATCGGAGGGGCGATGCTGTCATAGCTGCACCAATTTTGGGGCCAGCTGACTCATTCATTATATTTCTGCCTCAGGCCAAAAGTCCAGCTCGTCCTGGGCATTGAAGTGTATCAATCGACCTAAGAGGCTTGGCTTTTGGCTATTCAGCTACCGATTTCAACCACAAAGTATTTCCCTTTCGTTTTGGTGGCGGATTGCAGTGCGTCTCCATCCCATACTATCCCGTCAGGACAATCGTTTTTGACCCCTACGATACGTTGAATTTTGCCTCGTCGTCCGGACGTTTTCTCCTTGGCCAAGTATTCCTTCAGCTGTTCGATCCCAATTGTATGTTCCTTGATCGCGTCGGAACTCTCGTCGCGAATCCTTGGAAGCGGTTCAACTCCAGTGGTATCCACAAGTTGGATTTCTTTGACAAAATGGATCTGCGACTCGAGTGTGTCAAGCATTGACTGCTCCTCTTTTTGGTTGGCGGGCTGGGGAAGCGCTGATATCCGCAGCAGATGGTGTAGTTCTTTGGGGGTGAGTGACGGAGGAGGCTTGGATGCTGGGTTCGGCAGCAGCGACTTCACAGACCAATTTGGTGCGCCGATCATAGAGAAAATGTCTGCCAGATCAGATTTGTCGGAATAACAGCGTGAGGATGTCATGCTCAATCGGAGGGGACTTGTTCGCAGCGACTGGAAGACTCGCGCACCGCAGCGAAGAGGAGGCATTGTTGAGGATATCGAGAGTGTGGCCACCTGTACTGTGTATTATGATGGGGAAACAAGGTGAATATCAAGATAAGAGACAAGTAAGCCAATAGCTCAGAAAATCGCAAGGCAGTGATCCCAAAAATAGTGCAGCGATGCAGGTCAACACTAAAAAGAGCTTAGGCGGAGACCGAAAAATAAAGGACACCGCCTCCACGGGCCCGCCGATCCATGCTCTCATCGATAGCACCTTTGGCCACACTACTTCACATCGCATATTCACTGTTCCTCTATACGGTAGGAACACCAGAAAGATATCCAACATGACTCAAGATCCTCGCGTTCTTCTTCAAAAGGTACACCTGACTTCGTTTCTGGTTTAATGCATAATGACGATACCCCGGATAGCTGACCAGTGTGACTTGTTGTGACGAATTTAGGCCGACAAAGCGCTCTCTGGTGCCTCTGGTGGCTTTAGCTGGTTTGGTGGACGGACTGAAAAGTATGAGAGTGCCGCAGATCTCTATACCCAGGCTGCAAATGCCTTCCGAGTACAGAAAATGAGTGAGCTACCCCGCCGCCTATGCCTGAACTCAACTAATGCCTGACGTTGGATAGGCAAGGAGGCAGGTCAGGCCTTTGAGAAGGCCGCCGCCATCCAAACTCAGAACCTTAACGAACCTGATGACGCCGCCAACACCCTCCAGGAAGCGTTCAAGGTCTACCGCAAGTCAGACCCCGAGGACGCTGCTCGTGTCCTTCAAAGTGCTATTCAACACTATGTCCTGCGAGGCAACCTGCGCCGCGCCGCGACTCAGCAACAATATCTGGCCGAGGTCTATGAGGTGGAACTTGGAGATATGAAGAAGGCGCTTGAGGCATATGAGAAGGCCGCCGAGTGGTTCGAGGGTGACAATGCTGAAGCGTACGAACCCATCATCTCTTGACGAGGCTATACTTGTGAACTTCCAGCTAACATTTTCATCTCCAGCCTTGCAAACAAGCATTTCCTCAAGGTTGCGGACTTGGCCGCCCTAGACGGCGACTACTACAAGGCTATCACGAACTTCGAGCGTATTGGCCGGACTTCTATTAACAACAACTTGATGCGCTGGAGTGTAAAGGATTATTTGCTGAAGGCGGGTATCTGCCATCTGGCCACAAAGGTATGCAAGCATTCTATTCATTTTGGACTGCAGCATGCTAATAAGTCCAATTCAGGATTTGGTCGAGACCAACCGTGCTTTGGAATCATACCGGGAGCTTGACCCAGCCTTTGCATCAATGCGGGAGCACCAGCTGCTTGTTGACTTGACGGAGGCTGTGGAGGGAGGTGACCAGGAAGCCTTTGCCGAGAAATTGTTCCAATACGATCAGCTCAGCAAACTTGACAAGTGGAAGACTACTCTGCTCTTGCGGGTCAAGAATAACATCGAGGAGGCTGAGGAGGACTTTTCGTAAACGACGATTGATTTCTTCAGTGATTCCCCATCATGTCTAGAGCATGCTGACTCTGCAGTGTTTTGTTTTGCTGTCTTTTTTGATACATATTTGATTTGGAAATCAACCATGCTCAAGTCATGACCAACAATTGCCATGTCAGTTATACTGGTAATGTGTTTGGCATTCTGGGCTCATCCTTCAGTGATGTTTATGAACTCTCGCTTCGAGATAACAAATTGAGTTGAACTCTTTCCCGGTCCCTGGTTATGTAGTTCCTACGGTGAGATAGAAAATGGAGTGCAAAAGGTTCGTAAATCATCATTTTCAAGATGTCTCAGGTTTATATGTACTTTTTGGCATGCTCCAATAGAGCTACCGTATATGATCGTGTAATCAATTCAGTCAAATGGTATCATATCATCTACACCAACATCGCTCAAGCAGCAATCGACTCCAAGGCCCGAGCCTTGCGAGGGAAGACACGCTTGTACAAACTGACACCCACAGAGTCTTGTGGGTTGATCTTGGCGTCGAAGGTGGCCTTGAAGTAACCATGTGTACCCAAGCTCTCCTTGAAGTATCCACTGCGGCCACGGCGAGTCCACAACTGGAGTGCCTTGAACCATTGGATATCCTCGGCGTTGAAGAACATGTAACGGATGGTAACGACCTTCTTGTGAATCTTGTAGGGGTGACCAGTGAGAATAGCACGCTTGGCAACAACGCGCTTCTGATCGGGTGCAACGACGGTACCGGTACCGATGAGCTCAAGATCGCTCAAAGAGATGGGCTCTTCCTTGGCATCGGTTTCCATCTCTTCATCGTCGTCATCCTCCTTCTCGGCTTGCTTGCTCTTGAAGACGAGGATGGGCACGGAACCCCAGGTCATGGGTCCAATCCATGATGCAATGGCGCTACGACCGGGGTGGAGGTATCGGTCGTACTTGTGCACGTTGTTGGGTGTGTTGTCCGCAGAGGAGAAGACGGGGTTGACGACCATGCGACGGGCACCGCACTGGACGATGAGTTGCTCCTTGGCCTTGAGTGGCTTCTCAACGCTGGAGTTCAGAGTCATGCTGACGTTGACAACAGTGTGCTTGTGCTCGTGGCGGAGGAGAGAGAAGAGAGCAAGGGGCTTGGGTCCATTGCGCAGGATAGAGGGCACAGCGCGGAGGTGGATATCCACGCGGGTACCAGGGTTGACACCACCAACCAGAGCCTCTCTGATAATGCGGTTCTTGGAACCTCTGTGGTCGGCGAACTGCAACAGGCGGCGCCAGTCCTCGGGCTCGTAGGGTCGGTCTTCGGAAGTCTCCCAGTTGCTGAGCTTGAGGTTCTTCAGTCCACGGTAACGGGCCAGACGCTCTCTGGCCAGAACATTGGGGTGCAATTCGATCTCATCGGGGAACTCCAAGTCCTCTTCGGCCTCGGTCTTACGGCTGGCACGGTAGTCGGCCAGTTCCTGGGCCTCATCCTCGGGCGATGGGTCAAGGAACATCTCAGATTGCGGGTATTCTGAGGGGCCACCTTCAGTCATGGCGTCCTGGTGGTCGGGGAATACACCATCCTCGGGTGCGCCGGCGGTATCCATCTCCATGGGCTCATCATCGTCATCCATGTCGGATCCAGAGTCGGAAACATCCTCAAGGTACCAAGCAGACTGGTAATTTGAGGTACCCTTGGGAAGCTTCTTGGGTACTGGGGGAATGTGCGAATCATCATCAGAGAAGTAGTGGTAGTCGTCCAGAAGAACACCCTTCTTTTCCGTCTCGGCCATGGATACCATGTCGTCATCCACCATCTCGATCTCCTCGGGTGCAACAACGGCCATATCATCCTGGTCCTCGGTCGGGGTATCCAAGGTCTGTGTGGTTTCGTTGGTGTCAACGTTCATAGCATCGTCACGCTTGGCCTTTGTTGCCAGCGGGGCGGCTGTGATCGAGTCAATCTGGAAGTCACCCCATCCTGGAAGGTGAACAATGCGGTCTGCCTTCAGACCCTTTCCACGAACAACTCCAGTGATGACAACGTCGTCAACCACCTCCAAGCTAGATTCGGGGAACTTGACGTCCTCGACGAACATCCAGCTGCGGTCGTCGCGCCAGCGGATACCCTTGGGAGTGGCGGTGCAGATAGATCGGATAGCGTTGGAAGACTCCTGTCGCGAGTCGAGAGACATGACTTTCTCAATGTTGGGGAAGAAGTGGTTGATGAAGGACTTCAAAGAACCGGCGACCTGGGGGCGCTTCTTGGGAGGGCTGATCTTGTCGAGACCCTGCACGACGGCCAACACGTTTGAGATACCTTGGCTTTGGATAGAGCGCAACAACATCTCTCCCTGCTCATCAACCTCAACCTCGCACGACATAACCAAGATAACAAAGTCGGCCATACGGCACACATCCAGAGCGCTGATCATATCATACTTGGCGGGGACGTACTGTACGCTCTGGCGGAATCGATCAATGCGCACACGGGTAGGTCCATCGGGTGAGACATCAGTCAGAATATCAACACTTTCGTTGATCGAGGCGATGGCGGCAGCGGCATCGACATCGGCGGATAGAGGCAGGATTGCGACATGGCGAGGGGCGCCGTTCTGGCCGGCAAAGATGCTGGTGGCTTGAGATCTTTCCTGGTGCTTCAATGCCTGTCGCTGACGGGCGGTGTTTCGGCGATCGAGCTTCGTCTTGAGCTGTTGGTGGGGTGTTTTACGACCGCCCCGCTCGTCACCTTCGATTTTGCCTAATTTTTTATACATATGTTAAAAAATTTGCAATGGAAATTAACGGTTTGACATTGAGTTGCATACCTTTGGCCTGATCTTTCAAGGCACTCTTGGAAGCATGCTTGCTCTTGTAAGGCTTGTGGGAAACCTTGGTGGTGGAGCGGTGGTGGTGCACCGTCTGGGCAGGCGCCATATTGGCGTTAGACCCTTTAAATCGAAAGGGAATGGAGGCCAGATTGAATGGTAACTGGATTTATTCGGCGATGAACAAGCCGACTCAAATCTAGACCTTGAAAGTACACAAAAAAAGCGAAAGTGCCTCTGTCGAAGAAAAAAAAGGCGATAAGAAAACAAAAATTCGCGAGTGGAGGATAAGCGAGCGGTGAGTTCAGGTCTTGGCGAAATTTTGGGCAAAACATCTTTTTTTCTTGAAGTCGTTGTCCGCCTCGTTATCTCTTCACGAACAAGAAGAAATCGACTCAAAAAATGGCCGGTCCAACCTCCAAGCTGGCGGTCGCCAAAGAAGACAGTGCAGCCAATTTACGGCTCCAAGAAGCCGAACAGATTTACGGACGAGGCAAAGGTGTCAATGCAAAGAGTGCACGAGACAAGAAGCTGCGCGCAAACCTGAAGAAGCAGGAATTCAAGCACAAAGAGGCTGTCCTCCAGGCCAAGGATGCTGAAATTCTTCTCGAGCACACCGAAGGTTTCCTTGAGCCCGAGCACGAACTCGAAAAGACATACAAGGTTCGCCAAGATGAGATTCGGGAAAGTGTCGGAATCGAGACAGCGAAGAAGGGATTCGAGCTCAAGCTCCCGGATATGGGACCATACCGAATGGACTACACTCGCAACGGTCGTGATCTGCTGCTAGCGGGACGGAAGGGACATGTCGCAACAATGGACTGGCGCGAGGGTAAACTGGGCTGCGAGTTGCACTTGAATGAGACTGTGCGGGATGCACGCTGGCTGCATAACAACCAATTCTTTGCCGTCGCGCAGAAGAAGCACACTTATATCTACGATCACCAGGGTACTGAGTTGCATTGTCTGAGCAAGCACCTTGAGCCTCTTTTCCTGGAGTTCTTGCCCTACCACTTCCTTCTTGCGAGCGCTGTGAGTAACCCTCGATCATCAAGCTATTTATATGTTCTCAGGCTTACCATTCTCTCTTTAGCAAATGAGCGGCCATCTCAAGTATACCGATACCTCAACCGGTCAAATCGTCGCTGAGCTTCCGACTCGCCTAGGCAAGCCGACTGCTCTCGCCCAGAACCCGTGGAATGCCATCCTTCACGTTGGACACCAGAACGGCGCTGTCACGCTATGGTCACCTAACTCTCAAACCCCTCTCGTGAAGGCTCTTGTTCACCAGGGACCAGTTCGGTCTATGGCCATGGATCGTCAAGGCCGTTACATGGTCTCCACCGGCCAAGACCAGAAGATGAGCGTGTGGGATATCCGCATGTACCGCGAAGTTCACCAGTACTCTTGCTACCAACCCGGTGCATCTGTATCTATCAGTGACCGTGGTCTGACCGCAGTGGGTTGGGGAACGCAAATGAGCGTATGGCGAGGCCTATTCGATGCCGCCGCCGCAGATGAAGGCAAGGTTCAAAGCCCTTACATGGCGTGGGGTGGTGATGGCCAGCGTATCGAGAATGTGCGCTGGTGCCCATACGAAGATATTCTTGGTGTGGGACATGATCAAGGATTTGCCAGCGTTCTCGTTCCCGGTGCCGGTGAACCCAACTTCGATTCTCTGGAAGCCAACCCGTACGAGAATGTGCGCCAGCGCCAAGAGCACGAGGTTCACTCGCTGCTCACCAAGTTGCAGCCGGATATGATCTCGCTCGATCCCAATGTTATCGGAAAGCTCGATACGATCAGCGACCAGAAGTACCAGCAGCAGCGCAGACCGGATGAGAAACCCGAGGATACCATGGATAAGATCAAGAACCGTGGTCGTGGTCGCAACAGTGCTTTGCGCAAGTACCTGCGCAAGAAGGGTGGCAAGAATGTTATTGACGAGAAGCGTCTCAAGGCTGAGACTCTGCGCAAGGAACATGCTGCCCGCCACAAGGAGAGGCTCAAGGCAGAGCGCAATGATCTGGGACCTGCTTTGTCTCGGTTTGCCAAATAGAACTTTTGTGACACCGGCAGAGGAAACTTTGCTCAAAAGCACCCAGATACCCAGCCCAATCGGCTTCTGTGACATATTGGAGATTTGGCGACAGCTGCATTCCAGGCGTTCTCGGTGAATATTTTGTATTCGGAGGGGAAAAGCTGTGTTTTAACGAGTCTATCATGTACTTTCAACATATGAATATATTAAACTCACATTTCAACTTCTCTGCCCAGGTTGTAGCTTTCCTATTCTGTGAAACTACTAAATGGAAATTATATGGATGATAAACCCTACTCGTCAATGCTGCCAGAGCCACGCACGGCGCCATCCTTCCACCGCTGCAAACTGAGCTCATACGCACCACTTCCCTTCCAGGCACTAATGATCAGGTTGACAATGTGGTTCAGACCCTTTCCGTGCTTGACAACAGCGAAGACGGTAGGACCACCCTCACGCATCTTCGCCGCGTCCCTCTCCATGACACTCAGATCGGCACCAACAGCCTCAGCAAGATCAATTTTGTTGACAACCAACAGGTCGGAGCCCGTGATACCAGGACCACCCTTACGAGGCACCTTATCACCACCCGCTACATCAATAACATAGATGATGAAATCAGCCAGCTCGCGCGAGTAGTTCGCAGCAAGGTTATCACCACCCGACTCGATAAGCAACAGATCCGTTGAGAACTGCTTCTGGAGTTTCTGAAGGGCGAGCAAGTTCGCACTGATATCTTCGCGGACAGCGGCGTGCGGGCAACCACCTGTTTCGATGGCACGGATGCGCGAAGGCGCAAGGGCCTTGTGCCGGGTAAGGAACTCAGCGTCTTCCCTGTTCCGAGTCAGTATGTGATTGTTGGACTCGTTGCGTGGGCTGGTACCTTGTGAAGATATCGTTGGTCACAGCGGCGATGTTGTACTCGTCGCGAAGAGCCTGGGACAAGGCCAGCATCAGTGCCGTCTTGCCGGATCCTACGGGTCTGTATGACAGTGTTAGTACATCGATGCGAAACTGTGGGGAACCGGATGGGTCGGCAGATATAGAGCTGAGGAAGAAGTGTATTGCTAGATAAAGGATGATACCTACCCGCCGATTCCAATTGTGAAGGCACGATCCTTCCAGTCACGGCCCTCGATCAAGGGCATCTCACGGTTGACGTATGAGCCGGGGCCGTCGAGGATGTCGTGAGAGTGACCATGACCGTTAAACGGATCGTCGTGAGAGTGATCGACACCGGCATCGTGGGAGTGAGAATGCGCCATTGTGATAGATGTCTAGGTATGAATATGAACAAAAACTGCCCAGGTGTCAAAAAAAAGGATGAGGGGCAATGTTTTTAAAGCAAGGGCGAGTGTGGGGAACTGATAACACAAATGCCGAGCTTCATCATTATCAATTGGCCGAAAACGGAGTTCGCCGGGCCTCACATTTCGGCCAAATCTATGGATCAACGTTTCCAAGACGAGATCCATACTGCACAGGCCAGGTACTCCGATGGTCTAAGACAGACAATCGTGGTACAAATCAAGCCCGGACAACTCAACACCGAAACGACAAAAGCTTGATCCTGAAGGATCAGGTAGGATCACCCACAGGCACACTCCGATACGAACTACGATGCATGTTGACTGAAAACAGATATGTATAGATTCGTCAAAGAAGCGGCAAGGATGAACCCCAGGGAGAATGATCAAAAACTCAGAGCCCACAACCGAAGGGCCTGGAACATCGAACACCTCAATGCACGCAGACGCAGAGAAACATAAGAGCCGGACGCCATCTCAGTCGCCAAACACGGATATCAAAAGCTCTGTCGGTTCCAAAGAACAGACCATCTGCGAAAAGGCGAAAGCCTAACAAGACCAATTCAAAAGTCATCAAATCCCAGATATGGCAAAAGGACAGAAACCGAACAGAAAATCAAGCAGAACATGCAAAGTCGAGATCCGACGGAAACGCTGAAAGTAAAGTAGAGTACATTAGGTCGGAGATGAGCAGGATTGCTGAGACATGGAGTCTCAAGCACCGATTAAATCCCGCCAGTTGTGAATTGAGTCGTGATGTGCTGGAAACCAAAGAATGCTCTCGAGGTGAGGAAGTCAAAGCCAATAAGGGCAAATTGCGCCGAAGATACAAGGTCGTACGTCATTTCCTGCAAGAAGGAAGGAAATAAAACAAGTAGGAAATTTCGATCAGGCGGCGGCGCCCTTTTTGTCGCTTCGGCACCCGAGGGCTAGCCTTGATTTTCGCTGAGCCCTGCGGAGCGCCGTTAGCATCGACTCCAGCACCTTCCTCGGATTCCATTTTGACGGTGCTTGCCCGGCGGCGTTTGTTGCTACCTACATTTGGACTGTTGTTCACGCCAGCTGGAGAAGGCTGCATGGGTGGCTGCATTCCCGGTGGACCCGCCAAGTGGCTTTGAGCCGGGCTCGCGTGTGCCGAGCCACTCAAATGGGGCGAGCCTTGCTGCCCAGGAAGACCGAGATGAGCCATGGCTGGTGAAGCAAATTGCGATGGGGCCCCCATGCTAGGGCCTCGCACGTTTTGCATGGGTTGCATGCCAGGATTCATTGCTGGATTCATACCAGGGCTCATGCCAGGGTGCATGTGGTTCATGCCAGGATTCATACCTGGGTTCATACCAGGGTTCATGCCCGGGTTCATGGCTGGGTTCATAGGGCCTGGCGCAAAGCCTGGGTTGGGGTTTTGCGTTTGGAAGGAGTTGACGAGATTCCGCAATGCGTCGGGGGGTGATAGGTGGGGGTTTGATTGCGAGAATTGGAACAGCATTTGCATCTGAGAGATCGTCTCGGCCACCTCTAAAAACGACATGACTTCAGTTGGCACACCATAGGGATTGATGATAGATTCTGGCAGCGATGCTGAGGGTGTCTTGGGGGAGCCCGCTTTGCGTTCTTAGGGACCTTAGGACTTTGCTTTTGGGAGTCTGCCTCCATGGCCAGCAGGAGAGACCGTGGGATGAATTCGGTGTGGTTGACAACACTGATATCAAGCATCTCCAGCTTGTTGTTCACGTCAAAGTGCGCACGAAGAGAGCCATTGGTGAAGAGCTGGCACTCGTTCCTGAACCAATAGATGAATGAGCATTTGTGGGCTTCGACGTAGTGCCCTCCATTTTGTGATTCTCGCTCGCGAGCGCCTTCCACCAGCATCTGGATGGATGTTATTCCACTTGAGAACTGCGTTAAATAATAACGTGCCAATGCGGGCGTCGCAATTTCAAATTGTTTCGCCCCTCCAGCAGTGGACCAAACGCCCTGTCGCAATACACCCACAGGAGAGTAGAAACGGTCGACGAAAGACTGCCAATATAGAAGATCCTGCGCTTCGCTGCGGGAGACGAAATTGGACAATTGCTCAGCATAAGCATCCAATGCCATAATCGACTGGTTTTGTGGTTTCATCCTTTGCTGCATCAGCATTTGTTGGTGATGCTGTGCTTTCAGTTGCATTTCTTGGGGTGTCAAGTGCTGGTTCGGGGGGCCCTGTGGTTGGCCAGGCTGGCCCTGGGCGTTCTGAGGAGGCTGTTGTTGTGGCCCAGGTTGACCCATTTGTCCGGGCTGTTGGGACTGAGGCAATTGCTGGGGAGGTGGGTTTGGGGTCCCCTGGCCCTGAGGAGGCCCTTGCGAGGTGGGAGGTTGTGAGGATGGTGGCTGAGAGGGTTGGGATGGTTGAGGGGTACCACTTCCCTGGGGCGGTCCACCATGCTGCGACTGCGGAGTCACACTTTGTTCATGCATGTTTGGAGGCTGCGCCGATGCACGTTGCGGAGTGTGTTGACCTGGCTGACCGTTCCCCGCGTGAGCAGCTTGAGCCTGGGCCTGGGCCTGGGCCTGTTGCGCCTGCTGGTGCTGCATCGCGAATAACTGTTGTTGGTGTTGGAAATTTTGCGGTTGGCCATGCGGCATTTGTTGCTGTAGATGCACCATATTCACAGGCCGCATTCCGGGATTCGCTTGCATTGCGGCCATTTGAGCGGCATTGAGTCCTTGGGTGCCATTAGGCATCGATACGGGGGCGCCGTGTTGCTGGTGCTGGTGCTGTTGCTGTTGCTGTTGTTGCTGCTGGTGTTGCTGTTGCATGATCATTCGTTGGCGCATTAACTGCTGCTGCTGCTGTTGTTGTATGAATTGGGGGTTGTTCGTGACTATACATTGGCGAAACATGTTAGCATGCGATGCACGGGATTTGAAAGCGCGGAGTGTGGCGGGGAAAGATGAATCGCCGCGAAGGCTGCTGATCTCTCCTCCCATACCAAGTCACACAGGCGACTGATAAATGAGAGAACAGGGAGTCGGGATACTAACAATTCTGTTGGAATTGTGGACCCTGAAGCATATGCGCCTGCGCGGGATTCAGGTGGGAGAGAGCATGAGCGTTTGGCATACCAGGGCCAGCAGTTCCAGCGCCCGGGGGCATTCCACCCATCATCGGGCCTGCTTGGCTGACCTGAGGTCCGTTAGGCGCGGATACACCGGGATGCATTTGTTGTCCCATGCCGGGGCCTGGGTGTCCGTTCGGATGTTGCGCGGCCATTGGGTGGCCAGGAGGGAATCCATGTTGGGGCATGCCTTGGTGGGCAGGGAACGGCTGCGTCATCATCATTGCTGAGCGACCAAGTCACCGCAAAAGGGGGACTTCGAAACGATCGCTCGCGATGGCGACAGGAGATGGGACGAAAGGTAGGTGGACGCGACTGATGACCGCCAAGACGTAGAAAGCGGCTACCAGTATTCAGCAGACGCGAGATGCTGGACTCTCGAGGCTACCACGTCCGCGGTACACTGAGGGTTCTCTGTTCAGGACAGGCGGTGTCAGTGGGGAGTGATAAGAGGAGCCCAAGACGGGAGGCAGGTGGTTAGGGGTGTGGAGGGGCTGGGGCTTTTTCCGAACGGTGTCGATCATATCACTTACGATAAATGTTCAACAATCACCTGAATATTAGGGGCTAGGGGTTGTTGACGCCCATAAGATAGGAATTAAGGATGATCGCCCGGTGGGAAAGAGAGAACTGGGGACGGAGGATCCGGGTTCCGTTGGATCTAACCGAGACGACAACGGCGCAGGATATAGAGAAGAGGAGAACTATAGCATCATGTGGGAATTGTATAGAGTCTTTAAAGATGACCTGTATTCTTTTTTTCCGTCTCAAAGAGCCAACTGAGGCTTTTTTTCCCTCTTCGCTGCTGTCCTAATTCCAATCCACGCGCTATCCCGGATCGGGCTGGGGTCACGTGAAAAGTCTCTTAGTGCCGCGTCTTTTTCTTCACAACTTTTTTTTCTCTTTCTCTTCTTCATCTTCTCTTTCATTCCTCTTTCTGTGTTCTGCCTAGGAATTGAGCTCCTCTGGGGTGACTACAGCTTGTGCTGCATTCCCAGGTTGGGTTGTCTTTTGTGATGGACCAGAAGATTCTGCACCATGGCACTGTCATGGTTTTTTTGCCTTTCCGCTTTGGGTGCTCTCATGATGTTGACAGCACCTGACGCTCAATTGCATGATTTCAGAACGCTCTTCAGCATTGTGCTGGACTACAGATCCTACTAACCCAACAGATATTGCCAGGGATGTCATATGCTTAACGTAAGTCTTGAGTCCTTTCCCAACCCTCTTCTGCCCTTCCTATCCGTTCAAGGATGACAAAAACCTTTACTTCTTTACCCTCCAAATCGACAATGCGGAGACAATATCGGACCTTCCTTCCCGGTCGGTCTGCTACTTGCCAGTATATCTTGCTGAGAACTCTCATCACAATTCATTTTCACTCATGTCTTGTACCGAGCTTCTGCTAACGTTGCTCTCAGTCTAGCATATCCAACCATACAAGACACATCCGACTACAACTCACCATGGACTCGCATGGTGTAATGGCTACATGATCAAGTGATGAAAAATTTTCGGATGTAAACTCACAGACCTGTTCTTAATGCGCAAAACCGTGTAGAGATTTCCGTTGCCTTCCTTCTGATGATCATTTCGCCATTACACTTGTGTTGTTCGGTTATTTATGGGACAGTCTATCATTGAATCAAATTCTTCTTCAAACAAACCTTGGAATCTTTCCTGTAAAAAGTACATAGTTGTAAACCTACATCACACGAGCTTGATATACCTTTCATGTTGAGCCTCAACTGTCGCCGATGCCAACCTAAATGCACCTAGAGGTTTGCACCAAAAGCCTCCAGTGTCTCTAAAGCCACCTCCTAGGTTGACATTTGATTCTAATGTTTTCATCTCAGTTATTCCGTACCAGCATTTGATATAAGTTAATGTTGGAAATGCTACCCAGAGAACCTATGGATTTCCTGGGCTTTTCAAAGACAATTTTCTTAACGTGGCAATAAACCAGCAAAGTTCATTTTCATCAATTTTCTCGTCTTTTCAAATTCCACGACTGTTTCGTTGCCCCGATTATCAGTGCAGCACGCATTGGATCGGTCCAAGTGTCAATGTGCCCAGGTGGCCGCAAAATCTGACTGCACTTCCTGCGATTGGAAGTATTACATAAACACAGATTTCTGTGGCCGATAGAAGCCCAGTCACACGTCGTGTACTCACAACATTATCAATAGCTTGCGGTGACGTTTTTGCTGTTGCGGATGTATTCTTCAATCTCAAAGACTCGGCTGGTTATACGCCCTTGTCGAATTGTGGCTCGCCGTCGCTACTCCGCACCCTTCGTTGCGCCATCAAGGCGTTTCCATCTATCACGAACGCGGCTCTCGTCAACAGAAGATCCGAATGATGTCGATTCTGCCACGCCAGAAAATTCCTCGGAGGACAAATTCTTAAAACCTCAGACTGGTTTCCCTTTTGGAATCCCTGGTTTCCCTGGCATTCCCAGTAATGGCTTCCCCAATGCTCCCCCGGACTCAGATCCATCCTCCGACTCCGCGAACTCGATCACGAAATCATACGGCTCGGCCGCGCGCAGAGCGATGAGAAATAGGAAATCATCTCAGCAATCACCTCAGGCAGCGACAACTGTGCCGACTTGGTTTCACAAGCGCAATACGGTGGCTCGTGATCAGCATGAGAGTTCCCTTGCGCAATCAACACAGCGGGTCAAGATCATCAAGTCAGGACCTCAGCCAGATTTGGAACAATCTACAAGTCAAAAGATGGCCTCCGGGGGCGATCCCGATCCCTCTGTCCCCGAAGATACACCGTCAGAGAATCGGTACTTGGTTGCGGAGGAGACATGGCAAGAGCTGCGCGCCTCCGTCAAAGCAGGCCTACATCTTCCACCGGCAAAGTTTGCTCAAGAGCCTTCGGTGAAGAAGTCACACTTAGTACTAAAGTATCCTGGAAAGGATGGCATCTCGTTTCTCGACGCTGTTGTGAAGAAACTTGCCCACGAGCTTAGCACCGACTTGGTAACTCTCAACGCTCAAGATATCGCGCAACTTTTCAGCGAACAGGATCATGCAGACTCAGGTGTGACTTCACCGATTCGATCACTCGGCTATGATGTGTACCGATCCGATGTTCCTTCCAACCACGAAGTTGAAGAACAGGAGTTAGATGATGAGGAAGATTTCGAGGAAGTTGGTCCCCGGGGAATTCGTGGCCCAATGACTCCCCGATTCCTCGCAATAGAAAGCGCCAAAGAGTCAGGCGACATCCCAATTTCCAACTTCCTTGGATTGAAGGGTCTTTTAGGTGGACCTATGAACAGGCAAACAGATGCGGACCCAGATGCCGGTGCTTCACAAGGCAACCGCACTGAAAATCGATGGATTGAATTAATGAATGGGCTCATCGAATCATCGGCCCGGCCAAAAAAAACCCCCAGTGAATCGACAGAATCCCCCGATGCGGACTCCGACAAAGCCCCCCTATCTCGGGAAGTCATTATACACATAGAGGACTACTTTGAGATTCAAGGTACACGGGATGGTTCCAGATTCATCTCACTCTTGCACAAGGTCATCCAAGGACGAAGAGCAGCAGGGTCTAAGATTCTGGTGGTCGGGACAAGTTCTGGCGAAGTACATCCCGTGCCCTGGCTTCCACGGAATTTCCTTGATGATAACCAATTCTCGAAAACATTACTTCTCACGCCCGCCATGAGCTCTGGAATTGCCGAGAAGGTCTTCGTAGAGGATCGCAAGAAACGCACTATGGACGTCAATATCCGCCACCTACAGAGTATGCTTCGTTACCGATTAAACGAACAGACTTCGCCCGTGAAGGATAACATACTTACCGACCGTGCTTGGCCCCTTGAGCCTTCAACGATCAAGTCATCTGGAATTGAGGATTCTTTCTGGTCATACAACCACGTCCATTGGACTGCCACCCTTGCACTCGGCTGTCTGGAGGCCAACGAGTCCTTTGGGTTAGAACACATACAAAGAGCCCTTGGTCTCATGAACAAAAACGACACAGTTACCCATGAATGGATCAAGCAGAAGATTTCCGAACAAAAAGAGTCAGCTGCAGGGCAGAGTCGAGAGAACAGTCGACAGCAAAGTCGAGAGCAGTTGCTGGCATCTCTGCGCAAGACTTGCAACACGCATGAGAAGAAGCTCCTCAATGGCGTGGTTGACGCGAAGAGCATTCGAACCACATTCAACGATGTGCACGTGCCTCCAGAGACCATCGACGCCCTCAAGACCCTGACATCCCTCTCACTCATCCGACCTGAGGCGTTCACGTATGGTGTCCTTGCTACAGACAAGATTCCAGGTCTTCTCCTCTACGGTCCCCCAGGTACGGGTAAAACTTTACTGGCGAAGGCCGTGGCCCGCGAGAGCGGAGCAACCGTCCTTGAGGTCAGTGGGTCTGAAGTGTACGATATGTACGTCGGCGAGGGCGAGAAGAACGTGAGAGCAATCTTCTCACTGGCGAAGAAACTCAGCCCCTGCATCGTCTTCATCGACGAGGCAGACGCCATTTTCTGCTCGCGCACAGGAGCAGCCAGTCGTAACTCCCATCGCGAGTTGATCAACCAATTCTTGCGTGAGTGGGATGGAATGAACGACCTTTCAGCTTTCATCATGGTTGCCACAAATCGACCCTTCGACCTTGACGACGCCGTCCTCCGCCGACTCCCCCGCCGTCTTTTAGTCGACCTACCAACCGAGGAAGACCGCCACGCCGTATTGAAGATTCATTTGAAAGAGGAACAGCTTGAGGACTCAGTCGACCTCGCCGACCTGGCCCGCCGCACACCTCTTTACTCCGGCTCTGACCTCAAGAACTTGGCCGTGGCAGCTGCACTTGCTTGCGTCCGTGAGGAGAACGCGGCCGCCGCTAAGCACACAGGCGATGAGCCGTACAGCTACCCGGAGCGACGTATCCTCACTCGCACACATTTCGAACGCGGAATGGAAGAAATTTCAGCTTCGATCAGTGAAGATATGTCTTCACTGACAGCAATTCGCAAGTTCGATGAGCAGTTCGGTGATCGGAAGGGTCGTCGGGAGAAGACTCCTGGCTGGGGATTCATCCCTGCTCCCAGCGGCGAGGCCGCTACTGAGACCGCGCGTGTTCGAACATAATTCCAAGCTTATTGGACCGTTCTTGACTTGTATTTCAGGGCTTGGATTCTGAAACGGGATTGATTTCCCATGTACTTTTAGCAGTGATAGACCTGTACCATTAGTCCAAATGTATATACCACTTACTACTTGTTACAGGGTCGTGGGTTCAGGGGCCTTAGAGCCTGGTGCTAAGTTCAGACCTCGGGAGTAGTACCAATACTGAAGTTATTCCAAGGTTATGTTTGAATAAAAATAGAGCTTTCCAAGGTTCTTGTCACACCCGTGGACATCGTCAAAGAGCAGGTACCTACATTGTATCATTGCCCAGGGGTATCTGATATCTGGCAGAATGCTGGAAAAGCTGCCCACGACTTCGGGAGCAGACACATGAACTTTGGGGTGTAGTAATTTTTCAAGATTCAAAGGTATATAATGTTCCAATCTGCTGTTCTCCAAGCCTCGAAGCCGCCCGCCCGCCAGGACCTTCCAAGGTTATATAGTTGCTTCAGTAAATACAATGGCTGCTTCCAAGGTTTGCAAGGGGCATTGACTTTGAGTAATCATGCAGCATCCCGCCTGAATTCAATTCGGTCAGTGGTCCCCAGGTCGTATGATATCGACAGGGATATGGATGGCCACTTGGCATTGCGTCAGGATTCCCGTCGACAGAGCTTTAGCTACATAATACATGTACTATCAGGGTTCAAAACTTGATTTCTGATGTGTTCCTGTATGCAAAATGTCTCATTCGGTCGTGGGTTTGCATCACCCCGCGGCCGATCCGCTACCTGTACGCAGCAAAGTAAAGCCCTTGATGTCATAGTAACGAATTTATTCAGTTTGGTATGCTCCCTAACGTGAAAAACTGACAATATCATGTGAGCTCATGGCTCGATATTATGAAAATTTTTAGACAATTTAGCTGGTATATAATCTCGTACAGGCTGATTGATAGCGACTGTCTGTGCGGAGTAGCATTGCGCCTAAATCCGAGTGAGCGTGAGCATCGTGTGAGAAGTAAGCCATAAGAAGCGGCCTTTGAGTGCCGACGGCTATACGGCTCGAAAGTCAGCTAATCCATTGGCTGCTTGATTTTGCAGTGCTTTTGCTCAATCGCTTCATTTAGCCCGGTTAGCCCATTCGTGGGCACAGCCATGGACTCATGGACACCGAATAGCTGAATTGGAGAAACTTCTGTCATACAAACAGAGAAAAACAGCTTGATCACTCCAATTTGAACAAAAATTGGCAAATTAGATCTGCAAAAGAGCTGCAATCAAGGTTGCAAAGAGAGCCGAGTAGGGACAACGCAAGGCAAAGCTCATCTCCGCACTTGGGAGCACGTGCCTCATGACATTTTCGCCCGATCATCCGCCACTTCGCTTTCGACCTTTTCTATTTCTGTTGGATTTCTGTTGGATTTTCTTCGCATTCAAGTGCATTAATGAAGAGAGGGTTTGAACGAAAAGCGGATCTGCAATAGTGCAGGGAAAAACCTTCGAGTTCCCCCCCACTTTTCGAACAGAAATTCATCCCCACATTCATCGCAACAATGATGGCCACCGGGTCTCGGGACGCCTCGGTTCGTGAAGCCAAAACCTTTGTCAAGGAAGTCGTCCGCAATGACTGGGACTTCGAGACCGGCGTTCCTTCCGCCTCCTCCGCCGACGGAAGCCTTTGCCACAATCGCGAAGTGTGCGAATGGCGAGTCCGCGAATTCGACAGTTCGACCTCCGAACTCGAGCCGCAGACTTCAGACAGTGAGGATGAGCCCGTGACAACTGCTGGTCAGCAAACCGATATCGAGCGCCGCCGCAAACGCCGCCGGCAGATGGATGACGAGATGGCATGGAACGAGGGACTGCGGGTGTGGATGGCCAGGCGCAACGCATGGTCTGGCGCAAAGACTCGGCGGCAGATCCGGACTGAGGAGGAAAAGCGCGCAATGGCGGGCGCGCAAACGGATACAACGGATCAGTCAGACGGCTTGGATGTTGCAACTGGAGTCTCTTCGGCAACCTCGCAGTCCACAACCTTGACTGGTTCTGGGAAGGGCAGTGTCTCTGATCTCGCTACCCGAACGGAGACATCGCTTGCGATTGTGGATCGAGAGAAGAGTGAAGAGCTCTCGCATCGAGCGGACTTGACTTCCGGCCAGCAAGGAGACCAAGAGGAAGGGCAATCCACAGCGCCGGATGGAGAGACCAAGGGGAAAGCATCGTCGGAAACCAACATCACAGAGCCGGATGCATCAGCCGGCCTGACAAGCTTCCCCGCCGTGGAGGATCAAACGGAAGAAGAAAAGGAAAATGAAGAGCTTGATGAGCCGCTTGTACCTGTGGCACCGCCGTTCATTTCAGACTCCAATCCGGTGCGCGCAACTATCATGCCTTCAATCTACCCCTCTATCTATACAAAGGTTGTCGTTCAAGGGATGACACCGACGATGCCCGTCAACCTGGCCCATTTGACCAAGGCCATGGTTCAGGGCTGGAAGTCCGATGGGCAATGGCCACCCAAGCCTGCAGTCACATCAATTGTCCTTGGAGACACTGCAACAGTGCCCAAGAAACCCGAGGAGCGCCAAGAAGCGCCCACTGGTAGACGCAAGAACAGCATTACCAATGCCGTGAAAAAGGTCTTTCACTTTGGACACCCGTTCCATCGTCGTGGATCACAAAGTCAGGATGCTGGGAATGGTGCTTAAGGGGGGTCTGGTGTTTTCATCCTATGAATAATTTGCATGGATCTGATCCTGGTCAGGGTGGATCAGAAAGTTCTGTTTATTTAACTTGGTCATGACTTTGGCGTCTATCTGGTGGTTTCGCCCGTTGTGTTTTCTTGTTCATAATCTGAACATGTCGATTTACGTTTCATTCACGCAGAACGAAGAAATATGATGCGATGTCTTGAGTTTATAGCACATGAGAACCACTTGCCTTGTAGACAATGTGCACTGAGTCTTTACTTCAGTGTAAGACATGTAGACCATATAAGAACTCAGTATCCACCTGCTTTGAGGTTCAAGAACCAAAATCAGACCCACCAAATATAAGCAACCAATTGGCGACCAGATTCGCCGGCTTCTCCAGCATCATTGGTCTAGTGGTAGAATTCGTCGTTGCCATCGACGAGGCCCGTGTTCGATTCACGGATGATGCACATCTTTTTTATTTTATTTTATTTTTGTCAATCCATATGCTTCAAGTGACATCTGAAGATATCCGTCCCAACCTTGGAGATGCCGCATTGAGGACCTCGGGATCCCATGAATACCCTTAAAGCTGCATCTTCAGGTCGTATGTAACAGACTGGAACTAGCATGTGGTACTAATCCCCATTTCTCGGATTCCAACGACCAACAAAGTTAGTCTGTTTCAAATGAGCTTATTTGAAACAGACAACAGCGACATTTCCCATTTCTTGAACCCACCTCCGAATTGTACATGAAACGGAGAAATCATAGATTGGAGGAGTGGGATGATCCGGTCTATGTTTCCCCTTTAACTGCACAGGCACTACCGTTTCGCAGACCCTTAATATGTTTCTCTTCGCAATATAAAGCCGCTACACCCAGTTGTACCCAGCTAAGACCTCACCCACCACACCCATATTCCATTATGTCTACCTTTAGAAGCCTCGCTGTCCTCGCCGTGCTCGGTCTCGTCAACGCTGAGACCATTGGATTCGGCCCATACTTCTCTCTCGGCCCTACTTCGTCATGGATCCGTGAAGCAAACACTACTCTCGTTCTCCCCGAGGCCCCGAGCCCCCAGCAAGATCGTCTTGCCCTGTGGCCCGGCATGGGAACAAGCGCCGGCGACTTGATCCAAGCCCTTGCCGTCTCTTTCTCTGACCCCTCAGCGTGAGTGTATGAACACCAACAATATATAGAACACGGGCCTGACTCTTACAGAAACTGTGGTGCCACATCTGGACAGTGGTGCACCTGGGCTAGTACCCTCCAGGGCGAACAGTTGGGTGGAAAGCAGGTCCCCGCTAATGCCGGCGATGAGATCAACATGCACTGTACGTCCCCGTCCGCCCAACGCAACAACACAAGCTGATTGTTTTGGTAGACAAGTACAACGATGACACCAGCAAGTTCGACCAGACCGTCTCCATCAACGGAGAGGTTGTTTCCACTCTTTCAACCAGTGAGTTCTGCACGTCCTGACCGAGACCTTCAACTAACAAGCGCTTCTAGCCTCCGGCCATGCTCAGGGTTATGGTACCGCCGTCGAATGCCAGGCTGAGGCATGCAAGGGCACTGCTGCCGCTCACGGTGAGTCTACGTCAACAAGTTCGGAGGGAAAACCAATACTAATTACCATAGAATACCTCGACACTACCGTCATCTTGAACGCCGCCGACTCTTCTTTCGGAGACACCCTTGCTATCAACGAGGCCACTTCCTCCGGCCTCAAGACCTCCGACAATGGAAAGACCTGGACTGTTTCTTCCATCAAGATCCAGTCTCACACTTACGACCTGTAAATTAGGTCGGATACTGTATACTATCATAGACGAAAAAGAGCTTCTGTGCAGGTCCCAGGCAATCAATCCACTGTTTAATTATGAGAAATCCGCCGAGCAAACCTTGAGATCCTTTGTACTCTTTTCAATCAAGAGTTGGAACAAACAGAGCTCTGAACACAACTCCCATCGCTACAAATGAAGACACCTCGTATCCTGGAGAAATCTTACCCGCCATAGCTTCACATGGACACCTGAGCAACACTTTATGTCCGGAATCTACTTCCAAGGGCTTATGCAATTGAAATGAAGCTTACAAAACACAGTCCTGTCAGTACCCTATATTACCATTGGGAGCACGTCATTCCCTGCCCGAGATAGTTACAATTCACGAGCTGCGGAGCCAAAACCGAGAAAGCTCCCAACCCAGTACGCGCATAAGAAATTACCCGACACCATCCACCCCATATCTTGGAGCAATTGCGGGGAAAAAATGCTGCATAAACCCTGAGCTAAAGTTGGGTAGCCGACAGAGGTTCTTATGAGGATTATCCAGACATAACACAGGAAGTTAGCCCCAAGCCACAAAGGTGAGGGAGCTGACACCCGGCAAATACATCTTGCGGCCAGTCAAATACTATTTAAAGAGCATTATTTACCTCACATTTGAAGCCGTTTGGTATTATACATTCATCTCATCACACAAATTATGGCATCTCAAATCTTCAACGTTGGCATTATCGGCTATGGCCTAAGTGCCAAGATCTACCAGATCCCCTTCATCAGAGCTGCAAAGGGCCTCAGTCTCTACGCTGTTGTACAGAGAACACCAAAAGCCAACGATGATGCTGAGAAAGACTGGCCTGGCATCAAAAGCTTTCGCAGCACAGAACAGCTAATCGCGGACCCGGGAGTGGATGTCGTGGTTGTGACCACCGCGCCAGATTCTCATCTTGAGCTGGCGAGATTGGCTCTGAATGCTGGAAAACACGGTAGGCTGGAAAATCAAACACAGAGCTGTAGGTTTGGGGCCGACTGATACTTATACTTTCCCAGTTGTCGTCGAAAAACCATTTACGCCGACGTACAAAGAGGCCCAAGAGCTCGTTGAGCTTGCGAAAATGCAAAACCGTCTGCTCACAGTGTACCAAAGTAAGTGATCATCCACTCTATTAAAACATTATCTGTTTGAAGACAGTCGTTAACAAGCAGAATTAGGTCGCCGTTGGGACGCAGATTTCCTGACTCTGTCCCAAGTCTTAAAAAACAAGTCTCTAGGACGACTTGTAGAGTATGAGACCCGTTTCGAGCGCCACGTGCCAGGAGTTCCAGGCTCAGCATGGCGAACCAAGGCAATGCCTGGTGGTGGCGCAATTTACGACCTCGGTGCTCATCTTATCGATCAAACCGTGCAGCTGTTCGGTTTGCCGAAGCGCATTACTGCGTTCCTTGGCAATCAGCGAGATGGAATAAACGGTAGTGACGACTCATTCACTGTTTTGATGCATTACGAAGGATTCCTTGCTACAGCCAAGGCGGCCGTTGTCAGCCCACAGGAGAAACAGTTACGATTTTGGGTTAAGGGTACCCAAGGGACTTATATCAAGGTGTGTTTCCCTCTGGGTCTGCTGTAAAATCCAGGAACTAATGGATGTAGCATCACTTTGATGTACAAGAGGAGCATCTCAAAGCTGGTAAGCGGCCTGGAGACGATGGATATGGGGTCGAACCATCTGAGCGATTTGGTAAGTGGTGTCTCTTTTTCTGCGAGCTGCCCAGGTAGGACTGAACGACCTTTACTGACTGCGGGTTGTGTCCAGGTACATTGACCCAAGCTCAGCCCGATGGCACATTCGAGAGCGAGGCTGTACCTACCGTTGATGCGCCTCTTTACACCGACTTCTATGACAAGCTTGCCAAGGCCTTGGCCGGCGAGGGAAATGTCCCTGTAGATCCTTCTGAATCTGCCATCATTATTCGGCTTATCGAGCTCGCCATTCAGAGCTCCGAGACTGGAAAGACGTTGGATATTGACGTTTAATGACATGTGGATTGGTTCATGCTGGATTTGATGCTGGTTTAGAACTAGAAATCTCTGCAGTCTATAAATCTGCATTTGCAGGCAACTCAAGAACCAAATGCAATTGCTTTCCAAAAGTTGCTGGTTGTCTGTAGACTGGTAAAATAATGCTGGTTCGAAGACGCCTCGCTATGTGATGCAATTCTGAGATTCGCACCGGAAGAGACAGGATGAGTGGTTCCATTCAAACACAAATGAGCTCAGCCGAACAGATCAACAGCGCTGTTTTGAATTATCTTAGGACCCAATACCGCAGCCAATTCAGCGATGATGCCCTTAATAGATTGTGGCTCAGTCATAGACATGGTCTCCCATCCCACCAGATCCTGTTTGAGGTTAGCAACCAATGAAGCCTTGCTGAAATAGCCACGGGAAAAGGAGACCTACCTCCATGTGAACCAAGTTCTTTCTAAAGAACAGCAACCAATGATCTAGGTCTAATGCTTCCACCTGAGCGACCGTCAGAGCACCAGGCATACCGATGTCAAAGAGGGAGACTTCGGTATCAGCATTGAAATCAGGAGGCGGAACGGGGAGTGCATCCTTCGTTCTGTCCCGTGAAAGCGAAACATAAGAACGAGTATTGAGCTTCTCAGTTAATTCGCCATCAAGCGGGTCCCACTCGCCGGACTCGGGATCTATGCAGCGGGAAAAGAGGGTTAGATACCATGCCGATCATTGCGCAAATCGGAAACTATGCTAGAAATGGATGAGACTTACCAAGAATGTACTGTGGCCTGAAGTTTGCCTTGTAGCGCATCTTCACACAGGAGTGGATGTAGTAACCTAGATCTGATGAGACATAGTTCGATGGGGTGTGATCCATGCCGACTTACCCATGTAGTAGTACTTGTATTGGTTCTCAATGCAGAAGGCAATCTCACGCATAGCGCTCAGCTTACCGAACTCCCATTGCTCGTAGGCTGGATCATGGCTGGGATGCACAATGTCAGCTTATCGCATCTTGTGTAAGATTTCCACCAGAACTCACAAGACATAGACAGAGCTGACACCGGTGGGAAGTAAGTCTAACACGGCGACAGCAACAAGCTCACCGTCAAGGCGGTAGCATTGATGCCACGAACCAAGTTTCTTCTCGGTGGCATTGGCATCTGTCAATGGATTCGGAGAGCGCTTGATACCGGTGCATAAGAAGCGCTGGAAGTCCTTAGGCTTTGTACTAGAGACATCTTCTTTATGCACGGCTGTCTGATACTTGAGGAACAGCTGGAACTTTGCCTGGGACACAGAGTCACCCTCGATGGTGACCTCGAACCGATGTGCCGGTTCAATGGGGAGTTTAGTAGCAGGGTCAATAGGCCGTTTGATATTGCTGTACTCGCTTTCATGCACCGCTGACAGAACGTCAAAGTTGCATTTGCGGTGCTTTTTCTCTCTGTGGGCCGTCAGCGCAGATCCAACACGGCGTAGCAAATAATGAATGAGTGCTTACGCGCGAGTTTGCGGACAGAGCCGGGCCGCTTTGCGCATATACTCCGGGCCCAAAATGAATTTGTTCCATTTGTTGATTGCCTTACGTTGATCACGGCGGGGCCGATAATCGGCCGCCTCCAACCTCAATGTGTAATGGGGGCAACATGACTGGAGCAAGTTCTGCTTGTAATAGAGAGAACCAGAGCTGATTGCATTAGGAGTAGACAGCCAATATGGACCGAGATACTTACCGTCGCCAGCCGTTGTTGATCAAGTCTTCATAATGTTCCGGGTGTACGGACGTGGAAGTGGTGTAGTACGATGCGCCTGCGACGTGTCAACGTGATGAGAATGAAGTCAGAGGGGGTCCACGCACTGCCATCTTTGGACTTGCAGTAACCACACGAGTTTCTTTGGTAACCTGTTCACATTAGCCCTGAGGGGTAGGACGATCAGACTTGATATCCCCGCCAAGGCACCTCCCATAGGACCCTGGACCAGTGGAAGCGCCACGGGGTAACAGAGGTCTATCTCAGTGGCTCGCTGCGGGAGAGTGGAAACATTACCTAGCGGCCGGAAGAGCGAGAGCTCGCGCGCGCGTTCGGCGTCAACCACCTGCATTGCGAGACAAAATACCTCAGTGGATGCGAAGTTGATGTTGTGGCGGGGTCACAATACTCGTACGAGTAAAGGTGGTGTACGGTGTACGGCAAGGGGCAAATGATGTTGCTGTACGGAGTACTGGGAGTATACGAAGCAGGCCTGGCCTTCGATTCTTATGAATTCCTATTCCTATTGTAGACACCTGGACACCTACCTAGGTATTGCATGATCTATAATATATCGAATATTAAGCAGCCACATATACTGATCGGCCTCCCTCGCTCCGAATTTCCCACTCGGTACCAAACCCGGCCATTCTTAGGGTCAAGCCCGATCCCGATTTGAACAAAGTCAGAATATAAGAGTCATAGGCACGAAGTCAGTGAAACCAGGGCTGTGCCTTTTTTTTTAAAATGGAAGATCCCCAAATTATAGAATTTGGTTCTCATTCAACTTTAGATGTTTTAGGAGAAGAGTCACATGACCATGTATAGGATCAAAGAAGAAAAGAAAATTGAAGAAATTGAGAAACCGATGAAGAACAGAGCACTGAAACTACAGAGAATCTCATTCAATAGCTCAAGTGTAACAATTGTAACAGAAAAAAAGGAGTGAGAAAAAAAAAGACGTACAGCCGGACTGCGCCGCCGGTTCTGCCCCTCCATTCCCACATCTCTTTCCTTTTTTTCCATTCTCCAACTACTTCAGATATTACATTGAAACCATGCCTATTTGTACTTCTTTCCATTCCAATCCCCCGGGAATGAGGAATACCTGATTGCCATCTTGTCTCGACATTAGGAAAAGAAAATTTCCATCCCCGACCGCCCTACCTTTCCACTGAATCTTCCCAAACTTACCGGATTTGACAGCCTCCGAGGGAGCTATCTTTCTGGACCTCCGTGACCTGGTCGCCTCCGCTCCTTTTTACTCCCATATCTTACTCCGACCATCTCGACAGCCTCACACTCTTCAAATGGCTCAAATACGATCCATGGAAGCCCGCGTTGGGCGGAAAAACCAACGTATGTCTTCCTCTCGGCACGTGGCTGATCGTCGCGTTTCCCCCCTTACCTCTATGTCTCTAACGAACTGGTAGGCTACGGTTCCAAAGGCGAGCGACTGGTCGCCGGCGTTGTCCCTATTTCCGCCGATAAGACCAAAGTCCTCATGATCCAGTCAGCCGGCCCCGGAGGCTGGGTGCTCCCTAAAGGAGGATGGGAGTTGGATGAAAAAACCGCCGAGCAGGCGGCATGCCGCGAAGCCTGGGAGGAGGCCGGCGTGGTGTGCGCCGTGAGCAGAGATCTCGGTCTCATCCCAGACATGAGACCCACCGGCCATTTAACGGCGCAAGCGCCCAAGGCCTCATATCAATTTTTCGAAGTGACCGTTGAACGCGAAGAGACCGAATGGCCCGAGATGCACAAACGGAAACGTCAATGGGTCCCCTATGCGCAGGCCGCTACGGCGCTCGCAAATCGACCGGAACTTCTGGAAGCGTTGAATCGCAGTTCCTTAAAGCGGTAGCATCTATTGCACCACAACTCTCTCGCACAACTCAACTCTCTCGCACCACTCTCCATCTCAACTTAACTACACCTTCTCGACACCTACCTCTTGGATCAGGCAGCCTGGTACCTGGACACAGGCCACACCTTCGGATGAAACCAGTCACCAGTGGTTGCCTCCATTCTCATCTCTGGGGTTGCAGTTCTCTGTGCATGACTAAATCTTGAGAGAGTCCCTTTTTCCTGATTATGACTCGACATGACCGACTTACAAAAAACGGTGGCTTCGTCGCTTCTACAATTGGCTTCTACCTTTTACTCTGTTTTGCATTGCTCCGACGGGCTGCTGCTACCCGTTGTCTCATTTGCGTATGAGCACCTGTTTCTGATCTTTGTCCCGTCTTGATAGACGCTTTTTGTTGCAAACAGACCATTGGAACGTTTATCTACCATTGTAGTGGAGATTCCTTGCTGTTTCGTGGTATCGGACTATTCTATCTGAATCCATAGCTTGGCTTGGCTTGCTTGCCAGATTTAAGCCCAAAGAAATTTTGTCTTAGTGCTAGACTTTGGCTCTTTAGATGCTACAGCGTCTATGACCTCTCTGCTCAATCTGAACCACTTATTCTGCTCTCCAAGGATGAGCAGAAAAGCAACAAGACCACAATTATTAATGTAGTTCAATTTCTCATCGTAATTGTATTCAGTATGGAACATGGAGCATTTGAGTGCACTTTGGCAACACGATACCGATTGGTGTCCCAATTAGGTAAAGCGCCAAGATGCCTCCGAGGGAGCAAATCCGCGCTGTCCACCCTCAGTTGCTTGACTTCGCGCCCATCATCAACAACACCACTCACCAGCTCCGTCACTTCTGTGCCTTGGAGAATTCGGACTTTTGATCACTCTTGCAGATCATCAAAGCTTGAAATCGGGTCGCAGCGACCAGCGCTGCCGCATACAACATGGAGTACGAGATGGACCTCGAGCCCACCGGGCCCCAAGTCACCGTCCGCGAGGTAATCAGACCCAAGCAGTTCATAAGGAGACCACTGACACGAACCAGGCGGAACCATACCGCGTCGACTTCCGTCTCTCAGCCGTCGACCTGGCGTTTGCGAACTCTCTCCGCCGCACCATGCTTGCCGAAGTGCCAACCCTCGCTATGGATCTCATTGAAATCGAAAGCAACACCTCCGTCCTTCCCGATGAATTCCTCGCCCATCGTCTCGGCATGATTCCTCTTAACTCGCTGAACTGCGACCAGGACCTGGACTACACAAGAGACTGCGACTGCGAGGACCACTGCGTGCGCTGCAGCGTGACTCTCTCCCTGCACGCGCGTTGTGGTCAAGGGCAAATGTCCGTCTACGCCAGGGATCTGGTCATCGTCGGCGAGCGAATCAACCAGACTATCGGTAACCCCGTCACCACCGATCCCGAGGGCAGGGGACCATTGATTTGCAAGCTGCGCAAAGGTCAGGAGGTCAAGATGACATGTCTGGCGAAGAAGGGAACTGCCAAGGAGCACGCGAAGTGGGCGCCAACTGCTGCCGTGGGCTTTGAGTACGATCCCAACAACAACCTGCGTCACGTGGATTACTGGTATGAGCAGGATCCAGCGAAGGAATGGTAAGTGGACGAGTTTTCTTATTTACAAACCTTCGAATTGGTGATTGACTTCCACAGGCCTGTCTCCGAAAACGCTGCTTGGGAAACTGCCGCCGCACCGGACCAGCCTTTCGACTACGATGCCGAGCCATCAATCTTCTACTTCGACGTCGAGAGCATTGGCAACCTGGAACCCGACATGATTCTTCAGCAATCTATTATTTCCCTGCAGCGCAAGCTAGCCACCACTGTCTCCGAGCTTTCTGGTGAAGGCGAAGGCCACATTGGCGAGGATGCTGAGATGATGGGCGCCAACGACCCCGACGCCTACGAGCCTCCCGAGGGCATCGATGGAAACATGACTTCATACGGCAGCGGTGCTCCTGGTGGCTGGAACAGTGCTCAGACACCGTATGGCGCTACGCCTTACGGCCAAACTAGCTATGGGTTCTAAGGGAAGCAAAAAGTTGAACTCGAGCATGTGTGGCGTTTTGATTTGGTGACTGGGGCGCTTGGAGTTTCTTTTTTTCCCTTTAGTTTCTTTGTCATCTATTGCAGCTGGTGAACTGATATCTTTTGTTCATACTATAACCCAACATTCTTGCTCGCTCTGGTGAATGAGATTAGTGAATAAAATTAGACTACTAGAGTTGTTGACTCAGGTACCGGGCAGTAAAAAGCATTGATACTCTATAGACCCCGAATGTATGTTGATAGGAGCAGCTTAAGAGATATCTGGTGAATATTCTGATTTACACGAAGGAATTTGCGGAAGCTCAAGTGGTAACCAAAGAAGCTTGTTTTGACGTCTAATTAGCTATTAACATCCAAAAGCACAGGTCCAAAAACCCGAAAAAACCGATGCCCATTCCAACGCCAAACAAGACAATGCAGTGACTGTAAACAAAAAACAAAAGATCGCTAAAATTCAAACTCGAAATCACTCCATCAACTCAACGGGCGGCCTCGAAGTTTTAGGAGGCATCGACTTGACGGACATCTCAATGGGACTCATCTCATCCATATCGACATCCTCAATATCGATGCTCAAACTCATGTCCTCCACCATGACGGCCGGCAGGTTGGGACTGTCACCATGCGTGTCTGGGTGGTAGATGATAGTGCTGCTGCGACTGCGCTGACCATCAGTGGGCCAGCTAGGCGTGCGTCTATCCTCCGTGATAGAAACCGGGGTAGCGGGATCTTCCTTGGGTTCCGTTTTCAGCATAGACAGCGCATGAGCAAGGTCCGAGGCGTGGACCTCTTTGTTGGGAGGGTCTTCATTGCGCAGAACCCATCCGTGGGGCGGACTGGGAGGAGGAGAGATGAAGAATAGCTTCGAGACCTGGGGTGCTTCGAGGAGTTTGGGACGGTCGTTGAGGGGCGTTGGCTCGCCGAAGTAGATCCGGGGATGCACGCGGTTGAGCAGGGTCTGGCCGTCCAAAAGTTTGCGGATGTTGGTTGCGTCTTCGGTGTTGTTGAAAGAACAGACGATGCGACGCATGGAGGGGAGAGGGGAGAAAGAGTTGAGAGCGGCCACGGAGGTGATTATATTGCGGATATCCTCTAGGGCTTGCGGTTGGAAAACCAGTAGATCATGGAGATCGGTGATGAGGAGAGTGTTTGATGGCGGGGTCGGTTTCGATAATTGGGGAAGGTTGCTCATATCCAAAGATAGAGATGGTCGTGAGGAGTGTGATGAGCGCGAGGTTGCACTGAGAGCAGGTGAAGCGGCCATTTTGATATGTTGTATGAATTGATGTTTTGGGCGGAGGGGAGGATTAAGGAGACAAAGGGGAGGTTGCCACCGGATAAGCGGGAGTTGTCTAGAACCAAAGGCGGAGTCTAGAATTTTTGGGTTTGAATCTGATTGTTGAAAACTAGGGACGAAATGAGTTTATAAAGAGAATTTGCCATCTGAGGCGCAGACTGCACTGCCCTCACGCTCTCCACTTCCGGAGACCTTTACGCCTTCATCGCGAAATGTCGATCTATTCCGCTTTCGGACCCGCCACACAGCTCTAATACACCAGCCACACCCCGTGACTCCGCTACTCCGCCCGGCTGTGGCTTGACAGGACGACGTATGCAAGGCTATCCTTATTTTCCCCTGCTCTAAGCCCCGTCCTTATTATTCTGCCTGCTTTAGTTTCTCTCGGCCATGATTCAGGTCATGTTGAGCATGTTGAGATGCCGCCCCACTATTCAGCTTCGCCTCCTGTGTCTTTCCCCAGCCCAGGGATTACGAACGCGAAGCCTCTGAGAGGCATTGTGTTTGTTTACCCCAAGGCTGCTGCATTGTTTATTTATTTATGGGGAGCCGAAGCACGGAGCTCTCACTAGAGCCCCCGTTATTAGTTTCCGACGAAGAAAGTACCCAAGTAGGCTATGGTGGCCGCACTAACACCCGGAGCTTCCGGACAAGCCTTGCGCGGTCGGCATCAAAATTATGCACCCCGATGCCCCCGGATGTTAGTTGGACATGGTCAGCCTTGCATCGGGCCTAGGGTTGACAGTATCACCAATGTCCGAATGGGAGTCTTCCAAATGTTGTAAATATTGTTGGAATGGCACGCGCCTCGCGAGGTCCTAAAAGGAAATCAAAACAAAGCATAAATTTCCAACACAGAAATTCTATATCTGGCTCTATACCCTGATGCAGTCACCAATGACCTGTCTCAACCTGGAGGGTCATCTTCTATAATTTACTTTCCCCATGCTGTACGGCTCCACCTGATAGTTCCTTCCCAACACGCACAGGCTGCGCCCCCGGATGCGACTCCCGAACAACAGCGGCAAACGCAGCCTCAACATCATGCTCGGACAACCATTCTGTATCAGGTCGACCTTTCAATCTGGCGACAAGCGCCTCATCTTCAGCTTCGCTTGACTCAAAAGCTGCAGGCTTCCTACTGATCTGGCCATGCACAATATGCAACAACCGAGCAGTATGAGGTTGCCTTGTCTGGCTGTACAGCCTCAATGCGCTTTCGATATTCTCGGATGAGAACGTGGCCCCCTTGAGGACGTGTTTAAACGCAAGACCAAGAGCGAGGGAGTCATCGAGTGCCAGCGAACCCCCGGCGGCGAAGGCACCCCCGTGCGCGTGCGCTGCGTCTCCTACCAGTGTCACGCGTGACCCGAAAACCCAAGTTGGAAGGGCATCACCAGCGAAATTGGGGTAGAGGTTGGTTGAGGGTGTGAGCTCTGTAAGGGCTCTCACGATTGGGTTCCAGTCCTGAGATGTTGGTCAACAACTGCGCAGTACGGAGTAGCGGTTGATTGGTTGAAATATACCTGGTATCGCTTTCTCAGGAACTCAACATTGCCGGTTTGATCCCATGCAATGTCTTTTTCCAGCTCTTCGGACGAGCGCGGATCATCATATGCGCCAACCGTGGTGTACTGACTTTTGCCTGGTCTATGTCAGACTTGCCGCGATTCCGATATCATCTCTCGTCTTACCAAGCCTTGATGCGAAGAAGTTGTCTTTAGGTCCCCACTATCAAATCATCAGTGATTGTCTTTCTGGGCTTTGAGAAAGTTGTTACCCAGTGTATCGAATCCGCAGGTAAGTTTGGTATCTTGCCCTCGACCAGGGCAGCATCAAATGTGGCTCTCATGAAAACTTTCCCACTAAAGCGGAGTTTGTAATCTGGGATGAACGACTGTCTGACACTCTATATTTAAATCAGTGATAAGAAGCTTTGATTGAGGTGCATTTCCACGAACCGATCGAATGCCATCCGCTCCGATGAGAATGTCGCCATGGGCACTGCTCCCGTCTTCGAAATACAATGCGACGCCATCCTGGCTAGCTTCCGCACGCTTGATCTTCTTGTTGAGATGAATCTTCTCCGGAGGCACATGCTCAAGCAAGGCCGAGTGTACATGACCGCGGTGAAAACGAGTTGTGTGGTGTCGAGGGTCCGGGACATTGGCATGAGTATCTATCGACACCACTTGATCTGTTTTCCAATGACTACGAGAGTTCTTAGCGGCCAGCAACTAAATGGGCATTTGCGCTCAGAGCTCATACCGGAAGATCTGAGGTATTCCGCTAGGACCTCGGAAGCCTACTTCGTCGCTCAAAGCATCGTGGACGCCGAGCTTCTCAAGTGTGCGCATTCCCTGATATTCAATTTCTCTGTCAGGTGTCATCCAGTCAACCCACACGTAGCAAAATACATACATTTGGACTGAGCGCAATACTAGCACCGATCTCCAAGAGCTCCGGGGCTTGCTCATACAACAGGACATCCAAATTCGATATAGATGAGATCCGTGTCAGCGATATAGCTGTCGCAAGACCCGCGATGCCTGCTCCAGCAATCAAAACTCGAAGGGTTTTATCTTGCTCTGCCATTTTGAGTCAATGAGCGCTGACCACAGAGATTGCCTGATCCAGAGTATTGAAGGATGAGTGTCTAGACTGAGCTTCGGCGGTCACATTTAAGCACGCCAACTCTGCAGCGGTGACGCAACCCCGCAATGGCGACTTCAGGCGTGCTTCTGGCACTTTTTCGCGTTTCAAGCAGAACATAAGAGAATACTAAGCAATCTGACCCCTGCCAAGCGGGTGATACTGCTTGACCTTCCAAGTCGGGAGAAAATCGTGGGAAACCCCCGCAATAGAGTCTCCTATCTACATCGGAATGTCTCCGCAGCGCGAAGACGACGAGGTGTCAGAGCATTGCGCGATATCCAATGGCTTTTTATAGGACAATAATTCCCCGCAAATGTCTGCTTCTATTTGCGCGTCGTTAACGTTTTTACGCGGCTTTATCGATTGTCGTGCATAAGCCTTGAAATGACCGAGCACCACAAGTCTGCCATAGAGGCAACAGCTCGAGCAAATGAAGATAGCGACAATGATATAGACACGGCGCCAAAGGTCCCTGACCAATTTGCTGATGAGAGTTTTAAGTTGTTTTCGAAGATACAAGTGACAGATCCAACGCCCGAAGAAGCAATACGCATACGCAACAAATGTCTATGGCGCATTCTACCATTTCTGTGCATCGGTTACCATTTGATGTATGTTGATAAACAAACGGTATGTCTTGGAAGTAATGGATGAGAGCAGTTCCGTACTAAAAGCCAACAGCTTGGAAGTTCTGCAATTCTCGGAATCATGACAGACGCCCACCTCAACTCAAATCAATACAACTGGCTTTCTTCGATCTTCTATTTCGGCTATCTTCTTGCCGAGTGGCCACAAAACTGGGCATTGCAAAGGTTTCCAGTCGGAAAATGGTTGGCTGGTAACCTGATAGTCTGGTGTGTCCTTCTCATCCAAATGATCGACCTAAATCACTGACTTGGCAGGGGTGGCATTACCCTCCTGCATATTCCATGCAACAGCTTTGCAACTTTATTTGTCGTTCGTTTCTTCCTTGGGGTAGCAGAAGCATCAATCGTGCCGGCATTTCTCCTCTCCATGTCCATGTTCTTCACATACAATGAACAGGCCGTGATGATGCCGGTCATGTGGTCGATTGGCAATGCAAGCCCTATCACATCAGGTCTATTGTCTTATGGTGTGCTGTGGATTGACACAGGGAGCTTTTCCCCTTGGAAGTGGTTCATGGGTATGTTTCTTGATGACAACACCAGGGTCACTGCTGATATCCATGTTAGTTATTACCGGCGTTCTCACTGTCATCTTCGGTGTCTGGGTCTACCTTCTCTTCCCTGATAGTCCTCTGCACGCTAAATTCTTGACATATGAAGAGCGTGCCCAAGCGATCTTGCGAATCAAAGAAAATCACTCGGGAATCGAACAAAAACTGTTCAAAAGATACCAGTCAGTACCCCTTTCGCCCGGGCCATTGTGTCCAAACTTCCGCTAAATTTTACAGATTCATCGAAGCAATCAAGGATCCCAAAACTTGGCTCTTCTTCCTGCACGCCTGGTCCCAGGAGATGGCAAATGGAATAACCAATCAATACTCGCTCATTATCAACTCATTTGGCTTCACTGTCCTTCAAACAACATTACTTGGCACAGTTAGCGGTTTAGTTTCATTCTTCTCCCTCAGCGCAGCAGCTATCACACTTTACCACACCAAGGTAAATGTCTCTCAGAAATCCCATTAAGATACGGTCTAACAACGACAGAATTTCCGAGCATGGATATCACTCATTGCATACATCCCAGCTGGCCTCTCTAGCATCCTACTTCTTGGTATGGCTCTTTGAACCCTGGAGTTGTATCACCGCTAATAGTAGCATAAGCTCTACCTTGGACCAACCGATGGGGTCTCATTGCCGGAATCTGGATTCGATCCACAGCCGGCATACCGTATGCAGTGGTGATGATTTGGGCTGCGAATGTATCAGCTGGCCATACGAAGAAGACCACCGTCATCGCCTTGTATCATATTGGCTATGGACTGGGCAACATCATCTCTCCGCAACTCTTCCGTCCGGAGTGGAAGGTAAGCTTTCAAGAATAGTCACAATATGGATATGAAGTTGACATTCCTTGAAGCCTAGATACAGACCAACGTGGGTGATATTGCTTGTGGTAAGTCCTATCGAACGAGACGCGCGAAGTAATTTACTGATCTTTTCAGGTTGCCGCAATTCTTCCTTCGATCATAATCATAGCTCTCCGTGTCTATCTAAGCCGAGAGAACAAACGTCGTGATAAACTCGAGGAGGCTAGTCAGGTCACCAATAATGGAGTTATCGAAACGGTCGACTCAGAGGGCGGTACAGTCAATCGTGTTGTGGACAACACTCAGTTGGATCTGACTGACAGGGAGAATTTGAAATTGTGAGTCCCCCTCCCCCCCCACAACAGTCTGGGATACTTCAAAGGATGAAAACTGATATTCCATCAGCCGATATGTGCTTTGATCTACCCAATTAGCCCTTGGTGGGCCACTTTGGAGAATTCCACTGAAGTAAAGACAGCTAAAAAGACAGCTAGTTAAAAAGAGGCCCCGAGGTTGATGACAGCTCTCCGTTACAAATCGAATATGAGATTAAGCCAACACATAACTACTCCTGCTAATAAGCAACTATCATCTTCTTTTTGACCGCGCGTGAGCGTGGCCCTGAGGCTTGTTGTTTGGTAATGGCCTGCTCTGCTCTCATGGCAGCTTGCACGTAGCTCCACCGCGCAAAAAACTTAGCCCAACGCAGATGAGAGCACATTTACCGCGAACATGATCAAGTGTCATGCGTGAATAAAGGCGATTGAAGGCCTGGGGCGATATCGGCCTCAATCTCGCACCCCAAAACGAACACGTCGATGAGAAATAGATCAATGCGGCACTAAACCCCCGGGGAATAGAAAGACCGGAAGACGGCGATCGGGGATCTTCAGCTGGCCGAAGTACACCGTCCCTTCGCCTAGTCCACGCCAAGTCAGCCACGGACCCTCAGGGTCAAGATTCGCGATTCAAGCGTTCGACATCACAGATAAGCTTACATCCAATCGACTCCACTTTTCAGCACCCTTGAGATTACTCAAGCTCCTTTTTGAACATTCTTGAGCTTCTCCGACCTTATCCATGGGTGCACCGAGACTGCCAGCATATGCAATCAGCATCGCTCCTTGGGTCTATGGATCTATAGACCAGAAGGTATCATCCACAGGGATCAACGCTAAATTTGCAGGGTAGAAACCCCGGGAATCAGCAGCCACGAGAGTCTTGCAGCCCAAAGGGACAGAGCACTAGATGCAGACTAGGAAAGTGAAGAGGTGGGGCATTTGGATCCTCTGCGAAAAATGCATATGCCATATTTGGACTAGCTCCTTTGGCGCGTCGGTTACGCATGTTGAATCAACGTCGGATTGGCCGCCCTGAGCCGTTTAGTTCTAAATTTGCTGCACTGCACTGATGACTGGCGAATTGCGGTGACTTTGCTCCTTGGCGTTTCCCATCCCACATCTTCAGGTTCCCTAGCCTCATCCGCCGTGTGCAAATTCTACAATTCTTGCCGAGCCGGGTCTTGAACCCACATCACGGCAGATATTCTGTGCATTGTGAACTCCCAAACCATATAGACCAACTGCTCTGGTTTCGTATGTCCAACTCATGTGAACGAGACCTCACTTTATCATCGCATCGGAATCATATCCATAGACCTGAACTCGTAGAATGAAGCCATGGAACGTTCTGGTGCCTCATGGGCACAAATTTGGCAAGAATACTGAAGTGGAGCACCGCATTAGAGCGCATCCATTTAGGCTCTTCGCCTAGCCTTCAGCCGCATTCTCGGGACAGCAATCAAATCCACTTTGGGAAGTTGGTGGAAACCTTGGAATATAAACCCGCCAGCCACCCATGGGGAGCATACATCAAGTCAGGCATATTCCATCTAAGATTAAGGCTCCAGGGCTTAATCTATCACACGAAGCCTAGAGACACGCCAAGACAGAGAAAAGCTTGAAATTGTTGTCAAACTCAGAGCTCTTTGACATGAATAGACTTTCGCAAAGATGTATTGCACTCCAGGCCTGCTCTTCTTGTCGGGCAAAAAAGAGGAAGTGTGATAGGATGCTCCCAGCTTGCTCGAGGTGTCAACGGTATGCCTCCCAACTACCTCCCAGTCCTCTATCGGTCTTTCTCAGACACTTGCTGATGCTATTTATGGATACGAAGACTCTCTAATCATTGCCAATATCTCAACCCACAAAGGTGAGACGCCCTTTGCTGTCCATGGATGACTTGATTACATTTCCTAGCTGGAATGAGAATCTTGACTGACGGGTACGTATACAGCGATAATCCACACATGCCGATGTCGGGTTTTGAGCCCCCGAAATCGAACGCTGCATGCAAAAGATGCAGGGAGGGCAAAAGAAACTGCAACAGAGTCTTGCCACAATGTTCTCGCTGCACGCAGTAAGCCAAAATTCGAAAATACAAAGATGGATAGAAGCTAATGAGGTCTGAAGAATGAAGAAACCATGTGTATATGACCAAGCATACCCAGGTCTACTGCAACATCTTCATCCAGCTGAGCCTGTTGGAACATATAGCAGCACCTGTTCGTACCAGGATCCACACTCACGAGACAGCTATTCGCGGTTGAACAGTCCGACCCGAAACAATCCACTATTTACAATTGACGATTTTGGAAATGCTCATCTTGACCCATTCCGGACCTACCCATCTGAGCTCAGTCCTGAGTGTATAAGTGAGGTCCTCACTTATTGTGAGGCTTGTTCAAAATCGATACAGATTGTTGTACTTTGCTAATAGTCAGTCCATCATAGCAATCAAAGAGATGTGGCCAAAGCTATTTCCTGGTTTTGTTCATAAAGGCATGTCATTTGTTCATCATTGGATGTACTCAGCTATGAGTTGTCCGGCATTGTTCAATGCATGGCTCCACTCGGGAGCAGAGCATCTACAGCTTCGCGCATCATCCAGCAATCCAGCTATAATACCCTCTCGGAAAGCAGCCTATGAAAAGCTTGTCATGCAGCGAGAGGCTATCGTCAGTTTAAAGAAAGTGATCGAAACCGGTCGTACAGACATGATCACTGATGAGATTGTTATGAGTGCTTTTGCGCTGACTCTACATCCACCAGAGCGGAGAAAAGGTGCAGCTGTTCGGATGAGATCAGCTCCGCTATCCAATCTGCAATGGCTGTCAAGATTCACGGATATTGTGATATCGGATGAGCAAGTGCAAGGTTTGCGCCATCTTGTTAATGCCAGAGGAGGATTTGATAAGCTTGAGATGCCCGGTTTGAAGCAAGGGCTATCAACGTGAGTTTGTTACCACAATGACTGCAAGAATTTTATCCTGGATTTCTATCTGACCTGAATTTCAAGGTTCAACCTTTTGGTGGCAAGCAAGAGTCTAACACAACCATTCTGGCCGCTTCGGTCTGGCCTTGAAGCCGAAGCCATATCGAAATTCTTGTCTAGCCTCCAAGAATCTCCCAGAGAGAATGAATCCTCATTATGGTCAAGCTTGATTTTCCCAGAATCCATGACATGGGAGGTCCAAGCTGTTTCCCTATACACCGCGATGCTGCACGACTACTCAAAGGGACTCCTGCCCGGTTTGAACACCGGCTATGTGCTCGAGATACGGAACTCAATTCATTACCATATGATGAGCCTGCCTAGCATTCTCGAACACTCAGATATTATGGAAACTTCTTCGCTGGAGTACGAAGCCTGTCGATTGGGCCTCGTTGTCTACAGTCTTCTCATCTTGTTCCCCGTCCCATTAATGACAGAGCCCTACCCAGACCTTGCGCAGCTACTGAAAAATGAGCTTGTTCACTTACGGGTCGATCCAAGCCCCTGGATGTCAAATCTGGACTTGTTGCTTTGGCTGCTCACTATGGGTGGAATAGCTGCTTTGGGAACTAATACCCGTTGGTGGTATATTCAGCAGATTCAATGGGTGACTGCGATGCTGGAACTTCATACCTGGGAGCATTTCAAATCAACTGTGGCTTCCATCCTTTGGCTGGATAGTCCCTGTGATTTTGAAGGACTGGCTCTGTGGGAAGAAAGTTGCATCATTGGTGCATGAAATTGATACATGAAGGTGCAGTCAGACTAGTAGCATTTTTTGAAAGCACGATAGCCATCTACTAGAATTTATCAGATAGTGAACCCCCAAATTGTTCTTATCTCCAAATTCTTACTCGTTGACCAAAATTAGGGTAAACACGTACAGACTTTGTTTATTTTGTTGTCTGAGCCGATAGATTGGCTTGACCGATCGAGTGGGCTTGATGTACGGAGTATAGAATTTTATACTTACTATGGGACAATGCTCCTCTGCCCTCTAATCTCTCGACTTGCTGCCTGATTTTCGCTTGCTTTGCTGCTCTTATCTCTTTTCCTGAAGCTACAGAAGCCGACCGACCCGAAGTATTGGAGTGTGGGGGTGAAAGGATATGGGGGATATTCCACACTTTGACACAATATCACTCCAAACTCCACTAAAAATCAACAAACCACTGCTGAGCTATTACCAGGCGCATTGACAGGTCAGCTTGGATGACTCGGCCAGTCACATTCCAATGGCGAATATCAGGTGCACGCAAGGTGCGGAAACACAACATTCGGCCTGAATGACGTGCCAGCCGTGTGATTTCCAATCTCAAAAACCAAAAGCACCCTTCCGGCTGACGACATTGATTAGTATTTGTGCTCTGTCACTATTTAAATCCAATGTCTTCAAAGCTGCAGCCTGCTCTTCCACTTCACAACACTCACGATGGGGATACAGGAGCAACAACCTCTTTTGAGGCCGTCAGCTAGATACCATCCCATACCAGATGCCCAAGAGCCTCAAAGCGCCTCCGATGAATCTTTGACTCTTTTGCCCGACTCCTTGCCGGGAGCAACCTATACAAAAACTCTAAACTGGTCAAGCGCGTACATACTGGTTGTGTCACGCGTGATTGGAAGTGGTATTTTCGCTACACCAGGGTCCATTGTCAGATCTGCCGGAAGCATCGGACTTACCCTACTAGTATGGCTGGCGGGAACGATCTTGTCAGGATGCGGTCTCGCTGTGTCGATGGAATTTGGCTGTATGCTCCCTCGCTCGGGGGGAGAAAAGGTAAAGGCACTCGCTTAGAGGGCGACGAGACGCGTTAGCTAAACTGGTTTACTTCTGCTAGGTGTACCTCGAGTATACCTATCCGCGACCGCGATTCCTCGCCTCTAGCTTGGTTGCTGTTCAAGCGGTGCTTCTGGGATTCACCGCGAGTAACTCCATTATCTTTTCGAAATACACATTCTTCGCGCTTAGCATCGAGCCCACTGAGCTTCAGCATAAGCTACTCGCCATCGGTCTGTTGACGGCCATTACTATCGTCCATGGTGTCTTTTTGAAGACTGGTATCTTTGTTCAAAATGTCCTAGGATGGGTCAAGATTTTCCTGATTGGCGCAATGTCATTGACTGGACTATGGGTCGTTTTCCTTCGCTTCAGTGGAGATATCGGTGATGTGTCTCCAGGATCAAGCGTCGGTGCCTTTTCGTGGGACTCTATCTGGGAAGGGTCGAATTGGAGCTGGAGTTTGCTCTCGACTGCGTTGTTCAAAGTCTACTACTCCTACGCCGGATTGAGCAACATCAACAATGTCCTCAATGAGGTGCATGATCCAGTCGGAATAGTGAAGACCGTGTGCCCTACAGCACTTCTCACGGCTGGAGTCTTGTATTTCCTGGCTAATCTGTCATACTTTCTTGTCATTCCTCTGGAGGAAATCAAGAACAGCGGAGAGCTTGTCGGCGCATTGCTTTTTGAAAGACTATTTGGTGATCATATCGGAAGGATATTCTTTCCTCTGGCGATCGCCATTTCTGCTGCTGGGAATGTGATGGTGGTGACATTTGCTCTGGTATGTTCTGATTGCAAACACACGCTATCAAATACTGACCTTGATAGGCACGGGTCAACCAAGAAATAGCTCGACAGGGCTTTTTACCGTGGCAGAACATTCTCTCTTCTACAAAACCATTTGGAACCCCTCTTGGTGGACTGATCGTGCACTATATCCCGTCCATTCTGGTCATAGGACTACCGCCCCAAGGCGATGTCTACAACTTCATCCTAGACTTGGAAGCATACCCAGGCCAAGTAGCTGCTTTGGCAGTTACCGTTGGCTTGTTGATAGTTCGCTATCGAGAGCCAGATCTTCCACGGCCTTTCAAAGCATGGCTACCAGCTGTCTGGCTACGCGTCGTGGTCTGCCTCACATTGCTAGTAACGCCGTTTATCCCACCCCCCAACTGGAAAGGCGACGTTAATTTCTTTTACGCTGCCTATGCTCTTGTCGGCATTGGAATGTGAGTATCTTGAAGCATTCTGTGGAGCTGTGTACCCAATACTGACTTGGACAGAATACTTTTCGGTGTCCTTTACTGGTATATTTGGACTGTGGTAATTCCCAGAAAGGGAGGCTACAAGCTTGAAGAGGAGAAGGAAATTTTAGCGGATGGGACTAGTATCATCAAACTCGTTCGCACATATGGCGACTAGATAAATAGAAGCTCACATGTGGAGTAATGTGACAACCTTGGAATGCTTCCGGTATAACTCGACCTGTGCTCCGTACTCGGTATCTCGCTCCCTGCTAGTTGAGCTGCTTTGGCAGGGTGTGCGGGATACCGTGGGCTCGTATCTGGTCACACTAGACCTCCAGTTCAAGAAGCACCAGCAGCAAGGAATCGCATCTGGGTAAGAGCAAAGTTGGTGAGTTCCCAGGTTGATGCAGGCCAAAGGGGGTTAAGCTCGGACCATCTCCGGGCCGCAGTCGATCCGGGCGCTTTCCGTTTGCTTTGCAGTTACTCCGTCCACAGTATACCGAGAGACCACGAAAGTTGCCCTTTTGAATGATTGGAATTCGCATTGTGCAAAACTTCATTCGGATGTGTGCACGGACATCAGTCAGGGAGCGGAGAGGAATTGGAAAGCGCGGAGCCTTTCAGAACATGCGGACCATGATCTGCCCGAGACACCGATCGTGTAATCAACTTTACCCTCCTTGGGATAAACATGTCTCCGCACTCGTCTGATTGGGCACTCGATATGTGTACTTTGACTTATCGTGAGCCAGGTCGGAGACAAAGAGCTCATTCGTTATACACCGAAACTTAGCCCGATCCCGATCGCAGCCCATGACAGACAAGCATGTTGCATCGGGGGCCGAATAGCGAGTTTACTAATGCAGGGAGCTCTCAGGGCTATTTGCTTCATGGTATAAAAGGTACGATATGGCAATAGATCTGAGACCCAATCAAGTCTTCTCTGCCCCGTACATCTCAACAGATCTTCCCTCTTCCCCCAACATCATCAAAATTCACAATGCCTCTACAATATGAGCCCAGCTTCCAAAAGGCCATGGCCCCTGTGCTGGCGGCGAGGGCAGCGGCCCCCAAAATCGACATGGAGGATCCACTCGCCATTCGTTCTGTGATGGGCCCGTCGTTTGAAAAGTTGATGAACCAGCTCCCCGATGTCCCAGAGGTTGAACATGAAATCCATCACCTCACATCGTACGATGGACAGTCCATTGCGATCCATCGCTATCGCAGAAAGGACCAAGACGCGACGAAACCTGGATCAGCCATTCTTCACGTTCACGGCGGGGGCTTGATATTCGGCACCCCAGCGTTTTTCTCAAAGTGGCAGGCCTCGCTAGCTCGCGATTCAGGAGTCCAGGTCTTCTCAATCGACTACCGACTAGCCCCCGAGCACCCATTCCCAGCACCCGTGGAGGACTGCTATGCCGCACTGCCCTGGTTGCAAGAGAACGCAGAGAAACTCTGCATCGACCCAAGTCGCATCATCACATATGGCGAGAGCGCAGGAGGAAACCTCGTTGCAGCCATAAATCTGATGGCACGCGACCGTGCCCTCTCACCTCCCATCGCAAAACAAATGCTGATCTACCCCATGCTTGACGATCGATCTGTCAATTCAATGCCCGCCATGGATGGCCTTCTGATGTGGACGCCCGATGCAAGCGTCACCGCTTGGAAAGCTTATCTGGGATCTGACTATGGGACAGATCGAGTGTCGGAATATGCTGCTCCTGCTCGCGCGAAGAGCGTCAAGGGATTGCCGCCTACTTACATGGAGCTTGGCACATTGGACCTTTTCCGCGATGAAGACTTGGAGTATCTGACGCGTATCGCGAAGGAGAATATCGAGAGCGAACTTCATCTTTACCCTGCTCTTCCTCATGGTTATGATCTTTGGCTTCCTCTTGGAAAGCCAGCAGAAAGAGCCCATGTCGATAGACTTCATGCCATTTCCGGTGTATGATATTGGCATGTTCGGCACATCTAGTGCGATTGTTCTGGGAGCATGGAGTGTTTAGCGTATATCTATAGATAGTCGTCAATAAAAACAATAACGATCGTCAGGCCAAAAATAATTTCATAAGCTATTTTGTCAATTGTGTATCAGCTAAACAAGTTCAACGCTTCCAAGGTTTCCTCAACTCAGCGGGATTGTGGATTGAGGCCCACGACCCGAAAGTGGGCGGGTCGAGATTGGGGTTTGGCGAGGTCTGGGCGTCCTGCCGATCAGCCCCGGGCCTCACTTTGGCATCGAAAAACAATCAAGCCAACTCCAACTCACGACCGATTCCAACCCTTTTCAGCCTGCGTCCGAGGACCTCAATTCCATCCTTACGGATGACCAAGTCAATTCCCCGGTCTCTGTCTCTGTTTCTGTCTTGGGGCTTCTGAGGGTCCATCAATCTTATCCTCGAAATTTCCACAACTGAGAATCTGCTCAGTAGCTCGCCAAACCGATCAGTTCTTCGTGTTCCGCTTGTAGCCAATTTCCACAGTGAGACACCTGAGGCCTGAACTCCGAGATCAGATATCAATCTAACTTTGTCTAAGCTTCTGCTGGCATCTCTTGTGGAATTGCAGTACAAGTTTGCCTGCAGCGCCCTGGGGTTTTTGGTCCGGCTGACATTTTCCAACTGTTCATCATGGACCGCCTGCCCATAGAAATGCTTGTTCTCATCGGCGACCACATACACGACAGTGAATACCGACATGGCATCTTGCTCAATCTGAGTCTATGCTGCCGACATTTTCACAATGTATTCCAACCTATGATCTACCATTTCATTGGATGGTGTGACCCCATGATGTCCGTCGGATTTATTCGCTTTATCATGCGACTATGGCGCCAACCAGAGCTTGCTAGTAAAGTTCGTCGGTTAGACATAGACTGGTACGACATAGATTACCACGACTCCCACGAGTGTGGCCCGCGACCAAGGAAACAGCCCGCAATCGATAAACTGAAAGAGGATACAAACGTTGTATCATTTATCCAGGACGCGTTGGATGAGATCTTTACCCCAGAAGAGAAGGGAATGAGATCTGAGTGGGAAAAACATCTTGACCCCAACAATCTCTGCACAGAATCATGGCTGGGGCTACTACTTGTCCGGACGAACAATATCCAAACAATCGTGTTCACGCACCATGAATCCCAGCTGATGTCAGATATTCTACACAAAGCCGCAAACCGACAACGTCCATTTCACAAAGCTACCCCATTCCCGCATTTACAAGAGGTCCGAGGAGGTGCTGCGTGGGAGAAAGCGTGGATCGACTCGGATTTCTTCACACCTTTCTTCTATTTTCCTGCTGTTCGCAAGATCTATGTGTCTGTCATTGGTGAGGATAAATACGAGGGGAATATGACGCTTGACAAAAGCTATTGCTCGAACCAAGTTCGTGAAATCATCATTGACGAGCTCTACTGGAGTCGAGATATGTTGGATTGGTTTGAAGCATGCACGAAACTCGAGCGTGTCTCCGTTAATATTGATATACAAGAGGAAAAGGCGATAGATGAGATGCCTGACCATTTGAAGTTTGATGCATCGCTATATCGCACGGGGCTTCTTCATTCTGCCGCAACCCTCAAGTCTCTTCGCATCAATTATGGTTCATTGTACAGAAATCGATTGGAAGAGCATGATGCCCTTGATGCGCCCTTTGGATCATTCAGAGACTTTGTTGTTGTGGAAGATATAGCGGTTCGACATTCCCATTTGATGAATACACGACCGCTGGTTGAAATCTTACCAATCTCTCTCAAGCGTCTTGAAATCAATCATTTGATGGATGATGATGATGATGATCTAGTACACTTGATATCAGAGCTTTCAGATCTAGTTCATCAGGGCTGTTGTGAGAACCTCGAACAGTTGCTTTTGCAAACCGACTTAGACAATGGGTGTCCACACCTAGATGCCCTCAAGCTCGAATGCGAGGCCAGGGGCGTTTTCTTGGGGTACTCGGAAACGGAAGACTAGTAAATTGGTTGATTCGTGAAGTAAAGAGCTTTGAGAAATGATGACATGACAATACGTTAGCCCGAGAATGTTTTCTCCGTATATAGTTTTCGATATAGACTGAGCCATATGTTTATGGCCATCATAACAGAAACACCACAACGTACCGGAGTGACTTGTTGAGTCTGGCAGTGTGACGGTCCGGTCCGCTCGGCGCAGCGTTCTTCCTTGGGGCGGTGTGGTGGAACAACCTGGTGGAATTTTGTCCGAAGACCTTCGAAACGCTTCCGTTACGTCGAATCTCTTCATCTTCAATTTCACATCTAATCATTCATAATGTTCCAACGAACCATCTTCAGACAGGCTCAGGCCGCCCGCTCAATTCTCTCCACTTCTCCCTCTACTGCATCGCTGGCGCTGCGACGGACAACACAACAGCGCATGCCGGCTCTCCGGCCATTCGCACCCCAGACTTCCCGCTTCTTCTCCACAGAGAAGGAGACCAAGGAAGGCGAGAATGCAGAGGCCGAGGCCGAAGCTGAGAACACCGATGCCAAGAAGCTCGAGGCTAAGGAGCGCGAGGTCATTGAATTGAAGGTACAAACTTTCCCCGTATCCACGGAGCTACTAGCTCGGCGCCGAATAATAGCTAACCACGAACCTCAATCTAGGACAAGTACCTTCGTCAAGTCGCCGAGTCCCGCAACCAGATCGAGCGCAACAAGCGTGACATGGACGCTGCTCGCAAGTTCGCCATCCAGGGTTTCTCCAAGGATCTCCTGGACAGCATCGACAACCTCGACCGCGCGCTCCTGGCTGTGCCCAAGGACCAGCTTTCTGCTGCCAAGACCGAGGAGAACAAGTCTCTGCACGAGCTCGTCGAGGGTCTCGAGATGACCCAGCGCATCATGCTGAGCACCCTTGAGAAGCACGGCCTCGAGCGCTTCGACCCCGGCCAGCTCGTTGAGGGCAAGGCCCAGAAGTTCGACGCCAACCTCATGGAAGCCACTTTCATGGCTCCCTCCCCCAACCACGAAAACGGCGACGTTATGTACGTCCAGAGCAAGGGTTTCCGCCTTAACGGCCGTGTTCTCCGGGTAAGTGCTTTGTCGCGTGACTTTTAGCCAAGAATTTCCACTAACTTCTTCCACAGGCTGCCAAGGTCGGTGTCGCCCAGAACGCCTAAAATGTCACTGGCAGACAATGCCATTGACTCCTTATGATCCGATTATCTCTATTCTCCTTTTAACTTCTCTTCTCTGTACCATATATCATCCCTCACGATCACGATTGGGTTTTGTGCTCGGATGTGGCTGGCTTCTAGACCCGGGAAAATTTCTATTCCTTGCTGTTTTTGTCTCATGACTTCGGCTGTATGATATGATACGCCTGTTGCATACCTCTGGCGGCGCATGGATTGTCTCGTCTTGTTGGTGCATCTTTGACTTGTTTCGTCGCGTCGGTGCCGTTGCGCTCTGATAACTCTCACCTCTCCATCTGTACAATACACATCATTTTGGGGGCACTGTCATAGCCCTCAATTGTCCGATTTACTTTTCTGCGGTAATACTACAACTATCATAATAAGTCTACGATGGCTTGATCATGTTGAATCTACAAAGAACCTCCCAGACTGATGCGAGCTATGCTTTGTTTATCTTACACGTTCAATAATAGTAACACTATAGTACAAGGTATATCCAATCTGTGGCCTCACCTCAACTCGACACCAAGCTCGCCAACCAACTTCTCCCGAACCTTGAGGTTCAACTCATTGGACTCCTCGTTGGTCAAGGTGCGCTCCAGGCTGCGGTAGTTGATGCGGTAGCACATGCTCTTGCGTCCATTCTTGGGATGCGTAAACTCATCAATGAGGGTCACATCCTCGACAAGATCACCACCAATTCCACGAACAATCTCCATAACATCATTCTCATGGAACGGCACCGCTCCGCCAGCGGCACTACCACCCGTCACAGCAGCAGGAGGCAACCAGAAAGCCACATCCTTGTAGCACGCCGGATGCTTCGAGAAAGGCTCAAAGCGGGTAATTTCACCCGCGCGGAACTGCGAGAGAAACCTCTCATCCCGTGACCAGAATAGCCGGATATCAGGGATATTGAAAAGAAGCATAGCAATGCGCTCGAGACCAAGACCAAACGCCCATCCGATCCGATCCGGCACATCCGAGTTGATCAGTAGGTCTTGCTTGATCACGCCACAGCCCAGGATCTCAAGCCAGTCACCTTGCCAGAAAACTTCTAGTTCCCATGACGGACTGGTGAAGGGGAAATAAGCCTCGACCCAGCGTACCTTCAACGGCTCAGCCTCAACACCACCATTTGTAGCGGCCTTGCTTGCTTCGGTGAAGATTTTGATGACCATGCGCTCAAGTGAGCGCTTCAGATGAGCAGCTACTGCCTCGACCTCCTCGGCACTGTGGTGCTCGTCTTGTAAGGGATTGCGCTGGGCATGGATAGTTGGGTTAGGATCCTCAACGACAACGTCGTGGCTGGGGATCTTCTCCACATCGGCCAGGATCTTGGCGGTCGTTTCTTTCGACGCAGCTAGAGGATTTGTCTGCGGCCGCTTCCATAGCATCGCGCCTTCCATCTGGTGGAAGACGGGGTAGTGGCTGCGGTCGATAGCGTCGCGACGGTAGACGTCCGCGATGACAGTGTATCCGACCTCTTCGGGACGAGTCTTTTCATTCCGCGCAATCTGCTGGAAATACGCCTGCTGGTGCGCGCTTGTATGGGTGCGCAGCACCGTCTTGTCGTTCACATAGTATGTATCCGTGCGACTGCGGCCAGGGTGATCTTCCGGGAAACCCAGGACGTCAAAGTTATGTTTCGTGGAAACGACCGGGTTCTTTTCCGAGTAGTTGCCGTAGCTCGGAGCAGGGAATTGGCTCTCAATGAGCTTGCGGGTAATGGCGAGAGGGTGGTTTTCATCGAGGTAAAGACGACGTCCGACATGAGAGAGGATTGTGTCGGGGGTATTGGTCCATTTGTCTGTTTTGTAGGTCTCGTCTTCGATCTTGAGAGTCGGCTTTTGGGCTGTTTGGGGAGATAGAGTTGGCGTTATCCGGCGAGTTGGGGTTGAGCTCAGTCCGCGGAGTGAGAGCGTTGGCCTCGACAGGGTCGGGATGGAGCGGGGGATGGTGGTCGGCCGCGCAGCAATTGACCATCGGCCACTGCTGGCGCGCAGGGCTCGACTGGTAGCTAATAGCCGCATTTTCAATGTGAGGGTGGGTGACAGGCTAGTTGGCTGCGATCTGCGCTATCAACATGTGTTCGGACCGGCAAAATTAGTACCCGAACTACATAAATTGGAATGCTTCATGCATTTGTAAAAAAAAAAAAAACACACCAACCGACTCCGTCTCGTAGCCACTTTTAATGATTAGAGCTGATCATTAAAGTCTGTGAGCTCTTGACCAGCATAGGTAAAAGTCTTCCAACTGCCATTCTTGCGATCAATCCAGGAGTCTTCTAAGGTTGAAAGCTGATGGATGGCTGGAGCTCATTTATATTATACTCCGCAGCTAACAGTTGCACACGAGACATGAATGCACAGTCAAAAATCGAAGTTTTTCTTGATATCAAAGGAAAGCCAGCCATGAAGCTCTTTGAATGTTCTGGTCAACTGACAACCCCATAAGAGCGCGTCAGCCCCATGTCATTCCGCCGACACCTGAATGAGACCTCGGGAGGAGTCACATCTTGTTATTGACCCAGCTTGATTTCTTCTTTCTGTGTACATTTTCTGTGTTATTTTTTATTCCCCAAGCCAGTTCCTCCACACGATTGCTAAAAATCAATATGGTGTGTCGAGAAGACAGCCTAGGTGGCATATATGATTTCAGGAGCAAAAGAAAATGAGACAAGTTGGGAATTACTATATCTGTCTTGCCATCCATAGCACGCAGGCACATGGTCCTAGTGGTAGACATTGTGGCAATCATTTTGTGATATCGTCTCGGCATGGTGGAGGTCTACGTGAACTTCAAGAATATATAGGTCGGAGGGGCTCAAAACAAGCACCTGGGGGGAAATATCAAGAGCTCTGTCGAGCCATGGAAGAGCTGTCCTTGGTCTCGGGCGAATAGACACCTTGCCAGCAGAGGTGATGTGGATCATGGATGCTCTTTTGATCATAATCCAAAGCTTTACCATTGTGTTGGTGTCTGTTGTGGCTAGTGAATTGGCTATGTGATAAATTTGCTATAGCTTAGGTTCTGATATCCAGGTCAAAGGGGTTCAATAGTATTCAGTTCAAGTACTCCGCCTGCTCTATCTCATCTGAGAGTATGGACAGGATGGGCAAGTATGAACAGACAGAGTCGATAGTTGTTTCATGACTTACCTAGTCGTTCAGATCAAGATCAAGATATGATATCCATGTATGCGTCGTTATGAGGTCAAGCTGAGGTCCAAAGATGTAGTCAGTCAGGGTATCAATAAGGGTACATCCTTAGCTTAGAGTGATACATATAAAAAGAAGTAATGAGCAGAAGTGTCAGTTAAAAGACCAATTAAGGGCTCCCAGGCATAACAAATACCAGCTAGGTGAGGTGTCGCATGTCCTGATTTCGCGCCAGCTTAATCCCAAAGGGCCCAATCCTCTCCATCTGTTGGGTCAGTTTCCTTCCCGAAGTACTGGGTTCGAATCCTAGTCCCGATGTCCAGCTGAATTTGTTATCTCTGTTTTTGCTTTCTTTCTTTCTGGTTTGTTTGTTCACATACTGCAACAGACGGTGGGCTGAGGCTCTCCAGGGGGTTCTGTAACCTCGCCCCACAATGAGGATGTCAAGGCAAGACCCTAGATAGTTTCCTTTTACGGTAGCTCTATTGCAGGAATTCCAAGAAGTCAGAGTCAAGCTGGAGATAAACATCTCCTGGCAGTTCAGTGACTGACTGGGATGCTAGATACCACTCGCAGAGCCCATGACCATATCTCCATGTATCCATGGCCTTTCCCGGTCCGGGGCTCGACTCTTGTCACTGTAGCCTCAAGAGTTGGATATCTGGGGGGAAGCAAGAGAAGCAAGAGAAGCATACACTGCATGATGCTCACAGGAGTACTCCACATCCATACAAGCCCTTATCACCAGATAACGACAATAGGCTTTATGCATATCTGACGGAACCCGCTCGTTCCTCGGTAATGCGGAAACCGCGAAATCACCGAAGCACCCTCCAGGGCTAGGATAGCCGGTCCAGAGTTCGGCGATTTGAGATTGTGAAGCCGACGTCAATGTCAATGTCAAGGAAGATGAGCTTCGGCATCTATTTCAAAGACCGAGCAAAGCGAGCAACGTGAGTGAGGAGGGACCCTTGAGTGTCCCTTGCAGTGCTAGAGGGCAGGGCCCAGCCATGCTGGAGTCCGCAAAACCGAGAATGTGATTGGCGTGACTGAATGGCCCCCATCAAATGAAACAGCGTGATTGGCTGCGGGCCCCATTTCGGCTGAGGGTTCGGAGGTTTGATTTGTCTCCGTATTTTACTTATTATTTGGAGGCCAAAATTACGTCAAAAAAGTCATTCCCTCTCGACACTCCCTCGTTCCCCCCTCCTTATAGCCCTTGTTGCTGAGACAAGATGGCAGACAGCAAGATGGCAGACGGCAAGACACTGGCCACTCAGGTCGCGCCTGTCCAGAATGCGTCGAAACCAAAACAGGTGCATTACCCGTTTTGGTTTGGAGGGTCGGCCTCTTGCTTTGCTGCGGGCGTGACGCACCCCTTGGATCTAGGTATGTTCTGATCCGTTGATTCGATTTGCGTGGACTGTGTGCTGACCGCTCGCCCTGCAGTAAAGGTAATTTCGAATTTCCGCGATTCGCCGTTCGCCCGAGACGACCCCGATTGCGATTTTGATAGCTGATATTTGTCGCATATAGGTTCGCTTGCAGACACGCGCGCCTGATGGACCGAGGACAATGGTCGGGACTTTCGCACATATCGTGAAGAACACCGGCTTCACGGGTTTATATAGCGGTGTATGTGTGATCCCAATTACTCACGCCGCCAGCAAAGAGACGACGATGAAAGTGGCTAACGAACTGGACCGGGAATACAGCTGTCCGCCGCAATGCTACGACAAATTACATACTCCACAACACGTTTCGGCATCTACGAAGAGTTAAAATCACACTTCGCGAAACCCACACCGGACTCGCCAACCGGCTCACCAAGCCTTCTCACCTTGATCGGCATGGCCTCCGCCTCAGGCTTCATTGGCGGCATCGCAGGTAACCCAGCCGATGTGATGAACGTTCGCATGCAGTCAGACGCTGCGCTTCCCCCGGCCCAGCGCCGCAACTACCGCCACGCATTCCACGGATTGGTGCAGATGACCAAGACCGAGGGATTCGGTTCTCTCTTCCGTGGCGTGTGGCCCAACTCCACCCGTGCCATTCTCATGACTGCCTCGCAGCTTGCTTCTTACGACACCTTCAAGCGCATGTGTATTGAGCAAGGCGGCATGGCCGATAACCTTGGCACACACTTCACGGCCTCTTTCATGGCTGGTTTCGTTGCCACGACAGTGTGCAGCCCTGTCGACGTGATCAAGACTCGTATTATGAGCGCTTCTCCTGCCGAGAGTCAGGGCCACAGTATCGTGGGTCTTCTGCGTGACATCTGTCGCAAGGAGGGCCTCGGCTGGACTTTCCGTGGCTGGGTTCCCAGCTTCATTCGCTTGGGTCCCCATACCATTGCCACCTTCTTGTTCCTTGAGGAGCACAAGAAGCTCTACCGCAAGTTGAAGGGAATTTAGAGAGATGCAGAGCGACAAATGCTTCTTGTTTCCGACATATTTCCTGATCTAACACCATTTACGCCTTCCTCCCGATACAAACTCGGTATATACGACCATCTGCCATCTCGATTTTTGTTTTTGTTTTTCTTTCTCGGGTGGTGCACTTTGGGACTTACAATCCGTAAGTCTCCTGCTTGTATATAGCTTGCATTCTTTGGGATTCTTCTTCATTGGAGATTCCACTGGCGAGAGATCGCCGTGGATCATATCCTGATGGACCTGTGGTTTGTATAGTGCGCTGGATGATACCTTTGTCTCAGAGGCCCGAGAGGCTGGGACCATATAGAATTAGATAGACACTGAATCGCATTCAGGGCAATTCCGCAAGGACAGGATACTTCCAGGTTTATAAGCTTCCAAACTAGGCCCTAGGTAGGAGCCAATGTTGGCGAATCCAAGATCCTAGCACCAGGGAGGTAGTCCTCGAGGGCTCTCCGGGGCCTAGTTTCAAGACGTTCGAATGTTTACTAGAGAATCTTCAATTCCAGCACTTGGAATCAGCCCTAACCTTGGAGAGCGAAAGTTCACAACGAATTTGACTTTGCAATACGGCGAGTCTATGAGTTTCCTTTCTTGCCTTACATGGGCAGAATGCCCCAGGAGAAGAGAGCCTGTATCCTCGCGTGACCCAGTAGAGTACAATGGAATTGTCGATACATAAAAATGGACAGAGTTCAACAGACCAACCAAAAATACCAATTGATCATCTATTTGTCGAGGTGGGCGGGGAAGTTGCCAGCCTCTGTGAACATACGTTAGTATTCATGGAGCGAAATCCAGGGGAGAAAGATGCGTACCGCGCTGACCATCCCAGCGGTCGGTCCAGGCCTTGGGGCACAGGGCGCGGAAGGAGTGGTAGAACTGTCATTGAGCCGTTAGATGCCATGGACTTGGATAGTCAGGTCGGAGTCGAAATTACCTGCTTGCAGGGGCGGAAATCCTCGCCCTTGGCAGTGGTGCACTTGTAGTAGTCGACATAGTTCTGCCAGCAGTGCTTGGTCCTATCAAGAGAGTCAATATGATATGACACGGTAGCGAGTCGTAGGAATCATCACATACTGGTTCTGCTGGGGGAAACGGGCGTCGTAACCTGCGAATCAATCCAAAATTGTCAATTTCACCTCCCTCTAAGCGATCGGGGGATATCGGTCCACGCGCATGCGGCAGAAGCGAGAGTCGAGTATAGAGATATAAAATACGTACCAGCTGCGATTGAATTAGCCATTGACTCGTACTTTGGACACTGGGTCCCGGTTTTACCGCAAGAGGGGAGTCAACTTACCAGTGACGAACTTGAAGGGCTTGGTCTCGAGGACCGCGTCGGGGTCAGCTTCCGGAATGGCCATTTTTGCGCGGAGTAGTTTCTGGGGGAAACGACCAAAGGAAGAATTGGAGTGGAGTGGTAAGAGGGGAGAAGGTGAGCCGGGAGCGACGTTGGGTGATTGAAGCTGTAAAGTGCCGGGTATGACCGCGGGCGGTCAAGCGAGGGCCACTCACAGGGCCGCTTTTACACCCGAGCCAGTCACGTTGTTGGAACGCTGCTTGTCCAACCTCATCCTCTATCCCACTCTTCCTTCTTGAACTTCAAGGTTGAACTCCAGAGATCTCCACCATGTATGCCACTCGGATTATGCGCATGCAGGCCACTCGGTCTTTTGCCTTCCCTGCCCCCGTATGTTGATTTCTCTCGGGTATCTTGCGATCATACGATCAGCCACTAACTCCTGTCTACAGAAGGAACCCCAGAGCGGTATGCGTTTCCACGAGCTCTAGATCTGGTGATCCATGGACTTGGATTACTTATGATTACACTGGGATTGCAATTGAACTAACCCTGCGACTACAGCCCACACTATCTCCCAGCGTCTGCGCCAGATCAAGCGTGTTCCCCCCGAGTTGTTCCCCATTTGTATGTTTTACTACCTAGTGCTTGCGATTTGAACATTCAACTGACAGCTTTATTCCTCTTTAGTCTTCGTTTGCGGGTATGTTTTTGCCTCTCCAACACTCCCTGCCGACTGATTCCGGAGCACTTGCCCGAATTTTTTGCCCCCACGGCTTATTCGCAACCACGATGATTTTCGCCATACTAACATTCACCATTACAGTGTTGCCATCTGTGCCGGTATCTACTCCGCCACCAACAAGATCATGACCGACAAGACTCTGCGTCTCTCCCGCAACAGCCCCGAGAGCCGTGAGCACTAAATGTACCACCATGTTTCTTTGAGCTCTCAAATTGAGACGCGCGATTCTGGATCCTTTCCGCTTGTACTGTTGATTACGAGAATTTGAAGCTGTCGAGCATGTTTTCCGAAAAGCCAGCGAGCGAACAAAAAAGACGGGCGGACTCCAGCTCGGAGCCCGTGTATATACTCCGGCTTCCCGAGCGCAAATTTGATGGAATTGGCAAATTGTACTGTCGCATTGGACTTGTGATTTTTTTGTTTGTCATATCCGTCGTAGTTATCGTAAGTTGTAACTGTAGCATGGTTCACTCGGGCTGGGGCTGAGGTCCAGCAACATCTAGCTGCTTCAACCCTTGTACGGAGCCTAAGAGTTTGGGGTTGGCATCCTGAGCCTCCTCTGTAGCTTGGCGATCCTCCTCGCTGACAGCATGCTTGGCCAGATAGCCCTCCTGTACATCTCGTGGTTAGCTCGATAATGCGACCAAGAACATGGAATCCAACTAACCTGCTCCCAAATCGCAGTCTTGCTGCCTAGTCCCTCGTTGGAGTCCTTCTGTGGCTTTGCGGCGGCTACCTTGATCGTGCGTCCGTAGATTTCACTGCCATCCATGTTGTCGATTGCTTCCTTTGCGTCTTGTGGAAGATCAAATTCCACATATCCGAATCCTCGATGCGCCTCTTTGGAGTTGGGCTGGTCGGGCTTAGGCAGTGAGATATCGACCACTTCACCGAATGGAACGAAGGCTTCTGCGAGGGTGTGCGCGGTCACGCCTTGGTCAAGGCCACCCACGTAGACGGTGCTCTTCAGTCGTGTCGTGTCGCTCATGATGTAGGATTGAATAGAAATTTGGTAGGGTAAAAGTGCTGTGAGTGCAGTACAAGAATAGTAGGCTTATGGCGATAGGGTGATGTACAATGGCGAGGTAGCTTCTAAGCTCAAACAGTATCTGATCCCAAGCTGTAGATTGCTATCAGCGCCCAGAACGGAAGAATGATATCACGTGCGACTCAAGCCTCGGAGTGTTTTGGCGAGTCCCAAAGGAGTTTAGCGCCGCTTCCCCGGTCCCTCCAAGTCCAGGAGGCCACTTGGTTATCTGCTATACTTGGAACATCTAGAGCATCACCCCATTGTCAATTATTCATAGGGGGTGGTTCTTGACACCTCTCCTTTCTATCACATACCTCAATTTTGCTCCTTGGATGTTCATTTCTACCTAAAACTCACTGGTCTCATCTTCACCGAAACATACCTCCTCTCCCATCATCATGGTGCGTCTGAGGGAAATCCCAAGGACGGCCACCTTTGCGTGGTCCCCCGGGGCTGCATCGCCACTAATTGCTACCGGAACCCGCGCTGGAGCCGTTGATGCCGACTTCTCCAACAAGACATGCCTTGAACTTTGGGATCTCGGCCTTGACCGCGCAGATGCGAGCGAAGAGCTGCAGCCTTTGGTCAAGATCGATACAGACTCTGGGTGAGTCGAAGATCTGGAAATCGAACTACCTTCATTTGCTGACCGCACAATCTTGTCAGCTTCAACGACTTGGCATGGACTACATATGCGGATAACCAACGGGGTGTGATCGCGGGTGGTCTGGAGAATGGTTCTTTGGACTTGTGGGATGCCGATAAGCTTCTGGCTGGATCTACGTATGCTCAACCCTTGGATAGCGGAATGAAGACCGGAACTTTTGCGCTAATGGATATCTCTTAGCGATGCCTTGATCTCAAGGACCACCAAACACAGCGGTGCTATCAAGGCACTTCAGTTCAACCCCAAACACCCGAACCTTTTGGCAACCAGCGGCGCAAAGGGCGAGGTAAGGAGCGATTCTAGGACAATGGGTGTGGTCTTCTTGCTAAAAATATCCGACAGCTATTCATTTGGGACCTGAACGACATCGAGAACCCCTACAGATTGGGCAACAACGCGGCCCGTACGGATGACATTGACTGCTTGGCGTGGAACAAGAAGGTTCCTCACATTCTGGTTACCGGTAGCAGCGCCGGGTTCGTGACGGTCTGGGATGTCAAGACGAGAAAGGAGAGCTTGACATTAAACAACAAAGGCCGCAAGGCTGTCAGCGCAGTTGCATGGGACCCCGCGAGGCCCACGAAGCTCATCACATCTACACCCCTCGAGTCGGACCCAGTGCTGTATGTTTGGGACCTGCGCAACTCCCACGAACCGGAGCGGGTATTGGCAGGCCACGAGTCAGGTGTGCTTTCGCTCTCCTGGTGTGATCATGACCCGGATCTTCTCTTGTCTTCCGGAAAAGACAACCGCAACATTTGCTGGAACCCTCAAACCGGTCAAGCATATGGCGAGTTCCCAGTTGTAACCAACTGGACTTTCCAAACTCGCTGGAACCCCCACAATCCCAACTTCTTCGCCACTGCGTCCTTTGATGGAAAGATTTGTGTCCAGACTCTGCAGAACACCAAGACCGATAATTCTCAAGCTATCGCCGATCACAACCAGTCTCTGGATGGTGAAGATTTCTTCGCCAAGGCTCAAACACAGCCCCAGGTCTCCAAGTTCTCCCTCCCCAAGGCTCCTCGCTGGCTTGAGCGGCCATGTGGTGTCACCTTTGGCTTCGGAGGCCGCGTGGTGTCTTTCGGCACCGCTAAGGATTCTCGCGTGTCCAAGATTCAGATTACGCCTTTCGAAGTCGATGAGACTGTTGGAAATGCCACAGAGAGCTTTGAGACAGCCCTGAAGGAGGGCGATATTCGATCCCTCTGTGAGACCAGAGCCTCAGGTGCCACTACTGAAGCTGAAAAGGCCGACTGGAAGGTGATGCAGGCTTTGATCTCCCAGAACCCCCGTAAGGACTTGGTTGAATACCTGGGTTTCAGCGACCAGGCCGATGAGGCTGCTGACAGCCTTGCCAAGCTTGGTCTGGACAAGAAGGAGGATGAGGAGCCCGCTCCTGCGCCTGCCAAGCCAGCCGGTGTTAAGAAGCACAAGCGACTGCAATCCATGTTCGACCCCAACCCCGAAGGCGACAGCTTCCTGTCAGAGCTTGCTGCCTCAAAGGGTGCTCAAAACAACAGCCCATTCCATATTTTCAATGGATCAGAGAGCGAAGCTGAGCAGCAAATTACTCGTTCTTTGCTTCTCGGTGAATTTGAAAAGGCTCTCGACGTCGCTATCCGCGAGGACAAGATGGCTGATGCTTTCATGATTGCTATCTGCGGCGGTCCTAAGTGCGTAGAGAAGGCACAGGCATACTACTTCTCCAAGCAGACCGGCGGTCCTAATTACATGCGCTTGCTCGCTTCCATTGTGGGTAAGAACCTCTGGGATGTGGTACACAACGCCGACTTGTCCAACTGGAAGGAGGTCATGGCTGCCTTGTGTACATTTGCCGACGAGAAGGAATTCCCTGATCTCTGTGATGCCCTTGGTGACCGTCTGCAAGAAGGAATCCAGTCCAGTGATGACAAGAGCGCCCGCAAGGACGCCTCTTTCTGCTTCCTGGCTGGTTCCAAGCTTGAGAAGGTCGTTGCCATCTGGGTTGAGGAGCTTCGTGAGAACGAGCAGAAAGGAATTGAAAACAAGTCCGACAACTCCTCATTCTCTGTCCACGTCCGTGCTCTGCAAGGCTTGATCGAGAAGGTCACCATCTTCCGCCAAGTCACCAAGTTCCAGGATACTGAACGCACCAAGGACTCGGATTGGAGTTTGAGTGTTCTGTACGACAAGTACATCGAATACGCCGATGTTGTTGCTGGCCATGGCCGCCTGCAAATTGCTCAGAAGTATCTCGACCTTGTGCCCGAGAAGCACCCAGAGGCTGAGTTGGCTCGTAACCGTATCAAGTTTGCTACCCGTCAGGCACCCCAGAAGGCGCAGGCTGCTACCGCCGCCGCCGCCGGAGCTAAGAGTGCCTACAAGCCTCTCCCGCAACAGCCCAACGTGTACCAGCCGCAGTCAGCATTCGCGCCCGCGCCTACTGCAAGCCCTGTTGCTCCTCTCAATGCGTACGCGCCTCCTGCACCCGTTGCACCTCAACAGGCCAACCCCTATGCTCCTCAGTCCACTGCTCAGACCGCCAGCCCCTACGCGGCTCTTTCGGCCGCAGGACCCTACGCCCCGACGACCGGCTATCAACCAACTCAGGGCATGAACGCCCCCGGCTATGGCCCGCCTTCTGCATTTGGTGGACAACCCGCCGGCGCTGGTGTACCTCCCCCTCCCCGTGCGTCCGCTAACCAATCGGCCAACCCTATCACGACGTATACCACGGCTACTGGCCTGCCAGCTTGGAACGATCTGCCAGAAGGCTTTGCCAAGGCCCCTGCTCCGCGCCGCTCGACTCCCGCTGCCGCAACCGGGCCAATTGCTTCTCCGTTCCCCAACCAGTCGCCGACCCTGCCGCAAGGACCTCCCCCAGTTGGTGCTCCTCGGGCTCCCTCCGTGCCCCCACCACCCAAGGCTGGCAGTGTGCCCCCGCCGCGTATGATGTCGCCACTGTCTGGCAACCCGCCTGTGTCTAACATCCCCGGTCCTTCCCCACCACCACCCAACCCCTACGCGTCTCTCACTCAGTCACCCCCAGTGGGCTCAGGATCTACTATGGCACCTCCGGCGTCTATCCCTCGGGGAGCCTCGCCCTACAATGCTCCTCCCAGCATTCCGCCCCCAACCAACCGGTACACCCCAAGCCCGGCTGCCCAGGCCGCTGCTAACCCACAACTTCAATCTCGTGGACCTGTGCCCCCTCCTCCCCCCGCTGCTGCCTCGCCATATGCCCCGCAAGCGGTGTCTCAGCCTCCTGTGAACCCCTATGCCCCCACGACGCCAATCACGACCCAGCCTCCGCCCATGGCGCCCCAGGCTGTCGCTCCTCCCCCACAAGGATCTCGGCCTCCTACGGCTCAGTCGCAGAGACCTCCCCCTGCTGCTCCTAAATACCGTAAGCTTCTTCCTTCTGGTACAGCTGTCGTCCCTACTAACGTATCCTAAAGCCCCGGGTGACCGTTCCCACATCCCTGCCAGCGCTCAGCCTGTCTTCGAGATCCTCTCAGCAGACATGGAGCGCGTCAAGGCCCGAGCCCCCCGCGGCATTCAAGCAACAGGTTGATGATGCTGAGCGTCGTTTGAGCATCCTCTTTGACCACCTGAACAACGAGGACTTGCTCAAGCCCAACACAGTCGAGGATATGGCAAACCTGGCCCGTGCTATTCAAGCCCGTGATTACGCTACCGCATCCTCTATTCATGTCGCGATCATGACCAACCAGAATGACGAATGTGGCAACTGGATGGTAAGTCGCGCTCAACCTTTCGTTTTTGTCACAGGTACTAATTCCTTCACAGGTCGGTGTCAAGCGTCTTATCAGCATGAGCCGTGCTACCCCATGAACGACACCTCATTACCCATGTTGAGGATTTAAGGCTCAATTGCTTGTCACAATCATGTTTGGCCTTTTGTTCCATAAACTTCAGCGTCCCTCGATAGCTTTTCTTGTTCATGTTATAATTAATGTCTCGCGTACCCTTTCCTCCGTTCTATTCTACCCATGATTCCCCGGGGCTCGGTCTCCGGGGCTGTTGATGTGCAAAGCAAAAATTTCCAATGTTTCTTACATATGGCGTGTGTCGAACGAAGTTCAAAAATAGACTGCTCAATAGATATGAATCATGAAGATATGTACGGCATCATACAGTACACTCTGTACTATTTCGAGGCCGCATAGTATAGGTATGGATGTTATTTGTGTATGTTCAACGCCCAAGTTTATGTGGTGATGTCTACCCACATGTCCATCCTCATCACACCCGAACCTCCAACTTTGGAAGAGAGAGACCTCGGGAGCCATGAAGAGACCTTTTGATTCACGTCACTCCAATGACCTCCAAGTCTCGAAGCTGATATATACATAATCCAAGTTGGAAACCCCATCATCGTCTCCCAACCGGAAGTCCACCAAGTCTCCCTCCTCGACTTGCAGGGAAGTTTCGCGCACTCAGCAGGGCACCCTTGACACCCCGAATATCGGCACGGAACCCAGCAATTGCCTCATCCTCCCCCTTCCGCAACCCAGAGTTGTCATTAGCCCCATTATTGGAATTCCAAACTCCATAAGTCGATCCAGCAGAGTAAGCAGGTGCACTGTAGATCAAAGTATCACAATAATGGTGCAACTCTGTAAGCCCAGTACGCATATTATCATCTAGCGCACTGGCATCCTTCTCAGACTCGACGATCTCTCGCAATTGCGAAGTAATCGACTCAAATCGACTAACATGCTCATCAACCTTGCTAGTTGGCGTGCTCTCATCAGCTGTGTTCACAGCGCCAGTCGATAGAGCGGTCTCGGGACTCGTCTGCGTCGCCATATCCCGATGGAAGAGCTCCGTCGGGTCAGAGGTCACGGAGTCGGTATCCGACTCGTACGGCTTTCGCGCTGTTAGCTGCGGTGGAATGACAGAGACTGTCGTTTCAAGCTTGCTATTCAGCTTTTGGAGGTTCTCCTCTGCTGTGCTGGCTAGCTCGTGCCGTGCGCTCGTTAAACTTGCCAGCATAGGTTTCACGATGTACTCGCTCGCTCCATACAGACTTGCTCCCAGTCCGGCTGCGCCGTAGAGTGTATACAGCAGGTTTTGCATTGTCACCAGAGGTGGTCGCTTGTTCTGCTCGAAGAGGAACTCTGGGTAGGTGATTATTGGGGGTGCGTCGCGTGTGCTGGGTCCGGGTGCGGGCGCCGGTGCGGGCGCAGGACGCTGTCGCGGCATTGTGTCGGCTGGTGGTGGCGTAGATACCGTCACCGGAGTGTCTTGCTGGGATTCGGTAGATTCTGTGTTGGCTTCGGTGTTGGTTGAGCTCGCCTCCGCATTTCGGGAGACGCCGAGGACCTGTTGAATGTCTTCTGAGTTGAGACCTTTGGACTCCAGGAAGGTGACTTTGCGATCCTCTGGAGCATCACGGATTGATTCGTCCTCAAGAAACTTTGACGCTTGGTCTAGGAGGGTTTGTCGGGATGTGGTAGTTGCGGGCGCATCGTCGGAGCTCGGCGATGGCGACTCATCGTTTGGCTTAGCTCTCTGCCATGCTGGGATTGAACTTGGCTTGGGATCGTTGTCAGACATGTTGATATGATTGAGAACACCCAAGGCACAGGCAGTGGACAGATGGTATGTGTTGGGAAAGCGAGCGAGAGAGATAACCTTCCCCGGACTGGCCATGTGAGCCCGACCTCGGCTGTTGTATTCGACACCTGAGGCAGCATTTTTCAGATATGGATTTGTCGTCAACTGCCTTCAGGGCTGTGTTGGCGTATAATTTGATGGATATGTGTATATCTGATTTGCATTGTAGCCATTTCTTGACAATTGAGGGCCCAAACATATCTCTATTCAACAAAATGTACTATCAGGGGAATGTTCATGGTACCCAGACTATGAGGGTGACTACAGTTACACCCCAACCAGTACATAATGAACCAACCTAGCCCAGAGTATATTGAAATTCATATAGACAGATCCCCCAAATAGGATAATTCCTGACTTCAACTATAACATGAACATCGTACTTCACATAGTAGACGGACATTTCTCGAGACCGCCCGGCAGAATGGTCGAGTACTTCGTCAACTGTTGACTGCAGGGAGAATCCGAAACTTAGACTAAAAAGGTACTTGTGAGTATGCCCCCCTGGTGATTTCCTGCTATGTGTTCCCTCGTGTATCTGTCCAATATGTGCCGACGAGCTGGAGAGGGCCAGGTGGCCATGTAACGCTTTGTTCGCATCTCCCCCGTGGCGTCTCTACAAGAACCTGTGCCTTCCCGGTTTGCAACTCCGATGCACGCCGTAGAGTGATTGGGCGGGGGGATTACTTCTATTCTTCCCCCTCTCTACTGCCACTCACTTGCGCTCTTCATCTATCTTGACAATCATGGAGCTCCGTCGCTCCCACCGATCGCGAGGGACCGAGCCAACTGAACCAGAAGCTAATATGTCGACCAGATCAACGAGACGAACCCGTGCCGTTGCATCTGCATCTGCATCTGCATCTATCTCTGTTTCTCGATTACCATTGAATTTTGAGGAACCCAAGAGATCTCTGCGCTTGACCGTCAGGATGCCTTCTAATAAATTGCGCGAAGCCACGGGCAGTGGTCGCTCCGCTGCACGGAGGTCCGTCAATGTGTTCCGGGAGGATCCCATTGTTTCGGGACCCCGCTCCAGTCGGAACCGAAAGAAGATCGTAGAAGTTGAGTCAAGCGACGATGATGAAATCGACGACCAGGAAGAAGATGAAGTTGACGACGAAGACGACGTTCTTGATGACGACGAAGATGCCGATGCTGACGCTGACGCTGACGCCGATGCTGACGGCGATATCGACATGGATGAGACCCCACCCCAGCCAGCTATCAGGCGCGGAAAGCCCGCTCCAGCTCACGCAAAGCCACCCAAAAGTGTGGAGGCTAAAGAGATGGAGATGGAAGAAGATGAGGATGAAGAAGAGGAAGACGAAGAAGAGCCCATCTCCGATACGGATGAAGATGCCGAAGGCGAGGTGGATGACCAGGATGAACTGGCAATGGGTGACGTTAATGGCGATGATCTTGATGATCTTGAGGACGATGAGCTAGATGGGGACATGGATAGCGATGCGATTGCCATGCAGGGTGGAAAACCCACCAAGCGTCAGCGAGGAAATCTCGGAAATGATTTCTTGCAGCTCCCTATGGGTAAGTGAACTTATCCTTATCAAACATCAGAACTTGGCACTGACAACCAAACAGAGCCCCAAGTCAAGAAGCATTTGACCGCCGAAGAGCGTCAGATGCGTCGCGCAGAAATGGCCCGACGAAGAAAGAACCTGAGCGAGAAGAGAAACGAAGAAGAAAAGGTACATATGCCAGGGTGTTTGAAATAATGAATCTTCACTAATCCTGAACAGATGGACACAATCAACCGACTCCTCAAGAAGCAGGCTCCCAAGCGGCGCGGCCGAGCTGCAGCTAATGACGCTGGTGATGGCACCCCCGGCCAAGAAAACAATGAGCCCGAGAAAGCCGATCCCACTCTGGTTCGTTGGGTCAGCGGTTCAAGCGGTTGCAAAGTCAGTGTTCCGGAAGAATGGCTGGGCACCCCCTCTGGGCGCATGTTTGGCGCACCTATCCCCGCCAGGAAAATGGTTGAGGAGCTTTGATACATGCAATGGGTACACTGAAACGGCGCTTTTCGGATCTTTCTAAGGGAGTGGGAACGAGTTGGGGGTTATTGCGCTGTCTATGGCGTTTAGAAACATTTTCATTTCTTAAATTTCAAAATTTAATACAAGAAACATATCAAGGGTTCTCATGTACTATTCAGTATCCCAAATTGACTATAGTCAGCCATATCCAACAAGTGCCCAGGTCTCCATGAACATGGTCCAAGTCTATGGGCTTCCTGGGCAGTGACATCCAAGCCACCATGTCGTACTTCGCACAAAAGTACCCTTGAGTAGGCCGACCCCAATCCCACTTGGACAATAGTCTCCGGAATGTATATCCAAGACCGAGCAGGTGATACAGTTAGGGGTCTGCGTCGCCAGCGCTGGGGCTTTTGGGCTCGAGGAGGACGAACTACTGTTCACAGGCCATGGAATTGAAGACACCCGGGGTTCAAAGCATGTGCAGTAGCCCGTTGGCCGGTTTCCATCTTCGAAATGCGGCTTCTGGAGCAACGTCATCATAACTAAGTTGACGACTTGCGATCTTGCTCAAAGCTAGCTGGGGCTGAGGACTCGGTGTCCTGCTTAGGGACAGAGGGACCCGAAGGTACCGAGGACTGACGAGCGTGTTCTTTCTCGTATTGGAGCTGTGCGAACGTTGGGTTGAAGGTGTAGTAGCCTGCAGATTGAAAATTTCCTGATCAGACACCGGTCCTTTCATTGGGTTGTTCTTGAGAGCTACAAACCTGTGAAGATGCCGACGCCAATGGCGAAGAGGGCAGGGACGAAATTGCGACTCATTTTGGAGAAATTGGAGGAATGTGTCTGACGTTGGAGTTCGGAGGTGATGCGGGAAAGCGGTTATCAGCTGGCTGATTAGCGTCGCGTCCGCCAAATTGCTCTTTAGCACGCGTCGGTCACCCAAATTCCCTACAATTAAGCCAATTCGAGTGATTCGCATTACTATAATCCCCGGAAGTCGTGACATTTGACCCGAGAAATATCTGCCGATCAATTTTATCGCCTCGAAACCACCGGATGACTTGTTAGAGACATGGGCGATTCTCGCCAAGCATGCAAATGGAAGAATCATGGCGTCGACGAGGATATGTCCCTGACTCCGATTCGGACGAAGAGGATGAGTTTGACTCACTGAATGCGACGAGAAACGGCTCCGACAAAGACCCCGAGCTTGGTAGTCTCGAGTACATCGATCTTCCCTCCGAAGGGCCGACCAACCAACCGAAGGGATCTGAAGGGCAGATCGATAAAGGCGATGTTGCGCTTTCAGACCCGGCAAGCAAGACTCAGACACCTCGCAAGTCAAACTTCGAAGTCCGAATCACCGTGAAAAGCGCCCACAAAGGCTCTGCGCAAAAGAGACAATCCCTTGGAGAGACCCCAAATGGCAGCCCACGTTCGACAACCACAACGCCTGGCAACGCAACACCGACCCGACAAAGAGGCAGGGCCAATGGCGCCTGGTCTTCCGCCACAAGAAGAAAGACCCATGAACGCACCGACCTTTCCAATTCCAACACCAACACCCCAGCGCAGACAGGCAGTATCTATGATATTCCTTCGTCATCGCCAGAAAAAGCAAGGCGTCAATCGAAACCTTCAAGCAAGATATCCACGCCGAGAGCCTCATATCAAAATGTACCTTCAGCTTCGAAGAGGACGAGTCGTCGAAGTACCGACCTTGCTACTGCCAGTGCTGATGCCCAAGCGCAGGCAGGCAGCATCTTTGATATCCCCTCCTCATCGCCCGAGAAACAAACACCTCGGTCAAAAATTTCCAGCAAGAACTCCACACCAAGAGCTCCAAACTCTCAGCAAAAGCCACAAGCGCAACAAATAGCTGAGCCACAGACCCCAAAGACCAGGGGACGGAATGAAGGTTCTCCAGGTACTCGGAGCCCCTCACCAGGAGTGGAAACAGGGATTCCCCTCACAACTCGAGAGAACAGTTTTGCGAACAATCCTATCGAAGAAACGGATGAGCCGTCGCTACCTCCGCCTCTACCTTTGCAGAGTAACTTGAGTGATGACTCCCCACTATCTTCTGCGCCGTCGTTTTCTGAATCTCTGTTTTCATATGAAGTGGAAACGGCGGAGGCTGGGGAGAACAATCGAAAGGAGCCAAATTTACCCACAGAGGGAACATCGGTTTCACGTGAAGCAACGCGGGAAGATGCCAACCAAGACGACATATTATCTGGTATAGGTATCCCCGAAGAAGCTCTACGTGAACTCCAACAAGGAACCCAAAGAACCTTTCGAAAACGTACGACAATTCAAATGCAGCCATATGCCTTTGACCTTGTGCAGTGGCAGGAGCACCAAAGGAGAATGGGCTTGCCAATTCATCGACGAGTCGGCCGAATTGCCGATGAAGCCCAAGAGCAAGAAAATTACGATCCTGGTGTGCGTTCATCAAGTCCCCCTGCAGAAGAGTACCTTCCACCGACCAGACCCGATCGTGTTAGACCAGAGCGTGACCACGATGAGCATGAAGTAGCTCCGTGGCACGCCCGCATTGTCAAGCGTCAAAAAACATCTCACGCGACGCCCAAAGTGAGCCGATCTCTACACAAAGGGGTCAAACCTCGTGGTATAAGAGATGGGCCATCGGCTGCTGGAGATCAGAATGCTAATTCAGTATTCGATTTGACGTCCAGTCCTCCACATACAGGTCGCCTGTCTTCAGCCTCAAGAACACCACGTGCTTCCGATGGGGAATTTCGATTTCCTCGCGGCTGGTCACCCCCACCGGGAATGTCTCTACCAGAGGTTGCGAACGCCGAAGACGATGTTGATTCAACAGACCGAGCAGATTCTGGCGATGAGGGTGTCCAGTCCATTTCTTCCGACAGCCAGCAAAGTGACGGAGAGCATAATGACGAGCTGGACTCAGAAGATGAAGAGGCACGGGCAATGCGGCGACTCCAACGGCAGATCCGAGGAGTTCTCCCTGCGTCACACATGCGGATCGAGCAAAAAAGAGCCGCGGACAGACAGAAGATCTTGCAGCGAGAGAAAGAACGACAAGATGCACTCCATCGACCGGATGGAAAAGGTGTTGCACGCAAGCTTGTTCGGAAAGGTGGTCGCTCAACACAACCTGCGACACAGCTATCCAGAAGCCTGTTTGACCTTGGTGACTCCGATGATGATGATGAGGATAGCACCACTGATACCAACAACACCCATACCAACAACACTCCCTTCAAGAACAACGATCAAAGGTCATACGAAACTAACGCCCAAGGCTCTGTTGCAGCTGATGGCGATATCCTCGAAGACAACCGAATAGACTACATGTTCGCGCCAGTCGCACGCAAGACCGCTGGGCCCCGTGGGCCACGCAAGGCAAAAAGCCTGAAACGGCCCAACCCCAAACCCAGTACATCCGCTAGAGAGAGACAGCCTAAGAGACGTCGACAGACCCGGATGACAGACGCTTCCTATGGGTCACGGAGAACCAAGGAAAGCTCGACCATTCGACGGCCAAGGATAGGCATCTTGGATGCTCCAGACGTCGCCAGGAAGCCTCGAGCAGAACAACCGCCCTTTCTTAAGGTTGCTTTACGGAAAGCTCAGTCCCGTCGAGATGGTGGCAGGAGGAGCCCGACCCAAAAATTCTTCCAATTGGCCTCTAGAGAGGATACTGCGGATGTGAATGAATCTCTGCGCGACTGGAAACGGGGATCCATTCCACAGCAGAAAGTCAGTCGCCGCCCACCCCAAACTCGCAAACAGCCCTCCAAAATTTTATCCATGTTCCGTTCTCAGGCTCTGCGGCCTCCACAAGCTTCTCTGGCCCCGAGGCCGAAGCAGGCGCCTCGAGCGCCTCGGACTCAGCCGCGTACCAGGACGCCCCGTATATCAAACCAGGCTTCCCAGAGACCCGTCGATCATTTCATGTCACATACTCCTCGGGCGGGACCAGAAGAAGCCCCCGGAGATTCAGTTGCCGCTCCAGTCCCTGCAACGGCTGTAACGGCCGCATCTACGGCTTCCAACCCAGTTCCAACCCCAACACCTCGGGCTCGGCCCTCAGGTCGACAATTTGAAAAGCGAGGTCATGTGTGGATTCTACAAAACAATAGTGGCATCGTGCCCCCAGCGAGGGCGCAGCCTCGACCTGCCGGGGCCAGCGCTGCGAGACCTATAGGTGACTCGCTGTCGGTTCAACCAAGGTTATCTCACTACTTGAATACGGCACACGGCCATGGAGGGCAGTCAGGTGGACCCAGCTTCACCCTGCGACGATACCTTTCTGACGCCAACTCAATGGCACCCGGAACTCATGGCCCTTCGACCAACTCTATTGGCGCAAACCCACCTCAGCCCAAATCTCAAGCGACCAACCAAGTACCGCACCAACCTCGACGGCGTATAAGGAAACATCGTCCAACCCGCATCGAGCCCCGGACCGATAGAGAGTCCGCTCCAATGATCTCCGATGACGCTGAAACTCCAGTAATCACTCACGTTGGTAAACCGCGTCCTGCTTCATCCACCACAAGTGGTCTTTTCAACTTCCCAAGTGTGTACCCGATTGAGTTCGGTATGACCACTCTGCTTGAAAACACCTACTTTCACGGGTCTACATTCATCGGAAGTGGTGAGTTCTCGCGTTCCTTGAACTTCTCAAGTCGGAACTTGGACGGGCAAGCCAGCCCTCTCTCGATCAATGTCCAAGATAAGATGTTCAATTGGGGAAGCTGGAGTGATGCAGTATCTTCAGAGATGGGCCACGTTTTCGACGTGATCATGGACCATGTTGAGCGGGCCGCTACTACTTCCCCAGAAGCGGGAATCGCACCTGAACTTGGTGTTGCGTCGCATCTATATAGGCTCCTCATCAAATACGTCACGGAAAGTCTGGTGTTCATTGATCCGGTCGACCGTACTGGCTTTGTCACTCGGACAACAGTGCTCGTTTCTCAAGCCAGAGATCCGCTGGCTGTTTTTCTGGGCAGCGAAGAATATAACAGGAAAGGACTGGTCAAGATCGCATGCTTCAACATGGTTCTTTCAGAACAAATACGTCAAGTGGCTTCCCATCGGCTTGTCAGCCCTGTGCTTGCAACTGAAGCGTCAGACCTCGTCAAATCATCCGCCAAAGATGTAGCCGTCCAGCTTGCAACCAAAAGCAGTTCCTCTGAGCTCAAGGCGCTGTCTGAAGAAAACAGCGAAACCGACCGCCGTGAGCTGGGGGCCCACGGTGAATACCCATCAGCCGAGGCTTATGTTGTGGCCAAACATCTCCTACGCAACTCGGATCATTATCAAGGCTGCTTCGAAGAGATCCAGCTTGAAGTTTGTGAAGGTATTGTCTTGCAAAACGAAAGAGATGTGGGTAACTTGGAGTCTGCATGGCGAGGAATTTTCACAGTCATGCCTCTGAATGAAGTGGATCCACAGGGAAAAGCACACCCTGGTTTTCGCTTCACAGCTATCAATGACAATTGGAAAGTCGCCAGGCGGCTTCTTGCTCCTGTTCTGGACCATTTCGAGACCAATTCCGCTGGAAAGCCCATCAGCTTCCACAAGTATTGCCAAGCTCTGTTCCACAGATGCCATGGCCTCATCAATACTTGGGGATGGCGAGAATGCAAACCCATCCTGGAATCCATGTTCGACTTTTTTGCTAAGCACAACCTACGCAATCTGAAACTGGAGGAAGATCGCGGATCACCGTCATTTCTTGACGAACTTGACAAGAATCCTTCGTTGGATGTTCGACCCGGGGAACCATGCTTCCATACTTTCTTGAAGATTGTAGCAAGTGGACTGCGATTTTTGTCCAAAAGATACAACAAAAAGAAGATCCAAAACATCACATGGCGCCTCCTCCCGAACCATGGACGTGTGTATCCGAAAGACCAAGAATTGCAGCTCGAAGATCTTGCCGCTCTACGAAATCACCACGATCTTCTCATTGCCTTATACTGGGCCGTTCCTGATGGCTCTCGTCCTCGAGTAGAAGCACTCCGCAACCTAGTCCACCCTGCCATCTCGCACCGTGGAGCCTGCAGCATCAGTATACGCTCCTGGTCAAGACTTGTTCGGTTCAAGCTCTCAACCGATGAGGAGATCTCGGGGCTCGCTGTGTTTGGCGAGTGGTATGGTTTCTTTGTGACAGAGCTTCATCAGCAGCACTTCTATGCCCGCAAAGAGATTGAGTCACGGGATAAGGGCGTGCATCGATTCTCTCTTCAAGAAATTGAGGAACTAATGTCGGATAACCAAAGACACCTCGAGCATCTAATGAACAGTGCACTGAGTGCGCTGCAAGCTGCAGTTAAGCTCGCCCCGACATTGGAGCATGCGCATCAATTGGTCGCGAAGGTCCCTTATAGATCCTTGTTTTCGCTCTTCAACCCCAAGAATCCGCGTGTCAACCATGTTGTGGTGGAGGCTTTGCAAGGGCTGGTCTCATATACACAGAAGGACATTTCCCCCTCAAAAACACAGACTTCTGCACCAGTGGGGGTCGATGAGGACAGTCAGGAGTTCGGTGACTGGGATGCTATTGAGGCTGTTTATGACCAACAATCTCTTCCCAGTGAGGGAATCACTCATGCAGCCGATGTTATTCATCCTGTTGTTTCTCGTCTCTTGTCGAACTGCTTTGGCGAGGATCATTGTCCTGAAGACACAATACTTCTCAGTGTCCTAGAATGTTGGACCTCGCTTGCTTCTGTTCTTGTGAGGCATCGGCTCAGGGGCTGGGATAGTTACCTGAGCCACCACGGAAATGATTCATGGTTACAGCTTCGAAGGACCGTGCAGACACGAAAGTTCGAAGCTCTCTTCCTTGCGTCTTGCATCGAAAAGGACGCGCAGGTTCTTCCGGACTGTTGGGTCGAAGTTATGAGCTTGTGGATGTCGTCGTTAGTCGAGCGCTCTTCCATGCTCAAGTTTCAACATCGTCTCACTGAGGCTATTTTGAACCAAGCCAACAATGATCCCTTGTTTAGCAACCTTCCTTTCATGAAAGACAACAACGCTGATCGGTACACGATCACCCTTGGGGAACTCAGTTCTCGACGGCTCTCCCTTCTCTCGAGTCTTTTGTCCAATATGCGCGAAACACTACAGGAAAAGGAGCTTTCTGCGAGTCGGGATTTTTCTACGACAAAGCAAGACTACTCCGAAGTGGTACAGCGTATGATGACCGCCATGAAGCATAATTATCAAGAGCTAGGAGATGGCACTGCACAAGCTGCCCAAGGTGCCTACGTTGGCTTTGTTCATTGCGTGATCGGCTTCCTCCAGCAGCATGCCAGCGAGATCAGGCCCATTGATCCCTTTTTCACTGACCCAGCTTCATTCCCCTTGCCTGTTCAGGACCCACGCTATATCATTGCCAAATTGAAACGATACGAGCCGAAGCTGGGTTTCAGCAAAGAGATCATGATCTTGGTTGGGTTTATGCAAAGCATTTCCGAGCGCGCCGCCATTGATGTGCAACAAACCTACCTGGTTGACCAGCTTCATGCCTCAATGAATGACACCTATGAATCGGGAATTCCCAACAAGCCAACTCTACGTGCCGTTCTGCTGCAGTGCGTGTTCCCAGCGTACCTTGAATCAGCATTTGAAAGTCCCACATCATGGATCCTCGCCCACCCTATCATTCAGACTGTCACGCTGGAGTTCAAGACATTGCGTAAGAACATGGACACCTTCGACTCAGCTTGTGTATTGTCTGTCATCAATATGATCGACGCTGTGTGTCAGGCTTCCTGTCAAGCATTGAATTCTATCTCGTCTCATCGCGATCGCTTGCAAAGCCCAGCAACATTATCCATGATCAGTGCCTTTGTTGAGATGGTTTCCTCGGTCCTTTCAACAGTCGACTACATTGAAGAAGTAACTGATAAGGGTGAAGAGTTGCTGGTACACATCAAGTGGATGAACAGCTTCATCAAAGCCGTGGCGGAATGTGTCCAAATGACAACCTTGGACACAGACAGGGCTGCAAACATGGACGATATCATGTTCCCTGAGCTGCCATCCCTCTCAAATAACAGAAAAACCGACCTGTTCAGCACAGCGCACCGCCTTGCCTCGAATGATTTACAGACCTACCTCAGAAAGTGGACGTATCATCAAGAAAAGTACTACTTCACACGACCTGGTCACCCGGCGCAAGAAGTCAAAATCCAGCCTGAGATTGCTACTGCGATGACTGATTATATCGAAGCTCAGCAGGCATTTGAGGATGCCGCGAAGAGCTTCACCTATCGAGCAGAGAGCCTGGAGCTGCTTTGAAGTCATTGTTCTTAAATAGATTTTTTGACCAGAAAAATAATGAGTAACGATTTACAAAATATCAAAATACACATGGATCTTTCCATCCACTTCAGTCCTGGGTTTGCCCATATGGCTTTGAATATTCTGGCCTATCATTCAAATCTAGTTCAGTTTCGCATCTATGGATGATTGATGACTCGATCAATTTTGGCACCTGTGCCAAGATCTCGTCATCACGCATATCCATCTCGTAACAGTATCATCGAGCCTAGTAGCCCCGAGAGATCAATCCCACGTACACATTGAAGTTGTAGTGAGTGCAAGTGTTCTGAACAAACAAACCTCCCTGGCCACTCAAAATGGTCTGTCCGCCACGAGTGACTGTGAATTGCTGAGCACCCACACCCATGCTGACACTTGATGTTGTTATTCCCGCGGGAACGTCGATGCTGACTGGAGAATTGCCTCCACTTTGGACAGTCAAGGTAGCCGGGCTTGTCAACATGGTGGCGATGAAGATGCTGTCACTCAGCATGCTTACGCCATTTGGAGGTGGGAGAGGATCTCCAGTGCAAACCACGCCCTTGGGGGTAGGGCGATACCAGTAGACGGCCTTGTCCTCTTCGATAGAAGGCTTCGATGCCCCTGATTTGTAGGCCGCGATGTAGGGCTTGTAAAGCTCGCGCCAGGCGTCATGGGGCATGTTGTTTGCCCACTGGGAGGAGCCGTCGTCGCTGTGGTGAGGCTCGGCAGGGCCGATGTAGTGGGATTCACCATAATCTGTGTAGGTTTGGTGAGCCTTGAACCACTAGAATGCTTCAGGAGTCAAGTCCAATAAGAGAAGCATACCGTTCCATGAGATGATCTCCACCAAGTCCGGTTTCAGGGACAGCATTTGCTCCCAACGAAGTGTTGGCAAGTTCTCGCAGATAAACACCCAGTTCTTGGAGTTGAAATGTGTCGAAAACCAAGGCGAGACCGCTGTTATGAAGTTAGCTTGTGTTGTATATGATATTTAAACAGCTGGAATGTATCCATATGTTCTTACAGGCCATGTATGTTTTTCCCTCGAGGAAACGGAAGAACCTGTCATCCCACACTGTGTCCATTGGCCCAGGAATGATACTGTTTCCTCCATCCGTAGGCCAAGCCAACCAAGAAAATGCTCCATCCGCGCCCCTGGAAGAGAGAGACACAGCCTCCGCCGGATCCTGGAGGTTGGGTAACGCATAGATTGGATGAGATGTACCCTGCTTCACTGGCTCCCAATTGAAGTAGTCTCCAACAAATGTGCTTACCACCGCGGCACCTCTGTACTGCATCTGTGCAGGATGATTACCGTACAGCTGCATGTACGCAGTGATATTTGCGGTGTCTCCGTTGTTCCAATAGGCAAAGTCAAAAGAGATGAAGACTTTGAAACCAACTTGCGCGGCAGCTGTGTAGGCAAGGTCCAGTTGGCTGTACGTGTAGTTATCGATGCTGGCACAATTCAATGCAAATGCATCGATTCCAATCGCTTGTGCCGCCGCCATGTCTGTTTTCCAATCATCGAGCTCATAGTTTCCTACGATGCCCACCTTTATAGGACACTCGTTAGCCTTGCGATACAGCAAATGACCACGTATCGGATGCTTGACTGACCATGAAGTGAGCGAAAACATATTTGTCCGTGTACTGGTTGGACAGCTCCACTTCAGCCTTGGGAGCACCCAAGACAGGACAAATGCAGCTCAACAGGACCGCGAAGCTCAGGAGCAACTTCCAAATCATCTTGCTTGAGATTCAACAATCACTGGGTTTGTTTGAAGATGGACGGAGAAAATGGACCAGAGAAGATGTATGAAGGAAAGAGAGTGAAGAGAAGTGAGAGGAAGAAGAGAGCAAGAGTCGCGAGCAAGAGTCGCCAGCAAAGAGATCAATCCGTTTGCTCCTTGCGGGCTTGAAGACCGAGGAATGCGTATCTCAAATGTTTCATTTCTATACCCCAGGCCATACAAGCATGTCTTATAGGATTCAATTTGCTCCCATGGCAGTCTTCAATCTACCACGAAAAAGGACAATGACATCTTCCTCTTTCCATGACTAAATCGGAGGATATAAAACTTGGTCTTTTTGGCGGACTATAAATCATGTAACCATCGGGAGGAGCGTCGTGAAATGCCACGTGAGGCCATGTAGCATTAAATCGGCCTAGATGTTTCTTCCTGCAATTTGACTTGTGCTTTTCTCTCATGTGCCCTCTTACCAGACTTGTCATCGTCCCTGTCAAGTTTCAAGGGGGAATACAACAAAAAGCCCGAATGCTACAGTAGTGCTGTGTGGAATAGAGACCTATTCTGACACGAGAATCTAAGAAGTCTGACTAGATTAATGACCTACGTTACTTTCGCGCACTAAAGCAAATCTGTGAAAATGGCCTTTCAAATTATCCAGACAATCTTGGGCCGGTCTATGTAATAAAAAAATCTCATGTGAGCACCAACAATCTGAAAGTAAAAACCTCGAATGCGTCGCACCAAGAGCAGCATATGCCCTAAAAAACAAAAGAAATCTATAGAATCTCAGCCAGAAGACCTCAAGTCTCCATCTCTCCGGCCAACTCAAAGCAGCCCGGCTAACAACCAAGCCTCCTGGTTGTTCTTCTACTCATCTATGGGCCTTGGGGACTTTCTAGCAGAATCCGGTACTGGATATCCGTCGGGGAAGCGAGGGAAGAGCTTACAGACGAAACAGTACGTGACTCCGTCATAGGTACCGGCCTGACCTGGTCCATGTCCAGCAAGGGCCCTGAGATACACTCTGAGGGGGGCATGCTTCATGTCAATCTTCTTCTCACCTTCGTTGGACTGGGCCCAAAGTGCAGTCATCGGGGAGTGGATGATCACTTTCGGGTTGGCGTACACGGTGATGTACTCCTCCTTGCCGTCGTACTCGAGGTCGGCTTGCTCTAGGACTCGGTAGCATCGCTTGACATCCATGCTTGCCGAAATCTTGGGGGGACTGGGGTACTTACTAAAGTAGATTCCTGTTGAGACTGTTGAGTGGATTGGTTGATTGGTTGATTGCTCGGCCGATGAGTAGTCTGAGGAGTAGATCGTTGGTGTTTGTGAATTGGCAGTTGGAGAGACTGTTGAATGATGGGATTCAGCTGATGGGACAGAGGCCAATTTATGTTAATACAACATGCTGCTGAATCCATATCCAGGATTCTTCTGCTGCTCTTTGAATCTTCTAAAATTAGCTCTTGGATAGTGGATCAAGAGGAGTCCTGACTGTCTAGTTGTCGGAAACAGTGCAGTCCACAATAAAGCCTTTTGTCTGCCTTTGGCTCAAGACCATTGTTCAAGGACAATCCATTGACTGCATTGTCTTCATCAAAGCATCTTTCACATTCCTATTGTCGCCCCACTTACTCCCATGGTTGACTCGGGGCGGATGAACGGAAAGCTAAACCCGAAACACATAGGCTTTGTATGCCATCAATGATTCGTTTTCTTTGTGCATTCTCTTTCCTTTCATGAATATTCCCCTTCGAGAGATGGGTGTGCGAGGCGTGTCTATTGTGAAGCCGAGGTCTCCCGAGGTCCTGCCTAGATACGTGTCTTGTGAATTGATTGGCTACCTGATACACAAAGCCATTGCTTTGTGACCCCAGCACTTGGACAGGCATTTTGCACTAATACCAAATGCAAATTCTCGATCTATGTTGGATCATGATGAGGAAATGAGTTACCTTTACTACTCGATATCTCGAGTCCGAGTACAACTTTGATGTTCCTCGAAAGCAAATTTGGTCTTCCACGACGTAGTCAGTTTCATGAACAAGCAATTCAATTAATTTCTGTTGAGATTTACAAGTGAGCACAGGTCGGGAAAGGCAGTGGTTTGAAGAAGTATATATGGACAGTGGGGGTTTAGCGGGGCTCCCGAGGTCGTATTCTTGAATAATACTTTCTTCCAAGAGCCCTGGAGGTCTCTTTCGATGTCCACGGGCTACTCCTTGTCAGAGCAGCAGAATCCCACTCACCTCAATCAACCTTCAGCACTGTCGCAAGCCATACTTTCTACATGGCGCACATCGTGATCAGAGAAGCAGAGGCAACAGATGCCCCACTCCTCCCAGCAGTGGAGCGCTCAGCAGCCCAGACTTTCTTGCAGCTTCTTGGCTATGAATGGCTTGCTACTAGAGACACACAATCCGTGGAAGAACATTTGAGCTACATCAAACGCGGTGCTGAATGGGTTGCAGTCGATGCTGCGAATCTTCCAATCGCATTTCTCAATGGGAGCTTGGCGGAGAGAATTTTTCACATACACGAAGTCTCTGTTGCATCAAGCCATCAAGGCAAGGGAATTGGACGACGCTTGATATCGACGGCAAAACAATGGGCTATTGCTTCTGATTGCTCGTCTATCACTCTCACAACCTTTCGCAATGTGCCATGGAATGAACTCTTCTAACGGTCTCTGGGATTCAGAACCCTGGATACATCTGGGTTGACAGCTTCTCTTGAAGCAGTTATGAAGAATGAGGCTGATGTCGGCTTACCCATCAAAGATAGATGTGCAATGTCCTTGAATTTAGAGTGAAGGTAGCAACATGTCCTTAGCTTTCTGCATTTCCGGCATCTAGTTGATCGTGTGAACAAGAGACAAAGGTGAAGAGCGATCATAGGAAGACTTCCCTGGAAGCTTTGGATTTCCTCTGGGTTTTCATTATCTGCACCCGGTCCTTGTGCATGACATGACTAGTTCCATGACAATAACCACTTAAAAATGCTTGTGTCACACATCCATGGATATGTCTCGTGCCGACCAAGGCGATATGTGGTGTTATCAAAATTTCCCAGCTGACAGGGGTCTTCTCGGATACTCCTGGAATTCCGCAGCATGATCTTGAGATATCGCAACAATCCAAAGGTCTGGGCCTTTTCTTAAATTTCGGGCCGTGATAGAGTAACCGGAGACAATGGCATATATTTTGGTGATTTTACCAGTTGTAATTGATCCAGAAGAAGAATTCTTAGCATCCAATTTGATTCAACGGAACCTTGGAAGGCATTTTGAGGTTCTCACGGAAGTATTGCTTTACGAGAAAGTTGGCTAATGGGCCAAGAGACTCGCACAGTAAATAAATCGACTGCTAACGATCAAATTCTCTGTCATACACATGCACCCAATTGAGAGAAGCTGAGGGTTCTTATTCTCAACAGGCCTAGCTCCCCCGTTGCTGTGAGCTCCGCCGTCTACACCTTAGGTGTGCTACCATCGTCCGCAAATGCATGTATGCACCCGAGTAGTTCATTGCGACTAAACTTGGATTGTTTCCGGAATTTTGGTGTACACAAAGCCCTCGGATAGCTTCGAAATGGCATGACCTTGATAGTGCATGTGCTGTGACCAGGCCTGCGTACGACAAACAATGCTAATGCATATACAGCATGTAAACCTATCAACTTCCCTGGGCTTGCAGGAATAGTCAAAATCACTTTTGCCCGAAAGCTATATGGAAAGACCCAAAATAAATATGTGCCTGGTGTGAATTGAAAATCCTGGAATCCCAGCATGAAGTCCAGTCTCTCTGCCTTTATAATGGCTGATTTAATGACGGTTGCCCATATACTATATCGCCTTCTTTCTTCTGTGCTATTGTATATAAACGACTTTATATTGGATACCTTCCAGCAAGGCCCTATTCCAAACCATGTGGCATTTATCATGGATGGAAACCGCCGTTATGCAAAAGAGAACCAAGTTACGGTAGCCGAGGGCCATTCGGCCGGTGCTAGCACATTAAAGCAGGTCAGCTTCGTCAAATCTCGGGTTTAAAACATGAGGACTAACCTTGGCGCCTACATAGAACTTAAACGAGTGCTTCACCCTTGGCATCAAAGTAATATCCCTCTACGCATTCAGCCTCGAGAATTTCAAAAGACCAAAGGAGCAAGTCGATACTCTGATGAGACTGTTGGAGAGTTCCCTCCTACAAATTCACGGACCAAATACCTTCGTCGAGAAACACGATGTTCAAATTCGAGTTGTTGGAAGACTTGAGATGCTTGATGAGTACGTTCTGAACGCCATCGCTAGGACCATGGATGCAACGAAGGATAACAAGGGGAGAATATTGAATATTTGCATTGCCTATACTGCTCGAGATGAGATCGCTTCTGCAATCAGGGAGACCGTATCGGGTTGTGGATCTTCTGCGAAGATCACGGAGAGCTCGCTGACTGACAACATGTTCATGGAAGTTCCCGTGGACTTGATGATACGTACCTCCGGTGTCTATAGATTGAGCGATTTTATGCTTTGGCAGTGTCACCAGCATACTCCAATTGAGGTTGTTGAGAGGAACTGGCCCGATTTTGGAAGATGGGACATGGGGATAATTCTATTGAGATGGCAAAGACGGAGGAACAGAGTATTGGTCGGACTATGATATGATTGTCCATAAGTGTTGGTTAACATGATAATTCTGCTGCTGATATCAGGAATGCGGTGCTTCTAATGATGATCTGATCCAGGAGGATGTTTCTACCTCTGCCATTTTCTACAAGGGGCTTTGATACTCCCGGAAAGTCTGCAAAGTCGAGGCTCCGTACAAAATATGCTCTAAATGCGACTGGTAATCCCATCCACATCCCGCTGCTGCCAAAGCAGTCAAGCTCGCCTGGTCCTCACGACCAGGTCGACCGGGACCAGTCATGTTCTGTGACCCGGTGTTAGCAAAATCAACCAAAGACATCATCTCACTTACTGGTTTCATATTGATATCAAAAATAGCAAACTCGGAGTTCGGCCGGAATCGTCGGACGTCAATGCGAATAGGAGCCGTAGCCCTAATGAGACTGGCCACACCTTCACATTGACGCATCACCGAGCCATACGTTGCATCGTGCATTTCGCCCTCGGACACAACGCGTGAATTGGCAGTTACGGCGACTGTGCCGTTATACGGTGCAACACCTCCTTGATGATTGAATCTTGTCACGGGTGGCATGCTCCAATATTGAGCTCTGTCGGGAGTCGGAGGCATCACAGTTATGGTGGCTTCTTCCCCGGCTAGAAACTCTTCCAGCAATACAACGGGAGATTCATCAAGGAGACTCTCTATATGCTCTTTCAGCTCAGTTGCACCGTTGCACACTTTGACGCCGTGACTGCCACGTCCTCGAACCGGTTTTCCGACGATTGGATAATTGGGGATTGACTTAACCAATGCGTCAAGATCGTCTCCCGCTGTTGCTTCCCATGCTTTCGGCAAAGTAAAGCCCCCAAGAGCACGTAGTTGGTTGTTCAGATACATCTTATCATCGAACTTCTCAACCAGACCCGGAGGTTGACCCACTACCCGCAATGTTGGGGTATAGGAGTCCAGAGACGAAGCAGTCTGCAGAGGATGAGAAGAAAAAACAATTGTGTTTGCCCATAGATGGGTAGCCCCCTTGGTTACCGCAGACAAAATTCCCTCTTCGGAATCAGGGAAGCACCAGCCCTCATGATCGACAGGAGGCGAGGATCGTGGCGTTATAACCTCGATCCCCTTGGCACGCAACGCATATGCAATATCTGCGCCTGAGTCTTGATAACCTTCACAAATACTTAGCAAAGTCATAAGAACGAGGAAAATTTACCCACCGCCTGGTTTGCGCGGCTTGCGGACTCCGTTGATGACTGGAGGCTCAATTGCTTGGTACAGCACTGCAACAGTCGGTTTGGTGTGGCTCCATCTTACGCCCTTGAGGCCTTGCATGGGGGCTTGCATCTTTCTAAGCATTGTGAGATGGTTGAAGAAGGCATGAGTCGAGCAAGTGAAGTGATGTTAGCTCTTTCGGACTGCCCCCAGGTGGGCTCGGAGCGATCCGAGTGTATGCGGAACGCTCCGTTCAGCCTAAAGTCCATCCGCAGCTTGCTGCGATCTTCACATACTGCATTTTTTGCGAATGATGAATTCCATGGTTTGACTGCTCATCAAGAGTCAGGATAGATGAGGCTATCAGAAGGATATAAACCCTCTGATCCCACCTCGCGATCTTGGATTCCGATGTGAATTGCATGAAACTGGATTATTCGACTAAGTATCATTCACTCCACAAACTACGAAACCAACCTGTGCATGGGTAGACAAAGAGGTAATTTATACAAGAACAAACCCACAAACAAGAAAAGATCCATTAACTCGAGAAAAAAACCAGCTAGCGCCACATTTCTATCCCTTTTCCTCCAGTTCGCCGACAAAAAGACAAGATCAAAGAGCCACACAGCCACGGCCCTGTGACATATGCCCAGAAACGCCACAGAGAGAAACAGATATGCTATGCAGACCATCCTCACTCGTCACTGTCCAACCCATCGATCATCGCCTGACTGGGTTTCTTGCCCGCCCCGTAGACCATCTCCATGAGCTTCGCTTTCTGTCGCTCCCTCACCGAGCGCAGGTAATCATACGTCCCCTCCAAGCCACGTATCTGACCGTCGATAACGGCCTCAACGGGGCCCAGCATTCGCCCGGGCCCGGAGTTCCCATTGCCGTTTCCATCAACAGTTCCGACGAAACTGACCGAGTCATTACGGCGCACAAGCGGAGAAACCAATTTCCTCCGCAGCGTCTCGAGGTTCACTTTGAGAGTAAGGAGTCGACCGCGGTGATCAACGAGAAGATGTTTGTTGGCGACTGTGCGGGAGCGCACGTTCGCGAGTAATTTCTTGTTCTTCTCGTATTTGCGGACTGCGACGGCGTCTGGACCGAGAACGCGCGTCCAGAGTGAAGAGAGCATTTCGCCTTCTGCGCGTTCTTGGGCGTCTGATTCACGGACGACCGTGCGTTGCAGGTTCAGGAATTGGCGATCTATTGATTCGAACAAAGCGAAGAGCGCAGTGGAGTGGCTGAGCTCGCTGTTGATTGATTCTTCCAGCACAGACAGGAACTCGGTGAAGGTGCGCGTGAGAGTTGTGCGAGTGCGCTGTGCGGACGTTGGCCCGAAGACTGCCATCACAAGGTGGCCGAGGGGTGTTGTTGAGGTCGGGACGCCATCTGAGACGGAGCCCTCCAGGGCACCAAGGCGTGATAGCATGTTGTGCATGTTGTCGAAAACGATTGTTGGGAGGGAGGAAGGGGGTTGGGCAGATAGGGTCTCTAGTTCACGTTTCGCCCAGTCCATTACTATGAGGATGGAGTCGATATCTGAATCGACGTTTGCGAAGAAGCGTGTTAGTTCTAGAGAGAGGGATTTGAGGGACTCGGAGAGCTCGTCGAGTTGATGAACGATGATCGGGGCGCTGGTCATATTTGTGCCGCGGACGGATTCACTCAAGTCCCACACTGCGACGCCTGTCTCTTGAAGCGTGCCGATTTGCTGCACGCCATTCTCTGAGTAGTAGATGAGCGGCTCGAAGGAGCGCGCAAACCCTGAGAGCTTGACCAGATCCGGGATGGATTGGGGGAGGCCTGGAAGGACCAGGGCGCGCATGAATACGCCTGTGATTAGAAGAACAATCACCGATAAAGTAGTGTTAGATTTTGAGCTGGTCATGCGCTCGAACTTGGAGCGCAAATATCCAAAAATAGCAGCAATCGGTTCTCGGTGCTGGACTTCTGCACGCACTGCAAAGCGAATATCTTATTCGCGACGACGTTAGTATATCGCGCACCTGCAACTGAATCTAGATCAGACAGGGCCTACAATTACTCAAGTTCTCGGCGCCGAAGCCGTCGTCCTCTGGACTCGGGCGGGCGGTGCGATCCGTACTCGGGGCCGGGGGTGGACTTGGAGATCGCCCATGGAGGGGAGTATCTGCACCCGCCGGCAGAGGCACATTTGCCGCTACAGAGATGTCGCCCGGCGTCGCACGATCACCTCTCTTCACTGGGTCTTCAAGCGCGTCCTCATACTGTGGACTGGGCTCACGCGACTGCGACGGGGAGACACTCAGCCCGACTGTGGGCTTGAGGTGGATATCACCTTTGCGCTCATAGGGCTGGTGACGGTACCAGTTTGGGCCCCTATTGTACTCACGTTGAAATCCGGCAGCGTCTTTGACGTATTCATGCTGGAAGCCGGGAGGCGACCAAGCATCCTGAACAGGTTCCTCGATTTCATCTTCTCCATCCGACTCTTCAGATCGGAACCCAGAGTGCTGGGATGGCAGTCCGAACATGGGGGATCTGTGAGGGTTTGTATTGCTTTCGAAATCCTCGAGCGACGCGTCCAAGGACGGATGGTCGTCGAAGACGTTGTCTAGCTCATCCAGCATTCCAGACGGCGTGGGGCGATAGTCGCACCCCAAAAGGAGAGGCACTGTAGATGGCGCGCTGGAGCGCAAATCAAAGCCTGAGAATGGCGGTCAAGGTCCAACCTTTGTTGACTAGAGTTAGTATATGCGCGTGGACAGAGTCTCATGCGCTATCCGTTTGAGATGAAGGCGACACTATCGGATCTGCTCCAAGGGTGCGATAAGATTTGCGATCTGATGCGACAGGGCAGGTCTTGGCTTCCAGATGACGAAACAAGGGGTCTCTGCAATAAGCGCATTCAAAATGTCGGACAAGATGTGATGGGTGCGCAGCGCTCGATATTAATAGTTGCGGTCCAAACAAGCCTCGTTGAGCAATGAAGAAATCAAGAATGAGAGGAAGAGAGAACATGCATCCCCTCACTTGTATCAAGTCCAGGTGGCTGGACCAATCAGCCTATGCGAGTCAGGTCATGTGCTGAGACTCGAGGCCAACAGGGTACTGTACAGCTCAGATACAGACGAGGTACTATGCAGATACCTTTGGTTTAGGTGGGGCCCAGGGCCTGCGCTAAAGTACCGTGCAAGTACCCCATCTCCTCCGTGCCTGACCGCCCATGTTTGCCCAATTGATACATCATGCAGCGTCACGAGCCAATCATAACGACAAACGCCTGGTGAATCCGGAGAATGTAAGACAATAGCGTAAACGCATTATTTGGGTTAAGAATCGTGATCTGCGAACTGCAACTCTTCGCAACGGCTGGCCTTTGGTTTTGGTGTTTTGTCGCTACACGAAAGGGTTCATGACCTGGTTCTATTCAAGGCCAAGAAGGTATCGCTGTTGCTTTTAGGGCCACTATGGCTAGTGGCTCTCATTGTCACCTTATGGACAAGTGTATAAAGAGAAGAAAAAGAGGACGGGAGTATGGGAGTATAGGAGCTATGAAAGTGGATATGCGGAAACCAAGATCTCCTAGCAACACGTGACCATATTCCCCTCATTACCCTTGAATCTATATGAAGTATTCAATGTCTATCTAGGCATTTATGGTGGAGCTAAGTAGGTATTTAGTAAATATAGAGATAGTCTTAGACATTATCTACGTCTAAATGGAATACATTTGACATGGCCAACTATATAGTTCATTTGAACTCAGAAGACAATTCTAAATCAAACTATTTATAGTATCGATTATGAATAGTTACACCATATGTGTCCTTGAGGTATTACAAGATATACTAGTATCTGAATTAAAGGTCTTGGTTAGACCGTGAACAGTCGTGAATGTCCAGCGAGGTTGGCTAGTACTCCGTACTTCGCTCGGTCGTGCAGCCTGCAGCTGTCATATCAGCCCTGTACTTTTGCTAGAACCACTAACATGAATGTTTGAATTTGAAAACAAATCAAATCAATCGAAGAAGCAGGAAGATCAAACTTTATGAACAAATTAGTAGTATTCAGTGTTCGCAATATCATAGCAAACTGCCTCGGAGTAGTTTGATACAATGAAACGCGTATAGAATACGTGTTACAGAGCTTGACAACTTATCCGGGGCCAGTCTGCAACTGTTTTTGTTCACTTTCTAATATTTCGTAGTGTCCATTCTTACAGGTCGAATAAAGTAGATAAGAAAATACAGATGCAAGAGAAGTAATCGAAAGAGGAGATTCGAATCTATTGTGGGTCATGGAGAAATTGTAATACTAAAAGTACATGCCCGGCCTGGATACCCGGTGATCAGCCCACGCCAAAACCAAGCCCAGGCTTCTAGGGTGAACAGAAAAGAAAGGGGAATTAAAAAGACATCAGGTCGTTTATTTGCAAACCTCCTGGAGGTGACTAGAAGAGAAGGGTCAGTAAAGGTTGTGGAAAGGGGTATGGTATTTCGGGGTGACGAACGTGATGAGGTCGTTGCGCTCCTTGGTCTTCTTGAGACCACCGAAGGCCATCTTGGTACCGGGGATGAACTTCTTGGGGTTCTCGAGGTAGGAGAACTGTAGACACATTGTAATTAGCAAGGCGCCAGAAAGTCGGAGTATGCGATTGGATACGTACGAGAGTGTCGTTGTTCCACTCAACACCGGCCTGCTTGTTGGCGTCGGTGTAGGCGTAGCCCTCAGCGGAACCGGTCTTGCGACCGAAAAGACCGTTCAGGTTGGGGCCGACCTTGTGGGCACCACCAGCCTCGACGGTGTGGCACTGAGCGCAACGGGTCTAGGGACAGATTGTTAGATTTGGTTTCAATGAAGGAAAAAGGTGATGGATGAAACTAACCTGGAAGAGCTTGGCACCCTTGGCGGCGTCACCTAAGAAAGAAAAAGTGGTCAGCGAGTTGTCGAATGTCATAGCAGCCCTTCAAAATCCGTATTGCGCATGCGCATCACGAAGCAGATCATCCATGTTGTTGAAAAGTGGACACCAGAAGGTTTGTGCAAGAGGCGACGTGGTAGAGGCAACGGTGGTCGCAATTGAGAGGCGCCGACTTGAAGGCATTGAGCGAAGCAGAGGCTGAGTAGCAGTGGATGTCGAGATGAGGACACCTCTTGAAATCTCACTAGCCCGTCGCTGTTGTTGTTCCTCGCCTCTGCTTTGCGCCTCCCGGATCCAAATTGCCGTCGCGAAGATGAAAGTGAAGGAGCGAAGAGGATAGCTTACCAGGGGCGAAAGATTCTTGCTTCTTGGGAGGCATTGTGAAGTGTTGTGAAGTATTAATAGAAGAAGTATTAAGACACTGTACAGAACAAAAAATCTGGGAAGGGAGAGAAGAAAATCTGGTTATTTGTACTTGGCCCCGACACCTCTCGTAATCCGCCCGTCCACCAATCAGCGGTCAGATGATTCACTTGAGACGGACGTAACCGGGAACTTCGGTGTGGTCAACACTTTCAACTTTCCGGATACCACGGACATCACATTCTGGTTTATCTGCTCTGGTTTATTCGGATCTGTTTATAATGTGGTGATAATGTGTATGTGTGTGGGAATATTCGCCTCATGATCTCATCCCTCATCATAGCCTCTATTTCAGCTATTTTAGCTATACCCAAACTTAGCCGGTTTGAGCTCGGGATCCTGGTCTACATGGTATACGGAGTGCCAGGTACCAAATGCCGAATCTGAGCTATGTGGTCTTGTGGTCTTACCCCCTTCTCGAACCCCAACCCCTTTCACCCCCCTTTGGAGAGGACTGGAGCACTTTTAACACCTCCGGTCCACCGTGGCTGCGAAATGGCTAGATTGTTATTCGCCCGAAACGGTCCACCCATGACACCGATCTGTGGATCCTGAGGCAGAAACGGTCTTGTTCAATGCTTTCTCGTCAATTTAGCCTGTTGCCGAGGTACTCCGTATATAGAGCACCAATGGGATCCACGTTCGTATCAGGTAGGGTTTGTATCAGAGCCAGAGACCAATTTGTATGTAGCATGTCCACGGGTAGAGGCAAGCCACGTTATCATTTTGCCCCTGCCGTTCCAACTGCTTAAATGGCTCCTTCCCAACAGAGTGCTTGATGGTCGGGCTTCCGTTTTCCTGGAATCATGTGACTAAGACAATATCACGTGATATCAAGCCTTCTCCAAAAAATTGCATGTATGGTTCCACCGAGATCAACAGGAACAGACCCCTCCAAGCAAGCACAATGCCCACTCCGATCCCAGGCTTCTTGCTCCCACGAGGACCCCCGACAGCTCTCATGCTGCGCACACTGCAACGGCAAAATGCCCGCACCTTCACTTCAACAACGGCCGCATTGAAGAAGGCCAAAAACACAACACCAAAGCCCCGAGTACTCGAAAAGCCCGACCGATTCCGTCCTCCATCTCACCCTCAGCGTCTTGTGACACCCTCGCCTAAGAGCGCACCACCGGGACAACCGTTCGAATATGGTCCGCGAACAACCGAGAAAGAGCGTGTCGAGCAGAGTAAAACGCAGTACCCCGGCATGTTCCCACCGGAGGGCACGGTCATGCACCGATTCCTGACGAGCAAATGGATCCATATCTGGATTTCAATGGTATGCTACTCTCCGCGTTGTTATTCTCGGAAGCACCAGCTAATCGGTATACATAGAGTGTTCTCATGGCCTGCGCAACCTTCACATTCACAACAAACTTCAAAGCGACTTCTCCCTTTGCACACCTTCTCCCACCGTGGTCTGGCCTTCTCACTTCGCCATTCGGCACCATTTCTCAGGCTTTCAGTGTGTGGCGCATGCATGTGCAGCACAACTCTATGCGCGTGCGCGAGCAGCGTCACCGCCGCGTTGAGGATGCCGAAAAGAGAAAGCAGTACCGTATTGCGCATGGCTTGGAGGAGCCTGAGAAAACCGCTGATGGCGAGGTTGATTCTCAGTCGCCCGTTGCAGAGCCCGCGGTCGCAACACCGCAGAGTGGGGTGTATGTCGACTTTGAGGGTAATGAGAAGCCCGTCAAGAAGTGGTTTGGCATTTGGTGATATGACGGAAAAATTCTCTGGAGGGATTCCATCTTAAATTGCGCATAAGTACTTCGATGGGCCAAGCTCTTGGGTCATACATTGTTGCATGGACTGGATATTGTTGTATATTACCAGTCTTATCCTGTATATTAAAGCGAAATTATTGAACTACGATAGAGAACATTTCTACTCTTCTGTGCAAGATCGAACATGAAGAAATGACGCTTTTTTGGACTACATTCATAGCACTCATAATATTGAACCAACATTTTATTATCATACGGCTCAAAATCAATGTACTTCCACGCCCTCAAGGCCTTCAAGAACCTCCTCACCAACGCCTCCCTTTCGAAGAACCGTCTTGATCATGCGCGCGATGACCGAGCGCTTGACTCCACCCCGACGAGGTCTCCAGACGCCACTGACTTCCTCCTGGCTGGGATTCTCACCCGACATGGCACCAGACATGTTCACATTCTCAGTGTCCGGAATACCAGGCTGCGTTAGACGAGAGGGCGGATCAATAGAGCGAATAGAAAGCAGCTTCAGAGAATCAGAGTCATGACTGCGGTTGATAGAGATTGCCAGAACAGCGTCTGCGACTGAGATCTCCTCGCGGTTGGGATCGAAGATAATATTCTCGCCCACTGAGACAACAAGAAGTGTCACAGGCGGCCGGACAGGATGGGAAAGACCAGACGAAGGTTTTGAGCGCGGGTACAGATATTCCGCGGCAGCCCAGTCGTCGTCGAAGAACGGGTCTTCTTCGCCCGTCGACTTCAGTTTCGGAAGCTTGGTGCTGAGGAGAGCGAGATGGGTTGTAAGAGAGAGGAGGGGCAGAGGGTAGGAGAGGGGTTGAGAGAGAAGGAGGACCTGTTGAATGTCAGTAGCTGAAGTCGCAAGAAAACCAGAAAGCAAGAAAAGAACCTACATCAATATACAATCTCCAATGCCAGCGCTTGTTAATAACAAGCCTTGCCTTCAACCCTCCAGCCATTTCATCCTTATTTTCAACCGATCCAACCAGACTCTCGCGCATCATCTCACCCAAGAAGATAGGAAGCGCATCGTCATCTCGATACCCGGGAATCTCAATGGACATCTGAACCCACTCGCCTTGCCCGGAGACAGCAGCAGAGCCTTCCTCGCCCTCGCGGTTCAGCGCGTCACCATGCTGCGCCAAACTCCGTGAGTCGAGGGTATCGGCTGCGAGGACTGTCTTCTCAACCTCGGCTTTGACACCGACGATTGCCTGAGTGCCGTCTGCGAACCCAATGCGCGCGCTACCATTTGCGCCCGGCAGAACGGTGGTCTCGGCTGATAGAGGTCGGAATTGTGTTGGGGAGCGACCATCGGGTCGGATTGGGTTCTGAGGGAGGCTGAGTGAAGTGTAGAGGTAGGAAAGTTCCGCGGGGGAGAGGTGGGGGACTTGGGAGGCGGATGAGGCTTGTCTTTGGTTGGACATTTTGGGAGGTGCAAGCGAGCTGCGTCGCTGTTGCTAGTAATGTGCGTGTAGAGCTCAGTTGACTGGCTGCGCGAGAATTATCTCGGAGCTTTTGACGGACCCAACAGCGATCGGTCCGAAATGTTGTACTCGTGCGTGATCAAGAGCTCCCTGTAGGTTCAGAGGTCTGGGGTCCCGTGGTCGAAGCTTTAGCCACGTATAATCCAGCTGGCGAAGTTGTACTGGTGAGCAATTAAGGCGGCAAAAAAGTTGTAGTTTAACAGAGCATTCTCAATCAGGAAATCTTGATGAAGCGGATCATTGTTGTTCCGTGGTAGGTATCAGTACCTCCGGCTCAGTCTTCTCACCTGGGCAGCAACCAACTATTGACAAGTGCTCACAGACGATCCATATATGCTAGCTTGCCATTTCAATCAATGTGTTATCTACGGATCTAGGTAGAATCATGTGAATTGGGAATTTACAAAAACCAAATGGAATGAAGTCTCAAATATGCGATATGTAGTAGGCTGTATAGACATGGCATTAGCCAAGGATAGTAGTATATTACAAGAGTGTAAAGCGAGCTGGATCCCCGCCAGCATGCCGAGAATGATACAAAATGAAGGCAGGAAACTGTAAATGCCGGAAAATGAGTGAAAGATTGACAAGAATAAAGATGGGAAAGGCAATAGCCACACAATGTACAGTGGGGGGATAAGTATGAACAAAAGAAAAAAGCCCATTTCATCGAGAAATAATGTGCAAAATATCAGTGAAGATAGAGAGAGAGAGAGAGAGAGAGGGTAGGGACCAGTAAGGCCGAGGGAAATGCGGTATATGTGACTCGCACATGTGGTATCAAATGCCAATGAAAGAAAACACGCCCCTAAAACAAGATGTACCGGGTGTAAAGGAAAGGACTCCGAAAGGAAATGAAAAAAATGGTAACAAGGCCCGCATCCATCTATATAAACGGCCTGTAGGGGTATGAAGTGGGAGGAAAAGGAAGAACGAGGGCGAAACCCAATGCCCAGTGAAAGAAAAACAAAGAAATAAACACCCTCCGAAATGGTGAAATGCCCGAATCCATGCGCCTCGAGCTCGGTGGCTCGGTCTCTGTGCAATTTTGCCAAAATTTTGTTCTTCTCATTGAGAAGATAAAGAAAATGGTGTGGTGTGGGTCAAGGTTGGAGAACTAGATGAAGTTGGATCCACGGGCGAAATAATCCGCCTTCTTGTTGTGGAACTCAGCTTCCTCGTAAGGGGGTGTTGGCCAGTGACGGTTAGCAGTAGCGGGATCCATCTTGTGGATGCTCAGCTTGCTAGGCGTCGACTGCTGGCCAAATGTCGCGTTCTCCTTGGCAGTTGGTGATGGTGTAGGATAGGGGTTAGGCAGAGGGCGCGAAGTGCGACTTGATGGGTCGACCGCCATGGACTGGGTCTGAGCCAGGCGTCTGGCAGCCTTGCTGGCGGAGTGCAGAACCTCATCCAAGAGCTCATCCTCTTCCTCAGGGGTCTCGTATCGGTGAACGGGGTGACCGGACATCTGCTTGGCGCGACGAGTTCGGCTGGAGATTGGTGCAGATGTGTTGGCAGTCGCCTGAGGCATTGACTGGCGCTTGTGGACGTCAGCTCCATTGCTCAGGTGCACTGGGACATTGCTCAGCGTAGAGGAGTCCAAAGAGTATTTGACACTCTGAAGCGCCCGGTCAAGTTCGTTCAGATCACCATTCTGCTTGGGCTCACTGGTCGGTCCATCAAGAGCAATCGACGAACGGTTTGACCAAGGGATACAGCCAGCGTTGGCCTCAACGTCATCAGGCTGTGCATTTTGGTTGCGACCGGACAATCTGCGGGCGCGCTTGCGAAGATGCGAGAAGAAGCTTTCTTTGGTGGTGGGAGTGTTGCTCCCGGAACCATTGAGCATCCTCTCGGCCTCTTGGCGGTTTGAGTCGGAATAGTGATTACCATTGGAGTTGACAGAAAGCTGGCGCCCGATTTTGGTGCTTGCCGAAGTATCCGATGATTTGGACGATTCGCTGTGAGCCACCGTGGCATTGGCCTGAGCGGTGACTGAGTTTGATAGAGGAGACACAGGACGAATGGAAGGAAGGATTGGCATGGGAGCACCGCTGGCCCAGGTAGCCCGTTTGGTATTAGCGGGCCGGGGCTTGACGGGTTGGATCTCAGGGACAGTGATGTTGGTGACAGCAGATTGTCTGGGAGTGGTATCCTCGATAGTAGGGGCAGGGCTGTCCGACCGGGCGATCAACGACCTGCGGAACCAAGAGGGCTTAGAAGACAGAGTAGGAGAGTCGCCAGGGGTAAGCGTCGGGGACTTGAAGCTCTTCTCGGACTGCTTGCGACCGAGCAGTCTTGATGAAGTTGATGACTTGGGTCGCACAGGATCGACGGCATCGGCAAAGTACTCGTGGTTCAAAGCCTGGGTAGATGTCGGGCGGTTCTTCGGGTCCCACATGAGACACCATGTGACGAACTCAGCGAATGCCGCGGGCCACATAGGGGGTTGAAGGACGGACTCCATGGCGTGCGGTGCCATCTTGGGGAAGGTGAAACCAAGCTTATGGGCGAGACGCGATCCTTCACGCCATTCACCACCACCGATCTTCGCGCCCGCTTTGCTGTACCAGTTTCCGGGGCTTCCCATAATCTCACACACGCGCCAAACCTGATCCACCTCGTTGCCTCCGGGGAACAGGGGCTTCAGCGTGGCAATCTCCACGGCCATGGCGCCCATTGCCCACATATCTACTGGGGCCGAGTATTCACCAGCGCGTAGAAGCACTTCAGGTGCACGGTACCAGCGCGTTGAGACATAGGTTGTGTATGGTTGTTTTGAGTGGGTTTCCCGTGCAAGACCGAAGTCGGCAATCTTCACGGTGTAGACAGGAGGAGTAGAGGGGGAGTGACGAGGTTAGAGTAGCGGCTGAAGGCGGAGTCGTTAGGGGCGGAGGTTGACACCAAGATGTTCTCGGGCTTGATATCGCGGTGGAAGAAGTGGTGGGCATGGATGTGGTCTAGACCGGACAAGATCTGGTACAGAATACTCTTGACGTGCTTGCCATCGAAGTACTTGTGGTCGCGAGCCTTCATCAACTGGTACAAGTTGCCATCCATGTATTCCATACAAATGTGCAGCTTGCGGGATAGAGGGTCGAGGAAGATGTCGAGAGCAGGAACGAGGTGCGGGTGAATGGGTAATGTGCGGAGGAAGATAACCTCTCGGAGATCCAAACATGGACCTAACGACTCGAAGGTCTTCTTCATGGTTTTGATCGCAACCTAGGATAGTCAGTGGGGAAGCGCGTACACCGCCGATCTTGCTTGATCCATACCATAGTGCCTCTCCGGGCGACGTGAGCGCCGGCTGTCCGTACCCGTGCAACGGCAACACTACCGAAGCTTCCATCGCCAATTTCCTTAATCACCTCGAAGCGATCTTCGAGGGTGGCCATGGAGGTATGTGACCCCCGCGTGGGAGTGTCGTATGTGACAGTCATAGTGATATTCTCTTCAGGTCTGCCAGCAGATCGGGAGAGGAATGAGGGGTCTGGAATTCGCAGTCAGCTTTCCGACATTCCCAGGATCGATATCCAAGTCTCACTTTATTATGTAAAAAGGGTGGGATGTGTATTTGCAAGGGAAACCCCAAAAGTGAGTGTGAGGGAAATCAATTGTAGCAAGTGTTCATGTCCGAGCAAAGGCTAGATTTTCCCATTGATGAGAAGTAAGGAGTGACGAGGTAGTTGGAGGGGGAGTGACGGGGGTCATGTATGAATCAAGGACAATAAAAAGAAAAAGCACCAGAATAGGAGAAGACCCGTAGTGGAGGGATCGGAGACTGAGGGTGAGCCCCTGACGCGCTGACAGCTCGAGCTCCTGTAGACGGGGCCGTGGAGACGGTAAATTAACGACTCTAGGTCGTTGCAGATCAGCCCACCGTGGCGAAATACTGGAAATGAGGTCACTGGTGTATTTGTGATTCGAGATATTCAGAGTGTAGAAAAGAACAAAGACTCAAAGGAATACCAACATCTTAGAGAAGAGGGGGGGATTTTGAGGGTATAACATTTTGGAATCAAGTAATAACTTGAATCAGTATTATGTGTAATAAGTTCACTTTGTGTACTTTGTACTATGGGTACTATCTGTAATATCTGTATGTAATTCCGATCGTGCATGAAAATAAAGAGGAAAATGAAAATCCCCCCAAAAAACATAGAATAATACAGAATGAGCACAGAATTAACGCTAGAGAATACCAGAGGATACCAGAGGATACCACCGGATACCAAATATACGGAAATATACGGAAATCCCAATAACGGGTTCATCCCGCGTCAACCAATGGGACCAACTTAGTGGAAACGGGTACCTTAACCTTCTGTGTATATTCTCTATTTACGATTTTCCCATTCCATATTTACTATTTTACTATTTTACTATTTCACTATTTGGTTAGTCTTCATGAACTAGTCCCTCATGACTCTCAACTACAGATATTCTCTATTATTCCTTTCTCGTCCATATCTCTCGAAAAAGCACTTTATTGACCGGTAATGATATGCAACGCTCTGCATTGTAAATCTCTCATCTGACCGCTGTGGATGCACGGCGCCTAATAATTGAGGAGGTTGGGCATACAATAGTTGTGCGTGTAGCCTGTTACCGTTGCCCACGCAGCCCTAGTCTGCAACTCTCTGGGGCGTCTCGGAAGGGGTTGGGCCGCGTTGTCCTGTAATTTATTTTGACCGTTTGAATTGGCCGCCTCGAACCATCGTGTCAAGATCCACGGGATGATTAGTCTAATTACTAATGTACGCTTCCTCTTCTGGGGTCACGTAGCGTTGTGAGTGACTGTCTACGGACCACGGATGTACAAATACAAACGAAAGCTATACTCCCAGATATTCTAGCCACCTGGGCAGGGTTCATTTCCGGCCATCACCAGATGGTTATCACCTCGGCTAATGGGCATTATACGAGTCACTTGGACACCTGATATACCAAATGTACAAGCATTCGGTGTGCGGCTCGCATGTTCAGCTCGCAGGACAGCAAGGAGCATTGGGTTTCCGTTTTCCATTTTCTTATTTCCCTGAGCTAGGTCATGTTCGTTATGTCATGTCCTACATTTGGACTTCTGCCAGTCACGGTCTCAGGACAAACGCCTGAATTGGGATTTTTCTCACGGGAGAATCCCTGTCTTAGTGAGCGTGGTCTGGTATTGGATATCCTCTGGATTGACTTTCGTTGACCGGGCATCCTGCCTCTAGTTTCGCCACTTGATCTCCCGGGATTCATCCGAGCTTTCCTGGAGAAAGACACCTCTTTTCTGACTGATCCTCCGACTGGTCGGTTACAGCTCTTTCAACCCGGTGGTTGGCCCGCGTTGCCATATGGGAAATTAAAAATTAGGTTCACCGGGGGGAACGGAGAGGTTCGCGGGAGAGAAAGGCACAGAGGTGAGCTTAAGCCGCGATGGGCTGGGAGTTGCATATGATGGGTTCCATTTTTCTTTCATTGTTCAAAGGTACGGAGTACAGGATGAAAGAAAGACGGTCTGGGCCCTGGAGAGCTCGGTGATTAGATCAGTTTAAATGGCAGTTTTCACCCTCATCCAATTGGAAACGGCGTAGGATTTGCAACGGCGACTCGGGTTTCTTTGTTCCTCATCCGACTCAAAAACTCGTCGCGGGTTAGTGTCTGTTGCTACGGAGGTGTCATTAACTGAGAGACAACATCTCATACGAGTAGTCCATACACCATACGAACCATGTCGGTAAGCTCGGTAAGCTGATTACCGTCTTTGTCCCAAGTACTAACAGAGTGCTGACACTATAATGATCTGAACGCATGCAAGTCTCTACCGCGTCATCTCGGGTTCTCCACTGACTCCAAAGGGGACGTTCACAATCCCGAGGACACAGTCGTGGAAATGAATCAAAGACGATCAGTCAATGGAGACTCTTACACGGTAAATCCTAATTACCTGCAGGAAGCGGGATAGAATGCACCTGTCAAACCAACGAACCCTGGGGCAACCGCCGTGGCCCGCCAAAACTTGACGATTTCCACACTCTGCAGTGTTGATTCGACACCGTTGACCGGTAGATCTAGTGCGACAAGTATAATTAGTATAATTTGTACAAAACAGATACCCTGCACCTATGTGCTCCTATCTGCTCATCTATCCCTGACCACCACCGTTTCAAAAGCAATCTGCCCTTTCCGATCTCTAAAGTGAGATTTTATTTTTTTCTTATTTTGTCTGTGTGTAAGGGCCGTACCGTAGGCAAACCGAGCTTTGAAATACAGTGGGACCACAGTTCTGTTCCGTAGTCCCCGCCCTGTAGGTCATTAGCTCTCTTGAGATATCTCCATTCTCCCAGACCGCTGCACACCATACCACAACAACGCGACGTGGAGTACACACCGCGTACGAAGTACCCCAAATACACACAAAAGTTCCAAAAAAAAGCCACTTCACCTTTTCCCCAAGTGGAGTTGTACTCCGCGCGTACCGCTCGGAAACCAATTATCACCGCGCAAAGATCACTAGTGTAATGGAGTCTATGCGCCAACAATGCCATTGGCCCTAGACGCAGGAAGAGTCCACTTTCTCCAGTTTTACGCCTATGACGACCACTCGGACGCCTCTTATCCCTCACAAACGCCTAGTCGCGCACCGGTCGATTCGGGGCACTACGGAATGCTCCACGGTGGACCTCGTCCAGGCCCGTCCCTCTACCCGCGCAGGGCCGCTATAGGGAGGGATCGGTCTTTCGCCACTTGGAAAGGGAGACTATTTGCTTTCCAAACTGCCGGGAGGCGCCGTCGCATTCCTTTGGCCTTCTCGAAGGCTGTTCATGGTGTAATATCAGATATTGGGAATAATGGGTTCAACGGTCAAATGATCTGAATGTTTTGATGGGGTTTATTGTTCATCAAAAAAGCAATTCGGGGGCGATGCTATCTTGACCAATCCTTCTCTTCGTTGCCCCCTTAACTGAATTTTCCTTTGGAGACGAAGGTTAAACCTCCATCTTCGCCCATTCACAACAAGAGTGTTCCGAGCTTCCCATTTGCGCAAGCACACACGAGTCGCTGGGAGTAACTTTGTGCTCATTTGCCGGATTGACCTCTTAGGCTCTCGCTATCTTCGACACTAATTCCTCGGCCCACTTCAAACACCGGACTGGTCTGTGTTTTCCAGAAGCCTGAGAAGTCCCGGAAAGGCACACACCCCCTTGATCGCTGGGACTGTCAGATCTGAGACCAAATGTGGTTTCTGTAGATTATCCCACGAGGAACTAAATTAGTTTGAATGTTAGTGCCACTTAATTGCCCCCAGTAAAGTGGTTCAAGGGGCTCTACCGTCACTCCAGTAACCTTCTAGAAGAAATGAAGCTTCTGCGCATCGGGAAGGTGTCAACCACACACCATCTCCCTGACGTTAGCTCCTTATTTGTGTTTTGCAAAATCTGCCCCTAAAGGGCAGTGTCTGACGCCCTACGATCCTTCGATGGCAGCCTTGACCCCGCCGGTGTATTCTTAGAATCCCGAAGGTGGCGGTGATGTCTTACGTCCAAGCAACCACTCTATGCTGATATTGCCCCTCCTGCTGCCCTCTGCCCCTGTTGTCCCACTAAGTCTGTATGTGTGTCATTGTAAACTAGCTTCCCCGGGGCTGTGGGAGATAATCTCCGTGGTCTGATTGGAACTCCGCCCCCCCTTTTATGATTGCCCCTAATGCAGAGGCTATCTCGCTCTTGCTTCTATTTGGGGAACTTGCACCGCCTTCTATGAAATTCTCGAAGGCCAAACTAGTAACCTCCGATGAGAATGAGGTGCACATAAGCGATTTGGAATCTTTCTCCTTTTGTGGCTCTCGTAGCTGTTTGATATGTGTTTGATCCACCGCCAAGAACGTATCCGGGTTTGAGATGCTATATTACTGCCGAGGCTCAAGTATGTGTGTTTAAGGCACGCAGTAGGCATTTCGATTCCACTGAGTTATTGCTCTGGTTTACGTGTCACGCTCATGAGACTCGCTAGTCACCTAAAACGTATGGAATTTGTTGAAAGCCTAGTGCAAGGTGCTTGATGCCAGATTGTCATTTCTGCTGCGCATACGGAGTACATGGAATACCTAGACTCCTCGTCAGCACCAATCATCTAAGCTAGTCTGTTCTCAGCGAGGTTTAATTGAGAAAAAATTGACACACCTCTTACAACCTGGGAAGTGTTGGTATTTTGCTGGACTTCCAAGGTTTCACCAAACATCCAACAGACCATGCATCAGTGGCAACGGATCTTGGGGTGGGTTATATCCCTCGCACTTTGTGCATAATCAGTAAACCGGTCTCGCTTTTTTCACAAAATCTGGCAGTATGCCAAATCATCCAATTTCGATGTGAGATCTTCAGCCTGCAGCATTCCACTCTGGCCATAATCATGTTCAAATCGACTTGGCTACTAAGACTGCCATATACTCGATTGACTGGCAATATGAGTGAGTGTCAAGATGATAAACTTGTACTGCTTCCTCAAGTATGCAGCATCAGTGCAGATCTCAGCCCAGGTGAATGGGAAAACTTCCAAGGTTCCAACATCTATGATGCCTAAGCTGTGTATGATGGATCCGACCTCGGGAGGTCGTAGCAAAAACATCCATGGGTACTTCTAACTATTTTGTTATTACCAGTATTTGTTTATCTTTTATGTTTCTTCCTTCAACCTTGAACATGTTTCTGATCTCAAACCATCCGCTTTATTCAGTATATAATGCTATGTCGTCATGATCTCTCGGAACGATGATCATTCCGCTTGAAAGTACAATGAGATACTTATCGCTCTATAGCACTTCAGTGAGGCCAACCTCAGAATTCTACCTAGGTACCTGAGAGACATGGTCATTTTCATTCAACAATATGAGCCAGAAGCAATGCTTATATATTCAAAGGTTCGCTATATCATTTGCGGCAGAGTGAAGAAAGAATAAATGAAGGAGTGAAACTGTCAAATTCTACTTTGAAAGTAAGGTGAGTCTCCGAAAATTAAACCTGCAGTAGTGACAGAGATATTCAGAGATATTCGGACAAAGCTAGTCAAGGTGTATGCTGTTAAATACTGATTTGGAAGGTAAGACCTGGCTGACAACCCTACGAACGTGCCTTCCTATCCGCGTCCTCGCTCTAGGAAGGAACATCAAGTTTCGATTTGTTTGTCGCCTTTCATGCGCTTGCCCAGCTGACACTGACCTATCTCTCTTTGACTTTCTTCAGTCTCTCAGTTTTCCCCAACTCAAAATTCTCCGTCAACCTTATTCAACATGGAGCTCCAGCTTAGTGCACAAAAGTAAGTAGAGTGCACACATAGTCTTGGATACCTGACAGGTATAAACTAACAAGGCAACAGAGGGAGCAATGATGGTATAATTCCAGGCAGGTCAGCAACTTTCCTCTCTTTCGGTTATACCTTCACCTACTCATTGCCACAGAATCGTCTGCAGCGTTTGCAACAAGTCCCAGGCGCGCAGCCAATACTCCACCAGCCAAATCACCAAGCTTCGCCGAGCGATGATCCGCAACGTTACCTTAGATGTCCACACCCAGCAGCTTGCCAAATGCATGCACTGTGCAAATACCCAGGTCGTCGAGCTTAAATGCCACAACTGCGGCTATATACTGGAAATCGACCAGTTCTCCCGCAACCAGCGCATTCGCGAAGATCCTGTAAGTTCTTCTCCGTGGCTGTGTTGATTGGCTTTCTTTCTGACTTGTTGATTCTCTAGCTTTGCCAGCCTTGCATGAACTACCAGTTGTCACTTGACTCGTGTGGCAACCTCCCTACCCAAGAAGATAATGGCGATGAAGACATTACGGGCTCTGCCCTTGTGCGTGGCATGACAGAGACCGCCAATTCGGGCTCTTCTTATGAGCTCACTGATTCTGGCTCTACTTCGGCCGTGGCTCTTTATTCCCGCAATATCGGTGCACCCGGAAGTAGCAGCGGTGGCCAGCTTGAAAAGGGAAAGTCTGGCTTCGACAAGGTCAAGGCCCACCGTGGCCATCGAGCCCCAGTCCAGGAGCCCAACCCAGCCCCCGGGTGGACTTCAAGCGGTGTTACTGGACCCAAGTCAGAGGGACCATGGGAGGGCTACAAATTCATCTAAGCGCCACCGATGAACAGATAAGCTTTTGATCGTTGGGCTTGAGCTTTGCGCCTTTATCATTTACGGTTTGCGAGTGGCATTACAGGGGGAAAGATGTACCCAGAGCTTAAAAAAATACTATTGAGATCCAAAGTTCAAGTGTACCGAGAAAGTAGCAAGTACAAGTGAAGTGTAAACTACGTCATCGAGCGTATAGTAGTCAACCATGGTTTGAGCCTCGGTCCGCTAGTTTCTCCCAAAATAACCTTCCCAGTGGTTTGAGACAAAGACTATACATGTCTCTTCTTTGAGCCCTATAGAATTCATACATTCTGCAGCGAATGTCCTTGGATATAAAAATATAACAATCTACTAGCCGAACTCAAACCCACCAACGCTAGGTCGGCTGATTGGGGCGTCGGATGGTTGCCGACAGTTTGACATGACATAAATTACAAGGAGAAGAAGTCCTCCCCGACTCTGATAGGCGCAAGAGGATCGTACTCGATGCATGTTGAGCATGGAAGATGCAGCTTGTTTCTTAGCAACCCGCCGATCATGACGCTACCTCATTAAGTACAATATGACAAGTGGGAAATCCGACACTCAAATATATTAAAAATGAGCGCCTTAGTACATAAGTGACGTCGAGGGAACACAAAGAGAAAACACCCAGGGCCAAACAGACGGCTATTAGTGATGAGATCGCCACTTGGTTTCACTCGCCCCACCAGCCCCTCCATCATTTATTCAACCACCTGGGCATAATTTCTCTGCCTGCAACCAGATCTTACCTCTGAGAATATCCTGACTAACTAGGTGTTGATCGCTCGACTCATCGTTGGACGCCTTTGTACGCCTTGCCGAACTTGCTTACCGTCTCCGCATCGAACCCCCGATGGCCTACGATGGTTACTACGACCAATATCAACCGGGCAACACGAACCCGAATCCAAACGAGCATGGATATCCCCAAGCGCAGTATCCCTACTACGAACCAGACCATTTGAGTATGCCCCAGCCGCAGATGCCGACCGGTTCACCAGCAAACCCAGCCCCGGAGCCGTACAACTACTCAGAGCCGTACAACTATCCAGAGCCACAGCGCCACCAGCCGAGCCAACCAAGCACCGGCCACATCAACGATGCCGTCAACTCGGCGGTCAACAGCAGCGGGTCAGGCTATCTGTCCCCAGAAGTACTCTCGCAAATCACGGCCACAGTCATCCAGCAGCTGAAAACGACCGGGTTGGACAACGGCCTACAAGGGTCTGGTGCGCCCCCGCCCCGCTCGCAATCGCAGCAGCCATGGCAAACAGACTCGCGGCCGCACACAGAGTCTCCGCCTATCGCGCCTCCAAGGAGTAATTCAATCCCCCCACCCAGCTCGCTGCCTGGAAACATCGACAATTATCAACCATTTGTTTCGGACGAGATTCGTCCTAGCCCGAGACCTACTCCTCCCCCGCGGAAAGACGAGCCTCTGTGTCCAGCCAGGACAGTGCGCGGAGCCATATGGTGCGCCCCAGGCCCCCAGATCGCGATGTCACGGTCGTGGAAATGACCACCCTGGAGAAGATTTGGGGCACCTTGTTTGAGGATGACAAACGGACTCCCACGAAGAAGTGTGGTCAATTTTTGCGGGGTATCGCAGTGCATCTGGTAAGATCCGTTTACTGACCCTGGCCATTAATGCCCAACAACTAACGTGAACAGATTGAGGACTATGAGCCTAAAAACAGTATCGTGATTTTGCCCGAAAAGATGCAGCAATTTTATCGAGATACTCATGATCCCGATGATCCCTACCCATGGCATGGTGTGTTTCCCTAATATCGAGCTCACTTGGCCCTCTCTAATCATTATTCTAGACATTTTCGATGATCGCACATCGTCCATTTCCCGACTGTTTCGGGAAGCGAAAGTGCAGCACCATCTCGTCCAGAAGAACGGCGATCTGACTGAACGTCCCGATGTGCCTGGTTTGACACCCAAGGGCTTTGAACAGTGGGCAACTATAATGATTCTGTCCAACCCAAACCGCGAATACGAGCGTTTGGCAAAGGCAGTCCTAAACATGCCCATCAGCAACCCAGATGACAAAAAAGAGCGCTTCCCCAAGGAACTTCCACGCCGCCTCTTCCCCGACGTCCCAGACTTCGATCTCAGAGAACGAATCGAAGACCATATCGTCAAACACTGTGGCGTTGATCTTCCCTACATCACCGCCGAGGAACGTGCCGAAGCCTTTCACCCTCGCACTGGTCGTTCCTCTACAACAAACTCCTCCCCACCCCAGCGCGCACAATCCTACGAGCGAGGCCGGCCCTCTCGCGCCTCCCCCGGATCCACAGCACGCGACCCAACACCCGCCGTAATAGACGACGAAGACATCCCCATAGCCCCGGGCCCAATCGAGCGCGAACGCAAACCATACAGCGCAGCACCAGGCCGCGGCAAAACATACGACGAAGGATCCAACAGTGCGAAAAGCTCATTCTCGACCTCCCGGCCATCCGTCTCTACCTCCGAGGCAACCCCCAAGCCCCAGCGCTCAGAGTATGATCGCGATTCCCTATACGCGCGAGACAGATACGCGCGGGGCTCGCGTAGCTCTTCGCGCAGCGTCCATCGAGACGGCTATCGTCACTCGGAGAGTGACTTGCCTCGAGATCGCGAGCCGCGGTATGCGGGCGTTTCATCGCAGGATCTGCCGTACATGGAGTCGCCGATTTCGGCTGATGATGAGCCGAGAAGGTATCATCATCATCGTGGGGGTAGTCGGGGTGGTGCGGATGAGGACTATTATCGATCGGGTGTGCTTGGGGGTCATGGCATCTCGCATGGATATGACAAGCATTATGTAGGCGATCGATTCTCCCGGGGTTGATATATGAGTTCTGGGATACTTTGTGAATTGGGGGGTGTGGGTTTGGATGCTCTTGTGAGCATCGAATTCGGATTGCCTTTATTTGTTTTGGTTCTTTCTTTCTTTCTTTCTTTCTTGTCTCGGTTTCTGGCTTTGATTTGAGCTCGGCGTTCTCTGGATACGAAGATACCCCTTCTTCCTGGGGCATGACCTGACGATGACCACGTTTTCACGCATAATGGAGATCAATAGGATGTGAAGTGCATAGCATCTTTTGAAGACTGTAATTCCGAGATTGTACTCCGTACAGAGATGCTACAGACCTCGATCTTGAAAGCCAAATTTCTTCATGACCCTCTGCCCATCCTCCCTGAGAGCACCCAGCTGCTCCTCCCGCGCCCTTTCCTCGCGCTCATACCGTTTCGCAATAGCCCTGGTATCTTTCTCTTCGCGCTCGATTCTCTTCCTCGCCCTCCTCTCCGCCCGCCTTTTCTCCTCAAGGACCCTCTCGTCCCCCCTCTCAGCAGCCCGCCGCAGCGACTCAACCTCATCATCACCCAGAACCCATGGGATAGAAAGAACTTCCACCAAGAAACGCAGACGTTCATCCAAGAACTGCATTTCGGCATTCGTATCTCCAACGCGCTCGAAGCGCTCAAGGTGAACTTGCATATTGCCGCGGAATGTTCCGAGCACGCCTTTGACACGAACCAGAGTCCCAGGCTGGAGCGACGAGATATCCACCACGTGGTGGTCTGTTGCGGTGATGTGTGTTGTTTTTGAAAAGTGCGTGAGGTTTCGCTCTGTGATAGAGAATGCAGACCAAGGTGTTTGATCGGCGGCTATGGGCTCGCCGGTGAAGATGTTGATTCGACGTTGATCGAGTTCTTCTTCCTTGGCTCTAGCAGCGGCGACACCGGGTTTGGTGCTGGGGTCGTGCAGTACTATGACCTCGACTATGGCGCCGCTGCTGTCGTCTAGGGCCAGGATTGTGCGTCCGTAGACGTCTGTTCGTGATACTATTATGCCTAACAGGCTAACGAAGCGGACTGGGTGGTTGTTATAAAAAAACACCTTTTGGCCTGGAATATGGGTCAGTCAGATGCTTGTTTGCCTTGAGTGGTGGTTTGAAAGAGAGCATCATGGGTGTCATGGGTGTGCTCAAAAGCAAGCGTGCTAAACATATGAGACCCCTGTGAAGGGAAGACGAGCTATTCCAGAAAAGGAAAAGGCAGATGTGACATAGAGCCAAGGTGGAGGTATAAGAAATGACAAGATCTTCATCTTTCTTCAGAGTCTTCGCTCTAGACATAGGAATTTGCCGCAAAGACAATAGACGCATCGACCGAGCCAAGCGATAGCCACGCTTTGATCCAGGGGCAAAAAGAGGCAACATACCGACAAAACTTCCATATTTTCGAAGACGATGTACGTCTGCAGCCCCAATCTTCACCCAGGTGAAGTGCGTTGGTGACGCTTTGAAGCAGAACGCGGGATAGAAAACGAGGGGCTCATTCTTTTCTGTCTCCATTGGTTCATTTTTGGATTCAGGGTGCTTTTTTGGGTACAGTGTCAAAGTTGAGGTTGTGATTGAAGGCGAGGGAGTTGAAAGTCCGATCTGTGTCACGTGTTTGTATATCAGATATCCACCCAAATGGGCACTTGCATCTGCATGACAAGCACGAAATCTGGAGTAAATAATAAGTCACAACTTTTGTGTAGTTTTGAAAGTGCTTAAAATATTATTCAGTCCTGATAGAAAGTCCAAAACATTGGTGGACTTCCAGAGACAACTTGGACTAAAACTCGAAGTACTTTTCACATTCAATACTAAACTGTAGGCATTGATGAAGAACTGCAAGGGCTCAAAAACTACCCGTGGACCTTGGCCCATCCATCTTATAGATAAAGACTTGTCTCCCCCTCCATTGCCCTCTTCTTTGGATTCCTCGGCTGCAGAGCTTCTTGCCTCCGCCGTTCCTCAATACTCACACCACTAGTGCTCTCCTTCTCCCCCAAAGCAGTCCTCACCTCCTCTTCCCCATTCTCATGCCCTGCAAAAGCAACTTTTAAGATTTCCCTCTCCAGTCCACCCACATGCTCCCACTCAATCCCCGCCTCTGTCAACATCCGACATCCCTCAGACTCCCCAACAAAAGTCACAGGTTCCTTCACTCCAAAATAAACCTTATGAATCCCTTTGTGACCTTCTGTCGTCCGCGCGATGCGCTGAGCACAGGGCGCGTTGCCTGACAACCTCTTTCCGCACGGCTCCATCGTCACATACATGACGAGCTTTCGATCGGACTCAACGGGTAATACCGAGGCAACTGCTTCGTCGGAGACATTGTGGACGGCTGCGTAGTTGGAGAAACAGCATTGCTCTGCGTGGGTATTGCCTGCTAGCTCCATTGTGTAGCCCGTTGAGAGGATCCGGTCGTCGGCGAAGGTGGGGTCGTTGTCTTTGCGAGATATGAGAATGGCGCCGACGCGGAAGTTTGTTGGTCGAGGAGGAGATTGTTCGGCTAACGAGAGGCATTTCCGTATGTACGGAATGTGTGGGGAGGTGTCGGTCATGGTGATGTGTTTTGGGGTTGATTTTGCGAGGAGTGTGGAGTGTGGTCGACAAGACGGGTATCTCAATCGCAGGTTGAGACTAGAACTGTGCTTCCTATAAATTGAGCAAATTGAGCAAGTTTCAAGGTAGGGTGGAAGGCAAGTCGAAGGTGGGTTGACAGAAGGTGGGGAGTGGCAGAACAATGACGAAATGGCCCGTCGCGTCGCGCGTAAAGTCCTTCCGCGACCGCCTTCTTTTTGTGAGCATCAGACCGCCAAGCACGTTGACGGTCAGGCTCACGACACGAAACATTATTTGCTGTTTCTCAAGGCTCTGCAATGGCGAAAGACACTACTGATCTCGAGGCTGAAATGCCTTCGGTCGAAGAGGATCTCTACAAGCTCCTCGGCATCGAGTCAGACGCGACCCCGGAAGCCATCAAGACTGCATACAAGAAGAGTGCACTGAGGAACCATCCTGGTATGATATGATAATCACAACGAGATCCAGATACACGCCATGTTAACCTCCGAGCAGACAAAGTGGGCGAAGATGCCCGCGAGGCAGCCAACGCGAAATTCCAGAAGATCGCGCTAGCATACGGTGTTCTTTCCGACCCTCGCCGACGAGACGTATACGATCGAACCGGTAGCACCGATGAAGCCTTCTCCGAGGATAGCGATTTCAACTGGATGGACTTCTACCGAGAACAGTTCTCGGCGATGATCGATGCGAAGAAGATTTCGGAGTTCCAGAAAAGCTACCAAAACTCAGAGGAGGAGAAGGACGACTTGCTTTCGTCGTATAATACCCACAAGGGTGACATGGATGCAATCTATCAGACTGTGATGCTGTCCAATGTCCTTGATGATGATGAACGGTTCCGTGCGATCATCGATCAGGCGATTGCCGACGGGGAAGTGAAGGATTTTAAAGCTTATTCCCAGGAGTCTGAGAAGAAGAAACAGCAGCGGATAAAGCAGGCCCAGAAGGAGGCGGCTGAGGCGGCAAAGGAGGAAAAGAAGATGAAGGCCAAGAAGAAGAAGTCTGGAAAGGCCTCCGAGGGTGTGTCTGATTTGGATTCACTCCAGGCAATCATCTCCCAGCGCCAAAAAGCCCGTGGCGGAGACTTCCTTTCAAGACTGGAGGAGAAGTATGCGCAACCCGGGGACAAGCGCCCTGGAGATGATGGGCCATCGGAGGAGGCATTCGCTGCCGTTGGGGCGCGGCGAACCACCAAGAGCAGATCGAAGAGGGTCAAGGCTTGAACTGACGTTGTTCTTTATTCTTTATTCATGTGTCATGTCGCAGCATGTTATTGGAGCTAGGCGTTTTGCATTTTATCTGTACGAGTTTCCAACTGTTGATTACATCCTGATTTTCAGAGATACCTCCTTGAAATTGTTTTATTCTGGATTTTAGCTGCTTGAGCAGCTTGATAGGCATATTCAAATGGATTTCATGGGAGACACTTTTGTTTCTTTATAGACCAATTTGCAATGAAAGGTCCAGAGAGATATCCCAGCTGAACATGCAGCCACGTCCGTGGCTGCAGCAAGAAGCCTCACCTTGGGCTCCTTCTCCCAACATCAGCTATCATCTTCCATCTTCCGTCTTTCATCTTCTCTTTGTAATCCCAGATCTTCTACCTTGTTATAACAGTTTTTAATTCGATATACAAATCACCGAGATTAATCGCATCGGCCCCTACTAAATCCTCATTTCGGATTGAGCTGTCATTGATTTTGTCACATTCCCCAACGTGCCGCAAATACATACCATTCCATCCCCGGCATTCCACTCGTCATTTTGAGGTGATCTGCTCCACATTCCTCGGTGCTTGGCGACATTGTTGGATGAGCGGTTCGCTGCGTTCCCCACACGCCGGAGGCGGTGCCGCCGCCATGTCGTGCCACACTGATCGAACTTCTCCCATATCAAGCACAGAACAATCCAAAGAGCTCGGTCAGGCATCAGGATCAACGACTCCGGTAGCTGAAAAATCACCAGGACTGAACCGCGCTCTGCAGAGCTTGCTGATCACCCCGCAGTCCAAGGGTGCGGGCGGAGCAACCCATTCCCCCCGAGGCGGGACGCGCAGTCCAGTCGAACCACTGGTATCATCGCCTTTGCGCATTAGTTCTTCAGCTATGGCATCGGCTCCAAGTTCTCCGGAAAGGCACACAGCCGAACCCGGAGCTATTCCTCGCAGATCATCTGATCAGGTTGTTGAAACTGGTCGACCAAGTACGGCCCGGCTTGGCAATAATGATGATGACGCAAAATCCAATACTGCTTCAAATTCTGGGGAGAATCCGCATGCAAAAAAACGCTTTCTGCAAGCCAGAGATAGATCCCAGGGTCGCAAGGGCATGGCAGCTATGATGTCGGGGCGGCTCTTTCCTAGAAGCTTCTCACGCGGTCGAGACTCATCACACGGATCATCCCAACGTGGAGCGTCACTTGACTCCAGATCACCCCCTTCCCCAGAGCGGGGTCGTCCTGGTTCTTCTGGTAGTCACTCTTCTCATGTCGAGGACTTCAAGCCAGCCCCTGCTAGCTCGGAAAAAGGAAAGGCTGTCAATATACACGCCTCACTCAACAAGTCAGATGAAGCTTTGGCTAAACCCACTGGGGATCTACCCGATTACGTCAAACCTTCATTTTCAGAGCAGGGGGGAGAGCGTCTTGCGAAGGACGTATTCGATCGTGATAAGAACATGATCGAAAGCAGCGAGGACGAGGCAAATGACACATCCAGTGACGATGACAGCACTCTTGAAGGTCATCGAGGTCGCAAGAAGCAAAAGGAACGCAATGATATTACATCGATCACCAAAAGTGACTTCGAAAAGTCTACAGACGAGAAAGCCAAGCAACCGGAAGAACGTAAGTCGTCATTTGCAATTTTCGAACGTCGAGGCACCCAACATACTAAAACTAGCACCATAGAAAAAGAGACTGCCAACATTAATGGATCTCAAGACAAGAAACCCCGCAAGTCTGCTTTGAAGGCCGTTGTACACCCACAGACAAGCTTCGACATCCCAACACCGCGTCTCCATTCAGTCGCTGGAACGCCCTACGGCTCAGACGATGAAGCTGAAATCGGGGACATTCACCGCGCCCAGAAGCTGAGCATCTCTTTGTCTGACATTGACAACGGTGTTCCTCATCGATCGATCCGAACTATCGTCCGTGGCAACTTTTCGAGTCTGCAGGACCAAGGAGATGGCAGTCGCCGACGCCGACGCAAGTACTTGGTAGCCACTGATCTGAGTGAAGAATCAGTATATGCACTCGAATGGACTATCGGGACAGTTCTAAGAGACGGAGACACGATATATGCCATTTACGTGATGCACGAGGATTCAACAACCACGTCGGCGGTACAAGTCGGCGAGGGAGCCAAGGCAATGAAAGACGCAAGGGCAGTCGTTGGTAGCCAGACCAAAGAAGCCAACCAAAGCCACGGATCTCGCACGATTCTGGGTCGTCTTGGCCCTGGAATTTCCAGCAAGACACATTCTGCTGACTCCAGAGCCTCCTCCATGGCCGAGGCCGAACGAGTTAGAGCTGTTGAGAGTGTGTCTCAGACATGTGTGAAACTGCTGCGCAAAACGGTCTTGCAGGTCCGAATTGCTGTAGAGGTAATTCACTGCAAGAACCCAAAGTCTATGATCACTGAAGCCGTGAGTCACCTCGTCCCCGAATGCCACCAACCCAACTAACAGCAATAGATCGATGAGTTAGAACCGACACTTGTTATAGTGGGTGCCCGAGGCCAAAGTGCCTTGAAGGGGTAAGTTTCCTTCATCCTTTTCCAATTCTCACTTTCCCGCTAATATCTTCCAAGTGTACTCCTGGGCTCGTTCTCCAACTACCTCCTTTCCAATTCCTCGGTGCCAGTGATGGTAGCACGTCGGAGATTGAAGAGACATACATGGAAGGAAAAACTAAAGGGCACTGCGAATGTGCGCTTGTCCAATAATCTAATTACTCCGAAGAGTCTGGCTCAGGCGAAGGTAGACTGATTCTACTCTTTGGTTGTTCGACTTGCATCTTGGTCTTGGGCTAGACTACTGTCATCTTGTGCGGCTCGGGTGCATCATTTGCGAGACTCTTACTCCTCTCTAAATAAACGCATGAATACCCCTCATATCATGGGCTTATGATCTTATGTTCTTGTTTTCCCTCGGTCCACGAGCGAAATCGAACGTAATCTAATGTAGCCCGATAACTCGGATACAGCCATGCGCAGCGAGAGCGCTCCACAGTCGATGATAAGTACTGTTTTCATCGTAGGCATTGCAACAAACCCCGGGGGCAAAACAGACATCTAAATGAAGCTAAATGAAGATAGAAATATTAGGATTCTTTTCTCTATATTTTTTATTGAAAGAAACCCAGAGCTCGAAAAAGCAAAGAACGAAAAACACGCTTTTTCCATGAAAGTCCCGCCATGTATAAGGAGAGTGCGTTATGCATGAATGAACCGTAAACCCTCGCATACATGCGAGCCGTGAAAACAAAACCTTAGAAACGAAGCACCACCTTCTGGATGCTAGTCAGACTATAAGAAAACCCCGGAAGAAAAGAGCACATCGTGTACGAGTAACTTAGAAGCGGAGGTCCCAGTTGATCTTAGGACCCAGGCGAGGAAGCTCATCAGCGACCTGCTGGACATCCTTGTCACCACGGCCACTGACGTTGAGAACGACGTTCTGGCCCTTGCCCATGGTCTTGGCAAGCTCCATGACACCCCAGACGGCGTGGGAGGACTCCAGGGCAGGGATGATACCCTCGTGCTGGGCGAGAGCGCGGAAACCAGCGAGAGCCTGGCTGTCATCAGCGGCGATGAAGGTGGCGCGGTTGCTGTCCTTCCAGTTGGAGAGCTCGGGGCCGACACCGGGGTAGTCGAGACCGGCAGAGATGGAGTGGGTCTCGGCGATTTGGCCGTGCTCGTTCTGCAGAACGTAGGTACGGACACCGTGCAGGACACCGTGGGAGCCACCGGAAAGAGTGGCGGAGTGGCGATCGGTATCGATACCATCACCGGCAGCCTCAACACCAACGAGCTTGACGGAGGGGTCGTTGGAGAAGGGGTAGAACATGCCGACGGCGTTACTGCCACCACCGACACAGGCGACAACAGCATCGGGAAGCTTGCCGATCTCGGCCTTCATCTGCTCCTTGGTCTCGTTACCGATGACTGACTGGAAGGTACGGACGATGGTAGGGAAGGGGTGGGGACCAATAGCGGAACCAATGATATAGTGGGTGCTGTCGAGCTCGACAACCCAAGCGCGGAGAGCCTCGTTGACGGCATCACGCAGGGTGCGGCTACCAGCCTCGACAGCGACAACGGAAGCACCAAGGAGCTTCATGCGGAAAACGTTAAGGCCCTGGCGACGGACATCCTCAGCACCCATGAAGACGGTGCACTTCATACCGAACTTGGCGCAGACGGTAGCAGTGGCAACACCGTGCTGGCCAGCACCGGTCTCAGCAATAATGCGAGTCTTGCCCAGACGACGGGCAATCAGAATCTGTCCAAGGGCGTTGTTGATCTTGTGACTTCCGGTGTGGTTAAGGTCCTCGCGCTTCAACCAGATGTTGGCTCCTCCAACATGTTCGGTCAGACGCTGAGCCAGGTGAAGGCTGCTGGGGCGGCCCATGTATGGGTAGTATGAGCGGAACTCCTCCCAGAACTTGGGGTCGTTGTTTGCGGTGTCGAAACCACGCTCGAGCTCAGCCAAGCAGTCCATGAGGGATTCAGGGACATATTGTCCGCCGAACTCACCGAAGCGGGAAGGCTGGGCGGATGGGTTCTGAGTAACGTTGAGGGCCTCAAGCTGGTCACCGAGACCCGGTCCGGAGGGGACATCAGCGTCAGTGATGACCTTGGTGGGGTGGGCATCAGTGGCGGGCTGGGCCTTCTCGATGGCCTCGATGATGTTAATCTCACGAGTCCAGGCGCCAGCAGCATCACGCTCACGCTTGCGGCCGGTGACGCTAGACAGGTACTCTTCCGCAGCCTTGGCAGCCTGGCCAGCAGGAGCCTGGCCAACGACGGTGATGATCTGACTACCGATGACGACACCCTCAGCTTGATCCTGAACGGCCAGGTAGTGCTCGCGGGTGCTGACACCGAATCCAAGCGCAGCGGGGACGTTGCCAGAGTATTCGTGCACACGGCCCAGGAGCTCTGGAATATTGGCGCTCAGCTGGCCGGTAGCACCGGTCACACCCATGCGAGAGACGACGTAGATGAAAGAGTCGGCAATTTTGCAAAGCAGGCGCATGCGGGCGTCGGATGTGGCGGGGGCAATGAGAGGAACATAGGAAAGGCTAGAACGGACATCAGGTGTTAGTAAAGAAAGGATGAATAGGTGACAGAGGGGTTAGGACTTGCCTGTTGCTGGCACAGAGGTCGCGGAAGCGGACGGCCTCCTCTGGGGGAAGGTCCACCATGATGAATCCGTTGACACCAGCCTCCTTGCAGTCCTTGAGCATACGCTCCTCTCCGTACTTGAGGACTGGGTTGAAGTAACCCATCAGCATCAAGGGGGCCTTAAGGCCACGGCGGCGGGCATCGCGGACGAGCTGCAGGACGGTAGTGAGAGTGACACCGTTCTCGAGGGCCTTAGTGTTGGCGGTTTGAATGGTGGGACCATCAGCAATAGGGTCAGTGAAGGGAATTCCGAGCTCAATGATATCTGCCGTCCCAGTTAGTTGAGGTCATCAAAGTCACTTAGAAGTGGGATGTCCATACCGGCTCCACCGTTCTCAAGACCGAGGAGGATGTCGACGGCTTCCTCAACAGAAGGATAGCCAGCAGTGATATAAGCGACAAGGGCAGCACGCTTCTGCTCCTTGCACCTGGCGAAGGTCTGTTTGATTGCGTCCATGTCGGGCCAAGGTTAATGTGGCGAACAGCGAATGTGACGTTGGTATAAGATAGAAAAATGAAAGTCAGCCAATGGAGGCGATTGGCCTTTTATATATGCAGGATTGACGGCAAATAAAACAGGGGATGTCGTCGAGCTTTGGGAGGTTGTTGAAGTGAGTTCAGGGACCGGACTTGCTCTCAATGAGTCAACTCATAATTGCCTTTTTTGATTCCCGCTTTGGGAACCCCACGTATCTTGTCACGTGTTGATAGCTTATCGAAAGAGATGCCAACTTTTAGTCACGTGCTCATATCTACAGGGCTTCGCATGTCACGTGCCTGTGCTCGAAACATGCATGGATGACGACGTTGGTGGCAATGTTGGCAAAGCTACCTTACTCAGATTGTAAGAAAAGTAATGACATTGAAATACTCAGGTGAATATCATTATCCCAAGTCTCAAGTCTCAGAGGGAGGAGCTTAAGGTGCTAAATGCTGTACACAGACACCGACGAGCAAAGCTACTTCAGAGTAAGGAAGATGTTGATCGAAAAAAAAAATCACTATTATTCAATATTCAATAGAAGAGGAAGAATAATATTCAGTCCAGGAAATCCATCCCAAACGCCAAAGCGATGCAGTAAGTAACAAGCTCAAGGTAAGTATGACGACGCCCAAATAAAATCCAAGAAGAAAGAGATAAACAAAAAATAGTCAGTACCAGCTCAGATTTCTCCGATCGGACGACCGAAAAATGCAGAATAAGTTGAGCAAAAACCGCCCAACCAAGTCTATCGCGAAAACCAAAACCTGCGAATGCAGAAGGAATGACAGCAAGCGCCCGCTATGCCTAGTAGTACATGAGCCCATGGAAGTAGATGCCGATATATGCCCAAGGAATGGAAACACCGTCTAAATGCAGTGATGTGTAAACAAGAAAGCCAAGGACGAGATCAAATCACAAAAAATCAAAAAATCGAGAAAATCAAAGTATGCAAAGCTCGGCATTGAAGCATCAGGGTAAGGAGAGACATGAATCGTGAGCGTGCTTAGCACGCGCTGGGCCGAAAGGAGTGACAAGAAGGAAAATCGTATCTGAAAAAAAAAAGCAAGCAAGTATGAAAAAAGAAGTAAACAATCGAATCATGGATCTCACTCAGTGCGTATCATGCATCGAGTATACTGGATCCATGTAGGTGTAGCAAGCTCCGTTGTTTGAAGGGGTGGGAGGTGCAGGGCCCACTGGTTGCATTTCCCATGGACGCACAGGCGCCGGATGACCGTGTGCGTTCTGCGGGTGGCAGATTGCTGGGTATGAGTATCCGCCAACGGAGGTATAAGGTTGTGTGCCCGCCATCATGGGGCGCATGTCTGAAGCCGAGGAGTGGGAGTTTGCGGGAGTGTGGTGGGAGTATGCCTGCACAGGCATGCTAGCGTAGTTTCCAGTGTCTGAGATGGACTGCGGCGAGTTGGCAGTTGGGGCCTCGGTGCCGGAATCGGAACCGGTGCCGTGGCTAGCACGGCTGGCAAAGTTGTTGGTCATTGGTGTGGGGAGAGCACCGGCGGTGGAGGAGTAGCTGGCGGACTGGGATATAGTTAGTACGGTGGTTTGAGCTGGGAGTTTCGCGATACGTACGTATTTGCCAATGATTTTCTTAAGGGCATGGGCAAGAACCTTCCAAGGGAAGACCTTGACATCCTTCTCAATGTTGCGAGGCTTGGGGGCGGGGAAGCCCATGATGACCTTGAAGAATTCTTCACTGTCGGCCTTGGCCTTGGAAACGGTAAGAGGACGGAATCCTTCCAGGTTGCGACGAATGCGGTTCTTTTCCTCAACAGTGAAGCGAACGGCCACGAGAGACTCGAGCAAGTAGATAGTGTCAACACTGGTGACGTAGCACTCATTCTTTCCTTCCCAAGAGATACAGCTAATGCAGATGCTGCTCGGGGCGCGGTCTTCGGGGGTCACAGCCTTGAAGTCGGCCTGGATGGTGCTGCCAGTCTGAGAGCGAGTGAACTGGACCAGACGGCGCTGGGTGGTACGCTCTTCCTTTGACCAACCCTGTGCCATAGAATCGAGGTCACCGTTCAGCTTGAGAACGGCCTTTGTTGGGTACATGGCGTAAGGGTTGAAAGATGGGTTGTGGGTCATGCCGTTGGATTGGATAGTGGAGGTGCGGATGAGAGTAGGGTGTGTGCTACCAGGATGAGTGACCTTGCGCTGAGGCATGCTGTGTGACAGAGCAAGACCTGCGTTGCGGCCATCGTTGTTCACGGGGACATATGAGGGGCTCCAGGCTGGGGTGATGGGAGAGGGGACGCGGAGAGCAGGTTGAGGGGTGACGGAGACGGAGGAATATTGAGCAGAGCCAGGCTGAGGGGAGGGGGCGTTGTGGTAAGGTGCAACGAAGCCAGACATGGCTGGAAGAGGCTGCAAATAGGGCGAGTAAGACCCAGAGACGTTACGGCTGTGGTAACCTTCGTGTTCGACCTTGGGAATAACTTGTCCAGTGTGGCGCTTGGCGGATGGTGCGACATGTTCGGGATATGAGGCCAATTTTCTCTTGCGGCTATCACCTGGCGGGGAAGGGTGGGAAACCTGCTCGTAGCTGTAAATGCCGACCTGGAGGGTGATAGGTGGGCAATCATCCTGGGTCTCCATTGAGACAGACAGAGGGACAGCGAATGACGGAGAGCCGGTGGATAAGAATGCAGGCGCATCAGCTGCCAGAGCGTACTGGAAAGCGGTACCCTGGAATCCCATGAAAGTTGGGAGAGAGTGGCACTTCTTCGAGCCAAAAACTACAAACACACCTGCAATTGCGGAGCTGTGGAGATCATAGGGCGATGAAATCTGAACCATGACGCGAGTCTCTTCGCGTCCACGTTGAGGGCTGTATGTCACAATTTCGGGAAGCTGACGGGGGCGTGCTCCCAGCATGGGAGATTGAGACTCCTCGTACGAGCTAGCATACTCATTGTTGGGCAGATATGGAACACAATCCGAGATTTGGCTTGCCTGATCAGCCATCGGGGACGGGACCATCGGGGTGGTCACATATGGCGATTGACCGTAGGCCGAGTAGGAGGCAGCATCATGTAAAGATCGAGTGGAACCGTAATCTGCGTTTGGTCTTAGTACCGAAGGCCCAGACAGAAGTCGACTCGACATACCTATAATGGCGCCAGCTGCGGGCTTCTGGAAAGCAGACATAGACAATAATGGCTCAGACTTGGCCCACAGGCCGTCTGAATATGCACCGACAAACTGCGACTCTTCAGAATCAGACAAATCCAACGATTCGCCGAGTATTAAAGGCGTTTGAAAATCTGGGTCGAACTGTGACGGGAAAGAAGAGACATGTCAGCCAACAAGTTTCTCTTGTGTACACCTGGCGGAGGGGGATGTCCAGGGTTGAACGGCATCCAAACAAGACTCTGGACCAGGATTGGAAGAGATACATCCAATCCTGCGGGCATCCAGGAGGGAGGATATTGGAGGCTTGCACTTACCAAAACACCGTGAGTCTTCGAGTAAGCCAGCTTGAAGATGTTGCAGCAACTGCAACAAGATAGAACCTTCTGAAGCGAATGACTGGGAATTTATCCAAACGATAGTGGGTTGAAAAGCACGCGAGATGGGGTGCTCTCCGAGACAAAAACGAGTGACAAGACGAAGCTGTCAGTCTCACAAGAAAGTTGGCAACAAAAGGCCTCGAATCACCATCCAGGAATCAACTAAGGCTGAGACTAAGAACGGCTGGCTGCAGTACTATGAAATCTCGACCGTGGCGAAAATGTTCATAAAGAGGCAGATGGAGGGAACTTTCGCTTCGGGAACAGCTCCAGCAGGGTCCGTGGTAGAGCTGAGATTGGCTAGAATGGCAGACTGAGCGAGGACTGGTGAAGTTTCGCTTTCTTTGAGGTTTCGGGAAGAGCCAGGAGGATTGGGCCACAATGACCAGCAAATAATAATAAGAAGAGGCGGGCTAAGACACGATGAGTATACGAGATATTGGTACTCAGGACGGATCGGTGCATCCAGGGGGAGGTGAACTGACGAAAAGTAAAAGAAGCTCTGAACTGAGACCTGAAAAAGGCTGTTGATGTCCAAGATAATATGCAAGATCTGAGAGTCGTCAAATCTAAAGAGAGAGTCTAATTGTCAACAACAAACACTTCCCGGGAGACGATAGCGGGACGGGGAAGCCATCCGACGGCTTTGACACTATCGAAGTTCTTCATTTCCTTCATTTCCCTTCGGTATAGACCATAGAAGACGGACTGCAAGGAGATCCGAAGAAGAAAGAAGAACCCCAAAAAGGAAGTATGCAAGGCACGAGGGGGAACCAAGTGAGACCGTGGGCAAAGGGAGGGTGGAGTATCTTGATACTAACCTTAAGCTGATGAATTTGACGAACTGATCTTCGTAAGTCGTTCTCGTTGGGTGAATAACTCTTTAATGAATCTGAGACCCTTCCAAACAGAGGGCGTGTTTTCCGCTGGATTCTGGATCGAACGTCTTTTGCCGAGACAATTTAGAGGCGATTGGATGAATTTCAAGTTGCCCGGATTTTTTTTTGTTTCCAAGAGGTCCAGGAGAGAGCGCAGAGGCGAAGTATAGAAAAGGAACCCAATTGCCGGTATAGATGAGTTCCAGACGGGACGGAGCGCAAACGGGTTCTACACTGGTATATCGCAAACGCAGTGTCGGACAAGAGTAATTGTCACGACAATCTCCGAGATGTCAAATCGGAGAATGGTTGAAGATCAAGGGTTCAGCGCAAGGTCCTTTCTCTTTTGTCTTTTTTTTTCCTCTTTTTTTCTCTTCTTTTTTTTTTTCCTGATTGGGGGTAAGAGAGAAAAAAAAAGAATTAAGTATTAAAATGTAATGGTCGAGTGTAATTTTCCGCAAGGACCAAGTAATAAAGCGTAGCGAACGTGGTTCTCGTAGCAGCAAGTAGCGAGCGTAAGAGCGAACGTGGGGTTTGCGAAAGCGAATGTGGACTAAGATGTCATAACGAGAAGTTCAAAGGAGATCATGCAAGGAAGGGATCAGAAGGGTTAAAAGTAAGTAGGATGGGATTATATTATTAGAGAGTACACAATTTACAGCCTAACTGTATAAGTCCACGAGCTGTGGAGAATTGCTTTTTTTCTTTTTTTATAATTTTTCAAGGTTTCTTTTTCTTTTTCTTTTATAAATTAATTCTTTTTTGACTAGTGGGCAATCGTGGCGGGGGATGCACAGAAAAAACTTGGTACATTTCCTTTTTTTCCCTTTTTCCCCTTTATACCGCGATTCTACTTTGCACTGTTCCCTTATTACCATTACTCCGTACCTTGCTACTTGATTCCCTTCCTACTTTTATTACCTTACATGGAAATTTAGTCACACAGTCCAGGGTGGTAGGGTGTGTTCGTAATTTCGAGTCTCGAGTCCTCTCCATATTGAAGAGAGAGTTGGTCTCTCTTCCTGATCGCATAGTTAAAAAAGAACTTCGGAACTTACTAGAAGGCTTTCCGAAGTGTCCGACCGGTCAGATTTAGATCCTTATTTTACCACCTCTTTCTACCGATGTCACAACCTTGGAACTACCGAACCGAAATCAAAATCTGCGAGGCATATCGGGCACGGAGGAATACAAGAACGTGAGGTTCTCGGGATAAACACCCATCTGGCGGCCTGCACCGCTGTAAAAAGTGGAGAATGAACACTGGAGAAGGTAAAGGAAAATGGAAAGAAAGAAAAAGCACCGAGCCGGGAAAAAAAACCATACTGAGGTCATTCGCAGCAATTGCCTCTATAGTCGAATAGAAGATATACAGTACCAACCTTGGAGGTACTTGTTGGCCTCGGTATAATATCCCAGATTATTCTCGCCTTACCGTGGTAACCTTGGAACCTTTGTACACTTTTTTCTCCCAGGTGACTCGCATTGCCTATACTATACGGGTACGGAGTACAGAATCACTGTAACCCTCCAGACCCAATCAGGTCAGAAAGGATCTTGCTCCGGTCCACGAACCAATCACACAGCTCAGGACCACACCCTGTGTGTATATTTAGCTCCCCTCACTTAGCTTTTCGGGCTCTTTTCCATCACGGAAACCTCTTTGGTCCAATGACAGTCATGCTTGTCTTTTGGTCCTTACTGTCAGATCTGACCCTTCAGGGATTTCCTCCCTTACACCGACCCGACCCTTGGGTGCCAAATCGGAGGGACTAAACGAGGAAGGAGACCCTTTTTTTGCCCTTCTCCAGACTCCACTTCGGATCTTCTCTACAGAAAGGCTCGTGTCGTCATGTCGGTCAACATGATAATTCACATTCCTCAACACGAGGATGCACCACGTACATCGTACATATGCTGACATTTGGACGCCCGTGGGCTGGAGTACGGAGACCACACGGTCATTTTCAGGTTTACAGTAATTCAGTAATTCAGTATTTATCTTTTTCTTCCCTAGCAGAACAACAACAACAACAAAACCTTGGAATATAAATAAACACAATCAAAAGTGAAAAAAATAGTAAACATCATAATAGTTAAGAAGGTTAACTGAATTAGGGTAATGGGGTCATCATCTGACTCAGGTATAAACGAACAAAAGCAGGAAAAATACGAAGATCTAAGTTTAGCACACCTTGCAGTATTTTCAGGTGACTCGGTGGCCTGACTATGCAAGGGCCTTTGATTGGTTCCCCTCTAACCCTCTCCGGGTATCACGACCTGGATCCGTTAACACTCTGCACTGTCACCATAGCCCTAACTCATTATAATTATAGTCGGCCCTCGGTGATATCCGAATTGAAGTAGCTTATCTGCAATGAGATCATCAGCCCTTGCTAACCTTGGAATTGCACTTCGCACTCCATGCTCCGTACTCCGTACTCCGTACCTTGCTACTCGTCCCGCCCTTGAACGCGCAGAAGATCATACCTGTACGGAATTACCCGAACGCGCAGCGCGTCATTTGCATTTCCGCGCTGCAGTACCGTAAGAATGTCAACCATGTTATTGTTACAGCTGCAAATGCAAATGCAAGTGTACCGAGCACGGAGCCCACTCGTTCTTCAAAATAGAAATGTTTACGGAGTACCGTTGCATCCGCTAGAGATCGCAGATCAAGGCTTGAAGTTTAGTTCTAATTCTATATGAGATCATCGGGGTCCGAAAAGCTCGTAAGCTCGCAAGCTAGATCAATTGGCTTTGAATTAACGTTGAACAGTTTACGCTAATGAGGTAACGGTTCGGATGCACAGCTCCTTATTTCGTGCAGCTCCACGATGCTCCTAGAAAGGGGCAAATTTACGAATTATGTTGTTTGTAAGCGGATAGACCCCCCGGGATGACCGGGAAGTCGGGAGGCTCTGTTCCGATAAGATAGCAGCTTTTAATCGCCGGTCAGTGGAGTGGCCGTAAACCCGCTCTGTTGCAAAACATCACTTCGCCACGTTGTATGAGAACCTTGGAAACGGTTGCGGTACACTAACTTCATGGAGTATTCCCAATGACACTGTACACTACGGCTAGTTCCATGGCTGAGCTGAGCTTCTTTTTGAACAAAATTGGGGCATTAGACACGGACTGCTCCGTGATCAGCAAGCTTAACTAAAATATAGCTGCCTTGTGTACGACAACAATTACCCGTACGGAGTAGAGAGACAATGGACAATCATTGCTTCTTTCTCACAGCCTGGCTATACTATTGGGTTTATAGTTGTAAAGCACCTAGCATCAAAAGTCAATCGCAGTGATTACATTGTATGACTTTCTCCCCAACCACCTCAATATTCACAGTGCAAGGAGCCCCCTCTTTCAAGGGTTCCAAGGGACCAATTCCTCAATTCAATGTCAGATCTTAATTATCCCTTGAAATTCTTTTTACTTTTAATTGAAAAGTGACAAATTCCATCGGTTTGCAGAACCGCGTTTGCTGATCGGGCAATCTTCGGGGAGACGTCCCCACATCGAAACCAGAAATTCTCTTGAACCTCCCGAACTATCCCCAAACGAGGGAACAATCATTTTTCGTAAATTAGTAACGCCTACATTCGACCTAACCCAATAAACTCCAAGGATCTTCCATTCCTTCCAAACTTCCGTGGGCGGATCCCCCCTCACCAGGGCTTCGGAGCTCCAACCTTGTCTGAATCCTTCTCCGTCTCTACCACGATTGGAAGGTGAAGGGTTTGGCCTCTACGTGTACGGAGTACGGACACTATTATTGATTGAGCATAATCTTCATTCTCTCCACTCCCCGGGTGCTTAGATTACCCTTTTTTTGTTTCTTCCAGTTTTCCCCCCGCTGCGTCTCAAAAAGGCTAATTATTGATTGGCTTTGAGGATATGCTTTGCGTCTGAATACCTTGCTTGTCGGATAAAGGTTCTTTACATTGTAGCTCCTACCACGGGGATATGCAGGGCATGCATTTTATTGCCTTGTCTTCTCGTATGTATGTACCATGTACGTGTTGTCTACTCGTGCTCGTGCCTGTCGCTCTATACCTGTACATTTACCCTGTACCTGCGTACAATGTGGAGTGCATATCTCGCACGGGCGAATATTAATTGACCATCAAAATCTCCTCCTCTGGGGAAAGGAACAGGAGGAAAAAAAACAGGGCTCAGCAAGGATGCGAATGGGGATCGTCTACTGGATTCGTTCGCGGAAAACTCTCGGGTGAAACATTTTCAGAGTCAAGTCAGAGTCAAGAGACGATGATTCTTTGCCCTGGATAGACACCCTTACATTTTCTTTTTCGGTCTTTTCCTTTTTTTCTCTTACCCGGACACATTTCATGCCCAGTTCTAATCGTGATGCAACAAACGGTAAAGATCCTCGAGGTGACCAAGGAATCCCTTCCGCGTGTGTTTGGTCTGCACCGTTCGGAGGAATGTGGATCCTACATACACTGGTTCGGCATAGCCACATCTCCAGCTCGAGATCGAAGAGATCGGTGTCAGAGAACGACTACCCATTTGATGATCACGATTCGGTGTTCAAACGTCTCTTTGCTTGTGCAAATGTACCATTCCTATCGACACTTGTACCGGACCGGGGAAATCCAATCCCCATCAATCGATGGCCGATCAACACGAATACACAAATCACGAATCGCCAGCGAATGAGCTGCACCTCTCCTTGGCCACTTGGGCCTGCTGTCCTCCCTTGTGCGAAGATCTGCTTCACCACAGCCCCGTCATTCGCCAATGATCCTTTCATCGCAGCGGGAGATGTGTATCCCCCCTGTCACCGACTCCATCGTCTCTGACCACTCACAGCAGGCCTCAAACGTACCCTCTAACCAAATCCGCAGCATACCGGGAAAAAATGTGGCCCCAGATGGTCAGATGGGTAGGCAATATCGCGAGAAGTACTCCGTACAAGTACCTGGTATTTACGCTTGAACGCTAAGTGGACTATCATTTTCTCTGAACTGGCTAGCGTTCACAACAGAAAGGGAAAAAAATCCCTTTCTCTCAACAGTCTCAGCCACCAACAACGAAACTGATGTCGGTGGCGCCCCGAGCGTCTCGGTACCTTGGACGAGTGGTGCTTCAGCACTGCCCTATGTTCTTCGGTAGCAACCTTGTTCAGCGGGACCAACGTTTTGTGATATCGCACGATCAGTGATACTCCTTGGCTCTTTTCACTGCTGCGGTTTGGTAATGGTGGAGTTGCGGTCAAAAGCCCCCAAGTACCAAATCCAGCAAGGAAGCAGGACGATCTCAGGCTCGGGAATTTAGCGCCAATTGACACCTTCGGCGGGGACATCTGAACAATCTCAAGTACTCCGTAACGAGTACTCCGTACGGAGTAACGGGGTCACCGATGCTTCTTTCCGCGTCCGAATTACTGTACAAATTAGTCCATACAGATTTCTCGTCTCGGGGGGGCCTCGGGGACTCCTAGCTGGACATGTTTCAGTGCGTGAAGGGAAAGATCGCTGCTCGGGTCTCACTAATCTCATCTCTGTTAACGGCTTCACCAGATTGCTGCCGTTCCCTTTCGTTGATCCTGTACTGACTTGGTGCGTGCTCCGTTTTGCTGCGTCTATCTGCTGCGTCTATAAGTTTGGTACCTGCTGTAGATTTACTCCGTGCCTATGGTAGTGTCTGCCAGTGGCACCTGCATCTGGGGTCCCCTTGTAGATCTTGGGCGTTGATTTTGGCGCGAGATTCCGTGTCGATTTTATGTTTCTTGTTTCGTACTAGCATCTCTAGTTGGAAATCTATTTGTGATTATTTTCATACTATCTGTATTCCTCGCACATGGGCATGCGTACGAGTATACGAATAGGATGGACCGAAAGGATTTTTCTTTTTTCCCTGTTAACGTTGGAGAGGATAGGGGCAGTGAGACAGATCTTCGCTCCCCTTTGAAACATGACGATCCGATTCGGATAAGAGCTTGGACGGAAGGGCCTTCAGCTGGAGCTCTGGTAGCTGCGTCAAACTGCTGTGCATTTCGCAGGTACAGCATAAATTTATTTACTGTGAGAACTGCCTACAAATATGTATAATTTTTTGGAGAGAATAAAGAAAACACAATATATCAGCTTTGTACTGTAGTCGCGAAATTCCAGAATATACCCGATATCGACATGCAAATTGCTGTTGTATATATCACCATCCGAACCTTCACTACCCGAGCCCCAAAACTTGGACCACCTTAGAATTTATCCGATCATTTTTACCGCATAACTTTAATACCACTGCTCCGTAATAATCATGGCATGAAGATCGATTTAGATCTTTACCGGTACGGAGTAAAAAAGATCGTCCTGATAACCCAAGAATCCTGAAACAATCGCGTGAAGTATGAACGTTTCAAGTTGACCCGTCCCGATCGGAGAAACCTGGAGAAGTTGAAACATTGCTATATATGGAAGTGATGGATCTTGACAGATACTTAGCTACCAGATTAAGCTAAGTAAAGATAAAAAAAAACATACACTAGTATAGAACCTTAGAAGCGAGGGCAAAAAAAAAAAAATAAAGAAGAAAGAAAAAAAATCCTCAAGAGCTAAGGACCAAATGCAAAAAGAGCCTATCGCGGTAGAATATAGCGAACACGAACAAAAAACCAACGAATCAGCTCAGCATCAGACGAGCATGTAACATATGTATTTTCAGTCGGAATCTCGGGACCCGTTCTTCCTCCGACATTCTGACTATAGCATGACTTAGCATAATTTAACATGATTCGAGCACTTCAGTTAAACCGTGAGTAGCCTAGCTTCGCTCTCGCATTCTGGTATCTATACCGAATCGAGCGCCCCGGTTCGCCGGTTCGCCGCTAGGCTGGCTAACCGGTTTGAATGGGAGCTCTCGTTGGTCCGAATCTACCCCATTTCCTGTCGGATCCGACGCTATCCACGAGCTAAGTCCAAGTATCGACGGTATGACCCCATCAAGACCCATATTTATTTCCATCTTTCTACGGAGAGGACGGAGTACCCGCTTTTTCTCTCTCTCTCTCTCTCTCTCTCTCTCTCTCTTTGTGTGCCAAGTTTGTACCTTTGCCAAGCTAGGCAGCAACCATTTCGAGCCTCGGTTATCGTTCGATTTTGGGGACTTGTTACTGTCGACGGAGGTGATTGGTCGATTTGGTTCATCTATACCTTTAGCGACCTTCTAATCATGGTACATTAGGTACAATCTACCTTTACAATTTACTACATATGAGAAGGCTTAATTCTTTAATTGTGGTCAATTTGTGACTTATGGTTGCAACGAGTCTAAATAAAGCCACTTCGGGTCCTAATCGGTCAACTTGATGGAGACATCCAACTCTTTCTACTCCCGTACCTTCGGTACTAGAAAAACACTGATCTCCATAAAAAAAAAAGTAAACTTCCCCTTCGAGATGAATAAGCGTTTCCTCACCAAATTCAAGATAACATGTATAACAAAAATTAAGGTACGTTATTGAAAGCCAAGACACAAGAATCTAGGAAAAAAAGGGAAAAAACGAACCAACAAAAAACCACAAATGCGCTTCGGAACCTAGCCGAGTCGGGGGCAGTCGGGGGTAGACCCTGAATGCGCTCCACGAGGTTGATCAACCTCTTGTGCGCTGTCTATGCCAAGACCGCTAAGAGGGGAGAGTAAACCGCTTCCATCTTAGCAGTTTAAAATAAGGTGCTATAATTAGCGGTAAACCTTGGGTTATCATAGTCTCTATGTACGGAGTACGGAGTACGGAGTATACACTGTGCAACTGTTCAGTTGATGGTCTTTGCTGCAGTGGCTTTTTAGTTTATTTTCGTTTAGTGTAGTTCTTCTATATTCTCTTGTTTTCTTTTTTAGAAGGCTGGGAGGGTTCTGAGTCCGCAATCCCGGGTGTTCAGGTGAGACTTGTTGATCCGCCAGCGCGAATCAGAGGACGCCGTGCTATTTCCAGAGATCTGATAGCTTGTAGCGGTGAATAACTAGACGGCCGTTGGTTTCCCAATGCTACGGTGGCAACCATTTAGCCGGTAAGTTGCAGAGCATGGTAGTCCAAAGAGAGACCGAATTGTGGACTGGGGTGATCATACACTAGTTCATGCGTCTATTTAGGGCTCTCTGGAAAATGATGCGGTGCTGCCAGCGGAACCGTAAGACCCAAAATTAGACAGTTGCAGTCCGGTCCTGCTAGATAACAATAGGGCTTGATAGGCTTGAGGCTTGGTGCATGGCAAGCTGAGATGAGACACAATGAGCACATCTGTACTCGCTAGAACCTGGAGACCAACGCCGTTGACCCACAAACTTCTGTAAAGGAATTTATGCCTCAACAACGAGACAATATTGTATCCACCAAGCCCCTTTTGCGGTGCTTATTCTGATCTCTGTCAGAGAGGCCGGAAGGGGAAGGAGAAAGGGAAGTCGACGAGACAGATGAGATGAGGTGATCAGAAGATGGAGGCGCTCTGCTGAACGCTGCGGTCATAGCAGACCGGGAAAAGCTTGGACCAGAACCCATACAGTTCTGGTCGGGTATCCCTCTCTTCGACGAGCCATTTGGCAAAAGCGAACTCCGTTCGGAAAGGATTCTGACTTCGGTAGGGGGCAACCTGGTACATGTCAGTCCAGAGCTCAAGGTACGTCCGAACCACCTCCCACAACCCACCTCTGGATATCGTTGCAAGGCTTCGTGATAGCGATCTGACAATCCGAGTCTCCGAATAGTGATCAAACGAATATCTCTGGCTGCCAGGCTGTATGCCCGGGTGAGGTTCTCACGTTCAGAGACCGTCTCCTTCCCGATCACGACACCACCTGGCAATTTCCGATACTCGAATGCGTATGCGACTTCAATGAGACGCGTCAGCATATCGGCTTCCCAGTTCTCGAAGAGTGGATGGCGGAATTCTTTGACATGGCGTTGCAGTAGCCAGAGCTCGCGCTTCAGGCGTGTGGTGTTGATTCGCAGCTTTTCCATTCTGTTTTCAATGAGTCGGTTGAGCCTTTGGAGGGCATAGTGAGTGGCGTCAGATGACTTGACTGACATCAGTATAGACCCTTCACCTTGACAGCTTCGGGGCCTGTTACCTGGAAACTACCTTCGTCCCAGATCTCGTCGACCGGACAAGCTTCATCCGATACACGACGCACCGCGCCCTTCTCGTGGGACACGGTACGGGGACGTCGTTCGCGGCGGTTGGTTGGACCCATGGTAAAAGCGGGGAATCAAGAGAGCGATGGGCTATACAATGAGCGGAAGTTGAGTCTTGGGTACTCGCCTGGATTTTGGGGATAAGAGAAGGTGAGCAACGAAAGCTGAGGACATCGGTGCTGCGACAGCAACCGTCGAGGTCTTGCGAGGAAGGTACGAGCTGCGAATATCTCCATTTGTATTTGGTTATAGACAATCATTTGCTTCATGAGACTCGTAGCATAGATGCTATTCAGAGCTTGCTGCCCGACTTGCCGAATTCAATCACCAGTTTACCAAATTGAGTACCCTGCTTCATGTCCTCAAATAGTCCGTCGATGGCAGACAGGTCATCCAGATCGGTCTTGAGCACTCGTGACACCACCGGGTAAATCTTCTTCGCGTTGACAAATTCGATCATCTCCTTGAACTCTTTGCGAGAGCCCATCGTGGAACCACGAACATCGATGTTCTTCAAGACCGCAGCCATCGTGAAAGGCATCTTGGGGGATACTGTCATTCCATAGATGGAAAGAACACCGCCAGCCTGCAAGATGTGAGCAAAATGTGAGTATTCTACCCAAAACATTGGCCGATTGCAAATACTCACCTTGAGTAACTTGACAGACTTCTCGACCGAATCACCACCCGCACCGTCAATAATGGCATCGAAGTTCTTCTTGCCAGCAGGAAGCAAGCCAAGCAACTTCTTCTCCCATCCATCCTCCTTATAATTCACACCACCGGTCGCACCCAACTCAACCGCCTTCCGAATCTTCTCCTGACTCGAGCTAGTCACAAAAACATGTGCCCCCCCTCGCGACCGCAAACCGCAGCGCCATCAACGCAACACCACCCCCAATCCCCGTAATCAACACAGCAGCACCATCCCCAGAGTTCCGCTCACCAGCCTTCGTAATAAGCGCCCTCCACCCAGTCAATCCAGTCAAAGGCAAGGCAGCCGCCTCAGCATCCGACAAGTGACCAGGAGCCTCCTCGACCTCCGAGAAATCAATCGCGAGATATTCTTGCAGCGTACCCTTATCATAAACCCGTGTACCACCCATAATTCTATACCCGGTAGCTTCCTCGGGCCCGTCGGGCGAATCCTTCCAGCCCACGCCGGGATTCAGGATCACGCGCTTGCCCTGCCATGTCTCGGGGCTGGGGACGTTGGGACCTGCGTCGACGACGATGCCTACTCCGTCTGCGAGTAGGGGTACGTCGAAGGTCACGCCTGGGTATAGATGTTGGCGGAGGAAGAGGTCGCGGTGGTTGAGGGAGGCGGCGGTCAGCTTTATCAATAGCTCGCTCCCTTGCGGGGATGGCTTGGGCACGGTGCGCAGAGAGAGCGGGTAGTAGACTTGGCCGGGCTTGCCGGGTTTGCCGTCAATTGGAGAAATGTAGATTGCTTTGGACATGTTTACTGTTGGATTGGAAGTTAAGTTCCAAAGTTGTCAAAATGAATTGAAGCTGCCCAGGTGGTTGTTGGTAACTTGGGGTGCGGGGATTACTATATCTTATCGTTTTAACCGAGGCCCGAATGGATGCTTTTCAAAACTTCAAGGACTACTGTTGAATTTCAAGATTGGACGCTATTAGACTGTGGTACCTGGGAATGAGTTGATTTCAATTTGGGAAGGGTTTGTCTTGTTCTACCTCATGTGAAAGTCACTTGGACAACACTACGAGAATATATGTAAACCTGGAATCGGCTGAACATTCCAAGCATCAACTTGCCATGTTTGGCGACTTTGGGTCCTCGCTCTTCTAAAAAGAGCATGAGAGACAGGAGACTTTGAAATGCAGTACTCTGGGGGTCTAAGAGACCGAGGCCAAGAATTGGGGGAGCGCAAATGCTATGACTGCCGCGAACAATATCCAGCCACGGTCATTGGCAACTTCATCTGTGCGTGGTGAAACAGTGATACTCACCAGTAATAAGAAGCACTTGTTAAAGAAGTCAACACCTCCTCACAATCTAGCTCTGCTAGATATGATTCACCACCAAGTTCGGTCACAAAGCTGTACCACCAAAAGTCTTCCTGTGTGAACCTCAAAGCAGTAGTAAAATCCCAATATTCAGGATACCAACCTGCCGATTCCCAATCCAAAAAACCAGTGATCTTGCCCTCCTTCACCAGAATGTTATGAAGCTTCAAATCTCCGTGCGTAAAGACAATGCGATGACACAAGCTTCCCATCTTTTGGCACGATCAAGTGCATCCTCGTATTCAGTATCCGATGAGAACCCACCCGACCAAGCAGGCCGTACGAGATACTTATTCAAATCATCCTCTGACTCAAAAGGACCAGAAAAATGACCAGGAGCGTGAGCACTCCTTATCGAGGTACCTGGAAGAGAACAAATCCTCAGCTCGCCCCATAGACTCGACCACACCCGCATGATCTCCAGATAAGCTCTAAGCTCTTCTAAAACCAAATTTCGATCCTCGTCACTGAATACTTCATAAACTCGACCCAATGCTTCACCAGGCACGCGAGTCATGAGGATTGAAACCGGTGCATGGGGTGTATCAGGGTGCGCGCTATAGCAAATCACCCTTGGAACTGGGAGACCTGCATTTCGGGCAACTTGCATGGATAAAACTTCCTCGATCCTGGTGCCATCGGACTATTTACAAGAATAATCCGAATGGAAGCTTAGCGATCTGATTATCGTAGGAGATTCGGACCCAGTTGCAATAAGACCGAGAGAACCGTCTAAGATATATGCGGAGAAAGCCCCAGGATTGTAGTTATTAGTCGAGGGTGCGTTGGGCGAGGAGTTGGTGGCATTCGGTCGTTAGAGATTGGTCGGACTTTGTCTGGCCATGTGAAATCGGGCACGAGACAGCGAGATAATGACTCAAGTTTCATTGTGAGAGTCTTCGAAGTGACCAAACCAGTTCGAAGGAGGGAAAGAAGTACGGAGTACCAAGGAGAGAATTGGCGGCATAAACAATGGGACGGTGTATGTTATGTCACATGTCCATGAACAACCTTGGAACCCTGAGAGGTGGGAAATACTCCTACAAAGCACATTACGACCATTGAAAGGCTACAGTTACAGTCTACGACAGTGAGGCGAATGAATAAAGAATAGGCTCTTATTGTAGAACACCTGAATAAGAAAAAACAAACATCAAAGGGTCATATCCCGTTTCCCATTTCCCGTAAGACTTTAAAATTAGCAAGAGCGAAAAGAGCGGAAGATAATCTAGTCAACCTCCTCCATGGTGCTCTCGCCGGTAGCCTCGGCAGGAGCAGCAGCATCGGTCTTGGTCTCGACGTCGGCGTCCTCGTCGATGTTCAGGCCCAGGGAGACGAGCTTGTGGATGCGCTCGGAGAAGCTGGCGGGCTCCTCGATGGTGAATCCAGAGACCAGGAGGGAGGTCTCGAAGAGGAGCTGGGTGATGGACTTGACGGTGCGGTCGTTCTCGCCATCGGCCTCGACCTTCTTCTTGAGCTCCTTGATGATGGAAGACTTGGGGGAGATCTCGAAAGTCTTCTTGGAGGACATGTAGGAGGACATGGAGGTGTCACGGAGGGCCTGGGCCTTCATGATACGCTCCATGTTGGCGGACCAACCGAACTGGCCGGTACGGATGGCGCAGGGGGAGCCGACAAGCTTGTGGGAGACGACGACCTTCTCGACCTTGTCGCCGAGAACGTTCTTGAGGGCCTTGGCAAGCTCCTCGTACTCCTTCTCCTCAGCCTCACGCTCGGTCTTCTCCTCCTCGGTCTCCTCGAGCTCGAAGTCCTTGGTGATGTCGACGAGCTTCTTGCCGTCGTACTCCTTCAGCTGAGTGAAGGCGTACTCATCAATGGGGTCAACGAGGAACAGAACCTCGAAGTTCTTCTGCTTGAGGGTGTCCAGGAAGGGAGAGTTGGCAACAGCCTTGATGGACTCGCCGGTGATGTAGTACATGTTCTTCTGGTGCTCGGGCATGCGGGTGATGTAGTCGGCGAGGGAGGTGGCCTCGTCACCAGACTTGGTGGACTGGTAGCGGAGGAGCTTGGCCAGAGTGGGGCGGTTCTGGGCGTCCTCGTGGATACCGAGCTTGATGTTCTTGCTGAAGGCCTGGTAGAACTTGTCGAACTGCTCGCGGTCCTCAGCGATCTCAGTGAAGAGCTCGAGGGTCTTCTTGACGATGTTCTTCTTGATGACCTTCATGATCTTGTTCTGCTGGAGGGTCTCACGGGACAGGTTAAGGGGCAGGTCCTCGGAGTCGACGACACCCTTGACGAAGCTGAGCCACTCGGGGATGAGGTCGGTAGCATCGTCAGTAATGAAGACACGGCGAACGTAGAGCTTGATGTTGTTCTTGGTCTTCTTGGTCTCGAAGAGGTCGAAGGGAGCGCGCTTGGGGACGAAGAGGATGGCGCGGAACTCGAGCTGACCCTCGACGGAGAAGTGCTTGACACCGAGGTGGTCCTCCCAGTCGTTGGAGAGAGACTTGTAGAAGGAGGCGTACTCCTCAGTGGTGATGTCGGTGGGGTTGCGAGTCCAGATGGGCTTGGTCTTGTTAAGCTCCTCCTCCTCGATCTTGGACTCCTTGACGGTCTTGGTCTTCTTCTCCTTCTTCTCCTCGTCCTCGTCGACCTCCTCGACCTTGGGCTTCTTCTCCTCATCTTCCTCCTCCTTGGTCTCGGCCTCCTCATCGGGGACCTCAGTCTCGGTCTCCTTCAGGACGTGGAGGTAGATGGGGTAGGAGATGAACTCGGAGTGCTTCTTGACGACCTCCTTAACGCGGGCCTCGTTGAGGTAGTCCATCTGCTCATCCTTAAGGTGGAGGATGATCTTGGAACCACGGCCGAGCTGCTCGCCCTCGGTGTCCTCCTTCAGGGTGAAGGTACCACCGGCAGCGGACTCCCAGATGTACTGCTCGTCATCGTTGTGCTTGGAGACAAAGGTGACACGGTCGGCGACCAGGTAGGCAGAGTAGAAACCGACACCGAACTGACCGATCATGGAGATATCAGCGCCAGCGGAGAGGGCCTCCATGAACTGCTTGGTGCCGGAGCGGGCAATTGTACCAAGGTTGTTGATGAGGTCCTAATGAAGTAAAATGTCAGTTCTCAATCCATAACTCACAAAGGATCGACGAGAGCTTGGGCCCTCCGATGAAATAACTTACAGCCTTGGTCATACCAATACCGGTATCACGGATGGTAAGGGTCTTGTTCTCCAGGTCGGGGATAATGTCGATGCGCAGATCCTTGTTGGAGTCAAGCTTGGAGGGGTCGGAGAGAGCCTCGTAGCGGATCTTGTCGAGAGCATCGGAGGCGTTGGAGATCAACTCACGAAGGAAAATTTCCTTGTTGGAGTAGACGGTGTTAATGATCAGCGAGAGCAGCTGAGAGATCTCAGCCTGGAACTCGAAGGTCTCAGACATGATGGCGGTTGAATATTCTGTAAGATAGGAAGATGGTTAGAGTGACGTTCAGCAATTGACTTCAAAGAGAAGCAGAGTTTGATGTAGCGGTGGGGGGGGAGGAGGGGAAGAGGGTCAAAGGCAGTACAGCTACCAGGTTGATGAAGATAGGGAGACACTTACAAGAACTGAAACTAAACAAAAAAGAGAAGCCTTGGAGGGGAGGAACCAAAGCAAAGAGAGATGAAGAGAGGAAGTTGGGGAAGGCGGGTGGTTTTGTGTTTCCAAAAATTTCTGGTGGAGAGGTTCTACGACGATCCAGCAACTTCCACCTCGTCGGTCAGGCAACCTGCAGCTCTACGTTCTAGAGTCTTCGTTATATCCAAACTGAGGGGCCCTGTCTTTATTTTTATCATTTTAATTTCGACTCAATTGCCCCAGACTGAGATACTTTCTTTCATTGAGAATATCACTGCCTGAGGCACCATCGCTAGAATCTTCCCCAGACTGAGTCAGCTGGTCTATCAACCTTGGAAGTTCTACGGAGTACACCAATGAGGTCCTCATGTCATTTCTCGAATAACGAATTATAACGATACATTGCTCATTCCCCTTCATTTACACTGTAAAAGCCATAGACAAGAAGAAAAAAGAAAAAAAAAGGCATAATACAAGAACCGGGATGGCGCACCACCGTAAAACCCTGAAGTTTGCTATGCTAGTAACGAAAATGCGAAAAAAAGGTCTCAGAGAGAACAGGCAAAAGACATCGAAAGAAATGAATATGGCGCAAGATGGACTCGAGGAACATCTCGGAGATGAGACTCGACCCAACAAGAAAAAGCAAAAAAAAAAAAAAAAAAAAAAAAGTCAGGCTAAAACACATGTGCCCAGAGGGTAGGAAAGAGACACAACTTTTCCAGCCAACCCGGACCAACCGCTAATATGCACTGTGACGGGAAAAAAGGGGGAGGCAATAGTCACGTAACACATGTCATTAGGAAAAGACGGGGCAAAAGAAAGGAGGAAAAAAAAAAGAGAATCCAAATCAGAGTAATACAGATCAGATCCTGGGAAGATCAAGCGCCAAAAGCCAGGACACTGGAGTCGACGTGCGGAGTAAGACGTAGGGGATCATCAATATCAGGTTGAATATTTAAGCAGCCTGGGCCTGGCTGCTGCGGCCCTTGGCGGCAACGTTGCCACCACGGCCACGGGGAGCAAAGCCACCACGGCCCTCCCGCTGGAAACCACCGCGACCCTGGCTTCCGGCACGGTCACCACGGCCGCGACCAGCACCGCCGCCACGTCCGGCGGGGAAACCGTTGCTGCCGTAGGCGTTGCCACGGGGACGGCGCTCTTCGACGAGGATCTGCTCGCTGCCAATTTGGTGGGGGTTGGCGGCGACAGCGGCAGCGTAGCCGGCGGGCTCGTTGAATTCAACAAAGGCGCAGTTCTATTGATAACATTAGCAAATGAAGATGAAACCAAGAGGCAGAGAGAAAGAGGGACAAACCTTAGGGCGGCTGACATCGAAGTACTTCAGCTTGCCGAAGCGAGACAGGACCTGCTTCAGCAGGCTGGCATCAACCTTGTCATTGACGTTCTTGATATAAGCGAGGACAGTCTCCTCGCCGGCACGAGGCTGCGACTTCTTGTGGTCGTGGCCAGCGGTCTGCCATCCGGCATCAGTGGAGGCCTCCTGGGGACGGGCCTCGGTAGCAGCAGCGGCAGCGGCAACAGGCTGAGCAGCGGGAGCAACAGGGGAAGCTTGGCTGGCGGGGGCAGCGGCCTTAGGGGCAGCAGCGGGGGCAGCAGCAGCAGCAGCGGCCTTGGAGGCGGCAGCAGCCTTGGCCGCGAAGGAGGTGGTGGCGATGTTGGCCCAGGTCTTGGGAAGAGCAGGAGTGGGAGCAGTCTCCTTCTCGGGGACCTGCTCCTCCTTGGCAGGGGCGGGAGTGGGCTCGGGAGCGAGGGGCTCCTCGACATCCTCGATCTCAGCTTCAGCCTCAACGGCGGGAGCGACAGCCGGGGTCTCCTCGGCGGGGACGCCGTTGGTCTCGGGAACTACTTCCTTGGTCTCCTCGATTTCTCCGTTGGCCTCGACTTCCTCGAGCTTCTCGTCCACCTTGGAGACGGTGGCATCGTCAGAAACCTGAGCCTCCTCGCTGGAGACAGCAGGAACCTCGGCCACAGCCTCGGGGGCTTCGGTGGCAGCCACAGCGGGGGTGGTCTCCTCCTCAGTCTCCTCAACAAGGTAACGGAAGATGTCGTTGAGCACGTAGTAGCCGTTGGGCTGCTCGGCGAGAACAAAGGTCTGAACGAACTTGCGGGAAGGCTCGGAGTTGTTGGAGATCTCACCAATAACCGAGACCAAGATGTTGTCGAACGAAGCCTGAGAGTCGACGTTCAAGACGCGGACCTTGCAATCCTGGAACTTCAGTTCCTTAATCTTGTCACTGATAGACTAAAAATAGGTTAGTGAAAGTTCACAATTCAATAGGAAGCTCAACTAACCTTGGTGCCAATGTTGACGGGGACGGGCTCGGCCTCAGTGCCAACAACCAGCTGAGAGCGACGGGAATAGAACAGGTGAAGCTTGTCGGGGTTGCGGCTCATAGTAGTGTAGTACTGCTCAACGAAGAACCAGCCCACCTCGTCCTTGGAGATGTCATTCTTCTGATCAGTGGGAGTGACAGTGGTAGGGGTGGAAGACTGAGCGGGCTGGAAGCTGGCGGCAGTGTTCATGGTGACGGAAGCGTGATTGTAGGACTCGGGGTAGCCGTGCTGGGCAGGGTAGTTGCCATTGATGGGAACTTGGTTCATATCGGTCATATTGTAGGATTGAGGGGTTTTGGCGGTTTCGGGTGGAAAATGAGATTAAGAGTAACCGAGCGCGGCGGGATAACAGTGAAAATATAAGAACCGAGAGGGGGTTTTTTTGGAACCTGAAGAAGACGGGGATCGGTCTAACGATAATCTTTTCACTGAATATTGTTAGTGATGTGCGCGATGAGGAGGTTGAAGAGGTGAAAGAGGTGGAAAAGGACATGTGGAGATCGGAACTCACAATGCGAAAATGTACTAGACACTAGTGCAAGCAATTGAAAAGGCAGAGAAGAAAGAAATAGTGGGGAACCAAAGGGTAACAGAGAGAGAAGAGAGAAAAAACTATGCGCTTTAAGATTGCGGGTGAAGGTATAACAGTGATCTGAGATGAGAATAGTGCTCAATAGCTCAAAAGGTGTAAGGTGAAGATGAGAAAGATCGAGAAATGTGGGTCTCGAGAATGGAAGATGGAGAAGTCGGGAAAAAAGAAGAAGAAAAGGCAAGTTGAGAGTGAAGCTGTGGGAATTCGCCGCCGCTGAAAAAGCGACTTCTTTCTTTGACGGGTTTCGCGTGGGCGGTCTACCCCGGCAGAATTGGTATACTTCGCTACTTGATACATCGACAGATCTAATAATATGAGATCTAGATCTAAAACTAAATCCTTTGTCAGATGGGTCTAAAGAGGTCTGATCAAGCGTACGTGAAAGGAAGCAATGGAGGCCAGCACAGCCCATTCTGGTGTGACTGTATCGTCTACCCGAAGACCAACAGGAAGGCAAATCTGGCGAGAGGAGCTCAACGGAGCTATGATATAGAGACTAGATCGAAGAGATATTAGACAGGTGTAGATCCAAACATAAATCGACATAGATCAATGACCCCTGACACGCATTGACTCAATCGCACTCGGCTCCACCCAACAAAGATCAATAGTGGGAAAATCTAAAGACAGCAAACATAAATGTGGAAGGGTTCATGATAAGATTTGAGGTATGTCACAAAGGTAGATGGTAAATAAAAATCAAGACACAAACAGAGATATATAATGCGCATCTCAAGTTCAAACGCCGCAAAGTGATCCGGAAAAGAGAAAGAAGGGTATGATAGGACGTGAAAAAGGTGCTCGGCAAAGGCGACAGCAGTCGTAAGAGCCATCAACCGAGACGGAGTACATGGCCAAAGAGAAAAAGATGGAAAGAACGATCGGAGACGGTCAATCACGCGGACGTATAAAACACAGCACACGAGTGAAGATATTTTCTCAAAATCACATTCAAGGCGAGGTGGTACCCTCGGATTTCTCAGAGAGCGGTTTGCGCATAACCGCGTCCTGGCCGGTCATTCTGCGCCCGAGGGCGCGCTCGACCTTCGCACCGAGAGCGAGTTTGTTCAAGTTGTCGGATTTCTCGGCGGTGGGGACGAATCGCTGCTTGGTGAGCGGCTTGTTCTCTAGGCGCTCGAAACCCTCGTGGAGATGGGAGATGTCGGCGATTCGGGGGTCACCACTGGGGAGGCTGCCGTTTGTGCGGTCAGATGCTGCGAGCGAGGGACTGCCACTGACGGTGGAGAATCGCTTGGAGGCTCGGTTCTGCGGAGAGTTAGACATGCGCCGGAGGAGGAAAATCCTGGGATCCAGGGAAGGGAGGGGCAAATCCTACCGACTGAGCCATCATGGGGCGCTCGGAATCCAGAGAAGTTTGACGAGCCATGTTGGGCAGACAATGTGCTTTTAAAGGGGAGCGGACTGCGGGAGAGGGGCGCGGTTTCGAGTAGGTAACCCTAGAGATAGACCTGGGCAAGTTTCTGTCAGTGGAGTCTAGCGCTCGGCCGAGGTCAGCACTTACTCTGTAGTATGCTCTGTATGGTATAGTCCAGTTGAAGCAGTGGAAGTCGTAGCAAGAAGGAAAGAGGTGGGTCAACGGTGGGGATAAGAAAGGGGGAGGTTTTTTGGGGATCGACGTAACCGTAAAATGCGGTAAAGAGGCGTATGCGTACGGAGTGGCTTGCAATTCCTGAGTGGAGGTTCTGATGTCAAGACTTGCTCAGCCAATGAGTCGCCGTGATCTTATATTTGCCACGTGCTGGCCACGCGAAGCTCGGTATACTATTCTCTATTCATCCGTAGTCCGAAGTATGTGCTGAGAGTAGTGTATCCTCCACGGTATCCATATTCTCTCTTAGCTCATACCACTCTCTGTATCGGCAAGGGGAGGGCACGCATAGAGCCTGGTTTAATTGACCTGGGTACGGAGTACAGGACCTGGGTACCTGGACTTCCAAGGTTAGAATTAAAGACCTATCATGCAACATTCTGCAACATCCTGCACCCCTTTTACCACATGTTTCATCTGTGAAACGCTTACAGCTGGGTCTTGGCATGCTGATCCGGCACTACTTGTGACTAGGTGTGAAGGATTAGCTACTTTCCGTAAGAGCCAGTGCATATCTTACCTACAGTAGAAATTATGTTGGTATGTACATAAATTTTATGATCTCATATAGATATAGTTACTTCATACGTAAGTACGAGTATCATCTAAAATAATTATTGAGATACTGGCAGTCATCAGTAGCTAGATACTGCCAGACACACTACATACTCACTCTCTGTACGGAGCAATGTGGAGAGCAACCCGAAAGCGGATACACCGCCTCAAATTCTGCCGGATATACGAGTATACCCAGAATCCCACGAGCTTGTCGAGACTTCCCATCACAACTATCCAAAATGCCGAAGCCAAAGTCGTTCTTGAAAGAAAAGCCCAAGAAGAAGGGCGCGGCCAAGCAGGTATTTTTATCTGGTCCCAAACATGAAAATCGGTTCATCTTCTCATCCATTTTAACAGGCACCAGTCACCGCTGATGATTTTCTCGCCGGTATGTATTTTGCAAAAAGCGCCAGTGAACATTCAATCTAATCTTGAACTAGCCGGCGTGGAGCTGGAGGAAGCCGGGGAGAAATGGCGGGCTGGAGACGCGGCTAAGTCTATGCGGTTCTTTATGCGCGCTATCGCCAACTACGATGAAGGTTTGCAGAAGCATCCTGGTACCTTCGATCTAGCCTACAACAAGTGAGTATCACCAAAGTATTGTCATTTCCATTGCTGCAACATTCAAAGTCTAAACGAAGTGATTGCACGGCTGCCGATGACTGACGACTCCTTGCAGAGCACGAGTTCAATATGAAATCACCCAGCACCCCAAATTGGCAACTCTGTTGACTGCGCCAATGGGAGAAAACTTGCAGGTTGCATTGCAGTCGCACCGGGACGCGCTGCATCTGGACCAGAATAATGCTGACGTGTTGTTCAATTCGGGCCAGGTGCTGACCAGTCTGGCGGAGTCGATATCGATCTCCAAGCGCCCGGATGACGAGCAATTGATGCAGGCAGGAACCTACCTCCAGGAGGCGGTTGAGCTGTTCCAGCGGTGCTTGATTGTACAGGAGATGAAGTACACTCAAATGCAAGAGGAGATCGAAGAGATGAACTCCGGAAATGTCCCACTTGCGGCACCGGAGGCGGAGACTGTGCCACAGCCCGAGCCTCCAAAGACGGCATCCGACGAGGAGCAGGAGCAGTGGGCCATGATCGTGGAGCCCGTCACTAAGAACACTTTGGTCGAAACAGCTATTGCCCAGTTGGAGACTTTGACTACTCTGTGCAGCGTGTTGACATCCAACCCGCTTGTCGGCGGTGTTGGATGGGTGCAAGAGTATTCGTCGGAGCTCGTCCATTCCCGACTGCCCGTTTATGCCGAAGGTTCGGACAGACAGTATGAGGCGGCCTTGGCGCGCGCTAAGCTGATCTGTGCTGTGAACGAGCTACTTTATCGGGGCGGACATACTGACGCGCAGACCTATCAGCAGGAGGTTGGACAAGTCTTCGGGCCCGAGCTTGACGTGTCAGCAGACCCGGATGGATTGTGTGCCAAAGCAGAGGCGCTTGTCTCACTGAACCAGGCATTTTCTGATATCCCCCCGTCCGAGGACGATGCAACGGCCCAAGACGCGGTGGCACTTCGGTGGAAGCACCTCTCAACCGCCCTGGATGCCCTGACAGCTGCATCCAAACACCCCGAAGCTCACAACTTGCCCAAGATCCATCTCGGACGTGGTGATGCTGAGATGCATAGATGGCGCCTTGGGCGAGCCCCATGGAACCACGCTGTCGCGAAGCAGAACGGCAATATGCTCTTGCGCAACGCTCAGACCTACTACCGCGGCGCAGCTGCTCTGGCGAGACGCGATGGAGCCGCCGAAGAAGAATTCGAAGGTACATGCAAAGAAGCGGTTGCCGCAGCAATCGAAGGCCAAAACACCAAGCTCCATCAGCTTATAGCAACCAATAGTCAGCAGGTGGTGGCCACGGCGCAAGACATGGTAGAGGACGGCCTGGTAGACGGGATGGAACTGAGCGCCCTGATGTCATGAACTGCCCAACATCCAATGATCTCACAGGCCGCGACGAGCTTTCACTTCTCTGTCCATTTGAACCGCGTCCTGGCGAATATGGTGCTCTTTGCTGAACTGCGTGGCTGCCGTAGCAGCACCCTCAATATCCGACACAACCAATCCAAGCTGCGACAACAATTGCTCGATTTCCAGCCGCTGTGCCTGCACGGTCTGTGAGAGCTCCGCGTTTTCCGCATTCGTGGCTTCGAGCCGGGTATTTAGGGTCGACTGCGCTTCCTGAAGGAACGGCGTGATATGCGCTTTATACAACTCTTCTGCGCCGAGTGTATGCGGCCTAGGTAGTCAGCTAGTCAGAATGAATTCCCAAACTTCAAATCATCAATCATAAACGCAACATAATCAACATACACTACATGTTCCTGTTCCCCGGCGTGCTCAGTCGCTTGTTCTTTCCTGGCCTTTGCGTCGCTGACTAACCGATCAAGCTCATTCAAGTGTGGCACCGCATCCCTCTCGTCAATAATATCCTCGAACTCAGCCTTGGCATTCGCTTCCAGTTTCGCATTCAGCTGTCGCCAGACACCCTCCAAACTCGCCGGAACATGGCGCGCAGGAGTGGGGAAGCAGCTTGCAAAGTTCTGGTATGAGTTTGCGCGCAGTGTGCGTGCCAGCGCCTGGTCGAAAATCTGATTCAAGCGAGATGCTCGCGGGCCTGGGGTTTGAGGAGCTCGTGCTGGCGGGGGAGGGGATGGCGACGCAGCGGGCTGCTGTGGTTGTTGGGAGCTGGATTCCGCCATGATGGGTACCCCCTGCGATTGAAGTTCTCACGTAATTAGAGACCAAGGTGGTGTGAGACGTCGAAGGTGTTCGGAAGAGGCCTGTTGTGGTATTTGAGGAATTTGGATTGTGGTCGGACAGAATCGCATTCAACGCGACGCGCCAGTCACGTGTTTTATAGATCGCTCGACGATTTTGCGCATTTTTGCTTACAAAATTGATGCAAATATTGTCCTCAATGTCTAGATAATACTATCTAAGGTATATAGATTGAAAACCTAGACAGGCTTGAAGAAAAATGTTAAAAAAGAACTCAATCGTCAACAATAAGGGTATCCATCAGCCCTAACCGGCTTGGTGAGACCCAGGCCAGCTTTGACGCCTGCCTTCTTCATTATCTGGTTGTAACAGATGGGGAGACAAAGAGCTTTGAGAGCCCCTTCGGAAGTGAATTGGGGGTAGGGGCTTTATCGAGTAGGGTATGTGCCATGAACATATGCGTTTGTGGATGTCGGACCAGAGTGCTTTAAAGGCGGGCCACGAGATTGAGATGTAAATCAGGCTGTTCCAAAAGCCTTGTAGGGGTAGAACAAAGCTGGAAGCATAGTTCAGGTTGAAGTTAAAGTCACTCGGTCGGGCGAGAGAGTATACTCTGTTTATCGTAGATGGCACCTGCAACATTGAATGAGCATATACAGAACGGGAACAGTAAATTCTCAGCCGAGTAAACCGCTTTGACTTACCCATGTCACCAGTAAAGCAATAAAAAATAACATGGCGTATTTATAATACGCCCAAGTAGCAGAAGTTGCATCTGTAGATGCCCTTCGCTGGGAGTCCACCACATCGAGCCTGGCTTTGGCATTTCCTTTTTGTAGATGACTCCGACCAGTATGGAGACCAGATCCTGGAATTGTGCTTGGATGACCACCCCCTTCAATGGTGCAAGTATACGATCTAGATGCAGCAGAGGGCAACCCATGGGCTCCCCCGGCGGATATAGACCGACGCTCCGGCGTCGAGCAAGCAATCTCCCTTGTGACTTGAATCCCAGTCAGCATGGCAAATGGTGAACCCGGGAGATCAGCGTCAATCGAGTCAATACCGCCGAGGTTTCGAAGCTGGCGACGTTTCTGGTAGATCATTGTTCCTGCGCGTAAATAGATGGCGAAGGTCAACGAGACGATCAACCAGACTGGTCCGTAGAAGGTAGCTATACGAAGGAAGTCCCATTTGATAGAGACCCAGCACCAGAGCTAGAAGAGCGGTTTGATTAGTACATTCCCAAATGTTCTCAGTGGTTTATCATCTCACGATGGCGGAGCCATAGATCCGACCTCTGGCTTGAGTTTGGATGAAGAAGTATGCGAAAGCTGGAATAAATGGAATACCGTAGCAGCAGAGAACATATTTCCACTCCAGTTTTCGTAGTTGTTCGGAATTATATTTGTGGAAGAATGTGAGGTAGACGTTGCACGCCATTGCGAATGTCCACAGAGCGTCAGCAGGCATGAACCTATGCTTGTTAGTCAAGAGGGAATGAGAGATAATTTGAATCTCATCACCGACCATTGGATCAGAAAGCCCTGGAACTGACACAACGAGCTGTCTACGCCTTGGTGAATACCGTTTGCAGAAATGACGGTGGCTATGTTAGCCATCATATTTCCCCATGAGGCATAAAATACGAGCCTATTGATAGGCTTTCGGAAAGCAGGCGATGCAATGAAAGTAGCGACTATAACGAAAGTTCCTATCAAGGAGATGGTCGAGCAGACACGCTCAGTGGCCGAAATGGCCGATATCTGTTCCTCAGACAGCGTCATGATATCATGATATAAGGCTGACCGTACACACGAACGGATATGCAAGGAGTATATCTAACGGCAGATATATGAGCCGAAGTGTTGCGCGTGGTTCAGTCGGGAGAAATGACAGATCGAGGACCCGAATGATCTGAGTCGGGGACTTCGGACTCGAACAAAAGAACTAGATGTTTCGAGATGAGTACTCAAGCCTCAGACCAGCTGTTTAATTGCTTTACAAAGAAAAAGGGCGGAGGTAGACCCCGCACAGCCATCTTTATTGAGGAACAAAGAGCAAACACAGGCCTGCCAAGAAGGAAGAGCAAGGTAGACAGGATCGCTTTTAAATGGTTCGTTTCGAACAGGCTAAAAGGGAGAAACTGGTGTAAGGTCCAATCGGGGTTGGTGTGTGTAGGTGAGACTTTGAGCTTTACCAAAAAGTCAATGGAAATCTCAATAGGATTCCGTGTGTGACGCTGTCTTTCCCCCCGACGATTGCAGGCCGCTTTAGAATGGCAATCCAGATGGAAGGGGATACTGTGGGTAACTGCAGGGAAGATTGATTTCTCAAAAAGGGTTGTTCAAGGCAGCTATAAGCTTATTTCGAAATGCGGATCAAGACTGTCACCAGAAGCCCCTGCCTTTCAAACGAAGACTTTCGAACAAGGCGAACACGTCTGTCGCACTTGTCGGTTAAATACTTCGGTGCTCAATTCTTGGCTCGAGGCATTGGATTGAACAGTTGCCTTGGACCGCTCCCTCAGAGTGGACAGTAAAGCCCTTGAAAGAAAAGGGACAGAAAAAAAAAAAAATCAAATTCAAAATGTCAGTTGAAAATAAAACTGGAAGCAAAATATCCATCGGGTATAACGCCGAGTTCTCCCATATCCATTTATCTAATCTCGCTCGTCATCTCATCATGCGCAGTCCAGACCTATCAGTACGCAGGCTGCGGGGGGATCATGCCCCCATACCCGGCCATCTGTTGCTGCTGGTGCTGTTGCTGCAATTGAGCCTGGATCTGGGGCAGATCGTGGAACCACGGGTGCTTGAGAGCTTCAGTGGCACTGATGCGCAGCTCAGGACGAAGTTGGAGCATGCGGTGCAAAAGGTCCATTCCGACGGGGTCGATTTGAGGAATGATCATAGACAAGTCTTGCGTGGCGTAAACGTGGAAGTTGGTCTTGTATTCTGGCAGCTGTGAGATCCCGGGCCAGGTACGTTCGGACGGAGTGCCCATCAAACGGAAGATCTTGATCAGTTGGTCCTCGTTGGTGGTGCCGGGGAACAGCGGTCGGCCGGTGTACATCTCCGCCATGATGCAGCCAGCGGACCAGATGTCGATACTGGTGTTGTAGGTGCGACTGCCGAGAAGAACGTCTGGGGCTCGGTACCACAGAGTCACAACTTCGTTGGAGAAGGTGTTGACGGGAATGCCGAAGGCGCGAGCCAGTCCAAAGTCACCTAGCTTAAGTTGTCCCTTCTTGTTGATGAGGAGGTTCTGGGGCTTGAGATCGCGGTGCAACACTCGGTTGTCGTGGCAGAATGCGATACCTTTGAGGAGTTGGTGCATGAATGATTTGACGGTGGCGGGGTCGAGCTGTCCGCGATCTCCACGGGTGTCCATATACCGCTTCAGGTCGCGGTCCATGAACTCGAAGACGAGCATCAATTTGTTCTCGGTGTGGATGACGTCGTGAAGTGAGACAATGCTCTCGTGCTTAAGCTCCTTCATCAGAGAGATCTCACGAATAGCGGTCGACGGAGTGCCCTCCTCCGAATCCAGATGAATCTCCTTCAACGCCACCATCTCGCCAGTCTGGCGGTTTCGCCCCTTGAAGACCTGTATTGCTCGTCAGCGATGAGCGTGGGGTAGAGCGAGCGAGGAGCGAGACGTACGGTAGCATAGGTTCCTTCACCGAGCTATAGTAGATTGATCCGTTAGCGAGCATTCCTGACGATGTGCAACCAGAGAGAATACCTTTTCCAGCTGTTGGAAGGAACTGGGCTGTTGGGATCTGTCCATTTTCTGTAGAGGTTTGGAAGCCGGTGGCCCCGACGGTTTTTGAGAGAAGAGAAAGGATCTGGGAGAGACAAGGCTTGAGGCGATCTTTAAAGGGTGGACTGCAGGATCCCTAGGATGCTCCATGCTGAGACGTGAGGAGGAGCCCCGCGGCCGGAACTTATGGCTGAGTTAGCAAAGGCGCTTACTATTTTTGGGCCTCACTTTGGATTTTACTTTCACTTTGTTCCCATGGATTAATTCGATTTTTTTGCTATTCGAAGCCGAATTTAATTTGAATATTTGATAGTAAGATATAGCACTATAGCAGATTCATGGGGAGCTGAGATATGACAGGCGGAAGAACCAACTGAGATGGATGGCTACATCGAACATGCGAAGACGACTGCCCAATGTTTCCAAAGAGCATTGCTTCATTCCGTACACCCCCAACATTGATGATTCCAATGGGCATGCCACGCTTGAATGCTCGTTCCACTAAGCGCCACGCCGAATACGTCGCCAGGCTGCTACCCAAGATGAGTAGCCGCCCAGCGTCATCGATTGCCTCTTCAGCCGCCGATTTCACTAGAGGGTCAATGTTCTCGCCAAACATAACCACAGCAGGCTTGAGAATACCGGCGTTGGACGTCGACATCCATGCGCCGTCATTCTCCACCTCCACAATGGCCTTTCTGCCATCTTCCAGCGTGGGAGGATTTTCCAAGCACGTCGGACATGACGGATAACGGAAAGTCGAGTAAGGCGCTTCGGCCAGATCAACATCACCGTCCGGATTGAGCTTCAGACCTTTCCGTCGTTGCTCCTCCGGGTTGTCTGTGTCGAGGGCGCCCTGCTCGACCATGCGAGCCAGAAACTCGGACCAAGCCGGATTGAGCCTCTCCAAAGAAGCTTGGAAATCGGCTCGGGGAAGCTGGCTGCGACAACTTGTGCAAACGACCGATCGCAGGTACCCGTGCAGTTCGAGGATGTCCAGCTCCGGATGCGCGTGGGAATGGAACGAATCGACATTCTGTGTCACCACAGAGCTGATGTAGCCTTTATCCCCAAGACCTTTGATAGCCCAGTGCGTAGAGTTGGGTCTTGCTTTCACTAGACCGGGCCATCCGACGAAGCTGCGCGCCCAGTAGCGTTTGCGTGACTCGTGACGGGAGATGAACTCGTGGAAGTAAATCGGACGATAGGATTTGTTGCGCCGGTAGGTGCCCTGCTCGCCGCGATAATCCGACAGGCCTGACTCGACGGAGATGCCTGCGCCGGTCAGCAGCACCGTTTGGGAATGCCTTCCCACATCGACGCCTCGGAGATTCAAGGACGGTGGCGCAGTGAAGAAAGACGTTACAGCCTCTATGGCTCCTGCTAGGGTAGTCGCAGACGGTGGAAGAATTAAGGCAGGTGGGAGTGGGCCCGTAAAGGGGATCCGAATCGCAGGCGTCGTCATTAGAGACGCATCGTGCTCCGCGATGTCTTGGCGGGTCAGAAGTAGAGCGGGCAGCGGGCAGCGATTGCGTAGGCGGTTAAAGCTTGGCACCAAAATCGATGATACTCGTGAGCATCAGTCAGCGGAAAACAGTGGTTCGAGCTCCGAAAGACACTTGGGGGAATATCAATCAATGTGATGTGATAGGCTCCAAGGGGGGAAGTTCGAAGGGAATGGATGTGAAATGCAAAGAAGCAGATTGGAACATCAGCGCATCTGGAATTGCGTCTTGCCGGATTACATGATACCGCCCCCTCCAGGGCTTCTTCTTCTTTGAAGATAATTCGGAACTTTCTGGGGCAAAGAAAGTGAACACTCTGTCCAATAATCCTTGCCGTTTCTTGGACTTTCTCAGGATGCCGCTGACGCAGCCCCTGCGTTGCAGGCTACGTCCTCTCCACTCCCTAAGGGTTTCCAATATTGGATCGGCTCAACGACGCATACTTACCTCCGCTCCTTTTTTAAAGAACGCTTCTTCCTTTCTGTTTCACTCTAGACCACGTTCCCTTCGATCTTCTTTGACAATGACACAAACTCGAGGCCATGGCAGCCATGGCCATCATCACCACCACCATGACAATACCTACCTCACTTCCTCAAATAAAAGCGACGCCGGTGTTCGGATTACGCGGATTGGTCTGGTTGCCAACCTCTGTATGGCAATTGGAAAATTCATCGGCGGCTACGTCTTTCACTCTCAGGCTCTGATTGCCGACGCCTACCACGCGCTCACCGATCTCGTCTCCGACTTCTTGACCTTGGGGACTGTCGCCTGGTCCCTCAAACCCCCTAGTGACCGATTCCCCAATGGCTATGGAAAGGTCGAGAGCATCGGCGCGTTGGGTGTTAGTGGTCTGTTGCTCTGTGGAGGAATGTTTATGGGACTCAATTCGGGACAAGTTCTGTTGGCGCAGTTCTACCCTGAGATCGCGGAAACGGTCGCTCACTCTGGCATGCTGGGACATGGCCATTCGCACAGCCACGGACCGATTGGTCCCAGCATTCACGCCGCATGGCTGGCGGCGGGTTCGATCGTGGTTAAGGAGTGGTTGTACCATGCGAGTAAGTCTTAATTCCGAAGTCCCTGAGATAATTCCCCAGTTTCCTAACCCCGTTATAGCTATGAAGGTTGCCAATGAGCGCAAATCGTCGGTCCTCGCATCCAACGCCGTCCACCACCGCATCGATTCCTTGACGAGCATCGTCGCCTTGTTTACAATCGGTGGAAGCTATGTTTTCCAAGACGCTACCTGGCTGGATCCAGTTGGTGGACTCCTGATCTCCTTGATGGTGATCAAAGCTGGCTGGGGCAACACCTGCACTTCTCTCTTGGAATTGGCCGACACCACTGTCGATGAGGATGTCCGCAGCTCCGTGGAGGATGCCACCTCCAAGGCCTTGAAGGATATGGAGTTTGGTCATGAAGTGATCGTTCGCGACGTGCAGGGCATGAAGTCGGGCCAAAACTACTTGATGGATATTGAGCTGGCTGTGCCAGGCGCCTGGGCTGTCAGTCGGTCGCATACTATTGAATCGGCGGTACGCAGTGCGGTTGGAACCGATGTGCGCGGTGTGAAGCGCATCAAGGTCCGCTTCATTCCGGCGGAACACCAGGAGCTGACCTTCTCGGATGAATTTGTTGATCAAGATATCGGCGGGGACCCTGAGGCCCACACTCACAGCCATGATCACAGCCATAGCCATGATCGGAAACGACAATAGGGGGACATTGGTGTGGAGAGTGAAGATATACCCTTATGGGATTCTGTACTATGTATAGATAGAATACCAAATGTGAACTGTGGTACAATATGTACAATGCACGATCTATGCATTCTGCTGCCCAGGTGTAGTGGGGGAGTCCCATTCTACCGACGATATTAGCAGAGAGAAAGCTATTTACCCGCTCGGGCTTGACTTACTGCACTTGATCAGCCGCACTAAAAAGAGCTCCATATACCCTAATTGGTGCTCGGCAGAGGTTTCCTGGAATTGCAGCAGATAGGAGTTCTACTTGCACAGTATGGAGTATACTGTACAGAATTGCAGGCAATTTGGCAAAATAAAGCAACCGGTTATGTAGGAGTTTACATCATAGCGGACTCATCCTTCCGCTTGCGCTTTTTGCCGCCCCTCGTGCAGTGGCTATAAAGTGTATCGTAGATCCTATTCTCTTCTTTTGATTCTTTCTAAGACATTTGCATTAGGGCCTTCATCATGACTTCTAGCCCCTTATACATTGGTTTCGACCTCTCAACCCAGCAGCTGAAGGGATTGGTGGTGAACTCGGAGCTCAAGGTGGAGTATGTCGCCAAGTTCGACTTCGATGCCGACTCGCACGGGTTTCCAATCAAGAAAGGCGTGTTGAACAATGAAGCAGAGCACGAGGTGTTTGCCCCGGTCGCTTTGTGGTTGCAAGCATTGGACGGCGTGCTGGAGAACCTGCGCAAGCAGGGACTCGACTTTAGCCGAGTAAAGGGAATCAGCGGTGCCGGTCAGCAGCACGGCAGTGTCTACTGGGGCCAGAATGCGGAGCAGCTGCTCCGCAATCTAGACTCCAGCAAATCCCTCGAGGCGCAACTCGATGGTGCTTTCTCTCACCCATACAGTCCCAATTGGCAAGATTCGAGCACCCAGAAGGAGTGTGACGAGTTCGACGAGGCATTCGGTGATCCCGAGCATCTGGCGCAGGCGTCGGGAAGCAAAGCGCACCACGTAAGAGGCCCAGCTTCCGCGATTTGACAAGTTTACTAACACTGTCTCCAGAGATTCACAGGACCTCAGATCCTTCGCTTCACGCGAAAGCACCCCGATGTCTACCAGAAGACGTCGAGGATCTCGCTGGTATCCTCATTCCTGGCGTCGCTCTTCCTCGGCCATGTGGCGCCATTCGACATCTCCGACGTCTGCGGAATGAACCTGTGGAACATCAAGAAGGGAGCGTACGATGATAAGCTGGTTCAGCTTTGTTCAGGTGCTTTTGAGGTCGAGGACCTCAAGCGGAAGCTCGGTGAGGTGCCAGAAGATGGAGGCCTGCACCTTGGTCCCGTCCACTCATACTTCGTGGAGAGATTTGGCTTCGGTACCGATTGTACGGTCACCCCAGCAACCGGTGACAACCCCGCTACCATTCTGGCTCTGCCTCTGCGGCCATCAGATGCCATGGTCTCCCTTGGCACTTCCACTACCTTCCTCATGTCCACCCCCAGTTACAAGCCCGACCCTGCTACCCACTTCTTCAACCATCCGACGACCCCCGGATTGTACATGTTCATGCTGTGCTACAAGAATGGCGGCCTGGCCCGTGAGCACGTCCGAGACGCTATCAATGAAAGCCTGAAGGATACCCCGGCTCAACCCTGGGCCAACTTTGACAAGGTTGCCCTGCAGACCCCTCTGTTGGGCCAGCAGGATGCATCGAGCCCTATGAAGTTGGGTCTGTTCTTCCCACGCCATGAGATTGTGCCAAACATCCGCAAGGGTCAGTGGCGCTTCACATATGATCCCAGCACAGGGAATCTGAAGGAGACTACCGATGGATGGAATAGCCCAGAAGATGAAGCCCGTGCTATCATTGAGAGCCAGATGATTTCACTGCGTCTCCGCTCTCGGGGTCTCACTCAGAGCCCCGGAGACGGACTACCTTCTCAGCCACGACGGGTCTACCTTGTTGGTGGAGGCTCTAAGAACAAAGCAATTGCGAAGATTGCCGGAGAGATTCTCGGCGGTGTCGAGGGCGTGTACCAGCTTGACATTGGTGACAATGCATGTGCGCTAGGTGCCGCATACAAGGCGGTATGGGGTATCGAGCGAAAGTCCGGTCAAACCTTTGAAAGCCTGATCGGCGAGCGATGGAAAGAGGAGGAATTCATTGAGAAGATTGCAGATGGCTACCAGAAGGGGGTGTATGAAAGATATGGCCAAGCCGTTGAGGGCTTTGAGAAGATGGAGCAGCAAGTTTTGCAGCAAGAGGCAAATAAGGCCTAAGCGATTTATATAAACCTATAAATTAAGTCCAAAAGTACATACAATGATCTAAATATGAAGTTCATGACGTTCGGGAGTCTCTGAGATCTATACGCTTTGAAGCGAAGGCGGGCTGATTACGACATTCGATGTCCACCGAAAAACAATTTTAAACAACACACACCTCCCCCTCATTTTCCCTTCCCCACGCTTTGGAGACTGGACTGGAAGATGGAAGAACAGGTATGTCTTCTCCGGCTTATACGTACTTTTGATCTTGATCGAAATTTCCGTTTTCCCCTCCCCACGTTGCTTGCGGCGTAGCCCCTCCAACCCTCGTGGCCCCTCATGATTGACATCTTACAGGTAGCAAATGCCATTGAGATCGCCTCGAACCCAGTCTCCAACAACGACGCCTTGAAGTCACAAGCTTTCGAATATCTCAATCAGCTCCGCTCCGACCCCACCGGATGGCAGGTCTGCTTCTCTCTCTTCACCAAGACCCCACAACAGTCCGAAGTCGTACGGCATGTCAGCTTGGAGATTGTCAATAGCGCCGCCCAGGTCGGCTTGATCGACCAGGCCTCGCTAGTCATTGTTCGAGATGGGTTGTTGGCCTATATCCGTCAGGCCTACGGCCCCGAAGCCACTTCCTCCCCCGACCCTCCCTATATCCAAAACAAAATCGCACAGACCGTCACATACCTTTTCTCTTCACTGTACGCCAGTGGTTGGGAGTCCTGCATCGACGATCTCCTCGCCCTCACCAACAAGTCCACGGGTCGGGACAACCAGCTTGGAGTGATCTTTTACCTGCGTGTGCTGAACTCGATCCACGATGAGATCGGCGATGTGCTAGTTTCGAGATCTCGCGGAGAGCAGGATAAGGCGAATGGGCTGAAGGACCTGATTCGTGACAGGGACATGCAAAAAATTGCCAATTCCTGGCAGGAAATTCTCACCGTTTGGCGGGAGGGCAATGATACTATCGTGGAGATGTGTCTGAAGGCGGTTGGCAGCTGGGTTAGCTGGATTGACATCTCTCTTGTCGTGAATCAGACAATGTTGGATCTGCTGTTCCAGCAACTTGGACGGGCCGAAAAACAGGAACTTCAAGAGGCCGAGCAGCGAGTGCGCGATGCTGCTATAGATGTTTTCACTGAGATAATTGGCAAGAAGATGAAACCCGCGGACAAAATTGAGATGATTGTTTTCCTGAATCTGGACTCCATCATCACTCAGCTGTCGAACAGCCCACCGCTACGAGAGCAGCGCTTCACATCCAAGTACGATACCGATTTGGCAGAGACAGTCGCCAAGCTCGTCAACAACACAGCTGTGGATATTGTGAGGGTATTGGACAACGATGCTGGGCCTATCAGGGAAAAGGCAGAGAATCTTTTGCATGTCTTCCTGCCTCACATTCTGCGATTCTTCTCCGATGAATACGACGAAGTCTGCTCGACCATGATTACTTGCGTCAACGACATGCTTACCTATATTCGGAAACTCGCCAAAGCAAACCCATCTTTCGAGGAGCGAAACAAGGCCATTCTCCTTCCAATTTTGAAGGCTATCGTTGCCAAAATGCGTTATGATGAGACCTTGAACTGGGGCGACGAGGACGAGCAGACCGATGAGGCAGAATTCCTGGAGCTCCGCAAGAGACTGGGTGTATTGCAGCAGATTATCTCCTCGGCTGATGAGCAGCTTTACATTGATGCGATTTCCGAAGTGGTGGGCACAACCTTCGAGAACCTACGGGCGTCTGGGGGCCAGCTCGACTGGCGTGACCTGGATCTCGCTCTGCATGAAATGTACCTGTTCGGTGATCTGGCTGTTCGCGGAGGCAGTCTTTACACCAAGGGCGCCCCTACTGGCATGCCTGCGAACCGTCTGATCGAGATGATGTCTGCAATGGTGGGCACCGATATTCGATCCTTCACCCACCCCGCAACACAGCTTCTATACATGGAGCTTTGCGTTCGCTACAGCTCTTTCTTCGTCCACCACACCCATCTCATCCCCGGAGTCCTGGAGAGCTTCCTTCAGCTGGTGCACCACCCCGTTGCGAAGGTCAAAACTCGCTCGTGGTATCTTTTCCAGCGATTTGCCAGACAGCTGCGAAGCCAAATTGGCAATGTGGCGCAGACAGTCGTGGAGGCATTGAGCGACTTGTTGGTCATTCAAGCAGAGGTGCCAACGGAGGGCGAAGATGGTGAGGACATGTCTTCCGAAGACCACGAACGCAGCGGAGAGGCCATCTTCACCAGCCAGCTATATCTCTTCGAGTCGGTTGGAATTATCAGCTCCACTCCAAGTGTTACCGCAGACAAACAGTTGCTTTACGTCCAAACCGTGCTTAGCCCAGTCTTCGGCGACATGGAGCGCAACCTCGAAGCCGCCAAAGCAAATGATGCGCGTGCGCTGCTGCAGATTCACCACGATATCCTGGCTCTAGGCACTCTTGCGAGAGGATTCTCAGACTGGCAACCGGGCACTGTCGGCTCCCCATCCGCCAATGTACTTCCCGAGGTCTCGGCAGCTTTCGCTCAGGTGGCAGAAGCTACCTTGGTGTCCCTCGAGTCTCTTAAGAACTCGTTCGATATCCGGACCGCCGCTCGCTTTGCGTTCTCCCGACTCATTGGTGTCCTCGGTGCAGGAATTCTTCCTCAGCTGCCCCGATGGATCGATGGTCTCTTGACTCAAACCTCGTCGCGCGATGAAATGGCACTGTTCCTTCGTCTTCTGGACCAGGTTGTCTTCGGGTTTAAGAGCGAGATCTACAGCATTCTCGACACTCTTTTGACTCCCTTCCTGCAGCGAGTTTTCGCTGGAATTGCCGAGCCAACAATCGGCACTGATGACGAGATCCAGCTTGCCGAGCTGAAGCGAGAGTACCTGAACTTCCTGCTCGCCGTCTTGAGCAATGACTTGGGAGCCGTCATCATCAGCGAACGAAACCAATCCATATTCGAAACTATCATCACGACCCTCGAACACTTCGCCAAAGACATTGAAGACCTCACTACTGCCAAGATGGCATTCAGCGTGCTGAACCGAATGGCCAGCTGCTGGGGTGGCCCGGACCTGGCCCCTGCCAACGGCACTGCACCATCTCAGGCCGCCCTCCCTGGCTTTGGTGCCTTCATGATTTCCCGACTCTCACCTCTCACTTGGGCACTTCCGACGACCGCATCCTTCAACCCTAAAGACGCGCAAGCCAAACAGGTTCTTGCCGAGGCAGGCGGGTTACAGCGCACCATCTATGCCAAGACCGGTATGGAATACGTAGAGTACTTGCGTAGCCAGGAACTGCCTGGCATGGGCCTGGGTGCCGAGCTCATCGAAGAGTTCCTGAACAACATGGGCCAGCTGGACGTGAAAGGGTTCCGGCAATTCTTCCCGGTACGTATCTAACATCATGGAACTCTCGTTTGCACCACACTCCCTCTAACCCGCACCTTCCAGTCTTTCATTCAACGATTGAGCGCATGAGGTTTCCTTTTCTCTTTCTCTCTATCTGCTTTCTAGATTCCCCCATTCCATATTTACGTTTTGACGCGACGAGGTGACGTCTATCCTCCCGTCATGTGACTTCACCATCTTCTATAGCATCTACTTCCATCTCTGAGGCTATCGATCTTATATCTGCACATCAAAAAATCAACCTACCATGAACCCCCGAACATTCGAGCTGGATGAGAGAGGAGAGCACCCGAAAAGCAACCCATCCCACCTTTTTTCATCAAAAGTCCCGAGTACATAGCGTTTCTCACCCCCTCCTACTTCTTACACTCTGCTCTTCCCGCTGTATTCGCATTGTGGGGTTCATCTATCCCCTATCCCTATTGGCGTTTCCGATCTCGTTCTAATATCTGGCTGTGATATCGTCACAAGATATGAGTCGCAAAGAACAGGATTTAATTCTGCATGTTGGATCCTCCTTTGGTCATTCGGTGTGTTGAAGTAGGTAGAAACAAGAAATGAAGCGAGACATTTTTGGATAATCAAAGCAATACGAGCTGCTCAGCCTGGGAAAGGTAGTTGCCCCGCATAATTGTCGTGTCGGCTATATTGTCCTTTTGAGCTTGGACGAGTCTACATAAAACAGTCATGACCGCCCCCCAAGCGCGGTGTATAAGCCCTGGAGACCAACTATTGCACAGGTCTACGGGGTACGAGTAATATCCATGAGGCTACCAGAAGTCATTCATTCCTAAGTCGATCGCGATCTAAATTCTGGACCGAATGTCCTGCTCACTAGCCAGAAAGCCAATCAGAACATGTTTTACTAATCGCACTCAAACGCAGACATCACAGAAAACCTTTTCATTCAAAGTAGGGTGAAACAAGGAGTTAGGAGAAAGACACACTATGCAAAGAGATACTTGGCCGCGTGCTCGACGTGGTCATCCGCAAAAGAGGACATAGTATAGTAAGAGTGGTCATAGTCCGGCTGGTAGCGGACGTTAAGGCCCTTGATGCCTGCGTCACGGGCAGCGGCCTCGAAGTTCTCAGGGAGGAGTTGGCCTTGCTTATAGAAGTTGTCACCGGTGCCCTGGAAGCACAGATTAGATATGCATTTATCGATATGGAAAGCAGGTATGGAGGAAACTTACCACGTCGATTAGTATGTCCAGAGGACCACCGTTCCACTTCTTGATCAGCTCGGTGGCGTCGTGCTCCTTCCACTTGTCCTGCTGGTCGTCGCCAAAGTAGCCCTTGAAGGCCTTCTGGCCCCAGGGGCAGTTTGTGGGGTTTGTGATAGGCGCGAAAGCAGAGACGGACTTGTATTTACCCGGGTTGCGAAGGAACTGGTGATTGTTAGGGTTGACTTTTTGTGAAAAAGTGGGGTTTGCAATATGAAAAACCAAACTGCATAATCGCGATACGATAAGATGAGCATATGGGGGGAGATAGAACATACCAAAGTGAGAGCACCATGTCCACCCATGCTGTGACCGGTGATACTCACACGGCTAGCATCCAATTGGGGGAAGGCATCGAAGACAGTCTTGGGCAGCTCTTCGGTAACATAGCTATACATGTTATAGCCCGCGTTGTAGGGGGCCTTAGTGGCATCGACGTAGAAGCCAGCACCAGAACCGAAGTCATACGCATCATCCTCGCCTTGGATGTTAAGACCGCCTGGGATTTAGGTTAGCGAGTGTCCAATTGGATATCTGAAGAGTTTCCGCAAAGCGACTACGCCATTGATTGGATGGAAACAAGGAAAACAAGCGACAGATAGCGGGAAATCAACATACGTGGGCTGGTGTCAGGGTAGAGCACAGCAATGCCCTTCTTGCTCGCACCGTGCTGGAAGAAGCCCTTCTCGGAGCAGTTCTCGGCGGTGCATGTCAGACCGGAGAGGTAAATCAGCACGGGGACCTTTTGGGTCTGGGCCTGCGGGGGCAGATAGAGGTTGAATTTCATCTCGCATTTTGTGGTGGTTGCGGCATGGCTGAGCTTGAGCAACTTGCCGCCGAAAGAAGCGATGGTAGCTGTTGTGGTGACAGACATTATAGATAATACAATAGAGAGAAAGGGGAAGAATGAAGAGAAGAGAAAAGGCCGAGAGAAGAACGGAAGTCGGAAGCTGAACCGGTGGGGGGTTGTCCCGCATGAGGGGAAACTCCCCCACTGTACTTCTATGCCTACTTGGGCAGTGCAGTGCGATGGCTTCGTACATTATATCATGAATCTTAATTCAACTGGTATATATATAAAATCCAAAAGCATTTACTCCAAGAACACCGGAACTCCATAAACGACAGGTGCAGCACCATTGAGGTACTTCAGCACACAAGCGCCCCTTGAGCGCGCAACCGCCGCGTCAAGACTGACATCCAAGCCACGCTTCTTATCTTTATTCTCCTTCTTCGCAATCAAACCCCACTCATCAAATGTAGTCGTCGTAAACCGGTCAATATCGCGATCCGTGACATCCCACAACGTAGCCACCAGCGCCGGGCTGCCCGCGTGAAGATAATTCATCGGGGTGCCGTAGGGCTCATACTCGCCAGCTTCGGTCAGACTGCCACTGCTACATCCCATCAGGAAAGACACGGCGCATTGGGTCAGTCGCTTGACGGTTCGGCCGCGAATGTACTGTGCTCCGCTTCCGTGGCCAAAGTAGAGGAAAAGGCCCTTGGTCTCCAGCGAATCTCGGAACTCGTCTTCTGTCGGCTCGCGTTGGATAATAGCGTTCCAAGACTTGAACTTGGAGAGGTCTTGCTCGAAGGTGGTTTGTGTCGTACGGAGATCGCCGGTCGGATTGAGAACGAAGGAGCCAGACTTGCGGTCCACGACGGCCCCGGATGGTGACTTACGGAATTGGAGAATTCGGTCACGAAGGCACTCGAGAGATGGAACTCGGCAGACAGGGTACCCTTGTAGACAGGGAAGGGACTCCCATGGGAAGAGATGGAGAGCTTTGTCCAAGACAAGAACTGTGTGCTTGGGCGGTCGTTCCGCGAGCTCGTCGCGTGCAGCTTCGTGATAGCTGCGCAACGCGTCCAGAGTGTCCACAACCATCATGTCAAAGTCGATCTCATCGTAGGCATTGCGTTCGCCCTGGAATTGAAGAATGTCCACGACAAAGTAGAGAAGGTCCATCAAGGTATCCTCGGGTTCTTCCTGTTCTTCAAGGTCGCGAAGCCCAACGAACAAGTCAATCACGTTCTGGTGGAGGGTGAGTCGCGGCCCATCAGCTTTGCCGCCCTTCTGTCGAGATGGAAGATGCTTGTCGAGAAGGCCCTGGAAAACGGTAGCGAATCGAGCCAGAGCAGTGGATTCTTGTGAAAGTGGCGAGAATACACCACGGAAACCACCAAACCAGATATTCTCGACATTTTGAAGAGCACTCTCCATTCGACGATCGAGTGCCTCTCGGGTCTTCCACCATTCCTTCTTGGAGACCTTGTCCGTGTTAGACTTGGCTGCATGGGCGCTTTCGTTGGCCAACTTGATCAGTTCACTCATCTCCTCCTTGCCATCCTCAAAGGTAAATTGCTCCTCTTCGTCGTCTTCTGAGTTACCTCGGTGAAGGGGCAGACGTAAGAGGAATGGAGAGCGGTCCTTCTGTAGTCGCGAGACCACGAATTCAGTCTGATCTGCGCTAAGTGACAGGGACAGAACGTTCCAACTTTCAGGTAGGATGTCCACGTAGTCTTGTGTGAAGTTAGAGCATAGATCGTCGTCCAACTCAACAGCCGAGGGGAAAGATGTGGGCCAAAGGAGGGGGTCGGCGTGGTCAGCCAGCTGGCGATCAATATCAATAGCCATGCTTTCACGGGCAAAAGCGCCAACACGCCCAATTTCTGCATTGAGGTTAGTATGTTTCGAGGAAAACAAGGGGCAGAGAACGGACCATTCATATTCGCAGGCGACTGAGCCAAGTTGGCTGGAAGTCCAGGAGAAGTCGCATGCGAAAGCATCGAGATCCGGCTCATCAGACGAGAAACCGCATGGCCATCGAGTGTTGAGCCAAGGATTGTGGCATCAGAAAACACACTGGCAAGGCAGTCGCTCGCCTTGGACAACATCACTGAGAAGTCCTCGCTTGCTTTTTGGGCCTTAGTGCGAGCAGTCTTAGCTGGTGCCTTGGCTCGCCTTGTTGAGGCTTTTCGTGCGGGCGCGATGGGTTCCTCTGCCGTCTTGCTCGGCGTTTTGAGCGATGGGAGTGAAATTGTAGATTCGGGCAAGACACAGTAGACCGCATGACTGGCAAAATGACGAATTGCATCTGCTAGCAGGTGTTCACTTTCGCCAATCTCCAGAGAGATCCTGCTCTCTCTACCCACTGCAAATTTCCGAGCCTCGGCGAGGGTTTGCGCCGAGCGGTCGAAGTCGCGTAATTCCCGCAAACAATCAGCTTGTTGCCTCAGAATATTTCCTTTGAGTTGGGTTATAGATTTAGACTGGATTTCTGGGGATGTGGGCTTCGGGGCTGGAGCTTTCTTTGTCGCTTTGCTTGCCGCAGAGCTGGTTGCCCGAGTGCGTCGAGTAGTGGTGGTGGTGGTGGGAGTTGGTGTTCGTCGACTGCTAGACCGGACTCGTAGCTTGTCCATCTTGTCTTCCAGTTTTGAGAAAGCAGCAGAGTCTACGTTGATTGGTGTATCCGCCGATGTTATAGCAGCGACAACTTTCTCTGCTTCTAACAAAACACGGAATGCTTTGTCGTGGGCGCCTTGGATCTTGTACAGAGATGCAAGTGCCATTTGGAAGCCCACGGTTTCGATGCTCTTCTGTGTCTGTTTCGAAGACTCGGCTGCCGCAGAAAGATGGTCTTGGCCTTCATTCAGATGGCCACTCAGAACCCAATGGCATCCAAGCTGAGTCTGCGCTGCAAGTAACCGCGCATTCGCATCAAGCGTCTTGTCGATCTTCAATGCTTGCTCGCCATAATAGATTGCATCTTGAAACAGGCCATGGTGAGCGGATAGGGTTGCAAGGTTCAGCAAGCAAGTGTGGTGAGACCCGAGATGTGGCCAAAAAGGCGCTCCTTGGATGTATGTGGTGGATACATCTGGTGGAGATCCATTCTGGGAAAGATCAAGTTTTGCAATGCCGTCGACTACAGTTTCGACATCAGAACCTCCTGCAGCGGGCAGAGACTTGTCTTTGTGTTTCTGTGCGAGCCTCTCGACCTTGGCCCAAATGCGGCAATTTAACCTAACAGACAGTTTTGCGAAGTAAAGGGCCTGAGTAGCCGAGCCCTGGGCAGTGAACAATCGAGATTGGACAAAAGCAGCGTCTGCCACGAGTCTCTCCCATGAGATTTTCGACAGAACAGTCAATCGACTGAGCTCTGATTTGTGGCTCTTTTCGTAGAGAGTTCGTGCGCCAAAAAGAATAGAGGCGGATTTGTCCACTTCGCCGGTCTCCAAAAGGTATTCGGCTTGTGCAACCTTGTAGGAAATGGAAGCGAGAGAAGAGACTTTGTTTTGCGCGATATATTGCTCGCCGCGTGAGAGGAGCTCACCTGCCTTTTGACAGTACCCGAGACGGCAGTTCTGCAGTACTAGCCGGGAGAGAATGATGATAGCATCTGATACATCTCCTGCAGGTTGGAGCTCAGCAACGCGCAAGATCAACTCAAGAGTGCATATCTGTGCCTTCCAGAGGCCATGAATTTCTGTATAGTCGACCAGGGCTTTCAATTGCAACACCCAGTAGTCCGGATCATTGACACGAAGGAGCAATGCCTTCTCATTGGCACACTGGCGAGCCAATGTTGTCCAGGACGAAAGCGTTGCATCGAGTACGCTTGCATTAATCTTGCCTTGATGAAAGCCAATGATGATCTGCAGCGAGTTTCGACCGTGGATTGCGAATCGAGCCAAATCACCATCCTCGCCAATTTGTTGGTCAAAGTCCAAAAACTCGATTCCCGAGTCCAACAGGGTCTCGGTCAACTCTGGTCCCAAAGATGTGGGATTTTCGAGAAGGAATCGTAAAGAAGAAAGTATCACACGCGAGCGACGGATGGGGTGAAGTTCGAGGGGGTATAATTCAAGTAGTGAGGAGACGAGCGGACTGAGCATCGAGCGGAACTCTTCTTCGTTTGAGGACTGGCTGTGCATGTCAAACAGCAAACTCATCTGCCATTCCAGAAGAACGGTCCTTTGCTCGAAATCGAGTTCGCTGTCGTCATACGCAGCACAGGGTTGTGATCCCTTCCTGCGTAGTTTCATCTTCAAAAGAGCAGAGAGTACACGCCCCATCATGAAACCAGGGGTTTGGGGATCCAGGCTCACTGTATTTGGATTGTGTCCCTTGCTGCTCTTGAGAATCTCGTCCAGAGTGCCAGAGAGAATGTATTCATCGATAGATTGTCGGAACATCTTTTCAGAATCACTGTAGAAATTCCCATCCACGTACAGATGCGCCATTCTCTCAAATTTCAGAGCTGCAAAAGCGGTTTTGCGATGAGAAGGTGAGCAATTAGAAAGGAGCTGAGTTGAATGTTTGAGAAGAGGAATCAGTTCCCGGTAACCATGACCAGATTCTTTTTCTTTTATATAACGAGACCAGAACAGATTCGAAAGCTTGACGAGTGCCATACCAAGGCTTTCTGTGTTTTCTGCGCTGGTCTGGGTGGAAGATTCAATGGTCGAAAGCAAACGCTGACAGTCGGCGAGGATAGGCAGCATGTCCTCCCAAGGAGGTCTTTGGGAAGTGATGGAGAGTTTACCGACTGCAACAGCCGAGTCAATGGCAGCAAGAATGATGCTCCGAGCAATCGATACACGGCTGTTAAACATCTCAATATCGTTATTGTCGCTCTCTTCTGTTGGTTGGCGTCCAACATAGCGTCGGAGGAATCTGAGAAATGCTTGCAAATATTCTCTGATCTGAGCTGCGACCTCGTTCTTTTCACTTTCGGACTCGATTGTCTTCGTTATTGCCTCGCCAAACCAGGCAAGAGCAACCTTTTTTAATCTGGCCGCCTCGACAAGAAGTTCATCCAGGTCATTTGCGCTGCCTCTCAACTGCAAACCAAGTGCACCCGTAGCCTCTGAGATAGAACCTAGTGTTGGGCCTAGAAGCTTTTGAGACGTCTTCAGGGCCTGGAAGTGGACGGATGCGATTTTGCAGCGGACTGTCGCTAAAGAGAGGCTCTGGGTTTTTGAAAGTGGGTTAATGGCTTGTGTAAAAAGTTTCATGGATTCATCAAAGCATCCAGCGTCAAAAGCAAGCTGACCGAGAAGTGTCATGAGCTTGGCTGCCTGGACGGCATTCGTTGTTTCAGACGACTTCTTCTTGATCTCTGAAATCGAGCTCTGTAGCCGGGTGACGTTTTTATAGATCAGAGCAAACTCAATCTTATCGATTGCCTTACTGCGATGAGAGAAGCTGCCGAAATAACGAAGCAAAGGTTCGAAGACCTCTTTGCTCTCGTCACAGACATGTCCAGACAGTTTCCAGCTCATGCATCGAAGCTCAAGGGAAAGCATCTGGAAGTTCAAGGAGGTGATAGGCCTCAAGCTACTTGAAGCCTCATCTTTAGACATGGACGTTCCTGCGCAGAGCGAAAGAACTGCATTGGACAATAGCTGCAGTTGAAGAGCAGCCTTATCAGCGGTTAAATGGCCAGATTTCAATGCAGCCAGAATAACCTGTGCAGGACTGCTAGAGTCGGATACTTGCAGAGACAAGAAGACCTTCTGTATTGTCGAAGCCCTCTTATCCGCCGCAAGCAGGCGTAGCACATTCGAGTGGAATGAGATAATCAGACCGTATAGCGAATTCGCATTTCCAATGTGAGCAAAAGTCAACATATCGGACATGCGCTCTTTCGCAATTTCATCGTCGGTTATGTCCTTGGCTGCTGTCGCCTTCCTCCCCGCCTTTCCACCATCCAGATGTTGCTGTATCCTGCGCTTGAGAAGTCGGAGCTCTTTGTATGCCATGTCAATCAGACCCAGGGAGATAAGTTTTCCTGCAAGAACACAGAGTCCCTGCTCCAGTTGCATGTTGGGGAAGTTGTCGGCCCCAGTATCATTTTTAAGTGTGCGCAGAGTTGACAAAGAGAGTCTGGCGCATTCGGCGGCAGATGTGATGCCGACATCGGGATCTTGGGCGCTGGGAGGGTTTGAGCGCCTGGTTGACGATATTTTGGCGGCATCTGTGAGAGTCTTCAATGTGGCATTGAATACTTCTGTAGCGAAAACGAGCTTCTCCTGACACGACAATGCGGAGTCGTCGGCCAAGGATTGCAATGTAGCATCACTTCCAGCTTTTGACTTCGTTGCGCGTGAAGTTCTCCCTCGGCCAGCTGGTGTTGCGGGCTCTCGTGTGGACGTTGATCGTTTCGTGGGTTTCTCGGGCATCTTTGGCGACCCGCGGAGGAGTGTTTGGAGGGACAACACGGTAGCGTCGGAGCACGTGGTGGTTGAGCGAAGGGCCTGCTTTATGGGTTCCGTTAAGGAGCTGGCCGGTAAGACGGTGACCGCCATGGTTTAGTGTAATTTATCGAAGCTGCAAGACTGAGGTCATCACGTTGAAAGCCGCGCTTGGAGTGCAATCGCTATCTCCAGACGCGGTTGTCGCAGCAACAATACCACTATACTCCTTTGGGACATTGATAGCCTTATCGCCTGAGGCCATTGCAGCCTCAGCTTTTCCCGCTTCGGAGGTATCACTGGCCACAGCAACACACACAAACATGGCTTCAGCTTTACGGTCTACAGCCTTCGGGCTTGGTCGCAGTATCCGGAATACGCCCTCTACATCAAATGCCTTTCGCCAATGCCGCGGTCCGGCAGCGCGCTCATATTCGACCTCCGATCACCTCCCGAAGATCGCGGATACCTCAGTATGGACGGCTATGATCCCGAAATTTATTCGTAACAGGGGAGCGCGCAAGGATCCGAAGAAGGAAAAGTCCAAAGAATGGAACCCTGCTACATTCTACATCATCATCTTTACGTTGATCGGCTCCCAGGCCATTCGCATGATCACATTGAAGAACAGCTATTCAGCATATACCCGCACGACAGACGCGAAGATCGAGTTGCTGCGGGAGGTCATTTCTCGAGTCAAAAATGGGGAGAAGGTCGATGTCGAGAAACTGTTGGGCACAGGCGACGAGGCGAAGGAGAGAGAGTGGGATGAAGGTTTGTCAAGATCCAGCCCACATCCATAGTGAGGGGTTTGAGGCTGACTCGCTCTACCTATGTAGTACTGCGTGAGATCGAGGCGGAAGATTCCTTGTGGCATCAGAAGAAGACCGCCCACTCAAATCAGGAGGAGCCCCAGGAGCCCGTGAAAGAGGAGAAGCAGAAACAGCCTACACAGCCTCCTCAGGAAGAGGACAACGGAAGTGCTAAGCCCGAAACAAAGAGGAAGATGAGGTTCTATTGATTGAATGTCCGGCTACGGTATTCACCGCCGAACTTCTGTTCATGGGCTTGGGACACGAGCCGCTAAGGCTCTGCTCAAAAAACCAGGGCGTTCGTCACCGGAACAGCCCTGACAGCTCTCTTCAATTCTTTCTACCCTCCTGTCGAGTCTCTGCTATATGAAGTCTCGTGGCTGACGTACCCGTGCTGATATTCAAGCGTGGATGAATGTAACACTATTTGTACAGAACTTCTTTCCTCACGTCAGATTGCGATACCCATTTATCTCACTGCCATCTTACATTTTGTATATAATTTTCCAAAATCGGTGGATATGACCCGAAACGAGGCTCCCGGCACGTATGGCCAGCAAGCATGCGCCTGGGCGAGATGCCACCTAGGCGAGTGATTCCAACCTCTGACTTCCCTGCACCTGGGGATACAAGCATTGGGTGTGTGGCCATGGCTAGCAAACCAACATTGGAAATTGGGATCTGACAGTCTATGCGCTTCAAGTCAAAGATCAAGGAATGAAGAAAAAGTCAACCCAAACCAAATCTAGATTGAAATAAGGAAACACCTCGATCAATGTCTTCTATACCAACAACATCCATCCAGATCCCTCCTTTACTAATCGATCTACTATTGTTACAATGCACGAGTGGTTCCCAGAACAAAAGAAACCAAGATGCAAAGCGATGCATATGGAAATCAAGCCAAGAAACCTGAAGAAAAAGTAAGATAGATCTCATGCAAAACCATGGGAAAGACAAGGCCTAGACCTAGGTCAAATGAAAAAAACAAGTGAGAACCAAACAAAAATCGCTTTAATTGAAACTGTCAAGAAAGACCAAATCACTGGCAGGCTATTTAGAGCCCTGCAGGAATTTGGGCCAGTTTTCAGGCCGCGGGACCTGCACACGGCCAATGTTTTGGTCCAGATCGAGGATGAGCTTAAGGGCGTTCCTTGATCGGAGGTAGGGCAGAGGCGCCGTGGCGCCGTGTCCACCGACGGAAGGCTCGACATGACCAGTGGGAGTGATGGCGTCACCTTCACCGGGCATAGGGAGGGCCTTCTGCAGGACCTCGTAGGCGGCGAGGGTGAAACCGAACTGTGGGGAGGACCGCATGATACGGGCGGGACCACCCTTGAAGAAAGCAGCCAGACCTTCTTCCTTCCAGACGGTGGTGGCACAGTGACGAAGGCCGTTGTACTTGGTGTCACCCTTGCGAGCTTCGACTTGGAGACGGGTCTTGATCACGTCACAGGGTGTGGTCAGGTAAGCGGCGGGCATACCGGCGATGGCACCGGCGGTGAGGAGCTGGACAACACCCAGCTTGTTTTCGGGAGTCTCACCGAAGAAGTCGGACTTTAGGTGAGAGTATGTGGGGAAGTAAATGGCCGAGAAGGGGACATCGCGCAGGAGACATGCGCTGGCTCCCTTGTACAGACCGACCAGACCCAAGTTCTTAACGATCCACAGGGCGGAACGGCGAGGTGCGCCCTCGACATTCTTGGCGATCTCACCTTGAACCTGCAGACGGATCTTGACGATTTCGAGAGGGTTGGTAAACACAACCTGGCAAGCACCAGCGGTACCACCGGAGATGACCTCGTGCAGGTACTTGATGCGCTTGGTGTCCTTATCGGTGAAGTATCCACGGACAAGGTCGTTCACTGTCAGCTTGATCGCCTTCTCAGGCGCGACACCGATCAGCTGAGGAATGACACCGGAGTAAAGACCGGTGAAACCCTCGTTACGGATAACCTTCCTGGCGCAATCAATGGAGTTGTTGTAGAGTCTCTCGCCTGGGCGAGAGGAACGCTGGTTTTGCAGGCGGGTCTTGACCAGATCGATGGGGTACACCATGAACGCGCCGAAAGCACCGGCGATACTACCAAGGGCGAAGTGGTGTGCGGACTCCAGAACGCTGTGAAGCAATCCCTTCGTCTTCTCGGCCACTTCCTGTCCGGCTGTCGCAGCCTGACGCGCAGCAATGACGGGAATGCGCCATGAAGCATCAATGACCTTGGCGAAGTCCTTCTGAGAGAGACGCCCTGAGGGGGCATCCAGACCGGCGAAGTGGAAGAGGATGTCAGCTTCCATCGGAGTGAAAAGTGAGAAGCGAGTGAGACGAGCGGCCTCATTGAGGAAGTCAGATCGATCGATCTTGCCATCCTTACTCTTTTTAGTGGCCTCTCGGACGATCGTGTCGATAATATCCATCTCACGCATGACGTTTTGGAAAGCACGCACGTTGGCGTAAGAGATGTGATTACTAGTGGAGATGTTGCACAGAGTCGGAAGGTTCTCCAAAACATGGTCTGACAGCTTATGTTTTGAGGTCTCGAGAATGATGCGCTGGAAGTCCTCTGGCTGAATGAAGCCATCACCGTCCTTGTCGAAGATGTGGAATGCCTGACGAATGCGCTCACCCTGTAGACCGCGCAGCATCTGCGCGAATTGAGGGTAGGTCATGTCGTGGCGAGTCTTGGTGCGGCCACCGTACAGCGAGGCCCATTCTGAGTTCCAATCGAAGGGAATGCTGTCGGCACTCTTGTTGAGGTTGTACAGGCCCTGGACGGTATCGAACTTGACACTGCCGGTGCCATCGAAGTCGAAGAGGCGGAAGGCGATCTCGTATTCGGCGTCGGGCTTCGCAAGGAGATTTTCGAAGGAGGCCCAGTCGGCCATGTTCAGCTTGCCGGCTCTGCGTCGGTCTGCCACGTTGAAGAGGATACCATATTGCTCGCGTTTGATTTTGTGCTATTCGAACCGGTGGATTAGCTGACTGACCATTGCTGAGGGGACTCGGGGACACGTACATAATCCTCCTGCTTGGGTGCGACGGCATTGATGAAGTTCTCCTCGTTCATAAACAATTCACCATGCTCGTCCTTTTGCGCATGACGATTGAAGTTTGCACGCGCCTGGTGCGAGAGCTGAGGCTGCTCTGAGCTCCCGAGGAGTTGCTCCTTCACTGTATCCGTGACAATGGCCATTTTGTGATGTGAAGGTGAGAATCGAACGCACAAAACTGGGGGAAGGGAGGAAGTGGAGACCGGGTTGAGTCAAGAAAAAGGAATTAACAGTTATGCCCGACTTCCCTTTTTTGCTTTTCCCCCTGCTTATTTCGTATTAAATTATTATTATTACTTATGACTTATTTTTAATTCTCAGATGGCCACGCGGAGGGAATTTTCTTATTTACCCGGCCTGGAGCACACATCTCCGCATACTATGCCGATATCGCGGTCCCTGGGTCCCTGGATCAGCCTTATAGTGGCACACTCTCCTATTGTTCGAGAAGGATTTTTACAGGAGGAATTCCTTGGGTTGGCACATGTTTGCCACAAAGAGCCATGGGTATATACATCCCGAACCACATAACCCCATCTCAGCGGCGATACACAGTCAGCAAGTTAAGGAACACTCGGGAGGCTCGGGAACAAACCGGGGCGTCACATGGACCCCGGTGTGCGACTCGGGTGCGGAGTCTTTTTGGGAATTTGGAGACACTCCCGCTTATTGGTCCCTTCCCCTCTCCAGCCTCTCTCTCTCTCTCCCTCCTACCCCTTCTCGTATGCCCCTTGCGAGCTCACTCGGCTCAACTCCGGTCTTCATTTTCTCACAGAGAAACGACGGGGGATGACAATTGACTCTACCTGGTCATTCTGCGAGTCAGCTCCTCCATACTTCATACCGGAATATCTCGTTATACGACTCGCGCGTAAACTTGCCTATCCGGGTTATCCCCCCCCATATTCTTCCCCATAAGTGCACGGTGCTCTCTAGCTCCCCAACTCAATCGACAGTTGGAGAAATTGTTGCATCGAACCTTGGAAGCTCCAGGGAGATTGCAGGGGGGAAAGTCACCGAATTCTCGATATTCATGTAGTTTTGACATCAATCGTGTATATCCCCCATGTCCCCGTTAGCTTCAAGACTTAAGCAAACTTATCAAAGTATCACGATTTCGCACAGCTGACAGCTAGAACGGATAGCTCCCTTCCGAGATTAGCCTCATTATGCTTTTATGTAAGGGCGATCCGTGGGAGACTGAGCGAGCTGCATATGGCGGTGGCACAAGCATGCCTCAACTTGGACATATTCGCATAGTTGCATATTCGCAATTTGTGGCACACATCATTAGTTCACACAATCTAGATTTCAATACGGAGTACTCTATCAAGCTCCGGGTCTGTGTTGATCTTCATCGGTTCATGGTGAAATTGGCCTTTCTGGTTCTCTGGTGTAGTTGGTATAGTCGGGATCTACCTTGGAGCCCATCGTTCTGTTCTCGGCCAAGTTCATCCCAACTTGTACTGATAATAAATCTGAACTAACATTCAATCCCATAATTTTCATTCCCATAATTTTCATGGCCTACACAACCCCACAAATTCAACACCGGTCGTTTCCATGGGACTATTTGGACCCACGGCTCCGTACCTGTCAAAATTCTCGTCCTTGGCACTTTAGCTTGTTACCTTGTTTTCTTCGGTATAAGACTATGGACATGCGCGTGGTCTAAGTAGAATCCTTGTTCTCATCTACCGAGTAAGGGCAATCTGCCATTGGAACAACTATGTACTTCGTTATCACCCCGGCCCGAAAGCCTGAAGATGTCTTCGAAGCAGACAGCAGACCGCTCTTTATCCAAGATTAGACACTGTCTCGTCGACGTGATCCTTGGCGACACAAATATTGAATCATGGGTCTATCGAGGTCCACAAATAGCCTTCATAAGAGAAACAGTGTCTCGGTCGGGCTACACTGAAGCTGTTCGGATTTTCTCAGATCCCAAGGTTTTCTTGATACCAAGGCTATACGCACGGACATATCAAAAGACACTGTTCGAGTCCTTTGTGTCCCTGATCTACCTTATCAGTACGGCAAGTCAAATTTATCTTCCAAAAGAAGCGTTGTGATCTCACATTCTTTCCTTCCAGATCCTTGGGTTATCATGATGAATGTGGCGTGCGGATCTTCAACCAGAAGCACACCATCTACATAAACCGTCTCAATCCCCAATCCCACAGATACCATGCTTCCCAGATTTTATTCCAAAAATTGCCACCTATGATGTCCAGGCTTACGAAGTTTCAGCCGATCCCAAAGCCCAAGAGACCTCAATCGCCTCCCCGCTACGCTGGAGACCCTCCCAACAAATTGTGGAAGCCCCGTCCTCCCAATCCAAGTCCGAAACAACCTAGGTAGACCCTCTGGCAATCTAGTGCTCGGGAATGATGTGGGTCCTTCGGGCTTGGACCATGGGATCTCTTGTGTGGTAGGCGGTTTGAGATGGTTGGCGTTTTTCCTATCCTTCGATTATACCCACATGGCCTTTCACTCGTGTTTCTTGAATTTCCTCGAGATTTAAACATTTCTCTCTTCTCCTTACGCCATTACTCTGCGCTGGAAGAAGCGACTCTCTTCTTCAAATGTACTCGTAAGTACTCTGTAGATCACTCATGCGATGTAGATAGTGGACTCACCAGATGCTATAAATAGAACATGTGCTGTGGATGCACCTATGTAATTCATCATCATCTCCTCTTCTTGTTTGTACATGGCATCACCTGGCCAGCTTTGAACATGGAACACTGTCAGATTGATAGGCGGTTTCATCTATCTTGAAGTGTATCATGGTCCCTCGTACCGCCGGCAGGGTCTACTGTTTCGTTTCAAACTTGGAAATTGTCCTGGGTCCAACAACATCTCCCGAGGTCTGTGAACGAAGAAAGTTCATTGGAAATTCGATGTTCCACGACGTGAACAGTCAGTGGGTGCGTCGCAAATACACTATATTTGAAAAGTGATTTTCAAGATCATCAAACGGAGTATGTTCGATGGCGATCGAATGAGTGGCCGTCAGAGCTAGTTGGGCAATGTTATAAGCAGAGAGAGATCCACCGCAAAGTATATTGCACGTCGCCTACCCCAGAATATCCGAAATTAGCATTGCTTGTTTGAGAGAACGCTGAAGAATTGTAATAATTCGAGACGGAGCTTCGACTACGGAGTACTCCGTACAGTTTGAAGTGTTTGAAATGCACAAGGCTGCAGGGCAGATCGTCGACGGGATATGTAGTCACCGCTAGGGCGTCCCGGTACGGGGTACGGAGTACAATGACTGTAACAAAATTAGAACCAATAATCTTTAGTGGCAATCTCAGGACTGCGGGTTAACTTTGATTGGATATGAATAAACAAGAGAGGTCCAAAGTTAGAACGCAAAAAGTGTGACGGAGTGGTGATTGTGCACTGCCCTGCATATTGTGGGCGCTTAAGCCAACGGAGGCAAATGGTTGGCCCAAGCCCTCGATGGACTTCCCCTCCCAACTGCGAATATATAGCCCGCCCCATCTGCTCAACTCCAGGCTACTATGTGTGCTTAAAGATTGATTTTATTGTCTTCCCGCTTCTATTTTCGTCCTGCGCTTCGGCTGGCCCAAGTGTTGTTATCAAATTCCGATCTCTACATCAAGCTATCCTATCTTCTCAATCTTTGTTGACCAAAGTCTGTGAATTACAAGTTCAACTTCAACTTCAACTTCATTCATTTTGCCAATAACTCAGCCATCATGTACAACTCAGCCCGGATGATGAAGCCAAAGCTGTCCTTGAGCATCTCTGCTGCGCAGAATGCCACTCGGCCATCCTTGTCGCTCAAGTCCCCAATCACCCTCAAGTCACCAAGTGCTCTGCCTCGCACTCCTATCTCGCCAATGTCCGCTGCTAGCCCGTCAAGCAAGATGTTCTCAACGTTGCAAGTGCCAAATTATGCATACACCAACTCTTGCTCCTCAAAGAGCATTCTCAAGAAGCAGCCGTCCTCGGGAGCTGCTGTCGACAAGCGAATTCAATTCCAAGTGACACCGACTGTTCACTGTGTGACACCGATCGAGAACCCAGATGAGTACTACGGTAAACACATGAAAATGTCTCGAGAGGAGCGGCGGTGGACAGTTCGACAGTGAAATGAGCTTCACACTTTGTACAACGAATGACCGTTCACCATTGACTTTCGCTCGATCGATTTGGAAGTCATGCATTACTCGGGATGTGTAGTGTGGCTTTGGAATAGTACCTGGCTTTGCGCTCTTGGAATTTGCTTGCCAGCGGGCACCGTGGATCGAAAACCGAGGTCTTCAGATTTCGAACCGGCACTGAAAGAAACGAAGAGCTCCGACAAGTACATTCGGCTCCAGCCTCAAGTGTGCTCAGAACCCTAGCTCAGAGCCTGTTGGAACCTCTGAAGTTGAATTGCGCTATCTCGGAGCATCATGCCGTCCAGCGATCGATGGAAGAACGATGCAGCAATGATTGAACTGATTATATTGATGATTATATGAGACGGGACCTGGATGATTTTCTTTTTTTTTTGTTTTTTTGGCAAATGTTTCAACATAGTCACTCGTTCCTGCAAGCACATATACCCTCTGAATATTCCTTACTAGCAATATTTTCAGTTCGTAGATATGAAGCCCTGGAATTAGTCGCAACAAATGGATGACAGCATCCCGATCATCACATACTGCCGCATTGGTATATTAGGGCATTGACTGAGGGCTTCCCCGGCCCGTGCGCTTCGGATCTTTTTTCGCCCCTGGCGCCAGCCGTGATACGAGCAATAAGCATCTCACAAATGTTATTTCCTGCAAGTTCAGCGACGTTGCGCAGGTCAGCACTGAGTGCGCCAAGATGTCTATCCTACCGCCGTGGCTTGCTCACGTTGGCAATTGAAACGTCATGGTAAGCGGAGATGATCGCCGCAACAAACAATCCACTAATGACCGACAGCGACGATACATCGGTAGCAATCGTCGAAAAGACAAAGAAAGCCAATGGAAACACAGCAAAAATCCATTTCCTCGAGAATGTAACGGCCGACACGCGCGCGCACCGCGGAATCCACCCTATCATCGCCCTCGAATCCCACCAAGACCATCTCGCAGCTCTCGTGCAGAAAGCCCTCCACTATCTCCCGGAAACACAGCCAGGGAACGGTTTCAAACTCGCAGGCGGGTTGAATCGCCGCCTACCCGATTTTATATCTGCGACAAGAGGCCCCGGCATGCGCTCCAACCTCTCCGTGGGCCTGGAGACTGGCAAAGCGCTGTCGGTTGCATGGCAGATCCCCATGGTCGGCGTTCACCATATGCAGGCACATCTGCTGACGCCGCGACTTGTGTCATGTTTGGAGAACGTGTCTAACCCCGATCCTCCCGCAGTGGCGCCGGAGCTTCCCTTCCTCTCAATTCTTGTCTCGGGGGGCCATACAATGCTAGTTCAGTCCTCACGGCTGACGGATCATAAGGTCCTCGCCACAAGCGAGGACATAGCTATGGGAGAGGCACTTGATAAATCTGCGCGGGATATCGTGCCTGCTGAGTTGTTGCAAGATGCCAAAAGTACCATGTACGGCAAGACGCTGGAGAAATTCGTCTTCCCGAATGGCGAGGCCGATTTCGCGGACTACAAGCCACCAACAACCCGGGGCAAAGAATTAGGCAAGCGCGAGAATAAGTGGGGTTGGTATGTCACTACTCCATTTGCAAATACGCGGATGATGCAGTTCAGCTTTTCGTCGATCTCCAGTATGGTTGGTAAGATTGTTAGTAGGAGGAGTGCTGATGGCGGTATGTTTCATGACGAGCGCGTCGATTTGGGACGTGAAGTCATGCGTGTTGCTTTTGAACACCTTGCTTCGCGGACTGTCATTGCCCTTGAGACCCTGAGACCTCACAACACCGGCAAGGACAAGATCGAGACCCTCGTCGTCAGTGGTGGCGTTGCAGCTAACCAGTTCCTCATGCGGGTGCTTCGATCATTTTTGGACGTGCGTGGCTTTGAGCATATCAAAATTGTTGCCCCGCCTCCGTACTTGTGCACCGATAATGCAGCGATGATCGGTTGGGCTGGAATTGAGATGTTCGAGGCCGGGTGGAGGTCCAATCTCAACTGTCGCCCTGTGCGGAAATGGTCTCTTGACCCGAAGGCAGAAGACGGAGGAATCCTTGGCCCTGGAGGCTGGTTCCAAGAGTAATCTTTGCCGCGAGTCGAGCACAAAGACTTTGTACATTACATCGGTGATATGATATAATACTCTGTATAATAGCATGCAAGATAGGGTGATGCCAATCCAACTCTACGCAGCGACGAACCCGTCCAATGAATCGCAAGAAAATACTTAAGAAACCCATGAACAAAAGTCATATGCATTATTGACATGTAAGACCCATAATAATCAGAGACGCCTGTGCCATGTAATCTCTTCAACCACGTTTCACCCATGCATCCTCCACAGTAGGGTATCGAAAGATGCGCCGCTGCAACCCATGAAAACGAACCAAACTCGCGACCGGCCAACTGTGCAATACAAGTGTTTTGAGGAAAATAAGTCGTAATCGTCATGTCTAGCCACCGACCGGGGGGCCACCTCGTTGCAACGCAGCAATCTGCTTTCTCAGTTCAACGAAGAAGTCCTTCCCGTTGCCCATGAAATGCGCTAGATGGATGTGAGTGGATGGGTATAACAGCGCTATCCAGGAAGGCATCATACCTTTGGGACCTGTCGCTGTAGATCGTTGGTTTGGGCCATCCTTGGATGTAGCTTTGTAGGTTGTGCTTGATTTCGTTTCTATAGCGGTGGCGCAAAGGTTAGACTTGGGCAGATAGAAAAGGAGCAAGTGGAGAGATACCTCTAGGACCTATTTAATTGCAACACCATGGTCAGCATAGTTCTTGCCATAGACACTGGACCAGAAACCTACCCTTCTTTAAGATGCTCTTCACCTCCGCCGTGTTGAAGCCCCGTACAGGGACGTGTTGCTCCCGTGGATGATTCGATGCGCCCCAAGCGTTGTTGTCGCGAGGGCCTCCTTGACCTCCGGTCTTGTCGCGATTCGCGTTGCGCTGTGAGGTCTGGCGACTGGGTCCACCCCGCCATCTAGGGAACAATTAGCGGAGCTCGAATATGCGCTGATTTTGGGGGAGACCATACTTGTTGTCGCTGTGACCGCTCATGTTGAAGATATGTGCAAAAAGGGAAATGTCGAGCTTGACCAAGGGATGATCACCAATAGCTCAGAAAGGAAAGGTGTAGGTCAGTTTGCGGAGGAATAGCTAAGATTCGCCGCCTCAGGCCAAATGGGCACGGATGTCTCCGCCTTACAACACAACACCTCGCCTTCCATTCAGCTTTAGCGTCATTTGCATTTACTGACTATTTACTTGAGTGTGTGACTGGCGCTTGTCTACAGGACATTCCAGGCTGCGTTTGAGTTGGCCGCAGACGCGACCTGAACCCCCCGTCGGATTAACAATCACCAACCCCGACGATCAACATACAGGTCCGAAAGCTGGTTCACAAATGGCGCCGAGTGCCCGACATTCATTCTCCGGCCGATCTTCACGCAAAGGATCTCGATCCTCCCTCAAGACAACACCAAGTGGTCCCCTCAATTCCTCTGAGGGACCTCCTGCCAAGAAACGGAAATACATTCCTGGCGGTCCTGGAGGCGGAGGACGCTTCATTGAAGTCGAAGCCGCCGCTGCTGCTGCCGCTGCTGCCGCCGCCGCCGCCGCAGCTCAAGAATCACCCAAGAAGACGCCTGCACCGCGACGGTCCTCCACGACTGCCCGGATCCATTCACACGAGATGGATCACCCACCGCTAGCCCCTCCGCCGCCACCCATCATCCCAACAACGCCACCATCCATGTCGCGTCCGAGGCGCGACAAGAACCAAGCTCGCGGTCGCTTCCCATCATCCACAGCGGCTGCGCTGGCTTTGCAGCAAGGCGACGGGTATAAACCACGCGAAGAACGTGGATGGGAAGAATTTCATCCGGACCTGGACATTGATGGTCAACTTGCCGTCTTTACCTCTGAACAGGTCGATGCGCCGGACACCTCTACTCCGAACGTGACACTTGAGTCCCTGGCTGGCGCGACCGTCTCAGATCATTCGGGATCACCGGTAGTCGTCCCAAGTGAAACGGCATCTCCAATCCCAATTAAGCGCAGGCCCGGTCGCCCACCGCGCCGCCCCGAGGCTATCCTCAATGCGCTTCTCGCTCAGCAGGGACAAAAGGTCATACCGCCTCCGGGTCCCAACCCGCGAGAGAAGTTGACCCTACCGAAGCCATCGTTCAGACTGCGCGATCCATTTGCATTCTATGAAAAGAAGGGCATTGGGCATCAGAACTATGTAGATCGGACCATGGCAAACGTCGGATACCAGGAAACTGATCTTTTCCTTCGGCATGATCGACGCTTCATCCGAATGACCGAGGGCACGCAAGAAGATGACCTCGATGTCATCCAGCCAGCCATGACGGATGGGGACGTCAACACAACTACCGGACGTGTCGAGTATGACATGGACGAACAGGACGAAAAGTGGCTGGAAGAATACAACGCAAAACGCCGTGAAGATCAGCTTGAGCCTATCAAACCTGCTGTGTTTGAAATTACAATGACTAAGATCGAGAGAGAGTGGCACGCTCTGGAAAAGCGCATCCCGAAACCAAATCCCAAACCACCTCAGACTGGACGTCTTCGCTCCAGCTCCGCAGCCGCGGTTAATGGTGAGACTGCTGGGCCGGGCGAAGAGCAAGACAGCAAATGCGCAATATGTGATGATGGTGATTGCGAAAACTCGAACGCCATTGTGTTCTGCGATGGGTGCGATCTTGCAGTGCATCAAGAGTGCTACGGTGTTCCTTTCATCCCCGAGGGCCAATGGCTTTGCCGGAAGTGCCAATTGCTGGGACGAGGTGCCACCAATTGCATATTCTGTCCCAACACCGAAGGCGCGTTCAAACAAACAACCTCATCAAAATGGGCACATCTTCTCTGCTCTCTTTGGATTCCTGAAGTTTCAATTGGCAATCCATCTCTAATGGAACCAGTGACTGACGTGGAAAAGGTCCCCCGCAGCCGCTGGAAGTTGAACTGTTACATCTGCAAGCAGAAAATGGGTGCATCCATCCAGTGCAGCAACAAGAATTGTTACCTTGCATTCCACGTCTCATGTGCGCGCAGGGCCCAACTCTACCTGAAGATGAAAATTGGACACGGCTTAATGGATTCTCATCTTCTGAAGGCTTTCTGCGACAAACATGTTCCACCTGACTGGCGATTGGAGCACAGCACCGATACTGCGACTGCTGATGCCATGGAATACTATCAGAACACAATGCAGGGTCGAAGATGGGGGGACAGCCAAGCCGCTGCCCTCTCTATGGGCCCAGCACATCCTACCGATGGCGGAGACGAAGATCGCACGTTGACGCCTCGTATAACCTTGACCGTGGGGGGCAACAAACGCAAGCGCGTTCCTAGGATGATATGGAAGTTGCCCTCTGGTGCTCCAGTAATTCCTCAGGTTGTCCTAAACTCGGTCATTGCCTCACTCGGGCGGTTCACCGTTCGACAGAGAAAGCAATATGCCGAGGATGCATCTAAATACTGGACTTTGAAGCGCGAGGCGAGACGTGGAGCAGCTTTGCTTAAGAGACTCCAACTCCAACTCGAGACTTTCTCGTCGATGGAAATGACACGTCGTGACTATGTCGCTATGGGAGTTCCAGGTTACAAACGCCTCACGCGCCGCATCGAGTTTGGAGATCGCCTTTATAAAGACCTGGATAAATTAAGGATGTTATGCGACGAGGTCAAGAAGCGAGAGAGAGAGAAGCTGAAGGATGCCGAGATGCTTCGCACGGTCGTCGATACTGTTTACTTCCCGGTTTTCCCGCTGCTCTGGCCAATTTTCGAGAAAGCTCAATTGTAAGCAAACTTTCTGTTACAACAGCTCCATACTAACTCTCCCACAGACTTGATGGCAAGGGTATATTTGCAATGGGCTTGATGTCGATCCGCGAGAGACTCAACCAACGATTCTATCCGTCCGTCGCATCATTTTCTTCTGACTTGGCGAGTCTGTTCACATCGGAGATCGGAGTGGAGCCAGCTGGTGACACCGCCGAACTTCAGGCACAGATCAGTGGTCGCGCACCAGAGCTCAGTTTGGAGCAACGCGAGAAGAGAAAATTAGCCAAGCGCATTATCAAGGTCATCCAACCTTCCCTGGAGGATGCCATCCGCAAGGAGAGCGAGCTGAACCGCAAACCCTTCGAGAAAGAATTAAAGGAGTTGGATGTCATTTTGGACCACAGCGTGATGTCTCGCAGCGGCGATAGTGTTGAGCCAGAAGGCGATAGCGAGCTGCCTGGCGACACTGATGTCATGGAGGGAGTTGAGCAAACCGGCCCTCCCACTGAGGCTCAGACCGCTGCCGACCAGGAGCAATCCGAAGCGCCCGGTACAGAGGACATGCCATCCACACAAGAGCCAACGACGAATCCTCCAGCCTATTATCGACACCCTACACCTATATTGAGTGAGCAGGACCAACAGCTTCCGCTGGCTGTAGGCGGTATCCAGTGGTACATGCAGCCGTTTGACCCTGTTGGAACAACCATTCATGAAGAAAGATGGACAGGAAGAGATGTCATGCGCGGAATGAGCGAAGAGCTCAGCGACATGGATGAAGATGAGCTTGAGGGATTGAAAGACATGGTTGACGATGGCAATGTGGCCGGCAAAGCCAATGGTGCTGTCAATGGTGCGCAGGTCCCAGTTGCTTCACAAAAGAACCACCGTCAATCCCGACGCCTGCGCACACGGTAATAATTTGGTATGAGGCGTTTGGTATCTCGCAATCTGTTTTAGCGCTTTATAACCAAGGGGAGTTGGAGTTGGAGTTGGAAGCTGATTTGTATTTGTAATTTGATAGCTGCACCATCCTTGTTCACCTATGTCTCCAACAATTCCGTAGCGATATTATCGGAAGTTATTGTTACTCAAAGCAGCTGTGTAAGACCCAACAACGCCCCCTGCATCATAGAATTGGGAGATTCTACGGCGTAGAATAATTGACTTAACTAGTGATGTAACAACAGTCCTGTATTGGCGCCTGATATATCAGGCGTGTAACGACGGGTAGCGCCATCAGCTTCCCGACTTCTTTCTTCTCACTTCCACTCTACACCCATCGGTCTTTTTCATCATGGCAGACTACGAAAACGATTCTGGCCGTTATGCGGGTATGTAAAGTGCATTATTATTCTATGCGCAGGTAACAATGCTGATCTGATTGAATAGACGAGCCCCGGTACGACCGCGACCGCAGCGCCTCTCCTCGCGATGAGCCTCGAGCCGACCGCGACCGCGCCCGCAGTCGCTCCCCCAACGGCCGTTCCGATGACCGGTATGTAATTATCTATTCTGTTTCCTCAATCCATTCTAATCACATTTTGACAGTGTTCCTCTGACTCGCAAGCCTCTCGAAGATGATGATGAGGGTGCTCTCAACTCTGGCTCTAACCTCTTTGTTACTGGAATTCACCCTCGTTTGAGTGAATCTGATATCTCTCGTCTGTTTGAGAAGTACGGTGATGTTGACAACTGTTCAATCATGCTTGACCCCCACACCAAGGAATCCCGCGGATTCGGCTTCGTGAACATGGTCACTGCTGAGCAGGCTGATGCCGCTAAGGAGGGACTTCAGGGTGAAGTCATTGAAGGTCGCACCTTGAGCATTGAGAAGGCTCGTCGCGCCCGTCCCCGTACCCCTACACCTGGCAAATACTTTGGTCCCCCCAAGCGTGGTATGTTACACAAACTCCCTTGCGTCTTGCGTAAGCTCACATCTCTCTCCTTCCACAGATGGTCCTGGTCCTCCTGGTGGTGGTGGCCGTGGTGGCCCCCGCCGTGACCGCTATGACGATCGCCGTGGCCCCTCCAGCGGTGGCTGGCGCCGTCGTGATGATGACTACTCTCGCTACGGTCGTTACGACTCTTACAACGACCGCCGCGACTATGGCCGCGATTATGGCCGTGACTATGGCCGTCGTGACTACGGTGGTGGTGGCCGTGACTATGGTCGCCGTGAATCTCGGGATGACTACGGCGGATACCGCGGAGGTGGTGGTGGTGGTGGTGGTGACCGCTACGGTGGTCGCGATGACCGTTACGGTGGCCGTGACGATCGCCGCGGTGGTGATGAGCCCCGTGGTGGAGGTGGTGGAGGTGGTTACTACGACCGTGATGCCAACCCCCCAGCTTCGATGCTGCTCCCGCTCCTCGTGAGGCCCGTGACCCCTACTCCGGTGGCGGCGGTGGTGGTGGACGCTCCTACGAAGGCCAGGCACGCAGCACTGGCGGCGGTGGTGGTGGCGGTGGTGGTGAAGACCGGTACGCCGGCAGGTAAAGTGTTTCCCTTTGTTTTCTAACCAGAAGAGACCGAGACCGGTCTCTGATGTCTCCTGGTTTCAACGTTGTACCACTTGCCCACTTTGCTCTTCCCCTTCCCTTTTCTTTGTTCCAATTGTTTTAATGCGGGATTTGGGCGACGGGCCTCGGGGCGTCGTTGTCTTTGCTTTGCCAATTGCTTTCAATATTCGTCTCGGCAATGATCGGGACCACCATCGGCCTGCGACTCGACAACCTTTACCGGCTAGTCACATTTCGCTCGCTTCATGATGTGTCTCTTTATGTCTGTTCGCGACGCAACTTCGGGAAAACTTCTAGCGGCAAAGGGTACAAACAATTATCGCTGTAATTCGGTTATCTCATGGGTCAGCAATTTCGTCACACACCTTCAACTCTACACCTTCACACACCATCTCCAGTAACGGCTCGATTGTATTCGACTTCTAAACACCTGCATCATCCACCAAAACGCCAAAGCCGTCGACTTTGCGCTTGTAGTCATCAACTCTAAACTGCAGGTTTAAATCGACCCCGTTGATTGAACAGGTAAGGCGTTTTTGCGCGAGCTGACCTATCTAGGAGAAAACGAGCTCGCTGGTATGGCTCTTTGTTGGCATACTCTTTGCCAACATCCACTCCCAAAATCAACTTACTATCGAGACAATGAAAGAGTGGCTCTCCGGAAGAAAGAAATTAAGGTGCAACCATCCCACATCGAAGCACATCGAAGTCGATCCGAGACTCGATTGAAAGAAGAGCGAGTTAAATCCTTCTTGGCAACCGTGATCTCCGCTGGATCAACCTGGGTTTCTCATAGGTGCGTATCACGTCCTTCATACTTCCCTTGGCTTGGGTCTTTGCTTGATTCCAAAGTTCATATGAGTACTGTGCCGTGGAAGACGGGATCTCAGCACGCCTTAGGGACAAAGACCCGGAAACCGCCTTTGATACAAGAGTCCCCGGGTCTTTGTCTTTGAGATTCCATGAGATCGAAGGCTTCATAGTTTATCTTCATACTTCTCCAAAATAATAAAATGGATTTACTTGTTTACCGAGAAGCTTCAGATAGTTGGTTCGAAAAGTCTTCTGCATTGTCTTCACAATCGTCGTTTTCAATTGCCTTTTTCTTCCTTTCTTCCTGTTGCGGTATCATCAAATCTTCCAGTCCTTCATAATCAAGCGAGAAAGAAAGAACCCTAGAAGTCGGTATTGACTTGTTGATATTGGTGATTTCAAACAGAGTATACCCACCCAAGATGATTTACAACATTTTGGAACCGAGTTTGAAAGCTGCGATTGTTGCTGAATCGAGACATGTGAGGCTCTTAGCCACACCTCCCATTCGAGCACGTCGTGACATTTGAGTGCCAGTTGCAGATGGCTGGTTTTTCCTGACGTACAAGGCATATAGTCAAAATAATAGAATACGTACGCTTCGGCAAGCAAGAATTAAGTAAAACGAATGGCTTTCTTTGTCCCTACTCGGACTCCTTCTTGGCCTCACCCTCTAATTCATTGCTTTTTTGAAGCAAGAACTCGCCGAGCACGCGGAGAGGATTTGCAGGTCTGGAAGAATCAACGTCAATGACAAAATAGTACATCCAAGGATGTAAGATTCACATACTGTTCTCTTGCGACGGACTTCATTCCATCGAGTAGATGCGGCACAACTTTCTCGTTCAGATAGACGCGTGCGGGCGCACCTCCGGGGCGCACCTGGCCAGGGTTGATGTTCAGATCGCCAAGAGGCGTGCTTGATCCATTTGTTTCACCCATTGCTTCGGGTTCTGCGGCCTAGACTAGAAGACAGAGTTGCTCAGATTGGGTAATTTGCAAAGAAGCTGAAAGCAAGAGCAAGGTTGAAGCAAAGAGCGGAGCGGAAGCTTGTGAAGCTTACCGAGGGTCTGCGAGGTTTGTTAGCGTTTGTGTAGGATAACATGGGGAGATGTCAAAGACTATAAAAATACATTTTTTTCTTTTGGCTGGAGGCTTTCTTTCCTCTACCCCAGGTAGGTGAAGTAGATGTAGTTCGGACCTGATGTGTGCTGAACGAGACAAACAAGACAAACATGCCTGATAGAGTTATGTTATATCACTCACGTGATCTCGTGTCGGAAACTTGTTGGCAAGACACGTTCGACTTGTTTCTTTCAGGAGTGCGTTGTGGAGGCTACTAGCATCCATGGAAAACAAACATGTCCTTGTTGAACTTCTGGGACACGCAGCGCCCCGCGAAACGCCGACGGATCTCCGGAGAGAGCGTTCCAGAAGCCAAACAGGAGACTCGACAGCCGAGTCCGAGCCCGTCGGTCACGGAAACCGTTGCTGCAGATGAACCGGACAATATAACTAACAGCCAGACGGACCTCGAGACATCACTACCTGACATCAAGACTGAGGACGCAATCGAAGAGTATGAGGCCTCCGAGGGCGTTGATTTGGGACTACATATGAGACTACGAGATGGTGTTTGGCAGAGAGGCAAAAGCTCCATCTACGTTGACGCTTTCAACCTGGCACTGGAAACTGTGTTGGATGAGGAATCGCATCTCTTTAGCGCGGCTGAGATGGAAATCTTTACGCACTGGAGGAAGCTGTCATACGAGTCTCAATATCTGTATGTCGATCGTAGATGGAAGTCTAAAGTCTACATGATGTTAACATATGACTAGCTATGTCCGTCTGTTCCTTCGCAAGACCTCTGCATGGCACCGTATCAACAGACTCAATTATTACTCTGATATATCAGACCTGGCCGCTGTCGCCGAAGACTTGCAACAGGATCGGAGCTTACCTGATTCGGACCTTGGATGTACATTCAGATTCGCCGAGGGAATAGAAGAGATAAACTCACTGGAAGAGGCTTCATCACTCCTTCTCTTGGACGAACTGAAAATTTTCGCAAAGGAGGCCAAAGTGCAGGGCAAAAGCAAGAAGGAGCTGCTCACAGCGCTTCGCGAAACGAGCCAGAATCAAACAGGCTTGAGAGAGACAGGCAACAGAGATAGTCATTTCACCCAGAAGATATTGGATTACACCGGTGGGTGTATTAGGCTGGTTTCAGTACCTCGTGCTCTGTTTGAGCGAGTACACCTGGTCTTCTACCGCTCTACAGAGTGGACCGAAAAGTCCCTCACAACCATCATTCTGGCGAAGATGTCGAAAAGAGCATTTCCTGATTACATTGTTTGCCGTTCAAACTCTATCTTTTCGTCCAGAGAAGCACTTTTGGAGTTTGAATCGGCCATCCAGACACAATTTGCCGTGGACAACATACTAGAGTTCAACGGCCCTCCATCGACCGAATCACTCCAGCAAATTATCGATCTTGCGAACAAATTCCACCCTCGCTGGAAGGAACTTGTCAAACAGGAGCAGCAAAAAGAAGACAGCATTTATGAGAGCGGCGAGGGCGCCTACCTACGTCGGTTCTCGCCGGCATGGGTGCTAACAAGAATCATCCACAAAAGCCTGAACCCACTAGGCCGTTTCAAGGAGCATAAACGTGAGCATGAAGTCCTTGAAGAACTACTATGTCAGCGTCTCTTCCATGCTGCACGTCGCGGAGCGTGGTATCAGCGCAAAGCATTACTGGAAGAACATTATATGTGGGCCCTCACCCCAACAGAAGGACGCAGTGAAGAGGTCCAGCGCAAACACTGGAAGAGAGTCGCATTGCGGACTTGTGAAGCTGGGTTGGAAGACCCGCTTTGTCATTTGATCTTCCATTACGACCTACAGAAACGGATCACCAAGCTGGAAAAAGCACTACGGGTCGTCAAGAGGGAGCAGCATGATTTTGGACACGTTATGCTTGGGAAGCCAGCTGAGCGGACGATCGAAGGTATCCGTGTAGATACGGATGATGCTCCCTTGAAGACAGCATCTCGCAAAGGCAGACCGACTATCTGGATCGATGAGAGGGAAGGGGGCGAGTGTAGAGTGGAAAGTATGTGTCTGAGTTGGTACCGTGATCATGGCTGGAAGGGTTATCACTGTGAGGGGGTATAGTGAGGACACTGGTAAGTCAGGATCGACCGAACGCAAGCTGGATACATGAAGCTCACCATCACAAGTTCGGCTATCTGTTCTACGACATACTCTTCACATACGTGCCCAACGTCTTCCAGACAGCGTTCCAGACATGCCCGCTCGATCTCCATACAGATGTGTTTTATCCATCTCGTGCGTCGGAGATTAACCACCGATTAGTTGAGATCACGAACGGCGGGGCCGAGCGTATTGTTCGTGAGATCCACGATCTCCACTCGGATGCGCAGCCTTGTGTTGTAGGGCTGGACTGGTCTTTTGATCTAGATGACCTGGTCGAGATCGTGCAGTGTTTCCGTGGTGAAGCACTTGCTACTATCTGCAAAGTCATGGCACAGGAGTACCAGCAGCGCGGCGGAGGTATTCCAGACTTGTTTCTCTGGAACATTGAGACGAAGACTGTGATGTTCGCTGAGGTTAAGTCGGAGAATGATCGGTTGAGCGACACCCAGCGCCTCTGGATTCATATTCTGTTGGCGGCTGGTGTCAAGGTTGAGCTTTGCAATGCTGTTGCATCTAAGCAATCAAAGGATTAAATTATAGAGCGAGAATAAGTTCGAAGTAGATATTATGCAACCTTGAATGTACAATGACTGCCTAACTGCCTAAGCGTGTCTCAGGATCAGATAGCAAGAATAAAGAGCAAGTCGTGCATGCACATACGCGGACTTCTCCCGAGGCTCCTTTGGCCATGGTGAATGGGAAAACTTCCAGCTAGCGGCTTAGTACGGAGTATATAATGCTAGTTCGTTCTGCAGACGTTCTGGACTTTTGTGGAGAGGCTGACCCTGCAAGGGTAGATTCCAGCGATCTAATCCACACTACCTTCAGTGAAGTATTTCCAGCAAAACGTTACGTACGACTACAAATAGATCTAGAGCATTCGTGAACAGGGTATCAAATAATCGTAATCCTTTTTGTTGTATCTAGAAGAAGAAAACCCCCAGATACGGCGATCACGACGATCCAATGGGGTTCCTCCGTCAACCACACATCCTCCTTTAAAGGCGCTTATGCGACAAGGGTGGAAGCGGTGGCGCTCTCGTAGCGCCAGGTGGGGGGCAGGACACCGACGGTCTTGTAGTAACGGGACAGACGGTGGATGCGGGACTCGATGAGAATCAGGCGGAACTTGGAGTCCTTGTCCTTGCGGTTACGCTCAAGGTGCTTGCGGACAGCGACGGCCTGGGGTTGAGACGTTAGCCCACTAAATTCAAACAAGTGGATGCGAAGAGTTTTTTCTTCCTTGTTCCTTACCTTCTTGATCAGGAAGTAGAGGTCCTCGGGGAGTTCGGGAGCGAGGCCTGTATTCCAAAATCTCTCTGTCAGTCTAGATGTTCTTGACCAAGCAGAGGCTTAATTGCTGGTGCATTTCTGCGACCAGTGTCTGGGAGAGAGTCGACCATTGCGCTTAGTGGCTGCTGATTCTTTTACCGAACCAGGCAAGCCATTTCACGCAAACGTTCGCTCTCTTCACCTGACGGATGTAATTCTAACGTGGGGAGTCGTACCGCTGGACTTCAAGATACGGAGGATCTTGTTACCTGTGGCGCAAAAAAAAGTCAGCAAAATTCCTCATCTTTTCATTTCCAAGCCGCGGGTTTCCAGAATTTCATACCAGTAACAATCTTGACCTGGGCAACACCGTGGGAGTCACGGAGGACAACACCGATCTGGGAAGGAGTGGCACCCTTCTTGGCCAGCTTGCAGATGTGGTCAACAACCTGGTCGGGGGTGGTCTTGAGCCACGCGGGAGCGGTGCGGGAGTAGGGGATGGCGGAGGAGGCAATGCCCTTGCCCTTGCTGTGAAGACGACCCATTTTGAGTTGGTGATGTGTCCGGAGGAATTGTCGGTTGGCGTGGATGAAAGATCGAAAATCGTTGAAGTGTGGGCGGGAGGAATGGGTCTGTGGGGGTCACGTGAGGGACCTCGCTTATTTCTTTTCTTCGGGAAAACTTCACTTCTTCCACTTCTGCTTCCTTTCAGAACTTCAACAACCAACAATCACTCAGCTCTGCTTTTGAGTTGACTGGGATTAATGTTTCCCGAATAAACTTGGAATCAGAGTTGTGTTGAGCACTGTCGACCATCATTTATTCATTCGCCACCGACATCAGGTTAGTACCGACAATTTCTTTCCCGAACCACCAACCTACTCCCTTTTTATGATGATACAGCACATTTGTTTTATTACTATTTTTTCTGGTACCTCTTATGTCAGAGTTGGGCGTTTTCGGACGTCCCTCTCGATGATCTAACTGGACTTCTGATCAACAACAACACATTGTCAAGATTTTATGTCAAGAGTTGTTGAACCGTTTTGCTAACTACGGTTATAGGAATCAATAGATAGTTCTAGTCACAATACCTCAATTCATACATTTCTTCTTGATATCTCTATCGCTCTTGTCTTGAAATTTTCTCGTACATTCTTCTTATGCAGAATAAATTTCCTTGTTTTACAGTACTCAAACAGAGATAGGGTCGCTCGGGATCCTATGGTGATAGACTCAGCGCCGTAATCGCTTTGACGTTCTCCGTGTCTCTGTCGTTTTAGCAGCTGGTAGCAGGATGTCGGCCTTTCGCTTCTTTGGCGTGGTTGTAGCTTGGTCGATATCTTCAATCTTGACCTTCACGTCGCCGTCTTCTTCTTTTTTGGGGTCATCCAAAACAAGCTCAGTGGTCACCGTCGTCTCAATCTTGACATCGGACTTTTCCTCTTTGACTTTAACATCTACCTTCTTGGTAGCGGCAAGTTTGTCTGCAAAGGTCCGCAGATCCGCAGTAAAGAGTACACTATGAGCCCAACCAGCCTCTTTGCCCCAGAGCTTCCGGAAGTGGTTGGCAACAGCATCATAAGTGGTCTTGTTTAAAGTCTTGTTCGAGCTTTTGGCGAACTTGTAGTCTCGCTGGGCAATTTGCCAAACTGTCTCAGAAGTTAGGGGAATGTCGCGTGCGAGTACCGTGCTGGGAGAACATACCATGAGTATCAACCGGTACCGATTCTCCCCAGCCAAGTCCCATTAGGCTAACACAATCTGAAACCTTCGGGCCTACTCCTTGAAGCTCAAGCAGCTTCTCATGGGCCTCCCGGTAACCTTCTCGCCCCTCTGGCCTCATCTCACCACTTGGCTTTGGTTCCACGCCAAAGGCTGGGCACTCAGGGTTACTCAAACTATCCAGCCAGCCATCATCTCGGCCCGATACCATAACAGCAGTTTGGTGGATATACCGAGCACGGTAGCCAAATCCTAGGTTGCGCAGCGTACTCTCCACATCCTTGCCCGTCAAGGCTTCTGGGGAGGGAAATCATGGTATGAGCGGCCTTCAACTGTTGCCACTGGCTTTCCGTAATGTGCGCATATCTTAGCGACCATTTGCGATATACGCGCAATGTTATTGTTGCTGCTGCATATGAATGACACCAATGCCTCCCAAGCATCTTGGCGCAAGATTCGAATTCCAGTGAATTGAGCAGCCTTTTTCTTGAAGTTCGGGTCATTCAAAGACCATTGAGAATATAGATCGCCCAAATTCGGCGTCAAATTGAAGTAATGGTGGATTATACGAGTCAGATGCTCGTTATCGTTGTGCTCGTTATCGGGAGATAGGTTGGAGGAAGATGGGACGGAACGATAGTACAAGGAGGTCGAGTCCTGTTTCAAGGAGAGCAGGCGCCCATATAGAACGCACCGCCATTCCTCATTCTCGGGGATGTGTTGCCATCTAGTAACAGTCAGTGGAGTATCAGTTCCAACTTCTGGGCAACGAACCTAAAGGATTGACCACATCGAAGGGTTGTGTTGATACAAAGCTCGGATAGACTCAAAGGCAGCTTGCGCCATTCTGATAAAACACTGGCAGACATTTTCCAAAGCTAAAGTGACTTGAGTATAGATCGCGAGTCCCTGTTTTCCCTCTCTCTTCTTTTTCTGCCGCATCGAGTCCAATGCGGTGAAGCACAGACCGCCTGCACATCCGGGTCATGAGTTTTCCCCTTCGATGGCGACAAAGCTCCGATTTCTCAACCAAGCTCAAAATGAACGGTGACACCTACTCTTCCAGAGGTATGTATCTTCACTCTTGACTCAGCAATGACAATACTAATCATTTACAGATACTGGACGTTCGCGCGATCACTTCGTAAGTACCAGCCACAATCTGGCCGCAACCTCGGCGATTAACCTAAGCATAGCGCGACGAGCGACGAGATCGAGACCGGGCCGACCGACCCGACCGACCTGAACGCGGAGATCGAGGCGAGAGAAGACGTTCTCGTTCCCCTCACCATGGAGCGCGAGGTGACTCGCGTCGGGAACGCGAGGTGAACTCTTACTCGACTAGTCGCGACTACCGTGCCCGCGAGCGCGAAGATCGCTACTCTGGCCGACGTGACGAGCGGGAATGGGATCGCGGTGAGCGTGGAGGTGATCGTGGAGAGCGTGGAGGTGACCGCGGTGGTGACCGCCGACGCCGTGACTTTGATGACAGACCTCGTCGAGACTTGTTCGAGGACCGTCGAGGTGGCGGCGGTGGCCGTGGTGGTGACAGGGGCGAGCGCGGAGGTGGAGGCGGTGATCGCGGAGACCGAGGTGATCGTGATAGACGGGAGCGCAAGCGCAGTGCTACGCCCCCACGCCGCAAGGAGCCTACTCCCGACCTGACAGACGTGCCTTCGGTATTGGTTCGCCAGCGTCGTTTGACTCAATGGGACATGAAGCCTCCCGGATATGAGAATGTCACTGCTGAGCAAGCAAAGATCTCAGGTATGTATACGTGGTTCATGATTGAGAAGCTGTCTAACACCACTAGGAATGTTCCCTCTTCCCGGAGCTCCTCGTCAGCAACCGATGGATCCCAGCCGTATGAAGGATTTCCTGAACCCTCCCACCGGTGAAACCGAAAATGCTGCTCTCAAGCCCTCCAACTCCCGTCAGTCCAAGCGTCTGTTCGCTTACAACCTTCCGACTGGTGCCACCAGCGGTGCCATCATCGCTTTCTTCAACCTTCAGTTGAATGGTCTCAATGTGATCCAGAGCACCGACCCCTGTATTTCAGCCCAAGTTTCACAAGACAAGTCATTTGCCCTGCTCGAGTTCAAGGATGCAAATGACACGACCGTTGCCTTGGGTTTCGATGGTATCACCATGACCAGGGACTCAGAGAAGGGACTCGAAGTGCGCCGACCCAAGGACTACATTGTTCCCAATGGCAGTGCAGACCAGCAGGTCCAGGAGGGTGTGGTACTGAGCGAGGTACCCGACTCGCCCAACAAGATCTGTGTCTCTAATATCCCCACCTACATCCCTGAGGAGCCTGTCACAATGCTGCTCAAGTCGTTCGGCGAGCTAAAGTCGTTTGTTCTGGTTAAGGATGCTGCCACAGAAGAGTCTCGGGTGAGTGACAGCCTTCGCAACAAATTATTCTTGAAATCAGTGACTAACTTTACCAGGGAATTGCATTCTGTGAATACGCCGACCCGGCTGCCACCCCTATAGCCGTTGAAGGTCTCAACGGCATGGAGCTTGGTGACCGCCACTTGAAGGTTGTGCGCGCCAGTATTGGAACCACCCAAGCTTCCGGCCTCGACATGGGCGTCAACGCCATGCAGATGTTCGCCAAGACCACCTCTCAGGATATGGAGACCACTCGTGTCTTGCAACTCCTCAACATGGTCACCCTTGACGAGCTTCTTAACGACGAAGATTACGAAGAAATTCTGGAAGATGTTGGCGAGGAATGTGCTAAGTTCGGCCCAATCCTTGCCATGAAGGTGCCCCGCCGTGGCCACGGTGCTGGGAAGATCTACATCAAGTACGAAAACACCGAGTCGGCTTCCACTGCGCTCAAGGCGTTGGCTGGACGAAAGTTCTCAGACCGTACAGTTGTTGCCTCGTACTTCGGGGAAGAGAACTTTGATACCGAGGCCTGGTAAACATGGCTGCCTTTCGATTTATTTATTTCTTTCAATGCAGGCGTGTTTTCTTTCTCGGGGTCAGTCGCTCTAGTGACAGGATGGATCTCCAATGTGTACCATAGCAAAATGCTCACATCAAACTTAAGTCGATCTGATCATTGATCACTCTGAATTGCCTTTATCTCCTCCCTTATCAGACATAGACGGCGGACTTTGGGAGTTAATGTTGCCCAGGTGTAGATATGTAGACTATCGAATTGGGTATTTATATCAAACCCCAGGTTATGGAGTAGTTCCAACAAGGCACCTGGGCAAGCCCGTCGAGTTTGCAAAGTCAATGGCTCCACCACCGGCAACCTTCGCCGCAACTTGCCCTAATTCGGACTCTATGTACAATTCCAACATCTCAACTTTCTAATCATCTTTCAAATCACCTTTCTAGTCCCTTCTCAACTCCGATTCTAGCTCTAGCCCACACATTGAATTCCAATCCTACTTTCCAACTCACGCCCAAGCTTCCCTCAGCTGTGTCCGCATATTATGCGTAGGATACCCATACTCATCCTCCAACCTAACCAAAACCCCAAACAGCGCCTCCTGTTCCACCTTCTCCACAAACCGATCCCCACACATCCCAATCGCCGCACTAGCCGTCACCAACCCAGGCGGACTATGCAAATTCGACATCGCAATCCCACAAAGCCTCAAAACCATCGTCCGAACCTGCGCATCAACACTCCGCATCGCAGTCCTCTGCCCAGGCCCCAAACGCGGCAACCGCGGATTATAAACCGCTAACAAAATCCGCGCGAGCTCCAAATGCTGCAGCCCGGCGACGTGACAGTTATTCAAATACCAGAGTTCAGGGAAGACCTCTCCGCGCGCAGGATCCGGGTCTCGTGCGTAAACGGGGTTGAATGAGGAAGGGCCCATTTCTGTCCAGAGGGTTTCGAAGGAGACGAGGGTGTCGTAGCGGGTGATGCGGGATTCGGGGGAGGGGGTGTAAGAGTGAGATTCTTCTTCTGAGCCGAAGCAGAATTGGAGGACGTCGGCGCAGTGGATGACGAGTCTGTCGGCCCAGACGTAGTCGTCTGCGGGCTCGAAGGTGCGGTATGGATCGCAGGGGCCGAGGGGGAGGCGGAAGGGGCGCTGCTTGGAGAAGGCTGTGATGATTTCTTGTCGGAGGGCGACCCAGTAGGCTGCGTGGCGTAGACTTGTTCCTACGACGGCGGGGGTGGCTTGGGCGTCGAGGAAGATTTGGATTCCGCGGAGAGCGGACTCGGTGTCTTCGCCCATGGCGGGGACTGTGGGGGTATTGTTAGTATTGGGTTCGATGGTGGGAGGCTGTGGGATGTGACTAACGGTCTACTTCTTCGTAGAATCGTAGGATGACGGCGGCCGCCAATAAGTTTTCATCGCCGGCTTCTTGTGAGTGGTCGGAGAGCGAGACGAAGTATGAAATGCATCGATTGTGATACTCGAGGGCAGTTGCTGGGGTCAGCCCAGGGAGGTATTTGCCTCCGTATTTGATCTGGTTGCCCACATAGTATTTCTTGGATTTGCTCAAGTGCCTTGCTGAGATGGTGTAGATTGCATTGAGGAGAGGCGGGCATGTAAGTGCTCGTACTGGGACGGTACATGCAAAGTGTCTTTGTCCGTCGCAAATGTCAAACTATCGAGTTAGCCGGGGTACTCCAACGAAGTCTGCGACTCTGCATACCCAATGACCGAGTTGAACTACAAAATACCGCATCAAACAAGCCTCATGCTCGTCGAAATTAGCAAGCCCGGTCTCTGTTGCAACCAGGTTTTCTGAAATTGGTATCGTATAGCTGCTGGGTGAAATCTGAGCTTGAACAGAGACCGGGGATATAGAATAACTGTTCGGTGGTGAATGATACAAGTCCACGGACGTCCTGTCGGGTTGTGTGGCCCAGGGACCCGATGGAAACGAAGCGACAGCGTCACTCGCAATCGAGGACTCTGTCAAGTCTGGCTGCTCTACCGCCAAACAAACATCATATCGTTCTAACGCCCACGGAGTCTCTTCGCCTAGCTCCAGGGAGTACTCCCGAGCAACGTCGGCTGTCTCGTCGACGTATTTATAATCTGCATACTGTCAATTGTGATCCTCAGACTGCTTTGAGACCAATTGCTTACCTTGTGCAATCGGCACCCAGACCTGATCATCGGCAAAATCGGCATCATATCGGGCACTTGAGCCGTGACGAAAGCCGGACGGGACGGCCTGCCAGACACATGAGGAAGCCGATCGCTTGCATCGGGTGCATGTCGGTCTCTTGCCATCGCCTGCTGCTGATCAATACGAGGTCCGAGAATCGGGATTTGCTGCACTACAGTCGAACTTACACTTCACATGCCTGTCTGTCAATATATTAGCGATTGTATCTGGAGATTTTGCAGGCACTTACTGCGGCATTCTTGACTGGTTGGAAAAATTAGTGATTGGTACTGAGTGCTTTAGTGGAGACTCACCAAGGGACTGTTTTTCGCATCGTATGATGTGAAATGGACAAAACTTGAGTGAGAGGGGGGCAATCGTCGGCGAGGCCTCAAATGCGGGGAAACCCGGGGTTACCCCGACTTTCCTTTTTCGACCGACTTGGACTACACCGACTACACTTGTACACTGGTGAATGGCAATGTTAATATCTATACATAAACCTTGGAATGTACTCAGTCACACTAGGATTAGTAGATATTGGATTCTTTGAAGCATTACTATTCATATTTGCATTATCCTTGAATTCTCTATGGCTTGTAGCTACTAGCATTCACCCCAGAGCCCTCGAGAGAGATACGTTTATTTGAATTTCCTTTTTTTCCAAGGTACTCCGTACTTGCAAGCATCTTTACTTCCCCTCCTGGAAATATCCTAGCAAGGCAGGTGGCCCCTACACAAGACCAGGTGCCAAACATATTGAGCTTCCTCGGAAATCAGAAGCCGAAGTAACCGTCGCCGAACCCCTACCGCTTTGGGTGCGATCGACATGAGCTGTACAACCCCGGAATAGCCACGCCGAGAGACGGTGAGCAGCTATAAAGAGCCGCTCCTACCCCGGACAGAGCTCAGACTCCCAATTCCAATCCTCCACATCTCACAATGTCTGAAAAGCTTCAAGTAGCAGTCGCCGGCATTGGCCGCATGGGAATGCGCCATGCCCGACACTTTGCAACACTCACACCCCGCGCCGAGCTGATTGCCGTCTGCTCGCCGGTGCAGGCCGAGCTCGACGCCGCAAAGAAGGAGTTCGGCGTCCGAACATACCTCTCCTTCGAGGACATGCTCGCCAAGGAAAAGACCCTGCAGGCTGTCGTCGTCGCCAGCGCTACCACCGTCCACGCCGAACAGGCTATCAAAGCCATTGAAAAGGGCTACCACGTTCTATGCGAGAAGCCACTCAGCACAAGTCCCGAAGTCGTAAGTCCCTTACATATCCCACATCCAAAATCAACCACAACACCCCAAAGAGGACCGAAATAATTTAAAACTAACACTATAACAGTCCCAAACAGTCGTTGACGCTTACCGCAAATCCATCAAATCCTTCCCCAAGCAAAAAGTCATCTGCGGATTCTCGCGCCGCTTCGACGCCTCGTACCGCGATGCCTTTGCGCGCATGTCAAACGGCGACATTGGCACACCATCCGTCTTCCGCTCTCAGACATGCGACAAGCTCGACCCGAGCGGATTCTTCGTCGCATACGCCGAGTTCTCCGGCGGTATTTTCGTAGACTGTTCTATCCACGACATCGATCTTGCACTGTGGTTCTTCGGCGAGGACAGCAAGGTGAAGAGCGTGACTGCCGTAGGCATCACAGCCGTGCAGCCCGATCTACGAAAACACAATGACCGCGACAATGCAATTGGAATTATTGAATTCTATGTAAGTTGCTTTCTTTTCTGATTGGATTGACTCCATTGGAGCTTGGTCTTGGTCTTGGTCTTGGTCTTGGTCTTGGTCTTGGTCTAGAACAACCTTCGCGTACGGAAAACTGACTTATGATACCAGGGCGGCAAGATTGCACAGCTTTACTGCTCGCGTATGATGGCTGCGGGCCAGATGGATTGTACTGAGGTTTTCGGTACGAATGGACAGATCGCTGTTAACACACAGCCGCAGTCGAACTTAGTGAACTTGTTTGAGTCTACGGGTGTGCGTCGTGAGATCCCGCCTGATTACTATGGACGGTTCCGTGAGGCGTTCGTTACAGAGGCTAATGAGTTCACTGCTGCTTGTTTGGATAACCTTCCTCCGCCTATGTCCTTGGAGGGAGCGGTTAAGGCGGTTCGCATTGGTGCTGCTTTGCAGGAGAGCTTGATCTCTGGGAAGAAGATCGAGTTTGATGAGAGCGGAAAGCGTGTTGAGTCTGCTAGACTATAGATATACCTCTTTTGGTTTGAAAATTGAACGATATAGACTCGCTTATACTTTGATCTGCTCTGGGATGTGATTCTTTAGTTGCGTGTTAGGCCAATCTTTATTGGGAAAGTTTGTTTCTGATCTACAGGGCTAGGCTTAGCTGGGTGAGCACAAGCAATGGCCATTCGTCAGGTATTGGGGGCGGTTGAATTGGCAACATGTCCTTCCAAGGCTCAACCTTGGAGCTTCTCCCTACGGAGTACAGTGTTCAAGTCAAGAAAAAGACGTCTACTGGAAGAATATAAAGCTGGAGCGCTGAATTGACTAACACACGGACAAAAGGCGAACGGCCGAACGTCCCAAAGAGTAAGAAAATAACGAAATGAGCGGGTAATAGGGCACACAGAAAAGCGGCAAGACAAGATATGGCGTAGCAAAAAGTACATCACAAGAAGTAAAAGGTCCCAGGCTGACCTGACCCTCGCAGGATCGTATTATCAATCAATCGGTAAGAAAAAAAACCATTCTTTTTCAGTGCGTGGGCCCATCCAGTGAGAAGATTGCGTTAATGGGATGGCGAAGGGAGTGTGATGGGGTGGACAGTAGTAAAGGAAATATTGAAGGAAAGTCGAGATCAGTTGACCATGAGGGGAGGCAGAAATAAAGGACGAGGCTCGCGGGACATGGACATTAGCGGAGCGAGAAGCCCTTGCGTTTTCCCTTCTCTTCGATGGGACGACCGGTTTCGAGACGGCCCTTCTTTTCTTCGAGTTCGCCACGCTGGCGATCTAGTTGATCCTTCATCTCGCGATGTCTGGCGTAGAGCTCGTCTTCGCTCTGTTTGAGTTTGCTTTCTTTTTCGGCGACCTTCTGTTGGAAGACCATCTTCATCTCGGCTTCCATCTTGGCAAGCTTCTGCTCGTGCAGTGCGCGCTCCTCTTCCTGCTTGACGGCAGGGTTGACCTCCTTGAAGACGCTGGGGTCCTGGGCAACACCCATGAGGGTGAGCTTGTCGGACCGGTAGTTCTCGTACAGGAAGTTGTTGGTGTGCTCCTTGAGCTCCTCCATGTGGGTGCGGATCAGCATCTGGCGCAGCTTGACGAAGTCGCAGTGCTCCTCGTTGTCGACCTCAATGGTACCCCAGGGGTAGCTACGGCCACGGACGCGACGACCGTCGGCAGCAGTCACTTCGGCATTGGCACCAACCACGGCGAAGGGAACCTTGGACATGATCTCATTGTTCTCGGCAATGGTCTCCTCGTCGTCCAGCTCGTAGCGGGGACCCTCGAAGATCTGGATGTCGTGTTGTTGGATATCGGCAAGGATCTAGGAGAGTTAGCATTTGATCTTGGCATTAAGCCTTACAGAGTGAGTCAAAACGTACACGCTGCTTGAAGAGGGTAACCTCCTCGTCAGTCAGGGTATCAGCCTTGGCGATGACGGGAATCAGGTTGACCTTGGTGTGCAGGCGGCGCATCACCTCGATATCCAGGGGCTTCAGGGAGTGACCGGTGGGCTGGATGAAGTAGACACAAGCGTGGATACGGTTGTCGACGATGTTGCTGCGGTTGACCTTGTTCTCAGCCTCGAGGTAGGTGTCGTAACGCTGCTCGATGTTCTCGACAATTGGGCGCCAGGAGTCATCGTTGTTGACAAAGTCGCCGAAACCGGGGGTATCGATCACGCTGAGACGGAGACGAACACCGTTCTCCTCAATATCGGCGCTGGTGGACTGGATCGACACGGTCTTGGGGATAATGTCGGCATTGGGGCCGGTGCGCTCCTTGGGAGGGTACAGAGAGGTGTTGAACAGGGTGTTCACGAGAGTCGACTTTCCGAGTCCGGATTCACCTGATGAATATGAGCTTGATTCGAAATATACCTGTATGGTTTTTCTTCCACATACCAACAACCATCACATTGAAGTTGAAACCCTTGCGGACACTCTTGCGGTGCCACTGGTTGGGCAGGTTGGCGAAACCGACGTAGCCAGTCAGCTTGCGGCGGACGACGTTCTTCATGTCGTTAGCAGCCTGGGCGGCGGCCTTGGGATCGCGCGAAGCGACAGTCTGGTTGATTCCGGAACCCATTGGGTTGCTGCGCTCGACGAATGGCGAATCACTGCTAGGGGTGGGCGAAGAGGACGCGACCGGGGACGCGACTGGCGAAGCCGCAGGAGGTGAAGCTTCAGAATGGATCAGTATCTGGCAGACTCGAAGGGAACGAACGACCTACACATTGTGCTTTATGTCGAGAGGAAACAGAAGTAACTAATTAAAATCCCCTAAAGACGAACGTCAGCTAATCGTCCCAGTGGGGTTCACGATAGGGGGGAAAAGTTTCGTAAGGACAACAGTACCGGAACCAAATAAAGAAAAGGGGAAATGGGAAAACAGGGTATGAAGCGAGAGACCGGAAAAGAAACTCAGACACAACTGAGGAAATCGACAGAAATGAAGAAAAGAGAGGGAGAGAGAAGTTGCTGTTCCTGGGAAAGAAAGGGGGTCGGGGCCCAGCTATTCTGGAGTTGGTTTGGATCGACCCGCAGGAACTCCCGTGATATGCTATGTACTATCCGTTCTATACATTTTGGACTCGTCTATTTGTTCAATCTCTTATTATTTGTTGTTGCATTATAGGGACATTCTAGTTCTGACGGCCTGGTGTGGAATCGACCATTGGCAGACTGCATATCCAGACCAACTTCTGCCCCGTTCCAGTTAGGCCCATTCAAATATTCTGCCATGTCATATGTTGCCTCGTACTGCGTACTCCGTATATGAATATGAGTAGAGTCAGTACGGAGTAACTGCAATATAATCATTTCTCCTGAGATCAGGGGTTAAACGTTGAAAGTCAGAATTATGAGCCAATCACCACTCACGTGAGCTCCCCACATGTAAATAGACTATAGAACATGTACGAAGTACGGAATAATGAGTTACTAAAGACACGGAAGAAGGAAATATAGAGGAAAATACGGAGTAGAGAGAGAGAAAGAAGAGAGAGCGGAATTGGAAAGAGAAAATGAAACCTTGAAAAAAAAGAAAATTGAATATGGATATGAATATTGGACTAGTACATCTATTGAGAAGTCTTGGTCTTCTTCTTGGGACGTTCGTTATCCTCGCCGCCAGAAGCATCGGGCATTTCCTCATCACTGCCACCGCTACTCTCGTGGTCTGAGTCAAATTCTTCTGCCACGTCCGAGTCTGATGATGCATCAAAGTCTTCGTCAACCGAGGACTCATCTTCATCCGCAGATCCGCGGTCCGGGCGGACTTCGTCGTCGCTAGATCCCATGGCGTCGTTGTCAAGTGCCGCGGCAATAAGGCCAGATGCCTAAGATTATTAGTATGATTGAATCTACCAGTCGAACGGGGAAACCATACCTCTTCAGCCATCTCGTTCTTAATACGGATGCTCTTGGCCTTGAAGAAGTCCTCCAGGGACTTTTGCTCCTCACTGCTCTTGTTAGAATGTAATCAAAGGGGCAGAGTCAAAGCACCTACCGGTTGATGTTGCTGAACTGATGTTCGCCCAATCCATTCTTCAATCCAACTGTAATGTCGAATGTGCGGCTAGCGGAAACAGCGCCTCCAACACGCGACATGGTGACCATGGCAATGTTTTCCATCTGGATGTAAGTTGCGGGCTTGGGAACAAACATCAAACTCTTATCCAGGAAGTACAGAAGACCCTCGTTGGCCTTGATAGAACACTTGACACCTTGGTGACCATGGTGGCTGAAATGAGGTTAGCAATTGTTGTTGCAGGATAAATTGCAGATTATCACTTACCTGACAAAGTCCTTGGAAGGCATGATGACCTTCTTTCCAGACAATCCACGGAAAACCTTGGTAACCACTTGGTGGATAGGCTCTTCGTAGTGCGCCTGCAACTTGTCTTTGTACTGGTTCTGCATGAGGTCGCTGTCTCAATGTTAGTGGAATCACATCAATATCAGGTCCACGGAACTCACTCGGTCATATTCAGCTCAAGGCTGATCTCTTCATCCAGCTTCAACTGCATGACGAGGAAAGGATAGCGGGTTTGGCCCTGGCGCAAAGGAGGGTCAAGACCAAGCACAATGAGTGTGTGGGTATCATCGTTCTTGGGCAGAAGGAAGAACTTCTTAATAGCAGAGTATTGAATCTTGTAGTCGTATGTCTTTCCGCGCAAACGGAAGGATGATTCGTACATGTCGATATCGAATCGTCCTCTGGGCGTGAGATGAAGAACATCGAGGAAGGTAGCAAATGTGTCACCGGCAACATCTCCAATCTCAGCCTTGTCCATGAGTGTCTCGTAAAAGAGGTTGGCGGCGTTCTGCTCTTCGACCTCTTCATCATTCTCCTCTTCCTCGCCTTCGGCGCCCTCAGCCTTCTCCTTCTTCACGGCGGTTCCGGGAATGTAGAAACGCATCTCAACCAGCTCATCAGGTCCTGCTGCGGCTTTACGGCCTCGGTTCTTTGTGCTTCCGGCCTTCATGGCGGCATCGCTTGCGTCCCCAGTAGGGAGTGCGAACTCCACCGCGACCTCGTTTCGTCCAGCCAAATTTGTGTTTGCGATTTCAGAGTAGGGAACTTCGAATGCGGGGCGGTTCTGAACATTGAAGGCGAGTTCGGCCTTTGTGAATTCGGTCTTACCCCAGTTCCATCCTCGCAGTGCGTGCTCGCGAGTCTCCACGTTAATGCCGTACCAAATCTTGAACGCTTTGCTCAGGCGCTCGAAATCCTTTCAATATGTCAGTGAACGATCAATGGTCACCAGGCGCTCAAATCCACATACCTCCTGATCAAATCCATCCAGCTGGATGACTCCTGAGTTGCGCGACAAGATCTTAAGCTCAAAACCCTTCGCGGCACGACTCCAGTGTGCTGCGCCAATATTGCTGCTGTCAAGTGTGAAGGTATCGCCTCCGCCCGATGGGCGCCATCCCAATCCACTGTCAGCGAGCTTGCATTTTCCAGGCTGCTTTGAGAGGTCCAGGTAGATGTTGTCAAAGCTCTCCCTGTAGGTGGTCAGTGCCGATCGAGAATTGCAGTGGAGGGGACCTACATGATAGAGGCCAAAGGAGCAAATATCAGTGGAAACTATGAGGTAGCCTGAAGAGATTGGAGACGGAATGATGGTGAGAGATGAGCTGGACCGAGAGCTTTAAGATTTCTGGAGTTCGCGTTGCGGCGCGCGGTAGGGAGGCCACTTTCGCCATAATTGGCTTAGCGTCTGTGCCTGAGGCGCCACACCCAGTCCTCTATCACAGTTGCATCTTGTTCGCTCACTTCTTCTTTCTTTTTTCGTTCGGGCTCTGGTTTATTTCATTTATTTTGGACGGTGTAGACCTGGTGACACTGCTTGGCACTCATGGAGCTCATCTATCAAACTTGGTTGATTTGAGCAGTCACCACGGAATAATATGTGAGGGGAATATGTATCCTAGGCAAGCCTGAGAGCTGCGTTGGCTGGATGTGAACCCATGGACTTCACCACCAAGGTAGGCTCAATCATATAACAAAAATATACAAAAAAGAAAACAGGTAATTTAGAGGATATGAGAAGACATTGGATAATTTTGGAAGGATAAATCTCAAAGTTCTAGACACCTAGGTTGTGGGCTTCCTATACGATGGCCATGAGGAGCTACCACCATTTTGGTGGATAGATGTCCTTATGCAGGACCTCCCGAGGTCGGGAGATGTGTTACTATGCTAGTTATATGTATCAATAGCTTCTTTAGCTTAGGATCAACGAAGCCGAGTATTGGGCTCTAGATAAATAGTGTCATTCAGGATAATTGGTCAAATCCAAAGGCTTGAGCCATGCGACACGGGCTGATATTTTAGCACTTTTGAAACGATGTTGCTTACATCCAAAACTCCCCTGAAGTGGCGATGATCGACTATTTTGAACAACTGAAACCCAGACCCAGGTGGACGGACGATATAGTGTAGATCTTTCGAACCCTGCGGAAGTGTCAGAGTTGAAACAAGCCCTGGAGTACGATTGATCTGTTTGAACCCCATCATTGTGCCCTTGGATGGTGCAAAAGTACAATTGATATACAAGTAGTGGATACATACAAATCCATCTTCAAACAGGTCACTGGTTGTAAGGTGGCGCTGTAAGGGTGCCTACATGCAGAAGCATATACTTGACCCCCAGCCGCAAGTACATATCTTGGAGCAAACACACAACCGACGCAACAAGTGTGGAAGTCGCAGCTCAAATCAATGACCAGGCTCTAATTTATGCACAAATGTAGTACCAAATATAACCATATACAACCACAGCCCCGAGGCCACCTGTAGGCAGGTAGAAGCGATACATTGTGAGACATGTAAAATAACACACTGCCCAGGTGGCGTGGGTGGCACAAGATTTTTGAACGACACCAGCGGAACTAGCGGATATCTTCTTTACTCTTTCTGAATGATGCCCAAGTAGATTTGCAAGAATATAAAAGTCCATAAAAGTCCATGTAGGTATTTTACATACAAAAAAAAAGATGATTCAAAGGTCCCCGGATATCGGGGCAAACCCCCAAATGAAGGATGTAGGCTTCACTATACTTGTAAGCCGTAATATGCTTGTGGGAGTGAGTATGGAGTACTCCGTATGGCGGCCCAGACACAATCCAATGGAGTCCGCAAAGGCCAATCAAACCCTTATGCCATAGACAAGTGCGTGGACACCACGCAAACCGAGAACGGTGGTGGATCACTCCGTTCTATAATTAAGCGAAATAGCGCGGGGCCTTGGATCAGTTCTGCGACAGCTCCACTCTTAGCTCAACGTTGGAAGTTGCAACGTGCGATCGATAGATTACTTTGGATCTACCGATGGGGTGATCGATGTACTTGTATAACTAGTAGAGAGGATGAAGATGAATACTTACATCATGATCAGGGATTGAGTTTCGAAGAGGGCAGTGCTCAGACGGAGTAGTTTAGTGTTATGACGGGCAAATTAGTACTCCGTAGTTACAGTATGTAGTGCCGGCAGATCCTAATTCGACTCGGGTATCGACAGTACCAGTACAGGCAATTCTGTATACCTAGCTATTTACTATATAGAAGAAACTAGAGAGCCACGTCAAGTTTGATACTCGTCCCTTTATAATACTATTATAGGGATTGTTTACTCCGTAAGTCCTAAACCAGTACGGAGAAGGGAGAACGAAGGCATCCATGGTTCCAATGAATCAAAAGGTCCCCACATCTAACGGGAGGCTGGGAATGCGATGGTGTCATTGGTCGTCAATGAGTCGTGCAGTGCATTAGTGTCATCCTTAGTCTGAAGGTCCGTATTTGGGTATTTTTGAAGTTGTTTGGCAATTATTTCGTACAGTTCAGTATTAGCAGAGTGGGTTCATTTCACCTCATTTCGTCAAACCCCCCTGGGTCTTCCCTCTTCACATCCTGTCATTCGTTGCGGAGGCTTCGGTCTCAATCATTCACTCTTTTACATTCCCTTTTTTTAGAGATTTTCATATGCCACATTCTTTACATTCGTTTTTTCAACGCGTTGCGGCCTGACGCCTGCGCCTCCTGATCTCACCCTACCCTACCACTCGCTTCATTGGGGTAAATTTCACTTCTTTTGCCCGTCGTCGCTCCCAGGACAATGAGGTTCTCTTCATTGTTTGGGCCGGCGACTGGCTGGCCCTCGCTTCTGGCTCTTTTCCCGACCATTCACGCCCTGTCATTCGAGGCAGTCTCCGTTCCGGAACTGGATCTGTCATCGCTGGGACGGGTTTCGATCACTGGTGATTTCGACGGTGTTTCCCTCTACCAGTACAAGGGACAATCCGAATCAATTCCCCAAGATGGCACCCAGGCTCTCCTCACCCCGCTACCGAACGGCATCCTCACGAACCTGTCCTCGTCCGACGCGCAAATCCTGGCTATGTGCCCCTTCACCCAAAAAGACGGCACCTTCTCCGGAATCTTTGTCGGTGGTAACTTCACCACTCTCGGTGGCGTGGATTCGCCTGGCGCCGCCCTGTTCAACCCAAACACTAGCAAGGTCACTGCCTTGCCGGGCCTTTCGGGCTCGGTAGCAGCGGTGGTCTGCGACCAAGCAACTAACCGGGTTTACGTCGGAGGAGATTTCACACACGACAACACGACGAACGCCGTTTCCTGGGTGCCCGGTGATGGCTGGACTGACCTGTCGTTCAACGGCCTCAACGGGCCAGTCAACTCGATTTTGAAGGCAGACAACGGCCATATCGTCTTTGGAGGATCATTCGACGCTCTCGGTAACAGCACCAGCTCGTCGAGCAAGCGACAAGTCCTCAACCTTCAAAATGCGACCGTCACCTCCGATGCGGATTCCTCCCTTGACGGCTACTCCGACCCACGTAACATTATCTGTTCAACCAGCGGTGAGGCCGCCAAAGGCTCGACTTACCTTCTACACGATTATGCGCCCGGATTCTGGAGAGCAGACCTTGGTTTCGATTTCTTCCCGACGAAGATTCGTCTCTACAACACCCATATGGATGGACGCGGCACCAAGGACTTTTTGCTTCGAGCTCTTCCCGACAATGGTATCATGAACTTGACTTACACCGATGACTCTGGCAACAAAGTCAGCTGTGACTCGTCTTGCCCTCTTTCCAGCAGCACCACTTCCAAATACCGCGAATTCACCATGGTTAACCCCGTTGGTATGCAGGGTCTCCAGATCGAAATCCTTGATTGGTATGGAAAGGGCGCTGGTTTGAACGGCATTGAAGTTTTCCAGGATCAAATCCTCACATACGCTATTGACCAATACAACGAGCCGACTTGTGCAGGCATTGAATATCCCGCTCAGTCATCGCGCACTGGCGATTGGACCATTGAGTCTGGGTATGTGTCTGCAAAGACTACGAACTCCGACGCCTCGGATACATCTGTCACTTTCCGACCTGACATCAAGAAGTCCGGAAATTACACAATTTTGATGTACACTCCTGGTTGCACTCAGGACAACAGTTGCAGCTCGCGAGGTATCGTCAACGTCACTGCTACTTTGTCAAGTGGCTCCGATTCCGACCAACCCGAACCCAAGTACATCCACCAGACCAACAACGACGACAAGTACGACACTTTCTACACCGGCTACGTGGATGCCAGCAGCGACTCCTTCCGACCCGAGGTCAAGCTGCGGGCACAGGATGGTCAAGGAGATGTCACCATTGTTGCATCCCGTGTTCGTTTCCAGCTTTTGAACAGCACAGGGGGTCTCAATGGACTCTATGATTATGACCCGACTTCCAAGTCTTCCGATACCTCAGACCTCACCAAATCAGACATCAACAAGGCTGGCACTTCGCTTAACCACAATGCTTCGATCTCCAGCATCAAGGAACACGATGGCGTGCTTTATGTGGCAGGTAACTTCTCCGATAGCAAGCTGCATAACATCATGACGATCACAGATGGCAATGCCACAGCTATGTCTGGTGCTGGGTTCAACGCCCCAGTGCTGGCAATGGCTGAGCTCGACGATGTCCTCTATGTTGGCGGTCGCTTTACCGACACGTCGGATGGAGGCGTCGACGGGTTGAGCCGTGTTGCGGCCTACTCTTTCTCATCAAAGAAGTGGTCTTCACTGGGCGCAGGAGTGAACGGTCAGGTCAACTCGATCTGGCCTGTTCAACTGAACGTTTCAACTGCGATCAACGAGACAATCCTTGCTGTGAGCGGTGATTTCGACCAGATCCTTGCTACCAATGGCAACCCCGCGGTCTCAGTGGCTGGCCTTGCCATATGGGTTCCCTCACGCAAGGATTGGATTCAAAATCTCAACGTCACGCAGATGGAGTACGGTGGTCAACTGTCGGCCTTTGCTACCCACAACGATACACTGATTCTGGCTGGTAACATTGCCACCAATGGGGTTACTGCTGGTGGTGCCGTATCACTGCTTGAGTCTGGCGAATCGCTTCTTCCTCTTTCTATGAAGTTCAACCACAAGAACTCCAGCAGCGGCTTGATTGCTGGCGCGTATGACACCGATTCGGACCGCAACCTTACTATCTACGGCGGCCACTTCACTGCCGCTGGTAGCAATGGGTCCTCAATCGAGAACATTGCGATTTTCAACGGCAGCGATGATAGCATCTCAGGACTGCCCACAGGCATCGACAGTAACTCAACATTCGTTACAATGCTTGTATACAACAACACACTTTACGCCGGTGGAAATGTGACCGGAAACATCAGTGATACCTCGCTGGGCGGTCTCGTTGTGTACGATCTGTCCGACAAAGTGTTTGAAGATATCCAGCCATCGTTTGGAGGCGACAACGTCGCTGTCAACTCTATCACCAGACGCCCAGGCTCATCCGACATCTTCTTTGGAGGAAATTTCGACGCTGTCGGCCAATTCCCTTGTCCTTCTGTCTGCTATGTTGATTCCCGCACTAACGACTGGAGTCGACCTGGTCTGACGCTCAGCGGCAACGTTTTGGAACTCCAGTGGGCCAGCCAAAACACGCTGATGGCTATTGGTAACCTCAAGGTTTTGAACAACGAGACTTCCATCGCCACCTACAGCAAGAAGTCCGAAGAATGGTCTACTTTCCCCGGAGCATCCAAATCGGAAATCCCCGGAAATGTGACCGTGTTCACTCCTGCCCGGGAAGATCTGTCTCAGTTCTGGATTGGAGGTACGTCCACCAATGGATCTGCCTTCTTCTTGAACTACGATGGATCCAAGTTCCAGTCCCCCGGAAACCTGTTCTCCGAGGGTACTGTCATCCGTGGCATGGAGATTCTTCCCATCAGCAAGGATCACTCCGCGACTACATTGTTGGACAACTCCCAGACTCTGTTGATTTTGGGATCACTCGTGATTCCGAACTTTGGCAACGCGTCTGCGGCCTTCTACAATGGCACTGACTTGACCCCCTTCATCCTTTCATCGCAAGCCAATGGCGAGTCGGGTAGCATGTCGAAGTTCTTTTCTCAGAAGCAAAACCCTTACACCACGACAAGTGAGTTAACCTGACCCGTCGTCGGTTCTCCCCCGTGGACCTTTACTGACCTTCCTAGCCAAACACCACTCCAACGGTATCGCTGTTCTGGTTGCATTCTGCTGTGCCCTTGGCTGCGTCTTCCTCATCGTGCTGGCCGGAGTTATCCTGAACAAGGTGCAACGTCGTCGCCAGGGCTATGCAGCAGCACCCCAAACCTTTGGCACCGACCGACCCTCCGACATGCAGCGGTTGCCCCCAGAGTATCTCTTCAACTCGCTCGGCCAAACCAACCCTGGTGCTCCCGCACTCTAATGCCCCGTCACCCCCACACTCCCAAAAACACTTGAACCCTTTGATACTCTTCGAAGCTGGAGTTTTTGATTTGTTCTTACCGCAAGTTGTGTTGCTATACCCAGCCTTTAATGTCTTATTTTGTTTGCTATCTGTGTGTCTTGCCATGTCTTCTCTTTTTTTTTTTTGTTCGCGCCGGCCACACCGCGGACTTTTTTCATCTTTTTCTAACTCCGGGTACTACACTTAGTCTCCGGATGTTCCCCTGTGTATAGGCCTCTCTGATCCCATGTATCATATACTTTTCTAGCGATCTGTCACTTGACTGGATGTTGCTAAGGACGTGAGGTAGATAGCCACGCTAGGATCGTGGAACATGACACAATTAATACAATACCCTTTTGCTGATGAAGTGGTTGTTGTTTTTTCTTCTATTTACATGGATTGGAGGGATGGGGCTCAGCCAAGACCCTTTAGATTCAACTAATTATTTGGGAGAAACTCGAAAGAGGACTAGATGATGCTCAAAGACTTAGCTAAATGACCAATTACTGACCTCAAGAACCGAGAAAATGACCTTAACAAGGCATAGACCCAAAGCGCTATACGAAAAAAAGACACGTAATTAGCCAAACACAGCCCTGGAGGCTGTGGCACCTGACCCAGGCACTTTGTGTGGGGGCCCCAGGTCACCTGCTCTCTCCCCGCAAGTCGATCTCCAGGTTTTCAACCCCATCAACTACACTGCTTCGGATGTTGTTACTCCGTCGCATTACCATTTCGGTATGCGATCACGAACTGGCTGGTAAGTTAATACCCTCACTTATCCGCCAAGCGCTGACACCGAGAAGCCTCACGTGTCGGACTCGAAAGCTGAAATGTAGGGACCCTTTGCGATCTCGTGCCCCCCCTAAAAGTCCCCCTCAACTAAACCGTCTGCAGGCGACGAAGAAAAGCCTGAATGTTCGCAGTGTCGCAAGGGTGGACGAGAATGTCGCCCAAGCGAAGGCGTTGTCTTTCGCCACCAACAGAACGCGTCGATGAATCGGAATCTCAACGGATCGCCGGAAGGTCGGGGCAACTTGAATGGCTTTTATTCATATAAGAATACCTTTGATAAGGATAGTGTGTGGCTGGATGTTCCAAAGCATGGTACGGCGCCCTGACGAAGTTGCGATGCGGATGTTTGATCGGAGGCTTATCTTCTCTGTAGTGATATTCGTCGACAACTCCGATCCGTACGCGGAAGATCTGGAAGCGTCATTAGCAGAGCCGGGAAAAGCGGCACTGGCGACATCTCCAAGCCAACGATGGGGTAGCAGTGGCTCGCGAACGAGCGACGCCGAAACACAACGACTGGACGCCTTGTCAGCAGTCGCAACACACGATCGATTTCCTTATTCCCCCATGGACCATTCACTTTCCGATAGTACTTCATACCCCTCTCCGAACCAACGCCGAAGCGCGATACCCCCGACCTCCCCCTCCATGTCGCTGTCGTCCACCAGCAACAATACCAATATTAATTTCCTCCTCAACCCTTCCCATTCGATGTCTCCCCCATCGACCCCAGCATCCAGCTCTCTGACCGAACCACCGCACTCCCTACAAGACCGGCCGTATCGAAGAGAAGTATGAGTCAGATGAGTATAAGCCATATGCCAGACGACAATGCCGAGACAGATTTCGAGACCGCGTTCTTCCTCCGACACTATTCCGAAGGACCAGGACTGTGGTATGACCCCATAGCCTCGATGGAAATAGACCAGGTGTGTTGATCAAAATTGCAGGATGGATCTCTTCGACCTAGGCACATATTTCGCATCATACGTCCCCGTTCGAGCCCGGTCAAACCCACTTTTGAAATTCGCAGCTTGCGCATATGCCGCGAAGCAGCTAGGGCGAGTGAAAGGCGCCAAGGCACCGATGGGCGGCGTATGCACGCAGCAAGCGGCCATGGAACTGTGGCCTGACACAGATCCCGATTTCGCCTGGTACGGAGCCAAGTATTATGAGAAGGCAATTCAGATTCTGATGAGAGAGCTGCAACCGAATGCCGAGGGTCCGCCTCCTTTGAGTACACCGGAGGCGTTTGGTCAGTGGCAGGCTTCCGAACTCTCTGGGGATACCAATAATCCACGTAAGCGTCGACGGCGGGTGTCGGACAGCCAACTTTCGCATGGGGTTCATTCGGATGAGGTTTTGGCGGCAACGGCTATCTTGTCTGTGTATGAGTTCCTCGATGCAGCTGGGCCCGCGTGGAATCGTCATTTGAGTGGGGTTAAGTCGCTTCTCGATGTTGCTGAAGTGGGTATGATGCCTCTTGAGCAGCGTCCTTCTCCTGGAGAGAACTCGTATCAGGCTTCCACGCCGAAGAAGTCGAGTCTTTCAAAAGCCCGGAGGGCTACGTTTTGGAACTTTGCAAGACAGGATTATCTGGCTGCATGTAAGTATCTTAGGACCATTATACCATTCTTTGAGACAATGCTGATAGAACAGTCATCAACGAATGCCACACAAGGCTAAACACGGACGACACGGTCCTTTGGACCGAAGCTGGACTGTTGCTTGATAATGCTGGGTTTATCCGACCCAGCAACACAGGCGCCGCTGGATACCCCGAGGGCGAAGGGATCATGAAAGAAGACCTCATTAGTAACGGGCTGGTGTGGATCATGTCCAAGATAGTCAACTTCATAAGCTCGGGAGACAACATGCATCTAACCGACAACCGGCCCATGCCCGGTCCACTCGGTGTGACACAGCAAACACTCCTAGAGCGGTGGTATAGACTCAAATCCGAGCTCGACGCATGGTACAGCGGCGTCCCAGAGACATTCCGACCCTGTGCACGGATGGATTCATCCAAGCTGACACACCACCGACCAGCCAACGAAAACGAAGACATCTCCACCCTGCAGGAGATCTGGTTCAGCCTCTCAATGTGCGCATCGACCATGCAGCACTACCACATGGCACGTATCTTACTGCTGATTAACAAACCTCACGAATCGACCAGTCGAAGGAGCACAATCACACTCCGACTGCAGTCTTACCGGTCCATCGAGGCCGACATCGCATTCCACAGTCGAGAAATTGTAGGCATCGGGCTCTCCCGCCCGGACGGAAGTGTCAGGATCAACTCTCTGCAGCCGCTCTTTGTCGCCGGGCAGTGTCTGACTGATTCCCGGGAGCGCAGGACAACAGTCCGCTTGCTTCGGAGTATCGAGTCAGACCTCGGCTGGGCGACAGAGTACCGCGTGCAACAGCTGATGAAAGAATGGGGATGGGACGAGGGTACGACCCGATCGCCCAAGGCAGGTGCTTGAGGCGGGTGGTTTTGACCTGCGAGAGCAGGCTTGGGAACAGGAACAGGAACCACAACATCCATGTCACCTACGCTGTATTGCAAGATTGGGTGAATCTGCGCAGAGAGGCACATTGTCCCCGATGGGATTTGGCCCCGCATTTGATACCCGATGAGACTCTTTTGGTGGGGTAGGCATTGTGTGCAGGACAGCTCTCGGAGCTGCACCACTGCGCGCCCATTCGCACATATTTTCTCGGTGCTTGGGTCACATGCCAGGCAACAGAGAAGCCCAATGTCTTGGTATGAAAGGCCGAGACCAAGGACGCCTGGCAGTGAGATGAATAATGAATGTTCATGACACCGTATTGTATGTAGCATGTACAGTATAGCAGAGATACAGCATCAAGATTTTTGGGGGAAGAAAGACCCTCGGGAGCAACAAGGTAGCAAGAGAGCAAGAAGTAGTAAAGTAATAAAGTAGTAGAGTAGCAGAGTAGCAGAGTAGCAAGTTAGCAGAGTCTGCTAATTCCAGGCACATGGCTCGCTTCAGTTGCCTGCATCAGTGGAAGCAACCTTAGATTCTTTTAATTCAGGGCTGAACCGTGAATAACCGGAAACTAAGGAATTAGAGAATTGGCATTGACAAGAATTTGAGAAAAGAAAACCACAGAGCTCAATGTAGTACTCCGTACATCTCTGCCCAAATGCATTTCTCCCTCAGGTTCCAACAGGAACAGTTTCCCTAAAACCTCAAAACCTCATTCTCTTCACTCCCCCCGCCCCCCACATTTTCCCAATGATTGCAACAAAAACCCGCAAGGTTGCAGGTTTGCCGTGCATGTTGTCACCGAATCTCCACATCCCCACTGATTTACATATCCCGGGGGGCAAGTTATCCGAACGTTGATCAACGACCGAGAATATTTCGGGATACTAATATCGGACATGCCGGGTCTGATTCGACGACCATAAGTAAGGGTAAGATCCGAGAAGAAAGTATCGCGATGCATCTGCATGCGACCTGCAAGAGAGCTATTTAACCTGGCACGAACTCCTACCTGTTTACTGTGCTCCGTGCTCTGCGCACTGTACTCTGCACTCTGTACTCGGTAGTATGCTCTCACTAAGACATCATACCCGTGGACCCAGACGTCACACACGACTCCTTGATTTGAAGTGATTGAACCAGGCCGATCAACCTGATGCGGCTTCACGCAGACCATATAGCTGCCAATCATGAGTCGGTGCGCCATCTTTGGTGTGAGACCACGTGCGGATGTGAGGTCGGACCCTGTTTCGCCGAGATGGCTTTTTACTTCCCCCTAAATCAGCATGTTACGATGAAAAATGTGACACGGTACGCCATCGCATGTCCTTCACCAACAGGACTGAAGGGACCTGAAGCCCGGGGTGGGATAGAGGAACGTAGCACGTTTTGCTGGAGTTCGCCCCCTGGGGTCAATCTGACGCCGTTGTTCGCACTGTCATGAATTTTGCAAAGAAGCCCGAATCCCAATCTGCGAATATGTATGTGGCGAGCTGCATCAGCACCACGAGAGATTAACGGACACTTTAGAATCAAGCCAATGTTGCTATGCTCCTGGCATAGAGGTACCACCTCTCGAGATCTCAATCTGAACGGTCTTATCGGCCCCAGCGCCCTCAGCACGGCCTCAGCACAGTCTAATCACGGTGGTACTTTCATTGGGTTCACCGGCGCTTACCCGTCCATGCCACGTTACCCCGTAAGACGATCATGTTTGGCGCACACGACTGGTATCACGAATAATGACGAGCCGATGATATTCCGAGGACGTGCAGAGAAACAAGCCAAGGCGTGTGTTCGAGCCGACAATACGGAGTACTGATGCCCCGATACGGAAGGGCTGTGCATGATCTCCGTGGGGACCTGGAACGCAGAGCCAGTAGCATGTTCGTGTCACCAAGAACGCACATAGATGTGTGATGAAGAGGAAGGGGCGCGAAGGGGACTATTGGTCCGGGCTGGCCGCTGGGTGAGAGCGTTGGGGTAATAGAGTTGTGCAGCTCAACAGCGCGACGAGCGAACACAAGACGAGTGCTGAGCTGCATACAATTGCAGACTGGCCTCTCCGTACTCCACGGCGTCAAGTGGGATGATCTCCGCGATTATGCAAGAAAGATTGACATGTCCAATAAGCCAGGATGCGAAGTCGTGCACCGGGCACCGTGCTTCGTGCTTCGTGCTCCATACGGAGTACATTGCATGGTATCAGAGAGGTGGGTTTGACAGATGAGCTATCAACAAAAAGACCCATGATGACCTCAGTCGACCGTCGCAGACCGACCTATCGCACTCGACTCGGTCTGTTCGCCGTAGTGCTGAATCATGACAGATCGCACACACAAAGAAACATCCAATTGGCTTTCGGGATAACGAATGTTAAAGGCGATCACAGTCGGAGCTGAGTGCGGGCGGATGATTGGGCGGATTGACGCGGGGGCACTCGGGAGAGAAAACTGACACTGACCACTCCGCAGGGGATTTGCAGGATTTGCAGAGAGGCGAGCGACCAGACAAATAGAGCTGGGCGAATCATCAGTCAGTCAGTACTTGGCAGGGGCGAGATGTTTTTGAAAGGCTGAGATCTGTCAGCTGTCAGGGAATTCTCCGATGTCTAGACTTTTGGATTGTATTGGAATTCATTCAATACACCGCACTGTACTAAAATCGGATAAAACGGGGACATTCAAAACAATCAGAAGAGAGCTAGCCGATTTAATTTAACATGGACATGGACATTGTTGGATCTGGGCCCGGAAAAGGCACTAAAGGCACTAACTACGACTAAAAATGCTAGCCCGAAGCGAAGAAGGCTGAGTACGGAGGGCTTACGGAGTAGTATTTGGTGGGTATTTGATATTTAGCGTTGAGCCCTGTATTATATTCCACAGGGAAGATTTAGTGCTGATTCCAAGGTCATTGTTAGTGATGGTACTCCGTAGGTCCTCCGTGTGCGTGTAGGTAGTACTCCGTGATAACACAGTAGTGAGTACCGACTATTCCTAGATACCAAATCTGAGTCCCCAGGGGCTCAAGGTAGTATCTCCTACTACGTTCCACGAGATCGGGATTGGGAATATAGAAGCGATGGTGGTACGAGTCCTCCGGCCCAAGGTTCTCAGGTCGATCTCTTACTGAGGCGGGCGAAGATCCCCCCTGTTCGCGTATTTTATCTTTTTATCTTGTATTGGCCAAGACAAGGACCGTGAGCCAATCCCACTGTGGCTGCCATGCCCTCGTGTGCGTGGGGCGAAATGAGCCTTTCACAGTTAGAACTGCCTGGTTCTGGACGGGATTGGCATTGGGACCTGCAGCGATGCTCGACTCGTACAAGTACATTGTATAATCCCCCCCCGTTCGTTTTTAACCCATTCACTTCAATTCCTTTGCGCGACCTCTCGCGCTGGCGCGTTAGTCTTGATATGCTGGTGTGCTGCTCGTCATCATGGTGCACGCCCTAACTGGACACTGCCCGTCGCCTTTCCTTCAAGAGACTCTTTTCCCTACCGTCGGCGGATTTATCGATGGACGCTATTGTGAGAAAGTGACGCTGGGCAACAGCACTTACTCGTGCTGCTTGCCTTGCCCTCTCGCCGAATGGCGGTACGATACTGGTTAGTTGAAAGGCTTCTACGAGTCAATGCAAATTTCCATTGTCAATGCCAATGCCTAACGTGTGCGCAAATTAGACCTGCATTCTAAAATCGACGTGGCCAGCTGGATCAGTGTCGCTATTCTCCCTCTTTGTATCTTTTTGCTAGTTTCGTACGCCGTGTTGCCTGTGAAATGGACTCACAGACATTACTTGAGTATATGCTTCACAATTGGTATCTGTTGCATGGAGGTAAGTCTGAAGACCCAATGGCCGGACCCTGATCCCTAACAGCATTCAGCTTGCCTTCATTATCCCACTGGGTGCCAAACCAGAACAGTGCCACAACGCCATCACCCCTAATGACATGCATTCCGATCTCTCGTGCGCCTTCTCCGGCTCATTTCTACTCTTCGGTGGCTGGATGGTCGTGATATGGAGTTTCATTCGGACCATCGCATTCCACCTCCAAGTCTGCTGGGAGGTCGTCCTGGGCCCCAAATTCATGTGGTTGGCTTTTGTCTGCGGCTTCGGCATTCCTGCAATTGGCCTGACCGTGATGCTCGTACTTACGGGCGTCTCCTTCAGATTCGGTGAAATCTGTCACATCAACGTGACCAACGCCCTTTACGACTACTGGATTCCTATCATGATCTTCGCCGCGGCAGCTCTCTTCCTCCAGGTATCAACCATGATCTACTGCACCCACATATACGTCCGCTCTCTCTTCGACAAATCTGCCTCCACGACAGGCAGCTCTGGTCTTCCTTCATACACAGCTAGCGTTCGGACAGTGACAGCCCGACAAGCCTACCGACGAGTCCGCCGCGTCCTCCAACTTCAATGGCGAGGCGTGGCCCTCGTCTCAATCATCATCGCCAACGTCATCTTCTTCGCAGTCGTCTTCATCGAGCTCGACAACGCAGTCGCCCCAACCGCAGACAACGTCGAACAAGCAACACCTTGGCTCCTATGCCTCGCCACCACCGGCGGCGACACCGAAGGCTGTCGCCAATACGCAGCAGCCATCGGCCCCAACGAAGCTACCCTCCTCGCAGTAGTAATCCTCCTATCTCTAGTCGGCTTCTGGAACTTCATTCTCTTTGCTCGCCCCTCGATGTTCGCGGGGTGGATGGATCTATTCGGCCGCGGCGTCCGACGCCGCAATGAATTCGTTTCCGCCGACGCGAATAACCGCTTCGTCGATAACAAGGGCTTCGAAATGCTGACCTCCACGGTCAAATCACCAGATGCTTACATGCGGTCGCCAAGCCCCGAGCAAATGGCCCAGGATCGCAGCGGCTTCACTAGTTCCAGTCCGACATTCGACCGTAAGGTTCATCTCGGCCAAGACGCCCGATATACTCGTCCCTCTATGAGCTTCTCGGGGCCTAGGCCGCCTAGCTCGACTCAGGGTACGCGCGAATGGGACCCTTCATCTACATTTGCTCCGGCTTACGAGCGAGAACGAGATTAATGTTTTATTTTATTTTATTATGTTATTTTCGCAATACGTTATGTTTACACTAGGTATTATTATTATTACCACCAAAAATTTCCCCGGTTTTTCTCAATCTTCAATTGGTCTTTCCTTTTAACCTTTTCCATGTCTCAAGGATCTACAAAGGATACCTATACATGCAGTAGGAGAAAAAGGACTCAAGGATCTACATGTACCGGTCTATGGGTATTCCCAATGCCGTGATGCGAAATATGTCTCACCATCCCAGGCAACCTTGGAAGTACTCGTGCAAATCCACGCGTGACTTTGCGTACTTGTCGACAAGAATGGATCCGTTTCATAATGTGGCCCAGACTCCCTATCCACAGTGTTCTAAATTGATCCAACTCCACATGGAATTACAATAAGTGCTACTACATTTAGTTACGGAGTCGTTAACAGTCTTCTGTAGATTAAACGATAGAAACCGAGTCCAAGCTCCCAACGTAATCCAACCCCATCCCACGACCACTGGTTTTAATTTAGATCTCAAATCGCCCATCGAGAACGGTCTCCATCTCAATCTAAATTGCAATGTGGATTATATCGGATCCCCGCATCGGTCTGCCCGTGAGCGCTCGTACCGTACTTCGTACGAGCACCTGAGTAGTTACTTGAACAAGTCAAATGACTATGATGCCTGATATTCCCCACCGGACCAACCTTGACACTCCCTGTGGATCTGTCGCATCGCATCGCTATCACTTACAAAGATACCATGCACCGTCAAATCCCTACATTCTTACGGAGTACATTTTCGACACACCGGATCCGGGATAGGCAACAGAGTGTTTTACAATGGACAGGCATTGTAGTTCTGCCCACATGGATGCGATGCACGAGGGAATGATCTAGAATGGGTATATCCGGAAGGCAAAACGGGATTGGCGAAATTGGACCAGTGAGAGAGTCCCTTGGAAGGTTATAGTTCTGATTATGGTTATGGTATTATTACCAAGCTTGGGAAGACTGGCAGTCTGAAACGCAACTTGAAAAGACCAGCCCAAAGACGGTAAAACCGCCGTTCCTGCGTTGAGTGGAGTCCCGTCCATGTGGGGCTGTATAGTATTTTACTTTATGTATCGTACTGTATATGCCCAGCCCTGGAGGTGTATTCGGCCTTCTCTTCTGTCTATTTACTTATCTGGGTTTAAGTAGTATCGCACTAGGAGGATTATGTGAGATAGATCTTGGCTCTTTTATCCCAAGGCTTGAATTAGGCTCATTCCGTAGTAGTCGATACTATATGATTGAGTCTATTAGATTGGATTCACAACGGCAGAGGGAATGCGGTAGCGAGCAATACAGTAGCCGATGCTCCCACGGAATACAGAGTAGCGGGCTGTCCCACGGTTCAACCTTCTCCGCATCCTAATTTCGGTTACAAACTTCCGTTCGAACACGATCCGTGTTCTAGTGCTAGTGATCGTCTACAAGTTACCAAACCCAAGGAAACTCAATGCCTACGCAGACCGACAATTAACCGTATCCTGGGACTCCTCGATACCGGTATCAGACTGACAGGCTCGACATGCTAAATGAGCGTTAGCGGGCATGTGTGGCACCCAATCGCTCAATTCTATATTGTAGCATCGCCCCAAACACGCACTGAAATTCAGTCTACATGGGGTCGAAGAGGGCTCGGCACTTGGTTTGCGGGGGGCTCGAGAGTGAGGCATTTACGGCATTGACACTTAAGTCCGGGGTTCGGCATGTGGTTCACTGTCGTGTGTCGTGTGTCTGGTGGATTCGTTGACTATTATCTGGGGTTAAAGTTCCTGGGAATCGTAGTTAGGGTTGCATGCGTTGTCGCGAACGGGCGTTTGTGGGGGAGATTGAGGGTCTGGTCTGCATGTGTGTACAGTACGGAGTAGTATTGAACTCAGATTCAACGCTAGCATGCAGCCTCATCGTGCACCGAGGTACGAGTCTTCATGTGATCTTGGTATCGTGGGTATCCAAGGTTGAAGTTGTAGATCTCTCTAAAGTTCATCGTATCATGTACTCCGTATCAAAACGCTAAATCCTGCGAGTCGGGAAGGAAGCGGAGTAGTGATACACAGAATGCTTGGTTGAAGGCCATGCTGATCGTTCTTTCTAAGCTTTTGCACTCGATTCAGGAAGGTTTCATGGTTTCCCACGTGATATCATCATTCAACTGGTAGCTACTACTGGTAAGTTCCAAGGTTATCCAAGTGTCAACCCACTGAGCCAATGGATCGGACAATGTTATCACGCAAGAAATTACACAACAGCAACAGTTCACAGCCATCACCGCCACTACCACTACCACCAACCAACAGTCCTTGACAAATCTGCCCTACTTACAAGCCCCCAGCAGCACAAATCTCCTTCGCCTCAGAGAGACGCTCCGCATACCGCGAAGGATACGCCGAGCCCTGCACCTTCTGACACAGCTTGCCAACCTCCATAGACTTCCAGCCACTGATGCCCTTCATCTTAGCAAAGAATTGGCCCGCTGACTTTCCAGCATCCATATCAGCCGCAATGTCGGGATAGTACACAGCGCGCTGTTGGAAGATGCCCACGCTGTCGTAATCCGAGCCCACCTTGTCATGCGGGTACTTGAGAGACGCAGGCACCTTCTTGTTAGCGTAAATGTAAATGCTGGACTGCAGAGTGTCAGTTCAAGATCCAAATCTCAATTGCAGATACCACTGCTCATTCATGGTGTTTGTTGCTTACCTCGACAAGCGCCGTTGCAATGCCTGCAAGACAGCCCTGGCGCCCTAGATCCAGATCCTTCGCCTCCTTGATGATGGCCTTTGCGTGCTTGGACTGCGTAGAGGTCAAACCAGGAAGACTTCCACCGCTACCGCTACCGCTGCCGCTGCCATCACACTTCTTGGTGACGTAGCTGGAGCTGCCGGTCTTGATGTAGTAGTCGGCGACATAGCAACCGTCGGCTGTCTTGTCCCAGATGTTGTCGCCTTTAACGTCTGTTCCAGCAGCCTGACAGGAAATGGCAACGTCGGCTCCCTTCTTGTAGCTCTTGACTACAGAGTAGGAGGTTCCGGGACCAGAGCGACAGTTCACCTCATCACCGGTGATGGGGTATCCATTGACTATCGGTGCAATGGCTGCGAAAGTCAGAGCCAGAAGAGGAGTGAAGATCATTTTGAAGAGATGATTGCGGTTGATGCGTTGTGTAGTGAGATTGTGAAGTTGTAGTTTGCAGCTTGGTTGATGCTTGCGATGGTATGAGCGGATGGTGTCGAGTTCTGTGGACTGTCTGGGGGTTTTATATTCCAAACAGCCGCATAGATTCAGAGATCCGTTCGTTGGAATTCATTTTTGGACCCCAAGATTTCTCGCATGGGAGGGTGTAGCACGCAGCGAGATCATCGCTTCGTATTCGTGGATTTAGTCTGTGAGGCTCGTATCCTGCTGAAGCTGTAGAGAAATCCAGGGGTGAGTCTATTTTCAAATGAACAATCTCGTATTTACGATGATCCCAAACTTTGTGTTGTGCAGGGCTTCGACAGTGTTAAGCTTAATCGAAACATCGGTCCATCTTGGCACTCGTGTTCCTGAAGCCTCTTCTGTCAGGGCAGTAGATGGGCCTAAAAATAGCAGAAAAATCCACAGATTAGCTTAGATTTATGCAGATCATCCGTGTTCAGATCGGGGAATAATGCTGATTCGAAGAGAAAGTTCCTAGTAGATTTAGTGCATGCTACATCGTAAAGGCTGTGGGTTGCCGAGGGTTGGAAGCGACGTCTAGTTGCAAACCACCATCTAATTGGCGATATCTTCCGCGTTCCATAGTGCTATTTTTGACAATATGGCGGGGGTTAATTGGCGTGGGTTGAGCCTCTAGCTCGCAAGCATGATATTTGTCTTCTTGGCGACGGGAAGTCGTAGCCTCGGCCCTCCGGGGCTGTAGAGTGCATGATTCGCCTATAGTCCACAAGTTCCCTATTGCAAACCAAGATCAATGGGATGGATTCTTGTGCCAGACTGGTTTTCCTATCGAGACAAAAATGCCACCAGTCGATCCGTGGACTGGTGATGAGGATCATCACAAGGAGCACGGAGTAATTTCCATACCAGAGCCGATCCGAGGGAGACCATCGCGCGAATGAGCTCCAAGGCAATTTCAGGCACGCGCTTTCAAATTTGTTCTTCGAGGCTCATTCCAGCTGTCTGTGATAAGTTGGTTGGTCCCAACTACTCGCATACACCGGTAAGCCATGACAGCCCTGGAGGTTCTCGTTTTCTGCTTTGTCATATTTGACAGCTTCCAAGGTCAATGCCGGATCAAGGCTATATATGATGTGCTTCAGCAAGGGCCTTTAATCCTTGGTGTGACATCTCAATGCCTCGCTTTGCATCCGAGCCGATCTTGGGGCTTGCACAACCATGGACGACTAGGTGAGTATTCACACTTGAAGGCTGGGTTGAAAACAACCGAGTGTCTTTGTGCCATGCTGACCCAATTTGCTCAGATGTCAAGCTCAGCCCATCGTTGACACTCGAACAGTTGGGGAGTGCTGCAGGGGTATGCAGAAGACCGAACCCTAGTGTTGGAACTAGAAGTACTTAAGCGGGTCAATCACACCGACTTCCGAGGTTCACCACGGAACTCATCGACGGGGTAAGAATTCCAGATCGAGTCAGTAAATCCAAAGCTAGAATATGTGGGAACAGTAAACCCAAGCGAACCTTGGAAGTTATACGAAGTATAATGAGGAAACCCGAAAGTTGCATCATCGACGTCACGAAGGCGGAGAGAGGCCAGAAGCTGTGTGCGTGTCTCCCCGCTCCCCCAGCCACCGTCTTATCTCCTTCCACATTTTCTCCTTCTCATTCCTCTCCCATTTTTGTCCTGGTGATATTGCTTCTAGCCTATTCAACACTATGGCTCCTCCTCCTCCCGCGACCTTGCCTCTGGGCGAGAGACTCAAGGCTTTGGCGCAGACCTTGCAGTAAGTCCCCCAAATATCCGCATTGCTTCGTGTCCACTAACATCTTCACAGGTTTGCTTGGTTTGTTGGGTAAGTCAATTTGAAGCCAGATGATGACGAGGGCGGAGTTGAGGCTGACTGACAAACCCTTAGACATGTGACACTTTTGCTCTCCGTCCTCCGCTACGGCTTGTCCTGCATTTTCTTTAACTACTACTCTTCCTCGGCACAATTCGCGTATCGTTTGACCTTTGTTTCCGCTGCGGTGACCTATGGAATCGTTGTGTACAAGGGCCACTTCGCCCGGGGTGTCCAGGGCAGCCCTCTGGCTATCGTTGTGAAGCTCGTTTCCGATGAGAATGTGCAATACCTTGGTGAGTGACAATTGTATAATTTATGTCGGCACAAGCTTATGCGGTATTCCTCTTATCAGGAATGGCTCTGGTCTGGCTGTACTCCCGCCAGCTTATCCTGGCTCTTCTGCCATTCAGCGTCTACTCGGTCTTCCACGTCGCAACCTACAGCCGCATGTACCTGATCCCCACTCTGCAGCCGACTGCGCCCACCGCGACTCCGACCTCTCCCACCTCTCCCTCTTCCAAGCCTGCCGCTAAGCAGTCTCCCCTCGCCGAGACCATCGGTCGCTTCATCAAGCAGTACTACGATGCCAGCATGGGTGTTGTCGCTACTCTGGAGATCGCACTGCTGGTCCGTCTCATCCTTTCCGCCATTACTTTCTCCAAGGGTAGCTGGGTTCTCCTGATTGTCTACCTGTCCTTCTTCCGTGCCCGCTACGCCCAGAGCTCCTTCGTGCAGCAGGCTGTTCGCCAGCTCACTGCCCGTGCCGATGCTTCTCTGTCCCACCAGAGCACACCTCCCCAGGTTCGCCAGGGTTGGGAGACCTTCAAGGGTATTGTGCGTCAGGGTTACGAGGCCACTGATATCGGTCGCTACGTCGGTGGATCTACTGCTGCCAAGAAGCCGCAGTAAATGTCGCGCGGGCTATGCGCCAAACACCCCTCCCATTTGAAGCTTCTGGCGTTAGGAAGGAGCTCGGCGCTCGGTTATAAGCATCGCTGAATGAAGGTGGTTGGTGCTGGAATACGAATTTGAAGGGTTTATTGCCCGATTGGAATAATTGCGAGTGACCATGGAGCTCGGAGATTGTCGGGTATGAGACGTCAAGGTCTCTTGCCGTAGAAAAGAGGCGGACGTGGAGGCTTCCCGCCATGATGATGCTATACGCAACGACTTGTGTTTATTATTTCTAGAGTGGCGCGATGCATAGTAGCTGTATTTGCTTTTTCATATGCCAACATAGCTTTTGGGTTCATGCCTTTAGTCTTAAGCAGCCCTTATCAAACGATGGCTTTATAGCTCGATTGTCATGTAAGATGATATCGTGCACGCATTCACATGAGATGAGGTCAGGTCCCAGACAAGGGAATCCAATTGAAGACCCCAATAGGTTTGATACTGGCACTATCCACCAAGTGTTTTGTGAACGTATTCCCAAGATGAATATATGAATATCCTCAAAAACAACCTTGGAAGTTACGAGGGGAACTATGACACAATGTCAATGCCTGAGGCGGATCGGGCTTGGCGAAAAAGAGGCCGATCAGAATTTTGGTCGGAACAAACATCTCATACTAATCAATCGCTCCTTGAGTTCTTGTCACTCTTTCTCATTGTTCTGATTTTCAAGGGGTGCTTTTACTCTTCTCAATCTCCCAGCACCCCCCAGATCCCCTGTCTGGCCCAGACCAGTATCGCTTGGGGTTGCAGTTCGGCGAATTGCCATGAGCCTGACCTCGCGGGTGTTCGGCCTGTTCACGACAGCGAACTCAGACTCAACTGCAGCGCCTGCGGGGGATTCGCCCACCTCAAAATGGCCACAACTAAGTCACACACCAACGGGAGATGAATCAAATCCCATGCGAGATGTTGATCTCGCGCTGGAGGAGGAAGAGCCTCGGCCGCCATATTTACATGTACGATGTTCTCCGGCGATATCGCTGAACATTTCTTTACGCCTTGCGCAAGACTGACTCGAGATTTTCTCATTTATTTAGGCCATGTTTGCCGGTGGCATTGGAGGAACATGCGGTGACATGTTGATGCACTCATTAGACACCGTCAAGACTCGACAACAAGGCGACCCGACCTTTCCGCCGAAATACACATCGATGGGCCAGTCCTACGCAACGATCTATCGACAAGAAGGCCTCTGTCGCGGTCTATATGGGGGAGTCACCCCGGCTCTCCTTGGATCATTCCCCGGAACAGTCATCTTCTTTGGATGCTACGAATATACCAAGCGTCTGATGATCGATTCGGGCATCAACCCCAGCATAGCCTATCTCTCTGGTGGATTCTTGGCCGACTTGGCTGCGTCCATTGTCTATGTCCCGTCCGAGGTCCTGAAAACACGATTACAACTGCAGGGCCGACACAATAACCCACACTTCAACTCCGGATACAACTATCTTAACATGAGAGATGGATTCCGCCAGATTGTGCGCATGGAAGGATTCTCAGCGCTGTTCCACGGCTACAAGGCCACGATCTTCCGCGACCTCCCGTTCTCCGCACTTCAATTCGCATTCTATGAAAAGGAGCAGTCTATGGCAAAGCATTGGGTTGGGAAACGAGATATTGGACTGGGGTTGGAAATTCTCACAGCCGCCACCGCCGGCGGTATGGCGGGTGTGATCACTTGTCCGATGGACGTGGTCAAGACCCGCATCCAGACCCAGCAGAACCCTCCCGAAACACCCTCGGCCTCGGGCGCGAAACACAACGTCGAACATGTACCCAAAGAAAGCCCTCGGCCCCACGCACCATCCCCCCATTCCCATCCTTCCCGGGCTCACTCGCGGCCCATCTCCACCTCGGGAGCATCCACGTCCATCCCACCCCCCCGGCACCCCGAGACTCGACACATCCTCAGTCTTCACGGGCCTGAAGATGATCTACCGCACGGAAGGTCTTGCGGGGTGGTTCCGTGGTGTGGGCCCCCGCGGTGTCTGGACCAGCATTCAAAGCGGGACCATGCTGGTGATGTACCAGTACCTGCTCAAGCAATTTGAAGCGCACGAGATTCTGGCAGAGCGCCCTTAAGTTTCATTCATGCATTTCCCGGGTTTCTTTGTTTCTTTTGGCGTTGGATTCTTTGTCCCCGGATTTGGGAGGTTACGACCCCAAGTGCTTGCACCGTTTGTATAATCGTGTACCGATAGACGTTTTTAGACTGGCTACGGCCAACTTGTACCATAGGATCTCTTCATTCACACATATCAAAGAAAGAAAGTCAACTTAATTGCATACAGAGTTGACCCAAAATAGCCGTCGAGTGCCAACAAAGCGGGAATGACACAAAGGAAGCGCGCTAGACCGTTTGTTTTGGCGATCGGCGGATGTAAACAATTACCGGCCAAATGCACTTTCTCCCCTCCTTGCATCTTCCCCATCTTAAACATTACCCTTTTCTTATACTATTTGTGCGCATTGGTCCAATTCTGATTCATCATGTCTGGCATACCCTATCTGAGAGCGTTGAGGAAGTCTGGCTTGGTCGACATCGCAGACGAGGTCGACTTCTCCGAGTAAGTGTTTCAAACCCGAGTCGCAAATGGATTCACACTCATGTGTTTTAACCCGACAGCGCCGAATCTTACAACAAGAATGATCTGGTCGTAGCGCTCGATAAGCATCTACGCGACAACCAAACCATCTTCTCTGGCCTCGACAGCCTCTCGGCCTATTATTCCCGTCTCGACACTCCGCGCAAAGGAGTATCGCCCGCGAAGCGCAGCACGAGGACCCCAGGCCGTCCCCCAGCGAAGAAAGAGCCAGAGCCCAAGGAAGAGTCTAGGTAAGATCACCGCCTCCACTTCACGCGGCGCCCACCCGTGTCGATCGCGCAAGCACTGACCAGTCACCCCCCAGTGAGCCGGAGTATGCGCAGAAGCCGATTGAGAGCCCAACTGTCGTATCTCCAACTTTGGCGCGCTCGCGATCGAATGCGCGCCAGCCGCAACAGACTCCTAAGCAGTCACGGCGTGTTTCTTCTATCTCCGTGGTTGAAGATACCGAGCCAACCTTGCCGGCATCGCCAGCTGTCGTGACCGAGGTCATCGATCATCAGACTACCAAGATATACGAAGGCGTGCAACGGGTATGGACATCATCTGGCTTTGTCGACCAAGTTCACTCCGTGCGCGAGAACCTCAGCAGCCTCAAGGCCATTGAGACCATCATTCTACTAGTCGAAGGCATCACTTTGATTAGAGCGCGAGTCCCCATCCGCTACCTGACTACCTTCCCAGCTATTAGATACACGAACACCCCTCCTCTTCGTGTGAGAGTTCCCGATTTGTTCCAAATTCTGGATAGTGAATTCTGGGTGCCTCTTTCCATTTGGGTTGTCACCTGTTTCCTCCTGCCCCTGCTTGCCTCTTACTTCATTAACTTGAGCTGGAAGGCTCAAGGCACTGGGCGTCGCACCCGCTCTTCACCTTCTCTTGCTCAGTTTGACCCGCTGATCTTTAACATTGCCAAGGCTCTGTTGGTGCACATCGTGCTAGGCCAGGAAATCAGCTTTGGCCTTACCGATTCCTACAACATCAAGAAGGTGAAGACCGGTGTGCATGGCGGTGAATTCGGTCTTTTGACCGGAGCGGCCATCGGTGCAGTTGGCGCCATCTACGAGGCTATCCTGACTCGTGCTTGAGGTACCGGTTCACAATTGCAGGGCTGTACAGATTCTCCGGTGGGGGGTTGCGACTTGTTCTGGGCTGTGGTTCAGCTAGTCTTGGTTCTTCGGCTATTTTGTCTGTGTTTTATGGGCCCAGGATTAATCACTGGGGTATGGATTATGCGATACGCGACTATTTGGATTTCTGGCTTCCTTCTGGCTTTCTTTTGCTGTCTTTTTTTAACTTTCTCGGTCTCTCGTTTCAGCCAGAAAAGGCGCCATTGGGGTTTCTGGTCTGGCTTATTTGTCAAATCTTTTTTTTTTTCAGGGTGCTTGTCTTGCTTCTGGGGCCCTAATGACCAGACTATCTTTAAGTAACTATATCACCGTTATACTAGTTAGTCATTAGGCATTAGTGTATAAAGTCCGCTACAGTTTTTCTCAAGATCTAAGTGATCTGCTCTTCTATTCACACTGTAATAGCAACTTCGGCACGGGCATGTTGGCCGAATATGGATATCTAAGCAATCCCTAAAATCAAAGTCTTCGTCAAGCATTTCTCATGATCGTCTCTTCAGCCTCTCGGCCAACTCCAAAGTAAACAAGACAGGTGTCGATGTCTCAACCTCTACCTTGTCCGCCCGAATATGGTTGCTGGTGGACAACTGTCCTCCAATCTCGCTATGCCAATTCTCGACATCCCATTCAAAACCACGTGTCGTGAGTATGGCAGGGGCCGTGATGGGAATGATCCCTATGTTCTCCTCAAAGAGATATTCTTCCTCTGGGTCATCCACTTTGCTTTTCTTCGACGGTGACTCGTCCGGCTTGGGTGTCGGCAGCCTCGCGAGATCTGCTCGATTGGTGGCCGGTGTATAAATTGTATTCTTCCCTTCATGGATGATAAAGGTGATGCTCTCCTCGGATAGGAGGTAGAGCTTCCCACCCGCAGATGGTCTATTGTCGAGACTTGCGGAGCTATTTGCGTCACGGCGGATTGCACGCTGCGTTTCGGTCATCATATAGAGGTGGTGCACTTGGGAGAACGCTTGGTCCACACGACCGCCGAGGCCACCCATGATAACAGTGTCCAGGAGTGCTTGCTCCGACTGAGCCACTGAGGTTGATTCGCTTTCAGGTGCCTTTTCGCTGTCTAGCTTTGCTAGGTTGTCCCCCTCTCGGGGTGAAGCAATGATCTCCGCGGCATGCGCGTTGATGAACTTTAAACACTTGGTGAAATCTGTCGAGTACTGATCTGGGTCTCTGATGACCCTTACCCCAAGTTTCTCATAATGCTCTCTAACCGCGGGGCGGATAGAGTCTAAGTCACCCATAACGACATCCGGTAGCTAGGAGATAGCTGGTTAGCCTGAAGTTCATGATTTGGTCTACTGCCACCTCGAGGTTGAGAATGATCCATACATATATGCATGTCTAAGCTCATCAGAAGTAGCAGAAAACAACTTTGTTAGATATCCCTTACGTGTTTAGATTCTGTGCCAACGGCCTTCGTCATATCATAGAGCCGGTTGGCACCTCCATCGGCACAGATAATAAAAGACGCTGCGATGGTCATTAGAATGATCCTAGTTGCTCAAGCATCTCCAAACTGACCATGTTTCCTTAAGACATCAAATGCTTTCTCATTGATAGGTTGATGAAGAATCAGCAGGGCATAAGGAGAAGAGCTCCCAGAAGCACCAAAAAATCGACTTGGATCCCACTCCATCTGGAAATATCAGAAATCAGTCCAGGCAGTTGGGATCGAAAGTGCAGAGAGATGAGCTGCTGATACCAAATCTGGAGCAACGTGACTGGCGGGAGAGCCTCAGGCCGAAATCCACCTTCCGACTTCTCCATCCCGCGTCACGATTTCCCCAATCCTTCGCTTTGAGGAACTCTCGGTCAATTCGATCCTCGACTTCACAATGTTTCGCCCTGCTGCCCGAGCGCTCGCTCGTGCGCCCACTGTCGCATCCCGCACACCTGCAACCACACGATTGATAAGCACCGGTCCCTCGAAGCCGAGAAGCTGGAAGAACACTATCCTCCGATTGGGCTTGGCCGGTGGTGCCATCTACTACTACAACACAAGCAGTGTTTTCTCCGAGGAGCCGAAGTGTATGTCTCGTCGCTACTCTGATCCCTCGCCGCCGCGGATGCAGCCCGCGACAGGCTTATGCTGCGCTGGCAATGGATCTTCCGGATCGCGAACTATCGCTAATTCTCTCTTTTTGGTCTAGTCTCACTTCTTTCTTCGATCCGCAAACAAAATGATGAAGAAACCAACACCCAGACTCTCGACTCTATCAATCCTAAGATTCGACAAGAACGGGCCGCCGCGAAGGCCCAGGAGCTCCAGGACGAGGCTGGCCAAGAGGCCGCATTCAACCCGGAGACCGGCGAGATCAACTGGGACTGCCCGTGTCTAGGAGGTATGGCCCACGGGCCTTGCGGAGAGGACTTCAAGGCTGCCTTTAGCTGCTTCGTGTACTCCGAGGAGGAGCCCAAGGGCATTGACTGCATTGAGAAGTTCAAGTATGTTGAGCAAATGATGAATTTGTAATCAAAATTGCAGACTAACAATGTTCGCAGGGCCATGCAAGATTGCTTCCGCCGGTACCCCGAGGTCTACGGCGCCGAGCTTGAAGATGACGACGAGCCCCAAACCGACGCACCTGCATCCGCTCCCGCCACAGAAGCCCCCACCGCTGCCGAGATCGATGCCGCCTCGCACCCCGATGAAAAGCGCACCCGTGCCAAGGACGTCAACGCCCAGAAGAAGGCCGAGATTGCTGAGGTCGGCGAGAACCCTGACGGCGACTCCCTGATCCCCAAGGCCGCGCACGACACCGAGGAGAAGAACCAGACTAGCAAAGCTTAGATTTGAACCCTCGCCCCCTGCATGTCACTTGATGCCAACCTTGGAGACAAGTTACCACCTGTCTGTTCTGTAATGCACACCAGGGACTAGGGTTGGAGTTGTGTATTATATAGATCTTTCTGCTATCTCTCCATCTCCTGCGCCCATGATGCACTCACTCGTCTTTACCTTTCAGCATTTCATTCCCCCCGATCTACGCTCCTATGTGCTCTCTTCATACTCATTTCCCTCAATGTGTAACTTAGCGTATTGCTATGCTTTGTGCTCTGGTATCTTGGGTGAGCTCTGTGAAAAAAAAGTGGATATAGATTAGACTTGTTGCGCCATAGTTAATTGGAACCCCAGTGTTCCACACGAGAATGAAGATCGAGCTTATAGTGGATTCATCTTCAGTCTTTGTTTTACAAGGTTAGGTTTAAACGAACAACTTGAACCAGCTCGATTAATCTCTGGGGTTCGTCTCCCGACCAGCGTTTTGGCGAAGCCCCCATTATATTCCTAATACCAAATATATGAAATACATAACAGACCAGGCCCTTTTCACGCAGAAGGCCTGGGTTGGACCGGTCCTCCCTGCTCAGTCTCGAGTGCATACTCGGTCGTAACTCGTATAGCCATCCGATCCCGCCCAGGAGATGCTGGGACATCAGCAATATTTCTTTCAAGAATATGCTCCTCACTCCCTGCCTCCGAAGCACGACTCCCTTTATTGGTGTGCAGCACACTATCCATCTCAAAGCCACCACTTTTGCGAGAGCGCGAGGTAACAAACGTCTTCGTCTTGCCAGACGCCTTGGATCCAAATCCATTGTATTCGCTGTTGTAATAAGGGCTCTTGGAGTTCTTGCGGTTCGTCGATCCCAGCCAGCTGGTGTTGCGGAAGAGTGGTTTGATCCCAGGCAAAGAGACAACGATTGCCGCAACGAAGCATTCGCGATCTGCCCAACCCAGTGCAGTTCCCAGGTTCGTTATCGAGGAAAGCGAGTAATAGGCGCGCAGGATTGTGCAGATCATGATGAATATTCCCGATGAGAACATTATAACTAGGATCAGTTTGCGCTGGAGAGGGACTTGGAGTTTGGCGAGAATTGGGATGGGAATTAGGATTATGCAAACATCGGACCTGGGTACCAAAGTCAGCTTTGTCCATGGGAGATTGGAATGTGGCTGTCGCGTTGACTTACATTACGTTGAAGACCGCAATGACAATATACAGAGGTCCTCGAAGGGTACAATTGTCTAGAGCATGTCAGTGAAATCTGCAAGTGGAGAATGAATGAATGAGACTCACCTCCTGGGTAGGGCTTGATCTGCCAGTTTCGAGTCACAGGCGTGCAGAGACCAACATGTGTCAAGAGACATACGAGCCAGGTAAGGACACAGAATCCGGATGCTGCTGTGACGAGGTGACGGTGCCATGTTCCTTGTCTGTAATGTGTTAGACATCCATGTGTATAGAAGACTTCTGGAGAGTAGACCTACGTGAGCTTCCAGTAAAGGCAGAGAAGTACACCTTTGAGACACCAGATATAGCAAATGTACCATATCCAGTTCATGAATGCCAATTTGGAACCAAGGATCATGGCAGGAATCTTGTTGTCAGGGACGAGCATGGCCGTTTGGGTATTCAATCCAATGTTGTTTCCGAAAACCCCTAGGGTGGAGGTTAGTGAAAACCGTATCACCACAACATTTAAAGACATACCTAGCAAGTAAATGTTCACAGTTTGCATAGTCCAGAATACCTGTGGAGTTTCAATTAGAAAGGCTCACGTTATAGCTGAACATAAAGGAAACATACCATGCCGGCAGCAGCAAAGGCATCATCGAGCCGAAGTCCACGAAGGCCTCCCATGTCCAGCCGGGCATATAGCCGGACGGCCAAGAACAGCATGCCAATGCCATATTCTGTGAATGTCTCAATTGTCAAGCTATCGACCGCCATGACGAATAATCAATGCAGCGGCTTTGAGATTTCCATCAAAGTGAACATGAAAAAATCAAGGACGAACTCAAAATTTAATCAATGCGAAGGAGAAAAGGTCTCCTAGATTAGTATAAATCAGCCACCCGCGGACGTACAGTGGGACTTTTGGGCTAGATCTATCACCTTAAGGTGTTCTAGTTGATAGGAGAACACATACACTACTACCTCAGTTCCTGCTCGGTCGATCAGTATACACATTCGTTCTGAAGGATCGAATCCTTCAAAATCGAGTCCACTAGCTCCGAGAATCTGGCACTCGGGACGGGATACACTTGCTGAACACGAACAATGCTCATTTGCTGCGCTCTCGATCGTCAGTCACAGATTTCAATCTCGCACAGTGATGTACGAAGTACATATGCCCCCAATAGTGACTAAGTGTTTTACATTTCTAGAATCCCGTATGTGGTGTCGGGGCACATACCCAAAGAAGACTGAGCTAGGAATCATTCCATGGATTGGACAGATATTCTACTGTAACTACATGTACTCCGTACTCCGTAGAGCAGGGTTGCTTCTTCGGGCCACAACCCACCTAGGCCAATGAGGATAAATTTGCTAAATGTCCGAGGAAAGCAACGACGATGAGTTGATGGCACATTGCGCCGATCCACAGAGGAATGACATGTGGAGTCCAACAGCCAATCCAACATTCAATTCGTCCAATTTAAGATTACTATGGAAAACGCCTTCGGGGCCACACAAAGAAAAGTAAAGTGCCACAGCGGGATTTCCGAGGGAAGTGGACTCGGGGGTCCACATCGTAGGATCCGAGGTGCCCAGACACGAATGTACTTCTGCACTTCGCTAGTTATTCGTGGAATTTGCTCCACCCGCGGCTCGTGCGAGGTTGTCTGAAGTTTCCGGACAAAACTAAGCATTGGGCAAGTAAGTACGTAGTACTCCGTACACAGCCCATCTTGTACATCGCTCAATGCAAGAAACGGGGCCCCCTAGCGTGATTATAGGACGACCTCACCCCAACCACCCAGTGCTTACAGTTTCAGGACCGTGGAACCTGTCAAGCACCGGGGCATGATCAGTACAATCATGAGCCCTGAAAATAAGACCACGGGAGACCGGGAATACCTAGCTGTGGGGTATCTCTCAACACGGAAAAGTTCGATTCAATAGACGTTCTTAGTGAGGGGCAGTATTCCAATAGCTCTTGATAAGTATTGATATCATTACTCGTACTTCGTATATGATATAAGATTTCATACAAGCATTCTGAGCCGATATTGACGATAGTTTTTGAGCCCTCAGACTCTCGTAATCGCCCAAGATGAGCGTCAAAGTTGCTTTAATCACAGGCGGAGGTGTGATACATCATAAATTCCCAATCTGCAATTGACCAACTAACATCAAAATCTAGTCAGTGGACTAGGCCTGTCTGTAGCCAAAGCTCTGTCCACCTCTGAGAACTGGACTATACACATCCTCGACATCAACGAAGAGGGCGGAGCCCAGGTAGCCAAAGAGTTGCCCCGAACAACCTTCCACCGAACAAATGTGACCAAATATAGCGAGCTTGCAGCGGCATTCCAGAGCACATTCGAACAATCCAGCCGCCTGGATTTCGTCTTTGCCAATGCCGGTGTCATTGAGCGAAACAACTTCTACGCCACCCCAGACGCAGAAGATGGCAGGGATGTCTGCCCACCACCAGAGCCCGACCTGCTCTCGATCGACGCCGATTTGAAAGGTGTGGTCTTGACGACCTACCTGTCTCAGCACTATTTCCGGCATTCGCCTCACAAGGGTCAGGGTTGTAACCTGGTGATGACCGCTAGTTGCGGCGGACTATACCCGTCTTTCTATTGCCCGTTATACTCGGCCGCTAAATGTGAGTCGAGCCATCCCCGCGTCCCTCCACGTATGCATAACGCATAAAGCCAGCACAAGTACCAACCATGTGATACTCATTTGTGATGTATCGACCGTTGGCTGTATACTCCATATCACATCAGAGATCCCTGCATGTCTGTTGATAGGAGAGAGCTGACTTAATCACAGTCGGTGTCGTGGGCTTCATGCGCTCCGTCTCACAACATTTCCGCGCAAATGGAGTCCGTGTCAACGCCATCTGCCCTAGTATCATACGCACGAATCTGGTCGACTCAGTTGGCTGGGACAGTTTCCCACAGAATCGGTTCGTCGAGGTGGAGAACGTAGCCCGCGTGGTCCTCGCGCTGATAGAAGGCGAACCGGCGGGCCAGGGTTTGAAGGACGCGACTGGGAGGCACCTGCCCCTGGCGGAGCTATACGGAGTCGCAGTGGAGATCTCGGACAGCGGGTTGTATTTCCGGGATCAGCATGATTTCTGCGATGAGGGTATGCGTGAGGTCATGGCGGCGACGGTGCTGGAAAATCAGGTCGGTGCTATTCTCAACGGCGATTAGTGGCAGTTTCTGCAGGAGTGACTTTAGTTGCTTTGTCTGAGCCCCTGAGTCTAGACGTTAAGCAAAATGCAAGACACTTCGAATGAGAGCTTGGAGTTGCACGGGACAAAGGCCGGGTTGGCCCCCACGAGAGACGCATTAGAGTGTAGGAGGATCCTTAGGCTGAGCCCCACATGTCAACTTGGCGTTTAACCGAATTGTCCCCGAAACATGCCCATCTTGAATCACCCATTTCGTGGATTTCATTGGATTTCGGGGTATTAACAGGGTGAAGTGAGTCTGGATCGCTTACATCCGACTCCGTACTTTGTGTACTTTCGAGAAGCCAACCGTGGATGCGCTGCGAAACACGCTGGAAATTGCGGGCCGAGACGCCACTGGTGGATCATCCACACGGGCCATTTGGGCCACTTCCGGCTCCGAGCATGACACATCTGACAGTTGATACATCACATTCTATGCCGTTATGGTCCCACGCGGTGACTACTGTTGGCCAGCATGGAGCTAGGATCACTAGGATCACTAGGATGGCTAGGATGGCTAGGATATCATTTTTGAGTCTTGAAGGATTGCAATTGGTAATGTCCAGCGCTGATCCTCGTACTTTGTCCTAACGCTAACTAAAGGGCTCCAAACTCACTCCTTAAGGAATCGCATCCGGGAGTTTGGAATCTTCGCCGTGCATCATGCGGAAGAGTGGCTCCCAAACTGTAATGGCGCGGGTCGTGATATGCCCATTTCCAGGGTTGGGCAAGTGATAGAAGATTAACTTGTTAGCTGAACATTCTAATAGCTCACCCGCCATGCCCGTCGAGTCTTCTAAAAAGGTCTCATAGCCATCGAGGATCGTCTGCACTGGGGTCAAGCTATGTCAAATGTGATGTCAGCCAGCTGCAGGGGTTTCAAGCACAAATCGACTATGGGATACACGTATGAGTGCAAGTACGTACCATTCAGGGGTGACGGCAGCGATCATCTCAGGCGGTACAATGGGTGTGTTCACAATTCCCGGCATAACACAGTTGATGAAGATGTTCTCCTTCTGTTTCAGAAGAGGCGCCACACCACGGATGAAGTGGTTGACAGCAGCTTTGGTGCCGCAGTATACCGGGTAGGACTGATGGGGGAAGACAGCGCCAATGCTTCCTGTGACAACAATGCGTCCCCCTGGCTGGGGGTTATGACGCATGAAATGCACTGCCAGCTGAGTGCCATACACAACACCCTTGTAGTTGATGTCCACGACAGACAGGTCTGGGCAGGGAGGGACCTCGTCCACGCTGCTATTCTTTGAATCATAGATGTAAACGGAAGAGATATCGACGATCCCGGCATTTGCGCACAGTGCATCGATGCGGCCCCAGAGGCCGTGTACTTTGCGAAACACTTCGGCATACTCTTCGTAAACCGAGACGTCTGCTGCAAAGAAGTGGGCTCTGTCTCGTGGGAGGTCTTCGAGTAGGACCTCACCGGCTTCACGGCGTCGACCTACACATGCAACCCTCCAACCTTTGAAACAGAGGTCTTTGACAAGGTCGACTCCCATGCCCGACTGTAAGCAGCCGCTTGTTAGTATGGGTACTTGAAATCGGGATTTGGATATTGGGACGAATTGCACTGACAGTGGCGCCGGCCACAATGGCAACCTTGCTCTCATTACAGGAGACCATAGTGATAGCGAATTAGTGGTATTGTTTGGATATTTGTAGACAGTGGATACTCGGACAATTTACACGGCGGGGATGGGTAGCAAGTTATAAGCCACAACGATTTTGAATTACAAACCCAGACCAAGACCGTTGAATCAGCAACTCACGACTCAACCATCTGGCTATGACACTCACAACCCGAGTCAGAAAGAGTTTTGTGCAGGAAGTCCTAGACCCGGCCAGTCATTGCCGACTTAGGAAAGCCGCTAATGGGACCTTCTCCATCAGGATTCAACGCGGGTGGAAACCGTCCACATTGGCCATTGGTCGATTGACCGTTCCAGGCTCAGACTGTCGTATCATAGTTTGCGCTACTCGCAAGGGTAGCCATGTGTTTCCCATGCGCCGGTGGACCCCCTTCGTTGCTAGAGTATGATAGTCAAAGTCGGTTAAAGCTGCTCCTGTTTCCCCCTCTTCCCGGCTTCTTTTCTCCATTGACCTACATTATGGCTGTCGACACCGAAGAAGACTTGCCGGCTGCATCGCCGACGGTAGCACCGAGCTCCCCGTCGAGTCTTTCGAACGAATCTGCTGCGCCAGTTGTTACTTTGAAAACATGGATCGTGTCTTCGGTACTGATTTTTGACCTGTCAATTTTGTATCGGTGCTAACCATGCACTATCTAGATTCTTTCCTGTGGTTACGGCCTGTCATTTTGGCCTGTACCGGTTGTGTCTGCCATTGGAACCATGGTTTCTACTGATATGGGTGATCCAACGGGGTATATCTGGTTTGTTCCAGTATGTTTCATGACTTCCGGTTGATACGATCTCAGAGGCTGATTGAAGCTCAGGCATGGACAATCTCGATCACCTGCGCCTTCTTGATATTGTATGTTTCTGAAACACCGGCTCCCAACCTTATGATACAATTCTCATTAAATCTTGCAGTGGTCCAAACACCGATCTTCTAGGTCGGCGTTGGTTTTTGGTACTTGGAAATTTGGTATCATTCACCCAAATTTGATCACCAGGCGATATGTTCTAACAAGTCCCCAGGTGTGCTTTATCGGCCACATTGTGGTGGCATCTGCCAAAACCACGAATCAGATCACTGCAGGTCTTGTTATATCAGGATTTGGAGGTGCAAATTGTCAGGTAAGTGCAATCCGCCTATTTCTTAGCATCATCTATTAATTTTTGGCTGTGACAGATGGCTGCATTTGCACTACCAGAACTTCTCCCCAATAAATGGAGACACATTGGTGTTGTTATCGCCGATTTCACCGTCTACATTGCAGTGATTGTGGCACCAGTCACTGCCCGCTACGGCTATGAGCTGGGAAATTGGGCATGGAATTTCTGGGGTGTGGCTATTTTCCAGGGCCTGTCGTTCTTCGGGTTGCTCTTCCTTTATCACCCACCCAAGCACCCGTAAGTCAAGTTTCACGAAGCACAGTGATTGGTTACAGGGCAAGTGAATTCTAACACCTCAAACAGTCTCGGAGTTTCATACATGGAGGCCTTCAAATCCCTCGATTATTTCGGTGCTTTCCTATTCATCGGTGGTGCAGTCCCATTCCTGATGGGTATTGTCTGGGCGGGTGTATACGAGTCAAATGACGCCCATGTCGTGGCTCCGTTAGTTGTCGGTGCCGTGGTACTAGTCTGCTTCGCGCTGTGGGAATCTTTCGGCAAGCTCAAATATCCTCTCACGCCAACTTATATCTTCGTCAGCTCTTGGGGCCGTGACTTCACAGCTCCCGTCATCGCGCTGGGTGTTGTGAACATGTTCTACTACTCGTCCAGCATCTTGTGGCCGCAGATGATCACAGTGTTCTACACGAATGGCGGCGCCGACTGGAAATACTCGGTCATCTTGTCATTGCCACAGGGCTTTGCTATCTTCTTTGGAGCAATTCTGCTTACTTTGTTTGGTAGCAAACTTCGTCACTGGCAATGGCAGCTTACCGGCTCTGTCTTTGTGATGGTCGTCTTTGGATCTTTGCTGGGTCTCGTGACGCCGACGAATAAGGGTACCATGATTGCCTTCATTTTCCTTTCTCAGGCTGGGTTCGGATGGGGTCTTTACCTGAGCATTGCCATTACGCAGATGGGTGTTGATCACAAGAACCTGGGGGTTAGTGGTGGTATCTCAGGATGTATTCGCTTTGCTGCTGGAGCTGGTATGTGCTCTTTCACCCAATCATTTCTTTCAACATGTTCTTCGTTGAAGGAGTCCTTGCTAATATCTTCATCAGTTGCAACCTCTATTTACCAAACCGTCTTCAGCAACACCTTGGCTAAGTACACAGCCATTTATGTCACCTCTGCTGCAATCAAAGCCGGTCTCTCTGAATCCAAGGTCACGGATCTGCTGTCCGTGGTGGCTCAAGGTGCCGCCGCAATGAAGGCATACAGCCCCGCCGTGGTGGCAGCGGCGGAGGCGGCTCTCAGTCAAGCTTACTGCAAAGCAATCTTGTAAGACACACTTGTTCAAATGGGCATTATCTCTGGGTGACAAAGTTCATGGTGAGAAACTTGCTGACTTCTTCCTCTTAGTGTTGTTGCTATGGTATCAATGGCTTTTGGTATTCTCGGCCTTGCAGCCTGTCTATGTTGCAAGGACGTTGACTCAAAAATGACAAACAAGGTAAGAGATTTCCCGGGTGATTCTTGTGTATATTTTAAAGAGATTGAATACTAACGAGACTTTTTGTATAGATCGAGGTGTATCTGGAGAACACCGACCTCAAGGAGAGAAACACATATCACTAGAGTGGTATTCTCGGTACATATATTGAGCCTACTTTACTGATAAAATCAAAGAAATAGATATCTATTTGGGTTGTTTGATTCCCAACCCTTGAACTGTCAAAATTGATAAATCCATGGATTCCGATTGCCCAGGTGACACCATACATTCTGCTTGCTGCCTTCAAAATTTTGTGAATATAAAGAGCTATGCATAGAGAAATTCTTACTGCACCCTTCCAAGGTTCTGCAATCCTATATGTGTTTTTCATAGGCCAGAAAGCTTGCCGCTCTCATGAAGAGGACGAAGTAAACATTAGGGCAGAAACTCTGGAATCATTATGTTCCATAAGTTCTTCCTCTCTTAGCTGAGCCTGGTAGCTTAATTTATACCTTAATTTATACAACAAGCCAGGTCATAGAGAAAATTAAACAAAACACGAGGAAGCACAACGTAGACATGGTCAAACACTCTATGTCGCTTGCATTTCAGGCGCCAATGTCTTGGCGCTTTGCTGCCTGAAATTAGAGTTTCGTTGCCTGAACTCAGCAGTTGACTGCCTGGACGTCAAGACAATCAGGGGAGTTAAAAAGCAACATCTCTCTCACTCATCCTTCCTGGTGTATTTGAGAACATTTCGATCACCATGTCTTCCGATATAAGTCTCGAGCTTCGCATGCCAGGATTCAATCTGAAACTCGATACTCAGCCAGAAGTGAGCAAGACCACTTCCAAATGAGAAACATGCACTGACTTTCCAGAGATGCGTTCTTGATGAGGAAATATTTGGCTTTCCTAATGCACTGGATACCGACCAGTTGGATGATGGATACATATCGTATGGTTCAAAGATATTAAGGGAGAACCTCTGTTTTAATGATCTTCTAGCAACCTTGTCACCCACCGAGAGATTCTCATGATGCGAATCATGAACACAATCACGGAAAAGCCCCAGTGGGAAGAGAAGGTACGAATCCACTTGGTCTGATATACTTCTCGTATATATTAATGCCAGAAAGGTCTTTAATGGGGAGATTACGAGCAAATGGCGTGGCGAAATCGCACAGAGCGGCCAAGACGTGTCGCCAAAGATGATCGATTGGATCATGAAGGAGCTTCAATATAAAGCCGACATTTTCAAGAAGAATGGATATGTTCATGCCTTTGACGCAGGTGTGGTGAGATCTGATACAGCGGTATCTGAGGAGATACGGCAGGCATTGAAACAAGCGGTTCATCCTCTTGAAAGCATCCCCGAAGACCAAAAGGACTATCATCCAGGTTCTGAAGACAAGGTTGTTGATATAGTGCACCCTTCGCTGTTCCCAGTGGTATATGGCCGAACTCATGTCCTTCCCGACAAAACCATTGGTCTTCTCAACTGCCTTGGCAGTGTGGGCCAGGGGGAAGTTATCCCCGCCGACCCAGCAAAAGATACTCATGGCGAGTGGACCAATGATATATCCTACAGCAACAACTTCCAATGGCTTCCTTGCGACGTGGAGCTTATCGATGATAACAGTTCCCGAATTGTGTCATACATCAATAACGCCCATCCCATCCAACACAAGGCTTTATACGGAGTCATCGAGGAACTGATCACTCGAGCTATTCCACTATGGAACAAAAGCTTGTCGTATACCCCGAAACCTCGAATTAAATATAGTGAGGTGAAATATGGCGAGCATCCGGATGGACCAGAGCCAGAACAACCGACAGGTGAAGACTATGACGAGGAAGCATTCTGGGAATCCGTTTCCCGGTGGAACAAGACACAACCTGTCTTACAACCCGAACCAGAAGACTTTGTGGCACCGAGGGTAGAAGCAAGTCTCGATCTCCGAAAGGACTTCCCGGATACCAAGCTACAAGTCATCGTGAAATTGGCGAATATTGAACTGAACCCAGACAACGCCTCGTACGACGGTGGCTCGTGGCATATCGAGGGACAGCTAGTAAGATTCGCGTGCCAATTTCCTAGTCTTGGGCTCTAACATAAACCAGAATGAGCGCATATGTGCTACGGCGATCTACTACTATGACTGTGAAAACATCACTGAGAACACTCTTGCATTCCGTCAACGTGGGTTAATAGACATGTTAGAGATTGGATATCAGCAAGGAGAATACCAATTTTTGCAGGATGTCTATGGCTTCCCAGAGGATGTTGATGGCACTGGCGACTGTCATATCACACAAGATATCGGAGCTGTGATTTGCAAACAAGGCCGACTCCTCACGTTCCCAAACACCGTCCAGCACCGGGTTTCTCCATTTTCGTTGGCTGATCCGTCCAAGCCTGGCCACCGCAAGATCCTTGCTCTCTTCTTGGTGGATCCTCATCGACGGATCATCTCCTCGGCCAATGTTCCCCCGCAGAGAGAGGACTGGAGCGCTGAGAGACAAGAAGCTGTGGATCAAATCCTGTCGCGTTTGCCAAGGGAGCTTCAGGATATTGTCCAGAGCGACATGGACCCTTTGATGACTATGCAAGAGGCTAAAGATCATCGACATGAGCTGATGAAAGAACGTGGGCTCAGCTCTGGGAAGGCAAACGAACTGTTTGAGACAGGTGACTTCAATCTTTGTGAGCATTAGCTCCTGTTTCTTGCTCCCTATGCATATCGAGCGCATTTTTATCCTTTAGCTTCTCCTTCCGAACCTAATGCATTATCATTTGACCAAAAGAGATATCAATATATGAGCACCAAGGTAGTTAGCTGTAGAGTCATGACTTGTGCATATGATACTCGGAAAAATAAATGGTAGGTAGAGTACTCCTAGTCATATCAGTAAGGACTAGGTAGAGGTGCAAACCGGAAGGAGACTTACGAACATGCCAATGAATCCCTGGAGCAGGATGTAAGAGGATGTATGCAGTAAAAGGCTTTTTGTGCATCTGATGAGCATCTACTCCGTACTATTTGCTCCGACTTCGAAGTTTCATCAAACGCCCCCAAAGTACAATCCTTGAAAAACGAATAAATGCGCGCTGCGCGCGCGATGATACTTCCAATGTTTGAACTAGTGATTTGGTCACTTTTCCGGGGTATGATCATTGGATAATGCACTCTTTTGAGGGTTTCAAAACATTTATCTCTTGGCATTTCCTCCAGCTCATCTTAGCGCTGAGGCTGCATAAGAATCCCGGGTGAAATATGCATTACAACCCTCCGGCGCTTAACAACGACACACCATGTCGTTGAGCGATTCTTGCTGTATAGACCTTGTCATTGAGGACCGCATTCACCAAATTGCCAGGGCTAAACAGCTTACGAAAAGGGAGTTGGAGCTTTTTCAAGATCACTTCAAGAAGAGAAATTCACAGCGAACTTATCTGTGGGTGGCACTTGTGATGGATCTCATAGAGAATACTACATGGGTCAATGGAGGAAAGGCTGGCCAAACTCTCCGTGAGCTACCGTCTACTGTCAATGAGGCCTACGAAAAATTCTGGGCAGGAGCTCGGACTCTGATACAGCAAGGAGAATTTTACATTTGGTCATGGCTGCCGGACGACCACTCGACTTGAATGAATTGGCACTCGCCCTAGCGGTGAATAACCCTAATCAGTCCGGCGAAGATATTGAAGATGCGATGGAACCGCCCGAGCGTTCCAGGCACACATTCAAAGACGTATGCGGATGTCTTCTGACAATAATCGACGATAAAGTATACCTGCTTCACCAAACTGTCAAAGAATTTTTGGTGCGCCCGTCATCATTGTCAGTTCAAACTTCGACTTCAGAAATTTGGCATTACTCTCTTCCAGCAACGGAATCACACCGTTCCCTGGCAAAAGTCTGCTTACTTGTTCTTCTCGCGGAGGGAAGTTCACGCCACGACTGTCTTGATTTTTATTCGAACGAATTTTGGCAGTATCATCTGTCTCAATTCTCCTATCGGAAATCTGAAGAGATCACAAACCTAACTCGAGACTTTTGCGCCAAGAGGTCGAGACAAAAGATAAGCAAGTTCAGGGAATTTGGTATATATCAGTACATGGACAGATTTTACCCAGACTTGTCTGAAGTTCCTCTGGCCATTTCGTGCTTCTACAGGCTCACGGAAGTTGCCATTTTGATGCTCGACTCCGAAAATGAACTTGAGTTGCAGTCGTTGATAGGGCAGGCACTGGTAAGACTCGCCACAAATAGAGGTCTCGAGGCTGTTTTGCGGCGTCTTATTTCCCGAGGAGCAGAGGTAAACTCGTTTGATACTTTCGGCAGAGCACCCCTGCATCGCGCGGTGGCTGATCAAAGTGAACGCATTGTGGATCTTCTCCTCAAGAGTGGTGCAGAAGTCTATCGGAGCCACGTGGACACAGTCAAGTTGCTCTTGCAATATGTATGGAGCTGATATAAAACACTCGGACCATGATGGACAGACTGCGCTCCTGCATGCGGCACAATGTCTCGGTCCAGACGCAGTCGAGTTACTCCTGTAGTCTGGAGCTGATGTCACACACATCGACCACGAAAGGAGAACCACACTTTTCTGGGTGTTAAGATATGGCCATGTGAATTCAATCAAGTTGCTCCTGCGGTCCGGAGCTGCCATCAGCAAGGGAAAAAAGGGGGGAAAACACGAGTCTTCGCACGTCCAAAAATTGAGATTTTTATGATGACCTACTGGGCCTCAGGGACTAAACCGGTGAGTGGAATCTTCCCAGATGCAGCGGCAAAGATGGGGCCTGACCTGCGCATAGATAACTAGCAGAAGCTTTATGGCAAAGTATAGCGAGCATCTACTTGGGAGGCCACATTGTCAGGGGGTTGAAACTTGAAATGGGAATGGCAGGCAGGAAATAGAAGTGTTTCAAAAACATATAACTGGCCATTTATTTTTGCCATCTAATTCACAGATCTTCAGTGGGGTCACGCTAACCTGATTTTAGCTCCTCCCCTGATAGTCCCGTTTAACTAGTGTTGTGCTATCTTCATTCGTGGCAGAAGCCATTAAACTCTTTGTGTAAGCATGGTAAACAATGAGGCCGGGGGAGAAATTGGGCGTGTTTATAGGGGGGCCGGTTTTGAAATCTACTGAATCATCAGAAAGGTCAATGGTTACCAAACCTGGCTTTTTGGTGACAATTTGTAGACATGAGCCTGGGTGGAAAAGGAAAGATGAGTGCTAGATTTGGTGTGCATAGGCATAGTAGCTCTAAATATTGTGACCATCGTCCCGGTCATCGGACGTTCATTATTCCTCTTTACCCCTTCCAAGCTTGCCTAGTAGAGTTGACCCACATCCATGGATAGTCGGTAGCAGAGCTTACCTAGACCAAAGGTGATCGTTGTGTTTTGTTTTTCTCGCTTGCAGCCAAAGTTGTGGATGTACTCGTCATCGGTACTCCTACTCAAAAGCAATCATTTTCATAGCTCAATATCAGCATTCTCTATCCGAGTCTTGTGCACAAATAAACTGCTGCCTTTCGGACCAAGTCGAAGACTTCTTTCCCTTCCGACAACTCAACACGTGGTTTCTTCCACATCCTTCCTCGATCAACAGCTACGAGATCATGCCACAGAGTCTAGGACATGCGTTGGCAGCACCCGAGCATACCTCCCTCGACTACGGGTACTCGAGTTGGCTGATCAGCAGACAAAAAGCCGCAGATCTGTACGATTCTGGTACCAAGCTTTGGACTAAAGAGGATCTCAAAGACATAGAGCAACAGTTGAGAAAATCCTATTCGAAAGACCGATTCTCAGTCCGTCGAATCGATGGGAAAATACTCCACATTTCAAATCCCCTCTTTCAAGTACAGAATCCTATCAGGTACGTGGATACTTTATTCTGATCCGATATCAGCCCCCAATCTGATTTCCCATAGGAAACCCTACGTCGAGTACCAAGAATATTGGCGACTTGTGTCAGAACGGCCCGACGGCCCAATCGAAACCTACCTCTGCTCCTACATTGTAGATTGGGATAATCAGACTGCTCGAAATTTTCGAGGGCTTATAGCCCAGCCTACACAAGTCTTTGACGAGAAAGTCTTGTTGTGGCAGAATAGCACAACCTGCAAGGAAATTACAGCCTTACTCCGACGTTTACTCGGTACAAAAACCGTGAAGAAAGTTCTCGGCTTCGGGCTCGGTGACTTTTGCCGCTGCGCTCCTGGATGTTTCAAAGAAAAGCGTGGCTCTTGGTGTGAAGCCTCTGATGTTGAATATGTGATGGGCTCTCTGATCCAGCATTCGATGGCTCTCACTATCGCTCAACTTTGTGGTGGTAATAAAATGGTGCCAATACTTGCTCAGGACCCAGACTACACAGAGATGGCAGAGACGATTTTGACTGAAAAGGGATTCGAGATTGTTGGAACTCACGGCGCAGGAGGATTCGCGGAAATTGACGAGGAATCCATCGTGATAGCACCCTTTATTGCCGCCCCAGTCAAGCAGATTATCGCCGACATCGCTCGGCCAGTCCTCATTATTTCCGACGAGCGTATTGTCTTCAACGAAGATGAGTTTGTTCGCCTCCATCAATGCTCGAGTCTAGCTAACCAGGGAACTTCGCAGCGAACCGTACGCAGATCCTGAATCTCCGAGGACAAGGCAAATGTGGCTTGACTATGATGTCTCGCGCCTGGAATGCCATTCTGGTGATGGTGAGATATGCTCTGCTTTGAAAGGATTACATGTGTATCATAGACGCTAGTCCACGGGTATGGAGTCTACTGTCTCACCATACTAATATTCAAAACGTGGTTTTTATCGTGGAAGTATTCTTTCAACCTGTTTACTTAATTTCTATGTACAAGCTTTTGAAGTATACCTCCCGAGACCATGCCCAGGTGATGCCCTTCAGCAATTAACCTGTCTTGACCTTTCTTTTGCTCTGATTGAATACCCAAACATATAGAAAAGGATACACTGTCTCCGGAACAAGAGTTGCCACCATAATCGCAATGCTCCAAAACGATCTGACATACTCCCAGTCTCGAGGGACGTTGAGATACCGCCATATGAAAAGACCATACGCCGTGAAACAACCCAAATATCGCACAAGCCTGCAAAAAAAGTTAAACATAGTTAGTAAAGCTACTGACAATGGCACCGGAAAAGCAAGCCGCTTACCATATCTCAAGTGAATGGCCCAGCAGAGACCGATCCTTCACTAGCCTATAAGCAAACACCCACCCAACCGGAAGCTGCAAGAGTATACCAGTCCAATAAGCTGTAATCTGCTCGCGGTCGTCCGGGAATAGATATCCCAAGTATCTGAACCCTGCTATAGCTGCGACACAGTACACAAGCATCTCCCCAGCGATCCGCTTTCGTTGATCGGGACCATGGACATGCCAGAGAGTAAGCGCGGCAAATACGAAATCCAGCTGAGACCAAACAAGAAAGCATATTCTCTCCAGTCGCGTTGATGTCGTTGCAAATGCGTAGTATATCTCATACGCCAATGTCAAAGATCTAAGCGGATAGTCAGTTACCCAATGTAACATGCCTTGAGAAATTCGCCGGCGTACAGGTATTTCATTGATCCGGGCAAAACACCATCTTTGACCACCCGCATCATACTGAAGGCATAGAAAAGGGCATAGATCACTCCGCAGGAGATAATCAGACCATCTTGGACGAAAAGATAGCTCTCGGGTGGGTCTAGACGTGCATCGGCGGGCTGCACCACCAGGTGGCCAATGTACTTGGTTGGCCAAAAGTCAGACATTCCTCGGTTGCTAGAAAAGCGAAGATGTTGATCCAACCCAATTGAAATGGCTCTCGGTGAGATGGACTTGAATGGTTATTTAAGAAGAGGGTACACTCGGGCTTGTATGAATTGCACCGAAGTACTTCGCTGCGACCGGGTGGGTCCCCGCCGATCCTCCGATGCGCCCCCACAATCACCGATCTGATCCCCAGGGCTTCTACTCCGTAACAACCCTGTCGTCTCTGGAGCAAATTCTCCTGTTCTGGTCATTACGCCCTTTACCGACAACGCTGCCGGTGAATTTACAGGACTGTCTTGAATGGTCAAGGCTGCGGCTTTAATTGCGGTTGCGATTGATATTTTTCGCAATGTGGTAGTGGGTGTGTATGATGTCATGATCAAGGCGAGCTAGGCTGTGCCGGCCTTGGGCCTTCTGCCGGATGCTGCGGAGAATGGGATGGGGAACAATTGGTCAAGTACGACGTCAAAGAGGCAGGAGGTGGGGTCGGAAAATGTGGGGAATACGAGTATAGACACGTGCCATGCCTTTTTCCAAAGTTTACAGTCTCGTGTCCCAGAAGTGCTTCAGGCCTAGTTGGGCTGTAAGGAGAAACCGACTACTAATCACCAGAAGATCAAGTACGCAGAATTCCAGGCATTCAGGACCAACCATACAGATCTGTGGACAGATTGATAAAATTTCGCAAGGGAATTGGGGTACTACCATCCATTGCTGAACAGTAGACCCTAAGAGTTCAATTTGACAGAAAATAAAATATGACCTTGGCATGAATGCCCAAATCTGCTGAGCCCTCTTCTTCCGCCGAACCGGTCCACCACCGACAATCTCTTCTCAGGCGTGAAACTGTTGACCTTGGTGAGGACGACCAGGAAAGGATCCCCTCGTCATCACGCTGATGGAGGCATAACGGCGACCTGTAGTCCAGCAACCTGTCATGGACATGGGCTAGGTAAGTGACAGAGGGGCGCTTACAGCCCCCGCTGTATCACTTTGAAGACATTCACAGCCGAGGCATAATTGATCAGCGAGAATAATCAGCATTGCGCACAAGTGCGACACCTCTAGACGATCCCGATTGGATTCAAACCAGAGTCCGAAGTATCCATAATACTATGGCGACCTTCCTTGGGTAAAGGCGCAGACTGCTGCGTCAAGTGAATTTAACCTGTGTCAGGATAGCGAGATCGTTCATTACCAGTTGACGTCGCTGAGTTGGAGCTTGCGGGAGCGGAAGGCGGAGCGGTTGGCGCCGGCCTTGTCGGTCCGTTGGCTTGCGGGGGTGCGTTTCTCCTGGGTTGCTGCTTTTTGTTTTCTCAGCAAGGGGTTCTTCCGGTTGGGGTTCTCTGGGGGGTCTGGGGTATCTGGGGAGTCTGGGGGCCCCTGGGGTACAATCTCACTTTCGGCTGGTTCGGGTTCATTGGATGCCTCGTAGTTCAAGACTAGGTTCTTGATGCGTTGTTGTTCCTCGCGGTCCGCTTGCTGTTGGCTCCGCATGGCAATGGCAAAGGTCGAGTCCGATGGGAGATCAATGGATCGAGTCTGGATGAAAGTGAGTTAAATTGCAACAATACAGTGGTTAGTAGCTATGAGGGTCTCACCTGTTGCTTGTTCCCCTTCTTTGTCATCAGAGAAAAGGCCATGGTCTTAGGTGGGACTGGCTCGGCGTGGACTGGCTCCGGGCTGGAATCACTGGGCATGTTTTCACGTGGAGGACGCTTCATGGGGAGGGGAATGTCAAAGACAGTCTTGCGTTCAAACCGTCTGGAGTCCATGCTTTCAGCCATCATCTTCTCGAACTCTCGATCAAATTCGGCTTCGGTCACTGGGTCTCGCTCCTCTTCCTGGCGGGTGACGACGATCTGCTCATCCTCATCTTCGGACTCGCTGTCGCTGTCGTCATTGCCCTCTGGATTGGGTCCAGATGCCTTGGTCATGTTAAAAAAATGGAAGTCGTACGGGGGAAGTGGGGGACGTACTTCGGCTTCATCGCTGGATTCCTGGTCGTCGTCAATCTCGTTAATGGCATCCTCTTCAAGGTCTTCGTCGGACGAGCTGCTTTCTGCGTCTTCCTCGTCGACTTCAACGGGTCTCTCGGAATCGGGCACGTTGTAATTCTGAGCAACAGCTTCACTGAAGATCCGAGTGGCTTCTTCGGCGTCGCTGGCAAGCTTCCATTGCGGGCGAATGGAATGGTAAGTGTCCTGGACGAGGAAATCGACATCCATGGGAAGGGGGTCCTTGGTGAATAGGTAGTACTGGAAGAAAGAAAGGAAGAAGTCCAGCTTCTTCTTGGCGGAGCCACGGTCGAAACAGTGGCCACATGTATCAAGAAGAGTACAGGCCAAACGCAGGCGGAAGTAGTCATCTGGCAAGTCCAGCATGCTGATCCTTCCGGGAACGGGGGGTACCACCCTCATGGCCAAAGGTGATGATGCGATACAGTGTATCGAAGATGACCGGAGAATCAATCATCTTGTAGTTGTAAAGCTCACCTAGATACTTGATTTCCGCGATGCGCTTCTGGTTGAATTTGAAGTCATTCTGCTCAAGGCCAAGGGTGATTTGTTCCAGGACGTTGTCGACAATGCCGATCACGAAATCCTGGTGATACCGGTACAACGCACTGACAAGAATCGCCAGGAGATGAATGCTGCCATACTTCACCTTGACTGGTTTGCTGAACACACGTTCCAGGATTTCAACAACTTCACGTTCTTCCCAGTGGAGTTTGCGGATTGACTTCAAGATTTTGGTGTAGTTGCGCTTGTTCATATCAAGATAGATGAGTCGGCGGATGTACTGCTCCATGGGCGTGCGCTCCTTCTGCTGAATCGCTGGGCGTGGTGGCGGATCGACGTAGTAGATGGCGTTTTCGATGACCATTCGCTCCTGTTGGGCAAGGTGTTGAACAGCCTTCTTCCGGCTCAAGGTTTCAAGGAAAGAAGCCATTCGTGGAGATGTCTCCGGGTTGCGCAACAGGTAGCGGCCACAGTTCTCTAACAAGTGGCCGATGATTTCGATGTTCATGCGCGAAAATTCGTCCAAAGAGACCTTGAAGCAGTGGAAGATGATGTGTTCAGGAACCACGCCAAATTTGGTTAATTCGGCCAAATAGCGTACATTGGCCATACGTACTTGACCAAGGAACTCCTTGGACTTGCGCCTTTGCAGACTTCGGAACTCCTCGTCAAGATAAGTGGTGATTCCCTGTGGGATGTCAGGCAAGTATTGTCCCAGAGTGGCCACAAGACGGGAGTAAAGAGGCAAAAGATCAATGCGACCCTTGGGGATCTCCGAAACAGCCTTGACAAGTCTGTTGCGTGAAGCCTTTGAATTGACCCAGCAAAAGTCCAGCGCAAATTGGTCAACCTGGTCCTTGGTCTGCAATTCGGGGAGCTTGGCAAGAAGGGAATCCACCTGTGCGCCAACGGTCTTGCTAGCAATGGCAGTGGACTGATCATCCGTTTCTGCGGCAGGGGTCTCTTCCGACTGCTCTGCGACAGACTCGGCACCTTCGCCATCCACCTTCTTCTTTCCCGACTCCTCGGCTTCGGGTTTCTTCTTTTTCCCGTCCTCGAGAAGCATGGCGGGCACCTTGCCCTTCAAATCGACGAGATTCTCGTAGAATCGCCTTTCCTCTTCATCTTCCCAGATGCCAGCTCCTTCTCCTTGGCCTCGAAGATAATCTGTGGTCTTGACAAGTCCGATCCCACCGCTGGCTGAGGCATCCGTGGTCTCCTTTTCGGCGATGTCAGGCATCTCAGTTCCAAGAGCCTCGCACAGCACCTGGGTATTGGCCACGAGCTTTTCTAAAACTTTGGACTGCTTTTCGAAGTTGGCTTGACGGTCTTCAAAGATTTCACCACTCTTCACGTAAGCCTCGGCGTTACGACGGTTCTGCTGGGCAAGCGCTCGCTGGTCACGAACAACATGCGCCTTGACATCCTCCAAATAGCGATTCAAGATGTTTCGGAAGCGCTGCTGTGTCTTCTCCGGGGTGAGTGGTAGATCGGCCTCTGTGGACTCTCCATCGGCCTCGGCAGTTTGTGTGTCCGCAGCTGAAGTTGCACCGTCAACCTCAACGGTCTTCCTGCCCTCTTCGGCAAGCTTCGAGCCGACAATATCCCAGCTAAAGCTCTTGACAAACAGCACCGCTAGAGGAAGGTTGGTATGATCTCGGTCATGTCCGAGCAGTTCTTTGAGAACCTCCAGAGGGAACGGATCAGCAGGCCTGTCCTGATCCTTCTGCCCCGCAGCAGGAGTCTTTGCTTTCAACGGTGTGTCCGGCTTTCCACCAATACCAACAACGCCCTCCTTTCCTTTCGCGCCCAAATCTTCAGGCCGCTCGACGTCATCCAGAGTCTTTAGGACATTGACCAGCCAAAGCTCCGTGACCACTCGAAGAAGAACGCGGTGGCGAGACAATCGGTCCTTCTCTTCGCGCTCACGGATTTCCTGGCTGAGGGCCTTCAGTTGCGCTTTGTCCGGTGTGCTCAGTCCGCGACCGAGCAGCCACCCAATCTGGCGAGTGAACTCCCATGGCCCGAAGCGCTGGTGCAGCGCGCTAACAACCTCTACTCCTGCGGCGATTTCTCCGGGGGATTTGAGCTTGCATAGACCTTCGTAGCAGGCCGAGATGATCTCAGAGAGGTACTTGTGGAGGGAGAGCGTCCGGATATCGGCTAGGAAGGTGGACAATGCGGAAGCACTAATGCCAGTGCGAAGACGTTTGATAAAGGCGGTATTTTTCTTGAGCGCAGAGTCGAGGGACTTGTTCGTGGTGAACACATCTATACCAGGTCATTAGTAGCGCCTCTTGAATAGGAGAGGCCGCGACATATTCGCCATCCCGAGATTGCAGATCATACCAGGTTCACCCGCCCAAGCTCGGTCGTTTAGGTCGCGAAGCTCCCCTAGATGGATTGTTAGTCACTGGTCTGATAAGTAGGTTGGGCACCGAACTTTTCCGCTGGCGATCCATCTGTGCAGCAGTTCAATTATCCGATAGAGGAGCGCATAGGTGGCTTGAACACCACATTGAGGAAATCGAGAGAAGCTGAGGGATGAGAGGCGCGCGAGAGCACATAGGAAGGCGGTGCGGAGTTGATACCGGACTTTTTGCTTATCCACTTGTGTGATAACCTCCTCCTTCTTACTTCGACTTACCTCCTTCAAAACGCTTTCACTACGCTTTCACTACGCTTTGTCTCTTATTCATCTACTTTCGAAACTATTCCATCGCATTTAGTTCAATACGGAGTATGATTTCTCGCTAGTCAAATCTGTTCACATTGCCAATTTTAGGCCCTCCGAACCCCCACTGTCACCCTATCCCGCCACTCCCCACCTTGAGCAACTGCTACATCCTCGGAGTGCGTTCAACACAACTCCAGCATTTCAAATTCCATGTGCTTCTGTAAACCCCATCTCCTTTCCTTTTTCAGACCGCAGCAATCGCTCCTGCAGCTGGTGCTTGCGATCCTGGTCACTCCAGCTCTGTCGGCGATCAAACGTCGGTTTCCATGACTTCTCCGGCACCGCATCATCATGACTGGATGACCCCACGATATCAGTTGGAGTAGGCTCTGGGGTGAATGGGAGAGTGACTTTCTGCGCCTCGGGGGTGTCTGGCAACGGGCCATCGCTGTGGCTGGTGGATGTCATTTTGGAAGGTAAGTGGATAGATTGAGTAGATTGTGAGAAGTAGACTTGGTACTGGTACACTTTGATCTGAATGGTACCTGAGGTAGGTTGCTTGATATTTATTCAAGGCTGGCTCATATGTTTAGAGGTTGCGACTGCTGGTGGATTCCCCTCTGATCTTATACGTGTTGATGCAAACTCTCCAATGGTTGGTACTGTTCACAGGTGGCGATAGACTGCTCGCGATCCTTGAGGGCGCACTGACATGAGATGTGAAGAAGACCTCTCACAGATGGACATCTGCAATCGGGCGGAGAGTGGTTATGACGCGCAGGTGGCAAAAGTATCATGATATAGCTCGGGTATCTCGTACTCGGTAGGTCAGTGAGCATGTCTAGACTACTTCCCCAGACTGAAATTCATTCACATGTATTTCTACTTGAAGGTAGAACTTAGTCATTTCATCTCGACCCCCAGATCGATGACGACAATCAGACTGATACTTTTGCTATCCGTATGGAGTACTTCAAGAAGCTTGGATACGTCATATGCAGGGTATAGGCACCTTGAACCTTGAAGGGTTTCAAAGATAGCTGCTAAGAGTGATGTCTAATAGAGTATTGCAGGAGGATTCAGTTCTAATTCATATAATGAAATTCAAAAAGCTAACATATAAGTCATGATTGCGTTCAACCATTGAAAAGGAGACCAACCGAGTGGCCAGACCAACGAGACCACAACAAAGGTAAGTACAGAAAGTCCAGTGGCGTGATTAGGACAGCAATACCAAGGGGCACTATTGCAAACCAGTGAGATCAAAAAAGAAACAAAAGTAGGGATTCCAAGGCCCCATGGAAACAATATACAAGGTACTGAGGCTTTTGGGACACCAAACAAAATCGTACAGGCGGGTGCTGGAAGAAGAACAAAAACGTATAAAACAACCCACGAGAGCAATTAGAAAAACAAATCAATCAGGGAAAAAAAGGTAAACAGGGTATGCCTCACGCCACGCTATGCGGATCTCCTTAGAAGCTAAGGAGACCAAGAATCATTGCAAATATGTACTGGGGGAGCCAATCTGATGACAGAAAGACTGGGATCTAGTGTGGTCAATGATTCATTTAGGCTTACGCCAGAAGTATTGCTGTGAGTACAAAACATATTAGTAATTGCTCGGTACATTCATAGATGTAGATTGGATGATGTTGACAAACCTTGTGCTGTTTGCGACAGTTGCGCAAGCCGGGTTTCCGGAGATCATCCACCACAGCAGAGCGACGCATCACATCATCATCCTCGTCGGGGACATAGTAATATTCGCTCTCGAGTGGTTTGCCAGCAGCATCCTTGCCCTCACGGGCAACCCGGCCAATGAACTTGGTGGATGCGAGAATGTTGCGGATATCGGACTTGGCAGGGCCGGTGACATTGCCATGGCCAGACTTCCAGTAGGCAGGAGGAAGATTGTTCAAGATAGTTGAGAAAGGAGTTGAGGACAAGCGGGAGAAAGCGAGTTGGTTAGCAGCGTGGTTGCGGACTCTCTCAGATGCTTCATCAGTGTACGAGGGCTTGGCCTCAACGGACTCGGTATCTCTGTCCTCGTGAGACGAGGCAGGCTGTCTAGGTGACTGGATGGGCTGGAGAGGCTGGGCGGGCAGCAGGCTGCGCGGAGACCGGGCGGGGTGGATAGGAGAATCACCAGCGCGGAAAGAAGCCATACGAGGAAGAAGGTTCTCTCCGAAAGGACCAAAGGAATGGACAATTGGGTCATTCTCTTCATCGTTGTCGGAGAAGTCGTCAGATCTAGTCAGGTCACTCAGCTCATTGGCATGCGAGGTATGCAGGAAGGCAGTGGCCTGGCGGGCACTCTGCGATGTAACACCAGTCACTGTGTTGTGACGCTTGAGTGGAGAAGGCTCATCCTCAAAGACGACCACCGCAGCCCGGGACCGAGAAGGTGTGAAAATAGGTGAGGATGGGGGAATGGGCTGCTGGGCAATAGGAGATGGGGAAACGGGTGATGCCAGGCGCTGACGGTCCAAAAGTGGACTTTCATGCGGCTGTTGACGAGAGGGACGCCGCTGGGTGGGAGTTGCTTCGTCACTGGTCTGTTCTGAGTCGGTGGACGGGCAGTCTCTTGCTTCACTGCGTGGCCATTGGACGAGCACACGAGCCTCATGAACATCGATCATGATATCCGCGTCTTTGATGTCCGAAGTGAAGGTCTTACCCTTTGCCAGGTCATATTTCCTCCCTTGGCAGTGGATCTTGATTCCATTCCATCCCATGCACACGATCTCAACCCTGTCCCGGTCGAATGGGTTGGGGGCGGGTTTGTATGTTGCCTTCACGTGAACCCGTGAGATCATACGACTAGCAGCTAGCTGATGATGACACGAGACACTGGATCTTCCCATGAGAATTGGCTCTCCATTCTCTTGCAGCATTATGGAAGGGACGGCGGACAGGGGAGCGCGTTCGATAGTGGCCGAGAAGGAGCGTGGGATGGATGGTCGCGAGGCGTTTATTCCCGGGGGAGGCGGAGAAGACGACATGATATGGGTGGACGAGGTTGGAACCGGTGTGGGATACAGCGAGACTTCTGGTTCGCGTGCTATACGCTTCTGTCGAGGAAGGGAGGGCGACGAACTCGGCTCGAAGGCAGGCAGCAAGGCTGCTGGACGTTTCACGCCGACGATAGAGCCGACTCGGCTCTTTAGCGGAGAGGATTCCATGGTGGTGAGGTGTGACGAAGTCGACACAAGCTCTCCTACGCACGAAAAAACTCAGGTCGAGGTCGAGGACCCGCGTCACGGCGTGTTGTGTGAACACAAGAGGAAGCTAGACAATTATTAAGGTGGAGAATCTAGTAGACCTCCCCTAAAGCAAAAGGTGTTGTGGGACGGGAGAAAATTTGTCGAAGAGTAGGGACGAGAAGCATTGAAGGGAAAAGGTCAAAAGGTGGTGGTGGAATGCCCTGGGGCGGAGCGTCTCGTCCCTGCGCGGAAATGCACGCTTACAACCCGAGACGCGTTCGATAGGCGCCAACCACACTCCACTACCCTTTGGTAAATTCAATTGCTAGCTCAAGCTGTGGCCTAAATTTTTGTATACTATCATATGGACAAAAACGTGAAATCGCGCGAATTGAAGGATTAATTCGTGGTTTTCCATTCTCCTCAGTATACAGTCCGTCGCGAGCGCGTCTGAAAACACGTGACCTCGCGCGAGACCAGTATCGGACCAAGTATGTCACCGTTCAGGAATGGTAACCATGACTCCGAAATTTGATTCCAATTAGCCTTCAGCCCAAATATGTGTCCAAGAAAAATATACACAGAGATGTTCTAGGTCACCAGATTGCCTCGTAGAATCCAATATACGAAGTTCAAGCAGACTTTATGGAGCTAGTACGCAAATTTCTCTATACTTACTTCCGGTACTAGTACAGAGTACCAGGGGGTACTATACGATCTCCAGCACGAAAAAAATTGCCAACCCCCCTCTGTAACCCCACTAACTGTCACAAATTCAATCACCGCTCATTCGCCTGTCGCGTTTCCCAGCCCCCATGTGGGTTAAAATCAAATCGACTCAAGGAGTTCGCCTAAATTCCGATGCAGTCTGTAGATTTTTTTCCTCTTGGCCACATGAGCTGAACCCCAGCAAGGGCTGTCAAGCAGATACTTACTATGACAACATATTAACTTGTCATAACTGGATCTTCTTGACAAGTGGTAGTGGGGCCTCGGTTATGTGTTTTTTTCCCTTACTATCACGGTTTTAGTACGGAGCATAGGTAACTGGAACACGTCGCATCTGGGGATCTTACTGATTGCAAATGGTCATCTTACAGTATACGACAAGTTTCCAACGCACATCTTTTCTTGTGGTTAATTTAGACCTGTCGCCCAATCCTCTCCTTGCTTCTTATATTAGCGAGCCAACCTGACATATGCACGATATATTGCCCCACGGATAGTTTTCAAGCTGGGGAGAGAAATTCGGGGCCTTTGATTGTAACACTGACCATAATTTGGATGGAGATCCACAGAGTATAGAGCTACTACATCATTCGTGGACACGATCAAATCAAGTCGCGATTCAGTTATCGCAGGCCATTATGGGCTCTATGGACTGGGTTTACTTCGATTTTTCATCCGATGATAGCTTCTGATCTTGTTAATCAATCCATGAGACCTTCAGGGCTGAACGTTGAGTTTTTCTTATGGTGGCAGTAATTCATCATCCGAAGTGGTCGCTCCACTGATAAGCCAGTTGCCTGGGTACCTTTATGCGCGCTACGCTATGGTGTAACCATTTAAGCAGGGTGAGCATACGTCTCCTCTGGTGCGTATAACGACTGTACGAAGTGAATTTTACTAGATACAATTTTGTGATCATATTAGACTTGGCCATGGATTCAGTTCAAGAAGGCCATGCTCGGATTATAGGCATGAGTTAGGGTTTCGGGACCATATATATCGGCACGTGATGGGACGAACAGCAACATATATTGCGCATCAGATGTCATTTTTCGAAAAATTACTTTCACCACTTGGGCGCCCGTGGCCAAAAAGCAGTAAATGAATCAAGTGAGACGATTACATGCATCAATACTATATGTTAAGAAAAAACCTCGAAGATAGATGAGGTTAGCCAAGGACTCCAAACTTAGAGATGTTTGTGATCCATCACATGTACTATTGATCTGGCCCCACAAAGAATGAGCTTGGAATGGTTTGACTCCTCACGTCTAACGGTCATGCATAACCTCCAAGCCTGAGTGTGTACAAAGTCATAAAGGCGATCTACACTTTGTCAACGCCGTGTTGTGATAGTCTCCAGGATGTATTGTCCAGAGGTAGACATCATATCCATGAGCACCATTGTCTACCCTATTATGGAGGGGATGTGAATCAAGATGGTATCCCATTGATGAAGGAGCAAAGATAGTCGGAACAAATAATAAGTGATGCGATACTGGATCACGGGGCGTGTATGTGGTGTCAGTATGGGGGTCAAGATGTCGCGCAACTGTCATATAAACGACAATGTGCAATCGGGTTGAATCATCACCAGTTCCACAATCCCAAAGTCGCAGACTCGACGCGGATAAGTTCAGGTTGGAAAGAATAGCTCAACATTGGACAGTAAACACAAAGAGTGGGCAACAGGATCAAGACTGGTAACACAGAAAAAATGAAACGAGGGATAAATTCAGTATCAAACATTCACTTGGACTTGAAAAGAATGAGTGTAAATCTAACCGTCGAGTAAAAGAGATAGGGCTTCCTCCAAGGCCTCCGACCAGGGGGAAAAAATGGGGGTCATAAGAATTGGAACACAACAATGCAACTCGGAATGGAATTTGGGCCCAGTCACACATAAAAGCAAATAAAACTTAAGATACACAGAAATGAATAGAAATCCTTCAAATGGGAGAAGTGCTATAGACAGGTGCACATAGGGATGTAACTGAGCCCAGGAGCTCTTTCCATCCCAGAGCGATTGGACTTGATTGAACTTCGGATAGCGCTGAGACGAGCTACCACCGACCAAAAAGTGAGTGCGGAATCTAGTCGTAGAAGACGTAGTAGGCGTTTCCAGAGGTGACACCGACCTGGAAAATGATATGTTAGTATGTGAAACAAACACAGAAAAAGGAGAATAACTTACAGTGCAACCGCTGTTTCCTGCAATAGCACCGTTGGAGTCGTAGAACTTGCCGGACTCGTAGCGGCACTCATCACTGAGGTTGTCTCCGACGAGCTTGACATTGAAGTCGAGCTCCTTGGTGGTGGTCGGGGTGTTAGGGAAGATGGAGAGGAACTTTCCGGAGCTGGTGTAGCCGACACCCAAGTTGATGGGAGCCCAGTTACCGATGGGCTCGGAACCGTCACCCCACTGGCAACCCTTCTCGGTAGAGACACCCTTGGGGTTAACGTAGTATTGGGCAGAGGTGGCCTTGCCCTCCCAGTTGAAGTAGGTGTCGCCATCGGGGCAAGTCAAGGGGTGGGTGTTACCGGAGGAAGCGGAGAGAGGAACAGTCTCAGACTCGGTACCGGGGTAGTCGGTACGGCAGACAGCAACATCAGTGGACATCTGGTTCTTGACGTGGACACCGCCAACACCGGCGATACAGAGCTGCTTGTGCTTCTTGTTGGTGAGGTGGAGCTTGCCGTTCTTGCACTCAAGACCACCAACGGACTGACCGGTGGCGCCCTGGGTGGTGGGCCACTGAGACTTTTGGTAACCAGCCGGGCAAGCGTAAGAGCACATAGCACCGTGGTGGCACTCATCACCAGTGACGGCGGTCACGATGTCGCTGACCAAGTCATCGACGAGGGTGACGTACTGGATACCGGAGAATCCACCGAGGCCAAGGTAGTCGAGGGCGAGGGCACCGTACTCGGAGGGGAAAGTTCCACAGTCGAGCTCTCCATCGGGGAAGTCAGCATCGACACCAGTGGCACCGGAGCTGCTGGAGGTGGAGGAGCTGCTGGTAGCAGCGGCGGTCGAGACCGAGCTGGAGGAGCTAGAAGAGCTGGAAGTGGGCTCCGCGGTGCTGGTGGGGCTGGCCGGGGTGATGGCGGCGGCAGTCTCCTGGAGAATGGCGGGAGCGATGGTGGAGGTCGGGGTCGGGGTCGACGTGGAAGTCGAGCTGGGGGTGGGAGTGGCGGTGCTGCTGGTGGAGGAGGGGCAGGCAGCAGCGACGGCATTGTCGAGCCATTCAAACTTGTGCTCAGCAAGGCCCTTGCAGGCATCGTCGACGCTGATGGCCTCGGGGGATCCAGACTTGGAGGGGTCCATCACAACAAAGTCGTACACAACGGGGCCGGGGACGGAAACAGTCTCGGTCTCGGCGGCGCGCTTGTGGTAGTGAGCGTGGCCGTGGCCGTGGGCAGTCGCGAGACCAGCCGTCGCCAGCGCGGCAACAGTGTTGGTGAGCTTCATACTGTCGGTAGAGCAAATCTGTCGTTGAAATTACGCGTTAGCCGACGAGTCTGATATGAGATGATCCCAATCGCTTCAGGCCGTCATTCGGGCGTGAAATAGCAAACAATCACAGCGCGATCAAATCCACCACGGTATAACCCCGAGCGACGAGCGATCCACCCATGGCGCAATTGGAAGTTTCAAAACACATCCAACCATATGCAATATAGATATCAAGGGACAGGGCACGTACATCAAAGAGTTGAAAGGCGAAATCGCAAAAAGCACGTTTTTTCAAATGAGTGTGTACGAGAGAAAGAATCCCTCAGGTCGGATGAGAAAACTTCGAGATAGGAGCTGCGACTGGAGAGACTGGGGAAGAAGAAGTCCAGGAGAGTCACGAAAAGGAGGGGGGCGACCCGGGCAGTGGCTCAAAGAGGCTAGCGTGGGATATTCCTAAAAAGGGGTATTTGGAGATACAGCACTTTTCCCAGTTTGTCTCACTGGTGGACCCTGAATGAATGAGTGAAAGAGTCTCGATTGATTCCAATGCCTTGGCATACACAATGTTGTCATTTTCTTTGTTGCATTCACCTCCTATCGAACCGTGGACCGAGTGCATTTACTCTGTATGGGCTATCTCAGTTTGCACCCAATTTCCACTCTCAGGTTTTTAATGTAATGTTTCTGTTCTGGAGGGTGTTTACTTTTCCAAACGAGATTAAAGTCGCCAGGGGCGGCCAATCAGAGGTCTACAAAGCTCTCATTGGGCTCCAGAATTCAGGTACACCAATCAACGCTGGCTTGGCCTGCCGAAATTCCTTGCGTATCCATGGTCACATTACAACGGCTCTGGTCTGATTTTTGTAGACTTCAACTTTCTGTCTAGTGCTCTCAGAGTACGGAGTATCCCTTTCAAGACATGCACGAGTACGAGATGTACGGTTCATACGTGTTCACGTCTGTTTCTTCCATGAAGATCATAGGCTAGGGGTACCAAGTTGCACTGGCACTTTTTCCCCCTATCCCCCTAACAGCCTGCCCAGCTTTTCCAAGGCTGGCAGTGCAAACTCACCACGCAGGGGATCTCCCCTGGCAGTTGACGCACGGTGCCTGGTCTCAATTCTATTCCGATATGACACCCAAGCTGCCCTTGGCCTTGATTCGACTTGTTCATGGTGTCGGAAATAAAATTATTAATTTCCAATCCAGCTCAATGCACACCATGCCTTCTACATCACAGAACACATCATAAGAAGATTGTGGTTTGGTCAATAAGCGCAGCCTAGATGTTGACTCTAACTCCGTATCTCGCTGTATTTTAATTGAATCCTAGAAACGCTGCCTATGGCCCAACATTCGGCATCCTTTGACCACTGCGATCTAAATCAAAATTTCCTGACGGACGAGCGATCCAAATCTACGCCAGATGAAGCCCGGCATCCCGCGGTTTGAACCATGCTTAATATGATGATAATCCCCAGTACATAGAAGATCAGGAAGCCGCTCTTGTCGATCCACAGTAATCTTAATCTCGCGGTACGTACAATCGCAGCACGTCCGCGTCATAACCCACTCGAGCAGCCTCCTCTAGTCACATTATTGTATGTTCGACTACGAGTACTTTACGGAGTACTCCGTGTATAGTCTTTGATACCTTTAGTCACATAATCGTCTCATGTCATCGAACTTCTCGACGCGGTCCCTCTAACTCTCCGTACGTACCAATGACTAACGTGAGCCTAGGAGCGTTGAGGAAGGCCTTCCGAATACTTCAATTTATCTAGTGTATCATGTTACACTGATGCTTCAAACACCCCACCTGGACAACAATTTTCAGTGGCCAATCCAGTGAGAATCTAATTGACATTTGCTACGCTACTAGTACGGAGTAAGGAGTATTGACTGGTGCCTACTCATTCCCCACGAACAAATGGCTTCTCATGTTGACCTTCATTCTACGGAGTATGGAACACGCACATATAATGATTTGTATAGTAGGATTTCCCTGGAAAGTCAAACCCGACCGTACGGAATAGTTGAGACAATGTGAATGAAAAGAGAGAGAGAGAAAGACAAGATTGGCCCCGCCGGCGCACAAGAATGCACCGCTAAAATGGAAGCGATAGATCGTGGGGAAAATGCTTGCGCGGCTTTTCAATGAGCGATTTTGACCATGCTCCATTTGACATTGTCCGAATAGGTTTTACATTTGAACCTGGGACACTTTTTAGGTACCGAGAGACTACTGTTCATGCCATTGAAGTTAAATTGATTAACTTTCCCACTTGGTTTCATATTCGAGCTTGTCATGTTCATGAATGTATCCACCTGGGGCACGTCCTGTTGAATTGGATAAAATAGTACACTTGTGCACAAGCAGCGTGACTTGTATCTTGCTAGTTTGATTCTTCGGTTAGTACCGATGAGGGAGGAAGAACTTCCTTGAAGTGATATGCTGTACTCTGTGCGTACGACATGGAGTAGGTTCGTACTACGCTCGTACTGGCCATACTCGATGGGCCATGCAGTCAGTACCTCTGGTGTACTCCGTACCGAAAAAGGACCATGCGTGATCGATGTTACAAGATTAAAATATCATTGCATTGGATTTTTTCATGATGAAGCTCGCTCAATTTCTACAGCTCAAGATAGCTCATCGGCCGAATGGGTCTAAAAATAACCAAGCCAAGCTGTGTGGCTTGGCATATTTAACGGTGCCTGGCCAATCCGCAGAAGACGCATGAGGCGGGCGTTTCAAGAAATGGAGACGGCACATAACCTGTTGTAGTAGTCTCCAAGCTTATTTTAGCCTCCATGACGCCGGCGCCGACTAACTCGCTCTCCAGGTGCCACTGGGCCATTCTTCCGAGGCTCTATGTTGATATGTCGGACCGGCAGGATTCGCTGAAAGATCTTCCGCATGAATAGTACGTGTCAAAGTATTAACTTCCGGTGCTCATTACCTGTATATTACTCCGTACTTTCTTGGGGAAACGATATTCCAATGATGGAAAAGTCTACGCTGGAAAACGTGGCTGTGAGAGGGCCGACCCGGTTCAAAGCTCCTACATGTCTGAAAACTTACACAGTGTTCCATTGCATTGTTTGACTTTTGGTTTACTCCGTACCAATGGACAGGATAGCCATGAGTCCATCCATGTGGAGATGACCAACTACAATGATTCAATACGACTTCATTTCTAGCATATGAAACCTAGTTGAATTGACCCAAAGCAACAGGAGCCTATTGGAGCTCGGTTTTTGCTTTGCTACAACTTGGCTCTCAGGATTGTGATTGTATCCATATGTGAACAGCTTTGGTGAGGCCAAGATGCATCTATCCACATCTCCTCCACGGGCCCCCAGGCCCTGGGGGACATGGCTTGATAAGGTCCACGGGTGCGATAAGACTAGATAAGACACGATATGTGCCTCAGGCCGAAACTGAGATATGGGCTGCCAAGCACGGATGAACTGCCACCGCCTTCCGAAATTTTTTTGAGTCCCGATATCATCGCAAAAAAATTGGAGAAGTTCAACGAGTCTGCAATTCGCTAAAATGGGCTCCTCTAATACTCAACTCACCTCTAAGGTGACATCTGGCTCACCTTACCAACTCGACAAGCCACAGGTCAGTACCAAGCGCCCCTCGGCCACAATAGTCCAATGTACTTATCGGATTTAGGCCCTCAAAGCCTCCACGGCGCTGTTGAAGCACATCAAGTCTACCCAGCAGGAGCAGGAGAAGACCGCGACCAAGAAGACCCTGATTGGCGATAACGATTCTGATGACGAGGACGCCGCAACCAAGAACGAGGCCGTCTGGCTCGTTCTCACCACCAAGCAGCATGTCGTGGACAAGAACCGTCTGAAGCCCGGCAAGATTGCCATCCCGCATTCGCTCAACACATCCCCCCTCCCTTAGCATCTGTTTGATCACTGCCGACCCCCAGCGAGGCGTCAAGGACATCATCGCCGACTCCACATTCCCTCAAGACCTTTCCTCCCGCATCGAAAAGGTCATTGGTTTCTCCAAACTCAAGGCCCGCTACCAGAGCTTCGAGAGCCGTCGCCAGTTGTTCTCTGAGCACGATGTCTTCCTGGCCGATGATCGCATTGCTATGCGCCTGGTTCAGACCCTCGGAAAGATCTTCTACAAGTCTAGCAAGCGCCCAATTCCTATCCGCATTGCCGAGATTGAGAAGGTCGACGGAAAGCGCGTTAAGAAGGAGAAGAAGAGGCCCAATGTGCCCACCGACAAGGACATCAAGCACGCTTCTTTCGCCTCTCCCCTGATTGTTGCTAAGGAGATCGAGCGCACCCTGAACTGTGCCTCCGTGCAACTCGCACCCTCCACCACAGCCGCCGTTCGCGTCGGTTCATCCAAATTCACACCCGAGCAGCTGTCCGAGAACGTTGCAGCCGTTGTCAAGGGTCTGACTGATAAGTTCGTGGCCAAGGGATGGAGAAACATCAAGGCATTGCACATTAAGGGTGCCAACACCATGGCCCTGCCCATCTGGCTCGCTGACGAGTTGTGGGTGGAAGATGCCAACGTTCTGGAGGCTGCCCCCGAGACCGACGCTGCCAACTTCCCCAAGAAGCGCAAGGCTGTCACCGACGGCAAGTCAGTCGAGGAGAAGAAGACCAAGAAGACCAAGTCCGCAGAGGATGAGGAAGAGGCTGCTTCTGTCGCTGCGCGGAAAGAGAAGCTCCAACAGCTCAAGGCCCAGGCTCTCGAGGATGGCGAGACAAGCAAGCCCGAGGCACCCAAGGCTGGTGGCAAGAAGAAGAGAAAGTCGACTTCATGATGGTTATAGCTCTTAATGTTTTCTGCATGTAAAGGTATTTCTGGCGTACAAAATATCACGTGTGTCTATTGTTCGATCACCCCACATTCAACCTGTAGTCAGGCCCGACTTCTAGTTACTCTAAAAAAACTGTATACACTTGTGATCGCATTCGACACCCGAGAATAACAAACTTAATCAACAGACCCTCTCATAGATGTCGCATGCGTCATTCATTGGTGGGACTGATCAGCCTATATGAATACCGCATTAACCGAGTCCGACCTCGGGAGGTGGTCTTGGCATGCCGACGATAGCCACTTCACCGTGAATCGCCGAGCTACAAACTCGCTCTTCTCTCCACGAAGAACAACACTCGATTGTTCCACCAACTCGTCGCTATGATTCCTCTCGCCAGACACTCTGTTCTGCGGGCTGCCCGCTCCCAGCTCCAGCCCACCTGGAAGCTGAGCCAGCCCGCTTCTTCAGCGCTCGCCCGCCTCCTCTCAACTCTTGCGGTCCTTGAGCAGCGCAATGGCAAGCTCGAGTCTTCCTCTCTCTCCGCGATCGCAGCAGCACAGAAGCTTGGTGGCTCAGTAACAGGCTTCCTTGCTGGCTCTGGCGTCAAGGGAACCTCTGCCGCGGAGGCTGCCAAGATTAAGGGCGTTGAGAAGGTGCTGGCCGTGGAGAATGACGCATATGAGAAGGTTCGTTTTTATATGTCTTTGGAACTACACCGGATCTTGAAATTGTGAAACTAACCATTTTGTCATGATATAGGGTCTCCCCGAGAACTACGCTCCTCTTCTGGTCGAGAACATCAAGAAGGGCGAATTCACCCACATCGTTGCTGGTCACACTGCCTTCGGCAAGAGCTTGCTGCCCCGCGTTGCTGCTCTTTTGGACGTCCAGCAGATCTCCGATATCACCGGCATTGAGAGCGAGGACAGTATGTGGAAGCCGAACGCAGTAAAATTTGACATGTGATCCAGTCACTAACGGCTAACAGCTTTCGTCCGCCCCATCTACGCCGGCAACGCCATCCTTACCGTTCAGTCTTCCGACAACATCAAGGTCATCACTGTCCGAGGCACCGCCTTCCAGGGCGTTGAGACCGAGGGCGGCTCCGCCGAGATCGCCGACGGCGTGGATTCCAACGTCCCCGCGACAACCGAGTGGGTGTCCGAGGAGCTCACCAAGTCCGAGCGCCCCGACCTTGGTACCGCTACCCGCGTTGTGTCCGGAGGCCGTGGATTGAAGTCCAAGGAGGAGTTTGACCGTGTCATGCTTCCCCTTGCGGACTCACTTGGTGCTGCCATTGGTGCTTCGCGTGCCGCTGTTGACAGCGGTTTCGCTGACAACAGTCTGCAGGTTGGCCAGACTGGTAAGAATGTTGCTCCTCAACTCTACCTCTGTGCTGGTATCTCCGGTGCTATCCAGCACTTGGCTGGTATGAAGGACAGCAAGGTCATTGCTGCGATCAACAAGGATCCCGAGGCTCCCATTTTCCAGGTTGCTGACGTTGGTCTTGTCGGTGATCTGTTTGAAAAGGTGCCTGAGTTGACCGAGAAGCTGAAGAGCGCTTGATTTGCGCGCGTGAATAGTGCTTTTTTTTTGTGACCTACCGAGCAGGTCAAATTTTTCCTTCTGATGTACTTTTGAATGAACCGTACAGTATACCATCAACTAGAGACTGGAGCCGGATTGGTCTACTAGTCTGCAATTACAAGCTTTTGCCTCATATCTTATGGCCTTGATATCTCAGTATCTGTGATCATTCAGTTAGCTTCTACATAAAAACACGACAATGACGTTTAGAAAAAAAAAAATAAATAAATTGCCCCTATAATGCTGCTCCATTGGACCCCAAAACCGTCCTAAATGTACATAGTAATGTTCTGGAGTACTCCGTAGATCGTATAGATTGAGAGAAATCCCCTTCAACCAAAGGGGACTAGCGTGTTCTGCCCGCGCGCGTCGCGTCTTTAGAGGGGAATTAACACCAAAGATCGAAGAGATATCTGTACGCTTGAATGCTTCCCTCATCGCCCTCCTTTTTGTCCTCATTTGATCCTGCCCTCCATCTCCACTCCGAAGACCCGGGGAACACAAATTGCCCCCAATCTGAGTCGTTCTCCGACGATCTCGAGGCAATCAATCTACACCGTTTGGAACAAACCCGCAACCGAGTGGTAATTCAGCATCGCGCGTGGGACCTATCTGATGTATTCCGAAGTGAAGACGACACAAGACCCTGTGCGCTACTATCTACAAAAAATGCGCCGAATTACGCTGACTGCCCTACAGTAGATACGCCGACAAAAGCCTCCGTCAAGACTCCCAGGCCACGTCCTTACACCACGGCTCAGAGCGTTTCGTATCTGCCATCCTCTCCACCCACTCCAAAGATGCCATTCCTCTCATCTCAAGGAGCGCAAGGCTCTACCCCTGGCAATGCTGTCAGCGATGCGCAGAAGAGAAAGGCCGCCGAAGGAGGTTCACAATCGACAGAACCGAAGCGGCAGCGTATGGTCGGAGGTTTCATTGACGAGGATGATGACGATGACGAGGATGAGGATGGCCTTGCCGCACTCAGAGATCAGGAGCTAAATGACCAATTCGACCTACCAGAGCACCACACCCAAGAACCTTCCGCGGAGCTCGCCAGTCTAACAGCACTACCGCAAACACACTCTCAACCGAACCCTACGATTGAAACTGCACCAGTGATTCCTAGGCCGATAACAGGGCTGACATCTCGGCCAGCCCCCAAAGCCCCCAAAAGATTTCAGATCAAGACGTGCTCTGGAAAGACCCACAATGTGGTTACGAGGAAGGCGCAAGCTCCCATGTCCTACGAACAGATCATCGCTAGTAGGTCTGAGTCAGAGCCTGGAAAGGCAAAGAAGAGCTATTATGGTATAGACATCCACAACTTGTTGGATGAGGCAGCGAAGGAGACAAAATCCTCGAAGCCTACCTCTCCACCAAAAATCCACAGAACCATAGAAAGCGATGTCGGAGATCCAAAGCAGAAGAAAAAAGACTCTGCAATGTGGACTGAGAAATACCGTGCTCGCAAGTTCACAGATCTGATTGGTGATGAACGCACGCACCGATCAGTGCTGCGCTGGCTCAAGGGCTGGGAGCCAATTGTGTTCCCAGGCCTGGCCAAGTCTCGAGGAAAGAAATTCGCCCAAGAAGACGAAGAGGAGTACATGCATCGCAAGGTTCTTCTGTTAAGTGGGCCTCCTGGGCTCGGGAAAACAACACTCGCGCATGTATGCGCCAGACAAGCAGGCTACGAAGTCCTCGAAATCAATGCAAGTGATGATCGCAGCAGAGATGTGGTCAAAGGCCGTATCCGTGATGCCCTGGGCACAGAGAATATCAAAGGCATGAACGTGGAAGTTGGTGAGCAAAAGGTCCGACGCGCCGGAAAGCCCGTCTGTGTTGTGGTAGACGAAGTTGATGGCGTGACTGGTGGTTCAGGAGGCAGTGGTGAGGGTGGATTCATGAAAGCACTTATTGACCTTGTCTTGCTGGACCAAAGGAACACCAAACTGTCTGCAGAGGGAAACACGGCAAAGAAGCGCAAGGGCGATAACTTCCGATTCATGCGGCCATTGATTCTGGTTTGCAATGACCTTTATGCCAGCAGTCTTCGCCCTCTTAGAGCATCTTCTATTGCGGAGATGATCAGTGTTCGCCAAGCTCCATTGGAGAACGTTGTGCAAAGAATTAAATTCATCTTCGGCCGCGAAGGTATCCCGTGCGACAACGATGGGGCTCGAAGACTCTGCGAAGCTGCGTGGGGCATGGTCAGCAAGAAACAGCGCAATGCCAAAACTACGGGATCCGCCGAAGGTGATATTCGAAGTGTCCTTGTGGCCGCAGAATTCGTAGCCCACAAGCTTCGAAACGAGTCAGTACCATCTTCGATCAAACTCTCGAGAAATTGGCTTGAACAAAAAGTCCTGAATGCCTCAACCGAGGGAAGTGCGTTCTTCAAAGAATTGAGCCGCGGAGGTGTTCGTGAGATCGTCAACCGTGTCTTTACAGAGGGTGCTGGCTTCTCAGATGCGCCAACCAACATGAGCTTCCAGGACAAATTTGGCGAATCCGCCAGCCGTGTCCCTGTCGGTGTGGCAGATCTGCGCAAGCGACATGCAATCAATCGATTGCGAGAAATGGTTGATTCCAGTGGCGATCACGACCGCTGTGTGTCCGACTGTTTTGCTTCATACCCCATACAACAGTATCAAGACGACAACTACTTCTCCAAGCCGAATTCAGCCCATGACTGGCTTCATTTCCATGATTTGATCAGCTCGAAAGTATATTCATCACAAGAGTGGGAATTGATTCCTTATATGAGTCAGGCGGTTGTCGGATTCCATCATCTCTTTGCCACTGCCAGTGGCAGGACCACCGAGGATGACAAAAACGACGACGAGAATGCAGAAGAGCCTCATCCTTTCTCGGGCCCCAGGGCCGACTTTGCTGCCTTTGAAGCCCAGAAGCAGAACCGCGCGGCCTTGACTGCATTCCATGCAAGTTTCTCAGCGCCAATGGCTCGTATGTTCCGCTCTAGCGAGAGCGTTATCACCGACCTGGTGCCTCACTTGGTTCGCATGTTATCACCAGACGTCAAACCTGTGATCATCCGCGGGAACGGAGACTCCAGAAGCACAGCGAGCGTTCGCAAAGAATCCGAACGTGCACTTGTCACATCTGCCGTGCGAGTCATGAGTGGAATGGGAGTGAGATTCGAGAAAGTCCGCGTGGAACACGAAGGAAGTCATGGCGGATGGGCGTACCGCATGGAACCGTAAGCAAACCTCTTTAACGACTGATATGGACCAAGCTAACCGAATTCGAACAGCCCAATTGATTCACTCGTTGCCTTCTCAAAGGCCAAAGGAAGTAGCGCCGAGTCGGGTAGTACAGCGCCGGTCCGCTACGCTGTCCGCCAGGTTCTGGACCAAGAACATCACAAAGCGACCAACCGAAGCAAATCCGACCCGGCAGATGTATCAAAGACTGGTCCCAAGGCCCGGGGTAAAGCTGATGACGGGGCCGCAGCTAGAGCGCTTCGTGAAGCAGCTGTCAAGCGCGATTTCTTTGGCCGGGTCGTTGAGCAGCCTGCACCGCAGCCCAAGGACCCGAACAGTGCTGAGAGCTGGGTGGACGAGTCGTCTAAGGCGGGACGCAAAGTCTGGGTCACTTTCCATGAAGGTTTCTCGAACGCTGTTCGCAAACCGATATCTATGGGGGAACTGCTGACCGGGTTGTAATATATGCATGATGTATACCCTTGAGCGTTCATCACGGTTTTATTTCTCTATGTTCTTACGACATACTTCTTTTTCTATCTCTACAATGATGACAATGTTTTCGAGAACGCCATAGATTAAGTGATATTATTATGGCAATCGCCGAAGTGTACCTACCTAGGTAGTGAAAAAACCAATCAAAACACAAACATGAGTCGAGCCAACGTTTATAGCATGGCATCGAGAATGACAGGCAATTTTTCTTGATGCGCCAACAACCAATTCAAACGAAGAACAAACGAAACGCATGGCAAGAGAGCCATTGCGAAAGAAGGAAGCACAAAATTATCTATACAACATGAAGTTCAAAAGGTGGTATCCATATCATTCCATCATTGAAGCCGGAAGGACCAAAGGTATCTCCGTACCGGCGACTTAAAACGATCACAGCAGCATCGCAACTTTGGAAGTTGGACGAGACGAGACGACCGGTGTGCATTCGCATTCGAATTCGCGTTTATCGCAAGGCAAGGTAGGTCGCCACGGCTTCATGGTGCAATTGTTTCTTCTTGTTTTCGTTTTCCTTTCTCTTGATTGCTTCGGAGTCCGAGGTCTTGGAGGATGAGGTCTTGGGTGTCTTCGAGAATGCCGAGTACCACTTAGGACTTTTGGGTGCGTCGCCCTTCAAGGTTGTAGCACTGGAGACGGTAGAGTAGGTAGATGACGCGTCTGACATGGTCTTGGAATCGTATGTGGAAGACATTTTTTGTGGATTGGAGAGAACTGGGTTTACTCGAAGTAAATGGAGGATTTTGAGGTAAGGAAGGCTCGTTGCTGGAAACGCAGCTTAAATGCGGCTATGAGCTGTAGAGTGAAGATCGCTTTGGACTGATCAGAATTGAATTGGGATGTTAGGCTACAATTCAGAGGGGATCTTCAGTGCTTTATATAACATGACCTCACGGTACCCATACATTTGAGTCTGATCGCCATAGCCTCATGGCGGCCTAGAAGGTATCAAAGTTGAGAACGTCAGCCCTGGAGTCATAAGCATGTGGGGCCATCGGAGTAAGATTCGGAGCTCGAATAACGTGTCATAGGGCCATCGGAATAAAGCCTTGGGGGGCTAGTTGATCTAGAACGGGCTCATTTTGGGACGCTAGAACTACTTGTACTCTTTATTTTTTAGGCACAGGGCTTTAAGTCGTCGCGATGTCCCAAATCATTCTCTAAGAAATCAACAGATGGAGAATAGAAAAGAGACTTATTCTCCAAAGTCCCAATAGAATGCAAAATGTGAAGAATACGTACAATACGAGTACTTGCATCCCAATGAAGAGTAAATCTGTGCATCATCTAAGCCTAATTGATGACCCCGAAATGGCGGGATCCCAATATGGTAGTCAACCCAATCTACTCCGAACTAGCGGGTAAAAGGCTCTCCACTTTAGCCCACGTTAAGAAGCATCTCGCGAAAGGGCGCGATCACCCACTAGCGTTTACTTGGCTCCGCCCTTCGTGTTTGCAGTGCATGTCTTTCAGGCTCTATGGTATCGGAACGGGGTCTCAAAAAGATCTAGCGGCCGGTACGGAGTATGGATTTCGATGATTTCTTATTCCTCCAAAGATCGAGAACAGCAGTACATCTGACAGATTCTTCAAGTTTTTATTCACCAACACGAAGGATAACTCGATCACGTTGGCCTGCGCTTGGGCATTCAATTTGATTTCCAAGCATGGGCATCTGATGGGCATCTACCCCGTATTTCGTAGAGTACTCCGGTCCGTACTGTGTCCCAGGGTTAGCTTTAAGTTCGATCCTTTCAAATTACGAGGTGGCTGAGAATGACTCAACACAAGTTATATCATAGCTCAACAACGTTGGGATACAGAGGCGAGTGATTAGCCCCTCTCTCTAGCATTCCTCGTCTTGCGTTATTAATTTAGAATATCTAAGCGTTTGACATGGCGTGAGATCGCATTCCTACGAGCCGGTTTTAGTCCGAGATCTTACTCCGACGTTGGCTTTTTATTCCGATGTCAAAGCCATGATGTAGCTTAATCCGATTACAAAGCTTCTTTTTATAGGAACAACGTGTTTTAGGGAGTTCGAAATACGGAATAGAGTACGGAGTAGATTTTATTGAAAGCAAAAAAGCCAATGCCGATATAAATTCCGGAATAGCTTGAATGACCGGGGTGTCGGTCCGATAGGTCGGCCAGCAGACAATCGACAATCTTCACCTTGCATGTCCCCAGGTGGTCACCATGGTGCTCCGTACATATCACGCCGACCACACTTAATCTTGACCATTTCCTTACTTCAAGATAGCGCGCTACACGACCCTCAAAACCAGCACATCCTGGCCCTCAGCGTTGCAGGAGATACTCTTAATCGAGGCCCGGTTTCGGATCCGCGAAAAGCCTTCTCCAGAGCTGGAGTCAACTGGGGTCATCCTCGCTGAACCTCACACCATAACCTCGGAAGCTCTATCCACACCTGGACGCTACGCAGAGACTGTTCTTGTGAACTCCGTACTCCCTACTCCGTACATACCGGCACTGCACGATTTTCCAATAATGTGCACGAAGCCCCACAGAACATCGAGGATGTGCAAGAGATCAACACGCTGTTCAATGGACACCGCTTGATCGACAGCAGCGAGCTCCTGATCTGAGGACAATCTCTCCAAGCTTTGACATCATGCCCAGGTCGGCGATCAAGATCGGCGTGATTACTAACCTTGCCGGTTCTCAGGATGAGATCATGGCAGATTCAGCGGTCAACCAAGTCTACATAGGATACCGCAGATTGATGCAAGATGACTATGTCGCAGGGGTCCTGAGATCTGGCATAATGATCCGACTCAAAGATTCCGCACGATCGGAATCTGCAGTGGTCGGCGATTAGCAATGTTGCAGTCCCACCTTCGACGGCGTTCCGCACCTATCCAATTTGTCATCTCGGTCATCTCGGACAAACCTGAATAATCGACATTGACCTCGTGGGGTAATGGGGGGTTAGCATTTTTTTGGGTCATTTGTTTAAAAATCGACTCAATTCCGCAACAAATTTCTATTATCCAAAGTACTCACTCACGATACAAAATCACAAACACATCATGTCTCTCAAGCCCATCACACTCCACGGCCATGCCGGCGGCCCCAACCCTTGGAAGGTCATCATGGTCCTGGAGGAGCTTAACATCCCCTACGTCCACAAGTTTGTCGATTTCTCCGACATGAAGAAGGAGCCTTTTGAGTCAATCAACCCCAACGGCCGCGTTCCCGCAATCGAGGACCCCAACACCGACATCACCCTCTGGGAATCCGGTGCTATTGTCGAATACCTGGTTGAAACCTACGACAAGGAAAACAAGATCAGCTTCGCCCACGGCTCCAAGGAATACTTCCAAGCCAAGCAGTGGCTGCACTTCCAGGTGTCCGGTCAGGGCCCCTACTTCGGCCAGGCAGTCTGGTTCACCCGCTACCACCCGGAGAAGATCCAAAGCGCCGTTGACCGCTACGTCAACGAGATCCGTCGTGTCTCGGGCGTCCTTGAGCGTGCCCTCCAGGGCAAGCAGTACCTGGTTGGCGACAAGTTCTCTTACGTTGATGCGGCTTTCGTGCCTTGGTTCCTCATTGCCCCCATGTTTGAGATTGACATGGAGAAGGACTTCCCCACCACTGCTGCTTGGTTGAAGCGTGTGCAGGACCACCCTTCTGTTGCCAAGGCTGTTCAGGATCGCGCTGAGGCCATGGCCAAGCACCACTGAGCTAGTTCCATGGAAACGATCTTTACGTGCAATTGTTTAGTGCTCGTGTTTTGGTGATACTATCTGTATATATTGAGGTTTCTATTATATCCCAAGACTCATGTGTTTATTGAACAATGCATTTATGACCATTCTCTTTGATCAGCTTTGCCACCTAAAACCTAGTATGCCTACTTAGTGATAGCTCTACTGCATATTCGTTTGATTTTTGGAGACTTTGTCAAACTACTTTCAACCATTTTCACGAACAAATCATATCCACTTAGCAATAAAAGAAACACAAAGAAACACAGAGCAATGTGCAGGCTTCAAGGCTGTTATACTTCGTAGCAATGAGGACAGGGGCCTAGTCCGAAAGCGGCTAGCGCCAACCCTGTTCTTGGCACTCCGTGAGTTTTGCGTGTCGCGACCAACCTCCCCCGAATTCCCCCTCAGCAATCAGTCCAATCATCATTTTCGGTCCACTTGTCTATCTCATCAGGCCATTCTTGATACCTGTACTGGCTGCTGGCTGCTTGAGTCCATAACACCATTGCGCTTTGTGAGGCTAGATTGGAAGAAGGGCAAGGAGTTCAACATCATACCGACCGCGACGGCTGCTTGCTTTCTTTGACCCATCATGGATGATACACAGTTCAATCCAGCTGGCGTTCCTGAGCAGGGATCTGGCTTGGATGGAGGATCCGCGATCCGCGATGCTTCAGGTTGGTCTTTGAAAGCCGCGACGTGACGCCCAGAGCTAATTAATTGGACAGAGACACAGTCGCGTCAAGACTCACCTGTGAGAAACAATGAAACCGCCGGTGGATCCGACGACCCCCTCGATGCTCCCGCCTCGCCTAAACCCCAGAACGGCGGGGAACTTGAAGACGAGGAGATGGGTGGCACCGAGACCGATGCCAAGCGCGACACCGAAGGCCTTGAGGATGCCGTGGGTGAGTCGCACCCAACGGGAGAAGGTGTGGATGGATTGGAGGATGCCGTGGGAGAAGAGCAACCTGCGCCAACCAAGTCTTCTCTCGAAGCCGCTGCGCGCGAACAACTCGTCACCCAAACCCATGCGATCATCCTCCCCAGCTACGCCACATGGTTCGACATGAACACTATCAACCCCATTGAGAAGAAAGCTCTCGCCGAGTTCTTCAATGGCCGCAACCGTAGCAAGACACCCGCTACCTACAAAGATTACCGAGACTTCATGATCAACACTTATCGATTGAACCCCATTGAGTACTTGACCGTCACTGCTTGCCGTCGCAACCTTGCCGGTGATGTGTGCGCTATTATGCGTGTTCACTCATTCCTCGAGCAGTGGGGTTTGATTAACTACCAGGTGAGTAGCTTCGAAGCTTCCATTTTGTCCCATTCGAGCACATTGACCAACACATTTGCAGGTGGACCCACAAACCCGTCCTTCCAATATCGGACCCCCATTCACTGGCCACTTCCGAGTCATCGCCGATACTCCTCGCGGTCTCCAGCCATTCCAGCCAGGCCCAAACCACAGCGTCACATCCGGCAAGGCTCTTCCAGCTACCCAACGCGCAGCTTCTTCCACCCCTGCCTCTAAGGAAGATCTCAACTTCGAACTGCGTCGCACCATTTATGACGATAAGGGCAAGGATGTCACACCGGCCGATGATAAGGAAAAGCAGACCAATGGCGAATCAAGCAACGGCTTGGACCTTGCCCAGGAGTCTAAAAAGAAGGCACACTGTTTCTCTTGCGGTATTGACTGCACCAAGCTCCGATTCCACTACGCCAAGTCTGCTTCCACATCAGCCAATGCCAACACCCCAGACTCTAAATATGACCTGTGCCCTAGCTGCTTCCTTCAAGGAAGAATGCCCTCCAGCCACAATGCCTCAGACTTTGTCAAGCTTGAGGACAAGAACCACACTCAAGTTCCCGGCAAAGACGCACCGTGGTCGGACTCAGAGACAATCTTGCTGCTCGAGGGTCTGGAGAACTTTGATGATAACTGGGAACAAATCGCAAGCCACGTTGGCACACGGTCTCGTGAAGAGTGCGTGATGAAGTTCTTACAGCTAGAGATCGAAGACAAGTATGTCGACGATGTTCCTGAGCTGCGTTCTGGGAGCGGACGGGACCCTATCAGCCAGTCCGAGAACCCTGTCCTTTCTGTTGTTGCTTTCCTTGCCCAGATGGCAGAGCCTGCCGTGGCTGCGGCCGCAGCCGGACGATCCGTTGAAGAGATCCGCAAGGAGCTCCGCAGCCAACTTGAGAAGGGGAGGAGACAAAGGCAAAGACACAGTTAAGACAGAGGATTCCATGGATGTGGATCCCGCGCGCGAGGCCGAGCAACAAGCCGGCTCGAAGCCCAAGGAATCTCTCAGCACGATCGCCCTGGCTGCCTCAGCCGCCCGTGCCGGTGCGCTCGCATCTCACGAAGAGCGTGAAATGACCCGTCTCGTGTCCGCCGCTGTCAACGTCACTCTGCAAAAGTTCGAAGTCAAGCTCCAGCAATTCAACGAGATGGAAGAGATCATCGAGGCCGAGCGCCGCGAGCTCGAGCAAGCCCGCCAGCAGCTCTTCCTCGACCGCATGACCTTCAAGAAGCGCGTCAAGGAAGCCCAGGATGCTCTCCAGACCGTCAGCCTGCAAGGCCCCAACGAGCACTCAAACCAGATGCTTGCTGATGCTGCCACCACTGGTATCGGTAACCACTACACCTTCCAGCCCGTTGGCGGTGACATGCGGGCAGGAACTCAGCCTTTGAGTGCCCAGGGTGGTGCCGACTACAAGACGCTCGAACTGTAGCTTTCTTCCATTGCATGTACGATATCCCCCTGGATCTTTGAAGAGAGCGACCCAAGGGAGCTGCTTCTAGTCTCGCTGAGTTATGAATACTTCTGAAATTTCTGGCCAGGAAAAGGCGCACGTTTTGTTTTTTCTGTTTTCTGTTGGAGTTCTTTTCAATGAATCCGCCCTCTCTTTCCAGAAAGCGGATTGCGCTTTGGGGTGAAACTAGGGGGTTGGGGTATTTTTTTTCTTCATCATTGTGTTTACTTCTAATCATACGTCCTTGATGTGATTCTTGATCTTTTGAGTAGTTGTACAGTATGCTTCAAATACACTGGCTCGATGTGGTACCAGGGGTAGCTATTATTTTGTAACAGCCCTCAGCCAGGCCGGTGTTATTCCATGGCGCTAATTATCAATATCAAGTTGTTTGGCTTGCTCCAATATCTTCATCGAGCATGACGAATGCTTCTTTCTGTCCAGAGCAGATGGCCCTGCGATTGTTCAGAGTTCTGATCCCTGCGGTTTGAGCCGCTTCCGTGGCGGCATCTCGAATTCCTCCTTCAAACCAGCGAAGTCGTGCTTGTACTCCTCCCATTCACTCTGGTAGGGAACTCGACTCCTCCAGTCGAAGACTGGCTCTCTGCTCCTATGTTCCGGGTATTCACTGAGCTGGTGGTCGGGGTCCTCTTCCTTCAAAGGTTCCGCAACGTACTCTCCAGATTTGTCCATCAGCTGCAAAAACTTTGCTTCTTCAAGGCGACTGGCAGCTTCATCTGCGGCATCTGCGTGCTTTTCTTCGTCGTCCATCTCCAGCTCCTCCGCATCAGACGAAATCTCCGACCCAGAACCCGGTGACCCCTCTCGAGAAGACGAGGGATCAAGATCAACGACCTCGGGTTCGAATTCGGATTGCGATTCTGTTCCTTCTGCGTCTTCTGCTTCGAGTTCATCGTCGGAATCCTCGATTTCAATCACGTTCTCCGCCTCTTCGTTGTCTTGATCGGCACCGCCGGATATAGCTGCGTTGCTGCGGTATCTGGACCACTTGCGCTTTCGGATTATTGTTTCGGCTTCTTCGTAGGTGAACGGAGTAGGTACCCAACCTTTGCGGTTATGGATGTCGGCTATTTGGAGTTCATTTCGACGAGCTGTGTCTACAAAGTTGGGTCGACGATGCTTCATGTTGAGGACTTCGATGGCTGCTCGCACATCGGACACTCGAATGAGAGGTTTTCTGTTGCTGCCTTTGCGGGTTGAACAACGTCTTCTCGACATGGAAAAGAAGATAGCTGACTGGACCAGACGCCGCGTGACGCTGACAGTAAGGGCGTAGAAATCAATGGCGCTTTCTGCGGCCATTGACGGCGTCTGATCATGCGCCGTGATGTTCTTTTTGGAGCTTGCGATATTCGTCCAATGATCTTCTGTTTTCTTGCCACCGAAGTTCATGAATAGTCTTCGAGATAGTTGGATCCAGTCGGGAAGGTAAAGCAAAGTAGCCGCGAGATGCAGATCACCTCGGACCGTGTTGTCGTTTTCATCATCAACGGCATTCACCAGCTCCAAAGCAGCAGGACCAGTAATGTTCCAGAAGTCTCCGTAATCCTGCTTGCCGGCTTTTGCTTGGGTGAGAGATTCGGTCAACACCAAAACATCGGCATAATCGTCAAGCATCTCACAGCCTTTTTGGCTGATCTCTTTGGCTGCTGGAATATCTCCAAGCACGGGCATAGAATCCGCTGAGCCAGAGCGAAACTGGATCTCCAAAGCCCGATGCATGAGACTGATGTACTCCATAACCTCAAGCTCGGATTTGGTGCCGATTGATGCGGCAAGCTCTTTGATGTCGCCCTTCCCTTTGCGATCTAGCGCATTGAAGAACGCTTCCTTCTCTGTTGAAGTCCAGACCACCGAGCCATGCTGGCTCACCTGGAAGACATCCTCCTGATGCCTCGACCAGGTATGATCGATTTCCTTCTTTGATTCAGCGAGAAGGTGTGTATAGGTTCGCATAAACAAGAGCGATCCGGGCATTTGCGGCGAGCGCCGCATAAGCGCCTCTCCAACTTGGCGATCGACATTATCGGCTTTTCCGTCATTAATGAGAGGAGGTAGCTTAGTTTTAGGCAATTCAATTGGATTAGGTAGTTTGGGTATATTGGGCGGTTTGGTTGTTGTATTTGCACTGCTTTTTCTAGGCGTTTTGGTTGTAGGCGATTTGGAAGGTGGTTTGGATGGTTGGATATCTGGAGAGACAGAGCGTTCTGAGGGTGTAGACGGGGAGTACCCCGGGTCGGATTCAATCTCGGCGGTGTCGCTCATTATTCGAGCTGGCAGGTTCGCAGCGCATGCGGAATGAACTGAAGCAGCACATCACAGCTACACTCCGATCAAAACCCGTCAGGTCAAACAGAGCTGGAAAAGTGACAGGTAAAAAAGTCGCGCTGCGGAGGTCCACTGGTTGTTATCGATAAGCTTGTTTGCATTGTTTGCAGTGGATCTGTAGCTTTCTCGATAGATTCGTGTCAATTCATGACTTGCATGGAGCTCCTACGCTGTGCTTCGCGCTTGAAGCTACCGAGGAGGTATTTGCAAAGGCAATTTCTGCCTATCACCTTGCGCCATGTGCGGTTCAACTCCCACGCGCCACCGGCCACTCCCGGTATCGTGCTACGCGATTACCAAGAGGAGAGCATTCAATCCGTTCTGAAATACTTAGGAGAGGGCCATCGACGCTTGGGAATTTCCCTTGCTACAGGCGCTGGCAAAACAGTAAGGTTATCCTTCTTCCTTCCCGCGTTTGCTTTGCTCATTCTCCCAGGTCATTTTTACACAGCTTATCAGCCGGATCCCTCCTCGCAATGCGGAAGCCACCAAGACGATGATCATTGTGCACCGACGAGAACTTGTCGAGCAAGCTGCGAAACATTGCCGTCTCGCATACCCCGATAAGACTGTCGAAATAGAAATGGGCACCAATGTCGCGACTGGCGCTGGGGACATCATCATTGCTTCAGTCCAGACACTAGCGCGAGGACGCATACACAAGTTCGACCCGAGTGCTTTCAAGCTCATCCTGGTAGATGAGGCACATCACATCGTTGCCAGGTCCTACCGTGAAGCCTTGGGACATTTTGGATTGAACGAAGCATCTAATAATGGACCAGTCTTGGTCGGTGTTTCAGCAACATTTTCACGGTTCGATGGACTCAAACTGGGTGCTGCCATTGATCACATCGTATATCATAAAGATTATGTGGATATGATCGAGGACAATTGGCTGGCAAATGCTGTTTTCACAACTGTCAAGTCCGGCGCAAATTTGTCCAAAGTGAAGAAGGACAGCTTCGGGGATTTTGCCTTGGGCTCATTGTCGGAGGCAGTCAATACTGAAAACACAAACAACATCACTGTCCGAGCATGGTTGGCTATTTCTGAAACTCGCAAATCTACCCTGGTCTTCTGTGTTGACATTGAGCATGCGCGGCAACTGACTGCGGCGTTTCGCGACCATGGCGTAGATGCGAGGTACGTTACCGCGAACACTCCGAAAGCTCACCGCGCGGAAGAGCTGCGGGCTTTTAGAAACCAAGAGTTTCCAGTGTTGTTGAATTGCGGTCTGTTCACAGAAGGCACCGATATCCCAAATATCGACTGTGTACTTTTGGCCCGACCTACAAGATCCCGGAATCTGCTCATCCAGATGATCGGACGAGGTCTCCGACTGTTTCCCGGGAAGAAAGACTGCCACGTCATTGACATGGTGGCTTCCTTGGCGACTGGTGTATTATCAACACCAACCCTGTTTGGCTTGGACCCGGACGAAGTTTTGGAGAATGCCAGCATGGATGAAATTAAAGAAACCAAAAAAAAGGCTGAGAGCGAGCCAAAACCCGAGATTTCCGAGCCCTATGACGGCTCAGATAATGATCTTAAACTTCAATTCACCACCTACGATAGTGTCTACGATCTCCTAGGGGACATGCAGTCAGAGAGACACATCCGGTCATTCAGCCCGCACAATTGGGTCCGAGTGGGCGATGACAGATATATGCTCACTGACATCTCGGGCTGGTTGACCATTGAAAAGGAAGGCGATATCTTCACAGCCCACCATGTCCTCAAATTCAAAAGCCCGACAACGGAAGCACCCCAATTTACACGCCCGCGAAAGGTTGCCACAGGCTCCGACCTGGAGACCATCACACGGGCAGCAGACACTTATGCCTCTAGTAAATTTGATGAGCACTATATCGCATCGTGGAAACCTTGGCGACGGGCTCCGGCAACACCTGGACAACTCAAGATGCTGAATGGAGCTCGCATTCGAGAAGCCCAGGTCAAACCGGAGGATCTGACTCGGGGGCGGGCGGCTGATATGATCACAAAGCTCAAACATGGAGGTAAGAAGCGCTTTAAGGACATAGAGACCCAGAAGCGGAAGAAGCTACGACAAGCCGGAGATATGGCTGAGCTGAAAAGCAGAGGGAATGTTAAGGTCGGGCCAGTTGAGGCCTGATAGTGGCCTCAAAAATCCCCAATGCCTGTGGCCTCTGATGAATGGCCCACCAGGCTACCAGCATCCGTGATACCCGATCTGAATCAAAAACAATATGAGAGAGAAACAACAGCTCGTTGCAACGCTAAAGTAGATAGAAGGCTATGATCAACATTGGGATTTTAATCCTCATCCAAAACGACGGACGTTTGCAAAGTTGTCGGCTGCCCAGGTGCAAGAACCTACGTCTGGTCACCCGTTCAACGGCTTCCTTCCGTACACAACCACTCTGCCAAATGTCAGTGAACCATGACTATCGAGTAAAAGACACCGGACCAAACTCACTCTTTAACATAAGAATGCAAATGCTTATCCTTGAGCTGCTTCTTGACCAAAGCCTGGAAAACACGAGCCGGCTCAGCACCCCAACCAAGAACCTGAGTACAAAGCCTCAGCCCATAAGACTCAACAGCTTCCTGAACCATAACAGCCTGGTACTTCCCAATCTCTTTGAGATAGGGATCCCGTGGCCAAGGCGAGTATGGCAGAAGATAAGTGAACTGCTGAACATCTTCGAAGCCAGCATCGATCATCCACTCCTTCAGTTTATAATAAATATTGAGCTCGCGCCCCATCGCCCGACCTGCTGCATCGAGGGCCTGCACATATTGGAAAAGAGGCGAATCGGCCCTCAGTGTGCCATCGTCACTCCAGGCCCAAACGGCACTTTCTTGAATCTCGAAATACCCGCCTGGTTTGACGTGTTCGAAGACCTGACTGAAGAAATGGGACCAGTCGGCTACACATCTGAGATGGGTGAGATTGGTGCTCTGCGCGAAAAAGAGAGGGTGGCTTACCCTGCGAGTAATCGCGCGTGTACAAAATCGAAGCTGTCTTTCTTGTAGAGCCATTCGCTTTCGAAGTCCTCGGCAATGAACTCCACATTAGGCGCCACCCAGCTCGGTTGGATGGCACTGATATCGTTGCCGATTACTTTTGCTGCTGGGAACTTCCTGTGTCCAAAGTCAACGATGCAGTCAGCATGGGTGGTGGTGGTTTGGTTGCATACTCGGCAATATCAAGAGCCCATATGCCGGTGCCGGTGCCGAGGTCGAGAATCTTCTGAGGGTTTGTGATTGGAGCTTTGTATAGCTCACCCTTCATTAACATGAGCCATCTAGGGGATGTTAGTGGGAGTCTGGTTTTGCCATGGATAGGGATGTAGCTGACATATGATGTGTCTGTTGAGTCCGTTAGTCGAGACAAGATGTTGTGTCTGTGAAGGGGGCCTCATACCAAGTCCATACGATCTTGCTCTTCTTCATCATTCGGCATCCTACCCAAGTCAGTTAGTTGTCCACTACTACCTGGGCACTAGGCAGAAAGTGAACAGCGTACATATACTGGCCCTACTGAGGGGTTAGCAGAATTTTGGTTCCAAAGGTGCAATATTCATACAGTTCGGCTGCTGTGATATCGTCGACCATTTTCATATTCATAATCTAGTACACTGGATGAGAGAGAAGTGATATCGGAATCCTCGCTCTCAAACTCTCCTTCGTCCTGGCGAATTTAGCATATGGAAAATTACTCCGGAGCTTGACCGCACATACACTGAAGTCATCGGCAATCATCGGGCCACTGGTATTGATCGGGACATTAGTGTGATCATTGCACAGCACCTGAGCTTCAGGGCTGCTAGGCACTCTCTGTGTGTCATGGACTGAATCTTCTGGAGGCATTGTCGAGAGGACAGAATGGCAATAGGCATACGATCGGAAGGGGGTTGAGATCGGGGTTGAGATCGGAAGTGGCGAAAAATTGGGGATGAAATTCGAACCACCAATGTCCCTCACTTCGACCCTGGGCGCCTCCGATATGAGAGTGATGTCTGTACACTTTGACCTCCGATTCGAAATTTGCCCCTTTTGTCTATGTGTCTGTTCGATTTTCTCTTCTGGTTCATCCTGAGGGGCTGCCAAAGAAGTTTGCAGATCCCGGAACTAATGGCCGTCGCGCAGAATTTGGGCCTAAATGCTGTGAGCATTCATATTTGTGTCCTAAATTTGGCTATGTTTTTGGCCCTTGACAGATCCATTCTTTTTTTTTATGATTGACCGCTATCTTCTCTTCCCTCGAAAGCCTTGAAAAGTGCAGAGTTCCCATGAATTCGATACTCGTACTCATCGGGAAATAGGAACAATGTACGTGATGGCACTAAGAACCCGACAACCTGGTAGCCAGTGACAGCGGGAAAAATCAACTGGTCTGTGCAGATCCTGGAAGGACTGAAGAAAAATGAAGGGAAAAAAGCAATTCTGTGAGCGCTGTCGAGCGTTTCCCACTCCTCAGTCGACTGCATGTGGTGTGTCGAACATGCACCCATACGGAGTATACCTGGGCTGCCAAAAAAAAAAAAGCCCAGACAGAGTCCAGAAGGACCAACACCGAAGCAATTCCCTGAAGAAATCTCGACCCGACCTGCTGGTTCAATATTCCCGCGGTGGGGGCCCGCTCTGCAGTGGATTGCGCGGGATGCCAGGCGCGTGCCTTGCTTAGGGGGTTTACCCGGAATTCTTGGGCGCCGAAGCGCTGCAACATTCCATTTCAACTTGGCATATGGCAGACATCTTCAGGCTGTTTGCTGGTGGTAGAAGAGTGACGCAGATTTCGACTCTTGAGACCACACCTTGCGTCTCGTGGCCTGGCATGAAGACAGACTATAGTACACTATTGGCATTTCCGATCTCCCTTTTACTTCAGGTCTAACTTCACGAGTGCCACCAAGACGATGTACTACACGAAATGCCAATATTGCCGCTGAGATCGACAGGCAGGGGTACCGGCGTCATGTATACCTGGGTCAAGTCCCATGCGCCACAAACATCTCATGCGAACATGTATGACAGGTACGGATCGTGGGATCACTTGCTTACTTACGCGACATCAGAAAGCACATCGCCTATCGTGCCTGGCGTTGAAACCACATCTCAACAGACGATTGGTAACGAAAGAGAGCTCCAAGGCTAACATTAATCTTGGAGCTTGGGGATAACTTCTTTTCTAACTTCTTTTCTAACTGTCTTTTTAGCTATCTTTCTAGCTATCTTGCGGTGCTCAGGCCAGGGCTCCAGGGCTGTGATAGTTGCTGACACAGCCTCGCACCCGGGCGGACATGCCGGAAAAGAAAGCCACAGCCCAGCAATAGAATGTTTGTGTGCAGCAATCACAAAGGCCGATAACGCACTTCTCGCCATCGCTTTCTTGTCATTGACCATTGAGAACATGAATTCTCGTGCACAATCGCCTGAGTACTTCAGGTTGTCAGCCGCATTATGCATCGATACCCAAAGCTGCGTGGGGCCATCGCTATGCCCCTCCCCCTCCCCCTGGTCCCCAGGTTCTTGGACAGATGCCTGCACGCAATGCTCGGTAGGTGAAGAGGCTGTGGTCGCTCTCGTTTTGACGTGTTCGCCCCCAGAATGCGTGCCCCATTACTCCGTAGCAGGAGTTCGTCCCAGCCTCTCTCTTCCTCCTCACTCAGTAGCAAAACGCGTGATTCTATCTGGTACGAATATTGTGCACTTCCCAGATTGATGTCAACATCCATACGGTTGCTACAACTTCATAATGGTATCCAAAGCCACACTTGAAAGCCCCGACTCCTATGGAGTCGCTTGGATTGCTGCTCTTCCTATCGAGAGGAGCGCCGCAGAAGCGATGCTCGACGAGGAACATGAAGCCCCTACCGGCTTCACTAGACATAAGACCGACGCAAACGTTTACTCGTGGGGTCGCGTGGGAAAACACAACATCGTCATTGCCGGGCTTTCTCCCGGATCCTATGGACCCACCGCAGCTGCGACCACAGCTTCTAGCGTGCTTGCATCTTTACCATCCATTCGCGTTGGCCTTTTGGTGGGCATAGGCGCCGGCATTCCTCGCCCAGACGATGGATACGATATCCGGCTAGGTGATGTCGTCGTCAGCCAGCCCCATGGCTCCACGGGCGGTGTCTGTCAGTATGACTTCGTCAAGGTGAAGCCTGGTCATGAGAATGAACTCAATGGCTTCCTTGGAAGACCGCCACTTGTTCTGCTCAATGCGCTTGGTAAAATTCAGGCTGAACACTATCGGAAAGACTCTGAGATCCCCCGTCACCTCCGAGAGATGCTAGAGAAATACCCTAAAATGAAGAAAAGTACTAAGCAAAATCCTGGCTTTACTCATCAGGGTGTGGAAAACGACCGCCTGTTCAAAACTCTATACGACCACGTCCGCGGTCCGGACTGTCGGGGCTGCGATACGGCTAACGAGGTCGAACGCGACATTCGAGACATCGCCGATCCCGAAATTCACTATGGAACTATCGCTTCTGGCAGCAGACTGATCAAATTCGCTGCTGCTAGAGATCAAATCATTGCCAATGTGGGCACAGATTGTATCTGTTTTGAGATGGAAGCCGCTGGCTTGATGAACCACTTTCCCTGTCTTGTCATTCGAGGAATATGCGACTACGCCGACTCTCACAAGAATGATCGATGGCAAAGCTACGCCTCTGCGACTGCTGCTGCTTATACCAAGGAGCTCCTATCATTCGTGCCGGTTTCAGAGGTTCAAGAGACCCAAAAAGCCCTAGAGCTTCTTCAGAAAGGTAACGTTCTTGTTACGTTCACTAGCTAGACTAGCAAATAAGCTAGACTAAATTCCACTTTAAAATTGACATAGCATACGTTCTGACTACGGGTAGTCGACCAAAACATCGAAGCTATACAGCAGACGACAGTCGCCACAGAAGCTACAACAAATTTCATCAGGTCTGATCTCCATATTGACAAGATCAAGCGCTGGCTTTCTCCTCCGGATCAATCTACAAATTTTAACCACGCTAAGAAGCTTCGTCATGAGGGAACAGGTGCATGGCTTCTGAAAGACCCTGTCTTCGAATCGTGGCACTTGGGATCGCGTCGACATCTATGGCTGAAGGGCCTTGCGGGTTGTGGTAAGACATTTCTCAGTACAACTGTGCTAGATCACCTCGCAAAGGTAAACAATGGCCCGATCCTCAGCTTCTTCTTTGATTTTAGCGACACTGCAAAGCAGACATTTGATGGTATGCTGCGGTCTTTTATATTCCAGCTTTACCAAGGAGGCTTTGACTCTGCCAGTCATCTTGATACTTTGTTTGAAAGTCATCAACGCGGTAGCAATCAAGCTGCAACGAAGAACCTAGAGGATATGCTTTCCAAGATGCTCATGACCCCGAAATTGGTTTTCATCGTTCTAGACGCATTGGATGAGTCGACAACAAGGGTTGATCTTCTACTGTGGATCAAGGACATGATCTCTAGTCCAGGTTTAGCCCACGTCAAGCTGCTTTATACCAGTCGACCCGAAGCAGAGTTTCTTGACCACATTCCCCCTTCAATAGGGGAGGAAAGCTGCTTGCTACTCAACGAGGAGGCCGTCAACATTGATATTCAGTCTTGGGTTGCAGCACAACTTACTCAACGATGTGAGTTTACGAGGAAGTCTTTATCCCAGGATTTTCTGACAAAGATACGGGAGACCATTGGTAACAAGGCCGCTGGAATGTGAGAAATTTTTGCATCTATTGATATGTGAACATCCTACTGATTTATAACCAGGTTTAGATGGGCATTCTGTCAATTGAACAGCCTGGCTAGATGCCATAGCCAGTATACAATGGAGAAGGCCCTTGAAACATTGCCGCGAGATTTAAACGAGACATACGAGCGCATGTTAGCAGGCATACCCACAGAGCTTGCTATTGATGCACTCCGCCTCCTGCAGTTCCTTGTGCACACCGCGCACCCTCTTACGGTTGACCAAGCCAAAGAAGTGATAGCGACACAGATCGACAACCAGCCGCGAGGCTTCGACACCAATAGTCGCCCGTTTTCCGACATTGATGTTTTGAATTACTGTCCTAGCTTAGTAACACTAGTCGACATCCGTGGACCCATCAACCAGGAGAAAGAACTACACCTTGCCCACTTTTCTGTCAAAGAATACCTTCTTGATCTGCCCCCATTCGAAGTCACAACTGCCAGCATTTCTATGACGGGCATGTGCTTGACTTACCTTCGGGGAGTCACTTGTTTTTCGATTATCTCGGATACCAGTATAGCAATAACGCGACATTTTCCGATGGCAAGCCATGCGGCGCACTATTGGGCACGTTATGCCTCGTTCGCTCAGACCTCGAAGGGTTTAATGCAAATGATGGTCAGATTCCTTGAGGAGGAATCAACATTTCAGTTATGGGGTCGATTATATCAACCTGATCAGCCCGGGGTCAATGAGCCTGTTGCCCTGATGAGTTCCAGGCTCTACAAAATCGCCTTTGTTGGGCTTGCATTGCTAGCACACGAGTTCATTGACAAAGGAGCAGATGTCAACGCGCAGGTTGGCCTTTATGGCAACGCTCTCCAGGCCGCCTGTATAGACGGGTATCGAAACATTGAAGTTGTTGAACTTCTTATAACCAAAGGAGCGGATATCAATGCGCAGGGTGGTTACTACGGTACCGCTCTCCAGGCTGCTTGCATAAGCAGCCATCAAGAAATCGTTCAGCTTCTTCTCAATAAAGGAGCGGATATCAATGCGCAGGGTGGTGCTTTCGGCACCGCTCTCCAAGCTGCTTGCAAGTATAACAATCAAGAAATCGTTCAACTTCTTCTCAATAGAGGAGCGGATATCAATGCGCAGGGTGGTTACTATGATACCGCTCTCCAGGCTGCTTGCGTAAACAGCTGTCAAGAAATTGTTAAGCTTCTTCTCAATGAAGGAGCGGATATCAATGCGCAGGGTGGTTACTATGGCACCGCTCTCCAGGCTGCTTGCATAAGCAGCCATCGAGAAATCGTTCAGCTTCTTCTCAATAAAGGAGCGGATATCAATGCGTATAGTGGTTACTACAGTACCGCTCTTCAGGCTGCTTGCGTAAACGGCGATCAAGAAATCGTTAAGCTTCTTCTCAACAAAGGAGCGGATATCAATGCGTATAGTGGTTACTATAGTACCGCTCTTCAGGCTACTTGCGCGTATAACCATCGAGAAATTGCTGAGCTTCTTCTCAATGAAGGAGCGGATATCAATACGCAGGGTGGTCACTACGGTACCGCTCTCCATGCTGCTTGCGCGTTTAACCATCGAGAAATTGCTGAGCTTCTTCTCAATAAAGGAGCGGATGTTGACGTACAGGGTGGCTTTTTCGGTGATGCTCTCCAGGTCGCCTACACCAGAGGCCATCATGAAAGTGTCGAAATGCCCCGAAGCAAGGGCGTTATCAAAATGCCTTCAAAACGCCCCAGCTCTCTAACTCCGACCAGCCCAACGAAGAAACTTTGTCCAGGGGACGAATCTTCTGATGACTTCCAGCAAGCCATAAATTGATGGGCGCCATAGATCAATATGCGCCATAGTGTCCCATCAGACTCAAAACCTCGCATATTCAAGTGTGACAACCCAGAAGTTTGCCAGTCCACGAAACTGCACGCATCTCCGTAGCCGTAGTTGTTTCGGTTTGATTCTGATCAGTTAGCGATTTGAGAAAGATTCGGATAATATCCCTTCCGATAAGAATGCATGAGCAAGGCAAAATTGTGGTGGTCCTGGGCCTAGGCAATTGTCGAACGTGACTGGCGAGATGTAAAGGTTGGTTGGCATATGATGTACTACAAGCCTCAGTGCCGCGCTCACGCGCAGCCAAAAAGACGATAATAGTTACTTATAAACAGGAGTAGTTATTTGTTGGCTTAATCTCTCACTTCGATTGGTAACAGAAGAGAGTTATTGTCACATTCGAGATCTCTTTTCAACTGTCTTTGTAACTGTCTTTTTGACTATCCTTCTAACCAATCGTCGAGTAATCACGAGTGGCCGAATAAAAGAAGTCTTGGCTAAGCCGTGAACACAGAATTAGGCATTGGGGAGTTAGTAAAAGAACCCCCGATATCCGACAAAGAATGGTCAACCTTGGAAGTTCAAAGCGTGAATGGTCTATGAACACACACCACTTTCAAGGTGACATCGATCTCCATCCATGCATGGCCTTGACAAAGAACCTGGGAAGACCTCGGGAGCCTGGGGGCACCTGGGCATCCAAGATGGCATTATGGATGACCACGCTCAACCTTGGAAGTCAGAAGAAACCTTGGCAATATCTGAGGAAGTGTATTGCAAAAAGCATCTAGTTTGAACTGGAAGTCTACGAGTCTACGAGTCTACAATTTGATAGAGAAGGTATAACGAATGATTGAACATGGAAATGTATTTTGTCCTAGCAAAACGTATGAAATTCATCAACCGATCATGATATGCATCAATAAACACCCAAAGCAACACTTTACATGTCCTCATCGGAGAAGACCTCCTCACCACGCTTGCGGCGGGCGGCACGCTCCTTCTTCTTCTTGCGGAGCTCGGAACCTGAAGAAAGACAGTTAGCACAATGTTCAAAGACAAAGATGTAATAATATGATAGAACTTACCAGTAAGCTTGACCTTCTTCTCAACAACGATCTTGTTACCCATGGCATCGAACTTGTCCTCATCATCGTCGCCCTTGGCGCCGAGACGGGGACCGGAACCCTGACCCTGGACCCAGTTGTGTCCGGAAGGAGTCATCATACCGTCGTTGACGGCCCAGACTTCCTCAGTGAGGTTCTCAGTGAACTCACGGGAGTGAGTAATGATAACAACACCACCCTCGAAGGACTTGATGGCCTTGGAAAGGGCACCGAGAGAGTCACGGTCAAGGTAGTTAGTGGGCTCGTCAAGAACGATCAAGTGAGGACGCTGCCAAGAGCAAGCGGCGAGAACGACCTTGACACGCTGGCCACCGGAGAGACCAACCATGCGAGAGTGAGAAACCAGCTCGGCATCGAGACCGAAGTTGGCGCAGTGCTGCTCGATCTCCTTGCGGACAAGGGGACGGAACTGACCGGAGGCGAGGGCCTCCTTCTGGTCAACGTCGGCGACCTGCTTGGGGTGGGAGACGATAATCTCGGAACGGGGCAACCAGGTGTTGTCAGCGGACATGAGAGGAGTCCACTTCTCGGACTTCATGCCGAGGTTGTCACCAAGAGACCAAGAGATCTCGTACTCGTAGGTGTTCTTGAACTTGCGACGAGAGTGGATACCAATGACGCGACGGGGGGATCCCTCGACCATGTAGATCTTGTCCATGGCCTTCTCATCCTCCTCGGTGACGATCTTGTTGGCACGGTCCATGGTCTCACGGTCCTCACCAGTCTGGAAACGCCACTGGATGTACTCGGAGGGGGTGGAGTCCAAGTGGTGATCGATGTGAGCGAAAGCGTGCTGCTTAATGTAGGCGATACGGATGTTCTCGTGCTGGTAGACATCACCGGAGGTGGGGATAAGTTCACCAGTCAGGACGTTGACAAGAGTAGACTTTCCGGCACCGTTGGCACCAATGACGGCAATACGAGAGCCAAGGGAGACCTGGAAGGTAATTCCGTGAATCTGGGGCTTGGAAGTACCGGGGTACTGGAAGGACATGTTGGAGACACGGCAGATAGCCTTGGACTTGGTCTTGACACCCTCAAGGAAACCGGGCTCGGGGAACTTGAACTCCATCTCGGAGGCACCGAGCTCGTAGTAGGACTTAGCAGAGGGGACCTGCTTGACGAACTCGGAGAGGGTACCGCGGTAACGGCGGAGCTTGAAACGCTCGTAGTGGACAACGTGCTGGATGACGTTGTCAAGGAACTTGGAGTCGTGGGAAACCATGATGGAGGTGCAAGGGGAGGTCTTGAGGTAGTTCTCCAACCAGGCGACGTTCTTGACGTCCAAGTGGTTGGTGGGCTCGTCAAGAAGCAGAATATCGGGCTCCTCGTAGACGGCACGGCACAGAGCGAGCTTCATCTTCCAACCACCGGAAAGGGCGGAGATGGCACCCTCGACCTGCTCGTGAGTGAAGCCGAACTCAGTGGTACAGCGCTCAACGAGCTGCTCCTTGGTGATCTCAATACCGACCTGGTTGAGCTTCATCTTAGCCCACTCGTGGACCTTCATCTCGGTATCGGCGGAGTCGAGATCGTGCTCGACGTAGACGGTCTTGACCTCATCCTTCTTGGGGAAACCCTCGAGCTGCTCGTTGTTGATAGCGCGCATGAGGGTGGTCTTACCGGAACCGTTGGGACCGAGGAGACCGTAACGCTGACCACGCTTGAGGCGCAGGTGAGTCTGGTTCAGCAGAATCTTGGCACCGTAAGCCAGGGAGAAGGTACAGTTGCACAGATCCTCACCCTCCTCCTCGTCGGAGGCGATGGCGTCAGCGGCAGCGGCATCGGGGCAAGCCTTCTGGCGGAGCTGCTCGGCGACGTTCTTGGCGTCAGCCTCACCGACGATGGCGGTGATGAAGGGCAGAGTGTTGGTGGTCCAGATAACGTGGTCGTTCTCCTTCTCGTCAACGAGCTGACCACAGATGGCAGCAACGTAGTTGATGAGCTCCTCGGAGGAAGCGATGGTGTCCTTGTGCTTGGTGGCCTCGAGGATGCTCTTGAGGATGGCAGCGACGGTGCTGATGTCACCGGCGCGGGAGACCTCGGGAATCTTACCGTCCTTGACCTCACCAACACGGGCAAGGGTGTCAAGGGCCTGCTTGGTCTTCTCACGAGCCTCGGGGTCGGCGAGAGTCTCGTAGTTCTTGTTCAGACCCGGCAACATCTTAGGCAAGAAAGGAGCGACGAGCTGGGGGTCCTCCACCAGCTTACACATGTTGTCGACAATGACAGCGGTCTTACGCTTGATAGCGGTCTCACGCTCAACGAGACCACGGTCCAGCAGGGGAACCATGATAGCGAGGGTAGGGCCAGTAACGTCAGTAACGAAAGTGGTGGCACCGAGCAAGTGAACGGTCTCGGGGACGTTCTGGGGCTTGGCGATACACTTGATGAGCTCGGGAATGAAACGCTCGATATCCTTGTTGACGATCAGGTTGCAGACCTTCTCCATGGTGGCGTAGGCGGCCTTCTTGACCTCAGCCTTGGTGTCCCACATGGCCTCGGAGATGACGGGGATCAGGGTAGGGACCTGGTAACCAAGCTGCATCTTGGCGGAGTCGACGAGCTGGTCAAGGCAGTCGAGGGCACACTTCTTCTCGGGCCACTTCTGGGCGTTGGCCAGAGAGTCGAGGATGGGAGTGATGGTGGCCTTGACGGCGTTACCGCTGACAGCCTTGACGATGGCAAGGGCAGCGCTGTGAGCAGCCTCCTTGACGTTGGCCTGCTTGTCACCGACGGCAGCAAGGATGGGACCGAGCAGGGCAACGAGGTGGGGCTCGACACCGGCAGCGATTGTGGGGTGGAGAGCGATGGCACGGATGCCCTCGGCGGCACGCTCACGGGCAGTGGCGTCCTTCTTGTTGGCGAGCTGGGCCTTGAAGAGCTCAGCGGCCTTAGCAGGGAGGACCTGCTCGGGGACGGGACCGCTGAAGAGGTGGGCAATGTTGCCAGCAGCGGCGTTGGCCTCGTCGGCAGTGGCAGCCACGGAGAGGTTCTTCATGAGGTCCTCGAGGACAGCGACCGACTGGGCGGTCTCCTTGCCAGCGGCAGGAGCAGCGACGTTGGCGGCAGGCATTTTGGAGGAAATTTTGGCGGTTCGTAAAACGAAGGGGGTATTAGAGGAAAGGAAGAAAAGACTCTTCCTTTATTTTTTTCTATGAGGGGTATCGAGGAATTTTTGTTGAGCAGTGGGGTGCCCAGTTGCGTAGACGCAAACGCTCAAGGAAGCGTTCTATTCTGTCTTAAACAGAAGAAAAACAATAAAGAAAGAAGAGGCCGACCCTCGAGAAAAAGATGCAGGAGTGGAGGAGGGGAGGAGAAGAGAAGGGGGGCGAAGATATTTATCGTGTGGCACTGCGGCAAACCCTATGGAAATGGCAATCTGAAAAATTAAATCAAAAAAGATTAAAAGAAAATTTTTCAATTGTCCCGCACTAGTCCTATCCAGGGGCTAGCGTGACTTTCTCCGCCACCTCATTGGTGCACATCCTGCTTTCGTCCGAATTGTTCTCTTTTGATTGGTCACCACCGTTGCCATGCTCATTTAGGTTTAGCGTATCCAGTGGACAGCCAAATTCCATGAAGTACATATCGGCATAGTACATTCAATACTACAAGTATACAATTGTTCTCTACTCTCGACTCTCGATTCTCTCGATTCTCTCTATTTTTCTCATTATTTAAAGGGTCTGGTGACCCATTGACGTGTTGACCTCATGATCTGACAATCTATTGACTTGTCAGTCTCTAAACCTATTGACCTGACCGTGCCTTTTTTGAACAATGACGTATTGCTTCTCAACCACATTGTACTTCTATAAAAATGAAAAGAGACCAAAAAGCCATGTACCGAGTACTTAGTCCCAGCTTAATCATCTTGATTTCTTCCTTCAAGATCCAACCACCGGTTGCCACTCCCAATCGGGTGGCGCAGGCCTTCCTTGAATGCCTTATTTTTAGAGTTGACAGGGGATATATGTGCAAACGCTATAATCGGCACAAAGTTTATGCCGAACCGTTGAACGAGTCGAGACTTTCGAGACTTTCACGGTACATCACCGCGGCTGAACTAAGTCTAAGTACAGAGTGTGGAGGTTCAGCTAAACGTCAGCCAGATGTCAGCCAAAGACCCGTGGACTCTCGCCGTGTACTTATACAGAAGTACGGAGTACCGCTGCAGCAAATTTCAAATCTCAGATTCAAAGCGAAGTCAGGGGTAAAAATTAATTAATATGATAAACGAATAAGGCCGTAAAAGGCTGAAGACTAAAAGTACTCGTTTCACCGCTTCTTATCGGGTATCGCGCACATGTGTTATACAAAAAGCCTCACTGGGTGAGATCCGTAATCTTTCAATTTGGTCTTGACACTGTTCCACAAGTCAACGGGGCCATGTGCTCGGAAGTATGGCTATAAGGAATCGGAAATTAATACAGTGAGTCTTATTTACCAGTAAAAGCCTGAGGTAGAGAATGATCGAATTTTTTTTCTTATCGTGCCTTATCCCCCGCGAAAGTTGGGTGGCGAAAATAATGATCGAAACAGCCAAAAAAAGCAAAGTGAGAAGCAAAAAAATTTGAAAGAAAAAGAAAAGAGCCAAAATGAATTACGCAGAAGGCTGAGCTCGGTTCGGAGGTACATCGGTACTTGCGAGGCGTCAAACCCTTTCTCCCCCTTCATTGTCCGCTTACTCCGTATAGAGCGGGCGTTAAGATTCCGAGTCCACACGAACGAATCGGTCACTCCTATTTTTTCTGCTTTCCTTGGACCGGTGGCCCGATCTCTTTTCTGGAACGAAACCAAAAGTTTTCTTCCATATCCTATCCGTGGCGGGGTTTGCCACCTAAGAGGTACCTACGAGGACAAGTCACACCGACGCCGTAAACAAGAGTGACATCACATCACCGCTTGTACATACAGAAGTCTACGTGTATATCATTTATAGTACGGAGTATGTGAATCATCCGATCTATGAAAGTGGATCTGTCATGGCTTTGCCCCAGTTGTTTATTTAATGGGGACTAGGCGAGTCTGAGTCTGCCTTTCGAGTCTACTTTAGGGTTAGCTCTGCCCTAAGCATTGCTTTGTGCATCCCTTTCCTCCGTACCCCGTATACCGCGGGAAAACAAGGGGCCCCGTACTCCGTATATACTTCGCCATTTTTAGAAGCCGTGTAGCTCAGGCCTCCTAGGGGTGTGTCTTGTAGTTGGTGCCCGGCTGATTTCAGGGGCTGGTCGACTCATGGGATACTCCGTGCTCTGCAGAAAGTACAGAGTACGCTAAACATTATTCCAGATCAGTGGTGATTTACAACCAGCGTGTTAGGTATTCTCGGTCCATGTTTACCCTAGAAGCCATACGGAGTACTAGGGAATTGGTGATCGTCGTGGGGAATTTTCTTTCTAGTTCATACGTGATCCATATGAACCTGGAACTTTATTTTGATGCTTAGATCAGATAGATGGTATCAAATTGGTATCGATCATATTTTGAGCAGTCTTCAGCCTTAAAACATCATAAAAACAGAGAAACCCTGTAAATCTTCGTCCATACCCATATCGAACCTTGGAACATCATGGGACAGTCTCATATACGAATCGCAGCTACAGACCGAGCCAGAATCTTGTCTTCCCAACCTCGAATTCACCAAGCAGCTCCTCTGCACCAGTACCAGTGACAAGAACCTGATACTTCCCCTTCTCAGAGATCCACTGCTCACGCTCCTCATCCCACCAACTCGTCGCCAACTTCTTCTCCACAACCAACTGCACAGTCTTAGTCTCACCAGGCTGCAAGAAAACCTTCTGGAACGCCTTCAGCTCGCGTACAGGGCGTCCAACATCCGTCTTGGGAGGCACAATCCACAGCTGGACAACTTCCGCACCAGCCACAGAGCCAGTGTTGGATACAGTGACGGAAGCAGTGACCGGCTCACCGGACTCGGCGTATTTAGACTGCTCGGGAACAGTCTCGATGCGCAGATCAGAGCGCGAGAAGGTTGTGTATGACAATCCGTGACCGAAACTGAAGCCAGGCGTCACATCGCTCTTCTCGAAGTACCGGTAACCGACGTAGATGTCTTCACCGTAGAGAACGCGGCCGCGCTCGGAACGGAAGTTCAGGTATGAGGGGTTATCTTGCAGGCGACGAGGGAAGGTGATGGGCAGTTTGGCGGAGGGGTTGACGTCGCCGTAGAGGACATCGGCTATGCCATTTCCACATTCGTTACCGCCAAACCATGCCTGTACCAGAGCCTTGGCTTTGGATTCCCATGGCATAGTGACTGGGGTACCGGACTGAAGAACGACGACTGCGTTAGGGTTGACCTCCAGCACACGGCTGATAAGCTCATCGCTGCCTGGGGGCAGGTCCATGTGCTCGCGGTCATGGCCTTCAGTCTCCCATTCGAGAGTCAGTCCGGCAAAGATGACGACTTGCTCTGCGGATTTGGCCTGCTCGACTGCCTTGGCGATCAGCTCTTCTTGGCTGTCTTGCTTGCTGGCGCCGAAGCGGAAGCCGCCTGGACCGAAGGCAACGATTCCACGGGTATCCAGGTCTGAGGTTGGTGCGCTACCGAATTGGAAGACGACTTTGTATGTCTGACCGGCGTTGAGCTCTTTAGTACCGCGCTCTTCGATTGTGGCGGTGCCGAAGAAGGCGGAGCCCTGCTTTTGGTTTTTGGTGTTGTCGACGACTACATCGTCATCAATGAAGAGGCGTCCTGTTCCAACGACTGTGACACCAAAGTCGTAAACACCACTCTCCTCGGGGGTGAATGATCCTTCCATGTCGACGTAGTATGTCATGGATTTGATCTTGGGGTTAACGTAGTCCATCAAGAAGCCAGATGATTCAAGCAAATGCAACTCGTCCACGACCTCACGGTCTGCACCAGACTCGGGATGTCCATTATAGACCTTGAAAGTGAATCCAGGCTTGCCATCAGCAGTCTTCAGTAGCGGACCCAAAAGTGGTAGCTCCTTGTGCGAATAAACACCCTGGCTGAACTTGACATCTCCTTTGCTCTTGGCAGATACACCTTGCAAGGGAGACACTGTGTAGTAAGGAGCCAATGACGCCGAACCACCACCACAGTAAGCCGAGAGTTTAGCATTGGGTCCAATAACCAACAATGATCCGTCCTTCTTGAGAGGAAGAATATCACCTTCATTCTTCATCAGAACAACAGATTCAGCAGCAGCGCGACGCATCAGAGCTTGATCCTCTGGTCTGTTGAGTGCCTTCTCAGGTGCGTCCTCTGGGATACCAAGAGGTTCAACCCAGTTGACGAGGTTAAGGACGTTGCGTACTCGCTCGTCGAGTTGGTACTGTGCAACCTTGTTCGACGAGACAGCATGTGCAAGAGCCTCTCCTCTCCAACGGGTCTTGCCCGGCATTTCAATATCAAGGCCGGCGATGATAGCATCGGAGGTACTGTAAGTTCCAAACCTACCCAGAACACCACCCAGTTAACACCATACGATACCTCTCACTATTGAATTGAAACGGAAAAACTCACCAGTCACTCATAATAACACCTTCCCAACCCCACTCCTTGCGCAAGATATCATCAATTATAGCCTTGTTCTCACTGACATGAGTCCCATTAATCTTATTATAAGCTGTCATGACACACTGCGTACGACAAATTCGCATAGCCAACTGGAACGGCATCAAGTAGATCTCACGCAACGCTCTGTTCGTGAGAATGCTACTAACAGCCATCCGCTCGTGCTCCTGGTCATTGCAAACGAAGTGCTTCAGAGTTGCAGCAACGCCCTTGTCTTGCATGGCCTTGCAGAAATGTCCGGCCAGCGTACCAGACAGCACGCCGTCTTCAGAAAAGGATTCAAAGCCACGTCCGCCCAGCGGCGACCGCTGAACGTTAATCGTTGGGCCGAGGACGACATGTGTACCTTTTGCGATCGCCTCTTCACCCATCAAGCTACCAACTTGGGAAAGGAGTTCTGCATCCCATGTGGCACCTAGTGCTGTTGCGCAGGGGAAACAGGCTGCTGGGATGCCGTTGAAGAAGCGTGTGCCACGGACGCCATTTGGACCATCGGACATGCGCAGTGCAGGGATGTTCAGACGTGGGATGGAGGCTGTGTGCCAGAAATCCTTACCTAAATGAAGTATCAGCATTGAACAAACATTGTTCCCATAAGAATATGGGTAATATACCGGCTGTGAGAGCGACTTTCTCGCCGAGCGTGAGCTCCTCAATTGCCTTTTCAACATCGATTCGAGGCATGATGTAATCTGGGCTCGCTGCCAGGAATATGTGCTCAGAGCTTGTTCAAAATAAAAGAGACTCGTGAATATTGTGGGTAGCAAAGTCCGAAATCAAACTATGCCTCGGAGGAGCGGTATGACGATTCGAGATGAGTTGACAAAGGGTCCACTTTATACTCGAGGGTTCGAAGCAAATTCGTTACGAAGCCAACTGGGAGGGGAACCTCTGACGCGGGACCGCCAGTGACGAGATACAAGAGATCGAATCAGAGACAACGCAATGGTGCAGCAGGTCCACCGATCTCTCAATCAGCCACGGAGGGAAATGCAAGGCCGAGGTTTAGCCGACACGCTGGGAGGCGGGGCAAAACACGCGGAAATCGGCCCGCGGAGCCTGTGCTTACTTGGACAGGCTGGAAGGACTGGAAGGATTAGAACGTACTATGGAAAGTTCAGATTGGATGATACGACTAGTGATACCGACGGAGTGGATTTTGATTAATGAGACTGCCAATTGTGTTCATTTAGAAAAAAAAGTACAGAAGTAATTGGTCCCCAAACACCGGGCAGAATGCAAGCAAGATAGATATGAAAGAATTGGGGTAAAGTGAAGAGAGAATGAGGAAACATAGAGAAACAAATTGAACCAGGTATCCCATCTCTCCTTTTGGTGTAAATGAAGTCATTAGGTGAAAAAAGAAGTGCAGTTTACGCTCCTCGGCGAGGGCGCTTGCTGTCATTGCCCATTCTCATGCCGCGGCCACCGTCATTGTTGTCATCGGGGCCCTGTCGAGTGCGCTTGCGGTGTCCAGAGCCACCCCCACCTTCACGGGGGTATCCCGGTCTCGTCGGTCACCGCGACGCTCGCGCTCGCGATCTCGGTTGTCGGATCGAGGTCCCCGATCACCACCTGCGTTGAAACGGCGATCATTGCCTGCAGGCATTGGGGGAGGGGGAGGAGGTGGTGGTGGTGGAGGGGGCGCTCCCTGGGATGAGGAGGGGCGCATATGGCCTTCGCCCTCGGGGGCATTGACACCGGAAGGTGGCCCAGACATTTCAGGGGGTCCGTCAGGGCGATCACGTCGATCTCGGCGTCGTAGTTCCTCGCGGGAACTTTGAACACGACGCAGGCTCTCGCGGGGTTCACCGGTGCGGTCCTTGTCGTCGCGGTTGGCACCGCCTACATCGCTTCGGCGGTTGCGTTCACGGTCACCTCGGCGACCATCACGTCGATTACGGCCGTTGCCACCCTCGCGGCGGTCAGGCTCATTCTCGCGTGTAGGGTCTTGTTCACGGTTGCGGTCACCAGTTCGTCCAGAACGGACGGCGTCAGGAACAACGTTGTCCATCAAATCAGGAGCCCGGCCACCGCTGGGTCGGCTGCGAGGTTGATCTTCTTGAGGTCCTGCAGGGCCCATGGGCGGACGGGTTGGAGTCTGAGCTGGCGGTGGTTCCATGGTGTTCGATTGGCGATTGGCCCCTCTTCCACGGACGGATGGGGAATTCCCACTGCGCTCGCTGCCACCGTTGGATTGCTGTAGCATGTTGTTGAGACCGGCAAACCGTTTATCACCGCGGCCACGCTCTCCGCTAAATCCTGCTCCGGAAGGTCCTGAGGGAGGAGAAGCACCCGGGGTCATAGGTGGCCCTGAAGAGCCAACGGGGCCTCGAGGCGGTTGCTGTGGGCCTGAGCCTCCGCGAGGTCCAGAGGGAACATTGGAGGGTACCTCATCCACAAGGTTTCTGAGTCGATCCGGATGAATCCCAGGGGCAGGTGCTGAGCCCGAGGGCTGCGGCGGAGCAGCAGCTTGCTCAGGCGCTGGGCGTGCATCACGTGCATCGCGTGCGTTTTGTCGGCCAGGGCCCGTAGGCGCCTGTCGGTCGGGAAGAGGAGTGGTGGCATTAGCCGAGCTAGTGACAGGCGGACCTTGTCCAGAGGTGTTGCGTCCATTGCGTCTTCTAGGCCCAGCAGGGATCTCAGAGGGAGGTTCTGGCTGGCGGAGACGACCGTGATTCATATCAGGACCAGCTGGGGGATCTCTGGGGTCACTTTGGCGATCGCTGCGAGGTCCTCGGGGAAGGTTATCAATCCGGGCAGAACCAGTGATAACGGGAGGTCGACGATCATCGGGAGGAGGGAATCGTTCAGGACGATTTGGTAAGTCTGCAGGTCGGGATGGCGACAAAGGGCGTTGAGGGTGCGATCTACGATCATCTTTCTCCGGCCTGGGGATATCTCCACGTCGAGGAAGATCAACAGGTCTGTCCACGGGATCAGGCATCAGCTCCCCTCGTGCGGGACCATCACGTCCCTGGAAGGAGTCATTGGGCCCAGGGCCAGGTCCACGCATGCGCCCCGAGCGATCCATAGGCCAGCCATTCTCTCGGCCTCCGCGAGCATCACGAGGGGGACCACGCATGAGATCATCAGCTGGAGGTCGCATGGGGAAGTCGCGATCACGTTCGCCAAGACGTTCATTGAGTCGACCACGGACATCGTTTGCCGGGCTCTCGAACGAGCGGCCATGGTCAGGGCCGCCTCCATGCCGACCACGAGGACCGAAGTCGGATTGCCTCTCCCGTCGATCATCCAACCCTTCAGGCCGTTGAGGCAGTCTTCCGCCATCGCTGAGGCGTGGCGGAGGACGAACAGGCGGGTGGACTTGCTGACGGATGTCAGGACGTTTGGGAATATCGGCCTGACGCCCTGAAGTAGGTGCCCGAGAGTTGGGCCGAGATCTTGAGCGATCTCCAGATGCGGTCTCTTGGCTCACTTCAGTAGTGAGTGGTGTTGCGGATTTAGTCTGAGAGCTGGCCTCAGCAGGCTTGGTCTCATTGCCCTTTCCTGAACTGACATCGCCCATCTTTGCGTCCTCAATCTCACCATCCTCAACTTCAGTCTTGCCAGATTGATTCTGCTTCGGAGCACCTCGTGGTCTGAAGGTCGCAGGTTAGTCAACGCCAAGAGCGTGCTTTTTGAATTATCACTTACTTTGAGGGACCAGAGGGGTTGAACTCTGGAGCTGAAGCGTTCAAGGCCGCAGGCGTAGCAGATCCCGGGGTTGCGGATTTCGCTGCCTTGTCCGCGGACTGGGGTTGTTGGGCCACTAGATTGAATGCCTGGGGTAGCATCCATTTCTTCTCCCGTCTGTTGAGGTCACCGATCAACGAGGCAGCGGGAATCTTGACATCGTCTCTCTCGTCGTTCTTGCTCAGAGAGTCAACACAGTTGAGGATGTCTCGGCCAATCCAGTTGACAGCAGGGAAGTGTTGGACTACCGCCTTCAGAACACTAATCGCATTGCGAATGTGCATGTATTCACCACCTCCAAGACAGCTCTTGAGAGCATTAGAAAATAGCCGGTGCCATTTGTACAACAGGCGACGGAAATCCTCGAACTCAAGGAACATCACTGGCACACCTTCGGGATCGACGTTTTTCGCGAATCCAGGAAGATCTCGCTTGGCCCCGAACGCCTCCTTCTCGTACACGGCCTTGTCGGCATGCCATCTACCAAGATCACGCAAAACTTCGTTCAAGAACCGGCCAAGGTTGTCTGCTTCTTTCGATGTGCAAAGGAAAATGAGAGCGGTGAGTCTGTGCTCACGGAACAGTTGATCAAGTAGACCAACTGTGCGGAAATTGGGTGTCCCTGAGCTGTGGAGGAACTTCAACATTTTGAAACAGAAGAAGGCGTCGAGGGGGGATAGAAGAAGTCGAGGAATGAAACATTGCTCGAGAAGCGCAACGTTGAGAGAGTCGTGTTTGAGACGCATGCCGGCAAACCACCTTTCCTTCTCTTTCTGGAGCCGAGATCGTGTTTGTCCATACGCCATCAAATGGCTCTTGTTTTCGTCCAAAATGCGGTCCTGCAGCTGGGTGATCTGCTTCTTCTGGAACTCCTTTTTCGAACTTCCTGCCATGCTGAGATCGGAACGATCATTGTTGATAGTCACCACTCGTCGCTTGAGCCTATCAATCTCATCCTCGTAGGACTTTTGGGGGATATGAACGTCGTAAAGAGAAAGCTGCCAGAAGGTTGCGTAGAAGTGTGCTCCGATGGTTTCCCAAGTCTCTGCAGGCAAAGAAGACTTGATGTTGTCGATTAGATCTTGCATGACGGGGTTTGCTGCCAGTGGCTCGGCGTTGACAGCAGGAACTTGAAGGGATCCAGATTCATCTGAATCAGACTTGTCAACTTCCATGGCATTGTCTGCCGGTGCACCATCCGATTTCGAGGGTGTGTTCCCATCTTCAGCGGTGTCCATGCTGTCACCGTTCGGCTTGGAGGCAACATTCTCCCCAACATTCGAAGGTCCCTTCTCTTGTTTTGGTTCCTCTGCCTGGGTGATCTTTTGGGCAATGCTGGGCCGCCTGATCCAGAAAGCAATTTCGGGCTGAATTCCAAAGTCCTTGACCAGTGACGCGAAGTCTGGAACAAAAGAATCAAAATCATCCACCGAAAGATTGCTGCGAAGCAAATCAAGGTACTGAGTGAGAATGCGATGAATTTCATCAAAGATGTTGCCGAGCAGCTTGAGCTCTGAAGATGACTCGTTGTAGACACAGGTCAAACGTTCCTGGGCGATTGCGACCAATAGCTGGCCAGCAAGTCTGGTGCGGGTCAACGATTTGAGCAATCGGGTGGAGGTAATAGTGGATTCGTGACGCTTGTCGAGCAATTGTAGAATGGTCTGAGATTGGAGCACATCACCACCGGCCATGGCCTGGATCTGGGCATCGTTGAAGTCGTTGTCTGAGATGATACCTGCCATTGAGCTGATTAACTGCTCAAGGACAATGAGATCGGTCGAGTTGTTGTGTCGAAGCTGCTCGACGACGTATTGCAAAACAGGCGCTGGATCCATCACAGAGTACCGCTTGTAGACTCGGCCTGCGAAGGTCGAGAGGGCATTCAACCATCGACTGGTCAGAAGGCCGCCTTCCTGAACACGACTTCGTCCCTTCTGGCCAAGCGAGTTGATGAGTGACCAGGACAGAATGTCATAGCCCAGGTAGGTAAAGTAACGAGCGCACTCAACCACAACTTCGATGAGATTCTCGTATGACTCGATTTGACCGATAGCGACGGTGATGACAATTCCGGGGTTTGCGTAGGCAATCTTGGCAAGTGCACGAGCCATGGGACGAATATTGGTCTTGCTGAGTCGCTTCAGGGTGTCCTTGGTCTCTGCCTTGGCTTGATCGAAGGCCTCTTTAATGTCTGGAAGTCGCGATGTCTGTCCTGAGTACCACTCGGCATACATGTTGTATCGGATATCACGAGGGAAGAAGCTGATAAGATCAAACACTTCATTCACAACGCCGGGGTTCGCCTTTGTCAGACTGACAGCGGGTAGCAGAAGACGCTTGCAGAGGTCGCGCCAGCGCGTTCTATTTTCCTCAGACTTATCCTGAATCAAGCTTCCCTTGCCGATGCGAACAAGTTTCGCCAAGAGGCTGGCATCTTGTCCAATCTTGTGGCCAGAAAGCAGCAAAAAGGAGGAACAAAGGGCGAATACATCATCCACAGACTGGCAGACTGGAACGTTGTCGGACCAATCATCCCAGTAGAATCGATAGTCGGTGCCATCCTCGATGTCCTCCTTGTCCAGCTGAGCCCATCTCAGAACTCGTTTCGTGGGAGGGACTGTGAGCGCAATTTGGCCCTTCGGGTGGCTGTGTTGATCGGAGGATACCGTGCACTGAGCCCCGGGGAAGTCGCCAGTGGTGAACACAGGTCGGAACTGTGCATACACCTTGGATAGGGAGTGGTGAAGGATTCGGTGGATGAACTCGGGTAGTTCGGGGTATGCTTCCATCAACCAGGGGAATTTGCTAATAACGAAGAGCGATTCGGGGATTGCGCCGATGGCGAGAAGACTCTTGAGCAAAAGAACCTTCTGGTCTGAAGGATCTGGTAATTCGTCTTCCGGCTTGGCTGATGCCTTCTCGGGTTCTTGGTCTTTCGCAGGTGTTGTCACTCGGGGTTCGTCACGCAGACGGGGAGGAGGAACTGTATCGTCTGACAGAGCACCGGCCATCATCAGAGCGTTCGTTCCGCCACCAGGACGGTTAGCCTTCACACGCTCCGCTTTCTCTTTCATTTTTTCGTCTTTCAGGACATCCATAGTGTCATCAGGGCGCCAAAGGTGGGCGTAAAGGTCACGGAGGGAGATAAAGCCAACCTTGATGAGTAGGGCGGCAAGGTAGATGAGGTTATCAGGGAGGACATCCGCCTTGGTGCGGGCAGAAGAAGAGTAGAATCTGAGCTTGAAACCAAGCAGCTGGGCCGCGACCCGGTTGCCCTTGGGTGGTAATGTGCCTGTCTCTTCGAGCCATGAGCGGGTCACATCCTCATCGAAAGATGAGCCGTGAGGTTCTGATAGACTCTCCTGCTTTTCCTTCTCTGAGACTGGCTTGCGGCCTATCTCGAAAAAGGCGCGAAGTCCGACTTCCCTCACCCGATCCCAAAACTGGCGGTCGCGCTCCTCATTGGAGTGTACAATGGCCAATCGCTCTTCGTCTGTGGTCACCCAGCCAATTGACCCAGGCAGCGCCCAGCTAGGGAGTCCGCAGTGGCCACGGCCATTTTCTGCGTGCTGATAGGTATCTTCCTTGGGCCACCAAGAGCTAGCCCGTAGAAGCTTCACAAAGAAACGGTACTGCTTGACAAGGACTGCAGCAAACACATCCAGTGTAACATCCAACACACGACCGACATCCATATCAAATGCGCCAATCATAGCTTTGACTCGCTCAAATGTGTCTTCAACCACTTCGCTTGACGGCGGTTCGTTGTTGCTGGTGGTGAAAAGTTCGGTCAGAAGTTTAGAGTAACCCTCAGACTCCTCGCGCAGCAGGTTGTAGTTAGATTGCCGATAGAGCAAGTTCGTCTGTTTGCGAATGCCCATTCGCGCAAAGGTGTCGCGAACCAATCCCAAGGACTGAAGCAGTGGTGTCTCCAGCTGAAGGCGCATCAAAGAGGCGTCAATTCCGGTCGCGAAAATGAGCGGCTTTAGGGCGGGGTTCGAAGTATCGGCGTCAGTCACGATGGAGAGTGTGTCGAGGAACAAGGAGCGAGGGTCGAGTTTAGAGGTCGAGGCAGTTCCGCTGCCAGCTTCCATGTCCACATCGTTATGCACCGCATAGTCGGCAATGATCTCTTTGACAGCATTGCCTGCTTCCGATGGCGACAGTCGACCATAGGTAGCAGATCGCAACAGCTCTTGATACACAGATGAGAGCTGAATGAAATCTTGTTGAGCGCAGGCTGCTGATCCATCTCCCACCACCTTCTGCTTTCCGGTAGATGTCCAGTTTTGAACGGCGTTATCGGTCACATATTCGTAATCATAAGGCGCGGGCGGAAGAGAGGGTTGGCGGGGAGCAGCTTCGGAGCCAGCGCGAGAAGGCGGGTTTGCATGTTGCTGAGAAGGGGTATTGGGTGCTGGAGAGGGTGAAGGTTGCAGAGCGGAACTGTCGCCATTGGGGGGTGCTTCCTTGGACTGGACAACGGGTGGAGGTGACATCGCGTTCGGCTCTTTGGGCTGGGAGGTCGAAAAATTTTGACTGTCATGAGATTCGCGTCGGGAACCAGCCCGGCCGAAGTTTGACTGTCGGCGAGATCTATCGCGCGATTCATTCTGCTCGTGGGAGGGGGATTGGTGTAGGGTGTTATTTGGGTGGTGCGCCATGTTCAAGGTTCCGGGGCGATGAGGAGAAGGACGCTGGTTGTCATTGCTTCCTGAATCACCGGAGTACGAGCGCTCAACGCGCTTCCGCTTACCACCGTGCCCAGGCGCCATGGTGCGTAACCGAATTAGACGCGAGGGGTGGTGAAGGTGGGACGGGATACTGAAAGGTAGAGACACATGCAGTCGATTCTGTTGGAATCAAGGAAAAGCACTGGTTAGAGATTCCAATGTGATGGGAGAGCGCAGGTGAAGATAGCGCAAGGCAAGCATACCAGTGGAGATGTCCCGTGCGAAAGAAGGTGTAGAAGCCAAAGGCGTGAAAGGTGAAGATCGAAGATGCTGATGGGTTGAAGCTTGGTCCGCAGGTGCCAGGGGGCCTCAGGTGTCGACCCTTTCACTCCACTCGTTCCTCTCCACTCACTTCATTCGCTCTTTCACGTCACTTGTTTTATTTCCATTCAAAACTACAGTACAATGGTTCTTGAGCTAATAGCTTTTATACACATTGCGCTATATTGAAAAATGAAACATCTCAATGGTCTGAATAATGTCCAAATACTCCACGTCAAAAACCCCAGGTGTCATAGAATCACGTATCAAATGCAACCTGCGCAATTATACGCTGGATATTCCAAGGTTTCTCCAAACAGAACGGTCGTTTCTAAAAGGACAATAGCACTCGTTATTTTAAACGACCTTGGTGCCTCCTGAGATGCTGCTTCCTCCAGGGCCAGGTATCTACACACTGCTCGTATCCTAATGTGAACATAACGCCAGATGTTCTAATACTCTCCGATAATGAAGCCCTAGCTTCGCCCCGACGGAGCTTTAGCTATCCTAGAGGTCCAGAGGTGGATCTTGCTACTGGTGCTGTGGACTGGATCACAAATGACTGCTGGAAAGAGGGCAACTTCAAGACCCACTGGCTAACACGAAGAATGCTCGTTCACTCTGCGATGCCAAAGGTTAGAAGGAAGCTATGTGAATCAGCTCGGCAATTCCCTTCAATTCGTTATTCTGATTGGTTGGCCCATTCCATGTGTCTCTGCGCCCTCCAGGCCTATCATTGACTATGAGGTCGGGTACCGGTGTCAGAAGCATGAACGGATCAATTGCAATGGTATTTCGACGCTGGTATGCCATGGGTATTTGGAAATGACTCGAGCGGTAAAGACATCAATTATCACAGTGGGTAAAGTATGTAGATTATCTTGCGTCGCGAATCTGGACCTCGGGGCACATGGTACGAAGTATACAATGTCAGCTTTCTCTTTGACTTCTTTCGCAATCAGGACGGCGGGGTATAATTTGTCGAGCTCAATTTCAATTCCGGTATATCTGCTCGTGACTTCCAAGGTTGAGTTATCTCTTCCTGGCTACGGACTAAAGAATGGATCCTCCAGTCCGGACGGGCAATGGCAACGGCAACTAGTTAAACCTCCCGCCAACGTAGCCGGTGACTTGAGTACTGGGAATGATCAGGTATGTTCATATCCAGCGCCCCAGGGCTGTGTCAGTGAAAATAAACACTCCAAGGACCAAAAATCAGTCACTGGGATCGAAGACTATAAGAACTCAAAATTCTTGATCACGAGCCCCGAAAGCGAACTTACGTGCTATGGTGCTATGCTTTGAAATCACCCATATATGCGGGGAGTTGACGCTACTCTGCATGCACACCCTCCCGGAATCCTGGTCCATCTGAGAGAATTCGCCTTACTTGTATGTATTCAGCTCAGACACACTGTTGTTGATGCTTCAAAAACCGACGGAGTTCCTCGTATGATGTTAAGGTGGATATGAGTTAACACTACAGCAGCACTCGTCATCATTGAACCCAACAACCACAATGACCTCCGGATCTTGCGCCTGTAGCTACATCAGTTACACGACTTCCAACCCACCTACACGTCTCGTCAATTGCCATTGTGGCACCTGTCGCAAGCAATCTGGTGGACCATATCAGACCTGGGCACATTTCGCGAGTGACGATATCCAATGGCAAGTGAAGCCCACGGAGCGCCGGGCGACGAATACTGCTACGCGTAGCTTCTGTCCGCGATGTGGCTCCAGTGTCAGTATGACTCTCGATCGGTGGGCAGGGCTTACGGGCCTGGCTGCTGGAACGCTCAATGAGGGTCCCGCGCAAATCCCCAAGCCAAGTCTTCACATTTTCCTTGCTGAGAAGGCTAGTTGGTTTGAGGTGCCAGATGATGGGGCACAAAAGTTCGATTTGTGGAGTCAATGATCACTCAAGTGAGGCTTTGTGTGGCTTGGGCTGCAGGTAAATAGATTGGATGTCGGAAACACGCTGCTAGTGACTGGTATCTATAGCTACAGCGGGAGTGATAATAATGGAGTATTCAGAGTGACCTTAGAGCAGTAGGTAACCCATGGTGTTTATAGGCTTAGGTAACATGATGGAAAAACACAAACACAAAAAACAAAGAGAAAGAAAGGGGAATCACAAATCCGTGCCCGGGCTACATGTACATACTCATTGCATACTGAGAGCCCGGTTAAAACGTGCTGGTGGCCAGCCGGCTAGCTGCGTTTCGGGCATCAAGGCGGTCATCATCCTCTTCCGCGATGGATCCAACCTGGCTAGGGGCTCGGTTGCGCCCTTTGCCGGAACCACTGGTTTCGTCATCATCCTCAAGCGAGGGTGCAGTGAAGCTACCACTCATGCTGCGCCCGATATTGTCGGTGCGGCGGGGAACGCCACTCCACGAGTCACCCTTGGGTCCCTGGCTAGACGCCACATTGGCCCGGCGAGCCGTGGGGTGAGATTCGCGACCCAATCGGCTCAGACCACCGGAGGCATCAATGGCACGAATGTCGGGGCGAACACTCTCGAGAGTTGCCAGGGTGCGGCGCTCCGCTTCGATCTGGCGCAGAGTGTACTCCCGCAGACTGGACAAAAGGTCTTGAGTGGTTCGGTCAAACCAGCGGCGCTTCTCTTGGAGGAGGTTTGAGGTGACACGCTGAGTACGCTTGGTCAAGTGATCCTCGTGACTCTGGGCCTCCTCGAGGGCATTGATGGCTTCATCTACCTTGTCAGGGCGCACCGATGAGCTGACCTTCAAGCGGTCAGCAGCAGCGCGTTTGCTTCGGGCGTTTTGCTGGGCCTGTAGTAAATCCCGAAGCAGAATGTGCCGGTTGGTCAAGGTCTCTTTCACGATGAAAGCGTCTGATGAGTGGTAGCTTAGTGGCTCTCCAAGGGTGGTGGCTTCTGCTGTGGCTTGAACGGCGTGGTAATCACCGACGGTCTGAACGACCTTACCGAGCTTGCGGTAGGCGGCGCCCAGGCCAGGGTGGGTTTCCTGGACGTGCATCTGACCCAGCTTCACACCAAAGTCAGATTCTGCTAATCCAAGGCCTGAAAGAAGTTAGTTTGAATTGGTCTGAATGTAGAATAGAGCAGAATCTCCTCAATTAACATACCACGGCGGGCCTTGACCACTCGATCAACCTTGTGGCTTGAGTCCATTGTTCCCAGGTAGAGCATCTTCGCAGTTGGACGAGCAGCCTGCAGCTCAGGGGTGTCATCGGGTGGTGGTGCGAATTGCTTTAGCATCTTGCGTCGCACTCCAGTTGCAGGCTGTTTCATCCGAAGCACTGGGCTATACCCAAAGTCACTCTCCACGAAGAGCACGACCTCGTCATCTTGAATCAGCACGTCATTGTTGAGAACAACATTAAGCCACCTCTGCATTGCCGATTTGATCCGAATTTCGTCTTCCTCTGTACCGGCACCTGCGGGTGTGACTGGCGACGGTACAGCGGGAACGAGGCATTCGGGATTGGCGGACACCAAGTGGTCTGCTAGCTTGACAAACTCGGAATGAGTACGGCGCACATCACGGTATTGTGTAGTGCGGAACTTGGGGATGTTGGTCTGTAGTCAAACAAAGACACAAATTAGCCATTGATCAAGGTATGAGATTGCTTAACAGGGTAGACCTACGTGAACTTCGAAGCGCAGGATGGGGTCTTTCTTGCCCGTCCGCTCCAAACCCGTGATTTTGCCTTGGATCTTATAAGTCGGCCCGGCAGGCCGCGGGGGTTGTCTTTGTTCGGTCTGATGGTGTGCGGGAGCGGGCGACTGCTGTTGGGGGTTCAAGGATTGCTGAGCAGCGAACGGGGAATGTTCCTGGGGGTAGTCCGGATCTCCCAATTGTGCGCTCTGGAGCTGCGCGGAAAGATCTGGGGACTGCGGTTCCCCATTGAGGCCCCGGCCAGATTGATCCGCGAACGGCTCCTGCCCTGGCAGCGGAGAAGATGGGATGTCATTGTTGGAGGTGGGGAACGTCCCTCGCTCAGCGCGCGGCGAACCCCAGGGCGAAGCCTCCGTGGGGTGGTCCGGATCGTTGGTTATCGTGGAGTAGTCCATTTCGTCCGGAATATGATGCAAGGAGCGGGTTCGCTGACAAGGGGGAGGTGCTAAGTTGTCGTAGGCGTCAGTATTCAGATGGCTGGAGATCAGACCCCCCACAGCAACGGCCAGGTAGCTTCAAGAGAGTCAAGACATACCTCGTACAGCTTTAGATTAAGATGGCAATGGAAGAATTGCCTAAATAAGCATCACACGCAAGTAATAAAAGAGAACCGAGGATTGCAAGCGGTGAGGTACACAATTCAAGTAGTCGGAGAGAGGCAAGTGTCCGGGTGTGGAGAGATGCGTGTGCCAAGGCTCGCGATCCCCAGTCCGCTTTGCGCTTCGATTTTCTTTGCTTCGAACAGCTCTTCACAATAAACAAGGGCAAAAAGCATACGTCTGATGTCGCCTTGAAATCAATTGCTCCTTCTATTCATACGGGTGCCTCTCCCTCGGAATGGTTGTAGCTTCACTGTCGCGCTTCCCTTCGGGGATGTGCCGTATGAGGTCAGCCTTATATAGGACCAATCCCAATATCAAGAGCATGATATGTTCTTCACCCAAAGGCTCTCAGTCCAACTACAAACACCTACAGCGATTTTCTACCTCGGCAGCATGTCAGAGCGAAGCGCTGGACAGAACCCGAAACATTGGTATCATCGCTCATATCGATGCCGGCAAGACCACTACTACAGAGCGCATGTTGTTCTACAGTGGCTTCACGCGGCGCATTGGTGATGTCGATGAAGGCTCCACAGTCACTGACTTCCTTCCTGCTGAGCGTGCACGCGGAATCACCATTCAATCTGCTGCCATCACATTCCACTGGCCTCCTGGAGAGGTAGATGGAAAGCCAATTCCGCCGGCAGGACAGCAGGATGGGCCAATTCGGCGCTCTTCTTACCCACACACTATCAATTTGATTGATACACCCGGTCACGCGGACTTTACCTTTGAGGTCATGCGATCTCTGCGTATCCTCGACGGTGCTGTTTGCATTCTGGATGGTGTTGCTGGAGTTGAGGCACAAACAGAAAAGGTCTGGAACCAGGCCAGTACATATAAGATTCCCAGAGTTATCTTTGTGAACAAGCTGGACCGTGATGGAGCTGCATTCGGTCGGACAGTACGAGAAGTGAGCTCTCGCTTGGGTGTTTACCCAGCCGTTTGTCAGATTCCTTGGTTCGCAGGGGGAGATGGCGGCTTCATTGGCGTGGCAGATGCAGTCCATCTCCAAGGGCTGCGATGGAAGGAAGGCGAGGACGGCCGTACTGTGAAAATGCTCGATCTTCAACAATTGGACGCGGAAGAACCGGCTTTAGCGCAAGAGTTGCGAAAGGCTCGTATCGCGTTAGTGGAGTTGCTCAGTGAGCATGACGAGGAGATTGTCGAAAAGTTCTTCGAATGCGAAGAAGATCATCTGGCTGTTTCATCGGCTGATCTCATACAGAGTCTACGTCGTTGCGTGTTAGACCAGAGCAGCCGAATTATTCCTCTGTTTGCAGGTGCCAGTTTCCGGAACATGGGTGTGCAACCTTTGTTGGACTCGATTGTGGATCTTCTTCCTAGTCCACCCGAGGCCCCAGATCCAGAGGTGAGCATTGGTGGTGTAAAGGGAGGGCTTCGAGGCCTATTGTCTGGAGACTTGATCGTTCAACAACAAAGTGAGAAGGCTGCCGTTTCACACAAAGGAAAACAGCATAAGAAGAAGTCTGCATCCTCACAAAGCTCCTCCAACGATGCTATCAGCAAGCTACAAAGTTGCGCACTAGCATTCAAAGTCGTCAACGACGCAAAGAGAGGAGTTCTGGTCTACGTTCGTGTATACTCAGGCTCATTGGATCGCAACAGTCTGCTGTACAATACCAACCTCAGTCTCTCTGAGCGTGCACCACGTCTACTGAAAATGTATGCCAATGACGCTGTGGAGGTAGACTCGATTCCAGCCGGTCACATCGGAGTTGTGGTCGGACTCAAGCAGACCAGAACTGGAGATACCCTCGTCTCCTACGCAGGCAACAAAGCTACACCCCCGGAGCCACTTACCAGTCTCCAGCTTCGGCCAATCGCTGTACCTCCGCCGGTATTCTTTACCAGCGTGGAACCACACAGCCTGAGTGAAGAAAAGCGTATGCACGAGTGCCTGGCGCTTCTCCTCCGCGAAGACCCCAGTCTTCACGTCAACGTTGATGAAGAGTCAGGCCAAACCCTCCTGAGCGGAATGGGTGAGCTGCACCTTGAAATCGCCCGCGACCGACTCATCAACGATCTCAAGGCCAAGGCGACCATGGGACGCATTGAGATCGGCTACCGTGAATCTGCCCTCGGCGTCTCAAACCCAGTTACCAAGATCTTCGACAAGGAGATCGCCGGTCGCAAAGGAAAAGCAGGCTGCACAGCAGTTGCAGAACAACTAGACGAGAACGCTGAGGCCCCGCAAATGGACCAAGACACCCTTCTCGTTGAATCCTACGACGGAAACCAGATCGTCGTTCGCGCTCCGGGCCTACAGGTCGACCGATCTTCCCGCGGCGAGGAAGAAAGCAGCCCGCTTCTCCCACCGGGCATGGATCTAGTCCAGTTCCGCACCGCTCTGCAAAACGGAGCCGTGGCAGCTCTCGCTCGCGGTCCGCAATTTACTTTCCCAATGCACAACACCCGCATCACATTGACCGTCGATCCAGCGACAGACCTGTTCGGAAACGAAACATCCACCTCGGCATTGACATCTGCAGCTCGGCAAGCGACTATGGCTGCACTACGCGATGTACAAGCCGGTGCTGGTACCACGATGATGGAACCCGTGATGAACGTGATTATCAGTGTCGACGAAGCGAGTCTCGGATCTGTTGTGCATGACATCTCATCTTCGCGAGGTGGACACATCATCTCGCTCGATGAGGAAATTCCTCTGGCTGGCACTGATGCCTCACCTACGTCTCAAGCACTTGAGGAAGAGGCGCTGTCGCCTATCGACACGAGCCGTGTATATGCTCCTCCGGATCCATTCGAGACGCAATCCGTTGGTGTTGAGATCCCTGCTTCTGTGACACGGCCGCGCACAATCACGGCCAAGGTACCTTTGAAGGAGATGGTTGGATATCTTAAGCATTTGCGCAGTTTGACGGCTGGTCGAGGCACTTTTGTCATGAGTGTCGACCGTTTCGAGAACATGTCTTCTCAGAGGCAGAAGGCGGTACTTGCGGAGTTGAGAGGTGCATTCTAATTGGACATTTCTCGTGTCTCTGGGGCTAGGACGTGAAAAAGCTGGCGGCGAGTCAAGACTGACTCGAAACATTTGTATAATATCTCATCGAAACATCTCATGCATGTACATCATTCCTATTTAATTCATCCCGGAATCTTCTTCAGGCTTGAAGCTGCTGAGTAAATTTGAGTGATATCGAGTTCGGCTTCGGGGCGTATAGACTAATCATAGAAGCTCTCCTCTCGAGCTCTCTCTCCAACCTTTTGAAAGCTATATGCGAAGTAGGTGAAAAGCGCAAAGAGACAACCTCTGTCAAAGAGGATTCTAACAAGGTATATGTGAAACATTCAAGCATAGGCAAACAGACAGATAACAGCAGCCATGAAAGCACGGCACAAGAAACAAGTCTCAAGTCACCAAGAGACTACCAGTTATCATCCCACTCATCCTTCCCCTTACCTGTAGCCGAAGGTGCATGCTTATCAGCCTCCGCTCCAGAAGCAGCAGGTGTAGAATTAGCCAACGAAGAAGCCGCAGGGCCCTTCCGCATAGCAGCCGTGCCAACAACATCAGACCGCTGAGAGCGCTGAGATCCACTACGGCGGTGATTGGGCGCTTCCTGATCACCCAGAGACGAGAAATCATCCCAGAAATCCCGGCGCTCAGGCTCAACGCGAGCGCGCTGTCCGTCTACGCGGCCATCTTCGCCTTCGACGAAGCGGTTGAATTGGTCAGCCGCGCCGCGGACTCCTGTTTGCATATTCTGGCCGAAGGTTGCGGCGTGGATGCGCGCTTGCGCTGCGAAGTCGGATTCAGCTAGCTGGATGTTTTTGTCAGTATATGGGTCACCCGATGGCAGGATACATTGAATGGAGCTCGTACCTGCTTGGCAGTCGGTTGGAGATAAGAGTCATTGACCTGCTTTGCGCTTTTGCCGACTGTTGACGCGAACCATCCAAATCCTTTAGTGATAGTTCCCATGGGGTCCTTCTGGAGGTCTTCGAACGGCTGTCCTCCACCACCGCCGCCACCACCTCCTCCCCAACCGCCAAAGCCCCCAAAGCCCCCGAAGGCAGAAGAGCGCTTGTCATTCGCAGAAGACTCAGGCATACCACCTCCGAAACCAGTGAACTTGCCGCCCTGCGAAGGAGGGAGAGCGTCGCTGCGCGTAGAGTTCTCATTTCCAAGTTTCGAGAAATAAGCCTCATTCTGCTCTTTCTTGGTCGTAGGGCCGCGAATGCTATCGCCCGAGCGGATAGAGGAAGCAGCAGGGGATTCAGTTCGTCCGGTAGACTTGTTACCACCGACGCTCAGCGGCGTGCTCGACCGCGAGGGGTTATTCTTCTTCTCTTGGCCCTGGACGTATTCGCGGCCGTCGACCTTGCACGCCAGGCGCTCCTTCCATTCCTCGCCTGTTTCGCTTTCGTATCGCTCTTTAATCGTCGAGTCTTCGAATGTGCGGCCTTCCGATACAGTCACGGTGTGTTCGTCGTAGAAGGTCTTCCATGGCTCGTTGCCACCGAGTTCCATGCGTTGGATTTCGGCGTGCTTGAAGGCATCCATTGTAATCGATCGCACGAAGGAGATGTGCACGCCTAGACCTCTGTGTGTACCAGCGCAGTTAAGGCAGATGAAGGTGCCGAACTTTGGGGAAGCCTATTCGAGAACCAGCCCATGGCGGGCGAGGGGTTAGCAGTTGTAGATGACAACCCGGTACTGTGCGATCCAGGGTAGCGCATGTAGCGATACAATGGCGTGGAGTTGGAGGGGAAAAGACGTACCCATTGAGGCGAGGGTGCGCCGCAGTCACAGCACCTGTCATTTCCGTTCGTCTTGGAGATTTGGAGGAGCTGTGCCACATGTCAATACTCGCGGTGACCCTGCAGTGAACACCGCTAGGGGCGAAATCACACCTTTGTCTTCGTCTCCGGATCAACCTCCCACATTCGAGACATCTTTCAGTGATTATACCAAGGCGGCCAGGCGGGGGTAGCGAATGCAAATGACGGAGTGCGCTAAGATCTCGCGAGAATTGACCGACTCGGCACTTTTGCAGTTTGGTCTACCCCTTTTTCGTGTCTTAATTTTAGTCCCTCGGGTAAAATGACGAGGTTCAGAGGACAAAGGCGATGCAATTGATAGAAGGACAGTAAACAATTGACGCGAGTATGTTTTGCCTCTGATCGGCAAGGGTCGCCCCGACTTAGCGTCATGTCCGAACGCTAACTACGAAGCATACTAGTTACTCCATGCTGTATACGGAGTAATGAAAGGTGGAACTACTCATGGAATATAACCTTGGTAATTGCCAGTGTGGCAGATCGTGATCGTTTAGAAAATGGGTGCTAAGATACAATACAAAAGGCAAAAAAAAAGTCGTTAAGGACTGGAGTTCACATCAGCAAAGAAGGCTCCCCAGCATGATCAACTAAGACCATGTCGTCCGATAAAAGTCATCAATCCTCCTCATTTCCCCAATATCCCATGAAAGCTAATATATCCACGGTAGTCTGTGTATTGCGCCAAACCACCGTGACTATACCTGAACAGTCCTCCGTGACCATTCCTATCCCAGACCCAATCAGCGAAGACTTTATTCGAGGTTGTGTAATAGTGGTTGGGTGATTTAAGCCTCGGTGGTGGCAGCAGCAGGGGCGGCATTCTCCTGGGCGGGAGCAGGGGTCTCCTCATCAGTAGGGGCGTTGATGTCCTCATCCTCCTTTCCGGGGCTGTCGATAGCGACCTTGACGGCGATGACGCGGCCATCAATGTCCTTGCCGTTCATCTCGGTAACAGCCTTGTTCTGGAGTTCCTCAGAGGCAAGGTTGACGAAACCGAAACCGCGAGTCTTGCGGCGCTCGTTACGGGCCTGCAGCTTCTTGATCATGAAACGGGGGATAGGACGCAAAGCAACCTTGGCGGAGACGGGCTCATAAGCGGCAAAGATTTCCTTCAGCTGTGGGGGAACAAGCAGGCCAAGTCAGTCTATGGAGGACTGGGGTTAATTTGGGGTGAAAGGGGGACTAACCTTGTCCTCGGTCAAGTCGTAGGGAAGGTTAGCAACCATGACCTTGGTCTTGGAAGCGATTCCGTCCTCGGGAGGACCACGCTGCTTCTGGGGACGGGCAGCACGAGACTTGCCAGCGTCGGAACCAGCATCCTTGTCGTTGGTAGCGTCGGCGAGAGGGGCTTCACCGGCGGCAACCTCGGGGGTTTCCTGGTCATCCTGGGCCTTTTCGATAGTCAGTAACCAGTCCAGAAAGTCCATGTGGGCAGATTCGAGTTGGGAGAGGGATTCTTGACATACAGCACGGCTGCGACCAGTACGGCCACCGCGACCGCGGGCGCGGCCACGGCCACGACCACGACCACCAGCACGCTTGCGACCTTCAGCGCCGCTGGCGGCATCGCCGTTGCTGGCGGCACCTTCCTTGGGCTCGGCGGGCTCTGGCTTGCGGGCAAGCTGCACGGAAACCTTGCGCTGGAGGATTTCCTTGCCGGAGAGGGCTTCGATGGCAGCAGAAGCTTCGGCGGCAGTGGCAAGATCCACGAACGCGTAGCCAACGGGGCGGTTAGTGCGTGGGTTCACCGGGATCGAAGTAGTCTCGCTGAGAGAGAGTCAGGAGTCAGAATGAACCGTAGAAGTGAGAGTATCCCGCAGACTGATCATAACGAGCTGGGGCAGCTTGCGAGACACTCGGCATATTTAACTACTCACATGGTGTAGGACTTGAAGAACTCCTTGAGCTCCTCCTCTGTGGTCGCGTATGCGAGGTTTCCGATGTAAAGACGGCGACCCTCATCGGCGCTGGCGGCAGCAGCGTTAGCGGCCTGAGATGAAGTCACACCGTTGGTTTCGGGCTTGTCGGAGATGGTGGTCGCAGCCACGGAGTCAGCAAGTGCGTCGACGGCAGACATCTTGATGGTTGAGATGCTTGTGGGGATGAAAAGTGTCGGGAGGGGGTTGATTGCAGCTGAAATATAACTTGACGGAGAGGAGCGAGGAGCAGGGTAGCTTCGTGCCCTAGATACCAATTGAAAGAGAAGATGGGTTTGAAGTTTTTGATTCACTGGATCTTGAAGAGAAGGGAAAGAGGATGATGGAAGAAGGAGATGGAAAGGGAAAGGAGAGGCGGTGTGGCACTAGCCCAGTCAGAGCTTCCGATCGCGATCACCTGCGGATCACCTGCGATCGGTGCTTGCTGGGGGCGTTGGGCCCCGCGACTGACCCTGCAGGGGCCCCCCGGCAGCCCCCCCAGCAGTCTCTCTGGGGGGGTCATCCCCTAGGGCCCTCAGCTTCCCAAGCTAAGCCCCGCCATTTCAATTTGTAAACAAGCTGATGTCATTCTGGAGACCTTTCAGGTTGGGTCTTAATGACTCATCAATAGCTTCAACTTCTTCTTTACTTCACATCTCAACGAGAAATTACCCTCATTGTTTCAAGTCTGAACCGTTTCAACTTTCACGTTTAGCTGCACATCATCCGGAACTGGTACCGTACATGTGCATATGTGACATGTTCCGTAAATAACATCGGTGTATCCCGTAGGCTGATCTTCCTTGAGATCCACCTCTCCATGCCTCCAGGGCTACTTTTAATACTCCGTAGTGACTCTGTACTGCTGTGGCCATAAAAAATTAGTTCATTTACACGCACAAGTGATGCTTTTTGAACACCTCGATTTTACCTGACTTGGTCTCTGTGACTTAGTTTGGACTCAGATTGAGTTCGAGTCTCACTGCTTTCTTCACATCATATGATATGTGAGCAGGTACGGAGTCTACCACGCGGTACTCCGTACAAATCTACATGGTTTGACGAAGGCAACCATTTACTGCACTCACATTGTTCACAGGTACGGAGTATTGAGTACCTCAATGGCTTTAAATTGATTAAACACCCAATCAATGCAGACAGCACCTGGGCAGCTTTAGTTGCTTTAATGCATTAGTTGTTAAAAATTATATCTAATCCACCCGTTTAAAAATGACATGTTTTCCCGAGGCCCTTCCAGACCCATTTCAGGTGGGCGCTAAAAAGCAATATATAGATATTTTACACCAATGAACACAAAAGGCATGCTTTCCCATCGCAATAGGTATGGGATACGGAGTACGGAGTATTGAGTACTCCATCTAAGTCAATTCCTTAATACAAAATCACTGCTTGTACCAGTCCAAGTACTAGTCTGAATTTTCAAAGTGATCATGTATAACTATAACCTTGGCAAGACACGCACAGATCCCACTCTATACCTGGTACATACAACCTTGGAACCCATTAGATCTACAGTACAAGCATGATTCAACAGAGGTAAAACCCTGCTACGATCAGCGTTGATCTACAAAGCTCTTGGTGACGTCGTAGGATGGTTGCGATAGGCCGCGTAAGGTGCTTGAGATGCCATATCGACACCTGGGGATTCAGGCCGGAGCCATTCCGATCGCGATGATGTACAATTGACTTTTCGTTGCCACCCTGGACTTGTGTGTGACCCTAGGGCTGCGCAGAACAAGTGAATATACTAGACAACTTTTTTCCAAGATCTACCTACGAGTGCTCACAGGAGACTGCCAATATTGGATGAAGATCGACAGTCTAGCGCCAGACTGACGGACTTGGAGGTCCACTGCGGTCGTCACTCCAAAAAACAAGATTTCCCATGGGGACGCTGAGTCATCCATTTTGCATTTCCCCTTAGAGCTTATCTTCCAATTGTTGTATACCAAGGGGGAAACCAGTTAGATCTCAAGAGAAGTTCAGTCCTTGTGCTTTTGGCTCATCCTGTCGCTTCAACATGGATCCCATCGAGCCGGCCGGGGACCCCGAGCGCTCGCAGGGGCAACCCACAGAGCCCACCGAGTCTCCGCCTACAAGGCCAGGCCCATCTACGCTGCGCACACGATCCAGCTCACGAACGCGACGACCGAGCATCCGTCTGTCCCGCTTCCCTTCCATCCCTCAAATAAACACCGAGAACCTACCGGCGGACCAGACACCTGCCATCGAACGACAGGCCATCCAGTCTCCTCCTCCCAGGGAAGAGGATGAAGTCTCACCCCACGGCCGAAGGCGTAGCAGCTCGGAGCCAAGACCGGGGCGCTGGTCCTCCCCTCCGCCAGATGTTCTCTCGAGGGTAGCGACACCCGGGCGCATGATGCCAGTCACTGAGGAGTCATCGCGCCCAAGCCTGTCAGTGACCTCTCCGCCACCGGTCCACCTCGCCCAGGAGGATGGAGGAGACTACTTCCAGTCGACCGAAACAGAACAACCAGAGGCACCTGCTGCGGTAGCACGGCCCCCGGGTCGGCTTCGACGGGCAAGCCAATCTGCGATGAATCGCTTCTCGCGAAACCGGGCTTCAACGGTCACGGGTGTCCCACCGACGCTTTCGCAACAAAATGAAGAACCGACGAATGAGTATGGGTCCCATGTGGTGGATGTGCTAGATGTGATCGGTAGGTCCTGCTCATGCGCCAAGAAACCCATACATCGAACTAACATGATTAGACCCCGAGGTCTCGGCGCTATCCACTCTTACCAATGTGCAGAACTCTTTGTTCATTCCGAATTTGGGTGGCTTCATCAATCGTATGCCCACATATACCATCACCCGACCGCAATACTCCTCGGATGAAGAGCAGGGAACCACAACGGATGAGGGTGACCTGTCTGAGGAGGCGAAGCTCAAGCAACGTCCGACTCTTGAACAACTCCGCCCATTAACGAGCATGTCGTCTGTACACCGTGGTCCCCGCTACGCTATTCTGCCCGAGGGTCATGGGCTTGAGGGATGGACGAGAGAGGACTTTGCTGAGTTGAACGATCACGTTCGACACATGCTTCACTCTCGACGTTCCAAGTTCAAACGCTCCATGAAAGGCTTCGGACAGTATGTGCGGAAGCGTAAGTGATATCTCTCTCGCTCAAAATTCACTGCTTTACTAACACGGCCCAGCGCTTGGTTTCCTTGTCACATTGTACGCAACCTTAATCACACTTTTCGGTCTGGCTTGGGTACTTTTCTTGATTGGTAAGTTTTCTTAGCTTGTTGCTTCGTGTTCATCACACTTACAAGTTGTGCAGGCTGGATCAATGTGGGCGGAAAACAACTATACGTTATCAACGTCATTGATAACGTTCTGGTCGCCCTGTTCGCCATTATGGGTGATGGACTTGCTCCTTTCCGTGCCGTTGATACATATCATATGAGTTTCATCGCCCACTACACACTTTTGACATGGAAGCTTCGTCGGAAGAGAGCTCTACCGAGCCTCAAGGATAAGAACGATCTTCCTTCGAAGCCGGAGAAGGATGTGGACGTGGAATTCGGAGACACCCCCAAGGAGGATGAACACGAATTCTCTGTCCTCGATGCTCGCCAACAGCTTCGATTGATGCATCATCAGAAAAAGTTCGCCAAGTCGCACACTTTCTACAAACCTCACGAAACCTATACACACCACGCTTTCCCTCTGCGCTTCCTCATCGCCATCGTCGTCATCCTCGACATGCACTCCCTGCTCCAAATGGCTCTTGGTGCCTGCACGTGGAGTATGGAAAAACCTGGAGAGCGATCCCAAACTCTCACCACCGTTATTCTGTGCTGTTCCATCACTTGTAACATCACCGGTGGTATACTAATTATGATCGGTGACCGTCGCACGAGAAAGAAGGACGTTGTCGAGCGCCTCTTCCGCCAGGAACTCACCCAGGAAGCCATGAAGAAGATGGAAAAGAAGAAAGTCAAGGAAGAGCGTCGCAGTATGCAGGCAGAGCGCTCCAGCATGCAAGTCGATCGCCCTAGTACCCAGATTGAGCGTAAAAGCGCTCAGATCGACCGCAAGAGTGCTCAGATTGAGCGTCCACAGCCTTACAATGGCACTTGATCGGATCCTCGCATCTTGTTGCTTACGACCGTCACGAATTAGGGATTGCTTTCTTTGGTTAGACCAAAGAGTTCCCTTCCCCCTTACTGTACAGTTGTCCAGCTGGTAATCTTGCTACTTGCAAAGACCTTGTATATGCTGAGTTTTGGAGTTTGGTTGGATTTTTTCAAAGTGGCGCTGGCGTGTGGCCAGTTTGCCTGATTGGCTTTTGCTAGAGCTTTTGCTAGAGTTCTGCTTTCTAGCATGGAGTTCCATTTTGTTTACATTTGATACACCACATCAGCTGGTATTTCCAGTGCATTTATTAAATATCCCTAATTATATCAGCGCTCCGCAGTTGTACTGTATTCATATATAACCTTGTCAGACACCTTGTATACACATAGTAGACTCAGTGCCTACTATTCTGAAAATAAATAAAAAACAGTTTGAGCCTCTCTCGACCTCTCTCTAGGGCAGTTCACTTTACCACTTCTGATCAGAGGACATTTCCTTTTGATTCATATCTGCAGATAAATGATGTAGTCATAGATTTAAATAGTTATGGATGACCAATAATAGTTGCCCGTTTAGCTCAGTGGTAGAGCGCGCCACTTGTAATGGCGAGGTCGGTGGATCAATCCCGCCAGTGGGCCAACTTATCTTTTTTTGCCTATTTCTACCACGCCTTTGATGTCTTTTTGTTTCGCTTCAAAGACAGCTAAGCTAGCCCAAGCAAGATTCTTTTTGTTGTGACGAGTATCAAAATATATCCCTCACTTTATTCTCATAGGTAATTGCTAAGGTCATATCATTTTTAGACTTCTGCACCTGCCTATTGAGCCCAAAGCCCAACCCGCGGGGGTCGAGTCCCGAGGTCTTGGGCCCGGCCCACCGATGGGTTGGGGGCGTTGGGGCTATCGGCTCCTAGCCCACCTGGGCAGTTTCCAAGGTTGGAAGCAGTCAGCGCAATGCACCTACTCCAGGGTTCAAATTATTTCATTCTGTCATTCGTGGTGAGTATCACAATGTTCTTTTTAGATCATGCTATTTCCATTTATATTATCACCCCTATTAGGTTGTGTCCTCAAAACTTGAAAGTTTGTTGGGTCCTAATCCGAAGATGAGGTTTGCTTGAGTGCGGCGATATATAACCAACCTAAGTGAGAACAACTTTGGAACGACATCGGAACCTTGCGACACCAGGATCCTTAGACTTGTTTGACCTCTCCAAGGTCCACCTCCACAAGTATAAGCTTGGACTCCTTGGAATAACCTTGATACCTTGAAACCCACTCTCAAGGTTCGTTATGAATATTATACTTCGATAGACCGAATAATAACTACACCAAGTCCCAGGGCCGCAAAGAGCACTTTGAAACCAAGCTTGAAAGGAGCTCACTTTCTAGATTGACCCTGGGCAGAGTGAGAAAGAGCATCCATGGACGCAACGTATCGCGTTGAATTAGAGCGAGAAACACAACAAACGCCGATGAAACGTATAACATGGTCTGTATTGAGAAACTCTATGCAGCGACACTTGCTAATCAAAATAAAATTGCTGCCCACATGGGCAGGTTAGCTTACAGACCTCGGGAGACCGATACAATCGCCGTGGGCAGCGAAGGGGACAAAGCCAATGGAGCTTCCAGCTCTCTGGCAACCTCCGTGACTTGGAGTACTAGAGCACTAGAGCATACCTGAAATACATCTGTTTGTAGCATCCGGCAAGAAGATCTACAATCTGTTTGTGTACTACGAAGTGCAACTCTTTTCACGGCGTATGCCATTGATTCTGACCCCAACCAAATTATTCAATCCTCAAATTCTCCATCCTAGAACCTAGAGCCTGACTCACATTACCTGGAGGATTCTGAGTTAGATTAAACATGACCAAAAAGTATGCCCGAAGCATATCTATCTGTAGCGAGGCTTCAATAAACCTGGAAATTCAGTCCCTGTGAGCTATTCGGAGTTGCATCAAGGAAAAAGATCGCAGATCAGCATGGTTGCCCATCGTAACACTGCAAGCTATGTCCGGACGAGGGCCAGAGGTCGGATGTGAGCAGGATCCACAGGGGAGCGTCGATCATAGATTCCCGAGGATCAAGACATGGGCGATTCCAGCGCAGTAAAGTGGGACTATCAGGGAGGCAGGGATCTTATCAGACCCCGGATAAAGTAGGCATACGATGTGCGCCGTACGTAGAACTTCTGCCCCCAGATATCCTATGCCGTCAGATGCTTCGGAATGATTCAATATGATGATCGTATGGCAACGGACGGTTTTATTTTTCCGAAGAACGCCAAAAGCGCCCCCAAGCGCCACAGACATCAAGCATTTGCTTGGCTTACCTAGGGACAGAAGGTATCCATAGATCGATCTGGTTGGACAGAATTCTTCGGAGGATAGCCGTAGGGCTTGCACATGCCCTGCAGCAGTTCTAGAAGCCCCTCGATCTTGAGCCATGGCCCACATCCTACAATTTGTCCTGTAAACTGCATAGCAGAGACAAGTTTGATTAAATTTACAGACCCATAGCGTGAGGCTTGCAGGTGTGGAAATGTGGTTCCCACCTTGAAACCGTTCAATTTCACAATTGACTCAGGAGTAGCGTAGCCTTGACGGATACCAAAAGCAGGGCGGAATGCAGGGCTCGTGAGTCGCGAGGACTGAAGGGGCACGTTTAATTGACCTTAAAATTCCGGAATCAAGGAGTAGCCAATGAAATTGCTAGGAGGTAGATCAAACCAGGGCAGAGTCGGAGCAAGCCCTTGCGTAGGGCATTCCACCAGCAAATATGGGCCTGTTGTTTTTGGTCCTCACTATGAACAGCCGCAGATCACCTCGTGTTGCAGCAGGGCGATTTGTAGATAAAAGGCGCGCATTCGGTGCTCGATTTTTTTTCTATCCATCAGCTCTCTACTTCTCTATATCTCTCTCTACCATTCTATCTTCCAAACCTTCAAACCACTCTTTATATTTTACAAGATTTTAATCTTTAATACCTCTACATTCAAAATGCAGTTCTCCATCACCGCTGTCTTCCTCGGCCTCGCTGCCTTCGCTGCCGCTGCCCCCACTGAGGCCCAGCACGAGAAGCCTCGCTTCCCTGTCCCCGGCGACCTCACCGTCAAGCAGGCCCAGTCCAAGTGTGGTGACCAGGCCCAGCTCTCTTGCTGCAACAAGGCCGTCTACGCCGGTGACACCACCGATGTCAACTCCGGTATCCTCGGCGGTACCCTCTCCAACCTGATCGGTGCTGGCTCCGGTGCCTCCGGTGCTGGTATCTTTGACCAGTGCTCCAAGCTCGATGTCCAGATCCCCATCATCGGTATCCCCATCCAGGACATTGTCAACCAAAAGTGCAAGCAGAACATTGCCTGCTGCGCCAACTCTGGTTCCAACGCCGACAACGACCTCATTGGCGCCGGCCTCCCCTGTGTTGCCCTTGGCTCCATTCTCTAAGCTACTCGCCATTTTGCGGTTCAGCTTTGCATGGAGGAAAAATGGCAGCGACACTGTGGCATACCTTTCTTTTTGTTTTGATTTTCCCTTTTTCAGTTCTGTCACTTCGTCACCTTTCATGAGGAAGTGACATAATATATCTCTAGTTTCGCATAAAATCCATTGCATTTTCAAACAATCCCGTACCAGTAGTGTCATTCATAGATCCGTGGCCATTTAAGAGTAGATCAAGCACTGTCTGTCCCAAACTCGGAATCGCATGTCTAAACCCAATGATTGCTTGCAGGGCTCCGGGACTTCGTTGCAGTTGGCTCCCAAAGTTCATCCAAATCCGATCCCGATCCAATTAGACCGACCCTTCGCGTATTGTCATGGACGACCCTTTAGAAATTTACCTCAACTCAATACCAACTTTGGGAGTTGCCCATATAGAACAGCCCTGCATCCAAATGACGCATTGCTTGGCCTGCCATTCTCAAAGATGCGCCTATCTTTCTAAGCACCTATCTCACCATGAATTATCAAATAACCGAGTCGATCACATCCCACCCGTAGGCCCGACAAACCGAAATTTCGCGGAAAAAAGGAAGCCTAAAAGTGTACGTTGTCCTTTCTCATAACCAAGCCACCTTCTGATGTCACCTGGGTATTCATGGATCAAGTCTTAGCAGGCACTCCTGGGAGCAGTAATGACAGTGGAAATAACCTCCACAAAGTTTTATAGGTTCCGTGGGCGCGATCCGAGCCCCACACTGTGGGTCCCCACAGTCAGGGCTTGGCGACGCCGATGTCACCAGATCTCGAATTACACTTCTTTAAACCCTTTTTTTTGTATGATTGATGTGCCGTAGAATACGAGAAACTCAGTAGATCGGCCATCAGTTTAAAAGCACGGAAATAGACTACCATGATTAATGCAGACTGGTGAATGTCAACGCTGTCCTATCCATCTAACACGACTTGTTGGACGGAAACTGGAATTGAAATTAATGATGTTTTTTAATTGTATAATAAATCTGCATATCTAACTTTATGTTCACTCCATTGTGCTTTCTGGACCCAAAGCCTCCTCCTCGCCCCCGATGCCGTCGAGATTAACAACCCCACTCACCGAACATCCAAACAACTATCATAAACACCGACATCCTTGTTTGAACTTTAGATGACGAGTCTATAATGCATAAGACAACGTCACCCAAGTCTATCTATCGGATTGCCCCAGGAAGCACTAAGTGATGCTCGGATCTCCCTTACAGGAAGTAGCGCAACACCGGATTGTAATTGGAGCTACTCGCGAGTACATTGCCCCTCTTACGATAATCGTTGCCATATCGCACCCACTAATGCATATTCAACTCTGAGCTGCATACAGCGGCTACAAAATAAAACAATAAGGACAGCAGGCCCACCCGCCCAAGCCTCCGTCGAAGGAAAACTTCCACGGTTGTTCATACCGTTTCCCCCGCACAGGATTGTTTCCCTGTCGGACGTCCACTCTACAAGACGATACCTTGAGCTGGTCTCTTTGGTCATGACTTGGTCGAAGCCATTCTTGAGGCTGCGTGATCAGCGACCGTGGCTGCTGCCACTTAGATCCTCGCAGTCTTTTATCGTGACTACGATCTCACTGTCTATGTTTACGGTGAATATTTCGGGCTTATCAATTCAATTATGATATCTCATAGCTAATGGGTGGCTTGCTTAGGATCTTTTTCTCTATGCGATGGTACATTCCATGCTTTTACCGCCATTCTCAATCCTTTCCTGACTGGTTACAGATAGTTCCTGTCATGCCCGATGTCTTGGTTTTGCGGGCTGGAGTAGTATTTGAAGACAGTACGCGATACTGTTTAACATCAAAATCCAAACGGTCACCTCTAACATTTTGCTCTCTACGTAGGGGAGTTTTGGAACAGTGTCCTCCTCATCTCGCAAGCCATTTCGGCACTTACGTGCTGTCCAGTCTTTGGATACATGCTTGATACATCAGGCACACGCCAAGGTCCATACGTGTCTGGACTGGTGTTGCTGTTCGCATCAATGGTGATATTCACCGCTGCACACTCAATAGCATGGTACATTGTCGCAAGAGTTCTCCAAGGCGCAGCAACAGCAATGGTGTCAGTAGCCGGTCTTTCAATCGTGACAGATGCAGTGGACCGAGGAAGTCTCGGTCAAATGTTTGGGTATATAGGCACCGCCATGACACTGGGATTCATGTCTGGTCCGATGCTGGGTGGAGTTGTTTACCAGGTTGGAGGATTTTATGCCCTATTTGGAATGGCCTTCGGCATTCTTGCCCTTGACCTCTTTCTACGACTTGCCGTTGTTGAGAAGAGAATTGCTGAGCGCTGGCTTTGTGTCAGTGAGGGTGAACAGCCAACTCAAGAGAATGGATACATCCCCGAGCAACCGCTATATGGAGCAATTGGTGATGTGGGAAATGGAGCCCAAGACGCACATATTGCTTTGGAAATTTCGAAAGGTACCTTTGCGATGGGTCAGCTTTTGAGACAGCCACGGATTCTCATCAGTCTATGGGCTGTCGTAGTTGGAGCCCTAGTGGTTTCGGCTTTTGATGCGGTAAGGAGTCTGAGACTATGCCCCTGCTTGTCTTTTGCTAAATTAAAGCTAAGACACTTCCAATTTTTGTTCAAAACACGTTTGATTGGGATGTGCTGGGCGCAGGTATGATATTTCTTCCTGGTGCTTCAGCTGCCATTTTCCAACCATTCTTCGGTAAGCACACATGGCTCAACGCTGCGTCAACACTCATGCCTAATACTTCTACCCAGGATTCCTATCTGACCGCCTTGGATCGCGAATCATCACTTTTGTCAGTTTCGTCATTCTGGCGCCAAGTTTGGTATGTCTTCGTTTAGTGGAAGAAAAATCACCAGCACAAGTAGCTCTCCTTTGCGTGATACTAGTGATTGTTGGAATGTGCATCGACCTCAGTGAGCCTGCCCTGCTCATCGAGATGCAGCGTGTGCTTGATGACATGGAAGCCCAAGAACCTGGGATTTTCGGTGGAAAGGGTGCCGTAGCACAAGCCTTCAGTCTGGAAAATATGGCCCATTTTGGTGGTCTTGCTCTAGGGCCGTTAGTGGGAGGATTTGTGGAATTTCGATACGGTTGGAAAGTGATGACTCTCGGGCTAGGGGTCTTGTCAATATTGACTGCAGTGCCTACACTATGGCTCAGTGGTCGCATGGAGGAGGTGTCATGGTCGGAATCTGCTGACGAAGAAATGGAGCGAGAGCCGCTGCTGGGCGAACAATGACAGTAGCACAAAAGTGATGATTCTTTGTTTCAGTCAAGGTCTCTCATGCATGCTAACACTGGATGTCAGCCCACCGAGGCGCATTCCTTGTATCTCTTCAAGCAATCTGCCACCCACCAATGGCTGTAAGGTGATTCGTGCTTACTTTGATCTGACAACCATGTCGGCATTGTCATTGGACCTCAATATCGATGTGCACGCGACAACCGCTTATCAGTCAGTTCTTGGCTCGAGAGAGACGTACCACGAAAGAAACATGGCTTGAGCAGCTTGCGTAACTCGAAAGCGGTCACATCGGTCATATAGTCACACTAGTCCATAGCTGATTGACAAGGGGTCATGAGGCCCAAGGCAGCAGCCGCATTGAATCTTTAAGAAGGAAGCAAATTCCAGCTTCAGGAAAATGAGACCGATTCGGAAGCAATCACCAACATGAAGTTATTTGGGAGGGTTCGAAATTTCCTGTCAAACTTCTACACGGGACCGTGGGCCCGACTGTCGTTTGACCATGCCAAGGGCAGCAATGAGTCCCGAGTTCATCGAGGCCGGTACATCTTCCCAGCGGAGTCAGAGCGTCACGAAGCCACGATAATGGGATTCCCATCAAGATGCTCTCTGCCTCCGGATCAGTATGATGCGGTATGCAAGGAGCTAGCCCAACTGGCTTTGACAATTGCCGAGTTTGAGCCTGTCCGGCTATACGTCCGACCTGAAGATATTCAATTGGCCGAGTCACTAGTCAAAGGCGACGGCACAAGCACACCGAAAATAACACTCATACCATGCCCAATTAATCATTGTTGGGTCCGCGACACAGGTCCGGTGTACGTGCGTGACACGACAGGAGCGTTTCCAAACCGTCGTTTTGCAATCAACTTCCGATTCAACGAATGGGGAGATAAGAAACCTGAAAACGATGGAATCTGCTGGGGCCAGCAGTGGCCCGTGATGAACGACCAGACACTACAAGAGAATACAAACTTTGCACGGTGGGTAATTGAACATGACCGCGAGCCTGTGCCAGTTGAGCGAATTGACGCACCGATACGCGCGGAAGGGGGCGGTCTCGTTACGGACGGCGACGGAACCCTCTTAATCACAGAGAGTAGCATCGTCTGTGAAGCACGGAACCCGGGGATGACCAAAGCTGACATTGAGATGGAATTGAAACGGTTGCTCGGGGTTGACAAGGTCATTTGGTTCCCCGGCCGGCGCAATGTTGACATTACCGACGTGCATATGGACGCTGAGGCGAGGTTCGTAAGTCCTGGGGTAATCGCTTACTCCAAGCCTCACGCAGTTTCGATCGAGCTGTGGCAGGAACTTTCTGCGGAGATCCGGGATATCCTGGGTCGCGAGACGGATGCGAAGGGTCGGCGGTTGGAAATCCATACCATTGAAGAACCGGACCCACGAGGCTTGATGACATCGGATGAAGAGTTGGCGGCCAGTTATGTAAACTTCTATTTTGTCAACGGCGGGCTCATCATCCCTAAATTTGGCGACAAGGAGAGAGATCAAAGAGCGCTGGAGGTACTTCAAGCGTTAGTGCCGGAGCGAGTTGTGAGGCAAGTGTACGCTAGCGCCATCCCGCTGACTGGCGGGGTTCTGCACTGCGTCACCCAGCAGGTTCCGGAAATATTGTAGTCTGTTCTTTTTACCTCTCTCCTTTTTGTTGCTCTTTGCAGCTCTCGGTCGTCTTCAAAATCAGATCGGGATCGCTGTATACCTCGCACGGCCATATTCAAGAGACCTATTTCCGATCGTTCCGACTCCGAATAGTAACAGAGTGACCGCGCTCAATACGAGCAATTCATGTAGACCAGTTACAGGTCACATCTGCTGCAAAGTGACTTGCCAAACGCAAAGGGAACAGTCGAGTACAGCCAAGCACGCTTACCATATGTTGCGCATCCGATCCCGGCACGATCGACTCAAAGTCAGACCCTAGCGCGATCTGCAGTGGAACAAGATCCATTAAGCTGAGAACAGTGGGGTTGTGAGGTGCATGTTGGGCTCAGTTCCTCCGTTTAGCCCACTTAAATCGGCGCAGCACCGTGAATTGAGGCCATCGTTCCTGCATGTCAAAACTTGAATTGTGATTCTATAACATAACAGATATTCAAGTGCTGCGTAAAGCCACTTACTAGCCCCAGTAATTTGTGAAGCTCTTCCCCGTACAGAACCCCTCCAGGAACATCAATACCAGCATTGTTAAACCCATTGGTCCGGATTTCGGGAGAGTTGCACTACTTACGAGTGTAGTCAGTCGAAGTGACATTAGTGTACTCCGTACTTGTGTGACGATATCATTGTTCTAACAGCTTGGGCACTCTGCAAGTACGTGCTCCATATTGCTATTTCCAACTCGTATGTAATTCTCATCGTGACTCCACCTCACGCAATCCACAACTTGACCATGGCCAGCTCACATTCGCTAGAACTTGACTCCAAACGCGCAGAAATGTCTCAATCGCCTGGCCCAGTCACTCAATCGTGCAGCTTAGCTATCCCATGCGTCTCCCTCTGACGAGGAGCCCTCAAATCGCAAGCTGAACGCGCCCGAAGACAGACATAATTGGTTCTAATGTGGCTTGACCGGGGCTTTCAATGAGGTCTTTATGGACATCCCGTGCGACTTTTTTTTCTTTTGCTTATGCTTCGCCGGCAAATCCAACGTAATGGATCGTTCCAATTGCGTGCAAACTTGTTTTTCATTGGTTTTCAAATCCAGTAGTTTCAAAGCGATGATCGAAGCGCGAACGCCGCTATAAGGCCCAATCCTCCGCCCATACTTGTAGCAACGATCTATACATTTCACCCCCGTCGGGAACCGTATATTTGTACCATAGTCTGACCGGTCACTACATGAATATGCTGTTTCAGTTACAAAATTCTCTATCTACCCCAATTTTCCTCAGTCCAGTCATTTCTGCAATTATGGCTTTAATCCCCATTCCCCGCCAGGCTTTCAATATCGACAAGGCTATTCCCGTTCACGGATACAGGAAAGCTGCACCGGGTGATCTAATCGATCTCGCTATTGAGAGTCGGATCGCGCGGATCATCAAACGATTCGCCATCGGCGGCGATGATCCATTTTTCGTCGCTGATCTGGGCCAGATCGTTCGACAGCATCGTCGTTGGATCCAGAACATGCCCGGCATACGTCCTTTCTATGGTATGTTACTCCTGAGTGGAAATTTTGAATCTTGCTCTCGGTTTCTTGTACCATGTATTCGTTGTGTGAACGGTAAGCTGATATAGCTAATAACTAGCGGTCAAATGTAATTGCGATCCCACGTTCCTCAAGGTCCTTGCGGATCTGGGTACTGGATTTGACTGTGCGTCTATTGAGGAGATGCGCGCGGTGCTCAATCTCGGTGTCGATCCGGGTCGGATCTTGTTCGCGAATCCATGCAAGGCCCCCGCGGCCGTGGCCTTTGCGAGAGAGGTTGGAGTCCTTCGAACGACGTTCGATAATATCGATGAACTAGATACTATCAAGGCGCATATGCCGGATGCTCAACTATTACTCCGCATATATGCAAATGATGAAGAAGCTTTCATCTGCCTGGGAGAGAAGTTCGGCGCACACCTGGACACAACTGAGGAGCTGCTTGCACGGGCGTGGGAGCTCGGCTTGAATGTTGTTGGTGTTAGTTTCCATGTTGGTATGTGAAATTTGATCCCTCTCCCAGCAAGGAAATCCATAGGTATGCTGACATCGTACCTTCTAGGTACTGGTGCGACTAACCCGGCCTCATTTTGCAACGCTATTAAAGATGCACGCTTGGTGTTTCAACAGGCTGAACGTCTAGGGTTCCACCCCAAGATTCTTGATATCGGTGGCGGCTTCCAAGATAACTGCTTTGAGTCCATGGCACCAATAATCCGAGATGCCATCCGAGCCGAATTCCCAGCTGGCACAACAGTAGTCGCAGAGCCGGGCCGGTTCTACGCTCGAAGTGTGTATACTCTTGTCTGCCGAGTGATCTCAAGGCGGCGCCAGCTTGGGAGCGCTGCGGCATCGGGCATTCCAGACATGTTGTACCAGAACGATGGCATTTATGGTAATTTCATGAACGTCATTATGGAGAAGGAAATTATGAAACCTCACCTGCTAAAAGCGAAGAAGAGCAAGGCCGCCAATTTGGGGAATCCTAGAACAAGCGAAATAAGCGAAAAGGGGAATGAGATGACCAAATCGACAGAGCACCGTTACTCGATCTGGGGCCCTACATGTGACAGCACAGACTGTGTGGCACGTGAAGTCTCTTTGGAAAACGAGGTCAAAGTCGGAGATTGGTTCAAGTATAAAGACATGGGAGGTGAGTATTCTCAAAGACGGACATCTTGCTTTTCACTGACAATTCCTAGCTTACACGAGTACCACTGCCACCCAATTCAACGGCTTCAGCAGTGAATGTGATATAATATACGTGAATAGTGAAGCATTGCCGGACGTTTAATGTCCATGTGGAACTTCAAAGTCGGCTGGGGTTTCAATCATAGAACTACGAGGAATATGACGCTGATCAACCGTGGTATCCAGAGACCCTAGGGCTGGAGAATATGAATTGATGAATAGCCTGCATTCATTCAGCTTGAGCCAGCAGCCTCTTGCGTAGATAAAGAAACCCATAACCATAACTAGATAGCAGGATGACCGAGCCCGTCCGAAATGAACCCATCGCGCGCTTGAAAAAAGAAAAACAAAAAATACACCATAAATTTCCAAAGATTTTTCCCATCAACCCAAGCGGAGCGAAAACAACAAAAGAGGATATCAATCATAAAGAAAGAGACATGAAAGATGACATGCGATAATGCGGAAATGACAGAGTAAGAGAGCCCGAAAGAAAAATTGAAGGATGTACTGTGAAGTATAAGCAGATATCAAGCCTTCTCCATGCCAGACATCTGAACGTCATCTTGGATAGCGTTTTCCGGGAGAATGGGAGGCTTGAGATCCACGCCGTAAGCCTGGCCGCCGGGAGCAGCCTCGCTCTGCTTCTCTGGGTCATCGGACGAAGTTCCATTCTCAGGTCGCTTCCGTCCTAGTCGTTCACACCAGTGCTCAGCACTGACTAATGTGTCATTGACAACGCCACTGACTTGAGCCATCATGTCCAAGCCCTCTTGTGCCAGAACCAGAATACGGTGAGCACTGATTTTGGCATCCGACGAGGCAGCGGATGAATCTGGGGGAGGATTTGAGGTGGATGCCACCTGGAAGCGGTGCGGCAGAGACGTCAAGTGGCGACGCACGAGGTGACGGGCATTTTCTGGCAGCGCACCTCCAGCGTACTTGGAGACGATATCCACGACCTGTTTCAAGGTCGAGAGGACATCTGCCTTGACAGTCTGGATGCGCTGAATGAGCAACGAGGCATTCTCCTGGCGGCTGTCTCCAGCCTCGACGTCCGTCTGGGACATGCTCTGTTGTCCAGCCTTTTGATTCTCCCACTCGGACACAGCACCGTGGAGTGCTTCAATGGATTTGCCTAATCGTCTGTTGGCCCATCGAAGCCAGGTGAGGCAGTATTGCAAGCTTCGTAAGGATTCGTCGCTCATAGCGACTCCCAGCCCCGACGTTGAGATGACGAGTCTGCTCTGCCATGTCGGTTCGGCACGTCGCCCAGGCTTCTCCTCATAGTGAGGCGACCTCATCTCATCGTAAGGTGGTAGCGACTCGGCCATGGAGAGATCAGAAGGACTGCGCGCTCGCGTCGGCTGAGCCGAGCCATTCTGTCCCCTCTCGACATCCAACGTCCTCGGCGAAACATTGCCATCCATCTTACGTCGTTTGTTGGTCTGAGTTGAGTCCTCGCTGGTCGAATCTCGTCGCTGCAGCGCCCAACGTAAGCCGCTCTCAACGCCAGTCTTGCGACCTACCGTCCCGACGGTATTTGCGACAGGCGAACCAATATTGCGCTCAATGAACTCGGCACCAGACTTGAATCGGGGCGAGTATGATTTGGACGTGGCATAGGCCGAGACTGAGCCGCTGATGGCAGAGGAGATAAGAGGGTGGGAAGATGTAAGCAGAGACAAGAGTGGCTCTGGTGGTGGGTCTGGTGAAGCGATGGGTAGTGATTGTCGTGATGTTCGAGGAGATTGTCCGAAATCTGTAGTTCAATAGTTCCAAATCAGTTCCAGTCCGTCGCACAGCGATCCCAAAGCAGCTAGAGCGACAGAGAGCAGAGAGCAGAAAGAACATACCGGAGCGTAGCCCCTCCAGGGCCTGCGCAGCTTCAAGGTCGTCCATCGATAAAACACTGGCGGCTCGTCGAGAACGATCCATCATGGAAGCATTCTGAGGTGATATCAGAGTGGCGCTCTGCTTCGGTTCCATGGTCATTTCAGAGGACAAACTCGCTTTCACGTGAAAAAGCGCCTGTCACTTCAATATTCCCACTAGTCCATATTAGGAAGGAAGATGAGGTAATCTCAGGTACTTGTCTTCCCCATACTAAACACTATGACATCGTAGGTACCACACTTCACATGTCACTCCCGCGATCCGAAAAATATCGGAGAAGTCGCAAATTTGGGCTGATCGCTTCTGTGTCTTTGTGGAGTACAACGGGGTACAAGTACGAATACCAGTGTAGAACTATCACATTTTCGGTGTGGGCTAATACTTTGCAACTTTGCAACTCGTACGGAGTACAACGTACTACTTCAACTTGAGGGAATCTGCACTGCAAAACCTTTACCTAGGCACCGAGGATGAACTTCATGTACCCCAACATGCGCTAGGTGCTCGGATACGAGACCGAAGGATCCCCCTTGAATCCTTGACATCCCACGTCTCTCCACGTATGAGGAGTACGGAGTATTGTGCACGGTGTTCGGCCTTGGGATATAGTCCTAATAGTACCCTTTTAGGACAAGGATACTCGGAAGACGTTGGTCCGCCCTATCACATGTCGGAACATCTTTGTCATATGCCGATCTGCTTACCGGCGTGTGAGATCTTTTTCGATTCGTGGGGTTTTTGTAATGTTGGGCAACTTTCAAGTGTGATTTGAAGCTAATGAAAGTGTTGGGATTGTCCGCCTGATCGGGCTCTAAAGTAGTCTAAAATAGAACATGTGATGAGCCTTCTAGCAGTGGACTTTTGCAGGAAGCAGAACCTTCGAACTCTCCTGCCGGCAGATAATTTAAGCGTTTAGGCAAAAGGCCCTTGCATGTGAAGGTGGAAAAAACTCTCAGACTCTATTTGCAAGTGTGGCTCATATACGGAGTATCTCAGATCATATCATTCACATATCACGGCGTAATTCGTACATATCAACCGGGGAAGGCTTTCACTCAAACCAGTCCAGGTCCCCTTCAAAAGATACCATAGCTTCAATCGCATCTCCACCTTCGTATTCATCCAAGTCCATGTCAGGCTCGATCCCAGGAACCTCAGTAGCAGTAAGATGGGATACCATTTTCTGGTTCACCCGATAAGTCGCAAGGACATCGTGAATGACCAGACGAGAGGCCTTGCAGGAAGCCTTAATATGGCATAGCGTCTCGCCGAACGCATGGAGAACAAACCCCGTCCGCGGGTATCTTTGATATGTGTATGAAGCTAGCACACGGACCCATTCGTCGTGACTGGATTGCCAAGTATGGATGAGCGGATGTCTGCCCTTTTCCGGGGAGGGATGGCGCTGGCACTTTCGACTGCTTGGCGGGAGAGAGCCGAGAAGCTCTCGCTAGTCGCGTTGCCTGCGTTCCATTGGTCGTACAATTTGCCGATCGATGTCTGGATCCCCTCGAGTGCAGCTTGCAATTTCTCATAGTGCTTGCCTTTTTCTGCGACGGCGTTTTTGGCGTCTTTCCATGGCTGAATGAGATCTTTATCGAGTTCTTGGACATCACTTTCGGGGAATGCGTCGTTCAGACCCGACAAAATTCTAGTCTGTTCCGACGTGGCGACTTCGAATTTGAGGTAATCGACAATATTCGAAATCTTGGGCTTGCGAGTTGAACCTGGTCGATAGGCCGGCAGACCACGAAGTTGAGGACTCAGCTTCTTCCTGAAAGCTTGCCACGCGGACTCTGAAAGTTGCACTCCTCCTTTGCGACTGTCCACAAGATGACTCAACAGACAAGCCAACTCTTTGGCTTTAGCGGAGTTGATGGACTCCTCATATGCCAATTTCTCATGCTCCACAGTACACCGACCAAGGCTCGAGGTAGTAAGGTTGAAATCAAATGCGCTTTGTAGGAAATCCTCCGTTGTTCTCAACTGAGACATTGGGACCGAGTGTTTGGTAAGGCCATAGTGATCAGGAGGATACTCAGATGGAAGCGGAGAGTTGCGGAAATTCTGCACGATCATCGGATCCCAGCAGATCCACGGCGTATCACCATCATAGTCTCCACCAGATAGCATGTGCGCCAGTGGAACGTTGCCTTTTGTAGGAAACACAATGACATCTTTGAAATGGCGTAGGTCGGGTTTCCAGACTGCTCTGCGACGCTGAATGTCTGAAGGGACGTGTGCAGGGAGTCGACCGACGAGAACATCCACACCGTCCAAGAGATTGTCCTCGAATTGACCGTTCGGGTCTCGCCAGTTACTAGAGAAGCCGAAGTGAACTTCGTCTGCTTCTAGCACGCCGTATGGGTCTGCAATGCAATAGGCATAGGTCGAAAGAGGAACTTCAATCTTGAGTTCTTCTACCTGTCGTTCAAGAAGCCACGTGAGATACTTCCGCATCTTGATACGAAGCGGGTAGAAATCTCTAGGAGGGAATCCAGCCTCCGAGAACCGGATGATGGACTCTGCCTCGTTCGCCGTCCATTGGTCTAGGCGTCGCGCTTTACCAGTTGGGTCGTCTCCGCAGGGTCTGAGCTTTTGAAGCAAAGCGCGACATGAGACAGGGCTATTGGATTTGAGAACCTCTAAGAAGTCGTCGTAGAGCTGCTGCACGCCGTTACGAACCAGCTGGGCAATATATTCTTTGACAGGCGCGCCGTGCTGAAGGATTCCAAGAAGCTGAATGTTCAAGTCGACAGGATGCAGCGCCTTGGCCCAATTCACAACCTCAAAGGTCAGCTTCTCCTTGTCAACTGGACCAAACCACTGCTGCGGATGAGGGTGGATCTTTAGCTGGGAATCGGATATTTGGATCCAGATGTCGTCGTCCCCGCAATCTCTTCGCGTATTGTCAATGCTAGATTCGTGACGATCAACCATCCACAAGCCCTTCGCACCTGCTATTCTACCCTGGAAGCAACTCGGCGTAGCAGTGGTGATCCCTAGAGAATCACAGACTTTATTCGCAAGCGCCCTGGACATCAGAGCGCAGCCGTCATTCATCACGGGACGACCCTCAACATCTTTCAGATGGAGGACCTGGCTCGGCTTCAGAGTGACCGTATCAAACGTCTTCGAAAGACCAAGCGAAATGCGCTGGAAGAGCTTACAATTGCTCTGTTTCGCATTGTCTGCATTGGGCATATGCCACTCCAAAAGCTTCTCCACACTCATCGGCGTGGGCTTTTCGCCCTGCAATCGAGGGGCAGATATGGCCGGGAGAAGCTTTCTAGACCAAGGCTCAAAATCTCCACCCGAAACGGCAAAGAACTCAACACGGAACCGCGGCTCACCCTTGACTTTACGCTTCATCTTCACTTCTTCGACATAAAATGCACGCCACTTGCGACCGAGACAAGAATGATCATACCGAGTAAGCCACGTAGCCAAGCACTCTCGAAGTACTGAAGGATCAGTCTTCTGATGCCTGGGAGGCCGAGTGGGCGCAGGAATAGTGACAGTCAAGAAACGATCCGATCCGAACCTTCGATGAAACCGACACGTTCGATCCGTCTTGAGTGGATTCAATTTTAATTTAAAAATACCCGGCTCGGACTCATCGCACCAGTCCATTTCTCCGGACATAATCACGACCTCGGATTGCTTCTTTGATTTGAAGCTGTCAACAGCAGAATCCCAGGCTCGGGCAGATGACTTTTCTGGAAGCGGTTGGTTATTCCTCTGATTATGTCCGCTGATCCAAGTCCAGAATTTATCCAAGGTGTCATGAGAGACATGATCACCGACAAGCATTCTGTTGCAAGGGACGCCCCACGCGCGGCCAACTCGCTCAAGCTCGTACCGGAATCGCAACGGGATCTTGGTTGAGAATGAGCCTTCTAGTGAGAATGGGCCATGAGAGCGCAGCTCACTAAGAACCTCTTGCTTCAGAGACTCTTTCGTTTCAACCGGGTCATGATTGACCATCATGGAAGTAGTAGCAGCGTCGAAGCTTTTGATCATCTCCTCGCTAGTCATCACATCAACGACTGAGTCGGCGTATGTCGTTGACTGTGTGTCCAATGGATCAGAGAACTCGGTCATGACAGTATCGAAAGATTGTTCCATGGTGGTATCGTTGGAAATACCAACTAGAGAAGACGCTCGTGTTGAATAACTGGGAGCGACTGAAGGAGCCAGGGATTGATTAGACTTCGATTCGTCCGAAGCCGCTGTCAGCCTGTCAAGCAATTGAGGCTTTTTGAATTCGAACTCGAAAGTGTCATCCTCATTCTCCTTCGGAGGTGCAGCAACCGTGGGACTCTGCTTCTGAATCCATGCAGAAATTGTGGACTGTCTCAACGGCGAGACAGAGGCTTGGGAAAACTTCGGATCATCCTCCGCTGGCTGGCAGACCTGCGAGTTTCGAATCGGCGATCGAAAGATTCCAGGCGCCTTCGATGGCGACGGAGCACTCGCCTGCACTCTAGCAGGAGAATAAGGACCCGGCTGAGGCTTCGACAGCACTTTCGGAACCCCACGATCTCTCACAGACTGATTGACCTGCACTTTCGGCGGAACAGGGAAAGTAGCCGAATACTTCGCTGGCGCACGACTGAACTCCTGACTCTTCCTCGGCGTGACCCGACCATCAGGCGCCGCCAACGAATTCGAAGCCGCAGAGCCACCGGAAACTTGCGTCCGTGCCTTTGCCATCTGTGGCAGCTGCGGGGCTCCATCTCCATACCTTCCAAGAGGCGACTGCAGCGAAGCGGACTCCTTAGAGGGCGAATTAGGCGCAGTATGAAAATCATCTTCATCATCGGAGATCCTTCGTTTTTTTCGCGATAAGCCCCTGACCTGTCCCAACGGATCACTGGCTAACCTTTTCGCATTTTCCTGACGACCATGACCAATCAGGTATTCCTCGTCCTCGATCAGTTTCAAGAGGTACTGCGTGCGCTCATCGCGTTGGTTCGGGGTGGGGGCTGGAAGCGGGGTGACGTTCCCATGGGCGAGTAGCCCGGCTCTCCCGCGCACCCATTCTTCCAAGTCTGGTTTGAGCGAGCCTTGGAATTTGGCATTGTAGAACAACGGGCGCAAATGTTTGTAGACCTGGTATGGGAGTGTGGTGTTTTTCTCTCGCACGGAAGGCGATTCATAGCCCGGAAGTGGAATTTCCAGTCCGAAGGTGTCATTCAGGTCCTTCACATACTGGTGGAAACTGGGTTTGCGGTGTTTGGGGGTTGTTGGATTCATGGCGCACAGTCCCTACTCGGGCTCGGGACATTGAGGACTGTGGGACATTTGGGAGAACTGACTGCAGTGAGTTGGCTGCAGTAATTAGTCTCATGTGTGGACTGTCGCGGGGGTAAACAAACGAAATTGCATGGGTTTCACCCAGCGTCCTAGAACGAGGATAGCCCAATTGAGGCACGTTGCTGGCAACAAAAAGCAATTCTCAGGCCAATGAAAGGAAGGTCAGACCAAATTGACTGCTCTCATCGCTTGGCTGCTATGCAAAGGAGCTGTTAACTCGGGTAACCACGTATTTTTAGCGTCCTTCACAGCTGTCAGCTCCAGGGCTTCGACTGATTTCTGAGCCTTCACCCCCCTACTCGTATACTCGTACAAAGATACTCCAGATGGTTCTAGCATGACATGAAGATTCAATTGCTCGTTGGTCTCTGGTATCTTCCATGCGTAGAGAATCAATAGACTACCCCACAAAAAGATCATATCACGATGCCAAGCTTGCTGTGCAGTCTGCAGCAGCGTCTAATTCCATGGTGTAAAATACAATATTAAAAAAAGTCACGAGCACGAAGGAGGAACTTCAGTCAACCTCACTTGTCCCTGACCAGCCGAAATCTCAGGCCCACTCTTATCCGTCCACAGATCAACGTCTTTGGGGTTGACATGCTTGCTGTGGACAGCGATCTTGTACCCAACCATGAGCAGTATGTACAGAGGGATACTGATATAAGACGCAATGAAGGAACTGACATCAAACCTCCTCTCACCAGAGTCAAAACTGAAGGAGTCAAAGACGATAGTTACCGAGATAAACAAGCAGAGCACCAATGCAACGCAGGTTCCAGGCAGTCCAAACCGAGCACGGAAGGCTAGGGACTTGTCGGGTACACCTTGGGCTTTTCGCGCGCGCACGAAGGATATATGGGTGACGAGAATGGAGAACCACGTCAGTAGGCCGAGCATTGTGACCATGTCGACGAAGTAGCCGAAGACAAGGGTCGAGTCTTGGTTTACGTTGAGATAGGCCAATGTGGCTAGCAGCGAGCACATCCCCAGTGCGTAGATGGGTACGCCTCTGTGGGTAGTTCGTGACAAGAAGGCTGGGGCTCGGCGTTTCAGAGAGAGATCACACATTGCTTTCGTTGCAAGATAGAGGTCGTAGTTCGCGATTGACAGAACGAACACCAGGATGCACGCATTCAGAAAGTCCGGTAGCACTGAGATGCCGGCGAGATACAATGCTGCCACGAAAGCAGATGCGGCAGCATCGTGGGATGCTCGACTGTAGAAGGCCACGGAAATAGAGTCCTGAGGGATGATCATTCCCAGTAGCGTGATAGCTAGGAGATGGAACACCAGAATCCGATAAAACGTATTCTTGATAGCTCGGGAGGTGGCTTTGCGGACATTGGGGAAATGACACATCCCAGATCGCTCGCTTCCAATGTATGCAAACGTAGCAGATGACATCGTCGAACAAGTGATGTAGAACTTGTCAATCAACCCATCATGTCGATGAGATCCAAACGCCCCAGGATAAGACCAGTAACGAAAGCCTCGCCGATCGTGATCTGGTCCTCCACCCAAAGCAATAATAGTCGACAAAATCATGAGACCAAGCATGACAACAAGCTTGCACGAAGCCATATAAAACTCGATACGACTCGGAAGGCGGTGATTGATACAGTTGAGAGCAACGATAATCGACAGAAAGATCGTGATCCAGACACCGGGGTTGACATGCTCTGCATCGACCCAGTAGGAGACCACCAATGCCGCAGCGGTGAGTTGATTAGGCGTCACGATAGCATATTTGAGCCAAAATCTGGAGGGGTTAGCAAAGCCAACCCTTGGACGATGACCAGCACAGCCGGTCGACCTACATCCAACCCAAGCTGAACCCGAGCGCAGGATCACAGAATCGTACAGCCTGGTCTGCAACGGTGTATGGCTTCGGTAACCAAGAGCCTACCTCACCCAACGCAGAGAGGACAAGGTAGACTGCAAACCCAACGATGGTGTATGAAATGAGGATAGCGGCCGGCTGTGATGGATCAGTTTCTGCACACTGGTGAAGCGGTGCGAATTTACTCACTCCGCTCCTGTGCAAAATCAGTAGGGCTCATTATTGACAAATATTCCACACAAAGATGAACCCATGGCATGTGGTGTTCTTACATGGACAACGCTCTTCCGGTTCCAACCATCAAGCCTGTTCCAATGGCCGATCCGATGGCTGGGCAACATGTTAGCGTGATCAGATATCTTTGCAGTGAGACATACTGATGATGCTAATCTGACGGGGCGTTAGGGAGCCATATATATCGGTGAAACCCAGAGCGTGGTCAGGCGCTGGCGCAGTCGCTGGTGCCGGCGTAGGATCAGGGTTCGGCACGCTGGGTAAGAGTCGTGGGCGCCTAGAAAACATATTCCATCCAACATGCGAGGTATCAAATATTGCCAGAACAGACAATTGTATAGACAAGAGTCAAGATGAAATGCTATAAGAGGGTAGTCAGTGAAATTAGGTTCCCACGGTCCTAAAGGACGAAAGTCCAAGTGCCGACGCAAAAAACGGAAGGAGCAAGGTTGGATCACAAGTCTTTGGGATATATTTTCTATATGCAAAGAGTCCATCTTGGGGACGAGGAGAATGGCATATGAAACAAAAAAAAAAAGTAAAAAGCAAGAAGTGGATAGAAGCATTTCCCATGCCAACTCTATGATTGCCACCAAGCCCATCGAGGAGGCACCAAAAAGCCGGCTAGCGTCTAAATTCCAAAGGCCAGATAAGAAACAAAACGCCCAAAAGTAGTCGCACCCAAAGCACCAGTCGGTTGCAAACTGAATTCCATGTCCCCGTGGGGCCAGAGGGGGAGTAGAGATGTCATAAAGTCTTTATCAAGAAAAAATTACCAAGTGGGATCGGGAACGACTGGCGTTTGGTCTGTAGCGGTCGCTCCCTGGGTGAAAAGGCGGAGGTGGAACATGAGAGATATGTAAGGGTTTTCCTCAAGAATTTCCTTCATCGCGACATGAGCGAGTCGCTAGACTCGGTGCGGGGGAATATGCGGGTGTAGAGGGAATCGCTGGACTCGGTACGGGGGAAGTGTCGTTGGTGCTTCCGTGAGATCACGCGATCGGTATACACACCCTTGGCCGAGCCACGAATGACCTGCTCGAGATATTCACGGAAGTCCGTGGGCTGGAAGTCGGGGAACAAGTCCTGTGTGGTGTGGTAGCCGAGATATTTGGCGTAATCGGGGTTGTTGTCGCCGCGGATTCCCCACGAGAGCTGATATTCGGCCAGGTATCGAGGAATAAACTTGATCGGGTCGAAGGGGTAGGTTTCACTGGCCTGTCGGGCCGCCACGACTCTGCTGCAAATAGTCTCCTCGGGGACCTGTGTTCCGGGAAAGAAAATCATTAGTTACACTCGAAAGTCACTCCGGGCCGAGGGTCTGTGCAACATACATAGTTGCGATCGATCTTCTCTTCGCTCAGCTCTTCCATGAGCTCGTAAATCTTGTTTTGGGTGGAGACCAGGTTGTAGGCGAGGATCTTCTTGTTCAGGGTGCGGGGGTCGGAAATGATCATGGCCATGTAGCGGCCGATGTCTCGCAGATCGGTCAATGCGGTGGGCATGTTGCCATCGCCGATAATCTCATCGTTACCGGATGTCATGGCATAGTCGACACGGCCGGAGGGAAGACGGGGGTAGGCCAGCTGGTACCACCAGCCGACGTCGACGATGGTGTAGGGAACCCACAACTGACGAATCTGGTTGTAGACGATCTCTTTCTGTGTAGGTGAAGAGTCCGGTTAGTCTCTTGAATCTGTGAGTATGGGGGCGAGCGTCTGGATCGAACCTCATCACGGAGCCACATTACACCGCCTGGCGGGCAGACAGTAATGAAACCACAGGGCACGAAACGCTTCACACCCGTCTTTTTAGCCGCCTTGGCGAGGGGAATCTGATCCTGTTGCTCGGCGGGACCGACACAGCTGATGACCACATCAATCCCGGCCAACGCTTCGATGAGCTGTTCCTCGGGGGCCTTCAAGTCGCATTTCCGGACCTGGCAACCCCGATCCTGGAGGCGTGTGATGGCAGGCTTCTGGGCGGAAATTGGGCGAACCAGGGCAATGACGTCCTAGAGCACAATCGGTCAATAACTGGGAGATCTCGGCTCGAAGCTGACCACGTACAAAGTCACCGGTATCCAGCAAGCCGTTGGCGATGGAGCCTCCGGTTTCACCCGCAGCACCGACCAACAAAACCGTGGTCTTCGACATGTTTAACAATTATAGAGGAGATGGGGGAGATAAAAATGAGGGATGGAGGGGAAAGTTGAAGGAGAGAAAGAGAAGCAGGGATTGGGTAACAGGTTTAGGACCTGACGACGTTATAAATTCCCTACCCACTTTCCCATCGGTGGGTCGATTTTCCCCTCGTTTTGGGGGGGGTTCGTTTTTATTTTTTTTAACCCAGTGACATACTTGCTCTCATGACTCGACTTTTCTTGTTTTTTTGTGACTCTCTTTTCTTTTGTGCTATCTCTTCATTATATCCTGATATATATTCATTCACCATATTTACTCCGTCCTGCTCAAGTTCTTCTCACGGGCCGGTTCGGGGACCTCTTACGTCACATGCGGCTTCCCGCTAATCATGATGTTTGCGGCTCGAGGCCCTACTCTGTGTATATGGAGTACGGAGTACGGCGTAGTACTCTCTGTATACAGGTTACTCCGGACCTTGAGGGGGCATGATAAGAATGACAGATGGCATGTCATTGATCAGGAGACTGAAAGACCTCGGGAGCTGAAACACACTGATCAAGATGAGAGTGTGCCACCGGCCAAGCCCGCTGGTCCCCCTTGTTCCCCGTGCAGAATACTAGCAATCCCACGTCACAGATCCCGATCGGCATCACAGCTTACTCCGTATGCCATTCCCTTTTTTTACAGCCCACAGTTGTGGGAGAGGGAGCTCCAGATGTCCAGGACTGTGACGAAATAGCTTAGTCAGGGTCTTTACGGAGTAGTGGCGCCGTAGCCAAAACTTGGAGAGGCAGCCAATCAGAAGCCAAGGCAGCCTATAGGAGGCCGAATAGTAAGCAATAGTAATTATAGTACTCCGTATTGATTGCTTATTGCTACAAATATTTGGGCTGAGGCGCCAGCCACAACCGATCTTAGCCTGCTTGGGCTTTTTCCAAGGCTAGTTCATCGACCACCATTGCTCCAGTCTTCAGCGTCAAAATATTTTCAGTACCTCTGGTGGGGTAAGGTTACTCGCATCGCGAGTTTGGGGATTCCTCCAAATCCGGTAAAACAAGGGAAGATCTCCGGGCCGCCTGGTAATCATCGCGGGGAATGGAGGGCCCAAGCAAAGTGACGTTCTGGAACGAGAATCATGATCGTCGTTATGGGCGGTTAGTTGAAAAGTGGAAAATAGAACGCCTCAGCATGTGACCAAAATTGGATGCTCCGTATTGCATTGTCTCCATATCCTCCATCGTTTATAGGGAGTGAGACTTGCCCTTCAATAATGCCTCATAGTCAGTTCCAAAGGGTCACACTACTTTCATTCCAACCACTTTGGAACTAGACCATAAGGGGGCTTCCGGTCCACTGCGGATATCGATGTACAGTATATCCCGCGGGGGAGCGTGGAAATAGTGTCAGCTCCTCAACTCAGGGGTCGTCAAGAGTGCTTCTGCTTCCTAGGAGAGTCACGTAGCACTGGTGATCTTGAAAAGCGAGATCGGCCATGATATTTGCGATTCCCCTGATTTGATTGGTTATTTGAAAAAGGCAATGCCTCCAGGGCTACGACTCGAGGAGTATATCTCACTACCAAAGCTGCCCAGCTAGGTAGGATGTTGTTACGACTAAACATACCACTTGCCCAGGTGATCAACTGAATGATGTGCAAGACAATGCGCTCAAGACTAAACACACTTCTCCGTACGTACTCCGCGCTTACCTTGCTCTATGTACTCCGTGCATTGTGCATCGTACCTAACCATGCACAACACCGCCCAAAGCAAGGGGCAGTTGCCTCACCAGTGGTAAGCTCTGGACCTCCAAAAGCGCGGAAGTTCTCTATTGCTACCTCTGTCGACGCGAGCGTTCATTGGTCATCTGCTCCCATGATATCTCCGAAATCACAACGAGGCCCTGTATGGGCAGCACATGCTCTTGGCTATGCGAAACACTAAGACTATCTGGTTAGAGTACACATGTTCTATGTACTCCTTACTTCAATCAAAATCACCCTATCGGATACCCGCCCAGGTGGACGTGCCTTGACTGCCGAACATAGGACTCGCTCTCAGGAAACTTTACTCCGTACAGGTTGTTCAGTCAGTTAATGAACTGTTGTCGAAGCTCCCCAGACCTGCAGATCCTCCAATGTTAAACCAAACTCAAGCCTGGCTTTGCTAAAATATTGGCAATCAACCGACTAAAGAAAGCTTCGGCGTTGAAAGATAGGATAACTTGGGATACACCTATTTGATGAATACGTTGCTTGGTCTACATGATGGTCCTCGGGGCAGGATTCCAAAGTTCTACAGCGACAACAGACCAGAAAAAGTTACTCCATGCTATGAGGCTCAATCAAAAAGTCATTATGGGTATCCCGCAAAAAAAAAAAAAAAAAAAGAATTGACTCGCAGAAATATTCAAAGGATATCACAAGGCGTCACCCCAGTGGCTTCAGACTCAGCAAAAGAAGTCACCCAATGAGCAGTCTCGTTAGCAATCTGCATTATCTCTTCCTCCGAAAGAGACGGTTCAGCCCCCGGACTAAATCTGACACTCCTGATAGGAGCGCCTCGAAACCAAAACACCAAAGTCTTCTTCCTCTGCTCCTCCCTCTCCAGCTGAATTCGAGCCCATTGAGATCTCACGATGGCAAGATGATCCTCCCTCTGAGCTTCCCTCGCCTTCCATCCATCGTATTGCTCGTACAGCGAGTTAGTCGGGTCTGATGCCCAGTCGACTCCCCAGTCCGGGTTACTCGTAGCAGCGGGTTCATCCACCGCCGCGACCTCCCACTGCCACTCGTGCAGGTCGGCGATATCTTGCTTGTCTCGGCACATATTAAACACGCTCTGGGTACCCATATAATGCTGCCGGATGTGGCTGTCTACCTGGTAGTGCGCGTATACAACGATAGCCTCGCTTGCTGCCTTACCGTTCGCAGCCTCGGCTTTTTGGATTATAGCATCCACAGCCTCGAAGTATTGGCGTTGTTGAGAATAGGTTATGTCGGACCAGAAGGAGAGGTTGCGAGGTTGGCGTGAGCTTGCATCGAGGGGAGAGATCTCCTCGATTGATTCGAGTTTGTTGGCAAAGTAAGGCGGGTATCGAGAGGTGATGTATATGCCTTCTTTGATATCTGATGCCATTTTGTAGGGGGAAGCCCCCATCTTGCATGTTTTGCATTGGAGAGCCTCCTGCAGCGCGGCATTATGCCGTGACTTGGGTACGTTAGTCAACTGAGCACTGGTGGGTTGGTTGTGATTGGCGAATTGTACCAGTTTCTCCTTGATGGCTTCTGTCCAAAGCTTTCTGGGTGGGGTGCGGGTTTTGGCGACGCAGCCGGTTCTCTGGGAGATTGCCATGGTGAATGAATGAGCAATGAGGTCCGCGTAAAGGCTGGAATAATGTATATGTGAGGGCTGATGATCAAATTGAGTGGTGAGAATGATGTGAGCGAAAGGTGATGCCGTTAGGCATTCATTTATACAATCCATGAACGGCCTTTGTGTTGTCGTGAATAAAGGGGACTGGGTTATAATAGGACTCATTGAAATGCTCATAAATCAAATTGAACAATAAGAGATGCTTGACTTGAATCTCATTGATTCGAGCCAACAAAGGGAGCCCTAAGCGAACAATGAAGTAATTGTATCGCACCTCATAGAGGAACATTCATGGATGGAATCGAAGTTAGGCGACAGGGCCTTCATAAATTATCGAGAGTGAGGAGCTACTTAAATGAAAAAGAATGTTCAGGTATGCGCAGCTTGACGCCCAAGCCCATATGACATACGTGGATTTGAAGGTCATCTGGGGGTACAAGTAACCTTGGAAGCTCGGGGACGTGACTACATCCCGAGGACCGTGATGTTGGATCATCCGAGCGCACTTAAAGAATGTGCCCTTCCCCAGATAATATAACATGACACTGCTTGGTGTCTTCTCTTTATTGGCTTTCATGACTGGAGAAAATCGGTTCTTTCAACCTTACACACTTTGGTACAAGACCCGAGATTTGCGATATGGTATGGTTACTATCCTAGCCCATTCAAACGCATAGAAAGCTGCATCTCTCCAATACTAAATAGAATGGCTTTGATTTTCTTACCGACGAAATGTAACTGTGGTTGGGACCATAGAATATCCCCAAAGATACCTGGTGGTTAGGTGTCAACGATACTTAACCTTGGTGTCAACGCCCCATCACGGTTGTTCCCTCCACGCTACTCTGAGTCTACACTGTAACTCGCCGATCCACCAGCTCGTTTGTTTACCTTCAAGATCTACCTTGTTTCCCGCAACATCTTGACCCGAACGCCACAGCATGGCCGAGGCTTCACTCGTCTTCCCGATATGCTGCCTCACCTTCTCGTTCATCTTCGTCATTTTGTTCTACAGCGCGTCCATCAGGGAGCGTGCTGGCGCCCTGTGCCGCAACATCATCCTTCCCATTTGCGCATGGGTTGAACGCAAGCTCTCCACCCAAACCAACCAGGCGATCGCCATTTCCGAGCCCGCGTATGAAGTGATCAGCGACGAAAAAGACGAGGAGATTGAAGAGGAGCCACAGCAGTCACCCGAGCGACCATGGTTTTTCCCACGCTCTCAAAGTCGATATCGCGAAGCCTCAACCACGGAGATTGCCAGTCCGTCCCCATCCCCAAAGGCGCGCAACCCAAGTCAAACCCAACGACCCTCCGGCATCGTGTTACTCGCTGATGGAATGCTGCCACCTCCCACCGCAAGCGAATCTGACGAGGACGAGCCGGAAGGTGACCGATCTCCTTCTTTGACCCTGTACACCCCCGACGATTCCGATGACGATTGGGACAATGACTCTTATGGATCGAATAACGACAATCGACCCTTATCCGGAAGCATGGGATATCGCCAGAGCAGCGGAATCGACGACTTGCCTGATGTTTGGCAAGCTGAGCTCCAGCAGCCTATCTTTGCAATCAACTCTGCTGGGACATCGGCTTGGGTGGACCGGATAGTTCGCTGGACGGCGCTGACTACTTTTGCTAGCGTTGCTCCCCCTGATGTCCTGGAGGCCATGGATGAGCGGTATGTAACGATTTGAAAGTTTCGAGGATGGCTGCAGCTGTCACGAGCTTGGCGGCGGGCATGGGTGCTCTTTGAAGCGTTGTTCTCCCTTTGTTGTTTGCAGGGAAGATGGAAGGAAGATATCTGTGCCAGTATTTTGATATTCTATGAGTGAAGATACCCTCCGAGGAGGATTCTGTATGTCGCGCACAATCTATCATCTGAGTTGAGGCATCATGATTCTTGACGTAGTGACGTAGTGGCCCGTGACTGGGCTGTCAGATTGCCCCCATTGGCGGAGTCAATGTCAAAGCGCCATGCAAGGGATTTAAAATTGATCTCTGATAGGACTACTCCGTATGGCAAGGCTCACTCTCGGTTCTTAAAATTGAGTCGCTGAGGTCCTGGGTAAAATATCTGTAGAGCACGGTTTCTGTTGGCTGAATTCGGGCAAGTATGCAGCTCAGTTGGCATGGATTATGGGTTGCTCATGATAATTTTTGAGCACGGCTTTTGCTATTTCAACTAATCAACGTATTCTGAATGTCAATCGTTCCAATCGTCAATCGTTTCTCGTGGGAGATTGCCATGTATTCAACCCTCCCACCTGTATGAGCAGAATCGAAAATCTTGATCGAAACATTAGAAATGGCGTGGTTGATCTAGGGCGCACAGTAGCCACCATCAACAATCAAATCAGCGCCAGTTGTGTAAGTCGAGGCATCAGAGGCCAAGTAGAGGTAGGCGCCCTTCAACTCATGGGCCTGACCTTCACGGCCCATGGGAATCTTGTCGCGCCAGATGTTTTTGGTTTCTTCGGGAACGAAGCTTGAGATCTCAGTGGCAATGTATCCTGGAGATACGGTGTTGGCACGGGCGAAGCGAACCCACTCGACAGAAAGAGACTTGCCTAGGAAGGAGTCAGTGAATCATCAGCGATAGCCAAACCATGCAAAACGCACAAAGATGAATCACAGCAGACTTAGCGGCATTATAACCCGCTTGCATCTGGGGAAAGTTGACAATGTGACCACTCATAGAAGCAGTGGCAACAAAGCTACCGTATGTAAAGTTAGTGAGCCTGTTACCATTGGCATCAGTGCCTTCTTCCTTTTGACGGCGCCAGTGATGAGCAGCAGCTTTAGCGCAGTAGAATGTGCCGTCCAAGTCGATGCCGACGACGTCACGGTAGTGTTCGAGCGGGCCATCGACCATGGAGCCCTGGGTCCAAGGCACGCCAGCGTTAGCAATGAAGACGTCGAGTCGGCCATTGAAGTCTTTGACAACTTCATTCACTGCTTCCTCAACAGCCTGTGCGTCGGTGACTTCGACGCGATAAGCCTTGGCTGTTTGAAGATAGTGTGAGAAGTGACCAGGGCAAGCAGACTAAGTAGATCCCACACGTACTCTGAACACCATATTTTGTGGCTATATCTGCAGCTTGTTCGGAGCACTTTGTGTTGCTCCTATACCACATAGCCACGTTGGCACCGGCCTCTGCAAGGCCTTGTGCAACAGCAAGCCCAATGCCAGCACCAGCACCCGTCACGATAGCAGTCTTCCCCTTGAGTGAGAACATGCTCATCAAGCTGGGATGCTCTGGAGCATTTGTATTGTTGTGGACGAAAAGGCCGTTTTTGCTGACTGGATTTGCTGCCATTGTGAATAAGATCCAACCTGGTTAGGAAAAGGGAAGTTGTGGCTCGACACCCTTCTATAGTAGATCTTTTTGAGGGGCAACGAAGCCTCTCCGCAAAGAATACGGTGAGCAATGCGTTGGCGCAGACGGTCGGACCCGAGTCTATTGACATTTGGAGCTGTCGTCCCCATGATTAGACCAGAGGTCACTGCACAAACCTTGGGCACGTTTGATCACGGGTAGTGAAGTATCCGGCTTCGTCTGCTCACAGTCTGTTCAGTGCTCTGGTAAAAAAAGATCATATTCCGTAGTCTTCTCAGCGCCTGATAATCCCAATTGAACACAGAATGGTTGAAACTCACACCCAGACCGTCTGGGAAGGGCGCTAAACCCCATTGGCTCACTGTGGGTCTCCCGAGAAAGTGGAGCATCTGCCGAAAGAACACACTGCGGAGTACTCCGTATCCCCCGATTATATCGTCGGATGAATCAAAGTCTCAAAGACAGCTGTGTCATTCTGCAACAAGACGAGCAGATACCCCGTAGCATAGCCGTGGACGTTCTTGTGGATGAGCCCGGGCAGAATACGAGGCGGTGAACGAGCTCCACGAGCTCGTGACGACTTCGCGGGGAAGTCGTCCAGTCCCCGCGAGGGTGCCAACCATCTCTCGCAATGGCTTTTACCATGATCGGATCAAATGCAGTGGGCTTGAGCCCCAAGCTGGATCTTTGGACTGAGGCTTGGGGCTCAATGGTGGACGGTAATGAGCCATTACTCATATTCCAGCGACCGTGGACGACATGGGCGGACAGGGCCCTCAACCTCCATTCCAGCCAGCGAAGTCGACTCCCAAGGGTACTACGAGTACTCCGTAGTGGTACCCAAATCAACATGATTCGTCAGGTATGTCGTCGTCGAGTTAGGTGAGACGAGGGTAGTGTGGCCGCCAGCATTCCTCACACATCCGATAATGATGGACGGGCATTCCTCGGCTGGCACCAGTGTTTCCATAACAAACGGCGAGCCCCTTGGGAGATGGAAGCTATGCCAGCCTGCTCTTTTGCTCCTGCGAACCCCCATCGCGCCGGATGAAGCTTCCTGAGACGTGAAACATCGATATTATCTCAACATTGTCACTACGAGCGAGACATCGAACACCGCCATCTGGATACGACGGTGCCTTGGCTTCACACATGAAGGATTGGAAAACCAAATCCCCATACTGCGCCTTTCTGTCCCGGAACGAGCCTGGTGACGCGCCAGCGAGGCGACCATGCTGGAGCTGAGCGCCATCGTTGCTATAGCCGCTACTGTCGGGGCTGTCTTCATTGTCGTCTCGGTGGTGAGCATTGTTGTATGGGTGAGGCACCGCAAAGAGCGCCATGCATTGGCGTTGCTTGGCTTCAAATCGAAGGATGGATGTTATACAAAAGGGCTACAGTCGTTCCCTGTTGACACATTGACCGAGCTGAGTCAAGCAGAAGGGAATGTGTTGAGAACACACGGGCAACTGCCTTATGGAAAGCCAACCGAATGGGGTCAAATAACATCACGCGAGAGCCTACTCCGCCCAACGAGCAATTCTGGCTCTTCATTTCCGCTCACGGAGAAAGCTCGCTCCCTTCGCCACTCTCTCTCTCGATCTCGGTCTAAGCGTCTATCAAGATCTTCCCACAAAAGGTTTAGTTCGTTAGCCACTTTGGGTGAATCCAGCCATCTTCCCAGTCCCCCTCCAAAGGCTTCCATCTCGAAAGAAGACGTTCCGCTCTCAGCAGTAGAAGGGATTCTTGAGTTGCCAGCCGAAAGGACCCCCACGCAAACACCTGATCCAAACGACGACGAAGACAGAGGATTCCATCTCGGTATGCGGCCCATTTCAAATGCATGGCCTCTTGCAGGCCCAAAGGAACCTTCGGGTCCCTGGTGTGCTTCCGATGAGGACTCTCCCCATGCCTTCGACCCCCGACCTATGATGTTTGAGGACTCTCCACGACGTTTGCGAGGAGTCAGCATCGCTAGCCAGACGGCAGGTATCATGCCAGGACACTCAATTCCACCGCCACCACCGCCTGCTGCGTATCCCCCAGACCGTTTCAGCTATGCACGCAATGATTCTGTGGCACGAATGTCTAATATGAGCCTGGACACCACGAATAGCTCGATCCTAGATGAGGGTCGACCCAACCCTTGGGCAGCGAACAGCTCTTTCGTCGATGATAATCAGCAAAGCCCTTGGGGACCGACCGCCTCCTCGAATGACAGTCGCCCTAACCCCTGGGCAAGCACCACCTCGGTCATGGACAATAGTCGTCCTAACCCTTGGGCAAACACCACCTCGAATGACAGTCGCCCTAACCCCTGGGCAAGCACCACCTCGACCATGGACAATAGTCGTCCTAACCCCTGGGCAAACACCACCATCACCGGTCACGGTCATCCCGGCACTACCTGGGGAGTCGAATCTCAGTTCAGCCAGCGTGGCTTCCCCTCTGGTGGCACCTTTGTTCCTTACAGTGCTGCCGACGTGGGAATTGAAAATGGCCGCAGAAGTTTCATCACTACCAATACCTCCATTCCTCCAATGCACAACTTTCCTGTGCGCTCTTCGTCGACCACCGAGCCTCGGCATAAGCCTGTCCCTGTTTCCCCTCGGCGAAGCATGACAACTTATCACCGTTCTGAGGCTTCACTTGACAGGGAAGTCGCGGAGCTCCGTCGGACGGACTCTCTGTGCGCTGACATCCCGCCATCCAGGCATGTGTCGCTGCGGTCTGGGACTCCAGTTGGACGACGCATGAATTACTCTGGGTCTCAGATGTCTCTCGCGTCTCAATCCAGCCTGGTCCAAAACAACACTTTGCACGGGAACCAGGAGACCAATATCGACCCCTTCTATGTTGGCGCGCCTGGCAGCGGGACTCTGTTCCAGCCCGTCGAATCCCCTAGCCGCGCTGCAAAGACCTCCAGGCCTTCAAGCCATCTGGAACAGATCAGCCTTCCTTCAAAGACCGCTCTTCCGTCTGCAATGAAAGGTGGGAACTCACAACGCATGGTCAAGGGTCACCGTCGTCAAAACGGTGTTCATGTTCACATTAATCCCCCTATGTCGTTTGGTCCCACTCCCACTGTTGAAGAAGAGCCCGACGATTTCGACGACAAGATGGAGGAGCTGGATCTCCGCGAGAGTGCGATCAACGAGCCACCAAAGCCACCTCCAACATTGCCTCCAACCCCAATGGGCTCCAACTCCTCGCGTCGTGGCAAATACGGCAGTCGGAATGGTAACGGTAAACCATCAGTCTTCGGCTCCCTTGGTCCACTGGTAGAGGAGCCGAATCTGCCCACTGGCTACGAAAGTCCTTTTAACAAGAGGAATCATATCCCGTCTGTCTCGGTCCCCAAAAAGCCGTCCATCAGAGACAGCTGCAACCTCCCCGAGTTACTCACCTCCCTTCCTCCCAGCTACAAAGGGACTGGCAGCGGCCTCAGCCACACCCCTTCTCCCAAACGATTCGCCCCGCCATGGGAGCTTTCTGGAGCCCCGTCGCCAAGCCACGAGAACTTCCCAGGTACTGGCAGCCCACGCCGATCTGGAGTGAAGGGTCCACGCAATCAACCCCAGGCCACCGCACTGCGAAGCCACTCTACTCGCGTGCCTTCAACATCCTCCGATCAACTCCTGAACAGTCCTCTCGGTGACCCTAGCCGGCTTCCTCTTATGTCCAGCATTACTGGCACCGAAGGTAGCGACTGGCGGCGGTCCACATCCTCCCTTCACCGCACCAAGACAAATGCTTCAGACTGTGAATCACGTCGAAGCCGCGATTCACTTGCGTCCGTGGACAAGGATCTTGGTCCCATCGGTCCCTCTTCGGGAATCTTCGGCGCCCGTCGCTCTTCTTTGATGCGCAACCCCGTCACTATCTTTGAGGATGGTGATCGCACACCCACAAACTCCAAAATGCTTCCGCCGGTTGGCACATTCTCTACCCCCAAGGCCTCGCCAACCCATGGGAAAACCAATGGCCCTCGCGCCATGCTAAGCAAACAAGCTTTCCCCCCTCGAACCTCCAACGTCTACGGACTTCCCACTCCCACCTCACCTCAGCGAGGATTCGCTACCCCCAAGCGCAAGAGCATGGGACTGGGAATTGGAACAGCCACACCCGGTAGTCTCTACGATGGTGATGGGTTCCTGCGTGAATAAGTTGTTAATTTGTGAATTTTTTTGACTATGAATCTCTTGACGAGTCATTTAAACGGAGTTCGGAAGCGAGCCGTCCTTTCTTTCTTGTTGGATTATTATTTTTTATCCTTATGCTCACCTCTTGCTTGGCGGATATCCCCCTTTTGTTCGTTTTACTTCATTTTTACCTAGCTTTGAATCTTACTCTTATTCTTGACTAAATCTTCGTTTACGTTGCTCTCACCTGGCGGCCCTGGGATCATCCCATTTATTTTCTTACGCCTTCATGGATTATCGGTGATCTGAAAACCATGAAACTGATAGCTGGTAGTGTTACTTGGATCTAATATTCTCGAATAGCATTTCCCACTGTAAACCGCCAGTTCATAGAATGAAAAGTAACCATAACGTCCAAGTATCGAAACTCCATTCCGGTAGCTTTTGAATTACACCCAGCCCTCGACCCCGAAATCAATCCGTCTTCTGCCACTTAGTCTCATCCTCCTCTCCATTTTCCTCAGCACCATTCTCCTCTTCCCGAGCCCTCACGGTTCCAGCCCCGGGACCAAGCGGGAACGAAGGCGCCTCACCTGCAGCAATCCAATTCCCATCCGCATCAAAGAACTGATCCATATTCTCCGCCGTAATCCACCCAGAGCTCCCATCAACAGGAGGCGGCATACCGCCGTCCCCTAGCTGAAACACGCCCTCGTGATCTTCCGCAGAGATAAACTTCGCTCCATCCTCCATATCATCATCCTCATCACCAGGCTCCACAGGGTCCGGGTGCAGATTCGAGCACGCAGATACAGCTTCGTAGAGCTGCTTCGTGGGTGTTTCCGTCTCTCCTTCTTCGGTAGACGCTTCCACTGTGGCGTCCGCGGGTAACACCACCGTCATAGTGGTGCACTCCTCTTCGTCGTCGGCGGAAGGCGCACTTGGCGTCGCGACCTGCATGTAGAGACCTTGCACTTCGGTAGAGGATTCATCACCTGGCACGCGCAGCCGTTGCAGGGCGTGCAGTGAGATCGAGGGGTAGGGAATTGAGACACCGGCGGATGCGGCGGTGGAGTACAAGAGGAACTTGCTGTATGAGTGGTCAGTGAATGGTCTCTATTGAACAGGTCGCATGAAGACACGTCTGACCCGGACACCAGTGTTAACTTACTCAGATGTCACCCAGATGTCGACGCCGTCAATGGCAACCTCCTTCTCGTCGTCATCCTGTGTCGCGGTAGCGGTGGGTGCGCTCTCGCTGCGAAGCGCGTTCAGTGCAGGGGCGGCAAGTAGTTCACGCTCGAGAATGACGATCTTGCAGCGCTGGCTGTGGTAGTGTAACACTGCGGGGCCGGAATAGAAAGAGCTTGGAGTGCGGGACTGGTGCTCTGCGAGTGGGACGAATGTAGAGGTTTCGGGGGCGCTGGTGAGAGACTCCATGTTGATGTCAATTTCCAAGGTTATATTTAAATGCGCAGGGTCTGTTTGTGGTCTGGATATAATGTGAGGTTGAGGTGAAGTCGTGCTGAGGTTGGAAAGAGCTGCGGCGAGGAGCTTTTCCGAGTGGATTCCCCGATAAGCTTGCATAGGTGGGAGCTCCAACAGCTGCATTCATTGCCATTGCGAACTTGGTGACCTGCGATCAATTCTAAGATCATTGCCTAGGTGTTACACAGTGGAAATTGGTAGGGGAATATGAATCAAAATATCACTTTTTCTGTGATTTTAAGGTCCCAAGGTTAAATGACAAACCAAAGGGTGGACTATATATATTGAGGCTGATACCCAGTTCTTCACGATTACACCTCCCGAATTTTCAAATTTCTTGGAAACACTTTATGGGATGCCAGTAATTGGTGCAAAATGTATAAATCAATTTGACATTGTATTGAGTAGGTGAGCCCCGTGGCGACAGACTTGGGGCCAAGGGTATCTGGTACCCGTCTTGTCGCAGTACTGTAGCCGACCTCGGGACAATCCAGGTGTACAGATTTGATCGTGGCTCAGACAGAGGATATCCAAAGCAATAGCCCGGAAATTTATCTGTATGACAGATTCTAATGATACTATAGAGAGCATAATGCCTGGTCTCGAGGGCAAAATGGGAGGCTCCATGGCCCATGAAGTCGCCGACTTCTTTGATCGGTCTCTGATAGCCCAACAGCCCAAGGCGAGAAAGCCGTGAGACAGTGTGCTAGCTCCCTGTGGCCTGGATCCAGACATCTTCGAGAACGACAGGTAGACCACGCCTAAACCTGCCTCAAAGACTACTGCAGCATGAAAGACGCGTGATATATTATTGCTGGAGCCTTTTCCCCCTTCATTTCACACCAAGTCCACCAAAAGCCCTATCCAACTCCTCCCCCTCATCATGCGGCTGAATGGCAGGCATTTGCGACGCGTTTTGGTCGGGAGACGAGCTATCCAAGAGACTCTGCTGGGCACCGGGAGACATAGTGGCACGACTGGGCTGGAGTAGTTTCTCCTCGCGGTCCAGCCACCCAGGAGCCAAGCGTCTCTTTTCAGCAAGCTCGCGCTGTTTTATTGACTCTTTCCAAGCTTCAATTGCCTGGTCGGCATCGCTGCGGGTCTTGTTCAGGTGCGTTTCGAGGGAGTGACACGCGGCTAGGATATCGTCTGGATGAGCTGCATGCTCACCACTCGAGGAGACGACATAACGAGCTTTGCCATCGGGATTGCTAGGGTCGACCGTTACTGAGGGCGGGAGAATCGAAGTGACGGATTTATATGTGTAGGGTAATGTGACTGAGGTGGGGAGGTTGATGAAGGGTGAGACCGTGAGCGGGACCTGGGCGAGAAGAGGGTGTGGGCCTGTATAGAGGTGTCAGTTATGTCGAGTTTTCATACCGAAAAGGACGCGAGGCAATGCGACTTACGATAAGAGTCGTACATGATGCTGTTTGGATGTTGATGCGGAGTAGCGGAGATGGGGAGTGATCGCGGAAACGTCATCTCGGGGGGGATTTTCGCCAGTTGGCAGATGGTGGGTCAAGCACGCAGTTGAATACCAGATCGGCCTAGCCCGACCACACCTCAAAGGAGAAATAGGTACATTATAGTTTAAGAAGTGTAAATATTCACATTTAATATTGGGCTTGGAATCAATTTCCGAAGCATAGACAAGATTACTTCGTGTTCACAACAAACGACACAAGACCAACGCCACCTGACAAGATCCCCAGCATGAAAGTCATGACACTCCAGCCAAACCCAAGTCTAGTCACACCAGCTATGAGAGGCCCAATGAATTGTCCAGCCGCGATAGCCATGTTGCAGAAGGCAAAGCCGGTGCCCATTCCGCTGCTCTTGCTTGTGTCAATTCCATGTCTTGCCTCAATCTGGCGAACCGAGTCCGACACTTCGGCCATGGTTTGCGCCTGACAAGTAGTCATAAACAAGCCCACAAGGAATATTAGTACGACAAAAAGGAGCTCATGCTGTAGTGTGGGTCCTTCAGTCCACTTGAGTCCTGCCATAGGAAGCGAACTGACGATAAGCTCGATAGCGACGATCTTCCGCCGATCCCAGCCATGCTTGCTGGTAAATGTCGCTAGGGGAATGCTGAGGAAACTAGGGAGGGTCAACCCTAGGAACACGAGTCCAGCATTTGTTGGAGACCATTGATAGGTTTCGATCGTAAACAGGGGTAAAGTCTGATATTGTTATGTCAGAAAATCCAAGCTCAATTGGCATAGATCACATACCGTCTCAAATACTGAATACACAGTTGATATGGTAATCTCGACAAGAATCGTTGTCATAAGACGAGTATCGATGAAGTTGCGGAAAGACAGAGAGGGCCCACTAGAGGGCTTTCGAGCCGCAACCAAGGGGGTTTGCTCATCTGTCTGGGGGGAAGCAGGAGTCTCTGTTTCGCGCGAAGATTCCGCGACCTCGTTGCAGGCTGAATCCTTGCTTTTCTCAATGATCAGGACCCGAAGAATGATATCAACCACCAACATGGCAATTGGCAGCCCGAAGGCGCCAGCCGAGCCAAAGTGATCGAACCTAGAACGTGCCACAGAAACCAGTCAGATCGAAAGATTGAGAAACAGCGACAAGAGAGATCACATACAGGATACCACCAAGAACAGGCCCGATCAACATTCCCCACGTGAAAGAAAGAGAGCTATATGCCATGAATTCTCCTATATTCTCCGGGGAAGCCTTGTCTGCAATCATGGCAAGACCAAGAACCCCGATCACCGCCCCAGAAAGGCCTTGGCACACTCTTGCCACAATGAGCACAGAAGGTGAGCGTCCGAATAAGAAGATGAAAGTTGAAGCAGCAATCGTCAGATACCCAAAGATAAGAGGTGATCGTCGCGAGTGGATGCGATCACTGACGAAGCCGATTATCGCTATATGATATCAGCCAGTCGTCCATACAAAAGTATTCATGGCGAGTCTTACGAGATCCCACCAGCAATGCTGCCCCATAGGCAGCCAGGAGTATGGATGTCCATTTCTGCGCTGCGTTTGATCAGAGCAAGTTAGCAAGGTATAGTGAGATAAGGCTGCTATACATACCTTCTTCTTTCGATATTTGACCATTCTCAAGTAGCAGATATGGAAGGATTGGAACGATCTATCGAGCAAAGCAAAATTCGTTAGATCGTGACACAGGCAATGCTACCTTCGTGAATTTTACCATTCCATAGATGAAAGTATCAGTGAAGATGGCGAAGCACATTGCCACCAATGTGAACCTATCCGACGACCGGATCTCGCGGAACCGATCTACGACGGACATCTTGAATTGAAGATTTCGAAGAAGAATACAAAAAGGAAATCGAGCCCAGCGAAATTCTTCCGACTAGAGGATGGCGTGTCACGTGAGGCGATTTTAGATTCACAGATGGCAAAAGCGTCGATGTACCCGAGTCTGACATTATATGGCAATTTTTGATGAGATCTCCCCTTTTTTGGACTTTTCATGTATGGCGATCACTAGCGATTGGTAGCCTACATAGACATGTTGAAAGTCTTAAGACCAATTAAATGTGCCTTTCGGACCATGCTCCCGAGCTCCTATCTATAACCATCGCTTATGCCGCAGATGCCGCAGATGCCGCAGTTGAAAATACATAGAATGTCTCATGCTTGCCTCTCGTCTTCTCGAGAAATTTGAGACCACTCCCAGGTAGCATTGTCAATAGCTCATCCTCCTCCCACTGCCTCATTTTCATGGAGATATTGTTAGTTTCCAGAACTTGAGCACCTAGATCCGTCTGTTCGACTACCTGAAGCTCAAACGTCACATCTTTGATTTTGTCTTGCACCTCTCCGCGATGATTAGACTCTCGGTACATGATGTTGGGGAAAACGTGGCTTTTGATCTCCGTGACACCCTCAGGTTGATGGAAAGTGACTTGCTCACTCTTTTCGAGGAGCGACCCATCGTATATGGAGACGTAGGCTCGCCCGGTGCCTGGACAAAGTACACGGGAGACTTGCTCCAAAAACTTCTCTGGCTGGCCCTTCTCAGATAAATGGCTGATGGACCCAATAGAGAAGATCAGTAGATCAACCTTTCTATATCCACTTTGAACCATTACGCTCTCAAGGTCCAGTGCAGACCCTAGAATCCAAGAGACATGTTCTTTGAAAAGAGGATCCAGATTATCGGCAGCTTTGTCCAGCATATGCTGGGCATTGTCAACCCCCAGGACTTTCGTATTGAAGAAGTCATCGCCGAGCAGAGCTGCGCTGTTCGAAAGACCTTGGACAACGCGACCGGTACCCGTTCCAACATCCATGATCACGAAGGGCTCCCTGGGCGCCCTGATAAGAGGGGACCGGAGGTCTTGATAGACCTTCCAGTAAAGCGAAGCATCGTCGATAGACTCCGACTTTGGGGCGACTAGGTCGTAATAGTCGACAAGATATGGAGAACTGTAAAGATCATTGGTCGCCATTTTCGCAGGATAATAGCCTTTGAAGAGAAAATCCCTTGAGATACCAGTGAGAGGTGACCTAGGGATGTGGAAGAAAGGGAATGCAGACCACGAATAAGTGAAAGCGCACTTCACATCATGACAGGGGATTTTCTTTCTTGAGCAACATGCAAAATTCGGTCCAAGCAAAATCAGTCATAAGATGAGTGTTATACCAGGAACAAGTATTTCAAGCCACATATGCGGTCAGACATCCTCATAGTGAGATAGCACATCCAGCAAGGCTACGGGGGCCGATGTGATGACAGCGGCAGACGAAGATCATGGCGGGCTGAGGTGCATAGTTCGCTGCTATAGTACGGAATACGGAGTAAGATGGAGAGGGATGGATAAGGCACAGGGCACTGATTTGGGGCCGCGCATCCCAAACTCAGCCACAAACAGGTCATTTTTAAATGCAGCTAGCCCGGATGAGAATCGGGGGGTTGGATCCTTGTGGCTACCTAACAATCAGGGAACTTTACCACCGCTGACTGAATGAGGATATCCCTGCATAGACATCACACTATGTTGCAAATGCACTTCAAACATCTCAAAGGTGATTGGCTGTGTACTTCATGCCCCTGTGATTGAAACAAACATTCTCAATATGTGAGTTTATCTCACTTCTTCCAAACAAACAGTCCTAGTAGAACCCCTGCAACAAGAATGATGTACGCCAGCCAGGTTGTGAGAAGTCCGCCCAGAACAGCCCTGTCAGCCTTAGTTGCCCCCTCATTGAATTCATTCGTGTTGTTGACTCGTGGATATGGTGTCTTCGGCACAGGGATACCGAGGAATTCACACAACGGCTCCCACCCATCTCCCAGCTTCAGCTCAAGGAATCTCTCCGGGCTAACTCCCTTTCGCACTCGCTCATTATGTTCTAAGAAGCGTTGCTTGGCGAGATCACCGGAATAGTCATTGTTGCAGATGACCCTGTACGCGGTCTTGACCATACGGAGCTCGGGCCCCAAACCATTGGGCTCAAAATATTGCAGAATGTTTAGCAATGGTTTTTGAAGCCATGGAATTATGGTGCTGCTGACAGACCGGAACCAGGAGTCGGCAGAGCGCGAGGTGAGAATTATCTTGACATCTGGATAGAGACGGTGAAAGTCATCCCAGAAAAGACAGGCAGGGATATCGAGAAGCGCATCGTATTTGCCTCTGAGGTTATCGAAGTCTTTTCGATCGTAGGTACCGGTTGAGTTGAAGAATTTGCGGTTCATTGCGTCCGTCCATTGGTTGTACATGAGTTTCGGGCTTTCGATGGGCTCACACATGTGCCATGGAGTGTATCCCAGCTCCTTTAAAGCGAGGTAGAGTGCTGAAATAACAGTCAAACGTTAGTAGAGACCAGACTATCTGTTAGGAAAGGCACATACAAGCAGTTCCAGTCCGTGAAAGACCTGCGACTACAAGTCGAAGTGGTTTCTGGGCCTGAGTAGACGATACTGGAGAGCTCATGATTGACCAGGTTGACAGAGCGCGTTTTCAAAATAACAAAAGAGCACAAAGGATGTCAAGATTTCCAAAGGCAAAAGAGCTCGAAGAAAATAATTATCTGCTTAAACGAGATTATGGCTAGTTACGCAGCTGAAGTCTGGTGTGGCGGCCTCAGAGTGCACCAAAACAGAGTGGTAAAGGCGACGGTCTTCGGGTCTAGTCAATCTCAAGATTTCTCCTCAAGATTTCTCCTTACATTGTGACACTTTCACTTTACTTTCCATTCCCCTTTGATCATTCACCAATTCACACTCACACGCTTTATAACCATAAGATGGAGTTCCTCGAATGGCTTGGAATTTTAACAGGCTTGGTAGGGAGTCGTCAAGATCCTCTTGAGCTGTTTTGACATGTCCTAGTTCTTTGCATTTCACATCGGCCTTGCAGTTTACAATGTGTTCCTTCATCCGCTACGAAATTACGCAGGCCCAAAGCTCGACGCAGCATCCCAGCTTGTTTACGTATACCATATGTTGAAAGGCGACAGCTGCAGGTATATCTCAAGTCTACACGAGAGATATGGCGAAGTTGTCCGTACCGGCCCGAATGAAGTCTCATACATGACGGTTTCCGCAAACAAGACAATCTTTGGAAGCAAGACGACCGAAGAAATGGCATTTGAAAAGAATCCGGCCGTCTATATCCAGGGATCTGGGGCAGCTCAGAACATACTATTCGCGAGTACTCGTGAGCACCCGCGTTTCAAAAAGCTCATGGCACCTGCATTCTCAGAGCAGGCTATCAAAGAGCAAGAGCCGATGATCCAAACATACACCAGTCTAATGATTGATGCATTGCGGTACAACCGGTCAGGAGAAGCTTACTATCCCGACAAAGACGGGATCGTGAATATGGGAGCTTGGGTCAATTTCATCATCTTCGACATTTTGAGCTCACTGTCCTTTGGGAAACCCGTGGGATGTCTCCCTTCTGCTGACTATCATCCATGGGCGTACGTGATCTTTGGGGCAATGAAACATTCGCACTTTGTGCAGTGTGCTCATAGGCTGAAGCCATATCACCACCTTCTACAAAGGCTTATCCCAGACGAGATCAGTGCCCCATATGAGACTCATATGGAGAATGCTCGTAGATACCTAAGAGATAGGGAACAAGAAAAGAGCGTGTCTCGCGCGGACTTTGCATCCTTCATTTTGAAAGGAATGACCGAGGATGAACTTTTGGATAACATCAACATTTTGGCTACAGCAGGAAGTGAGACCACTGCGACCACCATCTCTTCAGCCCTCTACTACCTTGTTCACAACCCGGAGAGCTACCAGAAACTAGTCGAAGAGATCCGATCGAGCTATGGATCCGAGGACGAAATCACATTCAACTCCGTGAGCACCCTCGCTTATCTCAAGGCTGTTATTCAAGAGACTTTTCGCATTCACCCGTCTGTTCCAGTTGGTTTGCACCGCATTACACCCAAGTCAGGCAGCCACATTGATGGAAAATGGGTACCAGGAGGGGTACGATCATCCTTTCTCCTCTTTGAACCAGCAACAGGTATTTGGCTTAGCTGAATTGTGTTTAGACATGGGTCTCGGTGGCCCTGCTGGCGGCTTACAGATCTCCGAAATACTGGCGTCGTCCAGATGAGTTCATTCCAGAGCGATGGCTCGGAGACCCCGAATTCGAATCAGACAACCGGCAAATCTGGGCACCGTTTTCTATTGGACCAAGAAAATGCGTTGGAATAAAGTGCGTGAATTTACCCGTAGGAGCAGGGGTTGTGCTGACTTGACCCTATCAGCCTGGCATATCTGAACATGCGCCTGATTATTACTCGGCTGTTGTGGAACTTTGACCTCAAAGCCCGCCCAGACAATGTTGATCCACATGAGATGAAGGAGTATGGGGTCTGGCAAGGTCTGGTTCCGCTGAACCTGAAGCTCCGTGATGCACGCGCTGCCAAGTGATGGGCTGAAATCCTGGGGTGTGGAATACGAGTTTGTGATCTACATGCAGAACGGCCCGAGCGAACAAACTTGCGTGGTACATGAACCTATGGAATTGGCGCTTTTTGTTTGATAAAACAGGTCATAAGAGCTGAAGACAAGGTACATCTGGAGGTCTTCAAGACTCACCGTTCGCTGTCAGAATTTAGCATTGATGGGACGGTAGACGCTGCATACATGCATGGTTGACAGTGGAGCTCTTGAATATTTACAAATAACGGGCGCTATTATATTCGATCGAGTTGGATTCTCATTTCATGGGTGACGTTCCATGGGTGCCCAAATGAGAACTTTGGGTCCCATGAGTAACTCCCACAAGCCCAAATTATCTCTATGCATGTAGCGCTGGAACCCTAACCGTGTAATATCTCGTGCCTCTCTACCCCTTCGTAAGGCTAGATGTCATAAATGATACATAAAACCCCATCAGAGAGTTTGAAATTGCTCTCATCTGCCAAGAGCAATCAGAGAAGATACCAAGCTGCACCCCAGACATTACAGGGGTTGGTATCGTGCGGATCAGTGATGGAGCTTTGTGGCTGGCTGTCACCAGTGGAGGGTAACGGGCCGCATTTTCAAAAGATCTAAGTGACACTAGTCTTCCAGCTTTCACCAGGAGCACTGACACTTTGAATTAATCACCTAAATGACATCCTATAGGCGAGGGTCTGTCTATTAGACTCTTTCTCAAGGCGAGCGGATCTAGACTGACTCAGGTTATCACACTGCATTACAGCCACGTAGAGATGAGTACCTGAGAAAGCGCAGTCTAAATTCTGTTTATTTCGAAAGTAGGGAAAGTCCTTGCTTTTTTTGATCAACGTGTGCAACTTCTATTAGCCGCGTATTCTTAGGTGTTGGGAGGAGGGAGTTGGTTCGTGCTGCCCTGAGCCTCTCTCTATTCATCCATCCCATTGATTCCTGAAGTCTCTCTTACCCAGACTTCTAAAAATTTGACTATCTACGATGAACACTAAAGCGCTGCGTATTACTGTATTTGGAGCCACAGGCAACCAGGGAGGATCGGTGGCTCGGTCTTTGCTTCAAAATCCCACATTTCAGGTCCGAGGCATCACCCGCGACCCCGAATCGGATGCCAGTGATAAGCTTGCTACAGAGGGCGCCGAGGTCGTTCAAGCAAATGGGTTTGACTATGACCAAATGGTAGCAGCATTTCAAGACTCATGGGGCGCCTTTGTGAACATCAATTCCGATGACAAGGTCTGTTAGACTCCAAAGACTATCAATGATTTTGCTAATAGCTAAGCTGCATAGGTTTTTAAAGAAGCGGATGGTCCAAACGAATTTGATATGGGAAAGATAATCGTTGATGCCGCTGTGGAAGCAGGTGTACAATGTTTCGTATTCAGTTCGGGACCACCATGTACCGAGATGACGAACGGCGAAGTCCAAATGAAAGCCATGGACAGTGAGTAAGGCAGACATCCTTTCATTGCTCTCTGATTGACTGGATAAAAAGTGAAACACAAGATCGAACAATATGCCAGAAAGCTAGAAGCCTTTCAGACAGTCATTCCAATCGGAGCCGGCTGGTTCCTGGAAAACTTCCTCGCCAAGGAGGTTGCCCCTGTGTTTGGAGGTTTCCCTCACATTCCAGACACTGAAGGGTATTTGAATTTCCGTGTTCCTTTCTGGGGCGGAGAGGAAAATGTCCCCTGGCTGAGCATCTCCGATGACTTTGGCGATATTGTTCACGGAGTCTTTCTAGATCCTATTCGATGGAATGGGCATTTTGTGCATGGTGTCAGCGATATTCGAACATTTGAGGATATTGTGATGGATTTTGCAACGGCCACTAATCTCAAGGCAAGATTTGATCCTATCTTGCCAGATTGGAAGGCTTTTGATACCCACGGCATCCACGAGTTGGAAGATGTTAAACTCATGTTTGGATTTACTCAGATCACTGGTGGAAGGTACTTTGCGGAGCCCACTGAGAACACCACAGCTGCCGTTTTGAAGCGTGCAGTCGCAGAGGCTTTGGGATGGCCAGAAGAAAGGAAATATTTGGTGACGGCCAGCCAATGGTTCGCGGCTCGGTTTTGAGACTGCAATATCTTCTTTGTCACATATGGTTTGAACACTTGGTCCAGTAATTTCAAATGTTTTATCATTACAATACAGGCGTCGGTATCAAGTCATGCCTACTCCGTTTGAGAGAGCCAGCCGTAGATCCCTTGATCAACAGTAGCCAACGTCCCTGTCTAGTCGTAATAGGAGATTACAAAATGCGGTAAACACATGCATCGTTGTAAGCACCCGGTCAGTTTTGTTAGTGCTCACGAACGCCCTTGTAGATCACTGGGTACATCTGCACCAGGGAGGCGTTAAAGTTGTGCCAGAAGGGGTATGAACACATATCAACTTTTGACAGGGCTCGATAAATCCTTTCACCTTTTGAGTTCAAGGCCCATCACTTCAACGAGAGCTTGTGATAGTGGCGCTGAGTTATAACTTTTGATCTGGCCCGAATGTACCTTGTGTGAACCCTCAGTTATCCAGTCGGAGTAAAGCAGTCAGCCAAAGCATCAACCCTCAAACACCTATGATGTGTTGATTTGATGGCGAGCTGACTCGCTCCGGGTATGATCGGGCAGATGGCATAAAACCTTGGAATCTTGAGGCGGGCTGAGCACAACTCCTGCGCGTGTGTCCCTTTTGGTCGTCCACCCACCCACTTACAGGTGTTGATAGGAATCGATGAGCGGCAAAGAACAAACAAAGCCAAATGCGATCAATGGTATCTCATACTTGGACACACTTGCTCTTTTCATGGCTCAGCCAGCCAGCCAGCCAGCCAGCGTGCCATCATTGCATGGCTGAGAGGAGTTCGCGTTGTGGCTGATCTTGTGCGGGATCAACAGAGACGGCTGGGTCGTACCTAGGCGGCATACAGCGAGGAAATGCAGTCTCAAAAATAGACATCCATGCCAAACTGAGTATATAGCGTGTAGGTCCAGGTACAAGGCGTAGTACAGAGCGCACCATCACGTCTTTTTGAGTATCTTTGACACCACTTGACATCAATGCCGTCGCAGATACTATCTAACTTGGAAGAGTATGAGCTGACCGTTGATCAAAACATTGGTCTCGGTCAGCTATTTTACATCCAGATGAAACGAAACCCTGCATCAATCGCCGTATTTGATGAAAGCGAGCAACTCAACTATCAAGAGCTGCATTCGGCCGCACTGATTATTGCTCAGAGTCTCAAAGAGGAGCAGATCAAGTTTGAAGAGCCGGTTGGCATTATCGTGCAGCATGGCATCGCAGATGTGGTAGCCCAGATGGGAATTATATATGCTGGTGGAAGCTGCGCTCCAATGGATCCCACTCTACCAGATGGCCTCATTCAGACTCGTTTGGAGAGACTCCATGCAAGATGCATAGTGGTAGACGACACCAACAAAGGTCGAAGTCTTAGTTTTCGCCGTCTCGGTGTCAACAGCAAGACACAGGCAACATCCAAAGAGTCATGGATGTCTTGGTTATCAAAATCAGAATTCCCTTTACCGACAACCCTCGAACATCGATCTCATTTGATTCATACCTCGGGGACAACCAGCGAGCCAAAGGCGGTGCAGATTGCTGCGCGTTCCATCCTACAAATTGTGTATCATGCACCCTTTGAGGCGATTGAGAAGACCAATACTGTAGCTCATGTCAACAACACCAGTTTTGACGTCGCGTTGTTTGATATATGGGTGCCCCTATTACGCGGTGCGCGTATCGCAGTATTGAGCAAAGCCACCCTTCTCAACCTGCCGGCCATGGCAGCTGCCATTGACCAAATGGGGATTAACATTATGGCCACCACTACCGCTCTGTTGAACCTTGCAGCCACGACATATCCACGTGCATTTGCGCAATTGAAGACGTGTTTCATTGGCGGCGAAGCAGCAAATGTGACGGCACTTCAGGCAATTTTGACGCAAGGCCCGCCCCGCCAACTGATAAATGCTTATGGCCCCACTGAGTGTTGTATTTTTTGCTTGGCGCATGAAGTTACCCTTGACGACACCTCAAGAGGGTCCGTCAGTATTGGGAGACCAGTGGGCAAGACGGTCGCGCGCATCTGTGGTGAGGATGGAAGCCCTGTTGCGGACGGCGAGGAGGGGGAACTTTGGATTGCTGGTGCCGGCGTGTCATCTGGTTATGTGGACCAGCCTGCGAAGAATTCGGCCTGCTTCGTTATTATCAGCGAGGAGAACAAGATTCAACGATTCTATCGCACCGGCGATAGGGTCAGACGGAGAATCAATGATGGACAGATTGACTATGTAGGGCGTCAGGATCATCAGGTCAAAGTCCGCGGCTACCGAATTGAGCTCGAAGCGGTTGAAGCCGCAATGTTGAGGACTGGTCAGTTCTCCGACGTGGCTGCATTGAAAGCAGAAGCTAGTGAAGGGGCTGGGTCTATCCTCGTCGCTTTCGCGGTTTCAGTTTCCTCAAAGCCTCAAGCCATTTTGAAGGCGACGAAGTCACTCAACCAAGCTCTTCCAGCATACATGGTACCTCAGATTGAATTGATTCCACAACTACCTCTCAACAGCCATGGAAAAGTCGACCGAAAGCACCTGTCTCAGCTTTACCGCAAGCGTTGGACAGATCACAAAGCCCCTAGCGCTCATAAAGGTACAGGTACCACCCAAGACCGGCTGGCCAGTCTATGGCAGGACATTTTGGGTATATCATCTGTACTTGTTGACACAGAGACCGACTTCTTCCACCTTGGCGCCACGTCTTTGCAGGCCTCGCTTCTGATCAGCCGTATTCGTCAGAATTTCAACACAAGCGTCTCGCTCTTGACATTGTACGACAACTCCACTCTCGGGAGATTGGCAATTGTGGTTGAAAGGGCCAATGTGAACGGAGCAAAATCCGAAACCATCCGCCATGAGCAGTCAGTTTGGGTTGAAGACACGAAAGTCGCCGATGATCTCGTTCCACCTTCAGGGCCGGTGGTTAATTGGCGCCGTGATACAGAAGGACGTGTGTTTTTCACCGGAGCCACAGGCTTTGTCGGTGCATTCATGGTGGCAGATCTCCTTCGCATGCGAGAGGTGCATCAAGTGGGATGCTTGGTTCGAGCTTCTGATGTGAACTCGGGATTCGAACGACTCAAGAGTGCAATGGTAAAATACGGCCAATGGGAAGACCGATTTTCTGACAAGATATTGGTGCTCTGTGGCTCACTGGAAGACGTCTATCTAGGCATGGGGTATGAGCGCTTCCATGAGATAGCCAAGTGGGCAAGCGTGGTCTTTCACTTGGGTGCTCGGGTTAACTACACGCAACCTTACTCAATGCACCGTCCCGCAAACGTTGTTGGGACCAGGAACATACTGCGGCTTGCAAGTACAGGCAGGAACAAAGCCTTGCACTACGTCTCCAGCATTTCATGTTTCGGTCCCACCGGTTTTGTGACAGGCACATCAACAATCACAGAGGATGAGCCTCTCCTGAAACATGTTGTGGCGCTCCCATACGACCATGGATACGCCCAAAGTCAATGGGTAGTTGAAGGGTTATTGAGACGCGTCATGGACCGCAACTTTCCCGTGGCTGTCTACCGCCCAGGCTTCATCACGGGACACAGTCGCACAGGCGCGTGTAATTTGGACGATTTCTTCAGTCGATTGATACACTCTTGCACTGAGATTGGATATTATCCGTTACTGCCGAATCAGCGCAAGGAGTTCGTCCCCGTGGACTACGTCAATGCCACCATCTTGCATATTGCGGGATTGCCGGCGAGTTCGTCTTTAGGTCATGCGTATCACATTGTGCCTCCCAGTCGTGAGGAATCAATCGATATGAATCATACGATGGAGTTGGCTGGTGCGGTTTTAGGTGGCTCCATGAAGGGCTTACCCTACTCAGAATGGGTTGATGTGTTGAGTGAGAAAGTTCCCGAGCGGCTGCAGCCACTTCAACCGATGTTGGCAGAAAGGGCGCATGGGGCCATGACTCGGTGGGAGCTGTATGAGAACATGCCGCTGTACGACACCACAAATACTGCCCGGGCTCTAAAGAGTTATCCAGGAGGTCTTCGATTTCCGGTGCTGGATAGAAGCCTTATGGAGAAGTATGTGGGATGTCTCGATGCCGGAGCCTCAGTTGTGTGACAGTCGTGCCGAATCGATTGCCTGTGGATCCAAGCAGTATCTCATTGAGACAGACCCTGGGCATTCATGCCAATATGTTCCAGAAGCGTGCTAAAGCTTCAGCGAGACTTTTTGGAAAATCCACCTCGGCGCGCGAGGACGATCGATTCTTGCCCGACTAGCGATCGATTTGCAGATTGATTATTGTGTTGGTAGTCATTACAGAGTATGAGATGAAGAAAAATTTCGACATAGTAATTCCAACAACGCAAGGAAATGCTGCGCAATAGAGCAACACCTCCTCGCGGTCAACCCTCGAAGCTGTAATCTGTGCGTTTGCACTGTTTGCACAGCAAAGCGGTCAGTTGCTGAGTTGCTGCTATCTTGGGGCTTCAGGCTAGTCTCGACTCTCAACACTCCGCAATGACATTGTTCTTCGGTACCTATTGTTGAAAACGCCAATAATACTTCAAACAGCTCCGCGGATAAACGCCAAGGGGGCATCGCCAAGGGGTACTACCCAACCCCTATTTGGCTCGAAGGCACAAGTCTTGCCATATTTATGTAACAAATACTACCCCTCGAGCCCTAAAGGCTTGATCGATTGAATCATATCCTACAGTCTGCACAATTCTTGCCATAGACAGAGTGCCTCATTGTCAAGCCCCTTGGTATCCATGGATGATCTAGTGATGTCATCTCAGTCTGACATCTCCCTCCTGGATTACTAGTAGCAAAACCTTGAGACATCCTTGTTGATTGGAAATACCCCTCATTCCAAGGTTTAAACTACTGGATTTGGTGACGCCGCCGGGGGTTGTACAACGTTGTTAAATTGTGATGACTTGGACATATATCCGATTTGGTATCACACGTAGTCAGACCCAAAGGGCTGGGCACCTGTTCTAGACTTCCCCAAGCTTAAGCTTATATTGAACTTTAGTCTTTGAACCGCCCTACGAAGCACTTATTTGAGGTATTTGCGTATGAACGGACTTCGTGGGGTTGCTTTTCGCGGGTTGCCCACTGCGGTTGTCGAATCATTTCCGCTCAAGGGTGACATGAGACTTGAAGTCTCCTCTCCGCTTGCAAATTAGGAAATTATGGCAACCTGGTGTTACCTAGAATTAAGAGCTCATGACCGCCGGATAGAGACTGATGGTGCTTGTCGAACCTTAGCATAGAGAGAATGAACATAGATCTCAGTGATAGTGTCAAGGAAAACACATAAATATGTCCAGTCTCGCTAGTGGTCTCGTCTTCTCTTGACCTGACCAGGCACCGACTGTTATACACTTGAATCCTTCCAATAACTATCTCAAAGACTTTCAAGTTTCGAGCAACATGCTTTCCAAAGTTTGCGTGACTATTGGCCTCATCTTGGCTGGAGCCCAGGCTCAACAGGCTGCCAATTGCCAGTACCAGTCGCTCAAGTGTGGCTCAGTGCTGCTTGCTGCCCCATACAGTAAGCCTCGTTCTTTCCATTGTCTGACAGATGAATATAGAGAAAGAGACAAAAACTGACTTGGAAATCTTTCTTGGGCAGGCTATACTGTTGAGCAACTTACTGCAGCTGTGAACGACACTGTGTCGATTCCCACTATCACTACGGCTCAGCTATCCGCGACCCTATTTCACTGCACCGATATCCTTGGAACAATCACTGGAAATGCGTACTGCTTCGCGGGTTGTGACACCAAGCCCGGTGTCAGGAACGACCAGTGCGTCCTGTAATCAATGAGAAATGTCGAAATTTAGGGATGTCTGTGACAGGAATACTGCCCGATTGGCATTTAACCATAGCAGTGACAAGTGTGGACTTTGAGGAATTGCTTTCAATTCTTGATCCATAGTACTAGCCTAGAACATACTCCCTCTATGTCCTACGTATAATTCAGGTTGTCGGTATCGTCAGTCTAGTAGGACTATCAGGCATTCATTCGCTTCTAGACAGACTATGTTAGTTACCAATTTTGTTGAAATTGCAGAACTCTTGCATTGAAGCTTCAATGTAACTTGTAAGTTGTATTCCTAGCTCAAGTCGACCGATATTGAGGTTTAAGAAGGACATATTGAGCATCTCAGTGGCATTTATTTGTGGAATACGAGTGTCAATTTCATAACAAATACCTGAGAGCATTTTCAATGACTGAGTATAACTAATATCAGTGGAGCACGAGATAAATTGCCTGTCGGGAGCAGTGCGCTGTGCCTTGAGGGCTCTCATCTCTCGCTTTTCCCCCTCATCCGTTTTACATCAGTTATGGCCACTTTTGGTCTCCGTTTACCTGATGCATATTATCAAAAACAATGGAGATCAGAGCACGAGCCACTTTGAACTGTCTGGATGATAGCAACCGCTCGGCAGATGTTATGTCATATTACCTGTGTTAAAGCTTCATAGACAACATATAGAACTCATGTATTTATGTAAGCTATTAATCTTTGACGAGCCAACAACTAACATATTTCAAGGTTCAGCCCTTATAATCATTCCACGAATGGGGAGACTGCCAACAAGAGTAAAGATACTGCTCAAAACCAGAGCAAGCAGCGCTCTCAGACTCAAAGCGGCATGGTCCGATGGCACGATCATTCAACCTGATGCACTGAAGATACCTCGTACCTACCACCTGCCAGGTGGTCAGTTTCTGAGGTTATCTGGGACCCAGTAGTGTGGTCATAGTCAAGCCATTTGCCGGTGCGTTCATCATACATGTTGCGCAATTTCCCCCAAAGCAGATAGTCTGACATTGCCTGTAACAGGACACCGGGGCTGGAGTAGTCACTGTGACAGTCACTGTCGTAGAGGCTTGAGAGAGTTTGCATTGGTCATCGCTAGTAGCATCAGGCGTCGCCAGACACCCTCGACGCAGAAACTGTTGCCCACAATACCTCCGTAGATATCTTCACATCGGTATATGACCTGATAAAGCTGAGCCACGGTGAGCTGTGGAATTGATGATGTTTGATTGACTGCCGCCGTCAATTCAGAAATCGAATATCCTTTTCAAATTTGTCAGTTCCCGATCCTTCAACCATCGGTCGTGTGATGTGTTAAAGAGTTTGGACACCGGCCAAGGGGTTCCATACCGTAGAGAGTGGCGAGGGTGGTGCCGCACTTGTCTGCTTGATAGATGCAGGGTCTGACAAACGATTGGACTCCGATCGCGAAGTATAGCGAAGTCAGGGGTATTCCGCTCCATGCGATCCTGCACATCTTGCTTTGCGTATACCAGCACTTTTAGAATAATTGGAAGAATAAGGTGCTTATACCATGGGGTCAGAGGTAGATATGATCTATGAATATGCCCAGTACCGTTTTAATTACTGTCTAGTCAGAAGTCACATTAGTTCTTAGTTGGATATTCCCAAACTCAAGTTCCTATCTATTGCACATTGATATAAGCGTCACATTGAGGAAATGCAACCCCGGAACACGATGAAGAGAAGGTAGTGTCATTGTATTCCCTGAAAAGCCTTCTCATTTGATACAGCAGGGGTTTTCTTTTCTCAGCCTGGAGCAAGAGTGGGGGTTGGGCCCTTCGGGGAAGTTCGAAGGTTTAAATTTCTTGAGCCAGCCCTGGAGGTAGTACTACGGGGAAAGCCCTGGGCGCGGGAAGTCTCAAGGGGATTGTAGTATTGCAAAAATTCTAGCCCAATCCATGATGCAGTCAGTTTTGTTTGGACACTACCTCCCAAGTCACTAGTACTTGTTGGACAAGTACTACCGCTGCCTTTTGCTTGTCGCCGAATTGAAGCGAACTTAATGTCAGCGTACCTTCAACACCTGAAGGATTCAAAGAAGACACATATATCATTGAGGATATCAGTCTCTAGTGAGGGTTCTGAAGTCCATGGGTTGCAGCTATGAGGAATACTGCTCATGCAGATCATCCACCCTGCATGCCTCAGATGTAGCGGTCTAGGCAAATCGGGCCTAGGCAGGTTCAATAAGCTCTGCTAATTGAAGCCTCAACCCAGCGAAGCTTGAGGCTACAAGATATCTGTCAAATCAAGGGTCGGGATGAGCGCCGTCCAGGCAAACATGGAGAAATTGGAAATCAGGTGAATCTGATACGGGTAGCGTGGGGTAAAACCGGAATCAGAGACCGGTGCCTGAGGCACTCAAAGGTCAGCTGTGAGGCTGAAGTCGAAACGAATTCTGTCTGTCAACCCAAAAAAAGAGTTGTTGCATAAGAGCAGAAGACAAACAAGACCGGAGAAAGAAGAATCACGATCGAAGTTGGTGTGATCCACCGATCTAGCAGGACGGCCCAGAAGGCCGCTTATCCAATTTGTTTCTCTTTTTCCCAACTGCAACATTTCCCCAAACACACGACCAACCTCTCCCCTCCCAACTGGGTTATATCGTTATTCTTCTGGTCTTTTCTGGATATTTACATCCGAGATTCTATTGATCTCGTCCTCTTCACCCTGGGAGCTTCCCGCCCCCGCTGAACTCACCCCGCTACGACCTCCGCGCGCTTCTCCTCTTCCCCTTTACTCCAGATTTCATACAATTCAACCGCCACCATGGATCGAGCTCTGGCACGCGCGGTGACCGAGAAGAAGCCGGTACCGGAGATTGATTTCACATTGCACACCATGGAGGACAACACGCAGGTGTCGACAATGGAGCGGGTGGTCAAAGGTAAGCATTGCCGCGGCCTCGGTCGCTTTCGCAAGATGCAGTCCCTGATCACTAACGGCGTTGTTCACTGGCAGAGGTCCAAGCGCCCGCCCTCAGCTACCCTCCGGATGATATGTTTTGGTCGCCCGATGATCCCTCCAAGCCCAATCTCCAGTACCTGAAGCAGCACCTGTATCGTGAAGGCCGCCTTTCGGAAGAGCAGGCGCTATGGATTATTCACGCCGGTACGGAGGTTTTGAGGTCCGAGCCCAACCTCCTCGAAATGGATGCGCCTATCACAGTCTGCGGTGATGTTCACGGCCAATACTATGATCTGATGAAGCTATTTGAGGTCGGTGGCGACCCCTCAGAAACACGATACTTGTTTTTGGGTGACTACGTCGACCGTGGTTATTTCAGTATTGAGGTGCGTCATATATCTTCCTGGGGCATCTAGAGGGCATCCCCTGACATTTTGACTCCACAGTGCGTCCTATATCTGTGGGCATTGAAGATCTGGTACCCTAATTCGCTTTGGCTACTGCGGGGTAACCACGAATGCCGTCATTTGACGGATTACTTCACCTTCAAGCTGGAGTGCAAGCACAAGTACAGCGAGAAAATCTACGAGGCATGCCTGGAGTCCTTCTGCTCGCTGCCGTTGGCGGCTGTTATGAACAAGCAATTCCTTTGCATCCACGGTGGTCTGAGCCCAGAGCTCCATACTCTTGAAGATATCAAGGCCGTAAGTACCTGTCATTTGCCTCGAAACATGACAAATGGAAACTCATATAACAAACAGATCGATCGCTTCCGCGAGCCCCCCACTCACGGGCTTATGTGTGATATTCTGTGGGCCGATCCTCTGGAGGAATTCGGTCAAGAAAAGACTGGCGATTTCTTCATCCATAACAGTGTGCGCGGTTGCTCTTACTTCTTCTCTTATCCAGCTGCTTGTGCATTCTTGGAGAAGAACAACTTGCTCTCCATTATCCGAGCACACGAAGCCCAGGATGCTGGGTACCGCATGTACAGGAAGACCCGGACGACTGGTTTCCCTAGTGTCATGACAATTTTCAGTGCGCCAAACTACCTGGACGTTTACAACAACAAGGCAGCTGTCCTCAAGTATGAGAACAATGTCATGAACATCCGCCAATTCAACTGTACCCCGCACCCATACTGGCTTCCCAACTTCATGGATGTTTTCACCTGGTCCCTGCCGTTCGTTGGTGAGAAGATCACCGATATGCTCATCGCCATTCTCAACACCTGCTCCAAGGAGGAGTTGGAGGACGAGACACCTACATCCGTCTCTCCCGTGGAGACTAACAACCCGATCTCGCCTCCTCCTAACCAAGACCCCGAATCCAGCGAGTTCAAGCGACGTGCCATCAAGAACAAGATTCTTGCCATCGGTCGTCTCTCTCGTGTGTTCCAGGTTCTCCGTGAGCAGTCCGAGAGTGTGACTGAGCTGAAGACGGCGGCTGGCGGCCGTCTTCCTGCAGGAACTCTTATGCTTGGTGCGGAAGGTATTAAGCAGGCCATTCACAACTTCGAGGATGCCCGCAAGGTTGATATCCAGAACGAGCACCTTCCTCCTAGTCAGGAAGAGGTTATTGCCAAGAGTGAGGAAAACCGCCGTGTGGCTCTAGAGCGGGCTGAGCATGAAGCGGCTAACGACGCTGGACTTGCCACCGTTGCTCGCCGGATCAGCATGTAAGTCTTCACCGTTCTGACAACTTTTTCTCTACGAATTCAAAGCTAATCATTATCAATAGGTCTGCTGGGGCCGGCCGCCCTCGTCCCAGATCGCGAGATCCCCCCACGGATGCTTAAAAGGCTGTAAATGTGCCCGATTTGAGATATTATGACACGACCTATTCATTCTTTCTTCCTGTCCTCCAGCGCACACACCCTTTGCCCCGACACGATTGACACGATACCCTATCTATCTGCTTGATCCTACCTCTCCTCTTGTCTGGCGATAAACTCGTGAATCTACAACTCTAGTGATCAATAGGACAGTTCAGTGAACCATGTGTACTTTTTTTCCAAGCCTCGGGGAATCACTTGGACATCATCGCCGAGAGCCCTCTTATAGTTGAGATGTTCAGATTATGAATAAAAAATAGATAGTGAACAATGAACCACACGAAATTGTTGTTGCACAGTAACAGAGGGACTGGCGGATGGCGGAAAATGCCCGTGACTTGTAGAATGATGAGTGCCAAGCCCTGTTCCCGCGTCCACTTCCGCTCGATCAAGTTTACCTTCCTTGCGAGCATTGCCCACCAAAGATACGCCTCAATGGCTCCCAGACTGCGCAGTGCGCTCGGCCTTTCGCGTCAACTGGACGCCAGCGCCGTGTTCTACTGCCCGTCGTGCGCCATCTGGCGACGAACACTGTCGACGCGCAACATCGACAAAGCCAACACCCTCCGACGGAACGGCCGATCTCAAAACACAATTGCTGCATCCAGTCCTCGAGCATTCACTAGCTCGACTGTCATTACTGCAAAGAGCGTTCCACCGCGATTCAAGGACCTACACGCGGCCCTCGAGGGAGTCAAAGATGCCTCTCTGGAGCAAGTAAACCTCAGCAGACTGCAGCTTGCGCTCCGAGGGTTGGAAACAGAGGCGCCTTTAATCAGAGTAGCTGGTGAGTTGTTCTTGGGGGATGGTTCAAAATCTTTTAGCATTGCGGGCGGTTGTTCTCGGTTTGAAATGGACATGGCATTAATTGATCTCTTTGGAATATAGTCCTTGGGTTGAACGATGCAACCTCCGCCCGAAAACTTGTCAGACTCCTGCTTGCAGACCCTCTGATGCCACGACAAAATTGGGAAGACATCCTTGAGACATATGATACCGATACTTCCCGCGGGCTATTGATCAGGTAAGAGCAATATCTGTGGTCCAGCAAATTTCTGGAATTGGCACTGACGCAAGTGTCTGTTCCCAGATATGGCGAAAGCTCAGAATCTATCCCTAACGACCTACTACCCACGATCTCGGTCCCGTCACCCATACTTAAAGAGGGTAACTTGGAGATCCTCGTTAGCACACTCGGCTCCGAAGCCGATCAAAACGCTGCTACTTTCAACGCCGATACCTTCCTCGTTCCCACCGTGACTATACAGACCTCTCACTCGGGTCGGCATAACGCAATTCGGTATCCCGTGCACCGTACTATTGTGTGCGGGAGTGGAGTCGATGGGCTTCTTTCATACAGTACGATGATCGGCCGATCGAACCTGAAGAACGAGGTTTCATCAATTCGCGGGGCCATTGAACTCGCTGCGGCGGATCAGAAATCAACTAGCGAGCGTGTTTCCCTGGTAGATTCCGATCGCGCTAGCGCGGCACTTGACAAATTCCGCGAGTCTGTTGACAATGCCCGGGACTACGAACGTGGATGGAATGGCAGTGGTGTACAGCCGCTTATCGACTGGCTGGCGAACTCTTCCAACAAATCAACCGGAACCCCCATGAACCCAACGTTGCTTCCACTGGTGGAGTCTATCCTCGATTCTGCTGATGCCAGTGTACTTGCCAGGGATGTCAAGGCACTTTATGAACAGACAGCCGGCGTAGCCCCTGAAGAGATCCGATCCAAGTTGGATAGCGGCATCACTACCTGGGCCGAGCGCGCTCACTCCGAGCTCCGAAGCTCCCTCGAAGAAGGACTATCTAGCCCGCGCTGGCGAGGCCTCGCTTGGTGGAAGCTCTTCTGGCGCGTTGACGATGTCAGCATGATCACATCTGAAATCCTGGATAAGAAATTCCTGCGCCGAGCGGAGCAAGAAGTCATCTGGAGTTCGGGCAAGTACCAGCAGGCCGGCCTGTTGGACGAACGGTCAAGCTCAAACTCTGAACAGCCAGTTTCAGCGTCCTGGCCCACTCAAATCCCGGATCTTCGCACTAAGCTCCTCACTACAACTGTGCCATCCCTCCAAGCCCTTGCACAGAGCCTAGTCCTTTTCAGCGTGTCCACGACCACTCTGACCTCTGCCTTGTCTGCTTTGACGTATGTTGCTATCCCCGCGGCAGGTGTGTACGAGTCATGTACGCTTGCTGCGGTGGGTCTCATCTACTCAATTCGCCGGCAACAGAAGAGATGGGACGTCGCTCGCACGTTCTGGGAAGAAGAGGTTCGTGAGGAGGGACGCACATCTCTATTGGAAACCGAGGCTTCGCTTCGTGAGATTGTGCGGAATGGGGGTCAGGCCATTGAAGATCTGTCGGATCCCCGTCCGCGTGAGAGTGTCGCGAAAGCGAGAAAGGCCCTTGAAGACTTGAGAGCTTGATCTGAATTGTTGTCAAGTTGGCTGTATATGTATTGCCCATGTTAGAACAGATACCTAGAGCTATAATGCACTCTGATATGTACTATATTCTACTGATTTGACCCCTGTTATCGTTCTAACAATTTGCCACCATCTCCAGGCGGGGCATAGGGCGTGTTCTATTCGAAAGACAATATTTGACACATCAAAAACGTTGTCCGTTGATATATCCATCACGACTCAAATTATTAGGACAGCGGGTTCCAGACAGATGAGCAACTGGACACATCTTGTATTGCCATTGGTCTTCAGGGTTTTCTTTCATATGCCTTTCTCGGTTCTTTTCAAGGGCCTTTCGATACCATTCCAAGGTTGTCTGGAGCATCTCTAAATATACTTCGGTTCACTCGAATCCAACAAACTAGAAGAGTTCTGAGTCCGGCTACTAGGTAACGCTCACTGTCTTACCCCAGTTCTTTTTACGCTCTCAATGATATGCACAAATCCTTCTACTTCTAGTGGCATGGCAGTGTCATTCCATAAGTAGTCAGTTTGGGCTGTGAAACCTCCACGATGTTTCAGCTGGACGGGAATTCCAGTTTCCTCCAAATCTGATCAAAGCGCAGCACCCGAACAAAGCGAATGAAACTGAGACCTGCTAGCTCCACGGTAGATCTTGGTGATCCACAGCAACCTTTCGCTTGAGCAAATGCCGGTGGGCTAGGGAATACCAAGCTTCACGCCTTTGGCGTGGTCGTTTCACTGTCAGCATATTGATCTGAGACAGACCATGCATTAGCTGGGGCAATACATATCTCGGACCATTGCAGAAACGGGAGATGCTAGACCTGGTCAAACGCTGTTTGTTTGACCTCAAGGCTGAGTGCACGGCCGGCTGTGAGATTCTATGTGCGGCCATTACTTCCAAGCCTCGTATATATATCGTCGAGCACCCGATAGGCGGAGATATAGGTACACGTCAAACGTCTGCTCACCTTTTTCAATTTACTTGTAGATAGTAATCATCATCCCAGCCAAAGCCATGCTATCAGACAGGGGTTAGGAAATTATGGGTCGTTTCAGGATGCGCCAGCCGGTCCAATCGCGAGGCGTAGCGTGGACCCCGAGACGATGGACGTTGTGCTAGTGACTTAGTTCAGGAACGCGCTGTTCGTACCGGCGTCTCAGATATTCAGATATCCAGATATTCAAGTCTTCCATAGCGGGACAACCTCCTACTCGTACCCACGTTATCCACCCGATCTTGGCCTTCAGGGGTTCTGTCCATTCAGTCACCCCTCCTTGACTGCGGACTGCCCCGTGGTCAATTTAATTTCAGATGAACGCCCAATCGAAATTGGGAGGGTTATGGAGGGGATACCAAGCCACTGGCTTAATGGCCACGAGCCTTCTAGTGTCAGTCTAATATCCAGAATATCAAGGGATTGGCCGACTCATTAAACTCAGGCCCATCTATAATGCCCACGGACTAAAGGGGGGCACAACTCGTTAATGAGGCCTTGTCTCCTTTGACCTTCTTCCTGAAGTACTTGATCCCCCTCCATCAACCCGTGGACCTGGTCTCCTTTCAAGGTTCATCTTATTTTCTTGGCCGTGGGCTTTGTCTTCGTGCCTGTTCCTTCTTTTACCCTCGCAGGGCCTGTCGTTCGTTCACAACACTTTCATTCATTCATTTCTTCAGACTTGAAAGTCTGTTTTACATACGGCTGTGTGTGTAGTTACATGTGAGTTTAAATCCTTCGAGAGAAGCAAATAAAATGGTGGCTTATAAAATCTCCCAGGGATCAGTAGTGCGATTTGAGGCTTCCGATCCCAACGTCGATCTTTGTTTACTGACGTCAGAACGCGTTAAGCTGGTAAGTCGCATACCTTTCCTATTTCCTCCCAACTTCGATCACCCCTCGGAAGGGTGGCGGCCTTGAGCAAGGGGCATTCCTCTAATTGCCCCATTGATCTTCCATGCTCTAGAATTGGGGCGTTTGAAGACCAACTGATTGGCTACTTTGTTGCTCCGGTCTGCGACATGAGAAACCTGTGCTCAATGCCTGGACTTTGAAAAACAACGCGTGGAACGCTCAAACTGACATATTGCTTAGCATCGTCGACACACGCCATTGATTCTCACACTCTTTTGTTTGGTGCCTCGCCGATTGACTCGGTGTTTCTGGCAAACTTCCACATTCATTCCACTCTTTAAGACCATTCACTCCTTTATCTACATCTGAGTCGACGCGACTCTTCAATCGCAATATGCAGGACATTCGACTCACGGCCATGTTGATGGCCTGCTTGACGCTCTTTCCATCATCTGCAACTGCATTCTGGCGTCTTCCCTGCCGTGGACGATCTGGTGCCGCCCGGCTCGACCCAATCGTGAACCCTGGCGAGGTTTCTGGACACACGCATGCAATCCACGGATCTGGAAGTGAGTGCATTTCGTCCAGATCGTTGTGTTGTGTTAGAAACACGAACTAACTGTGGCCAGACTTTGGAATGAGCTCCAACCAAGCTTCTCTTCGGGAATCTGATTGCACGTCGTGTGCAGTCACGCAGGATAAATCTGCTTATTGGACCCCGGCTCTATACTTTATGCACACCAACGGCAGTGCCGAAATGGTGGAGGAGGTTGGAGGCATGCTTGCGTGAGTTTGTATTGAGACTCTATCTCAATGCGAGTGTGCTAATTCTTTTGTATAGGTACTATCTTCTTTACGGAGAGAACATCACTGCTTTCCCCGAAAACTTCCGCATGCTGGCAGGTGATCCCTTCCAGCGTAACTTCACTTGGCCAGTTCCGGACCCTCCCAAATCCTCGTGGACTGGTGCGCAGTCCTCGCAGGCTGCCCTGCGCCAAAAGGCGCTCGGATTCAACTGCTTGAACTATCAGTCCACCGCCGAGGCTTCTCTCTACCGTCACTTCTTGCCTAACAAAACCTACCTTGATGAGCACTGCACCGACGGTGTTAGATTCGAGCTCATGTTCCCATCCTGCTGGAATGGCAAGGATGTCGACTCCGACGACCACACATCGCACGTCGCGTATCCATCTCTCGTTATGGATGGTACTTGCCCCGAGGGTTACGAGACTCGCTTGGTTTCACTCTTCTACGAGACCATTTGGAACACCTATGCTTTCAAGGACGTGGACGGCTACTTCGCCCTCGCCAACGGAGATCCCACTGGATTCGGATACCACGGTGATTTCATGCAGGCCTGGGACGACGGCGTTTTGCAGGAGGCCATCGAAACTTGCACAAGCGAGACCGGTCTGGTTGACGAATGCGAGATCTTTGACATCCAGACTCAAGACAAGCAACAGCAATGTGAGTTCAAGGTGCCATCGGCCCTTGAGAACGACGAGGTCTTTATGCACGCCGGTGGATTGCCTGGCGATATGACCATTGAATGGGGACCTGCCTACGCTGTGATGGACATGGGCTCTGGACACGATTCATCCTCAACTTCAACTTCGACTACTACTGCTCCCGGTCTCATCCCGACGCTCTCGCTTCCTTCAATCCCCACCATTTCCCTGGGTGCTGGCATCTCGATTGACCCGGGTCAGCTGCTTGACAACCTCCACGTCGCCAACACCGCTGCCAACAGTCCCACCACCGCCGCTGCTGCCGCCAACGCTGCTGCCGAAACTGCTGTTGCTCCTACAACCACAACCGCTCCGACTTCGACCTCCACGCCTACGCCGACCCCAACCCCGACTACTTCTATTATTGTCGACCCTATCACGGAGGAGATCATCTACCTCCAGCGGGATATCGTCGTTCTAGTTGACGGGCAGGGTAACCCGTACTCCACCAGCACCGGCGATGTCCGCACTGTGTCTACTGCTACCACGACCGTGACCGAAACGTCCACCGCCGTCTCTTACGTGAAGAAAGACACTATTCCGGAGCCCGTAGAAGTGGAGCAACCTTCTCGCCATGCGCGCAGACACCTTCACCATCGTCACGGTCACACACACAACACGGTCTAAGCCAATTTTGGTTGCTGGATGCCAGTGAAAAGTACGCAGAGCGTAATCTTCTATGTCTCGGCAGGGATGCATTACACGGATCTACTCCAGGTTGAGTTGTGGTTTTTGTGACTGTGCCTTGATGATTCCCTTTCACATATTTGTATATCTTTTTTCTGATTTTGGACATCCTCCAGTCAGGGGTGGAGGATGTACATTGGCCATATTATCTTATTTTCGTGATAGAATTTTATATACGTCCTGGCTGGTACCTACACAATTGGATCGCATTAGATCAAGGCGAAGGAAGAGGTTGTACCAGATACAAGTTTCGTTTCCGCCCTACATTCTCAATTTCTTGTTTTCGTCTTTAGGCACCCGGGCCTTCGAAATGTGCTTATCTCCTTTGCAAACCTGGGCAGCATATTTGCTGATGTCATGGAGAAGAGGACAGCATCGCTCAGTGTCTCAGACAGATCCAGACTCGCATACTAGTCCCCGGTCAAAGCATTCATCGTTGGTGGTCTCAGACTTTCCAAGAAGGGCTCAACTTGCATTGCCTTTGTCGGCGAGGACAGTGCTGTACATCATTCTGTGCGACATTTATGTGGGACCGATGGGACATCGCCGCCACTGGACTACGAAGAAGAATGCTCACTCCTGAGACAGAGCCGATGGCAAAGACCACAATGTGACAGTGTCTAAGATAAGACAAGTTCTTCCTATCACAGAATCCAAAAAATATCTAATGAGTGCCCACTGTGTTCTGTGTTGCAGCAGAACCCAGCAGCTCCTCACCGAGCTACCTATCCGTGTAGCACACCAATGTGCACAGCATGCAATTTCTTCCCAATTCCTATGGCTATATCCCCTGAAAACGTTCCGACCAGGCTGATTGCAGGTACATCTGCCATGCTTGCTACCGGAGACTGTTTTCAAGGTAGTTGAGATCCTAATTTTGGAACGCTTTGCTTCACCTCGGGGAGACAATTACTCAATCTACATTCATGTCCAACGACAGAGATACGGCAATTTGGTCTCTGAAAAAGATGCCCTCATTCTACTTATCACACTGCGTGAAGGGTTGCATGCGAAATTCGCTGCGAGGTAGCATGGGCTAAGCCTTCATGTCTCTGATCACCAAACGAGGCGATCAAGATCTTTGAATGAGTCAAGGAAATTGACTTTTCTTGAGCTGTTGCTCATCCAAGAGTCCGAATGGAATCCAATGTGGCAGTGATTAATTTACCGCAATATAAGAAAGATCCCTTGAACTGCTCAACGACTGACATCCCTGTTCTGGAATCTGTTCACAGGTAATTTTGATCGCTGACCCCGTCTAAGATACTGTTTTGACACTTCCCACTTCTACAGAATGGAATTGTTATGTCATTCCTTTGCCTTCTTGATCTTCTTCTGTGCTGCGGCGGCGTTTCCACAGCAAACTCCCATGGTCACCACAGATGCGGCACCGGCAAAGATCACCCAAGGCCCCGAGCTTATATGCTTAGAAGGCCAAACAGCTGTTTACACGACAGACTGTACGGTAGGAACCCCGTTGTCATACTGCTTCAGTCCGGAGCCTCCTATCGAGTGTCAGCCGGGGTCCTTCCCAGGGGTCTGGCATCCCGATCACTGTATGGAGCAGTCGACATGCTTCGCCGCGAATGAACCTTGGATCACGACCAAGTGCTCCAACGGCGCATTCCCATACTCAACAAGCACCTTCTACAGTGGAACTTTAGCAGGCGGGCTATCGACCACAGTCACAGGTGAGGTCCCAGGCACTAGGCTCTTGTTCCCAGTTGAAATCCTGAACTATCAAGCCTGAACCCGAGGCTAACGAGTCGATGGTTTTTATTTGACAGGCCTCTCTTGCTCTTGTGCCACGTCTCAGTGGACTAGTACAAGAACGCACTCTTCTGGCGACGAATTCTTTTGCATGGGGTTCAAGCATTTCTGGTGTCCAGCTGGCATGGAAACTAGCTCTATATTGGAACCAGTCTGCACTTTGAAACCATTGCGTATATGTCCTATGATGGACGTCTGTATCTGTGCCAATAAAGATCAGACACCAGTGTATCCGAGTCCCAGTGGCCCCGGCCTGGAACCCACTGGTTGTTCCTGGTGATCGATTGGGCTGAAAGGGTGGCTTTCTGTCAGTCCCTGGCGAGAAACATGCCGGCCTCGCTGGGACCAAACCTCGTCATGAGTTGAGGGTCGTCCACTGTTACCCCAGGTTGTATGATTGGCTATTCAATTGGGGTGAGGTATTGTTCGACTCTTCATTCTGTGCTTTTCCTCGCTGGCATGTCCTCATGAGTCATGAGTATGATTTCAAGTCAATGCATGGGCGATACAGTAAGTAATAAGTCGAAGGAAAATGAAATCAAATGTCCGATGGCATCACCAGCCCACTTTATGTGCAACTGAGCTTAGTTCCAAATGTGATTGTAACCACATATTGCACCATCTACCAAATCTCCATATTTCGGTGTGCAGAATCACCCCTCAAGCCACAATTCTTAGTCAAAATGTTCCAAGATCTTCCAAAACAATTAGGCTAAACGTGAAATGCCCCGGTTTTCCAACGCCACGGCGGCCCAAGCTCTCTTCGGCGTCCCAAAGAGGCAAACGGAGGAGCAAGTCCCGCGGATGCCGTCTCTTAACCCCGCGTCGGCCCGTGTCTCTCGCCGAGTATAAAAAGGGTCTACCCCCGCATATCCATCTTGGCTTGCATACACTTTTTTTATCTACAAAATGTCTGATGCTCTTCCCGAAATGCAATACCGGTTCCTCGGCCGGACCGGACTGAAAGTCTCGGTTATCTCGCTGGGTAGCTGGCTCACATACGGCGGACATGTCGGAAATGGTGAGTGGAGCCACCTGTCCTGCATTGATTACCACTAACTAGCTGCAGAAACGGCTCTTGAATGTATGAAGGTTGCATACGACGCCGGTGTCAACTTCTTCGATACGGCCGAGGTATACTCCGGTGGCCAATCGGAGATTGTGCTCGGAGAAGCTATCAAGAAATTTGGCTGGAAGCAGAATGATCTTGTTATTTCCACCAAGGTACGCAGGATGATAGCGACAAATGATGAAACGGCTGCAATACTAACCTACTGCCAGATCTACTGGGGTAAGGCTAACAGCGCCAACCCGGATAAGCCACTTAACAACAATGGCCTCTCCCGCAAGCACATCATCGAGGGCATGAACCTCTCTCTTCAGCGACTAGACCTGCCATACGTGGACATTGTCTACGCCCACCGACCAGACCGCGACACTCCAATGGAAGAAATTGTCCGCGGCTTCAACTACCTCATTGACAACGGAAAGGCTTTCTACTGGGGTACCTCGGAGTGGTCCGCGAGCGAGATCTCGGACGCCTGGCGCATCGCCGACAGACTGAACCTGGTCGGTCCCGTCGTCGAGCAGCCACAGTACAACCTTTTGGTACGCGAGCGTGTCGAGAAGGAGTACCGCTGGCTATATGATGCCCACGGGCTCGGCCTGACCGTCTTCTCACCTCTGAAGGGTGGTGTTCTGACGGGCAAGTATAATGACGCTTCTGCCCCGCCTGCGGGCTCGCGGTTGGCGGAGTCAAATGATGGATATGTGAAGAATCTGCGCAAGACCGTGGGCGATGATACGTGGCAGCGTCAACTGGATCAGGTCGCGGCGTTGAAGCCGGTTGCTGAGGAATTGGGGGTTCCTACGGCGCAATTGGCCCTTGCGTGGATCTTGAAGAACCCTAATATCTCGTCTATGATTACTGGTGCCTCGCGGCCACAGCAAGTGCTTGATAACATTCGGGCTTTGGGACTGGTGGAGAAGTTAACGGATGAGGTTATCGAGAAGATTGAGGCGGCTGTTGGGAACCAACCTGCCATTGAAAACAGACGGTTCTAGATATTGGACCTAAAATCAAAACAAATGTGATATACGTTCATTCACGAAGTCAAATTACACCATTGGGATACATGGTATGGCAATTATACAAACATTTAGATACATTTTCCACCGTCGACTACCATCTCAGTGCCATTGATAAACCGGCCCTCGTCGCTGGCCAAATAAAGAACCATATTGGCAATGTCATCTGCTTCAGTGAGACGACCTAGCGGAACGTTTCCGATAAACTTCTCTCTGTTCTCAGGGGTGTCTTCCATCCCAGTGAACATGGAAAAAAGACCAGTTCCAGAGAGGAGGGGGGCAACACTGTTCACTCGAATATTATGGGGGCCGTACTCAGAAGCAAGGCCCTTGGTAGCCTTTTCAGACAATCAGTAGAGCTCTCCATTTTGCTCGATACCCCACTCACATTTGTAACTGCTCCCTTGGAAGCATTGTACCAGACCAATCCAGGCCGCGGGCGACTAGCTCCCGTAGAGGAGATATTGATCACAGATCCACCCTGCCCCTGCTCAATGAAACGCGGCATGAAGGTTTTCGCAGAGAAGTAGATGCTCTTCACATTGACCTTGAAGACACGCTCCCATTCATCTTCTGTGACTTCCGCCGTGGGCTACTCAAATAATCACATCAGTGTCCGGCCTTCCTTAGTATGTATGCATAAGGACCCACCTTATTCCGATAACTGGTTCCAGCATTGTTCACCAGTACATCGACACGCCCGAATTTGGAGATGGCAAGATCCAGAACCGCATTCCAGTCTGCTTCTTGGGTAACGTCCATGCGCTGGAAGATCAAGTTGCCAGGGTTCTGCGAGGCGACACTCTCGCCGCCCTCGACATTGATATCGGCGACGATGACTTTCGCGCCTTCTTCGCTGAAGCGTCGTGCGATTGCTGCTCCGAAGCCTGAGCCGCCACCTGGTCGAATTGCGGGTTAGGTAAAGCCGGGCTTGAATGGGGGTATCTTTCCTACCGGTGACGACGGCAACTTTGCCTTGAAGTCTTGAGCCTTGAGACATGATTATGCGATTGTTGATGTGAGGCGTATTGTGAACGAATTACTTTGGAATGATCACCTTCTTATAAGAAGCTCGAAGGATCAACAAAGAGGGGTTTCGGTAGACAACAATCGGAGTGAAATCCGAAGGTACCTTCCCCGCATCAGCCAACTATACAGCCTTTATCATTTTGATATTTCTACTGTTTATTGCGAGACTCGCTGACAATCTTGGTAGTAAGCCTCTCTTCATTGCCAATTGTCATTGAAATACCGTCACTGCCAGACTGCTTATCTTTCTTCGATGGGTTCATTTACGTAAGTTCTACAACTATAAGCTTTTAAGGATGGTAGAATACGATAACTCCTTTCTTATAAAAAAGGTCAGAAGCACAAATATTGCGATGAGGAAAAAACAAAAGAATATTCTCACTCGCAAGGAACATCGTCGTTATTTAACTTCCAAATTGGTGACTTCTCAGGGAGACCTCGGGATCACTTTGTATTAGGAGCATCTCGTATTCCTGAATTTGCTGCAAGTAACTACGCTGCGTGGATATACATCAGCCTGACAGGTCAAGATGCTATGCTCAACCTGCTTTATGCAGCCTTCTATCTCGTTTTGCAGTATCGGGTATATGAGCATGTAGCATTGTAACGCGAATCCTCCCGTGTTGGTTCTGTGTTCGCGAGCTCGATCAGTGAAACTTCACTGCAAATGAAGATCGCCAGAAGCTCAATTCGCACAGCGATACTCCGTACTCCGTATCTTAAGCGCCAATCATGTACCTCTTCATCAGATGGCTGATCATTGCAATTTTGAGTGGAAAAAGCAAAGATCCCAAACTAGGGGTTCCCGGGCTTCATGGGATCTTCCATAGCGATTGTTGACCTCCGTTCTGTTGATTACTCCAGTGCACCCTTTACCATGCTTTTCATCGGCATCTTAGGGGCTCTGATGCTGCCAGCTACGATCGTAGCAGCCACAGATTCATGCTATGACTCCGACATAAAATCTACGCCTTCAGCAGATCAGCGTCCAGTGCCATGGGGATCTCCTAGTGTCCACTTTTCATCATTGAACGGCACAACAACCACATGCTGCAAATCTCTAGACGAGATCCGCGATGCCTTGGACGAGATCGATGATAGACTCCTAGATTTACTCAACAGCAGGCAAGTGTAGACCTATCTCCCCTTGGTCTTGGCGAGTTTTGTCAAAGTTACTAAAGCGGGCCCGAATGCTCGTCGCAGCGATCTTCGAGGTGACTTGGTTTCATCTCATAGCTGACATTTGTCTGACTCGAGCAGGGCTGCGTACGTCCGGGAAGCAACTCGTTTCAAGTCGACGCGGGCTGCTGTCAATGCGCCTTCGCGTAACGAGGCTGTCTTGAAACAGGCAGAGCAACAGGCGTTACATATTGGAGCGCCGGTGACAGTGGCTCGGGCCGTTATGGGCGCCATTCTGAATTCGAGTGTGGCTTTTGAGCAATGTATTGTGAGTAGTGTTTGGACTTGATGTTAGAGCTGTGACGACTGACGGATCGGCTTCATAGTTCGATAATCATAACGATGATGGGTGAACATAGAACAGCCTGTTGTCGCAGTCCATTCCGTGACCTGTGTTTGGATTTCATGGATAAGTGCAACATGCGAGACACTTTGTGTCATTCATGTTAGTCTGCAGCCTGGTTGATCTGGGCAGTGAGACTCTGAGGCTAGAAGGTGGCCCCGGGGCCGTGGGTACTAGTTAGCTATGACTGCTAGTAGTATGGAGTAGCGGCTCCCTATCTCATTTGGTAGCATACGCAATAGGCGCGATAGATATGCTTGCTATAATCCGTATATAGTAGAACAAAATGACTTCGAAGCAATATTCCACCGGCAAATATGCGCGAGTTGCGCCGTTCAGGGTGTGCCCAGTTTTTCCCGCCTAGCGCCCCTCCATTCCCGCGAGCCTTGCAAGTTTTCCGCGATCATTAACACTCTGAACGTGTCGATGCATGACCACCATCACTCCCTCGTCGCCCGATGGAGACACGCACGGCGGGCACACCCTTGACGGACACCGACACACACCCAAGTGAACGCAAACGAACCCGCCGCTGGCACCACCGAGGCTTCACCGGCTGCTCGACCTGTCGCCGCCGCCATGTCCGCTGCGACGAGGCTTCCCCCGCCTGCAATAATTGCGTCCGACTCGGTCGTGAATGCGATGGAGCCCAGGGCCAGATGACCTTCAAGGTCTATGGGCCTTCTCAGACCTCCGAGTCTGCGCCCGAGACGAAGGCGCCGAAGCGACGGAAGAAAACATCGGTCGCAACCCCGGCGCGAAATGAGACTCTCGCGGTCTCGTCTGTCATAAGGGAAGAGGGGCACGACTGCACAGAGGTCGTGTCTCCCACTACGGTGCCGCCGCCGACTGTCCAATTCCGCTTCCAGGACCCTGTCACGCCGGCTAGTGTGACGAGGTCGATCCAGCGCACCGACGAGCGCTACTTTGCACACTTCATTGACCAGGTGTCGACGCTCTTGATCATCTATGATTGCCCGGACAATGCAAACCCCTACCGGACCATGTTCCCCGATTTCGCCAAATCATGCCCGACAATGATAAACGCGATGCAGGCATTGGGCGCATTGCATCTTGCGAATACCTCGGAAGGATCGCAACGAGATAAACATTCCCAGACAGCGATGGCAAAATACGGGCTGGTGGTGAGGGGGTTCCGCGCACGATACGCAGATCCTAGCCAGCAGCTTGGGCTCACGGATTTTGCGACTTGCCTATTGCTATGCCTATTCGAGGTCCGTTTTGTCCCTTAGTCCTACTATAGGTCATTATTCACTAATCTTTCCGTAGATGATGGATTCCCAGCATCAAAATTGGGCAGTGCATCTCAAGGGCGCTCGCGAAATCTACAATACTCTGTTTTATCCGCATACTGGAACTTCAACACGCGAAGTACAGCGCGTCGCCGAAACAAACCACCCACTCCGCTCATTCCTCGTATCTCTACTCTCTTACCTCGACGTGGCTGGCGCATGCGCGAGTCCAGGGGGCACTGTGGTGGAAGGGAGTTACTGGAAAACCATGGGCGGCGGATGGGAGTACAATCTTGGGACCCCGAGTTTATCTCCTACACCTGACAATCCACTTTTGATCGAGCTGCGTGAAGCATGGTCGAGCTTGATGGAAGTGCAGGCGACGATCAGTACTTTCGCATCAGACAAAAAGACATGGATGACTATGGACCAGTCGGATATGACATACAAAGATATATTCAACCAGCTTGTTGTATGGCGTGCAATGGCACCGCCAAGTCTGCAGCTACTTTCGGATTTGGACGACGAGAGTATCGCTCAATATCCCTATCCCGAGGTCCTCGAATATGCGGGATGCATTGAGGCATACGAGAAGGCTACATTCGTCCATCTCCTTCAGGTTGCCGGAGCTGGGCGTGTGGGTTGGATTACCGATTGGACATATATGGATATGCTCGTCAGTCGGATCCTTCTGTTGATCTGTAATTTATCCAAGGGCGTCGGCCAGTTAGCTGTCCTGTGGCCGCTATTCATCGCCGGACAAGAAACCCGAATGGAAGATGAACAGAAATACGTCCGTCAAACCATGGAGGAATTGAAGCGGTTTGGATTCAAGGTATGCTTACTTCCCATTATCTTGCAAGGCGGATACTCATCTTTGATGTAGAACGTGGACAAAGCTCTCGAGCACTTGGAGGGCGTCTGGTTCAAACGGCGCTCATTCCCTGGCGGCTGGATCCAGACTTTGGAAGAAGTTCAAACAAACATCCTCCTTCCGTGATGTTTCAATACTACATTTTGCTCGATGCTTATTCCAGCATCGTTGGCCATCCTCACACCGCTCACGCCTTGAACGCCGCCATCACGATCGTGGCACTCTCTGACATCTCTATTTTGATACCCCTCGATTCCGAGACAATATTCCCCCCCCTTGGAGGCACTGGCGTCAGGCCGTGTACCTCAAGGCATGTATATTTATAAACGCCTTTACGCACCAAGCTCCAATACCAAAACGCGGTTAAGCCGAATATATCAATCGCTGAAATCTCAAGATTATTACCTTCAGTAAGAGCAGTGTGCTGCTCATGGCTAATCCTATACAATACTTTCCATCTTATACGGCTGACAAGTGAGTCATTCGCCGCACCAGCCCCCAAGTAGACTTCTTCCTACTTCTCTGCGTGCAAAATATCCATGAAATCGTTACCAAAGCCGTCAGCGGGACCGCCGTCACAAAGTAGATCCAAAGGCTTGTGCTGCTTGTTCCACCAGAGCTTTCCTTCCAGTCGAAGAAGGACATGCTGAAAAAAGACTGCAGATCAGAAAACAGTCAGCGCAGTAACTCGACGCCAAAAGCGCAACTGTGCCAGTCTAGTACTCACACATGCAAAAGTCGCTGGCAAGAATATCAATGTCATGGCGGCAATGGTCTTCATCGAAGAGCTGTCGCGCAGGGTAGCTTCGGCGATCTTGGTTGAGCCTAGAGCAAGTTCACGTGTGGCTTTGGCATCCCGCTGGGCTACGAGATTGTATACCTTATATTGTTGTCAGCCAGCAGACTTAGGCTATTGAATCACATAGCTCGCGTGGAGGCAGCCATTCTTACCGCAGTGAATTGATTAGTTATACGTCGGGGCAAGACACTGAAGTCGTATTCAGGAGCGCGACACCGCTGCTCTTGCAAATTCACAAAGCTGCATAGTTTCATGAAAGGCTTTGTGCTATTGAGTCCTGTTTTGTCGCTTCCTTGGGGCGCATTGTCGAGATTGAATTGGATAGATGCCTTCTCGCCACTTCCAATGTGACACTGGATGAATTTAACTTCCTGGTAGTTGCTTGAAGCCTGTCGATATTTGTCGAGAACCTGTAAGATCTCTGTGACCAGTTTCTCCTCAAAGGTCCAACTCCTCTCCAGCTTGATCAGATCGGCATCGCAAATATGAAGTAATCGAATGAGAGAATCAAAGTCTGTATCGGCAGAAGAGTCTCGGACATCCCGTTCAACTGCCTCCACTTGCAAGATAAGCCTGCTGAGTGCCGCGAGGGTTTGGTCGAGATGAAGTCGGAGGATGCTTAGGGGAACGATTACAAGGGGCAGATCTGTTGACTCCCACTCGCGTGGTATTTGCAAAGAGAACGGCAAAGGAGCGATTGATTCAGGGTCGAAATTGACCAGGATGCCTTTGAAATATCTCTTTCCGTCGGCTCTGGTCATCACGCTGGCCCCAAATAATGATACGAGCCTTCCTCTATCCCCTGGAGTTTGCAAGAAAAACCCTAGTTTCTGCGAATTAGTGACAAATTTCGACTCAGCAGTGAGATATTCCTCACTTGATGGCTCTTGCAAGTAGGTCACACCGCCAGCGTTGCTCTCCCAAACAGTCTGATAATCGGCCGTTTGATCCCCTAGTGCCCGCTGAATTTCGTAACCCGCAGCGGACAAGGAGGGTGGTTGGGCGAAAAAGTCATCTGGTTTACAAAGTAAGCTGAACGGTGTCAGTCGTCTCTGTTATTCCTCGGAAAATCCACTCGTACTGGATTCTTAGGGCTATATTGTCCGCTACAACCCCGGGCTCACGGCCTGGGCCATGATAGCGGGTGTTGTTAGGCGGTTCAATCTCATAAAGAATATCAAAGAGACTGGAGTTTACAATGTCAAGCTGGGTAGACATAGTAAACAATGACTGGACTAGAATAAGAAACTTCCAAGGTTGGCCTTTGAGGTAGACAGCTAGCCATGCCTAGGTGTGCAGACTAAATACTTATGTGTTGACCTCAAGGCGTTGCTTTTTCCATTTGTGTTGTCCGTCGACAAATCGCTCCTGTATGCCCGGGTGTGGGCGCCAGCCATGGCACGTTGGAGGGGTTTTGGGCCGAGAAACATGATTGGCGAAGCTAGCATCCTTTTGATAGTCTTTACCCAGCCTTTTAAGTAGACTTTATTGCAGTCTTTTGCGATCACCTTGAGATTTGTCACCTAGTTGCTACAACTGCGGGGAAAAAAACGGCAAAGTTGATACGGCATAATGGGCAATGAGTGCTGCTGTAGCCTAAGCAAAGGTTGATTTTGGCTAGTATATCGAAGAAGCTTCACAAAATAGAGGAGCTCAACTCCACGAGCAGCAAGAGTTGAAAAAATAGCAATGAACCAAAAAGAGCGCAACAACTGACTCAACAAAGACCGCTCTTTGCCTACTTCCGTGCCTCCAGGGCAGATTTAATGGCTGGAAGTGTATGTTAGTACTAGCTGATCTCCGATAGATAGAGGAGACACTTACCATCGCAAGAGGTCTTAGCATCACCAAACAGCATGCGCGTGCCGGGCATGAAGAACATTGGGTTCGGCACATCCGCTATACATCATTAGTCAAAGGCTTGATGCGGACAAGATAAAGCAATCATACCGTATCCGCTAGACATGCCGCGCTTCATGACAATAACCTCCTTGCTCTTCCATGCATGGAGAACAGGCATTCCAGAAATCGCAGAGTCCGGTTCCATAGCAATAGGGTTGACTGTGTCGTTAGCGCCGATGACGAGTGTTACATCGGTATCCGAGAAATCCTCGTTTATCTCTTCCATTTCCAACACGACTAAATATTGTCAGTATCTTAATAGATGGTTAAGCCCATGCAGTAATAGACTTACTATCATATGGCACGGAGGCCTCGGCAAGCAGCACATTGCACTGACCAGGCATTCTACCCGCAACAGGGTGAATAGCAAATCTGACATTGACACCCCGGGCGCGCAAAAGACCAACGATCTCCGAAAGAGCATACTGTGCCTTTGCGACGGCCATTCCATACCCAACTACTATGATGACGTTCTCGGCGCTAGACAAAGACTCCACGGTATCGTCGATGCTAGTCTGCGTAATTTCACCCTCGATCTTCTTTTGGCTTTCGGCCGCAGGGCTCGAGATACCACCGAAGAGAACATTGGTGAGAGATCGGTTCATGTTAACGCACATGATGTAAGAGAGAATCGAGCCACTGACTCCAATCAGGGAGCCGACACTGGTTAGAAGCGGGTTATCGAGCATCAGACCTTCTGCCACGAGAGCAAATCCAGAGTATGCATTCAATACGGTGATAACGACTGGCATGTCCGCACCACCGATCGCGGCGGTTGTCGTGTATCCTTTCAGGAAGCTGAGGATTGTGCTGGTGCCCAGACATGCGGCTGCAATGGCAGGGCTTCCAGGCGCCATGGTTAGGAATGCGCCCATAGTTGCGACGTTTCCGCCCAGCAGCGTGGAGTTGATTACATGACGTCCAGGCAAAATTGTCGGCTTGGATGACATACGTCCTGCCAGTTTCATGAAAGCAACGATCGAGCCAGTGAAAGTAACACCGCCGATGAGGACGCCCAAGTAAGCTGTTGTAAGGTGAAGGGTTGTGATGTCGCCGATATCAGCCATCACACTACCGGCACTTGTGAGGACAGCTGCCAGTCCAACCACTGAGTGGAGAGCAGCGACAGTCTGGGGAAGACCGGTTGGTGTGATACGACGACCGATAAGGCCACCAATAATAGCACCAGTTCCGGCAACAGCTGAGAACTGCGTGAGGGTTTCGGTGGAGAAGCCTACTGCGGCCAATGAGGCCAGAATACCAGATACCACACCGAGGATTCCGAAGATATTTCCCCGGCGTGCGGTTTGCTGCGAGGCCAGACTGGAGATCGAACCCATGCAGAGTAGCGAGCTGACCAGGTAGCCAGCTTGGACTAGACCGGCCATACCAGTGCTTGCAGCTGCAATGAAACCACCACCGAAGACCACGGCAGGGACCGCATACAACCAGGGATACTCAGGAGGATCAGTTGGGCGCTTGAACATATCAAGCATACGCTTCGTGACGACGAAGCCACCAGAGACGTTGACAAATGCCAAGAGTACTGAGGCAGCACCGAGATACTCAGGGATTGTGGTGGGTGTATAGCCACCGCCCATAATAAACAAGCCGCCAATTCCAACCATACCAGAGATCGCGTTGGTGACGCTCATCAATGGCGAGTGGAGGGCAGGAGCAACACCCCATACAGCGCGGTAGCCGACCAGACCAGCAAGTCCGAAAGTCATCATATTGCCCATGAAAATTGGACCGGTGGCCTTGCCAAGTGCCAGGGTGGTTCCCATTGCACCGGTGACAGCGGTCACATCGCGGGTTGTCTTTTGCCAGGGTGTCAAGGCCACTTCCTCTTTCTTGGCGGCAGCTTGCACATCGGGTTTGGGAGCTGGAGGGGGCGCGGGCGGAGCAGCAGGAGGGACAATTTCACCATTGAGAGTCACGATCGAGCCTCGCACAACTTCATCTTTGAAATCGATGCCAAATGACTTCTCCTGGGGAGCCATGGAGAGAAGGTATTTAGTGATATTGTTCGAGTATAGCGTGGAGGACTGAGTGGGAAGGCGAGAAGGAAGATCCGTATAGCCGATGATGGTAACATCCTTGTAGCGGCTCAATTCACCAGGAACTGTAGCTTCGCAATTGCCACCTGCCTCAGCGGCCAAATCAACAATGACGGAACCTGGCTTCATAGCAGCGACCATCTCCTTGGTAATAAGCTTCGGTGCTGGTTTTCCGGGGATCAAAGCCGTAGTGATGATAATATCAACTTCCTTAGCTTGTTCCATAAACAGTTTCATTTCCGCTTCGATGAATTCCTTGGACATTTCCTTAGCATATCCACCCTGACCAGCGCCATCTTCCTGGAAATCCACTTCGACGAACTCGGCACCCAGAGATTGAACCTGCTCGCGGACGGCCGGACGTGTGTCAAAGCCACGCACGATAGCACCCATACGGCGAGCGGAAGCAATTGCACTTAGACCAGCTACACCAGCACCGATAACGAGAACCTTGCTTGGGGGAATCTTTCCAGCAGCCGTAACCTGACCAGTCAAGAACCGACCGAAATGATTAGATGCCTCCAGCACAGCCTTATAACCAGCGATATTGGCCATGGAACTCAGAGCATCGAAGACCTGTGCGCGGGAGATACGAGGGACGCGATCCATTGCAAAAGAAGTAACACCGCGAGCCGCGAGGGCTTCGACAAGAGGCTTGTTCTGGAGAGGATACATGAAAGAAATTACCGTTGAACCTTTACGCAGGGCCTGGATCTCATTGAATGATCCCTCGGACTGTGGACTGCGCACTTTCAGCACGATATCACTCTTCGACCAGATTGCGTCGCGGTCGACCATTGTCGCGCCGGCTTGTTCGTAGGCATGGTCGAGGAGTTGAGCGCCTTCGCCTGCACCACGCTCAATAAGGACGCGAGAGACACCTTTCTTGAGCAACAATGCTACATTCTGAGGGGTGATCGCGACCCGACGTTCGCCGGGGTATATTTCCAGCGGGACTCCGACTGTCAATTCCGAGTATGGAGTGGTGGAGACCGGGTCGGTCGGGGGCTCAGAAACTGTCGCGAATCGTCTGGCGTGGGAATAGGTATACGAAGGGGCGTAGAAAGACCATTGTGGTTGGGATCGAGATATGCGTGAGGTCCGTAAGAGCGAAGCATGCCTAATCGGAGCTATCGTGGGTCAGTGTCAGTATAGCTCCCGAGCTCAGTGGAGAAAGCTTACCCGCGCCCCCAAAGGACTGATGCGCAAGGGCTCCTAGACAAGGCCTCAGAGCCGACCGCATAGAACCTATATTGAGTCATGCAACTCTTCCTCTCCGGGGCTGCAACTTGTTGTCGGGTTTAAAATGCCTCCAAGGGGGAAAAAAGCTAAGAACCGGGGTACCGCATCCGGTTCGGAACGTAACCACGCCACTAGACCTCGGGAGTGAGGGTTGATGGTTCCCCACTCGGGTATTGTAGGGGATCTTGTAGTAGAAAGCTTGGTCTCAAAATCAAAACGAAAAGAGAAGAGAGGACTGAAGTGACTGGAGTGACTGACACGACTTAAAGGTCAAAGGAGGGGAAATGAACAAAGCACCGATTGTCGGCCAAAGATCCAAGAGGGGAACTCGCAGATCTGGAAAGTGATACATTCCCAAGATTGTCGCACTAATCACATCCAAGGACTTTTGGCCTTGGAAGTACGGAGTAGTTACCGAGTGCTCTTGGGCCTCTTTTACCCCTTGTTCCCCCAGCCCCAGAACGCCCAAATCGCGGGGTATGCAGTGTTCCCCGGAAATAGGCAGATGTAGTAATATATGAAAAGATACATTACAAGACATTTGAAATACTTGGGGTGTAGGCTCGATATCAAATAGGAAACTATTATGATAGAAATAGGTACTGAAATTGACCCTGGCCTGGCCGCTATAGACCTCCAGGGCTACGGGTGTGAGAGTCTTTCCCCACAGTTCGCTTTCAAGTTCCTTTACACTTCAATATAATTCGACCGGGATGTATGGACAAAGATCAAATTCATCCAGCAAATAAGATTAGGGAACACATAGTAGTCTATCTAGTTTAGAAATAGGCACATCACATACCAAGCACTACCCGACGAGTAGTACTTTGCTGGTTATGGGTGGAAGTACTCGGCTCACCATGCTCAGAGCTAACTTCCTCGACCGTATCAACAGCCCCCTTACTATCAATAAAGTGAGAGATACGGTCGCGAGGAAGCCACGCACTCTCCGGCATCATAAAGTAAGAGACCAAAGCCAGAATAGTCACACCAGCCATAATAATAGGGGCGTCTAGAGAAGAAATTAGCGACATCACCAGCAAGAATCCAGAAAGACTTACAGTTCAAGTTCTCGCCAGTAACAGGCCATTCGTAAGGCGAGAACAGGATAGCGACCACCCAGCCATTCCAGAACACACCGATGAGCTGGAAGGGCTTGCTCCACCGACCCAGACTCCACTGCGGTGTCGGGAATCGGTTCGGGGTACAGAACAACCGACCCAGGCAGATCAGTCCGTAGGCTGCGGCACTGGGGACACCGGCAGCTGAGACGAGGGAGGTGAAGGCCACGTTGGAGGGTAGGATAGTGCAGGTAACTAGGGCAGCGACACCCCAGACGACGATGACTGCGTTGCGTGGCTGGCCGTTGTTGACGCGGGAGACCCAACCTGAGAAGGGGAGGACACCGTCACGGGCAACGGCGAAGACAAGACGGGAAGCGGCGATGATTGCAATGGCGGTGTTCTGGGAATGATTAGTATAGAAGTACGCATAGAAGATATGGGAGAAGATCGGCTTACAAGCCACAGCGCGAAGACGCAGACGATGTTCATGAAAATATGACCACCTTTACCCAGAACGACGGCATAGAGCGGCACGAAAGGCTGGGGGGAACCGAAGCTCATCAACACGTCCGTAGTAGGCTAAGATGAAAACGTCAGCATAAAGTTGCCATTACCAAATACATTGGAACGAACCGCGCAGAACAGGAACAAGATGATGGTAGCGAGACCACCGAATCCACTGGCAACGGTACTCCAGAAGATACCACGAGCAGCGGTGATTGACGCATTCTTAGTTTCCTCCGCAACGTGACCGGAGGCATCGAATCCGATGAGGATACCCGCAGTGGCGAGGTAAGAAAGACACCAGTTCCAGCCGGCTGGGGCACCGGTGCCGTTATAAGTGGTCATGAACGCCTCATGGGTGGTACGGAAACCCCAGGTCTGTGCGACACCAATGGGCAACCAGATCAGGTTGAGGAAGAAGTCAAGCATGACAATTGCGGCGGAGAACCGGAAGACATGCTTGAAGTAGCGAGCTAAAGCGAGGGGTCAGAGCTGGTTCCCGATAGATAGGACGATACGCACGAGGCATGAAGTTCAGCAATGCGGCGAGAGCAAGTAGGACTTCAGTGCAGATCCATTGCACGGCACGGAACTTGACACTGCTGGTGTCTGATGGGAAGTCAAGGTTGAACACAGTGATTTCCTAATCATGGTCAGCACCAGTGTACTAAGCATAAAGCACAAAAGAAATTGGGAGTCGGAAAGCATACCGAAAGCATGTAGTTAGCAGCCGCCTGGGTGTTGCCTATCGGAGTGTCAGCGTCGTACAAAGCCTCAGGGATGGGACCAACATACTTGCGCAGAAAGTAGTCCAGGCAGTGGTACTCCACCAAGCGACAATGAAACCCAAAAGTCGGCCGAATCGAGGCCCACCAGCTTCCGCAGCCCACAGGTAAATCGAACCCGCAGATGGCGAGGCCGAACAAACCTCGGCAATGACGGCTGCCGTGATGAAAGTGAAGACCATCGTCACCAAGTAACTGGTCCAGTAAGCCAAGTTACCACCGGCAGCGATACCGGTGCTGAAGGTGACGCGAACACCGCCAACGAAATACAGAGCAGCTAAGCCACGGTCAGCCTTGCGCATAGCGACAGCAAAAAGACAGACATACCGAAGGTGGTCGCAAAGTTCTCGAACAGAGTGTACGTTCTGTGCAGAACCTATGCATACAGTCAGTGGGTGAACGCCGATCCATTCAATCTATACGAGTCGGCATACCGGTTTGTAGCCCATAGTCCGCTAGAATGCCCATGTTAGCAATTTGACACCGAGCCGCGCTGCAAAATTGGCATGAGACTTACCAACAAGGCCGCATCATCATGAGCCTTGATCTCGGTTTGATCGCCTTCGACATTCTCGACGCTGTCGCCATTGTCGATGAGGTCGGCGCGACCGCTGACGTCGTGCGGAGCCATTTCCCAAAACGGATCACCCAGCACACAGATATGACAAGAAGAAGTCGAACTTCGAACTTGAGCAAGGGAATTCGATGCTTGTTTACCTCTCGAATGCAGAGGACAAAATTTTTTAGGATAGACTTTTGCTCCGATCACGCCGGTTTCCGCCCCCGGTCAACCTCGAGCAAGTTGACCCACACTTAGCGGGAAGAGTAGGGAGTCCACACGCCTTAACTTGATTTAAACTGGTTTTGAGTGGGCTGGATCTTTGGTCGTTTGTTCCTTCTTCCTTTTCGTTGTCTTTTCTTTTGCTCGGTTCTTGGAACTTTCGGTTATCAGATCGTGCGGGTAAGCATCGCGTACTTCGTACCAGAACCAGAGAAAAGTCGAACCAGGGCGAGCCCAGCGGAAATCCTCTTTAAAAAGGCTAACCACGAGCTAAGATTGAATCAGACGATATCCACTGATTCGTATTGATCTCGGAGCTGTCTAGTCCGTATTCGTCTTACCCCTTCGCTCTGGGAATATTCGTCCGGAAGATGGCGAATATGAGGATATCAAGGTAGAATCGGTCGAGCTGAGATTGAGGAAGTCTAGCGTGAGTGTTCCAAAGGCACATGCGCCCGGCGAAGTCGAATTAGGAAGCTCTTCTATTGAGGTCTGTGCGTGGCCGAAACCGGTTATAGACCCACTCTTGAGGTTCATCTATACTACCCGGATCATTTTTAACTACGGACTACTCCGTACGGACTTATTGCTCTGGACTTGTCGACTGTCCATAGATTCATATTGTGATATCTTTAAGAGTTGGATCTAATTTGATTGTCGCGGCTCACATTCATGATACAGACCATCCATAGTCCTCCTGCGGCAACTGCGGCAAATGCGACATTTTGGTATAGATCTACCACGCTTCAACCTCTCCAGTATAAGAGACAAGTTTTCCACCATATTGCTCCTTCGTCGCCTTGGTGATCAACTCCGCGATACCGCCAGTTGATTCCTCCACGGTGGTCGGGGCGGTACCATACCCCCAGGCCTCTGCAGTTGCGTTGCCCATATCGGTTTGAACCCAGCCAGGATCCACCACGAACGCGTTAAGCCATTCTTCCTCGGCATTGATTCGCACGCCATACCACGGGAGAACTGACTTCGAGGCGCCGTAGACTGCGTTGGGAATATTGGGCTGCTTTCTAGGGTTTGTCAGCATCTGCCGAATTAATTAACTAGCGGGGACTGTCAATCGACTTACTCCAGGCAGCCAGTTCCGGATCCTATCATAGCATAGACGGGGAGAGTAAAAGTAGACTTCTTCAGCAGGTCGCGGGTGGCTTGGAAGAGAGAGACAGCGCTGAGCACGTTCACTTGGAAGTGTTCGAGGATATCGGCTCGCTTGGCATCTTTGACGAGAGGGTATATTTTTGCAATACCGGCATTTGCGACGACATAGTCCAAGTGGTCAACGCCCTTCTCGGTGGCCTCCTTAACGGCATCAAACGCCGATTGCTCAACGCTGGCGTCATATTTCACCACAATGATGCTACTCCCTTCGGCTGTCGGTAGCGTGGATAGCTTCTGAGCAGACTCGTGTGTCGGGTCACGCACTGCCGCAACAACAATCTAAAGAGATCTCCCACGTTAGCTGCTATCTGTGGACGTGGGATGATTGGATGGAAATGAGCCTTACATGGTCTGGCTTAGCAACAAAGTTCTTCACAATGCCGAGTCCCAGTCCGCGGTTAGCACCGGTAATCAAAGCGAAAGTAGGAGCCATGATGAAAAAGTAAAATGTGATATCGAATGGCGCGCTTTGAAGTTGGGGGATCAATGTTGAGATTGGAGAAAGAATTCGAGCTTCTCAATCAAGTGGCGGAGACCTTGCAAGAGATAAATACGTCGGTCCATCGCAATGGCGTGAGTCAATTTTGTCTCAAAGTTGGAATACATTGCCCAATCTATTTTAGCCCCCAATGCCCCTCCGATGGCAGAGCCCTAGCCGACCTAGTCGACCTCGGGGTGTTGTATAGACTCGTCGATTGGCCGAGTCTGCTTACTAACCCTCTTCCTAGCTCCAGGACCCTCCGGGGGCGTATACCCCTGCATGTGTCGCCATGCGGCCTTAAGCTGCTCACTTGATGGACTTTGGGACGAGAGAGGTAGTATGATGAGGTAATGTCGCTTTCCCTTGCCACTTACCTTGAGCATGATATCAATCATGGCAATATTCCAAGGCTCAAACACTGATCTGGAGAAAGAATCGAGGTTTGTTGGACGAAGGGTGTGGGGACCCGCGGTGAACCCGCCGGGGATTCCGGGACCCAACCGCGTCGTAAATGCGGCCGAGTGGAGGGTTTGCTTAGGCTCCACCTGAGCTAACTACAGCCTAGGGATGCTGTCCTTGGCAACTTTCGAAGACTTATGAAAGACAACCATTCCATTTTTCTTCTTCACCTTGTATGACCTAGAAAAGGAAACCCTCTACGTGATAGTCAGCAGTTGGTATGACAGCCTGAATGGATGTTGTTCTTCCAAGCGAACCTTGCAAACAATATCTGACGAGATCAGATGGAGAAGTCACCCCACGTGGGATGAGTGATACAAGCTCCAAGGTTGTGCCATGCTACTTCGTGAAACTTCGACCTCTCAATCTTTGAACACTGTGAACATTCTCTACCGAAACACCAGATGTGACCCCGAGGTCTCCGGGTGAAGATATTGAGAGTGACGATAACGAAATCGTTTGAATGAATCAAGAGCTAATCTGCAACACTCTTAGGGGACCTCATCTTTGCTTCAAGTATTTCTTGTCATCCAGGCTGCCTGATGACTCATTATATGTACCTGGGAATTTGATCAGATAGGCTGCCTTCGAAATTATAAGAAGTTGAATATCCCAACCAGCAGCTGTATCACAACCCATACGCATACATGCCCAGGTGTCCTCGCCAGCGAGAAAGTTGGCTAATTAAGTCCATACTTGAGCCAATAAATACAAATTACATGTGAAAAGCTTGGTATAAGCACGTTTGCAAGTGCACAACTCATGATCATCGTGCCGAATATCTTCCGCTTGGATTTCTGGTTAGTGTGCAACGGAGGAATTTCGTCGGCGACGGCAGTACCCGAGCCATGAGTAATATTTGGTCTCGGCAACCGGTACTGATGGATATAAATTCACTATTTCCCTTGTGTGATCATTTCCAGTCGGACCATCAAGGGTTCCCGGATATTGGATCCTTCCAAGGTTCTAAGGTTGACATCGGGAGTCAGATTCATCCTGCAAGGCCCACACGCGAGACCAGCTTGAGTGACGTTACGGTCGAGCAAACCGCGCGTATGCTCAGGTGTTCGGTGTCGAATAGCCTTCGCGTAAAGCTTCAACACTACATTGTGTAGCTACACACCTCGTAGTTGTCCTACCATCCATTCAAGAGAAGACAACTCAGTACCCCACGCGGGTCTATAGTAGATTCAAGGTAGGCTCAATCTCAAAATAATATTCATAGAATGATCTAGCTCAAGTCTAATTGTTGATTCGGGACTACTTGTCTTCCTCGTCTAGTTATTACTTGTTAAAGGTTTTGGTATTATCATATAAAAAACTATAAACGTCAGCTTTTATTTATCTTGGACAAGAATGAGTCTTTTCGGGCGCCTCAACAGATCATCTACTTTGGAGAATACTACGTCAGGCAGAGACACACAGGACGATAACATCGAAGAAAATGACATTGTCAAATTTCGCGCGCCCTACCACATCCCAATAATCGTTTCATTCTACGCCTGTTGCATGTTGACTGCGTGGTCGATAATATGCGTATTCAGCAGAAGACTCATAGTCCCATTCCCCAGACATCCGGGCGACAACTTAGAGCTGGAAAGTTCCAAGCCCGAAGCAGATGCTCAGTCTTGTATCAATGTCAACGCGCGCTGGTATCGGGCAGCCAGAGTGCTCTGGGGTATCGTCAGCGTTATAACACTACCGTTGGCATCGGCCGTTTGCTCTTTTGTTGCTGTCGGCTATGTGCAAACGCAAAATTATCACAAAAGAATGCCGAATCTAAGACAGACACTCACTCTTGCAGACCGAGGCTGGACTAGCCCTCGCGTCATCTTTTCCATGTTCAGGCACCCCAGGAAAGAGGCCACTTCTTTGCTTTGGGCTGCGTTAGCACTGCATCTGGTAGGTATGTTGCTATGCAGATTAAATCACACTAGTCTCAATATCCCTGAGTGACTGACATATTTTCATAGGGGGAATCATCAGCCCTTTACAGCAGCTTCTTGTTGGTCAAGGAACTGGCACGATCATCTTACCCCAAACAGAGCTTCAGACGATCTTCGACATTGTATCTCTGACTGATACCCATTCACTGGCGTATACTGACTCCGGTACCGCGGTGGCTTTGCTTCGCCCTCGCCTAGTGACAGCTGGTAACGGTGCCGTGTCTGATTACCTGTGGGCAGGAAATAGCTCCTGTCGTCCGAATAAACTCATTTCGCGGGATGCCGATTCTTTATTCAAATGCCAACGCGCGAGTCTCAACTCTGTACCTCACACAGAGGCAAACGTCACGCTTGATCTTTTTACTTCGTCTATGCCATCCACAGCAAACACGGGGATGTTGAGGCAATTTGCCCCCAGAATGAATTCTTCTTTGGCTTGGACGGACATTGACTCGGGTGACTTTCCCAAGAACTGCTCCGAGGGGAACGGATTTTTTCGTAACTACACTTCGCCCACAGACCCAGCCTCGGAAGAATTTTATAGTCTCAGCGTCTGCATGCAAGGGAATCTCAGCCACACTCCGTTCAAGGAGACAAGGGACCGGCAAGACTTTGAAGAAACCATCTTCTTTTCTACAGGTTACTATGTTAGTGGCACGGGTCTGGGAAATGCAACTTGGAGGCTGACACTCTCGTCGACCCTTGGGTATTTTGAATTGCCCAACAAGAAGCGAAAGAATGCATATGGCCCGCTACTAGACAAAGATCCACTGGCAAATTGCACTCCCCCACGATGCAATGGACGGTGAGAATGCCTCAAAACTTGAATCTACAATTATTCCATCTTGCTGACTTACCACCAATGCAGACAAAGACCCTCCTCCATGTCCCCCAATTACGGATACGACAAAGATGGAAGGTGGTATCTCGACTTAGTACCAAGCAAAGGGCCCTTGGCAACTCTAACCTTGGCCTTGTTTGGGAATGGTTCTTTCATTGACACAAACAATCGCAACATATCCGATACGTTCCATCGGACTAGCGCCCAAGACAGCGTATGCTACGGATACAATCCACTCAGCCTAATAATGGGCGAGGATGAAAGGTGCTCAAGTAGCGACTCCTCCGGAGGTAGGGTCGCTACATGGGTGAGTTACCTCTCAGAGACGTCATATGCAATCAGCGCACTTAGCCAGGCGGCTTTACTTGCAGACCATGCTGTTTTGATGTCTGCTAGAGGTGGCGAGACCTTGACCATATACGAGAAGAAAGGAGTTGACTATCCGCGGCCTGAGATTTCAACTGTGTCGATGACGATTCTGTGGCTGTTGATTTCAATCTACCTCTCTGCCCTGATAATGCTATGCGTGTTGGCTACGATGAGTGTGCCGTGGGCTGACTCACTCGATAGTCATGCCATGGTTGCGATGACGGCTTCGCTGTGCAGCAGAGAAAATTCAAGGAATGATGATGGGCTGGGTGAGAAAGCTGATTTACTTGACTACCTTCCTGGTTATGTTGGCGATGCGGAGCCAGACTCGCCTGTGGGGAGACTGGGTGTAGGTGCTGACTCGCCATTGAGATGGAATAGGCGATACTGGAAGAAGAAGGATCTGGCATTTTGATCGCTGCTGTCATATTAAATATCGGTGATGCGCTGTGTTGATTCAGGTATCTGGCTAGCTAGAACGATCTTAGAAGCTGGCTGCCAAGATAATACTTGCCAAGTCTCAAATTTGTCACTTTTGCCTCCACTCAAGCCTTTCAGCGAGAATATCCCAGCTAACAGGACCATCCGCGCGAGCCAGACCTTTCAAGCTATCTGTGACAAATGTGGTGAGGTGCTCAAAGTTATGTTTCACCATGCTCATCTGCTGGGCGTAGCTCGAATCTGTGAATGGGGTTGTGATTGTATGTTCGTGTATTGGTTCATCATTTTCGTAATCGTCGTCGGAATCGGAGTCGCCGTCGGTGTTCTTTGTGCGCTTCTCTGTATATTTCGCCTGTGGAACTTGATCCCCACCAGCGAGAGAGTGAGCGGTCTGCATATCTGCAAAATGGATGCAGAGATCCAAGATACTGATGATTGCTTCGTGGATTGGGGACAAGTCTGCAGAAAGCAAGCACTGAACTTCCACGGAGGAAATAAACTCACGGTGCGTGGAGATCATTGCATCGACATCCCGCGCACTGGTCATCCATTTGAGCAATGATTCTGTTGCGCTAGAGATGACAAAGTAGGTGAAGTGTCCGTAGATGAAATCCAAGAACCAGAGCATGTTGTGGTGGAGGACACTGGCTGATGTACCGGTGTCGTGGGGCTTGTTGCGGGCATCGCGAATACGCTGTTTGACGATTGAATATTTCGCGCGTCGGATTTGCATGAGGAAGATAGATATGCGTTGGTAAGAGTTAATTGCGTCTTCCGTGATGATGTTCGCAACGGGCCAGGGTAGACCGTAGTCGATTGAGATATCATTGAGTTTCAGAACCGATCGCGTAGGCGCGTGAGCGTGTGCAATGCTAAGAGGCTTCACGAGGAGCTTTGAGGTGTCGATGACAGGGACAGGTTGGAATGCCGTTCTTGCTATCTCCGTAAGCAAGAATCTATCCCAGGAACGACCGCGATCCATGAGATCGAAGACCTTGGCATCAATGGCGCTGGTGGAGCTCATGTCTTTCCCGAAATAAACGTGATGGAGAGCCTCGAGAGATGTCCACAGCCCGCATTGCTGGTCGAGTTGCGTTCGCAAGAGACCGGCACTTAGCGAATGATCGGCATCGACAATCTTTTCAAATTCAGACTCTACTAATGCGGGGAATGGGAGCAGGAGTGAGGGTTCTGATGTGTGATCACCTTCATGGGACACAGCACTGTCGGGCAAGGCGATCAGATGGCGTAAGAAGACCGTGCTCTTACCGGCCGTGAACACCTTTTGAACACTAGTTGCGAGAAATTGTGGGATTTTCTGCCCTTCGTCGCCCACATCGAGCACGAACCAGTCATGCCAGAGAGTTCGTAGGTCTCCGTTTTCGCGAATGGCCTTGACGAAGAATGTGCTGTCCAGAGCATCGACCTGACCTGTTTCCATCCACAGACGAGTTGATCTTGTGTATGTGTTGAAACACTGGAAGAATAGCTGAATGAGACTTTTAGTTGAAGTTTCTTCGCCTAGTGCTTCCAGCATACATATCAAGTCGTAAAGTTGATCAAGACAGCGCATGGGTTGTTGGTCGACTGAGTTATTGTCTAGTTTGCAGATCACGTCCGAGAGAAGAGAGAGTTCGTGTGAGTGTTGGCGAATATCGGCAAGGAGTTGAAGAAGACTGATGGTAGACCCAGGGGAGAGGTATTCGCACTGAATGTGAGATAAAGCCTTGTCAAAGGCAAGAAGACGGTCTTCGATTCCTCTGCAAAACGTTTGCATGTATGGTATTTCTTGTGTGATTTTGGTGAAGCTCCGTACGCCGTAGAGCTGGGTGCCGATTTCACCAAAGCATTGCAAAAGCGAGGCCAGAGCTTCGTTGGACGAGTGTGCGAGTGTGTATCTATGATCCACGCTGATGTGATTATCAACATGTCGGAAAATAGACGTGGGAAGCCCTTGAAGCATGAAGATGGTCTCTCGAGCTAGTTGGGATTCCGTAATAGGTCGCGAGGCTTCCGTCTTTCCTGGCGATACTGAGTGATGATTTTGCGGCCTCCAAAATTGAGCTTTCTCTATGGAGGCAACAACGTTGTCATCTTCTTCGGGGATAAAGATATCATCCGGAATCACGTACCCCTCTTCCACAGTTGTGGATGATTGTGGCCTGCGTTTTGGGAGGGATACATCGCTGGCAACAGATGAAAAGTCATCGTCCGAGGAGTCGGCACCAAAGTCAACTTGTTCCCAGATTTCTTCGTCGTTGAACGCAGCCCTATCATCTCTGATATCTGACCACGAGAGTGATTCATTTGCTTCTGGTAGCTTGGCGCCCTCTTGTGGGGGTCTAATCGTAGAGAAAAGCGCCGGACGGTCTGAAAGTTGCAGCAGCAAGCTTAGGATTTCTGGAAGCCAGGGGTTGCGGTGGTTCTCCACTTCTGCGACCCGAGTTTGAAGGGCTTCGGCAAGTTCATCTCTATTCAAGACTTGGAACTTCTCTTGTAGACCTTCCAGTTGTTTGGCGACAGCAAATTGGTCGGTGCGAGTGTGTGCACCGGTTCGGAGAGCTCCTTGAGCCCGGCGTTTCAAACTTTGAATACGCGCCGATCCCTAAACATCGATTAATATGATATTCATCACAAGAAAAGGGATTCCCGAATCTACTTTTTGTGCCGGTGGTACCTTGACAACCGAGGTGATCAAGGCATCGGTAAGTGTGCTGAGGTCAGCTGCGAAAGCCATGTTGAGACAAGCGCCAGCAGCAAGGTTGAAGAAGAGATTACATTGAAGATAACCTGCGTAGATATTTTTGACGTCAAGACTCAAGAGTGAAGCAGCTGAGATGTCGGGATGTTTTGCCTGGATGGCGCTAGTCCCGATGAGGTAAGATGGCCACTGTGATGCGCGGTCTCTCCCTCTCCGACCATCTTCCCCCTTTCAGCACACACCATCATCATGGCTATTGCGCGACCTATTCGCATGCTGGGTGCAGCATGCATTCTTCTTTGCCTATTCCTTGTCTTCCAATTACATCAAGGCTCCTCTGAAGAAGGGACAAAGTTGACCCATGGCATGAAAAAGGATCCTCTTGTAGATCGTGCGTGACCCCGGTTTCTTGCGATGCCTCCTATCGCATCCACCATTTACCCTGTGCCTTGCTAACATTGACTTATAGCGACCGGAGAGCCTGCAGGAAATTTATGGCGAGCTGATGAACATGATTACACCCCGAATAGCGAGAATTCGGCCCGCACCAATGCCGCGCTTATCACCCTCGTCCGCAATGAGGAACTGGACCAGCTCCTACAGACTATGAACGATCTGGAGAAGACCTGGAACGGCAAATTCAACTACCCCTATATCTTCTTCAACGATGTCGAATTTACCCAGGAGTTCAAGCAGAAGACGCAGGCCGCCACCAAGGCAAAGTGTCAATACGGTACGCCGTCCCATCCTATTCGATCCCGGAGGGACTTTGGCTAACATTTGTCGCAGAACTCGTCCCCAAGGAACACTGGGAAGTGCCGGACTGGATCAACATGGAACTGTTCTACGAATCCGCAAAGGTTCTGGAAGAACAGGACATTCAGTACAGCTCCAAGATCTCCTACCACCAGATGTGTCGCTGGAACAGCGGCATGTTCTACAAGCACCCTGCTCTCGCCGAATACCGCTACTACTGGCGCATTGAGCCCAATGTCAGATTCTTCTGCGACGTCGACTACGATGTGTTCCGCTACATGGAGGATGGCAACAAGACCTACGGCTTCACCATCAACCTCTACGATGCGCCCCAGAGTATCCCATCCCTCTGGCCTGAGACCCAGCGCTTCCTCGCCGCCAACCCCTCGTATCTGAGCGACAACAACATGTGGGAGTGGATTACAGATGACGTGGCTCGTCCGGAGCACACCAAGGGTGGCAACGGTTACTCCACCTGCCACTTCTGGTCCAACTTCGAGATCGGTGATCTTGACTTCTTCCGCGGCGAGCAGTATGAGGCATACTTCCAGCACCTGGATCGCGCGGGTGGTTTCTTCTATGAGCGCTGGGGTGACGCCCCTGTCCACTCGCTTGGAATTGGTCTCTTCGCCGATGCCGCCAATGTACACTGGTACGTACTAATATCTCCCGCGTTCAAAGACATTCGCTAACATAACAATTTCCAGGTTCCGTGATATTGGATATAACCACATTCCTTATCTCAACTGCCCGAACTCCCCCAAGTGTTCCGGCTGCAAGGCTGGCCAGTTCTACCAAGGCGCAGACTTCCTCTCCAAGGAAGATTGTCGCCCAACTTACTTCAAGTATGTCGGAACTCACTGAGCGACAGATCTGATCGATCGGTTCTCTTGCGCCTCGACACCTGGAGTGCCTTACTCACGACTCAATCCCTTGCATTACTTTGCATATCCCTACGACTATATCCCACAAAATCAGTGGCTTGGTACTCGGCGTTTGAGCGGACACATACCTGTGTATTGATGATTTTGTGTCCCATGTTTGTCTTCTCATGTTTGTTTAATTCCCCATCACAAACTACGTTCTTGGCTGTACTGCTGTCTCCTTGGTAGATGCAGGGGCCTTGTCTTCATTGTACTTATATCGGTTGCGCATGGTCACTTCTGGGGGTCCTGGTTGTTTGATTTACTTTGTGGGCAGGCTGGTTTATCGCGGCCCATCAATTTGTGATATATTGGCTACTTAGGCATAAAACTGAGGTTCGGTATAGTTCTCAATAGAACGACCTTATATATAACACAAAATTCCAAGAGTACCCCGAGTAGGAAAAGGAACCTTCGATTGAGATTCGGTGTTAGGCGTTTGGAGGCGTAGCTGTAAGACCTCGGGATGATTGAACAAGATGGAATCAGATAGATTAAGCACCAACCAAGTAGGTACAAAAGGACCTTCTAAAAAACAGCGGCATCAACAACACAGGAGATCTCAGAAGTATGTATACAGTTTTCTCTTCTACCCAACCTGATCCTCAACCAGTCAGACAGTGCTGGATAAATAACGTGCAAGGGGGATTGTTTGTTTAAGAGAAAATTGACGTGCAAGAAGAATTTATGATGCGAATCTACTCCTGGGGGTAGAGCTCCTCACGGAGAGCGACGCCAAGCTCCTGGCGCAGACCCTCGAGAGACTCGAGGTATGCCTTGTACTGATCGGGGTTCTCGACCTTGGCCTTGATGCCTGTTCGAGATAAGGTTAGCTTAGTTCCGACGCTATATGCACGATGGCATTGAACTGAAAGATGGCGAAATCGTACCCTCGAAGACGCGAACAGCGGTAGGGTAGTCGTTGACACGGCGGGCGGCCTTGAGGGCGGCAGTGAGGACCTCAACGGAGGGAACGAGATCGTAAGCGAAGCAGTTGTTCAGGTTGCGCTATTGCGAAGAAGACATAAAGATTAGCCATTTGCCAATTGTTGCATATCGACCGCATGCTGAATGACGGGTGTGGCTGATGCCGTGGTGCCATGTATCGCAAGTAGGTCGCGTATGCCTCGGGAGGAGTCAAGGTCAAAAGCATACCTGGAGCTCGAAAACGTCCTGCACACCCTCGAATTCCTTCTCGAATCTGTTATTGGAGGGCCAGTCAGCACGACAGGTCCCAATTCTTGTCCTATTGATTGCCGATGATTGTTCCGGGAAGCGGCTATGTGCGACGATTGTGCTCGCGTTGCGCCGTCCATGGCTTGCGATTGGGTTCGTACCTGGCGGAGAATTCTTCGAAGGTCTCATCCTCGTGGCCGGAGAGGAGCTTGGAGGTGGTACCGAAGTTGGAGGCGCGGACAGCGGACAGAGTGACCGGGGACTGCATCCGAGAGCGGGTGATTTGAGGAGCTCTGTAGAGGCCGTTGGGGCGGATGGCGCGGGTTGCCATGCGGAAGACGGAGAGGGACGACATTGTGAGAGGAGGACCACGGTTGGACCGAACGGGAACAATGGTGAGGGGAGAGGTTTGGATGGAGACGGGAAGGGAGGTGAGAAGTGCTCTAGGATTTTGCGGGTGGTGTGGTGTTGACGCCTGAGGCAGAAGGACGGGTGCTGAGTCATGTTTTAGGTGCATCCGGTCGGGCCCGCGCCATGCCATCTTGATCTCAAATGCCGCCCTTTGATTGGTCGGAGTCTGGTTGCTTTTCAAGATGCCTCCATTGGCTCGAGTCATGACACCTGCAGTTCTAGAATATATCCTCCTTGGGATGTACACAAGTACTCCCGAGGTCCCTACCTTAAACTGTGGTGAATTTATCCCCATTTGAGAAACCTCGGACTTAAAAGGCATTGATCCAGGTACAGATTGATAACCAAAACTTGGAAAGTGGAATCAGGTAAATAGCTTTGGGCAGTAACTATGTATTCGCTGATGTTGGGTTATGGGTATTTGCCCAATGCCTGTATATCCCATGTCCGAGTATGTCTGATCTGGCAATTGAATCATAGACACCTGGGCAATGGGTAGAGAGACAACGATCTCACCTGAATTCGCTTCGATTTTCAAACCTTGAAACCTTGGAATGAGCTATATTATATACACCACCTCGGTATCAAGACAGAGGTAACGACAATCTGGAGTTTGGCCAGAACACCGAAGGAGCACATTCCCCGGTCTGCCAGATGGGAGCCGACGAAGAGAAGTAAATTTAGTGTACCAAAAGGCAATTAGCCACCCTGGATTTATGCAAGAGACATTTCGAAGCATTGATGATCAATTGACTCTCGTCGAAATTTCCAGTTACTACCCAAGTGAAGCAAACTTTTGAGACTATCTGCGTAGCATGGGACTTCGGATTAGTATGTGCATGGGGGCTGGACTCGCTTCAATATTATGACCAGATGACGATGGAGTATATCTTTATAGTCGCAGGAGCGATTCCAACCTCGGGACCATGCCATTGCCCAAACAAGTGCAATTTCCATGGGTCAAGCCGGTAGAAAGCCAGATTCTTAATCCAACCTTTTGGGCATGGATATGGTTCCGGGGATGAAACAACGGCGAGAGACCAAAAAAAAGAGCAGATGAAGATCACCATGATATCTCAGGAACTCAATTGTCAGAGGATCAGATCCTCGGCAAGACCGATAAATTAGGCTATATAGTTAGTACATAGATGACAAGGTGATTTGCATGTGATAGCCCGACGAAGTGCACTAGATCTATCATAGTCGAGTGCTGAATAGACAAAGAGCTTGTCTCCAAGACAATATGGAGTATTCCGTATAGTGTTGAAACAAGTCAATAAGGCTGGGGACGTTAAGACGTCTGCGATCGGAAGGAGGTGGATGTTCCCCTTTTTATGCCCACGCTAAACCCTTTTGGGTTCTCAACGGACGCGCCGGACGCAAAAAGTAGGAGAATCTCCTGTCTTCTCCAGGATCTCTCCTTGTTTTTCTTTCCCACGCCTCCCACTTTCTTTATCCTTTTTTTCCTTTTCTCTCCCTGGGCCATCGAGGTTTTCTTTCCTTTCCATCGAGAGTCGTTCACTTGCGTCGCCATCCTCGCATTGGATCAACAACACTCCGTCACAATGGCGTCCGAAATCCTAAAACATGTGTCCACTCCGACCCTCGACCGCCCGTTCGGTGTGCACTTGTGGCCTTTGTTCGATATGGGCTTCGAGAAGGTCATGGGCTACCCTGCCAGCGAGTTCACCTTCGCGCAGAACGTGACCCCTCTGTCCACCCTGAAGGAGACCACCATGATGCTCATTACCTACTACGTGCTCATCTTCGGTGGTCGTGAGGTCATGAAGAAGTTGCCCGCCTTCAAGCTGAACACCTTGTTCATGATCCACAACCTCGTCTTGACCCTCGTCAGTGGTATTCTCCTGGTGCTCTTCATTGAGCAGCTTCTGCCTACTCTTGTCAGACACGGCGTGTTCTACACCATCTGTGACCAGCGTGGTGGTTGGACTCAGCCCCTCATCATTCTGTACTACGTAAGTGATCCTGGGCTGAATCAATTGACCTGCAAATGTTGACTAATGCGCGCAGCTCAACTACCTGAACAAATACGTCGAGTTCATTGACACCATCTTCCTTGTCCTCAAGAAGAAGCCATTGACCTTCCTCCACACCTACCACCATGGTGCCACCGCTCTTCTCTGCTACACCCAGCTTATCGGTGTGACTGCCGTGCAGTGGGTGCCCATCACCATCAACCTGCTGGTCCACGTTGTGATGTACTGGTACTACTTCCAGAGTGCCCGTGGTGTTCGCATCTGGTGGAAGAAGTATATCACCATGTTGCAGATTCTCCAGTTCGTCATTGACGTCGGTAAGTGGTCGAAGCGCATACTTGAGAAGAAGAACCAACACTGACAATTTCCAGGCTTCATCTACTTCGCCTCCTACACCTACTTCACCTCCGCCTACTTCCCCTGGTTGCCTAACATGGGCAAGTGCGCCGGTGAGGAATTCGCTGCCATGGCCGGTATTGGTATCATCAGCTCCTACCTCGTTCTCTTCATCTCCTTCTACATTGCCACCTACAACAAGGCCGCCAAGTCCGGACGTCCCCGCCGCAACACTGGCCAGAAGTCCCTGGTCGAGATGAGGAACTTCGAGATCCCTCCCACCACCCCCGCCAACGGTAGTGTCAACGGTAGTGCCAACGGCAGCGCTACTGGCCGCTCCAACGGCCCCGTCACTCGCTCCCGCAAGGCCTAGATTCTGAGTGGATTCTAGTCGCCTCTCAACACTTCCCTTGAGCGAGCCCAAATAGCTGCCGCTAGGCTATTAGACCGACCGTCTGACTAGTTCAAGACGAGCCGAATCGCAATTCCACATGCCGCCTGTGGAGAAATAAAGCAGAAAGAACGAGTGACTGCTCTTGGGTGATGCGTCTCTATATTTGTTTAATGAATGACCACCTCATGATGCCAGGTCTACTACCCGGACATGGGGTATGTGCCTCGGAGTTCTCGGAATGCACGCGCCGAAACGTTGGAAACCAGCAGGGCGAAGACCGCTAGGCACTATATACCATCCCGACCCGCGCGGGGTGGTTGTCTTGTCCTAGAGTCTTGTCCTGCTTGTATTTTATAATGTCATTTTTTTCTTCTTCTCCTGTTCATGTTTGTCGTTATCACCCTGTTGGCAGGCCATTCGATTGTACCCTTCCCCCCTTGTTATTAGTATCACGCCCATTGATAGATGTGTGGCCAAAACTAAAATAAATATAATCATGTTTGACTATCTGGATCAGAGATGAAGATGGCGTGGAGATCGTAATCCAACTACCTACACCTGGGCAGTACTCCGTAGATACCCCGACCATGTGTCTGGCCCGTGGTTGAATCACATTGCAGCCGGGGATGATTGACATCCGGACGGCCATGCTATCAGGTTTGGCTCAAACCTTGGAACGACAGGGATCCCGAAACGCAGTCCAGTTCCCAAGCGAAGACCAACCTCAACAAACAACCCCAACTTGTTGATATGGCAACATGAAAGCTTGTCAATTGAATCGTCCAAGCACGTTAGATCAGTTCTCCATACTCCATACATGCGTGCATGTGTGGTATCACAACAGCATCGCCAAAAACCTGAGAGGTCCGTGAAGTATGGAGACCTCGTAGATCGCATGGCCTGTGCGAAAGCACAAACAACGCCACAAAGTGACATATCTCACGGGCCGATTCGTAACACAAAGACAGTTGCACAGTCCAAGGGGAGTTCAAAGAGCCTCAGCCATTCAAGATCAGGGGTTCCGAGGTCAGAGACAGCAAGGCAGCATCCAGCCTCGTACTCCGTACCCAACCTCAAGTTCGACCTTGGGATGACCCAGCCATCAAGAGGCTGGGCAGCTTCTACACCGTATCTTTGATCAATAACGGTACCGAGCTGCATTATTAGGTGGCTTGCTTATGCGAAAAAGGTAAAAAAGAAAGAAAAATCGCCTTGCATCTGCCATGCGGAAAGGATCTTGGTAAAAATCATGCAGACTGCAGGATGCAGCTAGCACAGACCAGATGCAATAAAGAGGCGGGTGGAAAAACAGGAACAGGAACAGGAACAGGAGACGGGAAAAAAAAAATAAAGTAATGGCATGATTAGACGCTAATAACCCGAGGTGATCGACATGAGCAAACGCAAAAGCGTTGAATCATATGGTGACACTCCGTCCGCGGAGCGGGAGAGCGGTTCCAAGAAACCCCGTTGAAGAGTGTCAAGACATTCCGGATTAATATCTGTCCTCAAGGCGATTCGCTCACTTAATCCACCTGGCGATAGTGCGATGTCATAGTGCGCGTACCTGCAGCGAACCTCGACAGAGTGCAGTAGTCAGATAGTGAAGCCGGAGTCCTTGCCGGATACGGCCTGCAAGAAGCAAATGGTGTGGGCAATAGTGGATGATAAAAATAAATTCTGTGGAGAGAATTCGCCGACTTGTGACAGGCGGGTTCGAGGCAAGGGTTTTTTTTTAAGAAAAAACTTGTATTTGGAGAGGCTTGGAAGAACTTCGGGAGGCTGTTCAGGGCTGGTGAAAGGTTTTGCAAGGGAACGGGGTGGTTGCTCTTGTCATTCCAATGTCCTGTCCAGCATCCTGTCCAGTATTCTTCTCATCCGATCCATCCGATCCTACATTACGATCCTTCGCGTCCTTCAGGGCTCTCAGGGCTTTCAGGGCCTGCAGGTCCTTTAGGGTATGACGAAGGATATCCCCCTGAAGGCCCGAGAAAACCCCCTTGGCAAGGACGGAGCATGTCGGTAGCTGGATACTCCGGCGCGAGACGCTACGGTTTGAAGCTAAGACGCCTGGGGGGTTCGTCGTAGCGTGTTTGAGCTATACATGCCCCACTGATCTCAGGCGGCGGCTAAACTTGGCAACTCTTGTGGTTAATGACACTTTAATCAGATCCTACTCTCTCTCTCCACTCCCAATTTTCGGGCGATGTCGTCTTGGAATTCGAATCTATTTGTAAATGGGTACTCCATCCCGCTGGCTTTTTTCCGGGTATACTGTGATTGGATGCTCAGCTCGATTCCCATATTTTTCCGTTCTCCAAGCGCCGTTGGATAGTGATTTTCTCGAAGTGGACTTTGCGGGAATGATACGTAGCCAATCAACAGACGAATTGCATAGTTCGTGTGTTTAGGTGCAGGGGCCCTTGACCAACGACAGCTCACGTTGATATATCAGATTTTATTTTCTTTCTGCATTAAGCCATCTTTACTCCGTACTACAGCAGTTGATTAATTGATTAATTCTTACTGATTTTACCTAACTTAGCCTCTTTTCATCAAAAAAGGTTTGCTGAAACTGCCCCAACCCCCGCCCTATTTGTTCCTCATGCAAGGGTTGATACCAAATCACATCACTCCTTCTCTCTCTGCTACCAACGTAAGTGGCCTTGCTAGCCTTTGCTTCTCTCCTACACGTGCACAGGGCCCTGGAAAAGTCCCTGGGTGGATCATGGCTGGTTTCTTCATGGACTTTTCCTTTCCTTTTTCCTTTCTCCATTTTTTTTAGAATATATTATATTTTGCATCCCCTGGGAGCTCCTGAGTTCCGCTCCCTTTAAAGAGCCTTTACACCCATTTTGCCGCCTAGGATCTCTCCTTTGCATTTTTCTATCTCTGAGGGGTTGTGTCTCCTTGAGCTGGTCTCCTGTATACCCTGTCTTCACTACTATTCATAGAGGGCTGGCTTCTCTGCTCTTCAACTGTTTCGAACCGCCTCTGGGATACGATATTCCTACACGACATTGCTACTTGCCTTTTTTTTACTACTCTCTCTTACTCCTTAATATGGCCATGTATGAACCAACTATCGGCCTACACCGCTTGAGTCGTCACAGTCTCCAGGATCGCTATGAATCCGACGAAGAGACGGTATCTGAATCCGATGCTGGTCCCCAAGATCTACTTTCCTCTCCAGTCGAATCCAACCGCGGAACCTTCGACTCAGATCTCAGTACCGATGAATCATCGCAGATGGACCCTGAGTCTGACCGTGAGGAGCGCCTCTTGTCGCCTCCGGTAACTAAACGACCCAGGCCCGTCTCCACGGACACCATTAAGAGAAATGGCAGCGCGGTCTTTGGCGAGGAGGCATATGTTTTCAACCCCGAGGACCAGATGGTCCTAGAACTACCCTCGCCAGACTCTCCTCTCCAACTGGCATCCAGCATGTTCATGCAACCATCAATCTATGCCTCCCCAAAGCCTCGACTCGCCAATCATAGGTCTCGATCTCCTTCTCCCTCATCCATCTTCTCCGTTGAGGAAGCAGACATTCAAGTTGCCCAGAAGGTCACCTTTATGGAACCTCGCACCCGTCCTACAGTCGTCCTAATCAACGCCCTCGGCTCACGAAAGACCCCCAAGTCTCGTCCCAGCTCTCGCTCACGGGAAAGCAGCAGAACCCGCCCTGCAACCCTCAGATCAGACAGCCGACTGAACCGTCCAGAGCTGTCCAAGCGAACCCCCCCTCTCAGAAATCACAAACCCCCCAAGCCTCCCATTCGATGAATCTCCTTCAGCAACAATCAACCGAGTCTCCGACATCCCCTCAGTTCCCTACCTCCGCACCCAAGATCGTCGCCCCAGAACCTCAAGCTCAGACATGTCCCCTCCACCCCTAACCATCCGACGTGAATCTCGCCGGCCCCCATCAACACGCACCTCTAGCAGCACCAGTGCCCCTTACTCCGTCCCAACAACCCCCTTCTCCCCAGAAGACTCTACCCTGTCTACGATCCACGATCATGATCACGAAAGCCTACCTAGCCTTACTAGAACCAGCAGTCCTGTGTCCATCGCTTCCGCAAAACGCTCAGCAAGCTACAGCGTCTCAAACATCCTTTCCCATCGCTCTCCTTTAATGATGCGTCGCATGACGAGGAAACATTCTTCCTCCAGTGTGGCTTCATTGAGCAGTCTACGCTCCGAGTTCGATCCTCATGGCCCTGCTTCCTCGCAGATCTCAGTCGCTACTCAGCCGATTCGTGCCGATACAAATATCGTGCGGAAGTCGAGCCAGCGCCGCCATGCGCGCCATAATAGCTTCGCGCCTGGTCGTGGATTTCTGGGATTGAAGCTTGGAAAAAAGAACAAGTCTTGATTTGTTCTGCTTTCTATTTCCTATTGTGTTCTTTTTGGAGCTACTTTCACTCCGCTTTTCGTTTGCCTCTGTTTCTGTTCTTGCTTTTCCATTTGCTTTTGATACTTCATATTTGTAATGTCTATGGGTCGGCTTTCTCTTTTGTGTTTTTCAAGTTAAACTTCGGCGTTGGTGGCTATTTCTCGGACTTTGTTATTCAGCCCCTTGTGGAGACCGAAGTGTTCCAGGATGTTTAATGTCTATTTCTTCCATCTCAATGCTTGGGTGGTACTATTTTGGGTGGTTTGTTCTTCTCGAGTTCAGCGACTTGTTTCTCAAACGCCTTTTTGCGATCATGCAACTCCATTCAATAGGAGAATCCATTCCTGCACTCTTTACTTCGTGCTGATTATTTACTCTTTACTCTTTATCCACCCACGGTTCACGGTCCACGGCCAACCGTGTTTTGAATAATCCCCCCGTGTTTCAACCCGAAAATAGCCAAACTTAACGATCTCGATTAGATCGAAAGCTCATGCTCTCGTTTCACGTCGCATTCCAGTTCCTCCATTCCGTTCTCCGTCCTCCGTGCTTCCCGTCTTCCCGTCCGAGCCTCGTATCCCTTATTCCGGCAACACGCAAGCAATGTTCCCCGTCTTCTCTATCTCCGTAACAAGCTACACGGTCCACAAATTAACACAGATCTCCCCATCGTCTCGGCAATCTTACCGGATCACAGCACGCAGCCTTTGAATCCGCCTCGCACGACTCATACGTCGTAGACCCATCCGCCGCCTCGTCGATCTTAACCGCTCTCGTGCCTGGATTCGTCAGTCGTTACAGAAACTCTTCACTTGAAACCCTTTCACAATTCGTACATGTGTTGCCCGTGTAGAGAAAGCTCAGGATCGGGTATTCGACTAGGTCCTTGCAACAAAGACCCGGTGGTCCTGCGGGGATAGGGTTGACGGGCTTGATGCAGGAGAACTCGCTGACTGCGAGGGCGACAAGGCTGGATAATACGAGGAGCTTCATGTTGATTGAGGTGTTGGGAAAAATAGGAGCGGATCTGCGATCTGCGATCGGATGGGAGATGAGATGTGACGTAGGGGTTCGCGGATCCACTCTTTTGCCGGATTGGTGCTACAGTACGGAGTACGGAGTACAATTCGATTGTACGGTCGGGAGCTAGTGGGATTCCATGTTTGAAGAGGATTTAGGGCGTTCTGTTCTAAGTGGGAGACGTATAGAACGTCGACCCAGGGTACGAAGGGCGGAGCCCAAAGTACGGAGTAGATGGAAGAACCTTGGAATGCTTGGGTGGGTCGGTAGTTTGTCCACGCGCTTGGTATAAGTGACATTCAATGCTAAGACACATGTATTCTCTCTTGGTGATTTTTGTCTTCAGACCGTCTGTTCAAAACTCCACTCTATGCAGATGATTGGCTGAAGTACTTGCACTTTAGATGCTTGTCTGAGCAAGCTGCTCAGTAGGAGCATCTTCCGCAGGCTTGGCCTCTTCTGGCTTCGCGTTTTCTTGCTTAGCACCGGGGAAACGAGAGCCGCGGTCCTTGACCTTCTTCACCTTCTTGTGAACCACGGGAGGAGGGTAGGCCTTCAATGTGATCTCCTGCCAATCGGCGGAGGCTTCGTATGCTGCCTGGATGGGGGCCATCAGGCTGACCATGGCAGCTGACACAGCGGGCTTCAGGATTTGAGGAGTCAAGAGATCCTTGGCGTAATCTTCCTTGACTTGAGCGATGGAGGTGTAAACCAATGGCTCGGCGTCCCTGCGCTCAACGCGGAATTCACCGTGGCCGTTAAGAACAGCGGCTGGGAACAAGATGTTCTCGACAATTGAAAGGACACCGTTCTCTTCCACAATCTTGGGGAAGCACTCCGCTTTCTTAATCTTCTTTGCGACAGCCTCTGCTGTGTCCAGCAGGTCGATCTTGGCATCTATTGCTCGTTAGCGGTCGGGTTTCCTATTAGGTCCCCAAAGCAGGGGACAGTCTACGAGCGATTGAGTGATTCAATTTACCTGCGCCGTCAGAAGAGGACATCTTTTGCCCACCGAGTCCAGCCATCATAGGGTTCATGATGTGGGCGCGAACTGAGTATCCGAGCTTGGGGAGCCATTCTGTTGCCGCACTGTGAGGAGTTAGTTAAGCTTGTCGACACGAGTAAGGGATATGCTATGGCGTACTGCAGGTTATGATGTCAGCATTTAACTCTAGAATTGGTGAATATAACAACATACCGTGAACAATTTACGTTGGTCGACTCCTCCAAGCTGGCAATCAGCGTTAAGATGTTGCTCATCGAGCACTTGGAGAATAGGGTAAAGCAATCCAGAGAGAGGCGCATTGCCAGTTTGTTTGACAACCTTTGAAACGTTTAGCGCAAACCAAGAATGTAGAGAAGAATCATTACCTCAGCACCGGCCTTCTTAGCGGCACTCTCAGAGACCATGGAGGCCATGCGGTAAACGTCCATCACATATTCGGGGGATTTTTGGTAAGATGATCCGAGAACGAAGTTCAGCTTTGAGGTGTCGACACCCACAGACTGGACGAGGGCAGTGACGACATTTCGGTCTGGTAGATGTGTAAGTCAATTTATATAGCCGGCTTTAGTTCAAGGATACCCACAGTAAATAGCGCGGTTGTCGACCAATTCGAGGGGTGCTTTCAACTAAATGCGAATGGCCATTAGTTCTCAGTCTCCTCTACGACAGAGTATCCGGGGGAGGCGCACGTTATCGAGGAATCCATGAATATCAGCGAGGAGGACGGTGACCTCGCAGTCTGCCTTGAGGAGTTGCGCGATCTTGAGGGCCGGGAGGAAATATCCGATGTGGGGTCGACTGCATGCGTAGATATTGTTAGGGGCGCCGGTGTTGCGTTCGGTATCCAATTGCTACTAACCCAGTAGTCGCGGTTCCCCAGTACACGCGCGGGGAGCGCTTTTCAATCAAGATCTTCTCGATGATCTCCGGGTTGAGGAACTCCTGGAGGTTGGAGGCGATGAGATCAAAACGGGCCTGGGCTTCGGAGTCCATTGTGTCGGCAGAATTGAACGTGATTCAATGTCCTTATACCAAGAGTCGGTGCCGTAGCGTAGGGAGGGCGATGTCGAGCGTACAAAAGAACTGTGACTAATTTTGTCCGAATAGAGTCACCCCGCCAAGCGATAACCAGACCCACTTATCTGCTGTTATCGGTAAATCCGTAAACCCGTCCCGGCCCGTTGTATAGTGCTACTCTCTATTCCGTACTCTGTACGCAAGAACGAGTGCTTGGAATTGAAACTATAGAAATTTGATTTTGAGAGTCCTATATACCCTAGTGGTCATTCTGATCCTCCTTACGGACCGACTATAGACAAAAAAAAGTGAACATGGAATAAGCTTCGTAAATACATTGAACTACACATTTTAACCGACCCAGCGTCTGGCGCTGTAGAAGACACGTCCCCAAGGACCAATATCTCCCCAGGTCTCGGCATTGGGTGGCAGCCAGCTGGCAATACCGTTCATGACGGTGCGCTCGGGGTGAGGCATGATGGCCAGGACACGGCCGTCGGGGCTGCGCACACCGGCAATACCCTCGGGACTGCCGTTGGGGTTGTAGGGGTACTTCATGGTGGGCTTCAGAGAAGCATTGTCGACGAAACGAACGGGAGCAAGACCCTCGCGAACAAAGTCCGAAGCCGAGACACCCTGAGAGTTGGCGAAAGAGGCACGACCCTCACCGTGGGCAACGGCGATGGGCAGAGAGGTGCCGTCCATACCATGGAAGAAGACACTGGGGTTGGAAGGATCCGGGTCGGAGATGCGGGCCATACAGACACGACCTTCGTATTGTTCACTGGTGTTGCGCTCGAAGCTGGGCCAGTAGCCTGCGCCGGGAATGAGATCCTTGACGCGAGACAAGAACTGACAACCGTTGCAGACACCGAGGGCGAAGGTGTCGGGGCGCTCGAAGAAGTCTTGGAACTCCTTGCGAGTGTTATCGTGCAGCAGCACGGACTTGGCCCAACCTTGACCGGCGCCGAGGACGTCACCGTAGGAGAAACCACCACAGGCGGCGAGACCGGCGAAGCTGGCAAGAGACACACGGCCGGAGATGATGTCGGTCATGTGAACGTCGACGGCGGAGAATCCGGCGGTGTTGAAGGCGAAGGCCATCTCGGCTTGACTGTTGACACCCTGCTCACGGAGAATGGCAACGCGAGGCTTGTTGGCGAAGGGAGAGTATTGGGAAAGGCTGGTCATCATAGGCAGGCCCTTGTCCTTGGGGTCGAAGGTTGGGTTCCAAGAGAGACCGGGGTTGGCGTCATCAAGGATGTTGGCGTACTCCTGGTCAGCACAGTCCGCGTTGTCACGGATCTTCTGCATGGCGTGGGAGGTCTTGGCCCAGGTCTGCTGGAGGCTGGAACGGGTGTTGCGGTAAATCAGAGAGGCCTTGTGGTAGATGGCAAGGTTCTGCTGAGGCTTCTCAGAGACACGTCCAATCTTGTGGATCAGACCAGGAGGAGGACCGCAGGTAGCGAAGCATGAGCGGAACTGGATCTCGTGCTCCTTGCGAACCTGGAACACGGCACCGAGCTCTTCGGTGAAGAGGGACTCGATAACATCCTTGACGTTGAAGGAAGAGCAGATGGTGTCAAGGGAGATGTCAACACCACAGCGGCCAGCGAACATCATTTCGGCCAAGGTGGTCAGGAGACCACCATCGGAACGGTCGTGGTAGGCCAAGACGATTCCAGCCTCCTGAAGCTGCTGGGTAGCATCGAAGAAGTCACGGAAGAGATCAACGTCGTGAACGTCAGGGCACTCAGAGCCAACTTCGTTGAAGACCTGAGCAAGGGCAGATCCACCAAGAGTCTTGCGACCGAATGAAAGGTCGACAAACATGAGAACAGTCTCGCCGACATCGTCAACACGACGAAGAGCGGGGGTCCAGGTCTTGGTGATATCGCCGACGGGAGCGAAAGCGGAGATGACACAAGACATGGGGGCAGTGACTTCCTTAGCCTCGTTGGAGGCCTCGTCCTTCCACTTCATCTTCATGGACATGGAGTCCTTGCCAACGGGAATACTGATGCCAAGCTTGGGGCACAGATCCAGACCGATGGCCTCGACGGCTTCATAGATAGCGGCGCCCTCACCGGGGTGGTTACCGGCACACATCCAGTTGGCAGACAGCTTGACTTGGCTCAGACGCTCAACAAGGTCGGAGGCAGCAAGGTTCATAAGAGATTCGGCAACAGCCATGCGAGCAGATGCGCCCGCGGAAATGAGAGCCAAGGTAGGCTTCTCACCCATAGCGAAAGCCTCACCGGTCTTGGTACCTTGAGCCAAGGAAGTGGCAGTGACCGAGACATCGGACACTGGAGTTTGCCACTTGCCAACCATCTGGTCACGAGCAGTGAGACCACCAACGGTACGGTCTCCGATGGTAATCAAGAAAGACTTGGAGCCAACTGCGGGCAGCGACAAAACTCTCTTGACAGCCTCATCGACAATGTCCATCTTGACTGACAGGTTAGGCAGGTATTTGGCAAGGCTGGAGTCGACAGCAGGAAGCTTCAGCTTGCGCGAGTCGACAGTGCGTGTCATGCGAGGGGTCTTTCCGAAGAGAACAGACAAGGGCAGGTCGATAGGAGCTGGGTACTCCTTGGACTCCCGGTCAAGAAGGATGAGTCTCTTCTCCTCCTCGGAAGTACCACCTCCACGGCCAACGACGGAGAAGCCACAGCGCTCACGGTTGGCAATGGCAGTGAACTTGTTCATGCTGTCCTCGCCAACAGCCATGACGTAACGCTCCTGGGCCTCACAGCACCAGATTTGCATGGGGCTCATGCTGCGGTCAGTGTTGTCGATTTCACGGAGCTCGAAAGTAGCTCCCAGACCGGAATCATGAATAAGCTCGGGAAGAGCGTTGGAAAGACCACCGGCACCAACGTCGTGGATGAACTTGATGGGGTTGTTGTCTCCCATAGCCACACAGGCGTTGATAACTTCCTGGGCTCGGCGCTGAACCTCGGCGTTGCCGCGCTGAACACTGGCAAAGTCGAGCTCAGCAGATCCTTCGCCAGAAGCGATACTGGAGGCAGCGCCTCCACCCAGACCAATGAGCATGGCAGGGCCACCAAGAACAACGAGGAAAGCACCGGGCTTCACAACTTCCGGGTGCTTGATGGCGTGTTGGGGACGAACGGTTCCAACACCACCAGCGATCATGATGGGCTTGTGGTATCCGCGAACCTCCTTCTCGCCATTGCCCACGTCAATCTCAGTGAGCAGAGTACGGAAGTATCCACCAATGCAAGGACGACCGAACTCGTTGTTGAAAGCAGCACTACCAATAGGCGCCTCAAGCATGATGTCCAAAGCGCTGGCAATGTGGTTGGGCTTGCCAACATCGAGCTCCCATGGCTGCTTGTTGTCAGGAATCAAAAGATCCGACACACAATATCCGGAGAGACCAGCCTTGGGACGGGAGCCCCGACCGACGGCACCCTCGTCACGGATCTCACCACCGGAACCGGTGGCGGCACCTGGGTAAGGTGAAACCGCAGTAGGGTGGTTGTGAGTCTCGACCTTGGCCAAGAAGTGGACGACTTCCTTGGTGTGCAACCATTGTCCAGTGGTGGGGTCGGGAGCCCAGAAGGCGGACTCGGCGCCCTCCAGCACGGCGGCGTTATCGCTGTAGGCACTGACGGTGTGCTCGGGGTGCTTCTTGTGTGTGTTGCGAATCATAGCAAAGAGACTGTTTGGCATGGGCTTGCCATCGATGACCCAAGAGGCATTGAACTGCTTGTGTCGGCAGTGCTCGGAGTTGACCTGCGCGAACATGAAGAGCTCGACATCGGTGGGGTCACGGGCAATGGCACCGTTGGGACCATATGCCTCAGCAAGGTAATCAATCTCTGACTCTTCCAAAGCCAGACCGAGTTCCTTGTTTGCTTCCTGGAGAATCTCCTTGGGCGACTTGGTGCTGTCCTTCAGAGAGATGGTCTTGAGCGGCTGGGGAGCGTGCTCAGAGAACATGAGACTCAGCTCAGGTTCATCCTGGCCGATGATCTGGGTCATGCGGTCATGCAGAGTGTCCAAGTACTTCGGCTTGTAGTCCTCAGCACTGCTGCGAAGACATGAAACCTTCATACCCCGCTCAATGCGCTTGACGTACTTCTGCAAACCACAAACGTGGGAGATGCCGGTTGCCTGCGAGCTCCATGGTGAGACGGTGCCGTTTCGGGGGTAGATGTAGAAGGTATCGAATTCTCCGTCGGTCGATTCGAAGGAAGCAGGGACGTCGGTGATGTCGCCGTAACGAAGCAATTGCTCAAGCACCGCACGCTGGGGCTCGTCCAAAGGTTGCGTGGTGTGGACGTAGTGGATCCACTGAGCACGAACATCCTGCACACCAATGCTAGCAGCAATTGCATGGCCCCGAGAACGGGAAAAGGCGACGGAGCCGGGGATGGCCACGAAGGTATCGGTTGAAGTCATTGTGAAGAAAGGTGAGGCGGATTCTCCCAAGTCAGATTGACACAGGGAGACGGGAGGTTAAATCTCCTGATATCGAGGGAGAAAGAGTGGCTCGAGTGCCTCTCTCAAGTGAGCTTGAGATAGATCTCTAGAGTAGACCGATGACTCTATCGCTTTTTTTGTTAAAAAAATTGTCCGCCCCGCACTAAGCCCAATACGGCTTATCGAAGTGGGTCACGTGCCGATACCGGCCGATTTTATAGTTGGCACCAAATAGACTTTTCGGTCTTACTTTCCTCCTGTTTGCCTTGGGATTGATTCATGCTTAAATTCGTCAAAATTAACGTGCAAATTTCATTTTCTTGCTGTAAGGTTGCGTATGTAAGACTTGTGCAGCTCGAACATCACCTGGGCAATACTTTTCTCCGGCTCAAAAGTGCGGGGGAACTCTTGGCATTCGGGTCATGCTATGTGCCGGAACTGCGTATACTCACTGGCCTACGGGTGTTCGAGTGGCACCACCCATGAACAAATAGCTGCTGTATTGATTAGCATATTGTATGTTGTAGACAATATAGTAGTATACGATCAAGCTTTGAAATAGAATGTGTGCTAACGAAAGCTCAGCGGCAATTATCACTCGATATATATGTTGAACTAGTTTCAAGGTCAAAGAAACTCGGGTGTAACCTTGGGGCCTTCCAACTCAATGCGAGCTTAACATGATGACCGGCGTTGAGCGACCACATGGGCAATGAACTGCTTCCAAAAATTGACCCCAAAAATGGATTTTTGAAAACACATTCTTAGGTAATAGGAATGATACGGTCACTTTGCGATGAAGTAGGTATTGACATGAGATGCTATTGTTGAATTTCTGATTCAATCCCGAGGGTTATTTTGCTACATTAAAGTGCATACGCCCGAGTTCGCGGCCACGGTTGCTGGGGAAAGATGTAGATATGAGCCCAAAGCATCTGTCTGGAATATAGTTGAGCGTAATCACCACCAACCTTGGAAGGAACATACCAATTGAGCAGCCACAAGGCTCGAAGTATTGAATGTGCCAGGCCCCATAGTGCTTTGCTAGCAGGGTGCATTCTGGGTAAATTCTTTGTAGAAAAGAATAATCTGGACTAGTTTTCCTTGAGCATGGCCCAGATTGTCTCCCATCTGCGAAACCTTGGAAGCTCTTGATCGGCTTGATCATTCTGCAATTGAGCCCGATCCACTCGCATCAGCTGGAGAGATTCTTTCATTTCGAAAATATCTTGTTTTTTTGGCTTCGAGTCTTTGTTCAAATTATTCACTTATAGATTCAACCGTATCTTTCCAGAATTTCTCTTCATGCATATTGAGCAGCGATTTCTGCACTTTGTGAGACCCAGATGATAATTCCAGCTTTTTCAGTCAAAGGATACGGCACCAACCAGAAAACTCGACCATAGCTGGTTAGGCAGAGAGCGGAATCTAGACCAGAGGTCGCGTGGAGAATCTGGATCCGCATTGCCTGAGGTAAATTCCCAAAGCGGCAATCACAAAAATTTCCTATTTCGGACATATGCTCCGACACCTGCTTGGATGGCAAATTTGCAAGCAAAGAGCAACGGTTCTGTTTCTGATGCGCTGTGGGTCCAGGTGATGGCGTAGGGAGAAACAGAGTTTTCTACAGAGTAGCTTATTGAAGGAAGCTTCACGATCTGTCACACTGCAGTGACATTCAGGGTTGGGATCCTCAGGGGTGGGTGGAACGAAACCAGCTAATAACAATTTATGGAGGCTGGGATATCTTCCGATGGCTGTCTTGACACATACACCGAAATTTCCAGTAAGCAGATTTTACGTCGCTGTCTTCAATTTCCACATTGCTCGGTGGATTTTGCTCTCTTGATCAATCTCACGCGTGACCCTAGCCCAGACCCACTTCGCCAAGATGGGAAATCGGGAAGGATAACAACTATCATGGATTTTGTTGATGACGGCATAACTCTGAGAATTTGTGATTCAAGCTCCCAAAAGTAGACATCATTCGACACGTGATTGTCTCAAAATTTACATTCTGTATAGCATGTATCACTCATAAACTTATATTTACACGATGGGATACTTATTACCGTAAGGAGCATCAAATCCCGTGGGCATCTCGTCAGATTAACGTGGATGATCAAGAATACGGGAAGTTGACATTAGAAACCTTGGAGCATCATATGTAAAGACTGGATCCCTGAGCCAGATTTTTTCTTGGGTAGAACGTGGCAGACTTTGAAGGATAAGTCGACTTTGTACTAGTTGGTTAGTATGTCGATATAAGCTACGGCGTCGTCGTAGCATATTACCGAGTTCGGCTAGCGCCACACTTCCATATCGGGTAATTGATCTTATCAAAGCCTCCCGTCCAGGAACAAGTCAACCGACCAGTGGCTCGTGGCACGACCCTTCCGTAAATGGCCCGTTGATCAAATTTTAGTAGAAGAAATTTTATCGATCATAAGATATAAAAGAATGCGATGCCTCCAGGTGTTCCAAGCTTCACTCCACAAACATCACACTTTATACTTCTATCTGGGTCAGACCCTCCCATATATCCACTAGTCTAAAACGACTTCAATCAACATGGATACACCTCGATCAGAACAGATCCACACCTCCGCGACCAGCCGGACCGCCTCTGTTGGGTCCGGGGAGCAACCCGATTACCTCAACCTACCTGTCCGCGAGGTCAGTGATGGCGCCGACCTTCGCGAATACACCACCGAAACGAGAACGGGGGAGATCATCAAGCCTGTGAAGTCAAATGTCACCGGCAAAATGGAAGATTGGAAGCTCGTCACTTTCACACTCGATGACCCCGAAAACCCCAAGAACTGGTCAAAGGCATACAAATGGTACTGTACCATGGTTGTTGCTTTCACTTGTTTTGTCGTCGCATTTGCCAGTAGTGTCATCACTGCGGACTTGGAAGGACCAATGGAAGACTTTGGCGTCTCTCGTGAAGTCAGCTTGGTTGTTGTCACGGTCTTTGTCGTTGGATTTGGTGTTGCTAAGCATTTCCAGGACCCGATGATTGTGGCTCTGTGCTGACATGTTGCAGGACCAATGGTATTCGCTCCCATGTCAGAGATCTTCGGACGTCGACCACTCTATGCCATTACCCTCCTCATTGCTGTCATCTTCATCATCCCTTGTGCTGTCTCCAAGAACATCGGAACTCTCATCGTTTGCCGCCTTATCGACGGAATAGCATTCAGTGCGCCTATGACTCTCGTGGGTGGCACTCTGGCAGATCTGTGGAAAAGTGAAGAGCGAGGTGTTCCGATGGCAGCTTTCAGTGCTGCCCCATTCCTTGGCCCCGCCATCGGTCCTCTTGCCGGTGGCTTCTTGGGTGATAACTGTGGATGGCGTTGGCTTTACTGGCTCCAGCTGATCTTGGGATTCGTTTCCTGGGTTCTGATCACCTTCACTGTCCCCGAGACATACGCACCCATTTTGCTGAAGAAGAGGGCCCAGAAGCTCCGAAAGTCTGAGAACGATGACAAGTACACCACCGAAGGCGAGCTTGACCCCCGCCCCATGGGAGAGAAGCTGCGCATCTTCCTCTGGCGCCCCTTCCAGCTTCTCTTCCTTGAGCCTATTGTGCTTTTTATTGCACTTTACATGTCTGTCTTGTATGGTTTGCTGTACATGTTCTTCGTTGCGTAAGTCACCCGCCTTTGTTACCAAATGGCCCGAAAGCTGACCTTGAAACCTAGCTACCCAATTGTGTACCAGGGTGGTAAAGGGTGGAGTGCTTCCATGACTGGACTGATGTTCATTCCTCTCGCCATCGGTGTCCTCATGAGCGCAGCCTGTGCTCCCTTCGTCAACAAGAACTACCTCAAGATCTCAGCCCAATGCGGCGGAAAGCCCCCAGCGGAGAAGCGTCTCATCCCGATGATGTGGTCTTGCTGGCTCGTCCCTATTGGTCTCTTCATCTTTGCCTGGACCTCATATACCGATCTTCACTGGATGGGTCCGGCAATGGGAGGATGGCCCGTTGGCTTCGGCTTTATCTTCTTGTACAACTCGGCCAACAACTACCTTGGTATGTTTCAAAGCCCAACATCTCATTTGGATCGCTCCTAACATATTTTTAGTGGATACCTACCAGCACCAAGCAGCATCTGCTCTCGCAGCCAAGACCTTCCTCCGTTCTATGTGGGGCGCCTCCACTGTTCTGTTTACAGAGCAGATGTACAACCGATTGGGCTACCAGTGGGCTAGCTCCCTCCTCGCTTTCATCGCTTTGGCTTGCTGTGCTATCCCCTATGTGTTCTACTTCAAGGGTGAGGACATTCGTCGATTCTCGAAGTATGCCTTCAGCGATGATGAAGAGCAGGCCATCAAAGCATGAGATCTTCAAAAATTGGAGAGAGAGTGAAACGATAGAGAAGTGGTAATTTTGAAGGGAGTTCATCCAGTTTCAATGATTTGATGACTGTTGTTGCTGGCATGACTGATGTGGAAAAGGATTGGATATTTGATGCGGCGTTTGCGATATTTCAAACATTTAGATTACAAAACATAGATATACATATTTTTTAATGCAAATTGATTAATCAACTACATGATTGGCTTCTCAACCCTCTCAAGAAAGAAGGCAAAAGCCTTGGATATGCGTAATACACCAAAACCCCGAGAAACTGCGTGCTGTATTAACCTTGGAATGGTTGAAGAGTAATACTACTTTCAATCTTGTTTTGACGCCACTTCCCCGTCACCTTCTTCGATTCTCCGATCAGGTCGTTATAGAATTCGTTTAACTACGTGGAAAGGATCACAAGGCGGTGCATAACAAGGCCTAATTATATCGCCAGCTACGCAAATTAATCGACTGATATTGAGAAGACTGAAGCAAACATCTTCATCAAACTAATCTTAGTAAGTGGTTGCCCAGGTGTGCAACATGAATCTGGGAACCTTGGAAATGAAGCCTTTTTACAAACATGACATGCCTGCGAACTCATATCAAAAGTAGATTCGTGTAACGTAGGGAGAGTTATTAGTCGGGGGACTTAAGCTACCACCTGGGCAGCTGAAAATTACGTACGACTGTAGCATGAATGGTCACAAATTACGCACTGACATCTATTTAAGCGCCTCGCTCTTTTAAACAATCTTTCTCTTACTCCGTTCCAAGACCGACAAGTCATCTGAACGTTACTCATATATCCTTCACCCACTATGAATATTCTGCTTCCATCAGAAGAGGAACTCGCTAGCTATGGAAGGCTCCAAATTTCTCTTCGAACGCCGCTAGACACAATTGAAAAAATGTGTTCTATGTGCGTCACTGGGGACTTGGAAGGCTTCCAGGATGTGATGGACTCACTGCTGTCGAGGTCTCAACCGGAGGCTTTCAATATAGGAGATCTTCACGATATAATGCTGGAAGCAATTCAACAGAACAGAGTGGAGATCGTCTCGAACCTTCTCTCCCATGGCTTCCCAATGACGCCCCCTTTTGCTCGAAGGGCAGCAGAATGCAAGGCAAAAGGCGTCCTTGAACGTTTCCTTAAAGCAGGATGGGATATAAATGAGCCGGTTGATGTTTTGAGACCTCCTGCACTTTGGTATATCAGACCCACTCCTCAAAATTAATTTCAATAACAAAACATTTATCGTGATAGCTATGCAGTAAAGGACGCCGAGATGACGAGATGGTTTTTGGACCATGGAGCGAACCCGAATGCGCGATGCGAGGTGGACTGCACCCCATTGTCTTACGCTGTCCGAAATGCAAGTCTCAGTGTCATCGAACTGATGCTGAGCCGTGGAGGTGATGTACAAAAGGGGCAGCTTCTTCAGCGTGCCGTATCTCGAGACGAGCAACTCGGAGATGTCATCTCGCTACTGGTCGATAAAGGTGCGCCTTTGAATGCGACAATGTATGAGGATGGCCCGACTCTGCAGCGGTTTTTTCCCATGAGCTTAGGGACTGCATTGCACATTGCAACAGAGCAGGGGAAAACAGACGCGATCCGTATTTTGATACGTCTTGGGGCAGACACTGGCGTGAAGGATGCTAATGGCGATACCGCTTTAGAATGGGCGAGGAAATGGAATAAAACGGAGCTGGTGGAGTTGCTGAGAGATTTGGAAGAACATTCGTAGTCGTGTCATCCAATTTGAACCTAGGAATGAATTGATACCGGTCTGGACACTCTTCTTTCCTCCAAAGGATTTTATCAAGTACTATCTGCACATTTGCTTCTACTGTGGGTAAGCCTTGAGATCTCGTGAACGTGATCGTTCCGTGTACTGATTGCCTCATTATATCATCTGCAATTTTCTTCGCAGGCTTACGTTTATACCCTGTAGGGTTTATTGTACATACAAGTACTTAGATGAGTGAGTTTATATATGATGTCAATCGGACCAAGACGCCCATTGCGAGGCGTAGTGTTCAAATCCATGATCTTCAAGCAACTTGTCAACCCCTGCCCTCCACTCAGTTGGATTGTCTGTGGCTGAATCTTCCAGAATCAGTCCACGGCTTATTCGAAACTTAGTCCGGATCCAACCCCTTGGGAAATATCCAGCAAGCTCCCAGTCAATGATACCAACTGAGCCGGTCTTCGGGATATCTTCCACTATGATATTTCCGGGGCCAAGGTCGGCATGGTAAAAAACAAAAGTTGAGCAGTCCATGCCCATCGATTCACACGCTTGTTGGAGGTTGCCGGGAGAATAGTCATCTTCCGCGCCGTATTTGATAAGATATGGCTCAAGAGCGTTTTTACCATCCACACCACGAAGCACATCGCACTCCCCTTTCTCGAGAAACTTGCAAACATCTACTATGGCGCTCATGTAGTGACGTCTCCATTTTTGATCCAGATTGGGCCAAGCGTCTCCAAGAGTTCGGCCTTGAACCCTGCTCAGAAACAGATATGAGCGGTCATTGTGTTCTGTTTCGTACAAGACCTTGGGGATATCGAAATGTGGGCGCTGGCTATGAACGAACGCCAATGTTGCAGCTTCTGGTGTTATGCCAGGCTCACACAGCTTGACTTTGCAAAAAGCGCTGTTTCCTATCGACCAGACTGCAGAGCTATCCCCGACATCATAAACCAATTTGACTGACTCATTGGGTTGCTATGGTGAGGATGGAGGCGCAGGAACCGGAGCTTTGGTGAGGGTATAACTCATGTCGTCGTCTTGATCATACCAAGTAGAGGTATCCGAATAGCCTTTTGAGCGACGGAGTTGCAGGGGACCGACAAGCAATGTGCTCGCATCCACCTGTTTGATCGACTCCCTGACAGGTTCAACCATATTGTTGACAATCACAAGCTGTAGAAGCGCTCAAGGTTTTTCTCCCCCAACAAAGTGTGGAATTTGGCAGACAAAAGCTTGTAGATTTCAAGGTTGAAGTGAGCTGATATGGAAGGAAGGGAAGACGGGGAGCTTGTGGATATTATACACGTCGATTTAGGTGAAATGTAAATAGCCCTTACGTTGTGGCTAGAAATAGTCCAATCACATCCATGGATGGATGTCAGGCGGGAGCCCTTGACCCAAAGATGGCCCGGGGCGTCTTAAATTGGCCGACAATTGGTCAAACTCTTTAAATTTTTTCCCCAACAGCGGCTGTACGTACGGAGTAGTGTAATGGACAACAGACAAACTGGCCACATAATGCGGAGTCCTACATGGTGGTATCAATAACAAAGTACTCCGTACACCGTACTGAGGTAGCGATAGCAAGGAGGACCATGCTCTTCCACTACAATATGTAGGTGCCTTGTTAGCTTTCAACTTAACCTCTGAATGTGATCAACAGTACTCATTTACTTACACTCGAAGCTCCACTGTTGTCGGCTGCCACACAGAATGCATGCCAAGACCGTGACCCGGCCACCAGATCTGCTGACGTAATCCATAATCCACCGCCGTTCATCGGATCGCATCGATTTGACCAGTCGTCAGTGAACCCTCTCCCAGCCTTGATTCGATACGAAGGGTCAACAGCCCCCCCCAAGCCTCAAAACAAACTATTCTCCATTCATTCAGTCTTTCCAAATCGTCAAAATGGCTTCCGACGCCACTTCGGCCTCGCCCGCCGAGCTCTACGACTCTACCATGACAGTCCCTTCTGACTCGGAGAACTACTCTGCCAACCACGAAATGTCATCCTCGACGCACTCAGATTCAAGCTCCCCAGTTATTCTCTACAAGCCCCCAAGCATCTGGGGACTCTTGCGCGGCGCGGCCATCAACCTTTTCCTCCCTTTCGTCAACGGTTTGATGCTTGGCTTCGGCGAATTGTTTGCGCACGAAGCTGCTTTCCGACTTGGCTGGTCCAATACCAAGGTATGTGCAAATTTGATAACCGCATCGTATGTGACGATAACTGACGTCTTCCCAGATTTTCCCCAACTACCGCCGGTCCCACCCTGTAGGCCCCGGCGTCGAGATGCGGGAGCTACCCTCAGAGCGCAGACGGCCTGGACTGAGGGACACCGCCTCCCTGGAATAAACTTTTAAAGCTTCACATGGTCCTCGAAAAGAATGCATCTCGCGGGACATAAACCGAAGCAACTGTGATTTGGGATTGATACCTGGCTGCTGTGCACACCTTCAGTGATTGTACATAGACCCGCAGAATCGGGGGCGTTTGGCGAATTTAGGACTTGCATCAAGCCAGTTGTTTTATCATGAGCATATTAGAATATTCGAGTCTACATATTTCCCGTGTTTTGGTACCTGATCCCCGTAGGCGTCCGGGGTGTTTACCGTCCGCCCGGCAGAAAAAAAGCCGCGCCGAGAGGCAGGAGACTCTCTTCCGCATTGTCTCCCCGTCACTTTTTATCACCTCAACCATAATGCTGGGATCCCGAGGCCTTAAAGGCCCTAGCGCAGCCGCTGCGATTGCCCGTCAGCGTATGACTGCCGTCTCCCAGTCTTCTCGGTCGGTTCGTTCTCCTACCCCGGGCTTGTAAAAAACACCGAAATTGACATGACTCCAGATCTCCACCTTCCGCTCACAAGCCCTGCGCGGATCCAGTCAACGGGGTCAATTGAAGTCTGCACTCTCTGGAAATGCATCATGGCGCATCGCACCCGCCGCTGCTGGCCCGGCCGCAATCCGATTCAATTCCACCTCCTCCGGCCCTACGCCCCCGATTTCACCCCCGATGCCTCTACAACCGACTCCCTGAACAACTTAACGGACATTCATGATATTACCACGATCCCGGAGCGAATCGGATACCTCAAGGAGCTTGGGCTAGACTACGGTTGGGGCCCCAGTGCGCTCATGCAGTACCTGATCGAGCACGTTCACATCTACTCTGACTTGCCTTGGTGGGCCAGTATCGTTGCTGTCAGTGTTCTGAGTCGTGCGATTCTGTTCAAGCCTGTCATGAATGCTTCTGAGAGTGCTGCCAGAATGACCAATGTCAAGGACAAGATTGACCCGCTCCGAGCCAGAATGGTCGCACTCACGCGTGAGGGAAAGCAGCAAGAGGCACAGATGGTAAGGGCTGAGTTGTCTCAACTCCACAAAGATCACGGCATCAAACCGTGGGTGTCAGCCATTCCTATGCTACAAATGCCCCTCGGTTATGGATGTTTCCGAACCGTGCGAGGCATGACCTCTTTGCCGGTTCCCGGCATCGCAGCTGAGTCTGTCGGCTGGCTCAACGATCTCACTGTCTCTGATCCCACGTTCATCTTGCCGGCTGCCGCTGCGGGTATGCTGGTTCTAACTCTGAAGGTGAGTTCGTGATCTAGTGCTTAGCTATCTTATCGGAGTTCTAACATGAGGTAACAGAGAGGAGGTGAAACCGGTGCCATGCCTATTATGGATTCATCTACCGGCAAGTCGATCATGTATGGTCTTCCTGCCGTCTCTTTCGCATTCATGGCTTTCATGCCCAGTGCGCTCCAGCTTTACTTCGTGGCATCCGGTTTGTTCGGTTTGACACAAACCCACCTTATCAACTCGCCTAAATTCCGCACTTGGGCGGGCTTGACTATCCCCAAGAAGGTGGTTGCCAACGGGCCCTCGGAATCTGTCAAGAACATCCAGAGCAAGGCTCTCCGCGTGACCCTGGAACGAATTGAGAAGGAGAAGGCTGCGAAGAAGAAGGCCGAAGAGCAAAGGCTCTTGAAACTCCAAGGCGAGCCCCAACAGGTTAGCTTCATTGATCGTATCTTGGCAAACGGCAAGGACCTGGGCAAGAACATGTCCAAGGAAATCGGCGAAAAGTTTGGAACCTCATCCTTCGAGGAGCGTGAGATTAAGGAGCAAAAGAGACGTGCTGGTGAATACGAGCAAGAGCGCAGGGACGAGGACGAGGCTTTGCGTGCCAAGCGCAACGAGGCTCGTAGACTGGAACACTTGAAGATCCTCGAAAATGAGAAGAACAAGGCCAGCCAATCTTGGAACGCCAACAAGGCGGGACAGCGACGAGGATGATTGTATTTATATACTTTTTTTGTACATTATGGCGCTGTGGCATTTGCATGTTTGATTAAATGTTAGAGATATGTCTAGAATCTCCACCTGGATATTTAAACTTGTCATTTGGAAATTGGGTGAACCTACCCGTAGACGACGTACTTCCAACCTTGGAAGGTTGATTTCAAGGTTTCCTCTGCCATTTCTTGGCCTTCCCTTCCCTTCCCAGCCCTGGAGGTTTCCGTTTGAGTGCCCAGCAGAATCAGCAGTGAAGTAGCTTTGGGATTCGTTTCCAAGGTTTATCCATGTCAGGCTTCAAAGGTTCTCAAAGAGACACATAGTTAGCAGAAGTAGCCAAATAGATCGTATTTTTTCTGTAGGCCAGGTTGGCATCTAGGAATTCGATCGAAATTCGAGAACGTCGAATAACAGCTAACCAGTCCAGGTTCAGGACCTAATTTAACTCAGATTGTCCAGATCTTGACTTGACGGTGTTCCACCGTCTTCCGATAGCAACTCCAGGATGTAAAATGGTTAACCATAGACAAGCAATTGACACCATAGCTCCATCTAGCACCATTAAAACAGGCTCATTATTTGCCAGACTACTTTCAAACCCACCATTCAGCTCGAAGACCCGGAAGAAAGATCGAATGAAAATAGTGATGGTGGCGGTAGGGATACCTGTTGATAATTCTTGTCAGCATACATGTGCTGCCGATTCTTCGAAGGTTAAGTCATTGCTCACAAATCAAAAATAATCTCCACTTTCGACTTGCCCTGATGTCGAGAAATTCTGGATCGGGTAACCAGTGTGAACCGGTGGCTTTGAGCCTAACCGATCGTATATTTGACCTGATTGTAAAATCAATGCCAAAGGCCATGAAAATACCCATGGCAGCAACTTGAAATGCGAGACCTGCAATCATGATATTGATCCCTTCGTTTCGAACCACACTGTCTTCAGCAGAAGACGTGATTGCACCTCCTGCGGCTTGCAATATCAAAGAGATCACATCGCAAGTTACAAATATGATCGTGTATGTCCGAGGCTTGATGCGTGATATGTTTTCGCCTTCTTGTATAATGATTATTCGACCCAAACAGAGATAAATCGCCGCTCCGAAGAAGGCTGGTGCAATAGTAAGGCAGACAAGATAACTGCGTTGATTGCAACATATTAGCGATATAACTTTCAATTTCATGAGAACAGTAAAAGAAAATAGCGGGCCTTACAGTAGAAAATTTGTAAATCTGAACGGATTACAATGCAATTTTACTCGTCCGACGTATCCCAGCACCTCTAGAATGAGACCGCATATCATGGTAGCAGAGAACGCCCAAGCACGGTAGTGTACTAAAAGTATCACTTGCGCAAGCAAAAGGATAGAGAAAAGAGTCAAGTAGAAAGCATTTCCGGCGATTGAAGGCAGATATTGAATATAAGCAAGGTCGAGAGAGCACGTCTGTAGCGTGCACGCATCAAAGGTCGACATGATCAATTGAGAAACGCGTACGGAAGTAGATGCTTGACCTTCTCACGTACCTTCGACAAGGGAAATGTGAACTTTCAACTTTTTCAAACGGCCAATACATAGTTACCATTATATACAGTATATACCCGGGGATCTATACATAATGAGCTCGGAGTCTATCATCAACTGGGACGCTGGTATGATACCATGTTACGTGACCTGCTATAGTTACAAGACACCGAGGGCCCGAGGACAGTCGATTAGTCATTCAAAGTTCGGCACCGAGAGAAGCACCTTGTCAAGCCCAACGGAACTTGGATTCTTCACAGCTTCGGCCCGGTCTTTTGCATGCTCTCATGCTATTGATTATCAGACTCGGCCTTTATTTTTATTAATCAAGTTATTCTTGGAGATTTGGGGTTTGATCCGAGTGATAATGCCGACGTCTCGGATGGGCAAGTCGTGCTTTCAATGCCGAAATCGCAAAGTCCGATGTCTTGGTATGCTCATCTACCCTCAATTCGTAGCAGAAGAAGTTTCGATAGAATGCTTATTAGATCATAGTTCCAACTACGTCTCCAGGAGAGCCTGTAGCATGCACTCATTGTATTGTACATGTTGTGAATTGAAAAACCTCCAACTAGCAACTCACTTATCTCCTTCTAGAAACGAAATGAAACCTGTACATTCGGCACCGTGAAGGACAGGCCATCAAGGAGGAGCGGTATGCCTTCTTTTCAATAGCACTTGTGGCTTGTTCATCAATCTAAAAGGAAATTGCTGACTTCAGCTTTGGCAGTTAAATCTGTTGACTATGAGCCACCGACAAGCTTGTTCATAGACCGTTTGATTGAAAATCCATCAGAGAGGGCACATCTGTATGATGAATTCTCCATCTTGAGGGTAAGTTTATGATCTCAGAAATTTGAGCAACCTGATTAATGACCACAACAGGCCGATGATGCACGCGGTTTGTTCCCCTGAGCCGACTGCAATTTCTCTTTTAATTATGTTTCTTAGTGCCGAGCTCCGGACTTGCATTTTTCTCAGAGAAAAAGCTTGAATCCCTCGTGAAAAGATTAGGGAGTTCTGAAATAAGAGAACTTGTCCATCAAATCGACAACGAAATCAGAACGCGCTTCCTGGCCAGCACTAACAATGATAATGCCTTCGCTCACGGTGTGCGACCACTGGCCCTCGAGCAGCCCTCGTCGGATGAACTTCAAAGCTACGCAAACAGTTGGTTCAGCAATGCTCTGAATTAATGATTGAGACTTATCCACTTTCAGGTTACTTTGAAATCGTCCATCCTGTATTTCCGTTTTTGGATCGATCGGACTTTGAGGAAAGGATAAACGATGCTCAGTTGTCTCAAAACCTGAAAACTGATTCCGCGTTTTGCGCTCTTTTCTACGCTGTCATGGCTCTGGGATGCCAGTATCATGGGCGCGGTACGTTTCAGCCGGGTGTTGGAGAAGCCTGGAAGTTCTTTCAAACATCTTTCAGTTATGTATCTGGTATTATCACAAGCCAGGCATCTCTGCCCAATCTCCAAGTCAGTCTTTAGCTTGTCTGGTTGTTTTATCCGCTGACTGTTGTGCAGGCTCTCATTGCAATGGTGCGTCACCTTTTTACTCACAACCACCATAATGATACTTTGGATTCTAACTCCCCAAGGCAATTTTTGCGTTGAACACAAGCTCGCTACAGATTGAGAATTTTCTAATAGCGGAGGCCTGTCGCACTGTTCTTACACTCAGGTATCAAAAGTCGATCCTTATCGATTGCAACGATGCTGCTTGTTACCGAGCATTTTGGGTGGTGTATCATATGGAAAAGCAGTACAGCTTTCAAGCGAGAAGTAGCTCGGTACGTCACTTCTCTACCTTGAGTCAGGTCAGGAAATAACTTCTCAGGCTATCATCGATCTTGATGTCGGATGCCAAATTCCTTCGGTTCCGGAATCTGTTGTCAAAGGCTACAACTGGTTCATGGCCTCCATCCGCATCAGCCGAATATTTTCCATCACCTATGATACTCTATTTTCAGTTAATGCGTCCACTCAACCAATAGCGTCCCTGCTTCTGGCAGTTGACCATATCCAGAAACTTCTCGAGGGTTGGAGGCAATCGATTCCTCTTGTTTACAGACCCGGAGAGGTATTACAAAGACTTTCTTTTGCTGATATGAGTACCAAAGAGATCGCCATCCGAACTCATTTCTATTATTTCCACCTGATCATTGCACTGGAGCGAATGAGGCTTCACCACAGTCGAGACAGACAAACGGCAGATAATAGTCTACAGACCATGCTCAAAGCTGCTACAACGGTAGCTGAGCTCACTCGGTTCATTGACGTGGAACCTTATACACCCGTCTTGTGAGTATTCCTGTTTCCAATTTGACATTGTTCAGATCTTTGTGTTTAACTCATATATCAGCATCTTGTCTATCATGCCACTGTCTGCGCTCTTCATACTTTTTGACTTCATCATTCACTGTCCTGCTCGCCCGGATATCCGGGAAAAATTGACTTTACTCGACATTTTGTCTGGTCATTTCAGCATGCTCGAACACGCTTCTGGCGGATTATTACCTGGCAATTATCTGTCTCGCTTTGCGCATATTGCAAGACGACATGTTGAGACATTCACAAGCCAATCGGCTAACAATACCCGAAACGACTCATCTTCGATATTCGGGAGTGAGCAAAATCAGCAGGACACTTCTAACACAGGAGATGTCTCGGTCGGTGGAAATACAGAAAGTGACGAGGTATGTGTTATATGAGTCGACTCCGTTGGTGGCCAAGAACCGTGACTGATAAGATATTCTACAGACCGCTTCCTCGAGTCATCACTATATCAACGACAGCTTTAGCCAAGAGCCCCTCGCTGGTGTTGATGCCTATGATGAATCAGGTACCGAAATTGCCACACCTTATAGTACCGACATATGGCCGTTCCCCCTGCAAATAGAAAGTGAAATTGGATTCAATGCCCTGTTTGCGTCGGCGGTATCATGGGAAAATTTGATGGACTCAGCTAGGTCAGATGCAGGGGGAATAATTAGTGATTCTAACGAACTCGAGTCTATCCGGAGGCCACAAAGATCATTGATCAAGCGAAGGTGCAATAATTTGAATTTTTAGGTTTTATACATAAGCAGGCTATTGGAAAGAGTGGTAAATCCAAAGGTTGAGATGAATATCCTATTACAGGGTTTTACACCAATTAGAGACTCAACACAAAGTTGGCTACTCCGTAACTATTTGGTCCCAGTTCGGCCAGTAAATGTGGAGGAAGTCTGGCCTACAAATAGTGAGTGGGTCTTCGACAACTGGGCTCGGGGCCGAGATTTCCATACTACTGGGAACACCTTCGGCACTGGTTGAATTTGATGCCGAACACATAGATTAGCTTAGCCCAATAAAAGGGATAGAGGCTGACAGCCAAAGATAGCCTACGTTCTCTCGTTTCAGTTTTCTCAACTACCTTTTTGTACTTCAGGTAGTTGAAGGTTCGGGTACCAGCCTCCTAAGGTCACAATGAGCGTAACCTCGCACGAGGCTCTATCCATTGTCATTATCATTTATTTTTGCCCTGCATTCTTTGTTGCGGGGTGGATCTGTCGCTGTCATGGGTGTGGTAAACAGCTCGGCTGGCTTTACATGGCACTGCTTTGTCTTGTGCGTGTTGTAGGATCAGCCTTGCAGATTGCTAGCGAGATCAATCACGAATCCAGCCTTCACACTGCGGCCGGTGTGATTAATTCTCTTGGAACCATGGCCTTGCTGCTTGGAATGCTGGAAATTATCGATCAATTGTGAGTTCGGAATGCTTGAATGTGGCCCTCAATTAGGTACGACTTGTGCTGACTATTCTTTAGTGAATCGACACTCCAATCCAAGCCTGTTCATCAGAGAGCATGGACGTTCCTCCATCTCGCCCAATATGCCGCCTTCATACTCTACGCCGTGGGAATGGGAATGGGAAGAGCGGACCTCAACAAAGCGGCTTCTATTATCGTGGTGGTTGTCTTTGTCGTCCAAGTGACAATATGTGGAGTCTTGTTCCGCCACAAGCATGAGCTTGCAAGTGAAAACAGATTACTACTCGTTGCAATTGCAAGCATCCCGTTCCTAGGAGTACATGTCGCCTATGGGCTTTCAACAATACTCGTTCCCAGTGACAGTGCCTTCACCAATGGGCTGACGAACGTCCTCGTCAGCGCGTTCTTACAATACTTGATGGAGTTCATCGTCACAACACTCTTTCTCTACGCGAGTGTTGTTTTCTTGCCCGGCAAGCAGGTTGAATCTGATAATTTTGGAATTAATTTGATTGATGAAAATCGAAGCGGTGGGAACTATATCAAACTACTCTCCAGTCTTTAAAGTTTGCTGACTGAAATTTCCAGCATCGAAAAACTGATTGTATTTTTATGAATCTGATCTCCAATGGCTATGGGTTAGCTGAGACGCAAAATCGAGATTGGAAGCCAAAACTTAAAAGAAAAATATGGACTTGTAGTACTGCATATAAGCTATTCCGGACCGCAATGTCTGCACCGAGGAGTCCGGGAATAGACTGGGAACCCATCACTAGCATATCAGCTATCCTGGGAGGATGTTGAGAAGACGCTTTTTCTTCGAGCCAAGACGTTGGAGGCTGTCTTGAATTTTGCAGAGGCTTCACAACGGCCCCGAAGCCGCGCACCATGAGTGAAACAGTCCAATAAAAGAAAAAAGGGTACGACGATCTGCTCTCGATTCAAAAACAGACAAGTCTACCTGCTGGGGTCCAATTGATCTTTCTTAGTTCCATATCCTTCTTTGGGCATGTTAATTGGAGGATCATGAAACGGGTTTTGTCCGTCCCCGTACAAGAATTCATCAACCTCCTCTCCAATCCATCTCGCACGCCCTGGAAGAGTGATATCTTGATTGCAGCCAATAGTCACAGTGCGCCGTCGATCTGACCAGAGACGGCTTTCCCGGATTTCCTCGCGCGTCTTTGCAAGGAAAGAATGCCAATTTCCGTTATCCACGAATGTTAAGAAACTTAATCTCACAGTTCGCATAGTCGCAGGTAGCTCTGCAAGGAACGATATCATGTCAGATTCGCTGACTATCAATCGTGATAGCTCAAAGTGTTGGAGTTTGGGCCAGTTCTCAATGGGGAATATGTCATTCAAGGGCACAGGCGCCACGTTGTGCAGATTCTTGTGTTCGTTTTCGGCGTCAATTCCTGTGGTGGCGAGGCTGAGCTCTTCCAGGTCGCCTGCTTCGCGTAAGATATTATGGAGCTTTTCATGGGGGAATGATTGCCATGTTCCAGCGAGAGTAAATGAGAGATCGAGGCGACGGAAGCCTGGTTTCTTAAGTAGCGTGGCCAAGTGATTATATTCCTCACAAGTGTCATCAATAATTGTGCAGTTAATTCCCGTGCGAAGTAGGCGGGAATCTACACTGAACTCGACGATATTATTCTTTTGTTCAGCGAGCGCGCGTACCACGACCCGGAATCCGCGGAACTTTTCTTTGTGCACTTCGTTAAGCCGTTTCCAAGGAAGTGAATACACCTCCTCTGGTTGCTCGTGACTAGGAAGTGGCCACCCGCGGGGCATGGGATAATTGAATCTTTCGGGGAATGATCGAATCATGGGAGTTTGATAAAGTGGGTTGAAAAGAAAGCCATGAGCTGCAGGCGTGACATTCACTTTTGTGAGTGCAGGGAATCGTTTCAATCCATGAATGAATGCTTTTTCGTCGGATTTCCCAACTAAAACATCGTCTTGCTGCCGGATCAAAGTGCGGTGAAACTCCCAGCACTCACTCAGTGGAGGCCCTATCGAGCCCAGCTGTCTCATGGTCTTGCAATCCGGATCTTCAACATCGACCCAATCGTCACCAGCCTGTCGCCAGAAAGCATCTTCAACACTCGCAGCGCATCCAGCCTTGTACCATACCGGACAATCTTTCTTTCTGAATTTTGTACTTCTGCGTAGCTGATCGGAAGGGTCGCCGTCTCCCTCGTCATCCTCATCCTCATCCTCATCTTCATCATCACTATATTCGCGAGGCCAGTCTAGCTCATAGCTTCCCTGAAAACGCGAAATCTCAGTCTCGTTATCACTGATCTCCTCGTCTGATATCATTTCGCTTTCCCAGCCAGGAAGTCTACGACGTATTAAAGGACCCCTGGGAAGTCGGGCATCATCCCAGACGATCTCTGTGACCTGGTGCCTAAACTTCTCATGATCTGCGACAGCACGAAACACTGCGATATTCAAAGGGTTAGCTGACAAAAACACTCGCTGGAGACGTAGTTCCACTGCGCTTGAGAATTGTTTGGTGGCGAGGCGCATGGACTTGATGTCGCGATTTGTGAGATAGGATGTGATTTGGTGTCATAGCTCCAGAGAGAGAGTAATCTGGCCAGTAGAACCCATGACTGAGATAGTCGAAGAGGAAAACAACGGAATCGCTGGGAAATTGGGGGTCGCTTTAGCCTCAGCCCCACCATCCAAGCACCCTGGTATGATCAACGCTGACTAGTTGGAACAGGTGCAATTTCTTGATTTCGGATTCGTTTAATTCATTCACTTTGCTTATTTCAAAATATTGTCTTTGATCACCTTTCCACATGGTCGAAACAGCTTGCTATAGTGGACGCCGACGAAGTAGAGACCGAGCGAGAAGTAACGGCTGAGATACCCGCGCAACAAGACCTGCTTTGGGGGATTGTGCAGGGATAGTTGTATGAGCTCGGCTGAGAATCAGCACTGGTGAGTGTACTGCTACTTCCATTGGCCGAGGAATACCCAGCGTGTCATTTTTGGCCATCGATGGGTTCCACAGAATGAAGTCCTGGCTGCAGTGTTTGCTCTCTGAAGTTCCTGAATGAGTTGGAAGAACGGACCCCGGGGGAAATGTCCCAGACCATGGCAAGGGACCAGCAACCAAGTAATCTGATTTGAGCCCCATACTTGAAGTCCCCACCTGGGCATACCAAAGGTTTTATGCCTGGCCCCGGGGGCCGAGCTACCTAGGTAACATTTGATGATCAGGGCTTGGTGGCAAATGGGCTGGACGTGATCTTCTTGCTTCTTATTTATAGGTAGCTGAGGTAATCTCGGACCTTGTAATTCTTCGCTTTTGAACACTTTGCGTAGGAACTTGCCCATGACAACAGCATTCATCGAAAAACACGGAACTGACTGCACAGGTCCAAGGGTGTCTCCGAACGCCTGATATACATACACATAGACTGCAAATCAATCCAACCAAAATCCACAGGTATTCCAGGGCTGAGGGGATTGAATTTAAGTGGTCTGCATAGGAATCGAAACTGCAGGCAGCGGCAATGTGGTCTTCTCATCCTCGACAAATACAGCCCGCTCCAGCTTCTGTGTGAGAGAACCGCAGAAAGTATCAACGTACGCCGTCCACAACGCCGCTAAAACGTATACCAACCCTATCCAAACAGGAATGCTCACCCCGACCACCCACGCAGACCGAAGAGGAAGCCAGTCATCACGTTGATCATCCGTGAGAGCTTCAGGCCCCTGCCAAGGCTGTCCACTGATTCCATACAGCATCCAGCAAAGCACGACGCGAAGCATCGTGCCATGGATAAGATATACAGCGAAACTTTGCTTGCCGAGCCAGAGAAGCAATCGGCTGGAGAGGAAGTCTTTGGTCGAGGGGGAGAAGAAGATTGCGAGAATGATCAGGTCAATTGCAAGTGCGGTGTAGCGTTTGCCAATGTTGACTTCTGGTGGGAAGATGAAGTGGCTTGCTTTGAACATTAGATTCGACCAGCCTGCCCATTCTGGGTGTTCGCCTGGATATGAGGCGATCAGTAAACCGATTATAGTTAGAGGAATTGTAAGCATTTTTCGACCGCGAGGGTGGTTTTCGATCCAATCTTTCAGGGATTTGCTGTATGAGAAGTCACATAGAAACATGCCGTAGATGGCCTGCAGTTGGAAGGTTTCTAGACGAGTCAGTAGTTGCTTTCACATATGATGAAGTTTCCCAGTAGTTTCAATTCGAGCATCAAGAATGAAGTGCAGGGACAACGAACCTATGTTCTTCGCTGTATTCTGGTGGAAATAGAGCATCATGCCGATGTAAATCAACACTCTAAACCGAAATTTGACAAACATCGTTGCCGAAAGCGTGATATAGACCAGCATCGACGACAAGAGCAGCGGTAGCAAAGCCCATTGATGATCATCATAGGCCATATATCCCGTTGTCCAAGTCGACAAGAAATTCTTTGGCAGACGGACAAGTTCCTTCCAGAACGAATCCTCCAGATCGGGCGCCGCATATCGACACCACCAGCAGTCCGACCTATTCGCAACAATAAACCCCCCGAACTGCGCAATGACCCAGGATATCACGAGAGCAATGGTCGATGGGAATATGAGTCGTGGCGGTCGACGGAAGGCACTTTTTGCTATTGTCACAAATGCACTGGTTGTATCGCCTGCTCGCGAGAGCTTCAGTGGTTTCAGCGCGCAGACGTAGCCGGTCAAGAAGGCAAAGATGGTCACGCCAATTCGGCCTTGCCAGGGAATGCGCAGGATCGGCCATTGGAGGATCCGTGGGGTTGCATTTTCGTTGTCGCGTGGTGAGAATAAGTCATAATCCCATGCTCGCGCGAGATGGGTGAGTACCACTAAAAATGAAGCGATGCCCCGGAGGCCCTGGATCAAGATACTTATTAGACTCCTGTCATTCCTTGACTACGACCTCGGAAATGGATATCTGACTCACATCAATCCACTTGACGCTTTTCCTAGGGTCTCCCTTCACTGATGAATCGCCAGAAGACCATGGTAGAGCTGTCGGTATTGTGTCTATCAAACGAGTGTACAAATGCGATGGCTGGAGGTATTGCATTATCAGTATAAAAGGACGGAAGAATTCAATTTGGAAAGCAGCCAGGCTATGGAGTAGACACGAAGGTCGAGTCGTGACGCCCTCTCCAGCCAGAAGTGAGGATATAAATGAAGGTTTAGGACAGAACACAAACACCCCAGAGACGCAGCCCAGACATAAATCCAAAATCAACAGAAACAGCCACTCGGCGATCGCATCAGCCAAGAAAGAAGGGGGTTGAAGCCTCTGCCTTGACGCGGCCTAGAAGGAAGTTTGAACTCCTAGTATTTTCTACATCCAATGATACCTCCCCGATCCCACCACGCTTTTGAGTGAGGAATTGTCCGTCGTGGAGCAGTCCCACATAACAGCGAGATCTGTTTGTGGGGGTGATCGTCCATTCGCAATTATGGAAACGCCGGATATCCACCCTTGCAGCCCTGCGCTTGGGCGTTCTGCAGGGTCGGATGATCACCCTCATTCCTATTCCTGGTGGCTTGTGCCTGGAACAATAACACGATGTAAATAGATCATGTACTCCGCAGATTTTGATCAGTTGTGTACCTCTTTTCAACCTCACATCCAACTACTCCGCACAAGGTATTGTGTGCTTCTGCTCTGCGTACAGATATTTGGAATGCCAATGACAAACAATACCCTGGGCATGATCTGAGCTATACGATCCGCGCACAGAGAGCAAGGCAGCAGGACAGAAGTTTACAAACCCACCAGTCTCCGGAGTAGCGTCATCTAGGAGGGCGCTCGCGTGCCCCGAGCCATGGTCTGTTACACCAAGGCCGCGGAGTTGACCCGGGTTGAAAATGCAATCCTGAGTTATTGTCTTCAACGAATGGCGAGTGTACATGAGTAATGGATTGCAATATCGTTTGCAAGGACAGTCTCATGACACCGCGCAGTATGGAGTACTTTCAGCAGCAAACAGCTCGAACTAACGCTCGGGGCATTCTTCGCCAACAATGAATCGGATAGATGCGCCACTGCCAAGATCGGACGCCGACCTCCCTAGTCGCATAGGTCAGATTCATGAGAATGCAGCTGTCAATCATTGGAGATAAAGCCCACGGTCTGAAAACAAAGATTGGAAATCGGTCTACGACTTACAAGGGCTGTGAGGCTGCGAGTGGAGACCCGATAGGGAGTCTCAAATGATTTGAATATGTTCCAAATAATCGTGATATCAAACAGCTCGCGGACCCCGTCCGCCCTAGTAATTCCGACGCAAACCCACCACAACCAATATGATTAATAGACATGAAAAGTGAAATAAGAGCCTCGCGCCAGTATGCAATGAAAAAAGAAGTCGCCGTAGAGTTTATCTGAATAGTCGGCGTCCACCCGCTGTTCCTGAGTTCCATGTATAAGATCCTCGAACCCCCATGTTCTCCAAACTCATTCCGGAGTAACCAACACCACCACCCTCGCCATTTCGCTTTGTTCGTCTGACCGCCTCGCGGAGATGGGCGGGTAAAAGCTGGCCTCGATGTGGGTTAGGCGGTGGTCGGAACTCACGCTTTGGGCGGAGAGGGGCTGACGTTGAGTTGAGCGAAGGTTGCGTGTTGTTGTGGGGCGGGAGAGAAGAAGTGGGTGTGCTATCGGAGTCTTGGGGCTCCTTTTTGACGCCATTGGTGCCTGTCCCAGGAACCGGAGTGCCAGCCGGAGTTGGTGTTGAGGTTTTGGAGGCTGTAGCACCCGATGAGGCTTTTGCTTGTGCTGCGGCTTCAGCAGCGGCTTCTTCAGCCTCGAAAGCGTCCCGTGCAGCGAGATCATGCGCGTCGGCCCACTGGGTCTGAACTGTACGGGCCATTTCAATCATCTCACCGGCGAAGACTTTGGTGAAACCGTTGACGGTTGTAACCACGCTCGCCGGGACGGATTGGGAGAGAGCGTGATTGACGATGCGGCGAAGGGTTTCTTTGCGCAGCTTCGCTCGCTTGAAGAGGTCGTATCGCTCTGACTGCATGGGATTGAAGGCATCAACCAGAATCCTATCCATATGTTAGCTTGACAACGTATTGAATGTGTTGAGAATCGAAAACGCACGCTAGGTTCTTTTTCTCGGCCTCTGTATCAGTAGCACCTTCCTGCTGGCCGAAAAGTTCAGCCTCGTCGTCCTCATCATCATCATCCCCGTCGTCTGCACCGCCGCCACCACCACCGCCGCCGCCAGAAGGACCACCTCTCACGGAGCCCTCATTCTCCACAGATCCGAAGCGTGTTGACTCTCCTCCTCTGGCGCTGAGAGCATCCTGTTCCCGTTCGCGCTCCTTCTCCACCTTGCTTTTGCGCCCACGCTTTTTTCCCTTCGCCGCACCAGCAAAGACACCATCTGCACTTGCTCCACCGAGACTACCCGTGTAGCTGCCAGTGACACTTCCAGCGTCACTTGTGCCACCAAAACTGCGTTCAGGATCAATACCGGTCGGGAATGAAGTCTGACGGAGCGGGTGCATGCGCTGCTTTTTGCCCAGCGGTTGCGAGGAAGTCGAGGAGATCGAGGGTCGTTTGAGGGGGTTGGAAGACGATTGGTAAGGCGGAGGTGACGACATTGTGAGATGAATCCGAGTCAACTGGAGGATTCAGGCGCAAGGTGGAGCTTTCGGTACTCTTCACACCTGCGGTGACGCGCCTCCGGGATTGCGAATCGAGAAGCTAGGAGAATGGATTGGCGCAGTTTCCATGCGCGAGAGCTTTGCGCTGGAACAATTCTTAACAGTATGGAATCGCAACGGGGGATGAGTGACACAAGCTACGATGGATCCGAAGTTTGATAGACGCGATAAGGACGCACCTCACCGCTTTCCTTATCTGGGATATCACCTAGCCCTACAATGACGCACGGGTACGCGACTACGTCAAAAGTCTTGTTAAAGCCACGACGAGCGAAGATTATCGAAGTATCTCACTTGACCTAAAGTCTAAGCACATGAAGTATCATATAAAGATGTACAATAGGAACTAAACATGATATTGAACTTGCCAATAGGTGACAATCCACTAATCTGAAACAAAAAAAGAATGAATCGCTCAGCGTGATCATGCAGTGCTGTGCAATATGTATGCTAAGAGAAAGACATTCGAAAAAGACACAAGAATTGAATAAAGCAGCGCAAAGTTGACAGGAAACTGAACAAGTAGAAAGGTCGCAGCCGCGACCGGAAGAAGTTCATTCAGAACCACACATGATGAGGTTCCTAGAATCCCTTCTCTCCAAGTCGAGGTGCCCCCCCTTTCCAATCATTGCGCTCGTAGTAACGGAACACAAGATCATAACCGTTCAGATCATGGACGATGCGGTCGACACGGCGGTAGCCTTCGACATGTTCCATCTTGTTGCTGCGACGAGCAGCCTGGCGCTGAGCGTGCGCTGGGTCGTGGGCGCCATTGGCCTCGTCGACCTCATCAAGAGCCGGCTTGGTTTCGAACAAAGTGATGCTGAATCGGCCGGGCTTGAAGATCTCAATGACCTGCTTGATGATGTCTGCAGTGGCCTTGCCGTTCTGGCTGTGCGGGACGTTGGTCTCAAAGGACGCGTAAGAACACTGAGGCTCCGGGGTGACGTGCACGGTGAAGTAATGAGTTGGACCGTTGTCGGGAGCTGGCACGACACCGTTGGCGGAGAAGCCGCATGGCGTGAAGAGGTATGCGTCAATGCGAGCATCAGGGAACTTGCTCTTGGAGTAGACGTCGGACAAGCCGCACGACTCGGAAACCACAGTGCCCAAGGCGTGGCCCTCGGTGGTGAGCTCGGGCGGCAGAATGCCACCAGTCTCCTCATCCATGTCGGAAGTGTTGCTGAAGACGTCCACATGATCGTCGGCTCCTTCCTTTTCACGGTGGCGCTTTTCGGCCACAGCGGTAGCGTTATCCAGGTAGAACTGCTTGGCGTTCTCCTCGTCAAGATCGGTCATCAGAACCTCGAGAGTCTCATCATGCTCATTGCAATCAGTGCGCGGGGCGGCATCGGGGAAGTTCAGAACCTTAGTTTGGGTCTCTTGGAAGGTGACTTCCTCCTTGGGGCTCGCGGGCGGAGTAAGCATGGTACCTGGCTCAGTGAGGTATAGGTACCAGTGCTCTCCGTTCATCTTGCCAATCATGTAGGCACTGCCATTGACAAACAATTTGTCCATGGAGCGAACTTCGTCACGCCAGCTGCGGTGAGGGCCGCGCTGACGATCGGGGAACAAAAAGTTCTTTCGGCTGTAGAAGACTCTGTACGGAGCTGCTGCCACAGTGATGCCCCGAGATGCAGGGGCAGTGGCCCGAGGGAACCCGGCGAACAAGGCAGCGATCTCCAAGATACGAGGGAGACCGGACAACAATGTGGTGGTGCCACATGTCTTCAGGATCAACTTGTGCGGCCAGACAAACATGCTGGACTCAGAGAGCAGGTACGCATCCATCTCCTCAGAGGAGATGACAGAGAGCACCTGGCAGTTGACAAGATCCAACATGTCCTTCCAGATTTCACCGGGGACCTTTTTGAGACCCTCGGGACCGGCAGCACCTAGTTCGGTTGCAGATGGCGCAAACCAAACCTCGAGCAGCTTCTCTGGACCCTCGAACGCATTTGTCGAGTCAAGATCCTGGGTGGCCTCATAATTGATTGTCAGAGACGGGGTCCCGGTGAAAGAGGATGGCGAAGCAGTGTAGTTCTGTGGAATACCGACGAAAACCATGGTGAATGATGCAGCTTGAGCTGTGGTACTTGTGTGGAACGAAGTAGAAACAGTGACGTCGGACCGCCCTATGAACTTCGATGAAGAAGGCTGTAGAAGCACTGTCTACTTACCCAGACGAACAAGGGGGCGATGCCCGTCTGAGAAGAGAAGGCCCTTGAAAAATTTGTAACTGGTCAGACCAGGCGAATAATCTCCAAACAGACCGAAGGGCTGCTAGGGAGGGCGGAAAGCGAAAGCGAGGAAGAAGCTGCTAAGAGAAATTGTGACTTGCAGTCGGTACCCTCGTTCTGGAAGATACCGATACCCGTCAAAGTATCGGGTCTAGCAGACGAGAATGCTGCTTTGTAAAAAAAAAGACGTAGGGAAACGTGGGAATTGGTGACGACGGGAGTCGTGTTATCGAGGCCTGAGGACAGTATGTGGGTTAGTGACAATGTTGGAAAAGACGAAGGAGAACAAAAAGAAGTGGGCACAAGAGAAAGAAAAATCCGGAGGCAGATGTGAACAAGTGTGACCAGGTTGATGCAGATAAATAGAGCATTGACCATGTAACTTGATCCAATAATAGCACCCCAATTGAGGTATTTTGTGTTTGCGCCGAGACGCATGTCGAAAGAACAAGGGAAAGGAGAACACTCACTTCGCGGGCTTGGTCAATGAACGCAGAAGGTCCTTTGGGCTCATAAAAGGCGAAATAAAATTTCGACTTAAATTGGCACGAGGAAGCTTGTGGCCACAATCGTGTACATCGGCGGGGGTTTTAGGAAGAAGTCTCGGAGAATCTTACCCAGTCGCCCAATGTGTGCCCGAGATCAAGGATTGATTACTCGGGGCTAGCTGAGAGACTAAAGAGATCTCTCGCTTAAATTTGCAAATGCAAGTGTGTTCAGGGTCTTCGGGGAAAGGGACCTCGAGATGAGGGGGAAAACTGCAAAAAAATGTTTGCTGCGGCAGTTTGGTTGGTAATGAGTGATTTTCTCTGTGGGCCCGCGATATAGTGGGGCGCGGGTCAAGTCTGACATCAGGGAAATCGATCAGTAAGAAGTAGCCAAGGAGGAGAGGGTTACACACCGGAGTCAAGTAATCCAATGCGATGCGACGAAGTAGACGCTGCAATGATATGCAGACTGCAATGTACCGAGAACAGCCTGAAAAAGACGGAAAAGAAGGCAAAGTCGGAAGTTGGCGAGGCGAGGCTTGGCGACTTCTCACGCGAGCGGTGATGACCGGCAGAATAGACTTCCCGTTCCTGGCTTAGGGCCAAAGGCGGTGGGGATGATCTCTATGCCCTGGACGACACGCCTTAATGTCTGTGCAACTACACATGCTCATCGTTTCATACTTCATCAGCAAATTCAACTTGAAATTCTCAAGGCTCGCACCTGTGGACCTGGACAATGGGCAGTCCATATCAGTGATGTAAACGGTTCGTCCGCAAAGTACAAATACCACTAGCACAGTATCAGCCGGACCATAGCTCTGGAGGTAGGTAGGTATCTATCATTGGTCTTCGGAGTGGGAAATGAATGTTGATCAAGACCTAGAAGAGCAGCAGGTTCCCGAGGTCCTCGTCATCCTGTTTCTGTGTATAATATATCCATGGATGGCCACCCCGGTGTTAGGTCCATATGCGTAACCGATTTGCAAGGTTATCCGTGACTTCTTGCTCAGGTGGCTCTTCTCTTGTCTATATAGATACTATGACTTGGATTCTCAAGACTGCCCAGATGCGCTGGAATAGTGTCCAGCAGCTAGCCACAATCGGGAAGTTTATAAACTGCGAGCCAAGCCACTGACCATGAAGAGGTACTGTACCAGTGACCCCCCAAGGTTGGATGATGACCATTGATTCTGGAGTCGAAGATTCTTCAGACAGTCACGACGTGTGATGGATGAGGGTCAACATCTCGAGATGAACAGCATAGTCTAGAGGAAGAAAGTAGCGACCTTTAGCATCTCTGGTGAGAATCAAGTGGGACCTCTGCAATGCGGTATGCCCGTGGGCACTAACAGGCCTGATGGCAGCTCCATTTGGAAAGACGAGAACTCTAGGTTGATAGCTCGTCGCGTGGTCCTCTTGAGTCTTTCTCCCGCGACCGGCAACAAAAGGTGGGCTGTTCTCGACATCAATATGTTCTGGAACCCAGTTGAAATGGGACTTATCGGCAAGTAACCATCAAAACAATCTATCCATGACGTCCACAATATTGAGTAGTGTACAGAGTCTGCCATCTTAGATTGGAAGCCGAGAAGGACGGTAAAGTGCTCTACCGTAAGAAGGAGGTAGTCTAGGACGAGATGGAGCGACGATGGAGCATGGCCAATTTCCAAGATTCTTGGAGCGTCTAGATATTAAGCTTCAGGAGGAACAGAGAGCGCTCTCTCTAACTGTCACCTGCGGACTCTCTCACTCTCAATCTCACTTTGCCTCTCACTTTGCCTCGGCCTCCCTCCCTCTCTTAATTCATCTTGTTTACCTTTGGTTCAAGACATAAGTATCCAACAAAGACTGTCTCATCTATCGTCCTTTCGTCTTTCCACTCACTATGTCGCAAACAACTCATATCATCGACCATGATGGTGAAGTCATCATCGTCTTACTCAATGCAAACTCGCCATTTGCAGGGATTGTGGATCTAAGCTCCTCTCCTCCAGAATACGATATCGATACTCAAAGCTCTGTCAGCGAGAGCACCGAAGTGACCGACGATCCAAATTCGCCGATTTTGTCTGCAGAGACAAAGAAGAAACTTGGAGAGCAAGGCATTTTGCAACACCCATCGGCCTCCGGTGCTCTTTCTCTCTACGACAATGCACCCGGGTGCCGGGCAGACGACTCGCCCATCGTGTACATCCAGGTCTCCGCCAAGCACATGATGCTTGCGTCCCCGGTTTTCAAAGCAATGTTGACCGGCGGGTGGAAGGAGAGCGCGCAATTTTCACAGAAAGGCTATGTCGAAGTTATGGCAGACGGCTGGGACCTCAAATCCTTTTTGCTTATCCTTCGGATAATTCATGGCCAATACTATTAAGTTCAGCGCAACCTGACGCTTGAAATGCTGGCCAAAGTTGCTGTCATCGCAGACTTCTATGGGTGCAAGGAGGCCTTGCATATCATGGTAGATATCTGGGTCACAGGTCTGCAGGAAAAGATCCCCGACGAATACTGCCGGGACCTTCTCCTATGGGTATGGATATCTTGGTTCTTTGAACTCCCCTCCTATTTCGAACATTCCACCGCGCTGGTCATAGTGCAGAGTGAAGGCCCGATCAACGGGTGGGGATTGCCAATCCCAAAGGAAGTCCTTGGTAAATGCAAGCAAACCCCCAACGATGCTTGAACTCTAACATCGTACAGGGATGATGAATGAGGGCAGACGAGGGCCCACCGGCAACCTACTCCAGTGCCTTCGCGGACTAAAGAAAGCACTTCTGAGCCGCCAATGGCGATGATTATTCTTTCTACCAAATGTTTCATTTGTTCGGTGAGACATCACAATGTCGTACAAGTGTTAGTTCTTTGGCTAAGGCAACACCACTCAGTAGGCTTTTAAAGATCACTGGTATCCTATGCGAATCACTTTAATCTTAATTGCTTCTCATCCTTCACATTGACCATGCTCTAATTAACCTGAATCTCTTAGTCCAATGGCCTCTGTGGTAACACTTGTTCTTACCGCTGGCGACATGAGCCGAGTATGCCGAACTTCTGCTGAACATCCGCCTGTGCTGTTTGTTCCGCTTGCGCCGCTTGCGCTGTATATGCCGACTGTATGTCCATCCCGACCCAAATAGTATTTGCTGCTGGCATTCATGGGATAACCTACCTAATCTGATAACTTTGTACCTTCCAGATGCCACCTAATTTGTATCTTGTCTTATAGTAATATCCTAGCTGAAAAGTTATCCGATAAAACATTTGGTGGTCTCAAGAGCTACCTAATCCTCCGTAAATATCGACACGTAAATATCGACACGTAAATATCGACACGTAAATATCGACAACAAAATCATCACTCAAGCAATCAAGACATATTCACTCCGCACTCCAAGGTTCGTTACCTGGGTAGACACATCCGTGGATGTTGGCAACCGCATCTCCGGGGCTAACTGTGAAAGGTCCCGCACATTGCTACCCATTGGTTCGGTTGGAATAGTGAAAGAAAAAAAAAAGGGAATCATCATCATCGCCTCCTCCACCGCCAACCGCCACCATGTGTGCCCGCGATAGATCCAGGTCCATCTTCGATCACATCATCATCATCGCCGCCGCCGCCGCCATGTGAGCCCACAGTAGTCATCATCATCATCGCGCTTGGCAGGGGCCCAAGCTATACAGAGGCCGTTACCGCTAGGTAAACATGCTTGTATGCTGAGAATGGCAACTAATTGGATACAAGACTGACACAGATTACCCGATTCGGATAGCAATACGAATACGAGCGGTGCTCCCCGGTTCGACTCGTCGCGCTCGCTTTTGCTCTTCCAAAGTTGCTATCACAAATTACCCAGGGTGACCTGGCGACTTTGTTGAACTACTTGCGCATGTTGAAATTGACTTGGTAAATTTCAGAATACTGGGCCTTTTGCTTCGCCAGAGGTCCTGTCTCTTCCGAAACATCTATGTCTACTGGGGTTTCACAGTGTCTTCGAGGCTTGACCTCTCAACATTTGGGCAACCGTATTCATAATTATTATCTCCAGATTCTGCCTACTGAGACCATTTCAAGATAAAACTTGGCCGAACGGAGCAAGGTACTCAGTCCCCTTGAGTCTCAGCCCTCCTAATCAACGCCAAATAACGCCGTTCCATGTGAATATGGTTTGTTGAATGCGCATAACGATCAAGAATCCAAAAGAGCATGAGCCAGTTGTACCTCGTTGGCCTCCACGATCTTCGCGGCAAAGAGCTCGCCCACCTTTTCGGAAAGTTGCGATCGCAAGTCTTCAGTCACGGTGTGTCCGTTCGTCACAACCTGCTTGTTACCACGGAGGGAGGCCAGGACGGCCAGGAGTGCGTTCATGACTCGTTCAGCAGCTGGGCGACGGGAAGAATCATCCAGACCATCGCTGAGGAGCTTGGAGTATTCGTTCAAGTTGGGCACGACCAGAACGCGCACGACATCGGAGCCTCCAATGGATTGCATTCCGATGACCGCACCGTAGTGGGCACCGAATGGCTTGGATGGGTCAAGGAAGGACTTCAGGCAAGAGCGCACAAGGCGAGGCTTGAGCATGTGGGAGGAGTGTGAGTATTTTTGGGCAATGAGGCTGAGTAGAGAGGACGCCATGTCGCGTAGGGCAAATTGTTCTTCGAAATCGGAGTTTCCGCCGAGTTGTCGGCCAATGAGGCAGGTGAGAATGGACGGAACGAGCGATGCAATCTGAAAGTGTTAGTTGTGGACCTCATCACACCGATGGAGTCGACTCACATAGGGATCGACATATAGGGATTTGTTCTGGACCAACGCCTCTGCCATATGCATCACCTGAGTAAGAACAAACACATTCTTGAGACTGTGGGTGACCTTCTCGGCGACAAATTGCACAAAGTAGGGAACGAGCTGGTGCAAGCCCGGATCCTCCCGAAGACTGGAATATCCGGAGGTACGGTAATCCTCACTAGTCTCATCGAGGAAAGCGCTGCAGACCTTCTCAAAGTAGAGCTGAAGCTCACGGGAGAGCACGTGCTTAACCAGAGGCTTCACAGCGACATCTCCCGAGCCACTCATAGCGGCCAAAGTCGAGTTGGCGTTGGGGCCCTTGGAGACCAGTTCGAGGTTGCGCGAATCAGCAGCGGTAGGGTTCTGGGGGATCGATGGCTGCACGCCTTCCACTGCCAACCAGTGGGCTATCATAGCCATTAATAACTGCCCAGCACATTTCAATAAGGGATATATCCACATACCGGTGAAGGAAACCTCGCGAGGAACCTTGGGCAAAGGCGCATTGATTAACTTCTCGAAGTCCACCTCTTCATCTTCAACGTAGAACAGCGGTTGACCGGGTCCCAAGGAGGCCTCGCCGAATTTCAAGGGCCGGGTTGAGTCGTAACCATAGAGTGGCTCGACATCCAGGTTCCGCAATGCCAGCGCAATGTCTTGTGTAGTGAGAACCGTGCGCTTGCCGTGGCGCATCGACTTGAGCGCTTCCTCAAGGACCTGCGCAACCCGGTATTCAACGTCACGGGCTAGATTCTCGGTGACATCGTGGTTCAGGTTGAGGATACCGACGGACTCGGCGACGTCGCGGATGTTATCGGGATTCCAGACAGACATGGTGGCTAGAGTGAGTCTGAGCTGAAGCTGAGCGATGGATTTGCGGGATAGTGACTATCGCGAAAGCTGAGGTCGTCTTGATAGGGAGCTTGGAGAAGTGATTAAAAGACGAGTCGCATTCTGAGGCAACCGCCAGCGGATCCACAGAATTGACCAAGCAAGCAATGGCCTAATGTCTTTTCTTAAATCCAAAGACAGTATTGAGACGAATGTAACGCGGCCAAGTCGATGGAGGGAGAAAGCTTGTCGATAAGAGTTGCGCGAATGGTATTGCAGTCAACCGTACCAGCTGTTGTTCCTTCCACCGAGCTCCATTGGGTTATTTATCGGTGAACTTGCCATGATAGCCATACCCACTCCGTACAACGGAGTGTGTTTTGCGAGTCTTCCAGATCCTACATAGCTCAGATATTTGCAAGCAACTATGGAACATTCTCCGCTGTTATGGCAGCCTCCCCGACGGGAAAGCGAATCTGAGTCAACGCTTCCCCACTTATGGAAGCCAGAACAGAAAAGTACTTCCAAACAACTCTCATCATGGCAGCCGGTCAGAAGGTCTACCCCTAGACAGTCCTCGCAGCCATGGCATCCTTTTCAGAGAGCCATGCCTATCCGGCTTTCTCCAACACGAAAACCAGTCCATCAAAACACCCCCACCCCCAATAAAACTATGAAAGAAGTCAACATCGAGGTCGCTTCCCCAGTCAAAACCACTACTCAAGATTACAAGACAACACTTGAGAGCAGGTCGACCAGTGTCCATTTCCAATCACTTGAAGAAGCGGAGCAATGTCTACAATATGGTCACTTTCAGAAGGCTTTGAACTCACGAAAGCAACCACAAAAGACGATCGCTACTACATGATCTGCGATCGTGGTTACACATGAGATCAAGCAGCAATGCGGAACGAAGAATTGCGGGTGCATGTTCAGGACCTTACTCCAGTGCCTGCCCGAAGGATGGGCCCTCTCTATCCTCGACGCAAGACATAATCATCCGCGCAATGATACTGCCAATCTAGTGTGGGCACACCGAAAAGAATTGGAGCCATCCCAAGCGATCATCGAAGCGGAGTCCAAACTGCCACCCAACGAGGTTCTCGATATCATTAACCGCAGGGCCCAGGATTCAGGCGTGAAATCTAGTATTCGGATTCACGATGTCAACAACGCTCACGCTTGAGTATCAAGGGAGAGAAAAAGCAGGGCTCGCAATTATGATAAACGAAGTAATAAATTAGGTATGAATAATGATCACAGAATAACAATGTGGTGTCTCCAATCGAGACATCGATAACAATAAACCAGGGAAAACAAGAGTGGGGAGGGTTCTTCACTGCTCCTCCGGGTATCACGAGAAACAGTATCGGCCAAATGCAGATTTACTGGGCTCCATCCTTTGCAGGTTCTTCCTTGGTAGTTTCAACCTTGGGGGCTTCCTCCTGAGCGGCCTCCTTAGCGGCCTCTTCTTTGGCAGCTTCCTTGGGAGCCTCTGGCTGAGCAACTTCTTTGGGAGCTTCCTCCTGGGGAGCTTCCGTGGGGGCCTCCTTGGGGGCCTCCTCCTTTGCGGCGACAGGCTCCTCAGTCAAAGGAACAATTCTGGCGTTATCCTTCAGCTCAGGGCCCTTTCCACCATAGACCTTGGGGAGCTGCTCAAGGATCGAGGGCGAGAACTCGCGGGCCAAGTTGGCGCCGTTGCTGATCGGGTGGAACTTGCGGGTGGTGTTGCGACTCAGGAAGAGTTTCATGGCACTGAACATCCAGCCCATGATTGCGGGAACGTTAACGAAGAACTTCTCGCGCAGGAGCTCTGGGTATGCAGTGGAGAAGACATCGATAACCTTCTTTGTAGCGGTGCGGACGGCGGGGTCCATGCGCAAGAACTTGACGTTCAGGTAGTCGTGCACCTGGAACATCTGGTAGGGATCTTCGCCGTCGTACTCGATGACCTCGGTAGCATCTGCCATCTTCAGGTCTTGCACGGCGAGTTCCATGAGAGCGGCGCGCCATTGGACGAATCTGTTTGTAGCGCATTAGTTTTCGTTTCGATCCTTGCGGTTGTGGCTCATCATCTTTCTCTCTACTTACTCGTCCGCGTTGGCGAAAGTCGCATTCGCATCCTTGACGGCTCCGTAGATGTTCCAAGTAAACACCAATGGCCGACCGTTCTCCTCATATGTTGTCAAGTATCCCAATCCTCCATACTTGGCGGCACTGTACTTGCCAGACTCTGTCAAGGCCTTCGGGTTCACATCCTTGCGCCACTTGAGCGCCTTGCTGAGCTGGTCCTCGGCGGCCTTGACGTCGCCCTCGTTGGCGCGCAGGAATTTGATCAGCACGTTGACAGTGGGGACATCATTATAGTCCTTGAGCTCGACGCCCCACATTTCATTGTGTCCAATGGTACTGAGGATGGATGGGAGGCGATCGAAGAGCTCACCCAGCGCAGGGGTCTTGGTCAGGTACGCGGGCTTTTCGACCTTGGCTTCCTCGGTTTTGGGGGCTTCTGGCTCCTTGGCGGGAGCTGCAGGGGCAGCGACGTCGGCTTCCTTTACTGGCTCATCCTTTGCGGCGCTCTCCTGCGCAGGCGGGTCGGCAACAATTGAAGGCTCCAGGGCCTTCTCCGCTTCCACTCCCTCTCGCTTCTCAGGTACGACTGATGGTTGCTCGATTTGGTCTGACATGTTTGGCACAGGTGTGGTGAAGGTCGAGAGGAAAAGAAAGGGGTTTTAAAGAGGGTAGTTGCCTTGTCAATAATCAACCCCACCTGTCAGGACTAGTTGATCGTTTCAAGATCGACACCTCACTTCTGCTGCTTCTAGGCTTTCGGATGAAAGTCTTTTCTAAAATTACTTCGGCTCGCAAATTATCCTAATCTTAACAAAGTGCCCATTCATCTCAACTCCACACCAGGTTTCGCATTTATGCATAAAGAGAGCTAGAGTACCAGTTTTCATACCTGATAAAATTATTTCCACCCAATATAAGGCTGTCGAGCCCGAGAGAAATTGTTTTCAAGGGGCTAGGGGTATCATGTTCGGAAGATAGAAAGGGTAGGCTATTTACCTCCATATTGGAAGCTAGTTCCTCAATTTAGCAATCTAAAGTAAGGACCGGCCTACCTTGGGAAATTTCAGGGAGTGATCCAGCGACTTAACCACATTTTCATATCTTTATAGCAGCTTACAGCCCTGAAGATCCCAGGGTTGGAGAACAGTTCATGGGCGCGAAAATCCCGTAGGTGGTAGCTCTGTACGGAGTACGCAGTGTAGAAAGAATTGTAAGCGATGTGGAGATTAATGCATTAGCAACCGACTTGAGAGAGAGAGCCTTGAAAAACCGATGAGAACGCGGTCTCTTCTCATCAATACTTCAGATTGGGGCCTTTTACCTCTAATGTCTAAAAGGGGTGAGTTTCACCCTACTCCGTACATCGATCTATCTACTCCGTAAACACTCTGCGATCGACAATGTAGCTAGTAGCCACCCAAAGATTCAGATCTAAGATATAATCAAAACGAAACTTGATACGGGGAATTCAGAGTTCCTTTTGGCGTCGACGATGGTTCATCCATAAATCTTCGTGAGAGTCGTTGATGGGATCATCGTCTTGCCTTCGCAAAATGAAAATCTTAGCAGGGATTTTTATTGGTTGCTACTTCAGCTTGGCTGATGCCCAAGTGGGTATTGATTCGGTTCTATTCCCGCGGGTTTTGCACGGTCCAAATAAGCTTATATCTAATAGCTGCTGGCTCTGTCCTACGTGACCCAAAAAAGGAAATTCCATCAACCTGATGAGCTTTTTCTGGCTGGTAGATGTTCTAAAAGAACTTTGAGGGACGGAACACGACCATTTCATCCGAGACTGGGCTGGCTGGTAATTGGCCCATAGGAAGCCTTCAGCTGACGCCTGCCTTGGGTGACGGAAACAGCTGGGGCGGCTGGGCATGCGCGTCGGAGAAGATGTTTGTGGTGGCAGACACGAAAAAGCAAGTATCCAAGTTACGAGATCGCAGCTGGGGCAGCCTTGGAGACCATATCTAACTGCTTTTCCCGCAGACCGGACTCTTCCAGGATTTTCCCCCACGTCTTTTCTCCCCTCAGATTTATCACTCAAACAAGTTTGATGCCTGTCGCCTTTTTCAAGCCCAACTCTCCAAATGATCACTTTATCTGAAAGCCGGAATCTGGCTCCACGGCCATCATGGGGTTATCGATGGCGCTCATCTGATACTTTCATCCTGAGTAGCATGTCTATGGCATTATTCACTGGTCTGTCTGGAAAATCAATTAACTAGGCTGCGAAGAACACTCGAAGTTATTGACAGAAGTCGATCATCTAGATGAAATGCTCTTCGCCTTTATGGTCCCTTTACTTCCTCATATATTCGAGAATCGCTTAGGATTAGATGCAACTCTCACGCAGCGGTATACATCGGTCTTCCTTGTCGAAGGAGCTCTAATGTCAATAGTCTCGAGCCCTCTAATTGGAGACATAGCCGACCGAGCCAAATCCAAAAAGGTTCTACTGCTAGCACTGTTAGTGTTGACATTGATAAGTGTTCTATGTCTTTCAATGACAACCTCCCGCAAGTCCAATCTGGCAGTTGAGTCCCAATATCAGAGAAATTACTAACCTTTGCAGTGACCTGGTTAATTATCGGTCGCTTCTTCCAATGCATCGTGAGCAACGCACTATACATCGTGGGTATAGCGACCATGGCAGAGAATATAGGGTCCGAACACATGGGCAAGATAGCAGGGCTAAGCTCAACTCTCACTTCTGCTGGGACATGCTCTGGCCCTGTTATTGCTGGGTTTCTATTTGGAATTGGAGGCTATTGGGCTGCATGGTCTGGCGCCGCTCTGTTTCTCGTTGTGGACATTATCATGCGCCTCCTCATGATTGAAAAGCCACTGCGCAAACTTACCGACCAAACCAACTCAAGATCTCTCTGTGCAGAGGGCAGAGGTTGCTCTGAGCGAGAACCGCTTCTGAAAGGGACTCCGTCTTCTCCCCGTGAACTTAACGGCTGGCGATTCTACGTGTATATCTTCCGCCAACCTCGCTTTACGGCCGGAATCCTCTGCTACTTCGTGTTTGCTCTGTTTATTGCTAGCTTTGAATCAACTCTTGCAATGCATGTCCGGCATACCTTTGATTGGGGCGTTTTTCAAGTCGGGCTTTTGTTTGCATCGATTCAAGGACCGGGAATGATTCTCTCGCCTATTGTCGGATGGTTGAAAGATCGAGTCGGGTCTCGCGTCCCCACAACCATCGGGTTCTTCTCACTTGCTCCCTTCCTGTGGCTACTTGGTATGGCAGGTGATGAGCGATTCCCCTGGGCTGCGTTTGGAAACAGGGGAAAGATGATATATGCAACGTGTACCACGACAGTTGGATGTCTAATGTGCTTACTCAATGGCGTTGGAATGATGGAAGCAACTGGTGAGTGTGGCAATCTCAAATCTGGATACCCAATAATAATCCAACTCGTTGATTCAGAGACCATTGATGAACTGGAAGAGCAAACCCCGGGAATGTTCGGTTCTCATGGAGGATACTCACGCGCGGTTGCCATAACAAATATGAGCTGGATGTCAGGCCTTCTTGTTGGGCCCATTCTGGCTGGGCTCATGGTGGAAAGACTTGGGTATTTCGAGTTACAATGTGTCCTTGGTAGGTTTATGCGCCAACAACTTGCCATTTGATCAGCACTAACGACGTCTAGCGGTAACTTCATTACTCGCCAGCATTATTGCCGCGATGCATCTCAGTTCGGCTCATCCCAAGAGCGATGGATGTTTTACCGAAGTGACCAATGTTTCATGAGCCCTCAACAGAGTAATTACTTTATGATCGAGTACAAAGGCCTCCGATGTCCAGGTTGACGGATGACCGATCGGGGAGAGGGGAAAGGGAATGAAGAGGCAAGCAGTATGGAGTGATCCTGCTCGTGCACTGAATGGAAATTTGTCAATAATTCCAGGTCGGCATACCGCAAGAAAGTCCAAATGCAGATATTTGAGGATATTTGAGGTGAAACAGGGTAGTCAAGTCTGGAACGGACCAGGGACTTGGGAGACCGAGCTCAAAAACCAGAATACGAGAATGCGAATACGGATCTGGTCCACTGGACCCTCCAATCACTTGACGATACCTGGTCCTAATATACCCAAGAGCCTCAGCCCTATACTCAGGAGAATAGTAAATTTTCGCTAGCATCGTATAACATGTGTTTTGGGCTTTTCTCCATCCGTCGCTCAAATTAGTGGCGTGGCGTGACAATAATACCATGAAGAATAGGTGCTATTTTGGCATCACATTTGTCTCTTGCAAGCACACTTGCACTTCCAGGTTCATGTAGGTAGCGAAAGATAAAAGGAAACTTTCAAAGTTGATATCAAACTGCTATGACGGCCATGATATTCTGCGGGCAGATTTGAGTATGTGTTCTTAATTAAACCATTGCCCGGGATCAAAGCAAAATTTGAAGACGGTAGACTCGAGGCCATTGGTGGGTATATCCACAGTTTGCAACGAAGTCGATAGCGTGTTAATTCTACAGCCCCATACCTCGTGGTAGTTATATTTGATCTTGGCTTTCCAGAAGCCGACTTCACTGTCTGATTTCTCATAATTCTTCGGCGTTGCGCTCAGCACTCAAAATTGACCATTGCTATAAAGCAGCTGAACCTCGCCCCTTGAAAGAAATTTTGCAGCAAATCTACCTGCTCACAATCTGGGTCGTCCAGTCCACAAAAATCCCCTATATCATCATGGCTAGTACCGACTCAAGCACTCGATCTGGTATCTACCCATATAAACCAAGCGAGATCGCAACAATCATCATGGCTATACTTTTTGGTACAAGTGCCGTCTGGCATTTGATCACGATGGTGAGAAAAAAGACATTGTTTTACACTTCCTTAACTGCTGGAGCTTTTAGTAAGTTCTCCGCCTTTGTTGGCTTCTGAGTTTTCGCTGACAATGGCCAGTGATGACCGCCGGTTATATTGCTCGATATCTGTCCGCAAAGTCACCCCTCGAGCTCGGTCCTTATATCATCCAATCCCTCTTCATTATCCTTCCACCTTCTCTCTACGCTGCCACTCTGTATATGATATACGGTCGTGTGGTTTTTTTCGTCAATGCGCCAGAAGCTAGCGTAATTCGTCCGAACCGAGTTACCAAAATATTCGTTTGCGGGGATGTCATCGCATTCTTTCTCCAAGCAGGTGGAGGTGGTATGATGGCTCAGCCAACAATGGCGAACGTGGGACAAAAGATCATGTTAATTGGTTTGTTCGTTCAGCTTTTGTTCTTTGGATTCTTTCTTGTGATCTCATTGATCTTTTGGAAGCGGATGCGGTCGTCTCCGAAGTCATACATGATCCCGCAGCACGGCAAATATACCTGGAGCGCCTTGCTAAAGATGTTACTGGTAGCTGCTGCCATTGTCATTCTTAGATGCGTCTTCCGCGTCATCGAGTTTGCGCAAGGAAATGACGGCGCCATCCCCACTCACGAGGTGTATATGTACATTTTTGATGCTGCCCCAATGTTCCTTGTTCAGATTTTGTTCCATGTCATTCATGCTGGGGATGTATTTCCTCATGAATCCGTTCCTTCTGTGTCTGCAGATAACGGAAGTTATATCAATCTTTATGAAAGGTAGCTAGCGGTTATGCGAGTGACCAATTTGATGCTACATTGATTGGGATATGTTTCACAGCGATTCTCAATTGACTTCAATAAACCTTGAAATCCGACATTTTAGCTGTGCTTGGGCATATGTAGAAAAGACTTCTGAGGCGACGAATGGCACATTGGCGCTTGGGACTACGGAGACACCAGATTGCACATCCAACTGAATCATCTTAGGGTTTCGAGACTTGGTACAAACTTGGAGATTTCCAATGGTGTCGGACTCTAAAAATAAATTGAGGCAGTTGCATGAAATTCCCAAGCTTGTCAGAACTATAAATTTAGAGTCAGAGCAACTAGTCCACGAATTTTATGTCATCGTATAACTGGATACGGCATCATACTATTTGCTGTGAGAAGATAACAAAGAGAGTGGATATGTTTCTGAGATCACTGTAGTGTATTTGATACAACCTTAGAATCAATGATCTAAGGGTAGGCCTAGAAATCAAGCTGTAGGTCATTTCTATGGGCTTCCTGGTAGCTAGGATGAATGGTATACAAAATAGTCACCGTCTCGCCTCGGTATCATAATTTTGCTATACCCAATGTGGGTAAATTCCAAGAAGCTAAGCCTGACTTTATTAAGTGGCAACGCTAATGCGCCCGGTGGAGTTGGACTCGTTGGGTCGGTACCCCCGTGGCCCCATATCCATCGTTCGCATTCTCGCATTCCCGTATTCTCGCACTTTCGTATTTTCGAGCCCCGTTCCCGGCAGATCCCCGGGCCTTTTTCTCGGTTCAACCACAGAATCTTATAACTAAAGATTCAAGATTATTGGATTGTACCAATTTTGCCGCTTGTGAGCAAAATTTTACTTGTCACCAGTCCAATCAGAAGCCATTTCAATTGCTGCCACGCCTTATCAACCTTGGGTAAGCTATTCTACTGCCTTCGCCACGCTCGCATTCTCGTACATAGATCGATTTTTTTTCTCTTGCTGGCAAAATAAGAGACCGTTGAAGGTGAAAGCGAGGATAAAAAGGAGCTGGACTGCTGCTCACTAGCACTGGTAGTTGATAGTAGCCTATACTCTCGTTCAATATCGGAATTCACTTCGACGATACCCATCAAGAGTTCATTATGAGTGACCAAAGTTATGATGCCGGGTTCACATTCGAACTCTATCGCTACACGCCTTCTATTCCTGCAGCGGTTGTCTTTGCGGTTGTCTTCTTTATAGTGGCAGTCGTTCAATTCGTTTTGATTATCAGACGTCGCACATACTTCTTCATACCCTTTTTCGTGGGTCTTCTTCGTGAGCAATCCTCCCAATTCCGGACTTTCTCATAAAAAGCCCTGATCCTAATGTTCTTTCCAGTCGAGTGTGCGGGATATATCGCGCGCATCTTCTCACACTTTGATACCCTTGCCCTCGGTCCGTATATTGTGCAAACAATGTTGATCCTGGTCGCACCGCCACTTTTTGCTGCCTCGATTTATATGACACTTGGACGAGTCGTTGTCAAGTTGAATGCCGAGGAACTATCTATGGTACCGGTTCGGTACCTGACAAAGATCTTTGTGGTGGGAGATGTCATCTCCTTTTTGCTACAGGTTGCAGGTAAGATTCTCCTAAATTTCCCCATCTATCCCATCATACTAATAGCTCAAAGGCGGTGGCTATATGGCAGCTGGAACTTTATCTGCGATGGATGTCGGTGCGAAAGTCGTGATCGGTGGACTCGCAGTCCAACTTCTCTTCTTTGGATTCTTTGTCATCGTCGCCGCTATATTCCACTGGCGCGTGAAAAAGAACGAGCAGTTTATTGATGCTAGACCACATTCCTATTCATCAACTGTGGGCTCATCCACCGTTGACACTAAGCTGACATGGGAAGGTCTGATGTGGGGCCTTTACATCGCGTGTCTGCTTATTCTCATGCGATCAATCTTCCGTGTTGTTGAATTTGTGGAGGGTAATGATGGATTCATCATGCGCACGGAATATCTTCTGTACATCTTTGACGCCTGTCTCATGGCATTGGCAGCAATCGTGATGACTGTATTGTTCCCCGGCTTTCTTCTGAGAGGTGACAAACTGGAAAGGCCAAGCAAAGCTCAATCGGTATCTAGCGGAGAAAGTCTTTCTCAGCCGAAGACAGAGAGCGCTTGATTTTCGAGGTTCATTCATTTCATGGCGTTATCTATTTGTCTTTTCATCACTAGACTTTTATATTCCATCTATGTAACTAAATGAATTCAATAAAAGCATCAGCATCCATCTCCTCAATCGTCCAGGTCAATGTAGAGTCTGAGAATGAGTTGGATATCTCAGCGTGCAAGCTCGCGGTCTTCAGAACCGGAGAGGCAATGGCAGATCGCATAAAAGCCTGTATAGCAATGTGAAACAAAAGCACTCTTTTGGGTAAAAAAAGCGAATGAATAGTCAACAGGGACCTCAAATAGGAGGGATCTAGGATCGACATATGTATTTCAGATAACTTTATCAAAATCGACATAGACCTCTTGCCAGTCCACGAGTTCACCTTCTAAAGTTGATATATGCCTGTATCTTACAAAACCTAAGACTCAAGTCAAAACTCTTTTCATTGTCATCCAACCTCGGAAAATGATCAAGAACTTCACCTTATCAAACACCAGTGGTGCTTTAACACCAAGCCTCTGTGACCCTCAAAGCTGCTGGAAATGGAAAGTCGAGCCGCCATTTACAGCAAATGTGAGTTCTGATGTGATAGCAGACGAGTTCCCCGAGACCTTGTACCGTATATTGTCAACTGTAGTACGGCCTGGTCGTAATGATAGTTTCACTATGCCTTGGGTACCCACAGGTCCAGAAACCTTCATTTTGAGAGCTCCCATTGCATCGTAGGCCCATTTCACTGCCACGGGCCCATGAGGTGTCGGATAAAGTCCTTCAGCCCATGAAAGCTCGAGGGTCTGTGGAGCTACTTTCCATGTGTCGAAGCCAGCGTCAACAGGTTGGACGCCTAGAACATATTGACTCAATGCAGCTGTAGGTCCAGAGCTCCACGCATGACAGAGCGAAGTGCTTCCTCCAAGGCCCGGAGTGCCCTCTGGCAATAGCGTTTCCCAGAAGCAGCCTGTATAATTGGTTGCGGCTGGATCGGCCATGGGAGCCCAGAGCGAGGTAAGCAGATTCTGAGCAGTGGTGGAATCATTGGCGTAAAGGGCGGCTCTCAGATGGTAGCCTGAAGCATAGGGCGAGACTTTCTGTTCGAATCCAGCGCTCACACTGGAGTTGGAGAACGCGAGTGGGCGACCGCTCGCGGGCAGGGAAAGGTGACGTTTCATGGCGGACAGAACACTGGCAGAGGATCTGCTGTTGTTTCCCGCGGTTGGGACATTGGCAAGGATAGCCAGGGCGTTAGCCTCCTGGGAAATTATTCCCATTCTCGAGAGCGAGAGTCCATAAGCGCCGAGCTCTTCGTTCCAGAAATTAGTATTGATCGCATGACGAAGGTCACGAAGGCGGGTCTCGTAAGTTGACAGGTTTCCAATACCGGCGAAAGACAGCAACGGTAAACATTGCTGCAGGGCGAAGGCATATATGGCATTGAAGCTCATGACCATGCCTGATTGCGCGGGGTCGTAGTAATTCCAGCCACCACCGAGCGTATTGGAGACGTTGAGAAGCTTGTTTGAGTCCATGTCATCTTGAACCGGGACCGTCTGTGAATCCGCCCAATCTAGCAGACGCAGTATTCTCGGTGCCCAGCGGGAGGCAAAGCCGGGCTCTGCAGTCATCGAATAGTAGTCGCCGACGGTAGCTGCCAGAGAAAACGAGTAGCCAATCAGACCCGTGATATTGGCTTGGATCTCTTCTGTGCGTGGTAGCTGTTGGATCTTCGCCGTGGGCGCGAAGAAGCCTGGAGTCAACTGGAAAGAGCCCATAAGCTCAAGAGTTCCGTTGACAAACTTCCTGCCATTGGTACTAGCAAATGAGGAAAGGGCAGCGGTTTCGAGATCGCCAGCATAGGCAATGCGGTCTCTCCGCGACCCATCCACAAGCACGGGCAGGGGATTAGTACCAAGGAGGAAGTCATTCAGCGCAGACTTATCTGCGAGGGAGGACTTGTAAATCTCCCGTCCACCAGTTGTCAAGGACACATTACTGTAGTAAACAGCTTGGCCAAACGAAGCACCCAGACCGAAGCTGCCTAGGAAAGAAGATGTTTGAGAGAACTTCAAAGCCATATGACCATCAATGGAGATAGTGATATCGGTCATGTTAACATCTGCAATCACACTATGCCAGGTACCGTATGAGACTGTCGAGTTCAACTTCATGGAGGCAAGAGGGGCCGAGTCTCGCTCTGTTGAGCCCACATGAGCAGAAATTGATCGACTCTCCGCATCAACGAAGATAAAAATGCCGCTGCCCAGCGTGTCACTCAAGACAGTGAATCCAAACCCTCCAGCTGTCGGCTTGGCAGAAAATTTCAGGGTGTATTGCATCAAGGTAGATCCAAGATCACTGCCCGCCCAAGGCTGGGGTGCCGCACTGTGGACGAAAGCCCCGTCAGGAGTAATTTTCCAGAACTCCGGCACAGAGTGAGCTGGCAGCTCAGAGAGTTGAACGGTGCGGGCTCCAGTTTGCCAAATGCGCGTCAGCTCTGAGTCGGAGCAGTTGAACGAGCCGGGAAGCTGGCTAATGGGGGTAACATCGGTGGTTGGGATCAGCCCGGGGTGAGAGATTTCGATTTCACCGGCGGTAGATAGGTTGAGCTTCTGATACCGGAGGCCACCTTGGACAAGTTCGCTTTTGTATAGTCCAGTTGCAGTGATGTTATAGCGGTTCACGCGATAGGTATCCATTGCTGCTGCAAGTGTCAAAGGCCCGTCGCCCTGCATTCGTGTCATTAGATTGGATAATAACATAGCAGGGTGGATATGAAAGGAGGACCTACCATGTAGGAATCAAGAAGACTAAGAGTCTCACTGTATGTGATTTCAAAGCGGCTGGTATCTCCGTGATGCTGGGAGACTCGGAAGGTAGGTATGCCTTCAACATCTTTGCCATAATCCAGAATGACGATCGATGGATTCGATCCATTCGAAGATAGATGAAAGACTGTTTCATTGTGGACGGGAAGAACCTGCGTTTGGTTATCCTGTGTCCAAGTCGACGGCTTGTAGAGGCTTTTGCTCGTGATTGCTTCGGCAAGAGAAGTCCCAGCAGCCAATATAATGAGAGATTTCACTAGCCACATGATGGTATCGAGGATCTAAGTGAAAATGGCCGAGTTCCATATCTGTAGGACCTGGCCCAGGTTTTATAACCTCCATCTGCTCCTTGAAGAGTGAATATCCGGTTTTGCCGTGAGTTCGTCAGGACTCAGGGTCCACTAACAACGAGCCAAAAAGGAGGTAAGAGAGCATTGCGAATAGTCGTTTCCATACGGAGTAGATTCTGAGTACTATGGACAATGGTAGAGTGGGGCTAGTTTGTTACCTGCCTCGTGTGCTCGTATTCTCGTACTTTCGTATTCTCGCATTCTCGCATTTTCGGGACGGTAAGTCCAACTCTAGGAGAACCTTGGGTTTCAACGAAATGGGCACCACTGCACTTTAAATAGCTGTGGATGGTGAGTTATTTGTCATGTCAGGTACCGGCATGCAGAATGCAACAGCCCTGACGAAGGAAATAGCATAAGGTGTGGCGTTGCTGGTTGTTGACCATATGTTAAATCCAGTGGTTGGGGCTGTCAGCCATCCATGGATATCAGTAAGCCAGCGTGTGGCTTGAGTCAATAGGCACCGAAGTACAATATGGGGGATTTCGTTCGATCGTGACTACCCAGCGTGAGATCCAATGCTTTCTCGACGCAGGTTCTAAGGTATACAATCGGTGACTCGGCACCCGAGCGTGGAAGTTAGCGAGTCGCGGCTGATGGAAAGAGGGCAAGGAGTTCGAGATACATGTCTTGTTGAAGGACGAGACTCGGCACGGATTATGCAGACCTGATGAGCGTGAACGCCCTTGCCTTCATCCCAGAGCCTTTAGGTCAAAGTGCTGAAACAATCGAGGTGTTCTCATGCTAGAGAATCTTGAATCCTGAATTCAGATTGTCCTTGATACTACAAGTTAAACAGTTGTTTGCAATTTCGATCATTTGATTATCAAGACCAGAAGTGACAAGAAGAGATGAAGAGCCCTGTTCAGGGAAATTTCGCTGGGGGAATATACACAGTAGCAGGAAAATAGAATGTGGCACAGAAACAGTCAAAAAGCAACACGGCCACCATGAAAGTTAGAAAACCCAGGATACAAACACAAGCAAGACTAGTGCAAGCCTATTTACTGCTCACTGCCGCGAAAACGCTCAGGCATGGCAGGGACAGGCGGGGGAGGCCCTTGCTCAGCAGCATCATCATCTTCCATCTCCTCATCCACATCTTCAGGATGCCTAAAAAGGATACATTAGTAAGATCTCAAACAAGCCGAACATGCGAATAACTCACGCAAGCAGTTCCTTGATATTCCTCATCTCATAATGTCTCTTGCGCTGCTTCTCGAAATGAGCATGCTTCTCGCGCGCCTCTTCGGTGGTCAAAAGAGGGTCATAAGAAGACTCGTCGAAGCCGTTCGCGTCCTCAACACCAACGTGAACGTGTTTCTCGCTCTTATGAGACTCCGTACTCATACTGCGATCGCGGAAGACACGAGGATCAGATGAAACACCTTGCATATTATCCTCGGGCTCGCCGAGTTCCAAGTCCGGAATCTCGTCTTCAGAGACACCCTTGCGGTGAGAGGGTTTGGCGGACTCCAGCTCGTCGACGACAATACCCTGGGCGTTGATCAAACTTTCTTCGGCCTCGTCCAGACGCATCTGCTCGTCGTCTTCGCTGGGATCGTAGTGGGGAGCGTAGGGGGTCTTGGGCTCGTCGATCTTCATCTTGGCTGTCTTTTCTTGCTCGGTGAGGTAGAGGTTTGCCTCGTCCCACTTTAGGCGGGGTTCGTTTTCGTCGACGGCGCTGGCGGATGACTGGCGGCGTGAGTTGGAGCCTGGGCGGGTAGTTGAGGAGGATCTCCGACGGCCTGCATTTTGCAGTGTGTTCTGAAGAGTGATTTCCTTGGTCTCTTCGGGTTCGGAGATGGTTGAGACGGTGGGTGGAGAGGTGGCTGTCATCGGGACGGAGGCGCCTTGGAAGGAGTTGGAGTTCTTGAGGATACCTGGAACGTAAATGGGTTAGATAAATGGTGGAGTAAGCTTGACTGGGTGTTGAACTTGCCTCTGGGCCGATGGTGCACATCATCGGAGCTGTGCGCCTTAGCCGGCATGTGTGGTGCGGTCGTCATGGTGGGATGATGAAGGGGAAAGTTGAGTCGTCCGGTTTGCAAGTGGACGGCCGATGTGTTAAGAGGGCTGATTTCCAAGAGAAGGAAAACAGGGAAACAGTGTGATTTATTTTAATTCTATCACAAGGCTCAAAATGTTCAGCTGCAGGAAATCGTAAGAGGCTGAGCACTAGGATAGCAGCGGGTAAGTCCGAATATCAGTCTGACTCATATAAAAGTCAGCTCCCGGGTAGTCACAAGAGGAACAGAATGAAGAGAAGAATGAAGACAGGAACCGTCTGCAATATGATATGGTCAAGTGAACGTGGGGTTTCTCGATGACGTCGGCCCGATCATCTACCCGAAGTGGCCAGCTTAGGTAACCCTTTTTGAGGTCAAGATGGTTGGACACCTCTGCAGGTTGGAGCTATCTGGCACTCTCTCATACGTTGCATCAAAATTCCGCTAATGCTTAGAGTCTGGTAGATTTGAACAATGAGCCAGTTAAAGATGCGAAGAGCCTTATTAGGAAATGATATGCACATGATATTAGAACGAAGATCAAGACAAACCGCCCATCTTTCAATATATTCAAAAAATAAAAAATAAAAAAACGCCAGTCATGTTCCAGAGAGCACAAGAGTCTCGGAGATCATGAATGACTTGAAAAACACCAACTAGATCGCCCAAACGGGGGTATATGGATATGTATGCAGAAGCAAGACAAGCAAAGAAAGGTATAGGTATAGATCAAAAGTCTCGAACCAGCGAAAGAAAACAGAAATGAAGTGAAAATGAATGAAAGCGAAGCAATCAAGGACACCAGAAGTGATAGAAGTGTAAACCAACAAAATGGCATCATGCAATGGAATCAAACTCCTCACGCTCACGAAGTCGATTCCGAGCAAGAGTGTCGCCCCCACTGGCAGACAGCTGCATCCAGTGCAGTGCCAAACACATACTCTGAGGATCTGACTTGGAATCCTTGTCTCGGCGATACATCATTTCCGCCTTGAAAGTGTCGCGCGGGAGGGTCAGAGGGAGGGTCACGCGGGGAAGAAGCTCTGGGTGAGTCAGGTAGAGGATAGCAAGTTCGCGTTGTGCGACCGGGTTACCCTCTTTGGCAGTAATAATCCACATACCCGCTGCATCTTGGATGGCGCGACCGGGCTGGGAATGGAAGTCAGAGGCAAATGGCGGATGGCGACGAGATAGCTCCTGGGAGACAATCCGGTCGGCTATCTCAACCATGCTGTGGCAGATCTCCTCTTTGAGGCTTAGTGCAGCGAGGCCAAATTGGAAAAATGCTGTACCTCGGTCGATCTTGTTGAGCTGGTCTCCTGGCACGAAGGCAGAGATGAACTGCAGATCCCTGAAAAGGGTCTTGGGTTTGACTTCCAGGATCAAATCGCGCAGAGCAGACACTATTTGCGACTCTGATGGTGTGGGGTAATCGGAGTGTCTAGAGTCACAAGTGACTGATTCGGGGACAGACAAAGGTGTTGCATCCATTCGGGAGATGTTGCAGGGTGGCACTTCAGAAAAGCTGCGACGAGCAGATCGGCGAAGTTGAGGAGTGTTTCCGTTGTCTCCGTCTGTGGGACTGCGTGTAGTCTTCGAGCTCGCATCTTGTGACGAGATGATTGATGCGATGACCAACGACCTGAGATCCCGTAGAGCGTTCAGCTTCACGAAGGGGTTTCCATGGCGCGAAAACACCTCGATCAGCCGATGGAAGACTTCTTTGTATGAGAACGCCGGCGGTCCATCTGAGTCTGAAAGTGGTTGCGGTAGCTCTGTTGAGGTTTCCATGCCAGAAGCTTTGTTGGGAACGCGGAGGCTGTCCAGAGACCTGCTCCGACGACCTACAAGCGATCCACGCTGCTGACCACGACTCTGGGAACGTTCTTCATAGTCAGCGTAGAATTTCTGCACTGCAGCGCGTCTGCGCATTTCGACCTGGATGCGTCTTTGGCCAAGGGCATTAGTGAACCAGGCATCGGTCTCGCTGCCACAACTCCACACCGGGGAGCCTAAATCGCTGAGGAGAAGACTGGTCAACGTCTGCCTCAACCCATCCATAAACGCGGTCTTGCCGTGTGTTTTGCGCTCGGAATGACGGGGTGGGCGGGCTGCAGACTCGCTGAACATAGATGGTGGCCGAGAGTACACACTTGAAACACTTGCAGCATACATAGGATGTCTCTGCGGCGCAGACCAGAATGTACTGCAAGTGTCACCTGTAGAAATTGATGCAGCGCGACCAGGGGATCCAGCGATCGAAGACATGTCAATTGAAGGAATATCTCGTTGAGGTCGCCATTTGTCGGAAATGATACTCTGAATAGAAGGCTTGTGATTCAGTGAAGGAGTGTCCTGAGAGAGACGAGACATAGGATCTGGCATCGGGAACTTGGCTCCATAGAAGTGAGAGGGGTGGTTTGTATCTTCGCTGGTAGTTGTCGAGGGTCGAGGCGTGCTAGGCATGGACAGGCCCGGAAATGCGCGAGAGCCGTAGCCCTCGAACCTCGAACGTTCTCTTTGAAAGAGTTCGCTTGCCCACAGTACCGGAGTATCGGTCATTGTTTCACCTACGAGTTTATTGATGCTCATGCGCACCTCATAGCAGAACCGATGGATTCGCTCTTCGCCTTTGCAGAAGTTCTCGATACCGTTGTGCGACAACCATTTTCGAGTCAATTCGACTTGCTCGTCGGAAAGCTTGTTCGGTCCACCCTGGCTGCTGGGTGCTTTCATCATGTTCATGATTTGTACTTCCGGCTTCTGGAACAGTGAGCCACCCAGGGATCTTGATCCGTAACGAGATCGTTGTTCTTCGGGATATTGACTGAACAATCGAGCTGAGTATATCATTGTCTTCAAGGCCATGGCAACGTGCTTAGTTTCCTCGTATTTCATCGAGTTCTTGACGTCCGTCATGTACCACATCTTGTCGCGGATCTTAGTAAAGGTGGCGGTGAGGTCTTTGACCTGGCCTTGGAGCCGGCGCAGGCTGTGGTCAAGAGAAACAAAGTCGCTTTCACAGCGCTCGATGACAGCTCGTGATTGGCTCAACGAACGGCTATAAGAGTCATGCATGGGTCCCAGAATCCACGAGTCGTCCGTGGTCTTTGGCAAGCTAGGTGCTGGTCTCTGTCCAAGCTGTCGTGAAGCGTTCCACCAATAGTGCGCACCAACGAAGTCAGACTCATGGTGGCAGCAGAACATGGCTTCGTTGAATCGTTGCTTGAGGGATGCTCCATCTGGAATCTGGGGTGGAAGGTACACATCATATTCGGCCGAGCCCTGGATTCGGTTTTCCTTGACCAGTCGAACAATTGCCGTCTGCAACGCCTCATAGTTGTCCTCGAGTCCCAAGGTAGTGGAATGCATATCTTCGTCACTGTCCAAGATGGGATTTTTGGAAGTATCAAATTTGCTCTGTGGAAGAAGGCTCCAGGTCAGGCCATGGCCATCGGCTGCGACAGAAAAGATTGCCCAGTGTTCGTCCGAAGGGTGCTCTAAGGTCAAGCGCTCGTTAGGATGGTCCAAATCGGTCAGTTCAAAACGGATACGAGCGGCCTTTTCAGACAAGCTTTCCAATGGTAGTGATGAAGGTGGCTCCATGGAGAAAACGGATCCAGTGTTTGACATGGGTCGTGAAGGATTATCTTGCCTGAAACGAGCGAATCCCGAATCTGTATTTGAGTCAGGACGCAGATTGATAGACGGTGTAGGGCTGGCTGGCCAGGTGGGGGCTGCTGTAGATGCCGGTGAAGATTGGAACGAAGTGTGTGTTTGTTGGAAAAGAGCGTCTAAAAGGGTGAGAGCGTCCAGGGAGGACATCATAAGGAACGTCGAAGGGTTGTTTCGTCGAGAGGGCTGTGGGGTCTGTATAGAAGTGAAGTAGTCTATTGGTGTTTCGAGGGGCATTGTGTTCTGGAATCGAGACAACATATTCTCAACATGCTCCCTGACTATTGGACGGGAGATGGAGAAGTTATGCCTTGAGAAGGCAAGTTAGCGTCGACATAGAGAGTGCCTTGGCCAAGGTATTGAAACATACATTGAACGCAAGACAGCAAAAACTTGAGAAAATGCCCGGTGTCCAACCTGGCTCAGCAATTTCTCTCGGGCATCTTTTCTGATATGAAAATCAAGGAGGAGACCGTGCGTCTGTAAATTAGAAGATTGCTGTCAGCTTTGCCTTTTCACCAGAATGTGAAGACCTCAGATACCTCCGGGTATGTTAACGCGCCATAAAGGAACTTCGAAAAGAACCATTGAACAAACAAAAATTCCAAAAATCGGCTGCGGCTCTCGGGGCTGTCCAGCTTTTTCAAAACGGCCTTTGCAAACTGCAGCACAGCGTGAGGAAATCCGCCATCTGGATCGTCAAGCACACGGAATAGGTCATCCACGGCAGAAGCAAAGAACTCCTCTGCAACATCCGTCCGCATGGGATCCAAGGCATCCATGGAATAATCCAGCCCGGGTGGTGTAGCTATAGGTTCCAAAAGAAAAGCGCCGGTTTGCAAAATATCCATTAGGTAGAGCTCAAACTTAGAACGGGCTTTCCAATTGCTTCCAGTGGCCCAGGAAGACAGCACCTGGCCGATCAGGGGGTAGTATCTACTACTTTCGTTGGAGATTAGTTGTGCGCAGACAGAAGACCACACATCCATGCGCAAACGGGATTCGGGCGTCTCTGGGTCCAACGGAGTGGCAAACACGTTAAACAGAAGGATTGATAATGGGTCAGTCCTCTCAAAGGCATAAGCATGGTCCTTGAAAATGGCGGATTGAGCCTGGCTCCGGCTCATGAAAGACTGACCCCGGGATCGGGATGTGGAAGGGAAAGCCGGATCATTGGCATCCAAAGCGGAGGCTGGAGAAGTAAAAGCGGCCAATTGGGAAGAAGACAAGTTTCGCAACCTGCTCACTAGGAACTGAGGATCAGAGCGAACCAGTCGCAAAATCTCCAGGAAGTCCGTCCGGGATTGAGGGCTCAACTGATGAAGGAAATCCGGGAAGCGATCCATATCAGCTCCCAGGGGTATCTCCGCATCCACGGAGTCAATGTGAGCATCGTTCGCAGGCGAACGACAAGATTCCTGCAAGTCATGGAGAGTATGGTATAGAGCCACGAAATTGGGTTTGTCATCGTGTTTGAGGGCCTCGACGAGACCCCGCTGAGCCGTGAGCCCGACACGGATCATGCGGGCCGACAGGCCGATGGACACCTTTGTAGCGCGCAGGCGCTTCTCCAGACGTTTCCTTTGGGCCTGCTTGCGCTGGTTCTGATGGTAGCGGGTCGCAAACTCCTCAAAGGTCACTCGGGGAAGATCCATGGTTGCCACGGGTATGGCAGACGCGGGGTTGTGTCCATTGGCCATGGGGGTCTCGTCCTTGGGACTGGGTCGGGCCGAGCCACCCAACTCACCTGGCCCCGCGATTTCGGGGGGATTCAAGTGACATGGTTGCCGGAGGTGAAGGAGGAAGAGGCACAGATGCGGGATCTTGCGCTCGATGCGACAAGTCACATGGTGGGATATCCTGGGTAGGTGTTTGCACGGCTGGAGCTGGTTAGATTGGGCTGCAATCAGAGAGGTGAGGGTCATCTCCATGGCCACGGCCATCGCCATCCCTCCAACGAGAAAGCGGAGATTTCTCCCCCCAAAAAGAAACAAGACTCACTCATAGACGCCAAAAAGGTCAACGAATGACCGTGGTAGTCAACCATCTCGTCGCAAAACCCCCCCTAAGCGATCCTTATCGCATTCTATCGAGAAAAGGCCAGAGTGACGGTGCACTCAGAGAGTTCAAAAGGAGAGAGGGTTGATTCTGAAAGGTAAAAATAGCTATTGAAATATACGAAACTCGGTCAAAGTCACAATGACCTGCAGAGTTGGCGGTGTCAGAGTGTGTGGCCACACAGAAGCGCAAGGAAGCGAAGGTACTCGGTACAACGGAGACGATGCGCTGGCAGTGCAGGTGTGAGGTGTCCCATCATGCGCCCCTCATTCGCCCCCCTCCCTTTTCTTTTTTTCCTTGCAGTCTTGAGATAGACGTGTTCAGAGTATACGGAGTACTACGTTTCTGCTTTTCCTATTAGACTATTCTCTGAAACTTCATCCGTCTCACTTTTGCCAGCGGTGTTAAACCCTTGCTGTCATGGATACTTCGCACTCGGACCGGCATCCAATCTCCATGCTCGGAAGTATAACACGTCGCCACTTGAACAGCACCCGTTCACGAGTAGTGAGAATCCTAGGAAATGACTGGTAGATCCAGTGGCAATATGCTCATATTCGTACATGTAATAACACTCATCGTGCGCGATACCAGTCTGCATGTTCTGCATTGCATGCAGCTAAACCCGGAACACCCCGAGGGGGAAAAGATGAAATCCTCGAGTTTGTATTCATAAAGGCATGACAAATGCTTTCCGGAACTCCATACACATGCTACAGCTAAACTCTGACATCACCGACACACCCACTTCTTATCAACTTCCTTCTGGCCTACACGAACGGCAACTTGATCAAGAGTGGCTTTAAGCGTTTCCTTGGACACTTTGGGGAATCTAACGCACGGATGAAGGTTAGCGTATGCGGATGAACAAATCTGGGTGGGACCAACCGTTTCTTTAAGATCTCGACCAACCCGATCTTACTGAGATCACTGCCCTCGACCGCCTCTTTGAACTCTGCCAGTTGGTCGGGTGGGAACGGTCGCTTGGCTTTGTAAGGAGGTACCGCGCCAGCGGTTGGGGCTCCAGGGAAAGCGGGAAAGCGGAATATCTCACCCGCCGTAGCATGTGCTTTGCTGGACTGCTCCACTGGCTTTGGCTTTGGCTTCTCCCAATAGGCAGTTGAAAAGGGATCGATGGGGAACTTGACAGCATCGGAGATGGTTTGAATCTGGTAGACTCGGGTTTCTGGGTTCACTCCATCGGCTGCCCACTGGATACCGGTAGTGACAGGCTCGAGGTCACCAACGATCGGACGGCGTTTACCTCCGGCGAGCGCGTCGTCCTCGTCATCGAGGAAACCGTCGAGGTCATCTTCGCCCTCGTCACTACCCTCATCTTCCTCTTCGGAGTCCAGCTCCTCGCCTTCTTCGGGTTCCTCCCACTCCGCTTCCGAGTCATAGTCATAGTTCGTCTCTGGTAGCCCTCGATAGTAAGGATTTCGCGAAAGTTTTCTCGCGGATAATTTGGACACTGGACGCGTATATGTTCCCTGGTAAGGTGGGCGAATATCTTCACCAAACTTCAAAGACTTCATGGTTACTTTACGCAACATGTCCTGGGGTGATGGAGATGACCCGAGACTCGAGTCTTGATCAGGGTGTGATGACTCCTCTGACTTGTGGATCTGCATAACAATATTTCTGACAGTTTTCGTGGGATCGCTGTGACGGCGGTGGAAAGGAATGAGTTGAAAGAGCTCCGAAGGCCGGAAGGGAAGTACCTCGTCGGCGGGGGTTTTGTTAAGAGACGAGTCGACGATTTGACGGACGTGCGCCAATGCTTCAGGATCACGTTCGAAACGATGAGGAGGTGCCACGACAGTATGCGATTTAAGGAAAAATGGAGGAAACTCCCGCTCATAGTCTGACTGCAAGCCTCGAGGAGAGTCTTCCGGAACCTCTGTGATGGATGACTTTCTGGGGGAGGAGGGCACAGCGGTCACATGTCCAGCAGGGGCAGAAGGCAGTGGGGGTTTGGCAAAGAAGGAGTTCAGTTTCATTTGCGACTGGTTTGTTTAGTATATCATCCACTGGCCCAATGCGGTAGCTGCGAAAGGAACTTACTCGGGTCTTCTTCTCCTTCTCCTCGTCCTTCTTGCGTTTCTCTTCTTCTTTGGCGGCTTCTTTAGCAGCCTTCTCATCTTCCTTTGCTTTCTTCTTCTCGTCGCGCTGTTTCCTCTCCTCTTCGCGATGGGCTTCTTTCTTGCGCTTCTCTTCTTCTCGCTCTGTATCCCTCTTCTTCTTCTCTTCTGCCTTTGTGCGTTTTTCTTCTTCCTTCTTTGCCTTTTCTTCTTCCCTCTTGACTTTCTCTTCCTCTTTCTTCAGCTTCTCTTCCGCTTTCTGGCGTTCTTTGGCCTCCTTTTCTTGTTGCTTGGCATCCTGGCCAGCCGATGCGACTTTACGCTTCTTAGAAGCCGGCATGTCAGGTTCAGGGTTTGAAGCCTTGTTCAACGGCGAGGTTAGTTCTTGGGAACGACTTTTGTAATTCTCCAAGTGTCTCGGAGAGCTTCTCACCACAACTTCAACAGAGCGACTAGGTGTCATCATAGACTTCGGAGATTGAGATGTGGAACCCGCATTATCAGCAGGTGGGGGAATGGAAGGATCGCGATTCTCCTGATTTTCACCGGCAGATTCCGTCAACGGTCGCTTGGCGTTTGGCGATGGGACGATATCCTCATCGACTTCATGAATCGAGCGCTTGCGGGTCCCAGCCGGCGATGTGGGAAATGAGGGAACAGGAGGCATCGGGGAGAGCCTCGTTTGAGATTCCATCGGGAACAATATCTTGGAAGATCTTCGAGATCTTAAGACTTGGGAGAGCGGACCTGACAAGGGAGAAAAGAGGGACAGGTTGTCGTGTGACAAGTCGCGACTTCACTTCATGTATCGGAGGAAAGAACGACCGAGGGCAGCTGAAATGAATGGAAGTTGACCCAAAGTATCCAATTGACAGCCAAATATGGTATCTCGACTCTACCAGAATGGAAGGGCAATGGTCGTCTCATTCACCAAAGGAGTTGGGCTCAATACGGAGACGCGTTAATTGTGTCGCGCTCGCGATAAGCACGTGTGGCTTAGTCAACCCCCAAGGCCTCCACTCCAATCTAAATGGCCATAGAGTCGAATCACTACATACAATAGCATTTATCCCAGTACTCCGTAGTATGTCTTGATTTAAGATCTACTACTTGGTCATACATGACCCCAGTCAATAAGAAATCTCGAGATACGGTATTCTTTTAAAAGCCACAATCCGTACATAGACGGCATGAAGATAACAGCACTCGCTACATAGTCTCAGGCCAAGAATGGATATGAAATCTTTGGGTGAATATTAGGATCTCCGAATGAAGAGAAGCTATGCTAAATGAAGATAGAGCAAAATATTCGCCAGCGCAGTTGCATGCAGCCGCGAGGCATGAAAACAACCCAGAAGGCCGATCTAAAGAAACCCAGTGCCATCGAGGATATAAAGCAAAGTTTCTGAAAATAGAAAGATGCGGCGCTTGTAAGCAACAAAGTAAGACAGGGGAAAAGAGGCGTAGGTTTATAAACAACGACGGAAAGGGCGCGTAGGCTGAAACCATCAAGGCTCGTCAGGGGTTGGCAAATATGGCCCATGCGGAGTTGCAACGAGATAGGTATTATGTGCAATCGATGAGGCGGGAAAGTAAAACATGTAGAGATCATGAAGCAATAAAGAGGTATGGCGAATCGAAAGAAAAAGACCGAGGGAAATTGAGATGAGCAAAATTATTATGGGACGCTCAGTCGCTGTCGGAGTCGGGGTTTGCAACGAATAGCCGCACATTGGTCATGGAAGTAGTCCGTTCGTCCACACTTCCTCTTCGTCGAAGATCGGCTGCCTTCTTGGCTTTTTCGGCGGCAGCAGTAGCGGCGCTCGGTGCCTGCATGTCACCAAGAGAATCTTCCTGTTCTTGCTCGCTACTGTGCGTTGTTGCCACATCGTCCTTGATGAGGGACGACAGCCGGCTCTTCTCTTCCTCTTGAATCTCTGCCGTTGTATTTTCGGATACCTCTGGTAGATCGGTTTTCTCATTCGGAGGGGTGCTATTGCTACCCATGGTGCCTTGGGGCCTGGTGTATCCACTAGGGTAGCGGTGGGCGCTTCCCAGTGAGCTGCGGCCACTGCCGGTCCGGCGGTGCATTGCGCCACCGTCGGTGCTAAGAGCGTCATCGTCTCCGTCACCGACCTCATTAGCGCTCAATCGCACAGGGACCTTAGCGCCGACAAGGTTGGAAGGCGAGAATTCAGCAGCTCCCTTGGGACCATGTCTTATCTTGCCGCTGTTCAAATTTCCAGCCCGGGCACCTGATCCGTGCACTTCCAGGTAGGCTCTCTTCTTAGCCCGCAAGGCCTGCTCACGCAGTCTGGCATCCTCGGGCTGAGCACGGTCACACCAGACAGTAGCCTTCTGCCGACGCATCAGGGCCACATATCCAAGCTGAGAGTTGGCAGAGCGCGACGAGGCAGTGCGCCGAATGTCAGATACTCCGTGCCCCGCCTGTGCCATTGGGTGATTGCCAGTAGAAGAGGTTGAAGTTGTAGTGCTAGACATGCGTCGAGATGGAGGATAGTGATTCATTGTCTGTGGGATGGGAGGGGGTGGGGGAGCGCCGTGATATTGCTGAGAAGCGTGGCTAGGGAAGACGCTGGAAGAGGTTGTGCGAGTCCGAGTGTGCGTAGTCTGGGGGCCTGCCAGTTGGGGGCTGATCTGACTGCGAGGAGCATCGTAATTCTGATATCCGTATGCGTGCTGGGCACCACCGAGGGGCACTCGAAACTCGGTCATATTGGGCGGAAATTAGGACACCGGCCTGAAGATCCCACCACGCGCGACTGTTGTTTCAGCGAAGCACACCGGCTCACTCGTGCGTAGGCGGAGATTGGAAGGAGGGAATCCCGGGTTTGAGAGACGAATATTTGTTCCGATGCGCGCGGCTGACGGGTAGGGAGATAATGCGGTTTCAGCGCTCACTTGCAGTATGCAGCCGTACAATCCGTTTCGAGGACTCTTAGGCGGATGGCTGATTTTTGACGCCTTAGAAAAGTGACGGCGCCAACGGGTGGAGGGAGCGCAATTGGCCGATCCTTTTCGGGGTACTTTGAGGCGAGGGTAGGGTAAGAGCGAACACGAGGGCCGTTCTGGAAACTCAATCGGTATACGGGCTCGAGAGGTTGTGAGTCTGTGGCGTACACGAAATCTAACGCAGGGGCAAATGAGAGGCTCCAGATAAATTGTAGAGAGAAGAGGTGATGGGACAGGTCCTTAAGGAGAGACAGGGTAGATCGGGGGAAAGAGAGGACTTTGACCGGCGGTTCTTTGGTTGGGGAAGGTGATTGGACGGATACGGAACGCGGCGGAGAAAGTACTTTCTCTCTCACTTTGGCGGGTGGAGTACATCGTAAAGCCACACTGAGGCTGGGTGAAACTTACCGTTACATTTCAAGGTTTCAAATGTTTCACCTCTTGTCTCTCACCAGCTCGCCTCTTTCAATGGCATCATCTTTATCTGAATAAGCTTTGTTGAATGCTACTCTCACACAGTACTACTGATCTTGAGCATCTGACTACCAGCATACTCATTCTGGGTTCACTCTGTCTATTCACTCTGGTTACAGTATGAGTATGGCAAAACTTACTGGTCAAAACACGCAGCGTGGGCCTTTTCAGCCTTCCCAGCCGACAAATCTACTCTATCGCACACGAGCTGGGGCTTCCAAACTTTGATCAACTCCACCATCTACCCGCCTAGCCAATGTGTCGAGGACAATCCTGGTCCACCTTACCCGCGTCTTCTTGCTAATCCGGGACAAACAAGGAATCAGACGCGCCCGTTACGAGGATACCAACCTCTAAGCTTTTGAAGCTAGACGGGATCTCAAGGACCACGGGGTGGCGGATTGTGAACGAGCTAGCGCCCGAACCTTGGTGTCCCGGGATTATGCAGATTTCCTGCCGAGTTAGAGCGAAAGGGCAATAGTGCTTCCGGTAGTGCCAGCTTTCTCTCGATTGAGAGTGAACAAGCGAAGCATGCCCGCTAGCCCCGTATCTCCCACGCAGTTCACAATATCAGCATCTCACAACGGTATTCATTAACAGAGCAGTGCCAACGTGGCAACAGACTTTGCCCAGTCCCGAGGCGCTCATGGTGCAGATGGTGGAACTCTGACCGCAGGTCCAGACTCTCGACTACTGTAGTCCACGTATCTACTGTTGGAGATGGTTCTCGTCCGCGAACGAAACGATAATCTGCAGGTGTCTTTAATAGGCAGAAGGGCTATATGGGTGGAGCCAGCCGCGTATACCATTTGCTTGAATGCTTGTCTAGACGTCTAGTCCAGTGCTGTTGGGAAAATGGTCCAAGGCTTTTTGTCTGCTCATGTACCATATGTAAACACCTCCAACCTTCATCATCAGGTGTCAACCATATCTCGGTGGTTGTCCAATGTACTTGCAGTGCTGGGATCCATGACCGCTGATCACTGGATTCCATCGACCATCCACAATGCGGGGTACACATCCCTGTCAAAGAACCTTCGAGGCTAACATACCGCAGAGACTTGCCGGTGAACCGGGAATAATAACCCAAAATACACTACTCGCCTGATGACTTTTCCCCTGGATTCGTGCATACAGGTTCGGTTCCAAGCGGTGGCGATAAGCGACGCTCCCACCCCCTTCGGTTAAGTGCAAAAGATTCAGATTCCACCCCTGAAGGGCGCTACGTCAAGAAAAATTCCACCAAAACCCGATATCAATCCGGGATATGGAGTAGTACGCCGTAATTCGCACATTGTACATTCAATACCAACTCGTTTCCAGAATAACACAACTGCGCCACACTATCAAGTGGGCTGATGTTATGTCATCAGCCCAGTGGAGCTGCATTAGGAAAAATGTATAAGTCATGACGTCAACTTGTTTCACTCGATCCGGACACACAAAGAAGACAATGCAAACGTACCTGTGCCTGATGACACATTGACAATGAGAACCAGGAACACTCCAAAGAAGGAAGCCAGTAGTATGCTGCAGAAACCGCAATTGCATAGCACCATTTCTCGAGTACGAAGCAAGTTTTGATGCCATCAGTGGGAAACCCCGAGACTAGCGGCCTTGGCAGATGTGTCCAAATTCACTGCTTTGCTTCCCCATTCGTTGATTACACTGTGCACTAAGAATTTCAGGGTTGGCATGGTGAAAGTCCTTGTTTTTTTGCTTGCATCTCCGCGCCGTTGGCCCCGGGCTCAGTCCCCGCTGCTCCACTCGGTCCGATTCATGGCGTGCTGTCGCCGAATGGTTAGGGCACGTTTCTTGGAGCCTAGCGGATGTCCGGCGCTTGCGGTAAACGACATGTTTTGATTAATCTATTAAGTAGGAGGCTCTGTGTCCATATTTCTATAGGACTCTTCCAAGGTTGTGCCGAACCTAACCGAGTACAACGAACAGAACAATCATTCACAACCTTGGAAGCTCATGAGAATTCTCTGGTCAATTAGCCTACTTACCTTCCAAGGTTGGCGTTGAGATTCTATGCAGGTGATAAGACAATACGAGAAGACATGAGTCTATATCCCGGAACTTCAAAGGAATCCGAGAGCGATCGCCATCCATGGATGAGTTTCTTGGGAATACCCCACACAAATATGGCAGATTAAAGGACCTTGGAAACGATGACCAAGCCAAGAGACATGTGGGTCCATAGGTCCAAATATTCCTTCTGATAGGTGATGTACAACAATCGATTTGACATATATCATTACCATAAGCTGATTCTATCGAGAAGACATGGTATATGTAGCGAAGATAGACATCAGGCTCGAAAGGGGCGTGCAAGGCGAGAAAAAACGCAACAAGGGTATTGTATAGATGATAACTCAGATCGCCTATCACGTATCGAACATAATTAGTTCAGAGATCATTGCTGAGTGTGGGTCTGCTCTGTCGGGAGCTCCTCGACGGGAGAATCTTTGGCGTCATCGACGGCTTTACCCCACGCCTGCTCAAAGGCAGAGTCGGCCAGAGACTCGGTAGCGACTGGCTCCTCGGGCTCAGCGCGGGGCTCAGCAGCCTCAACAATGCTAGTAGATGATTCGAGGGGCTCTAGGACGGGCGACTTGATAGGTTCAACCACAGAGGACTCGACATGTTCAATGACCGAGGGCTCAACCGGCTCAGGAGTGAGCGCCTCGAGTGGTTCAATAACTGAGGACTCAACGTGCTCAACGATGGATGGCTTGGAAGCCTCATCCTCATTCAGGTTTACTTCAACATCAACCTCCCTCTCTACCATAACATGAGAGAAGGATGGAGAAGCCGGGGAGGCATCCGTAAAGTCAGTATCCCGTGGGGGCACCACTTGATCCTTGGCGCCCAAGAGCTCAAGATCAAAATTCGAGCTGTAGACCACGGCAGAGAAAGCCTCAAGCTCGCGAACGTTCTGGTCCATTGCAACCAGATATTCATTCGGCGAATGAGTGCCGTTTCCAATAACATGTGCCTGGCGAGCCATGACGGCCAGGAGATTGGCAAGCTTTGTCTTGCGCTCAGCATTGGCAGCTAAGGGTATGACAGTTGCGATAGAATCAAAGGACTGAGGAGCAGTTTCCGGGGTAGAGGTGGGTGCCTTGAAAGCATCGGCGGCACATCGCTGGTCAATGAGGGTTGAGAAGCCTTCGTTGTTGAGAAGGGTCAACACGTAAGAGAAGGAGGGAGAGTCAATCAAGTCGGCTGTCTCATCCAGGAGATGACGCAGCTTCAAAGCTGTCTGCGAAGAAGATGGGTCTGCTACGCCTTCGACACCCGACTCCCGCAAGACGTACTCTTCCTCCTCTGCCGGGGGCAATAGGCAGGAGAGCCATTTCTGGGATCGCCGTTCGTCTTCCGTGCTACCTTCAACCTTTCTGCGGATCTCCAGAGTCAATTCCGAGAGCTTGGCCAAGCTGATGTCCTCGCGGGGGTTCAGTGGGCCAAACACCTCCTCGACGGCGACTTGCACTCTTTGCACGAGCTCTTTCCATCCGCGGTGGAGCAACCACCAGCTGAATGCGAGGTAGCGTCGGTTGGTCTCAAAGTCATCGCCCAATGTTTGTGTGAGTTCGTCGTCATGGTCTTCGAGGCTGATCGTGGAAGCATTCGCAGGGGGTGTAGCAAGAGAGATCACGCTGGAAAGATAATTGCGGCGGCCGAGGAGGTTGAGTTGAATACGCGTGAAGATGGTGAGCAGGGAGAGTGTGTAAATCAAGGTGAAAGAGCGGGTGATAGCTGTAAGATTTAGTTTCTGGCATTCCCAATTTCAAAGCAGAGGCATCTTGAAACAAAACTCACAGGTAATCTTCACTTCATTCCACAGCTGAGTCTTGTTCCGTTTGGGCCGAGGTTGACCTTCCGAGTCCCCAGCCTGGCTCGTGTGCACGAAGCCTTCACTCTGGAAGCTGGCATCATCCGGTAGACTAGGAGCCACCGAGCTGAAATCCGAACCAGTAGCCTCGCCAGTGTTCAGCCGAGCCAATCTCTCCGCTCGCTTCTGTTGAAGCTCCTTCGTCAACTCCTCCACCGGAAGGGCTTCGATTATGTTCTCGGTGGCGGTCGGCAACAGGGCTAGGACGGTGTATGTGCAATCGGTCTGATTTTGCTCAAATCGGCGGCGTAAACTGCAATTCTAGTCAATGATTACGGTTCGAGGAAGATCGAGTCCAGACGGCGTGTTCCGCTCGGCTGAAGCTCGCGTGTCTAGGAGCGTAGGGCTCAGAATCCATCAAAACAGGGGGGATACTGACTTTTCGCGGGCAATCCGATCACTGCTCATGCGTTCTCTGGCCTCGGAGATCTTGGATAGCACATACTGGCCGGCCAGATAGCCGGCTCCTATCACCCCGGCCCCGATCGCAAGGCCTTTGCGATTGCGCTGGAACCAGCGCCTTGTGGCACCGATCATGTTTTGTGTTTAGTTGAGGGGGTGAAATGAAAGGGTTCAAATCATGATAGTGTGATGGTTCGATGTGGAGGAAAGTCTTCGGGCGCTGATCGCGCAGTTCAGGCGGCCTCGGCTACAGCTCTCATTGTGAAATCACATCAAGCACCGTAAGGTGTACTCCATACATTATGGTACTTTCCCCTCTCTCTGTTGCCCCTGAGAGTATATCTATCAAGTTTGATATGCAGAAGAATTTATTCTCCTACACTCTCCGTTTTATCCTCGATTATTTAAAAATCGCCACGCTCCTCCGCATCGCGTGTACTATATAGTGTATAGTGTCGTTGGAGCTTCCCCCGGATGCGGCCAGTCCATCCCGCAACAACCCGCAGCCGTGTTATTTGGGTTAAGACATTATTTTGTATTGACTGTGTGTTCTTTATTCTCTATTCTTTATGAGTTCCGCATGGCGACAAACCAGAACCCCCGAGAGCGGACCCGATAAGCTCAGGGCCGATACAGGCCGCCCCCCCTCATCACTCCAGATCACTCCATAACTAATCACTCCACCCTACGTCAACCCCTCCACTCAACTTCCACTCCGCATTTCGTGAACTTGTGAACTCCTACGAAGTGTAGAAACCGTCTGTACACCCTATCTTGGTTGCGCGCTGCGTCATAGCGGGGATGGAGCCCCGCAAAACCCCTCCAGAGTACTTTCTGGAGATCTTCGCAGATACCACCCATGTGCGAGATGTGCTGAAAGGTCAGTCAGTGATGGGGATGCGTCGCCTGAATCTCAAGCTAAAACTTGTTGTATAGGTGTCCTCAACCTCATTTTCTTCCACCGGTACTTCCCTTGCATCCGGCCCGTCACGTTTGACGTGCTTGACTTCACCCTCCCGGCGATCAACGACGCAGATCTAGAAACACTGATCGACTCGCGTGTATCGGCTCTGGTTCGACAACATCTTTCCTCCGCAGCTGGAGGCCACGATGGGGCTCCCATTGGCGGAGGAGGTGGCGTGCGAGGCCGCATCGCAGTCGAATTCTACGAGAAGAAGCGACGTCGCTCGGGAAATTGGTTCGGTGGACTGACCGGCAAGGGCGAGGAAGAAGTCTGTTGGGAGATTTGGACGCTGGATGTGACAATTGCGACCCCACGTACTGAGTCTGGTATGTATCACACTGCTTTGAATCTCCTTCATCCTGCTAATCTGGCTCAAGAGCGGGCCAAGGTTCGCAAGGCAATGGGCAACATGCTTCAGAAAGCGGCTTTGAAGATCCTCAGTGTGGCCAACCGCGACAAGGATCATATCCCACCCATCACCACCAGTGACTCCAATCCGTTCCCCTATCGCATTGTCGTTAATCCCCGCCCTGACGGCTGGGGAAACCGCATAGGTCTCTACTGAGCCCAACAACGCACTGGGGACATTGGAGGCGCGGGACACCAATGTTCAGTTTTCTCTCGAATTGGTTCAACCCACTGCATACTTTTAGTTCTGCTTTTGAAACAGCTCAACTGACACATCATGCCGATACGATTTACGAACTTGCCACACTAGAAAAATCCTACCACCCCGGCATTCAACTCTTGTTCTTAACTCGAAGCTTCGGGTCAAGGCCTTGTGGAGTTGTCTATGTCCAGGCTATTTGGAGATTGTTTTAAGAATGTTGGGTGGCTTTTTAGAGCAAGGCCCGGTACTGGAGTTAGGCGCATGTTTTCATTTGGTACAGAACGATCATGGTCTTTTTTCCCTTTTTTCATAAGGCTGTACTCTCTGCATAATCTATTACTATGAAACCCCCAAAAAAATCACACATGTGTATAATTATCCCGAGGCTCCTCTGGAGTCCCCTCCAGAATTCTGACGATCATTCTAGTAGCTCACAGGCCCCAGTTCTTTTGGAACTAGACTTTGCATGAGAGGTGCATATCATGGGTTGGCATGGACTTGTTAAACCAATGATGAATTTTTACCTTTTCTCTGACATACGGTGATCTATATCCAATCACGTATCGTGCAGGGCGTTAACGAGCACCAGGACTCCAGGGCTACCTAGGTACTTCAGTGACTCTTGCTTGAACTTTGAAAAATCAGTAGGTTGAGCCTGCCATCAGCGTTTCTACTAATCTTGTCTAGTGTCTCTCGGAGCCGGATTTATATTCTTGATCTTCCATTCCACCCTCGTTTCCAATTACCAACTTCCAATCTAAACCATCCACCTATTCCAAGGTGGGTATTTTGTCTTTCGCGGTCCTTATCAATGAGATACCGTATTCTCACACGTCAATTTGGATGTCAGATTCCTTTCTGTCAATCATCCACAAATCTCTCTTATTCATTCTTTGGTCCTTTGGCAAAATATGCGCCCTTTCAATCACCCTTCTCTCGGTCCTTCACATCCGGGGCCATCAAACCCCAAGCCATGCTCGACGCAATGAGTCCCGCAACACGTCTACTTGACGAATACCTCAGGGAAGGGGGTATCAAAAATGGGGCTGGGTGATCTATCGCTCCGCATACAAAAACGACGAAGACTGGAACTGCTTGAAGAGGGTAATCACGGAGGCAATGCGCAAATCCATCGAATACCACCAAACTCCAGATCTCGATCACTCTCTGAATCAAAGCCTGAGTTTGACATTCCTTGAGGACCGGCCCAACTTTGAAACCGCATCAAAGGATCAGCTTCGCGCGCACTTTCAGGAATGGGCTCAGCGTGCGTACTATGCTGAAAACTCGCGTCCGTTTGAACAATTTGACCCCGAACTGGCGACCGCACCCAGATACCGGTACTTTATCCAGATTGACGAGGATTCTCTGGAGAGCCTTCTTCGTGACACCGAAAGTGGTCTACGGAGTAATGGCTATGTGAATTTTGTGGATGGCTGGTGGAAGTCATTGAGGGAGCAGTATGCAAAGAGCCAAGATCCAGACCTCAAAGAAGAGATTGATGAGCAACTCGCACACGGTTATCAGTCAATCGAGGGCTGCGTGGAGGAAAATACCGGCTGGACGATGCTACACAGACTTGATATGAGTGTCAGTTTCTACCACTACACAAGTGGCTTTGTAGAGGACGTGTGGCCTCTTTATTACCAGCGTCCGCCTGACATTGCTCTCTGGTAAACGTACACACACACAGCTTCATCACCCTAAGTTTTTATCCTCGAGCGTATACCCAACGCATGTCCGGGATCTTGTTTTAAACATCTAACAGCTCCTTCAATATATTGTCACGGTACAAGCTATCCGAATTCTTGAATTCTGAGCGGATCTGTCAGACTGTGGCTCAGGTAATCTGAGATGACTTACAGAAGTTCTTCCAATGTGCCGCCAATCTACAATGACTGTAGCAAGATGGACCTCTGCATCTTCTTATACTAAGCTTTGACTCATTGATCAATATATAGATCAATGAGCGAACTTCAATCAAGCAACATCATGGAAGTCCTGCCTGAGGGACCCAGGCGCCCCCGTATCATAATAGGGAGCCGCAGCAGCAGATGCTTCAGAGATCGATGTATTTGGCATATTTACCATGTTGAATGATTCATACCTTAAGCTTGGCTTGATGAGAGTTTACTTACTTCCAAGGTTATTGACTTTATCAGTTCATGCATTACAAATTGGAGAGGGAGGATGTTCATTAACAGTCTCACGATGCAGACAGGCTGGTAGGTAGCAAGAAGCCAAACCACGCCGCAGTGGCAGCTAGTGCATGAGAGCCTACCGCGCTGGCATACCTGAGGCAAACAAGGCAAAAACCCAGAAATTGATAATCACCAGGGATGTCTTATGATCGATCCGCCCAGCTCCATGAATAAGAAGCTATTCATGATTATTTGATCTTCACTGGGAATTTGGCTCAACCACAATTGCTACTAGTGCACGCAGTTCTCCCATTACAACATCTCGCAGAACTAAGTACCAGAAGCCCTTCTCCTGATTCTTCTCAAAAATCAAGTTTTCATTAATGAATTTCTTTTCTGAAAGTTTTGCCGTGTGTAACAAAGACCAAGTACTCTTTAGTTAATTATTCCATTTTATCGAACTAGGCAAGCCACATAGTGTCGGTGTAGACCTCAACTATGACAGCATGGGGAACGTGAGACAACTCTCATAAAATCCCCTCTTATGGATATCCATGGATGTACACTCCCTACTCCTAAAGCGGTTAGAAGGTGTTCATGTACATCATCTGCAGGCCAAGCCAGCTGGTTCGATGGGTATCTCAGATAAAGAGAGCGGTGTACCAGGCGTTCCAATTGACAGAGTCTAGTGCTGCAATAGCAAATGCTAGGGAAGATCTGGGCTGAAATCCACGTCACTCGAACACATACCCGAGGATGGGCTTGCAGCCAGCACCTCCTGCATTAGCAGTAGCTGTACTCCGTATCCCATAAGTTTGATATGTTTCGGCTTCTAAAATCCCACAGTCGAAGACAACCACCATCCAAAAAATGACTCGAGAAACTATAGCGCCCGTTGCTCAGCTCAAGACCATCAGCTTGAAGGCTCTGAAAGGACGATGCGCGGAGGAGGTTTCGAAGCTCCTGGAGGCGGCGCAACAGCACGGGGTCTTCTACCTCGACGTGGCTGACGACATCTTGCTCGAGGATGTTGTTTACGATATTGGTCAGTTGAGCCGCAGCCTCTTCGCCATGAGTGAGCCAGAGAAAATGAAGTTTGACGTGGACAAGCTTGGGCCATACAAGCTCAATGGGTGATTAATCCTCTCGCGTGTTAGATTCTGTTAGTCGGAGCCACTGACCAATATAAAGATACAAGCCAGTCGGTCGTAACGTCGGAGGCATCAAAGGTCAGCGTGATGGTTTCGAGAGCTACGCGGTAAGCAATCACTCCACATAGACTGGCTCCTATGAACTAAAGACGGAGATGGGTAGATCTCTTCGGCGCACTGCGCTCCCCGGTCATTGTGGAATATCAGCAGCGTGTGGCCGAATTTCAATCCATCTGCTTGGACTTGGCTAAGGTTCTCTTCGAAACGCTCTCCATCGCCTGTCGATTGCCCGAAGAGAGCTCATTCCAGTCCTGTCACTCGACATCCCCGCTGAACCTGGTGCGCCTGCTGCGGTACCCAGGGGCTATGGGCGACCAGAACTTCAGCATCCCCCAGATAGCGCACACCGACATGGGGTCGCTGACGTTCCTGTTCACGGACTATCCAGGTCTCCAGATCCAGCCGACAGGCTCACCGGAGTGGCTACACGTGATGCCTCGACCGGGGAAACCAATCGTGAATCTGGGTGACGCCATGAAAATCCTCAGCAACGGCAAGCTTGAGAGCGTGCTTCACCGCGTAGTCACGGTGCCAGGAGTTCGGGCGGAGGACCGCTATAGCTTTGCATACTTGATGCGGCCGGAACCGTCGACTCTGATGGCGCCGCTCCCCGGCATGGGTCATGCTAGCGGGGAACCTGTGCGCACATGTGAGGAATGGGTTTCCATGAAGTTTCGAGCGCTACGAGCTTGATTTTTCTGTCCATGGATGGTTCCACGAAGTACGTAAGCTTGATATTGGGTTGAGGGAAAGCGGCCCGGAGCTGGTAAAAGGATACAAGATACAATCAAAGCGAGATTAGTATCTAAGGACTTGTGAGGTTGTTGCCAACTAAGGTCCTTCTGGGGGCTTTTACACCATGTTGTTTTGTTTTGTTTGTTTGCTCTGTTTGTTCTTCTGAGGGGCGCCTTGTTTGAACCGCAGGCTGGTCAACTCCCCACCTACAGTACCAGCATCACTATAGTTATAGCGAGCTGGGTACGGAGTACAGTACTTGACAGTCGATTCCAAAGTTGATCGGTCTATTAGCTGAACAATACGTTTGAAAGAAGTAGAAAAAAAACTTCTTTCATTCAAAGATACCATCTACTGTAACAATCACTTTCAATCAGCGATCACCACTTGGGCAGGCGAGTCTCTGGCTAGAGAGATACTCATAGTCAGCCATGGCTCCCTGAACCCATTGCTGCAATCTCGTCGCGATCAAATCCCCAAACTCAACCCTCCATTTGACAACTTCGTCCTCGATTGAGAGCCCGCGAGATGTTTTGCCCGGCGTGATGCCCGACGAGGCCATTAAAGTTGCGCGGGTGTGTTTCCGAACAGGGTTCTCGTGATCTTGGGTCGATTTTTCCTGGTCGGCGGCCTCCCATTCATACTTGACTTTGGAGGGATCTAAGCCCACGAGGTCACAGAAGTGGCGCGACAATTCAGGGTGATCGACTATGTCATCTGCATCGAGAACAATGGGCGATTTCTGTCCCTCCCACGCAGCGACATACCAGTCATACAGCTTGCGCGTCCAGCGTAGGGTGCAGATTGCCGCTATGTCATTTGTCATGCTCTCTACTTTCTGTTTGTCTCCGCCCTCGAAGGACAGCATGACCCGATAGTAGGACGGGAACGCCAGGGCCGGGTGCCGGATGAGGAACGCGGGCAAACATCGCAGTAACACTCCGTCTGGCAGGACGGTCTCGTTTCCCGGAACGCCTACAGCCCATGGGCTGGACTGGGAGTCGCCGATGTTCACCTTCGATGAAGCATGGGCCTGCCATCGCCCATGGACGAAGTTCGCCTGCACCTGTGGGCAGATCAGGAATGACGCATGCTCTTTGATCACCGCCCGCTTTCCGTCGGCCTCAGCCGAATCAACGAGACTCTGGAAGTTGTCGTAACAAGACTGAAACTTCTGCCACGTAGCCGCTGTCTCCGAGTCTGTCCATTGCTCAGGGAGTCGATCAAGCAGCCTCGCGCGGCGAATGTGTCCCAGGGCCGGAAGGAATAATTGGCCGCTACTTTCCTCCGTAACGATATTCGGTTGCTCTGGCAATGAGAGGATACGCACAAGGAGGTTCGATGCAGAACGCGGGTACGTAATGATCAAAAGTGGTGGCTTGCTTGCTATGGCCATGGTGGAAAATTTCTTGCTCTGTGCAGCAGACCGGAGAAAAACAATTGCGCCGGAAGGATGCTCGTGGCTGGCTGAGTCCTGATCGATAAACCACTGCTAGTAAATCTCAACAGATGGTCTTGTGATCCTTCCATGGGAGATCCTTGCAATATATGCTGATGAGACGCAGCCAAGGCCTCCCTCCACTTGCCTGCAGCCACCTCCATCACCCTGCAGGCCATAGATCTATTTTGTGTGACTCTGCACACATATGCACTACACCGCATCTGCCGATCCTTTCGAGAATGCCGAGAAAAAGACACTTGGGGCAAAGAAATTGGTCTCACTTGCAGAGCGGAATGTCTTGGTGCGACAATGTACGTACCTTATCGGTGCCTTGCTGCACGAATGCTGAATGCGGAATTGATGAGTTCCATTAGGAACACCTGGGTGGACAACAAGCGGTCAGCACAATATCATACAGTGGTAGGCAAGGCCACTGTCCCGGAGAGATATAGCAATCTTGCCTGCCCGCATCAAGTGACAGCCTAGCACGCCATTCCAGCATCGATTTCGTGTCCCTGATACTCTGCAAACATGGGAAGTGACGATAGGTATCAAGTAGCCCTCATCGGGCTCGGTTCGCGGGGCTACAAGACTTGGTTTGAATGCCTACGCGAGAGCTCCTCAATTTCCATCTCCGCTGTATGCGATAGCAAGCCAGCCACGCTCGACACCTTTGCTGCTCGTCACCCCAATATTCCCACCTATTCGTCTCTTGAATCACTACTTCAAGTCCGGAAGCCGGACTTCGCCATTGTCAGCGTCCCCAACCGCCTACACGCGGACTGCATTAGGCAACTCGCCGCGGCCGGTGTCCCAGTTCTGAAGGAGAAGCCTGTTGCCAACTCTGAGGCTGATTTTGAGGAGCTATGTCGTTCCAACACCACCATCGGCGTGGTTTTCCAGCGCCGGTGGCAGGCGCGCTACATCCATCTGAAGAGCTTCCTCCCTCTCGTCGGGCGTATCCTCTCTGTGCGCGCCACCTTAGCCGGTCAGTATGACCCGCCGCAGAATGGCTGGCGCGTTTTGGATAACGTGGGCACCTTTCACGATCTCGGAGTTCATATGCTAGATATCTTGGTCTGGCTCTTTGGACGACCGTCCAGTGTGCTAGGCCTTCGCGTTGAAGACGGCCCGCCACAGGCGCGAGACCGCGAGTCGCACTCCTCTATAAGATGGGACGCCTCCGGTATCGTCGGCCATCTCTACGTCTCGGAAGTCTCGCTGGGCAAGGAAGAGAGGCTTCTCGTACGCGGCACGAACGGCTCGCTGCACCTCGACGGCGAAAGCCTTATCCACCGCGATGTCCAGGGCCGACAGACCTTCCACATGGCCATTCAGTCGCACAAAAGCGACGCCATTCAGGCCATGTGCCAGGACTTCGGCGACTATGTCAAAGGTCGTGCGGAACATTTTTCTACGTCGATTACCCGGATGGCAGATACGGTAGCAGCGGTGAATGCCATTGACATCTCCTTCAAGTCGCACAAGCTGCAGTACCTAGATCCCATTCCCGCATCTTCCGAGATGAATGGCCATCACGACGACCTGGTGCAGCACCGGTTCGAGCTCAACACTGGCAGCAAGATGCCAGCGGTAGGTCTGGGAACCCGCAAGCCCAAGAAGCCAAGACAGACCTATGAGGCCGTCAAGGCTGCGCTGGCCGTGGGATATCGACACATCGACTCTGCGTCCCGGTATAACAACGAGGACCAGGTGGGTGACGCCGTGCGGGATTCGGGGATTCCGCGCGAGGAAATCTGGATCACCACCAAGATTGACAATGCCTCGCAACATCTCGTGGCGGAGTCAGTAGACAAGTCGCTGGCCTCTCTAGGACTTGGCTATGTTGATCTTCTTCTTATGCACTGGCCCATTGCTGTATCGCCCGATGATGCCTCTGCCGCGATGCCGGGCTGGACCTTCACAGATACCTGGCAGGAGATGCAGCGCGCAGTCGCCTCCGGCCGCGTGCGCAATATCGGTGTATCCAACTTCGGCATCAGAAACCTGAAAACGCTGCTAGCTCATCCAGCATGCCATGTGGTTCCAGCTGTGAACCAGATTGAGGTATGTGGCTCCTTAGTTCTTGATATCTCAATTTTTTTACCTTCAGCTAACTGTGTTTTTTCTTTAGCTGCACCCCTGCTGTCCATCCAACGGCTTGGTGGAATTCTGCCGGCAACAGGGAATTCATTGTACAGCGTATTCTCCACTGGCATTTGGGTTGCCCGAACTACATGATAGCACGGAGCTAGCCAAGCTGTGCAAACTTACGTCCAAGACACCTCAGCAAATCCTGTATGCACCTCTTCCATCCCCATCGACTCAGTTTGGCGGTAATTTCTAACAAATTCTAGCATCATGTGGGGTCTCCAGCGGGGGACCAGCGTTATTCCTAAAAGTGTGACGCCAGAGCGCATAGCCGCCAACTTTGACCTGACCGGATGGACCTTGAAGCCGATCGAGCATCGTATGCTGAGCCAGCTGGAAGCCAGGTGCAGAGTCTATCCGGATGACTGGCTGCCGGGGCAAGCCTTTTGGGAGGAGGATAACTAGACTTCCGCAACAAGCCCAAATTCCCAGCCCAGTTTTCCCCTTGGCTCGGGTTTGTTGGGGGGGGCCCACCAAAGCCCCAAATCATACAAATATGTCAATTCTTGGCAGATACACAAGTGATGCGGATTTCTCTAGCGGGTATCTTGGGGTGTCCAATTTACCTCTATCCACCTAGGACGGAGTAATCCGTACTCCTATAATCAAGGAGATAAAATCTCGGAATGAGCAGGTCCACGGCTGAGATAGACTACAAGGAGATAGATCGTACATCAAACCTGCATATGCACATGCATCTTAATACGGAGTACATATGTGACCCTTTGAGGATCCTTGAAAGTTTTTTAGTGCCCAGGTGTGTTATGCAGGTGCCTCCCGCTTGTGGAACTATGTACGATCGTGCATGCATAGGTAATACACATTGCCCAGTCAATCTCATCAAAAGCAGCCCTAGAGTACTCCGTAGCCCAGCGCCCAGTATGGGTTGCCCAAGGTCCGGGCCCAATCCAACCCAGCCCAATGCGGACACCCAAGGACAACCGAGACAGTAAAACACGGTTCTAGCGAACAATTTGTCTTATGGCCTTGATTTAATATATCCTGTTTCCTCCGTTACTGAAACTGGCCCTTTAAAATAGCCCTGGACGTCAATCTGACGCCTATTCCCCCCCAGGGCTGTAATTTTGGAACCCAACCTTGGAAGCTTCCAGGGTTGCAACCAGGCGTGTACCTGGGTGTAAGGTAATCAAATAGATTTCCAAGGTTGAACTTCGAGATTTGAAATTTGAGAATCCCCCCTAAAAAGATGCGCGGCAGAGTGTGCCTCCGGGAAACTGATCTTGCGGGACTATAAAACGAGCTTCGCACTGGGAACTTGATATATTGATTGATTGGAATTGGTTCAATTGACGAGATCTCATCATGATTGCTTCAAATTCAAAGCACCACAACAGTCGGATACTCTCCTTTAAGTTGCACACCTAGATAGAGAACACCCTTCACCCTACTTTCTTTTCCTAGAGAGCCCACTCCTCGTCCCACCACTGAGAGAAAGATTGCAGCCTCTCGGTGCGCACTCTGGCCATCCGTCGGCCGGTTTTCGTCTTCATAAGGCCCTCCAGATTCATCAGCTTCTCCTCAATATGCTCACGGGAGAGTTGCATGCTGGATTGAGGCATCTTTGCTCCGCCAAACGTGAACACTCGTCCAATACCAACCGCCCCAATCGCATCAAGTCGGTCTGCATCTTGCACGATACCGAGCTCTGGATTTTCACTCAGCACCTGTCGCGTCTGCTCCGGGTTGCGCTTCTCGGTCGAGTACGAGACATGGTTGACGACCGTGATAATGCGCGCTGACAGATCGGGTCCGACATTCGCGCGAGCGAGTATCTCCGCCAACTTCGATGCATCATCGTCGTTGTTTGTGTATTTCTTGTCAGTCACATCGTGGAGAAGCCTGCAAGTGGGAGATCAGCCAGGCCGGTTTCCGGTGAATAGAGAGGGGAGGGCATTCTCACGCTGCGAGAAGCACCACGGTGGGATCTTGAGCCTCCGGCTCCGCCGTGAGGATAGACTGGGAGAGTGCAGTTACACGGAGGATATGCTCGAAGTTATGTGAGGCGTCATATGCTGCCATATGCTCTTCCACTGATGTAGCTACCGACTGGAAGACCTCATCCGGGGGAGGGTAAATTGGACGCGAGTGGCCTTCAGAATTGTCGATAGTGAGGGCATGGCGATGTAGGGTGAGCTGAAAAATCTGCGCAGAAACGAGGGCTGTACTCGGGTCCTTTCAATCTCTATCCTGCAGCTGACGTAGCCAGTGTGACAGATAGACCCTAGGAACCCAGCTCTCCTTACTCCATACGGAGTACAGCTATACACCGACTTTTTTTCTTTCTTTTCTTTTTCTTCTCTACACCCCACTTTACAACCGCAGCTCAAAAGTTTCCTCCTTGCATCTACGGAGTACGGAGTACATACTCCGTAGTAAGATGATCAAAGAGGGCTGAAAAGCAAGCCCATGGAAGGAATCGCATGCCCGCCAGCGATACGTTGGGTCAATTCTATCCACTATGGAAGTCCTCAAGCAGCATCTTTACGCCCTTGAGGCGCCATCGCGTCCTCGATCGGTGCCCATGCAAGTCCTCGCCGTCGGGCCTTCGCGATCTGGTACAGGCTCACTGCGAGCGGCGCTACAGCAGCTCGGCTATAACCACTGCTACCACGGGTTTGACATCGTCAACCATCCCGAAGACGACGTCGTCTGGCATCAGCTACGACTTAAACGAGAGCGCACTGGTACTCTGACGGCCGCTGATTTTGATGCTGTGATTGGACACTGCGCCGCCATCACCGACCACGCTGCGGCGGCATTTGCGCCAGAGCTCATTGCGGCGTACCCAGAGGCCAAAGTGATTCTCAATATCCGCCAGGATATGGATGCGTGGCATCGCAGCGTCATGGAGACTCTGATGCCGCTGCACGAAAGTTGGAAGTTCTGGTTTCGTAGCTGGTTCTGTGCTGAGCTTTTTTGGATGCAAGAGAGCTTTCTCAGGGGCAACTGGAACGCCTTTTACCGCGGCAGCTTCGAGAAGAATTCCCGTCAAGTCTTGGTGGAGCACAGCCAGCGTATTAGAAGCCTCGTGCCGCCGGAGCGGCTGCTAGAGTGGGATGTCCACCATGGATGGGAGCCGCTGTGCCGGTTTCTTGACAAGCCGGTGCCTTCGACGCCATTTCCCACATTGCATACCGTTCGTCGGTATAAGCAGCTATTCAAAGAACGCATTGAGCATGCGGACCGCAATATCACCCTGTGCATCGCAGTTATGGTGGGCTTGATAGTCCTGTGGGCGATGGTGCTCAGGTAAAAGGGTGGTTGCTAGAAAGGTGCATGGCGCCTACGGGTTGGAAATTGGTTTGGATATCTTTGTTGAGGTCAAATACACTATAGTTGGTATGATCATACCTGATAATGCCTGATTTTAGTCAAAAAGCATTGGACGCATGGTACCTGAATTACTAGCACACCCGCCATAATCATCAATGTACCATCATCTTCCTTTTTCTCACCTTACTCCCTTCGCACTCTTCTTCCCAGCTCTTGTAGTCTTGCTTCCATCACTGCTGCAGCCTGGTCTCGAGATAAACCCTACAGTACTGTGTCGCTGTACAGCTGTTGAGTCTGACCCCGTCGCCGTAGCTGCTGCTCTATTGAGATTACGCCTGGAATGAAGCTCATCGCCGAGATCCACATGGATTTGCCTTTTTGGCCAGTTTGAACAGGTTCACTATTCCAATCGCCGATTATAATACTTGGCATGCAGTGATGTAAGAAGCGGTCTGGAATTGGGGCATCATCGGGCATCGCTATTTCGTACACAGCAGTTTTCTTGCTTTTTCTTTTTCTTTTTCTCATTATATCCACATGGGTCGTCGGCTCTCGCCTAAGGGTCACATACATAATATCTCCTTGCATATCGGTATATGTATGTACTCCGTACGGAGTAGGTCGATCTTTGTTAATCATGCACGAGAGCAATAAATCCGATCGGGGATGTGCTCCATCCAACACGATCAAAATGGATCTGATAGCTCAATTCTGGGGGAACTGTAAGACAACTTCACCCACCCATTGATTTATTCTCTTGAAGACACAAATTCTCTGATCACACCACACCATGCCTCTGGCTGCCGCAGAGTCCATTACTCTTCCCCGTCCCCCAACGGGGAACCTTACGGCCATTCTGCGGCTAGCGTGGGCGGTTGTTCTCGCTAGTTATACGGGCTGGCGCGATGTGATGATATTGGACACGGCGTGCCACCCAGATGAACGTATCGTCTCGGTGAAGATCCCCTTGTCGAGAGCTACCACCATAGAGGCGGCTTTAAAGCAGGCCATGCAAAGCTCAAATGGGAACGAGCTCGCAGAATCCCTACTGGTGGTTCACGATATACATAGCCAGCACGATCTGTCATGGCCATCACGAGAGCACTATTCAACCGCCGTGCTCTGCGATATCCAACATCACACAGTCACTATCCACGCCGCTCTAGACGGTGCCGTCTGGCTTCCCGGAACGACACATATGATGCTGTGCCAATACCGCCACCTCGTGCATCAAATCTCTACCTCGGTTACGATATCTATAGCTGACTTGAATGGTATCAGCCCCGAAGGACTGGGCCAGCTCGCCAATTGGAACAGCCAGGGCCTGTCGGCGTCATCGTCTAAGCTGGGCTGGCCATTGATCCAACAACGGTGCCGGGAGCAGCCGCAGGCCTTGGCTATTGACGCCTGGGACGGCCGTCTGACCTATGCGCAGCTGGAGCAACATGTCACGGCGGCGGCTGCACGACTCCAGGCGGCGGGTGTGCAAGCAGAGCAATTTACCGCGCTGCTGCTGGATAAATCCCTAGTCACAACAGTGGTCTTGCTAGGCGTGATGAAAGCTGGAGGCGCCTTTCTGTTACTAGACGCAACCCATCCCCCGCGCCGACTACGCACCATGTGCCAGAGAATCGGGGCCAAGCTGGTAGTGGCATCCGCGCAGCATGCTGATGTCGCCGCACAGCTCGGGGTCCCAGTGCTCTCCGCAGAGCTGGTGTCGTCTCCAGATATGCCCCCAGAGGCGGCTACGTACCAAACACCTTCGGTAGAGCCACAGCACGCGCTATACGCCGGTTTCACATCGGGCAGTACTGGTGAGCCTAAAGGCTTTGTGATCACACAGGCGGCCTTTAGCAGCGGGCTAGAGGCCTACCGCCACAGCGTGGGGTTAGATCAACATTCGCGCGTCTTTCAGTTTGCCTCATACGCCTTTGTGGTTAGCATAACAAGCCAGCTGGCGCCACTCACATGCGGCGCTTGTCTATGTGTTCCGAGCCAGGAGCAGCTAGAGAACAATCTTGCGGGTGCTATTCACGCGCAAAAAGCCACCTGGATAGCACTCACGCCATCGGTGGCGCGTACGCTAGACCCTGATATAGTTCCAACACTTAAGACGATGGTTTTGGTAGGCGAGGGTGTGTGTCAGGCGGATCTGCACCAGTGGCGCCAGCTCACCCTGTACTCGCTCTACGGGCAGTCAGAGCACGCCAAGGGGACACTAGTGGCCCATCAGGTCGATGGTGCAGACCCCAGTAATTTAGGTCGTCCCTTCTGCGGTCGTGGATGGGTGGTCGACCGCAACGACCCGCTTCGACTGGTGCCTGTTGGTGCAGAGGGTGAGCTGGTGCTGGAAAGCCCCTGTCTGAGCCGCGGATATCTTGATGCCAGCGAGACCCAGGCCGCATTCTTCGCCAATCCGCCGTGGCTGCTGTCGGTCCGCCCCCATACGCAGGGCCGGTTCTTCCGTACGGGGGATCTGGTACGTCAGCACCCGCGTGATGGCTCGTTCCACCTTTTGGGGCGTAAGGGTACAAGGGTGAAGATCCGCGGCCAACGTGTGGAGCTGGGCGAGGTGGAGCACCAGCTAAGCCAGCTGCTGTCCACGGCCCGCACCGTGGTAACGGACATCATCTGCGCGGCGGACGATATCAATGGAAAGACGCCTATGCTGCTTGCCTTTGTGCAGCTCCAGCCATCTTCCAGCGCCGGAGATAGGGACAGCAGATGTAGTCTGCTCCCTCCAACACACGCATTTCGCCATTTGGCCACACAAGCGCGATGGCAACTCCAGAAGATTCTGCCCAGCTTTATGATTCCTGCAGCTATAGTTGAGGTTTCGAGTATACCGCGGACGGCCACTGGGAAAATACATCGCGGCCAACTACGCGAATGTGCTGCGGCCTGCACCCGTCAACAGTTGCTCGAGTACATAGTGCACCAGGTTGCACACCGGGATGCAGAATCGCGCCCTGAGACGATTCTACAGCAGCTTTGCGCGCAAGTGCTGGGCTGCGCAGCCGGCGATATCGGACTAGACAATAGCTTCATCGACCTTGGCGGCCACTCTCTAAGTGCACGTCAGATAGTGACACTTGCCCGGGCACAAGGCCTCACAGTCTCCCTGGCGCATCTTCTACAACAGTGGCCTCTGGCGGAGGTGGCCAAGCAGACAACAACGGCCTCGCAAGCAGTATCAGATCTGTCCGAGCTGAATTCAGATACTTTTGCACCGTTGCGCGATAGCTTCCTCGCAGATTTGCCCCCATCTCTGGACCGCGATAATATACAGGACGTCTACCCATCCCTTGAGCTGCAGGCTGCATATGCAACGGGTCAGGTCGTCGACTGTTTTCCTTTGCATCTCACCGGCCCTGTCGATGTGGCGCGACTACAGTACGCCTGTCAGGCTCTAGTCGAACAGCACGCTATTCTGCGCACTGTCTTCCACAAATTCCAGAGGAAGGTAGTGCAGGTTGTTCTGCGCCGTCTGCCAGTCTCGTTCACGGTGCACCAATGCAAAAGCGCCGCAGATGCTAATCGCTGGACCGAGGCCTTTGGGGTGAAGGAGATGGCCAAGCGCTATGATATCACCCAGCCGATCATTGGATTTGTCCTTGTGCAGGCGCTTCGGGACCAACACCATATTCTCCTCATGCGGCTCTCCCACGGGCAGTATGATGCACTATGTCTACGTCCACTGATCCACGGGCTATGGAATGCGTACCGGAACGAGTCCATCCCGCGGCACAGTGAGTATAAGACTCATGTCCAGCGATGTTTCAAGCGGCGCACAACACACGCATACACCATCTGGCGTGAGATCTTAGAAGCGGCGCCGCTACCTGTGTTACCACTGACGCCGCCACTGAGCGAAAACAGCGATGCCACGCTGGCTGTGTTCGAGCGAGCGTTACCCGAAGTAAATCCGTTGCCAGGAACCACGCAGGCCAGTATGATCAAGACAGCCTGGCTGGAGACGTTGTGGAAGGAGACAGGCCGCAAAGATGTGGTGTTTGGCCAATTTGTGCAAGCCTGGACTGGCACGGAGAAAGTGATGGGCCCCTGTATGAACGTCATCCCCGTCCGTGTAAAAGCTCGCCCAGAGTGGACACGGCGCCAGCTCCTGCAGGCGATTCAGTCGCAGCATGCCCATACCAGCGACGTCGATGCCCTGGGTTGGCAGGATATCTCCGCCAACTGTACTGACTGGCCCGGGGACACATGGCCAGACTCGGTCGTGCTGCACCAGAATTTCGACCGTCATATCGAGATGCGCGTCGACGAGGACCTAGTCTGTCGCAAGACCATGCCGATACTGTCCTCGTGGCCTGTGTTTCCAGTCCTCCTGGTGACGCATCCAGGGAAGGGGAAGCTGGATGCACTGTTACTGATTTCCACCAAGTTCGGCGTCCAGCAAGATGCTGATCGCATGTTGGATCATTTTGCCGCGGCGCTGCGTCAGCTGGAAGAGGACCCCGATGGTCGCATGCTGTCAAATGCTGAGCATGTAGATGTAGATCCACGGAGATCAATTGGAGCAACACCCATATCAAATCGTCAAAAAGCAACCCCTTTGATCCCATCGCCAAGTCAAACCATCGCGACAGCCTAAGTCCTTGACTATTCCCAGTCTTTGAGATCCTACTCGGGCTCGTGTTGTTGGGCTTTATGGAACAGGGAAATATCATGCCAGGAGAGCTTAATTTTGACTCTGTTCCAATTGAGCTTTTCCACGTTGCCTTTTGTCTGCTAGTGTTGAGTTGAGCATTGAGATATCCTTCTTCGTTAGAAATGAGGGGTGGGCTTTCTGAGGTTCAGCGCAAACAAACGTGCATACCCGTGGACGTATGCGGTCGATGTTAGCTTGAATCCCGAGGTATACGGTTACGAGACCCTACGACAATGCGACAGACCTCGAGAATAGCCCGGAGTAATCGAGAGTAAAGTTGTGAACATAATTTCATACTGCGTTTGTAACATCGATACACGGACCAAAGAACCATACCACTGCTATGAGACAAAACTGCAAGAAAGAAGAAAACAACATGATATTGCAAATATCCAAACCCCGGACCCGTCTCAACATTTCACGGGCCCTCTCTATTTCATCGTGCTACTTCATATGACTATACGTAGCCACGCAACGAAGCTCTGAGCCACCACTCCACTTCGCGCGTGTGTCCCGAAAGACACTGGAAATCGAATCCGCGATCCTACAAATATAGGTGTACACGGAATTTATATTGTCGATGCGATTCCATGCCAAGATAAGAGAGAAACCTCTTAAGTGGAGTGGGGCTTGCTGGCAGCCTCGGCCTGAGCGCGGAGGTTGGAGGAGGTACCGGAGCTGGAGAAGAAACGGCCAACCACGGGCTGGAGGAAGGAGTGGAAGACAATTTGGGCACCGCTGGAAAATTGGTTAGTCACGTAGGTCTTGGGCTGAAACTGGAGAAGCGACATACTTGGTCTGGGGAAGGGCCATCCACATGATCAGGACGAACTTGAAGATGTAGTAGAAGGCTGTGGTCACGTCAGTAAATAATCAAGCTTGGTTTCGAATCGGGATGACGTACGGAACCAGTAGGCGGCGCTGATGGCGCTCTCAACAACAGTCAGGAAGGCGAAGACAACCCAGTACTAAGTCAGATGTTAGTGTCAGTCGCTGTCAAACGTGTCACGTGCACGGCGGTGCGCCGGTCATCTCATGCATCCGCGAGATTGCGACGCAGTTGATGATAGAATTATGGGAACATACAGTGAGCCACTAGAGAGATAATGAGTTAGCGAATTCGACACTGAGCAAATGAGGGGTATAAGGGCAAAATTCTTACCTGGGTGTCATCCTGAGTGTTGGAGGTGAACAGGGCCTGGAGGGAGTAGTAACCGGGGAGAAGGAAACCGGCAAAGTTGACAAGGAACTCTCCGGCAATGTTGAAGAAGACAAGGAAGAAGTAGATGCCAACAAGACCAAGAATGACATAGACCTTGGGGACATTGGTCTGACGCTCAAGGTTGGCAAGGACAGGGTACTTGGAAAGCTGCGACGAAATCAAATTAGCTCCAGTGTACGACGACAGACATGCTCGGCGTTGGAATCATAGCCAGGAAGCCGAGCGATGCGATCGCGATGCGGTGCTGCTGGTGCACGGCATAGCCGGGTGAGGGCTAGACCTGAGGCCCCAGCGAAACACACAATAGAAACGTACCTCCTTGTCGAGCTGGGCGATGGTGTGCTGAGCACGATCCTGGAAAGAAGCCATTTCTGCTGATTGATGTTTGAGGGATCAAAACAAAAAGCTGTTAGGATGACAATGGAGCGAGGGATGGGAATATGAGAATGCAACTGGAGAGCTGGCAAGCTGAGACAAGAGGCTAGCTTGATCACGTGCTTTCATGACGTATTCGGCAAACCAATGTGAGGTACAAGGACGGTACACAAGACTGCGACGGAGTATAAAGTACATTGTTATTGGTCTAGATGTTTATAGTCGATATCCAGTTGCAAGATGATCGGATCGCATAATATTTTGTACATGATATCTATTTAAAGCTCCTCAGTGTGCGCAGAATATCCATTCTTACCGAGGTCAGCACTCTGTTCAATACCAGAACGTGAAACTGGCCTCAACTCGAATTTTAGGCGTAACGCCCGGCTTCAAACAGATGATAGGTTCGTTGTGTGCAGATACATCGACTCGGGGTTTCTTTGCTTTTTGGGTACTAGTATAGTTGGACGTGACGTATAGGGCTTTGCCCAATACGATAATCAATCATAAATCCAGAAAACTTGTATAAACAGATTTATCTGCTGAAGATTGACTCCGTATTCGTAAATCAAGACTCCATTCCCCATTATTATTTCATCATGAAACCGGAAGCAGTTCTTGGTGGGCCTGTCACCCCTGCAGCACTTGGCCCGTTCTCCAGATTTGATGCATCAATTCCTTTGAGCCTATGCTTATTGAACCATTAGTCAATGTGATAAGTTCTCCATACTCACATTCAACACTGAAGGTTAATGTTAGTTCCTCGTGACATTCACTTCACCCAGATGCTGTGTTCGGTCCTAACACTGTGTTCACCTCCCCCTCGGACCGTAGATAGACACACGTGATTTAACACGTGACTCTTGTGTACATAGGGACCTTGTTTGCTGGCAATTGGCAATTGGCAAATTGAAGAAGTGACGGGATTACCGCAGGTTTTATTGCAGACCTCACCGCTTCATAGCAGATGATGTGATTGGGAAGAAGGTGAGGAGAGTTTCGCAACCTAAGGGTTAGGCTAACTCCCGTTATCAGACCATTCTCCTCTCTCCTCCACAAAAATCCCATGCAGAAACGCCTAAGCTTGTTTGGGCCCGCAGACTCTTCACTCCATTATTCGTGAGCCTCAGAGTCTCCAACAGTCCTCGGTGGACCCTCGAATCGCTGCGATCGGGTTATCCGTGCATACAGAAGGCGGGCCAGTGACCGATGTAACCGATCCGCCTCCCTCCCTTTACTTCTCGATATAAAGACCCTCGTGTACGGCATTTGTGGCATTTGGCTTTTTGCGAGACCCTTTTTGAGATCGTCGTTTAGATACCACGTGTGGGACGATCACATTATACTCGACCCTGATCCTCGATTGCTTTTCCGACTCCCGAGTCACAACTAAATAACACGTCCACATACCTTCTCAATGCGGCCTCAGTGAGTCAATACACCCCTTGTTCTGTTCAATGGCTTGTTCTAACAGTGAATCTCTTTATTCAGACGCGAATACCATATCGTTGTGCTAGGAGCTGGTAAGCATAGGCCTCGGTCCGGACAAGTTTACGTGGAGCAATGGGCTGACTGGAGATCTTCCTTTGCGCGATAACAGGCGGTGTTGGAAAGAGTTGCTTAACAGGTCTGTCAGAACCGTTTCTACCTAGACTATGAGCTCCGAGAGCTAACCGACTTTTACAACCTCCAGCCCAATTCGTTCAAAATGTTTGGATTGAAAGCTACGACCCAACGATCGAAGACTCATATCGGAAACAAATCGAGGTAGACGTAAGTTGTCTGTCAGCAATGGGGTATTCACAGCCATTAACCGAGCTTCACAGGGGCGACAATGCATACTGGAAATGTGAGTCCGTTGGTGACTGATCTATGGCACGACACTAAACACCGACAATCTACAGCCTTGATACCGCAGGCACGGAACAATTCAGTACGTATCCTTGTCAAAACTGACCTTGAGATCCTAGCTAACATGCCCCCAGCGGCAATGAGGTAAATCTAGATCTCAGCCCGCGATCGAGCCACCGTTCCCACGAGACACCCCCGACTAACCACACCACAGAGAGCTGTACATGAAACAAGGCCAAGGATTCCTCCTAGTCTTCTCGATCACCAGCATGTCCTCTCTCAACGAACTTTCCGAGCTGCGCGAACAAATCATGCGAATCAAAGACGACGAAAACGTACCAATCGTCATAGTAGGCAACAAATCGGATTTGGAAGAAGACCGGGCCGTTCCCCGTGCGCGCGCATTCGGTCTATCTCAAAACTGGGGCAATGCGCCTTACTACGAGACGTCAGCGCGACGCCGCGCAAATGTCAACGAAGTCTTCATCGACCTGTGCCGCCAGATCATCCGCAAGGACTCCGAAGGTTCAAGGAGCAGCAGCGATCCAAGCCGGAAGCGAGAAGGCCCCAACCGTCATGACCGGAAAAGAGATAATCGTCGTCCGAGGAAGCGCGGGCCGTGTGTCATTCTTTGAAGATCTTCGGACTTTTGTTTTCATGCGATACGAACCCCTGCTACCTAACGTCTCCGATGTTTTTCGACATGTCATATATGACTGATGCTATTTCCTGATGATATGTCTCTCATAGAACCATGCTTTGCTGTCACAGATCATGTATCATCCCCGCTGTTTGGACTGTGCTTTTGAGGTCATACGTTGCTTTTCCTTGTTTGGCATACATGAGATTTGGTTGATCCGGACCCCGGAAAACAAAAATACTTTTCACGAATTGGATAAAAGTGCTTTCTTTCTTTTTGGGATTTGCTGTTTCCGCTTGGCCTTGTGCATATTTCGACTCTACCATTTGCATTTTCTCAAGATACGAAGATCAAAATGAACATCGAGCAAGCCAGTTTTTGCATTTTGCTGTTTAATCATGCCCGAGACATCCATATGTCTTTGTTTCACTTGCCACTACATCACATCCGGAACACACCGAATTTGGTTTGAATATCTGGCTCGGACTTGCCACTCAGCGCAGCCGTCAAACCGAGACCCAGCATCTTCCTGGTCTGAGATGGTGGAATGACACCATCGTCCCACAAACGGGCCGAGGAGAAAGTGGCTTCTGACTCACGATCAATACGTTCTTTCAGAGCTGGATCCGCAGATTTGCCAACAGCCTCCATGACAGCAGAGAGTTGCTCAGAGCCCATGACGCCGATCTTAGCATTGGGCCACATGAAGAGAAGACGAGGAGAATAAGCACGACCACTTAAACAAAACAAGTTAGCCAAATCAGAACAGAATCTGCAGGGATTCTGCAAACCGCAGCGAGCACTCACCACATTCCATAATTACCAGCACCAGCACTAGACCCGAAGACAACAGTGAACTTGGGAACATCGGCACAAGCCACAGCCGTCACAAGTTTGGCTCCATTCTTTGCAATGCCGCCCTTCTCGGCATCAGCACCAACCATGAAACCAGAGATGTTCTGCAAGAAAATGAGAGGAATTCGCCGTTGAGCACAGAGCTCAATGAAATGCGCTCCCTTGAGCGAAGACTCCGAGAATAAGATGCCGTTATTAGCAACGATTCCAACGCGATGGCCATGAATGCGCGCAAAGCCCGTTACCAACGTCGAGCCATAATCACGCTTGAATTCAGCAAACTCGCTCCCATCAACAATGCGTGCAATGACCTCGTGCACAGGAATCTGGCGTCGTAGATTCGTACCAACAATGCCGTTCAGCTCGTTGGGATCGTAAAGCGGCTCTTTGACAACGAGTGAGTCCCCATTTCCGTTTTCCAGTTGTAGTGGCGTCTTAGTGGGAGGGTAATTGAGGTTCGCGACGGAACGACGGGCAAGCACAAGAGCATGGGCGTCGTCAACAGCCAAGTAGTCCGTTACACCGGAGATGCTAGAGTGTAGTTGGCCGCCGCCTAGGTCCTCGGCGGAAACCTCCTCGCCAGTGGCGGCCTTGACAAGCGGTGGCCCAGCCAGGAAGATAGTACCCTGATTTTCGACGATGATTGTCTCATCACTCATTGCGGGTACGTAGGCACCACCCGCCGTGCAAGGTCCCATGACCACAGACAGTTGCGGAATACCGAGTGAGCTCATGCGAGCCTGGTTGAAGAAGATGCGGCCGAAGTGGTCACGATCAGGGAAGACATCTGCCTGATGAGGCAAGTTTGCACCACCAGAGTCAACCAGGTAAATGCAAGGTAGGCGATTTTCCTGGGCGATTGCCTGTGCGCGAAGGTGCTTTTTTACAGTGATGGGGTAGTAGGTACCGCCCTTGACGGTACTGTCATTTGCGACAATCATGCAATTGACACCCTCCACGGTTCCAACACCGGTAATGATACCGCCGGCTGGGACATCTTCGCCATCGTAGACACCGTGTCCTGCTAGTGCGGATAGCTCCAAGAAGGAAGTGCCTGGGTCGACTAGAGCAGAGATTCGGTCTCGAGGAAGCATTTTGCCCCGAGCAATGTGCTTCTCACGTGCTTTGTCATTTCCTCCGCGAGCGATCTTCGTATGGAGCTCGTTCATGCGATCTAAGAGCTCTTGCATCTGTTGGTTGTTTTCTTGATATTCTGGTGAGGATGTGTCCACTGCTGTGGGGAGAACGGAGAGGGCGGAGGCATGGTGAGGGTGTGTGTAGCTTGCTACTGATCTAGTTGCGGGACGAGTGATGTTTGAACGGCATAATGGGACACATCTTCGCGGAGCTAGTCGTGATCCCCAGGTCCGAAGGACGAGCGGGGAAGGGGCGCGCATTGCGGGGAGCGTGGAATAGGTGTGGAATGAGTGATGATTATGGGTCAGGAATAAGTTCTCAGGGGCTTGATGGCCATGTCAAATTGGAAAAGTTGGAAATATACGTCTGGTCTGGGGTAAAGGAGACTTTATGAAGAAGCGAGGCACAAAAGCTGGAGTTTCCCCAGATGCGGAGGTGCGACGATTGCCGCTTCTACCCGCTCCGTCGTCATGACATTGGAGACACAATTGCAAGATATAGCTATTATGTGTAAATAATATTGATGAACTTACTAGTCAGACGATGAATACTCCGAAACAAAAAGAAAAAGAAAAAGGTACACTCGGTGGACGGTGGAAGTAGAAAGCTCGCATGGTACAGTGTTGTATAAGCGCAACGTTGTATACGCGGACCTAGATTGATCGCCGAGGACTGCCGCTCCCGCACGAGACATTGATATTACTTAAAGAGCTCCGTCCTCCGTAATCATTGCCCCGACTTTGCATTCTACCACCACACATCTTCCGCCATGGCTTCTACAAAGCTACCGTCTCTACTTCGCGCCTCCACACGCGCCCTGAGACGCAACCGCATCCCCGCACTCACCCCATGTTTCCGCTCAGTGTCAACGAAACACCCCACAGGCTTCGTCCCCCCATCCGACGATGACCTGCTGGAGCTTAGAGAGCGCGTGCAGGATTTTACAAGTAAGTGACACGTTCCAATGGCGAATTGCCGCTCTAATGCCAGTACAGGGCGTGAGATCTCAGCCGAGGTTGCTCAGCGGACAGATGAGCTGAACGAGTTCCCTGCGGATATGTGGCAGAAAATGGGCGATGCCGGGTAAGTGGTTTCCAGATGTCTTAATTGCAACCTCATTGGAAGGTGCACGGTGATTCGTATGCTGATGGACTCCAAGTTTCCTCGGCGTTACAGCAAACGAGGAGTACGGCGGTTTAGGCATGGGCTACCAAGCGCACTGTGTGGTGATGGAAGAGATCAGTCGCGCATCAGGAAGCATTGGCCTCTCCTATGCGGCTCACTCCCAGCTTTGCGTGAACCAGCTCTCGCTCAATGGCTCGACCGAACAAAAAGAGCGCATTCTGCCTGGTTTACTATCAGGCGAGAAGGTTGGTGCTCTAGCAATGTCAGAGCATTCAGCTGGCTCCGACGTTGTTAGCATGAAGACTACCGCCAAAGAGGTTGGCGGAGGATGGCTATTAAACGGAACTAAGATGTGGATTACCAACGTAAGTTGTGGGATCAGAGTAGCATGTGCCATCTTCAATCAGCTAATACTATTAAAGGGCCCGGACGCAGACTATATCGTCGTTTATGCCAAAACAGAGCCCGAGCTAGGCTCCAAGGGAATCACGGCGTTCATAGTTGAGAAGTCATTCAAGGGCTTCTCATGTGCACGCAAGCTAGACAAGCTTGGTATGCGCGGTTCGAACACGGGCGAACTCATCTTCGAGGACGTTTTCGTCCCCAAAGAAAATCTTCTCGGGGAGGTGAACCGTGGAGTTCGTGTCCTGATGGAAGGGTTAGACCTGGAGCGACTCGTCCTCAGTGCAGGTCCACTAGGGTATGTTATCCCATCAACCATTCTCTATTCACATAATAACCTTTTGCAGAATCATGCAAGCCGCACTCGACTTGGTTCTTCCTTACACCCACGTCCGCAAGCAGTTCGGCACGCCCATTGCCCATAATCAATTGATCCAGGGCAAGCTTGCAGACATGTATACTAAATTGGCTGCCTCGCGCGCCTACACATATGCCACCGCACGCCAGGTGGACAACTCCGCCGTGACACCCGGGGAGATGAGCGTTCGCACCCATGACTGTGCCGGTGCAATTCTTTACTCTGCCGAGCGTGCGACGGAATGTACCCTCGACGCTATCCAGCTGATGGGTGGAAGCGGATACATCAACGAAATCCCCGCTGGTCGACTGCTGCGCGATGCAAAGCTCTATGAAATTGGAGCTGGTACTAGCGAAATCCGTAGGATGGTTATTGGTCGCGCCTTTAACAAAGAGTACGCTTAGCAGATAGAGAAAATTAGTTCTTTTTTTGTTCAACTCAAAAAAGATAGTATGCCGCCGAGAGTACTCCGTAGATGCCTTCGGTTCGTTTCAATCATTTGATGGCCATGCAAAGGTCCTACATATAGAAAACCCCTTCACTTCTTCTGCCTGGCCGACCTACGTACCGGCGCAGACGAATCAGCCCTCTCGCCACCTCCCTTCCGCGACTCGACCCTCTTGGAGCGAGGCTCAGAGTTCTCCCAAGGTGTCTCTTCCTGCACAGCAGCCTTCCGCTTGCGACCCCGCTTCGCCCCCTTCACCGGAGTCTTCACTGGAGTCTTCGCAGGACTCTTAGCCGGACTCTTCTCGGTATCCGCAGAAACCATCGAAATCATAGGAATCACAACCTTAGGCGGCGAAGCCAACTTGTACACACGGGCATCCGGCTCTGGGTCCGGCGTCGTGTTCGACGCATCGCCCGTATCCTCCGCTGAAGCAAGCGAGTCCCCATCCGACATTTCCTCCGAGACAACCGACTCCTCGTAATCTGACATCTCATTATCTGCCTCCTCATCCGGTATAGACTCCGACTCCGCGCGCCTCCTCTTTAATTTCGACTTATCAAGCGCAGGCTGAGAAGACTTGAACACCTCGCGCCAATTCGCCAGCAGCGCGACTTTCTCGCCCGAGTCCGGTTCGTACAGAATAGCGACATCTTCGTCGCGATCTAGGGCGGGCGACTTCCACAACACGCCCTGGAACGTCGCTGTGTCTGGGAACAGGGGAGACTTTGTGGGGACCGTGGTCGTCTTGCGGGAAGGTCCTTTTGTTCTTCGCTTCGCAGCGGCCGCGTGCTCGGTCCGTTTCTTTCGCTCGGCGCTTGTTTCGGCGGTTGGATCGTCGTCGTAATGATCGTCTGAATAGTAGTCCCAGTCGCTGAAATAGTCTTCGACGTCGTACGCTGGGTCTTCGTACAGGGCTGCTTCGTAGTACGAGGAGGCGGCGAGGTCGTCCTGGAAAGGGTTAGAATCTGTAGGGTGTTGTGCTGAGCGCATGCGACCGGCTGGTCGCATGGATTGGGGTTTGTACATACCACCATGTCTGGGACTAAGTCCTCGTACATGAAATCCTCTTCATATTCATAGTATTCTTCGTCGTCGGACATGGTGCAGGTGGGAAAGGGACAACAAAGTATTGGTAGCGACCGTCAAGGCAGTAATGAGTGACAAGCGTCAACTGCTAGAAGCACGAAATATGTACAGTGCTTGGAATGGTGCACAGCTGACGTGCAGACCAAAAGGGCTGATTGAAGATTGCCATCTGCTAACATAAGCCTCACGGGTAGTGGATCCCTCCACGTCCAATCATGTCTCTTTTTGGCGCCCATATAGGCCCTGATTTTGTACTGGGACGTTTTGTTTACTTCTTTGCTCTCTTCATCTTAACACAAAAGACAACTCCATCGGTCTAAAAGTGCCGTGAGGTGAGAGCAATGACAAGTAAATACGCCCTTGAGCAACCCACTCTTGACATGTCTACTTTCAACTTCGTCATGGGTTTGACCTCGACACCTTCTCCCATGCAACAGAACAAGCAAATGCAATAGTCTGACTAAATCTCTCCCACGCTTGACGAAGCGCCCGAGAAAACGCCTTCCAATGAGATTCCAGACGACAAGACATACGTTGGTTATCTTAATCCAATATATTAATACGCCGGGAATTCATCAGAACAGCCTACCGTGTTCAACTCCCTTTTCCCTTCATCATCCTATCAGCTTTCTATTACTATAGATAATTATCACTGTTGCCTACTCACAAATGAAGCAGCGTACGGAGACTTGGATAAATTAATGCTGCAATCTGAACCCATGACATACTATCCTACCTCACTCTTTTACTTCACGCTTATGAAAGACATCTGCGTGTGTAAGCACAACATCACATCGACTGGATTAATGCTGTAAACATACCGGGGATTTCTGGCATCCAGCTCGCTCGCATCTTGCAGAAGAACTCGCCCTTAGGTGCCAATGCCTCCGGATCATCGAGAGAGCCGGCGGTGATGTAACGAAACTTGTCTTTAGCCATCTCCTACAAAGGTCTCAGTCAGCGTTCTCGGTTCGCAGGCTATGTAACTTTCTCAAATTCTCCCCACGTACCCCATACTCCAGGATAAAACTACCACAGGTGTCGCAAAACTCGCGGTAGATCGTCACGCCAGAGCCATTATCGGCGGCATGCTGTTTCGGGCTTCCCTTCGTGTAGCTAAAGCTGTCTTTGGGGACCTTGGTTGTTAATCCGTAGTTAGTTCCGAATGCTTTCTGTTTGTTCGTTAGCCTTGCGATCGGCATACAGGTGTGGAGTCTGATTACTTGACAGTTTCGGCAGTGGCAGAGCGAGGTCCGCGCATCCTCGGGGGACGACAGCGATAGATTGTATTCGATCTTGTGGCAGAAACAGGAGCCTGTGTATTTTGGCATTTTGGTGATGATACGAATCACATTTTGGAAGAATCATTTATGGAAGATGGCTCAGAAAAGCCGGAAGGCTATCATGACGTCACTGTGTACAAGTATCAATGCTGTCGACCTGGTTGATTTTGTGGAGTTGTGAGTGATGTAAGGATGCGCTCAAGTGGTTTTCAACTACAGTATTACAGAATACCCTGTTCAATGGAAGGTATTCTTTGTTCATCTGAATTTCGAACTCAAGTCGCCAAAGGTTCGGATGCCAGCTTGAAGAGTCGAGCAACCACCTACCGATAACCCTAGAAATAAATCAAGCCCTATAGGTCCACAAAGCGGCACGGTAGTCTTCGGCTTTAGGACAAATATGTCTACTTTTGCATATAGTAGATCATTCTGGTATTTTCAATCATGATGCACGCACATATTCCGAGCTAGAAGTAGATCGTATTCAGGCCTTGCAGTAGAGTTCCCAGAGACCCGAGTCATCGAGCCAGTCCAGGAACACTTCATTGAGCCCTTGGCGCAAAAGTTCATCTCCCATATGATAAGACTGACCTTTTTCCAACACAGCGGTTCCAAGTGCGCTCTGAACCGGCTTCCCGATCCTAATCTTCTCAATCGAGTTTTGTAGGTCCATCCACCAACAGCTTTCCGGCATCCACTGTCGCTTCGCATCCGCTGCCGACGCAAGACTCTCAAACTCTGGAAGTGATTGGACAACTTTCCAAATCCTCGGCGCATCATAATATGCTGGCTTGCCAAGGCGATTGATGACTTGTTGGGTGTACTTTGGATCCACCATTTGTCTAGATGTCCTTTGCAGGTAATCGATTTGGTGATCAATGAGGGTTTGTATAGTATTGCTTTCTTGCGCCGGATCATCTTCGGTTTCAGCTTTCTCGAGGAGATATGTCAGCTCGTCTCTCATTTTTCGGAGGCGGTAGTGGGCCCATTCGGAGTAAAGTGAAGATGTGTCGGCGTATGGTCGAACGTTGGTTATGTAACTGGAGTCGTAGACGCCTGGCATCTTTGAGCGATAGGAGGTGATGGTAGAGATGCGTTCTTTCACGCCTTTTGCACGAGCAGCTAGATGGCACACTTCTCCCCCTTGGAGCATGACTGCATGTCCAAGTTGTGGTCCTTCGACCTTCTGAGCTTCTCCATTTCCTTTCTTGATGTATGTCTCCCCGCCAATCATGCCTTCGGTTTCACTAAGCATCAGGACACAAACGTAGGGGTACGAGTCATAGCTATCATGTGTTAGCTCTTCTGCTATCAGAATCATAAACTGGTTCAATCAACATACTGCCAGGGTATGATGGATTTGGTGTCATTCAAAGGATCATATGCTCGATCTTCAGGGCTCAGCTCGAGCTTCTCAACCGATGGCTCGACTTGCAGATTTCCAGACATCTCCGCAATAGTAGTGCCTTGGACTTGGATGTTGGTATGTCCTATCTCCGTTGGCATCACCACCTCCAGAGGTACACCGGCAGCCTCCGAGACAATTTTCATTGTTTCGGGGTGCATCCAGAAGTCATTGATGAATTTCGACCTTTTCACTGCATCGCGTAGTACCAATGTTCCCGGGAAAGGAGAGCTGGCGCAGTTGTCTATCACCTCTTTGCGGAACAGGGCTCTTCGATAAGCTCTGACTCCTTCGGCTGATAGAAGGGAGAATGGCACTGTTCCTGCAACAGGAGATGCGGAAGGACTAGATTCGAGATTCAGATCTTCCATTGTGAATTTCTTTGAAGGTGGGATGTAATGGAGATGGAGCTGCGGAATCAGACGTTAGACATCCTGATTTCGTTTCTCCAGACATCTTCAATCAAACTAATGAAAAGAGTAAGCTCGATTGTACATACTTTGGCATCAAACACATCTTCCTCGGGTGTCACTCCCCAATACCACCTGCTCAACATGTTGAGGGGATTCATCGTAGTCGCCATAGCTTGTTGGGTTGATTTAAGTATTCTCAATGCGATTGATGAGAAATGTTAGCCAGTGGAGAATCTTTGTTGTATTTGTACGAGGTGATGAGAGAGAGAGAGATAAAGAGAAGACAGAAGAAAGTCGACAGCGCTGTCTACCTCCTGACCAGGCGCGGGACTAAATCCTCCAGAGCAAAGATTGTCCATGAAAATCCTTCGAGATACCATGAGCCCAAGCTGTAATTACTCATAGTATACTGACTCAATCCGCATCGGTGGAACTAGACTATTCCTATCCAGGAAGGTCTGTCCCGCGGATATCGCTAAGTCACCATGTCAACGAGGATCGCATCTCCACTTTTAGATGTCTATCATTCGGATCAGGGGGTATACTACCAATCGATGCTCTCTATTGGGCTGTCATTCTATCGTTGCCCCGCAGATTTCTGCACGTAGGGCCCATCTATCCACATCCGGATAGATCTACTTTCCATCGTGTCTTTTGCTGAGATGTAACCCACCATTACTCGATGCCGTCGGCCAGTACGGACTATGTATTACGGGTAGCTATCTTCTCAGACCACGCACTTGATAAGAGGCGAAGCTGGTATTCGTCAGTTCGTTCATGGGGAAGGGGTCCGGGGCACAATGACATCTAGCCGTGGATATCGGCGTTGCTTGTATCGTACCTGGCGGTACTCAAACAAATTCGGCATTTGGAAGTCTTATTTCGTTGGTGTATTTCTAAAGCAAACTCAATCTCCATTTTGCTTATCATTGTTTGTTATGTCTTTGGGCCTATTGGGTTTATCCTTCACCACGCTCCAACCCCAACTTTGCGGATAGTCATTGCAAAGCTCCACCTGGGCAGCTCTTGCAATAGCTCCTTTGGGGTCCTTCGCTTTTCGCTCTCCAGTTGAGCACTTGGCTGACAAAATGCCTGAAAGGCGACCTCGGAAATAAAGCCAAGTGCTATACATGATTCCCAATCTTAAGGTATTCCCAGGATATGCGTGATTGGCTGTTTGAGTGACTGAGATAATTTCGACTCAACTTGGTAGATGAAAACTTCTACTTTGTACCCTGTGATTCTTAAGTTTTGGGGTATCAACAATCAAATTGCATATTATCTACAGTTTCAAATTTGAGTACATTTATGCGCCTTTAACCATCCAAGCCACAGCGCCACCCCAGAACAAAACAAAGATAGCAGTCAATATCCCTGCACCAGCTTTATCACCTGTGGTGATGGGCTCAGGTCCCACAGACCCTTGGGTATTGGTGCCGCCATGAGGGTTGCTCTCGGACTTTCCACCATTGTCGGCGTTGTAAGGGCCCTGGGCCTTGAGTGGGACCATCACGGCGTTGAGAACACCCAACACTGACATTTGCTGCTCCAATCCAGTTGTCTGATCCCACTCTGCCTTCTTCGTCCAGCGAATTCCGCAATGTGTCCCATCACTTCCACCAGAGCATTGCTGACCGGCAGCGACAGCAGATACCTTGAATCTTGCCATCATGTCCGCCATGGTTTCGGTTGGCACAATGAGCGACATAAATCCGAGCCAAGAAGTGAAATAGGCCTTGAATGTTTTCTGGTTGCGATCACACTTCTCGATTGGCTCGCAGGTGATGTCGGATATAATCTGGTTTCCTCCGGATGTAGGGAAGAACTGATCAGATGTTTTGAGCAGTCCTGTAATACCCTCAAGCCACTTGCTATCCTCGCCATTGGTCTAATAGCCAGTCAGTTTCAACGCTCTGAGCCTTCACCTGGTTAGAACAGAAGGGGAACATACATAATTGTGCATATAGCCCGCGCCACAAATATACGTAGCATAGTTATATGTCCACTGGTGATCGCCATGATCTTTGCAATTCGCTGCCACAGAAGTGGTATCGGCAATCACCCAAGTCTTTCTCAACATTGGCGTTGACGCACTCCAATCCCAAATCTTCTCGGCCCAGTCGGCATAGGTGCTGTTCTTGGTATATAACGCCAGTCGTGCTGACAGCTGGAATAAGCCTCCATTGGAAATGGCGTTCTTCAATCCATATCCATTTTGGTAGGGCCAGATCTGCCATCGCAAACCTCCATTGCAACTAGTCATATCCCAGCGCGGAATTTGTCCGTTGAACACACCCTCGGCCAGGGAAACCCACGAGGGCTCGTCGTCTCTTTCGGGGAAATTCAATTCTGCGGCGGTGATTGCAGCCAATCCCCAGAACACTTGGTCGTCGTTTCCCAGGTATTGGGAGTAGTTGCTAGGAAAAAAGTCGTCCTCGCCCTTCTGCCAGTACATTCCCTCTTGGATAGCATCGTTGAACTGGTCATCGCCTGTCAAGTACCAGTATTGAATGAGAGTCATGAACATGGAGCCGCCTTCCCACCAAGTCCCATCCATTTTACCCGGAATATCTTTGGAATCGCGGTCTTCGTAGAACTTCATCATGGCCGAAGCCACGGTCTTGGCGGCATCTTGGAGGGAAGCTATCGGAACAGCACATGTAAGTCATTTGCGGGGGATTCACAGAATGTTTGAATCAACCCACTCTCATCATCAGGGTTAACTTCGATCGCGACGACATTCTGTACGATCAGGCAGGCCAAAAGGGCGGTCAACCACCTAGAAAGAATCACAGACTTCATTTGACAGACGCGGACGGGTGACCGACATCGGAGAAAATATGTATATGGCAGAGAAAATGAGTGCAAGAGCAAAATGCATTGAGCAGAGAAGATGTGCGCATGCCCGAGAACAAAAGAGCAAACATAATGGAACCCATCAGATTCTACCGAATCATCGCTGAAACCAGCCACTTGGCAAAGAGGCGTTGCATGAGCGGAAACACAAAGGAAAAGGGACTCTATCGATATTCCAAGACATTGGCACGCCAAATTCTGCTGCCTGAGCTCGCTCTGGGTACCCAGTTCTACTCAGCACTGCCCAGTTTTTACGCGCTTGGCGTTGAGCCCTCCTTTGGACAGGAGATGAGGGTGAAGTAATGCCAAGTATTCATGGCGCTTTTTACCCCGCCCCCCTTCCCGGCCTAGCCGGGGTAGGCGGTTAGGGGACACAACGCTGCTTGATTAGGCGTATGTATTGGCCTGTCGATTAAGTAGATGCAGTGTAAGTAAGCATGATAGGCAAATCGAAGCTGCATCAGGAGTAGTACGAGGAATATCAAGCAGCTGGGTAGATCTTGAAAGCTTAGATAACCAGGGTTAATAAGCTTCCAAGGAATGGTGGTTGGCCGCAACCAATCAAACTTCAGACAGCTGGGATTGATTCGACAACTTGCCTCAAGTCAGCCTGGACATTGCACAGGACGTGAGATTCAAGGTGTAATTTCTTTCGGATAAATACATGCTTTTACTACATTCAATCAAGCGAGGTTGACTAAAAACATTCCCGACTCATTGCAGTTCGCAAAGCGCGTAGAGATGTTTCCACAAATAAGGGGGCAATTTGCCAAGGAATTTCCGCCGCGCGCGGAATGTCGGCGTCAAAATTGCTCTTGGCGCTACCGTGGAACTTTGAGGCGAAGGTATTTTTAGACCCGCCAAGTGCCGGCACTGCCACTGTCACTTGGGAGGCCTCTTTCTGGGTCACGGGAGATTAAGGGGTCTTCTATTCTGCAAATTGACTATCAAACGCTAGTATCAGCTGGAAATTGAATCTGCGCAGTTTGGAGCAGATATCCAATGGGGTCTAGACTCTAGATTTGTGGACTTTGTACTCCGTAGATTGTTATTTTCCACAAAATTCAGAGTCGTAAAAGGGGACTTGACTGAGAATCACAGCAAATAACTTACTCCGTATCCAGTGGTCAAAATGATTTATTGCATTCACTAATCCAGGATGTTGGTATACTCGAGACCCTTTGCACCGTGCACGTAAAAAGACCCACATAATCTACTCCGTATGGTGTACGATATAGCGATATTGTAAGTATACACGGCCAAAAAGAAAGAAGAAGGGGGAAAAAAGAGATGGGAGAGGGTGTGAGTCAACAGGACTGGTTGAAAGGCCGTCTGCTGAATTCGAACCGGTAATGTCTCATGGCACTCGCTGTTTACATAGGGAATTTACATTTCCCAACATGGTAGACACCGGCCAAGAAGAATGGGGGTAGACAAGCTGAACAGGACAGCAATCGTGGTAGAGACGAGTGCGCCATCCTGCCAGTTGATACAGGTACTATGGCTTTTTGGGTATGTATGCTAGCTTCCCCAGATATCAGGACAAGCCTGGAAGCCGCGCTAGTATCCAGCGGTAAGCTTCATTCGGTCCAAAGACATAGTGAGCAGAGACACTGCAAAGACTATTAAAGCCCTTGAAGTCCCTGGGCCTTGAGGAATAAATTGCACTAATTCTACCCTGCAATCATCCACGGAGTTCAACCTGCAAGCGCTAAGGACCTACCTATATTCCTCCCACCTTTCTTATGTTCCCTTTTCGAACCTCTTTACTCAAGCTATTCTCGAATCCTTATGCAGGCTCTGACCCTTAAGCTGTGGATTTTCAAGCGAGTGCGCTGCAAGATGTACTGTGTTTGTGACCCAGATCAACTTTCTGTCTCGGGAAGTTGTGACCGGGCTATCTGTATTTCGCTTACAGGCATTGACTTGAGTAGATAATTACATGGCCAGTCTGTGACATTGCATTTCACATCACAATAGAAAAGCTCTAACAAGGTCAAAAAGACCTCGGGAGTGCTGGTGGTATAAGTAGCTCCCAAAGCGGCAGATTATGTCATTGTCGCTCGGCTTTCCCCGCAATCTCGCTTTGCGTCGGCTCAACAATACTACCTAGCTCCGAGCGACCTTCTATTTTATCCCTTCGAAAGACCCTGATCATGGTTACCTTGTGATTACTCGACTCTCTGCGACAAACCATCTTACCACAGCAGTGTAGCTGGTCGCCGTCATGACCCTCTCATCCCTTCTCCGCATTACTCCCCGCTTAGCCCCAGCGGCCCGCAGGACGCGAGCTGCGTCCACAATCAATACACCAACAACCAAGCCATTAGACTCAATACTCATCGCTAATCGTGGCGAAATCGCTCTGTATGTGGAAATCTGAGATATCGTGAATTCATTGCTTATTTTCCAGGCGCGTTGGACGCACAGCTGCGGATCGCGGCATCCGCGTGACTACCCTCTACACCGATCCGGATAGCCGAGCACAGCATGCCTTGAGCTCGCCATTTGCTTTTAATCTCGGATCTGTATCGGCGTACCTTGATGGTGACAGAATAATTGAAATTGCGAAGAAAGAAGGGTGTCAGGCTATACATCCCGGATATGGCTTTGTAGGTTGACCGTGGGTCTTGGCTACTATACCGAGAGCTGACAGAGAATTATTAGTTGAGCGAAAACTCGGCTTTTGCACGAAAATGTACCGAGGCTGGGTTGATCTTCATCGGCCCGCCGTACACAGCCATTGAAGATATGGGAGATAAGAGGTATGAGCCCTGTTCTATTCAGATGGTATGGCATACTTACAGGAGGCATTGGATAGTCGTTCCAAAGAGATTATGACAGCCGCTGGTGTACCATGCGTTCCCGGATACCATGGAGCCAATCAAGATCCCAAGTTCTTGGAGGAGCAGGCGGGCCAAATTGAGTACCCGGTGCTCATCAAAGCCGTCAAGGGAGGTGGTGGTAAGGGCATGCGCATCGCTCGCTCCCAATCCGAATTCCAAGCCCAACTTGAGTCAGCGAAGTCCGAGGCCATGAGCTCATTCGGTGATGACAACGTGCTGGTCGAGAAGTACATCACCACGCCACGACACATTGAGGTACAGGTGTTTGCGGACAAGCATGGAAACTCGGTGGCTCTCGGAGAGCGAGACTGCAGTATTCAACGCCGACACCAGAAGGTCTTGGAGGAGTCCCCCGCGCCCCATCTGCCTGACACTACCAGAAAGGATCTGTGGGACAAGGCTCGGGCGGCTGCATTGGCCGTTGGCTACGAGGGCGCTGGAACCGTCGAATTCATCTTCGATAACGACTCCGGGAAATTTTACTTCATGGAAATGAACACACGTCTACAGGTTGAGCACCCTGTGACTGAGATGGTCACAGGTCAGGATCTGGTTCATTGGCAGATCCTAGTAGCCGAAGGAGCCAAGCTACCCCTTACACAAGAGGAAGTAGAGGAGCGCATCTCACAGAGCGGCCATGGAATCGAGGCCCGTATCTACGCCGAGAACCCCGAGCAGGGCTTCATTCCTGACTCGGGCCGTCTGCTGCATGTGCGCACGCCAGCTACTTCGGATGATATCCGTATCGATGCGGGCTTTGTACAGGGAGATGACGTCTCCGCACACTACGATCCCATGATCTCCAAGCTGATTGTTCGTGGTGCGGACCGCGAAGAAGCACTCCGAAAATTGGCGGTTGCTTTGGAACAATACGAAGTCGCTGGTCCGGTGACCAACATCGAGTTCCTGAAGAGCATCTGCAAGAGCCCCGACTTTATCGCGGGAGAAGTGGAAACTGGCTACATTGAGAAGCATCGTGAAGAGCTGTTCGCGAAGAAAACAATCGACGACGAAGTTTTGGCGCAGGTCGCACTGGCTTGTCTACAGCGCGATACCATCTCAGGAGCACACTCTGCAGGCGTCGCTGGCTCAGCTATTGGGTTCACGCCTAGCTACCAAGAGCGACAGCTATCATTCACCGAGTCCTCGGGCCCAGGCTCTACCGACGGATCAACATTCAATGTACGGGTACAGCAAACAGCAGACGACACATTCAACGTTGAAGTCGGTGGAAGAGTCTTTGAGCAAGTCGTCAGCAAGCTCGATCCGACCTCCCACATCGTCACTTCCTTTTTCCCCCACACTCGACTCGACACGACTGTGATCAGAGACGAGGATACTATCATCGCCTTCCAGCGCGGCACACAGTACCGACTTACGCTCCCCCGAGCGAAGTGGATGGAGAAGGCGCTCGGTATGAAAGATGTAACGAACAGTGTCCTCGCCCCGATGCCATGCAAGGTTCTGCGGGTGGAGGTACAAGCAGGCGACGTCGTGGAGAAGGATCAGCCTTTGGTGGTCATCGAGAGTATGAAGATGGAGACAGTTATCCGGAGTCCGCAACAAGGTACTATTGCGCGAGTTGTACATCGTCAAGGAGTAAGTCACGCGCCTTTGCCCCTGACCGCCAGAATGCCGGTCCCAGCGATCTTGTTCGCTTTGATTGGCTTGATACTTTGGTATTGTTTTGTTTCCGACGTGTCTGGCCTTTTCTGCTTATTTGCAATTTTCAGAGCTTTTGACCGATTGAGTTCCATGGCTAACGTACCTTGCAGGATCAATGTAAAAGCGGAACACCGCTGGTTGAATTCGCCGAGTCCTTATAGTTGTGAATTTGCATACAGTTATTTCTTACTGGAAAGGGGAATTGACAAAACCAGATATTTAAAAATGCAAAACATGCTTGCTCAAGGCGCCAACAAATTAAATATCAATTAGCTTGACGTAGTGGTCCACTTCTCCCCATAGTCCACGGGTACGAATCAGTAGATCTGTGGAGGTGCACTAGCCAAGGTTCTCCACAGCGGATCTGTCACAATTCGATGCGTCCGACATCTAAGTACGAGTACGGAGTACAGAGTATTTATGTACCTAGCCAGGGGGCCTGCAGTGGCGAATTCTGACACAAACATGACCAGACCGATCGTGGGGACAGCGTACTCCGTAACTAAGGGATAACTTAGTGAAGCGTATGGATTGTAGGGGGTCATCACAGCGATCAAAGAGATCCTGGCAAACTGAAAGTTCAAGATCATGTTCAAGATCGCTGAGCGCCTCATTTAGTATAGTACCGATGTATGACATTGAGGTACGGAGTACCAAGTCCGAAGTACTGAATATGCACAATCTGACATCACTTACCGAGTACTTCGCCTCTGCTTTACAACGTATCAGCCATGAAACAGGAGATACCCCTGCTACAATTGCTCACCGCAACTGTCACATTCCCCTCGATGCGAAAATAGCATACTTCTTAATCGCCCCTTCCCCGCGATTTCTTCAATTCCCCTCTCCATAACACTACACTACGCGTCCAGCTCACAATGTTCAGACCAATTGCACGATATGCTACCAGATCGATATCCTCTCGTCCTCTAGTGCCTACTCGAGCTATAATACTCACTCGCCCTCTCTCCCTCACAGCCTCACTCAGCAAGAATAAAGATCCTGCAAATGATCCTCACCTCGCGGCCACCACCAAAGCCCCAGAAGGAGCTTCGGGTGAAAATGAAGGCCAATTCGCTCGCACCGATCAAAGCGTGCATATAGAATATCCCCCCGACAGCGAAATGCCCGCGCAACCCGTCGCCCAAGGCCGAGGTGGCATGCATTTCAAGCGCACCCTCGCCCAATTCTCCCTCGAGAAGAAAGTCAGTATCGTCACCGGCGGAGCTCGCGGGCTGGGTCTAGTCATGGCTCAAGCACTCGTTGCGTCGGGATCTGATCTCGCAATCATCGATCTAAACAGTACGTTTACCCGGCGCCATATGGAACTCCTGCTCAACCCATAACAGAAGATGAAGCCGACACCGCGGCTGCCTCGTTGGTCGAGCAGTTCCGAAAAGAGAACCCTGGACTCGAAGAGTATGTCAATGACATCTCAACGCCATGTCAAGCTAATATGTCGTAGCATGCCGAACGTAACAGCACATTACGCGGACGTTGCAAGCCCAGACTCGGTCAGCAACGCGCTTTCCGAAGTCCTCTCGAAACACGGCCAAATTGATAACCTAGTGACGTCTGCTGGCTTTACTGAGAACTTTGACGCAATCAACTACCCTTTTGACCGCATGCAGAAGCTCTGGGGTGTCAATGTCGACGGCACATACCTCTTCGCCACGGGTGTCGCGAAACACCTCATGGAGCGCAAAGCGCCTGGAAGCATTGTCATGATCGGCTCTATGTCCGGCGCTATCGTGAATGTCCCTCAGCCCCAGGCTCCTTACAACGCGGCGAAGGCTGCAGTGAGGCATCTGGCTGCTTCGCTGGCTGTCGAGTGGGCGGGTCACGATATTCGCGTCAACTGCATTAGTCCTGGATATATGCTGACTGCTCTGTAAGTCATGAGTTGGAATTAGAGAAGCTTGTTTGCTGATGAATACAGTACTCGCAAAATCCTAGATGAGAATCCCCAATTGCGGGATCACTGGACTTCCTTGATTCCGGCTGGCAAGATGGGTACTCCTGAAGATTTGATGGGGGCTGTCACTTTCTTGCTCAGTGATGCTTCCAAGTATATTACTGGAGCTGATCTCCGCGTGGATGGTGGATACACCGTGACCTAGATGTCGACATTGGATCTTTCGATTTCCACTGCATGGTTCTTGTATGAGACTGATATTTTAAGCGCTGATACTATATGCATCTGTTGTGTTATCTCTTGCGACCACATTCCAAGCCCAGGTGAATTTGTCGAATAACCTACAGGGCTTGGAATTTGAAAATGGATATCCTTGTCCGATGTCCAAATCCAAGAATCAAAGCGGTATCTAGTAATTATACCGGAAGCTCAAATTCTCTCGGTCGGTCAAGTCATCAAAAGCATTATCCAAATTCATCGCATTGGCACTCCAATCCTGTTCCTGTGAGGTATTAGCGCATTGTAGACCTTAGCAATGACCCTTGGAAACCAACCTGCAAAGCGTCCTTGATCGAATTCTGCCTCTTCAAATGCCATCTTAGCGTAAGAAGCAATATGATAAGGACCCCGTAGCACCCCATGTGGACTGAGAAACACGTAAAATATCTCGGTGCGTCCTTTGATTGGAAAACTTGTGGTCCAATCATGTTTCCCACTGCCCATGCAAAGAAAAGGGAGGCGGTGCTGATAGACTTCTTGGTCTGACCGGCGACATTACGAGATAGGAGGGGCATGAGGAGAGTGGTTGTACCCCAGAAAGAGAGTGTACACCAGTATCCGATGAGAAGGCCGACGCGTGTGGAGTGGGAAATGGGCACAGCTATTCCTTGTCAGCCCTTGTACCGAATGCAAAATAGAATCTAGAGCTTACCCATTAGAACTGCGGTTCCTGCTATGTTTGGCATGAGGAAGACCTATGTACATTCCAAGATTAGCAAGAAAACATGAGATATGTTTGGGTAATTACCAGTTGGAAAATGACAGTCTGACTGAAGCGTCGAGAAAGCCACGCAGAGGTCAAGAGAACAAAACACTGAACGCCTCCATTGACCATTGAAAGCAGTTCTGTTTGCAGCTCGGTAAATCCGAAGTTCTTGATCAAGATCGTTGAGAAGGATCCAAGACCGCCTGTAGGAATCTGAATGCTATGATAGAAGGTCTAGTCAGAGGTCATAACACGAGACTCAATGGAACCTTGGAAATCTCAAATGACTTACATTATTTGAATCAAAACGTAGAGCCAAACCTGTGGATCCCGAAGAGCTTCGATGAGATGAGCTTTCTTGAAGCTCCTGTTCTGAATACCTGTTTGATTGGCTCGAACGCGCTCGATCATGAGCACCCGGTCTGTTTCCGAGAAACATTTTGCACGCATAGGACTATCGGGCATCCACCACATAACGAACATCGACCAAACGCAGGTGATGGAGCCGAGCAGGATGAAGAGAAATTGCCAGGATTTCAACACAGGCGAGTGGACGTGGCTCATTCCGTATGCGAAGAGACCGCCGCAGATTCCTTGGACTCCGTTCTGTGAGTTCGGTTAGACTTGTTGCGCTGTTTGAAGTATATTGCGGTACGAACCATTCCCTGAAGTTGTGTTAGTGAGCAATTTGGATATTCCAGCAGAAGCAACTTACAAACCAGTAAGTAACGATATGTGCTTGTTCCTCGCGCCTATACCACATTGAAGAAAGCAACAAAAAAGTAGGCTGAGAGACGGCTTCGAAGATTCCCAACAGGACTCTAAGAGCAGCTAGAATTGCAAAGTTGAAGCCGAAACAGGTCATTGTCAATGTCAATCCCCATAAGAAGATGTTTGCCGCCAGGTACTTTGCAATAGGCACCTTCTGCACAATGATATTTGTTGGATACTCGGCAAACAATATACCAAAGTATATGACCGTGTGGATCCAGGAATACTGCAAGAGTTAGCATGGCCCAAGATTGAACCGAGGAGGAACTGACATCCTGTCCCTGGAGATTCGCATCTTTCTGAATCCCCATGATAGCAGCATAACTTATTGCGTTCTTATCCAGCGATTGCAGGAAGTAAGTTCCTACCATGACAATCAAAACACGTTTATTGATCATATGCCGCAGTCGCTTGCTGGTGACCTCGTCGACTTGTACATTGTCGGCGGCGACGACGTACTTGCGTAGCTCTTCGTCTATGCCTATGTGCTTTTGTGGCACATCACCGGGGTCGGAAGTTATCCTCTCGACATGGTCCTGTGTTGTCTTGTCCATTTTTGGCCGTGATTTCTGGTCCACTCTCCCCACATCTGCATGCCTCTTATATCATAGCTTTGGTCCACGCCAAGTCTATTTTTGCGGGGTACATCATCTATCAATCGAAGGCTTTTAGCCAATATTTCGTACGAGGGACGCTGTGACCCTGCTTCGCGGCCTCGGTTGGAACGTTCATGTCGTGCGGCATATTCGCAACTCCAGCCATCGAGGAAGACACCCTCTTGATAGATGATTGAGTTTTCAATGTCAACTCCGATTGGAGCTTCCTTGGACCCTAGAAGGAACGGATAAGTCATTCTCGTGCTATTCGGCTTTGATAAACAGCGGAAAAGGTATCGAACCTGCCGAGTGGTGGAGAAACCTGGGGTCGCATCCTGGGGTAATGCGCCAAGGCCGGCAATTAGCATAGTGCACGACAGCTGGTGAGGGGCCTGTGTATGCGATTGCCGACGACCCGGAAAATGAGGCGTTTCTGTGCTCCTATTGATGGAACCTGTCGATATCTTAGGAGCACCCTCGGTCGCTTTTCCGAGTTGGTGGTCTTATAACGGGGAGCATCTTGCTGTTTTTGATTATACAACTTTGCAGCGATGGCGGATAAAATACTGTCAGTCTTTCTGTCTCCCGACAAGGTGGAGAATGTACCCTTCGAGGTCAAAACGCCGCTTGCCGAGATGAGCTTATCCGATACCAAGGCCTTGGCTCTGAAGCTTGTTGACAGTCTTGTTCATCTGGAAGACAATTCAGGTGAATTCCGTGTTCCACTCCCAACAGGCGGTTTCAAGGTTGATTCCAAGTCTTGGAAGAACTGGGAGTGGACTCAGGGTGTCGGCCTATATGGCATGTGGATGCTGTTCGAGATCACTGGCGATGAATCGGTCCTCGGTCATATTCAAGCTTGGTTCGATCAGCAATTTGCAAAAGGCACTCCGACAAAGAATGTCAACAGTATGGCTCCCATGTTGACTCTTGCACATTTGTATGAGCGGACTGGGAGATCTGAATACCGAGCGTATCTGGACTCGTGGGCTGAATATGTTATGGACGGGATTCCACGAACAGAAGGTTAGTCTGAGACTGTTGTTTCGCATCTCATAATTTGACTCGGCTAATTTGCTGAAAGAAAGGGGAATCCAACACATCACATTCCGCCAAGTCAACGAAGGCCAGCTGTGGGATGACACCTTGATGATGTGCGTCCTGCCGCTTGCAAAGATCGGGGTTCTGCTGAATCGTCCTGCATATGTGGAGGAAGCCAAGCGCCAATTCTTACTCCACATCAAGTATCTCGTGGATAATCGCACCGGGCTGTGGTATCATGGGTGGACTTTCTTGGAGAGACATCACTTTGCAGATGCACTATGGGGCAGAGGCAACTCGTGGGTTACCATCGCGATCCCCGAGTTTCTCTCTCTTCTTGAACTTCCTCCTGGTGACTATTTCAGAGACTACTTGGTATCGACTCTTGAACAGCAGGTCATCGCTCTTTCGAAATTCCAGAATCAAAATGGGCTTTGGCATACCCTCGTCGATGACCCTACTTCTTATCTGGAAGTTTCTGCGTCGGCGGGCTTCGCTTTTGGAATCCTGAAGGGGGTGAGACTGGGATATCTTGATAAGAAATATCGAGCGATGGGGCTTAAAGCTCTCGAGGCTGTGATCAACAATGTGAATGAGAATGGATTGGTGCAGAATGTGAGTTTTGGAACTCCCATGGGGGCGACAAAAGACTTTTATAAGGCTATCAAGTTGACAGCCATGCCGTATGGACAAGCGATGACGCTGTTCTGTATGGTTGAGTCCATCAAGCGGTATTTGTGATCAATTCAAGTTAACCATAGACATATCCATCTCATTGAGTTACTGGATACATGTATCTAGCTGCTCTTATCATAATCGACCCAATCTATGCTAGTATTGCAGTAATGTCAAGAAGATTCTTGGAAATTGATGCCTAAATTTGAAGAGCCAACCACTGTGCTCATAGTACCTGAGGCTCCCGGAAAGTCAGGATGCCTATGTTGGGACTTTTGGTTATCTCTCTCCCTCCATTTCTCCCGATGCAAATGAGAATCAATAGTCTGTGGATTCACCTGTTTCCGTTCTCATATGTATTGGGCAAAGTTGCCCCATCTTCCTATTTTGGAAACGCTGCCCAACGATGTGGGTCCAGGTTGGCCACTTCAATGTTGTATGGACTTCTTGAGGTCCAAAGTCAATCAGAAATTTCTATTTATGTCTATTGGAACAAGCTCATCAGCTGTTCCGGTATACGGGGGCGGTTCTATTGGCCTTCAAACCTTGACTAGTTGGTCGGGATAATTTTCATTCATCATCGATAGTGTCAATGACACCAACGCCAGGTGGTTGCCGATCATCGGTGATTTTGATGATCAATTGAATGCTTTAACGTGATATAATCTCAATTTGATTATTTTTGTGCCCAACCACCTGATCAGAACAAATACAAGGGATGTTGAGAAGTATACATATATTTCGATGTAGATCAGTATTAGAGATTGCCATATAGATAGGAACTTTGGAAGAATCAACATTCCCAGGTAATCTGACCCGGATCGACACGGAGGCAATAATCCGTCGATCACCCTGACTCGAAGTGCATGAAGAAAAAAATCCTTTGGAGATCGTTTGCGGTGTGAGCGAGGGGTGGAGCGGATGGGGACAAGACCTCGGACCCAATCACAACCTCCCCCAGCTTTTTCTCCGCATACCACATACCTCCAGGGCTGATACTTGACTCAGACGCGTCGAATCAAGGGGCACGGGGGTGAATGTCACCTCGGCAGAACTTCTCGAATTACGCGGATCCCACAGCTTTCCCCGGGTTCTTGATAGGACGTTGACTCCCTGCTTGCAAGGGCCGCGCAATCGGGAATGTAATGATAGGAACTTGAAGTTCCAGTTTGCCACTCTGATCTTCAATCTCTGATAGTCATATTTTCTTTTTGAGCTACCTTGGGGGTTTTTTCTTCTCGAATTTTCTTTCTTTTGCTTTTCCTTTCTTTTGGGATCCTTTGCGAGGCTGAACGGTGAAGCCCAATTCCGGCCCGTCCCGGGGATCCCGACGATGACAGGAGTTTGACGAAAGACGAGAGAGCTGATCATAATCGAAATCCAATAACGACCTTGGGCTGGTTGGGAATTAGGGTCCAGGTACCTTTGGCGTGGTATCACAGCCCTTTGTTTCAGGTACACCTTCTACTTTTCTGCTTGCCTGTTTTTCTGCTTCTTCTTCTTTGTATGATCTTGCGTATTTTGCTCTGGTTAGATGTTTCTGTTTCTTTTGTTTTTCCCCGTTTGAAGAGAGGCTGCGTGTATCTTTATTGGCTTCCCAGACTGACGCAATCGTGATACCTCAGTTTTCGCCGAAAAGTTTCTACTCGAGTTAAGAGATACAGCAACTTGACCAAATCCAGCTCTAGAGGATGAAAGCAAGTCTTGAATCGACCCCAAGACTGTCCCAGCGACATTCAGGACTGGACTTTACCCCTCCCTGATTTCCACTGTTGCTCTCTCGCTTCTGTCATAGCGTGTCATCGCGGCCATGGACCCAAAGCTGCCGGGCTTGGTCGCCTTGTCCAGCTTCCCTTCTGAGGTTTTGGGACATGAGGCTTTAAGTGCTGGTATCTACAAGAACCTTTGGCAAGGTAATCCCATATCTTCGCATTCATTCCCCACTTCAGCCAGGCTGACAGCTCTAGCATACACCACATCACGTCGAAACAGCAAAGACGAGACTGAACATCGCCTGGAACATCTGTTCTGGAGAATATGGAGTAATCGCGGGCTCTCCAAACAAATGAATACTCGTACTCTGGACCGCCTCATCCTACGAATCAAATCCCCCGAAGTTTTGGTGGGCCAAGAGACGACCGATAAGATGTCTGAGGGCAACAAAGAAAAGGTAAACACGACAGTCCCTCTTCTCCGGCATATGCTGACTGTCACCAAAGCCAATCGAGCAACCGGGACCGTGCGATTCTGGCTCCTGCTCCATTCACCCAATCTTGAAGAAACCGCCACCGGTCGAGCGGACAAAGGCAACCGAAGGTGAATCTCACAAGAGCACCCGTCTCCTGCTCGATACCTCCATCGGCACCCAGATCACACTCGACCCATCCGACTCTCCAGTCGCCTTGGCATCTCCAACTCCCATCCCCGATCCACGCCCAGCTCCCAAGAAGTCATATCTCACCGCAACACGAACTGGTCGTGGCCCACGACGCCGCCCAATATTCAATCGCCGCAAGTCCTCACAGACCTCCATTCCAAAGTCTCCTAATGCAGCCATTGGCACAGCGACTCCTCGCCGACGTTCCGAGCCAGCCGCAACAACCGATGGCGCAGACACCATGTACGAAGACAGCTACGTGGAGCTAGGGCTACTGCAGCACTTGAGCTTCCGCGACGAAGAAGACCAAATTGCGCGCGAACTCGGACGTGAGATTACCCCGGAACCAAAGCCCGCAAAGCCATATGTGCCGCTCTTCGATGAAGTCGATGATGAGATCTTGCCTGTGTCAGGTGCCACAACTTCGGCTGTTCCGTTCCCTCCCGCTGCGTCGCTCAAGCATCCTGCTCTCAGTCCTGATATCTTTGGTGGTGTCAGTGATGTGGATCTGCCTGGTGGGTCGGATCTCGGACTGGATGATATTGACGGAGACTGGTCCGATGTCGATGCGATTGATTCTACACTTCCTATCTCACAGCCGTTTAAGAACCTTGTCGAGCATCGTGAGCACATGACGGATAAGGCTCGTCCCACTGTTCACTCTGAGCTCATTCCCGCTGTCATTCCTGTGGACAAGCATACCCCTCTGATGCCGCCCAGCATGGAAGGTGTCAAGCTCTGAGTGCCTAATTGATGAGCCAGCTCTGGTGGTTGCTGGGGAGGCTCCGCATGTACGAGATGGCTTGACGCGCACCAGGTGATCAAATGAAAATATCAGAATCGGGAAAACCTCCGGATGAGGCTGTCTTCTTGATTCATGGCAGCACTTGTTGTTTTGACCACGAAATGAAATCAACACCTGAGCATCGTAACAAATTCCCCGAAATTTGGCTGGATGAAAGACGGCATACTTAATCTATTCAATTGGCCAGTCTAAATCCCATAGCCATCACAAGACCAATGAAACATTCAGACTACCAAAATTTACTTGACGCTTGGTCTAAAACATCAAGGCTTTGACGTTCTGTGTTGCCAGACATTCTTTTGTATCTTGTATCTCACCGGTGGATCGTTCTCATCAACCTTGATCGAGAGAAGTAGGGAAATACCAGTACATCTACCGAGATCGGTGGAGCGGTCCCACTGTTTGTTCACCCTGACAGACTACTTTTAGAATACTTGGGATTACATTGATCAGACCAGCAGTGAACAGTTTGATAAAGTCTAGCCACGATCACGAAAATAGGCTGAATACCCGTATCTCGAAAATTGGAACCAGCCCAAGAATTCCTAAACAAAACGCCATTTATGACACAGCACTGACTCCCGAGCCATGTGCCCAAAGCGAGGAATAAAGATGCAAGAGACCCCCAACCACCCCAAGAGCATGACCACACGCATCTAAATCTCCCCCTTCTCCACATCAACAGCAGCGCCCTTCCGACTCTTCAACCAGCGCACCAAAACCCACGAAGCAGAAATAACCCAGAAACCCAAATTAATAACATCAATCCAAACAGCATGGCGCATACGATTGATCTTCGAAGCATCAGCAGCGTCCTCCTTCGGATGAACACCAATATACATCTTCCCAAAGACACCGAAAAGCGCCAACCACAGGACACACAGAACGAATTCCCAGACGAACTGCGGGAGAAGCAGGGCCGGATTCGAGGCCACTTTGAGCTTGCGCATGATGAACGGTTTGACGAGGCTCACGAGGGCGGTTGTTGTAGCCAAGAAGGCTGCGACGAGGGCATAGACCCATTGAGAATGCGTTTCGTGGTTGTGGGAATGGTCGTGGTGGACGTCGCGGCCGTAGAGGCCGATTACGGTGAGACCGAAGACGAATTGGAGGAAGCGGAGGGTGGCTGAGAGCATGAAGGCGAGCTTGGAGCCTTTGCTTTCGGTGTAGTCGACTGTTGTGCCTGGGACGGCGCCGGGTGGGTAGCCGCTGAGTGGGTAGTCGTCGGTTTGGTAGTTTGGGGGGTAGACGCCTGCGTCTTGGTTCTTTTGAGCGTCGCGCTTGGCTTTGTACTTTTTGGCTTGGGAGAAGCCCAGCTTCAAGAGGGGGACGGCGAGGAAAGACATTTTGGGTATGTGTTGATGGAAGGTGCAGAGTGAAGGTGATGGTTTTGGATGGCACACTGCGCAGAATTATGTCAAGGGAAATATTTATGGCAGGCCAGATGCCAAAGCTATTGTCAAGAAAGAGGTAATTGAGAACAAAGGAAAGAGTGTAGAAATAGAAATAGAAATAGAATGAAAGCCGAGTCTGATTCAATGCTGTACAGGACATGCAGTTCTTTATAGTCCAGCCCTATAGACCATGTTATTCAATCATTCAGGTCTCGCAAACAATGGAGAAAGCTCAATGCTACTATTTCTGACACCTGCAGAGACGAAACACGGCATGCTTCTTTGAGAGCTGCGCGACTCGCTCTGGTCTCCACTGTGTCGGGTACTACTTCGTTCACAGACAACGAGCTATGCAAGGATGAAACTGCCATGGATCAAAATAGAATGCCCAGCTTTGACATGGGTTCTGAAGAACTAAAGTTGTGGAATTGACGTTGCTTCAGTTCGCGCGCGCCAAGTCGGGTTACATGTCGTTTCAGCGCGGCGCTTGGTGATAGCTCGAGATCCAATCATTTGCGGAGGTCTATTTCAGATCGTCAGTTTGCATTGACGGTACCTGAAAAAGTAATAGTCTTGCTTATGGTTGTGTTGAGCACCAATTGCCAGTGTAGATCCTAGGGTTGATACTCTTGGCACGTTTCATCTGGTCCTACAAGCTACAACTGGACAAAGTCAACATTTGATCATCTCGCATTGATTCGGGGTATGCACATCGCTCAGGGGCGGACATTACAATTACACTTTCAACTAACAGTCTCAAAAAAAAAAAAGCTCGCCAGTCCAATATGCTTGAGGGGGATTTGAAGGGACTTCCTAGTTCCTTCATGCTAAGCTCAACGCCGAAAAAAAGAAAAAATGACAAACGCCCCATCGATCCGGAAACGAAAATGCAATGACAAACTCGCAAAAGAACCAAAGAAAAAGAGAGCGGGACAACTCCATCGGCCATCAGGCCTGTTATGCCGGTCGACTTGCCCCCGCGTCCGCAGCTCCTTTGATGCCTGGAGCGGAAGCCGTTATCTTTGGATGATTGCCGGCCGGGAGCGGGGGTTTGAGATCAGTAGGCGAGGCGGGCGCAGAGGGAGGTATTGGAGAATGTTCATCATCGTACTCGTGACCATTGTATTCGTCGTCGGGAAGTGCCGAGCCGCCAGCGGAGGAGTGTTCAACCGAGGCGCGGTCATATCCCTGTTGGTAGGGCTGCGCATTCTTCGATGCGTTCTTAGTAGCCTTCTTGGTCTTGCGACCTTTCATTTTGGCCTTTTCCAAAAGCCGCTTCTTTTCCGCCAGTCGCTTGCGCTCCTTGCGGTCTTTCATTTCATATTGTCGGATGAGAGCCTCAGGTGGACGCCCGAAGATACTCTCGTATTCGCAAAATTCACAAATCCAAATGTCCTCCAGACTTGGAGGATGGTGCAGGTTCGTGTATTGTTGCTGGATCTTGCGCTGCCGTGCGGACATGGCGTAGACGCTGGCTGGTGACCGCTTTTTCTTCGGGACCACGGGTGGTTCGCCATTTTGAGCGGCTGGCTGCGTGCCCGGTGGGCCGTGGCTCATGTTTGCGCCCATGTTGGGACTAGTCTGTGCTGCCTGTGTAGGGATTCCTCTCTGCTTCTGGCTTGCAGGACCGAGAGGCGACGTTGGTGAACGGTTGGGAATGGAGAAGTTTCTTTGCATGGCCATTCCCTTTGACGAATCGGACTCACAGGTGAATGTGAACTGAGTCTTTGTGGGAGTGGTGTTTTCTTGTTCCAGCAGACTGACGTTGCTGGGACCCCGGGGAGGGGAGGAGAGTGTTGCGTTTGCGATGGCAGTTGAAATGATTCCTTGGTCGGACGACTCGGCTGAGGGGGGAAGTTAGCAAATACGAATACGGAAGGCACAATCGAGAGAAGTAAATACCGGAAGGATCAGGAGATGACATCAGCCCCTCGCGTCGACTCGGCGCCCGCGTGTGCATCCATCCATTCTGGGCATTGGCCGAGAGCGGAGTTCTGCTGCTGCTGCGAACCACTGGTCTTCCAAGTCGACCTCGCCCGGAGCCGGAGATCCCACTTCCTAATGGCGACGCCGGGTTTCCATTCCCATAATATGTGCCCGTCGACTCTGGTGGAGGCGGGGGCGGCGCGGGGGTTGAGCTCGCGCATCCCATGCTGGCGAATTCGGGGGACAAGGCAGAGTGGTGTCCTCCCAAATTCCCGGGGGTGGGAATCTTCCGCTTTTTCTTGTTATTGGTATTCTCAAAGGCGTCGTAGCCGTCAGGGCCAGACGAGGAGGACTTGGCTTGGGGTGCGTCGGCGGGGAAGTTGGGATGACCGTTGGAGGAGGGAGAGGGAGAGAGAGAAGACCTCCGGACACCACTGCGGCGGACCACTACAGGACCATCTTCATCCCCACTCTCCAACTCTACTGCCGTCTCAAAACTATGTGTGTCCACCTCCGGCGAGAATTCAGTCTCCACGGTCTGCTGCACATAGACCTTGGACTCATTCACCGCCTCTTCGGAGTCTGCAGAGACTCCATAGAAGATCTGGGATGCGGGTGGAGTGGGTGGGTAGTAGATTGTGTCCGCGGCATCAGACGGCAGGCGAGAGCGCAGTGTTCGTCTTGGGAGAGGACGGATCAGACGATCGGGATAGATGGTAGAGGGCGTGTCAGGGGCTGAGTTGAGCGCCCCGTCTACATGAGTGCACTCCACGTCAGTAATTGAATAACTAGCAGACCGGTCTCCGGCGGAAACCAAACGGTCCGGACTATGTGTCCCTGAGCAGACGTACTCAATGTAGCTGCCATCATGCAAGTCTCCACGCTCGCCCTCAACCGCGGGCGATGCTATTTGTATGGATTTCCAGCCCGTTGGCTCTGTTCTGATCTTGCCCGCCACCGTTTCTGTTCCGCAGGGGCTAATAAACGAGGATCGGTGCTTTGGTATCGGGGTATCGGCCCGATTGAGGGATGTGGTCCAATTTCTGTAGACTGGCATAAGTATTGACCCTGCTACACATGTAATCCATCCGGAAGGTAGACCAGAACACAGGCCGAGCTGGGAGAGGAGACTCCGGTCCAATCCCCACCTTTCGTCTAGTTGTCCACAATCCGGAGGTGAATATCAACCTACCCACAAAATAGTGCTATTACTCAGCACATCCAAGATAAAGGGTCGGCGGGATACGGAGGGCAAAAATAGAACGGAGATATCTCTGGAATCAATTCCAGAACCAAGTTCAAGCCAAATGGACAAATCGGAGGAGAGTAATAAGAGGGGTTGAGGATGTGAAGAGAACAAGACGAGTCACGGGAATTCGGAACACGATACGCTAATCCCCTTTGGGTAATCCTCCCAAAATGACCTCGGGGCTATTGCATTACGCATCTTGGACCTATCCCACGGGTACTACCCAGATGAATCCCTCCTATACGGAGAACAGAGTATCATATTCCAGGGACCGTGGGGTCTACATGTGTTGTGCTGCGGCTTTTGGAGGGTGTGAACACCCCCTCCGATCTTCCACTGGTACCTGCATTCGCAGTCACTCCGTGGGCGTCTTCACTTGCCTGGAATGATGGCTGAGCATCACCCAACAAACAATCAGACAAAAACCAAGCTTGTGCAACAATCCTCAATCAAACGCGATTGGCCCTTGTTGAATCCTCCCAGGCTATGCTGAAAACCCGCTGAGCCCGCTGAGCCCCGCGATACATATCCACATATCCACCACGTACATGCGCTTCGGAGGGAAAGGAGGAGGATATCGAGGACAGGAGTGATCGGGCTGTGACAGAAGAATCATGACCAGGGCAGGTGGTGTCTTTCCAATGTTGGGTATGAGATCATACCCACAGCGGCGGGCACATTCCTGTGAGTCACTCATTGAAAGGATTGAACCTAAACTCATATCACAAGGGTTGTAGTGTAAATTATGGACAGTAAGAAGATCAGAGGAGGTAGATAGGGTATGGCCTTGCGACTGTAAAATTCTCGAGCCCTGTCAGCGCTTCTCTGTCGGTGTCATTTTTCTTGGACTTTGTCTGCGCTGCGCAATTCCCAAGGGTGTCGCATAAAACGTGAGAATGTTCACTTTGCTAGGGAAGCACCTAAGGAGCGGTGCTGCTCCTCACTGGTTAGCTCCGTTTCACTTGCAGGCTCGTTGTTTTTGTCCCGCTGCACTGCAAAACGGGAACGGCGGGAACAGCGACTTGGGGGTCGATCGACCAAGGCCAGCAAAGGGACGTCCTCCTTTCGATTCTGTTTCCAAAATGAATAATGAACAGAGGAATAGAGGAATGTAGAGCGGAAAAAACACCAAGGGCAGTGTGGGAAGAAAAATGAAAAAAAGTCTCGCGTCGAGAGGCGTCGAGAGCGGGGAAACCGGCGATTGGATCTTTTGGAGTCCCTTTCCGGCGCCGGTGCTTTTCTTCTCTTCCTCCTCCCCGCCATAACACGGATTTGCTTCTCGGACTATGTAGTCATCGGGCTCTTTATCGAGCCTTGTGATGCCTTGATACAGATACTGTGACTCTCAATTGTCCTGCTGCCTCTCTCAGAGAGCTCCCAATCGCGCGCAACAGCTCCCTCGCAACCGGCTTTTCTCGAGGTTGCTGGGAACTGACCAGCCATCAGCTCGAGTCCTCGTTCATTCCTTTCAACCCGGCTCCCAGAGCACTCATATACTTTCTTTCAATCCTCAACCCTCCCACCTACCATGTCACCCCGTCGTTCCTCTCGGGCTCGCACGTCCCAACCCTCTCCTGCTCTCCCTCAGCACACCAACTCCTCCTCCAGCTCCTCCAATTCTCACACTCGAGAGAGGAGCACACGATCGAACCATAAAAATCCCTCCCCCAACGCTTCGTCCGGTCACCGGTCTCAGTCCATCGATGATGCTGAATCCGGATCGAAAGACCTGCCACAAACGCGGCAGCGCCAGCGCGCCCACGATGACGATGACGACGATGCCCGCGACGAAGATGACGAAGACCTCGATGATGAGGAGGAAGAAGTAACTCGGTGTCTCTGTGCTCAGCAGGAATATCCAGGTTTGCCTCAATCTCGTCGCGAGGCTCTCGGTCGCGGCACCATCAAGCTGGAGGCCATCCAGGGCCCCCTTGACCCATCGGACCCTCTTACAGACGAAATCGGCAGCATGTTCATCCAGTGTGATCTCTGCAAAGTCTGGCAGCATGGTGGCTGCGTCGGAATCATGGATGAGGCGACAAGTCCCGACGAATATTTCTGTGAGGAGTGCCGGAAAGATTTGCACAAAATCAAAGACGAACCTAATGGGTAAGTGGACATACACCTCTTCCGTCTTGCAATTATCCCTGCAGAATATTGTACACTGGTCTCGTGTCTCAATCTTCCTGGTCTGTTTTCGCTGCTTGGAGGGGCTGCTGCCCGGCCCAGCCAACAGTCGCTTTCCACGGCAGGCCACGAATTGTCGATACTTGATACATTGCGCTGTGAACTACGCCAGGGACAATTGCTAACCATCATTCAGCACACGCTCATCCACCTACCTTCCTGTCGCACCGGCAGCGGCACCGCCCCCGCCGCCTCCTCCTCCGCCTCTACCAGCCCCTCCAGCGCAGCCCGCAGTATCCCCCGCGGTGCCAGCGGTAGCCCCATCTCCAGCGCCGTCTTCTCGGGCTTCCTCGAGAGAGATCCCCAGGGAAATCTCGCGCCGGTCCAAGGATCCCAAATCCCGCAGCAGCGACAAAGCGAGTGAAAGTGCCGCTGCTCATGCCAAGCGGCGATCTACCATGAACAGCCGCGATGCCGCGTACGATGAGGAAGAATTGATTCGACGCGCAATTGAGGAGAGCAAGGCCGACACGAAAAGCAACCCCGATGAGAATGAGACTCATTTGGGAAAGCGAAGTCGGAGTGAGAGCGCAACGTGCGTATTATCCTCGATCAACGCCCTTGCCCAAGTATGATTACTGACAACTCGCCTAGCAACAGGGATGGAGCAAAACGCCCGCGAACTACGTCACCATCACCTGGCGCTGTGTCAAAGCGCAGCAAATCCGGATCCCATCCACCTTCCGAGGATGCGCCCAAACAAAAGCCCGCAGTCAACGGGAACGGGACCAGGAGACAAAGGGCTCCGTCTCGCACCCAGCTCGATAAAGAGCAACCCAAAGAGGCCGACGATGTTGAGACGGAGGCTCCTGAAGCGTCGAATCGTCGCAAGGAGAGAACTACCCGTCGCAAAGGAGATGGTCAGTGAACTCTTCCACCAGAATTATAATCCCCATTACTTATGACTTAAGCAGATTCCGACAATGAGACTGGTTCTCCAATCAAGACCGCACCACCCGAGCCTGAAGCTACACAGGCAAGCCCTAATACCCCAACACCCCAAGAGCCCACTCCTGCGCGGCCATCAACCCGCAAATCCGGCCGGCCTCCCGCACGCCGTGGTCGCGTTGGACGAAATCAATATACCAAAGACCGAGATACCAATGGCAATGGTGATGCCGGGTACATGGCGAACTCGCCGCGCCGAGGCCAATCCCACGAGATTGGCGCAGACTCCCCGCGCGTCGGATACGGAGTGAACGGAACCCACATGAACGGCGGGGAGTCCGGACGACCCAGCAAACCGCGCCACATGCACCCCCAGCGAACGACGATGAACGAGATGAAACGCCGAGTCGCAGCGATTCTCGAATTCATCTCGCGCATGCAAGTCGAAATGGCAGTCGCCAGCGAGAACTCGTCCACGCCGACCGGTAACGGCGACCGAGCACAGGGCCTGCTTTTGAAAAGCATGGTTGATCAAATCGACAGTGCCATGCCGTCGGCCGGCAGCGACGGCGGCGAGTCCGCGCCTGCGACCACAGATGGCGGATACGGCGAGTCGAACCACGAGAAAGACTTCAAGGAACTCAGCAGCGTCGAGATGATGGATGTGCTGACTCGCCATCTGCTCAAGTGGCAGCAGGAGTATGGCAAGTTTGGTGAACGGTAGTTCTTTCTCGGTTCCATTCCTTTGAGCTTGCTTCGCATCACGATACCCCTCTCAATTGCTTTACCGATGTATACTAGAACCTGATTCCAGCTCCCTTTTTCTTCTCTTTTGTTTTTTATCTCATTCCATACCGGTCGGCGTCATTGGGGGAAAACGAGGCTCATGGTCATTTCCAGTGCCTTTTGTTTAGTTGCTTTTTGCCTGGGTTTATATGCTTCGCTATGACTCTCCCTGCTTGGTATAGTCATGTTCAGATTCTTCTGACCTTTTTTTTTTGTCTTTCGTTTCGGCGAATGCCTCATCGGTGTTGGGATAGTCCAGTCCTATATAGGATGTCTTGTCGTTTAGGAAATTCTTCATTCTGGGAATAATATCATTGCTCCTTTGTTCACTCCTGAAGTCCATGGTCACCTCACACCAAACTTTAGTATTCCTTCAACCTTGGAAGTTTATCCACTAGTTTTGCCCAGGTGCGATAGGCAAACTGCCGTTAACAACCTTGGGACCCTGGAAGGTTCTCACCTGGGCATATCCATGCACAATGCCTTCCAAGGTTGTCCCTGCCAGCTCCAGCATGGGCTCTTTCACAACCTTGGAAGAGCCTAATTGCCCGAGCTTTTCGGCTGGGTGCTTGTCAGGCTCAAAATATGTAGATACCCACACTCTTAGACTCGACGTAACGAAGGCTTCCAAAGCCTGGTACTAAGCTATGGGTTTAAAGGGAGAAACCTGGAAGGTCCAATAATAACTTGGAAAATTGTAGGCATCATATATTCCAACCTTTGGTTTGAAGTTTACGCTCAATATCAAAAGCTCAAGTCCAGTTCCGGGAAGATATATTTATAGTGGACCTCACCTGGCAACTCCCGAGGTCGGTTCCAAGGTTGACGGACACTGAGAACCTTGGATAGCAACAGTAAACAGACAACCCTAAGTCAAGTTCCATCCCAGAGTGAATAACCTAGGTCAGAGGCTTTCAAGGTTGTAAAAGGACCTTGGTCGCTTTTGTTTTGAGCTCATATGTTTTCTGTGTGCAAACCTTGAAGTGCGGAGTAAAGCTTCAGAACAATACGGAGTAGACTCAGGCCTCTACAGCTCGTTCTAATCTTTCAAGGCAACAGCATATCCAAAGTGACACCCCGGCAAACATCTGTTTGTTCCTGCATCGGTCCTTGGAGTCTCCAGGGCTTGGCCGCCGGTATGAATCTTGGATAGTGGACCTTCCGAGGTTGTGTTCAGCATAATTCTAGTATCAAACTGGCTTTAATTGTGCCAAAAGGCACAGGGTATGAAAGTACAACTCCAGGTTGACCACAGTCACCGTCTGACGGATGCTCCGTACGGAGTATGCACCTGGGAACCCCGTATAGCTATGAAGACAGTAACGGTCTAGGCCAATGATTGCTGTGACTTTTCAAGATACTATTGGTGTTCTGTACTCCGTACAATTGAGTATTGCTATGATAGGCTTGAGTTATTTTTGGCCGGCACAATCGATTCGCCATTTGCACATGCTCCGACGGAGTGCATATTACGAGTTCCATGCAACCACATTGACCAATGAGAAGCTTACACCTTGGAGCTTGAAGAAAAGGTGAAGGCTGGGCACTCCGTACGCAATTGAGCACCATCATTGGCTTCCCCGGAAGAATGATATCAAAATGGGAGAAAGTACGAAAATTACACGTTGGAGCTCCCAGCCTCGTTGCGGTAAGAGGGTCTAGATGCATGCGCTGTCGTCTCGGGGTGGTTGGGCCGGGGCTGGGGACCCAAAAGAGGGTCCCCAGCAACGGGAGCTCGATGAATCACTTTCTGGTGGATCGGGTTGCATGTGTATTGTGCAGTAACGCAATAATACAGTACTGCTGCGTTGTCCAACGGGTTTTGAAGGTGGACCGATGGCGTCTGTATTCAATTTTTCCCCATCGACTTGCACAGATATAAGTGTGAGATGAGGACACTTTTCCGGCCGAGGGAAATGGCCCCCTGAATCCTGCTTTTTTTCCCTCTCGCTTTCTCCGCAATCACAAACGCAATACCCAAACGCGATCGGCAAGGAGATCCAGATTTCCGATTCGACCCGTCAGGTTGCTATGGGGATGGGTGGCGCGGTGATACGCGCAGAGGTGGCTCCCCCCATGTGAAGATACCCTATTGTATTGTTAGCGGAATCCATACACCGTCTGTAAGAGTGAACAAGAAACGGGGTCTCAGTCTTGAAGGGAAAAATCTGTACATTCAAAGTACACCGTAGGATTGAATTGACACTGGCAATCTAATAAGACAAAACAGAAGAATAAAAGAAAAGAAGAAAGGGAAAGCCTCGGTGATCAGCGGGACCCCAAACCGGCAAGGCGGCGTAAACAAAACCTCCCAACCATAAATAATCGTGACGTTCGCCAGCCATTCCTCCCTCTTCTTTCTTCCTCTTCCATTCCGATCTTACATTCCAAGCTTAATTGCACTACCTTTCTACTTCCTTCGAGAAAGACTTCCCCACCTAAGTCTTTTCTTGAGTCTTTCGAGTTGTTTAACGACAGTTCGAAAGGCATAGAAAAGACCATCAGTCCGGCAATCTGGACTTTGACGCCCGTGTCCCCATCCCCTTCAGTGTCTTCCCGTCGTCGTACCGGAGTGACGCTGTCTCTGAAACTACTCAAGAACGAGTAGAGGGAGAAGTCAATTTCGATCGTCCTTCGCGCGTCGAACGGGAAGATACTCAAGGTTCTGCTCCCGCTCCCCTTCCCGCACCCAAGAAGGAAGAGATCGAATTCCGTGTGACTCAAGAACAGCGCCCGCGCATTCAAGAAGAGCACCCTCAGCAGTTCCACGCTCAGCAGCACAAGCCCCACCCCCAGCAATACCAGCAGGAGCAGCAGTTTGAGCAGCAGTACGATCAGCAGTACGATCAGCAGTACCCTTCCTACCAGCGTACTCAGCGATCCTACGATCAGGACTTCCCCGAAGTTCAGCTCACCCGTGAACGGTACGTCAATTATGTTTCCCCTCGAACCCCCCAATTGCTTGTCAATTGCCCTGAATTCCGGTCTTCGGTCGACGGCTGGCTTACCGCCGGTTTGCTTGTGATTTGCGGTGTCTTTTTGGGCTCTGTTTTGTTTTGTTATATTACCACCGAACGAGGGAAAACGAGCAAAACAGCCCAAAAACAGCGTGAGCACAAGCCACCGGAGATCCACAATTCAGCTGGCGAGTGGAACCCGCAGGCGAACTATCAGCCGCTGTTTACTGCTATTTGTTGTGAGATCTCCTATCCGGGTCTAGAGTGTTACGGATTTAGTCCCGGACTAAAATTACGTGTCACCAAAACCTGATCCACTTCCAATTAGCGGTGACCCGGTTGTTTTGTTTATATGTTTATGGTACCCGTGGATCCCTGGGCTGACATCTTTACCCTTAGCTACCCCAGTCAACCTCAACCTCAGTCTACTTACGAGGAACACTCTCAAGTCTACGACAAGGCCGTCGAGAATCAAATCGACCTCACTGAACGAGACTACCGTCACAAGACTTCCCCTGCCTACGACCTCGACGTCTCTTACGACCGTCGTTACCGTCAACCCGTAGACTCCGCCTACGGTTACCAGCCCGAGTCTTCGGAAGTTTCGTACAACCGAACTCCCCAAGCTCCCACCGACTCTTACAGAGCCGACGACGCGTACCTTCGTGAGGTTCAGCCCACCCGTACTCGTTACGCTTCCTCCTCAGCCTCCACCAAGGCTCCTACTCAAGTCAAGGTCTCAAAGTCAACCGTCCGCGGAACTCCTTCCAAGATGGGTTACTACGACGACGAAGGTGAATACCACTCTTTCCGCCGTGGCGTTGGCCGCGCTGTCGACCGCGTCGCCCACCCCTTCTCCCACTCCCACGCTTCTTCCCACGCTGGTGCTGACGACCATGAAGAGGTCGCTCCTCCCGCCGCCAACGTCCGCGTTGTTGAGCCCCGCAACCGCGGTTCCTCCTCCGGCGAGACCGTCCCCATCCCCTGCCACTTCATCCGCATCGGCGACATCCTGATCCTCCAGGGCCGCCCTTGCCAGGTCATCCGCATCTCGGTCTCCCCCCAGACCGGCCAGCACCGCTACCTCGGTGTCGACCTCTTCACCCGCAAGTTGCAGGAGGAGTCCAGCTTCGTCGCCAACCCCTCCCCCTCCGTCGTCGTCCAGACCATGCTCGGCCCCGTCTTCAAGACCTACCGCATCTTGGACATCCGTGATGACAACCGTCTCGTTGCCATGACCGAGTCCGGTGATGTCAAGCAGGGCCTCCAGGTCATCTCCCAGGGCAGCCTGCACAAGCGCATCTCCGACGCCTTCTCCGACGGCCGTGGCTCCGTTCGCGCCCTCGTCATCAACGACGGTGGCCGTGAGCTCGTCGTCGACTACAAGGTCATCCACGGCTCCCGCCTGTAAATGTTTGGAGAGAGGTCTGGATACGCTTGTACCTCATCCATGTGATGAAATAGTGCTTAGCTTTTGTGTGATTTAATTTTCCTTTGTCTGACGATTTCCTTTCAATGATGTATGCAAATTGTGTGAAAATGCGAATGGATTTCTCCTGTACCGAGGTTCCGACCGTAGGCCGTAGTAAACAGTAACAAACAGCAACAACCTCGTATGATCCAAGGAACCTGTCTGTGACAGCATTGGTCTCGGTCTCGGGTAAGAAAACAGTTGGGCCGAAACCGCATTCCCGCACATGTTGCCTCTGACTCGTCTTGGCCCGATGTGACTCGACCCCAGCCTTGGACTTTTTTGCCAATTGGCGCCCGAGGCTACATTGGACATTGGTATGATCCCCATTGGCTTTCCTGTTTCACATTTCCATTCGTTACAGCCACAAAGTACCGTATACCTTACAATGTTTCGTACTGTTTTCTTTGTTTAAATACCGATTCTACCTTGCAGCCTGCTTATGCATTGACAGACCCTCACGGCGTGCGGAGTACGGAGGACTCCGTACAGCTACCAAATTTGCAATTGATCTCAGATGCACCTGAGCAGCTTCGTAATTGGTAGGTTATAAGGATTGCATATCAAAAACCCCCTTGTCGAAAAGATGTGAGGTTACCCCTGGAATATCAATGATTATTACTGCTGGGTGCCGATTGAGTTTAAGGATCCATGGATGCGTGGTCGGATTACCTGTTCCGTTCCAAGGTTCGGCACAACCCTATCCATGGATCTAGGATATCCTCCCGGAACCATGCCCACGAGATTCTAGTCTTGATACACTCGAGATCAAAGATGATCCTCGGTCGATTTCTCGGAGGTCTCTGTTCAAAGATTCGCAACGACGTTTGATATTGGGTATAATTGCATGTAGTCCGTACTCGACGCTTTTCCTGGACATCGCATAAGCTACACTCGAATGAATCACCGACTCGAGCTTTGCGGACCTTACTGTATCGACTGATAACCATCAAATTTAGATACAACTGATATGATAGTGACAACTCCACCAAGCAGGTCTAGATCAAAGATAGATTAATTCTTCCTGGTACCATCTATCAAAAAGTCTAGAAACACACAGGGCCTCAGCCCAGTCCAAGACGAAAAGAAGGATATCGAAGATCAACGAAAGACAATAATACAAGGTGTGAATCAAGAAAAGAGGGTATCATGGAACAATTCCAATAGGCCACACCAGCTGGAAAGGAAAGGAAAGAGAACAAAATAATAAAAGAAAGTAAAAAGCGGCCAGGTGGAACAGGATATCTCAGCAAACCCGACGGGTGAAGAACCACGGCCAGAGCAAAAAGACCAAAGGGCGTATATCAGTCATTAGAGATTAGATATCAGCGAAAAATGGCAGATTTTCGAGAAAGACGAGGCATCGGCACTTCCTCAAGAATGAACAATGAATAGGAAGAAGATTGGAAATAGGCATTAAAACGTAGGATATTCGAATCAGAGAGGAGTGCGTCAAGCGCGCAGACCGAAAGCTTTGCGGAGGAGAGGGAAGCGTTTCTTCCGACCCGAGCCAGCGATCACGACGTCGCGAGCGGATTGACCATGTTCTTCCGGGTTGGTTATTTCCGAAGCGCTATCGTGGTTCAGATCTGGGCTGCGGGGCTCGTCGGCCTCTTTTGTAACGGGGACTGCAGCAGGACCTCCATTGACGACGCTCTCATTGCGAGCTGCCCTCGCGGGTTGAGATGCGTCGTGGAAAGGAGAAGGGACGTCGAGCGATTGTTCTGCGACTGGGTGGAGAGGCTCGTCTCTGACTGTAGGACTCAGCGGCCACGATTCAGGCCCTGTGGATTGGCGTTTGGAGTTCCTCTTCACCAGTTTCGAGTGAGGGGATTGGGGACTTCCCATGGATGTGACTGTGGTATAATTTCCATTCGCGGGACCGTCGCGCACTTCGTCAAGTTCCATGCGGGAGCGCTCTAAAGGGGTGTCTCTTCGCGAAGGGCTTTCAGCGTCGGATTTGCGGATCCGGTGGTCTGAGTTTTTGGGTTTCTTTATACCGAGACGCGTGAGAAGGCCCGGTTTGCGGCTGCTAGGGGGCGCCATGATGAACTCTTCCAGATCCCTCTGCGTCATGCCTCTTTGTTTGGCCACCGCTGCCATTCCTGACATGCTCTGCGGTGCGTTCTTGCCGCGGGAGCGCGGTGGTGAGGCAATGGCTACAGGGGCAGTGGCCCTGTGTGCCTGCTGACGTGGGCTTTCTTCAGAGCTGTCATCCAGCTCGGTGGAGTCGCCGTCGTCGGCACCTTGGCGGCGGGGGATACCGCGAACGGGACGAAGTGCATTGCCACGGGGCTCGTCTTCGTCGCTGGAGTCGGCAAATCGACTGGTGAAGTACTGAAGGCGGGCCTCGTCCTCGTTTTCACCATCTGAGTTGGCGAATCGCGTTGACCGAGCGGCCTTGGGGGGCGGTTTTGTGAACTTTGCTCTTGGGGGCGCCTTTTTGTTGGTCGAGAAGAATGAGTAACGCTCACCCCCAGCCGGCCCGCGAAGGGTCTTGCGCATCGTGCCGTTTGAAGAGCCTGCCGACATGGGTCGGTGATCGAGTGGGGACTCGTTGCGTTCAGGCTGGGTTCGGGGACTCCCTGCACCGGCGCGCATGGTCCGACGCATCGTGACTGCGTCTCCTCGAGGAGAGGATCGCTTGAAGCTGCTCGATGAATCACTCCCGTTGGACGTCTGCCGGCGGAGACTCTGGGGGAATGGCAGCCCCCCCTGCTTTGTGCAGAGCCGGACCAACAGAGAGTGGGCGTGGCTTGCCCTGGGCGCTCTGAGGAGAGGCCTCGTTGCTGGACCATCGGTCTTGGGTGCGAGATGCGCCGCTAGTGTCCACAGCCATTGAAATGGGGCGAACACGACTCGACTGTGCCTGGGGACTGCCATTTTGACTTGAAATGTTGCGAATGGCTCTGGGTTGCGGAGGTGCAGGCTCGCCCGGTGAAGACGCAGGCGATTCCTCTGGATGGTTGGTTGGCGTGACCGTGCGAGGCTGGGGAAGCTCAGGGGCGTCTTTGTCAATCAAGGTACGGTTCACGGGCTTTGGCGTTGCCTCTCGGGATTCGGCAACTGTCTCCAGAGGTCGGGTAGGTGCAGACGTTGGAGCCGGCCTATCGACAATGGCATTGATGGATCCATAACCGTCACCGTCGACGTCAACATCGATGTCTTCGGCGGCATCACTGTAGATGCTGTCGCTGTAGTCCTCGTCGGTATCCGCGTCGTTCAGCTTGGGAACGGCGCTCGCCACAGTCTGGGCCTTGGTCTTTTTCGCTGACTTCAAGCTGCGCTCTGAGCCAGAGGGTGGGAACCCGCCTGGAATCTGGTACTGGTCCATGCTAGATCTCTTGGAGTCGAAGCTCCGCTTGTGCTCTTCTGCTGGAGGAGTAGCAGGCTCGACAGCGATCGCAGGGACGGAGAGTTCTGAGTCTGCAGTGGGCTGCTCAGTTTCATCAGTAGTTTTTGCGTCTTTTGTCACGTCCGCAGCTGGTTGCGCACCATATATAGACAACTGCTCCAAGACATTGGCATCGGTAGAAGGAAAGTACCCATGATCTGGAGCTTTGGGAAGCTCTCCAACAGCATGATTTGTCTGCTTCGGTTCCACATCGGATTCAGACGAGCTGGACTCGTCGCTGAAATCTGGGATGGGAGATCGCTTTAACCCGTCTCTATTCCCACGAATGCTACCAAAGGATGGAAGCTCCTGGCGCGGTTTGATAACAACGTTCCAATCATCGTCACTGGCAAATTCCGTGGGCGTTGTTTTCTTGCCAACGCCGAGCCAGCTCATACGAGACTTGGCCTTGGTCGGTGGTGACTCGGGTGTGTACTCCTCGGGCGAGGTAGGGGGACTGGCTGCTACGCCAACAACTTCGGCCTCGTCGTCGAAACTGACTTTGGCAGCCTTCTTCTTGGCACCGATCCGAGACCCTTCGTCTGAAGCCACAGAGGTCCCGTCCGATAGCTCGCTTGAGGGGTGAACGCGCCCGGTCACCGAGAGTCTCCTATCTGGGGAAAGAGAAGACCCCCTCGAGTGTTTGAGTGCCGATTTGACGGGAGAGACCGATCTCGGCGGAGGCTGGTGCACCTGATCACCGGTGCCGGTCACTTCAAGCAACTTGGCGAATCGAGCGGAGCGACCTGGGCTGCTCGACTGGCGGAGATGTGGCTCAGGCTGCAGGCCCGAAGGCGAATGAGGCGCTGCCAGCGCTGGCGCATCGGGTGATGCAGTTGACATTCGGTTCCTGCCTTGACGTGTTTGGATCTCCTTATCGTCAGGTTCCTCCTTGACCGTCGAGGGCCATCGTTCAGGGAGAGCCCGGGACGAGGTGTCCCGTTCAGGGATGACTGCTGTGTTGCGTGCATGTTCGACATCAATCGAAGCAGGCGCTATAGTCCGCTGCTCGGCCGCCTTGGAGCTGTCTTTTTGCGCGCCGACTGCGAGTGCGGCAGCGGCAGCGCTGCCAGCCAAACGACCCGACTTGCCAGCCGCGGGGCTTCCCTCGACACTGCTAGATGCCTGTTTCGGTCTGTTCGGGGTTCTCTCCTGCAGAGGCTTCTCTCGAGCGGGCTCAGGGACCTCTTCTATCGCACCCTGCAGACTCATCGTAGTATTCTCAATTGAAGGCGACGTTGGCCGCGAGCCAGTGGGATACGAGAAATTCACCGAGTTGCGACTCCCCGACCGCTCCAATTCAGGCAGCGTCCCGAGATTGGTCACGCGCTGGTGCGTAGCCATGTGGATAGGAGACCCTCTGCCCTGCTCCCGAGCTCCCGATCGGGGAGGCGAACCCGGAGGCGACCGCATCGTCGGCTCCATGCTCAGCGTGCGGCGACCGGGCTGCTTGCGCGGTGCATATTGGGAGGGAAACGAGGGTAGCGGGGGCACATCTTTCGGCGGGGAAGCCGGACCAGAGCTCGTGGCCGGGCGACCGGGGGATTGGTCGCGAAAGGTGCGACCCGTCATCGAGCTGTTGCTGGCGGAGCGACGGAGCGTGGCACTTGCGCTGGCGGAGCGCCGACCGTTCGGGGCCTGCGACTGGGTCGAGGCGCGGCGCTCGACCATCCGCTTCGTCTGGACATTTTCGATCTGGGTCGGGGTGGGTGTGAGGTTGCGTAGAGCCGCTGCGGCGGCGGCGGAGGAGAGGCTCGCATTAGAGGGTTGTGATTTTAGAAAGGCATGGCTGGCGGCGGACTGGGCGGATTGCGCAGCGGGTGAGGAGAGCGGCTGGATATTGAGGAGGCTGTCAGTTTCATGCAGTGCAGCTACCCGGGAGGTTGCATCGCAGGATTTTGCGACTGATCTCCCGGCAGAATCGATCGTCAGGCTCGAGGCGTGTCACATACCTGGAGATGGGCAGAGGCGCTTCTCTTGCGACGTCCGAAGGCCATTGTTCCCAGATCTTGTCGGGTAGGTGAGGAATCAGATAGCCAGCCGAACACTGCTTCATGCAGCGCCGGGGATCTGAGATGGTGGATAGCGTGGAGCAGGTGAAGTGATGATGCAGTATAGGAGGTGGGAACCGGGAACCGGGAAGCTGGGAAGCTGGGAAGCTGGAAGCTGGAAGCCTGGAAGCCTGGAGGGGAGATCGACGCGACCAGTCAGGATCAAGGAGAGACAGGGAGAAGTAAGGCACCGTAAAAATTGGAAAACGCCCCCAAGCTGGTAGGGGCAGATCGAGAGCAGATCGCACTTGCGTCATGACTTTTTTTTGGTTTCTCGTGGGTCGCTTCAGGAACCCGCTTGCACGAGTGGACTACTATATTTAACTATTAATACACGAAACATCCATTCTACTATATTCGTATCTGGAAAGCTTAGCATTGAATCTGGACTATGTCTATGGCCTGACAGAGAATAAAAGTTGTGTATAGAACAATGTGTTGTATGTTAACAAGCGCAGAGTCGAACTACACACAACACACGATTTCTACAGATATCCCAAGGTGGATATTTAGAATCATTTAGTCATTTCTGATTCGCCTGAAGAAGTGGTATATTATAAATCTGTAAAGCATTGCAAACAGTTGAGGCTGATCGTTCCCCCGCTCTTTAGACCTCGGGAGTGGACATCTATAACTACACCTCACGTAGAACCCTGTCAAATCTCAATCCATTCACATATAATCATTCCACATAAAACACAATGCCCCTCCCACCTCTCCCCCTCCCAGCAGGCGTCACAAGCCGCTACATCCCAACCCGCGACCTAACCTTTCACATCCTCGAATCAGGCCACTCAACCACCCCAAAACCCTTGATAATCCTCCTCCACGGCTTCCCAGAAATAGCATACTCCTGGCGCCGTGTGCTCCCCAAATTAGCCTCAGCCGGCTACCACGTCGTAGCCCCCGACCAACGGGGCTTCGGCCGAACAACCGGCTGGGACGACCGCGCCTACTCTGAAGTCGACCTCTCGACATTCTCGCTCTCATCTCTAGTCCGCGATATCGTTCTGCTCGTCCACGCACTTGGCTACCGCAGCGTAGCCTGCGTCGCGGGCCACGACTGCGGCGCTGTCAGCGCGGCCATGTGCGCACTCATGAGACCGGATTTCTTCCAGTCTGTGGCGCTGATGAGCCATCCTTTTAACGGGAGTCCGGAGTTGCCGCTCGGAACTGGGACCGGAGATGGGGGCGGGATGGAGGGGTCGGCGGGTGACGTTCACGGGAAGCTTGCGTTGCTTGGCCGTAAGCACTATAAGTGGTATTACTCGACCGCGGAAGCAGGACCGGAGATGTCGAACCTGTCACCCGAGGAGATGCGGGTATTCCTCCGCGGATACTTTCACTTGAAGTCTGGGTCGTGGGAGGGGAATCGGCCTCGTGCGTTGGGGAAGTGGGACGCCGAGGATCTGGTTCAGTTGCCTGGGTATTATATCATGCCGGTGGGTGAGACGATGCCGGGGACGGTGGCGTTGGATATGGCGAGGGAGCCGACGGGGGAATCTTCAAAGGGGTGGCTGCCGGACGAGGAGCTTGACGTTTACGCTGGTGAGTATGGGCGGACGGGGTTCCAGGGGGGTTGAATTGGTATCGGGTCCGCACGGCGGCTGGGGGGAAGTACACGCGGGACTTTGAGGTCTTTGCGGGCAAGAAGCTTGAGCCGCCTTGTGCGTTTGTCTCAGGGAAGTTGGATTGGGGGAACTATCAGGAGCCTGGTGCTATTGAGAAGATGAGGGATGGGGTGTCTTGTGCTGATCTAAGGATTCTGCGGATGGTGGATGGAGTTGGACATTGGACGCCGCAGGAGAGTCCGGATGAGGTGTCAAGGGCTATTCTGGACTTGATCGGTGGTGTGCGTGATCGTGCAGTATAATTGATATAAGCATCTTTTTGATATACTCGGCATCATATGAATGCTTATACCATGCAATTTGAATTTTAAGTATGATAAACCAGGGGTATGGCGCAAGAAAGACGAGAACGCAATGCAAAACAAACATCTACAGGTACAGAGCAAGCGCACCCGCCAGCAAGAGAGGGACGAGCGCCGCCGACAGTCCAGGCGTATGCAGCATCGCCGCACCAGAGCCAATCGCACTCGTGGTGTACATGTACTGGAAGGAAATGTCGGATGAATTGAAGCAGTTGTCGCGAGTCACCGTCTCGACCGAGTCATCGCCGTCTTCTGCGAACTCGATGTCGACACACTAAAAAGTTAGGATCATCCGATGGAAATTGGTGATAACATACGTTGTATAGGGCCGCACCATGCTTGGCCGTCTCGACAAGCTGAATAGTAGCGTAATCACCAGGGCTGACGCTGATGTTCGCCGGCAGAGGCACCTGCGGCAGGCACACGGTACCCGGGTAAGGATTGTTCGTCGGGCCCGTGATCTGGAAGGGCGGAACGACGGGGTGGCTCATGTTTTCCGGGATCTCGCCGAATCCGAGGTTGACGTAGATCAAGGCGGTTGCGTGGCCCGGGAACCAGCCCGGTTGGAAGGCGACTGCACCGCCGCTGATGGGCCATTTGGTCCGGTTGGTCGATCTGGGCATACCGCCGCCTGGGAAGTTAGGTGAGTTTAAAGGAAGTTTGGGATTGTGTCTTACAAGGATAAATCCACTCCATTCCATAGGGGAAAATATATGAGCCGTTCTTCACATCATATGCGACACCGAGACCGTTGGCCTGCTCGACTGTGCCGTTTGTGTGGAGGTTGTTTCCTCGGTAGCCGGGGTATGTGATGACGGTGTGAGCCTGCGCGAGACCCAGGCACAGCATGAGGATGGAGGTCCATCGTGATATTTGTGAGAGAACCATATTGTGAGACAAAAGCGAAGACAACGATTTTTCCAGTCGAGCCGGCTCAGACGTGATTCTCTGGACGAAGCATGCAAGACCAAAGGCAGAAGCTCAGGACAAGACCGAGCCATAATTTTGAGGGCCGGTCGGTCTTTTTGAGGGGTACCGGCCATGGCTGGAGCGAGCGAGTAAAAGCTCGCACAGCAAATGTGACTGGGACTGCAGGGCCGGCCATGCGTGACTGGCTCCAGGTAGTGATGGAGAGCAGGGGTGGCCCGGGATCATCACAGCCAGCTGCAAGTGCCATCACTTGAAGGCTGATTCTGCAATGTGATTCGCTGAGCGAGTTGGGTGGAAGCGCCGGGCGGGACGCTAACGTCCGGAGGGGAACAGGGCGCTTAGCGGAGTACGGAGGATCTTTGTCCAAAAATATCATTCTCGACTTGGTGTGTTTAAATGCGAGTTGGATCTGCATCATTTTGTTGCAAGAAGTCAGGAGTATCATGCGGGGATAAAAATAGTGCGGTAGTAATACCGTAGCTTTACCAAAACGTGCTCCAAAAATAAGGTTGAACATGAATACTTTGGAATGGATTGATCTCGATTCAGTATTTTTTTGACTCCATGGTGTTATCAGCTTAATCCTTGACAAGTCAGGTATTAGGGTGAGCTGTGGAGAGGAGAATTTACCTACCTCCCACGAGGTCCTTTGTATAAGGGATTAGGGTTAGCTGTTTCCGTTTCTATAGATCTCAAGTCTATTTACACGAGTGCCACCTGGGCATTGTGTATGAGCATAAGTGTAAGGGATTAGCGTTAGCTGTTTTCGGTTTGATGAAAATGAATGTCGAGGCACCCTACAGCAGCAAGCCCTGTAACTACTAGAAGGCAGATCTAGGTGGTGTCGAGTAGCAATACACCACTATCCGACAGACCAGCAGATGGATCGTTGGAGCGGAAGAAACATTGACTTATCTCAATGGCCTGTCGCTGATTGTCGGACTGATTATTGGATCTGGTTTATCACAGGCTGGAAATGTAGGAAACCTCCCCTAGTTCCCTTGCACACCTGGGCAGTTCCCATAAACTCGGGCGGAATACCACCTACAGGAACTGCCTGCGATCACTGCTATATGTATAACAAACTGGCTGTGCTTATCCCATCGTCCCGGGATAATACCACAGACACCACAGGTGGTATGGCCATCTACATGTTTGTGCCAGGGATTGGGACTGACTGAATCCGGTAATGCATCGGCCCAGTCGACGGACTGTTGTACCGGGCAGGAAGACTACACTGCAGAGCCACCACGATATGGTACGAGTAAACGGAGCCTGATTTTAATTGGTTTACCAGTCTAGCTGCTGGAAATACACAGCAACATAGCACGCTGTCACGATCACGGGTAACCAGGGCCCACCGGTTCACTAGAAACATCCATCTTGCTTGCCCAGATAGACAATTGACCACCAGCTGGTCGCCCGTCTAGAGATACGCCGGTACTTGTATCAGTGGAATAGAGTATGACTGTCAATCAGTTGGAGGCTGATCGCTAGGGACGTGCGTGTGGAGATATAACCTTGCTGTCGTGTTGCTGCTCAGTGTATAGTATAGCAGTAACCACGCATTGTGTATATCACAGTAGTATGTCACCAAAGTATACTACTAGCTCTGCTCCGTGTGACCATATACTGTAGTATACACAATACATACACCACCAAAGGTGGTGTATTTTACTATACTACTCTACCAACTACATACATGTATAGTAGTATACCACCTTCGGTGGTATACCACTACACTACGCTACACTATACTATACTATCTACAAGTGTAGTAGTATACCACCTTCGGTGGTATACTACTATGCAATACAATACAATACACCTTCGGTGTATTGTTGTATTGTTGTATTAAACTACCCGCCATGGCACCTTGCTATACATCGGCACAACCCAACAAATCAAACCAGGAAGGAGCGGAGGAGCGATGACGCTCCTTCCAATCCCTCCACCCCAACAACCCTCCCACGGCTGCAGGTCCCGCTGTGTCCAGAGTGCCACGCGCTCCTCCCAGCTCCCCGCAAACAGGGTGACGGTATGCGACATGAGGACGATCTGCTGAATCGACAGTGGTCACGTAACGAGACATGGGGATGACGTGTACGTTTGCGGCGGCTGGAGGAGGTTGTAGGCGACGGTAGTGGCGGTGACGATGCAGGAATAGCAGCTGGCGGAGCTGACGATGGACGATGGACGATGGACAATGGAGGGATGTCAGCTGATGAAACGAAGATGAAGATGAAAGCTGGAGATGAAACGAAGATGGAGATGAAAGATGGAGAAAAAAAGAAGATGGAGAGATGGCGGGAGATGTAAGAGAGAAGAGTGATATGGCCAGGGGGGATAATTAAATAGCAGCCATTCACACAGGCAAGTGCGACCTCTACTCAACTCTGCCAGAGGGCAGCGTCAGGTGGATGGTCGCATGCTTCCCCGGCTCTCTCTCTCTTCCTTATTGCTTTATGCTCTACTCAATGAGCATCCCCGGGGTATCAACCTCATCATGTTGACCCTGCTTCCTCTGATCTTCTGACAGACTCTGAGCCCTGCCTCATTTCATTCTCTATCTGCCTCCTCCCACAACACACATCCTACAGACATTGCCGACGAGGTACAGCAGTGGAAATGTTGGTATATCGCTGCCGTGAACTCAGCAAGTCAGGAACAGAGCTCTCCATTGGGTTTGGCCGGACCTCAGGCTCATGGGCCAACCATAAATTTGTTCTGGGCTGGGTTTGGCTATGGGCCCCCAACCCGTCAGTGGGCTTTGTCCTCGGCCCACAGCCCATTGATGGGCCTAGATCTGAGCCCAAAACCCAAACCATTAGTGGGCTGGGTTGGGCTCGGTTATGGGCTCAGTGGGCTATGAAGAGTCTAGTCAGGAACGCCATTGACAGCATACAGGCAGCCCTGCCTGCCAATCGGAATCATCGAAGACACAATGTCATGTCTCGGTTGACCTGCCTCGCGATATCATGTGGCAGGTGGCCCTGGACTTAGCCGCTCACATCGCGGTAGCAGCTTTGTCTGCGTCTGCCCACTGGACTGGTAGCAGCATGTGACTCGGCTAACTCTGCGTCTACACATAGGACAGCGGGAGAACATGGCCACGACGATTCAGCTTACATCGACTCTGGGCAGTGCCGTGGACTGGCTGGTACACATCGTCATGTCCCGGCCGACAGGGCGTGGGTTTCACCGACCTCAATCCTGCCAGACAGATTCCTCCAGCTCAACTCTTCATTAGCAGAAGCCCCAACTACTGCACGACACACTTCGCACTTGGGCTGAAGGTGGGTGGTCGCATCGGATTCAGAACACTACAAGTGGAAAACTCTCCAACTTCGAGTGGCCCTGCAGTAGTGGAAGCCCCCGACGCGCGTTTTCCACTGATGCCGCCGACCACCGCAGAACTCACCTGCGTCACGACATGGGGTCATGTCGTCGGTTGACTCGGATGTCGCTGGTGGAGCTTGTATCATCTGCCTACTCAAATGGAAGAATTCCCATGAATTCTTCTTTCATGCTGTTGAATTCTATTTTCTGCTCTCTTGTATTCCTCTCTTGCATTCCTCTCTCATCGTTCTCTACTTGAGAGTTGCAAGGGACACAGATCTCGGCACACGGGATTGAAAGCGATCCCCGATCCCTGCGACAGAGGCCCAGTCACACCCGATGCAGTGGACACGAAAGATCGCGGTGTCAACTGACTCATACACCATCGATGGACCTTGATGGATGTAAACAAGTTGTCGAGGCGTGAGTACTCGGCTCTCTGTACTGTTGAGAGTTGAGAGTCGAATTTCACAGTCAAATAATCATGTCATCGCTCTACCTCCAATGCTGCGCGTGTAGCGAGAAGGCATCCAACTCTAACTCTTGCTTAAATACAGCTGGTAGTCAGTAAAAGAAAAGATATTCCAGCTTTTTGATATCCAAAAACACTCACGTAGAAAACAACCAACCCTGGTCCCAATTGATACAAGCGGAGTGACAATACATCTTAGCCAACACAGCAAAACACTTATGAAGTCGGGACAAGAGGGAGGTCTCTTGGATCGAATTCGCTACGTTGATTCCGACGATGCAGATGCCCCAAGTCTTCTTCCAAGGTTTACAACATAGTAGACTCGGAGTAGGATATCAGGCAGACAATCCTTTACAATCTTTGAACTTTTGTGTTGCCCCAATAGCTAGTTGACTATTGATTTCGGATTATGCAGATCAGTATACAGCTACGTCCAATCAAGAAGTTCCTGTCGCCAGCCATGATAGGTAAACTCGAGTTGCAGAAAGAAGAGCGAGATACGAATGAGGAAAGGAACTTGATAGAGAAGTCCACCGTCAACGATAAATGACAGGTTTGTCACAGATATAGCCGAGAGCGTCGTGAAAATGTTGGGACGTGGAAGAAACATTGGACGATTCTAACATATGATCGTAGCATGCGAGTACGAGGCTGTGCCTAATCTGGCCACGAATTCATGCTTGCCGCTTGCCGCTTATGCGTAAGTGAGAGTCGCACTTGCTGGGCAAAGCGCGCCTACCTGGACGAACAGTTGCTATTTGATCAGTTCCCTGAATCTCTTCTTCTTCCTTTTTACAACTCTCTCCTCCACGCATCGTGTCGGAGTTTCATCATCCCCAGCAGCTTCATCATCCCCAGCAGTTTCATCATCCCAAGCAGCTTCATCATCTGTTACACTCGTGCATTCTTCAGTTCCATCATCTGCTCTCTTTCTACCCTATTCAACTTCATCATCTACCTGCCTGCCTGCCTCGACGTGGGCAGTCTCTCTTGCACCATGTGGGCTTTCGTCTTCTTCGCTTTTTGCATCATCTGCATCATTGCCGTACCCACTTGGCTGACTGCGACTGCACGCATATTGGTTTCATGAAGTTGTTTCTCTGCTCGAGTTGGGCATTGTCACTAGGGTTACAGCTTCTGACCCTCCTCCCGCTACTGATGGATCGAAGCTGACGTGTTGGAAGCAACACAGTCCGCGCCATCGTCCACCTCGAGGCACCGCGAGCCTGTACACTACCACCCGCACCGTCGAGTCAACACCACCGCCTCGCCATCCCGAGGCACCGCAAGCCCACACGCTATCACCCCTGGCCGTCGAGTTGACGCCGCCGTCTCATACCTGAGCACCGCGAGCTTTTATGCTGCCTCCCCGGATTGTCGAGTCGACGCTATCGTCATTCCTCCGATACACCGTGAGCTTGGATGCTGCCACCACCGCACTGCTTCAGATGTACGCTATGAGTATGCATGTTGCAATCATACGCTGTCGCGAATGCGACAGTTGATTCAACAGTTCATCCTCATGGCTTACACTGCGACTCTGTGGTGCGTTGAAGGACAGCTTACAATGGTTGGAGAGTTGTTGTGGTGGAGGGATTGGAAGGAGTGTCATCGCTCCTTCGCTCCTTCCTGGTTTGGTTTGTTGGGTTGTGCCGATGTATAGCAAGCTGCCATGGCGGATAATTTAAAACAACAAGATAATAATACAACAATACACCTTCGGTGTATTGTATTGTATTATAGTATAGTATAGTATGGTAGTATACCACCTTCGGTGGTATACCACTATACCTGTTGTTAGTATACGTAGGTAGTATAGTATGGTAGTATACCACCTTCGGTGGTATACCACTATACCTGTTGTTAGTATACGTAGGTAGTATAGTGTAGTGTACATTATAATGCAGTGTAGTGTACAGTGTAGTGTACAGTGTAGTGTAGTGTACAGTGTATGGGTACTGCTATACGGTAACACACTAAGCAACAACACAATAGTAAGATTGTTTTTCTTTTCCAGCAACCAGGTTCCATCTATAATAGTACACCAGAATATACACCAAACTCCTAGAAATCTACCAGGGTCGAAAAGTGTAATAGGGTGCTTCTGAGCAAGCACTTCGTAGACCATACTCATGCTTGGAACCTTGGAACCGCTTTATACACCACCAACCTCAGGAACACTTTTGAGCCGCGTGACAATTGTACAATTGTCGAATAGCTCTTATTAAATATACTTGAGATTTGCACAAAACCGGAAACAGTCAACCCTAACCCCTTATATAAAGAAGAAATTACTCATGCACAACTCACCCTGATGCCTGACTTGCTGTCACTGACATACGAATTGTACAAGATACTGTGATATGACCAGCCTAGAATTGGCTGTTCAACCATATCAATTCCAAAAAATACGACACCACTTCGCAGTAATAACCTTTTTAATGAACCCCTGGCACCTGGGCACTCCCCACTCGTCCTCGAGTAATCAGCTTATCGGATCGAACGCCAAGCCTTTCCTCCCCGCACCCCAAAAGGGAAAAAAAAAAAAGATTCTCAATGCCTCTATACACTTATACCCTATACCCCTAATATCTATATCTATATCTATACAATGCCGCACAGCTCCCGACCAAAACGACCAACCAACCCAAAACGCACCTCCGTGACCGACACGGACGGCTGGACCCACGTCACAAACGGCAGCAACGTGCGGCGCGCAATGCGACAGAAAACCCAGCCGGAGCCCACCCTCGTCCCCGCAGAAGCCCCCGGGCGCCTCACACTATCAGACCTCCAGACCCAGTTCTCCGCGCACCGCGAAAGGTGGGAGTCATCGGAGAGCTGGGCAAAGGTAGCGGGGGTCCTGCGGGAGAGACTGGAGCAGAGACCGGCGCGAGCGGTCGATGCGATTGTCTGCATCGGGCTCGGGAGCCCGAGTGGGTTTTTGCGTGATGGGTGGGTGGACAGGCGGGCTGTCTCGTTATATCAGCTTGCTGCGCTTGTCTGTATTAAGGATCAGGTAGAGGGTATGTTTCCGTCTGCAGGCAGGGCATGCTTTCGTCTGCAGGGCATGGCATGTTTGATGACTTTCGGCTCATCAGCACCGTTTGTTGAGATGATTGGCTGACGTTAGATAGCGACCTCTACTTCGCCATTCAAAATCTACGCGCAAGACCCCGTCTTCAATACGCTTGACGAATCGCTCTTGGCGGGGCTGGATATCACGGTCCTCAGTCACCCGGAGGGATTCTCGCACATCACGCAAGACTCGATGCTTTTCTGTCCCGGCGCGGAGCGGCAGCATCTCGAGCTGCTGCTTCCGTCGAAGCCGTGGCTGCTCTTTGGTGGGCCGTTGGAGCATGCGGATGCCGGTGGTGTGCTGCAGAGCTATGTGCGTGATACAGATTCGTATTGTGTGCCGCCCTTTGAGGCGCTCGAGCATGCATTTTGGAATATGAGGCTTTACTGGACTGGGGAGAAGGGTGAGGAGTGATCTTGGCATTTGGATTTATATATCATGCATAGCGCGCGTTGGATTTTGCTCCTTTTAAAGATGACATATCTTCTACGATGGAAAAGTTTGATACCCACAAAAACACTCGAAACCTTGGGAAGAGACCACCCTACAGTCCCGAAAAGCTTCCACCGTGGACCTTGGGGGTATTATTGAGTACAAGATACACATTATAGAGTAAAATTAAAGGCCAGGCCGAAAGAGATGATTGAGCTATATGGTATATACAGCCCATAGCATAAGGCAGAACCAAGCGCAAATGAATATCCATGCAAATACCCGCGGGGTAGGATGAGAGTCAAGACTCATAAGCAGACAACAACAATGCAGGCTAATATTGAAGAGACAGGACGCCAGACAAAACCCCAGGGCTTGGGCACAAGTTCCACCAGTATGAACAGAAGAAAACGCCGAAAGAGAATTAATAGATACCTATGCAATGATATTTTCATGATCATATCCCATAAACCACCTGAGACCAGGCGAACAGTTCAGGTTCAGTTTAAGAGGCAGTTTTGCCGCCACAGTCTGGGATCTTGAGACCCTTCTTGAGCTTGCGCGCAGGATCCATAAGACCCCATTTATCTTCCCACTCCTTGCCAGGTTCATTGTACTGAACCTTCCACGGTTCATCGAAAGCCTCGAACCTGTTCCCGTTAGCATTTATCTCTCATGTGAGATGTTGAACATACCAAAAGTAATCCGTTCCATTCTCCAGAGCCTGGCACACCCAGTCATCCATAAAGGTGTTCATGTTGTCGACACTGGCCACAGAGCCCGGCGTATCAGAATTACAGACATCGCTGTCACCGCAGTCCTTGCCGCCGCCGCTCGGCCAGCCGACCTCGGAAATGACTTGCTTCTTGCTCGTCCCCTTGGTGAGGGTGACGTCGTGGTTCTGCCAAAAGTCCCAGGTCCAGGAGGCGGCGACGTCGACGTTGACACCGGCGAAGAATGGGTGGACGTTGGACATGACGACGTCGACTTCGTCGACCAGTTCGGATGTCCAGTTGTCGCCGAGATCGGATGTGGCGATCTCGAGATCGAGGTCGCGCTTCTTCACCTCGCTAGTTACGTCTTTGATGTACGAGATCAGAGTCTTCATGGCCTCCGCTTTGGTGTCGCCGGCTCGGTATAGAGCCTCGTTACCCACGATGATCCCCTTGAAAATAGAAGGGTCCTTCGTATCGTCGAGAACCTTGTAGAGGTGCTCCAGCTGGCGATCGGTAGATGTAGAGTTCGAGTCGATCCACACCCCGAGCCAGATCTTGATATTCTTCAGCTCGAGTCGATCAACCGCATGTAGCACCATCTCCGTCTGATTGCAGTCGGTACCGTAGAGACGAACAGTATTGGTCAACTGGGAGAGAACCGCCATGTCACGCGTGACGTTGTTCTGCGAAGGAGGCCACTTGAGACAATCCGGGTACTGGACACCCCACGGAGTGTAATCCATACCGGGAAAGACCTTGTGGAGATCATCGTTGTTCAGGAGAGCCTTGATCTCCGACGAGTCCTTGTCGAGGTCCCCATTGCTCTTGGTATCGCCGTCCGCCGTCCCGTCCCCGGCATTGGACTTGGCCCCATTCTCATGGTGTCGATTTCCAATCGTGCCTCCGACAGCACCACCGACAATCGCACCGAGGATAAGGAATCCCAGGGCCAGACCGACGATCCACCCCATCTTCTTACGCGGGTCCATCTTCGCCTTCGCCGCCTTCTCTCCGGCCCCGGCCCCCGCTCCAGCCTCTAACCCACCAGGCACCGAGTTATACGCAACGTCGGCATTCTTCTCCTTCGCAAAAAACCCCGTAAAAAGTCCACCCGCCGCGCCCGCCGCGGCACCCCCACCCGCGGCACCGCGCGACCGCGGGAAATCCTCATCGCCATCATCGGCGATATCATCCGGATTGATCACTTCCCCATTACTGTAGGCCGTCGAATGGCGCTGATACGGCCCGTCGCTGACACCGACGTACTGCGCCGGGTACTGATTATGAGGGGAGTCACTGAGGTGCAGTGAGGACTGGCCCGGGGTGTGGAAGCCCGGCTCAGCGGCGGCTGCCTCGAGACCCATATTGGAACTGGAGCCGTAGGAGTGGCCGCGCAGAGACTCGGCGCTGACGAAGCCCGGGGAGGGGATGTAGGGCGTGTCTGAGCCGGTGGTGTTGTAGTCGCGCTCGCGGGGACCTGTGTAGTCGATGTGGGAGGCGTCGATACCGCTCTGGCGATCGTGGGTGTTTGCTATTCCCAGGGCGATTCCGCTGATTCCGCCGCCTGGAGAGCCTGGGCCGAGGTTGTCGACGCCTGGTGTGACGGTGTGGTGTTCGCGAGTGAGGGAGTATCGGCGGGATGGAGGGATGTTGTTTAGGTCTGACATTGTACAGTGGTTTTTAATGCTTGGTCCTGCTGGACCGTTTCAGATATGTGGTTTTGCTGCAGGTTGAAAGGTGTGGGAAATTTGAAATGAGTTTTGGGATTGCAAAACACAGGAACCACGGTTCCGGAACAATGAAGGTGGGTGAGACAAGCCCAGGGATTTTTTGATTGTCAATTCTTGATTGGAGCGGCTCTTGCTGAAACCGAGGATTGCAGGAATCAAAATAGAAAGCAGAAGGAAAGACAGGCGTTGAAAGCAGAAAGTAGAGTTCCAAGCCGATGCGGCTAACGCAAGCGGAGTATCAACACGGCGTGGCCGGGCAACGCTTATTCTTCGATATTGGATGTGTCGCGACCACACTAGTTGAGGATGTTCAATTATTTACAAGACTATTTTATTCGCATGACTAGACATCAAATACTCCGTATATGAAGTATCCGAAGTATCCAACAATATACTCAAGTGTGTAGATGACAGGCAAAGACTTAAAGTGGGGATTTGACGGTTCCGTGGTCTGTGAGGTGAGACCCTTGGACCCTCCAGGGACTTGAGCTATTTTTATCTTCGACTTCATGTACGGAGTATTACTCCGTATATCTGTTGTTTCTACTATATCTACTACAGTTATTTCTACAATTCATACGGAGTATATTTAATCTCATTAACTCCAGTAACTCATGTCTCATATACCATTCCCCCCTTCTTTTCGCATATTTCCTGTAGATCAAGGTAGATCCCACGTAAATCATAACTCATATCAATATCACATCAATCATAAACAACCAAACAGCTCAAAAACTCAAAGATCGAAAAAAGCAAAGACAAAAAAACACATCACATCTAACACTCAACCTCATCCCCACGCTGTCCCTCCGACCTCCGCTCCAAAAACCTCCTCTTCCCACGTCGAGTATCAAAATGCTCAGGAATCTCCGCCGCATCCTGACCCGCAGCAAGCATGCTACTCCGCATCTTATTACGGTACGCATCCACTATCCGCAAACAGTCAGCAAGGGATTGGCACGTGGGTCCCGACACGACCCGGAATCAAGGGATGACTGTGTACGCAATTCAAAATAAGGTTTCAACACTTACACGACCGCTGCAAGAACAGCATCCGCCCAGAAAAAACCCGGCTCTGGCTCCAGCTCATGCGGTAGCCCAGGTCATTCAAGAGAAGTTCCTTACGATGACGCTTGCGCGAGAGCTTGGGCACGCTGATCGCCGTGCTGAGATCTGCGTCTAGCGACGGGGCGGGAACGGTGGTGCGGCCCGTGGTCGCGGACTCGGTCTCGTCGTCTGCGTCGTCGTGGAAGAAGCGCTTTGCCGGGACGACGCGGTTCTCGTCTGGCATCTGGATTGGGAAGTAAGTGCGCGGGTAGACGGCTGTGGACTCGCGGTATTTGTCGGGGATTTCGTCCATGTTGACTTTGTCGAGGACGACTTTGACGCGGACGCGACAGTTGCGCTGGGGGTCGTCGACTAGGATGAATTTGCGGCGTTTGCCTTCTGGGAGGCTGCTGAAGAGGTCTTCGTTTGTTGGGCCTTGGGTTTCAATGTCGTGTTCGTGGTCGTGTTGGTCTGCGGCTGTGGCGATGGTTGGGTGTCGCGTTAGGGTTGAGAGGGGGTTTTCGCGGAGGGGGGCATTGAGGGACCGGTGCTTGGGGGGAGGGCGGTTGGGGTGTCGTGGAAGAGGTGGGCGGGTCGGAGATCAGGTTGGGGGAGACGGTCTCGTGGGTGTTCGGTGCCTAGTGCGGACCACGGAGAGGGGACAGATCAGCCTACGCGGTTATTTTGGCATGGAAGAGAGAAAAGAGGTAGTTCCAGTTCCAAGGAAAGAGTCAACGATCAAAGGTAATGATAGAAAGCAGGTAGACGAGTAAAGCGGTTCGACTGGACAATCGAACAGGGTATGGAATAACAAGGTAAGAACACTGGGTGCGGGACCACGTAGGGATACAGGAGAGTACACATTCTCATATCGCCATTCACACATCCTCATACACTCATACAAAGAGACAAGAGACATGAAAGATGCTCCAACATATACGCATACAAATGACAACCCAAGCCGACAAAGGGAAAAAAGAAAAGAAAAAGAAAAAGAAATACAAGAATGGAAGGGGAGAGAGGAGAAAGTATCCTCACAATTGCAGAGCAAGACGGGGACTCAAATCACATCACATGTGGTGAAACATACCGCTAACTTCCTCAGCAGGAATACCATCCGGTTGATGGTGATGATGAATCTGCGGCGGGCCCATCGACAAAGGCCCCAGATTCGGACGAGGAGCAGGACCCGGACCAGGACCCGGCATAGTCATAGCCCCCAGCGCCGGACCCGAACCCGGACCAGGACCAGGACCAGGCTCAGGCAGCGAGACGCCAGGAATATGCGACTGCGCGGGAACCGACTGCCTGCGAGTCATCTTCGCCTGACGACGAACACGTCTGCTGCGAAGTCTCGGGTCCTGGTTGCTATTGCGCCAGCTGTCGACGGCGCGCTGGATGAGACCTCTCTTCCCTCTCAGGGCGGGATTCAGTTCGGCCAGCGCCCAGCCGACGGCGTTGCACTCTGTCTCGTATACAAGTCGGTTCCCGCGGTATTGGTCTTTACTGCAACATGCGCGCGGGTAGACGCAGTTCTCCGTCTTGAAGTCTGGTGAGAGCTGGTCGACCACTACGGACTCCACGTCGCAGCGGATCGTGTACTCCATCTTGACGCGGTCTCGGGAGTATTCAAAGGCAATCCACTGGACGCCGCTGGCGTCCTGGCGGACGACGAGCGGGGTTGTGGCGGGGATTGGGCCTGGGGCGGCGTTGGAGCTGGTGCCGTGGGTTGGGCTGGCCAGGGGGTTGTTGGCGGACATTCCGTGGGTGCTGTTTGCTGATGATGGGGGGTTGAGCATCTGTTGCTGGGGGAGAGGGTGCTGGGAGGTGTCGAGTTTCATGATTGGGCTGGCGGACATGGCGGTGGTGGGGAGATGGGGAGACTGATGTGGTGGCATCTGGACCGGGGCCTTGTGGGGAGGCATCATCAGTGGCTGGGTTGTGAGAGGGTGCTGCTGAGGCGAGTGGTGAGGGGCGTATGGTGACGGTTGAACCGGGTTCATGGGTGAGTAGGGGTGGTAGTTGAACATCTGGTGTGGCATCTGGGGTGAATGTCCGTAGAGGGGGCGGCCATGTTGGTCTTGAGGTTGAGAAGCTACCGAGGCTGGTGAGGTTGATTGAGGGGTGTGATACATGGGAGGGTAAGGCCTCTGCATTTGGGCGGTGGATGCCATGAGGTCAGGCGGCCCTTTTCGCGAGTCAGTCCATGTTGATATCAGCGGAGTGAAGATCCATGAAACGGTATAGTATGCGCAATGGCTCCACGTCTCCACTAGATTCCCAACGAAATAGAAAAGGCTTACCGCTGGAGGGGAAATTTGCCGAAGCTGGGGTGGTATAAGATGGGTGGGTGGTATAGAAAGGAGCTTCCTGGGGTGGCCCGTAGAGATTCCGGTGCAGGGCTCCGTTCAGCGAGTGAGATGGGGGGTATGTGGCGGGAGGATATGGAGACTCAGGCTTCACCTGTTCAGCCGAGCCTTGATCTTGAGCTAAGCCTGCTCGCAGAGGCTGTGAGTTCTGAGCGGGACGTCCAGAATTGTCGTGTCGAAGCTGAAGCAGAAGCACATGTCAGTGACTGGAACCGCAATAACCAACATCCAAAGTCACCAGAATGCGAAACTCGAAACCAACAAAACGGTGTTACAAGAGAACGTGGGCGAACAGAGGGGGGAAAGACTTGTGAACACAGCTGGGAGCATCCGTGACATCAGTGTAGGACACCGGTCCAGCGTGAGCATTGGAATTCTGCGCTGGCTCATAGAGGGTTGGATTGGACCAGAGGTTGAGAGCTCGAGCAGGGATAGCCTTAGCTGCGTAACGAATTGCCAGGATCTAGCCGAGATGGTTCACACAGGGTGCAAGAAGCGCATGGATCTGTGTAGCGCTGATGGTCGACATCGCATTTCTTTTCTTCCGAAGGAGCACCCGCGATATTTCGGCCAGATCATTGGCAATTCTGTTGGTCCTCGGATTGCGCTTTTTCTCTTTGCTTTCTGTCTTGTTGCCTTGCTGATTCGGCCATGCTTTTCGGAGAAATGTCTTCATCTATACAGTGCGGGAGTTCCATATCCAATGGCAAGAGGTGGTAGTTGAGCTTGTTGAGTTCAACGGTCCTGAATTGGCGACGCTGGCATAGACCACGTCATTCGTTCCAATTGAGCAAGTCGATCTCAGGCGCAATGAGAGCTCCATATGAACAGGATCAAGAAAGATAGGAATAATATTGAAGTAGGAAACATCTCACAAAATCTATCCAGGCATACAAAAGAACGGGTATACTCACATTGTCAATATCTTCCTTGTAGTTTGGAAGGTCAGGCTGTACCATGCCGGTCATGAACGACCTCTCTCACGGCCCAGGATAGAATCGAGTTGACGTCTGACAAGGACAGAACTGGGGTTGTAAATAATTCAGAGATCCACGCTGAGGCTAAACGGCGACTCTTGAGATGGACCGTGAAGGTAAGTGGAGGGTCCAGGGTCGTTATTTAGCTGCACCCATCAGACCCCATTTCGAATTTCTCGGAGGCAAACCTCTGGACATCCCAAAGGGAATAAAAACAAAATTATAGAAAAAAGTGAGAATAAAAAAGAAATAAAAATTAATTAATGATTTTTTGGGTCTTTTTTAAAAAAGAAAGGAAAAGTACTCTGTGGGATAATACAAAGAGAGCGAGGGAGCGAGAGAGAGAGAGAGCAAGAAGGGAAAGAGAAAAGAAAGAAACGAGAAACGTAATTTCCAAAAAACCCGTTGAAAAATCCCAAAGGGTAATATTATTTTGAAAAAGGAATAGGACAGAGGAAATGGAGAAAAAAGCGAGAAAAAAGGCCAAAGTAGGAATAGAACATAACGTGTATCAGGAGTAGGATCTTGTAACTAGCGGGAAAGTGGTGTAATATTGGGACCAGGATGCAGCAGTCCGGTAAACATCCGAGCTTTAAAATTAAATGTGTCAATGATGTGCAGACAAAGAGAGGTGGGGAGACCTCGATGGCTGGTGGGGTTAGCATCTATATTTCAACGGCGATATCAAAGGACTTCTCGGATCCGGTGGAGGGGTCGTGATACGTCGAATGTCAATGTCTGTATATCTGCTTAGCGTGTATTTGAGGTACTATACACCGTGCTCTATCTGCTAGATATTATTTCTATAAGACTTGAAGAGAACCCAGCGGAAATCCGTTTGGTCATCCACGAGTCAGAGGCAGAGTCTAGACTGAGATAATGAAAGATTGCCGTGTGGGCCTCGGGATGGACTCGAGGCTAAAAGGAAAGCTAGTTGACGTTGTCCTCGGATCGTGCAGAGGCCAGTTTCAGGTACGGCTTGGGCTGAAAAATCATGGGAAATAAAATGAACAAAAAAAAAAAAAAAACCTTGAAATCACCTCGGAGTATATCGAAAGAGATCGGCGGAATAATACCAAAAAAATTATTATATTAGCAGACGCGTACGAGTCAAGGTACGGAGCCAGTTACACCGATCTCTCTTTGTTTCCACGGCCCAATTGCGCTGACTTCGGCGCCTCTTGCCCTAAATCAACTCGAAACAACCTAACGCTGTCTCTTTTTTGTTTACTCTCTTTCATTTGGAGCGCTTTTGCTTGGGTTCGCGTGTAACCCTGAGCAAGGTCGATCCTATGAACTAGTCATGAAACCCCATGCTGCTTCCCGGAGGGAGATGTGCGGATGTCCCAGTAGCTGAGATACGATCGAGGATTTCCTCGGACGCTAATGCCAGAAAAGTATCGATTCCGTTCACCAACGACCAATCCTGGGGTGAATCAAGACCAAGATGCGGGCCTCCACCCGAGTTTGCTCCATCCCGCAATTATGCTAGCGGCATCTTAGTTGCGCTTGGCGAAGTCATCAACGTTGGAGAACGTGTAGTCAACCAGAGAGAGAAAACGAGAAAAAAATAATTTTTGAGAGATTTTGTTTGATGTAAGCCTTCCATCCTGTTTCCCAAATTTTCTCCGGGCTCTGACACCGGCTGATGCATGACACTTGGAGGATCATTTCAAGCATTGTTTCGGGTCTATCCCTTGTGCTTGTGAAATGTGCCGGAACGAAATTAGTGCGTAGGCACATGTTTGCTCATGTACGAGTACGCAGTATTTCGGCTGCGCAATCAAGTAGCGATTTGCCTAGGCATGTTCTTTATACCTCATAGTGTTTCGAGTTCCGCTCTACGTTCGCATAATTCTCTGGGAACGCACATAGTATTGCGGGTCGGAAACGTACTCGGGAATCGGTACGGACTCTGTGCAATGTTGGTTGTCTATCTAATTGGTGTCGTTTGCAGGCTCTGGAACGGGCGACCGGCCCATGAGGCTCTCTTGCTGAGTCCAAGCCCACTTCATTGACCAAAGAGGAAAAACGCACTGCCGATTATCATTGTTGCGCAGTGACTTTGCATGAAGGTGAAATTACGGGTGTACAAGGACTGCCTTCGGAGGTTTACTGGGCTATGTACACGAGGAGATAGTAATGGGGAAAAAGCAAAGAGAAAAAAGTAGGAAAAAGAAAAAATAAAGGGAATAAGAGGACCAGAACTGTGTCTATGAAGATGAGGGTGCTTCCAAGATGAGGTTAGCCCCGGGGTTTGTCCATTCAGCTGAGTATACTCCGTACGGAGGATTCCGTACACGTTTACACATGTACAAAGCTAGGCTGCACTGTATTGCCCAGGCCTGCTCGAGGCACAAATCTCTCTCAGTTCCTGAGAGAAAATCAGTGAAGGTTGGAGCTAAAATCTGTGCACGGTTGCCCCCTTTTTTTCTGTCGCTCTCTTTCGTCTTTCAATTTGGGGCTAAAAAAGGACCCAGAAGTCAACGGCGCCATTTGCACCACGCACGCTCATTGGTGCACGCGGTGATCGATGCAGGGTGCTAGGGTCCCGCGGTCTTCCGTTGCGTTAAGCCGTACCCGTAGTCCCACACTCCTTGTACGAGTAAATTTGGGACTCTACTTACTCACAAGTATGTATGGAGTACTGTATGATCATCTTGGGAAATTGTGATGGCGGACTGGACCCACATGGTCTATGCAGAGAGGTTCTTCGATATCAGATCTTTCTACAATCTCGATCCCGACCAAAGCTGAGACGAGCAAAGAGTTCACCTGACAGAGCAAACGTTACACCGGTGTCACTTCAAGATCGAGTGGCTGGGGTTGACTGGGACCAACGGGGACGAACTAGAGGGTAAACCCCTGGGCGGATCAACCGACAATCCTAGCCTCCTTTGTCCTCTGGAGTGCCACTACCGCCCCGGATCGACTGTGGATTCAAGAAGGCCCAGAGCATGTCTAAGAGTTAGTGCAGTCTTACGTAGACAGATATCGAGCTCCTCATTTGTCGAGACGGTAAGGACGTCGCTTAAGTATGGGCTAAATGAGAAAATTAAAATCAAAACAATTTCCCCCTCCTTCTCTCTCGTGCCGGTCTCCCGTCGGTCTAATTGAATCTCTGTCGATCTATGACTGTATATACGTCATGTTATCTGCCACAGTGACAAAGACCTTCTCATGGCCTGTGCGAGACAGGTTACGGAGTACAGGTAACACCGTTTGAATTTGGCCCTCAGCTTTTGTCGAGTATGCAGGCCAAGCACTAAGCCCAATGAAGCAATAGCACATTGACCTGCAGCTTCAACTAAGGGGCTTGAACTTTCCTGTATCAATTATGGCCGTGCTTGTCTGCTGATAAAAAAAAGCCTCGACCTTACGCGCCCACGCGCCTTCCAACTGTCAACCGCCACTCAAGCCCGCAATTTGATAGAGTACGCTTCCCACGCCATACACTGAGTAGCTGCTTGGCTGGAAGCGTAGTCACTCGCCCCGAGACGAGGCTCCGTGTTCCTTTGGTCAACTGGCGTGTTTCTTTGTCGCGATCGACAACTGCAAAGCAAGTTTGAAGATGCAGACACGATGGCCACGTTAGCCTGGGGCCGCAACCCTTGCTTCCTGCAGTGCAGCCACAACTTTTTGCAGACAAGCTGTCTTCACCTTAGATCCATTTTCTTTTCGTTCTCGTTTCTCATTTATTTTATTTTTATTTTTGGGCTGCCCGGGGAGAAACGAGTCAGGATCGGAATCCGGGAGAATTCGAGCACGATATCTCTCGGGTCTGGGACCAGCTAGGTGCTTACCGTGGGAGCGCCCCGGGAGACGCCAATGGGCAAGGAGGGGGACCACAAGCCACAATCTAGTCGATCGCGTCGGGGCTATAGTCCACGGCCTTAAGGCTCCGGGTATCAAATGAAGTCTTGATAGTCTTGGTGTCTTGGCAAACCGTGGTTACGTTGCCCAGTCCATGGAAAGGTATGTATTCCAAATTGTTTTTCTGTTCGGATCTCTCCTACCCCTCTCTCCATTGCATCTCTGTTCGGGTTTCAACTGCCTCCAAACTTGGCCCCAGAATGTCCCCGAATTAAAGTTGTCACACCCTTGTCTCGCACCCATGCGACCATCCCCTGCTTAGCCCGTGATGATCGGCCCTGGGGCTGTCAACGGCTCAACCTCCCAGCCCTAATCATCCGGTTGACATCATCTTAATATGTGATGGGTAACATCCTATTGGGAAACCAGACTTGAATCCAACAGTAAAACGGCAGAAACACGCAAGAAAAACAAGGAAAAAGAAAAAAGAAAAGAACAAAACCAGTATTCTCCGCACTCCGGATCGCCCTAAGACGGATATGGCCCCTCTCTCGGGCCAAGCGGGATGGCCCCGAGAATAGGAAATGATGAACATCTAAAGTGCTTGCTTCCACATTGGCATAGCAAATAATATCTGGCCCTTCATTGTAACCCTCCTCTACGGAGTACTCCGTACAAATTACGGAGAACAGGTCAACCCCCCCTTTTTTCCCACCCTCTTCGCTCAAAGCAGAGCCCTCGTAAAAGCAGTTCAACGGCCCCACCACCCGGACCCGAAGAATGGAGCAATGGAGCTTTCGAACGTGCAATCGCACCGCTTCCTATTTTCTTTATACACACAGTATATTTTTAGCCGAGGGTTCAATGATCCAGATCCAGATCCATTGGTGGAGTAGATCCGACAAGGGGACCATAACCCACTGACAAAATGACAATCGCACAAGATTACAGAATACAGATACTGCTCGGTATTTCCAAGGTCGATACTAAGGTTGTGTCATTGTCGGCAGATCCAATAGGAGCCTCACAAACGAAAAGTGGCAATCGGACTACGGAGTATGTAGTAGCGCCCTGGAGATACGTGGTCATATGGGAGCATAAAGCGCCCACACCGAATATTCTCTGACGGGGAAAAAGGTTTCTAGCTCAAACCATAATTGTTCAAAGTCAGTCTCACCGTAAACCAAACTTTGTGAGCAGTCCACGCGAAACGGCGTTAAGCCTGCAGCCGGGCGCAGTAGCGTGTCGCGTGGTCGGAGCTGGCAACTTGTTTCACCTTTGCAGGTGGGAAGCGGTATGAAATGTGAAATATGAAAATTACTGTAGAAATCAAGTGTAAAATTAAAAATGTACAGGTAAAACGTGCACCTCATCGCGGTGTGAGTTAGTCCTCGAATGAGACTTGAAGGAGGGGGAAAAGGTCCCACATATCGCGAGGCTGATCTTCTGCGAAGACACACCGTTACTATATTAGGTACCCTGCACGTACTTGTTACCCGAGTCCGAACCGTTCACGTCCCCGAACGATTCATCGTCTGAATCAGCTGATCTGAGATGTCTCCTAGGAGTAATCCCGGAGTTAATGAGTGCATATGGAGTACTCCGTAGTGTATCTTCACATCGGTCTTGTGGTGATCTGGTAATACGTCACAAGGGTCGGGGAGACAGGGAAACTGGTCTATTTCCTTGTCCCATATTAGCCTCTGGTATAGCTCATATAGGCATACCTGCTCATAATTCGGTCTTCAAAGCAGCCCCATCAGAAATGACACCATAGAGAGGGGGAAAGGGTCAAATTGTGTATGTGTCAAACTAGAAAGTGGGTGGGAAAATGGTGGCGCGTCTGCGTTTGCTATTCTTTTTTGGTCCCGTGCTACGGCGATCTCAGACAGACATGGCAAGAATGTTGCAAATTGCTTCAAATTGCTCGAAGCCAAATTACATCACCGCCGAAAATGACAACAGAAGGTCACACTTTCCTCCATATACTCCGTAGATCTCTTCCCAGGTTCACACGACGTAAGCACTATATACAGGGGAAGATCTCGATGTCAGATGGGACATTTCCTTCCTGGTCACAGTAGCTTATTTGGCGGATCAGTCCCGAGCCAAGTAAACGGGCCACCCCAAGACCTCCAATGGGGTCAGAAACAAGCTCCCCTCCACGTTGATCTACAATTCATAACTTAAACAGGCGCCTTTCCTATACGTCTACCCAGTTTCTTTCTCAGTGGATATTGACTCCGTGCTCCGTGCTCCGTGCCGGATTTTCCATGTCGCCACAGTGTATGACTCGTGTTGTGGATATGATCACTACCCGGCCATCACGCCCACCCATTAAGGACCAACTCCACCCGCAAACAAGATTGTAGATCCCCAAACTCCGGGCCTCCTTTTACTCGATTCGGGTCTGAGCCCTGAAAGAAAAATTTGGTTCACGTTCTGCCTATCTTTCCCCATAAGGCACGTTCATTAAAAATCCCGCATATCTCTAATCCCAAGTTAGTAGGAGGCCCTTTGAGTTATAGTGTCGGCTTTTGCCGACGTGATGGGAGATGTGATCACAATCCTCCGAATAAATGCGAGGTACTATCACGCTTTGGGTAGGTGCTGGCCTCTTTGATTTGATACTCGCCTTTACAGCCATGTAACAATGGGCTGAATGTTTAACCAGTAGTTTACGTTGGAAATGAATCTCGATGCCTCCCATGGGATATTAACGGGGTCTTGTTTCTTTGTTCCTTGGCTCACACACCCCCCTATCCTTACTTTGTCTATTATCGTTATTCACCCGGGCAAATTGCAAGGTAGTAGCAAGGGTGATTCAGGTATGACAAAACCTCGAACACGGGGTGACCCGTACCCGTATAGTCTTGGTGTGTACTTCGCTGTCTAGTGAATTAAATTGATCATATATTGCCCCTCAGGTGAATGGTTGTAGTGCTTGGAAATCCACAAATGTTTGTGTCTCCTAAACCTCCGCCGGTATGGAGGAACCGACAGCCTACGGGCCCTCAATTGTTTGTCTCCGTGGCGTGTGTCTAGAACCTGCAGCCACCATGCAACTTCGATATTGAACGTGCTACTTCCACCCCTTTTCTTTTCTGTTTGACACTACCCCCACTTGAGCTGGTTGCTCATTGCTTTTTTCTTCCTATGCACTATAGGAGACGTTGTCACTAGCAGGGACTAGCTAGGATTTAGGCGCCGTTGGAAATCTCATACATAGATTATTGCAAAGGAATGCGGCGGGGTCGCTCCACTCAGGCCTCAAGCAAGACATTGATATTCGTAAGCGCAGAATTTTTGTTTGCTCTTCGTGTAATTTTCCCGTTTGCGAGGTTTCCCAAGGGGCGCTTGTGCGAGGTGGCCGTTTGGCTATGCCTAGCGCTGTGTTCAATGACGTACGTGTTATCAGAGTATATGCTGGATAAGGACTTTATCACGACATTAAGTTGATGTTGTGGTATTCCGTAGAGCAACCTATCGTCCAATGGTTGTGGGTGGTGCAGCAAACTTGGAACTGTTAACATGCAATTTTCATGCAGTCTCTGTCTACTACGGAACAGTGTTATCATTGAATGGCGTGTCTTCAGCGAGATGCTCTAATATACACAAGTTGGGTATGCCTGTAATCCCTAAACCTTGGAAGTGCTCTGCGATCTACTTTGACGACGAAGTTCTGATAATTTGCTACTTGTGTCTGTAATAAAAGTGTCGATGGAGATATCTTTAAGGTTTTCGTTGGGACAACACAACACTGAACAAGGCAGGCATTCAATAAGTATGCACACATTCATCCCACTGCCTCCCTGCAATAAAAGTCCCACAGGGACCTCAGAAGGCATCGATTCGAGCGACACCACAAAAGGTTTCATGGACAACATCACTCTGCTTCTTGACATTGCAGCCAGCCTCGCAGCCAAATACCCAGTCAAAGGCCACAGATATTGAACTCTCTTCCACGCATCGTTCAAACATAGCTAACGTCAAATATCAGATTCATCATCCTTGATCGAACATGAAGCTTGCCATTGATAATTGCATTTCAGGATTATGGCTTCATCGAGGGTCTTCCAAGCTACCCACCACATGGAACTTGTGGATGCTGCAAATGACAACCTTGGGATTCTCTGATGTCCCTTGCAATGACATTGAGAGGATCAGTAAATATCCATGTACATTCCAAGGTACCAGGGTTGATGCCTGGTCTCAAGAGTCATGTGTAGCCCGTGAATGCTGCGTCCACGGGTCCGAAGAGTTGCTTGCATAGGCTCAGTCCTAGAGGTGTCCCGATGGCAGCCAATCCTATGTACTCCTGTGCCAGATTCCTATCAATATCAATGCACCGGTGGCGATCCCGACATCTATAACTCTCGGGCCGGTATGCGGGACCTTGGAATTAGATATGACTATTGACGATGAACATTTCCGGAGATAGCTCTCAAGCTCCAAGCCCATGAATCCCGGTCAACCATCTTGGGAAATTCAATGGTGTCATCAACAAACATCGTAGACTGAATGAAACAAGTGGTTGCATTGTGTCAGATCCCGGCCCCGGGGGTCCATCCTTATCAGCACGACCAAGTGCCGTGGTTTCGTCAATCATGCACTCTATCAGAACTTGCAAGAATTTCTAGCGATGGATCTCCCGCCCTGATAGGTAAAGCCTTAGACAGACTTTGGCTCTGCGTGGTTTCATTGCCGGTTTCATTGTATGTGAAACTTCGATGTCGATCTTGAGTGCTCTTGAATGTAACCGAGGTGCAGTAAATGCCTCACATTAAGAGAGGCATGTGGACGCCCTTTTGTGAAGCTAGAGGTTTGAGTATCGATAGCATGATGTGCTTCTATGGGTGGCTGTTGTTTTTGCTGCCTTGCTGTTTAGTCTAGCCGAGGAAGGGGATCTATCGGTATACCAGTGATATCATACAGCGAGCTGCTTAATTTTCTTTAATCTGCTGTATGATCTAGTCTTATATAATACCGGGTTCTGCGATCTTATACGTATAGCCGTTCTGATAGACTCTAATGGATTTCGCTAGAAAAATGGAATCTATGCAGGAGTGGCAGACGGGACCGCCATTCTTGGGCGCTGACCATCCGGTGCCGAGTGAGTTGTTTCTCGTGGACGCTCTGGCAGGACTGGGCGCCACTCATCGGGATTATGGGGTGCTTCGAGCTGCTTCGGCTCATCATCACCCTCGTCTTCATCGTCGCTGGATGATTCCTCTCCGTGGCGGCCGTGGCGCTGAGTCTCGTCTCGGGACTTGCGCCTCTCGCGAGCTTGCTCCCTGTGTCGGGTGTCTAGATAAAACATCAGCGATTGACTTTTACGCCCAAAGCCTAGGTGCGTGGCTGGGTGGTAGGGTCTTACCTCTGATTTCCTGTGTCTTCACCGCGTAGAGCTGGATCTCCTCCTTACTCAACACCCTCAAGACAATCACGTAGTCTGACCTCTCCTCGAATCTCTCGTTGCCCGCTTCGAGGGCCTCAGGGTTCACTAAGCGTCGGTCGATCTTAGTCCAGCGGGCGCCTGGAGGGATGCCTTCTTTTGTGGCGTCCTTGAGAGGAGCTACTCCCTCCCTGACAGGATTCGGTTCTTCCGGGAAGGCTGGACGGGGCGCCTTCAGAATTCCCTTTGGAGGCACCGCCTCGGGTTCTTTGGGCGCAGCGGGCGGCTCAACCGCTACAACCCTCCGAGAGTCGTCTTTAGTTATATCATTCGGCGGCGACCGGCGGGGCTCGCTGGATGTGCCGTCTTCAAGGAGACGGTGGCGGGAGCGAGACCTGTGATATCCACGCGAGTGGTCCCGAGGCCTGCGATGCCGCGAGCGGTCACGGCCGTGGTCATGCTCGCTGTCAAAGGTATCGGTGCTACTGTTACCATAGCGAGGCTGGGCCGGTGCAGCAGCCTCTCGTCTATATTTTTGCAAGTCATCGTCGGAAGTCTCCGCGTCGTTGTGGTGTGTTCGACGTCGGGAACGAGAACGTCGTCGCCGACCGTGGCGATGGGCCTCCTCTGGATCCAGGTAGTTTTGGCTGTTCTTTTCAGCGCCTGGGGCTGCTGTCACCAGGTCCCTTGACGAGGTCTGTGTAGGGTCGGGGCCATGGCCATCACGATCATCATGACCACGTCTGTGCACGCGTCTTGACGGGCGGTGACGATCGAAATCTTCGACGTCGGAATAGCCACCGCCCAAAGCAGCGGTTCCAAGACCCATGGTGGCGAGAGGGGCGACGAGACCGCTGCTATCGTGCGGGTTTGGTGAGTGATCCGCATAACGGTGGCCTCGGTCGCTCTCATGGTGTCTGCGGTGACGGCGGTGGGAGCGCTCATGACGAGGGAGATACTCTTCGTCAGAATCGTGCGGCACGGCAACCAGGGCCTGGTCGTGAATTTCTTCTTTTGATCCATGCGTGTTGCGATGGTCGTGACTTTTGCGTGTTGAGCTTCGTTCCCGCTGATGTGGAATCTTGTCGAAGCCCCAGGAAGTAGGGGGAGGGCCGCGAGGACGTTCTTTGCGGGCCACCCACTGGGGACTGTCCTCCATCCCGGAGATACTCATCGGCCGATCAAGCGAGTATCTGGAGCTGCGGGTGCGAGGCTTGACCGGGTAGTCACGGTCGAATTGTTCGCGAGGTGTTGTATAAGAGTAAGCATCGAAGTCATCAATGTCGTCGCCTTTTCTCAATCCGTCGTAAGCTGGGTGACGTCTTGAATAGGATGGCGGGTGGTGTCTAGATGAGCTGTGGGCTGTGCGATGTTTCCCATCGTCTCGCGGGTCACGTCGTCCATGGTCACTGGCGTAATCGGTGCTGTATAGCCGGCGGTGTGCGGGGTGTCGAGGCGAAGCAGTCACTACATGAGGCTCTGACGCCGAAGGAAGAGGACTTGGAGAGCGCCGTTGGATGGAATGTTGCACGGGGGAGAGATGATGGCGAGATGTGTCAGGTGCCACTCGGCGTACGTGGGGTGTGAATTCCGCAGCGGAGGCTGTGTTGCTTCTGTGCCTGGTGGGCTGGACGCTGTACTCGGTTCGTTTCTTGGCGGATGCAGTCGCATCATGAACACGATGGGTCGAAACAGGGTGGGCCTCGAGCGTCGATGCCCGCGCTGGACGATACCCGTAGGCACTGGCGTAGCCCGTGTCGGAGGGGTAATCGTCATAATTGTGGCGCCGAGGGGCATCATAAGGATCGTAGGAGGATCCCGTCTGAACCGTGCCGGTCGATGCCCGCATCGGATCAATCAAAGTGTGCCGTCCACGGCTGGGGGAGAGATAGCGATGGCTTGACATGGTGGCGGTTTTGTGTAGAATTGAGGGTATAGACGGTCCGGCGGCCGCTGGATTCGGCCTGGTAGTGATTCTGAGGGCCGATATCACTCGGTCAACTTCTCCGGTCGGCGTCAGAGAAGATTGAGGATCAGGGGTACCGAGTTGGGCTGCAGTTTGTTGATTTCTTGTAGCAATGCCCAACAGCGACTGAAGGGAAAAGGAGGGAATTAAGGCCCACGAAATTGGAGGACGCTAATTTGCGACACGAGTCCCATCCAGTGGAGCCCAATAATTGCCCAACACACAAGCTTGGACGAGGAGTCGAAATCGGTGAATAGGAGAGAGAAGAAAAGTTGCCAAACAATGACGCAGATCGAAGTGGATTGATGACAAAACCCCGCCGTTAGCTTTAGTTTCTTTGTCTACTCCGTACACAACTCAAAGACTCTACTCGAATCCACGAGTATTCAACACTATCAACACTATACAGATCAAACTTCAGATCGAAGTGATCATCAACTTATGTACCGCGGATCACTGAGGGCCGGAAACTGGGGCCGCTTGAAACCCATGGATTGGAATTTAACCATGAAACGTCCCCTTCTGACACTGTGAGGCTCTCTGAATCCACTTCTGCCGTTTCGCCCGGAACCCGGGCAAACTCTCGGAGATGAGGTCATACTGTCAGTCGTACTCGGGTACTATTTTACTGTATGGCTATTGATTTGAACTTTCCCTTCGTCAATGGGATATATCTTTCTCTCTCATATTGATCCCGAGGTCTAATTGGAATATTTGGACTTCTAATCTTGGGAAATTCTGGTCCAGAGAGGCTTTCAGGTGAACAATGGCTCAGAGCTAGATACTACTTCCGCAAATGGCCCAATCGTCCGGTGTAGGGTTATAGACCATGAGTACTTCATAATGACGCTATGTCATGGAAACTTCGGCTTTGTTATGCTCAAGCTTGGAAGACTACTGATCGCAGCTTGTATACCTAAAGGAGGTCGAGTAGAAGGCGCTCGGTCACCCGTTAAGACATTTCTTGTCAATCTCCGAGGGACTTTACATGGGCTAGATCACCATGTGCGTCATGAACGTCATTGCACACAAAGAATCGATAATGAAAACAGAAACAAAAACACAGAGAAGGGAACCAGAAGCATTGACAGGTCAAAATGAACCTTCACGGACTTGGAACAAAGGGCAAAATACACCCGTGACCACGCCGCTCGTCTCCACCATTCTTCGACGTCAACGAACCCCATTCTAGAAAACCTACTGACTTCTAGACATCTCTTTCGCCCGCCAACTCATCGACCTTAGGCAGAAAACAGCGGCGTTCTCCGATCGTGGCTCATTTCCACCCCTCTGGTTCACCCTCGCACCCGCCAGAGGCTTAGACCCAGACGCCCGAGCCGAGGTACACAGGCACGCCAAAGACGATTATCGCATTCATATTATCGGAAATAGACGCCCAATCTCGCCTATTCCATGTACCACAATAATCTCTTCTGGCAGCCTTGAAACATGATCCGGTCGGCCTCATGGCAGGCGAGCAACACTCGACATCGACATCGACATCTTTAGGCTAGCAATGGCAACCAAAGCATCTGGATCTTCGTAGTCCAAGTGCAATTGGGTATTTTCCCACTGCCCCGGTGTGTGTTGTTCATCTCAATGGCGGAGCCGGGCCCGGGTCACGGGTGAATGTAGGTATGAACAGCCAAGTGTCGCTGGCTCTGGCTCTGGCTGGTTGGTCTATGCTGCAACGCACCAATTCTGGAGTGCTTTTTGTTCTTGCTTTTTCGATCTGTCTCCCATTGGATGTTTGAGTCCTGGGGGTGAGGGCTCGACTTGGGCTTGCTGTTCGGGTTGTGGCTGATCATCGGGTTCAGAATTCGACCTCGCTTTTCTATTTGATGCGCTTGATGATGGGTGCCCTGGTTCTGGAGGCCTGTGTATCAACAACTGGATATAAAAGGGGCGGTTTTCGATATTCTGACACCCTAGAATCAGACTTCGAGCTTGATATATCACGAACAGCTTTTATATATAGACGAACACTCCTCGAGCTCTATCAAACCAGCTGTTTCAAGATCACAGCATCTACGAGTCGTCCTCTAGACCTGCCAATTGATCCATCGCCGCATCAATTCACCATGTCCACACACGCTTTCCTCACTGAGACCGACGGTCTTCCATCTGACTGGTCCACTATCTACTCCGAGTGCTCTTACAACCACCAGGACCTGAGACCCTCCCTCATGTCCCGCTCTCTGTCGGTTCTATACATGGCGAAAACTGTGGCTACCTTCACGCCCACCGAGACCCTGTCGACGGGTGCCCCAAAAATGGCAGCAGGCTGGTGGACGTGCTGCAGTTGCAAGCAGATGGTGAACCCCAACTTGGCACCGGAGTCACGATGCCCCTGCTGTTCGCATACCCGTTGCGGAACTTGCAGAAGCGAAAATGTTCAGTGATCTGAGGATATTCGCGTAGACAAGTGCCATATTATCACGTTTCTTGCCAGTGCATCTGGTGTCTCTCTTCTTTCACGCCTTTTCCTTTCTTTGCCCAGATTCTTTTGGTTGCTTATTCATGTTCTCATTGCATTTTCGGGATTTTTCTTTCGTGTAGATGGATGTGCTTTGGGGTCAATTTGGGAGTTCTCGCGGCATCTTAGCGATCATTCTATGGTAGACATTTTGCTAGACTGCCCACGCTGAGCAGACCTCGGGATTTAAATTTTACTTGCAGTGTACACAGTTGAGAATTGGATTGTTCAGGCTATCTCTGCTTTCACGCCTTCCTGGGGCCTTGAGGTATTTTCTGGGTATATTTAGTTGTGGCCTCTCCAAGGTTGGAAATCGACTGCATTAGGTATTCGCCAATGTATGGCCCTTGGAGGACTGTCAGTGATTCCAAGGTTCTCTTCTAACCTTGAAATGGTTTTTGGTCTCATGTGCCCTGGCATCCAGGCTAATCCACTTCAAATTCAGTCCACCGTTCGTCTATAGCGTCAGCGTGCCATGTACCCCGGTGATCACTTCGCTGTAGGAGACAAAAGAAAGATTAGGGACACATTGACACATGACATTCCAGTGTAGGTGATATGCCAAGACCGGAACCACCTACGCAATGACAATATTCAGCCCTACGCTGGATCGGCCCGTTGGAATGTGACTAGTCCTATCATGCCAGTGAGAAAATCCAATAGTGTACAAAGTGGATACGTTTGGCATTAATTATATCGTTATCCAATGCACGAGACACAGTACGGAGTAAAGTGCCCTTGAAATATTCCTCGAATCATCAATGGGTATTTTTCCTTCGCTGGCTACGCCCCGAATGTGGGGGGTCCGAAATGGCCCCATTCCCGGGCGGGACCAGTCCAGCCTCCTGCTTCAAGCGGGTTACAACGGGGCCGAGGGCGTAGTGGCTTTCCATGCTGCTATGATCGGCGCATGGGCTCTGTTTTATCGGTAGGAGCCAATCGAGTACACTGCGCCCCATGACTTGCTGGAGGTTCTTGAATGGAGAGCCCAGGTCGAATGGGTTCTCGCCCGGTAGGGTGTGGAGTATGGCAAACACGTGGCGCTCGCCGGCGGAGGGGTTTGTGGCTTGCGGTTGGCTTGCGGTTGATGTCTCCGGTGGATATGAGACCATACGGAATGTTGGAGCCCAGGGGGACTGGGTATCCCAGAGACGATCGAGAAGATACTCGGGCACACGGATGGCAAGGGTCCAGACTGCGGTGCGCCGATTGAGGTTCTCGATTGTTGTGATGTTAAATATGCCCATTTGCAACGAACTCAGAGTCATTCCAGCTGTGAAAAAGGCGAAGAGTGCGCTCCTAGTGATTGTTTAGTGTCAAGCAGATATCAACATGATGCAGAGTACTCACAGTCCAATACAGACGCACCAATATGCGTTTGCTCCCCGGTCTGAAAGAAGTTAGCAACAGGTTGACACAACAGTATGTAAGCTCTGCAGATCAGTTGAACTCACGTTTCTTCGAATCTCTGCAGTGAAATAAGCAGACACTATGAGCGCGAAAGTGCAGTATATACAGGTGTACACCACAAATTGAATAAAGAACTTGAACGACGTCTCCGACACCACACCTCCAACCCTGCTACCTGTTAGCACAGATCAGTCAATTCCAAAGACTCAAATCATACCAGGGACAAAAGTGGTCCATCTTGCGCACACAGCGGCCCAGCTCCCGGCAGTGGTGCGCCCTATCTGTCTTGTATTGGCAGCAAGTGGAGCACCAAAGAGGCCGACCGTCCTCCTGGCACACAAAGACATCTTTGGTATAAAAGCTCTCCAGATCCAGCTCCAATGAAGCTTCCGCGCCTCCAGAAACGGGACCCAAGCCCCTTTCCACGTCAGTCTCCGACTGAGTCGTCTTCTCCTGGTCGGCTTTCCGCGCGCTCCTCCGATGGCGCCTCCGGTGCGACTTCTTCGACTTCTTCTCGTTTTCATTACTTTCATCATCCTGCAGCTTCTGTTCGCCGAGGGGAAGATATCCAGGGTTCCAAAGGACGTGGTAATAAAGATGCAGGTATGTGACAACCATGGGGATTAAAAGGATATAATAGACGGTAAGGATCGCAGCGCCAGCGCCGACTCGAGGGTTTCGGTGATAGGAAGGTAATGGATGAATTAAATAGTCGACTGTGCATACTGCGTTAGTTCTCTGGATTCCGCAAATCTCCAGGCACAGCAATCAGCCGCGGTACTCACTGCACAAGGGTTTCGTGACCGCGTAAGAAGCGTAGACCACGGCGCCGAGTAACACGGGTGGGATCAGCCTGGATACAGCGACATTGACGCGCTTTTGCGCCGCGGGGGACGCCATATGGAGTCAAAGATAGGATATGAAATGCATGGATATAGTAAGAGGATCAAGGAACATGTCGCATAAGGCAGCCGAGTCAAACAGTGCAAACCTGACGTAATCTCTCGAACCCGTGGGTTTGCTCCGATGCGCCCATGGATCGGGGGACATCAGGGGAACACCTGTTGCCCTAATTGATGCAGCTAGTTTGTTATTTTTTGATAATTTCGTTTCAGATATAACGAGCCTTGTCAGGCCTTATTCCACGTTTCGTTGACCTCAGCTGCGACCGTCCCCGACATCCAAAATTGTTCTAGCGGATCACCTCATACGGAGTACGGAGTACTCTCTATTTAGATACTACAGTTGTAATCGGTAGAAAATGGTATTTGAAATAGCACATGGCGTGGAATGGGAGAGAAAAAAATAAATTAGAAATCAGCCTTGGGGTTTCACAGCATCTCGTAATTCTGTATTTGTCAATACCTAAACCAAATTGTCGATGAAAATGATTCCACATCGTCATATTCGAAGGTCAGAATGTGAGCCTGGGTGACTTAGGCAACAGAAGGCTGGGCGGGTGACCTAACTTCGCGATGACTCTTCATTTCTGTTTTGGCGCAACAGCTGCCTGGAAATTCAGAAAAGAGTGGAGTATATCGGACGCCTGGGAAACCAATTGACGGACACGATCTGGTGCAAGGCATCAACCGCGCCAGAGGAATCCGAGGATGTGACGAGGTTGACCGTTTCTTCGGTTGCCCCGAACCCGCCAGATTGTACCGAAAGTCATACATTTCCCCGGGTAAGCCAGCGCAGTAGAGACGGTGAGATTATTTGCTTAGCCCTGATAGTGGGGGCGCCCGTTGAGTCAAAACGCCCGCTCTTCAGTGTGTCATTTCACATTCTAGGCGCAGGTCGATATGCCTGGGGCAAGAGAGAGCCCGGGGCCACAGCTCGGGCGACCCATCTCCCCGGACGATGTGCAACTAAGCAGCTCTCACTCGCCCAGTGGGCCCAATAGCCCAATACTGACCCGGGCAAAGAATTTGGCCTTACCAAATACGGTTTCCGCGCAAGGCAGACGGGGCTGTTGGCTATGTCCTAACAGAGCGCTGCCTTGTCTTTCTGGTCAACTCTTCTACTCTGTCTCTTGTAATCTTCAGATTAAATAGCCTCGTTGATCCCCCGTGTTTAAAAATCTAATTCATCCTTCAACTCAATTCCATCTGATCAGTACAGCTCGCGCAACCCGAGACTAGACATACATCCTACATCTATACAGCTCGCCGCGCCTTTCACACCTGCAACCTCACCTCATTGCCTCTGACTCTGTCTTTGATATCAAATCATCTTATACACAACATCTACTACACAAAAACAATGGGTTGTCTCTGGTACTGCTGCCGCTGCAACTTCGGCCCTCACAACCTAGCACTCCACGAAGCCTGCATTCAGTGCGGAGTGGCTCGCTGCAATCGCTGCACTCAAGAGAAGATCTCTGACAACATGGCCGTCCACTCCCACTCTCACACCTGCGACATCACATCACCATATCCCGCCGCTGTCCCCATGAGCCCACCTGCCTCTCCAACCTTCAAGCCCACAACGATGTCTATAGTTGTACCGGAGCTTCCACGGGTGATGGCACTCCCACGACCAGAGCACACAGGCGTCTCGTCGGGCTCACTAGGCGGAACACGGACACACGGCGGTACTCACATGTACATTTGCTGCAAATGTCAAGACGGCCCCAAGATCTATGAGGTCCAGCCTCAGTGTGTAATGTGCAATCACACGGCTTGTGGCAGCTGCGCCTACATCAAGTGAGATTCTTATTGATCGGTCTCGCCGGCCGAGACTGAATATTACGAGCGAAATGGTAAGCTCTCTCTCTCTGATTCTCACTCAGCATTGTTCCTGCAGCTGACGCTTCGGCATAGTGAATTCGAACTGTCTTTTTACTGTGTTTTTAATTGTGCTTTCATTTGGCTGGATTTGAGATCTGATTTATGCGAAGCGATGGGTCATGAGCATATATCCTGGTGTATTATTTTTGCATTTTTTTGTCGCATTGTTGTTGCATCAAGACTAGAAAGAGTGTATACTTGTTGTTCCCGATTTAGTTTAGTGCGGGTATGAGGTCAGCGGGGGCCGGTTCCCTCATGGCAGTCTGCCTTGTCCAATTTCACTTTTGAACTATTCCTTCACTTTGGTTAGTAGTTTTAAGACTGTCCGCTTTCAATCTGAATCATTTCAGTGGGTTTCTCTCTGTTTTCGGTGCCCGACTGCGCCATGTAAAGAGTCATCGAACTCCTGATCTTCCATGCAGCAAACCCTGTCCGAGCCTCAGTCCGGGCAATCGTGAAATCCATGTATTCCACTTGAACCGGCCATGACTGGCTGGAATTATTTGCGGCTCGACTATTAAAGGTGCCCGGGGTGGGCTCTGAGTGGATGTTGCATATCATAATTTACCAGCCAAGGTGTTAGTGCAGAAACCTGCGCCCGGGCGCTGTCAAGCCTGTTGCTCCTTTGCCCGTTTACCGCTCCTTTGCCTGGCATCTGCAGCAAACAGCCCTACGGCTCATAGTAAAGAAGCGGTCTTGGCTTCGTAGATTTGGCGGAGACTCCGTGCATCTACGCTCTTTCTCCGCTCTTGGTCTCGTATACTTCACTTCTTCGTAACGGGTATTTCCCCCAGAACTCAGCCTCAGGTATTGATGCGCATTATGCTACGTTGTGTTCTCTCTGACTATTTTTATTTTTGTCCTTTCTATTTTCCCCTCCATCTTCTTCCAACATGACACTTTCCAATGTTATCAACAATCACCCCCACTCTCCGAGGCTGTGCGTGGACTGTGCGCCCCGGAAGGGTTTGGCTTGGCTCTTCGGACCCTCTTCGCGCGCTTGTTTGGTCCGTCACTCTCCGCGGACTCTTCGACAATACTACGGCTTATTCTTGTCTGAAGTATGAACTACTGGATTCTCATCATCTCCACAACGGCAGAATGGCACCTGATATTCTCCGACTCTCTCGGGCGCACGGAATGTGACCCATCCGAGTTGACTAGTACAATTATGACTGACTTCCTCATGGCATACTCCGTACAGACCGGGGGAAACTACTTGAAAATAAACAAATGAGAGCACCAATAATCGAGAACCTGTCGGATTCTACTCCCTCGGATCCGCTATTGCGCCTCGCCCTGACTCACTCGTATCTCGCGGCATAGATCTATGATATCACCTTAGTTAGGATCAAAATGTCATCTGCGCAACCATGCCAAAATTACATCGAAGTTAATTATGAGCAAGAATATCTGAAAACTATATTCATCATGCTATTATTGGCATGCCAAAACCTCGGAATGTACCCTTGAAACGTCGAAGCAGTTGCACCAACTTACATTTGGCCCCCATTCTGACCCGGACTTCGCGCTATGTTTAGTAGCCGCCAGCCTTAGAGCCCACCCTTTTCTCGCTTTCGCTTTTCTCTCGATATTCACGGTAATTTCCACTTTGTGTTCTTTTAGTGTGCTGGATTTCTATTTTGGGTCTGGGCTCTTTCTTACCCCCCAAGGTTCCGGCCCCCAATCCTCAGCTAGTATATACCAACCTTGATGTGTACATGGTAGCTGAAATATGGGACCATCGGCAAACGTGGGCTGACGGGGAGATTAAATCATAGCCGTTGTGTAGCTGATGATCGAGCTTTCAAGACTTCCCTTGAATTTCGGTTTTTCGCGTTGGTTTCGGGAGTTGCTTTCCGATGTTGCCGCTATATATCCCTGGTTGGGTGAGTAGAGTTGCAGGGAAATTCCACCACATGTCCACGTGGAGATTAGCCCTAGAGTTTCCAAGGTTACAGGCATTTCAGGTTCAGAGGGCAGACTCCAAAGTTGCATCTTTTGCGATTTTCTACCTAGCTGCAAGAAATGTATATAGGGGTCTCGGGATGGGAAAAAAGTTGGATTGGATAAAACGAATACGTATTGAAAGAGCGCTAATAATATGTGCTGTGAAAGTCCACCAGAATTGTAATCGTACAATCGCATCCGGCAACACAGCCGGATGGAATTGGAAGGTTGTGATAGAAACGCCAGTTCGGCTAAAGATGCATAGGGCCAGGTCATGAAAGCCTGGAAACAAGCGACGACAAAGAAAATCGTCCAGTGATGGAGGGCAGGAAGCCACAGCGAGGACAGCCTGAGTCCCAAGCGATGGATGCAGTGTGATGATGTTTGTGAGGTATTGTTTTTCCCCCGACCAAAGAAAGAAATTTCGATGGCGGTGCTCACAGAACAAATGGAAGACAGCTCACCTTGCAAGACCCAAAAGTGTCTCAGGAATGAGGACGGGAGAGAGTTACAGGGATAAGACGCGCGACGGGTCTTGGAGGAAGCGCCTACGGTATGCGGCTATCTCTGAGGCCACAGTGTTGAAATCTTTCACCTTATCACGCCGGAGATCATTGATGATCTCCTTCAAACCAGCGAGATATGTTTCTTTTTCTTCTTCGGTTTGTCCCTCTCGGGCAGAACCCATTTGGATGAGGATCTTGTCGTCTGTCAAGGTTAATGGCTCTGTGGTCAGCATACGGACAGGGCAAATATATAGGTGTGGTATCGAGTTTGAAAACAAGCAAAGAGAGGGCGAAGGGCAATAGACGCAGGCAATGAGAGAAGGGGTATCAGAAGGAGGATGCACTGTGCAACCGAAGAAAAGTGATGGGACGAATGGGACGGGCAAGTTCAAGTATATCCAGGTGAACATAGGAGAGGAAGATGAATCAAATCAAACTTGATGACGCAAGCAAGACGTCGTGGGGTAGCTCGAAATCGAGATGGGATGTTGCATATTGTTCATGTCGACGCACCGCTTAAAGAGAGATCCCGAAGATGCTGAAACTCGCAAGATCGATCGTTGCAAACGCCCCCGGAAACTTCATATGGACATAAAGATTTCATCGAGTCGATGTTATGACTGTAAGTTAATGAGCGGTAGCCACTCGCAATATCTTCAGAGAAATTGGGGTGATAGCGATAGGCTTTGAAAGATCGAAGTGGACTAGTGTAGGGCGTGAACTTGTGTGCCGATTGCTTGGGTACGGGGTCTGCAGAGGAATTCTCGACCTATTTATGGATTAGTGCATGGCCGCTGTCGAATTTGAGAGCAAGGTAGTATTCATACGCCAAGATTCTCAGCCTGGAGATCCACCTGAGATGGTGCATCGGAGACCTGAGGGGCGGTCGTTAGTTCTGCAGTAGGTTGAGCTGCATCAAGTGAAGGCATCGAAGCTGCGATGCTGTCTACGGGATCGGGAGCTGGGCTGAAGGGAGGAGGGCTGTAGCTGGAGCCTTCGGACTGTGCGTCAGATTCAGGCTCCGGCGGCTCATACGCTTCAGACTCAACGGAAGATTCACGTTGTGACATATCGTCTGTGCGATCGCCGTTCACATTTGCAACCTTGGGCTGTGATTGTGGTGAAGATTCGATGTCCATGGGCTCAGCTACCGCAGGAACATCGACATGAACAGGAGAGGCGGGCACGGGAGAGCTGGAAGCATCATCCTCGTCTTCACTAGAATCCGAGCTCTCGCTGCTGCTGTCATCAGACTCCTCCATGACCGAGCCTTCGGAACCAGACTCAGACGAAGCCGAGGCAGGGGCAGTGTCCAAAGACGGGCTTTCATTAGTTTGAGCCGACGAAGGCTCTAGTGCGGGGGTTTGTGGCTTTGATGTAGGGCCGTCATGGGAAGCCATGGATACACCGGCATCGGAAACTCCGACGTCGGCTGAGCTTGATGGGGCACTTGTCGAAGCGCTGGAGTCGTCAGGAGTGTGAGGTGATTGGGTCTGGCTGGCAGCTAATTTGGACTTTCGACGAAGTTCCAGCTCTGCGATCCTACGTCGCATTTCCTGAATCTGCAGATCTTTCGATTGGATGTGACCTTGATCATTCAAGCTGGGAGTTGCCTGCGGAGTGGAGGTCGAAGCTCGTGTGCTTGATAAATGCCCCGAGGCTAGGGGGTTGGTGTTGGCCGAACTGACTAGGGGAGTCGCTTCCCGTTCTGAACCAGAATCCAATTCCATTTGATCATCCTCGTCGTCGCCGTAGAGAGACTCATCATCACTGATTGCAATGATAAGTTTGTCAGCAGGCTTGAAGCGATCGACGGTTGGGTTGAAATGTTTCTTTGAATTTGTGAATGGCTCGTCAAAATCAGACGCTAGAGGACGTTTGCGATGAATTGTCCGAGAGATCGGTGTGGAATCAGGAACAGCTTCCTCGGCCTGCTGCGAAGGCCCTGAAGACATGAGAAGCCCAGGAAGCCCAGCAGGGGCGTGGGATTCTGGAACAGGGGGTCGGACAGGTAGCGGATGATGAATAGCCGGCGCCGGAGCTTCTTGAGAGCTGGGCGATAGAGTTTCCTGCAGCTTTTGTTTGGTCTTGAGCAATGCTTTCTGTTTGAGTTCCTCGATTCGCTGCCTGGCTAACTCTGTCTGAGCTTTGCTTTTCTCTTTCGGAGGACGGGCTTCTGAGACAACGGGCGCAGAAGTGGTTCTATCGATAGGCGAAGGTTCCTTGGAAGCTACCTTGGCGGCTTTCTCAGCTAGCATCTGAGCGATGAGCTCTTTTCGCTCCATAGGTTTGGAGGACTTCGATCCAGGAGCCGCAGATACGGCAGTCTGAGAAGCAGGGATGTTTGCCTTCGATGAGCTCTGAGGTTCTTTGATGGAGGGCGACGACTTGTCGGGTTGAGTGATACTAGATGGACCCTCACGAGTCGAAACTGTGGAGTCGGAATCAAGGGTAACTTTGATACCCACTTCTTCGTAGAGGCGTTTCAAAACAACAGGGTTGATACCCTCTGCAGCCAGTTCCTTGTACCTAATTTGATGAGGAGCCAAGCTGAGTAAAGCGCCCTGGGCTTGAATGCGTAGCTGCGCTGCCGATTTCGTTGGTTTGGTCTGTGTGTCCACCGCGCGTTGAATGATACTAGGGTCTGCTGAGACAGAGAGAGGGGGGTTGTAGGCTGTTGTAAGTTAGTTTGGCGGGGTGAGCTGACTCGGACGTAAGATACGTACGTGATCCACTGCTCCTCCTAGAAGAGCGCCCACTGGAGGACATGGTCTCTCCTTCTTCCAAGTCTGAGTATTGCCGTGAAGGTTTGCGACTCGACTTCAGTGGCTTTTCGTTCACTGGCTCACTGACTTCTCCCTCCTCACGACTGGGCGGTGCTCGAATTGGTATCCTTTTAGACTGTGGCGGTTTGACGAATGTTGACTTAAATTGTTGTTGAGTGGTTTGTTGCGGCAAAGGTGCGGCGGAGGACGGAGGTGGGATGGGCATCGGGGGAAATCCCATTGAGGCGAGATGCATGGGGGAAAAATTAGGCGGGAATTGCGAGGAATCGAACTGATTGAAGAATGGAAACTGAGGTGGGAAGAACGCTGCTGGATTCAGACCATCACTGGAAGCTGGCATGCGTGAATTCGCGTCCACACTGCTCATGTTATGATCAAATGGCGCGCCATGATTCTGCTGGTTATTGACCGCCGAATACTCCTGGGGGATCGAGAAATTCTGGGGCATCATCGCGGGATAAGCGGGCGGCCATTGCTGGTTGTAGTTGGGAGCGCCTCCAAAGGAGGGAGGTGGTTGCTCAGACATGACGTGAAACCCGAATTTAAAGCGCGTTCAAGGAATGATAGTTCTTGTGTCGAATGTTTGATTCTAGGTATCGAGGCTCATTATGGGGTGTGAGTGCCAAAGTGATGTCGCGCAAGACCAAAACCGAGGCTTGACTGTGTCGACGGCTTTCCGAGAGACTTGACGTCAACTTGAAACAAGACTCAGATTTACCAAAACTTAGTGATCGTTCGGATTTAGGCCTATAAGATCAAAGATGAAGACCCGAAAAAAAGGGATGAGGATCATAGGCAGGTGAAGGTGGACTGGACCGAGCTAGTCTAAGCGCCTTCGTCAAAAATGATCGAATTATTCACGTGACATATGCACGGACCACATGCTATCGGCGGGCGCCCGAGGAACGCAGGGTAAACAAACATCATTGCGGAGAACCATTGGGATAACCTCTCTCTTCCCACTTTTTGCCAACGAAGAAACAATCCTAATACTTCTCTTTTTCACCTGTGTGGCATTGATCACCGTTCTTTTCTACTCACAGCAATTCTATCGAAAGTGTGCAGCTTTTGGTATGATCACAACTGCCGCGCTGAAATAATGTCCCATTGAACACACGTCATGCTGCCCTCTCAATTAAATGGCTCGCCCAAGCGTGCGAGTCTATTCGCGCGCCCACCATCCTCGCAAGGGAATTCCTCACCACACGGCAGACCGAAATCTGCCATCATCACACCCTCAAATGGATTAGAATCTGCAAGAGGCCATCTGCGGAATACCTCCGTTTCCCAGCTGTCGCCAACATTTTCCCCGGGTGGAAATCGAGAGCGATCGAACTCAGCAAAGAACAGTCCTTCGTCTGGCACTTTTGCTCCGAGCTTCATTAAAACAGAAGAGCTCCGACGCGGAGCTGATCAGATTCGGGGGATAGAGGGAGAGAACGACTTCTCAGGGAACAAATACGTGTGGCTACGAGATCCCGAGAATGCCTTCATCCGCGGTTTGGTTCTGGAGGAGTTGGAAGGGGATCGCCTGCTGGTGCAGAGTGACGATGGTGATGTAGGATAGCCATCCATTGCTACGTGCGGCAGGAATGAAGTAGCTGACCATACACCAGCAACGAGAAGTCGATGCAGACCAGGTGGACAAGGTCAATCCTGCAAAATTCGACAAAGCAGATGATATGGCGGAGTTGACACACCTGAACGAGGCATCGGTGGTGCATAACCTGCACACTAGATACCAATCTGATCTGATCTATGTTGGTTGAATTGACATTGAAAAGCGAGATATCTGCGGCTAACCTTGTGGAATGACAGACGTACTCCGGACTCTTCTTGGTCACAATCAACCCATATTGCCCATTGCCCATCTATACAAACGAATACATTAAGATGTACAAAGGCCGCGGCAGAGAGGAGACGAGACCCCATATTTATGCGATGGCAGATGAGGCCTTCCGGAATCTCGTTGAAGAGGGTCAGAATCAGAGCATCCTCGTTACTGGAGAGTCAGGTGCGGGTAAAACCGAGAACACCAAGAAGGTAATCCAGTATCTCGCAGCCGTCGCCACCTCAGATACGCCATACGCCAGATCTGGATCAAAGCAAATCACAGGTCTTTCGCAACAGATCCTCCGAGCCAATCCTATCCTCGAAGCATTCGGCAATGCGCAAACCGTCAGAAACCATAATTCTTCTCGATTCGGAAAATTCATTCGCATTGAGTTCTCAAGATCAGGTCAAATCTCGGGTGCTTGGATTGATTGGTATCTCCTCGAGAAGTCTCGGGTGGTCAAACCTAACGCCAATGAAAGAAACTACCACGTTTTCTACCAGCTTCTGCAGGGAGCAGACGACGCCACGCGGCAAAAGCTTCTTCTCTCGGACCTGCAAATCGAAGACTTCGCCTATACAAGAGACGGAAATGATACAATTGTTGGCGTATCAGACCAGGATGAGTGGAACTCACTCATCGAAGCTTTCCACGTCATGAACTTCGATGAAGAGGACCAGCTTTGTATTCTGGGAACCATCGCTGCCGTTTTACATCTGGGTAACGTGACAGTTGCCAAGGCGAGCGTAAGGGCTGACCAGGCGGCCTTGGCGCCAGAGGGCTATGCCAGCATGGAGAAAGCTTGTCAGCTGCTGGGTATCGAAACTGAGTCCTTCGTCAAGGGCCTCTTACACCCCCGTGTGAAGGCTGGTCGTGAGTGGGTAGAGAAAGTGCAAACACCGGAGCAGGTCCGCATGGCTCTTGACGCTCTTTCCAAGGGTATTTATGAGCGTGGCTTTGGCAACCTTGTCTCCAGAATCAATGGTCAACTCGGTCGTTCGATGGCAAGTGATGACAATTACTTCATTGGAGTTCTCGATATTGCTGGATTCGAGATTTTCGACAACAACAGCTTTGAGCAGCTTTGCATCAACTACACCAACGAGAAGCTTCAGCAATTTTTCAACCACCACATGTTTGTTCTCGAGCAAGAAGAGTATGCCCGAGAGCAGATTGAATGGCAATTCATTGATTTCGGAAAGGACCTACAGCCAACGATTGATCTGATTGAGCTGACCAACCCGATTGGTATCTTCTCATGTCTGGATGAGGACTGCGTTATGCCAAAGGCCACGGACAAATCCTTCACCGAGAAGTTGCATGGACTTTGGGACCGCAAAACAGCAAAGTACCGCGCGTCGCGTCTGAGTCAAGGCTTCGTTCTTACCCACTATGCAGCGGAGGTGGAGTACACAACAAACGACTGGCTTGAAAAGAACAAAGACCCCTTGAACGATAATATCACCCGTCTTCTCGCCGACTCCAGCGCACCTCATGTCGCCCATCTGTTCTCCGACTGTGCCGAGGCCGAGGAGGATGCGGCTGGGCATCACCCTAGAAGCCGCGTTAAGAAGGGCCTGTTCCGCACTGTCGCGCAAAGACACAAGGAGCAGCTGTCCAGTTTGATGACCCAACTCCACTCCACTCATCCTCATTTCGTTCGCTGTATTCTGCCCAACCACAAGAAGCGACCAAAGATGTTGCACGCCCCATTGGTTCTCGATCAGCTGCGATGTAATGGTGTGCTGGAAGGTATTCGGATTGCCCGAACGGGATTTCCCAACCGCTTGCCCTTCGCGGAGTTCAGACAACGATACGAAGTGCTCTGCCAACATATGCCCAAGGGTTATCTTGAGGGCCAGAGTGTTGCCCGCATCATGCTAGAGAAACTCGGCATGGATCGAGCTTGGTACCGGGTCGGCCGCACCAAAGTGTTCTTTAGAGCCGGTGTTCTCGCTGATCTCGAAGAGAAACGTGATCAACTGATCCGCACAATCATGTCAAAGTTCCAGTCAGTTGCACGAGGATTTGTTCAGCGCCGCATCTCGAACAAGCGTCTCTATCGCGCCGAGGCAACGCGCATCATCCAGCAAAACTTCCACTCTTATCTCGAGCTCAACCGAAGCCCCTGGTGGCGCATGTTCTCCAGAATGAAGCCCTTGTTGGGTGATACCAGGAACGCGAAAGAAGTCAAAAAGCGCGACGACAAAATTCTGCAGCTGGAAGCTAAGATGAAACAAGATCTTTCCGACCGGCAGAAACTCGACGAGGAACGTCGTCGGACTGAACTCGAGATACAGAAAATCCAGCACACTTTGGAAAGTGAGCGTGCTCTTGCTTTGGACAAAGAGGAAATCTTCAAACGCCTCCAGGACCGCGAAATTGAGCTTGCCGAGAAACTTGCCGGTGCGATCGCCGACCAAGAGGGCCTCGAAGAACAACTCGATGACCTGATCGATGCCAAGAAGAAGATCGATGATCAGCTACAACTTCGGATCACTCAGCTCGAGCAGGCAGGGTTGATCATCCAGAAGTTGGAAGCGGACAACAATTCATTGCAAGCCCAGCTGAAAGATCTCGAGAGCAAGCTCTCCGAGACTGAAAACCAACTGTCTGGGAAGAACGAGCAAATCGGGGAAGTGGAACAAGAAGTCAAGATGCTCCAAAGCCACCTCAGTCTGAAGGATCGCAAGCTTGAAGATCTGGAAGCGAAATTGTTGAAGACCGATCAAGATTTGGATATCAAGCTGGCGAACACTTCCAAGGAGCTGGACAAGTCCAAGCAACAAGTTCGTGATGTCTCTGAGGAAAACAGAGTCATCCGAGACCAGCTCTCTGAATTGTCCGCCACCTCAACAGGCTATGAGGATCTCCTTCGGCGAAAGGAGAGTGAGATGGCTGTCCTTCGGAACGATGTCAACAGACACGAGGAGGAACGAGGAAGTATCGAGCAGGAAATGGGTGCTCTTTCAACTCGCCACGACAATATGCAATCTCGTCTTCGTGAGGTACAAGCGGAGAGAGATGCCATGCGTTCCGAGCAGGCACAGCTTCAACGTGAAGCCATGGACCTCAAGAGTCTCCTCGAAAACAAAAGATCCGAAGATGCGGAGGCTGGCGAGAGCAGGAAACTGCTTGAAGAACAAGTCCATGAGCTGAAGGGTCAGGTCTTCCAAGCCCAGGCAGATCTCAGCCGCGAGCGCCAATCCAGAGACGACGTTCAAATGCTCTCTGAACACAATCTCGCACAGGTGACGCAGAAGTTCGATACCCTGAACGAGGCCAAGATCACCATCGAGAAGGAAATGTACATCCAACAAGATAGCTTGCGCCGGGCCACCGAAGCGCGGATTGCAGCTGAGACCTCACGGAAAGAATTGCAAGGCGAACTCATCAAGCTTCGAGAGCGATTTACCGATGCCGAGACTGCCCGCATGAACACCGAGGCCGAACTCGAACGCAAGATCATGCAGCAGGCGGATGAGCGAATGGCAAGCTCGCGCAAAGACCTGGACGAAAAGGCGCGACAGCTGGAAGAAGTCGAAACAGAGCGATCCAGTCTCTCTGTCCGGATTCAAGAATTGTTGCACTCCATTTCCGAGTCCGAGAACTTCCGCATGCGCCACGACCAGCACAAAGAGCGACTCGAGCGAGAGCTTGTTACTCTCAGGGGCAGATTGAACGCATCTGAGAACGACAACAAGTCGCTGCTGACCAAGATCCAACAAAAGAACCTCGATATCGCCCGATCCAATTCAAAGGCCAGTGATAGTAACAGACTTCGCCTGACTACCCTCCAGAAAGAGAAGACCAGATTGGAAGAGGAAGCCAAGAAGCTGAGTCGTCAAGTAGAAGACTCACAGGTTATGATCACATCCTTGGAGAAGCAAAAGGAAAAGTTGTCCTTGAGCTTGGAAGACCTGAACCACGAGGTCAACCGTGAACATAAGACCAGTCGCAACGCCGAAAAGGCTGCTTCCACTGCAAACCTCCAACTCGCAGAGGCCAACCGCAAGCTTGAGACAGAACGGCAACTTCGCAACCAGGCTCAGGCCAATACCAGACAAACACAGGGTACCTTGGATGGAGCACACAAGGAGATTGAAGATCTCCATCGTCAATTGATATTGCTGCACAAGGTCTTCGAACCTGAAGCCTCGGAGCCCACGCAATCCTGGGAAGCTGTCCAGCCTCATCTCTCGAAGCAAGTCGACTTGGCTCAAGTCCTCGAAACTGTCCAGAATAAGCTGGGAGTCACCGAAGAAAAGTACGCACGAGCTGAGGGTCAACTTGCCGAGATGCGCCGACGTCACGCCGACGAGATGAAAGAGCTTGATACGAAGTATTCCACGTCCAAGCGAGCACTTCTTGAGGAGATTGATCAAAACGAGGTCAGCAACAACCGAACTCCGGCACACTTCAGGAAGAACTCCGAAAATGCCGCCAAGATGAAATCCAACCCTACGACTCCCAACCGACGCTACAATGTATTCGAAGGGGCAAACGATTCTGCTCGCTCGGATCGCACGGTAGACACGCAGGGATACTCTAGGCGTATGGATGCAGCTGCAGAACTCGAAGAGTTACAGAATAAGCTCCAAATGACCGAGATGCAGAACAAGCATCTTCAAAGTCAGATTGCTCGCTCCAATCCCACTGGGGATATCTGGCAAGATGACAGCCCCTCCATTCGTCGGATGCAGCTTCTCGAGCGGGAGAACGGTCGTTTGCATGACCAACTTGATGACTCTTCAAAGAAGGTCTCATCTCTCGAGCGTAGTATCCGCTCTGGAGAACTATCTCTGCGTGACGTTCAAGCTAAATCACACGAAGAGCTCTACGACCTCATCAACTCTCAAGAGCAGTCAAGGCGCTCACTCCTCAAGCTGCACAACGAGACTATGGCAGAATTCGGTGATGCCAAGAGCCACTTCGAGAAACTGAAGCGTGCGCGGGCCACTCTCGAGGTCGAACTCCGCGACGCTCGCTCGGAGGCCCAGGAACTCCAGGTTGGTAGGGAACAAGATGCTGTCAGTCGCAACCAACTCCTTCAAGAATTTTCCGATCTTCAGATCCGGCTGGATGCCGAGTCATCCCGATCAGCAGATCTTGAGTCCAGTCTCATGTTGTACAAGAGTCGCTCAGATGAATACTTCAACAAGCTTGAACAGGCTGAGATTGCGGTGATGAAGGCGTCGCGCGCAGAACAATTCGCCAAGTCTCAGGGCCAAGAAGCCGAAGAAACATGTGCCCAGATCATGTCTGAGCGTAAGGAGATGGATGCTCTCGTCGAGGATCTTCAGCGACACTCACAGTCCCTGGAAGCCCGCATGGAGGATCAGGCAGCAGAGCTTGAAGGCGCCTTGCAAGCCAAGCAGCGTCTACAGAACGAGCTCGAGGATTACCGCAACCAGCGCGCCATTGATCTCGAGGACAAGGAGACTTCCATGGAACAAACCAGACAGAAATACCAGCGCGAGTTCTCAACTCTCACCAACGAGCTTGAGATGGAGCGTGAGCGTGTACTGAACGGCCGTGGTGAGACTGCTCGTCTGCGTGAGGAGCTTGAGGATCTTCGCAGCAAATGGGATGATGAGGTTCTCAACAGCTCGACATGGGCCAAGGAGAAATCCCGCATGGAGGTCGTCCTTCAAGATGTGAACAACTCCCGCGACGAGGCTGTCAACGCGCACAATGAAGCCCAGAGCAAGGTTGTTTCCTTGCTGTCTCAGGTTCGCACCCTCCGCACTTCCGTTGAAGATGTCCAAGCCGAACGTGATCTCCTCCTGAAGGACAAGAAGATGTTGGAGGGCCGATTGGCCGAAGCTGGCGAGCGCCTCGAAGATCTCGCCAAGGGCGAAAGCCCATCTATGCGCAATGCTGCCAGCATGGACCGTGAACTTCTTGAACTCAAGTCCAGAATCGCACAGCAAGAGGATGTGTCTGCTGCTGCTGTTGGCAAAATGCGTCGCGCGGACGCTTTGGCTACCGAGATGCAGAAAGAAATCACCGCCGAGCGCGAAGCCAATGCCCAACTGTTCAAGGACAAGGCCGCTGTTGAGAAGTCGCTGAAGGAGGCTCAGCTTCGGTGTGTTGACTTGGAGACCAAGAGCTACTCTTCCGGCAGCCAGGATGTTCGCTTCCTGCACAAGCGAATCAAGGAGGTCAGTACACAAGCTTGAAACCTTGATCACGAGTGGCAAAACTGACAATTACATCTATAGCTCGAAACCCATCTTGAAGACCAGGAGAGCAAATACAGCACCGAGCAACGCTCTCTTCGCAATGTTGACCGCACCGTTAAGGATCTTCAATCCCAAATTGATCGCCGTGATAAGATGAACGCCCAGCTTAACGACGATGTCAACCGTGCGCGGGACAAGATTGAACGTCTCCTTCGCAATATCGAGGAGATTCAGCACAACGACTCTGATGCACAGCTTCTGGCCCGCCGCGCTGAGCGCGAGCTCCGCGAAGAACGCGAGAAAGCACTGCGTCTAGAGCGTGAACTCGAAGGCTGGAGGGGCCTGCGTAATGAGCGAGGCAGTGTCATTGGACGTACCCCCGTCCACAACTTCAGTGACGCTGGGAGCCGTCGTGGAAGCGCGGTCTATGGATCTAATGATACTCCCCAACGGCATCCTAGCAACACCAAGGGCTTCCTGTGAGCGGGAAATCATGCTACACCCACCTGGGTAGCTGACCATCGCTGAATTTTGACCAATAATTTCGTGTTATGTTTTTGTTTTTGTTTCACCGGCGTCTATTTGCATCGGGAAAGGGGATGGTTTCATGATTCGTGAAGGCCTGGTTGTTGATATTGTTTTCGACAGGCCATGTCTATCCCGTTAGTTCTGCTTACTGTTCGGCGTTGATGCTGGGGATGTACTCTGCTTTGTGCTTTTGACCAATATGTATACTTCTCGGGTGGTCTAAGTCATCTAGAACGCTGGAATGTAATAACCTCACCAATACATATGGTGCTTTCAAGTTTCTTGTCCTAATCTATACAGTAGTTTGAGAGAAGAATGTATCGATTCTGGTCAACCTCCAGGGCTATTCAGAGAATTGACTGACCAGGTTTGAGATATGCGCTCAATACTGCTTAAATAGAACTGTCAATGGGTCCGCGAGTCCACTAGTGCCGTCCACGGATCATCCATGGATTGGTTCCAGATTCAGGCGTGTCGAAATGAACAAGCGGCAGGTCCCAAGGTCATGCTCAGTGCACGTATCGGAACGAGACAACACCATCTGGACGAACCCCCATCTGTGGGCCCGCAATAGCTGCCCCTGCCATTCTTCCTTCTTCAACCTCTGCTCTCTCGAGCTCCGCATTTTGCTTCTTTAGATGCCATTTGATCCCTAACGCAGTGATCGCGCACACCAAGCAAGCACCGCTCATCACACCCCCACCAGCGTAATACCTTGGCTTTTGTGAATCTGGAAACATGTAGGATGTATAGAAGTGTGCAACACCGGCACCCATAAGGTTCACAAGTGCTAGTGATGTTGCCCGCTTGGCCTTTGGTCTGGGAAGCGTTGAGCTCAACCAAGAGACACAAAGGTTATAGGGAGAGTATGAGCCAGCAGTCATGAGAAACATGCTGAAGTATCGCCCACCTGTAGTTGGCACGAACATTGCCTGCATATCTGTTGTTAGCTTTTAATCCAGCAAATATCCAAGAGTAGACCTCTAAGGCACTCATACCAACAAGTTACCAAGAAGAGCAAATGCCAATGGAACGGCGATGTGGTAGCCGCGCTCTTGCTTGTGAGCTGCATGAAACGATATGAGTAGAGAGCAGATAAACGCAAATGCGTAGGGTGGTGCTGTGAGTAATAGAGTTATGGTGTCATCATATCCCAGTGTCCCCACAATGGAAGGGAAGAAGTTGTTGAAAGATTGTGCAGTGATGAGCGCCATTTGAAGTATCACGAACATGTACAGTTTCGGATCGAGGAAGGCTTGCTTGAGTCCCCAGGTGAGGGACTGAGGATCATCGTCTACCAGACCAGCATTTTCATTCTGTAGCCTCCAGTCCTAATGAGATTTTCAGTGACCAGCGAGGCGACAGGAAGGGCGGTGCTCTGACAACTTACTGCAAGGATCTGGTGGTCGTCGTGGAGCCACCATCGCTTCGTTCCAGGGTAGTCCGGGATGAATGGAATTACAAGAAGTGCAATAACAATAGTCATCGACCCCTCAATGATGAATAACCATTCCTGTGATGGTGAATAAATCACTCAGGTATGAAGGTAGGAAAGACAGCTTACCCAGGCTGGCCTACCCAATTTTCCTTCCATGCGCGCGACAATGCCGGCAGCGATTAAGCCTCCGAATGCACTTGCTAGCATATTGGCACCATAAAGCAGGGCTATCCGGGGAGGAAGCTCGGATCGTTTGTACCAACAAGACATCAAGAAGAACACACCGGGTAAGAAAGGTCCTTCTACTAGTCCAAGTACCAGTCGGCATATCAGAAGACCTGTAAAGTTGCGCGTGAATGCTTGACACATCGAAACAATACCCCAGGCTGCTGTGACAAAACCGATATAGAGCGAAGGTTTGACCTTTGTGATGATAAGATTGGACGGAATCTGTGTTATGATATCTAAATAATGAACGTTAGTCTTGGTCAGTTCAATAGTTTCCCAATTGTACACTATTCAAGGATTTCAAAAAAAGGTGCTCCCATGGCCTTTCCTATTGTACTTACATCCAACGTAGAAAATCATCAGGCATGTGTTGTACTGCGTGTTCGAGATATTGAGAGTATCCGGCAACCCTGCGATTTTGGCGTTGGCAATATTGTTACTACAGCAAGGTATCAGTTTGGACTTGCTTAAGTTCCAGGCTTGCAATGACAAACCGGTCAAGGATGTTCATGAGAAAAAGGATCACGACTGCGGGAAGCAGGCAACTATCAAGTCTGCGCACGAGGCCATTTTCAAGTTGAGCAAGACCCTCGCCCTCCAAATGAGCTAGCTGTGGCGGCAGCGGAAGCCTTTGTAACGGGCCAGGCTTGACAAATTCCACTTCATCGACATTCTGTTTAGTTTGCGCAATGCCGTCCATATTGCCGATTTCAATACACCTAAATCCAGCGGAAGACTGATGTAGGAGTAATGTGGGAGATGATACAAGATGGACTGACACATTCCCTTCGAACGTTCCCGCATATAATCTATATGTTTTAAGGCCTGCCTTCTTTTATCCGGTGATCATACTTCCCACTGTACTCGGATATCTCGGTGAGGTTTCCGCAATCTGGGGTAAAATGCGGGGAACCAATGCGGTAGCGAGTAAGAAAGGCTATTATTCTCATGGATGTAGTTAAAAAAGCCTAATCTGTATGCATGACCGGATAGAAAGCCGGTGCGTTACATGCAAAGAGACATGTATGCCGGAAAAATCTGGCAACACTTTCAAGGTTGACGCTCCTCTTCCGCCCCAAGGCTCACCATTGTGCCACTGTCCAAGGTTGGCTTGTAGGGTAGACTTGAGCACGGTTTAGACCAGCCTGAAGTGATCATTGTTATTATATAAATCAAATCCATCACTCAAATGGCTATGGTACACCCGCCATAAAGTTCCCCCTCAGCGAAATACGCGGTTATGAACTATTATACGTGCTTGTATTTAGAAATGCGAGAGCTCATATCAGAGGCTGGTCACGTGCGACCCCCTCTTACCAGAATAGCTAGTTAGCTGAATACATCATCTTTACGCTATTCTGCTTCTAGACTGTAATATCTGGTAGCATATCCTGCTTATATCAAACCTTTGCAAAATTGTAAGGTATTACGCCAAGCGATTTTTTACCTGATTGTAACAACGCGTTTCACGTTAGCATACGTTGATCTCTGATCTCACCCCTAACCTACGTTAAGTATATTTCACTTTGAACGCTAGGTTATCTTTTTATTATCGATTCTGATAACTCTATCTCTAAAGTATCCTCCTTTGATGCTAGAGCATTTTAAAAGTACTAACTATAATTTATAATATACTACCCTCTAGTTCTATATTATACATTCTTCTATTATTACAAATATAAAGTTACTAATATAATCTATATCTAATATAATCTATCTTTAATAGATTCTAATTTATAGATACAATATAAAGCCAATATTTATAAAATTTTTAAAATATAATAAAATTAGCTTATTAACTATATATATTTTACACTATCTCTACTATATCATATAAAGATATCTATATCCTATTTTTATTAAAGTAACTATATTTTTTTATACCTTATATCAAGTTTTAAATACTAATTATTAACTTTAAATTCTTTCTAAACTAGTTTTTTAAATTTTAAAAATTATTAAAGAAAGTTATAAAAGATCTTTTATAACTAGTCTTAAAATCTATTGATATTAAAAAAAATAGATTCTTAGTAAAATCTAGACTAGCTATTTTATAATATCAAGATATCTAAATATTAATACTAAATCTAGTTTCTAAAAATATAAGATACTATTAAGTTAATGTTTTAATACTAGTACTAGTCTTTACAAATTAAATTAATATTTCAATCTTGAATATTATATTTAGTTTATATCTAGCCCTAATAGTGATTCTATTTAATCTCTACCTTAAAATAAACTATAACTTTATTTTCTAAAATCCTAATTTTATCTTTTATTATAACTTTATATAATATCAACAAAGTTTATTACTATCTGATATCAACCTTTTATATAATTTAAACTACTCGCTTCTATTTATATTAATCACCCTAACAATATCTTCTAAACCATTAGATATTATAATATCAAATATTATAAAGAATAATAGTAAATAATTAAAAGATAATATACTAAATATCCCTAACAACTAAAACCTAATATCTAAGATAATTAAATAGCTAAAAAGTATATTTTCTAGACTAACATATAGCCCTACTAATCCTCTAAGCCAAAATAGTCTTAATAATATTAATACTATACTAGATATACTAATCTAAAAGACTAATAAAATTAATTATTTTATATTAGACTTCACCTTTTTAGTCTATATCTAAAATATTAGAAAAATAATATATTATCTTAATATCTTTATCTTTATTAATTAGATTTAAAACTAGATACTATTAAAAATAGAAACTATAGTCTATACAAATATATAGTCTTATCTATATAAAGGAATATTAGAATAATATATCTCCAAACTCTTTAATCTAGAGTAAATAATATTAAAGATCTTTTCTATTAATAATAAATATAGATAGCTTAAAGCTTTGAAAAATAAGTTTAAATCCTATATATCAACCATAACTAATTAACTATTTACTAGTAATTATTCCTAAAATAATATTCATAATATAAGATTAATAATAGTATAGGCCTAAAATATATTCTATTTAGTCTAAGTTATAAAAATAATTAATACAATCTAATAATTATAAATAATATAGATATATATTAATCTATTCTTATAATAAGATATTGTAAAATCTAATATAGATATCTCAATAACTATATTTATATAATAATTAGACTAATACTATAGTTAATAATTGGATATAGTTAATTATATAAATCGCTAGCAATCTAAAGATTAATAGCTATAAAAATAATATCTAGAAGAATTACGATCATACTAATCTAATTATAATTAACAATATTAGAGAGACTATAACTTATATTAATCTTATAACAATTACTAGAGATATAGGCCCTTCTCTAATATTAATCAAAGGCCATAATTACTAGTATAGAATATCTAAAATAGCAACTATTATGAGGATTATAATAATGTCTAGAGTGCTAACTATTATAAAAATCATATTAATAAAGGTTATTATTAGCTTTATATACCTTAAAATCGTTAGTAAAAGAGACTATAGATAGTAATATATTTCACTAAAGACAATATATATCTATAAGAAGATAATAATTACTATTAGAAAAATATATTATATAATAAGTATAATAATAATAAATATCTTCTATAAGAGATCCTAGATAATAAGTTATCTTATAAAAAGCTAGCTATTTATAACACCATATTTACGGGCTATTCTTTTTGGCTTTATAGATGCTATTAATATCTATACTATCATGTCTAATCCTATTATTATAAATAATACTAATATTATTATATTAACTATTATTATAATAGATATAAATACTTTTATATCTATTAATGTTAATTTAATATTAATATTAAAGCCTATTATTAAATTAAAAATCCTTTATAATATATTTATATCTAATATAAGAATTGTTTATTATATTTAATAATATCTTATTACTTAAGTTAGCTTTATGATATTAATATTATTAATAGTTTAAGTATATCTTGATATAAGGTGTTAAATGATATTTATTAATATAAACTTTATATATTTTTTAAATACCCTTATATTATATATAATAAAACTAGTCTAGATATATAGTATCAGCTTTAAACACAAATTAGAAAAATATATCTAACTTTTTATATTTTTTTTAGACTATAATAATGTTACTAAAATTATTATTAAAATATATCTAGTTAATAGCCTATATATTAGTATATTTATTAATATTAATATATTAGCTATAAAAAGATTCTATCTTAACCTTAAGAAACGTTAGATCCATATTATATTATACATAGAAACCATCTTTAATATTAATATTAAGGCTAAAAGTTATTATTAATAATAGTATAAAGTCTATGTATAAATGGATATTATTATATTACTATAATATTATATTATAGTTGATATAATTATTTATAATATGATTTCTAAAGATCAAGATTATATCTTTAAAAGTTAATATTTATATCTTTTATTCTATATCTTATAAATAGATATATTAATTATCTCTATTATAATAGTTAATAACTTTATATAACTAGTATTAATTATATATAAAGAGCTAGTTAGATATATAGAGGAGTTAGATTTTATAGAAATAATAGTAGTTATAATAGATATAGCTAAACTAGATTGTTTATAACTAATTGCTTTCTTCATAATAGATTTAAAACTCTTATTTGTATTTATAAAAAGTATTCTTCTAAATAGTATCATAGTATATAGAGAATATAACACTGCTAATACTCTAATAGATATTATTAGTAAATATAATATATAGGCTACTAAAGATAATATAGATCTTATATAGCTACTAAAAGAATAATAGATATAGATCCCACTTATTAATAACTAGAAGCGACTTATACCAAAGCTTAAAGTCTATTTATTAGACTTAATAAATTGCAAACTAGTAAATATAATCTTTAATATATTATATAAGAAAAAGAAGATATCTTAGATAATAAATCATATCCCTACAAATTATCCTATCTTTATTATTTATAAGATAATTAATGATATCAGAAAAAGCTATATTATTATAGATATCCAGAGATTAAATAAAGTCTCCTATAAAGACATTTACCCTATTAAGATATAAGACAAGATTATCCATATATACTAAAAGGCCAAGTTTATTATAATACTTAATACAAAAAGCTTCTTCTATCAATAGCAAATATATAGATTATATCAAAAGCAATTAACAATTATTATATATCAAGGTTAAAAGTAATTCAATATTATAATCATAGGTTACTATAACTCTATATAATATATTTAACACTAGATCAACCTTATATTAAAAGTATTTATAATATAATATAAGACATATCTTGATAATATTATTATAATATCAATAACTTTCTAAAAACATTATATGTATTTATAACAAATATTTACTAAACTAGAGATATATAATATATATTTAAAACTAAAGAAAGTATATATTAGTTTCTCTAAAGTCTTCTTACTTAGCTAATATATCAATATCTTAAGCTTGTTAACATTAATTAAAAAGCTAAAAACTATTATATTATTATAATTTCCTACTATACTATAAAAGCTTAAAACATATATAAAAATAACTAACAACTTACATTATATGATTCCAAGATATACATAAAAGATCAAGCTTTTTTAGTAATACAAGATATTACTTTTAAAGGATAGTTTTCTTACTAGATAACCTAGATAACATTAGATATTATAGATATTATTATATCAACCTATAAACACCAAATAAGATATATTTAAAATCCTATAGAAATCTTTTAATACTAGAACTATAGCTCTAATATACTAGATAGAAAACTATTAAACATATATAGATATTAATACTTTCTAATAAACTAGCCATAATATAACCATATATCATATAAAACATAAATACATATATAATGATTTAAATAAATCGCCATCTTAAAACCAGATAGAGCCAATTATATTTCTAAGCCAGCTATTTATATAAGATAAGAAATCTTATAAAGTATTAGAACTTAAAGTTAATTATATTATATAGACAATTTAAAAGATCTATTATTATATTAAATTAACTAGAGAGCTAGTTATATTCTATATAGACTACTCTATAACAATTACTATCGCAATATTATTAAAGACTATATCTACTAAAAGACTTAACCTATATCTAGTCCAAACAGCAATATATATCTAGACATTTAACATCAAGATCTTTTATTATACTAAATAGACAAATAGGATAGTAGATACTTTTTCACGTTTTCTAAGTAAAGAGCTAATATAGCTAATAAACAATAACAATCTAAATATACTATTTATAGAAATAGTCACTTTTACTAGCCTAAGATCTTAATATATATATATCTTTCTAACTTTAGTAATATAACTATCTAATAACTTTAAAGATAAGATCTATTTTATATATCCTACTAATCTAAGATAGTCTAGTATAATCTTTTAGATCATATCTAACGCTTAAAATAATAATCCTATATATCTACTATACATTATAAAGGATAGTTTCTTATATTTAAAATAAAATAACAAAGATTAATAACTATATATTCTATATATATTAACATTAGATATCTTCTATCTAATTCATAATAAACCTAGTTATTAAGACTATAACTAATACTAACAACATATAAATAGCCTAATCATATACAAAGAAATAAGACTACTATACTAATATATACAACATTGCCCAGAATACCTCAGAAATAATACTTGACGCCACAGGCTATATAATATATTACAACCTATTATTAGACTAACAATCTTATTTCACACCTTATATATCAACTTTATACTTAGACTACTTATTTTAAGACTACTAGACTATAATACTATAACTATCTTTATATATAAGATAACTAAATATATAAACGCTGTACCTAGAAAAAAGTCTTAATCAAGCAAAGAATAAGTACTAGCTATCCTAGCTACATTATAAAATAGAGATTAAAAGATCTCGTTAATATAGATTTCTAATAAAGATCTAAAATTCGTTAAAGGATTCTAAAAAGTAATATTTAATATTTTATATATCTCCCTCTTCTTTATAACAGCCTATCACACCTAAACAAATAACTAGAGCAAATATATAAATTAGATAACGAAAATATAGCTAAGATATTAATACACTAAACACAAAATAGCAAACTAGCTAAATATACTACCTTCTCTAGTAGCTATGATCAATAGTATTATATCCATAATTACAAACGAGATTCTATATAAACTAATATTCGAGTTCATACTATAAATACTATAATCTCTATTTACCAATATCTTTATATAATAAGATTTCTTCTTATAAGTAGATACCACAAAATATCTAAAATATACTATAATATAAATAAAGAAGTACTATAATTAATATTATATTAATAGATATTTTGTAATAGACGATAAGATCTTATTATATCTAGATTAAGGATATAATATACTTACTAATATTAAGCTATCTTAAAAAATAGACTAGTAATATACTAATCTCTTTATAGTTATTAAATATATTAGCTAACTAATATATAAGTTAGACCTACTATTTTTATAGTAGATACATAATATTATTAATATCTAATATCTAGAACTAGTCCTATTAGACATTAATCTCTTCTATTATAAACCTAGTCTAATATAATTAACAACTAATATTAGATTTCTAGATAATATTAACTATCATAATATAGCTAAGATTTTAGATATTAGAATTAGATATCTAGGATAGTATAAAACCCCATATAAAGAATATCTAATACTATAAAAAGACTAATATTAAAAAAAGGTTAAGTAGATAAAAGAATATGATATAGTTAATACTAAATAGAAGATTAATAAATTTAAGGAAAATAAGATCCTCTTCTTTTAGATCTAACATTTAATTATCTCTTTTACTTTATTTTATTTTTATTTTTCCTTTTATTTTACTTCTATCTTTTATCTTTTACTTTTAATACTATTTATAATTTATCCTTTTATCTTATATCTTTATTTAATCCTCACTTTAATATTATTTATAGTATATCCTTCTTTACTTTATCTTTATTTCAAGCTATTTATAATATATCCTTTTTTTAAATCTCTTTATTTATGATTATAGCCTCTACCACAAGATTATCATTTACAGTATTATTCGTTTTAAAAACTATAATCAGGAATCTTGCTAATATCACTAAAGCTTTTATATCATAAGCTACTAAAAAGGCTAATATTAATAATAACGATCTAGTCAAATAGTAACTAGACTAGCTAGAACTAGAGCTTACTATTATTTACCTAGGCTATACTATAATATCTTTAATATCTAATTAGCTAATTAAAGATCTACCTAATTAATCTAACTTAGTTATACCCAATATATAGATAGAAAATATAATAAACTAAGAATCATATAAAGTCTATCTAACTAATATTAAAGTAGTGTACACACTACTCTTAATTAGTATTATCAAATAAGAGAATCTATTTCTCTTCAATTTTAAAAAGAACGATAATCTTTATATTAAACACATCTCTAAAGGGGAGATAGTTATTATAACCCAAAATAATATTAACTTTCTTTTAATATTCTACAATATTTATATCTTAATAAGTGATATAAATATTTACAAGCATTTGTTATATACAAAATACCTAGATCACATTATCTATATAAAATATAGCTAGCTATAAGCTAAGCTAGTTCTAGTTTTTTAAAATACCCTATCTTTTATAGCTATTAAAAGCTTTAACTATATCCTTCTCTCTAAAAACCTAGCTCTCTCTATATAAACTAAATAGATATTAAACAACACTATTCTTATCTCTATATAATATTACAACTATAAAGTATAATAAGTTATCTTACTAGATATCTTGCTAACCTCAATAATAGCTAAATTAATCTTAAACATTAATAATATATATAATTATATATCTATATAAAATATCCCTAGATTCCTATTTAATATCGTGGCAATAGATATTAATATATATTATACAGACAATATAGACTTTATTAGCTTTCCTATCTTTACATAATTTACGCAAACCTAGTTTCAGATTATACGTATACTAGATACTAATCCTAATATCAATATAATACCTCCTATAACTATCTTTAACATTATTATCGTCGCTTTTTTTATAATTAACACAATAGCTACAAAGACTCCCAATATATCCACTCCTCCTTTTACAACTAATATAGTAGCTATAAAGACCCCCAATATATCCACTCCTCTTTTTACAATTACTATAATTTTTACTACTACTAATAATCTAATACTTATAACCATTACTATAAACACTATATCAACAGCAATTGTGGTCTCTATTAACTTATAGTCTATACTTATTCTAACTACTAGCACTAATATCGCATATACTATTACTACTACTACTAACACTATCTAGCGAGCTAGGCTATCACTCTAGATAGATTTCTTTACTAGAGTTCCCATATAAAATGACCTATTTCAAAGATAGTTATAAATAGCAGCTTATAAGAATCTCTAATAGCCTAACATTAATAAGCACCTTCTTACTTTTCATAATATTAAAAACTACTTACAAGATATTCCAAAGATTTAAAAGATTCTTTGTCATAATCCTATTCCTACCTCCTAGTATATATACCTATTTTTAACACTATTAGCTATCATCCCAGATAACTAGGTTTCTTACGTTATTAATCTAGTTAGAAATAATACTAAACAATATAATACTATTATTAATACTCTAAATTATCACGCTAATTTAATATATCTCCTCAAAAGGATTACCGCATTCTCTAATAGTTCCCTAGAAGTAGAAAGCTATCACAGTCTGATTCTAAAGTAGGTCTTATCCTCTCCTTCTTAAGAATCTATACCTTTTACAGTCCTTACAATCTTTACCTAGCCGCGCCACATACCCTAATTTATTCTTATTATATGTTCTCCCACTCCTGTCTTTACAGTTACCTTTACGGCCAAGACCAGCACGCCCTTCACACAAAAGGGCAATGTCAGAGGCTAGTCACATGCGACCCCCTCTTACCAGAATAGCTAGTTAGCTGAATACATCATCTTTACGCTATTCTGCTTCCAGACCGTAACAGCTCATAACTGAATTAGGCAATGATTGAGCTCAATCAGAGAGGGTTGCTTCCCTTTGCGTGAGGCATGGTATGCTGATGACACCAGTCTAGCACTACATGCCACCAATGCAGTCGATTATCCGGCTTCACGGTTATATGACCTTCGTCGGGGAAGGTCAAAAATCGACTCTCAATACCCTTGGCTTGCAAAATTTGAAACGCAGCAAGGCCTTCAACCATGGGAACTCGATTATCCAGTGCGTTTGAGATGAAAAGAGCAGGGGTTGACCAATACTCAATGTGGTTGATGGGATTGAATTTATCGTAGCCCTTCCGAGACTGATACATCGGACCACCCAAATGGTCCTCGAACCAGATCAAGTCAGCTGTCTTTAACATCGAAGTCAGATGCGATCATTTTTCCATAACTTCTGGCTTTTTCAACCATCGGGGGATTGTGTCAACTTACATATTGCGCGTACATGTTGACGAATCCACATTCAGAGACCAGGGCCCTAAACCGATGTCCCAGGGATTGACCCTGTATCCAATTCACCATGAAACCACCAAAGCTGGTCCCGAGCGCGATAGCCCTGTCCGTACCAATATACGGAAGCTCAGCTTGGATATATGCAAAGCCCTGAACATGATCAACATAAGACTTCCCACCCCAGTCGTTAACCACCCTTTTGGCGTATTCCGCCCCGAAGCCCGATGAACCCGATGCATTTGGAGCCACGACGATATAACCTTGTTCTGCCAGCAAAATAAAGTTCCAATTGCGCCAGTATCCGGATGACCACATGTTGTTGAAAGCGGCATTCGGCCCGCCATGTACACAATAAAGCAAAGGGTATTGCTTGTTAGGGTCGAAGTCTCGTGGCTTTACCATCCAAGCTTGAACAGGTTCGTCGTCAGCACCATGCCATTCGATGGACTCAAACGTGGTATTCATAATCCCTAAATCGCTCTCCTCTTCTGTGGCCTCTTTGACTGGAGATAGAGCTAAGGATACCGTGTCAAGGATCATCCAACGCCTGGATATATTGATGGCACTACCAGAGACGACTATGGACGAAACAGAGCTCGAAAAAACATGTAAATCGTGAACTGACCATCCATTAGTCAAAGGCTCTGCTATGAGATGATCCTCTGCTAGCAGTGAAACACGAAACAACCGAAGCTCTGCTCGGTCTTCAGACGTGAGAAAAATGGAGGTCTCATCGGCCGCAAACCATATTCTCAAAGGAGAAAGCAGAGTTCCACAAGAATCATCCTTGCGGTGAAGCTCATGGGTCGAGAATGTAGGCTCATTGGTTAGACTCTCACAAACGACAAGAAGGCTTGTGTCATCTTCCAACCACGAGACCCTCTTTTGAAGATAAATCAGAGTTTTACCGTCGTTGGAAATCTGCGGAGAGTTGGAAAAGCCATTGAATCCAGGCGTGCGCAGCCTCTTCCGCGCAGAGAGATCATGTTTAGCCAGAGCGGCCATTGGGATATAATACACCGTCGCCAAGGGAATCTCTGAGATGTTTGGCAAGTGAACTCCAGCCACAATGGCCACAGCTTTGTAGTAGTGGTGTGTGTTTCTGAGCTAAACTTTCGCTCAATATACAGCAAGTACCTTCCAGCACCATTTGGCCAAGGGCCTTCAAACTCCGGAATCTCCATTATAGATCTGTTCAGGCTCCACGCTTAGCATCGCGATCTTAAGCTTGCATTCATTGTATACATACTCAGGTGTAAGCATAATTGATTCGTGTTTGTTGTCTGATCAAGAGGGAGGGGGGACAATTGCCAGGTGAGAGATGAGAGAGAAGAGAGTGGAGTGAGGCAGGCAGTAGATGACCGCCAGTGACCGACCCCCCTATCTAGGCTGGAAAGCAGATAGGTCCTATTACCCCAACTAATTTATCTCAGTTGCCAATGAGACCTATCCACCACAAGCATGAGGCTTGTCGGGTAAGCACCATACTTTTGGAGCTTAGCACCTCAAATTACGAGGCCTGACCAATGAGGAAATGTTGCTTCCCACGCAGACCCGTCTATGGGTCCCACAGCCGACGGGGGCCGACGGACATCCCCTCCTCCCGGTCCTGACTTCGCTCATCAACGCCACCTGGCCCCCGGATGTTGAAAACAAGCTTCCTTGGCATAGGTACTCCGTATCTCGAGAGGCTGAAGCTTGTCAAGATCTGAAACGATGAGGGCACTCTACCAACGCCCGATTCTGCCATCGTTCGAGTACGATCGATATAACTTGCGCAGAGGGGCTGGGTCTTACTTCCTCGCCTAAAACCGCAAAGTCCCCACTGCTTGACGGAATTTTTCGATCCCGAATACCGACACAACTTGCAGGGTTACTTGTAGCTAGCAAGAACCTTGAAAGGGGGTTATATGCACACCAGTTGTCAGGGAGAAGATGGTGCAACTTAGGTTTTTTTTCTTATTCATTTACTCTGTGATTCGAGAGCATCGACAGAATGGCCGATTGGATTGCCCGACTCAGTTTTACCCCCTTCCATGCTCCAATTTTTCTCCAACTATCCGGTCATTCAGCATTGGCTCTACGTACCTTTCTTTCAGGTGGGACAGCGGCTGCCTTCTTTCGCCTCAAACTTTTCATCGGGACGTGGCCTGATTGTGTCGGTCTGAGGAAGAAGCCAGATACACCCAGCCCGGAAATTATGTGAGTCCAAAGTTGGTCGGACTAGTTTGTCCTGGGCACTATATGGTCGCGTCCAAGTGAGTGATGGGATTTCTTCAAAAATGTCCGCTTTCCCAGTCGGTGCAATCAACCATGGTTATTTCCAATCTCTCATCTCAGTCAGACCCGTGGGTCGCCACCTGCATGCCAACGTTGATGTTTGGTGTTTGCCTGGTTTGTCAGGCTCCGCGCGGGTGTAGATAGCGCACATGGCGAGAGCTTCTCTCTCTCCCTCTTCTTCTCCTCGTCTCTTACAATTCTACAAATCGTACATGTCTGTTTGCGGTTCTCTCGTCGATAGTCAATATCCGCGTATTACGTTCTGGGAGCCTTGAGATCCCGGAATGCCCCCGTAGTGTCAGGAATACGCACCGAAGAGGAGCGCGTTATGTGCACTCTCGGTACACTGGTCGATTCAGCTGTATGCAAGAATTCCCCCAAAAAATCTACATGTCTCCGATTGGATATCTATATTAGAGTCTTCCCAAGGATGAAAGTATGAATAATATCAATCTAGCAGCCTGGTTTTACTGGAGAAATCAGGTTTAGACCTCAGATCTAATATCTCGATACCATAATCATGAAATTTGAGTTAAGGTCGTCGGCCCTCGGCAGCACCCGCAAGTCGGATTTCCCGGACCTACCAGGACCACCTCTAGGGCTGCGCATTCCCGAAGGGATCATAGCTTAAAACCTGAAATATATTTGACTCATGCTTATCTCAAGTTACTCCAGGGCTCTCATTCCTGTTTGTTTATAATTTTGTACAACTTACCAAATTTCTCAAGTCAACTTTTCTACATACAACCTTGGAACCTTGGAATTCTCCTATACTGAAAAGGAATCATGGCTCGACTCCCCTATCCTGATTATCACACGCCACATGCCAAATCACATCCAACCATCAATATTATGAAACTCCTTTCCTATAGTGCTGCCACTGTGGATCACTGGGCAGGACTCGGAAATGCCCAATTCAAGAAACTATCACTATCTACTAGAGACCGCGAGCTCGTCATCATGTTGACTACTTCAAAGTTCAACTCTACCTACGAATGGACTCATCATATTCCCTTGTCACTAAAAGCTGGCGTCACCAAACAACAGCAACTGGCCCTTGAGGCATCCGGCAAGGAACCCAATTATTTTGGCGATGGAAAGTGTGACTCCATGGCGAATTTTAGCGCTAAAGACCTTGTACTGCTTGCATTTGTGGAATCCATCATCCAACAGCCCAAAGTCAGCGACGAGCTATGGAAGCGTGTCAAGAACGAGTTTTCGGACCAAGAAATAGTGGAGATCATATCTCTCCAGGTAAGTAGGAATTCAGATACATGATCCATGAGGCATAGTCGAAAAACCTAACCGGTGGTCCAGGGGTTTTACTACTCTTTTTCACGATTGACTACTGTTCTTCAGTGCGATTTCGATGAATGGGCCAAGTCCAAGCTTTGAACTTTTTTCAGTGCATAGTTCAACCCGTAAAGAATGTGAGACTCTGCAGAAAACAAAAAGGATCTGAAGAAATAAGAACAGCCACAGAAAGATTGATGTTGGTGTCGCACATGAGCTTGTCATAAATATCAATCCGCCCTGGAAATTTTACGACTTGTCTTGAAGTGAATTTAGAATCCTGAAAATTTTGGATCATGGGCAGGTGGAATGATTGAGATGGAAGAGAACAACAAAAGTTAAAACGCGTTAGAATGTCTTTGTCTGTACGGAGTAAAATCGAAATGTAAGGGGGAAGGCTGGGAGACCGAGCTCCGCAGATGTGGGATGTTCTGAGAGCGTGTGCCCAGGTGCCAGATACAGCCTAGTCAGCAGATAGTAACCGCAGCGATTTGCGTAACTAGTGCAACTGCATTTTTACCAAGGATACTTGCACCAATGCTTCCGCAGAGCGCGGCTATGGGACACAAGAGGGCACGTGACAGACGCGCGCTAAGCGCCGATTAGCGCGCAACTTCACTTCAAGCTACCGAGCTCATGATTTCATCTCCGGATTTCTTCCCTGCCAACGCCCCCCCGATACCCGACTCAATCGGGTCGCTGACTTGGTCAAACATTCATCATGGTGAGAACATCTTATATGAGCTGGAATCCGTCCAGGGCCTCCATGGCCCAAGTGCAATCACAATTTGCTAACCCGGGCCCCCGCCATGTAACAGGCACGCAACAGCGAGAAAGCGCAGTCTATGCTGTTCCGCTTCCGAGCGCAACAAGCAGCAGACCTTGGAATTATCGATATCTCCAGAACACGCCGTCCGAAAGCCATTCAAACCGTGGACACAATTCCCATGTGCGAGCGCTGGCGCGGCCAAGTCGTTAAAGAAATCTCCCGCAAAGTCACACGCATCCACGAACCAAGTCTAAGCGACTACCAAATTCGCGATCTGAACGATGAAATCAACAAGCTGATGCGCGAGAAATGGGGCTGGGAAATGCAAATTCGCAACCTGGGCGGACCGAACTATATGCGCGGATCCAATCGGGTTTACGACGACGAAGGACGTGAGATCCCGGGTGGAGGAAAGGGCTACAAATATTACGGTCGTGCCAGAGAGCTACCTGGTGTGAAAGAGATGATTGATGCCGCAGTTCGTCGCGCCAAGGGTCCAGAGGAAGAAGAGTCTGCATCTGGCAGAGGTGGAGACATTGCGACCCGGAAGGTCGATGCAAATTACTTCGGCTACGGTCTCGATGAAGAAGACGGCACTTTGCTTGCTTACGAGAAGCAGAAAGAGAAGGAGGCCGTTGAACACTTCCGCCGCCAGGGCGATGACGACACTGAAGATGGCTGGCAATCTCTTCCGGGCGATGCGGGCGATGGGGTAGAATGGAGGCTCCCGACACTAGACGAAGTTCAAGAAGAGCTCGTTGATCGACGTCGTCGTCGTCTTCTTGACAAGATCTCTTGAGTTTATCGCCTTGTTCAAGATTTCTTGTTTTCGTTTCTCTCTGTGCTTGGGTTGGGCGTTACCGGTGCTTCTGCAAAATATCACACTTCAAGCATTGCATTTCGTCTGGTCGTAATGACATCATTTGATTACTATTACCCATTACATATGAACACATTGTAAACATGGATCTCTTATATGTACAGTAGGTATATTACAGGTTGCTGATTGGATTGGGCTTGTTCTTTCGAGCGCCCCTTGTGGCTCTCAAGGCCTGCGTCATGCTCATGCGCTCTTTTTGATCGGGATCAGCTCGTTTTTGTTCTTCGACCTCGAGGTCATCCACCAAAAACCGACCTAACTCTCCTTGTCTCCATCTTGATATGAAGTTCAGCGCGGCTCCTTCTGTGTTTGGGATTCCGCCTTTTGCAAGTAGGCCGGTTTGTCGCGCAAAGCTCTCGAGCAACGGAACAACCTCGTTCGTCGGCTCGGACCATCGTTTGTAGACTGCAGGGTCATGCAGGTTGATGTGATATAATAGATAGTCCACCAGGGTGATTGGAGATATGACATTGTCTTTAACACACCCGCACAATGCCAGCTTCAGCATGTTCTCGGCGTCTGGGACATAGGGCATGAAGACTCCTGGTGTGTCCAGAACGTAGACATGTGACCCTCCTTCGCGCTCAATGATCTTCACTTGAGTAGCAACCTTGCGCGTGATACCAGGCTGCTGGCCAGTCTTGAGTGCCTTCGCTTTGCCAACGCCCGAATTGCGTAGGTTGTTGATCAAAGTCGACTTGCCAACATTTGGCATCCCGACCACCAGAACACGGCACCCCACTAGTTTATCAACGGCTTCGGCGTCATTGCGGAGGTGTTTGATGATCTGGCTGACATCTTGGCGCGAGGAGGAGCTCGTGAAGAAGACGGCGCTTTGGGGATCGAAGCTTTCCAGCTTACGCTCTGTCTAAAGCTTGTGTATTAGCAAAAAATCCACTGATTTGGCAGACTTCGAAGCTCACAATTTTCTGAAGGGGAGATTTGGGAGGATTTCCAAGATCTCTTTTTGTATAAACGATCAATCGTCGCATCTTTCCCAGCGCCTCTTCGAACATGGGATTGATCGAAGTCACAGGAGCTCGGTAGTCACGGCACTCAACCACATAGTCAATAGATGAAAGCATGCTCTTCATTTTAGTCAGACCAGCGCGGTGGTGTCCTAAGAAATAGGATCGTGGAATCGCCCCATGGTGGGGGAATGAACTGCGCGGGATGAAATGCGCCATTGTAGGTTGTTGGGAGGGATTTGATCTCAGTCCGGCGAGATTCGATTCATTTTACCAGGGAGGCAAGTAGTCGGCCTCAGGGGACTGACTGATTGAGGAACCAGCATGGACCGCGGAAGATTGTCAAAAATCCGTCAAAATGGTGAAGGCGGAAGAATGGGCGGTGAGCACCCAGTGGTTCCATGGCTCGCACCCACGTCCCATCTGATAATCGCCGGTGTCTTTAGACTTGAGCGTCTTCGACTCAAAAGTGAACAATGTGTTGAGGGCCCTTCTTACTTATTTTTTCTCTCCGAGCACCGGCATATCGCTGTACTAACAAGGTATTCTTGGATCACTTTACACGTTTTATGGAGTGCCTAGGAATTTCAACACGCCTGCGGCTAACCATACAAAGCTGATCAGATATAGATCATAACGATTTGCTATATGAGATTCATTTCTTGAAATAGCGAGCCTACACGGGTAACTTGCTTGTTTGGAACAGAGTTCAAAGCAGGATTCCACCTCTTTGATTTCAGGTACTGTAAGCCGGGAATGATTAGGCCAAGCAAGCCCCTGGTTTTGGCCCCAAGCCAGCCGCTCTGGTTGCTGCACGGGGTGTGTCATGCCAATTGAAGGCCAATCAACCATTCGAGATCAACGCTGGACCCACTGTAACGATTACAGTGGGGAGTGGCGGAGTAAGAACGAAGTACATTATGAACCAATTCCAAACAACTCGTCCACCATCCTTACTAGGCCCTTTCAACTTTCACTATTACCACACCATGAGCAAAGGCCTAGATATCGAAGCATCTGAAAATGAGGAGACGTTGATGACATCATCTCGTTATGGTAACCTGCCGTCCATCATGAACGTACACGCCCAGTGGACAAAGTGGAAGTCCATGAATCTTTGCGGCATGGACGCCAAAGATCGTCTGTGTTTGATTGAGATGCAATCCGGATACAGCGGGAGAGCTCCGCTTGGGATGAGGACCGGGTTTCTCCTGCGCGACGGAATGAGCATCAACGACCCACTTCTTGCTGCTGCTGGCGACGAGTCGCGCGGCCTCCATGCGTTCAATCCCGACGGTATCGTCTTTCTACCACCTCTTGATCCTCATTCCAAGTCCGATGCCATGGATACTGAGCTGATCCGCGCTAAGACCGGGACCAACAATGACATCGCCTTCCATTTTTCTATTGAGGTCGGCGAGGCGGAAAAGCGAGAGGATTTTGTTTGGAGAAAGGTCAAGAAAGGGGATGGACAGGGTAGAAAGAATGGCTTCAAGCTTGTTCAGATTTCGGTCAACCAACAATCATCGTCGTCCTCGCCTGAAGATGGCGATACCGTGGCTTTCCTTGAATGGGTTGTCACATGGCCTAGTCTGACGCATGCGTTCACACTTGAGCTTGTGAGAGGTCGATCGGAAGAATTTGGCAGGCGCTGGGCTCTAATGGTGACTGTCACTGCGATGAGGCTCTATACTCTGCATGTGAAGGGCAAAACAAGTAAAACTATGGTTGATATGGGAAAGAGACCATCGGAAAGTTGATCTTAGATTGTTGTTAGCCTTGTACACACGAAATCTTTGGTTATCTTTTAATGAGATGACGCAAATTATCATTTTCAATTGCCTCCGAAAGTTTGATCAAGGCCGTTCGAGGCCAACCTCAGAAACATCTGAATAGATGACTACCGTTGCAATCGGAAAAGAGTAGTAGGCCATGGGAGTCAGCCCTCGAGTACTCTGTCAGTAGGTAAGAAGTAACAGATCCATGGATTTTACAATGAAAGAGAAACTTTACAATAATGTTTAAATCAACGCAGATCTCAAATTCTAAAGCTGAGCGAGTTATTCAACTTCCAAGCTGCAATCCTATCCGATAGGTAGGTATGCATGACTCGATATATCACCTAAGCTTTAATCAAAGTAAAGAATATTCAAACTCGTTCCCATATCACCTGCAACAGCACAACAATTGAACCCCAAGGATGGGATTATCACAAACGAGGTATGACCCGATTCCGCTGAACCTAAAGGTTCTTCAACTTGGTGAAGACGGATTGCATTTGGCCATACTGGTCTGCGTTCAAGTTGTTGTATAGCAGACAGGCAGAGCCACAGGGGGTTGGAACTGGACCGCCGGCGGCATCACCGTCGAAAACAGTCGAAAGAACCATGCAGTTAGAAGGCAGGCCCTCAACCTTGACACCTGGGAGGCATGAGCACAATTCGGAGGATAGGAGGGTGGGAGTATGGGATTCAAAAGGTCAACTTACCATTGTTCTCAACAGGGCCGCTAACCGTGACTGAGACGGCAGGGTCAGACAGGCTCTCGACACACATGTCGAAGTTGTACTGAGGCACACCAGCAGGGGCGGTAACCTGGGTGTCACGTCCCTGGACGAGCCAAACATCTCTGGCTCCACCAGCAAAGTGTCCTGCGGCAATGGCACCGCCGAAGGAAGCTGCAGCTGAGCCAACCTGGGCGACGGTCATGGCAACAGCATCGGCGATGAGAGGAATGGCAATCTGTGGGCACTGGACCTGCTGGCCGAGCATGTAGACGGCGGCGGCAGCACCGACTGCTTTGAGAGACAATGGAGACATCATCTTGATTGAAGAAATTGGGAAGTCTGTTTGATAATGTGAATTGAGACTTTGTTGTGATGATTGTGAGACAAAGAGCCAGGTAGAGGCGAGAAGCACAAGTGCTTTATACCTTTTGAAGTCAAAATTGGCAACATGCATCTTGGCGAGATCTCGTAAAACCTGCCATTGATGTGAATACTCAAGCCTCAACCTGTCCATGGAGGGTAGCGGGGAAGCTAGCATCCAAGAGTCAATGCAGCTGACAGACGATCGGCCCAGAATCGTGGCTGTGAGCTGGATGGAAGGATGAAACAGGTGCTGAATTGAAGCCAAGGAATGACCCCAAAGTTGTTGCATCGGATTTCTACGTCAGTATCGAGAGCGTCGATTGGGGGCGTCTTTGGCTTGCAGCCTGTAAGAGTAGATCCACCACCTGCCAATGCAACCTAGTTGGCCCAGGGCACACCTGCAGGATTCAGCGTACTTCCATTTTAGGACAACCAATTCCACATATGGTCATTCTGAAGACGGTCAGCCAACATAGAAGGACTGGCCCACATACTCGATCACGAGAAGTGGGACGTCCTACGCTGCAAGGCAATATACCAATGAGACAAAATACCTCACCGGGTGTCAAAAACCGACCCCATGCGAGAAGAGTGACTCCACCAGCTGAGGAGACCGATACAGAGAAAAAGCCTTCCCCAGAATGGAGAGTAAGATCAGGGACGCTTGTGAGTTTGGCCCCCAGAATGGTAGCGTAGGTCCCAGAACCTTCGCATTTTATTGTCCCATAGACATAATGTGACGAGATATTTCATGATCAGAAAATACATGCCTTGGTTAAATAAAAATGAGGAGCTTTGCTCGAGAAGAATGAGAACGTGGGTGGTTTATCGCAAACGAGGGCTTTGGAGCCCTAGTTGACCTCCCCCGAGATAACGGAGCGGCAACCCTTAGCTCGGAGTGAGCCATATCAAAGTCCCCGATAAAAGTGGAGAATAAATCAGGGTCCATTTGTCAAAGAGTACAAGAAAACAATTCATCATGGCTCTGTCAGTTTTCAACCCTGCCGCATTTCTCACTTGGCTTTGCCCTCATTTTGTCAGGCGCACACAAATGGATTTTCATACGCTTTTGCCGTTGGGTTACTACCTGATAGCAAGTCTTCTGAACATCAATGGTCTCAAAAGGCGCCGGTACACCCGTTTAATGCTCGTGGGGCCGGTTTTATTTTTTTCTTTCCTCTCTTTACTTTCTTGCCACAGGCTAGCATGGATCACCGGAGCAGATAGCAGCCTTGCAAGCCTGCTTGTCTTCTATCTACTTTACTCGACAAAAACGCTTGCTTTGGATCAGCATGCCGTGAATCCAGAGATGGGTGCTCATGACTGGACCTTTATCGACTGCTACAGAACATGGAACAATCCTCGGAAACTTCCACTTCGTCTCTCGCTTCTCGAAAAGAAGGTACCATGTGCTACGAGCTCACGAGGACTCTTCGCCTTCAACCAGGCGTTAAAGGCAGGAGCCTTGTGGGCTTTTGAACACTTTGCATTTCAGCGAATATTTATCTACGCACTGGGCAAAGTATCGGTAACGGACTTCTCACCAAGCATGGAGTTCAATTTGAATCTTTCATACCATCAAATTTCAGTTCGAGCCATCATGTCAGTTCAATGGATTTGGCGTGCATGTTTCTTCCTGGAATTTTACCATTGTCTGCTAGCCATCGCATTTGTGACCGTCCTGCGATTCGACGATCCAGGGGATTGGCCCCCTCTTTTTGGAAGTCCAATGAATGCATCCAGTGTGCGGGGCTTTTGGGGTCGATTTTGGCACAATCTGACGATACCCACATACGTGTATTATTCACAGCTTGCTTCTCGTCGATTGTTCGGGATACGACAAGGCTCAACTCTGGAGAAGTCAGTCACAGCACTGCTTATCTTCACTTTATCTGGCCTGTCGCACTCTCTGGTTGGATGGTCTCTGGGAGATGCTGCATTGTCCCGCGATATCCTTTTCTTTCAGTTGTGTTTCCTAGCTGCCGCCGCAGAGACGGCGGTGACCAAAACGAGTTTATTTGCGTCCTTGAGGAGGTGCTCTCCACCCCTGCTGAGACAGGCTGCAGGAATGGGATGGGTTTCCTGTTTCTTTTTCTTTGCGTCCCCCATGTGGATATACCCAAAGGTTTATCAAGCTCTGCTGAATCCCAAGATATAAGTTCATTATCGAGATCTTCCCAGGTTAGGTCAAGATTAGCATACATTCTTAATGCAATTTTAGATATACATTGCTTCTCAAAGTCAAATCAAGCCAACACCTCGTAGTACACAGGCCCCGAGCTCTCGAAGTCGTGAGAAATCTTGCATAATAATCACGAACCATCCCACGAAAGGAACATATCCTCTAACGAATCCCAGAATGCTGTTTCGGAGCAAATAATCCTGACCCTCGGGATACATCACCGTATCGTCAATAAGGTTGTTGTCCCCCTTTGTCAAGATAAGCTGCCTTGGTTTAGATCAGCTTTGGTAACGAAACGATTTTTTGTATGTGCCATACTTCAGATCTGCAGTACTTTCCGTTTCGTGTGATACCCGATGCACCCTGTGTATCATCGGGAATGCACTATTGGGTAGCCAGCATACAGGCAAATCGCCTATCTCAACATTCTGATGGTGATTGGAGATAAACAGAACATCTCCTGGAGAAAAGGCAGGAAACATGGACTCTGTGGTGACTATCATGATGGGGTACGGAGTACCCGCCCAGAGTGAAAGGGCCTTCCAGGCCATGAAACAGGTGGCCACGACCCGCGTCACGGCTAGTAATTCGTTCAGTGTAGAGCGCATGATTGTGTATGATCAAATTTTTGTACCGGAAAAGTAATTGCCCAAGCCAGCTGGGGCATTTCGCAAACTGACAGACCGGCAATATGGGAGGGCTTCGAGGTCACGCTCTGGGCGTTCCATCGCTAGTACCTGAAATAGGCAGGTAGCTGTTGATCTTCAAGATGGTCATTTTGCATTCCTCAAAATAGCATCCCGTCCAATTTTCGGCCCCATGGCTTGAGAGTCGTGTAATAGAGAAGATTGAGTAAGATGACGACTATGAAGGAGGTTAGCTGGTTCTGCAGCACTTGGCGAGGCGCTGGGACCGCTCCCATCAAAGAGCCCCACGCCCAAACCTTAGATCAAATCTTATGGCCTTGGCGTAATCCCTCCCGCTTCCGCCCCCAAACTTGGCGCTCTTGTTTGTTCTGATCGTGGCAGTGCTGCTTGGTACGAGAATGAAGATGAAAATGCCTCATCGAGTTGATTGTTTCTCTCCACTAGTCTGTTTGTTAACTCTTAGGGAAGGTGAGCCTGACCCCGCTTGACGATGATCACCAGGTACAAGTCCGCGGAGGTGAAACGGGCAAGGAGTGGTAGATCCCCGCCCCGGCCCCGAGACATTCGCTTATGAAATCATTGTTTCGGCACCCCAGGCCCCCACGGGGTCGGGGGCTTTCTTCTTCAACATAACGCCGCCGAAGCCAACGGCAATCGAACCCACATATCCTAATGCTGACTATAACCGACTTCAAAAACCGAAATAATACCTCGCGTTAATCACCCTTTCACATCCGCTGAACCGTTATCATGCCGAAATGTTTGGAAACCGAATCCTACTTTTCGGACAGAGAATCAGGCGAAAAACCTCCTGCTAGCCTATGCCTGTCAGATCAATGCGTCCTTGATCTGGGGGCACCCTCAACCCCGCTTTATCGATTAAGCAGTGATGTCACGTCAATCTCCAACAAGGACTCTTCTGTGACATTAGAAAGGGTGAAGTGCAATCAGCCTGGACCTGAAAGTGGGAATGAAAGTGACACAGTTGATGAGAGCATCACGAGCAATGAGGGTTATGACAACTTGAGATCACGCAAAGGTCCGCTTTTCTATCTTGCACACCCTGCGAATGCGCAATACCGGACCGATATACCTGCTAAATATTACATCACTGCTGCGATGCCTGGCATGATGGGCAATATTCGCCTCGAGCCATCAACATCACGTTTCCAGCGACCATCTTTCAAAGCAATGCTAAGCCACAAGAGAACTGCCTCAGATAATCCGTTGTTTAGCGAAGACGCACAGCAAGTCCTTCTGTTTGACATCCAACCGACTTGGACCGCGGGCCGCACTTGCTATAAGTGGAATGATCTCCAAGGTCACAGAATGGCTGTCGAGGAGACTATTGATGGACAATACAGATTGATTATCACGTCGTGGATGGAGCCAGAATTAAGGGAGGCACTGGTTGCTTCATGGCTGTTGAGACTATGGCACGACACGGCTGAGAGTAAACAGGCAAAAAGAGCGTGTAAGTTGTATAATATCATGTTGCCATGAGAGAGTCTACGGTACATATTAGGGCCTCCTCATTGACTCATTGCTCTAGATTTTGACAGCATGGCTTCCCCAGAAGCGTACCAAGAGAGCTTGAATCCATACATGCCGAGGCAGTGCATAGCCATGTGATGCAGGCAAGTCCTTATTGATCATCAGAACCAAGAATCCCTCACAGCCACCACCTGGTCGCTGAATCGTCTGCCAAAGGGAGTGCTATCATAATGCCCTGTTTCTCATCAAACGAAACTTGCGACGTTGAACATACACGATCGAAATTACCTTAGTTCTCGAGGATAAAAGGCTCCAAAAAGAGGCCGCTTCCAAGGTTCCTACCAGACGTGATCGATTACGGCTCGCTAAAGATTATTTTGTCCCGATCAACCAGGAGGCGCTAGATTTCCTGAACTCGATGCGAGATACCATGGTAGAAACGGAGTATATCCATCTGTCCCACGAAGAATGAGAACCTGAGATAAATGGGAGTGGCGATGGGTCACTCCATTTGATCGCGGATCTTGAGATCGCAAAGTGATGCACACAGTAAATTATTGGTGGCATCAATGCACTGCCAAGGTGTGCGACGAGGTTCACGGCATTTTCTGCGGGATCCGCGGAAATCCGCAATATGTCCGACTGGGATAAATACATTTACGCTCACGCGTCCAAATATCAGTGCTTGGGTTGATTTTTTTGTGTCCGAAAATTTTAAAAGACATAGGAAAAATCGACTCTGCATTTCGAGACCTTTAACTTTGATGATGGTTACATCGATGGGTCTAGACAATTCTTTTCCCTGAAAAGGTGCCCAGGTGAGTACACTTCGAACTACTGCAGGGTGTGGTGGCCCGCGCCCCTGGGTACCAGTGTATGTACTGTGGCATGCGCACCTACACAGTCCAATAATGATGTCTTGCCAAATCCACTCCATGGCTACGGCTACTCAGCTGTAGCATCCTGGGACGGTTTATACCTTAAAAAAATGAAGGTTTTGGGTGTCCACGCTCTCTTTAACGGGTGATTATCCATTTTAGTCCTGTTTCCGCGAGGCTAATGCAGCCCCGCTCGGCCCTAAGGTTCGCACCCGGGTGCTATCCGGGCGGCCCCCACTCAACTCTCTTTAAGCATAATGTCAATTTTACTGTTCGTTCATCCATGGTCTTTGATCTCTACTACGTAAGGTAATTTCAATATTCATTCAGCATGCATTATTGAGAGAGCTAGTTCATGGCCAGGTGATCGTCTCGTTGCAGAGAGGCTTAGACTTAGATGGAAACAATCGCTGTTCGCCCGAACCACCTGAGAACACGAAGTGCGACAGCACAAGCTGTGCGCCTTTTTCATCACACGGAGTACTCTGTAGAGATGGATATATTCCATATTCTATTCATGGAGGGTCCCGGGTGAACAGTCTTGACGACTCCCCATTTCCTTGTTTCCAAGCCCATCACCAGGATGTTCTCCAGGGCTGAGCAAAGATCGGCAGGGTTCAAAGACATTCGGCCATGTTACCGAAGTTGGTTACCTCCGAAGGAACACGATTGATAGTAAGCAGCCCAGGTGAGCCTGCATATGAACACCATTCTTGGAATGTCTTGATTGGCTTGTCAAACAAGATCACGGGGTAACCACTGAGCCGGGTTTCAAAGCGGAGACAGCTATCTCTAGGAATAGATACCGGGAAAGGATATGTCGTCGTCTCCTACAGTAAAGCCTTAGGACATGACTCGAGTTTCTCGTATCTGCCGCGGCGCACCAACCGTGAAGTATTTTTTTCGTATCGAAAAGACTTTTACTCACTTTGGTTTCCGAATATTTTTTCGGAGGCTCAAATTTGGGCATAAATAGAACGAGGCACCGTGTAACCCCTGCAACCTTGGAATGATTATCTGGAGGTGAATACACCTGGGCATTGTTTTCAACTTATATATCCATTCCCCACCAAGATTGAGAGACACCGAGGCTTCACAAAACAAAAGATATTCACAAATCGTCGCCATGAATACCCTTCACAGGCATCCAAGAGCTCATCCATATGAGCCTGCACGCGCTTTTGAAGAAGGCTCCGAGGAGCATGTTTCAAATACCCCCATATACAAACGCCATTTCATTTTATCGAAAAAAGAATGGCTGCTCGAAATACTGGGCATTTTTGGTGCCTTGGTCTGTCTGGTTGGAATTGGCTCCATCTTTCTTTACATGCACCACAAGCCTCTCTCTGCGTGGCATCCCCGCATACCTTCTCTTAACACAGCGGTCTCAATGCTGACAACTGCTTCCGCTGCACTCATTATGTTCAGCGTAAGCGAATTCGTTGGCCAATATAAATGGCTTTACTTTAAGGAGAAACCTCGCAAGCTTGCGGACCTTGAAAAGATTGACAATGTCAGTCGTAGCGCGTTAGGGTCTGTGAAGTGGCTTTTCAGTGGGAGTCCTAACCTTGCCAGTCTGGGCGCAATAATCACAATCTTGCAACTTTCTTTCACGCCATTTGCACAACAAGTGATTTTGATAAAGCAGCGAGACATCTCCACCCCCGCCCACAGTGCAAGTATTGGATATACGCACAGTTACAACCACCTCGAAAAGTATGGCACACCCAGCGGCCTGGCCAACGCTGCTGTCGGTAAGTAGTATCCAGCGCACAAGACCCTCGCACTTTACATTGATACCAACAACAACAGCTTCAGAATGTTAGCTGACATGCTGTTCACCAGAGGCTTACCCGCAAGACCCCGATATGCAGTCTGCCATCATCCAGGGTCTTTATGGCATCACTCCTACAGAGCCATTCAGGTGCCCCGGGGCATGCAGCTGGAAAGAAAAACACATATCGCTGGGGTTCAAGTCCGAATGCAAAAATGTTACCCAGGCGACGTTGAAAACAGCCATCTGCAACAAGGCGGATGCCCACCTGACATGCAATATGACTACGCCATCTGAAATCACCGTCATAAGCCGCCGGGTAGAAACCGACAGTGTAACAGCCTACTACATGAATGTATCAGCTCCAGTATCCAGCATAAAAATCTCCGGCCAGCTCTCGAATCTTCCAGAGATCACGCGGTTTGCAATTTTTCGATCGACCCCAGACTATAACTACCTGATCAATGACATCGAAATCACGGAATGTGCTCTCTCCCTCGCAGCATACGAATATTCAATTGCTCGAGCGAATGGCAGTGAGATCTCATACACCAACAGGCGGGAGGTCGACTTTGGCGTTGAGAATCCTTGGCAATGGCCGACCGACAGATTGGCAAGTACACACACCAACGAAACGACAAATGGAGACGTCCATATTCCAGCCCTCGATATAAACTATATCACTTTCATGGCGTTGAGAAACTTCTTCCTTTCTACGACAATCGTTACGGAATGGGTGGAAGGAAGCTACAAGAACACAAACCTTGGTGTCTCTGCTGCTCTGCCTCGCAGTGTAGATCTCGGCAAGCGTTTTGAAAAGATGGCGACTGCAATGACCGACTATTTGAGATACGGACCCAATAGCCTGTCTGCCTATGGGGATGTGATTCAGAACGAGGCATATGTTTACATCCACTGGTGGTACGTCAGTGTTCCAGCTGCGACGGAGCTCCTCGCGATCCTCCTCGCTATCCTGACGATCGTTCGCAATCGCAAAAGCCGCGGAGTGCCCCTCTGGAAGAATTCGGCGCTTGCTGTACTGGGGTGTCAGTTACAGAAGGATGAGCAGTATGGGCTTTTGCACTCTTCCGGAGAGAGCGTTGATCAGGTCAAAAAGCAGGCTAAAGTTACCATGGTAGCGCTTCCATAGTGTCATACCGAAGGAAGTGGAAATCTGTGCCAAGAGGATCAATAATATGTAATGCTTATACCTTTCACACGGAAGAAATGGAATTGTTGTGACTTTGACCTTGGACAGTCATGTCTCTAGAAAATTTCAAAGTGTGCAATATCTCCACATTGGCTTGGTTTTGAGGCTCCCTGGAGCCCTGGAGGTAGATAGCGTAGATCAGGAGAGTCACAGAGGTCTCGCCCTTTCTCTCTCTTCTTTGCCTTCATTTTTCTCGTTTCACAATAAACCCATTATTGCACACATCTGCTCTCCTCCCTACTATACTCATCCTTAAACACGAGAAGATTATCTTTGAGCCGACAGCAATCATTTTATACGCCTAGCGTTGTTCGGCTTTCACATCTTGGCAGGTCTTTTTGGTAGAGGCAGGCTTTCAATAACCTCTCTCCACTCATTAGGGAAATTGGACTTCTCACTAATGGGGCGATCTCTCCAACCTCCATAGATTCTCTCTTCATCCTGGCTCCAACGTTGAAGTTCCTGCTCGATCCACGGGCCCAGAACCTGCGCAGTATCAACCGCCTTTTCTTGTGGCAAAGTGTGACCCGCCTTGGGTATCGTGACGAGTTTGACACGTCCGCAATCCATACCCCCGCTGCCACCGAACCCGGTCCCCGTTTGCTTTGCAGCCTCCGCATGCTGGCCTCCCTTCCCCAGTGGGCTGTGAGAGGCACTAATATACAGCACTGAGGGCCTGATATGCGGTACTAACTTGTACGCCAGGATTGGCTCCGGGCGATACGATTTTTGATCTGGGAGTAGCGGACCCAACACATCAGGGGCAACGAGGGGATCATGGGCCGTACTGGCCTTGATTGAATCAGGATCTGTATGGGCTTGATCGTGAGGAACACCCAAGTGAACGTGCCTGTTGACGTTCGGTCGAGTGTACATGATAGTCTCTTGCTGCTTCGTGGTGGTCAACGTCACAGGGCTGCTTCCATCTTTGGGTGTTTCTGGGTGAAGAGCAGTAGGCAATTCGCGGTATCCGTGTTTCTTCCAAAGCTCGAACACTCGCGGGTCCCATGCTTTCAGAACTTTGCGGGACTTCTCCGCGGCAACTTCCCGAGAAGGCCACACATCTCGCTTGGCAGTCGACATTGCTACAAATAGTGGGCCATCACCCGCTAAGGGGTTGTCTGTCATGTGTGGTTCAATAAGTGCCAGTGAAGTGAACAATCGCGGGTGGAATAAGGATGCGAACAAGCTTTGGGGCGTTAGAGACTATGCGCTCAAATTGTCGGCGATGAGAAATTTGCTTACAGCTGCACCGCACCCAGGCTGTGGCCAACGCCGATGATCGGGCGAGGCATCTGATCTCGGAAATGATTGATCATATGCACCACATCACGACTATGATCGTGCCAAGAAGCTGGGGGTTGTCAGCTACGCGTGAAATTGGGACCCGACCGTTGGGATCACTGACGGTCATTTCCGAGGTTGTCTTCATTCAAGATTCCACTTGCTCCCTGGTTGGCAGCATCCGCCATCCAAATTCCTCGGATGCGAACGCCATGCTGCTTGGAACGTGCTAGCAGCTCTTCCCAGAGCGGCTCATACAATTCCTATGCAACCATATCAGCATGCGTTGAGTTTTTGTCGCGTTCAACTGCTAACATACCTTAGGAAACCCAGTACCATGGGTAGCGACAATGGTGACATCGCCTGGTTGGGGATTGGGATTATCGATCGGGGTATATTGTTTAATGCAAAGCTTTAGCGGGCTATCAGGAGCAGCTGTCGCGCGTGGATATTCTCGAATATACTGTCCATCAATCACATGTTCGCTGATTTGGAAGGGAAAAGGCATGGTGAGGTTCAATTGAGTAAGAATGCCCAGGTGTCTTAGATGATGAGGTGAAAAATCGAAGAATGCGTCCACAGTGGGGAGGGTTTTCCCTCCAACCTTTTGCTTATCTGACGCGCCATCATGATCGACATTCCCATGTCCATGAACGCATAGCAAGTGTCTCAGATCGATCGACCATGGCATCATACGAATCCACTCATGTGGGTCTCGTGTGTTTTTCAGCCCAAGGCCACTATATCCACTATATCCACTTTTCGAGATTTTAGGAAGATCAGAGTTCTTGCGCGAGATTGATTTTGGTTATGAATAGTGAGTTCACAGATCCATTGGATGAAGAATACTTTATTGAAACTGACGTACTGACGCACTAGGAAAATCGTTGCGTTTCTCATACAAGGGTCATCACAAACAAACCACCATTAGCTAAATTCGCAAAGGTTTTGAGGAGCGAAAAATGGCCCACTTTTCAGGATCGAGCTTTAAACTGAACCCACGGCCCTTCCACTGCTGATGTCACCCATCCTTTCAGCTTGAAATCGCAGTCATTCCTCTTCCCACCGCAGCAGCGAGCATCAGGCGCTAGCCGCATGTCATAGCGGAACAATGCTCTAGCAATAGTCACGTTCAACTCGGCCCACGCAAGCTTCCACCCAACACAAGAACGAGCCCCAGAACTGAATGGCACAAATGCCTGCTTGGCAGTCTTGATGCTTTGTTCGTCGACTCCAAGTTCAGGGTTAACGATCCATCTGTCGGGGAAGTATGCGTCGGGGCAGCTGAAGTAATTAGGGTTTCGGTGTACGGCGTACGTTGTTGTTCCGACCATGGTACCCTCGGGAATGAAATGCCCGTCAACCATCAATCCCCCTTTCAGCACGGTACGTGGGATCGTCGTTGCGACAGACGGGGCAAGGCGCATGGTTTCGTTGATACAGGCTTGAAGAAGCTCGCAAGAGTCGAGTTCTGGTCCCATGTGAATATCTTCTTCATCGGCAAAGGTAGTGCGGAGCTCAGAGACTAGGCGGGCGAGGAGATCTGGTTTGTGCACCAGATGGAAAAATGTGCCCGCCATTGCTGTGGCAGTAGTATCTGCGCCTGTATTGCCACAAGCTCATGTTAGCCTGGCACTCGAAGCAAGTAGTATCCCATTCTTACCAGCAGTCATCAGGAGCATCGACTCCACCCAGAGGTCTTTTGAAGTGAAATGAGCTCCAGTTTTAGGGTCCGCAGTGTTCATCATATGGTAAAAGAGATCTTGCTTCTCAATGTCATTTCCAAGGCGTTGGCGAGCCTTTGAACGCTCGCCAATTCGATCACCAGCGTTCACGATATCTTTGAACTTCGACGACATGAAGAATCGGTCAATTTTCAAATTGCAAAACTTTGACTGGACAAGAGTCTATCAAAACAAACCATTCATTAGTCTTTCATTGTGCAACAAACGCAATCATCAGGACTTGGCAGGGCAACATACAGTCATGCTGCGCTGTGTGATTTTGAGAACCACCGATGGGAACCAGCGCATATCAGAAGAGTGCAACATATCAAAGTCCTTGCCATAACAGAGATCACTGATAACATCAAATGTAACCCAGTCACACATTGGAGCCAGGTGCTTGGTCTGCGTCCATTCATTGTCCTTTTCAGAGGCAAGTCCGGGCTTAGCAATGCCAAATTCATCGCCCTCTTTGCCCAGCAGGTCAACAAAGTCACGGAAATTTGTCAAAAGACGCTCTTCGATAGATTTGATTCCCTCGGTAGAGAATACCTGAGCGAGAATCCGGCGTTTGAACCCGTGTGTAGTTTTATCGGTCGCTGTGAGAGTATTGGGTGTGTGTCGACTAGCGCTCAGTGAGCTATACCCTTCTGATTTCACAACGTTCGCTCGAACACCATAAATAGCGTGCATTCCCGTATCGGTATTGAAAGTAAGTGCATTTGGCGCGAAACGGACGATATCACCTATCTCGATCATTAGCGTGATGCCGGTTTTAAGTTGTATTCCGAGGATCTCTTACCGTAACGATCGTGCCACGCTCGGCTGTTAATATGCAGGTCTCCCCGCCACGCGTAGAAGGCCGCATACCAATGTGTGATGGCTGCCAGGCGAGGGCCTGGGTATTTGGCCAACGGATGGAAGAACAGGCGGTATACGACAAGCGCGATGCTCTGATAGAAGCGTCAGAACAAGACTCTACCCGCCATATGGCTCAACATACATATAATAGCACGGCGACGGCCGTAGCCACAAGTGCCTTGAAACTCATTTTGCTCGTAGGTTGGAGGAAAGCGAAATGCTCAGCAGCAGGTGAGATTTAGAACACCCTTCATCTTTTAAAATGTCATAATGATGGAACACGGGTTCCAGGTGGGGTTCCACTGTCGGTGAAAAATTAGACGCAGAATTCGATGAGGCATTGCTACTTGTAGATTGGGCCCGCTCACGGCAGGCCCGAAACCAAATCGCCAGGAGGTTAGTGGCTGACCCGAGGATCGCCGACGACGATCTTTATCGGATCTTCATGCATTAGCGTATGCTGAGGCCAGATTTGAGGATCGACCCAATCAGAAGCTGTCATGCTCTGCAAGCATCACCTGACATCTCTCTCGCATGTGTTTGCTTGCATACTTCCCTGCGTCATCGCTTTGCTTCGTTTGCTCGCTTTGCTTCGCTTTGCTTCGTTTGCTTGCTTTGCTTGCTTTGTTTGCTTTGCTATTTAGCTAGCTTGCTGGTCCATAGCTTCTTCTCCTTCTTCCTTCTTCCTCTCCTCATCATTAGTATTGTCGTTATTTGGACCTTCAATACCATTCAAGATCAGAAGCTATGCCAGCCTGACAGAAGCCATTGGCCATTGACCTGTCTCAGAGCTGAAAGTCAGATTGCATCATGATATGAACACATGGCGCCTGCCACTTGATAGGAGGTACATAAATCCACCTGCGCACGAACTTCCCTGATTACCTCGGGGCTCTGTGTGAGTGGGGCTGACTACATGTCAATGAGGTTAAGATAACGTGTCAGTGCTTGCATCAATTTGAAAAACTGGAAATACCCCATCCCAGTGTGGTAGATACATCAAAATCGCTGTGATCCAACACATGGCGCTAGCATCCAAGGCTGATGATTTTGAAGTGAGGACAAACTGGTTTGTGGCTGTGGGGCCGGACTCGGGACACGACCCATAGTTTAGGGTCCCCCTTAGCGGGCCGTGGCCTCTAAGATTCTAAGGTTAATATCGACGGGAGCACCGCAAACAGACATGTACGATATTGTAGAATTTTGAGAGACGAGGAGAAATGAAGAAGAGGCAGAGAGAAGCTCTCGCCATCTGCGTCATCTAGACCTGGAAGGAGCCTGACAAACAGGACAAACACCACCAAACAGTTGATTCATGCAAGGATCGTGTTCTGATTTCAGCTTACGCAGAGTCAAGTGCTAGGTTAATTTTACCCATATCTGGTCTTGAAGATCAAAGTAAACAGGAAATTAAATGTCGAGATGGCAAAAATCACAAAAGAAAAAGGGTACTTGATGGTCCAAGGGAACGATGACATCAAATCTGGAGAGACAAAAAGGAGAGAGAGAGAACTGAGAGCTGTCAGGGTCGTCATATAGGCGCCCCAGGCGCGCGGGTGCTCTCCTGCCACCTGATCTCCCTGCTTCCCCTAGGTACACATGACATAGAGTCACTTGACCATCCTGACACCCAACCAATGGGCCGCGGACCGAGCCCAAAACCCAGCCCATTGGTAAACCAAACTGGGCTGGCTACGGGCTTCGTGTGCCGGAAGAGGTAACACAAAGCAACAGATTCTCAATATTTTCCTCACAGTATTTACGAACATAAACCCACATAGAGCTCTTCATGCGACGGGGGTGGGCCCTAGCCTCGGGCCCCGGGCCCCGGGCCCTGGGTCTAAGCCCATAACCCAACCCAGCCCCACCCACTACTGGGTTTGGTTATGGGCTCCGTAGGCTATGAAGAGGCCTAAATTGTTACTGCCGGTGCTGGTGTTTGCCTGGTTTGCAGGATCCCCGCGTTGCTAGACAGTCGTAGATCGGGAGCTTCCCTCTCTTCCTCCTTCTTTTCTCCTCGTCTCTCACAATACATACGATCGACGTTACATACGGCTCTAGCGCTTCGCTCGATAGTTAGCCACACATCACAAGGTTTGTGATATCCGTCCCTTATAGTATCAGAGTTCTTCAAAAACTATACAGAAAGTGTTGATTAAGAGTATAGATTCTCTTAAATTTTCGATTTCCTTGCTAATCAACACCACTGCCCAGGTGTCAATTTGAAATTAGCCACCTTCTCGCCCGTACTTAATACCCAAGGATCTGGCCAGATGGTTAGTGAAATCTGCCCAGGTGTGATGTGTATAGGGCTTGAGAAGAACCCCGGGAGACCCATCAGGATTAAGTTCGAGAATAAGCAGCTTACATTCTCCCAACGGCAAATTTATGATTTATAATACGGATAATGATATGCATGCCCGCCAATGACCTGCGAGGATCTGTAACTCCAGGGTTGGATGAATAAAATGCTATAAGTATAAGACCTCGCTCACGCACTCGGTTTACAAAATATCAATACTTTCCCACATCTCACAACTAAGCTGAAAACGCGTTCAACCCCCCATCCCAACCATAATATTTTCTGTCAACAGTAGCTGTCATGGCAAAAAGGTTGGATTCGAACTCTACCCAAGCGATTCTCTCGGGATATGAGATTCCTGTACTCGGTTATGGGGTAAGTGCGTGAAAATTCTTGAACCCAAATTGGCTCGCTATGTTTCCATTTCCCACAGATTATTGCAGCTAACAAACGTCTTGCAGCTTTACCAAGTGTGCGTCATGCAGTCTTACGCGTGTCATAGATGATCTAATATTTTTAGACCGGGCGCGCTCGCTGAAGCCCTGACTGGGCAGGCTTTAAAGGCCGGATACCGCCATGTAAGCAGAACTTTTGTCTTTGGCGAATCTTTACTCACCAAAATTACAATTCCACAGATCGATTCTGCCGCAGTATATGAAAATGAGAAGGAATGTGTAAGCGCTGTACGGGCCGCTGGATTGAAGCGGTCAGATGTCTTCTTGACCACCAAAATCTCCCCGCAAGCTTTCGGATACGACGCTGCCAGACAGTCTATTGATGAAAGCTTGGAGCAAGCACAAACGGAATATTTCGACTTGTGTGTACCCTTCCTAGGTCGTAACGATATATCCACAATGCTGAACCAGACAGGATCCTTATCCATGCCCCTTTTGGGGGTAAGGATGGCCGATTAGGCTCATGGAGAGCACTAGTGGAGGCGCAAAAAGCGGGAAAAGCTCGCTCGATCGGTGTTTCTAACTTTGGTATCCACCACCTCGAAGAGTTGGAAGAGTACATTCAGAATGGGGGAGAAGGACGAATTGAAGTCGGTCAGTATGAGCTACATCCTTGGCTTGGACGAGCGGAGCTTGTACACTGGCTACAAAGTCGCGGCGCGGTTATTGAAGCATATTCCCCTCTTGTAAGAGGAACTCGCATGAATGAGCCCGTTTTGGGGAAGTTGAGCAAGAAACATCAGAAGAACCCAGCCCAGATTCTTCTTCGCTGGAGTATTCAAAAGGTGAGCAAATCGTGTCCTGGCTTAAATCTTAAAGCTGGCGTTCTGATCATGAAATCCACGCAGGGGTTTGTTGAACTTCCTAAGTCTGCTACTACGGAGCGAATTCAAGAGAACATAAATGTTTTCGATTTTGAGTTGGATGAGGAGGACATGAGACTCCTGCACACTGATGATTACTCCCCCTCTACGTGGGATCCTACAGTTCAACGGGACTAAATGTATGCCTTGGTATTCTAAAGGTTTCAAAATAGGAGTCTGAAAATGTTGATTCTACCCTGCTCCTATATTTCATCAACCAGCAAACCGGTGCCTTTCACTAAGCCTTGCGAAATGTATCGAGTTCAACAATTTGCCTCTGTTTCTCCGCCTATATGAAAACGTCAGACGCGATGATCAATCCAAGGATGTATCAAATCTCACCGAGCTTAGATTCCAGAGGCAGGTTTGGTGGTCTGGTCAATGATAAAAACAGGCGACCTGTTGCTAAAGCGAGCAACATCTCGCATAAGCTCCGCAGCCTCAGGACTCGCAAATGCACTCTTCATACCTTCTTCGCTTTCCCATAATGTCTCGCTACCAAATGCATAAAGTGGTGCGCTTCCATCCAGACCTGGAACAAACTTGGTGACGGACCATCCCTTGAGACCAAATTTAGTCCAACACTTTTCAATGTGAGTCATTAGCGTGTTGGTGTAGTAATCGATATCGTATTCGGCATTGATGTCGTTCGGGAAAAGGACTGTGACAGTGCAAACCATTTTGAATATAGTACCGCGTACACGACGGAAAAAATATTTGAGTCAACAAGTCAATGGAGAGAAAATTCCAGGCCAGTTGGGAACTGATGTTTCTGATTATATTTCCTTCGGCCGGGTGGGCGCATCTCTCAGCTTGTACGGCGAGATCATACCCCACGCATATGAGACATAAAACACTTTCCCGTTGTACCGCTGATGGGGTGGCAAATTACAAACATAGCCCAAGGCAGTTTAGCTTTCTGCAATCCTAATTTGAGAATCTTACCCACTTCTTTATTTTGTTAATCGAGTAGGTCTGCGACGAGACAGGTATAAAGATTGCGATATCTTAGAGCTATCTTGTATGAAAAGAAATCCGTCTCATTTGAACAAATGTGACGGACCAAGAGTGATACTACCATGATACAAAGGCAGCGCATAAAAATCATAGCCACCTATAGCACCTATGAACATGAATATACATAGATCTCAGCACCGCAGGCGAGGACCGCGGGAAAAAAAGCCCCGGGCCCCACATCCGAGTGGGGCGAAATGGCCGAGTGGGGAATAGTGCAAGAGATATCATTTGTCTCATTGGGGCAGGAATAAGCGGGGCGTAAGCGGCTTAATTTTGCCCGGGTGTGAGATTATACTTCGGCAGTATCAGTAGTACAAAAGCCAGAACAGAAAAGATGAAAAAAAAAGATACATTTGGCAATCAACCGAATCTCAATACATGAAGAATACTGAAATAAAACTCGTCAAAATGCATTAAGCATCAGACTTTCATTGCAGTCATACTGAAAACAAAAAATGAAGTAAGTCATGAGATAAATTAGTTAGGGTCGTAGAAAACAGCCATCAGGTTTGTTTTTCCGATTCCACATTGAAGATTTGACGCCAACGAAGTGACTTCTCACCTCTTCCAACTCTCGACTTGTTGGTTGAGATTAGTATCTCAGGGCATCCTTGGAGAAGCCAGCCCCACTTCCTAGCAAAAGCCTCCGTGACCTCCCAGTTTTGTGGATCCCAAGGCGTCCCCCAAACAAGCAATGTTGCATTATCATTACGAGTATCCCAAAAGCCAGTCAGGTCATGACACAGTTCATCATCATCAAGAGCATTTCCTGCCAGAATGAGATTGTCCCTCATCCGTGGGAACGGGAAAATATCAAGCCATGGGTGATGTGGGATTTGCTGTTGCAATGATGTTGCCCGTAAAGTGAGAGGAACGGCCTCGTGGGGTGAATTTGGACCAGCACAACTGAAAATCGAAATTGTATCGTCCTGGCACATGCATTCCACAGTCATGCCGATCGCGACAGCGTTGTCGTAGGCTGCACGGAGAACATTTATCCTGCTTAGCTTGATAAGCAGTTCTGTTTGTGGCGAGCCTTCAATGTAGCTGCTCAGTGCTCTCTCTTCAAATTCCTTCATAAGCTCATGTACACCAGAAGGAGCGAAAGTACACCTGTCATGTTGTGCCTCGGATAATCTGCACATCACTGGAGAGAGTTGCGTCGATGACCCGGCGCAATTATTGCCAACGGTGATATTTCTCATACCATCGTGACTGTCAGCTGAGGGCTCCGGTGAACCTCCACTTTTCTTGCTTGATTCTTGGCGGAGACCTGTATTTCCAAGCAGGCATACGGTATTAGTGTCAGGGTACATGCCGAAGGGAGGCACATGAGATGGGATAACTCACGATATGCTCTCTGGTTGAGGCGGTTCTGTAGTCTCCTCCGCGTAGCCGAATTAGTGATACCGGTCCAATCATCAGTCGGGGAAAGAGCTGACCCCGCTGAAATAAGTTGCTGACGATTATGCGGTAGACTTGATGTGGTAGGCATTGAGAGGAGCGTGCTGGCGTTCAACCATGCTAATGTGGTCTTAAAATTTGTTGTATGGGCCTCGATGATGGAAGAAACCAGGATATGGAGGTCAGAAGGTTGTCTGCAAGATGTTTACAGATAGAACAAGATTGGTCAGCGATAATTGGATTTCCACTTTCGAAGACCACCTGGGCAACTAATTAAATACGGAGCCGCCACAAAGTGTGCCCGTAAATACGCCACTCGGTTTAACGGTTTCTTATGTCCGTCCCCGGGGCCATTGTGGCAAGTGGGCCCCCAACGCCCCACTTGAACAGCTTAGGTACAAATCAAATGAATCTGAGACAGCCCAAGCAAGCGGGAACCAAAGCTTGGAAGACCTAGATCGATTTATTTCATCACTACTTGGGGTTGTAAGCGTACTATTGCTGAACCCACTGCAGCAAATAATTTGAAGGCATAGAATTTTCGAGTTGGTCAGGTACTACCTATCGCAACCTTGGAAATCACCCGTGGTCATGGGTAGCTAAATATATAAACTGCACCTTCGAACGACTTTGGTTCAAAAAAAGCACTCTCGTCACGATCATTACAAGGAACAACTATGTCTACTCACCATGCAATTATCGCGACCGGCCTTAAAGAGCCTCTCACGATCCAGCGAGTTCCAACTGCTACTCCGCAGCAGCATGATGTTCAGGTTCGAGTGGAATGGGTACCCTCTGCACCGCTGGATGTCTACCAGGTTGATGCCGGTCTGATGGCTGAGTTCCCACTATGCCTTGGTGATAGTGTTGCAGGGACAGTAACAGCAGTCGGCACTGACGTCCAGCGCCTCAAGGCCGGCGACCGAGTGTTTGGGTTCGTGTTCCACAGCCAAAAGGAAAAGGGACAACAGATCTACGTGACTGCACCTGATCACCTCTTTGGAAAGGTTTGTCCAGTGCTTCTTCACCATGCATCTGTGTCTCTAAGACTAAACCATCGCACAGATTCCGGATGAAATGTCTCTTGCTGCGGCAGCGACAGTTCCCACCAATTTCTGCACCGCTTTCCTTACTCTGTCGGAAAAGCTCCAGATTGAATTGCCATGGCCTTGTCCACAAGGATTTGTGCCTCATGACCAGGATATGCCAATTCTGATATGGGGTGCCGGTAGCTCAGTTGGCCACTTTGCAGTTCAGATTCTTAAGAACTGGGGCTACAAGAACGTCATTGTTACAGCATCCCCCAAGCACCATGAGAAGCTCTATCGATATGGTGCAGCACACGCCGTGGATTACCGCAAAACTGATGCCGTGGAATCCATTGCTAAGCTTTTGAACTCTCGCAAAACCTCCGAGGCCATTCGCGTTTTTGATTGCGTGGACTCTAAGTTCGGTTCCTTGCTTCCAATTTCGAAGATTGCGACCCAGGAAGGCTCCAAGGTTGCTGCTGTCCTGCCTGTTGTGATTGGTGGTCTGTCTGATGGGAACGGACTGCAGCTGTCTGCAGATGTCTCTATGGAGGCCGATTGGCAACCCGGCGTGGAGACTCATAGTATTGTGAGCTATAGTTATGAAGCGGTACGTGTCTTCGTTTGAATATTTCATCCTTTATGGCCATTTGCTAATATTCCTTATAGAATGCCTTCCTGAAGGACAATCTTATGCCGGAAATTTTACCTGCTTTGCTTTTGCAAGGCAAAATTGAACCAAACAGTCAGCGAGTTATTGAAGGAAGTACACTGCTACAGCGAGCTAGTACAGCTCTGGATATCATGAGAAGTGGCACTGTCAGTGGCGAAAGACTGGTCTGGAAAGTGTGGACGGCAGAAGAGTTCCCGGAATACAAGTAATGTAGTGGATGGAAATAGAATTTGAAAGGTTATGATATTGGAATATACAACTTGCGGAGATGGAGTTAGAATGACTTGGAAAATATTGTAGTTTACGGTAGGTCTGCTGTATTACCTTGTTAAATTTGGAGAATTTGACTTCTTCGAGCCAGGAGACGGCTTCCTTGTCTCAATCAGGTATGTTTGAGACTTCAGGTGCCAATGGCCTGGGCCCCTTTCGTTCCAATTTTTTGTCATCTCTTGAAAATCTCGTCATTGGGCAACAGCTACTCCGTAGGGATCAACCATCTCATTCTCCGTCTTTATTACTTCATCATCAGGCAGAAAACACCTTGGAACGCCACCACTACCACTACCGTCACTTTGACAACCTTTCATATTCAGAAATTGTAAAATTAGAGTATAGAACAGTCCCTAGGAATTATTCTCTCTGATTGTGGCTGATTATGCCATTTGATTTAACCTCCAAGGTTCATGTTCTCGACCCACAGAAAATATGACTTCGGACATTCGGAGTTAAGAGACCATACTCGGATCACTAATGCAACCTGCTTATAACTCGTAGTTGATTGGTTACCGACAGGATCATATCGCTTGGTACAGGTTCATAAAGAGGGAGCTAGTTCTGTTATTTAATTCAACATCCTTGCAGAAAGACGGACTACTGTGATCTCTCTCAAAGATAATTGAATCCACTATCCCCCCCATTTTGACAATTCACCCAACACGACCAGTCTACCATGGCTTTGCAGAAGGCTGTCATCGTGACTTCGCCCAAACATGCTGAATTGGTTTACGATAGACCTATTCCGAAACTCCGTGAAGACTGCATTCTTGTCAAAAATGTTACTGTTGCACTGAATCCAACCGACTGGAAACACATAGACTACTTGGCACCCCCTGGAGTGCTAGTAGGGTGCGATTATGCCGGAATCGTGGAAGAAGTTGGTAGGGGCGTGAAAAGACCCTTCGCGAAAGGAGATCGTATTGGCGGTTTTGCTCACGGATCCAACGCCGTGGAACACGAGGATGGAACTTTTGCGGAATACATTGTCGTCAAAGGCGACCTTCAATACAAAATACCCGACGAGATGAGTTTTCAAGACGCTGCAACCCTCGGACTGGGAGTCACTACAGCTGCCCTGGGACTTTATCAGAGTCTCAAGATCGCTTTGCCCAACGACCCAATTCAAAACGCGGTACCGATCCTAATTTACGGAGGTTCGACGGCCACTGGAACTTTGGCAATTCAATTCGCCAAGTTTTCAGGATATCAGGTCCTGACTACCTGTTCCCCACGCCATTTCGATCAAGTGAAAAAGATTGGTGCCGATGCAGCTTTTGACTACAATGATCCGAGCTCCGCGGACGCGATCAAGGATCAGACAAAGGATGCTTTAACGTTGGCATTCGACACTATTTCACTCGAAAGCAGTGCCAAGTACTGTGACCGCGCTCTATCCTCGCAAGGGGGTGAATATAGTTCACTATTGCCGATCAAGATTGATCGTGAAAACGTCAGAGACCGAGCGACGATGGCCTATACGGCCTTCGGTGACAGCTTCACATTCGGGCCAAACACAATTGCTCCTCAGCCGGATGATAGGGATTTCTCTGAGCGCTTCCGTGTCATTTTTGAGGAATTGCTGGCAGCTGGCAAAATGAAGGTACATCCTGCTAGGGTCGGGGGTGGGGGACTTGGAGGTGTCTTGGAGGGTCTTCAGCTTTTGAAGGAAGGAAAAATCAGCGGAGAGAAGCTTGTGTATAATACCGCAGATAACTACTAGGCTTCTAGACTGTCGGCCTATGCAGGCGGCGCCTGGTCGGAGTTAACACACATTGGTTGAAATGTTCTGAACTAGTTGTTGTTCTGTGTTGGAGACTCTGTCAGGTGGGGAGCTCCTCTCTTGTTTCGCTCCATCTCTTCGTGCTACCTCGCATGCTCTCTCTTCCAAGGTTTCTTATTCTCTCTATGACTTCCAAAGTACCAATATCATCGTATTGATCAACCTTCCAAAGTTCTTCTGCCATTCTGGCAGGTTATTGTTATGCTTGCGAGTATCACATGATATCTCTTCCTTATATATGCTTGCTTGCTTCCTTGCTTCTTCTCATCATCTATCGTCAAACTTATTGTTTACTTTCTTTGCTATATACTTCCACTCGCTTCCTCTCCTTCTGTCTTAAGGGGTGCCAACCTTAGAAGATCTTAACAAATTATTGATACAGTTTGACTAGATTTCCCAAACTAATTCCTACCGGCTTAGTATAATTAGTATAGAAATACCAGCACTTGAGAAGATACAGAATTCATCATATTTTATGGATTACCATCATTTTCTTATCCGTTCAGTTCTTATTCCGGTAAAGGCTTCTACATACTAGACTGCTTATTGTAGTTCGGCATATTTAAAGCGCAGCTACTATAAAAACTTGGAAGTAATATCAAATATTCGGGGAAATTAATTGAGAAAACTTGATAGTGGAAGAAAAGGAGAAGGCAAAACTGATGAAGGTGGAACGGGAGCACTTCAAAACAAGGCCACTCCAGAGCCCCAGAAAGGAAGTATGACTCTGAACCACACCACTATATCTCTCTTTCCTGAGAGAAAAACCAGTCCCAAGAAGAAATCTAGCGAAAAAATTCTTGCTATCGTTCGAGACGACTCAGATTAATTATTTCGAATTTTTCCAAGAGTCCTGTGAAAAGCTTCAGCGCTACTCGGCTTTGATAGGATTGAAAAGCTTGTAGAATCATTGAGCTACCATGTGTAGTCCTCGGGATCAGTCGAGATGTAGACCATATTGGAGGGGTTTGATGACTGTCAGGGCTGCAGCGATTATCCACGCGTGATGCATCTGTGGATCCTCGAACGTTCCATGCGGCGGGACTCGGGATTTGAACCTCGCCCCAGATCTAGTACTTTGCTTTGAAGGCCAAATAAGCGCTTGTCCATTGTCTACCTCAGCCTTTTACAGTGTCAAATGCACCACAGTCCTGAAAGTACCGGGAAGGAATTAAACTTTTTAACATTTTTGGTAAACTTCGACATGCATTTCATCGCCACATAAGATGCTCAATCTATCTCTATTATCTTTTGATTGTTACTCATACGATCTTAGGCTTTGCTCGGTGAGCATGAGCCGCAGGAGACCAAGGGAAGTGACCGAGTGGAACAGTGAAGAAGCCGTTTCCGGGGTCACAAACACCAGCAAATGCGCTCCACCAAGCTGAGAACGCAGCTAGTATACCGCAAACCGCCCCAGCCTTCTGCACGGCCATGAGAATCTGGCCCTGGGAGCTGCATTCAATGTGCGCAATTCCCAGGAGCAGATAATTCATATCCAAGAAGAAGAACAGAGAGAACATGGCAAGACTGGACTTCAGGGTGCAGAGGAGCATCAGAGTTGTGAATATGAACCAGGACTGCGCACACAGCAGTTAGTGAATTTGTCAACAATGTTCCTGGCTACACCGTGACAAAACATACCAGGTTGATAAGGCCAGTCAAAGTCTCGTTTTGGCATGTTGCATTTGCTGCGTCTGTCACAGCGTTGGTACTCTCAAACGTCGAAGTCAGAGCAAAGCTGACCCAAGCCGCACCAAAAGAAGTGAATGTTGTGGCGCCGAATGTATTTCCCACAGCCATCTCCCTAACTCAGTTAGCATGTCAACGGTACAAACGTGAGAGCTTGCGCTGTGATGGGTTGAGACCCCACAAATGCGTATCACATACCACATGCCCACCAAAATTTGCACTAAGCCACCATAGATCAAAGCTAAAGAGACACTAGCCCCCGCCGCCTGAACATCCCCAACACCAAGATTGATGCAGTTCGTTAAAAAGCTCGTGAGAGCGAAAGCACACAGACCCAGAGGGGCAGCATTGGCAATTTTCTTATCAATAGGCAGAGGATGCATCTCTTGCCTCAGTGGTGGAAGCCGCGTTTCTGAATTATTCGATGGAAGTAGAGAGTAGTCATGGCTGACCTGCGTGGCTACTGGTGAGTCAATGGGTTTTTTCGTGAGGGCCTCGTTCGGGTGAATTGATGAAGGTCTGGGGGGTGAAACCTCGGAAACGTGAACAATGTGCTCCATGAATAATAATCGAAGGTTGACCTTGCTGAGGATCCGGCAGATGTTCGGCTCTCGAGTTAGTGGAGCTTTTGTTGGTAGCCAATGGGCTCGAGGATCAAGTCAGTGTGAAGAAATGAGTGCTATGGGACACTGTTAGGGGGGTGAATGGTTAATATTGAGGACGGGGTCTGCACCGAGACCCTCACGCCACACCTAAAGCACGGTCATTCAAACCCCGGAAATTTCACGGGAAGCCCGCGGATATCGTCATGTGCGCAGGCTTTGCAGATGCCGAGCCAGCGAGTGAGAGGATTTCCCGGTTGTATTTCAGGTTTTGCGCCATTGCGGAGAGACCCGAAAGGCAAGACTGATTGTATGCAATGGAGCTAACATGCGGGCACTGCCGCGAGCTCGTTTCTTCGCCTTGTTATATCCCGGGAAGCGCTGGCTAGAACCCCGAAGCAAATTATTTGCTCGACCATGATGCACTGCGACGATATCCCAAATCCCCGAGTGCTTTTCTCAAACTTCTCAACAATCATCTCCCGAGGTCACTGGGAAGAGGATCAATCCTGTCCAACCGTCACAAACTTCCCAACCTGGGTGGGAGATGGGTTTCGGAACTTGGCTTGGACCACGAGGATTCCCCATCCTATTAACTCTAGACCCCCGAGTGAGTCCGCGTAGCCAGCAGATCAACCGGGATCAGCGTTTGATATAAATACAATTGGTGGGGCTCATGTCATTTGAGTCGATTTGAAGACATATTAGGACGACCCCTCGGCGCACAGGCTGTGAGAGGACCGAACATATGCAGCTCTCATGCATAGATCTCGTCTGCTCGCCATCTAGATCGCAAGTCCTCACACGAAGGTTTTGCGAGTAGATGGAGGTTGGGACTCGGAGCGCGGCGGCTCCCGCAAAACGTAATATTCATGACTAACATACTTCCCCTTTGGGACAAATTTGGAAGGCTTTGCCGGTTAGGGCATCTTCAGGCTATGCAGCTGCATGCCTCCCAGAACATGCCAGAAATTATCGGAGGCCACAATGAGTGGTCAGATACACCGAGGATTTGGAGATTCGGTCGTTCTGGTTCAATACATCCCGAGGTCTACTGAAGTTGGTCTCGGATCTGCAGAATGTTCAACGCGTTCTAAGGTTGCAAATCGAAATCTGGTCAAATTCAATTGATCTAGAATGGGTATCCTGGCTTTTGAAGATTAAATTGCACCCCCTCCCATGAAGGGGAAAAAATCACGAACTCCCATTCAAAAACACCGCTCCCAATACGCCTTGATGCTGTTGGTCTTAAGAATCACAGCGAAATTTATGCAATGTGAGCAAGAAACCTGAGTGTTAGAAAAAGAAAAATATGCAAGTTCATGCGCGCCAGCCCTGAACGAAGTCATGTAGTCGATCAATGACCACACCAAAGAGGGCGTTCACACTGTCCGAGATGAGTTGCTCGAAATGACGGATGGCCTCTTCTTCGGTCATTTCAAGGTGGAAGCGCTCCTTCACTTTCAGAACTGCCTTGTCTGGCTCCACACGAATGTCAGGAATGTTCGCATCGACCATCAAACTGAAGAGATTCAGAATCAGATTGGCGGACTTGCGCAACGTCGTGTAAGCGGTGTAGCAGTATTGCTTGAATTGCAGATATTGAGGCGATGTAGTTCCACCCATACCCTCGACCATTTCCTTGCAAAGTTTCATCATCGGCGCGAATGGCTTTGGGTCACGACCGAGGATGAATCCGAAGTCGGCATGGAAGAAGTGGCCATCTGGCGCCAAGAGCAAGTTCTCGAGATGACGGTCGCCTACACCAAGGAGATATGTGATGACGCAATATCCTGCACAGGATTTGACGTAGGTGTCCATTGTTTCCTTGCGTACACCAAGGGGTTCATTCTCATCCGCGTTGTTGATCTTCAGATAGGCGAGGACGGACTTGTACTTTGAGTTGACGGCAGAGATAGAGACGGAGGGAATGAATTGAACCGCGCCAGCGTTTGCGCTGGTGGCAAGAATTCGGTAGGGGGACAATTTGAGGTCCAAGTTCTCCTTTTGCAGTAGACGGTCCATCAGAATGATGATCTGAATGACCAACTGGTCCTGCCGAAGATCGTCTCCGACCTTGAACAGCATTGGATAGCGACCACCTTCAGATGTCTTGAAGGTGATGAGCAGGGGCGAAAGTGTGGACTTGAAGACGTTGGATTCTTCTGGACATAGTCCAGTCACGGCCACATCGGGGTTCAGAGGCAGCGGAAGCGGCGGGTCAATATTGATCAAATCTCTTTCGGGATCTCGGAGGAACGATTTCAACTGTTCGATCTTGCCGATCCGGTTCTTTTCGTTCGAAAATCGTATGTCCTTGGCAATCTTCGACAGCACGACCACCATTTGACCTTGGCGCAGGAGTGTCTTTCGATACTCCGGGTGAACCCTGTTTAATTCTTCCATGAAGTAGTAAACCACCCGTGCAAAGATACGCTGCTGGGGTTCATCGGCGTCATCATATTCGACCAAAAGATACCAATGGAAGTAGTTGCCGAGCTTGAAGTTGTTGGCCGCACGAGAGATCAAGAAATGCGCGAGCGAGCTCTCCTGGGGAGCTGCGTCAGGGTAATTCTCGGGGGTTGCATCGTACTTGAGAGCCTGGACCAACTGCAGCAGGTACAGAAGTAGCTCCTCGTCATCGGCCTTTTGCAGCGTTTCCACTGCATACGAGCGAACCGCAGGGTTGTCGAAGGTAGGTCCCAGAATCTCCAATGCGTCGTCCACATCGATCTCCGTCCACTTGGGAAACATTTCCACGGCCTGTCGGGATTCCCCAACATCGCGCCAGTTGACTGACTTGACGAATTTGGTCAATGCCTTCTTCTCGCGCGTGAGATGGTAGCGGAATCGCCACACAAGGTCCTTTTCTTCGGTGGTCAGGTCCTGGGTCGGTTCGTAGGAAATGATCATGTTCAAATCGTCTCTGATTTTGGGATTCGGTTTCAAGTCACGGTCCATGATGCCAGTGCGGTGGCTTCGAATCAAACGTCGGTGCTTGTCTTCGCAGGGGTTGCCAATCTGTCCTACCTCAGGGTCGTAAATTCTGATCACGTTGTGAGGATCGGCCCGCACGATTCCAGGTCCAAACTGCACCTCGGGGATTGGCTTGAGAGCGGAGTCCGGGTGAGAAGTCTGGCTTTGGCTCCAAGCGGAAATGGGCGGCGGAGGGTACTCGTGATCCGCCCACACGATAGGGTGATCGAAGCGTGGGAACTCAACGTAAAGATCGAAGTATTCGTCCTCTAGGTTGTCTTCCTCGGAATCATCGTCAGGGTCTTGTAGACGCCCCGGGTCGTTCTTCGTGGCCGCCTCAAGTTCAAGAGCCCTTTTGTGTGCCGCTTCATCGGCGCTGAGCTTGAGTTTCTCCAGCTCGCGAAAGAGCAACTGATCCATCCAGTCAACACGCGGTATCTCACCCATCTCATGCTTCTTGATCAAGACTTCGAGTCGTTCCAATTCCGCCTCTTCGGGGGTCTGCTGCGAGGGGTCTCGGGTATTCGGCTTTCGACGTTTCGGTCGTGGTATGGACGGGGTGGAAGTCAAAGCAGATCCATCGGCGCTTTTGTGAAGATAGACCTTGCACTTTTGTCTTCCCGTCTTTAACTTCCCATCCTCATCAAACAAAGTGATTGTGGTTCCACCGAAAGGAATGTGCGTAATATGATCCTTTGCCAAGGGAGACAGATCCATAACCGTGATTGCTATTTGGGTGTTGCGTTCGGCATCCTTTATCGACATGGGCAATTGTAGCCATTCGTTCCATACCCGAGCTCCCTTGAAGGCTTTGTATCTAGTCCTCATGGGAACACCAAGAGGTTTCGATTCCGACCATATTTGAGCGGTCACGTACAGGTCGGATGCGGGGTCCTGAACAGATCCAACGTATTTGAGCTCGGGATTCTCCCAGAGAGCGGTGTCTGAAATCGGTTTCTGCTTCCCTTCTAGTGAGCCACTGCGACCATGTCAGTAAGATCCCGTTCAAAACGATGAGCACACTCACATCTTGATACGAATAGGAAGATCCACTTGGGTGGTCACAGCAAATGTGAATGCCTCCATCTCTGTGAGGAGGGAACCTGAATCTGTCGTCATGGCTGATAAGCGACGCGGGGATACGGGAAGGTCACGTGAAATCAAACGCGTCGGGGCGCGCCTTTGAAGTCCACCACCGCCGATCGCAGACACACTCCATACACATTCTTTTTTCTTTTTTTTTAAAAAAAAGCAGTCGAGTCCACTGCTCATTTGTTTGTTATACATACAGGGGTTGTGCGCCCCAGTGGCTCTATTACTGGACACTGCATTTCTTTATCGAGTTCCCTTTGTCCATTTTCACTGCCACACTCCCACCCAGGCGATACATCAACTATGGCATCTCACGCACACATACACCTGGACGAAGAGACTTCATCTACCACCAGCCTCCACCCATCGCCCGCCCATTCCTCCGATAAAGAAAATCCCCGAAATCACACCCATAAACGAAATTCCAACGCGATGGCGCCCCCGAGCAATAAGAACAAACGCCAGAGACTGGCCACCCGTCACACAAACCTGCAATCTGTCGGGTCGCAAGTATCGTCTCAGCGGAGCAGTGAGACCCTGTATTATGATCCCGATCAGGATCCTACAGAGCGTGCTCGCATCCGGATGGAAACTCGCGAACTCACTCGCGAAGTTAGTGGTACGCGCTCTCTGTTGATTATAGTAAAATGGCAAAACCGGATCTTAACACGTTTCAAATAGATTCACGAAGCGAGTACATGCAGCCTGGGAACACTGGTTTAAAAGATGCTCTTGCCCAAGCAAATGAGCTCTATGCCCAAGTGAAACAAACCTCCGATGCCACGATCGATGCTCGTCTTTTGGTCCAGATTGCCGAAATATCGCACAAGAAAACCTCTCAGCTTGCACTCGGCGCTACATCCGCCAGTATTGATGTTGATGAATTTGTTTCGAAATGTATCACTTTCATGCGCCGTGGACAGAATAATGCGGCTGCTAGACCAAGCGGGACCCAGCGTGCTCGCTATGGTCGGTCCCAACGAGACCCCGATGCAAGCGATGAAGATGATGCGGGTGATGCCATGAACTGGGATCACTTGGGACAAGCCGCTAGCTTCCCCAACAACCGTCGGCCAGCTGTGCCAGGATGGTTATTAGGCCCGCTTTCAATCCAAAAGCGCGTGAGGCAAGTGACGCAGCGGAGAGCGGTTGAAAGGATAGATCCCTCCCAGGCAGTTCGGCCTCAGGAGTTGCAGCAACAAGATCTTGGTGGACAAGAGAGTGCAAACCTGACCCAGATATGCTCCGAGATCAATAAACTCCTTGGCTCAAATCAAAAGGCTCGTCTAGAGGCCGCTGCAACAGAACTGGAAAACACCCCGGATGTTACTCCAGAGCAGGTGCAGGCCATCATGGACAAGCACTGGATTGCTGACAATGAAGGCATTCCTTTGTTCCGATTCTGTATTAATCCAAGATCCTTTGGACAAAGCGTGGAGAACTTGTTCTATGTTAGCTTCCTGGTTCGCGATGGGACAGTCGGTGTCTCCACTGACAGCCGAGGTCTGCCCACACTCCGTAAGTTGATACATTTGGTTCCAAGGGTAAAAAAGCAATACTGACACTTTGACAGATGCAACGGCACCCTATGCACCACTAGAGGCGCAAAGGCAAGGAATTCAGAAACATCAGGCTGTCTTCAGTCTAGACTATGACACGTGGGATTCAGTTATAGAGCTTCTCAACCTCAAAGAGTGTGTCATTCCTCACCGCGAGCCGACACAGGAGGAGACCAGCACAAGCTGGTATGGCTAAGTGTTGGAGTTACCGTCTTATGATTAACTCTGTTGTGATACCCCTTGCATTTGATATGACTAGATGTCTTAATTTAATTCTGCTTGATTCCTCCTAGAACTATACACCTGGGCATCGAAGATAAGGTGTACCCATTGCCATGTAGGTCTAACTAAGCTCACATATTTTGACTGGCGTGCTGTACTGAGTTCCATGCCTTTGCTTCAGATCAGTTGTTAATATCGACCCCAAACCTTGAAGGTCCCGGGATCTTGCCCAGGTGTTCCATGTTTCATTCGCAAGTTGGCTTCCAAATGCCTATATTTTGAATATGGCTGAATCTCATTGCTTCCATGGAACCTCCAGGGCTGTGTTTTGTGATATTTTGGGGATAGTCACCCATCTCGTCTCCTATATTTCGTTCTTAGGTTCAAATACCTAGGTATAGCTTTGAAACCCTCGACTCAGGTCTTCAGTGGCATCCACGGATCGTGCTGATTTAGGCTACCTCCATCAAAAGCTTGAGTGTGAAATTGATGTACTCCTCATATGCATATCAATAAGAGCCCCACGTCCAGGCAGCAGATCAGATCACACAGTAAACCTGGGATTTGGATGTCTCACCTGGCGATCATCGCCCATTGTGGATGCCCGCAAGGAACGCTGTGGGGAAGCTCAGAATCCTGCTGATCTCAGAAGCATTGAAGCTCATAATGCGAAGGACTTTGCTTCAATTTCCGATATAATTCTGAAGAAGTGCGAATCCGTTTCAACGTTGTGTACGTCGACAGTGGAGAAGTGACGAATGAGATGAGCCGTCCACCACTACTCAGGCCACGTGAGTGCCCAAAGAGGCTACAAGCTGCTTCCGGCGTACGCAATCCTCTCGAGAGAATGGAAAGTTGGCCACCGTTCATCTAAAAGGGTTTACTTCGTGGACCGATGGTCGAGTCTGAATTTTCGAGGTTCTGACTGTTTTTCTCTCCCTCGCGTCTCCTAACTTGATTGCGGGTTGATCGTATCTCCGAGGAACATCAAAGCCACATCTGCGCAACGAATTCGGCCCAAGCAACAGACTCTCGTGTACCGACATGTCACCCTCTCAACTTGTCTGATCTAGGACTCGACACCTTTTCACCCCGACTCAGCCTGCGGATCGAATACCACACGCCCTCCAATCACCACGAACTCGCGCATCCACGAACTCAAAATAAAGCCGCCTCATTTCTTGGCCCGCAGTTAATATACGAGTGTCGCAACCTTGCTAGCTATCTCGCTCGGCGGTGCCGACTCGACCGTCTACCATGATCTCCCCGCGCAAGGTGGTGCTCGTCCTCATCTCCGTGATCGCATTTCTCGCTGTCCTCCGCTCGTTCCGAACGCCCCAAGTCCCCGGCGCGCCCGGGTACAAGCCCGTGAAAAAAATCTCCGACGAAGAGGCAGACACACTCGCAAATCCTCGCCGCAAAATACCACCCAATGGTCGAACCCAACTACCCCTCGGCGCATCGCCGACAGCGCCTCTCCGCGAGCGTCTCCGCTATCAATTCCCCTATGAGATGGACCAACATTTCCCCGCATACATTTGGCAGACGTGGAAGTACAACCCATCTTCCATGTGGTTTGATGAAGACCTTCGGGGTCCGGAAGCTAGCTGGACCGAGCTGCACCCGGGGTTCACGCACGAGGTTATCACCGATGACACGCAAGCCCACCTGATCAAGTACCTGTACGGATCGGTACCGGATGTGTATGAGGCCTACGACTCGCTCCCTCTAGGAGTCATGAAGGCGGATTTCTTCCGGTACCTGGTGCTACTGGCCCGTGGCGGGGTGTACAGCGACATCGACACACGGGCGCTTAAGCCGGCGCACACGTGGCTGCCGGAGGAATTGGACCGGTCGACAATTGGATTTATCGTTGGCATTGAGGCTGATTCTGACCGCCCAGACTGGCATGATTGGTACACGCGTCGGCTGCAGTTTTGCCAGTGGACTATTGTGTCCAAGCCGGGACATCCTATTCTCCGTGACATGGTGGCTTATGTTACCGAGGAAGCTTTGCGCATGAAGAAAGCCGGTATTCTGAAAGTTGGCAAGATGGATAAGACCATCATGGAATTTACTGGGCCTGGTGCCTGGACGGATACGGTTTTCCGATACTTCAATAATCCGGCCTATTTCAATATCCAACCTGGTGATAAGAGCATCTCATACGAGAACTTCGCATATCAGACCACACATCGGAAAATGGGCGATGTGGTGGTTTTGCCTATAACAAGCTTCAGTCCTGGCGTGGGTCAGATGGGTGCCGGAGATACGGATGACCCCATGGCCTTTGTGAAGCACAATTTTGGAGGTATGTTCTTTTTGCTTTGGATCCCCTACCTTCGTCTTGAATGAGTCTAATTTTACTGTTGCAGGCACGTGGAAGACAGATCCATCGCTATGAAAAACAGAAACAAAATAATACTCCACTTAGAGAGTATTCCCGCTCGATCCCAGAATGATCCAGCGGAGGAACAGGCGACACGTCAATTCCGATCCTCCTCGCCAACCCACTCCTTCCACTCCTCGCTATAATCACTCTACATCTTCTTGCTGGACTTGTGTGCTCCATGGCTCTCAACCCGAAGATTCTGCCCACTGGCATTGAACTGTCACCGGGGTGCCCATGCAATACAACTTCAGTCAATGGCCCCAAACCGTTCCATGTTTTATGATACCTGCTCATGTGATTCCCCTTTTGTGTTTATTGCTGTATACCTTTTTTAGCTTTAGAATATGGCTCGGCAACATGTTTTTGCTGGCTAGTTGATAGATTCATTCATTGTTGTCATATATACCATCGTGCATGTCTTCAATATACAGCAATTGGTTCCGCCGGTTGTAGCCTCAGAATGGCTTTGCGCTCAATTCCTCCAGAGCCCAGGTGCTGGTGGTGGCCTCAAGAGATGATGGCCCAACGATGCGAGCAGCCCTGGTGGTGCCATCGCTGTCAACCGCTTCCGAGGTTGAAACTTATGTAGGTGCTCGGTGGAACATGCATCCTACCTGGGCATCGCTTCCAAAGTATGCATCAATTTCAGCCGATCTCAACCCCACCATCAGCCACCTGGGCAGCTCTGGACCCAGCAACAGGTACGGAGTACCAGGAAGAAGCCCCCTTGCAGATGCAGAATCCAGCGGTACTTGTACTTGTACTTGATATGAGAACTTTTCTCCTGGCATCAGGCACCCATGCAGCGCACGGGCAGGACCTGGGGCTTTTTCTTGTAGAACCTTGTGTGGGTTGGATCGAAGGAGCGCGGGGCTACTCCGTACACAATTTTCGATATCAAGATTATAGCCGATCTTAGGTTGAAAGGAGTCAATTTGATCTATCACACTCCCTATGACCAAGACTCTTTGGCGGGAAGAGACTGTCAAATTCAAGTGATGAGGCATCGGAAGGGGCCTCGAACATTGTCTGAAGGGCACGCGCTACCCATGGCCTCATCCTTGGGCTAGTTAGTTGCTGCCCGCGGTCCAATTTGTTTACTTCAGGCACAGTACGGAGTACTCCATAGCCCGTAGAACGCTAGAGCCTGCCCAGGTGAGATATGGGAGCCTTGTACGGAGTACTCCCCACGGGGTGTCCAAGCAGCCACATCAACTTCGTGCAGTCCTTCCAAGGTTGTGGATATCCAAAAATTCACCCCAAGTTGATCTGCACTCCTTATGGTGGGGTGGAAACATTCGTGCTCGGTAAATCTTTGGGCAAGCAACGGTGCAGCTAATTTTCAGCGAGCGTTACTCCGTACTTTGTTTAGGAGATAGATCTGACACAGCATGTTGGGAGGTCAGATGACTCCCTCTGCTTAGATAGCTCTCTCTCTCTCTCTCTCTCTCTCCCCCCCCCTTCCTTCTTTTCCCCGGTCGGTCTTTTTGCTTCACAGCCAGAATCTACTGTTTTGAAGCGATTCGTGCTTCTCCTCCGTAGATCAGCCTGTTCTCAGAGGGCCCTGTGGGTTCGGAAACCCCACAGTATGTATCATCTCACAGCCCTTTTCTGTTAAGAAACAGGGTGAGCGTGCCTATGGAGTCGAGGATGACTACCAGCGTCATCATCGGCCGCTCCTGTACCAATATTTGAATGAAACCGAAACCTTTCTTCAGCGAACGTTGCCAAAGCAGACAGGATGATGGAAGGAGCAGTGAGCAGCACCACAGCGTGAGCGGGCAGTAGAATCAGCCTCTATTCTGTAAGCATAGCGGGATTGAACGAACGAGGATAGATCATATTCACTAATCTAGACTGCGCGATCGTATCTACTCTTCCTGAGAGCTGAATCAACAGCTACGCCTAACTAAGCTTCATGGAACGTATGCGGTTCCCCTCACACTAGGTAACCGCGTCACAAGATGGCGGATTATAATGCTCTGTTTTCGAAAATATTACATAATGCCGTTTTTCAACTGTTCTAAGGCGATTGACTCGAAATCAAATCTCTTCGGAGGCGCATGTTCGAATCATGCAGCCGTCGGTTCTCTTTTTTGCCCTTCTTTCTCGAACAACCAAAGCCAGAACTAAAGCAGACTCAAAGAAGTTCGCGAAAATTTGATGCCTGAGAAAGCAGCCACGAAACGAAACACATTCGCCAGGTGAGAAAGACCTGCCTTCCTACAATATGAAAGAACGGGTGTGAGGATCGCCATTTTTTCGGTCCAGGCCCGGAGGGATCGACGGATCGCCGCCATGCCTGCACCCCCCACCATTCCTGAACAATAATTCTATTTCATTAACTTGAAATATTCTTTTCTCCCCTGTTCCTTATTACTTATTCCAAGCTTGCAGTAGCTTGCAATCTGGGGGAAAGAGTCATTGATGGTATACATTTCTACGACATTATAGAAAAGGCTTCATTGTTTAAGGTTACAAAGAAATATGAGTTTTTACATCATACCAGTCTTGTCGCAGTTGATAAATTCAAGTTAATATTAGGTACCTGTAATCAATAAATCAATATCTGTCAAAAAATCTCAAAAAATCTCTAACTTCGCGCCCAAATATCCTTTTTTTCTGATTTTCCTTCCCCTTTGTTTGACCTTTTTTTTTTTTTTTTTTTTGCTTTTTCCTGTTTTCTTTAGTATTAAGCAGACAGAATGAACGTACCTGATAGCGAAGTAAATACCCCACTACCTAGATCCAAGACCAAGGTTGCGATGAAGACTACCAATATCGGTACTGAGCGAAGAGTTATGCTCAGGAAGAGTATCGGGGAAAGATCTCCCCATATGCCAGAGATCGGCTTGCTCCTCAAAACTCAGCGCCATGGTGTGAATCGGCAGACCTGCATTGAATCTGTTTAGTAGCGTGAACAAGGAGTTGTTTGTATACCTACCGGCCCACACAAACGGAGTCAATGTCTCTGTGCCACGACGGTGACGTCTGGCGTAGAAGTACGAAAGACGTGCGACACTAGATAGTTCCTGGTCCGAGGAATTTGTCATCATCGTGTTGGCGGTAGCTTCGAGATCTTTCAATGCGTCTGCTATACCGCTTATGTGGGTGGAGATTTGAATTTCGGTGAGTTCGGTTGGATCGATGAGATCCTGGGCCAGGCTGCGTAGCTTTGAAATGAGAATGTTTCGCTGGCGAATGAATGTTGTAGGCAAGTGATCGTTGTATAGTGGGACGGACATCTTTGATGGTTGATGAGGATATGAAAACCGTCTCGAGGTCTAATATTTATACTACTCGAAATCGGAATTTCCTCGAGGATGGGCTTCCAAGATCCCCGTGAAGCATTGTTGTACTGATAAAGACATTGAAGATAGGTGAAAGAGGAAGACAAAGGCATAGATGTGGTTGTTCTTACAATGGCTTTACGTGATTTCCTTGGTAGGGGATCAAAGAGCCAGTTGAAACCCCGCTCGAAGGAGCTAGTATGTCGACCCGACTTCCGGTGATATGTGAAAAGCAAAGGCAAAGGCATCCATGTCGTGTCTGAACAAGTATCTTTGTTCTTTGCTAAGCATTACTATCTTTAGATAGAGATAAAGAAGGTGTTTCCGCCCAAGAAAGTAGATTCCGGACTAATGTGCGAGATGTATGGACTTTGAGAAAATCAAAAGCAGATCGCAACCAGCAAATATTCCACCAAGGGTATCAACGTGACTCGTAATTTGTGAGCCTCCCTATGAGGCGACGAGGAGGAAAAAGAGGAAATAATGAAGCGACGGCTGCCTGTTTGGCTAAGTGCTGGACTAGCCGCGAAGATTCACACTCAGGCATGATCTCGCACGTCAGTTAGGCGCTGTCCGCCGTAGACTTTCAAGCATAGTGTTGGTTCCTAGACGTTGGAACGGCCCCAGCGACGGCGACGACTATAGCGTAGGTTAGAAACCTTCAAATGCACGATTGTTGCAAGATATACTCACGATCCATCAGTGGTGCTCGGGCGAACACGGAATGTGAACCAAATTCCCTGGTTAAAAAGTTAGTGAATGATCGCCAGTTCAAACTAGAACCTCAACTTACCACAATACCAGAGACAAGCCAGAGAATAGCGGAAAGGAAGCTGAAAGCCTCGGCAGCTCTCCACTGCCCACAGGCTGAGCCTCCTCCAAAGCGCCAAATCCAAGGACTACCGCAGCCTTGGCGCTTGAGCCAGTCAACAAGGACACCGAAGGCAGCAAACCAAGCGAAGGAAATAAGGACGTCCACTAAACCCAGATTAGTCTTGAAGCTACACGAAGTTCGACTGATACATACGAGGCCAAGAAAAGAATCCCGATGAGAAGGGAATCAGCCATATGAGGCCTAGCAGAATCGATATACCAGCGATGACCTCAGTATAGATCCAACGTGACTCAGGCCACCAGTCGACATTTGTGCTGCTGTGGTGGACTCTCGCAAGGTGGTGTCCGATAACACCGGCGACAACCTATTCATTAATCAGACAATATTTTCAAAGGGCTTGAGACGACTTCTTACAGCTGCAAAGCCGATTTCCGCAATACGGAGAATAATGGATGCAAGGCGCGAGATGACAGGCATGATGTTTAACGCGATAAAGATGTTGTGTGATCGGGGAAAAGCTCGTGGAAGTGCAGAGTGAAGATGTGGGGGAAAACAGGGAAGCTATATAACGTGTGGGATAGGTCACACAACGGCAGTCCAGGGCAAGACAGGATTTAAAGCAAGGGTCGGTCAACACAGCTACCACGGCCCAGTGGAGTGTATAGGTTCAGGCCCAAGACCTGTGTCGTCAGATCTTTTCTTGATTCGGTGATGTATATACTTCCGGCAACGCATTGGCCAATGGCACCGATGCCCAACGCAGGTATTTTGGGATCGACCTGTCGGAAGTGGATTGATCGCTGATGTGGACTGTGGCTGAATCTTCAAATTCAAGTGGGTCGATAGTACGGAGTGAATAGCGTGTTCTACTGTATACTTGGAAACTCAGAGTGCATCCCTGTATTCCACGGATCGGGGTGGACAGAATCCAAGGGATACGAAGTGCGTAACGGGTAGCTGAGTAGCGAAAGTATAGTTTGCAGTGACAACCTTGGGATGGCTGTGCCCTCCCGAGAGGTTGTTGCCTGACGGTGCGTGTGATTTAAGCCTTGCGCGTTGCTATTATTTGTTTACCTTTGGCCGATCCGGTCTGAAGCGAGACGTCACTGACATCATTTGAGTCATATGACCCTCAGCCCTATGACGTGGGCAATACATTCTTCCTGGTTTATTCTATAGAGTATCAAATTGTTGCTACAGACTATTATGATCATAGTTTTCTCTCTAAGACCTCTGACAATATGATATTCACAGCGCTTGGAAGAAAAATTAATTAGGCAGACACCCAACGTATGCACAGGTTGATCCATGCATCACAAGCTCAGGAACATGCGGATGCATAGTGGACACATGCATGAATGGATTTGCCAAAAGTAGTGTCCAAGTGCTCTTGATACTATACATAGTAAGAGGCGCAAAAATGCGAGGGTCTCCACTGCCCGGAAGCCAAGAGTGAAGATCAGACTGAAAATCGTGTTGCCTGCAAGGTCCTCCGAAATTCGGTAGCATAGCCAAAGAAGGGAGAAAAAGTGTTACATATTACTATCAGGGTACATACGCTCTGCTATCTTCAAATTTGAATGAATCACACAATCGCCGCAACAAATTGATGTCAGAAACCAGGAAAACGACTAGATGTCCTTCTTTGCAAGGTGCCACGCCATGACATCGCGGAAGATCCCCTTCGCGCCTGTCTCAATCGTGTCACCATGACACGGAATCAGTCGATCAAAGTCCCACTGATCAATCTTGTTGATCGACTCGTTGAAGGCCGGGCGATCATTGGAAGATAATATATACCACGCAAAGCGCCGATGCCAGGTAGCAGGGGGCTTGGTCGACATTAAGGGGAGCAGAAGCTTCGTGAGGAAGTTGAGCTTTGGTCCCTCCGGTGTCTTGGAATATTGCTCGGTGGCGGGCAAGTTGAACAGCATATCGGCCTCAATCACCGTGCGCGACGGCCTGTGAAGGAAGACAAGCTCGCGCGAACCGTGACCGTGAACATACTCCGAGTCAAACTCGGCATCGAACTCCTTCGAGATAGTCCGAGGCAGCTTATCGCTCTTTTTGAAAACGTGCTCGAACGGACTATCCTGGAAGTCAGGGTTTGACTGGCGCTTCTCGAAGAGGCCTTCTGGTGCCAGGATCTCTGCTTGGGGGTATGCTTGTTTCCATGGCGTGATGTTGAGGTGGTGTTCGAGGTCTGGTGCGGCGATGTATTTCACGTTTCCGCCGAGGGAATCGATTGTCGCGCGGACTTCGGGGGTGAGGCTAACGGGCGAGAATACTGCGAGGGAGCCAGTGGAAAGTTTGACTGTTGGATGCAAGGGTTAGCTTGAGAAAACTGGTAAGAGCTTCTGTGGATTTGGATTGGTTGCGCGTTATGTTGTCGCTGTGGTGAGATGCGCTGGTTGAGTGAGTTGTCGAGGGTCCCTTACCGAGTGTGCCGCGTCCACCGAATTGCAGGTGCCCAAAGCGCGCGAATGGCAGACTCATAGTCACGATTTCCGGCGTCACATGGCGAATCACCATGGTCGCAGCAGGATTGGCTGGAAAGAGCTGTGGCATTTTGGACACGCTTGCTTGGTCTTTCTGCTTTCTTGCTGTTTGTCGTGGGCTTCGAAGCTCTTGATGGTGATAAATGGGTCGCGACACCTGTTGTTGTGAAGACGCGTTGCGCAATATGATATATGAGGATTGTAGTGGGAAAGGGAGAGCAGAAGGAGGACTTTATGGAGAGCAGAAAATCGTATCGATGACGTGTTGGCAGCTTACCCGCAGAATCCACCTGAAGTCGAGCCCGGCCGGATTGATCACCCCACTGGAGCTACGTACATTATTAGTCACCTTTTATGTGCATAATTACAAAGCATACATACCGTGATTTCTCATAAGTATTGAACCTCTAAGGGGTATTACTTTGAAAACTTCCAAGGCTGGGAAGTTTGTTATCTTAGATCGATGGAAAATGCATCATTTTCATTTCAGAAGCAAATATAGCGTTACAACAAGCAGAATAGGACACAGACAAAGAAACACACACACCATCGCAGTCCCCAGCGCAAGATAATCTGACAACGCCCCCTGCCAGAATAAATCCATTCAGTGAGTAGACGCTCAGTTGTTGAATGGGTTGTTGATCTCAGCGATGGGTTGGGTCTGAGATTCAGGGAGCCGGCAGACAGAAGGTGCCAGTTTGATATCACAGACATCTCCCTTGTCCGTTCGTGACCAACCACCGTCAACCCGAATGGCCTGGAGAATATCCCAGTGAGCCCTAGCATGCTCATTCGCAGCAAGGACCTTCTCCTTGGCATCCTCCACGCTCTCCTTAGCATCATGCAGCTTCTGATGGAGGTTTTGAATTTCGATCTGAGCATTGGTCTCCTTCTTCTTGAGCTCGGCAAGCAATGCCTCCAGGGTCGCCTTCTGTCCCTCGGAGGCTCCGAACTCTGCCTCAAGTCTCTTGAGCTGCTCGGTGATAGATAGGACACGCTCTGAAAGCTGAGCATCCAATGTGACCAGTCGAGCATTCTCCGCCTCCAGATTCTTGAAACGAGCCTCCGCAATGTCTGCCTTTGCCAGGGCGTCTTTGGTGGCAGTCACCTGGGTTTCGACATCCTTCTTCAAAGAGTCAACCAGTTTATCAACTTCAGCATCGTGGATCTTGTCAGCAGCCTTTCAATCTTCAAAGGCGTCAATCAAGCTCTTGTCTCCCTTGTGCTGAGAGATGAGCTTCTTGACCCGCTCCACGAGACGGCCTACGCTAGCTCTCTGCTTCTCATTCTCCTTGGTCAAACCCCAGATCATCGTCTGCTTCTCGGATATGGTGTTGTTGAAAGACTCGATCTGCTCGACATCCCACTTGTGTTGCTCCTCGAGGGCTCGGTTGCGGCTGGTCAGGTGAGAGATCTCACCCTTGAGCTTGTGGTTCATGCCAACGGAGTCGTGAAGCTTTGTCTGTAGGTCCTGAATACGGAGATTGAGACTTTCAATCTTCTGCTCGGCACGGGTAAGGGACGTCTGCTTGCTAGCGGTTTTCTAAAAGCTCTCAAGGTTAGCTTTTGCTGTTGCTGAAAACTCATGCTGTTCTCACCTGTTCTGCCTGCAAGGCGGCCCACCCGAGTCGCTCAACAAATGCATCAGTCCAGGCTACGAGCCCTCTGAGCTCTTGAGGGAAAGGCAAAGCTCCGAGAGCCTCTGGGAACTGAGCCGGGCGGACATGCTTCACACAGTCGAATTTGCGAGCTTCGACTGCAAGCTCGGTCTTCATGAAGACATCAAATGTAGTGTTCAGAACGGTTTGCTTGCTGATCTCATTCAAAGTACTGAGTTCCTTCGTGACAGAGACACCATTTCCATCAGTGCCATTGGAGCCATTGGTGGTCTGGATGGCCTTGACTGGTGCCACAGGGACACTGGCAGTGTCATTCGAGCTTCTGGGAGAGTCAGCGCGGCCCTTTCGCCTTCTAGTCAGAGGGGAGGGTGCTGACATTATGGAAGGGGCCATTATAGATATGGTTCTTGATGAGTGAATACTAATGAAGTATGAACAGAGTGTTGTGATTATGGTTGATGTCTAGAAATCGACGATGGGACTTGACCTTTTATACATATAATCCATTGCCGGTGTCGATGATAGCACGGCAAAAATCACCACAACTTCCTGCCAGCCCTGGCTGTTTCGACTTCAGCTCAGAATTATCTCGTATAGTCTTGACAGTGTTCACAGAGACGTGGTGAGTGGTTCGGCACGGGCCGCCCCACATATCGGCTCCAGTGGACTTCGTCAACCTTCGTTCCTGCAGATGTGGAGCAGCTGACTGGCGTCGACTCCGAGCTCCCTCGCCCCGAATATCCAAAATCCTAAGGCAAATGATCGCGTGAGCCGCTTATCTTCACTCCTCATTGGCGGGTATTGTGCCATCACTCATAAGGGCTGTCAACACCAGCCATGCGCTCCGGTGTTCGTCAAAGACGATTTCGGTGACGCCGCCAATGTTCTACTATTGTGGCGCTGCGCAGGTTTCGGCAGCCTGCTCACCCCCTGCGTCTCATACTCAAACGATATGATGACGCGTAGGGGGGCAGTCAGCGACTCGCACTGACGACCACCGCCGAGTCTGACTTTTACACAAGCGAAAGAGTCTGTCTTACTTTGGGCTCGTTGAGCCGAACCCACACAGCCAAATCAGCTAGAAGAAGGTCAACATAATGCACAATCAACCCAAATTGTACGGCGCCTAGCTATCACCGACCCCACATCGGTATTCGCAGCCAGACACGGTCGGCATGTCTATCTATCTTTGCCTCGGGGTGCCCGACGCTAGACCTCTCCCCGCATTTACGTCGCCTGGGCCAGCTTTAATGCAGACCTAGACACTAGAATGCTTGTTTTCTCTATGCTGTATTTACATGCACCTTCAGCACTAGGCCACTGATTGGCTTCTTGCGTTCGCGTTGTGGTCAAACGAGGCAGAGCCGTGATGTGGTCTGCTTCCTGCCTTTTTTCTTGGGAAAGTATGGGAAAAGTGTAAAATGTGATGTTTGCCTGTGGAGGCTTGCGTGCTTCTCAGCTCATTCAAAGCAAGCACGCATCGTCTTTCTTTGTTCTTGCAAGATTCTATTTGGGCCAGACATGTCAAACCTGCCGCCTGCCGCCTGCCTATCCGTTGTTCACCATCCTCATCCAGTCTTTATTCTTTACTTTTGGATCTTCCCCCCGCCTTTCATGAAATGAGCATCTGGAGTATACAATCTTGGAAGCTCTGAGAGAGCTATCTTTGATATTTATCATCTTCAATATATATCATTTCTTCTTCGCCGTGATATAAGAGCTTATCCATAATTTGTCTAATTCTTCGGCAACCACGGATTTCGTTGGTGCATCTTCCCAGGGGAAAACCCTGAAGTGCTCCCGTTGAATCAATTCCGCGATGCTTCCAAGGCGACTCGGGAGCTCACCTGCAGGGTGTACCTACTTTTCAAGCCCTGGGTGTTAGAAAACGGACCTCCGGACTCTGTGCCTAATTGAATGTCAAACAACCAGATTGCATGCCAACCTCCAGGGCTTGGAAGTTGTACCCTCGACCTCGGGAGTATGGGTATATAGTTCATCTAATTTGTGTACAGTTACTCCGTACCCTTCGATCAATTTTCCATTAGGCACTTGGTGCGTATTCCATGGGTGATATTGGGGATGCTCATTCTCCAGGGCTGTGGGTATTTGTTCGAATATATGAATGGCTTTGTATATGACAAGGCTCTCTCGAATTTGCTAAATTGATAGTTCGAAGAGTTAGGAATGGAAATGGTATACACGTGGAAGGCCCTACTGGGCAAAGGGATTGGATCCTCAAGAAACTTCTTATCTTTAATTGCCAGTCTCGTGCTTGCTTTGTGGAGAGCAAAATTGATCCCATCACGGTGTCGCGCGTGACCTTTCCACACACCCCCAAACGGTTCTTCTGTGTTTAACTCCCCCAACGCGCTCTACCTTCTACATCAACTTTCATCTCCAGCTAAAATCAACTTCAAGTACCTGGACAGTTACCTCCACAACTTTTTCCAATTTTCCAACTGGTTAGCTTTTGAAGGATGACTTGACTGAACAACTGCTGACCTTTCGTAAGATAACTTGACAAGATGGTCAAACGCAAGAGCACCTCGGGACCTGACGAGCCCGTCCGTCCCACGAAAGAAACCAAAACAGCCAACACTGCTGTCTACTCCCACCAATACAACATCCCACTTGTAAGTTTTGTAGTTGTGCGTTCTGAGAATCCTCATGTTGACGATTGAAACAGCCACGCGAGGCTCTTGAAGGAGAACTTCTGGGCGATGAGGCCGCGGCCATCCCAATCAAAACAATGGGTGGCCAAAAGGCTAAGCCAGAGTTGCAAGAGCCAATTCCCGTCAACATCGACGGCCCAGTTCACCCATACAACTGGCTGAGCTACTCAAACAATGAGAGCGGCGAGACCGGCCTTGCGGCATACCTTCTCTTCCGCCATGTCAAATGGCTTCGGCGGCTGGTGATCAGCTGGCCGATTCTGATCATGTTCAGCCTCTACGGCACATGGAGCAGAGGGCTGACGAAGCTCGCCCCACTCGAGATACTCGGCAGCGAGTCGACACGAAACGTCGTAACTGCAGTTACCGACCCCATTAAGACCTGGCCCGTGAACGGCGAGGTTGACGCTTCAGGGACACTGATTTGCCTTCCTCATGAGAAAAACCGAGTTCACAAAAACTACCGGATGGCCTGGATTCTCGTGGGTGTGGTACATCTGTGTAGGCACTACAATGACCTGGGGGATGAAAGAAACCACAGTCTGAACAAATGGGGTCGTTGGGAATTCATGAAACAGTGGGGCGTGATTCTCTCGCTGGAAGACCTCGAGATACGGATGCCTCAATTTGGATTCTGGGAGGACCGGGGTGAAACAGCCTTCGAGGCTTACAACAGAGCATGGGAGATCTTGAAGTATCTCGGGGAAATGCTCCCAGGGTATCCGGGAGATGATTATGTCTTCATGGGCAGAGCCGATACCTGGGCCAAGAGAATGCAAACCCGGCAGGGCATGGACGAAGGCTTCTTTACCCAGCAAGACAACCTCCCACCATGGATGAAGGATGATTGGGATTCCGAAGATGAGTGGGATGAAGATGAGTGGGATCCTGACGACGAGCCACACCATCAGGTCCCCACACACCCTGAGGCAGGAGAGACAGAACTTTGCGCCACTGATCTGCTCCTCAGTTGGGACGATATCGGGGAATCTAAGAAGTCTCATGATCTTGCGCTCGCAACCAACACGGGCACAGAGGCCGACGCCAAAACAGTCCGTGAGAATCCCCTCAAGCGCAAACTCTCGGAAAAGGGCAATGGAACCCTCATCGTGGACGAGGGAGGGGATGCGTGCCGTGAGCCTCCATTCAAGGCTAGCGCCCCCCGGCCAAATTCCCAAGCCTCGTTGGCTCAGTACCTCGAGGATAGCGAGGAAGACTCCGAGGAAGACATCTGGGATGGACGGTCCAAGAGACGACGAACCCAGCCACCCAACTCTTCCCCTCAGCGAAAGAAGTCCAGTCACAATCTGCTTTGATTCTCGCCCCCTTCGCGGCTTTCAAAACAATGATGCATGTAATGATTAGCAAATTACCTTGGGGTTTCCCCCGAATGAAAAGATGTCTTTTAACTCAAAGTAATCCGTAGGATGCCCAGGTGTATAAAGATTGCGCTGCGCCACCGGGGCTTGGCGTGCATGTGCGCTTAACTCTAAATGGCACGTTTTCCTGTCCCATTCCCCTCTTAGCCTAAAAGAGCCCCCCGACTGTGGCAAATTTAAGAAAGGCCATGGGCTAGCCTCAAATCGACAGGGTTTTCTAGAATTTTTAACCTGCATGTAGCTTTTCATAGAACACGGCTTCCAAGAGTTCCGACCGTTGCTTGATCCAAATTTATCAAGACATTTCGCTTGGAACGAACCAACCAATTTCCTTGTACGCCCAAGACTCAAAAAAGAGAAAAGTGGTAATTGCGGTGCCTAGCTCGCCTAAGCATGGTACCCGCAAGTGATTATGATTTTAGCAGCTTGACATCCACATTTGAAACCCTCTTGCTGCCGTGAGATCCGGAAAACATAAGACTCAATGCGCCATCGCTTGATAAAATCCTAACTTTTCGCCCAGAAATGCCCAGGAACCTAGAGGGCAAGTGTGATAAATTTAAAGTTCTAAAAAAGACAGACACAAACAAAAGAATGGATTGAGTAGAGGCTAGACCCGAGATAGCAGGTGATAGTCAACATAATGTCCAGATGCGTGTGCCTATTGGCCCAATACGCTCCTGTCCTCACCCGCAAAAGCTTGACTTTCGGGAGACATGTTTCCCCTCTTCTGTGCCGGGGGAAAATCGACCTTCGTTTCAGAAATGGTGTGCTCGATGGGATCTGTTCCGGTGGGAATGCTAGCGCCTGAAGGGTCCGTCCTCAGGGTCTAAAGACGCATGAATCCCACCCAATCGGCGACGCCTCGGCCCTTTATTCCCATTTCACACCATTCATATAAAAGCGCCCGTGGCCAGATTTGGGGCGGTTTCAAATTTCATTTCTGATCTGATCTGATAAAATTCCAGCGATCGACATGGAATAACACACCGCATAACACGACAGGAGTTTTGACTTAATCCAGCGGTGTACCTTCACGCATATCCGCAGCACCTCCGATAGCGACTTGTTCCTGTCGGAACCTTGGAAATGGCATCTCAAATATCGTTTGAGGCTGATAATAAGGTCGATCCTTCTGTCGCGGTCAACGAAGTCCCAGACAGGAACGATAACCCACCACCATGGTCGCCAGCGGTCGAGGAAGGCAACGAGGCGACTGAAAAGCCACAGAAGAAAGCATTCTTCACAAAACCATGGGGAAGGCGTCAGATGGGAGCAATCTGCGCCATTGTGTTTGTCGCGTTCACCGTCAGCGCACTTGTCATAGCACTCCCGATATATTTCACGAAAATTTACGGTTATGCGAAAGACACAGACGATTACTGGAAACTGCCTCAGCCCAATGAAGATGCAAGCTACCACGAAGAGAAAAACGCGCCCAAATTTGCTCTGCACAACTTTCCCGACCCCGGACTCATGAAGCACGATGGAATTTGGTATGCGTATGGAACCAATCCCCAGAAGAAGAATCCCAACAGCATCCACGTGCCTGTGGCTACCTCGAGTGATTTTGTGAACTGGACACTCAAGGCAGACTACGATACACTGCCTACGCTTGGGCCATGGGAGGGAAAGGTCAATCACTGGGCACCTGATGTGATTCAGCGGGTAGGAGTTGTGCACCAGTTGAGGTAATCTCTCATGCTAACGCGTTCCCAGAATGACGGCAAATTCGTGATGTATTACTCAGGTCAAGTGAAGAAAAATTTCGGTACCCATCATTGTGTTGGCGTCGCGGTATCAAACGGCACAAGTCCCTTGGGCCCATTCATCCCGGAAAATGAACCACTGGCTTGCCCCCACAAACACGGCGGTGCAATTGACCCATCGCCCTTCCGAGATACGGACGGCACACTCTATGTCGTCTACAAAGGCGACGGAAACAGTGTTGGCCATGGCGGCAATTGCGGCAACAGTAAGAAGCCAGTGGTATCTGTTCCGATCCTACTGCAGGAACTAAAGAGTGACGGCGTCACAACGGTCGGAGACGCAGTGAAGATTCTCGATATCGATGGCTCCGACGGTCCGCTCGTCGAGGCTCCCAATATCATCGTCACCTCAGACGGAACTTATTACCTGTTCTTCTCTTCTCATTGCTATACCTCGTTTGGGTACAATGTGAAATACGCACACTCTAAGTCTCTCAAAGGCCGATATGCCAGGGCTGATCGGCCTTTGCTGCAGACATCTGATTGGGGTCTCGAGTCTCCCGGCGGCGCGACGGTGTCAACAGATGGAACCAAGATTGTCTTCCATGCGAACTGTGGAACACATCGTTGTATGTGGGCCGGAGCTTTGGATATCCGATCGAACAACAACACGATCGTGATGGCGGAGCTCACAGCGAACCAGACGTCCACGAGTTCTACAAGGAGATCCCGCTGAGTTGTGAGGGTCCTTCATTTTTTGTTCTGAAAATAAGTTTGAAGCATATCATTCGGCGTTGAGTTTAGCGAATCTAGCGGCAGATATTGGGGAATCACGAAGAAACGGATCTGATTCAATTGAGGTGCATATATACGCAACGGATAACATGTAGCTCTGTTCTATTTGGTCAGTTGATTCATTCGGTTAACCTGGACGCCGTGAACCCGCCGGGAAACTCTGGAGATGGTTGTGTTGTGTACGGCCCCGGGGAGCAGGTAGATCCCAGTGCTTCTCCACCAATCACCGATATCGCAGATGACGACAGATCGCCGCCTCAGGTGTCCAATTTTAATCTCTAAGCTTCCCAGCTCCGACTTGATTTCCAATTCCTAATTATTCACGCCAATATGCGAGTTCAAGCTGCCCGTGCTGCTTCACGTATACTGCGAGCCCCGAGAGGCAGTTTCTTCGCCAGCCCTGGGCCAACCCGGGCGCTGTCTGCACAATGGGCCGCCTCGTTACATACCGGCACGCGGAAGTCTGCAGCCGCGGAGTCAGCTCATAGGGACTCTTCTAACCCGGCTATGTCATTCCCCTGCCTCGACGCCCAAGAAGCAAAATCAGCACAACTCTCCGCCCGTTCCCTCCGATCCGGTCCCGAACCCTCATACACCACCGGCCAACATGAATCATACCACTGCGAACAGCCGCTCCTGCTGGACTGGGGCGGTGTCTTGAACGAGTTCGATATCGCATATGAGTCATGGGGAGAACTCAACGCCGACAAGAGCAACGCTATCCTCCTCCACACCGGCCTGTCGGCTTCCAGCCATGCCCACAGCACAGCATCAAACCCGAAGCCCGGCTGGTGGGAGAAATTCATCGGCCCCGGCCTGCCTCTCGACACCAACAAATACCACATCATCTGTACAAACGTACTGGGAGGATGCTACGGCAGCACAGGCCCTTCGTCGGTTGACCCCTCCGACGGCAAGCGGTACGCGACCCGGTTCCCGATCCTGACCCTTGACGACATGGTGCGCGCGCAATTCCGCCTCCTCGACGGGCTGGGAATCAAGAAACTCGCCGCCTCCGTCGGATCAAGCATGGGCGGCATGCAAAGTCTAGCAGCCGGCGTGCTCTTCCCAGAGCGCGTGGGCAAGATCGTTAGCATCAGCGGTTGCGCTCGCAGTCACCCCTACAGTATCGCGATGCGCCACACCCAGCGCCAGGTCCTGATGATGGACCCGAACTGGGCGCGTGGATTCTACTACGATGCGATCCCACCGCACTCGGGTATGAAGCTCGCGCGCGAGATCGCTACCGTTACCTACCGCAGTGGTCCGGAGTGGGAAATGCGCTTTGGTCGTCAACGCGCGGATCCTAGCAAGCAGCCCGCTCTTTGTCCGGACTTCCTTATCGAGACATATCTCGATCACGCTGGTGAGAAGTTTTGTCTTGAGTATGATCCAAACAGTCTTCTGTATGTGTCTAAGGCTATGGACTTGTTCGATCTTGGTCACGCGCATCAGACTGAGACTCTGAAGCGGCGGGCCGAGTCCGAGGATCGTATTGCTCATGGCGACGTTCCTCCTAGCTCTTCCGAGGCTTGCAGTCTTACTCTTCCGGATCAGCCGTATGAGGAACAGCCTGGCTCTGCATCCAATGCGACGCCGTTGGATGAGTCTGTTTCTACCGATGGGACAGAGGGACCCCCTCGTGATCTTGTTGCTGGTCTTGCGCCGCTCAAGAACCACCCTGTGCTTGTCATGGGTGTCGCTAGTGATATTCTTTTCCCTGCGTGGCAGCAGCGTGAGATCGCGGAGACACTCCGTGCTGGAGGAAACCAGAATGTGAAGCACGTTGAGCTCGGCGATGACGTGTCGCTGTTCGGTCACGACACTTTCCTGTTGGATTTGAAGAACATTGGTGGTGCGCTTGGCAAGTTCCTTGACTAGTCGCGTAATCAGTGAGATAGCCAGATTGTATAGTGGTGGAGCTTTACTCTTCAAAATGCATTTAGCAGGCGTTTGTTTTCAATGACATCCCTCTCATCTACGTTTGTGGAGAGTCTTATGAGTAACCTTGGAAAACCAGTAGGTTTTAAGATGATCATTCCATTAAGAAATAATAAGAGACTACAGGCTCGCCCTCAGAGGTTGCTCTCAGGTTTGTAATCACCGGCTTCCAGCTATCTTCCGTCACATATCCATGTGAATGGAATATGGACGTTGTCCAGCAGATGCCTGCAGTATTGGCTTATATTCGTCAAAACGAACTCATCACAGGGCGAGAGATAGCAGATTACAGCTTGGTAAGCAGGCTACAAATAAAACTTGACTTGAAGCTCGTTTGGGAAGAATGGGGCAGATGAGACAGGCAAAAGGGGAGAGGAATTGAAATAGCTCAGTGATTTGGAGCTCGAATTGGGCAGTTAGCGTTGTCAACAGACAAGATACCAGCTGGAGACTTCTGTCAGTGGACATGTTGTCCGGTGAAACGAGCACTTCTTTGATGAAATCAAAAGCTACATCAAGTATGATATTCATCAAATTATGCCGTGCGCGACAGGTTGGCCCGTCGGAATGTTTGGTTGTTATGAATGCATTGAACGCGTCAAATCTCGAGATCGGGAAAATTTTGAGCTGCTTGTGACATGGCATAGTAGGGGTTCGTGGATTGAACGATTGTCCGCGTTGTAAATCTGGGTACAAACTCAGCATGAGTGTTGTTGCAACTCACGAGTTAGTTCGAACAGACCGGGATGAGCGGGTTATTGTTGTTCCGAGACAGATCTGATTGGTTAATTTCTACTATTCGGCAGCCCAGTGAGCTTCATGTTATTCTCATAGTAAGTCCTACCACTTTACCCTGCAAATGCAAGTAGTCATAAGGCTATCTCTGATACAACGAAGGCCATCACCTCCCACTATACTAGCCCCTTGTGTCCCAATGAAAACTACAACAGTACGCTATCTGGTGAAAGATTTATCCGGCTGCGCGATCTTCCATATACACACCCAACCGAAGGCATTCTATTCTCAGTCCCAGAGATTCTATACTGTATCTTCCTCCAACCATAAAAGCAAATTATGCAATAAGCCTCGAACGAAAGATTCCAAGAATTGTACCTGCTGGCCGAACTACCCGATTCGGACACGGATAGCGCCGCTAGAGTTCAGGCGCCCCATAATGCCCCCACTCTAGCCCCACTCAATGACATCCATGGATGCAAACTTGCTGGTATAAATGTGCTTCACACCGCGTGGAACTCTTGATCATTTGACAATTTCCTTTTGCTTTCAGAAAGATCCCACGTACAAGCAGAATACATTATGGCACACTCAAAAGAATGGCAAAAGATGCTCCGTGGAGAGCTCTACTGGGCCTGGGATGAGGACCTACAAGCGAACCGCACGCGCTGCAAGCAGGCTTGTGATGAGTTCAACGCTGCAGGAAATGCATCAAGACGAGAAAAAGTCAAGCTCTGGAGAAAGTCAGTTGATAGGACATGATTCCATCGCTATTCAATTGAGTTGGGTACTGACTGTCATTTTTTAGCATCGTTTGTGACACTCGTCCCATGCCAGCCGTGGACTCGGATTCCAAGGCGGACGAAGCGCTTTTTGAAGACACAGATCCCTTTGTGGACGGCCCCATCTCTGTGGACCATGGACTGAATTTCAAAGTTGGAAAGGGCACTTTTTTGAACTTCAATCTACTTGTCCTCGATACTTGCCTGGTTACCATTGGAGAGAATGTCTTGTTTGGGCCTAACGTTTGTATCTATGGTGCTACTCACCCGATGGATCCGGCTGTTCGACGAGGCTTGAAAGGCCCGGAAGGTGGGAAGGAAGTGCATATCGAGGACGATGTGTGGATCGGGGGCAGTGTTCTCGTTCTAGCAGGCGTACGAATTGGGAAGGGAAGCACAGTTGGAGCTGGCTCTGTGGTAACGAAGGTGAGAAGACAATTTTGTCATTCTGGTATTTCAAGTATGCATTCAGCTAATTGTGACAGGATGTCCCTCCTTTCCATTTCGCTGCGGGTAATCCTGCCAGGGTTATTCGTCGCATCGAGACTAGCATGGACCCTGAGCAACAATAACGGCGCTTTGCAAGGAAGGTGACTTCATCGAATGTCATCAATTCGTTTTATGAAGTGTAAATTTCACGCTTTGAAAGTATCACCATGCGCAACACCAAAGCCATAGAAGCAAAATAAAGATCATCCATCCCGAGGCCGCTTGGGACCATCTTCCATATTCCAATCCTCATCTAATTGTTCGTATCGAGCAGATCGATGGTATGTACATCCACCCTTCAACTTCCTTTGCATGACGTATACGACCGTCCCTTCTTCGTCCTGCATGGCCTTCCATTGATCCCACTCCGCGTCATCTTCAGATTCGCTGCGGAATAGACACAACGCAAGGTCGATCATGAAAACCTTGCAAACATTTGCTTCTTGCCTTTGTACAATGAAGTTCGGCCGTTTGACATCTTCATTCGATATCCCTCGATCGCCGATGCTTTGCCAACACTCCTTGGGAGCGCAGTCGATAATATCGGCTAATTCAAAGCCTTTGATGTACTGTAACAGAAAAACCAGGAGGATCAATGTACTGGCTAGCTGTTGGCGCATGCGTGTCGATTGCAATGAGCATTGGGATGTTGGCAAATAGCTGGGGAATATCCTCCCCTTGTATGTCTTTCGGGGTATGGTAGACTTCAAACTCGGTGTCATGGGACTCGGACATGAGATGTTGAATAAAGCCTTCATTCTGAGAAACATTTCGTGTGTCTGCTTGTTGGGCAACAGTTTCGTCCTTGGAGTTGAGATTGGCGGTGAAACTTGATGCACTGCCCTCGGTGGCGAACTGATGATACTCCTTTTCGATATCCGGGGTCCAGGGACTGGCTTCTTGTTCTTCTCTGATTTGCGAAGCGAAGCGTCGGTCAAAAAGTTTCAGCACCATATTACCTTTCGATGCCAACCTAGAGCGTGACAGTCGAACAACCATCACACAGGAAAGCGTGAATGGCTCAAAAACCTTCACAATCGTGGCTTCGGCCGTTTGTCCCTCATATGAACCTTTCAGTTGGATAGTAATCTTGCCCTCAACCGCATATGAAGTTCTACAGAGTCAGTATACACTCGGAAGTGTCTGCAGGAATGGGGTGTGGTTCTCACTTGGTGCCATCGGGGTCCATTTTGATTCAAGCTCTTGACTGGGGATATCGTTGGAAATAAACAGAGCGATACTTGTGATTCAATGCTTGAGAAGGGGCCAAAACCTTTGTATAACGAAAACAGCGCTTAACTATGGAGATTTTGCAGTGTATGATGACTTCTAAGCAATAGCAAGCGTTGAGATGTGACTTTGAAGTTCCAAGGTTGGTCTGTGGGTACAAGCATTAAGTTGGGCAGCGGAGGTGAAGGAGCTCTGCAAAGAATGACAAAATAAACAGCGATGGCCTCTCTGGGGGAAGGCATCTCTGTCCCTAGGACCATAAAACTTGGAGAACCTGGTAGTGATCTATCTACCCTGTGAATCCATTACCTAAATCGGTGGCGGCGACGGCACAATATCCTAGGTATTCGAGTCGATTTAGCTAGTAATCAAATGGAAGGAAAGTATTCATAACAACAATATTACCTAGCAAGATCCAGAGAGCTCGGTCTAAGGGGGACGAAAGTGCTTGTCGGTTTTCGGAGGCCGTCGCTGCCAGATTGGTCAGGCTCGCCGCAGGTAGATAACCAGATCTAGATTTCTTTCTCTCTCCCTTCTTACACAATATATCTCGTATGTACATACATTGATCATCGCGCAGGGTTAGTATCCAACTCCAAGGGTTGCATGTTTGCGGCTGCAACGGGTAGCTCTGATGAGCGATCTATATCTGCATCCAACTCTCGAGGATCCTTATTTAATATCCTGTTATCACTCGATGGTAAGCTCTGTGTTCTCACGAAATCGCTTTTGCGGCGACTGCGACACAAAAACCAAAATGCCAGTCCTGCCGAAACGACGCCTGCAACTGCGCCGATGGCGATCCCTGCTATGGCTCCACCACTTAGGCCCGAGCCCGAGCCCGAGCTGTTGCCCGAGATAGCCACCGTGGTAGACTCTTGGTCTGCCTGGGTTGTGCTAACAGCAGATACTGTTTCGGGAAGAGAGCCTGTTGCGCTGTACAAGTTTATCCGGAGCCTTGCGCCACATTGTACATTTGGCTTGCCGTAGCAGCCTACTTTGCATTCACTCGCCGGCGCTTCGAGTGCACCGCTGCTCGTACTGCTCGCACAGTAACAGTTATGTCCGTTTTCAACACCGCACCACCGATAGCCACCACCAGCACCGGCACAAAAGCTACAGCACCATTCCGGGTCATTCATTTGGAATACCTGTTGCTTAGCACTGAGAACGCGGTGATCGCTCGAGTCTGTGAAGCAGCCATAGTTGCTGTAGCCTTCCAGTTCCAGGGTTTTCGAGACGATTGCTGTTTTGGTGGGGACAAACTCGGTAGTTGCACTGTATAGACCCACTGCGCCAGCTCCACCACAAGCATAGTTAACGTCGCCGTAACAAGTTGATGAGCATGATGAATCGGGAAGCGAAGATGGATTCGCAACGGTCGTGGAATCACAAAAGCAGTAATTTCCATTCCCCAAACCACACCAGGTATTGTTTGTCGATCGATTCTTGCACACATTGCAACAATAATCTGGATTTAGCCGACTGAATTCTTCGTGATAGCCTGCTATTACAGTGGCATTGTTTGCGAAGCAGCCCATATAGGAAAAACCATCGACTTCTTTTATAGCGAGATCGCGGGGATGCAAGGCATTTGTGAGCGAGGGGCCCACAGTAGGCTCGGGAGGAAATTCAACTCCATTGACCGATGGTTTTGAAGTCGGCGGTGCCATGGTTGGGCCTTGGTATAGTGGTCCGCGTGTCTATTTGTCGACAAGGGCGCTCACAATGGCTCTCAGCGCCATTTCCACTCAAACTTAGAGAAGGGAACAAAACATAGGGGCGAAAGACACTTGAAATGCGGCTGTGCGAAAGACCATCACGTGGAGCGAATTTGGGGTGCCAAGCTGTCGATCTCCAGCCACATGAGAGAGGTTCTTTCTCTCTTGAGCGCGTTTCCGCGGGCAGTGGAATGACACTCCCGATTAGAAGTGGAACATCCTTTCAACATCTATTTGCCTTGGTCGATCATCATCACTTGAGGATCATATCATGATCTCAATCTTTGTAAACAGAATGGGAGTCTACACATGAAGTAGGGCACAACTTTGGCTGGCTCGCAAATCGGTTGTTGGCTCAGGTGTTTGCCTTGTTTGCCAAGCTCCCCGCGGAGTAGACAGACATAGATAAGAGAGGGAACCTCTCTCCATTCTTGTTCTCTCTTCGTCTCCCTTCGTCTTCTACTCCGTACATAGAGCTCCAATGCTCTCACATAATACCGATCTACCACTCCGACAGCTGTTTTGGGAAGTTTCGAAACTAGCTCCGTGGCACTGATTCAGTGATTCCGAGTGGTAAGACTCTATAGGGGGGAAAAAACCGCTTAATATCCCTTGCCTCTGTCATAGGCATTCATCAACTTATCACCAGCGGCCATCCTCTCGGGATTCTCCTTCACTATATCGAGGGATCCAGGAAGACATCCTCTACCCATGCAACTGACATGAGGACTGATCTGCTTGTTAGACACATCCCAGAGGTAATGGTCCGGTGTGAGAGGCTCTGGATCTGTCACATTGAGAGCAGCAAATGCTATCTGTCCCAATTTCAAGGCTGCCGACAAGGCCTCTTGGTCAACAACCTGACCCTGTGAGAGATTTGTCAAGTAGGGCTCGGTGAAGGGGTGGTTGCATTTTTTCGAGAGTAGCTTTAGCTCCTCGGCGCCTATAAGGTGGGTGGTTCGTTGAATGAAAGGGAGATAAATCACTCAATGATCCAGGCCCAAAGAAAGGAATGAATGAATAGACTCTTTGTCCAGGTCATGATGCCAGGACTCTGGAATAGTGCTTTCTGGATCTCCAGTGCGTGGGACCCGATACCCGCTATCGCGCCGGGACTCGGGAGTAGAGCGCGGCGACGCAGTGTAGGCATGAATGATCATGCCCATTGATTTGCACATACAGGCAAATGTCTCTCATTAGCAAAGCTAAAAACAGGAATCATGGGGGCCTGCAGGGAACTTACTTTGACGCCCGACATTCCTCCCACTTTTTCGCCGACTTGATCATGGATCCCCGTCATATAGGGACAGCGATCATTCCATTCGTGATTTTCTTGATCATCGTGCATTTTTTGGTATTTTCGTGACGCGACAGGCCATTTCATGATAGTCCACTCGGCTATGGGAGGTCCATGGATACTGGAGCTATTTGTGAGGGGTATATCTGTTTCTTCGACGATGGGAAAAGCCAGAAAATGATCCAAGCCAGAAAAGACGGAATGAATGAGTTTCAGGCTGCCAGAAATTAGTTCCAGAGAATCGAACATACGCCGATTGACAATAAACTCACTTCTTTTCACTTTCCAGATTAGGGACAACATAGAGTGTGACGAGAACTGTCGCATTTTGATAGAGCTCTGTTGACTTTGTCTGTCAAGAAACAGGTCGTACAAAGCTGAAATTGTAGATCATTCAATCTTACTTTATTTCATGGATTCGTACCCTGCTCACCTTTTGCGAGTGCGATGAGTGCTAATAGCTTGACAAGGTACGGTCTATCAGCTGTATTTCCTCTATATACAATTCAGAGTGGGGTTTCATCCGTGGACTAAAGGAAAATGTTTTCGTTGATATTTCGGCAGTGTACAAGGGTCTTGGTATAGTGTGGGCGTCAAGTTTACTTGGATTTCTTGCTGCAATCTTATGCCCATTTCCTTGGCTCTTTTTCTTCATGGGCGACAAGCTGAGGGACTCAAGTGAGCTCGCTGTTTCGGAGTCTTCAGAGGAATGTTGAGCTGGGATGGTCCTCATACAATTGCATACCATAGGGACGCGCTTTGGAGCTGCCCGGCGTCTTCCCCATTCGCTAGCACTTCTAGATCGAGATGGTTTACGGGTACTTCTTGTCTCATTTATTACCTAGGTAAATCACATTGATTACATGAAGCCCAGACGAGCGAACGAGGCTGGGATATTTTTGGACAAGCCATGAACTAGAAAACATCCTAGACGAAGTTTCAAGGAATATTGATTGGTTATAAAATGGTATCGGCTGTACAAACGGGATATGTGAATGTTATGCTGGCCCTCGGATTGAAAACTACCTAAATTGTTCACTCGTCATAGATATACTCTTCGTTTCCTTTGAAAGGCATACAGACAGAGTAAATATACAGGCCTCAGAGTGCGTTGGAACATTTCGTCACTGGGCTTGCATAACATTCTTCCAGGTGTGCTGAGGGAATCGTAGCCCTAGGAGGGCGCTTGAAAGATCATGATCATGATGCTGGAGTGTGCAATGTTGCTAGATGAGCTCTGGTATGTACAAGAACACTGGAAACAGTCAGTGGGACTCGTTGAATAATATTGACCCCAAGAGAGAGGGAAAATATTGATCCAAATTGGCAGTCTCTAAGATTTCTGTTCATTTCTCAATCACTCACATCTGGAACAATGTCTTCTTCCACCCTGGTTTCAAGGGGATAAAGTCCATTGGCCGACGGTTCGATAGGACCGACATGTCATGAGAAGCTCGGGTGAGATTCTTCGTCATTGAGACTGGATTTGATATTTCCTCCTTCGTGTCGGTGTCGAGTGGGCTGTTGTGGGATTGCTTGGGTGACAACATACCTGTTTCACGGATGACTGCGATTTGAAACACCACAGAGAATAACGTAGATCCGTCTGAGGAGACTGCGCGTCTCCTCTTGTGATAATTGGTGGATGTTGTGATTAGGTAGCAGCGCGTCTCCGATTCGAAGACACGCTCAAATCATACACGTGTCTTTGCACTCCTCGCAATTCCAACCGATTATCACAGGAGACGACGCGCAGACGCGTCAATTGAGAGTTGTTGGTAAGCTCCGGGTTGGAGTTGGGGGAGTGAGAAAGCAGTCGCGAGATTGGGAATCTCGGGACGAGAGCCAAAACGCCGCGGCACGTGACAGGACTCGTGGTTCCACTGATGAACGCATTTGCAGATGACATTCCGCCTTAAGAGATCAATGCCTGCACCGGTCGGTTATTTGTGATGGTACGTACCTACTGTATGCATTATGGCTTCAACATGGTGGCGAGCGCCTGATGAGGCCGACCTCGACTATGGATATGATTCTGACGAGCTTGACACTAGAACCGATTCTGATCGCAACACACCTCCCCACGATACGACCGATACAAAAAGCTCAGAGGAAACAGAGCAGAAGGGACTGATTGGAAATATGTCTTCTTGGCTTCAGCGCCAAGCTAGCTCGTCCCACGGCCAGCTTGCGACCACAGCTGTTTTGTCCGGAGCCGCTGTCGCAGGTGCTATCTTTGGATACCAGTCATACAAACGAAAGGAAGCAGTCTCTGATCTGAAAGCTTCAATCCCAAACATTGATGACTCTCATCCCGCTGGGAAGGTAAGCTCCGTCATTAGAGCTGCTGGTTGCTCAACCAAACGCAAGACGCATGAGGCTAATACACGGGTATAGCTCACTGATTTTGGTGCCGCTGAAACTGGAGTTCAATTGAGCAAAGAGGATGAGCGCAGTGCAGCTTTAGCTCGCAGGGCGCAGCGGGGTGACTATGATGACGGTATGCGACTGTATAAGCGACGAGACGCTCTTCGGAACCTTGCTAACTTTATTTCGCGCTACAGATCTGATTCTCGAACAACTCGCTCGAAACCGCGTCTTCCTTGGCGACGAGGGTCTCGCCAAGCTCCGATCATCTTTCATTGTCGTCGTTGGCTGTGGTGGTGTCGGCTCTCACGCCGCGGCCTCACTAGCCCGCTCCGGCGTCTCCAAAATCCGACTCATCGATTTCGACCAAGTCACCCTATCGTCGCTGAACCGCCATGCCCTTGCCACTCTGGCCGATGTTGGAACACCCAAGGTTCATTGTATTAGGAGGCGATTGGAACAAATCGCACCATGGGTCACATTCGATTGTCGCAATGAGCTTTACGGGAAGAGCGCATCTGAGGACCTGCTCGGCCCGTGGTCCTTGACCCACGATGGCGAGGGTCGTCGCCCCGACTTTGTCTTGGATTGCATTGACAACATTGGTTCCAAGGTTGAGCTGCTTGAATACTGCCACGCGAACTCCTTGCCTGTGATTGCGTCCATGGGTGCTGGATGCAAGTCCGATCCCACGCGCGTGGTGGTCGGTGACATCTCGCTAACCACAGATGACCCTCTGTCTCGAAGCACTCGCCGGAAGCTGAAGCTGAAGGGAATCGCATCTGGTGTCGCAGCAGTCTTCTCGACTGAAAAGCCTGGCCCAGGCAAAGCTAGTCTGCTTCCTCTGCCGGAGGATGAATTTACTAAGGGCCAGGTTGGTGAGCTGAGTGTTCTTCCAGACTTCCGTTCTCGAATCCTCCCGGTTCTGGGAACCATGCCTGCCGTCTTTGGTTACACTGTCGCCAACCACGTTATCTGCACCATCACCGGTTATCCTCTCGACTACAACATGGGCGCCAAGGGCCGTGAGAAGCTTTACGAAAGTATCTTGGGTAGTCTGGTCAACCTTCACGAGCGCATGATCAAGCACACAGCTGCCCAAGACACGGTGGGCCTTCGTCCTCCTCTCAGCAAGGACGACGTTGCATTCATCGTGGAGGAAGTCTTCCGCGGAAAGAGTGCTGTCAGTGGCTTGGCTAACAGACTTGCTCTTGTTCCCTGGCAAACTCCCGCAAATGGATGGGATCTGGATCTGACCTTTGCAAAGGAGGGCCAAAAGAGCACTCCGATGGACATTAATGACATGATTTGTATGACTAAGGAGGAGGCCGTGCACCATGAGAATGAGGTGCTCAAGGGAGGCAAGAAGGTGGAGGAAGTCTACGATGAAGCTGTGTTGCAGCGTGTTAACCTGCGGAGAAAGGAAGCCTTGGAGTACGACCAGTACCGGGGGTAAATCATTTGTGTGATAACAAAAATTAGGCAACGAATATATGAACATAATCCAATATCTCTTGTCTCGGTTAACATATGGATGTGTATGCTTCTCCATGCCTTGGTGTTTTTGGAATTGGCCATACAAGCGTCACGTACAAGATTGTTCAGCCAAGAGAGGCCGATGATTGAATTACCCTAAGTCATTCTTCAGAGTCATTACCAAATCCTTCACCAAAAGGTCAGGCTGTTGACAGACTTGCCGGAATACGACTTCAAACAACGCAATGGATCGAAGGATGCTCTCCTCTGAAATGACAGCATTATCATAACAGGCAAGGATCTCAACAGAGTCTTGCTGGAGGTGACAGTGAAGTGTCAACGCACGCACGTGGAATGCACCTGATTGAGGAAGCAGCTCCTGCTCAGAGTAAAGCGAAGAAGGACTTTCTGGTCCTTGGGGTTGAACAATAAGGAGGGTTTGGAGTGCTGCCGCAGAAGTTGGGCCAGTCGCCAGACCGCAAATATTGGGGTTGCCATAATGTTCATGCGGCAAGATCTGGCTATAGTGGCGCTGAGCGCCATGCAATGCATCGATCACCGTTTCGTTCGGATCAATCCGAAGCCGGTAAGGGAAGATTGCCAATGTTGGCGCAACAATCTTTTCGATTCCGGAAACCGGGGTCCCTCTTCCAGCCGTTCCCAGGCCGATCGCAACCTCATGGTTGTTTGTGTAGTGCGAGATGACCTGCGCCCATGACCATTGGATCTTGGTGGACAATGTGACCTGAGCTGAATGGATATTTGGAGTGGTCACAGTACGACTCAAAAGGGTGCTAGGGTGCGGTTTATGAGTGGGCGATGGAAGTTGAGGGAATATGGAAGCGCGCAAGTCCTTCAATTCTTCAATCCAAAATGCCTTCGCAACTCCATCATTCTGCCCAAGATACCTGATGAAAGGAGTGACCGGCAGGTGCTGTAGAGAAATGCCGGAGTAGGCACGCTCAAGCTCGCTCATCAGTGACACCAGAGACCATCCGTCATAGAGGGAATGTTGAAGACTGATAACGAGACGGTGATCTGTTGAAGATGGCCGGCGCACCAGAGCAATTCGTAAAAGAGGTTGACCAGCAACAGCCTGTATCGAGAGGTCTGAGAGATAAGTCGGCGTTTGCTCATCTGGTGGCTCGTGGTATTCGAGCTGAGCCCCCTGGCGGAGAACGACTTGATGAAGTTGCTCTTCGCCTTCAACATGAATAATGCGCGTTCGTAACTGCGGGTGTGCCTCACTGACCATATCCCAGGAGGTGCGTAGAGTGTCGAGGTTGGTTTCTGACCGAAGATTGTATGCAAACTGCCCAATCAATGTACCCCTCTTGGTTGTGCTGTAGAGGAAGAAGGAATGTTGGAGAGGAGAGCATGGATAGATATCATCAATGTCATCCTTGGTGACCCCACACTGATTAATGGCCTGTTGGACAATCTTCTGATGGCATTCTGAGTGATTTTTCAATAGAGTGAATGGCTTGGGAACGTTGGCAGAGCTTGGAGAATTGCTGCGATACATCTTTGTCGCCAGTATATCCAAACGCGGATGCTCGAATACGTGTCCAACAGTCAATTGATAACCTTTCTCCCGCAAGATTCCAACCAAAATCATGGCCGATACTGAGTCACCTCCAAGGCGGAAGAAATTCTCATGAGTGTTTTGGACTTCTGGGAGACCGATCACTTGAGCAACACTGCTGCACAGAAGGAATTCAACTTCATTTTGTGGCTTCTGTTTTGGTGTCAGGATGTGGGATTTGGCTTGCCACTTTTCATGCAAACCCGCGGTGATAAGTTGTCGTAATTGACCGCGATCGGTTTTACCGCTTCGAGATCGCGGTATCCAAGCTAGTGGAAGATATATCGTGGGCTCCATGTAAGTCGGCAGCACACCAGCCAAAGCCATTTTGGCCTCATCCACGGCTCTATGAAAGGCTTGACACGGCGGGTGCAGCAAACCAAGACCTGTGTCTTCATAGTTGGACTTCGAAGTCGTGTGCGTGTTTTGATCTGTTCCCCACTCTTCCTGGTGGATGAATGCAACAAGGGCTTTCGCCTTCCGCTGTGGTAAATCCGCCACTTCGGCAATGACATCGGGAGCGGCAGGGAAGACACGACGAAGGTGCTCCTCAACTTCACTCAACTCAAATCGCTGACCTCGAAGCTTGACCTGGAAATCTTTCCGACCCTTGTACAACAGAGACCCACATGGGGCATACTGGACGAGATCTCCAGTCTTGTACAGTTTCTGGTTCGGTATGACCGACATGAAGCGTGATAGCCATCGTGGAGGTGAAATAAAGGACTTGGCTGTCTGGTCCGGGCGATTGAGGTAGCCCCGAGCTACCACTGGTCCTTGAATCAGTAGCTCACCAACCGCACCAACTGGAAGCAATATTTCGTGGTTGGTAGGATCAACGACCCATGCAAGAGAATTGCACATGGAATGTCCGATACTCGACGAAGGAGATTGGATATTAACATCGGCACTGACGGTGACATTGATCGTGCACTCTGCGGGTCCGTACATGTTGATGATCTTAATATGAGGTGCTGCTGTTTTCCAACGTTGGACGTCAGAGACCGTGAGCACCTCTCCACCGACGTTCAATGTTTTCAAGTAAGCCAATCGCTCGGGTTGAAGTGTTCGAATGACGGTCGGTGTGAAAGCCACAAAATTGGCCTGCAACTCATTCAGGCTTTCCAACAAACGGTTCTGCTTATCAAAGGCCGATGGAATGCATAGGCATCCCCCGTTCATCAGACATACCATAAGATCCAGAACGCTGACATCAAATGCATGGGACGCATATTGGTACATTCGGGTGTTTCGGTTCATGGGTGAATGACGTTCCATCGCAGCCGCTGTGGTACACAAGGACCGATGTTCGATAATAACGCCTTTCGGCTTGCCCGTAGATCCAGAGGTAAACACCACATAAGCCACATCTCGTGGGCCAATTTCCACTCCATGGTAGGCATCCATGGAATTTGGTGCAACATCCGACGACTGGTCGTCCGAGGCCACGACAACATTGCCGACAATTGATGCAGCTGTTTCTTGATGTTCCGACGATGCCACTATGAGTGGATGCCCTAAATCAGCGCAAATTCCCTTCAACCGGTCCACTGGCTGTGATGGATCGAGAAGGACGAAAGCGCCTCCAGCTTTCAGAATTGCCAGGAGAGCAATCGGTACCCAGCGGCTCTTCTCCATCAACACTGGTACAAAGCTTTGGACACCAACACCTTGTGATCGGAGCTTTTGAGATAAGAATGAAGAGAGGCGATCTAACTCTTGATAACACCAATCCCCGTCCCAAGCGCAAACAGCCGGTGCGGTAGGCTGAAACTGGCATTGCGCTTGAATGACATCGTGAACGCATCGCTCAACGGGCTGCGGTATGTGGCTGTGCCACTGCTTGATAAGAGTAAAGTCCCGATCAGGAATGAGGTCAAGGTTGCCCACTTCACAATGTAAGTCTGTGCCAATGGTCTTCATCGCGTGCCCAAACAGACCAGCCACTAATCGCATTCGTTCAACGGAGATTACCCCTGTATCAGCTTTGACAGATGAGATGATTTCGCTCTCCTTGACTAGAATCTCGACACCAATGTCAAATTCTGTTGGATCTATTCGTTCCAGCTCTTGAAGTGACATGATGGAATGTTCCATGGTATTGTCGCTGGGAACTGGGAGCTGTGTAATGCAGGTGTTGAACATCGGGTCGTCTCTTTCCAAGCCTAGAGATCGTCGAATATCACCAAGGGATACATTTCGATGCGGTAGACTCTTTACAAAGTCTGATTGAATTGATTGCAATGCAACTTCCACTGTCAAGCTTGGATCAAACTGCTGCCGGCATATCATCAAGTTGACCAAAGGTCCAATGCCATCGACCACATCTTTGACGGGTGCATCTCGAGCAGCTGTGAGGTAACCAAAGCAAACGTCGTCTGTGCGACATATCGTGCGCAGAACAAGGGACCATGCTAATTTGACTACTGTCGCCAAAGTGATACCGGTATCCCGAGTGAGACTGCTGTAGATTTCTGTTGGTCCAACATCTGCCGCAACAGCCGAGTATCGGTGATGAACTGGCATTGGGCCTGACTCTGGACAAAGTCCATCTTTGTCTGTTGGGAACTGGCTTGAGTCTAAACCTTGCAAGTAATTTTCCCAATACAACAAGGATTCACTGTTGTGCGTTGCTTTTTGATACTCCACGTAGTCAGCAAACCTAAACTGTGAGGGATTCATGTCACAGCCACTATAAAACATGGCGAGGTCACGAGCGATGATTGACATAGAAAGCCCATCTGTAGCGGCATGGGATATCTCAATCTCAAGTTTTGGCTGACCACTGGGCGTTGTATGGAGGGAGAGTTGCGGCAAGGCGCTAGGCGCTCGCGGGCTTTGGTGTTGACTGAAAAGATCTTGAGCATCCATATCATCCTCATGGTGGCAAACACGAAGCGCAGAACCCGTCTTTAATTGAGCTTGAACTGCGGACAAGTGCGAAGATATATTGGTGACGAATATTGTTCGCAACATAGCATGGCGCTCAAGTAATCGGCTCCATGCGTTGCACAATCGGCCAATGTCCAGAGTGGGAGTGGCTTTGCTGAGCTGGGGTGTATATAAAACGCGTATCGCATACTGTCGAGGATTTTTCAATTGGCTGAGCAGAATACCCTCCTGCATTGGGGAACACAAGTTCACTTCTTCGACATCATCAGGAACAACACATAATGCTTCCAGTTGTTCCTGGATAGCAGTAGTAGGGATCTTTTCCAGTTTCCCGTCATCAGTGATTTCATGGGACACAAGCCCGGCTACCTGGGTGAGTTGCGCAACTGTGCCATACTCAATGATGTCTCCAAGAGTGAGAGACATGTCGACGCGTTTGCAGAGCTGTACCAGAGCGATAGCCTTGATGGAGTCTCCACCAAGTCTGAGGAAATTCTCATGGATTCCAAATGACTCTCCATCTCGATTCAGAGCTTGCGCAAAGAGCCCGTGCAAAGCCACCTCGATATCACTTCGAGGTCGAACTTGAGGCACATCACCTTTTCTCATGTATGCCTCCATCTGTTGCCAGGTCATCTCGGAGATCAGTTGACGTAGAGCACAGCGGTCTGTTTTACCAGACGCAGTCTTCGGAATCTCGGCCAGTGGCATATAAACAGCTGGGGACATCCATTCAGGCAGACAAGCGCGTACTTCAACATCAAGATGGGTAATTTGTGTTTGAAAAAAGGTGTCTGGTTGTCGTAGCAGAGGACAGGGAGTTGTGGGGCTCTTTTGATGGGTGGGGACATATAAAAACCCAACCAGGACGGGTGTGTTTTCCATGTCTCGGGGAAAGGCTGCTTCCACAATCACCACCTCATCTGAAATCAGATGAGGGCGAATAGCTCCTTCAACTTCGCCGATCTCAACTCTTTTCCCTCGGATCTTTACTTGTGTGTCTTTACGACCCACATAAAGCAAAGAACCATCGGATTGATACCGTGCCAGGTCTCCAGGGCGAACCATCCAAGGGGAAGAGCTTTCAAAAGAGAACGCTGAGGACCATTGCGGTGGTTTGACAAAGACCGCAGACGTCTTTTTCGAGTCATCGAGATATCCGTTGTTGACATTGGGGCCTTGGATGATGATCTCGCCTATAGAACCAACTGGCGCAAGACGCTGTAAGTTCAATGGCTCTGCGAGCCAGATGTGTGCCACAGGCGGGACACCAATGTTCCGAGAATGTGTTGATGGTTTGAGGGCAGAGATGCATGCAATACCCACACCCTCCGAAAGACCGTACCCTGATAAAAGAGTGACGAATTTCTCCCATTTCTTTCGTATCGCATCAAAGAGTGGTTCACCGACGAGACACAAAGTTTCTAGTCCCGGCACTTGCGTGGGGCTCACATTTCCAGCAGCAGAGGGTGTCATACACGCAAAGGTCACCTCAAATCGATTCATGGCCTCCTCCAGCTTGTTCATCAAGTCATGTTGCGAGGGAATGCACACAGTCGCTCCGACGAGGAGGGGAAGGTACATGTCGATTGATGAGGCGGCGAAAATGGTCGGGGCAAACTGCAACACACGAGTCGACTCGCTCATACGGAATGCTGGCGCTTGGTTGACCAGTGCTGCCAACGAGCGATGCGGACTGACGCACCCTTTTGGCCGGCCTGTGCTACCAGAAGTGAAGATGACGAACGCTATCCGCTCCAAATCAGTCGCGGGGAGACTGTCAAGAAAGTGATCGAGTGGCGGCAAGTCTGCGACGAAACTTGAATCCACGGATATGGTTGGGACGGATACCCCTTGGAAAACAGCGGCAAATTCTTTTGAGGCGATCTCCCGACCCAGCATTTCGGGAACACATGGTATCAATACCTGAGCATGAAACATCCACACCACTATATCTTTGAACTCCTTTCCTGCGCTATGTAGAGCGCTTCTAGTATGGGCACCCATCCTGCTGACACGGTCAATCTGTCCTTTGCAGACTGATCTTGCCATCCTGCAGCAACACGCTCTTCATCATGCCTCCACTTTTCTGATACAGGGCCGATCCATCTTGCGATAGCCCATGACGTTTCTTTTACCTTTTCTAATGGTACCTGGTGACCAGAGCGCTCAATGACCGATTCCTTCACCTGGGAGCTCTTGGCTCCGCCACTGCCTCCCGCCCCCACCCCAGTCCGACACACCAACTCGGCCCGAATGATATCTGTCTGTATGGGACTTCGATCCCCAATCACATAGAGGACAGAGGGACGAATATGGTCAAGCAGCTTCCATGCAATGACCGCCTCGCTTTTGTAAAAGGGCGAAGTTTTGTCCACGGGACCAATCACGTCAGGATGAGTGAGAAGATCATGCGCATGTCCAAAGATGTGCTCTTCTTTTCCCGGTGGTTTGTGCCCTTCAAAATTAGGTCGAACATATTCCATGACCTCCAAGTACTTCGAGGTTGCCAATGTTACCGGGACGGTTTCCAGATTAGTGTCAAGGCCAGTATCACTCCTGATCTGAGGGTAGGTAGATGTGGGAAGCTCGCGATATCCATATTGGATCCACCGTTCAAATACTCTCGGATCCCATCGCCTGTGTGACTTTTGCGCGGATTCGATCGCTGCTGAGCGTGATGGCCAAGTATCCTGTCGCTTAAGTGAGAGCAGAGATAGCTTTGGTCCGAGACCGCTGAAGGTGTCTGGCACAATCACTGGCTCGATCAGGACCAGGGAAGTGAAGAGGCGGGGATGCATCAGGGAAAGGAGAGCCCTACAAATTGATCAGCTCGAATATCCTGCACTGGTTCTCAAACAATGTACTCCGTACAGTTGACCGGCTCCCATGCTGTGTCCTACACCAATGATGGGCCGAGGCATCTCATCGCGAAACTTGTTGATCATACACATCATATCCCGGCTATGGTCCAACCAGGATGCTTTTGAATGTTAGCCACTTTCAACATGCAATATTTCTCCACATCGTCGCATGTTCTTACGGTCATCCCCGAGGAGGGGCTCGTTTACGATACCACTGGCACCAAGGGCCGCGACATCAGCGATCCATATCGATCCAATTCGGAATCCATGATCACTACTTTGTTCCAGTAGGTCTTCCCACATCGGCTCATAAAGCTCCTATATAACAATTAAAACAAATGTTAGCAATTCCTCGCTATCTTGTTCAATTTGAAAATGTATATCCCTTGTTGGTACCTTCGGAAAGCCGCAACCGTGCGCGCCGACAATAGTCACGTCTCCAGGCTGGGGGCTGGAATTATTTTTTGGGGTGTACTTTTTCACAACGAGCTTGACGGGAGAATCCTGTGACAAAGTGGCTCGTGGGTATTCGCGAATATATTGTCCGTCGATCACATGTTCTGTTGTACAAAAGGGAAATGTTGACGCTGAGGTCATATTGGGCGATAGTTTAAAGCTCAATGTATAGACCACTTGGTCCACGGGTACTCTTCGATATCTTTTGTATGCAAGATGGATTGTGAGACACAGACCTCCAAAATCTCACCGAATTGAGAACTCAAAAAAGTAAAATGAAAAGAATGGGATGGAAACGGAATTGTTCGGCGACCCAGATGTTTTGTGGTAATTCAAGATCTACTCCACTACGCATACAACAACCAGCGTACTATGTATGGGCAGTTTGTGGGTAATAGGACACGCCGAGGTGCTTGGTAGTGTGTTCTGTACTCCGTATGGATACAGATCAGCAGGCGCTAGACTAGAGTCATCTCCAAATAGTCCGAGTCTTGGCACGCGATATGGATCTTGAAGTGGGCCTTTATGACTGATTTATTTGACCTGCCAGTTTTACTCCCCGCTGCAAGTCTCGATTGAGGCTTATCGATCGGCGATCTTCGATCGTCCCGAACTCTGGCCTACCCTCGCGACTGCCCGAATGCCACCGAGCTCCACATTGAGCTGGGATTTTACTGCTCTATTAAAGAACACCCCGTATAGGATCCATCACCCCCTTTATGGATCCAGGATCGAGTTTTGATCCAAAGATGGCAGCCGAGTGAGATCGAAGGAAATCGTCCCCTTTTTTGCAGGAATAATCATCTTTCAGCACTTCACAGAAGTGGAAAATCATCATTGTTGTCCTCAGGATGTCGTTTCTAGATATTGAATACCGCACAGATGAAGAACTTCATTGGGAGAAGATCCCATGCACGACGAGAACCAATGTCGTCGCCTGCTGCGAGCAGCAGCATTGGACACTCCCGGATTTCTACCAGAAAGTTTGGGCAATTGTTCTGAATCGTTTCACTGCATCTCAATCCGTCACATTCGCCATCAATGATGAAGGTGATCGCAGACCATCCAAAAGATGCGAAATTATGTTCAACATTGAGGTCTCGGTCGCCGAATTGATGAAATCGCCCGACGCGTTGAGCTCCTCGATCGAAACCACTTCTGGGTTGGATTGTGCAACTGCCGTTGTGGTTGATATGCGTGATGGTACAACCCTTGGCGGGGAAGACTTCGTTTCACCACTGCAAATCGTTCTCTGCATTGAGAGGTGTGGAGTTTCGCTATTTTACTGCAAAAGCATACCTTCATGGCACGCAAAGAATCTTGCCTCTGCCTTAGACAAGGCTGTTGAGGAAATATCCCGATTCCCGCGCCAAACAGTCAAAGATCTTGACCTACTCAGCGAGTCCAATAACATTCAAGTTGGCGAGTGGCAAGATCGCCCTCGTGCCAGAAGTCTCACGCCCATGGTGAATGCAATCCGACAACATGCATCCCTTCGACCAACGCATCAAGCAATTTGTGCTTGGGATGGCACATTTACCTATGCCGAGTTGGACAATATCTCCAGTCGGTTGGCGCACCGATTAAGGTCCATGAATGTTGGAGAAAATGACATGGTGCTCTTGGGGTTTGAGAAGTCGGCTTTTGCACTGGTGGCCATGGTTTCCATTCTCAAGGCCGGGGCAATCTTCGTGCCTATCAGCCCAACGTATCCCACCCCACGAATCCAGGCGATTGTCGACGCGACTAATCCCAAGCTTGCTTTCACCTCAAAGATCTGAAGAAACTCTCGCGTGGATCGGCGAAAACATGAAGTTGTTGAGTTGTGAACAATTAACCTTCGCGCTGATTTTGATTTGAGTTCAATGCCTTTCCAATCTCAGAATCTTTCAAGATGATTCTCGCCATTGTAGCAAGTTCAGCGCCAGCTTCGCACTCCGCCCGGAGACTCTGTAGAGCTAAAGGACATCGACCAAGCCTCAGAAGAATATAACTCTTCCCCCATGTCATGTAAAAGACCCTGCTTGGTCTCTAATAGATGTATCCTCAAGGCTTTGATCCATGAAAACGCTTGTTGAGAAAAGAAGCTGATTGAAGACGAGGTTTGAGATTTGGGGAACAGATGTGTGGGGCGTGTGGGGCATGTGGGGTGCGGGATAGGGCACGGACCACTTGTAAAACATTTGGGGGGAGCCCGTAACTGCCAGATTGGTCAGGCTCCTCAGCAGGTTAACAGTCGTAGATCGGGAGCTCCTTCTCTCTCCCTCCCCCACTCTCCTCAATGCCCCCACAATCCATGACATCACAATCCGTTCCTGCTCTCTTGTGCTCTCGATAACCTCGCCTCTCAGGTCACTACGTCAGTACTCGATACAAAATAGAGAGCACGTGTCAATCGAACGGATCATGTAAGTTTGGGCATTGTCCAGCACATCTAGTTCCTCCCTTTTGGTGGTCCACGAAAGCGCTATTTAAATCTCCAACAATGGTAATTTGGACTTGTGATTGGGACGGTTGCCAAAATCCTTCTGTTCGCACGCATGGGGACTGCATCCTGTGTGATCACCATTTATGCGCGAAACATCTGGCGCCAGAGTTTCATACATGCCCAAACTGGGAGGTTTGTCGATCAAATTCTAGAATCGAAGTGCCAGCTGATTCTCTCGGTCTGAACAGGATGAGCATCACTATCACCCCGCTGCTCAAGAGGCTGAAGAGAAAGAAATCACGACTCTGATTGAGAAAATAAACATACAAGCGCTCACTCAGCGCGCCAGCGATCTCCGAAATGGCCTCGCGTGCTCTGTGGCCCGGGATCTACAATATGATAGATCAATGCGCAGCTCAGTCATGGGAGGCATGAATTATCATATCGAGATTTCATTCGAAGATGGGATCAGCTGGCTTGCGCGCATCCGAAGATCCAATGCTACTTCTCTACCTCCAGAGCTGCGAAACTACATCCTGGGCAGTGAAGTCTCAACCTTGAAATTCTTGAGCAAGACAAAAGTTCCTGCCCCCGAGGTTTTTGACTTCAATCCGTACGAATCAAACGCTGTTGGTGTTGGTTATATTCTTATGCAGAAGCTGTCTGGAAGATCCTTACAGTGGTCTCTTGCTACCCCAGGCCAGAGGCGAAAGGTCACCCAGCAAATTGCGGATATTTATATTGAATTAAAGGGTTTTCCTTTCACGGCGATGGGCTCTTTTAGTCCACAGAGCTCGTTTCATATCGGCCCCATGTACGAGAATCTTTGGCCGACTTTCAAGACCAGAAAATGACTGTTTTTGGGCCTTATACGTCCCCAGAGGCATGTTTCAAGGCTCAAATTCGATTGATACTGGATTTGATAGTTCAACAAGAATCCTACATCAATCGCCCAATCGATGCGTTTCTCATACATCGTTTCCTCTTAGAGATTGTGCCTACAATTCTCTCAAAGAACGACCTTGATGATGGAATGTTCTACTTGAAACACGCAGACGAGAAAGGGGATCAGATACTCGTTGACAACGACTTCAACATAACAGGCATTATTGACTGGGAATGGGCGCAGATAGATTCCAAATCAGCAGCTTTTAACTCGCCAATTGTGCTTCTTCCCGTTGCCGACTTCTACGAGGGAGCTGATTATATCGGAGGTGATGAACTTTATTTTGCCGAATGTCTAGAAGAGAAAGGGCATTCAGACCTTGGGGAGATAGTTCGAAATGGGCGGCTTCTTCATCGAATCCAATTTTGTTGCGGATATGACCTTGATGACTGGGACGGATTCATTGGGCTCTTCTTCGGGCTGCTCAAGATATTGGGCATTGAAGGAGATTCTCAATGGGAAACGTGGAGAGCGGGCGCCTTAGAGGGCTATCGAGATGATGATCAACTCCAGCAACTCCTTCAACAGACCGGAAAATCAGAATGAATTAGAGCAGACACATTTCAAACGCTGAACATTTGTTTTGCTGCGGCAGCTTTATCGAGTAAGGATATGAAAGGCAGATCGTCTGAGTGTGTCGTGAAGTAGGTAGGATGTGGACATCTCGGGTTTGATGTTGATGTTGATTTTTAGACATTGAAGGTGGTGTTTGAGCTCTTTCAGACATTGACTAAAAATAGTAAGCACCACATCAAATTGTTTCGTGAACTTGTTTATGCGCTTGCTTGCGACTCCACCATTTGGATGGGCTTTGATGGGGGCCCACAGTCCCACCCCCCACCCCCGATGGGCGATGGGTTGGGCCATGGGCCCGAGATCCGGGCCCATTTTGGGGGGTTTGCGGAAGTCTCCTCAGCACCATCGTATTGACTGATGATCAAATTTATGTCCATTGCTGCATCCTAATGTCCTATCTTCAGAAAATTTGACTGGTGAAGCAGTCTTTTCCCCCCGTGTGGTCAGCGCTTAATCTCGCCCGTGAGAATGTCCCACGGTTTCCTCTTACTGTGGGTCTTTAAAAGTTCGTGAGATGTGCAGACAGGCGCTTAGGACAAAAGCAACGTTTCCGGGGGCTGGAAATCACCTGATCGTCGGGCTGAGCACCTCCTCCTTGACTTTGAGCCTTGCTGTCTTCAACTACACCAGAGTGCGTACCGCTGGTCATGAATCAAATATTATTTAACAATAAAAGTTCGGGGCCTCAGTTTGGGGTCACCCATGGAGTGGTCAATGTTTACTCCCGTAAATGTGCGAACATGTCGCCCCAAGCCTTCACCCAGGCTCAGCTGACTTGAAGCCACTTCTAGAGCCCGAACAAACGGATTCCGCACAGCAGACGGAAGATAACAGTTCGTTCCACCTCTCACAAATGAAAATAATCACCGCTTACTATTTCATAGATATAGTCAGCTCACTAGCATTCCCGCGGATGCTGGATCGGAGAGAAAACCTAGAGCCACGCCATACCAATACCTGCCAATGGATTTTGGACTTGGAAAAATACCGATCTTGGAGGAGTGAGCCCCGTGGTCTATTATGGATCAAGGGCAAACCAGGTGCCGGCAAGTCGACACTGATGGCATTCCTACACAGCAGACTCAAAAGTGTACAAATCGACGATCAGGGCATCCAGCTCGACTTTTTCTTCACTGCCCGAGGCACAGAGCTGCAACGTACACCTCTGGGTATGCTCAGATCTTTGGTGAACCAAATATTTGTTCAAGATCCAACAATAAGGCCCCAGGTGCGCGAGACCTATAGAGAACGACGAGAGCGATTCGGGTATGCTGAAAGCCAATGGAGTTGGCCACAAGCGATACTGGAAAGTCTACTGGAAGCCGTTATCCTCGCATCTGGCAGTCAGCGACTAGTAGTGGTCTTTGTTAATGCTCTGGATGAGACCGGCCCTGAGTCTGCCATCTACCTCGCAAATTATTTTCATCGACTTCTTGGCAGAGCAGACAAGCAGGGTGCTGCTGTTCGCATTTGTATTTCGTGTCGGCACTATCCTATCATAGGGAGTACCCATGCTATGGAAATATGGGTCGAAGAACACAACGGCCGAGATATTGCTGCATATGTTCAGGACACACTTGCGGAGACGGAAATGGAAATGGAAGCCATTGGAACTCCAAGCGAAGGCAGCAGACAAATGCTGATCGCAAATTTGATCCAGCAGGCTGACTGTGTCTTTCAATGGGCGCGGCTCATTATACCCCATACTCGACGGAGACTTGACGAAGGGCAATCATTTCAAACGATCTATAACTGGTTACGCGAGATTCCTCCCGATCTGGAAGATGTGTATCAGTATATTCTGACACATGTGATAGAGGTTTGGAACCTGAAAGAGTCTCTTCAGCTGTTTCAATGGCTATGTCTGGCTGAGCGTCCCTTGACTGTGGTAGAGCTGCGGTATGCCATGGCCGCTGGCAATGCCGAAATTTCAAACTTCCAAATGCCTATGGAGCATGTCCCTGGCTTCATCCAAAGCGACAAACTAAGAAGCTAAAGATCAAGGTTCTTTCCGCCGGATTAGCGGAAGTTGTCTCAAATGGTGATTCAAATGAAACTGCGCAGGTGGTTCACCAGTCCGTCACTGATTTCTTGCGCAAGAGAGGGCTGGCTGTTTTGAGCGATCTTCTCGGCACCAGGAGTCTTCCGTTGAAAGCAAAAGCAGAAGAAACCGAGTTGCAATCTCAGGCAATCCTATACCGGTCTTGTCTTACGTACCTGGCTGCACATCGTCTTCGTGAAGAAATGCCACCAGAGGATACGGAAAGAGCAATCAATAACAAAGCTCTGCGAGATGAACTCAACCGATCACACCCATTTCTTTTTTATGCCACTTTGAATATTTTCATTCATGGGAGGCAAGCGGCTGATCGTCGAGTCTCCATAATGCCGAACGAAAAGGGTGTTTTAAAATAGGTGGAAACCCACTTTGTTTCCCTTCACCGGATTATTTACCCTCGGAGACCAACTCATCCAGCGAGAGGTACGAGAGTCATTCACATCGCCGCAGCTGCGAATCTCGTTGATCTTTTGAGGGACTTTTCTTTGAGTGGCAAGGAACTGGGGACAAAAGACCAGGATGGAAACACAGCATTGCATATAGCTGCGCGATATGGTCACATAAAGGCCGCAACCATTTTGCGGAAGGCTCTTGGCACGGCAGACTGCGAATCAAGAAACATGGCAGGAAGAACGCCGTTAGCGGAAGCTGCTAGCTTTGGACAAATAAAATTTGGAATGGCTCCTCGACGAAGGTGCGCAGCTGGAAGCCACAATGGGAAAAGGTCGGAGTGCTCTACAAGAAGCTTCAATGAGAGGATATAAGGACGTTGTTGAAACATTGCTTTCAGCTGGAGCAGAGGTGAACTCAAAGGGCGGCTTTTTTGGAAGTGCCCTAGAGTCTGCCTGTGCATACGGCAATATTGCAATCGTGAAGATGCTCCTCAACGCTGGTGCCGATGTCAACGCCCAGAATTTCCAAGGACGAACTGCCTTGCATTTGGCCGTAATTTCATTTTCACATGCACGGCGTCATATGATTGTACGTATTCTCATCGATGCGGGCGCCGACGTCAACGCTCACAGTGGTGAACATGGCACTGTCGTCCAGGCTGCCGCGCTTGCATCAGAGATGTCGAGTAGTAGTTTACAGGTACTAATTGATGCTGGTGCCAATGTCAACGCCCCGGGTGATCGATTTTGCAACGCCCTCCAGGCTGCTGCGTCTGGATATGGCGATCGGAGTGAGCTCGTACAGCTCCTCCTCGACGCCGGCGCCAACGTCAATGGCCAAGGTGGTGAACTTGGTAATGCTCTACAGGCTGCAGCGCATGGGTCAGCCATTAAAGCTGCGAAAATGCTCCTCGCCGCTGGGGCCAATGTCAACGCCCAAGGAGGCTTATATGGCACTGCCCTTCAGGCTGCGGCATACGAGGGAAGCAGTGAAATTGTGCGCATGCTTCTCAACGCTGGCGCTGATGTGAATGCCCAGTGTGGTAAATTTGGCAATGCCCTCCATGCCGCGGCATATCAGGGAGGCAGCGAAGTGGTGCAAATGCTCCTTCAAGCTGGGGCTGATGTCAATACACAGGGTGGTGAATCCGGGAACGTTCTCCAGGCCGCGGCATATGGGGGAAGTATTGAAGTTGTTCAAATCCTCTTGGGCGCTAGAGCCAACATCAATGCCCAAGGAGGCCTACATGGTAGTGCCCTCCAGGCTGCGGCAAGTGAAGAAGCTAGCGAAATCGTGCAAATACTTCTCAACGCTGGCGCCGATGTTAATGCTCTAGGCGGGAGACTTGGAAATGCCCTCCAGGCTGCAGCACGTGGGGGAAGTGCTGAAGTCGTACAAATACTTCTCAATGCTAGCGCCGATATCAATGCCCGAGGAGGCTTATACGGCACTGCCCTCCAGGCCGCGGCAGGTGAAGAAGAGAGCGAGATTGTGCAAATCCTTCTAAAGGCTGGTTCCAATGTTAATATCCAGGGGGTCTTATGGGAAACGCTTTGCAAGCTGCAACATCTGAGGGAAGTGGTGAAGTCGTACGGATGCTTCTCAATGCGGGTGCCGATGTCAATGCCCAGGGTGGTCGATTTGGCAGTGCCCTTCAGGCTGCGATCTACTCGAGAAGGAGCGACATTGTTCAGATGCTTTTAAGCGCAGGCGCCAGTACATTTAATCCAAGTGGTCAACATATATCGCCTATTTCTTTGGCAGTCAAGTTCGGCCGAAGTGATCTTCTTCAGATTCTGCTTGACGCTGGCGCGAAAATGTCATTTGCAGATGAGCTTGGTCAAACACCTGTTCATTATGCGGCCTTAAATGATCGGCTTGCCCTGCTCAATTGCTTTCCAGACCTCCTCTTGTCCATGAATGAGCGGAGTAAGTTGTTGCAGACTCCCCTTCATCTGACTCTGCACCGAGGTCATCTCGATTTTGCGAGTATCCTCCTCCAACACGGTGCTGATCCATCTCTTCGTGATGGCTATGGCAACAATGCCCTAGATTGGGTCGTTGGAAACGAATCCTTGGTCCACCAAATTCAGCAACACCACCCTTCAATTATCGCCACACCTGAACATACTCGACAGGCCGCTGTTCGTCAATCCATCGTTCAACTATCAAAGACTCTAACCCAATCACGCCTCCACCTTTCATGGCTACTTTTACAGCAATTAGGCCGCTATCTATCATTTATTGGCGACCTAGAAAACGCCCGATTTCTATTCCAATTGGACTTGCCCAAAGATATCTTCATCGCAACCCCTATGTCTTTACATCGCTGTCAATAGTGCGAGACTACGGTTGCAGATTCATACTTTACGTGTAGAATCTGTCCCTATATGTTTCTATGCTCGTATTGCGCGAGGCTCTTCCCTTTTCACGGCCGATTATTCCCAAATCAAGAGCATATTACCTTCGAATTGCCAATATTACAGTTCAGGAACAGCCTGCGCATGCCGTCGGTATCAACGAAGTTGATGAAACTTCTCAAAGAGCTTTCTGCGCCAACTACACACGGAGTTGTGAAGGGACCATCAACTGATTCCCGGGTTCATATCCCATCGAAAGTCACGATACCCAGAGTGACGGGCGGACTCCCAATAGCAATCCTTGGGCGAGTCTCAATGTTCTGTTTTCTGTTGGTTGGGATGATAGCAATTTTGTGTACATATTGGTATGACTTGATCTGATTGGATGTATTTCTTTCCCTTCTCTTTACTCTTATTATATTATCATCAAAGAAAAATCGCTTGAATACTTCAGTACAGTCACCCACCCAGACTACCCTCTTCTGCATGACCTCCATGGAAAATGCAGAGCTCGAGGGAGGAAAATATAATTTACTGCTATTTTAGTGTTCCGGGAACTTGAGACTCCGTGCTCAAGGGGATGATTAGAAGCGTCAAAAACAAGCGTCCCGACATGTTGTATGCCGATATTCGCGTCATCGTTCGAACTTTTCATCAGGAATATTGGACCGGGTTCAACCATTACAAATTTGGACAACTTCGGGTAGTGGCCGAATGATTGCCATCATTTCGCGAGTAGATGTGCAAGAGATGGAAGTGGAGCATCAGGATATTCAACCCTCACGTGACACGTGTCAAATGTCCAATGTCCGGCAAGGGACGGAGAGTTGTCCTGTTGCAATCTTCATCCTACTCTGCCACGCTGTCTGTGCACTTAGGATGATGCACAAGTGGAAGCTGATGCATGAAGTTGGCCTTGAACCTTTCAAGGATTTTCATCTCCCCCGTTGACCTTATCGATCTTATCGGGCGTCGGAGTGAACGTCACCTCACTTTCTGCCTATTTCCTCGCAACTTCATCACAACACAACCCACATGTTGGGTGGCTAGCTGATCCTGATCTCACGTCACGGGCTATGGCTACCGGCGACTTTCCATCCGGCCCTCGGCCGGAGGCTGATAAGAACTGCGCCCCTACCACCCACCAACCGTCCTACGGCAGAGGATATCAGTCTTCTCGCCCACTCATTGAATCTGCCCGCAATGGATGGCAATCACAAACACGCACTCAGTATCACCACAGCTCCTCTTCAGACGACTCGAAAACTCCGCAATGGACCGAGATGGTGCAGTCCATGGCAACCGCACCGCGTTTTCGCCGGTATGCTTTGATATACCTTTCACTCTTCATCTTCGGATTGATTGGATGGAGATTCTTGATTTCACCGCGAATGCAAGAGAGAACTTCATTGTTAAATTCACTCGATCCGAACACAAAAACGGACGCGGTCGGGCGGTTCGGGGCGAACGCGATGCCTCAATTCAATGATTTGATTCAAATCCAGAATTTGAGCCCGGATTTAGTGCCCGGTGACTTAGCGGGAGCTGATGCAGATTCCAAGCAAAAACAGAGACTGATCATCGTAGGCGATGTGCATGGCTGCAAAAAGGAGTGTAAGTCTCACGATATCTTCAATGCGTATACTCATTTCCAAATCAAGGCTGACAGCTTTAAATGAAAAGTGGATAAGCTTCTCGAAAAAGTCAACTTCAATCAAAAAAGCGGCGATCATTTGATCTTTGTCGGAGACATAATAAACAAGGGACCAGACAGCGCCGGAGTTTTAGATCTGGCTCGAGAGTTATCGGCCTCTAGTGTCCGTGGCAACCACGAAGACCGGATTTTGCTTCACAGGCGTGAGATGGCAAGAACCAATACTCTCGCCGATACCGATGATGCGGAGTCGTCATCGTACTCACCCAGAGAGCTCAGCGAGCGCGCACTAGCACGCTCCTTCAGCGACGAACAGGTTCAATGGCTTGAGAGTTGCCCTGTCATCTTGGATGTTGGTCAGATACCAAATATGGGTCATGTGGTAGTCGTCCACGCAGGACTTGTGCCCGAAATCGAGCTTGACCGGCAAGATCCGGTCAGCGTCATGACCATGCGAACAATTGATCTGCATACCCATGTGCCTAGCCCAAAGAAGAAAGGCATGAATTGGGCAAAGGTATGTTTGCGACTCTTCGTCTCGTCTCATTTCTTGACTATTCGTCTGGATTCCAGAGCTAACACTCTCCAAGATGTTTGATCAACATCAATCGGTATTATATTCTGGATTCGAGTCCACGGCCGAGAACCCACGCGCGAAGACCATGACTGTTGTCTACGGCCATGACGCTCATTCTTCTCTCTCTATTCGAACATTTACAAAAGGCCTTGACTCCGGCTGTGTAAAAGGAGGCAAATTGACGGCTCTGGTCATCGAGGATGGTGGGAAGCAAAACATTGTGCAGGTTTCGTGCCCTGGCTATGTCAAAGACTGATATCAACTACCTTCACGCTGACCTTTGCGTTTTCGATGCATTCTCGAAACTTGTTATATGTTTACCTAGGTCATAGTGTATGATATATCAACGGGCGTTCCAAGGTTCTTTCTTACAGTCCACATGCTATACAAAGATCTTTCGCCCGTAGCTTCTCAAGCTCCTGACCATGAACACAAATCGGGTCATCAGATTGACAAGACCAACTTGGTTCCACTGACACCGGCTTTCAACTTGTCTAGAGCTGCATTCACCCCTTCCAGACCACCCGATTCAACTTGGAGGTTAGGACTAGGGACGACTGAGCCAGACTCCAGACCATCCTTTAGCCACCCATGGAAACACTGCCGCATGTGCGCGTTTCTCTCTTCTGGGTGTTGGGACGCAAGATTAAAGAGAATTGTCGTGTTGTCGAGCGTCGGATGGTCCGGAGGCAGAATAGGTGAATGGGCAACCTTCGCAGCGATGTCACCCTTGGTCTCTTTGAGAATATCTAGCGTTGGCTGCAGTCCACCATCCACGACACAGTGTGCAACGTTAAGATTCAACTCATCTTTCTTCAGAGCCTCAACAATCTGCGAAACGACATCACTCGCTTTATAGTCGAATACGGCGTGAGCCCCGAGCTTTCGGAGGTATTCGTGGTGCTTGGGACTGGCCGTGGCATAGATGGTAAACCCAAGCGATCGAGCCGATTGAATTGCGAAAGTGCCCACGCTGCTCGCACCGCCCCAGATAAGTACTGCCTGCTTATCTTGTGGGGTGTACCTGGTCTCAAGCGGGATGCCGATAACTGTCCAAGCAGTCAGGCTGGTAAAGACAGCTAAAGGGAATACCGCTCCTTGCTCGAAGGAGATGTTATCCGGAATCACCGTGACGCCTTCGGACTGTGCCAGTGCGTACTTCTGGTAGGCGCCATAGTCCGGCGAGCCATTCTGAAAGAAAGATGAGGCGAGCGCGGTAACACGGCTTCCTGGCGAAATGGCAGTGACATTGGATCCCACTTTTGCGATGATGCCGGATATATCGCACCCAAGTACAGCTGGATAGGCAGGTACAGGCGGGAATCCATTGTCACGCTGAGAGTGGTCGACGGGATTCAAAGCGATTGCTTTGACTTCGATGAGGACTTCATTGGGGCCTGGCTCGGGGGTGGCACGATCCTCAACGGAGAGGGGACCGCCTGGCTGGGGGAGTACGGCGGCGCGATGTTTCCCAGGCATATTTGTTTCGAAAGATTTTGATAATTGCAGGGGGTTTTGCTCGATTCTACCAGATGAAGGAGTCAAAGTGTGGGAGAGATCCATAGATATATGCTTTTTCTGGTCTCATCCACGTAGTAACTCACGGGCTTACTTGCATGAGTACCTACGCTACGCGGATCTTGTCTTAACTCCGCCTGTGATAAAAGCGACAGAAGTCCATTATTTACTTCTACCCCGCTTATACATCTATATCACCAATGCGAGATGTGCGAGTCAGGGGTCCCACTGAGTTCCCTCTAGCCTGCTGAATGGATATTTCGGTCCTAAGATCTTAAGACCGAAATTGCTTGCTTGCATGGGAATGAGATTTCTAAATACTCCTTGTTAGCTTTGGGATGATACGAACGAGGGTATAGCGCCCTTTGTTAGCGCGGCACTTGCTTCTTGCGGTTAGCCGCTTCACTGCATCAAGGGCCCCAGTGACATTGACATTAGGACACTCTTGTGGTAAATATTGAGCCTGTCTGTGATCCCAACAGATAAATACCCTGAAGTTGAAAACAAAAGAAGTGGGAGACAACTACAATTACTGCGTGATGTAACTGAAAGAAGCTTGTCAGTATACACCGTCCTTTGAGTAAAACTCATCTAGTTATTTTCGATCATTTGGCCAAACAAGGCTGATCGGGCAACATAGCTTATCTAAGAAAGAGTTGACATGTATGATAATGCAGTATATAAAAGATGGAGAGAGAGAGCTTGATCTACGCCATCTACCCCGGGCCTGTTGAGAGCCTGACAAATCGGGCACCCACCTGGGCACCTGCTTAGCCCCTTTTGTCGTGAGCCACCGGTTAAACTACTACCACGATGATGCCAATCCTTCGTATCTTATATCAATGAGTTCATTACCCAGCGGTCAGCGCGAAGCATGAAAACCCCCAGTATTGTCAAGGACTGATATTAGCACTTTCCGAAATAGGAAATGCAGTGCGAGCCACAGCTTGTGGGGCACGCTAATAAAGTGGGCCCCCTTTAGAGCTCGTAGTTTGAATTCTTCAGGGATGCGATCTATGGCTACTTCGTATGGCTTTGGATATTTCATGTGCTGATCAATTCGATCTGAGATTCTGTGTAATGCGTTTTCGCAAAATTACAGTGTAGATCAATCTCGCCATTACCTTGTTTTTGACACACTTCCTGCGGTCCATACGAGCGAGTCCGTGCCTATATAGCCACTACCTGACCCCATTTGCCAACCTGAGCTCAATCATTGTACCTTGTTTCCTCCGAACTTCGAAAACCAATGTCTTTTACAATATCCAGGGAATACCCGCGAGCAATTTTGCGCCCACTTCAGTTGGTGTCGACTGCGGGCCACGAGCAGCCCCGAACTATCCAATCACCATCCTTGCCAGAAACACCATCACTTGCGTGGCGAGCTACGAGCCATGTCTTTTCTGGGACAAAAGACCGCGATGCTCATCCTGCTTGGCCACTATCGTCTTTTGAGCAAGACCCTGCATCAATTCCAGATGATGACAAGTACAACATTCACTATGATCCGGAATCAACAACGAGCCGGCGAAGCATTTACCACATGTATGATCAGAGTGATTCGCAAAAGACATCAGAAGTCGATCCTGTGCCTCCTCCATTTCTTGCCGCTAAGCGGTATATACCGATACAAAATGCTCAAAGCGCGGACGACTTTACCCGGGATAAAATGACGCTACTCATGTTGCCGGGAATGGGTGTGCCTAAAGAGGTAAGTTATATCAACAAACATCCTTGGTGAATGAAGGGTAGAATTGAGACTCGTGTTTCTGCGTTAGATGTTCGAGCCTTTTCTCGAGACACTGCTTCTCAAACTCCATGGTACAAACGCCCAAATCGACGAAATTTGGACCCTCGATATGCCCTCATCTGGCCAGACTGCTCTTTTGAACCCTAGAGGTTATCTTTATGGTACGTGACTGTTATGTGGTTTTCATAAATCCGCAGTAACCAGCTACCCCAATCAAGATGTGCACTTGAGTAACACATTTTCTTTTGGCAGGCAATGAGAAAGACATTACTCGGGATATCTTGCTATTCATCACTGCCTACCTCCCCCTCACTGCCGCACAAGTTCTTCCGGAGCAACTAGTCGCTAGGGAGCCGACCACACATGGCCAACAACCCGTGAGACGCAATGTCCACGTTTTGGCCCACAGCCTGGGAGCACAATGTGCAATACTAGCAGCAGCCCACGCACCTGATATCTTTGCAAGTCTAACGGTTATGGACCCCGCCATGATTCCATCGGGAAAAATCAACAAGGCATTCACAAAGCTGCCCAAAGATACCCTTTGCACAAAACTCAGATATTCGCATCCAAGTCTGGATTCGGTTGTTACGAACCTGCGGACGAACAAACGGACACGAGGCTGGGACAAACGTGTCATAGATATCTTTACTCGGCGAGGTGTCATTCCAGATAGCGAGGGTTTCCGACTTATCGCGCACCCTCGACTTGAATGGGCGCTGTATTATGACAAAAAAACGCCGGCCCAGTGCTTCGATCGTCTAACTGATATCAAAGTTCCGCTTCACACGATCATGCCTACTCGTCCGTTCGCTGTTCCACCAAAACAGCTTGAAACAATTGTTGGAGGACTTTCTCAACCGACGAAGATCACATGGATTACAAATACAACACACCAGCTACCCTTGGAGCGTCCGGATGAGTGTGCAGATGCAGCTGCATCATGGCTCGCTAGTATTTCACAGAAGACCCTCAACAGAGCTCGGTTGTAGTATGGAGGGCGGGAACTGAAGCCATTCGAGATCGAGGATGTCTTGAGTAATGTCAAGGGTCTTTGACCATCAAATCTCGAATACTCAATCTTGGAACGAGTAGGGATCCGACCGCTATTTTTGCTGTAAACCTTGGAATAGGCCCAAAATGACAGAACCCCCCACGATAACCTTGGAAATACAGATCCACCGGAGGTTACCACTTGTATTTACATAGCTGTATTCGATGATGACCCACCTGCGAGCTTAACTTGCCAATCTACATCATCTTGGTAAACACATTATTCCACGATAAAATTTCTCATTGGCCAATCATATACTAAGTATTGTATCTTGTGTTAGCCAACAACGATAGTCTTGCTTGGGAAGTCTCAATCGTAGATCTTCCTCCGTGTATAAATCCAAGGCAGCCCCCATGTGAATCAAGGGGTCCAAGGGCTATTTATGGCTACACACAGGCCTTGAGGTTCGTGATCTTCAAATCAGCCCAAGAGCTGTTTTCGTGTAATCAAACGCAGACCAGCGCCGCCATGGGTTCTCAGCATGCAGACTTTATGTTGTCAATTGTGGTGAATCATGAAAGACTGTTTGCATTCTCTACCTTTCTGACGATTCTTTGTCCATCGATCTTTCTGGGATGGGCTGTGTGGACAACTCTAATATATCCGGTTTATATTTCTCCCCTAAGACACCTCCCGATGCCGAAAGGAAATCATTGGCTTTGGGGACATGGGATCAAACTCTTACGAGAACCTCAAGGTAATCCATCAAAGCAATGGTATGTGTTTTCCTGCCGAGGTCTTCTTTGCGACGCAATATAGCGCAAGCTGATAGAATTTGACTTTGGGTCAAGGCTATATGACGTCCCTCACGATGGGATCATACGTTATCTCACCTTCTTCAATCGCGAAAGATTAATTATCTACTCGCCAAAGCTGCTTGCCAGTGTTTTGACCACGAACTGTTATGATTATCACAAGCCATCATTTTTGTCTAATCCAATGAAGGACATGCTCGGAAATGGCTTGTTGGTCAGTGAAGGGGACCACCATCGAGTCCAAAAAAGAAGGATTTTACCAGCCTTCACTCGCCGACAGATCGACAGAATGTATCCAACTTTTTGCAGTAAAGCTCGCGAAACCGTACTTGCGATGACTGCAGCCCTATCTTCTGAAGCCGACTCGGAAATAGACATATCTAATTGGGCATCGCGGTATGCTCTTGACGTGATCGGTCTTGCGGGCTTCGGAAAAGACTTCGGAGCTATCAAAAACGAGTCAAACTCTCTTGTGAAAGCCTTTCATAGCATGTTTGACGTCACAAAGCAAAAGCGAGTTCTTTTCTTTCTTGGCTCTCTGCTCCCTTGGAAGCTTGTGAGGAAGCTTCCTCTGAAACAAAACGAGGAATTCTCAGGGGCCATCCAGACTATTCGCCGCAGCTGTCAAACTATCATCGAGGAAAAGCGCGCCATCTCCACAGGCAGTCTATTCAAGATACAGACCTTCTCTCAATTGCTATGGGAAATGGTCTCTTTACTGACGAAGGTCTTATCGATCAAGTCATGACTTTCTTAGCGGCTGGACATGAAACTACAGCCTCGGTCTTGACCTGGGCAATCTACGTCCTTGCTCTTCATCCTAAGATCCAACAACAACTCCGCGATGAGATACGAAACAACCTGGAGCCTCTTCATGCTGGCTCAGACTATTCAGCTGAATCATTCAGTCGCTTGCCTTTCCTATACGCTGTCTGCAATGAAGTGCTCAGAATGTTTACCCCAGTCCGCCTCACCATGCGAGAAGCTACTCGTGATACTTTTCTCCAAGATATAGCCATCCCTCGCGGCACGAAAATAATGATCTCAAGCTGCGCCACAAATATGGATAAAAGCCTTTGGGGCCCCGATGCCACTGAGTTCAATCCTCATCGGTGGCTCGACGTGGATAGCGAAGGAAAATTGAAAGTCAATGGTGGAGGCGGTGCTGGAAGCAACTATGCCATGCTTACTTTCCTACAAGGTCATAGGATGTGTGTTGGGCAAGCATTCGCGAGAGCAGAGTTTGCTTGTATGCTTGCGGGCTGGGTTGGGCGGTTCGAGTTTGTGATGAAAAATGAAGAAATGGCGGATATGAGCAAGATAAAGATTGCGAGTGGTATAACTGTCAAACCTGCAAATGGCATGCGGGTGTCTGTGAGGCCAGTTTCAGGGTATTAAACCGGCATTTCTTGTACAATGAAATTGTTCAATCTGATTGATATTTGTCGACGAGAGCTGAGCGAGCAAACATTTACGACAAAGTATTGTATTGGGTGAGATAAGGAGAGGAAAGAGAGAGAGAGAGAACTCTCTCAATCTACCAAGAGTCCATCAGTTGCGGCAATGGCCCATGGAAAGAATTGAATGATAAGCGGCGATCGAGATCTCTCTGTTGCACGCATAAATCCCACGATCTGCTCGATATTGTACGCGATGACTGCAAGGACGCTGTATTTCCCAGCCTCGGCATCTTGCAAGATCCGGTTGTATCGATTTTTCTCTCGCCATGATACCATTTGTGTCTTGTCAAAGCTAGTGGCCAATGACATAAGATCAGTTTTTTCAATTCGAAGCCAGAATGACCGAGCCCGGGCTCAATATTTCCCCGGATTGTCCGCCTCGAGACGAGGCACACTGGCCCCGCGAACCTCGAGCCGCGAACCCCCACTATACCCACGCGCGCATTCCATCGAGCAATCTCCTGTCCGCCAACACCATGCAGTCCAGCGAAGCATTCCATGCTCACGATGAGCAGTTCCAAGCTACTCTGGGCTCAACGCCGAGCCTAGAGCTCTTGCTTGAGAAAGACTACCCATTCGCCCATGAAGCAGGAATTTACATCGCCGCAACAAGAGAGCTATTCATCACCAGCAATAAATGCACAAACGCCGACGGTACTCCCGATATCAAAATCACCCGCGTCAACCTAAGCAACAATCCAGTCACCGCCGATGAAATCACCCCCGACATCCCCATGGGCAATGGCGGAGTGAACTGGGGTGCTGATGCCTTGATATGCGGCCAAGGAACTTTGGACCGGCCCAGCGGACTGTACTCGATGTCTGTGGAAGCACCGTATTCTTCAAGCTTGGTGATAGGAGACTTCCTGGGACGACCGTTCAATTCCGTCAATGATGTCGTTGTTCATTCGGATGGGTCGATCTGGTTTACTGATCCGACGTATGGGTTTGAGCAAGGGTATCGACCGGATCCTGCATTGCCTAGCCAGGTCTATCGCTTCAAGCCTGGTAATGGTAGTATTCGAGCGGTAGCGGATGGGTTTGGGCATCCGAATGGAATTTGTTTCTCTCCGGACGAGAAGACGGTTTATATCACCGATACCGATAAACAGAATGGTGATGGGACGATTGATCACCGGAAAGCTTCTGCGATGTATGATTTACTTTGGAAATTTTGTGTTGCTAATGGGTGGGCTAACCTTGTGCGCAATACTTCTAGTTATGCATTCGACGTGTCTGTTTATCATGGCGAGCCGTTCCTTACTAATCGCAGGCTATTTGCCGCGACGGACGCAGGGATCCCTGACGGCATAAAATGTGACCTTGATGGTAATGTTTATAGTGGATGTGGTGATGGGATTCATGTTTGGTCTCCGGGTGGTGTGCTCCTTGGAAGGATTCGGATAGACGGAGGATGTGCGAATTTCTGTTTTGGAAAAGATGGGGAAATTTTCGCTTTAAATGAGCATCGACTTTGGAGAGTGCAGCTTGGAGCTCACGTCAAAGGCGCATTACTTGGTATCTAAGATTTCTCTAGGCCGAGGAAAGCTTTGAGGCGTTAGAGGCTGTAAGTTGATAGATATTCTACCAATCAACCGAACCCAATAGAACAAAAATGATGGGATTTGTAATACTGTAATTTTTCAGATGGCATGCGTCGCTAATTCGAAGAAGAATGATGTGTCCAGGGTAGAAAAAAGGACGGGAGTATGGACAAATAGCACAGCTCTAGTCTCTATGTTGAATCATTCTCAGGTTGCTCTGGGTCGGGAAAGACGAAGTTTCCATCGGCATTCCATGTCGCAGGGGGAGAAAAGTCTTCATACCAGAGACCACCCAAAGCCTTGGAATGAACGTATCCAAAACGGAAATACTCTAGTTCGTTTGGGTTAGTACGGGTCCAAGTGAAATCTGGCAAGGGCTTGTCGTCCTTTGGTCGGAACGTCTGGAAACGTTCAACATCATTTACCAAAACGCTGAGGCCATCAGCATGGGCCGGGATTTCTGGGAAGGCAAAGACCAGATTATTGTTATCCGTCAGGGATGGAGGGTAAATCTTGGGTGGGACGGTGCCAAGTTTGGCACCATCCAGAAGAGCCCCTGGGGTCTGTAGGATAGAGTCAAAGCCCCAGCGGGCGATGCCGTTTATAAAGAGGCCAACCAGGATGCCTGAATACAAGAGACTGGGGCGAGTTTGCAAAGTCGTTCCAGGTAGGAAGAGGAGTGAAAGAATGTAATGATGAATGCGTAGGTTCATGTGTGGCACGGCGACGAGGATGAGGACGCCCGCGACAAGGGCGCCGTAGATGCGGATCGTGGGGAAGAACCGGCCCTCTCGACGGTAGCAGTGTGCTTGGCCAAATGCGATTGCGAGTAGTGTTCCAACAACAATGATGAGAGCAGTGAGAGCACCGGGCTGTTGCTGGATGTCGTGGGGGGTAAGTCGAGAAATCGGGATGCGATCGAAGGTGTCTGTGTTGAGGGCACCGACCCAGCAACCCCCTAGCCACAGAACCGTTTTGTCCCAGTGCGCATCCATACCTTTCAAGGTGTGACGGACGCAGAAATAGTAGAGCGCGAAGCCCACGAATGCGCCGGGCAAGAAGCGACCGAGAGCAATTGACACCAGGTCATAAATGCTGCCCATGGAGGGCGGGTCGGATGCCATGGCGACCTGGAACCAGACAATGAAATAAATGGAGCTATAAAATGCCGGTGCCGAAGTAACAACCAGCGACAGCATGGTGGTCCAAATCAACGTGAAGGCGAAAAGGGACCATCGAGAATCAGAGCATTTGATAGGTTTTGCCTCGCTGGACTCCGAAGAAGGTGGCTCATTGGCAAGTCTGAATGACATGGGGAAGCTTGAGCGGAACTCAATACTCTCGATGCCGTTTTGGGTTGCAGGAACAAACTCCTTATGCTCGCCAGTTCGGTGCAGGATACCACACCCACCCGTCGCATCGTCAATCAGACCAGCGTGCAATGCCGAAGCGCAGATGGACGAATCGCCCCGGTAAGTACCACTGATGCGACCATCTTTTCTAAATGGCTCGCCGCCAATCACGAGAGGGCGATAGTTGTACTCCTGATCGCCCACCACATACGGCTCTAGAAGAATAGCCGCCGCGCAACCGGAAGGACAGCGGAAAGCAAAAGACTGATCTTCAAACGGACGACAGGAATCGCCATTGAGCCCACAATTTGTGGCATTGTTCCTAAATTCAAAAGTCAGCCACAAAGTCTCTCAGAGATAAAGTTCTCAACGCACCACAAGCGATGGTGACACGACAGCTTGACCGGCTGTCCATATCCCGGCACCTCCTGGCCAGCAACAGAAGCTTTCAACGAGACGAAGAAAACAACGATCCAGAAGATCAACCCGCCGGCAAGCAAAGCGATCTTGGAGATCCGGCTCGGGAATTTCTGATCAATCAGACGCGCCGGCGCAGCCTGCAGGTGAGGAAACCAGGGGTTGATATGGTATACATGCGGAGGACTCGGCCCGCGAAGCCAGTTGCAAAAACCCGAGGGCGTACAAGAGAATGATGGGTCGCGTTCGAACTTCTCAGGCTGAGCCATGCCTTGCGGCAAAAGCGGGACGTCGCCAATTTCCAGGTCAAAGCTCAATTCATCGCTGTCGCGGGCATCCTTGTATGCATGCAAGGGGTCGGAGGGATCGGATACATCCGACGCTGCATCTTGCGACTGCATCTTTGCGCTCTTTCGTCTTTTTACTTGTACGTTGGATTCACTTTGGGAAGGAGCGATCTGGCGTTGGCTTCGGTTTCTTGGCTTTTTAGTCATCCGCATGTCAATTGCCTATTTTAGTCTATTATGGAGTCCTGGAGATATCAGAATCCTCATTTCTGGTGAATATCGGAGTGCCTGTTTTCAAGTGAAATGTTTTGGGTGTAACTACGGAGTACTTTATGTGGTAAACCTTCACTCTCAAATACCTAGTGAAGAGGGCAACGTTCCAAGGTTTATGTGTACTCTCAGGAGTACGGGTCGAGGCAGCTGTTCGCAAGCGACAAACCTTGGAAAGAGATGCCCCTAGATGGAACGCACTCAACTTGAGGTTTTGCAGCTCGAATCCCATAGGAAATGAGGTAAAAGAGTCTCTTATTGCTAAAATAACGTATTGTGCACACTAAAAGCTCTCAACATTTTAAACAGATGTTGCTGATGTAATCAGGCTCCAAAAGCTAAGAAATCAGACAATAAGGCATCAACCTCGGAATGTAGAGGGAGATAGATCCAGAGGTCGAGACTGAACTCGGGAATCCATGCGGTCGATAGACTACCTAGTGTAATGGGGAAACCGCGCCAGTACTCATTTGTGCCTCAGGCATCCCAGGGGTATTTCTAGGCCTAATCCCCTAGCATAGCAATTCAAGCATTCCACATCTCTCGCAAGAACAGTATCTCTTTCCTATTCCGGTAGTCCTGGGGGCCTGCGTAGCTCCCTGATCCCGCCGAGCACTAAACACCCCCGTCGTCTTGTCTGCGATGTCAGACCGCCAGCGCGCTCTTCCCACTATACTAGGTATTGCTGTGAATTAGATCAGATCAAAAGCCTCAAAAAATCTATAGGGACCTCAGCGGATCCAGTATCAGGTATTTGATTTGTATTAAATCATCATGTATACCTGTCAGTTCTGTCAACATTGACTGGTGGATAAGCACGGAGTATGCTCATTAGGAAAGAAAATTTTCCTATCGCAGCATTTGTGGAGCTCCTTTTGAATGGCTGTTTGCTTTCAATGACGTTTCGTGATTTGCGGTGGGTGCCATTTCACGATCTCACTAAACTCTGGCAAGCTGTTAGCAGAAATAATGGTCTTCAATTGAGGATACCTACTTGAACAATTCTTTTTCATCGGATGGACCAAAAAGCTCAGAGTGGATTGTGCAGCCATAATTATCATTGGACCACCGATCACAGCTCAACCCAGTAGAGCTCAACTTTAGCTGAGCCAGGTTCGCAGGGTTGTCAAGCTGCTTCAAATCAGATTTACCATATAAGCAATGAGTTTGATCTCAATATGCCAGGAATAATATAGGGTGAAGACCAATTATTTCAGCTGGTATCTCAGTCACTGACATTGGGGACAGAGTACAAGACATTCATACTGGCATTCGATCCAGTTGGGCCTGTGTTCAGAGTCAGACGTATTCCAAGGTTTGACCTGGAGTAAAGAAGAATTGCTGTGTTTTTTTAAGCATTCCATGGATTGCTAATCCTCATTTCCACAGGCCATATCTACTTTGCGTCTCACTGCACGTATCAAGTCTTCTCTTCCGTACTGTCGTTTCGCTGTCCTTTTTGCAACAATCTCAGTAAGATTTTTGATATCCGAGGCATTGTGGCAGTGGCGATTTTCTGAAGTAGTAGCTCGGCCACAAGACGCGGCCAGAAAGTATCAAAAGGTTTAAAAGAGATCTTTTTCCGCAAAATAGTCAGCCAGTCCGTATACGCCTTAGCGATTTCCGGGTTTTTAATCGCTTCCAAAAATTCGGATATAAATCGAGCCTTGTAAAGATAGATAAACTTAGAATCTAGATATTTCGATACAAGAAGACGCGACTATATCAAATATCAAGCTTTAGATTTCGCAGAATAAGTAAATTAGTATTTTAAGAGACTTACCGTGTGTGTTGTTTACTCTTTAGTCATGAGGGACCTCTCTTGTAGCTAGGTAATAGATAGCAGTATATAAACGAAGTATAGATCCTCCTCCTAGTTGACTGGGGTTATCTAGGCTAGTTGTTTCTGATAGAGACGCCCAACTAGCGCATTATTGCCACTGCCGAGATAGCTTTTAACCTGAAATTTATCTTTACAACCATAAGTGGCATATATGTAGTCAAAGTAGCCTATCAAACCTTGAAAAGTATTATCAAGGGATAAGTTAGCTTGTTTGCGACGACCAAACATAACGTAGTTTAATCGATGAATCGCCTGGCTTACAAAGTAAAATTTAGGTCCTCTTTTATTATTCATAAAGATTATTAGTTATAATACTTGATCTCATTGCCTATAAAGAGATAGAATCGCTCACTAATGTTCTTCAAAAGCGCTTCCTTTATATTCAAGAATACGGTACAGGGCGAAAAGCTTTACGAAGAGGGCGCAACTTTTTGCGAGTCGCCCAGGGTCTGATGAAGGCGCTGGTAGTACAATAAGGAGTTCATAATCACTATCAAGCCTCTTACACACATTGTTGTTATTGTTTTGAGCTTGACATATATCATTGTCTTCGATATACTCTGTTAGCTTAAGCAGCTCGAAGCGACATCCTACCAGATCCAGATAACGGGATATCCAGAACAATGGATCCACAAACAGATCTCAGTGACGGCGCATAAGATAGGCAAGTGGTTAAGGCTCCATAGGTGCATTCTGATTTGTTTAATAGGATGCTCAACACGTCCACAGGTTAAACTCCTTTTATGCAGTAAGTCTTGACCGCCCTTGATACCATCAAAGACACATGACTTCTATAAGAGCTAGTCCAGAGCTTGATTTAGTCCGGACCCGCCTCCCTGCACCTCCCGAGGGTTTCTTCCATAGAACAGACCATAATATAGTTACTCAATACTCCGTACACAGTTATAGATAGATAAGAAAATACCCGAAATTGGCCCTCTTTTATACAGCATGGCTAGTAGTCCATACTTCAACACTATCACCTCAAAATCATCCTTCAAAGCTTGTTTTAGTACGGAGAACAGGAAACTTTTCACACAACTTCATGATGTTAAGGCCAGTGATTGGAAGTGTGACCACTTGTTCGCTTGTTGTATTGTCTGGTGGGATACTCAGCACAGCATTCTCCTAATTCTATCACCATATCATTCCCCCTTAGATCTTTAATCTTCCCCTAAGATCATGAAGTTTCTAAATGGCCTAGATATTATCTATATAACCCTAAGTGAGCACTGTCTCATACAGGATCCTAATTGTAGTATATCTCTTAACCAAGTTTAAGGGGCACTAACAATATTCAAAGGTAGCGAGAAGCGACGTGGAAAAGATATCTCTAGAGTCTCACTAAAGCAGAGTAATAGTGAATCTAAGCTATCTTCGAAGCGTTTTCAAGAATGCACCGAGCGTCTCGCGCAAAGAGGTTATATCGACTTAAGGAAAATGTAAGTTAGATCTAGTAGTCCAGTAGCTAATAGATCCTAAGAGATATCTTCGATGGAGTTTATTGACACCAAATTGAACAGACTTCTAGCGTCCCCTAAAAATAAGACCTTACAACTAGTATTATATGTTATCCGGCATATTTTATACTTTACATCGCCACAAGATTCCGCAGATATGCCCACTATTGTGGAATTCCGAGACGCAAAAACAAGGCTATCTACCCGTACTCCCAAGTTGAATCAGAAAATCATAGCTATCAATAATGGAAGTCTATATTTACGAGAAGAATCAAGAGACATATTTAAAGTTCTCAAAAGCTGTATGGCTATTTGAAAGCCAAAAGACAATTTTAGTGTCTAGAAAATGGCCAGCCGACCATTTCGAACAATTGCTTCGCACAAATAACTTGCGAGGCTTTGGTAGCTAGATTAGCTGATCCTTTTAAGGAGCTATAATCCAATAGGTAATTTTTGGCTTCTTAATCATATTCCAATTTGCAATATACTCATGATATGAGACAGAGTACTGCTTATAAATGCTACGCAGCACTATATATGCTTCCTTGATTTTGAGATCAGTGATGAATATCTCCAAGATTTTGAATCATATGCGCCTCCTTGTTTCCTGCATGTTGACTCAACATCGTGGTTTGACCTTAGCTCTAGAAGCGGCAGAGAGCAGGCGGTCATGAATCTGTGTGGTATCATGTGCTGGGCCTAGTAATGATCTTCGGAGCATGAGGATATGAAGGAAATTGCTAATTTTATATACAAACTGGTTTCTCACCTTGATGCAGTTAACCTTGGAAATGTGTCCACGGTAGATCATGAACAGGTCGCTTTCGGTAACTTGAGTATGTAGGATGGGGCTCAATCATGTTTATTATAAGACATCGACCTTTTGCAGCTATTTTGCCTAGCGTCGTGCACATTCGCTTATAAAATCTCCCGTAGAACTTGCAAAAAAAGAGCGGTCACTGCAATAGAATTCGACGAGAGCACATTCAAGTACATGTTTCTCGATCAAAACGCCATGAAATCAACTAGCCTAATCAGCAGATTGGTTTGGGCATGCATTTCTCCTATGACCCTCAGTTCCACACGCGCTGCATTTCGGTGGTGCCCTGGTCCGGGGTTGTAAAGATGACGAAGCTAGTCCGCGCTGGGGGGCTTCAACTGCTTGTTCTGGTTGCATCGGTAATGAAGATTCATCCAAATCCAAGAGAGCTGCTTCGGCAGCTTCCTGGGCTTCATGTTGAGCCAGCTTTTGCTTTTCCTTCGCAAGATCAGGTTTGTTTGTATGTATGACAACAACCATGAAAACCAGGAAGTCCCAATGTCTTCTAAGGTTGGAAGCAGACAGGTATGTATCCGCCGATGAAATTTGCCTTTTCGATACTCTGTAGATTCGAGATTAATGTATCTGTAAACGATTGTATTGCCATTCTAGAATATGCCCCCAAGGTACAAATAGCGCTGGAGACTCAAAACCCAGTAAAATGCCCAGAACGCCTATGGGTCACCCATATAGCGCTGAGAGAGCACGGTATGCAAGAGAAGAAAGACCGAATGGTATCTGGTGTTGTTCATACTGTCGTGAAAGTTCAAAGAGATAAAATAGAACACCCCGCAACAGAAAATGGACTGCAGCTGGGCATGAAATAACCCACATAGGGGCAAATTCGCCACAGTCACGCCAAGAGTCATCATGGGATACCACCAGCAAGCATGAAGCAAACATGGAGCACAAGTGACTGCGAGTGCAGGCTCAGCAAAAAGCATCATTCAATCACGCGGGCACGTGCCCGTGGGGGTTCGTGGGGTTTGGGGGATATGATCCCATCATTTGATGGCATCCCAATAAAGAAAGGTTGGGATTCGAAGTTTGATAAATTGGACCCATCAGCAGAACTCAGAAATCACTGAATAATGCCTCATATTTCTTTTTCAGGTCGTCGGTGTAGATGTTGGCGTGTCTGACGTCGGGGGATCCGGGTATTCTTCGAAGTTTCCAGTATCCGCGGGGTGCGATAAGCGGGGAAGTATAGGCCCCTTCACCCGGCGGTAAAACAGATCGTCCCAGATGACATCTTGGAAGAATGGGTGCGACTTGACTCGGGTTGAACCACCTGAAATGTGACCGAGTCGTTCCGTTGGATTCGTTTTGCACAAAAGGGAGACAATATTCTGCGCTGCGGGCGGCATGTTCGGGGGAAAACGTAGGCGACCTTCGACGATCTGCTCATAGATCCGCATAGGGTTTTGATCCCAGAATGGGGGCTGGCCAATCAGGAACTCGTAAATCAGGATTCCAAGCGCCCACCAGTCTACTGCGAGGCCATGTCCACTGTTTTGAATGACCTCCGGTGCGAGATACTCCGGTGTGCCGCAGAGCGTGTATGTCTCACGGTTGTCGACTTGTTTCGCGAATCCAAAATCAACGAGTTTGAGATGACCATCGGCGTCCAGCAGAATGTTCTCTGGCTTGAGGTCCCGATAGGCAATTCCATGGACATCATGTAAAAACTCGATTGTCATTGTGATTTCCGCGGCGTAGAATCGTGAAGTTTCCTCACTGAAGCGTCGTTGCTTGCGAAGATATGTGAATATCTCGCCTCCAGGGCAGTAGTCCAGCTAACCGTTCGTCAGCACCCTGTAATATTTCCAAATTCATATCAAGCCCACAGAAGGTTCATACCAGCATGTAGAGGCTCTTGTCGTCCGAGAAAGACGCGATCAGGGTGGTGATAAAGGGGTGATCGATGACCGCTGCGAGGGCCTTCCGTTCGTTGCGCACATGTTCCACTTGCTTGAGTTTGATCACTGTCCAGCGCAATCGGTACAAGTTAGCCTTCGCCTCGCGCAACGTGAGACAATGTGGCGCTCACCATCTGCCTTTCGAAGGATTTTCAGGGCATAGACTTTGTTCTTGTCTTTTTGGTCCTTGAGCCTTGCGAGCCACACACGAGCGAAAGTGCCTAGAAAGACGGATCAACGGTTAGAGGTCGATCGCGCAACCGATACAAAGAGTTCCAAAGGTCCCTACCAGTCCCCAGGGTCTTGAGGAGCGCGAAATCGGTCACGCGCAAACTCCTCGATTGGATGCATAGTTGTTTCTCGCCCTGGCGCTCGGTGATAAGGAAAGGGTTGGAGGATCGCGGAGACGAGCGGAGCGTTTCGACAATGGATTTTTCGATCTGGTGAAGAGATCCGTTCGGTTTGGGAAAGACCATGGTGCCTGGCGCCTCATTCGGCGAGTGTTGCACTGTTCCAGTTGCCATTAGAATAGCGATCCGGAGAAGGAAAAAAAAAGTATGAGATCCGGCCCGTTAGCGCGCCACCAATCGGCAGCACAGCTTGAATGGAGGGCAAGGTCTCAGAGGCTCAGATTAAAAAAAACATTTAGGTCCGAAGCTGTCAAAAGGGAAAAAAGTCTGGTGGAGTTCAAAGAGGCGGGAGAAATACGAAAAGGGCTCTGACGTATTTGCTATGCGGGGCTAGACGGAACTCTACGAACTGAGTACATAAGCTAAAGAGCCTCTTCAGGGCGTTTGATTCGACCATGCATATTCCCTTATTGTACACCAAATGTTGTTCCTCTTTCCATGTTTATACTCTTTCATCCATATCTGCGACTGGATTAATTTGTGGTTGCGATGGAGGTATAGTGTTGGCCGTGTGGTAGTTGTAGGTGTAGGACAGCGCGTACTCAAGATACTCAAGACTTGGAGTTCAAGATCAAACCGACAATCAAGCTGACAGGTTAGTAAGGTCGGAAGAGTGTCTGACTCAGAGGGACCTACCCATAAAGACCAAGGACTTCTCCGAAAATCAAAATCAAAATCATTCCAACATAGACTCGGGATTGTTGCATGTATGCCCGAACACCCTGACATTGCTGTTAGTACCAATGGTTCACTCGGTCGTTGCAAACATGTCCGTACCGCATCTCCCACAACTCCGATTGTATACCCAGCAGCCACACCTGTAAGACCAACGGACATTCCTGCAGCCAAGTGCATGAAGCCTCTGCGCATTGTCAGCTTGTCCGAACTTGCGCCTTCGACCTTTTTCAACGTACGTATACAAGCTCATGTTGGTGGTTGGGCCCACCGCTTGCGCAATGAGAACTGCGATAACAAGACCGTAAACTGCGATAATACCGGACATGACGACAGGGATAAGGGACTGTCGGTAGAAATTCGGTTAGCTGCCGGGGTATACATGGAGATAGGCCTGAGTAGGTTTCTCACCTTCATAATCAGATCAGATCGGAAGGTTCCCACACCGGCAATACCGATGCCTGACTTCGCTGTGCCATAAGCTGCTCCTGCCGCTGTGAAATTGTAAGCTGTTTGTCCGGATGTCCCAGAGTCTAGAACTTCGAAATCTAGCTCCATCCCCGCAAGGTATTCCACATACACCCGAAGATCATCTTCAGGGGATTGTCAGTGATGCTGCATCAAAATATGATCAGGTGGTGATACGACTCACAGCAGCAGCAATGCCGGCCTAGCGGTAGACAGCTTGTTAGTCTCATGATCTGCGAGGTTGGCGACGGCCACTCACAAAGGAAAAGAACGGGGCGAACTTGGGGGCAAGCTCGCTCTCGGCCATGATGAATAGGCAAGACTCGTCTTGCAATCGAAACGAGAAAAAAAAAGGCTGATTGACGAAGTCCGAAGATGGCGTGGAAGGGTAAGGTGTGTTCGCTCCTTGTTCCACATGGTCATTTCGCCCGCCGTAGTCCACGCATTGTTCCCGCTCGGGCGGTGACCATACGATACTTGCAGTATTCGGTGTATCCCCCCGCGTTAACCGGCACTTTGAAGGTCTCCCCGTATTGAAATTACATACCGGCCTCGCCGTCACCGTGGACCTTCTTCTCCTGGGCCCCCTCCCCCAAGTGTATCACTACATTTTCAACAACTACCCACCCCCCCACCTTCACCTCGCTACCCTACTCTCTCTTGGTTGTCTCGGAGGATGCTGAGGGTATGAAATCGAAGGGAGCCTTGGTTTTGTTGCGCTCACGGCTCCTGGCGCTTCTCTATTAACGTTTGATATCCGCCTTCAAATCCATCTCAATCCCAAACTGAGGGGAGTTATGGCATATTAAGTCCTATTGCCTGGAAACGTCTTTTTTATTATTTTATTCGCCATTGTCTCCGGCATTTCCCCTCTCCGTCCTCTCCGTCGTTTCCCTCCGTTGCCCACGATCTTGAACAGACCTATTGCGACGCCCTGAACGCTCTTCACGATCAACACGGATACCCCCTTTCACCTCTCTTTCGGACCCCGGGAACAGATCCTTCTTGTATATCCGACCGATCTTCGACTGCCCGCTTGGGATCGCTGACATCTCGTAAAAAATGGCGGATCTGGGTGGTCAACGTAACCGGAACTACCGGCCTCACGGACCGGCCTCGTCGACACAACGGGATGCTGCGTTTTCCGATATTTTTGGAGGCGCACCACCCGCAGGACGCTCTCAAACCATGAACTCGCAGACCCCTCAATTCTCCCAGGGTCGTGCCCATACTATGTCGTCGCATGTTGCGCACCCTCAATTCTCGAGACCGCCGCCGACGCCCACGCGGCAAGGACCCAATGGGTATGGACCGCCATCAGCACCGCCGAATGGATATCCCCCCGCCGCCGCCATCTGGACAGTATCAAGCCTATAACCCAGGAGCTGCAACAATGTCTTCACATCAGCCCCCTCGACCGCACCCGGGGGCCCAACAACGATTCGCCGCTTATCCCCGACCCCAGCGCCTGGAGACGCGGCCAAGCCCTTCACCCCAATACCCAGATCCCAGAGACTTCAGTCGCCCAATGCCCCCACCTGCACTGAATTCTGATGCATCCCGATCAAGGTCGATGGCGAAATTGAGCGGGCCGCCTCTGCAAACCCCACCAAGCAACTTCAACCACACCTCTGCCATTGCTTCTCGTCGTGAGCAATATCATGCCGGTGCCCCAATCACTCAGTTGGGTCGTCCGGTGCCGGAGAAAAATACCAACGAGCGGGCCATGTCCATGACTTCCTGGTCGTCGGATCGAGATGCGCACATCATGAACAGTGGAAGGTCGATTCCATATCGTAGACCACCCTCGGGTCATGATCAGCAAAACACGATGCGCGACGCGGTGCAGACTACCCCAAGGAGCGATTCCATGACGCATCCTAGTCCTCTGATGACGCAGCCCAGTCCTCTGATGACACAGCCTAGCCCAGAGGCGTTTGCAGCCTCTCGCCAACCGAGTGATGGATCAGCTAGGTCTCGAACCATGTCCATGGCGTCAACAATTGCACCCGATAGGACAATGAGTGTCCAAAGCCAAGCTACCCAAAGCTCATCTGGCCAGACAACACTTGTTGCTAGAGATTCACAGCGCAAAGTTCCGGTGGTCTACCCTGCGCTACTCTCTCTCGTGGCTGAAATTTTCAGGGAAAAGATCTCACTTGGTGAACGTCAGAAGAACGGTCTCTCGTACCAAAACGCATTTTCGGGTACTGACTCTGTGGATTTGATCGGCTCCATCATCAGAACTAACGATCGCAACCTGGCTCTTCTTCTTGGCCGTGCGCTGGATGCCCAGAAGTTCTTCCATGATGTCACTTACGATCATCGTCTGCGCGATGCCCCAGGCGAGGTTTATCAGTTTAAGGAAACTATGGGAGAGGAAAAGTCCACAGCTGATGTTAATGGTGTTTTCACGCTCTTGACTGAATGTTATTCCCCGACTTGCAACCGAGATCAACTCTGCTATTCAATCGCTTGCCCCCGAAGACTTGAGCAACAGGCAAGATTGAATATCAAGCCTCAGCCGGTACTAGGAGCTGGAGACGTTACCACCGCGCCACCCGACGACGACGATGATACCGATAACCAGAAGCTGTGGATCAGCACTGTTCCGAAGGAAGTTTCGGATTCTGTCGATGATCGCGAGAAGAAGCGCCAGGAGATCATCTTCGAATTGATGTACACCGAACGAGACTTCGTCAAGGATTTGGAATACTTGCGAGATTTCTGGATGAGACCACTGCGCGCTGCGGGCACCACAACTCACTCGCCAATTCCAGAGCACCGACGGGAGAAGTTCATTCGGACTGTGTTCGGTAACTGCTTAGAGGTTCTCAAAGTTAATAGCGCTCTGTGCGAAGCTCTGAACGCCCGTCAAAAAGAAAACGCAGTTGTGCAAACTATTGGTGATATTGTCTGCCAACATGTTCCCAACTTCGATCCATTCATTAAGTATGGTGCCAACCAACTCTACGGCAAGTACGAATTTGAAAAGGAAAAGGCTTCAAATCCGGCATTTGCCAAATTTGTCGAGGACACGGAGCGTCTCAAAGAATCCCGAAAACTGGAGCTGAATGGTTACTTGACGAAGCCTACCACTCGTCTTGCAAGATACCCGCTTCTCCTCGAGGGTGTACTGAAAACGACAGCCGACAGCAACACAGACAAGGAGGACATTCCAAAGGCCATCAAATTAATCAAGGACTTCCTCTCGCGCGTCAACGCTGAAAGTGGTAAAGCAGAGAACCACTTCAATCTCGTTCAGTTGAATGCTGCGCTCAAGTTCAACACTGCGGACTATGTCGATCTGAAACTTACGGAAGAAAACCGACAAATGCTCATGAAGATGGCTTTCAAGAAGACAACGGCCGACAGCTCAGATGTCACGGCATATCTATTTGATCACGCCGTGCTCCTCGTCCGAGTCAAGGTGGTCAACAAACGTGAGGAGGTCCGGGTCTATAGGAAGCCTATTCCTTTGGAGCTGCTGGTTATTGCTCAGATGGAAGAGGTCATTCCACGACTTGGTATCGCGAAAAGGCCATCTTCTAGTCTCCTCTCGAACAAGGCAGTCATCAACAACCCCCCTCCCGCCAAAGATGGTGGTTTGCCAATCACTTTCAGACATCTTGGTAAAGGTGGATATGAGCAAACTCTATATGCCACGAACTCCGCAACACGACGAAAGTTTATTGAAGCTGTTGAGCAACAGCAGGAGAAGCTGTGGGAGCGCAACAGTAACTTCTACAACAAGACCATTCTCAGTGAGGGCTTCTTTGCAGCGGTCAACCGTATCAACTGCCTTGTCCCAATAGGTAACCAAATGCCGCTCCATTGCACGTGTAATCTCGCTAACCAAATATATCAGATGGCGGTCGGAAGTTGGTCTACGGTACCGATAATGGTATCTTCGTGTCTGAGCGTTGGCCCAAGGACAAGTCAGCCAAGCCGAAAAAGGTTCTCGAGGCTACCCAGGTCACACAAATCGATACCTTGGAAGAATACCAGCTGTTGTTGGTTCTTGCAAACAAGACCCTTTCCTCCTATCCTATGGACGCTCTTGATATCTCCGAGGGCCAAAATACTATGGCAAAGCGTCCAAAGAAAATTCAAGGTCATGCCAATTTCTTCAAGGCAGGAATTGGTCTTGGGCGTCATCTGGTCTGCTCGGTCAAAACATCAGCCCTCTCAAGCACAATCAAGGTCTACGAGCCAATGGACAATCTGGCCAAGGGAAAGAAGAAGTCGGCTGTCAGCAAAATGTTCCAAAGTGGCCAGGATACCCTCAAGCCATTCAAGGTTCGTTCAATCCTCGATTGCTCTCTTCCAACACTTCTAACATCTTTATGCAGGAATACTACATACCTGCAGAGTCTTCTTCGATCCATTTCTTGCGCTCTACTCTTTGTGTTGGTTGTGCGCGTGGCTTTGAGGTTGTCAGTCTCGAAACCACCGAGACGCAGTCTCTCCTCGACCAAGCAGACACGTCTCTTGACTTTGTCGCACGCAAAGAGAACGTCAAGCCCATTCATATCGAGCGCATGAATGGTGAATTCCTGCTCAATTATAGTGACTTCTCGTTCTTTGTCAACCGCAATGGATGGCGAGCCCGTCCAGATTGGAAGATTGCCTGGGAGGGTAACCCGAACGCATTCGCGCTCTCCTATCCCTACATCCTAGCATTTGAGCCGAACTTCGTTGAAATTCGCCATGTTGAGACCAGTGAATTGACGCACTTGATGACCGGGAAGAACATTCGCATGTTACACAGCTCCACTCGCGAGGTATGTTACTTGCGCCTTACATTTCGTCTCCTGACCAAACGCTGACTTTTTCTAGATCATCTATGCCTATGAAGATGATCACGGCTACGATACCGTCGCCAGCTTGGACTTCTGGACCAACAAACCCCAACAACACGTATAATGCCTGGAAGATGTGACACCTCCCTCTGGTGCCGTCCACCCGTCCTCGACATCTCAGCCCTGGCACCACCCACATCCACCCCTCCTCATCATCAATGACAAACTTTTGACGGGGCCAACCCGTCTTTTCTTTTCTACGCAATGTACAATGGAGCGCAAATACCACTTCTTGCGTGTCTGCTTTCTTGCCTTTCCCCGTTCAACCCTTTTTTTCTTCTCTATTTCTTGCCAATTGCATTTTGCCTACCTCCTTTCTGTCCTCAAAACTTTACTTTCTAGTGCTATCTTCCGTGGTTCTGTTTCTACACTACCATCTCATGGCTTTTTTTCACCTTCTACCTGTATTGTTTTGAGCTCGAGGTATCTTGTCTGTTATACTTAGCAATTTCATTGATGTGGATGGTTCCTTTGCATTGCGGATGGGAGAATCGAAGTAGGCCTAGCTTAACTTCTTTAATGCCATTGAATTCGATCTTGGAATGATTGTTTGCGATATATAAGTATGGAATCTCTCCAGGTCTGTTTGTTAGTATGATGGATAACCTCGGCAGCAACCGTGCCCAAGTAATCGATGGATCCATGGAAGTGAATCAATTACGAACAGATCTCATATGTATAAACTATGACGTCCATGGATGATAAAGACATGATGCCTTCACTTCAGGGTCAATCATTATTGCATTTGCAGAAGAGATGGTACCTGTTCGAGAATAGTTGGTCAAATCCAAATGTCTTGAGTACTTTCGATGGTACAGATATAGAAGGTGAATTGCCTGTCCTAAAAATATTCATCACTCCTCACTACCGAATCGTTTCCGAGGTCATGGTGCCTTGTTTACCTGAGTCTGTTCTCCCTTTTGGTGTACGTTCTATTAAAGCCTCAAGGTTGGGTGTTCTAACGTTGGCAGCAGAGATATCACATTGGTCCTTGGGAACATTCCGATGTTTCCCATGTAATTCGTACACCATCTGGGCAATACCGTGGTCATGTGTCAGGCATAATATTACCCTAAAGAGCTAGGTACTACTCCAGGGTCTCAAGGCTGTGACGGAGATGGACAGTATACGTCGCTGCCCCGAAGCCACAATTCCTAGACATCTCTTCAATAGAGAGGTTATCGACAGATCACAACAATAACATCATAGCTAAAGACTACAATGCCAGTACGGAGTAAAATGTATAGCCAGATACTTTTTCGTCCTCTATTACTATCGGTAGGAAGACAGGAGGGGAAAAAGGAGAGATAATGAAGAAGACATGAGCCACGAACGCAAAAAAACAAGAGAAAAGGGAATATTGCTGCGCTGCGGGCTTTGGACAAGAACTAGAGAGAAAGCAGGGAAGATGGGGAATAGAAGTGATGCAGCAACAGGTCCCGGTGGCAGCTGGTGATGTGATAAAAGAAAAACAAACCACGCGACCCAAACACAGGGGAAGACATGGTGTCGGGAAGGTCACCAGATGGGGTCGTGAGCCAAAGATATATGCCGAGCCAAGTCTTCCAGGAAGAAGCTGGGAGATTGACGGACGCGTTGCCTCCCTTGTCTTGCCTGGGACACCGGGCTATCGTGAGTTGGACCCTCCCCGCAGAAGAAAAGAAGAAAAAAGCTATTAACGTGAATAAACAGTCAATATTATCCCATAAACAAAAGCCAACTTGGTGCCTGGAAGTCCATGGCACAGAACGGTATCACATTTCGAACCAGCGCCCCACGGAACGAGCCGCATCGCCGACAGGGTATATCTAGGCCTCTCCGTTGGTTGCTTCGGGACCCAGGGACTGCTGCTCGCGCTGCATGCGGGCCTCGATCTCGCGAAGCTGGCTCTCGCGAGCCAACAGCTCCTGTCGCTTCTCGGCGATCTCGCGCTGGACCTTGATTTCGATCTCGCGCAGCTTCTCCTCCTCGCGGCGGAGTTGTTCCTCCTTGAGGCGCACGGACTGGGAAGCAAGGTCTTCGGGGTTCATGGAAGAATCTTGGCCGGAACTGATCAATCAAGTTAGTAAGGATTTGAGAGTCTGATGGAAAGATAACATACGGAGAAGCACCATCGACGCTCTTGCTGAGCTTCTCGGTACGGTAGTTCTCGTAGAGGAAGTCGTGAGTGATCTCCTTCAGATCACCCAAGTGGCTGTGGAGAAGAGCACTGCGGATAGCGAGGAAGTCGGAATGGCGAGGGTTCTCGACCTCGACAACACCCCATGGGTACTGGCGCGCGCGCACCTGACGGTCATCGATTGTCACAAAGTCGTCGGATCCAACAATGGCGAACGGCATAAGACCACGCAGCTCAGCATTCTCCTCGACGGTATCTTCATCATCCTCCTCAATGTCGTAGGGGAAGTTGTAGACGGGAATACGGTAGTGCTCGATGTCCTCCATGATCAACTTCTTGGACTCGGCCAATTCGGCGGGAGTGAGAGAGTCGGCCTTTCCGATGACGGGGATAACGTTGACACGGGGGGAGAGGCGCTTCATCAGTTCGATATCGAGTTCACGCAGACCGTGGCCGGTGGGTGTGATGAAGTAAAGCATGACGTGCACTCGGTTATCTCTGAAGCGAGGGTTACGCTTGATTCGCGACTCCTCTGCAAGAATATCATCGTATTGGCGCTCGAGGTAACCGACAATCTCACCGAAACTGTTCGAGGGGTCAGTTAATGTGCAAATGCTCACGGGACCGGTGTACGTGCCTGGCTTCGTTGTCAATCTGGTCACCGAATCCGGGGGTATCGACAATAGTCAGGGAGATACGGGTTCCCTCGTCATCAAGTTCAAGCTCTGTATATCGTTCATCAGTACGGGCTCGATGCTGGGTACTGCGCGGGGGGGAATTCGACTGACCGACGGTGGTGGGCTTGATACGCACACCCTCCTCGAGGTGAGCATTGGCAGCATCGTCGGCATCCTTGCCCTCCAGAACCTGCTTGCCGCAGAGAGTGTTGACGAAAGTTGTGCGTCCTATCGGCGAACAAGCTGTTAGCTTTCGTCTGACCCCCATGGGAGATCGGGCAGCATACCAGTTCCGCTGGCACCGCAGACCATCAAACAAAACTGAATTCCCTTCTTGACATTCTTCTTGCGACGGATCTTGATCTACCCGGAACGAGCGCGGGCGTGCAATTAGCTTTGACATTTTTGCGAGAGGATAGGGGACGCCAGGTGCCTACCGCGTTGAGTGCTGACGACATTGTGAGAATAGTATTGAATTAAACAAGTATGGGGAAAGAAGAAGTCGAAGTAATAAGGAAGAGTGAAACTTGGCTCTCCTGAGAGTCTGGAGAGAGAGAGAGTAGGGGGGAGACAGTTCGTGTTTCCCCCTTTCCCAAACAGGTGACCAATCACCGCATCGCTCAATTCTCCAGTTTGTTCTACTAGTTTGTATATTGGCTATATCGGTATTTTACTCGACGCTGGATATATCACAATTGACCAGTGTATTCGAAAAAGAAATAATCCTATCAATTCAGTTTTCTTCCCCTATCTCGTGCATTGTCTCTATTGAATATTTACTTGACTGATGTACCCAATTGAGGGCCAACTCAGGGGGAAGTGGGTCATTTGCTATATGCTTATGTAATACATGCCTGAGGTGTCGAAGTGGATAGCTTGCCCGCATTGCTCTTATCGATATACCGTCGAGAGCACTTCCCTCTTCATGTTCTTGCTATTGCTGGACGTGCTGCATGACTGAGCCCAAAATACGGTGTTTACACTGCAAGGCTGTCTTCTCACCCTTCTCATAAAGATGCTTCGTTGACTTTGCAATGAATACCCGCCAGTCGATCGACGAGTCCATCGGGCCATACTCACTATCAGTAACCTTCAACCATGATAACAGCTGCTTTTCAGTGGGGATGGATACGGGCTTCTGTGGTAAGCTTGGCCTTAAAGAAAGAAACCTTCCTTCGGGGAGGAAATCTGAGCTATACTTTGTTCTATGTATTGGACCGAAGCTGATACCTATCAACCGTTAGTATATAATGCCAACCCTTGCGAGCTTAAGGTCTTAAGAGGTGAGAGCTACCCTCGCCTTTAGCAACCGGTCTCTTTGAACTACTCAAGTGCTAACTGAGCAGACTTCAATGCTGGCATCGGAGTAGCCGAGATGTTGGGCCAGTCCAACTACCTGGCCATCGTTGGGGGTGGGAGAAACCCCAAGTTCCCCCAGAACAAGGTGCGTGCCACTACCAGCGTAGATTAGAGCCCTGAAATTGACTGAAACTCCTCAGCTGGTCATCTGGGACGATGCCAAGCAGAAAGCGGCCATCACGCTCGAATTCCGGACCTCGGTACTAGGCGTTCGTCTATCGAAATCAAAGATCGTCGCCGTGCTGTTGAACAGTGTTCATGTATTTGCCTTCTCTAACCCACCAAAGAAGCTTTCGGTGTTTGAGACCTCAGACAACCCCCTAGGACTCGCTTGTCTTGACCAAAAGGTACTAGCCTTCCCAGGTCGATCCCCGGGCCAGGTCCAGATGATAGAACTGGAGACTGGAAATATCAGCATTATCCCAGCGCATAGTACTCCACTCCGAGCAATGGCACTGAGCCCAGATGGAAAGCTACTGGCAACGGCTAGTGAGTCGGTAAGCTCCCAAACGCGGTGCTTGTTCGCGGGTAGAGCAGGTTCATTAATACGTATCTAGGGAACACTGGTGCGGATCTTTGCTACTGGAAACTGCACCAAGTTGGCGGAGTTGCGACGTGGAGTCGACCACGCGGTCATATTTTCCATTGCATTTTCACCATCCAATACTATGCTGGCCGTTACATCTGACAAGTCCACTCTTCACATCTTTGATCTTCCCCAGCCACCTATCAGCCGTCGCAGCCAATCACCGACACCAACTTCCGAGGAATCAGCACCTAGCCAAAAATGGGGAATCCTTGGCAAAATTCCATTGCTTCCTCGTGTCTTCTCAGATGTCTACTCGATTGCGAGTGCACATTTCGAGATTGGCGAAGGAACCACCCCTGGTTCGGCGTATGTACCGACAAGTGGACCATCCTTTGGTCGGCCCCAAAAAGGACTGCTAGGGTGGTGCGATGATCAGACTCTCTTGGTGATAGGTTCCGGAAGAGAGGGACGATGGGAGAAATTCGTGCTTCGGGAAGGCGAAGAAGGCAAACGATATTGTGTGCGGGATGGTTGGAAACGATATCTTGGCGGTGGTTGAGGCCGCAACTGCCAACAAAACCTTCACGACACCTCGCCGACGGTGAAATATCACGAGCAGATGTTAAGATGATTCTATTTCCAGTTGCTGGATCTCGCGCTCATACCAAGCGCGAACAGTGAAATGTTTCTGCTGGACGATCTGGTATTCGCAGGTCTTTGCCCAGTTTATGTAGCCACAACAGAATCACGAACGTGGCCATGTTGTAGTATATTTGATTCAAGAGAATGAATCCTTCGAGCTGTGATCATGTTCTGTATCTGTCGTATACTAAGTATGAACCAAGGGCAGCGCAGCTGCTGGGAGCAAGACAGTGATATCTTGGATCTCGTTTCGGATGTGGCTCATTTGGGGGGTGCGAAGAGCTTTACTGTCAATCAAATAACCACGAGTAATGGAAACGTGCTGGAGGACGACAAAAAGCGTTCGATAAGACCGATAATTCAATTCGTAGTCCGGTCGGACAGGGACATAGTCACGGCATTGATGCTGACTTGCAGCATTCAACGGCGACGATCATGTCTATCCCTGTCAGATCGGTGACGCCGAGAGTCGGGCGAGCGTGAGTCCCTCGAAGGACGGTCTCTTCGCGATCGTTCTCTTTCAGAAGATCTGTGCCGAGAACGTCTCTCCTTATCCGGAGAGCGAGATCGGTGGCGACGATGATGCCGGCTAGATCGCTCTCTGCTATGATCGCGCCGCCTGCTTGACTTTTTCGAGCTGTTCCAGGCCTCGATGGCGCGAGCAACCTCTTCCTTCTTCTCCTCGATCAAGAATTCCTTCATTGGGTCCTCCTCGTCGTGAGTGCGCATCAATTCTTGCAGTTCTTTCTCCTCTTTCAGCATCGGACGTTGGTCTTCAATCTGCCGCCGGCTGTGTCGATCGCCTTTGCTATCTTTGCTGTCGGGAGCCGGGTCACCCATCAGTTTGGCAACATTGTCTTCCTCTCCCTCGTCATCCTTGCGCTTGTACCGCGTGTGGTCAACCCGAAGCATGCGGCCCAGAACAGTTGCACCGCCGAGATTATCCACTGCAAGATCTGTACTGCGCTGGTCTTCGTATTTTAAAAACGCGAATCCCTTGCTCTTGCCGGTTTCCTTGTCGCGAACCAGGTTGACATGCACCGGCTCTCCGTATTGAGAGAAGATTGCGACAATATCACCCTCGGATAGATCAAACGGAAGGCCTCCGATATAGACATAAGCTGTATCACGGTAGTCTGCATGCCATGATGCCTCTGGAGGTCTAGAGTAAAACCGTCAGTCTCGAGCTGGGAGGAGCTTCGCATAAGCGCATTAGCCCATAAGAAGGATTCAAACTCACACGGCGTTTTCTAGCTCGCGCTTATTGAGCGCCTGAACCTGACGAATGGAATTCATGGGGCAGAATGGATGGAGTTGCAAATGAAGAGAGAAAGTTGGAGTGCGCAGAAGTTGGAGAGAAATGTGGAGCCGCGGAACCGTAATATTCAATTGTTTACGCACCTGAACGCAAACTAGCCCCCTGCTCAATCAAAGACGGTCGTCGCCACAAGACCACTTTGTCTTAGTGACTTGCAATTGCCTCCAGGTCCTCGCGAGTGGGCTAGCTCTTAGCACCGCCGAAAACCTACATCCCCCCGTCCTCGGGATTCCCCTGACCGCGCCTCATCTCCCCTCAACTCAACATACGCGCAAACTACAACTGCAGTGCCACAGACCAGATCGACCACTACCAGATTGAATGTCCTTTGAGGCATGGTAGAACTTGACTAGACGATATGTCTTCGTCCAGTCCGAACTCAGGGTCGAAGACCGGAACCAACAGTCGACCGACCAGCAAAGACGGCTCTAAGAAGAACATTTGGTCTTCGCTATTAGATACCGTTGCTAATGGGAAGCGCTTGCCTGAAAAGAACTTGTTGGTGCTAGGTTAGTTATGTTGCCGCTGGGGCATTCCAGTCCCGCTCACTGCAGCTTCCAGCCCCGATCGCTTGCCCGGCCTTCCTCATTCACATGTCGCTAACATCTATAACAAAGGTGGTACACCGGACAGCCAGCGAGAATTCCTCGACACCTTCTCCGCCGATACATCTGCGGACCCCGCTCTAGCAAATGACAAACGAAAGGGTAAAGGGAAGGTCCCGCCAATCGCCAATCAGTTTGCGCTCGGCTACACATATCGAGATGTTCTTGACGCCGATAAAGAAGGTACATGAGACACCCTGATGCGCGCCTAGATCTTGGTAGCTAACATGCTGTACAGATACGCTGGCCCGCGTCTCAGCTTATCTCCTGTCCGAACCCTCTCCGTCATTTGCGCCCCTTCTCAAACCACTCTTGACCCCCAAGTCTGTACCGGAAACGCTGGTTGTGATCCTAATGGATTGGTCAGACCCATGGACGTGGGTCCGGAGGCTCAGGGAATGGGTCCGTCTACTGCGCTCTGTACTTGTTTCGCTCGACGACGAGACCAAGATTGTTATGGAAGAAACAATGCTGGAATGGCGTGACCGTAAACGAGGAATGGATGCGACTAACGCGACTGCCGGTGGCCTTTCAAACTCAAGTGGCCCAATCACAATACCTCTAGGTCCAGGCGAATGGGATGAAGGCCTCGGTATTCCTATGTGTGTTGTCTGCCAAGGAGTATGTGAAGGTTCCAAAGAACTCAATCCAGCACAGCTTTGCTAACTTGGATTTTCCCTCAGGCGGACAAAATTGAGAAACTGGAAAAGGATCATGGATGGCATGAAGAGCAATTCGACTTCATCCTCCAGTTCCTCAGAACGATTCTCTTGAAGCGTAAGGCTCATCGATCATTTTGCACATGATCTCCATTGTTTATTGTTCGTATGTTCTAACATTGATCAGACGGCGCATCCCTCATTTATACTACCCCATTCCTGGCAGGCTCACTTCAGGGCTTAGTCCACTCCTCACTCGGCATACATTCTTTGCTGAAGAAGGAATCATTAAAACATAATGTCATTGACCGCGACAAGATTCTCGTGCCAGCAAACTGGGACTCATGGGGCAAGATTCGAATCATCCGAGAGGGGTTCGACATGGAAGGAGTGTCAACGGCGTGGTCTATCGAGATTCAAGATCCCCCCGAGTCGATCTATCAAACCACAAACAGTGCCCAAGAAAACGAGCACGGCCTAGCGGAAGATGGCACAAGTGCCGTGACCACGTTTGAACAAACAATTTATGATCCCAAGCAAGGCACAGTTGGCGCCAACCCGAACAACAACAGCACCAAGATCGAGATTGAATCCACTGATCTCCAAGATTTCTTTGCGAATCAAGCGAATATTTTGGAAGATCTTAAAGCCAGAGACGACAAGGAGCACACAACTCAGCAAGCACCACAACTGGAAATGTCACCCATGGCCGACGAAGGCAAAGTAAACGAGCATATCGGTCCTGTGCAATTCAACATGGGCGGAATCCAAGTGGACGCCGATGATATGTTGAAAAAGCTTCGGGTAAGCACTTCACAACCAAGTCACCTCCATCTTAGAACCTTGCTAAATTATTCATCCAGGATCGAGAAGCCGTTCGAACTCAAAAGAAAGAGACTCCAACTCCGCCTGCTAGCGATGACAAGGCGCACAATCAGGCTTTGGCAAACTTCTTTGCTGGTCTTGTCAAGAAACCTGGCTCAAGTCCCCGTGGAAGCCCCTCGGCTTGAACTCTCTTTCTTTCTTTCCCTGTATTTTAGTTCGCCCATACATAGTACAGAGCCTAGGAGTCTCGCTTTTGGCAATGAGTTGGCTGTTCGGAGTATAGATGGAGGCGGCTCTTTGGGGTCCATTATCTTAAAGGAGCAGACGGGAGCCCTGCTCTGTGGTTCCAAGGTTACTTCAGGAGTGGAAGGAGGCCCTATGGCTTTTCGGCAGGTGTTAGATAGTGATACCAATATGAAGTCTGATTTGTTGTTACATTTCTAAATTGCTCTGGTAACTAGCCAATACAACATGGCCCTGAAGCTATATGACTTAAGTGTTGCAAATCAAAGATGAATCAAAGATCGGTCAACTTTTATACCAGGCCCTTCCGACGTCGCCTGAGATCACCAGTTCTCCCAGACAGCATCGGGCAGAACATTTCTCATGATAGACCAGTGCGCCAAAGCACTGCGATCTTGATACTTGTGCAATCTGCCGGCCTCCTTGTCCACCAGTAGCCGTCTGCCACCCTTGGGCCAATGGGCAAACATAGAAGCGTCTAGCTCATGGGTGGGGACAAGGTAGCTTTCGCGAGATCTGCTGCGCAAGTAGTCCGCCGGAACAGGGTCACGGAAGCTGAGTGGGGAATCAGTCTTCTTGCAGAACAGAACCATGTTGGTGAACTTGGAGTCCTCCTCGTTGCCGGCAGGAGCTTCGCGGAAGATACGACAAGTCGGGAAGACAGCTCGGATGGTGCGGACGACAAGTCCGGTCGGGTAGAGAGTCAGGTCTCCAGCGTAGTTCTGAGATGGTGAGTGCATGCTATAGGGGTCATATCCGGGTAGAACTTACGATTGCAATGACACCGTCGTCCTTGAGGAGAGAGTGAAGGCCTGTGAGGAACTCAAAGGTGAAGAGTTCAGCGGGCTCGGCGCCACCAGTGAACACATCGTGGACAATGTAATCATACTGGGGCGACTTTCCGGATGCTTCGGCTTTTTTGACATACTTGACAGCGTCTTGGATCACAGGAGTATGGTTTGGAGGAAGATTGAAATACTCGGTGGCAAATTTGTGCACGACTGGGTCAATCTCGACGATTGTGGTCTCAATGCCGTGCTTGATCAGGGCGGCGGGTGTTGTACCAATTCCGAGACCACTGCTTTCGTTAGTTGGGGTTTCACAGGATTGAGAGAGTGTTCTTACATGACGAGAGCATTGCTGTTCGCATCGACGCGGGGGACGCCATTATCAGGTTCAACCAAGCGGACGGCCTCCAACATAGCAAAAATAGCGTAAATAGGATCCTCGACCTCGGGGCGATATCCAGCAACGTGCTTGGTCCACTGGCCGCCAAGCAGACTGTGGTCGCAGCGCATAACGCGGAATCCGTCATTATCGTTCTCCAGAACGGAAATGTATCCCGTGTACGCTTCCTGACGGGCCAGCAAAGTGTATCCTTCATGCTGGATAGCAGAGTTGACACCGTTGATACCGGCAAAATGGACGTTGCAAGTCACCGAGAAAATGATAGAAGGGATTGCGAGGACCAGCCACTTTGAAGGGAGCAAAGCAGAGTAGCCGATAGCAAGAAGTATCTGCATACCGACCCTGGTGAAGAGGAATGAAGTACCAACAATCCACGAGAGCAGAGTCGTGGCGAAGTGCTCGCCAATGGAATAGAGCACATATGTGCCAATCAGGGGTACATGCTCAACAACCAGATCACCCTGTGCCTCCAGCCTCAAGGAGGTCTGGATTTGCTTGCCGGCATATGCCACGGTGAGTAGCACTAGAGGATAATAACCGCACAGCTCCGTGATCACCGGGCCTGTGGGGTTTCCGATCTTGGAGCTCTGCTGTTTGATCAAGTACTGGATAGTGGGAACCCAGAAAGCCAGCACAGGGAGCAAGTAACCACCGAGGCGCCCCAGGCGCCTCACAATTTGGTCCTTGAGCAGCCAGCCGAGTCCACCGGAGATGCACACTCCAAAAGCATGGAAGATCTTCGAAGGAAGATATCCATAAGTCGGCGACAAGACCAGCTTCGAAAGGGGCGAGTAGAAAGCAAGCAGGACGAGCAAGGCCATGCCGGTACCGAAGCGCCGGCGATCGACCTGCTGCAAGAAGTCCTGGACAGGCATGGTTTCCAGCTGTTACAATTCTTGATTTGAGTGGCTAGTACATGCGGAATTGACCAACGTATCTGCGAGCTGGTCAGCGATTTGAAACTGTGTCCTTTTCCATTTTTCAAGGGAATATTCGACGTCCGAAAGACCCCGAGCTGTTTCAACTAAAGGATCAACTTACTCTTTCAAACCAGACACATCAAAAGAAGCTCCCGTCGAGAAAGAAAAGTTATTGCGGAGAGGAGGCTCTTTTGCCGCCACATTCCGCGTTCCCAACTTCAACCACCACCTTCTGAAACAACCATGCCACATTTCCCCAAGGACTCCGGGTTCACACCCAAAGATACTCAAAGTCATGCTGTTACAGTCAAGAACCGTCGCAAGCGGTATCTGGACTCGCATCCAGAGTACTACTCCGCGGATCTTGAGCTAGCCGGTCCGCCTGCTCTTTTCTCTCCCAATGCCCAGCTGATCATATGTCATTTCACTTGATCGCGAACGCTGGCACTGCATATAAAAGGATCTACCCATCCAATGCTAACATTGCTCGACTCTCTCCAGACCCTTTAATGTACGATCGCCTCATCCGCCGATTCCAAACACCAGAAGAAAGAGAAGCTGCAGGAAGAGCGAAAGGGTTCTCCGGCATCTTGCAAACAGACATCATGCGATCCGAGGCCAGAATGGACGCGATCTCCCATCCGGATCCTCATGCCATGATGAACTACACTCGCGGCCCGGATGGGGAGGTCCTCGCTGAGGACCGTGATGAGATCCCGCCGAATAAAGAAGAAGGCGAGCGGCTCTGGCAGTGGGAAATGGGGCTGCGGTTTATGCAGGGCAATGATCCCGATTTCGACTATAAGACCGTTGATGAGAACGAAGAGTATGACGATGATTCCGACAAGGTAGATCAGTACTTCGAGGATGAGGAACCCGAGTGGGTGGTTGGTGATACCCGCGGAGAAGATGCCCGCACCAATCTACATGGAGAGACTGGTGTTCAGGACTTTTAATCGCAGTCTGCTGGACGAATGAGTCCAGTGGTTTATACTCCTGATCAAACGTATATCACGAGAGCTTGCAATTTTGGCCTTTGTTATGATCATCTATTGGCAATTCCAGACACCTTTTAATTGTTTCTTATTTCAATATCTCTATCTACTACATTTTTGACCCTATCGGACTTCCAACCTTGCAAGGTTTACCCTTGACCCGTGGACCCGCACGATCTTGAGTATTCTCTGTGGATGAGATCACTTGGAAATGTGAGTATATACAGTATCACTGATCTTCTATGCTTATGTACAAGGGATCGAAGGCCTGTATATCACAAATCATGCAGCACTTGTTGCCAAAAGCTCAACAGCCCTCGCTCTCAGCTTGAACTTCTGGATTTTCCCACTCGCTGTCTTGGGGAAAGACTCCAATGGCCCCAAAAAGAAGACGTGCTTCGGAACTACGCAAACACCATCAGCTTCGATTTCAAACTAGTTCGAGTCTTGACTTACCAAGATGGTTGCTCAGCTTCTCGCGTACCCATTGCTGAATCTTCTCTTCGGTGATGGTGGTTGCGCTGTGCTCTCGGGGTACAACAAATGCAGCCACAGCTTCCCCGTACCTCACATCGGGGATTCCAACGATGGAAACATCGGAAATAGCATCGTTTGCTAGCAAACAGTTCTCAATCTCCAGGGGATGTATATTCTCTCCTCCTCGGATGATCAAGTCTTTGATTCGCCCAGTGATGGTAATATATCCATCTGGTGACATTGAAGCTTCGTCTCCAGTCTGAAAGCGCGAGGTCAGGGAAGATCAAAGTAAAAATAAGGACATGAGAACTTACATGCATCCACACCTTACCAGTCTCATCCGGGATCATCACTTCCGCTGTTTTCTCTGAGTCGCCCCAGTACTCTTTCATAAGAAGGTACCCGCCAACAGCCAACTCACCCCTGCTCCCTAACGGCAGTATTTCCCCCTTGTTCTCTGGATTCACAATCTTCGCTTGAACATGCGGCATAAGCTTCCCAACCGAGCTGATGCGTTTATCAATGGGGTCATCTGTGGTCGTCATGGCCGACACGGGACTTGTTTCCGTCATGCCATAGCAGATGGTCAGTTCCGTCAGATTCAATACCCGGTGTAACTTTTTCATTATCTCCGATGGTATGCTACTTCCAGCAGCAATACCTGTCCGCAATTGTTGGAATCCTTCACGGGATATTTCCCCTGTCTCGATCAAACTCAGCTCTTCGAGAAACATAGTCGGGACACCGTATAGCGCAGTGCATCTCTCTTCTTGAACTGCCGTGAGCGCTGCACGGGCATTGAAGGACTCGCTCGGGAACACAATAGCGGCGCCGTGGGTTGCTGTCGCCATATAGCCCAATATACTGCCAAAGCAGTGGAACAGCGGCGGTGGGCAACAGACGATATCGTTGGATGTGAGAAGCATACGATCGCCAATTTGATAGCCGTTATTTAAGATCGAATGGTGGCTAAGACAAGCTGCTTTGGGCATCGCTGTGGTTCCAGACGTAAACTGGATGTTCACGATATCGTGCGGGGAAAGGTCTTGCGGGGGTAAGGGACCGCCATCTGCGGCGAGTTGCGAGATGATAGATGAAAAGGGTGTTAAGCTCTTGTAAGCTGATATATCCACGCGACCATCGGAGTTATTGACCATAATTATCTGCTTTAGCGAAGGAACCAATGAAGACTCCAACTTCGAGCTCTGAATGTCTCCAACGAGCTCATCGATCAAGGGAATGTTGCTTCGCGGTTGCTTTCGAGGCAGATTGGACTCTGTGCTTATGATCAAATGAGTGGACTCGAGATGAGCCAAAGCTGCAATAACTTGTGCTGCATTGAAGGATGGATTGAGCGGAACCTGCGAGGGATGAGATTGAGTGTTGTATACCCGAGCAGCACGAACTTACCAGAATAGCACCCAGTTTGAATAACGCATACGTTGCCTGTCAAAATCAGCCTCTCGATTCTTTATTGGACAATCCAGCGTACCACAGCGTATTCCATTGAATTCCCGAGCATCACTCCTACTCGGTCTCCCTTCCGGACGCCGACCGATCCCAGCCCGCGGGCGAGCGCATTGCTTCGCGTGTCCAGAGATGCATAGGTTGCTCTATCATTCTGATGTCGTGAAACAACACTAGATAGTAAAGTCGAACTTGTGAGTCTCACTCTCTCAAATATTTGGCTCGATGCTCACGCTGTTCGATCTCCGTGTTCTGTCACAATCTTGGCAAAGTGCGCGCCGACGGTCGATTCAATCAAGGGGGTCTTCATGCGAGTAAGAGTTGTGAGCAATTTGTCTGAACTAGGTGTCGCTCCGCATTGTTCTAGAAATGGTGCGAATGGTAGAGGTACTTACATCCGATGGACCTCTAGCATAGCTCTCAGTGAGTAATCCTCTGCGTAGACGATGTACGCCATTGACTCTCCTTGTTCGGAGCTGAACCCGGAGTGCCAAACGGCCTCTTCCAAAGCTCAAGGCTCCGTTGTAGCTCATCTTCGTAGATTCGATAGCTAACAACGAAGTCTCATGCCTCTCAGTCCTGGCGCAATTTCATGCGGATCCAGTGAAGTTTCGATGAGCTGTTGACCAAGTTCAAATGGTATATCAAACGAGCAATTGAAGAGACAGTTGAAGTGGGAACTAAAGCTTCCCCGCACGCGCAGACTGCGGGGGGAGGCGGATACGGCCGAGGGCCTACATCATCTACTTCTATTTTGGGTTACATCGGAGTATTTTCATGTTGTACATAATCTTATTCCCATAAAAGATGTATTTACTGGGGAGGGAGACAAGAATGATGATAGTAAATCAATATTTATTGAATATTTTATGAGATTTTGTGGGGGTTTCATCTGTTTTTTAAGCTTTTCCCTCTTGTTTAATCAAAAAATGAGCAAGACAATGACGAGAACGCGAATCAAAAGAGAAACTATGATAAATATGGCAAAATAGCACAAATGAGAATATAGATCAAATGAATGACTTGGGTGTTGCGATGCTTGGGAGTGGTGATATAGAATGTCTCCACTGCATCTGAACATCACATGGAGAGCGCCATACTACCAGTCAAGAAGTGTCTACCTCTTTGCCTTGGCCTTGGTACCCTTCTTACTGCCCTTCTTACCCTTGGTGCCCTTCTTGCCCTTGGTGGTCTTGTTCTTGCTGATCTTACCTCCGAGGACCGAGGAGCTGGGCTGGGGGCTCCCACTCGCGCTGCTCGGGTTGCTACAACAGTTCCAGTGACCACAGGCACATGTGCGCTTACCCGTGCTCCAATAATCCGCACCGTAGTCAATTGTCAGCTCCTCAAAGGGCAAGATGTTGCGCACTGCTTCAATCGTGGTCACAACTCTGTTTCCGATGGTGCGAACCATAAACTGCGTCGAGGGTTGGCAAGAGTGGTTGAGGAACCGAGTCCAGTTGCCAGACTTCTCTGAACAGACGTAGCACAGGAAAAGACCGTTCGTTCCGTCGGGGCTCTGGGTGAGGGGATACACGTCATCTTGATTAGCATTCGGTCGAAGCTCACCTACATAGATATCGAGAATGTCGTTGCGCTTGAAAGAGGCGAGTGAACGGACTCCGGTTCCCTTTCCGGGATACTCAACCAACTCGACAAGATCTGCTACTCGAGACTGTAGAGTACATCCGCAGTCGTCATAGCTTCCGCACATGTGACATCCCTCGAGGGAAGTTGCCTCTGACTTGGCTGTGGGGTCTACAGAAAAGCCCTCTCCAACGATACTGCGTTCGATGTTGGTCTGAAATTGCCCCTGGAATTCGGGGTGCTTCAGACCACCGTCGAGTGTCAAGACGGTGTGATGAGGGTGGTCAACCACCCAGTCCAATGCACTAGCAACGGCTTCCTGAATGGATGGCAGGCCTGGAAGAGGTCCTGTGACGTTCTTGATCAGGCTGGTCCAGTCCAGCGCACGGCTGTGAGCGTAGTGCTCGATGCTCAACGCATTCTCTTGGATCCTGTTGAGGAGACATCCCCAGAGTCTGTAATCAGCCTCTCGGAACGCGCGACGGAAGGCCTCGGTGTGGGCGCAGATGGCGGACATCTTCCACCCGATCTCACAGACGGTAGCATAAAATCGATTGTCAGCTGCAAGATATTTGGATTCACCTTGCTTCTTGTCGACGCGCTTCGATTTCATGTACTGAGTAAATGACTCTTCCATGAAAGCCACTGTAACGCCGACAAGGTTGTCCATGACCTGCATCGAGTGGAAGTCATCGGCGTTTGCATCCTGCTGGAAGCGGCTGAAGGTGTTGAGGTCGAAGTAAATGGACGAAAGGGTCTCACTGGCATAGTGCTCGGCGGTTTGCATCAATGCAGCTTCGGAGCCCCAAGGAGGGAAGACTTCCTCGAGGACAAATGGATTGAAGTTGTCCTCGGAGGTGGCCGTGGAGGCGGTGTTGCGTGTGGGGGCCATTGTGTTGCTGGTGTGGTTGTAAATGATGTTGAGTGGTTGGGATGAGAGTTTTTAGCTGAAGATATGCTGTTCTGATAGACTGGGTAGGCTGGTTTTGATTACTGTAACTGCAGTTGCTAGTGGAGTTGTGATCGTTTGTTTGTCTGTATGATTGGTTGATAGATAGATAACTAGATGGATTGTTGGAGTGTGATGGAGACTAGATGGCCAGCCAGGGAGGCCATTTTATATATGTGTGCCTCACGTAACACATCTTTGATGGTATACTTTGTTGTTAGGCTTTGTTGTTGGTGAGAATGGCATGCAAAAGAGGAAACATAACCATTGTGGTGCTCAAAGAGGAATGGTTCTGGACGTAAGTGTCTTTGTTCGACTGGCGTGAGAGGAGCAGAGAGACTAAAAGATGTAGTCAAGTCTGCAGTGAACAATTCATTGTTAGCTGGGGCCCTTTTTACAAGATATGTCCACAAATAGAGGGAGGGATGGAGAAAGAGAAAGAGAAAGTGAAGACAAACAAAGTAGCGGAGCGGCTTGGCGTCATGTGGTGGGGAAGCTCCGATGCGACAACCGTCACTTCACTTCTCCGCGTTTGAAAGCGTGACCATTCGACGTGAAGATGGAGCCCACCGAGGATGCCATTGCGAATTTTGTCAGCTTTACAAGTACGACACGCGAACAAGCGGTTGCCTTCTTGAAGGTAATTCCCCCGTCTCTATACCGGTTGCTATCGAGCTAATGGCCTTGCAGGCAAACAACCTCGACTCGCAAAAAGCTATCAACGCTTACTTCGAGGATCCATCTGGGCCGCCACCACAGGTAAGATTCACAACCGAGGCGCATCGTTTCATATTTTGACACCTGGGTACAGACAACTGGACATTACGGCGAGAAAGGGCCTGGTAAGTTGGACAGCCTCGTTCGCACTTTCTTTCGGAGCTGACATTCCCACTTTAGTATGGGACTTCTCCCAACAAGATAATGCACCTCCCTTACCAGCGACCGCACCGCCGTCACGCCCTCCCTCTCGGATCGATAAACGCGACACAGACCAAAACGCGGGCAAGCAGGGCGTCGCAAGCGCCTCTAAAGGTACCACACCACCTGAAGAATACAAATGCACTCAGCATACTGACATGGGACTCTCGTCAACAGAAGACTCCGGGCAAGGTCTAACTCTGGCTGAACGCGAGGAAAAAGAACTCCAGCGAGCAGTTGCCATGTCCCTGGGTTCCGACATGGGGCAACAGGAAACCGGGGTCACATCAAACAACCAGTCGCAACTCAGCAAAGCGACGCGGGATCATTATGAAGAGAATGCTTGGGCCATGACTCTTTTCAACACCGAGGAAGTAATGGCCAGCCCGGACCCAGAAGATCGCGTGAGAGTGGAAGGCGAGCCAGCGTTTATTCGGCCAAATGCAGATGACGTCTATCTTGGGGGATTCCTGACCATTCTCCATAACATCCCACGGGCCCGAGAAGCTCTACTATTACGAAACAAACTTTTGTTCGACTATGGCCATGAGCCACAGTGGTGGAACGGACACGCCATCAATCTGCCAAAGATCGTCACAATCAATGATGGCACCGAATCTGACAATGACTGGGATGACATCATTTATGAATCCCAGCGGCTCATGGCTTTGATGGATACTTCGAAGCGTGCATTCGGAAGTAGTGAGAGCCTGGCCAAGATCAAAAGCATGTCGCAAATGGCGACCGACTCGGAGGATGCTGTAACCAGGTTCATGGAGGCATGGAATGGTGCTGCCATGCAGGCCGATCCCGAAAACCCATTAACCACCATGTTCACCTCCCATGCATACAAGAAAGAACTCTTTAGCGAGTTCGATGAGCCCGAAAGGAAAGAACTTTTCACCTTTGAGCCCAATGTTGAGAAGGACCATGGACAGACACTCTACGAAGTTTTGGACTCGGCTCTTTGGAGTGACAGTCCTGGAGAAGAGCTGGACGAAACATGGCTTGAATATGTTGCTGATGTGCTGGTCTTCAAGCTTGATGCACACCAAAAGCCAAACTCGGTGGACGTGGAAGTTCCTCTGAATTTCTATCCTGATCGATATCTGAGCAGCTGCCAGCATATTGCCCGCGAATTCCGGCTAAAGCGATTGGAGATTCAAGGAGAGATCTTGAAACTTGAGCAGCTTATGAAAGGCTATACCTTCCCGGAGGGAAGTAGCAGCATTTTCACTGCCAAAGAAATTCTCGAGAAAGCAGCCGCATCATTGAGCACACCTGCATCCGAACCGTTGAGCGACTCCGCCGTTTCAGACGCGGCAAATTCGGAGACAACCCGGATTACTGAGGAACTGAAAATAATCGCCAACAAGATAGACGTCAGACTCAAAGGTAACCTCAACATATCGCCACCCCCATCATATCAAGCTAACGACCCTCAAATAGAACTGGAGGAAAGAAAGCAGAGCACATTGGAATCTCTCCGCGAAATATCCAAGACACTCACTGAGCCCTCCGAATCGCCCTCCGAGCCTCCGATTTACAAGTACACCCTGCGTGGCGTGTGCACTCAGCCGCATGTGACTTATGTTTTGTCCGATCCCCAAACTACCGCGGGGGACTTGATGGAAATGGATAGTGATCCGCACGACAACTATCAATGGTGGCGCATCAGCTACTCGGCGGAAGATGGAAAGGCCCGACAAGCCGAAAAAAGACAGAAGCAGAATGAAACTGGCACCAGAGCGAGTGGTGACACTATTGGCTACACCATCCGGAAGGTCTCGGAGACTGAAGTGCTCCGAGCCGCCCGTGAAGAGTGGAGTTCCGTCTTGCTCGTTTATGCAAGCGGGAATGCAATGGATGCACAAGTGGACCCTGCACCCCCACAACTCCAGGTAAGTACCTGTTGTGCATGATACAGTACCTTGGACCAGATCCGACTAACCGATTCCCAGGGCTTTGTGAACCGAGATAACGACGCGTTCACTGCCGAGTTTGAGCAAACTCCTACTATCGTCATTAATGACCAAGAAGACCCTTGGCTCCCCACAGCTCCACCCGAATACACGCAGCCTGAAACACCTCAAGAGCCTGAAAAGCCTGCACATGTCAATGTCTTTGACTACGAGGTCGCAAATTTTGACGATGAGAAGAAGCCTGGTCAAGAGATGCAGGAGAAAAGAGGCAGCATTCTGGCCAATAGCACTTCGAGTACCTCCAATGATGACTCGCAGTGGACACATGTGGATAGGAAAGATGCGGACGCCCATATCGAGCATGCAAAGTAGCACGGATGAAGCATTCCGGGAAACCCATATGAATGATGAATTAATGAAACTTAGACTAGCATCGAGCTCGGGCAAAGCAATTTCAAGCCAATTGAACATATCAAAGGAATTTGACTCCAGTGTGTATTCTTCAATTTGTAAAGAAGGAAATTACGCTCATAGAGAATACATGAGCTCCTGTTACCTCCTTGAGGCAGTAATTCCAATAGAGCAAAGGCTCGAGTCAAGGCAACAAAGAAGTACAAAGGAAGCTATTTGCCCGTTAGATGATTGAATTTGCATACAAGCTTACCATTAGATTATTTACTTTTGAGCTTTAGCAAATATGTTCTCTAATGCTCTGATCCTTCGTGTACGATATCTAGTATGTGTATAGTAGTCCACGGGGCGTATAGAAGAGAGCGGACGTCAACAAACCGATAAGCTCCCCACATTTTGCCATGTTTGCATCCGCAGCTCCTAACCCTCCACTCCCAACCCAATTCCCCATAACATCCAGCAAAACACAATACCATGACCACCGAAAGCGACACCGTGGCCGGAGCCACCATTGAGCTCCTCGAGGCGCGCCTCCGCCGCCTAACCTACCTCCTCACCGGCGCCACCGACTGGACCGGCGTCCCCACCACACCAGAGAAGCCCACGACCCTCGACGAAACCGTCACTCGCCGTCTCGCCAGTCTAGAAGCCGAGCTCGAAAAACTCAGTCGAGCCGTCCCCGCCGCCCGAGACATTCTCCAGCTCCGTACGTAAACACCCCCCCAATGCCTACAGCACGTCCCACGTATCTAGCACCTAACCCGAAATCCCAGACCACCGCAATCCAGACCTCTTCCAAACAACACCACCACACGAAATCCCACAAGGCCTCACACCCCAAACTCTCGCCTCTATAGTGCTATCCTATGCCACCGCATTCCCTGAAACCGCCTCCCGCCTCACCTCTCTCAACGACCTCCCCGTACCAGACGCCGTGAGCTCCGCCTCGCTCATCGAGCTCCAGCCTCAGCTTGATCGTCTTGCGCAGGTGCAGACAGCACAGGCTGCTGAGATATCCGAGCTGAGGGTGCGTACGGCTAGTGTTTTACAGCGGTGGTATGAGGTTGGATTAGTGGGGAGTGGGGAGGTTTGGGCTGAGTGGGAAGGGAGACTCGAGGATGTGGAGAGGGAAACGCGTAGGAAAGAGGTTATTGTACAGCAGCGAGAGGAGGTTTGAGGGCGTTCGTGCATGCGTTTGTATTGTATGATATCCATTGGCGTATTCTGGGGTTTTTTGGGTGTATATGTTTTTGATCAATTTCTTTTTTTTCTCGTGGGAACTCGGTGTCGGTTGCGATTGCAATGTTTGTATGGAGTACGGAGTGCTCGGTAGTTACTCCGTACTGACGGGGTGTATATTTGTCATTTTAGATATGGGGAATTTGATCTCCGGCTGCCGACGTTTGATACGTTTCATGGTTCAGCATGCCTATGCCATACTCGTGTCGTCATGAGATCGGGTATTTCATCGCCTGGAATGTGGGATACCCCGGATTCCGGGAGTTGTAGTTCGGGTTTCATAGGGCGACAGCAGAAGTCGGACACACTGGTAAAGAAAAAAGGCCGAAAAGTTCTAGACTGGACGTTGACGTTCAACATCGATCTCTACAGGCGATCGGGTGTGGGTCCGTGGAGTGGGAAATTGCAGTCCAGAACGTTTGGGAATTAGGGCTTGGGTATTTAATCTTAAAACCAGGAGCACAAGCGTAAAGAGTAGTAGAATAGTAAGAACTAAGGGTTTATAGGGTAGATAGAAATTAGGCTATCGAGAGTAAAGAGAGTATAGAGAATAACAAGTAAGCCGGTTATTTATAGGAAGTCAAAGAGAGGAGTTTAGGTCCAAAGAGAAAAACGTCCAGGGCGAGACCGTCCAGGGGTGCGTGTACACGCAGTGGGGACGGTACCTGGCACATTTCCCTCCTTTTCATTCTCGCGAACTTTTCGACTTTGCGAACCATTCTTTTTTTTCCTTCGCTATTACTCTCTTTTCTTTTCTTTTCGAGATCATTCCTTTCTTTTTTCCCCCGACTCCCAGCCTGGTGCTGTTTTATCTGTAAGGGGCCTCTTTTTGTATCCCAACCTCACCCCGCGGATTGTCTCTGAAACCCACTTGGCTCTGTCTCAAGGTACGTTATTGTTAGATTATTATTGCTTTCTAGTCTTCCGCTTTCACCCTTCGACCCTTCCTTGCTAACTAACCAGTCGTTCCTTCCTCGTCACTCGTTCACCTATATACACGCACAGCCTCACAGCCTCACAGCCTCGCCTCAAAGCCTCAGCCTCAGCCAAACAATCTGGCAACTGGGCAACTCGACCATTCATGACCTCAACACAAACCTCTTTCCACAAACCTCCCGTTTCCAAAATGGGCAAATTTCGTCCAAGTAACATCCTTGGCGATCCGTTCGCGCTCGCGACCGTCTCCATCTCCATTGTATGTTATGTTCCAAACGCGCCCTCAGCCCCCCGACTAACATCCCCTCCCAGTTGGCATGGCTGATCGCCTTCATCTCATCCATCATTGCGGATGTGCAAAAGGCCAAATACCCCAATTACTCGTGGTGGGCCAACTGCTACATGTTCTGCGTGATCATGGGGCTTGTTGTGACTTTTGGCACTGACACGGGCCACCTATATGGCGTCGCAGTATGTACCTTTCTCAACGTCGCCAATCGCACCAATGCTAACCCCCTATCCCTCCAGATCGTCGGCTACCTGGGCTGTGGTCTGGTCCTGACATCCCTGAGCGCTAACAACCTGATCTACGAGAGCCAGGGCTCAATGCAAGCCGCCGGCGCAGGCTTCATCCTCCTCTCCATGGTCATCATCATCTGGATCTTCTACTTTGGTTCCACCCCACAAGCCACCCACCGCGGCTTCATCGACTCCTTCGCCCTGAACAAAGAACAACCCGCCGAGCCCTCCTACCGCGGCAGTCGCCCCATGTCCAGCGCCTTCGGTGCCCGCCCCGAGACCATGGCAACCAACAACACCCCCCAGATGTACACCTCCGCCCAACTAGGCGGCTTCGAGACCTCTTCCCCCGTCTCTGGCTACCCCGGTGGAGCGCCCGGTGCCGAGCGAACATCCTCGGCGCCCCGCTTTGGCACACCGAATCCCAACCAAGGCAACGAGCAGGAGACCGGAGAAGTACCCCAGCCAACCGACTACCCATACCGCGCGAAGGCGATCTACTCGTACGACGCCAATCCCGAAGACGCGAATGAAATCAGCTTCGCCAAGCATGAGATCCTCGAGGTGTCCGATGTCAGCGGCAGATGGTGGCAGGCTCGGAAGCAAAATGGAGATACTGGCATTGCGCCATCGAACTATTTGATCCTTCTGTGATCGCAGTTCGTATGCCTGATGCCTTTTTTTCCTGTTTTGCTTTGTTCTTTTCTTCCGAGCTTTCTCCCCTTTTGTCGCAACCCCTGCTTCCCTTGATACCCTTCGGATCCGACCTCGATGTATGTGTATTTTCTGGCTCTAACGTGATGTCTTGATGGCCTCCTCTGTTTTCCTTCTGCGTTCTTTTCCTGGCACGTATCTTTCCTTTATACTTTTTCTGTCATTTGGATTCATTTTTTTCCTTTCCTACTTGTTTAGCGGGTGGTTGGCCCGCGTCCTTCTTTGTTTACTTGTTCTTCTGGCTTTCATTGTGGATATACGATTGAGCACCAAGGTCGAAGACTTTGAGAATATCCAGAGAGAGAGAAAAAGTACCCTGTGTGGATATGTTTATGTCCCTGAGAACGTTGCCAATGCAATTTTGATATGTACTCTTGGACCCTTGGTACTTGATTCTGGACTAGCCCTGTTCATATGGAGTCAAATAAATCTACAATCATTTCTTCCAATTGCGGTCTAAAATCTTCAATCTTCAATCTTCAATCAAATGAGACCTGTCAGCGCGGGTAGTCCACGTGTGGTATATGCGTCGGAGAATTGACGAGAATTCCTCAGATCCCAACTACCTGGTATGCATTCTACCGTTCAATAAGGAGTACGGAGTATCTGATTCATAATCTCAGGTATGACTCGCATTTCATGCATGTTTCTGCACCTTCTACTCCGTATTCATAACATTAGATACAACCGGAACGTCTCCCCGTATTCTCCCGTTCAGTCCTAGTCCATTCGAGTCCCCTCACACCCCTCTCAAGCCCCTCCAATACTCACTATAAGCATTCCAATGCAAGTCAAAAAATCTATAAAGCATTCATCCTCGATATACATCACTCGACCTTGCTAATTGATTGCCGAATCGACCGTGAAACTCCCATCTCTCATCTGGTCATGGCCAACATTACCGATAAAACCCATAAACCGTCTGTAGATCCCAAAGCCTAGCCACGGCCGTGCTAATGCAAGACCCATCAGCACCCCTCAGTAGAGTTGCTCGGACATTTGACACCAGCGGTCAAGCTTTCGCTCGCTCATCTCTTAATCCGCTGCTTGTGTGCTTGGTATTCTGGTAGAGTAGAGATAACACCAGTCTCCAGTCCATCTACTTGGTATCTCCATCTAGATTATAGTCCGAGTCCACACAACGGCACGATGTCCGAGTCCAACGTCACACTATCATCAACAGTCCTCGGCACAATCGGGACTGTTCTCTGGTGCATCCAGCTCATACCGCAAATCTGGCACAACTGGCGGCGCAAAAGACCGATGGGTTCCCCGCTGCGATGATGTTTTTATGGGCGAGTTGTGAGTTCCTTCCTGTGTCGTGCATTCTTGAAAGGATCAAGGCTCGAAAGCGAGAGTCGAGACTTGATTGAGCTCATAAGTGTGATCCATGCAGGCTCGGTTCCAATGGGTGCATATTTGATTTTGCAGGTTGGTGATACTTTGATATGTCAAGGCCAGAGAAGTTCAGTCCTGGGTTTGTGGTGAGGTTTGAAATGGTTGTTGCTGACTGGTAGGTTTTATAGCAAGTCAATATACCATTGCAGATACAGCCCCAGATCTTTGGGTTCTTTTCGCTTGTTAGTTGGGGTCAGGTGCTTTATTATAATCAGTGAGTGGGGGTTGCATACGGTGTTTTCAGACCTGCTTTTCTTATTTCAAGGTTTCGAGTGCTGATTACATTGGATAGTGGGTATAGTAGAAACAAGGCTGTCTTGGTTTGCTCGGCAATGGTTGTTTTGTTTGGAGGCTTGGAGGCTCTTTTGATTCTTACTTTGAGGGTTTGTCTTCCTCTACGAATTGAAAGGGAATGGCTCTAATGAATGAGTTAGATACCATACAACAACGGCGTAACATGGCCGGATATTGTGGTTGGCGTAGTAGCCGCCATTCTCCTCAGCGCAGGGTTATTACCTCCATACTTTGAGTTATGGAAGAGAGATGGACGGGTCATTGGAATAAGTAAGTCTCTAGCTTGGTATTTGGGTAGCTTTCCAGAATGGCTTGCTAATATGATCAGATTGGGTGTTCCTCTCCATCGACACGCTCGGCGGGTTGTTCTCGCTCTTTGCTTTGGGTACATGCTTCTCCCTAGAATTGCTCCAAGTTTCATCACTAACATTTAATCAAGCGGCACAAGGCTCTTTCGATATCTTAGGTGGGATCATGTACATCTTGGTGGTTGTGCTCGAGGCTGGCATCTATACTAGTCATATTGTCTGGCGCATTCGTTATCGCAGGCTGCGTCAGGAAGCAAAAGCTTCAGGGCAAAGCATTGATGAACTTCTTGCTGTAGGGAGAGAAGATATACAGGAATCGCAAGATCTTGAGAAAGGGGTGGTCCCCCAAGTCCCTGGTGATGTTGACATGGCCAGGTCAGAACAATTGTCGACGTACGGCTTTGAACAACGAGATCGGATTCAAAAAGTTTGATATGATATTTATGAACAAAGTTACACTCTGGAAATCACTTGAATAGATTCAAGGACTTCTAACCTGGGTTTTCGGGTTCGAGATACGAAGTACTGTGAGAGAAACTAAACTAACGCCGCTGAATCCATCTTTCCATTCTTGCGCATGCTTTTTAAGGGTCCGCTACCTTCTTCTAATTAAATTTTGTATCTTGTTTATCCAGATCTATGTATATTTAATTTTGGCTTTGGTACTGCTGTGAAAAGTTTAACTTGCCTGGGAGAATCCAGGCTTCCTGGCAACTCGAGTGGCTTAAGCTGTTTGTCATATGTGTCGCAACATGTAAAGAACTGACAATGTGCGAATGAAGTCATGCTTCTTGACATTTCAAATGACCTCAGCTATGAAATGTGGTCCAAAACGAAGAGAGATACTCAGCAAGTGCCCAAGTGCACACTGTGTTTTCCCAACCCATCAGGCTTGCGCAAAGGAAAGGTGTACCAAAACATGATTCCGATAGAAATTTCGAGGACTTAGCTCAATCCAGGTATGCAAGCAGTAGACAAAGGCTTCTCTAGTATATTTGGGACCTTATTCAGCTTTGGAGAGATGTCTGGATATAATGTTTTTGAAAAAGGTTAGTATGTTGTGTAAACATATTCTCGAGGTCCCTGCAGTTTATAGAGCTGCCCAGGTGACTTATGAGCTTGAGTACCGCATGGGCCAGAGCAGGTATTAGGTACTTCAGGGCTTATTCATACAATTTTCCAATGATACTCTGCAGGAATTTAACTAGATATTTACTTGCTAAGTGCTTCTTACTAAGCGTTTAATAAGAAACCATCTAGACCTGCCTTAGCCACGCTGCGATGGGCTCTATCATCTCAGAAATCTTGAATCACGTAGACTACCTGGATACTACTTGAGCTCACCGTATCTTTGAAAGTAAGTTCTCAATTCAAAGGGCCACCTGGGCATTTATGAATTTGTAGAGTCAAGTAACACACTATGGTGAATCCATACTCCCGGCCTGCTGGGCATTGGAAGCTCATATGGCGCAATCAACAACACCCAGTACCTAGGTAATTATTATACATATAGGCATAGACTATCTCGATCAATTATCCACTGGTAGGAATCTATGCAGTGGCACCTTGGTCTGGCTACAGTCCGGTATGATGGCTTGGCTCTGGGTCTATCGCAGGCGCTATCTACAAGGCATACACCGAGTGCCTGGGTATAAACCTCGGAATAACGTGCTTTATAGTTGGTGCTTGATATATAGTGAAAGGAAGAGCTGGCAGGGAGGCCTAGATGAACCGAATAGTTATCTATAGGACACGTTCTTGAACAGAAACCAAGTGCATAAAGCCAAGGCCAGCTCACATGTATATGTCTAATGTAGGCAATTTGCGGTCAGACACGGGAAAACAAAGGCGGGTTTTCTTAGCCTTAGCTTTTGGTGAAACTAAGGAGCTTGGGCTCAACTCAGGCTTCCCCCTCTTCGCTTGACTCCAAAGCTCTTCCGGTCAAAGGTTGAGAGTTCGCCAAAGCTCAAGTACGCCTATGGCATAGTCACGATGCCAGACCGGATATCGCGACTGAAGGCAAAATTGCTTGGTCGATTATCTCCAAAAGCGGATACGGACCCGAGTGCCCACCCAACCTCCAACAAATCCCCGGCTTATAGCATCGTCTCTGCGACTCCGGATCTAGCTACAGACGCAGAACAAAACGAACAGGAACCGGTTTCCTCGGCATCTGTGTCGGAACAACTTCATCGCGAGCGCACCCGTGACTGTACACCCTCGTGGACCGAGCCGTATAACTCTTCCCTACCAACACCTTTATCGGGCGACCCTCCATCTCCCCTTGCAACCCCTCCGCTGCCCACGCAGCATTCCGATAACACCTCCTTCCAATCCAATCTGAAAACAGCTGCCCCATCCGAGCCCCAATTGACCCCAACGCTCAACACCGTGATCGAGTGGCCGAACGATCGTCAACCGTCGGCTCCCTACTTTACGCCCTCATCGAGCAAACGCCCCAGCCTTGCGGTCCGTCGGCAATCTCTTCTCCCCGCAACACACCAACACTTGATAAGTGGCCTATTGGACGCGAGCCTGTTCGCAAGAGGTGACGACGGCAGCGGCCCAATTCCCACCGTTCCTCGCGAGATGGTACAACGTCGGATCTGGGTCAAGCGACCCGGTGGATCAGCCACCTTGGTGCCATGCATGGAGGACGCGGTCGTCGATGAACTGCGCGACCAGGTGATCATGAAATACGTCAACTCGTTGGGCAGAACTTTCGACTCGCCCGACATCGTGATCAGGATTGCGCCACGAGAGGGTTCTAATCGACAAGCCCACCCGGAACGTCTCTTGAGCCCGGAGGAAATTCTGGCGTCCATCCTGGACTCGTACTATCCAGGTGGACAGAGAATCGAGGAGGCATTGATGATTGATGCGCCGAGCCGCCGAACCCCGAAGCCTTCGCCACGCCATGCAGTATATTCACACCACCAATCTGAACCTGGCGAGCATGGCGATTATTTCCCTCTAATGCCGCCAAACCCCAATGCGGGAACACCGTCTTCACACCCGGCGATTGCGCCGGCAACTGTGGGCGCGCCTTCGATCTCAATTCTAAGTACTGGCTCTGCGCCGCAGTTGCCATCTCCAGGAAACCGCAGGAGTCGACACCATCAGCGGCCTCCGCTGACCAGACACAAGACCAACTCTCCCACAGTTCATTCACAGAGTACTGGTTTGATAGGTGTGTTTGAAAATTGTCACATGCAAATTGAACAACCACTGACATATCACAGAAACTTCCCATTCCCAACCTCTCTCTACAGCCGCCGTTCCAGCAGTACCTACACCTCCGGCGCCGCCGGTGGTCGAGTCCCCTCAGGCCAAAACAAAAACACACACCCCTCCAGCGGTTTCCTCCCCTCGATCCACCCGAAAATCAAAAGCCGCCATCTCTCCCTCTGCGGTGTTCGGTGGTTTGATTGATGGCACGGTGCCCCCAATCAATGTTCTCATTGTGGAGGATAACATCATCAATCAAAAGCTTTTGGAGGCGTTCATGAAGAGACTTAAAGTTCGTTGGAAATGTGCGGCGAACGGCGAAGAGGCAGTGCGTAAATGGAGGCAGGGTGGATTCCATCTGGTCCTGATGGATATCCAACTGCCTGTTATGAACGGACTGGACGCAACGAAAGAGATTCGACGTCTAGAGCGATTGAATGGTATCGGTGTTTTCCCCAAGACAGCCTCTGGACTTTTCAGTGCGTCCAATGCGTCTGCGGCGGATAGAAGACCTGGCCTTCATCGTACCGTTAGCATAGAGGATACTCTGCCCGATCTCTCATTATTCCGCAGTCCGGTCATCATCGTCGCTCTGACGGCTAGCAGTTTACAAAGTGATCGTCACGAGGCATTGGCAGCTGGCTGTAACGATTTCTTAACCAAGGTATGTCATCATCCCGATACTCCTCTCTCAACGTCCCCATAGCTAAAACACCGCTATAGCCCGTTGGATTCCCCTGGTTAGAACAGAAAGTAACAGAATGGGGCTGCATGCAAGCCCTAATCGATTTCGAAGGCTGGCGCAAATGGCGTGGATTCCAAGACTCCCCCGCGCCCTCATCTCCAGCCATAGACTCAGCGGCCAGTCCAATGCAAGGGGGTCACTTGAAAGAAATTCCACAAGAAGACCCTCCCTCGCCTTCCAGCTCTCGCGCGCAAAAGCCAGACGGCAGCTCGGCTAGACCTCGCTTGGTTGATGACGCTGTGTTACAGGAAGATTCATGGGGAAGCGGCAGTCCCGATAGCTTGGATTCACCGGCGAGTCCGCAGCTAGACACACCGACCGATGCTACGCCGAGCGATACCAGAGATGGTCCCGAATGACTACGATCGGTACTGGGATGAGTGCCATGCCTCGGGCTCGGTCTCGGGGCTGGTCGGTCCCTACCCTCCCCCCACGATATTTCTCAGTCTTGATTTGACTATCTCTTCCATTGGATACCCCCCGCATAGCAACGTGTCTGCTTTTGTTGTTGTTGTTTTTTTCTCGTTCTCCTTCACGTCCTGTGGCTGGGTGAGTTATCATTCTTTCGATGATATGCTAATCATTTGTCACCGGGTATCGCATGTTGCATTGGTTATATGCATATTCACTTGGCTGCATACGCGTCAGCCCGCTCTACTTTCTCTGTTATATTGATTTTCTTTTGTCGATCTCCCACGGGGGACCTATTTTCCTGCACACACTCCATGCAACGGACATCATGTATACGATCGAGATGTCCTCATGTCTAAACTTCCAATGTATATTCCTTCTTATCTTCCAAACATGGCACGCCTTGCGCCTCCCTTCCTACCTCGGCATGTTGTCATACCATGCCCGAGCCTGATAACGATCGCTCGTGTATGTAGCCACTTACTAGTCTTCTGCACGCTGCATGCAAAACGCAAAACTCAGTGTAGCCGAACAATCTATTAGCTTTTTTTTCCTCTCCCGATCTTACCTTTGCCCACCCCAGCACTTCCCCAACGCGATCAAATATCCAGACTCCATAATCCAACACTCACAAGACCCCTCGTACACCCCCGAAAGTAATATGATATCCTCGATCTCGTCTGTAACCCCTGCACCATGAGGTGAACCACGAGCCAAGGCTGCAAATCGATCTCTCTCACAAACACCAATCATATTCATGCCGATCCCGAGGTCTTTCGATGCCGTAGATCCTGCATGCATTGCAAATCAGCCCTCGTACGGTGTACTCCGTAGTTTCATCAGGTACCTGTACTTGCACATTGTGCTGTGACCCTCTTTGTTCAAAAGCACATGATTCATGCATTGTTCTTTTGCCTTGGCCTTGGCCTTGGCCTTACACGTAGCTATATAATAAGCCTTTGAGATCTCACTTACTCCGCACTTCCTCAGATTACTCTCTCCGCACCTCTCTCACTCAGTGTACTCAGTATACCCAGTGCTCAGTGCCCAGTGCTCAGCGGCCAACCCTCCACATTCATACCTCATACCCATCTACACAAACATCCTCTACTGTGACCTCGCACAAGCTTGGAACTTCTACACCATCCACGTTTCAACGATTTCCGACAGGCTTCGGATCTACCTCGCAAATATCTACATATATTAAAAAAAAAAAAAAAAAAAAAAAAAAAAAATAAATCCAACACAATATGCCCACCGCATCCCCAACCCCGGCACCTACATGGTTTCAAACTGTCTTCGCTTCCATTGGGAATATCTTCACGAGCACACCTGAGCAAAAAGAAGAGGAAGCTGATGCTATTTCGGGGTGGGTTGGTGGGAACAGAAGGAAACGGTGTCGTTTTGTTGGCTCTGTTGGCTCTGTTGGTTCTGTCAGTCCTGTGGACCCTGGTCGTTGAGGTCTTGGATTGAAATCGGGATATTTGGTTTGGGATTTGGGATTTGGTACTTGGGATTTATATGATGTTGCTACGAGGATTTGATATTCTGTAGCTGCTAGCGTGCTGGTTTCATAATTTTTTTTTATATTGCGAGGGTTTGAATTATTCCCAGCCCTGGAGGCGGGCTGTTTAGTCTATTGGAATGGATGCACGGCGATGAGTTACATGACAGATGTGAACGAAGACGAAGTGAGAATTTGGAGAGAATCCAGTGAGAATTGAAATACTGCTGAGTACATTGGTTATAGGTACATAGGGCCCAGCCAGCCTTCGTGATAGTGTATGCATACAAGTAAAATTACAGAGGCCGTAGCCGAGAAAGATGCTCAAAAAACAAAGATCAACCAATGTAGATCGAAGAGGAGATCAAGCGTCCACGCGAGTGGGGATCTTGAGCTCACCGCGTGTGCGGTCACGGTGGGGAACACCGTAGCGACGACCAGTAGCCCAAGGGGCACGGCCATCGGATCCGGTAGTCTCGCTGGTGTAGACGGTCTCCTGGATGCGGTACTCGAAGCGAGAAGTCTCGGGGGAGACAGACTTGAGGCTCTTCTCACGACGAGCCTGGGCACGGTCGCGACGCTCTTGCTCGAGGGCATCCTGGCGCTCTACACGCTTGGCCTGGCGTTCGGCGACTGCGCGACGCTCGGTGGGGTGGGCGATGCGGTCGCGGTCCAGTGCGACCATTTGAGGGTGGGGAATGCGAACGTCAGCGGGCTGGAGGATCTGGCGGGTGTCCTTGCCCTTGCCGATCCAGCCGATGACTGAGGGGTCTTCGATGACCTTTTCGGCAAGATCGGAGGGGTGTGAAATCTCTTGGGCCTCGTGATGTTCCAGGGCTGGGGCAGAGGAGAAGACACGACCCGCTTCAATTCGGTTGAAGGGGCGAGATTCGGAGACTGGGTAGAAGATTTGGGCTCCGGTCAGGGGGTGGGCGGGAAGGTCGTTGATGGGTTCATGATATTCTTGGCGCTCGCCTGGTTCTGCGAGAGCGGTGGTGGGAACCATCTCATGGATGGCCCGAGCATATGGTAGTGCTAGTTGCTTGCCCTTTTCAGAATTGTTAGTTCATGTCACGAACCCAGTAAATGGTAGCAATTCAAAATGGAGTAATGACGCATTTCAGTTCAAAAAGTAAGGTGTAACCATGTAGGTGTCTTCAAGACTAATCGATTTTTTGTGACTCATCATATGCGAGAAAGGGAAAGAGAGAATCTCAAGGAAGTGGAGGGAAATCAAGGCAGAGAAGGAGAACGAGGACATGGTGCTTACCTGTTGACGTTGTCTCTTCTCTAATTCAACCAGTCGGACCACGGCGGCAATACGCTTCATATCAATTCCAAGCTGCACACTGACAGCACGGAGACTCTTCTTCTGCTCGACGACGCGGTGGTAGACTTCATTCCGGAGGTCTTCGCTCAAAACCGACTCGCTGATAAAGTTGGGATTGTGAGGGAAAGGACGCGTTGCAGCCGCATCAGGGTTACCACCGGGCTTTACGCGAGTGAGGTAGTTGGTTTCCCCGGGAGTGTGGTGCTTGAGAGCGGCACCCTCGGTCTCGAACCATTCAAACATTGTCCGACGAAGCTTGGTCTGTGGTGCTGCCGTAACAGAGAATTGCCGTGAGAGACATTGTGATGAGGAAGGGAGGGAAGAGATAGATGAGGAGGATGTGAGGTAGGGGAGGAGGGCGTTGGACACGCGGGTTTGAACCCGTGGTGCCATGTTGTTTGAAAAGGTGAAAGGAGGGAATACAATTAAAAGCAAAGGAATCACAGCCGCTGGATATTAAGAATCAAGGAGATCCAGCTGCCATTGACTTCTTGCTGTGTTTGGGGGAGATCGGGTTGACGGAAAGTGTTGGTGTCGCAGGGGAAGAAACTTTTCGGTAGTCTGTGCTCTCACGTGACAGCCCCAGCTCGACCCAGTCAAAATAAGAAGCTAATAGCTTCCCGATACTCGCCAGGCACAGATCAGTGGAGGCTCGGAATTCGCCCAGAATTGGAAGATCCCACCGTAGACCTCGACGTCAGAATCAGTCGACGTAAAGGTAATGCTGTCGTGGGTACGCTCCGACTCGCACAGGCCAGGGTTGATTGCCTGAAGGATTTGAGTGACGACGAGGATGGTATCCTGGGAGACAGGGCTTTCAGGAAATTCTAGGTAGATGACGGTCATGGTGAAACCAGTTACTTCGAAGGTGGGGTTGACTAAGAGGAGAGGTGGTGTGTGGGAAGAGGGTTCCTACAGGTTCCTCTACCACTAGTGACTTTCATTGTTACTTCTTCGGATGAATACCTAGGTATTGCTTTTCTCATGTTACCCTCGCGTAGCACATTGATTTTAGTTGGGCATTCATTCCCAAGTAGACATCGAAGCAAATGTATCAATATCACAAAAGCAAGACCGGTAAAAGATAGTAATTAACACGCTTCATTTCTTCGTTCTTCTGGGGAACGAGACGAGATAGCCAAACCAGAGCGAGTGGCAATGCAAGCAAAGTAGGCATTTCAGCCGAATGCAACCGTATGTCGGGACGCCTTATCCAAAAGGAATGAACTGTAGAAACAAACGCCGGGGGCCATATGTGGTCGACGCCGATATGTCCTTCCGTAGCTCATGCCATTTGAGTAGAGAGATATTAGAAGAGCTAAAAGAAAGCCACATAAGACCCTTCTTGGTGTACTTGCATTAAAAAGAAAATAGACACGCATCGCAAAAAAAGTGGTAAAATCAGCAAAGTCCCTTTCGATCCACGCACGGCGATGCATCGAGAAAGATTTCGAAGATAGATATCAGGAAAATAAAAAGCAATGGGGAATCACATCAGATAGGTCCAAAATAATAGCACGTACAGGTCCTGGATTAGGCAGACAGCAGACACACATTGGGTGTTTATTGCGTGTAACACTGGATCCATAAGCGAGGGGTAAAAAAAAGTAGAGTAAAGCAAGAAAAAAGCACGAGGGTATGAAAGGTGCAGACGAAAAGCAAGGGCCAACAGAAACAGATGCGCTACTCGAGCGCCTCGACCCGACCAAATAAGAATACAGGTGTGGCAATGACCGTAAATGCAATCCTCCCAATGGAAAAACAAAAACAAGAAAACAACAAGATAGAAGAGAAACACAAGGAATGTAGAGCGCCCTTATTCCCATGCAATAGCAAAAAAAGAAGAAGCAAAGAAAAATCCAGCAAACTGAACCGACGGGGGAAACAGAAAACATCAAAAAGCAAATCCGAAAAAAAAAAAAAAAAAAAGACTCCCGGGAGTTATGCAGCCGCCGAATGCTGTTCTAGCTCACGAAACGAAAACGAATCCCCAATGCGCCAGATACCCCAATTCGTTCAAACATGCCGGACATGATCTCAATATAATGCTTGAATGACCTTAACGGCCCATCATGTAGTCGGGGTAGAAAGAATTATAGCCATTGAGGTTTGGTGTCGCGTTGCCGTTTCCACCGGCGCTTCCAGGAGGCGGAGGCGACATCATCATAGAGTTGGCTCCGTTCCGAATGCCAAGACCCGAGTTTGGGTTGTAAGAAGCGTTGTTGTTCATCAACCCGGCGTGTGGGTTGACCGGGGTGTGCATGTTGTTCCCGTGACGCATGGGCGGGGCGGGAAGGGACATGCCAAGGCCAGGGGGTGCTGCCAGGCCTGGAGGGGGGCCGTTGACAGCGGAGAACATGTTGTTATGAATTCCACTCAAGTTGCTGCCTCCGGGGACTGCGCCTTGTCCAGAGACCGAGTTGGATGAGTTCATGCTACCTGGTTGACCGGAGCGAACACCGAGCGGGTTCTTTGAGAAACTGAGACGGATACCAGTCTTCACGCTGTTTGACAACTTGTAGCCATAAAGTTCATTAAGAGCCTTGCTCGCCATGGCGACCTCGTCGAACTCAACAAAGCACATGGGACCATTCTGCTTGTTGCGGAAGCAGAGTCGTTTATACCCACGCTGTTTGGAGAAGAGTGCCTTGAGCTCCTCTTCAGAGGTGTCCGGTGGCAAGTTACCCACGTACAATGTGTTGCAAGGTGGGTTCAGATCATTAGGGTTCGCAGCGGGAAGGCTATGGCGCGGCGTGTGCTGAGCGTTGTACGGGAAATTATGACCCTGGTTGGGGTATGCAGATGAGGGGGTTCCACTGCCCATGCGCTGCCCACCACCTGATGGATAGTTGGGCAAAGGCGGAGATGACATGTTGGTCGACAAGGACAAGTTTGCGAAGCGGTTGGTCGGAATCGATGGGTTGGTCGCCCGGCGCCCAGCGGAGATACCGGTGGTATGGCCATTCTCTGCATATCCTACCGGATCTTTGAGTAGCTCACCAGTCTCCTCGTCTGGGTCCTCATCAATCATGGACTTGCCGGTTATGCGAGGCAAGTTATCGATGCCGTTTCCGATCGGAGAATGTGGGGAGAAAAGGCTGTGCATACGCGATCCCGTTTCATTTTGATGGAGACCGTCGCCGATGGCCTGATTGGGGTTTGCGTTGGAAAGTCTCTCGAGGCTCTGGAAAGTACCATTGAATCGCGAGGACTGGCGCGCAAGAGGACCGTTCGAAGAGACCCCCATCAGCGCACGGCTCGCAGTGTGGTCGATGGTGTTGCGACGCGCGTTCGACAGGTTCGATGCCATGGGGCCCGGGTACATTTCCACGATCATGTTGGCGTCATTTTTGGAATTGGGCTTGCCATCGAGGAGATTTCTGGCCTCTTCGGCAGCGGGGAGTGATATAAAGCGCGCGATCGCGGTCAAGAATCCCTCGTCTTCTGGCAGATCCAGGGGGATGAAATCCGCGTCCACAAAGTCTTTGGCGAACAGTAGCATGCTGCGGAGCGCTTCGCGACTGGTGTTTCGGGGCAGCTTGCGCATGAGAATCGCGCCTCCGTTACCGGCGCGACCCAGGCCATTCAGACCCTGCATATTGCGATCGGAGTCCCCCAAGCGCATGTTGTTGTCGAAGGAGGCGGAGGTACCGATGGGGGAAAAGGGGTAGGCGAAAGTGTTCAGAGATGGCGTTTGCGACGCAGTCGGGCTATACACGTCGGTCGACATCGCATGCTGAGACGACAACGGCGCCTGAGAAGAGGACGGGAGCGACTGCTGTGGGGGCGATGAACCAGATGACACGGACTCGGTGAGTTGCGTGGTTCCAAAAGACCCTGGACTCGTACGAGTAGACTGGCTAGAGCTACCGCTCATCCCTCCACGTATTGGAATATGAGAAATTTGGGGTTTCACAAGATAGAATCCGGATGGGTCAATAGGAGTGTTGCGCGGGAGAATGGGCAGTGAGGCGCAGCGATCGCGAATGCGACAGGGAAATCCAACACCGAGAAACGCGATGCAGACGAAAAGGAAAGCGATTAGGGAGATCGACCGAGTTCTCTCATCGGAGGGAATGCGCGTGGGAAAACGATCGCGGTGATAAAGATGTCCGAAAATAGATGCAACAAAAAAAGGGTGTTGAAACGATGGATGGGAAGAGAGAGAGAGAGAGTCGAGCAGGGGGGGAGGGGAAGAGAAAAGCGTCCGGGTCCGGAACGTCGACCACCTCAGGCCCAGGTGCCAGACCCATGGATCTGCCTTCACGACGCGACTCTCGGGGAAACATTACATTACACGCTCGGGTACTTGGCTTTATTATGTCACCCCCCATACCCACCCAAGTATCCCCATGTATTCCTCCCCGTAGTATGACAATACCACACTGCTATTTTACACGCTGGCCCTGGAACTTGGCCGCATGCAGAAAAAAAGAAAGTGCGTGCCCTGCGTGCCCCGAACGTCTGCTTTTTTTTCTTTCTCTGACTCTCTCTATTATCTCTTATTTTTCGTATTCTTTACTCGCTTCTTTTTATATTTTTCGATCGATCGCCGGGTGGATCACGTTTTATCCAAGCACATGCATGTATGGCTGTGGATGTCCAGGGCCCGGTGATAATACCTATATCCTAAGGTCGCTATACCTCACGATCAGGGGGGGATATCCCAGATTTAGTACGAAGTACAGACTGCCACACATTTTTATGCATCCTCACCTCATATTTGAGCACATGTACTTTGCTACACAACATACGGTGAGACTCTTTAACGGACTTGCATAGTTGAAATTACAATATAAGATAATATCTCATATCTCATATCTTAGACCTCCTAAGGAGTATATCGTCAATTGTCAACTCGAACACTAAACATTAAACATAAAAACACATTAAATAAACCCCAATCTACCACACTTTGTACTCCATACACGTCCAAACGTGTGGGATCCCGTGGAATCGTCAAAGTCAAATCCCCGACGATCCTTCCAGATGTCCACCAATTGCCACGGACTCAACCCCGGCAACACATGGGATTGGCCATGCGGAAACGACTCGGTCTTATCGAAGGAGGCGTTGCTTTGTTTGGTTGGCCCGTGGAGACAAGCCGCCACTTTAGGGGCTTATTAGCACTCCTTCATCTGGCATAGTAATGTCCCTGAGATGGTCATAGGTGCATCAGGATTTTGGCTTCGGAAGCTTACATCTCTAGAACTCTGTGGCGTGCATTGGAGAGTCACTACAGGACTCCGCGATGAGCCATCGATGAGCACCACAAATACACGCGTAACGTTAAGCTACCTCGGCACTAACTACTCCGTACTGACGAGCACGATATGCCCATGTGAGCAAGTAGCTGCCTATGAGGCAAATCGATATCCATCGAAGCACTTCCAAGGTTGGTAAGCAGTCTACACAGAACATACCTAGGTAGCAGCCTCCGTATTTTCGAGTCATAACATCGATATTGATTCTGCGGCTGATGCGCCACGTACACTCAAAAAGGTAAAAAAAGGAGCAACCCTCACAGGCTGCATAATATACAGAGAAGTTCCCAGGCAACTCAACAACGCCAAAAATGCCACAAAAATAAAGAAGTACAACACAGTGGTCCTCCCGTCATCGATGGGCCCACACCCAGACTCGTCCCAGTGGTTCCAAACGTCCCTCAGCCAGGGTCACAAAGAATGTCAAGCCGGGAGACGTGAATACAACCCCAGATGGAATGAGAAACAATGCGCCAAAGTTAATCAGAGACACTGCACGCGAGGTACGGGGAGGCTGAAATCACGCCTTGTGATGAGTAGAAGGTTTAGGCGCAACAAGGCCAGCCTAGAGAAAAGTCGAGTCGTCAGCGAAGCCATCCAGAAATCGAAAGAGACACTTTTTTTTTTAATCGTTTTCCATCTTTGGTTTTGTCGTCAAGACAAAGGCCCGGCAGTAGCCAACACTAGCCGGCCACATCACGCGGTTCCCAGATCATGGACAAACTCTCGCGAATGGGAAACAAGGATCGACTTACCATTCCCATCAGCTTCCAGACGGGGTCGCTTGGCTGTGCACCCACACCGAGCCAGTACTTTGCGCGGGAGCTGTCGAGTGCGATTTCTTTGTAAGGGCGAGCATCGGCGTTCTCGTTGTAGAGATTCGTAGGACGCTTCGGGATGGGGTTGTAAGTGCCGATGACTTCGAGGGGCTTTGCGCCGCGGGCAGAGCTGTGCTTATGTTAGTTTGGGTTCATTGAATGTCGCAAGCTGCGTGGAAAATGTCGCTTCTGGTCTGGCACGGACGGCTCTCGCTGGCCGAGGGTGTTCAGGTGTTAGGGGAGGGTACCACGTACCGAGCCTGCGCAACAATGATGTTGTAGAAGGGGTTGTGGCTGTTGCCGAAGCGTGCTAGACGGATGCGAAGGACCATTTTGGCGGTTGTGATGCTGTTCAATTGGTAGGGCTGTTCGTTTGGTGATCTCCAATGACCTCCGCAAAAGTTCTGGGATTTACGGATGAAATGTTGATCCGAGATGACCAAATCGGGTCAAGTGCGGTGATGTAATGTGAGGACCTCTAGATCTACATCATATCTAGAGCTCAAGCTGTTAGTTCAAGTTTCTTGTTGTTTTTTTCTTCCAATAGCAATCATACCAGGATAGAGTGATTCTACTCATTTTACATGCTCCGTTCCATACTCAGCCGCCCTAACCTTCAAGCCCCCCGTACACTCCGCCGCTACACTAAACAAGCAACGATGTCATTAAGGGTAAGATGAAATGATTTCATTCCAGACAAAAAGGTTTTAACACAGTCTCAAAAGGCAATTTCGGCCAAGGATGCCGCATCTCTTGATCAAGATCTCATGGAGACCGGCGGATGGTCTTTAGATCAACTAATGGAACTAGCGGGTCTCTCTGTCGCGCAAGCCGGTAAGCTTGAAGCATCTCGGACTCACAACTTCACCCTATTTACTGACTTAATTCAAACGATTCAGTCTGGAAGGTTATGCCCCCAAGTGCAGGCCAAGATGTACTAGTAGTTTGCGGACCGGGCAACAATGGTGAGTAAATCTCCGACGACATCAACGAACAATCTAACAAGTATACAGGAGGCGACGGCCTGGTAGCTGCCCGACACCTGTCCCACTTTGGGTACCGGCCATCAGTGTACTACCCCAAAGAAGGCAAGAATGAGCTATATCAAGTACGCAATTCCCGTTCTCAGATATCTTAGTATCTATCAGATCTAACCTGTCCATCGAAACAGCGCTTGAAAATCCAACTTCAAAATCTCTCAATTCCCTTTATTTCCGCTGAGAAGTTCCCATCAGCCTTGAAATCAAGTGACATGCTTGTCGATGCAATCTTCGGGTTCTCTTTTGGTGGACCACTGCGCGAGCCTTTCCCCAGCATTATCTCGCAGATTGAGTCGGCGACTATCCCGGTATTGAGCGTGGATGCTCCCAGCTCCTGGGATATCGAGAGTGGTCCGCCAAAGGGTGGACCAGGCGCGAAGTTTATGCCTACTGTGCTTGTTAGTTTGTCGGCGCCGAAGCCTTGCGTGGCGTTTTACCAAGGAAGGCACTTCATTGGAGGTCGATTTTTGACTAAGGCGTTGACTGATAAGTACGGGCTTGATTTGCCGCAGTATCAGGGCGTTGATCAGGTCTTGGAGATTCGAGTCGATGGTGAGGGCAAGTTGTAGGTGTATTGCACTTCGGGGTGAAGTTAAACACCCCATCCATGGATGTAGGAACTTGTTTGCTCTGCAATACAAAAAAGGCTCGACTAAGACCTCAGGAACTAGCATATTGAAAACTTTGGGTAAGCCGCAAAGGACCGATCAAGTACTTCTAAGGTTGTGCGTTATGAAGTAGATACATTGAATACTAGGCAGAAGGTGTCGTGTAGTGAAGTCCCATAGTTGTGAATAGCGTGGTCGTCGTTAGAAAGTAATATGTCTCGCCTCAGAGAGCCTCCTGGATCTCACCGATAACACCCTTGATACGCGGCTCTTTTCCAGGGCCAGAAGCCGAGACTCTAGCAAGAACGCTTTGAATCTCATAAACTTCCTTGGCTGCGCTCTTAACCTCCTCTCCGAGAGCAGCCACCAGTGTGCCCAGAGCGACGAGAGCCCGATAGACAGCTTCCGAGTCCTTCTCTGCGGCAACAATCCGAGCCAACTCTTCGAGTAGCACCAGCCCCTGTTCCGAGGATTCAGGTGTCTGGCTCCTGTCTTCAGAAGTAAGATAAACAGCGAAGTTGATGTAGAGGGTCGTGATAGCGATTTCGAGGTTGCGATTTGGCGACGCGCCGCTATTGGCTAGGGCAGACTTCACTCCTGCTAGGATTTGATCAAAGGAGCGAATTGCCAAGTCTCGACCCTCTGCTGTCTCGAAGAGGTTTGCGAAGGTTCGCATGGCGAGCATTGCATTGTTGACATTGAGCGGTGAGTCGAAGACACCACTGGAAATGACGCCCGATACAACGTTCTCGTCTTCGTACTCGGCCTTCGCTGTGAACGACGAGGCACCTGCCAAAAGACGGAGAATATCTAAGCCAGGTAGTCGGTTGGCGGCGGGCCAGGTTGTGACAATCTTCAAAATCAAAGGCACACCTGATTCAACCTCGGGTGTGTCTTTGAGCTGCTGAGATGATTCTAGCTGACCGCACAAGGCGATGACTGTTTCCATTTCCGCGGGACTCAAAGCCACCTCCTTGGAGCCGTCAGACACGAGTTGTGCGTTCAGTTCTTGCAGTTTCTTTGTGATGACCTTTAAGTTTGCTGAGCGGATTGAGAGGTAGATCTTTTGAGGAAGGACCTTGGGTCGTGGTTCGGGGGCAGGTGGTTGGGACTCTTCAGCAGCCGAGCCATCTCCAGGACGATACCGTCGGTCTGAGCCCCAAGGATCAGAACCCGCGGCTTCTTGTGAGGATTGTCCAATGGTAGCGCCTTGGGTGTTCTGAGTGATGAAGTTTGCAACTTGGTCGAGATATGTCATAGGGAGTTCGTTGTCGCCGATAAATTTCGTCGCGGCCTCGTATGGATTCTGCGAGGCATTATAGGGAAGTTTCAATGGAGGCTTGCCATCTTCAATGTCAACATCGAAGACGTAGTCATAATCATGGCCTGCATATTCGGTCTTGCGACCACTGCTACCGCCCGAATCCACCACAGTGCCAACGGCAATCCACTCCTGTGTTGCTGATGACCAGGTATGAGCAGTAACACTGCCATCGGCTTCTCGAATCATCTGGACTTGACCCTCCTTGGTTCCGGACTTCTGTTGAATAAACTCTGGACCGGGTAGCTCCTCTTTATTAATCTTTCCGACTTGTTGTTCAGGGATGGCTGATTCCTTGACGGCTTGATCGAACTGCTGCACGACCTCCGGGGCTGCTTGGCGATCTGGGCTTCGAGTGAATACACGAGTGATGCGGTCACTAGCGCCCGTGACGATATCACCAGTCTCCTTGCAGGCCGCAACGCTCCACACTGAGATGGCAGGGTGGGTGATTGTCTGTACACATTCGGTCCCGTTCCATATCTTCACGGTGCGATCTTCACTGGAGCTCACAAGCTCGCCGGTTGGGAGAGCTGCAAGCGAGTAGATGAAGCTCTCATGCCCGTAGAGTGATGCAACAAGCTGACCTTGCATTGTGTAGAGACGAATGATTCCGTCATTGCTGGCTGAAGCGAATTGGGCACCCGAGGGATGTGACGCAGGAAGCTTGCATAAGGCGCGTACAACGTCGTCGGAGTTCTGTACACTGCCGAGCAGTTTTCCAGAGGTATTAAACATTCGGATCATTTTATCGGCGCAGCCTAAAGGATGGTTAGTTGAAAGTTTTAGCAAGCTTCTGCTATGATTGCCCACCTGTGATGATTGTGTTTTCGTCGTAGGCTAGGACAGCCCAGACACTTGCTTCGTGTCCATCGAGGACCACGTCACACTCCCACTTGCCGACCTTCCACAGTCGCGCAGTTGAGTCCCAGCTGCCACTGACAATCCATCCACCATCCGGGGACACATCCAAAGCACAGACATTATGACCATGGCCCAGAAGCATCGCGTCCGCATTGTCTGCAGCACCTTTCCCAGGCTGCCGGGCCTCGATGACGGCATCTTGTCCAGCAGAGAGAACAAGGCCCTCTGGGAACTCTGCTGTGGGTGGTACATATGCTAAGCTGTTGATGAAGGCGGAGCCGTGGGCAGCAATCGTGTAGTCATATGCGGGAGGTGGGTTCGATACGAGCTTCCAGAGTCGGACTGTGGCATCGCGGGAAGCGGAGAGAATGACATTGGGGTTTGGGAACACCACGGCGCGAACCTGTATCAGAAGTGAAAATGTGAGCCATGTGCGTGGACGAGGGGTGACCTCCAATGGGCATCTACAGACGCCGGGACCAGGAGTCTTACATCATCGCCGTGGCCCTCCAAAGTTGCTGAAAGCTTGAAGTCAGGCATCCATAAAACTTTGGGGTAAGATTAAGTGAAAGAGCAAAGGTCTGAAAGAACGGTATGAGCAGGGTATCAATGCAGGATCAATGATTAAGGAAGCTCTCCCGTTGTTGTCCTTTAGTCGTTCCGGGGATCGCCCCGCCTGAGCATCATATCACGTGGGCGGTAACGACAGGGGAACCTGCTAGAACGCCGAGGTCTTTCTTTTGTACGAACCTTCCAAGGTTCCTGCGATTATTAATTGACTGGTCCAGCCCTGGAGGGCCGGAGATTGTGATGGCTCTTTTTGCTGGACACGCTAGAAGCTGTCCGGTCAATACTGTTTATGCTCCATACATAGTACTGCATATCCTGGTTCCAATGAGGGTAGGCACAACTAACAACCTTGAAGTACTGTGAGCATGTCATTTATAGTACTGTACCTTACATATGCAAATCACCACCTGGAAGCTGATGAGCCCATGCAAATGTTATATTACGGGTCATAGATTATCTGTCTATTCTGTCACCAAGTCTCAAATCCATGATGCTACAATCGATAAGAAAGTGCTCTCAGAGAGGCGGTGAATACAAAACCTGAAACAAGAACGCTCCAGAGATATCAAGGGCACAAATCATATTCACTCTGTCAATCCAGAGATCTTAAAAAAAGCTCGAATTCCAAGAAAACTGGTTAGAAAGTCACGATGGTCGTTCAAGTATGAGCCTCACGTGTCACTTCAATTATACCCTAACGGGACTAGCGTGTGTATTACATAAGAAGATCGGCTGCGATGGAGTCCGTGAATGTGAAATTCGATATCACCGTCTCCAAGTCCTCGAGATTCAAAGGGGATTTCAAGATCGTTGAGGACTTCACTCCTTTCTCAGGCGGTGGGAATATACCCGCATTCAATATCTCGCATCCGAGTCTCTTCGTCGATCCTTTGCCATCAACCAACTCTGGAACCCCACGTCTTTGCTTGACGATTGACGACCCTGACGAATCTCTTATGTACCTTCTCTAGTCATATTGAAATTACTCTGGGTCTTCTTCCTGGAACTGCATCTTGACATCAGACTCGACCGTTGGGCTCAAAGCGATTCGTTGCTCTGATTGGCCCCTCTAATACCTATCATTAAAACCACCGAAACTTCGCAAAACCTCACATTCGACGATCGACGAAATGGCTGCTGGTGAGGCACTCGCCCTGATGAAATTTCGCTCTTCAATTATGGCAAATTCACTAACCCAGTTTAAGATATCCCCAAGGTAGTCCCTTTGACATGTCATGGACATTCTCGTCCGGTGACACATCTGAGCTTCTCTTCCACCGTGGAGGACGAGCAATATTATTTCATCTCATCATGCAAGGGTATGATAATAAAGCTCTTTCAAACATCACCCCTCACTAACCAACCCCAGATAATAATCCCATGCTGCGTGACGGCATCACAGGAGACTGGTAAGAACAAAAAGACCCTCCCTCAAAGCCAAAACTAACAACCGACAGGATCGGAACATTCCTCGGCCACAAAGGCGCCGTGTGGCAAGCCAGACTCTCCGCAGACGCTGCCATCTCAGCAACAGCAGCAGCCGATTTCTCAGCTAAGGTCTGGGACACCTACACAGGTGAATGCCTTCACACGCTGCAGCACGCACACATCGTGCGATCAGTAGCATTCCCCATCCAAGCCAACCCGCAAGTACTAGCAACAGGTGGCGCAGAGAAGAAGCTTCGGATCTTCGATCTGTCGCGCGGCGGTTCAACGCAACCGGTTCCCGCGGGCACCAACACTGCGACTGAGAATGGGGTTACGAGCTATGAGATCGGACCCGGTGTTCATGGCGGCACTATCAAGTCTATTGTCTGGAACCAGGACTACAATGTCGTTACGACTTCGGCTGAAGATCGCAAGGTTCGGTGGTGGGATCTGCGCTCGCGGCATCCGATCGTTGAGATGGCGGTTGATGGACCTATTGGCTCTTGTGAGCTGAATAGTTTGGCGACGAGGCCTAATGACTCGGGGATTCTGACTGTTGCGGCTGGGAAGAGCGTTTATCTTTATGATGGTGTGCAGCCTGGTCGGTTGCTCAAGAAGGTTGATTTCGACTATGATGTTGCCAGTGCGGCGGTCAATAGTGAGTCTGGCCGTCTGGTTACGGGCAGTGCGAATGACACGTGGGCGCGGGTTTATGACCTGAACACGAATGAGGAACTCGGTATGTGTTTTCATCCTACGTTGGGTTTGTTGGGATTTGTACTAACATTGTCTGAAGAGGTGCAAAAGGGTCATCATGGACCTATCTGGTCAGTGAGCTTCTCGCCTGACGGCAAGCTTTATGGAACTGGTAGCGAGGACGGTACTATCAAGCTGTGGAAAGCTTGCCGCGAGCCTTACGGGCTGTGGAGGTGAAATCGGACTTTTTCACAGTCAAAATGTACACAAGAAACCACAGATGCATGCTTTCTGCCTTGAATAATGGCAGCTCTATTCTTTATTAGTGAGTGGCGGCGGACTTTGCCAGCTTCATGAATTTCAATTGTATCATTCCTTTGAGCGGGACGTCTTTATAGCAGATCTATTCAGCTCTTTCTGCCTTTCTGGCATATCATGTCCCAACAAAAGCCAATAATGGTCAGTACAGTGTGTCATGCATGGTCTGGATCACTCTGAAGGGTGAGATCAAAAGGCTGTATTTGAATGGGTTCGATGGAGGTTCAAAGGATGTTGCACAAGGTGATTAGTTCACCGGAAGTGTGGGAGCGGGAGTCTATAGTGCACATCCCAAGATTTCTTGGGTTTTTAGGGTAGGGAATGGAAATTTCAGAGGAACATGAGATATCAGTCGAGGTTGGTCGATCGCAATGAATCATGTACTACAAGCCTCGGGCAAGGCGAAAATGAACGTATAAACACCTCAAACACCAGAGAATGCAACCGGAACCAAGTCGGGAGATATATGAGGTTTCCCGATGCGCCAGTATGAATCGATGACGAGGAACGAAGGCGCCGGCGTCGAAATTGTTGTGAAGAAAGCAAGATGTGTAGTGAGAACCCAATTACAATTTCGTGGTTGGAGTAAAGTACAGAGTGACAGCTCCCGCGCGAAGAGGCATATCAAAGACGGGAAGGTAGAGAGGGAGCACAAAAGGTCGAACAGATCTGAAGTGCAGCGAAGACAATGGAGAACGTCATGCTGACCGAAATGGATTGCGAAAGTAGAATGTCCAGACGAGAAATCGCAGAGATGTTTACTCGATCATATCAACATCGTCGTCGTTGGCGACGGGTGCGCTAGGGGGCCGGTGCAGCCGCAGCCTGCTGAGGAGCGTCCTGGACAACTGCGGCGTCGTCACCGCCACCGTTGTTTGCACCACCCCAGTAATCTTCCATCTCCTGGTCCAGCTCTTCCTGGGTCTTGCGTGGGCGGGGATTAGAGCGACGGTTTGAGCCATCTGTTGGCTGGGCGCGGCCATCACGTCCACCGCGTCGACCTCCGTTGCGGCGGGGGAGCGTCCGGAGCGCTGGCCGGGAACGTAGCGATCGATTCCATCGGGAGGGGGCTTGGTAACGTCGCTGCGGTGACCACGGCCACCGCGACCGCGGCGGCGACCTCCATCGTTCTCGTCGGATCGGGGGCTGAGGCTGCGGCCGTCGCGAGGACGCTCAATGCGATCCATCAAGCTGGATCGAGGGTGGTGGGCGGAATCGAGAGGGTTGCGTTCACGGCGGCCGGGAATGAGAGACAGGCGGATAGGCTGGCCCTTGGCGTTGGCTCCATCGTACTCTTGAATGGAGGTGTGTGCGTCCTTGAGACGAGCGTATGTGATGTATGCAACTCCTTCAGAACGGCCAGAGCGGTCATAGGACATGGTGAGATCAGATACGGGTCCGATCTGGCTGAAAAGATCCTGTTGAGCGGCGGGTTGTCAATATTGTTCTTGTGTTGATTATATGATGATTGGGCACGTACATCGAGCTCGCCCTCAGTGATATCGTAGTGCAAGTTCTCCACGCGAACTTTGGTCAATGATCTAAGGCTTCAATCAGTCTCTTGCCCAGTTTTTTGTCGAAGCTGATGTCAATAATGGTGAAATGCGTACCGCTCGTAATCGGGTCCGTCACGGCCTCTACGGCCACCTCCTCCACGGGATGGGCGGGCTGAAAGAACTGTTAGACGCGTTTCAATCACATCGTCAAAAATTCACGTACAACGGTCATCTTCGAACTTGTCATGAACCCAGTCGCTAGAAACATGTCACCGTCAGTATTGGCCCAACCAGGCGGATGGGAGGGTTACTCACAGGTTCAAATCGACGCGGTCACGGTCTTGGGAGTATGGCTGTTGTTATCGAGAGCGTTAGCTCCAAGTTAAATAGGTACCATGCAAAGTTCTGTCCATGTCGATGCCGTGGTGGTTTCGCTGGGTAGTCTCGGGCAATCCAGAGGACTGGCTACGACGGGCACGGAGCAGGAGACTTCGCAGCAAGAGGAATAGGAGGGCGGACCTATTCAGCAATTCAACAGTCAGCACTGTTGCTATTGTGTAGATGCTAAATTATCTTCACGTCACAAGGGAAGATGTTATCATACCTTTCTGACGCCGTCGCGCTCGGTGCGACGGCCGGGGTTGTTGCGACGACGGCCACCGCCGCCACCACCAGATGGCCCGGAGGAGCGAGCGTTAGGGCGCTATTTGTACGCCATCAGCGATGTCTTGATCAAATGGGTGTAACTGGGTCGTTACCGTGTCCTCAGCAATGATCTCGTCCAGACTGCGGTCCATGTTGAGCTGGCGAGTATTGACGAAAGATGGGAGGGAAAGGAGAGGAAAGTGAAGACCAAGCTGATTGATCTTATTAAGTGATAAATGAAAGAGAGAAGGGAGAGAGGTGTGTTTTGATCTTGAGCCGCAGGATCATCTTCATCACCTCCGATGCGGATCATCTGGGGGCGCTAATCACATGACAGCTTCTGCTCCAATGCGGCAGCGATCGGCAGGATCCACCATAAAATCACGTGTTTTCGCCATCTATTGAAGAGACATCTACATTCTTTGACGGCTCGAATGATATTTGGAAATACATAGAAAGAAAAATAGAAAGACAACAAGACAGACAGACAGACAGACAGACAGACAGACAAGAAGACAACAAGCATTACATGGTCACTGCACACAGATTCGTCAGACTCCAAACTGGTTTTTGAAGCACGGAGTACTACTTCCAAGGCTGGACCTAAGAATGACCCAAGAATTTACGAATCGAAAGGCTCTACTCAAGAAAGCACTTGACTAACAAACCTACAGCAGCATTCGACATTGATCATACTTGAAAATGTTTATGTGGTATCCTGATGATTACAAACAGAAAGTGTGCAACACGATAAGTGTTAAGAGAGGTAGTTCACCCGATGCAAGATGAATCAGAAGCAAGAAAAGGCGTCAAAAACAATAACCCTAAAAACACCAAACACAGCAACACCAAGCCAGTGCAAATTCCCCGGTAATGCTGTGCCTATATCAACTGTGGCAGTCATGGCACCCTTCTATTGATCGCCGTTTCTTTTACCTTCTTCCCGCATCTTCTCCATGAAACTGATGTAGTCATACTTTGCCAGCTCGCGGTCCTCGAGGAGATCGGGTCCATCATGCGAGGGCATCGTCTTGACAAGATGTTCAATCACTTCGTCAGGGATGAGTGAGTGGCGAAGGTCAAGTTCTGTGACATAGGGCTACAATATTCGTTAGTAACAATAGACAAGATGTCAACATGAATGAAACAAAATGACGTACCTTTCCATCTGCAACTTCCTTGAAACTCTGGAAGACCTGCTCAGCAGTATTTTGATCCTCGGTGACGCTGACCATGAATCGAATGAATTGCTCGAAACTGACACCAGCGTTCTGTGATAGGCGGTTGGGCCCACAGACTTCAACGTAGACCTGGTGCATTTCTTCTTCGTCGTAAACCAGTCCCAAGCTAGCCAGTGCCGCTGAGAATTCAAGTTCGTGAAGAGTATTGGAAGCGTCGCGATCGAAGTGGCGGAAAACAGACTCGAATTCCTCCAGTTGAATGGGTGTCAAGTTGGTCATACTGCGAGCAACCATTTGGTTGTCGAGGAAAGCCAGCTTCTTTGAAATGCTCGACTTGACGAGACTCAATTCATATGCAAGTTCATCAAGGGTATATGTGGTGAAGTCGTTCTCTTCGATATTGGCTTCCGCGCATTGCTGATCCAGTTCTGCGATGGTATCCAAGAAAGCGTCAAGGGGCGGTAGGTTGTCATTCAGCCTCTGAACGTGATCTAATTGATCTTCAACGTCGCCATCCAGTCCCGAGATCGCTAGCGACAAAGTCTTGAGCGTCAGCGCAAAGTCATTCGCCTTGTCAGCGAAGGAGCGGCGCAGCTTGTTCTTAATGTCACGAATAGTTTCGTTGATCAGCTGGCTGCGCTCATGCTCGTCTCTAGTTAGGATCTCCCATTCTCTGTCGCAGTTCTCCGGGCTCAGTTCATGGGGTGGATCATAAGGACGGAGTCGATATGTGCCCAGTTTGGTCTTGATATTACCCAACAAAGCAGCCAGGTCAGATTTCTCGGCTACCCATTGGCGCTTCTCTGTGCGCTTGTAAAGCGAGAACTGATAAGCCTGTTCCTTGACATCCTTGTAGGTTCCCTCAAAGGAAGATCCCTTCCAGTGATCGCGTTGACCGCGAATCAATCGCAAGAGCTCCTTGACCCGGCGCTCATATGAGTTCTGCATCTCCCATGCGCCGTGCATGTTGTTCACGAACTTCTCAACTCGTCGCCCGGCATTTTCGACCCTCTCCAGTTGCGAGAAAGCATGGAACCAGTACGCGATGTAGGTCATGAGAGATCGCTCATCTGGTCTCGGAACGTCACACACATCATCCACATCGAGTAGGTCGGGAATGCCAATCTCGTTGGATGCGATTTCGAAGGCCAGCTTCATATTTCCGCGGTGGTCGCTCTTATCGAGGGATTCGTAGTCGATCAAGTCGGGTCGGTGGATATCCAGCAGCGCACAGAAAGCCAGACCGTTGTTCCAGCTGGAAGAGAAGTCACGGACCTCTACATCATCATAGCAAGCCGTCTTTCGTTGACACCACAATAACAAGCCCTCCTTTGCGGTCATGCCCTCCTCGTTGATATCGCTGATCGTGAATCGTAGAATAAGGGTCCAGATCAACCCCAGGATGATCTTTTGGTTTCCATCCACAATATCCTCGGCGCCAATATTCGTCATCTGGATCCTGCGCCCCTTGATGAAATCGAGACTTTTGTTCACATTTTCGAATCGCTGCACGCGCAGTTTCGGTTTCGACGCATATCGGCCTAAGGACTCTCCTCCCAGGATTTCTAGGAGGTGAATGAGAATGACCTGGACACGCGATCAGCAAAATGACGTTGCACAAGTGGGGGAAGGGGGGTTATCAGAGCGTACGCCGTCGGAGAGGTCAGTGACCAAGTCGTCGATGGACAGGCTCCGTGCCTTCAGCTTGTCATTCAGCCTAGCGAGCCCCAAACACTGGTCAGTCAAGCGCCCTCACCGGAGGGGTAGTTCAAATCGGCGGGACATACCATTTGGTGAAGGTCTTTTGCTGCACATTAATCCACTGCTTCTCGACCGTCAACATGGTTGCGGAGACATTCAGGGCCGATTGGCAATAATGGTGGGGTTGGCAGCGATCAGGGGTCAGGGTTGGGTGACGGCGATCAGAGAGGCTGAAAGGATCCCGAGGTCGGTTTCCGATTCGGAGCGATCCAGCACAAGGGGGGTTTCTGAAAGTCGGGCGGGGTGGTGTTCGGAGCTGAAGATCACCCTAGCAACCGTGCGTTCTGGTACGGGAGAGATACTCTCAACGGCAAGTTTCAATTCGAATTAAAACGGAGAGTTGTGGCGATGTCCTAGAATTAAAGACTTTCAAGGTTGAGGTTTTCAGAGAAAAAAATCCCTAGTCAAGTGACTGCAGATGCATTGCATCCCTTGACCCACTTCTAAGTATAGACCCCCCTTTGTCTTCTTAGTACTTAAGATAGATTGAAATTATTATGCGAGCATCTAGATGTAAATATGTGAGTTTGACTCGACAGGGGTAATGTATTTGGATATTTACAAAGACTGTGAAAGCAGCACTATTCTGAGATCAGTGTCTGAAACTGCGATAGAGTCCTCAACAGTGAGGTAAACAGAAGCCATGTCCACGGATGAACTCCACCCAAGTTGAGAGCATATCAACCATGGAACCTCGAATAATTTCATTGGAACCAGGGTCAGATTTGGTTGTATCGATGGGCCATGGTACTCCCAAATCCCAAGGTTTCCAAGGTTACTGGACTATAAAGCATGATACGGAGTATGCATTGTCCTATCTATTTCAATCTTGGCATGGGTTTCGTTAATCTACAATGTCTACAATGAATTTTATAGGAACTAAACCCACAAGAATTGGTCATAAGAATTTTCCAAATATTTAACATCGAGTCTCGGTCCCTAGCCAATCTCGGTAGAGCATACTCAGATCGCTCGTATCCACAAACTCTAGATTTGGCTGTAGCAACCGATAGCGAGAGGTGAAGGTTGGATGGATTCCATGTCGAGTTCATGTCGATTTGGACTTTATCCCTAGCAAGTGGACGAACCTTGTTCAGGATCTCCATGATAAGGCCTCTTTATGATGAGATTGTTTTATTATTAGAACTGGGAATCTCCTTGGACTTTCAAGTCTTAGCTTGCATATGGTGGTGCATCTATGACTTCTTTCTTCACCCACCTGAGCAGTGATACGACTTCGATCTGCCTCGCGTTGGCGGCGAAGCTGCCCAGGTGAACACGAACAATTGATATTCTGCATAAGTTGAGTGAAATTCAAGGCCTTTTAAGAGCAAACTTCTGGACATGCCGGGCTGTTGACCTCATCTTCGTCTGTCTGAGCTTCGGGAGGAGTATATCCATGTCTAAATTGGGTGTTATACTTGTTTGTGTAGGTTGAAAGAGCTTAAAGTCCTAAAGGCCCTATACATAGCTTTGCAGTCCAATTTAAACCAGTAAGTGGTGAAAAGAAGAAACAACGTTGCATACTAGCATCGAGTCAACCTAGTGTATTGCGCAATTACGGAGTACAAAATTCGATATCACGCAATATCTCCCATTTTCCAAGACTTTCTGGAAATGTGAGGTCCGAAGTCAATCGATGGTACCTTATTCTATCGGTATAGATGTCAAAAATTAGACAAAACAAAGCTCACATTGATATTCTCATGCTTGTATAATCCAGCTGAGTTGAGATGCGCGATGCCGCGATGCCGCGGTGGTGCAAATCGTTTAGTCAGCACAAATGAGGTCATCTGCAAGCGGGGCGAGGGGACCCTTTGAAAGACTCACAGCTCCGAGACTTTTTTTTTTCTTCTCACCTTCGCAAACAATTCACACAATGTCTCTCAAGATCACCGACACCCTCCCTCTCCCCAACTCGAGTGTGCGCATTCCGCGCCTCGGTTTCGGCGTCTACCGCTCCCCGACCAACCAATGCGTGCAGTCATGTCTCAAGGCATTGGAAGCGGGCTACCGACACATCGACACAGCGCAGTTCTACGCCAACGAAGCGGAAGTCGGCGAGGCGCTGCGCACCTCCGGTGTGCCCCGGGAAGAGGTCTTCGTCACGACTAAGATCCTCAGCCCCGCAGCTTCCCTCGAAGCTACCTACGATAAATTGCTCGCTTCGGTGCACAAGATCAGTGGCGAAGATGGATATGTCGACTTGTTTTTAATTCACTCTTCCAGCTCGGGATCCGCGGGTCGCAAACTTTTGTGGCAGGCGCTTGAGAAGTTGCATGCGGAAGGCAAGGCGAAGAGCATTGGTGTCAGTAACTTTGGCGTGGGACATATTGAGGAGCTGCGCTCATTTGCGCAAGTTTTCCCACCTCATGTGAATCAGATCGAGGTAAGTGCTTTAGAGATTCTGGTATTTGGAAGACCTGTCTATGTTCCTAGTTCTGACATTCTATCTCTGTAGCTCCACCCGTGGTGCCAACAGCGCGTGGTTGCTGAATACTGCCAGCGCAATGGCATTGTCGTCGAAGCATACTCCCCTATTGTACGAAACTACAAAGCGAATGACCCCGTTCTGGTGGATATTGCGAAGAAGAATAGCCACACGACCCAGCAGGTTTTGATTCGTTATGCGCTGCAGAAGGGTTGGGTGCCCCTGCCCAAGACCGATAACCCAGAGCGCATTGCCGCCAACGCAAATGTGTTCGACTTCGAACTCAGTGAAGAAGATATGCTCGTGTTGGATTCCCTGGACCAGGGAAGCAACGGTGCTATTGTCGAGGCCGTTGATAACGCATGAGGCGATCCCATGCCATAATCATGATCACCAGGGGACCTTGATGCCAACCCCGGGTTGACCAGATCAGCAAATCTGGTTTGCTAGGGTCAATAATCTGGCGGCTGCATCAAAAAGGCATTGACAGATTGAAGCGTAGCTCGCGACGGGTTCACGTCATGTTTTGACGATACCAACCAAGCGAGACGCTGTCTGATAAATTGCTTGCTGATGGCACGCTTGCCCAGCGAGACATCAAAGCCACCTGCGGAGGAATCTTTAGCTTTTGTCTTCCTTTTCCATCTAGCGCTTGAATACACCCCCAGCGGGGATTTGCATACATACCTTCATCGTTGTAAAACAGGCATATAATCGACAACAGGGTCCCCGCCGACAAATCCTTCCCAGTCTCACAAGTCACCAAAATAGACAAGCTCGAATCCTTCGCCAGTTCCGCACTCACAAAGTCCCGAACTTTATCCAATGACTTGCGTAGATCCCGACTTCCCAACTTCCCCGTATCACAGCCCAACCCGAGTCTCTTCGCCTCGCCCTCAACCGCACTTCCATTGCAGTCAATCACAAGATCATACTTCTCCGCTGCGTTAACCGCACCCGTCGAAGAAATAAACAGATTACTCGTCGGAGCAACCAGCGTCGCATCCCGAGCTACTTCCAGCATCTGATGCTCGCCAACCAACCGCTTAATAAGTTCAGGTAGGTCATCTTCAGGCGTACTTTTCAAAATATCCCGATTGGCCCAGAACACCGGCGGCGTCAGCCCGTACGCCCATCCCTCGCTATCATCGCCTGCGCCTTGGATGTATCCGCCCTCGGACATCTCGGCGCCGTGAACGCGTCGCGACGCAGAACATAGTACGAGAAGGCGGTAGTCATTGCTTTTTTGGAGGTCTGAGGGGTGGAAGTATGATCTGTTGGCCCATGCTACTTGGATGGGTTTGCCGATCTGCTGGCGCAGACCATCTAGATCGAGTTTTAAGCTCTGTGGCTTTCGTGTCAGATTATTCATGGTACTCCGTACTGCCTTTGAGGAGGGAGGCGGCGTAACTTCTGGTAGCTTACCTTGAGTGAGTGTACGAATCTATCGATTCGACTTTCGATTTGCGCTTCTTCGGATTCTCCTAGGTAGTTTGGTGGGAGTTGGACTGGGTGGTATGTGGTCTCAGATGGGAAGAGAGCCCTGTTCAGGACGGCGCTCCAGATTGGGATTGTTTTTGATAATGCATCCGGCATTACTGAGGGCTGGTCAATATATGGCTTCTCGTTTCTTTGATTTTCGCAGTCGGTGTCGTTCATACGTACATTTGCCTCGACGCGTTGAGTCCACAATAACACAACTAGTTTGAATATTATGATCAGCCTTTCAAATCCGTGTCGATAAATGAGCTCAGGCTGTGGACTAGCCGTTTTTCCCGTTTGCAGCGCTTGAGGTACGAGCCATGCCCACGAGCCACCTAATGATGCCAAATCTACAGGTCGAGGATGTGAAACTTACCCGCCATGATCCTTGACCAGAGGCAACAACTGCAGGTTCAGCCTGCGACAGCTAAAGTCCCACTGACCAGAATGGCCATCGGTGCTTTTGAAATAAGCACTGCCAACCTTGGTCGTTGGCGGAATATACCAGCTTCCGCAGCGCTCATTAGCGACGAGTGGCAGACCATAATTCTCAGCAACCTCCTGCACAAACTTCGCATCCGTCTCAATCGATTGGAGCCGATTTGAGACGGAGAGCGCTGATCGGCGCAGCGACGAGAGTGTCTGTGAGATCGATTGTTGCGCTGATGGAAAATGCAGGGAATCCAGCGTCGGAAGAGCTCCCGAAGAACCCATGCTTTTCTTCTCTTTTTGGTCCAATGCCGACTATATCCAATTTTGATGTTGGGTCGGGCCGCGTTCCGGGTTAGACAGACCCTGCGGGCTGAGCAAATCAGCTGATTGGTTTTGGATAAACTGTGCTGGACTGATTGGAGGGGTTTCCTCCGGTTTGTGACAGGCCAAATGGATCGCGAGTTGAATGCAATGGACGGTTGTGGAATGGCATATGCGTTCGCGATTTTGAGTGTGGCCAATCATCGTGGGACGGAGTGGAACCCAGTTGGCACCTCGACAGTGCATTTTCATAAGTATTGAATCTTCAGTACTTTCCGATATTGAAATTCGAAGAAGCGGACTAAGTGGAAGCAGAAGTTCGGAAAAGATTGTTTGTGGAAGAAAGGATTTCTGGGGCATTACCTGACCTAAAGCTGGGCGTGCAAACGAGGAGCAATCGTGCAATGGGAAGGTGCTGCGCACGAAGCGGAACAGTAGCCATTGCTCAACAAAGTCCACTCTTAAGCCTAACCTTGGAATCTTCGCTGTCTTTTTGGCTGACTTTTTAATGTTTTTTTTTAAAATTATCATACTGTACAAGGTGGCTGATATCATTAGATATCTAGATTGGGGGTTGTATACTGTATTTCTGTATCATATTAAATTTAGAAGGTTTCTGCGAGGCAGTCTTGAAAAGTAGATTTGAGGTCGAAGTACCCGGGGTCAAATACTTTTGAAGCGTTACTGCACAATGGCCGTACTACATCTCACTATACATGTACTACCTGGTTCCTGGCCGTGTAATTTGCTTTTCAAAGCAACGCAATAATTGATACATTATTTAGTAACATTGACTGAGCAGCAAGGTCTGGCTCACCATCGATAATATGCCGGATTGGATAGCCCTGGTACCCGTGGACGGGATTCGGAACATTTGAATCCTGGTCTTAGCGCAATGAGATATTAAGCATTGAAATCCCTCAAACCTCACCGGAGTCGGATTCGTCTTACCGAGGTTCAAAGTGTCACATAGTTGGTGGCCTATAATATAATCTCGGGGTTCTCGTTGGGCACTCTGAACCAACCCGCCAAGAATCTTTTTGAGTCCGAGTGCATATTTGATATCACCTCTACTCCGTACGGGAATCTGACTGCACTAGCTGGCTTGAAACAGCACGGGCAGATGGAGCAACTCAGGGAACGCGGGCTGTATAGGCACATGCATGGAGATGGCCCCCAACCATTGCACCCCCGGATTTCATCTGTGCCTTGGGACTACATGGGGTACATAGAGTGATGAGGCTGGATGACCGAGACCAGTGGACTGGCATCCATTTGGGTTGATCTGTTACATGTTTACTGATGTAGTGTTAGAGCTGCTGCAACCAAAGACACACAGCAAGACATCCCTTGGAAGAATATTAAAAAGGCACACGAGGAAGAAGGCCGAAACAAATGATATAAGTGTGCCTTGGAGATTGGCTTCCCCTCGGACAAGGCAGGCGGAGTAATGGCCGTGCATCATACGTCGTGGCCTAGTAACCTCAGAAGTATAGTCTTACCCAATTAAATAATCACTTTGCAGTCCGTGGCCCGCCCAGTCTTCCAAGGTTAGGTACACTTCTGGCCCGGTGAGGGGGTCTTCCAAATGCATGATCATTGAGCGAGAAAGGTAATAGTGGAATGTTTGCCGGTCACGAGAAACATCGGGACGCTTCTAAACAAGGACTTGGATGGAAGACGGCAGAAGTTGAAAACAAGTGAAACCAGCCCATCGTGCTCGGAGTAGAAAATAGGTGCTAATCCCAAAGTAGACTAGCTGGGAGCCGGTTCGTATTTTAATTGGTTGAATGCTTGCCCATACCTGCAGGATGGAAGTACCGGGTACTTCCCATTGTGTGGCTCAGCCCCGCTGTTTTCAAGTACTGGCTACTTGAGTCCCCCACGTCAGTGCATCTAGCCCCTCCCGCTCTGGCCCGGTTTCCCTTTGGACATTCGCGGCGTCATTTGAGTCGGCACTTGCCCTAACTTAAATACTTCCGACTGCCGCTGTTTCTGTTCCTATCCTTGATTGTCCCTTTCTCATTGCATCCGCTCTTCCATAGCCGACATACACTTGTCTGCACTTTCGCATCATATCCTCGTCAATCCAACATTCCCGTGAATCCCCCATCCCCGGACTTACTCTCCGCATTTCATCATGACTAAGGTACGGGGATACTGAATGGTTGCAAGGTTACCCCGACTCTAACCGGCCTGCAGATTACGGAAATCTTCTTCGATTGTGACAACACTCTCGTCCTCTCAGAGGAGCTGGCCTTTGAAGCCTGCGCCGATCTCGCCAATGAGATCTTAGAAGCGAACAACATCTCTGATCGCTACACCGGCGACCAGCTCATCAAGGACTTTGTCGGCCAGAACTTCCGCGGCATGATCGGCTCCCTGCAGAAGAAGTATAACTTCGAGATCCCCGCCGACAAGCTGGAGGGATACGTGACCAAGGAAGAGGACAAGGTCATCGCCAAGTTAGAAGCCAAGGCCAAGCCCTGTATCGGCGCCAGCGAGGAGCTCGATAAGCTGTTTGCGGAGAAGAAGTACGGTCTTGCTGTGGTTTCCTCTTCCGCTCTCCGCCGCGTGCGCGCTTCTATCAAGAAGGTCGACCAGGAAAAGTACTTTGACCACGACAAGGTTTTCAGTGCTGCTACCTCTCTGCCAAAGCCAACTTCCAAGCCTGATCCCGCTATCTACCTGCATGCCCTTGAGCAGGTCGGCAATACCGCTACGGAAACCGTTGCCGTGGAAGACAGCAAGTCTGGTGCTCTTTCTGCTGTTCGCGCTGGTATCCCTGTGATTGCCTACGTTGGCAGCTACCATGGCGAGGAGACACAGAAGGAGATGGCGCAAGCATTGACTGAAATCGGTGCGAAGACCGTCATGTACCACTGGTCTGAATTTGGGGACCGTCTTGCGGATATCGAGAACGGAAACGTTGCTGAGGTCCACGCCAGTCTTTGAGTTTGTGGATTCATCTCCACCCACGATGTTATGATAACGAGCGTATGGTCGTTAAGGAGCTTTTTCTTGGATTGTATTGTTTTATCAGCCACCTTTTGGAAGGGGCTATTGTTTTATCATCTTTGTTCACATGGAAGCGAGGAACTCTTTCCTCTGTTGCTTAAGACTGCGGCAAATCTTACATGAGTCGGGACTCAGTCTGAGCTGTCACTCTCTAGACCTGGTACAATCAGCTTGCTATGTTTTACTTACGCGCAATGAGATACCAAATAGCAATTTACACAGTCTTCCGAGGTCATTGACCAAGAATCTTACCTGTTCTGAATAGAAATTAATATCTAACAGTTCTTTTTATCGCTAATATAGCGCTAAACTCACTCCGAGAGGAAGCTTGAGAATGCGCTCAACCTACCTGCAATCACACCGTGGATTCCACAGGGCCTGCCACTCCCGAATCTTCGCCACTGCCCAGCTGAACTATGCTAATAGCTCACGGTCAGACCTATACCATAACGATACTTACCGTTGTTCTGACAGAATATGGCAAACCATATGGAAGACAGTGACTGAGACACCACCTAGACATGCTTGCTGCGTGCATTCAATATGTTGTTTGCCATGAGGCTTGGTTTTTTTGCATCAAATTGGTCGAAATAAGTCCAATATTATAGACTCGCTCCACAACTTCGAGCAGCTCACCATGCTTTGCGATGTCCGAGAAGTAATGATCGATCTCAAATGCACCTGGATATACCCGTGGACCTACCAGAGGAATCCCCGCACATCGAGGCAGATAAGATAAGACCACCCCGCCATCGCAGAATTGGAGCAACCTCGCTGTGCCTCGGCCATTCTCTTCCTCCCAAGTCGTCGCCCTTTGGTCTAAAATGTCAGCTCCCCACACCCAGTCCAAGCTTGTCGCACAGGGCCCACTGGTATGCTACCCCCGATATGACTACCACAAAGAGAACGATCAGCTCAATCTTTGCAATGACACTGGATCCCGCATAGAGCCCTCTGGAGCCCCTTAACTAATGCTTCCACAACCAGGGTACCGAGGAAGCACGCTGGATTCGAGCCGTGAAGACAACATACACTGATCCCTTGGGTGTTGAACGAACATGGGAATCCGCCGAGCGCACTGTAAGACACCTCCCAATCTCAATCCTATGATCAATTAAGCAACACCACCCTCCAATACCCAAAAACCACGAGACCATCCATAGGGCATGACCTGTTTCCAGATGCAGTACTATCTACGCAATGCAGCGGCACATGTGGCTGTGAATGCAATACGCGGGCTCAAGTGACATAAGCCCGGGCGTTGCCCAAGCCCAAGTCCAAGCCCAAGCCCTGGATGCCTAATTGCATCGGGTCCCACCCGCATATCCAATACACAGCAGCCACAGCCACTGAGATACAAAGGTGTCTTTTTGAATTTGATGCTAACCGCGCTTACCTAGACACGACCTGCGGGAGTGGAGCTCGATGGCGTGGGGATCGTCGCTATTCTAAGCAAAGATAGCGGGTCGGAATTACTTTTGCAGAAGCAATATCGGCCGCCTATCAATAAAGTGGTCATTGAGGTCCCAGCGGGTCTGATTGATGTTGGAGAGACACCAGAGCAGTGTGCCGTCCGTGAGCTTCTTGAAGAGACTGGCTATGTTGGTGTGGCGGAGCAGACTAGTCCAGTCATGTTCAATGGTAAGTGGAGTTTGAATTGGGGGGTTTTCTCTGGCTTGTTGTTAACCTCTTTTTTTGAAACTAGATCCTGGAATGTGCAATACCAATTTGCACATGGTCCATGTCAAGGTTGATATGTCGCTTCCTGAGAACAAGAACCCGAAGCCTCAGCTTGAAGAGAATGAGTTTATTGAGTGCTTCACGGTGCCTTTGACATCGTTGTTTGATGAGATGAAGAAGCTTGAGAAGGAAGGTTATGCTATTGATGCTCGGATTGGTACCCTTGCAGAAGGCATTGAATTGGCGAAGAAGTGGAAGCTGTGAAGCATCCATGCCAAACCTTGGAAACCATGGGGACCTCACTTCCACTAAGATATCTAGAAGGCTTGCAAGCCGCACGAAATAAAGTATATCACATCATTCAAATCCCTGACCTCCACCCGTCTTCACATTCAGAGCAAGTCCTCACTCTTTAGCCCTTGGTACAATCCCCAAGCAGCCAGAGTTTTCCCATCTCTAACCCCTTCCTTCCAAAGATCAGCCAAAGGAACAAGCTTAAGCGTGATCTTCTCCCCTTCGTCCCGAAGACCAGTCAATTTCCCCTGTAAATCTTCAATCTCCTTCCTCGGCATAACCTTCTGACACAAGAATAAAGGAATGAACTCATCACTTCCACCCGCCGAAGGATAGACAGCATGTTGCAAAGACTCGCCATTAGAGTCTTGCCCAGCTTTCGAAGCCAATAGAGTCATATCAATTAAATCACCCTGTTCAACCAACAGCCCCGTCTCTTCCTGAATTTCCTTCGCCGCCCCACCAGCAAACGTCCCACTATCATCCAGCATACCCGCCGGAATTTCAGGGAACGCCAACGAGCCCGCGGGGATGCGGGGCTGGATAGTGAGGATAGCGCGCTCATCATTATCTGTCGGATTGGCAATATCATCCGGTTGCAAGACCAGCTATGCATAATCAGAACAGGAACACGTCATTCACAAGCTTAGATTGCGTAGGGAGAAGAATTCCACATCGAATAGCGAATAGCGAATTCCGAATATCGGATAGCGCATAACAAATAACGAGTAACGAATAACGGGTGGTTTTTGCACAGGCGCTAACTTACCAACATGCCAACACTGCCACCACGTAGAAATACACTTCCCGGTAGAGTCTCGCCCTGGCCATTTGATACGGAGGCTTTTAGCTTGACGAACCCAAGTCGCGCGCCTCCGAATCGGTCGACGGCTTGAATTTCGATTTTGCGGAGCACATAGGGGTCTTGGTGGAATTCGTGTGAGGGGTTTTGTTGTCTGGAGAGGGAATGCTGGAGGGTTGTTATCCAGGTTTTGAAGGCGGGGAATGAGTAGAGGTCTGCGAGGCTTAGGTCTGGGGTAGTGTTGACTTGGATCTCTGGGGCTATCATCTTGCTGGCGGTGGCTATTGGTTTTCGGGTGATGTTTGGTTTGAGATGTCGCGTGGCAAGGCGGAGGGAGTTCATTCGGGTTGGTTTGTGGGCCAAGAGGACTTTTGTCTATGTTTGGTTTTTGGTTGGTGGTTGGCTGTTGCGGTTGAAGCTCGTTTGCTGTTCAGTTATGACGTCGGGAGAAGTGGAGATCTTGACTTTGCTGTCTTCACCCTCTACGGAGTACTCTGTACGGAATACGGAGTACGTCTGAAACGTTATTTTTTCTTTTTTGATTGTGATTTTCTTTTTTGATTTTCTTCCCACCAGAAAGGAGATCTGTCAATGGGTTGGCAAAATACGGAGTAGGCATGGCACTGCGTCGCAAAACAATCGGGGGCTGGGGAATATCCCTTTGGGCCCCAAGATCCAAGGCTATTTTTTGCGGTGATTTTGTTTCCCCTCGTTGCATACCAGTAGTCAAAGCTCTCTACTTGCAGAGGGAACACCTCATGATCAAAGATAATCGCAGGCTAATTATCACAGAACCGAGTCATGGTATAGCTCCTTGTACACATATCAGCAACCTTGGAACCTCCATACTCCAAAGGTCACATCACTCATTCTCCAGAGTCCTACAAAGCCAGCAGATTTCTATAATATGAACCAATCGAACCGCGCCAAGATCCCCTTCCCCAGCACCGAAGCATGCACACCAGTCATCTAGAAGTTTGTCGAATCACCCGGGTGAAGTCTGCACCCCCACTTCACACGCTAATCCTGGTCGCATCATGCAAGCTTATACATATTGCATCGCAATGTCAGGGTCAGTCCCAATCTCACACCCGGGCAATATCCTTCATGGCTTGATATCACATCATCCCTCCTTACCTCTCGGATCTGGGCTAGATGCTTGTGGAGTACGAAGGTTGCCTTGCGAGCAATGCGACCCAGGCGGGTTTGGGTTGAGCAACAGACCAAAATTTGTGCGGCTGAATATAGTCTTGAAATTTTTTTTTATCTCATGATCTAAAGCTTGAATTCTTCCTAGCTGGGGGTTTATATTTGTACTTGCCAAGGTGACAGCTTCCAGGATTATGCGAATGCTGCGTTACTCGGTTCCACGGTTCCAAGGTTGCGGCCTCCGGGGTACAGATGTATTGCATTCAGGTCCACTTTCGGCTTTCGTGTTTGAGTCGGAAATAGAGCTGATCTGGTAAAGGGTACTCGTAGATCGAAATGACTCGAATTCAAAGACCCAAAACACCGAGTAAAAAGCATGGCTGTCGATCAATCCCGGTAAACTGAACCATCACCTGAGCATTCCCGACGAGATGAAAAGGCCATGTGGCCCTGTGCTCACAGGTATCCCTTGGGGAAGCCCGGAACATCGATCCACGTCCCTGTCGCATGATTTTCCATCGACCATCCCAGGAAAATTAGCGACTGGCTTTCTAGGCGGCTAACCCACTTGGCCCGGGGAATGCTCCCACAGCCCCGGAGAGCACCAACATTATAGGCCCAGTCGTATAGCTGATGCATTCTGCGAGCTATACTACGTACGGAGGACACTGTACGCCTCATACATCCAAGTGAGGCTACTTTGGTTGGAATTTGCCCATTTTCAAGGTTTGAATGAACATGAAGCCAAAGAAACGGTGAGGTTGGAATTGTTATCTAAATCGACTTTCCAAATTTGGCAAAGAGCGGTGACCGGGTCCAAGCAGTGCCCTAGCGCAGGCAAGGGTATGCCTATATTTGACCCAAAAGCGGCATGCTGCGCGTGTCAAGTTGGTTCTTTGGGAACCCATTGGGCTATGTTGGGTCCTCAGGTGAGGCTAGAAATATCATTCGGGATTTAATGAACATAAAACGAGGATATAGATCTGAAGGTAGGAAAAAGCAAAAAAAAGGGGATAAAATAGTAGGCAACTGGAAAAAAGAAAAAAGGAAGGAGATCGACAAAGATCTTAGCCCCGAACGAATAACCCGGGTAGCCCGTTGCCTGCGAGAGCCTGTTTGGTATAAATAAACTACTGCGGAGTCCCCCTCTTTTTTGTGCCTCATCTATACCTTTTGCCCAACTGATGACGAAATACACGCCTAATTCTTTCTCTTTTCTCACATGGCTTCTTGGTTAATTTTATGAAATGGGCGAATGCCAGAGGCCAACACGGCCCAATTTTTACGCCAAGAGGTTCTCAGAAGCTATTGGTAGTGTGTCACCTAGGCGAGTCCCGGTATTCTTGCACTTGAATCTGTCCTAACTTTCCATTCTAGACACTCGATGAAGAGACTACTATCAGAAGAGCTGATCTCAGAGTCCGTGGGCGCGCGCTGTTATTCCGCGGGCCCGCCAACTAATCGTCCACTCTCAACGGGCGTTCTGGCAGATGAGTGCACGCTAGAATCAATCAGTAGCCCCGGCATGCGGGCAGTGAGAAGCTCCAGTCGCGGCAGCGTAACTCATGTCGGCAAGCGCCGCAGGGATAGCTTCCGGGTCTCCCGGGAACCTCGACGGTCAGCCACAGGTCAGCAGTTAAGGACTAGTGTGCCTCAGTACATTGCTGAAGGAACATCAGAGAGAAAGGCGGTTACCAATGCCAAGCGAACAAATGAAGAGCCGCGAAACATCACGACACGTCCGGACTTTCCAAGATCGATATCAAGTCCGGTTGCTGGGTACAGCAATGCGGCTTTGGATAGCCAAGGAGGTAGTCAATGCCTTATGAATCAGAATGAAGCTCATAGCATGCAGCCTCAATGTTTTAACACGATCAAAGGCGAGCTAACAGAGAATGTGGATGTGGTTATGGAGGACCAAGAGGCAGGACCAGAACCAGGACCGGGGCCAGAACCGGAGCAAGAAACTCTGAAACCAACGCCTGATGAGATGTTCAGACAGCTTAAGACCCTTCCAATCACCGAAGAGCAATTGGTCAATGAAGTGCGTGGGATCTACACGGGCCTAGTGATGGTGGAGAAAAAATGCATCGAGATCGATAAGCAACAGGCGGAATCCAAACTAGAGCTATCACCATCCCAGTGGCAGAGCCTTGTCGCAGTCCACAGAACGCTTCTCTACGAACATCATGACTTCTTCCTCGCATCCCAGCATCCCTCCTCCGGTTCAATTCTACGACCTCTGGCAGACAAGTATTCAATGCCAGCGCGTATGTGGAAATACGCCATCCACTCATTCCTGGAGCTACTGCGCCAAAAACTCCCCGGTTCGATGGAGTACATGCTCGATTTCATCTACCTCTCCTACTCAATGATGACACTGCTTCTGGAAAGCGTGTCCCATTTCAAAGAAACGTGGATTGAATGCCTGGGCGATTTGGCGCGATATCGAATGGCCGTAGAAGAATTTGACTACAAAGACCGTGATCTCTGGGCTGGAATCTCTAGATACTGGTATAACCAAGACGCAGCCAATATCCCGGAGAACGGACGCATCCAGCACCATCTGGCAGTCTTGTCGCGTCCGGATCGTCTGCAGCAGTTCTTTCACTACACGAAAGCATTGACTTGCGTTCGCCCTTTTGCAAGTGCCCGAGAGAGCATTGCAAACTTAGTGACTCCGACTTTGGATATTCCGCCTGCAAGGCTGAATTTGATCACTTCGTTTGTGGCTGCTCATGGCGCGAACTTTCAGCAGAGCTCGACGGCGGAATTTATCTCCCGCGCAAAATTATTTCTCTCGAAACTGCGGAAAGAAGTCAAGATGCTGGGTCGGCAGGGACAGCAAGGTGTTTATATGACTTCTTGCAATATTGCAGCGATATTTCAATTTGGGGACAAGAACGGGATTATGGAAAAGGAATTCATTTGGAAGAGACCCATTCCTACAGCAGAAGGGCGTATGTTGTCGATGCAGGGGACATTTGGCGCAAATCCGGTCACCCGTCCTACATACTCTGATCTATCATCTCAACTGGTGTTCCGAGCGAGTTCGCTCGCATTTCACACTTTGATAGTCATGCTCGATCAAATCGGTGACCAGAACATGTATCCGAATGTACATATCTCCATGGCGTTCGTGTGGTGTCTTACCCTCAACCCGGCGGCTATTCAACGGCTAGAGCCATTGGTTCCTTGGGCAAGATTGACAACGTACCTCAACAGTCTGTTCGGGTCTGATACTGCCGTCTCCAAGATTGAGGCGGAGGAATTTCCAGTTTCCGACGATACATCCGTCAAGCAGCTACCGGAGGACTTTTTGATGAGAGGCCAGGCTTGGAGTCGACTTTACCACCCAGAGAATTTCTTCGAGGGAGCACCCTCAGAGGACGACAGACCATCAATTGAGCAGCCTTCAACGCTGATTCCCAGAATACAACGGTGCCTTTGGCTCGGAGTTAGAATTGCAACTGTGAGTTACTCTTTGACAAAGTTGATTCTAAGTAAACTGATTATTCTCTACAGTTCACACGCTGGATGACGTATGACCAGACCCGAGGATTCGCGCCAACGCAATTAGCACACGAATATGCTCCGATTGCAGAATCCATCGACTCTCTCGGCAGTAATACTGACTGAGCTACCAAACGCATGGCCGAGTGAGGCTTTGGACTGACTCAGCAGGGTTGAGAGCAATTCTTTACAGCGGGACCCTTAGCCAACCTTGATCGTTCTGGCGAAGCCAAGCAGCAAAGCTCGAAGCACAACCCAACCAGCAAGCACAAGAGGTTTGAGACATGATTAAAACTGGCTCCGCTGTACCGTCGCAATACCGACATGCGACATCCTCGGAAATACTTCAGTGATTGGAGTTTGGGGGATTTCCTTGGTTTGAAAATAGCTTCACATCCTGGTACAATATTTCCTAGGTCCTTTCCTGTACACGCAACCCGGAACGGATTTCCTTTTGTTTTCTTGGTACCAGGCAGAAAATATCATGAGTCGGCCACGACTATACGACAGATTTTACAGAACAGATGCCATGCCTACCGGACCTGGACTTTCCTGCTGGAACACTCCGAGGACTTGGCTGTTTGGGGCCTCATACCGTGGAACAATGAATCGGCCCTGGATTTCTTGGATCGCCTACCCCAGGCTACCATTGATTATTTCTCTGGCTCAATGGTATCTGGAGAATTGAGCTGGCTTTTCCAGTGCCGTGGAAGGGGACGGCAGGGGGTTGTCTTGGTTGAAATGAGACCTTGCCTTGTTTGCTTCAGTGGTCTACTTTGGAGGCTGTCTGATTCATGGCTGTTATATTATCATGACATTTGAGTGTTGAGATTGGGGCTGGGGCTGGGGCTGGGGCTGGGGCTACATTTGTCTCACAATGAGTTTAGGAAGGGGAGGAAGAACTTGCGCTGGGTGTGGAAGAGACGCGCACCAAAAGAGAAGGGAAGTATAGGAATGACAATAACCATGGAAGATCCACAGTCTTCTTCGTGTAGGTATGCTAAATGCTATCCCCTAGGCCTTCATATTTCTCTATAAGCTTTACCATCTCTGTCACTAGCTGTCTTCTGCTTTCAATCTGGGAACTCAGTGTATAGTAAACAATGGACAGATTGGGCCATCTCGACTATAGTACGCGAAGCTGTGTATAAGCCGTAGCATTTGCACACTTGTTTGCCCAGCTCAAGTAGCCTTGTATAAAATCAATAGCATAAAAGTGTACAATGCGCGAGAAAAGAAAAGAAAAGACCAGAGCGATGTCAAGTTGAAAATGCCAAGAGGAGCAAAGAACCGTGGCTCCGCTCGGGTGTGGGGTGCAGCTTATTTCGGGAGCTTGCGCGTTGCCGAAAGGCCATGCTGGCGACTACTGATTACTCCAACATTCCCCTCAACTTTCGAACAACTTCCTATGAACTCATAGTGAAAACTTCCCTTTGCGCACTCGCGTTCCCTTTCCCGCGTCTGACGCCTCCACAATGGCCGCCTGGAGCGAGGTATGTCGCCAATGCGTCGACACCGTCGTCGGAGTCCCAATTGAGATCCTCCTTGTGGCCATCCTAGCCACTCTACTTGGTCTATTAGTTCTAGTGAGTAGCGAACCTCGTCTAAGCCGAAACCCGATCGTGGCACAACCTCGAAACCCCCAGCCAGACACTAATCATCCACAGTTCTTCATCTTCATCTTCACCGTCGCGCCTGTTCCACGCGCCCCCCTCCCAGAAGAAAAGAAATACCGAACCCTCTCCAAAGATGGAACCGTCACAACCCCCGAGTCCCTCCCCAGCTGGCTCGACTCCTCACCCACCCACACCATAACCCCAGCCTCCCTCTTCATGTCCGTCGTCATCCCCGCCTACAACGAAGAGGACCGATTAACCGGCATGCTGGAAGAAGCCGTCAACTACCTCGAGCGCATGTACGGCACCGCTCTCAGCAACGAGCGCGTCCTGCGCAACCGCAAGCTAGAGACTGAATCATCCCCAGATCGCGGCTGGGAAATCCTCCTTGTCTCAGATGGCTCCACGGACAGCACTGAGGACGTGGCGTTCCGGTTTGCGCGCGATCACCAGCTTTCTATGCATCCGAAGGGGCATGCGGGACCGTGGACTCCGCAGGTTGCGGAGGGCGTGCATATCCCGCCTGGTACGATTCGTGTTGTTAATTTGACGCACAATCGTGGGAAGGGAGGGGGCTGTCACGCATGGTATGCGTCATGTGCGGGGGCAGTATGTTGTCTTTGCGGATGCGGATGGTGCGAGTAAGTTTGATGATCTGGGGAAGTTGGTTGGGGCTTGTCGGGAAGTGGAGGATGGGAAGGGTCGCGCGGTGGCGGTGGGTTCGCGTGCGCATATGGTTGGCAGTGAGGCGGTGGTTAAGGTGAGTGGCTCTTATTCTTCTTCTTCTTATTGAAGAGAGGGGTTTTTTTTGGGATAAAGGATCTAACGATTGGTAGCGTTCGAAATTGCGCAATTTCTTGATGCATTCGTTCCATTTGATCTTGTGGTTGATGACGCCGCCTAAGACTGCTACTGTGAAAGATACGCAGTGCGGATTCAAGTTATTCTCGCGCAGTGCGTTGCCGTATATTGTGCCGTATATGCATTCCGAAGGCTGGATCTTCGATGTCGAGATGCTTATGCTGGCTGAGTTTGCGAAGATCCCTGTGGCCGAGGTGCCTGTGGGGTGGCGAGAGGTGAAGGGCAGCAAGTTGAATGTCTTGCGTGACAGCATTGGCATGGCTTGGGGCTTGGCTGTCCTGCGAGCAGCTTGGTCACTGGGTGTGTATAGACAGCGATGATCGAGTCTGGAACTTGATTTCTAGACTTGGATTACAAGATTGCTTGATTTATTGATAGCGAAACAATGCATATTGACATTTTGGGAACTTATCAGCGGTGTCTATGGTGTTTTAACGTTCATGGTTACGTATATTGTGAACCACTGGCTTCACATGCGTCGTGACGACCTTGTCTATCTTCGGCTTGGATCGGAGATTCCGAGTGGCGACAATCACTTGGGCAAGGATAATACATCACCTATGCGATTGGAATATGCAAGTGACCCAAACGAGCGATCGACGGTTCCACACGATCTTGCTGAAGATCTAAAGTGGACACACTGTGTACTTCAAATCCAACTCGCACCTGGGCATCTTCCAGGGTTGTTCTAAGGTTAAGACCCAGATTTAAAGTCCCATATTTTCTCTTCGTTGGACCTCTCAATCTATCTTTCCATCAAAGTAAAAACACTAAGTCACTGTCCCAACTGCCCATTGGATGGTTTCCAATGCTACCCAGGATTGCCATCAACTGGCTTTAGGTATGCGAATGAGTGTAGTAGGTGCGTAACTTCTTCTTTTCTGATTGCCTGGCGAATCGTTATTACATCCATGTTGTAGATCTTACTTTTCAGATACTGCCCAAGTGTTTGTCTCTGTTACTATTTATTTTCAATTGGAGTGGCTAAGACAGAATAGAGGCATCTAGATACCCGACAGGGGAAATTAAGTTTTATATCAAATGTAACAAGGCCCAACCCCAGAAACTTTCAATCAGCCGCCAGATTTGCCCAGGTGTACGACATTTAATTTCACAGTATGCCTCCAGGGCTGGCTCAGAACAGCTTTCAAAAAAGATGTATATGGTACCGTTTCTAGAAATTGGATTATTGGACGAAGATTTGGCCAAATGGTGTCCCGTCAACAGCTCGATGCCCAGGTGCCTACCGTTCTCTGTTGGTTCTGTTTTCTTTCTCATCATGGTATCAATGGCTTCCCGAGGTCCATGAAGAAACTGGCGGTTTGATATGCCTTGCAACACAAATTTTTCTTATGGTCGATTTACTCCTCTCTGGGATTTGATCCTAACGTACGGGGTATTCAGGGTCCTAAGGAGCGGTAAGGGGGAACTAGAACGGAAATGGATAACTAGCCAAGATATGTCCACAGGGCATGCCCAGGGGCAAGAAAAGAAAGCACAAACCTATGGTGCAACCCCAACATGCAGCTCAGATGCTGGTTGGGGGTACACGGCAGAGTAGATAATCTGCAATGAGCGAGGTGTGTTGTGAAGTATATAATGTCTGCGAATCTCCACCTTGCGAATGCCGAAGTACCCACAAAACAAATCGGGCGATCTTCTTCACTGTACTACAGCCTTTGCGAAACAAACGTCATCGGTCCGAGCAAATTTTGGCGCGAACCCATGGATGGCTTCAGGAACAATTTTCACGCCGAGCGATTGGCTCGGCGAAGAGCGCACATCGAGTCGAGTTGGCCGAGTTGTACAGTCATATCGGCGAAGTGTCCCTTCTAGTAACTAAACAGGTTCTTACGTATGGGCTGTTCAGATGCCGATCAGACGGTCATCTAAATGGGAAGGTGAAAAAATGGCCTGACACTTGCAGTATAATACCAGTCATCTTCCTCAGATCAGATCCGGTCTCTCAGATCAGATTTGAATTCTGAAATACAGCAACTCTCCGAGTCCAAGCTTTTTACAATTTGCGCGAGTTTCCACTTATTTTCGAGTCAAAAAATTTCTGACAGTGGCAAAGCGTATACACTCCCGAGTGGTTCCACGTTTTTATAAAACGGATTCGATAGCCGCATTCGAGAATCACAATTCCTCAATGGCGAGATCAGATCCTTCGTCTCTCCTTCGTCTCCCAGCAGAGCTCCGCCTCAAGATCTACGAATATGCCCTCGCCGTACCAAATGAGTACCTGGACAAGCCCATGATCGTAGTAGACGATCGCGGCAAGACCTTCACAGCCCGCGGGCAATACAGAGCCCTATCCATGAACCCTCGCTGGGAAGGCGAAGATGGTACCGCGCGCAAACTACTCGCCGTGAATCGGCAGATCCACGACGAGGCCGAAGACTACCTCTACTCAACACACACTCTCTTCTTCCGCAACTCATTCAATCTCGACCGCCTCGATGCGTTTTTAAGTACATTGAGCGCGACAGCGCGAACGCGCATCCGCAGCGTCGGCTTCGAGGTCTTTTTCTTCGTGCATACGCAGAATGGCGTGCCGAAACGCTCGCTGCGGGAATACGAGCATGCGGGTCGAACGCTTGCGCAAAAATTCTCGTCTTGGCATAGTACGCTGCTGTACCTGGATCCGCGGTTCTATTACCCTTCTGCTAATGTGGGTGGTCGGGATCTCACGGCCCGAGGAGTGTTCGATCTCGCCACGCGGTTCGGGGCCCTTTGTAAGGATGTGAGCTTTGTTCCGCTGCCGAGAGGTGACCAGCATCTGCTGGAGGAAGCACAGCAGTTTGTTTGGCGCAGTCGGTCGCCGCCTCGCTTGTCGGATGATCGACGATCTATCAAGGGTTCTTCTTCGCTGGACTGGAAAGTCTTGCCAAGCCGTTTACCCACGTCATCTGTTTTCTGAGCGAATCTTTTTACTTTGTATATTTCTTTTCTTTATGATTCCCATTTTGTCTGCATCTTTGCGATTTGATTGGTGTTCGTTTCCTGCCCTTCTCTGGTCTCGTGCTATCCCAGGCGTACTAGTCCTGCGCTATGACGTGTGCACGATGATTCGAAGGGCATTTGATTGATATAAATGATATATCCATATACATGTCATTTGCAAGGACCTGGCGCAAATTGCGGAAAATGAGGCGTTTGATGTGTTTAAAGTGGTGTTCTTCGGGTATGTTCTCGTCTTCACTCTGGCATTTATATAGATGCATAATTTATTTCTAGATTTTATTCCACCACACCTGGGCATAGATCAGATTTATTAGATAATTCAATATGTACAGAGCAGATCTCTCGGTGATCAAAGCGACTTTCCCAGTTTGACGTCATGGAATACCCGTTCGCAGAGAGAGGGCTACTATGTAACATTTCCCCATTTCCCCGGACTGGTGGGGATTTGTGGCTACTTAACCTCCACACCCCTCCTTTGTCTCCGAGGCCATATTAGGATATAAGGATACAAGGATATAAAGGCAAGCTTCTGGTACCTGAAGGCTACCCAAATCCAGCCCAACTCGTTCGTCCATTCATTATCGAACGCGTTGTCCCGAGGCGTCACATGTGGACCATCGACGGCATTAGCTGCTGCGTTATTCATTTTATTGACCGCTTCTCCAACTCCACCTGGGCACTCGCAGTCTGGACCTGGGATTGCAAAGACAACAAAGTCGTGCGTCGTTGGGCATTTTTATTGTCGGTGTAAATACTTCGCTCTTATCGCCCATCCCCCTCGTATCGACGGAAAAACAACTCCAGCCATGAAGACCGCCAAACTTCCTGACGGCCACGGAAGCCTCTACAAAGAAGTGCGCTTCTCGCCCACTCAATCCCCATCCCGTCGCACAAAATCCGTATCGGCTACTTTCCCTCCTACGATCTCGGGCTACGGCCGAACCGCCTTTCACGACTCCGCACTCCTGAACTCCTTCGCCATGGACACCTCCTACATTGACCAATCGCGCGCCTTACTCCAGAACCAACGGGTGAACTTCGAGACGGAACGAAAATTGTTCGCGCAGGAGAGGAGGTTATGGGAGAAAGAGCGGGCGCTGCTCCGATCGAAAATTACCGAGCTGGAGGCGGTGGTGAAGGATCAAGGGAAGAGGAGCAACAAGCTGGGGCCGGACGCCGCCAAACTCGTGCTCGGCGCATCACAAATGAGCCATGCGAATGGCAATGGCTTCACAGCGCAGGTGTGGGAGGGATCAAGTCCAAACAGTCAGCCTACAAGGGTGTTTTTCGACTACGATTCTCCAAATCAAGCCTACCTGTCGCCGATCTCCGAGAGCGGGATGAACCCACCGTCCCTTGATCAGGCCCTTTCACCTCAAGGGCAACTGGCGGACCCATCTGGGGCACCCGTGAGCTTGCCCGTGCCAATCGAGAAATTGGACAGCACACTTGATGGCATCACACTCAAATCAACCGCTTTGCCACCCGGGGTCGTCGCACGAGTGATCACCCCGCCCTCGCCGTCGCCCCTGGAAACCCAGATCTCCCCTGCAACCCCTGGGACAACTGCAAGGCCTGGCCTTGAGCATCGAAACAGTCTCAAGCTCAAGCTGTCAGAGCTCGGCCCGCCCAATGAAAGATTGCTCCGCGATGCGGGCCACACCCCGATGGCGATCATCGATGCAGATGAGAGCCAACGGTCCACGAAGGAGGGGTCTCCCCTCGAGGTGCCCTCGCAGTCTGAGGAGGCCCCTCTTGCGCCCGTGGCAACCAACGTCCAACCCTCGGAGAATAGGGAGTCCTACTTCCCGGAGCTGCCTGATCTACCAGACGATCCCGCTCTCAAGGGGCCCCTTGGTCTGATCAATGATGAAGAGCACGATAATGATTTTCTGAGCGCGTTGGATCAAAAACTCCTTGATCAGGCTAAAAATATACTTGGCTCCTCGGTCGAATCGGCAGATCCCAACGAGACGGATCCCGAAACTGAGCTCCCCAACTCAGGTCACAATGAACCTGAACTCAAGTTCAAAAAATCAACTAACTTCGGCACAGCATTTGGAATTTCGAATTTGGGTTAAACCCCTCCAACTTACGCTCGGGTCTTCTTTGTGATCTATACAATCTGTGTGATATATCTGCTGTGGATCTTTATATTCTTTTCTTTTCTGGCCCCATATGACCTGCATATCCCCGAGATGTTACAACTTTTGATTTCTGGCGAAATACCTCACGAGATTATGACTTATTCTGATGTGTGCAATATAACTCCAATTGTCTTACCGGTTTCACATTCTCCTGTCGGAGCTTTTTGGCGTTTCTAGGGTGACGAGGGTTGACAGGCACGGTTAGCCCTAGCCAGTGTCCACTACTACCCCGGTTCTAGGTTGATATTGGCGATCCTTGCGTGTGATGCATGGCATCGAAATGAAGTTTATGTCTTGATTGGCCACCTTGAGATATACAGGTGAACCTTGTTAGCAGCCTTATTGACGCCCCTTGCATCATTGCAACCTTTCTCCCCCATTCGAGCCCTCGTGCTGACCTTGTTCATAGAGAAATCCCCAATGCAAGCCATGGATGCAACGCCATGGCTCTACTAGCCGAGATGATATACGCTCCGGATGCTCGGTTCGAGGCGTGCATAAGCTTTGGTCGCTTTGACCACTGGTTTCTCCATACTAGAGAGTCGTCCTAGTGAACCATGCTCCACTCTCATTTCCACCATCCAGGTTCCAGAGCTTTGAGACTCGATGTCTCTCATTAATGCTCTGCTCGGCACTTGCCGTGGTCTGGTACCTTGCAGATCACTGCCCTTGTGGCTTTCTTTAGATCAGTTCCACGAAGGACTAGCTTGTGCCTTGCAGAAACCTCCCTATCTGCTCCTATCTGTTCCTGGATAGAGCCCTTGGCTCTCCCCACGATACCCTTCAAGTGTATATCTCGCGTGAGCCTCGAAAAGTACATAAGGATGCCGTTGCACGCCTCGATTAACATTCTTCATTCTCATCAATCACAGTCTTTTACAGTCTCTTGACAGCCATTCGCTCTTCTCTTTCAAACAACATTCTTTGAATCTCTCATATCTATACCAAAGTCTCGACTCATTCTCGGATTCATTCCATCGAACACATTCACTACACTTTTCCTTCCAATATAACAACTACCGCAACAATGGTTTCCTCTACTATCAACTTCTCCGGCCTCATGTGCCTTTTCCTCGCTCTCGGCCCTGCCACCGTTCTCTCTGCCCCGCAGATCCCCGGCACCCCCGTTCCTGATATCTGGAACCACTCTGAGTCCAGCAACAAAGACGGCAACCACGATTTCACCGCTGGCAGCGGCATCAGCGCCGGCATCCCCGGCGGCCCTCAAACCAACGCCGGCGCAGGAGTTCACTCTTCTCACGACGATGAAGGCAACCACGATTTCACTGCTGGCAGCGGTATCAATGCCGGCATCCCCGATGGCCCTCAATTCAACGCTGGCGCAGGAGTCCACTCCTCCCACCGTGGTCCCTGCGGCCCTTCTTCTGGCGATGACTTCGCCGCCGGCAGTGGCTTCAACGCTGGCATCCCCGGCGGCCCTCAGTTCAACGCAGGCGCCGGATACGCAGACCACCACGACGGCTACCCTTGCCCCGAGCCCGAGGCTCCTGCCGTGATCTTGCCCCCCTCCCCCACTGCCAACGTCCCTATCTACACCCCGGTCCCTATTGTCCCCACTGCTTCCACCACCACTGCTCCCGCTCCCATCGTTCCCACCTACACCACCCCCATCTACATCCCTCACACCACCCCCGCCATCTGGAGCCCCGCCGTCCCCATCATGAAGCCCTCCGCTCCTCTCATCCCCCACCCGGCTCCTGCTCCTTCTTCCTCTCCATCCCCCTCCCCCATGCCCGCTTTCAACGCAGGCTCGTCTCTGGCCCCTGCTTCCGTTCTCGCCGTTGCACTACCCGTCATCCTGGCTTTCTTCAACTAGATCCCCAGTGATACGATACGGCGAAAACGAATAGCAGTCATGCCCTCTCTGCGCTTATGATTGATCCATGATTAATCGCTTGTGAATTTTGAATCTTTTCTTGTCTCGTCACTTGATCGTGTACACCCCCTTTTTCACTACATTCTTCCTTGTTTACTTTTTTTTATAATGCTTTTCGATCCTGGTGTACCCACCGAATACCTGTATTGTCTGTGCCCATACTGGGTCGGATCTTGATCTACTGTTTTGTTACCTCTATACACTTTGAGCGCCGTGGCGTGCCTGCACTTGAGGCGTTCTTTTCATCATTTCTGGTTTGCATTTCATCGTCTTTTATCTATCTCAAATATATGGTTTTAAAACAACTTCTCTTCTTGGTAGACCCTTCATTGATCTAGCCGAGTTTGTTCTCTTCTCTATGGGATAACTATTTTGGATGACCTTGATATCCTATGAGTAGGGAATATTTGGTGCCGCACTCGCGTACCTAGGTAGGTGCTCCATAGATCCTCCGCTAGTTTTCAAACCCCCGGCGATGGAGCTAGGGGACCTTCCAAGGCTGGGAAGGGAGTTTAATGAGTACTCAAATGACTGGTTTCTCACGATGACCGGCATACAATTCACGTTCTAACTGCAAGGGAAAAGATTCTTCAAAGCCATTGATATTGTACGGAGGGTAATCAAAAAGTAGTCAAAGCCATAAAGCTTGACCCAGGGCTAAATCAACGCCAAACTCATGTCGTGTCATGCATATCACATATCGAAAACCAGGTCCAGGCCGCAGTTCATTTCGATCTGTTTCAGTGTAATGGCTCATCTAGCCATAGCCAAATCCCAGAACGAAGATATTATACGCCCATAGTGAAGTCATGCTCAATGCCCGGTGTCACACTGGCAATGAACTTGAGGAATACGACCAGGTACTGATCTACCCGAATAGCAACCTGCTCTTCCTCATCGTGCTGGAGCATTTCCCACTCATCTCCGTGTGGACCCTGCTGCTCGAGAGAGAGATTATTCGTTTCATCCACTAGACCCTCGAGGCCACCACCTGCGCGAAGAACACGGTTTGCTTCATCGCGTGACTGTGTTTGTTTCAGCTTGTCGCGGCGGAGCTTTAGTGCGGCCTCCGCGCGATCTAGGAGGATTTTCATCACTGAGGCATGGCGGCAGGGGTGTACGCTGGCCATCTTGATGTTTCCATCGAACCATGGAAAGTCTTCTAGCGTCACTGTCTTATCTTTGTAATCGCCGACGATGTCCTCCATCATGAGGTGTGGAGGAAGTGGTTCTGACGCTGAAAGATACCCGGAAAGGTAGAGGCGAGGTGTGCGGTAGAAGTTCGAGTATGTGATGTAGAGGGTGTACGTGCGGAGAGGCCTGGAGTAAAGAGTGAGACGTCGTCAAGGCGAAAATCACCGTATAATGGGATAAACTTACTGTGTAGTGCTAGACTGGCCAGCTGGCTCGCGGATGATCGCTTCCTCGTCATCGTCGTCATCCTCCATATCTGGGATCTCATCGTCTTCCTCCTGTTCACCCAAGTTCCCAGATTCATCCACCGTTCGCACGTCGCTGATCCGGGCTTCTTGTTTGTCCTTTTCAGCAGCGGTATCTCGGCCCCCACCAGTGCGCAACCAGCCATCTTCCCCATCGGCTGCGGCACTCTCACCCCCCATCGCCGCCGGAGAGGTAGTCCCTCACGATCTCATCCTCCAACCCTGCATCGCCGGCAAAGTTGTCATTCAATCTCCGGTGACATGGCACTCCCCGAGTTACGAGGAACTGCTTTCCTTCTGGGAGATAGGGGACACGCTTTTCTGGCCTCGAGGCATCAGCCCAGGACCATGTGGGGAACTTGTAGACTAGGTAGTCGCCGGCAAGCACAAACTCCTCCGGGGTGATTTGACCGGAGTTTCGGAAAGTCGAGGTACGTGAGACGGGGGCGAGGCGATCCCGCCAGGTTGATAGTGTAGAGTGTAGGATATTCATGGTGGTTGAAAAAGAAGTGAGGGCGTACAGAGACCGGCGGGGGTGATAAGCGGTGTGGGGCACATGATCCGCGTCATTCCCAGTCTCGTGTCAGATGATATTTGCCGCATCTTTTCGATCTTGAGAACTTCACTTGCTCACTTGCTCATTTGCTCCTTCGCACTTGATACAAAGAAACATCTAGGTCAAATGTCTCGTTGCATTCTGTGATTATCTCAAGTCAGTGGTTCTGGGTAGTTCGCTTTGTGGTCCACATACCCGCGATTACTGTCGGCTTTGAAAACAATGATTTATGTTCTACTTGAGTATCTGTCTTCGCCCAACCAAGAGGATTTCGGCATAAAGTCCTTCTTTTTTGCTTCATGTGTGCCGACAGCTATGTTGCTAGAGTCGCGGAGGTAACAAATCCGGTCTTCCAAGGTGCTCGCCAAACTTTGGCACAGAGACGACCTGGGGATGCTTTTGTGCTGCACTCGCATAACATGTAGTCGCAGAAACTGGCATATTGACCTGCAAGTGTTTATTGGTGGGACATAGATAGCCCTGAGGCGCGGCATAGTTCCGCATAAAGTGCCCTAGGGGCTCGGGCATTCAATTCGGGTAGAGTAAGTGTGTACCTCGGAAACTGAGCATACGATGGTTTTTTAAGTTCAAGAGAGATCTCTCAATCTGCTCTGATCCCCTGAGAAGTCCAACTCTAGCAATCACATTGCTCTGTACATCTTGTCAACAGGATCACAAGTAAGAGAGAGCTCCGCCAGGAGAAGCGTAGAGCTCAAGACGAATACGGAGTACATTGGAATGAGTGTTCCACACCCCCACACAACCTAATACTAAAGGGGGTCCTCCAAATCAATAACCGGTATGGAGAAAGATATGATTGCCGATGCAGGGTCTGTCCAGGTGAGGGTCTGATCGCTCAATACATGCCGAATCGGCTCCACCCCCACAAAAGGCAGGCTTAGCATCTTGGCATCCCCAAGGCGAGCCTTAGCCTTGAATTTACTGACGTGCCCACGCCAGACTATACTCAATACGTTGCAATTATGCTCATCTGCCAAGATAATCAGTCGCCGCTGCGGAGGTGCTTCATTTGCCGGTGCTTCTGGAGGTCTATAAAATGCCTGGTTCAGATCTGCCAATATGTTTCAATAGACCAAGATCTCCGAGTGTGACAGGCCTTGGTAAATAAACTACCTTCATCGATCACTATGAGGATCCTCGTGGGACTATCCCTGCTTTCTTTTATTTCCCCGGCCTTCTGCGGTCCTACAGCCAAACTTCATCTACGAGATGAACCGACCCAGATCGATCAACCTTTGATCAAACTCAAGCCTCAACAAAGCCTCTCGAGAGAGCTTGTGAACCTAGATGGCCTGTGGAAATTTTCCCTCGCGTCTGGTCCCAATGACACAGCCAAGCCATGGACAGCCCCGTTGCCCAAAGGTCTTGAATGCCCCGTGCCAGCCTCCTACAATGACATATTTGTTGATCGAAAGATTCACGACCATGTCGGCTGGGTGTACTATCAGCGCGACGTGATTGTTCCCAAAGGCTGGTCGCAAGAAAGATATCTTGTGCGGGCCGAGTCGGCCACGCATGAAGGCCGCCTATACGTGAACGATCATCTTCTCGCTGAACATGTCGGAGGCTACACACCCTTTGAAGCCGACATTACTGATATTGTCGCCGCTGGGGAGAAATTCCGGTTGACTATCGCCGTCAACAATGAGCTCACCCATGAAACAATTCCGCCGGGTGAGATCGCGGTATCAAATGTCACTGGCAAGAGAAAACAGACCTATCACCATGACTTTTACAACTATGCTGGTCTTGCTCGATCCGTCTGGTTGTACTCTGTCCCTCGCCAGCATATTCAGGATATCACTGTCGTCACTGATGTTGACGGCGCCGATGGTCTGATCAAGTATGCGGTGAAAGTTGCCAATACCACGAACGAACAGGTCAAGATTACTGTCTTCGATGAAGATGGAAAGCTCGCTGCGAACGCCTCGGGGTCAGAAGGCACTGTGAAGATCGATTCAGTCAAGCTATGGCAGCCAGGCGCCGCCTATCTCTACCAGTTCCAGGCCAGCATCGTGGATTCCAGCGGTGATCTAGTTGACACCTATAGTCTGGCCACAGGCGTTCGCACTGTCAAAGTCAGCGGCAACAAGTTCCTCATCAACGACAAGCCCTTTTACTTCACCGGATTTGGAAAACACGAGGATACCGCAGTTCGCGGAAAAGGTCATGATCAAGCATACATGGTCCACGATTTCCAGCTGCTCAACTGGATCGGGGCAAACTCATTCCGAACATCACACTACCCATACGCTGAAGAGGTCATGGACTTTGCAGACCGAAATGGGATCGTTATTATTGACGAAACCCCCGCCGTGGGACTGAATATTGCTCTACTGGGTGTGTCTGGTGGTGATTCTGCAACTTTTACCCCAGACGCAATTAACAACAAAACACAAGCTGCTCACAAGCAGGCTATAAGGGAACTCATCAGTCGGGACAAGAACCATGCCAGTGTTGTGATGTGGTCCATCGCCAACGAGCCCGCTTCTCAAGAAGATGGGGCTCGCGAATACTTCCAGCCTTTAGCCAAGCTGACTCGAGAACTTGACCCAAGTCGCCCGATCACTTTTGCCAATGTCGGCATGGCAACATACAAAACAGACCAAATCTCTGATCTGTTTGATGTAAGCTGTCTCAATCGGTATTTCGGGTGGTATTCCGAGACCGGAGACCTCGAGGAAGCCGAAGCAGCTCTCGAAGAGGAGCTTCGTGGCTGGGAGAAGAAGTTCGACAGACCTATCATCATGACTGAGTATGGTGCCGACACCATTGCTGGGCTTCATTCTGTGCTAGGCTTGCCCTGGAGTGAGGAGTACCAGACGCAAATGCTTGCCATGTACCATCGAGTCTTTGATCGTATTGATTCGATGTCGGGTGAGCATGTTTGGGCCTTTGCTGATTTCCAGACTACTGTGGGGACTTTGCGGGTGGATGGTAACAAGAAGGGCGTCTTTACTAGAGACAGGAAACCGAAGGCGGCGGCGCATGGTTTGAGGGATAGGTGGACTAAGATGACAGCCGAGTGATGAGAAATAGTGACCGTCTTTATTCCAGATACCAAGGGATAGGTCCATAGCATCATCGTCATCATGTTATCTCTTAGGACATCTAAAGTGATTGCGCTATCCAAAACTGATTTCGTTTACATCAACCGGCGAGGATTAGGATTTGGATAAACTGAATAAGCCTTCATGAATTCATGGATTCATGGATAAACTGCTCAGGTTAAGTTGTGATGAAGACTTCCTTGGGTCATGATACAAAATAATGAAACTAATCTTTCATGACAGGCGGTTTGGCCGAGTGGTCTAAGGCGATTGACTAGAAATCAATTCTCTTCGGAGGCGCATGTTCGAATCATGCAGCCGTCGTGGCATTTCTTTTTTGATTTTTGGAAATCTCCCACTATGACTTTTTCCCTATATTTTTGCCAATTTTCGTGGCCCACAAACCTAAATTGCCAAAACCTTATTTATGCCCTCAGCTCGAACCGCCAAGCGTCGTCACCAGCCTGAGACCATGAAATTGGGTCACCGCTGGGTCTCTCCCGCGAAGAACCAAATTTTTGACTACTATCCAGGGCAGAGTCTCTTTAATGAAGCGGTAAAGTACTATGTACTTGAGCGAGCCACCATCCAGACCATCCAAAACCTTGGAAATGAGCTTGTGATGGCGATTGCTTGCCATGAAGAGCTGCGCGTACAACCTACAAAGACTCCCCGTCATTTTGGCATTTCGCAAAGATACTCATTAAATTTCAAGTGCTCCTGGGTCATTATTTGAGGCGTTGATAGCATATGTATCAGTCTCACTCGCCGACTGGTGTAACCTCGGCCTTGACAGAAAAGTCATTGGTTGAATTGGAAAAGCCTGGTGGATTCATAGCTTCGGTTCAAGCATTGAACATCGGAATTAGCTTGTGCTGACTCTGAAATTAAAAACGAAGGACATGATAATACTCATAGAATCATATCTTTGGAGCTGAAGTGGTCCTTTCAGGTTCTGATAGTAGTGGACAACAACGTGAGAAAGAAAACAAACGACAAAAAAACATAAGACAGAATTGTATGTAAGATTCAATACGAAGTGCAGGCTACCAAATGTAGACCGGATAAGTAGGTACTCGTTTACGAGTGGTGGTGAAGAAGTTGAAATGAAGTGACTGGTGATCTTCCGAAAACCTCGTCCCGAGCTTTTTGCCCCGGAACCTCTCCCCCACAAGTTCTCGCGTCGGGCGGCATAAACCATCTGAGCGGGGAAATTGTTGCAAAATGACACCCGAAAGCCAGGTCAGCCAGACGCGCAGGAGACTTCGTGTGAAAACTGGATGGTATGTGAGTCCCGTCATTGCAAGAAAAGGCTGACTTGTATCCAACGCAGTCATACCTGTCGAGCACGTCGTGTCAAATGTGATGAGGCAAAGCCATCATGTAACAATTGCGGGAAAAAACATCGCAGATGCGTCTATGACAACGACGTTCCTAACAGATCAAAGACGCGATATGCTCGACGAGGAGCGAGAAGTCCTAGTGACGCGGTCTTGCCGCCTGCCCTTCAAGTTGAGGATGGCCCTTCTCATCTCCACGCGCAGTCGGCGGTTAGCAATACGAGATCCCCTTGTGCCATTACATACAATATTCCTAACCTCAAATTCATAGCCGTCATGGCCAAGACCAACCGGGGCCAGAAGTCGCATCAAGTGGGGCGAGTACCGATCGCTGGATGTATCGGTCGTCCCAACAGACGCAAATTCCAGTTAGCCTTTCGTCGATCCTTTGGCCGGGAGAAGGGTCAAACCCGAATGTGCCGTCCATCGTCTGGAACGAGAGCTCCCTGTCCGCCTTGACCGACCCTCAATCTGACGAGGCAAACGGATTTCCGCGGCCAGGAGAAAGTCCAATTGGATCTTCGTTCTATGTGACTGATCAACAGTTGCCGCTTTCGACTTCCGAAATACTAATTTTCAGGAATTATGTAGATAACGTCTCGCGATGGGTAAAGTACCTCCTGCCTTCCCAAATACCGTATGATGAGGTTAGCTTGCTAATCATGCTGCGGTTTAGATCGACTCCTTTTCTCGAGATCAGCCTTTTCACTCGGTTGTGCCTATCCTGGCCCTCAGATGCCCCGTTCTCATGAACTCGTGCCTGGCGCTATCAGCGAAGCAATTAGCGCTGAAAGCATCGGCAGATAAAACAGACTTGCAGGCCAATATCGCCGTCAGGTATCACCAAAGGGCCGTCAGAGGGATTAGCAAGCTTATCACAGACCCTGCTTGCGCATGGAATGACGGCATCCTGGCCTGCTGTGTAATACTGTCCACGTGCGCATGCTCAATCCTCCTCATTCCGGGGCTGGTCCATCGAAGAAATCAACTAACGTGACTTTAGATATGAAATGCTCGACGTAGTAGGAGACAGCTTCGGTACCCATCTGAGAGGGGTTGCTTACTTTCTACAGTCCCGCGAGGTATACGGAGATGCCTGCGGCATCAAAGGCGCTGTCTATTGGACATGGTATCGGCATGAAATCTGGGCCGCTTTACAAAGGGGACAACCGATGTTCCTTGACGAGCAATACTGGAAACCCGAGGAAGTTGATAACTTTGAGAATCTCTGTGTTGAAGATATTGCCAACCGTGCCATCTTCATCTTTGGTCAGTGCGTCTCATTCTGCAATGACAAAAGCGCCGCCGGGGGCGTAGGAGCGGACGAGAGAAGAAAAATTCGAGAGCATCGAGCCGAGTCACTACGACATGCTCTTGGGGATTGGAAGGAGAAGCTCTCGACTTCCAGTGCAAATTTCCTTTCAGAAAAGCCACCACAAACCGAGACGAATACTCATGAATTTCCTTTCCTTTGGTTTCTTTACCCTCAAAGTGGTATGCCTCCGTCCTCATTTCCCTTGCCAGGGGATGTCTTTCTCTTTCTGCTTTTTCTGACCACAACGGCCAGCTATTGCATTCCAAGTCTATCACGCCTCCAAAATTTTGTTGAATCTGCATTCCTACCCTCCCATGTCGGATGGTTTTATCATAGGCTCGAGCCAGTCACTGACCCACCGACGCGAGATCGAAAAGTCACGCGAACAGATCTTTCTCGTCTCCAACTCTGGAATCCCCGGCCCGTGGAGCCTTGTTTCCACACAATGCTTGTATATCGCCGGAATGGTGACAGAGGGGCTACTGGAAAGGTCGCATACTCTGGAGTTGATAGAAGATTGCCAGAAACAATCGGGCCGAAAGACCTGCGTCCTGGCAGACGCTCTCCGAAAATTGTGGTCTGAATAATTTTCAACTTCTTCTCCTCTACAAGTGAATCTATTGTGGAATAAAGGAGTTTGTACAACTGGGTTGACCTTATAGTTCCATTGGAACACTGAAAATCATGTGAACATTGACTCTCCATAATTACAGCCATTCACTTATCCCACCGGCAAACAATTGCGACAACAGGAGTATGATGCTTTGAGCCGCCTGGGCTTGCATCTTTAATGATCCGGTGGAAATCATTCAGGGGGCACGCAGGAAACATCAAGCTGCGTGTGAGAGCTTGCAACATATTCTCAATTGGTCAGTTAGTTATTGGATCACATCAATCGGGATTACAAAGACACAGACTCACATAATCTGCAGCCATACACTAAAACGAGTGCTCTTTCAAAAGCCCCTTTGTACCCTGTCTCGATATGTTGCGCACTTGAGCCTGCCGCTCCAGCCACCAGCCACCAGCTTGTACACCAATGCGGGCGGGATGCCGATTGCAACAGCCAGATCGCATGATTCAGCAGCAGGTATCTCTGAATTTGAGGATTTCTTCGAGATCAAAACTCTTGAGTTCAAAAACTTTACATCTCAAACTTCCATTCCAGCTTAGCCAGGTCGCGCAGATCCCGGGCAATATCCACGGGATTCTCAAGAGCAGCGAAATGACCGCCATCGTCATGTTCTGTGCAATTCAATACTTGTCAGCCAGATTTCGAAAAACTTTGTGTTTCTCAAATACGACACGAACCTCTATAGAAAACCAATTTTCCGGTCCTCTCCACCGCAACCTTCGAGGACGGTTCGGTGTCCCAGAAGAATGAACTGTATCCGAAGGGAACTTTCATATGATTTTCGGGGCTCATGGTGAATTTGGCAAAGTTTTCATGGCGGAGGTTCTCATAGTAGCAAAGCGCGGAAGGCATGATGCAGTCGGTGAAATAATACAACGTAGCGGTGGTGAGGATGATATCGCTCCAAGAGGGCTGTTTCTGCTTCTCAGGATCGGCGGCCTCGTTATACTTCTCACCTACCCACATCAAAATACCCATTGGGTTGTCGTTCAACGCGATACCTATTGTTTGTGGCTAGGCGCAAGATTGATGTTAGTCTTTCTTCATCTGTTCTCTTTCTTGCCGGGATATGAGAGGAATTGCTGGCAATGACTGGGCATCGATCTTACCCTTGTTCGCATGCAGATAGCATATCCCAGATGGTTTTCCAGCCAGTCGTCTACCCGAGAAGCAACACCCTGTTCACGGGTCGTTCGCACGTGGCCCTCAGGGAGAGCGCTGGGGCAGAAATTGAAGTGAACCAATTTGCATGAATCAGTGTAATGCGAGCCTAGCTCACGGCCCACGAAACTTCCCCAGTCACCACATTGAACCATATATTGGTTATACCCGAGTCTTTTCATCAATTGATCGAACAAACCGGCAGTGTCCTGCAGAGTCCAACCCGCACGGGGAGGCCAGTCAGACCAGCAGAATCCCGGCAGGCTAGGAACAACGACGTTGAATGCCTGGTTATTGGGATCTTCTGGGTGTGACAGAGGTCCCCATACTCGGCTGAATTCGTAGAAAGACCCAGGCCATCCGTGAATGAGAAGAATGGGTATGGCATCAGGCCTATCAGCGCGGGCGTGGAGAAAGTGGATCTTGACATTCTCGATCGTGGTCAGGTAGTGAGGGTATTCATTGATCTCATCTTGGATCTTTGACCAGTTAAAATCATTGGTCCACTTATCGTAGAGATTCTTTGCCCATTCGTATGAAGGACCTATAGCAAATTAGCAGCTGGTCTACTGCACGAGGCGAAGAGTTCAAAGCCAATTGACGTACCGTATTTGTCCCCCGCGCCAGGCACAATCTCACGGGATGGAAGCCGTGTATCCTTTAATTTCCGGTACAGTCGGTCAACCTCCTCTTGGGGGATTTGTGCCTTGAATTCGTGAATAGCTGTATCAGACATGGTGCCGTGGTCGAAGAAAACGGGAGCATGAAATGAAGCCCAGCTGCAATGTGCCTTGCTCTAGAAATATTTTGGCAGGTACTGTAGGCAATGGGTTGATTCAACTTATGAATTTTGGGGCTGATAATGTTTCATTTCATTTGAATATCTTGCCCGAGTACTCCGTAGCGACTGACGTCGGGTATGGGTGTGGGGTGCTCGCAAAGCCTGGCGATTGGCCGTTTCACGCATAACCACACTCCCTCCCAGATCGGGCAATCTAACCCAAGCTTTTCCGAACAAAGTATCTTTGTACCCTCATAGATCGCCCAGGAACCGTAAGAGCAATCGAGATTTGTACACGGAGAACGGGACACTTTGAAGGGTGAAGTCAAGCTAACTCTGGGGGTCCACTTCAGGGCTTCAGGGCTTCCTTCAGTGTTGGTCAACATGCGGCCAAGCAGTACAAAACTACCTTCCCTTTTTTATGGGGTACATTAACTAGTGCTGATCACGGAGTGGTACTGTGCATATAAATAAGTGTTGAGCGCAATCCCTGCTGCTTCTGCTTCATGCGACAGTCCGCTTTTGCGGCCTCGCTGGCGCTGGCGCTTCTTGTTTGCGCGCCCGTTTTGGGGGTATTTAATGCCCCAGAGACCCTTCCACAATGAATCATCGTTTCTGAACTTCTGCTTCCTCGAAAATCATCACTTTGTTACTCACTGAGCAGACGATAGGCGGCCGCTGGCTATGATCGAGCGACGAATTGAGCTGGATGGGAGCTATTCGAAAGGGACACCCCCGGAATGATTGCCTCGGCTTTGCTTGAAGTGAAGTGAAAATGACATGAGCTAAGCCCCTGCTTGATTTTTCTATTCCTTCCCTACCTCTTCGAAAGCATTTCTGGTCACCACAATGGACTCGGCCTTCACTCACGCCGTCTTCCGGCAGGGAGCTACTGCGCTCATCACGGGCGCCGCATCTGGCATCGGGCTGGCTCTGGCGAAACGATGCTACTCGTGCCAAATGAACTTGATTCTCCTCGACAAGAGCGACGACGGCCTCCAGCAGGCCTTGCAGCAATTCCCCTCCACCGAGACCATCACGACCACCGGTCACTCCATCGATGTTTCATCCATCGACTCATGGCGAAGCCTTGTGCCCCAGATTGAAGCCCAGTATCCCAATGGCATCGACCTACTTGTCTTAAATGCAGGCACTGGCGTCAAGTCCAACAAGGGCTATCGGAAAAACCCCGAATACTTCGAAAAAACCTTCGCGATAAACACTCTGGGATACAGAAATGGCACTATCGCGATTCTCGACATGGTCAAGGACAGCAACGAAGCTCGCGCCATCATTCTCACGGGTTCCAAACAAGGGATCACTAATCCCCCCCCAGCGATCCCGCCTACAATGCCTCCAAGGCCGCCGTACGCACGATTGCGGAGCATCCGCCCTTCGATATGGTCAAGGCTGCTCTCAATGTCAGCCTCCACCTCTTGGTTCCAGGCTGGACCTACACTGATCTTTACACTACCGCTTTCAAGGACAAGCCGGTTGGTGCTTGGACTTCCGAGCAGGTGATCGATTTCATGATTCAAGGAATGGCCGAGGGAAAGTTTTACATTATGTGCCCGGACAACAAAGTGTCGGAAGAGTTGGATAGGAAGCGCATTATGTGGTCCATAAACGATTTGCTGAAGGGTCAGCCCCCGTTGTCTCGTTGGCTAGAGGAGTGGGCGGGAAAAGCCAAGAAGGCCATCTATGGTGAATAGACCAATCAAGATGCAGATACAAAGATGATACGAAATCAGTTTTCGAGTGGCCAGCTGCAAATTCCCTCGATCATGGATAGGATGTGAAACGGGTCAAACAAGTGGAGATTCTCTGGTTCCGGCGGCGCCTCGCTTGCCGTACCCGAACTTCGATGCGAGATATAGCCATACATGATGCCCGCCTAATACTATGACGATACGACGTTAGGCGAGCAGTGATAGATGACTATTTCGAGTTCAATCCACTACATTACAACCTACATCGCTGTGCCTGATCTTCTTACCACTATTCCAATCCAAACTCACCCTCTTTAAATCTCACCAAGCATGTCTCTACAAGGCAAGAATGTTGTCCTAGTAAGTCAGATGTGAAACTCCACACTTTGCATAGTATATCATCGCTGTAACTGATATATAGACTGGGGCTTCCATGGGGATTGGCGAGGCCATTGCTACCTCTATTGTTGAGGCTGGGGCAAATATTTGCCTTCTGTCACGCTCTGAGGTGAGTTTCTCCCGCATCACAAGGACCTTCGCAGATTCGCTAACATTTCTGAACAGGACAAACTCAAGGAGTTGATGGAGAGACTTGCTACTGGCTCCGGACCTAACGTCACGATTACCTACCAACCTGTCGACGTCGGTCATTTTGAGAGTGTCGAGAAGGCCGTCATGGGAGCCATCGACCAGCTAGGTGACATTGATATTCTCATAAACAATGTACGAGAACACGACTCTTCCAAAAGTGTCAACCATGACATGCCCAGGTGATTTGCTAACTCGCGTGCCAGGCCGGTCTCGCGCTCGGAGCTCCTAATCCATTCAACGACCTTACCCATTCTCAAATTACGACCATGAACAACACCAACATCAATGGATATATGTATATGACCTACGCTGTCCTCAACAGGGCTATGCTCAAGAAGAAGGCCGGAACCATTCTGAACGTGACCTCTATCACCGGCCTGGAGGTTCCCCCTTTCCCCGGTGAAGCAGTCTATCACGCCAACAAGGCCTGCCAAGAGGCCTTCACCAACGCCATCCGTAACGAGTTGAATGGTACCGATATTCGTGTTCTTGCCCTACGTCCAGGCTGTGTCGCCACCAATTTCCATTCTCAACGCGTTGGACACAACAAGGAGATGTACGATTCTTTTTTTGAGGGATTCGAGTAAGCTACCCCCAGCAAATGAGCGCATCATTTTTCATGGCATTGGTTACTCATGACTTTCTTTAGGCCTTTGATTGCCCCAGATATCGCTCGCGCCGCTGTGTTCATGCTCGACCAACCCTTGAACGTGTCAATCAAGGCTCTTGACGTTGTCCCCTCAGGTACGTGGTTATCTGAAATTACAACACATCACAGACACAATTAACATTGTCGCCAGCGCAACGCTCGATTACTGTTTTTGATCGTAAGTGGAATGAGCGACACTGAAGCACAAGCAAGCCTAGGTATTTGTAGCCAAGCATACGTGCGCCAGGAGGGAGATGTTTTCATCAACGCCTACCTTTGCTGAGGTGAGACTTGATTCTCTATTTTGGAATCAACTCAACGTTTACCAAACCGAATGAGGGCCTTACATCCTTTGCGGCACGGATGAGGAGTCTGTCGGAATAGGTCACGGCCCAAGGGGAAAATTAAAATTGTAGGGTAAGTGGTGAATGGGCAAGTTCAGCAGCTCGTACAAATCCAAGTATATTTTCAATGTTGTACGAAACTGTGGCAATCACGCCATATGTTCCCTTTCGAGCTGCATTTAAGATCTTGAAGTGGCAGTTTCTTTCATGCCAACAGGCGTCCGCGACACCAGCAAGAATAGGGTGCCTGATAGACTGAAGTCGACCACTTAAAGGCGTTTCTGAGATGGCCCACTCCAGCGCTCCTCGCCTCGAGATTTATCTTCACCAATATCGGGAGCAAAAAAAGTGCAAGAGGATGGGGCATTCCAAGCGGTGATGGCAGTTTTATTCATACCTAGGTAATTATCTTGCTAGAACATTTATCGAATGCCCGCTTGATAAACCTTGTAAATCTTTCAATCCGATTGATTGCTTCAATTTATAGGATTAGTCTGAGCAAAGATATGGGTCGAATTGCCGCTGTGTATAGGCCTGCGCTAAACAGCCTTGGAATTGAACCAAGCTTCCAAAGCTGTCAGCATTCTGCAGTTATCAAACATTAGCACAATTCGTCTGTTTGGTGATCTGAGTGGATTTTAGATCTGCATGGTGAAAAGAAATTTATAGATCAAAATGGTGCTGACAAACTTTAGCAACCAGGCGGTTTGGCCGAGTGGTCTAAGGCGATTGACTAGAAATCAATTCTCTTCGGAGGCGCATGTTCGAATCATGCAGCCGTCGTGGCATTATATTTTTTCCTTCATAATTTTACAATATTATTTATATAAATGCGTAATGTCAAGTGCAAGTGGGTTTCGTTTCTTTTTTACCAATCTACATCCATCTAGTCTTTTGGCACCAAACGCTACGGAGTATACATCCATGGATACCATCATTTTACCCCTCCCTTTTGAAAGCCTGTCCCGAAGGCAGTACAATCCCCTTCTGTGGCATCAATGCTCATCCCCCAAGTTCTGTACCTGGTGCCCTGTCATGATTTTTTTTTCCTTTGTGAAGCTGTTGTCTCATGGCCATCTGTGCTTTCAAAATTGTGCTCTTTGACGAGTAAGGTCCGAGATCCCCGCGCTCATCCAATATATTTTACAAGCCTGGGCCCGCGGTCACGCGCGGCCAGACACAGCTGCTTCCAAGGTTAGGCAATTGAAATAATATTGAGCAGACACTATGACTTAAATCCAATCACATAGAGACACCCCACCCGTGGGAGTTATATACGCATACCCTATGATAGGTATGAATCGTATAGCCATGCCCTACTTATAGGAATTGTATAAACACGCCCTACTCATCGAAGCTGTATACACATACCTTATTTATATAAATCATATACACACGCTCTACCTATTACATAGACTTTATCAAGATACTTTATTAGATACCTTATCACTGACGGAAGAAATACATCATTGAGTCTTGACATACAGTTGACATTCATGGATGCAATTGGCTGAACCTTAGATTCAAGCTAAGCCGTGAACAGAGAATTATACTTGGGGCATATATATATTCATTTTCCTGTCCACTTCTCACCTGCGCGCATAAGAGCATCGCTCTTATTTGCACCTAAATGACTCGAATTATTATCAGTATTGATGGGAATACCGTGAACCAAGCCAGGGTGGCTATACCTTTTCGCCTTCTACAACCTTAGTGTATACGATGCGTCGACCGTCGTAGAAGCCCTGTAGGGTTGAGCATGACGTCTGTACGCCCGCGATAGGCAGTAACACGAAGTGCCAATGCTGGATGATGGTATCAGAGGATGTGGCAACGTTGTATGGCGTCTCTGGTGTTACCAGGAGTGCGGTAGGAACGAATAATTGCATCCATCCCGACGGTAACTGGTGCCTCGACCTGAGAGGGTTCCAAGGTTAGCTGCGCATGGTGTGCGATGGAATCACCTATCATGATGCAGTACTGTTGTTGATTGTGACGGTACACACCCTTCGGATCTCCATTCTTATTCATCCCGATTCATCATGGTACCTGCCAGTATGCAGTTCCCGACATTTGAATTGCCCGAGGATTCAAAGGCGAACTATGTGTGGAAGAAGTCCTCGCAATTGACCAGATATGTTGGTAGATCCGGCACCAAGTATGCTTGCTGAGACAAACATCACATTGTCTCTCGCATTTTCAATTTCAATAGTCATTCACCAAGATAGGAGAAAAGGCAAATTAGGTATATTTTATGGACATGGTTCAGCCATGCCTTCAGTCAATGATCCCATTCTTCTTAGGCAGTCAAAAAAACAGGACTTTACAATAGATGGAACAAAAATATGAAAAACCAAAAAAAGATTACATGCCACGACGGCTGCATGATTCGAACATGCGCCTCCGAAGAGAATTGATTTCTAGTCAATCGCCTTAGACCACTCGGCCAAACCGCCCAATCATTGAACTTTTGTTCTACTATTTAGTATCATCAAGACTCAAAGCGCTCCCCCGCTTCCACAGGCTGGGATACCGAGGGCATCGATCAGGACTGTTAGTGCTAAGGGATCTGTAGCCCACTGGAAATGTTTTCATATTTATGTTTTCATATTTAGCCAGATTCCTGATTACACAGAGACTGAACATCTTGAAGCCGAAGTCAGCGTATATATCGCAGCGAACTGCTCGCACATAGTCGGAATGTCGGGCCAGGCTAACCTGTGAGATAAATCTGTGGGGTAACACGCAGTCTTTGATGCTTAGAGCCTCTCGTTCATCTCTGCGATAGACGACAGCTCTATGCAAATGGCCTGGTCCATGGGCTTGCTCGCTAGTAAGCCTTGGAAGATCTCGCCAGCATTACCCGGCTCAGTCTTCCCCAGAGGGATTCCATAGCTCTCGTGTTGAAGGCTGTACTACCTAGGTACTATAGAGTCAGCGAACCTTTTGCGCAAACCGCCGAGGGTGCTTGGGTCTCATTTCACAAGTGGGCCAGTCCATTGCCATATCTATCGTCGATAGGTGGCTCATCCCAAGGTCTCCTTATACTCCTTATACACGACATCTTTTTCGAATTCGAATACCGTGCCCAGACCCGTGTGATGTACAACAAAACACTTGGCAATCTGCAAACCTTGAAATATCAGAGTTCTTGGGGCCATATATGGCCTGATCGGATGAAATTGGATCGATATCAGTTCCACCCATTTCTTCTGTCCGTACCTCCATACCCTCTCCCTCTATTCCATGTGACTCCCTCATTTCAGTACATTCACATCTGGTATTACTTTCTCGCCCTGCTTCCGATAGGCTATGAAGCCCTTTGTATCCCGAGGTCGGTATCATTGTTTTGACCGACGTTGGTGCCACCCATTCATACCATGGTTATCGATCATTCGCGTGATGATCAACGTTTGCCGGCTCTTTTGAATTAACCAACTCTTGCTTCCGCTTGATTCCACGACTCGGAGACACCGACTCACAGCAAACACCACCTATCTTATAGACCTATTTTTTTCCCATAGACCTTTCATCGGTCCATACACCACTATGGCTTCAGTCCGCTATTTCAGCATTATTTCGACAACCCCTTGTCTCAGTAGGTCTGGTTCAAAGAAATTCTCACTACCTAGAAACACAATAACAAGGATGCTACGTAACCCACCGACCCCGGCGCCACTTATGGATCTAGATCTGAAAAATGACCGTTCTGCCCCGTACGGGATCAACGGATAGAGTATCCCTTGGGAAGACGACTCCTCATCAGATACGCCGCTCCATGAAATGAAGAACTGGCTCATGTCGCCGAAACCGCCACCCTGTTTCCGGAATTTCTGGGAAATGCGCATGTCCCTTCTGTCATGCGTATGGCAATGAACATGGGTGCAGGTATTAATCTCTTGTTGTGCATACTACCTAGGTATTCTTGGTCTTCCTATTGAAGGTTAACATCCTGATAGAACTCCCTCGTTCCAGCAATACCTCCGCTAGGGCTTCTCGAGGTTTCTCTACGTCGCCTGGTTCTCCATTTGACATTACCTTTTCCGGAGAGGGTCATTAGCTTGCGTTCCACTCTGCGTTCAACAACACGCGCATTTTGACGTTGGCTTGACCAGTCAGGGCCCAGCTGTACGAATCCGGATCTTGTCTACACACTTCTCTCTCCTCTGTAACTCCATGATTTGTTCCACTTCTTGACACAACCCACTCATCTCAACATTCATTTTCAATCCTGCTCTCTCGTTCTCTTCCAATTGTGGACTGCGAAGCGATAAAAGATTTTCTTTCAAAGAAAAAGCTTGGGCCAAGCTAATGAAGATTCAACAAAAAGATATAAGCCACGACGGCTGCATGATTCGAACATGCGCCTCCGAAGAGAATTGATTTCTAGTCAATCGCCTTAGACCACTCGGCCAAACCGCCTGGTGGTTGTGGGACGATTGAGATTAAGGTTACTTAGCCCTAAGACTCTATTTCTACTTTAGACTCACTACACAACTCTCTGATTGGTCAATGTTGACTGGCGGTGGGGCTCCATATGTGGCCTGCTTTTTACTTCATAGCATCCATGGATTGAGTTAGGATAGGATATGAGGAAACTTTGTACACCACAGGAACAGATCAGTGTTTAGTGTACACAATATAGTTCAAATTACTTCTGCTCATTGACAATGCTACGGTGATGGAACCAACGCTACTTTATCACTGCCATCTCTCCAAAACAAACATGAATAGATAACCATAGAATTATTGAGTGAAAGTAGACTATATCATAGATGAATTTGTTACAATTATATAAGGGCACGTAGGTCCACGGGTACTTGAGGATTTTAGGGCTTCCACACAATAGGAAGGAAAGAAATTCCATCAATTAGATATACCCCACGGAATCTGTGAGAGCATTACGGAGTACAGAGTATACTGCCACAAAAAAGGTTGCATAGTTATCTTGATGCTAGAATTGTTATTGAAACAAAAAGATATGCCACGACGGCTGCATGATTCGAACATGCGCCTCCGAAGAGAATTGATTTCTAGTCAATCGCCTTAGACCACTCGGCCAAACCGCCTGGTTGTTGATGAGTAATCAGATTGCCAAATCTATGAATCTTAGGACAATTTTGAAAATTGCTTCCTGTCCCAATGTCCACGTTGATAATCGTGGCAGGCACTGATTGCTGCTCAAGCAACTTGGTGTCAAATCTCAATTTTTACTTAGGAGATGGTGGTGACACTGATATTTCTCTCCATTTGGGGGAACTTTCAATTGTATCATTTTCGGAGGTCTGTGATAATCTTGTAATCAATTGGTAAAACAGAAAACCCATAAAGATAGTGCACACAGTATAAATACTCGAACGAGAGAAATCAGCTAGGTACCACCCTGGAGCTACAGGCAACCTTGTAAGAGTGAACATTGGACATGACGGAATTCATAGGCATCGGAGAAATCAGAAGATAAATCAACTGTTGCAGCTCAATCTATTGATCAAAAATAAGATTGAATAGAACCTTGGAAGTGAGGCTATTTGACGAAAATGAAACGACCGAACCAGGAAGCATATGAAATGCGTATCGTGACAAGACCCTTCCGAATACAATTGAAAGATTATTCGAGTAAAACACCCAGGCTCTTTTCTTGCAGTTCTTTCAGGCAGCAAACCTTCACTGGAATCTAGCCATTCATGGAACTAGAGAGCTTTCTCTCTCCCTTATTGATCTTCGCCATATGGACTCACATCAAGGGAAGATTGACTGGGAGGGGAAGAAGTGGCATAGTGTCAACCTGCATTTTGCGCAAAATACTCCGCGATGTCGTGATGGCTATGGTCAACTGCTGCCTCGTACGCATTCGCATAGGGCCCAGTTGGAAGCTGAAGGCTCACGATTGCGCGGGTATTCTCCATAAGGACATAAACTACCTAGATCAATATCGACGCTGTAGTTTCATATCCAGCCGCTAATTATATGTCACCCGAAGTTGGACTTCTCCGCCAAAGGCTGGTAGAATATGCTCCAAAAAAGGAACTGCAGCTGGTGGCCCTAACTGCCCATGCGACATAACACATAATCAAACAACCTCTTCCAAGTTTTGATATTTCATACAAACATTATCCGAAACTGTCCTCCACCTCCCAGTTATCTTTATACACGAGATACCCAAGCTTTAAGCCTCATCTAGACAATAAGTCATCCTCTATAATCTATATTAGCGTTGTATAGTAATATTTCAATAACAATAGACTTACCACGATAGTTATAATGTTGGATTCGTTGATAGATTCCAGAGTTGGAATAATAATACACATGAATTGGGCTCTAATGAATGACTAGGTTCGTCGGGAATAAGTCACTAACAGCTCAAAATAGTAAAAGAGCAGTTAGTATGACGAATTTCCCATGAATTAGGCTAGGCCCGAGGCAGAGATTCTGCTAGTCAGCCTGTGAAGAGTCCACGGGTCCAAGTAGATAACAGAGCGCCGAGAGACCACCTCCTATGCCTATTCATTGTTTCGGGAAACTATGAGATACTTGACATGCCAAAAACTCCCCATCGCAGGGGCAACGATCAGGGCAGTGAGGGCACTGCGGAATGATCATGCATTGAGCTGTCCCAGCTTCTATACGTTAGTCGTGATTCCATTGGTGGGAATCCTGGGTAGCAGGCTTACGGGATTCTTGAAGCCAAAGCACTTTGGATGAAGGTGAGTGCATCCCGTCAAGAAACTCCTCATGTTGAATGAGCCAGTTGCCACTGTCTTTTTTTCGGCGTTCCTCAAGCTCCCGATGATGTGAAGCATATGCCACTTTTGAGACCCGGTTGCGAATATACTGTTGCTCATATTCATTGGTTGGTTGGAAGTACTGCCTCTGGAAAAGCTTGGTGGCTTGGAGATTCCTGAAGTCTTTGTCGTGAGTTGCTTTGGTCGTTACTTCACACAAACTAGCTGCCTCATCCAGGGCGCTCTTTGGGTTTGCCAAATCTGATAATAACACAGATAGCTTATGGTCTTCGAAGATCAATCGACAAAATTGGGCGACGGTATTGGATGTAAGGTCGAGTGACTTGGCCAAAAGTGTCGGTGAACAGATCTATACATCCACAGTGGCCTTGTGAAGATTGGCTATGACCTCGGGATCCCCTGTGCGCTTGTAGGTGTAGATATTGGAGTAAAGCTGGCCCAAAAACATAGCCTGTGTGACTTGCTCGGCGATAGATAGTAGAGCCCTCTTCCTGGTATCGAAATTCTCAATTCCCTATTTACCCAAATGCTCAGTATTATGCATTAAAAGTTCAACGTTGAGAGCTAGCCAACAAACCATAAGGAAAATAGTAGCACAGCCCCACACTGCGGCTGCTGGAGACACCGCTGATGCGAACGGGATGGCTGTATCGCCGATCTTGATTGCCCATCCAACGATCTGAGTAGTCAAGTCTCTGACTAGAATCTCTTGACCTTCCAAGGAAAACTTCCAATCCCCACCTCAGGGCAATCTGACACGACAATCTCATAGAACATATGTGCCGCGAGCACTCGGCGAATAGCTGTCTCTGAGATAACTCCCTTGGTTCATATTCCCCCAGAGATCATCCATGGATACATTTGGGGTAGGGAGCACGTCATCCACCCTGGAAACGGTGGCTCGTGCTCTTCCTCCAGGCCCTCACTGATTTTCACATAATGAAGCAGTCTGTCTTCTAGTCTTGTTGTCAAGTTCTCTGAAAGTGGAGCGTTCTGCAAAGTCTGAAAGCAATCCTCGTCAATCATGACAGATAAACGATAGCCAGGGAAGTCATCAGCCTTCCCTTGCTCGATTTTCCAGGCTTTGAAGTGACCACGGGCGTGGTCTATTGATGCTGCGTTGAACTGGGAAGCATCTTCGTTAACGCGTGGTTCGTGGTTAGCCCACATTTGTCGAAGGGAGCTTCTTAAGATTCTTTTGCTCTGGGACTTCACGAAGATAAGATCCATACTCCGCATAGAATCATCGCTTCATATACTTCGTGGTAAGGTCGACCACACGCGGGAAGCGGCATGGGACTGGGGAGTATATGTTGTCCGGTAGTTATGTAGCCCCATATGGGTTCGGTGTCATGTAGCCATGAATACATGTCTTGTAAATAATATGGAAGCCCGGGGTATTGCTTCAGGGATTGACCAAGCAGCGACATAATTGAAGTGCTGATGCGGCCTCCAGGCGGGACTTTGCAGTGGTCTCAGAAGGAGCGGAGACGCTACGATTGGAGAAAAAGTGGCTGCAGGAAAAAGTGGCTGCAGTGAAGAAAGCTTTGGAGAAAAGCTATATGGTCATGTGATCTCATCAACATCTGTGGAGATTTAGGGATAGATCGGTGTACTGCATAGTGAAGTGGGAAGAGCGCGCTGGCGGTCTGACATCGCAGACAAGACGACGGGGGTGCTCAGTGCTCGGCGGGTGCAGGGAGGCATGTAAAGCCCTAGAACGGCCGGAATAGGAAAGAGATGCTGTTTGCCAGAGAGGTGTAGAATGCTTGAATTGCTAAACTATGGAAACGCGGACAAAAGCTGCCAAAACTAGCCACAGTGGCGCATGAGAGGTGCGGCGCTGTTCCTCCATTACAATAGCTGTACTGACCGCTTTTCAACCAATGGCGAAATAGATCCCGAATGAGGAAAGGAACATAGTACAAAATAGTGGATGTTAACTTTCATCAACCAGGCGGTTTGGCCGAGTGGTCTAAGGCGATTGACTAGAAATCAATTCTCTTCGGAGGCGCATGTTCGAATCATGCAGCCGTCGTGGCTCATATCTTTTTTGTTCCGTTCGTTCATTTTTTTTTGCGATCTTTTAATACTCTCTCTGGTTTTGATATTTTCCTTGAGTTGAAGTACTCATACGATCAGGGCCTTGAAGCGTATTCGAAGAACCATCTTGATCGCTGTGCCAGCAGTAAAAGACCAGTTTTCCAAGTCACCACCCTGCTGAAACTGCGCTCGCTTTACGAGGACAAAAGCTTGTCACAAGTATACTAGACGGGAACCAAACTTATACAGTCTTATAATCCAATACACCTGACGGTCCTTCCATAGAATATCCTCAAAGCGGCCTCATAAGCCATTCATCTGGTATAATTTCATTTGACGTGGCTCTCACTTCCGGGTCCCAGGCCAGTATCTTCCGTATAAAACGCAAGAACTGGTCTTTCTCTTCCCCCGGTGGAATTGTTGTGACAAAATCCTCGAGTGAGGTTTTTGGTACTGGTAGTTCGGAAACCCAATTCCCTGCAATAGCCTTGTGTGAGAACAGGTGTTACCAGGAAAGGGGCGGGACTTACCCTGTGCATCAAAGTAGGTTGAGAAAAGTGGACTGTTCTTAATAATATCCAGGGGAGGCGGGCCGAGGTATCCGATGTATTGTGCCAAAGCCAATGGAAGTACATACTGGCCATGAACATTCTCAATCGGATCGAACAGGTTTTTTCCATCCAAGAGTTCGAGGGTCTGTATCGATGAGACCTAGTTAATATCCTGCTTGTTCATAATTCATAATGATGTGGTCAGTTCAACCCACCATAACGCCTATTGACCATATATCAGCTGGGCATCCCCATGGTAGACGTAAGAGCACTTCAGAAGCGCGGTATAGATCAGACATCCACCAATCTTGATTTACGCATCCTTCGACCAGTCGCATTTGGCCATAGTCTGTAAGAGTAGGGTGGCCGGAGACTGCTAGCATGGTAGGTCTTGATCTGTAGACAATTGTTGGCATAACCTCGTGAATGGTCGATGTTATCGGCAAACTTGGATCCTGGGATTCCTGGTCCTCAATATCTTGCAGGGTAGTGTTACCCTCAATTACCGTCAAGACATTCTGGGGTGAAATATCTATTTCTTCGTTAGTAAACGATGAAGACATGTGCCAGTGGACTTGCCAGTATGGGCAACACCGCACGTTGCATGTAGCCAATTCACAGACATGAACAGGCGATGTATCAATGATTTCACTAAAGCCTTAGGGATCATTGCATTGGGGAACGCCTCCTGTAATGTACGGACACTGGTGCCTTGAGGCTTTTAGACAATGCAGTGATGACGACCAGCGAGACTTTCCGTTTCAAACATATCACGCGCAAGCCGTGTAAAGTCAAGCCCAGGATGATCCTCCTTCGAAAACTGCTTTAAACGCCAGAGCATGTTGATTTCGTTGAGAACGGGAGAGTGCTCGTCATTATTGTTGTCAACCCGCACAGAAACCTTCAGTGAAGCATATTCATTCGTCCTATCTCTCAAGTTAGTAAAAGGCGCTTACATCAAATCAATTCTGTTGGAATAAGACCTTTCATCCCACGCAAGCCAGACAGTGGAGTAAGCACCATAGCCAAGCTTCGCGATTATCCGATATCGATCATTGAACACCTGGCCAATTTTAACAGGGTAATAATACTTTCTCTGATAAAATGGGAGGGTCTGCTCTTCGATTGCTTGATTGTGTACTGCCGTCGTGTGAGTCAGTGGACGGACAAGGGGCGGTAGATGAAAACAACATGCTCGGACAATGAAAGAGAGCGGAGATCTTGAGGCTCTGAGGGGCATTCGTAGACCGGTCATCTTTGACCTACTTCATTTTCAGACAGCGTGGCAGTCTTTGCTCATTACAGCTGAGCTTGGTAGGTCCTGGCATGTTACCACGTGGCATTTAAACACATAGACACCAATATCTTGTACGGAGTAAATTGTGCTCTGAGATGGAAGAAGGAACAATGTAGGGCTTCCTCAATGAGTGAAATTAGCGTCAACTTGGTCAATATTTATAGTGCCAAATAGCGAAAGTTAATCTTCATGAACCAGGCGGTTTGGCCGAGTGGTCTAAGGCGATTGAGTACGCTCCACTTATTCAACAGATCCACCTGAATTTTCACTAACCAATTCCGCAGCTAGAAATCAATTCTCTTCGGAGGCGCATGTTCGAATCATGCAGCCGTCGTGGCATTATCTTTTTGCCCTTTGGGCTTGTTTTTGTTGTTTACTTGCATGTTGCTGATCGAGTCAAACGCAGATACGACCTGGAATCAGGGGTTGTGGTGCATGGCGGGGTACGTAGAGTCAATTGACCCATTGGGTAATAAATGTCCAATGCATATGACTCGTCAATGGTGATTTGAGATCTATTGAAAGGCATTCATTGAATAGGCTGAGAAGGAAGAGCCTTGGGACCTCGGGCGTCAGTGACCTGGGGAAACGAATATGAATTCCTTGGTGACAGAGTAAGAAACACTATGAGACTACGTTGGCATCATGTCGGATTTTCAGAAACTAGGCTTGAGGGAATTGAAGTGGGGTTTAACATGCGACAGGACTTGAAATGTTTTGCTGACCCTGTTCTATTCCTAACCCTAGCGTGGCCAGAGATTGGAATATGACATAGGCAATGGTTGATTGCTCAAAGCCGTTCATTGCGTGGATGAGGAGTTTCAACATGAACAACCATGAAGAGCTGAGGCTACCGAGACTTGCTTGACACCGTTGCTAGCGGTCATCACAGTCGCCTGCCCATGGGTGGGGTCTTCGCCGGCCTGGTGGTGGCCAAGGGCCGGTGTTGTTGAACGCAGATTCAGAATCTGCAATCATTGCAAGCAAGACGTACAATTGTTGGATTGGTGACTTGAAGGAAGTCGCCTACCCAAAGCAGTGGGTGGTCTGGCAAAGCTTCACGAGAGCACCCCATCTGAATCGTCATTCAATGGTGGAAGTTGGAATTCACTGTCAGAATCCGAACCGCATCACTCACCATCTTCCATCAGCCGCCGGCGCTCGATCTCGGCATCGACCTCATCAGGAATCATGGGGATTGATCGGTTATTCCATAAGCTAAGCTCGACTCGCGTGAAACCTTCCATACTTTTCATGCCAACGACCAAGAATCCAAGCTCTTCACGATCGACGTCAAACACCTCCCACCAATCGCTGTCTACGAGCTTGGCGCCCTCTTCGCGAGACGCGAGGTATATGGCAGCCACAGCCAGCGCGTTGGGCTGGTGGGTCACGTAGAGAAGTTGAGGCGAAAGTAAGGCCGCATTGAGATGTTGTAGCGTCCGCTGGGAAACGGCAGGGTTCGACAAGCCCAATGTTTGGAGGTATGTTAACGCAATTGTGTGGGGAAGAGCGACATGAGTGTCAAAGCCGAGGGTCCGAAGGATCACGGCTTCGGTGTGGAGGAGGATCTGGCGTGTGGCCTGGTAGCCGCCCTCGGAAAGGATGTAGGTCTCGGGTGAAGGAGGAGCTTCAGGAGAGCCGCCTTGCCTCACAAACCACAGGGGCGAAGCATCTTTTGATAGGAGGAATGTATATACATTGAGCACGGAGCGAGGGGAGGTGGGCTGGAAGGAAAGCTTGGCGGTTAAGTAGAGAGCCGCAGCGGATACATCCTGCGCGAGTCAGCAATCCGATCGAGGGACTGATAGGATCTTGGGGTGCAATCTACCTTGACGGAGTAAATTCGTAAGCTACCTCCGTCAGCGCCAAGCCAAAATCGCGTGAAGATTACGATTGCCTGGGCGATAATATCTTGCGACAAATGCAGGAGAACACCGGCAGTCTGAGTGAGCTGCGCGCCTGCGCAGCGAATTGAGGTCTCCAGATCAGATGGTACACCGTCTAGAGAGGAGGATGAATTGGATAGTTGGTCTGGCGTTGCCAGGGCGTTGGACAGGTGCTTCAGACCGCTGGGAGCCATGACGGAGAACGTGCAATGACGCAGATCCTCGTGCAGCTGAAACCATGCACAGCGGGAGCGGGACGCGAGGGCAATGACGGCAATGAGGCGAAAGTAGTATAGTGTGCGGCGACGAGTACGGAGTATGTTCTGATCGGATTGGAAAAGAGAAGACTTGGTGGATCGTGGAGGTGGAGAGAGCTTCGACTCCAGCCACCGCTATTTCATAGCCTCCCAGCCTCTTTGGTTTCCTACACGACGCCTTTTTATTTGGGGAAAAAAAAGAAAGCTAAACAACTTTTAGACTGAAACATACACTCAGACTAAAGCCTCAATTTTTGTTTGATCTTGATCAGTGTCTGTTTCGTCTACGGAGTACATCTGTTACGTCCTTTTGGCCCTGAATTCCCTATCCCAGGTAGTACAACGCCACATTGGGCCCTAAACAGATCCCAATTTCCATCTCCCGGCATTTCTCCTACGATGTCCCCCTCCCCCGTGTCCCTCGAATTTCCAGCTCCTGTCACCCTACATTCCGATGGCGCACTGTCCCACGAGACCGTTGCCTTGACGCCCCTAAGATCGACAGAGCCGTTGACCTCACACCGTTTGAATCCACCTTCCCATCGTCGGGCAAATACCGAACACTTTGCACCTCGCTTTCACGACCTCGGAGACACAATATCAGAGTACCCGAAGAATACCCGAACGGAGACCTCCCCGAAAAACAAGCTTGAAGCAAGAGCTCGAGTCCTCTCAGATTGGTTCCAAGGCAAATCGGACCCAGTGGATTTGGGACTGAAAATGGCGCCTCAAGCTTCAGAGGGATCGGGAACCGACACACGACCACCTTTCGTCTCACATACACGTCAACATTCAACGCCCGTGACAAATCGGTTCTCGTTCTTCGGCCTCCGTCGCCAACCCAGCAAGCCCAACTTCCCAGAACCGGCTGAAGACGAGTTCCTCAATCTTGACATCACCGCTGCTCTATCATTACCTGACTCCGACTCCGAAGACGAGGCACTGGATGCCTTGCGGGACCATGCCGATAAGGTGCTACGGCGTATGCAAGATGCCTATAAGCAGCGGACCTTCGCCATGCACCAAGCGATGGCCGACAAAAACGAAAAGCAAGAAGAGCTTGAAGAAACCCGCTCGCGGGTTGATCACCTAAAGATGCAGCTGGACGGCATGGCAGCCAAGGTGCTGGACCAGGAGAAAGCCATGCAGGCCATGGCCGAGGAGTTGGAGCAGGAGAAACGTCTGCGGGACGAAGAGGCGCGAAGTCGCAGCCGCACAGTGCGCTCAGTACCCGCAGACGATGATGTACCTTCCATGGCTCTCCAAACACCTCGGCGTGGCAGCAAACGTACTAGCCACAGTACCTTTACTAGTGACTCGGGCTTTGAGTCCGGAGATGAGAGTATTGCTGATAGTGTGTTCTCTCACCGCGAGGGTATCGAGTCCCCCACCTCTACTCTCGCGGCTCCCTCTCCCAACATGTCGCAGATCGCTTTGTCTACGCCGACTGGCCCAACACCAACACCTACTATCCAGAAGAACCTGGTTGCGGTGACTAATGGGCCGGCACCTGCACGGTCATCTGCGTATGATCGGGTTCTCAAAGGTCTTGCTTCGACGCGTTTGGGAAGCTCTTTCGGTGGTGGCAACGCGTCGAACTGCAACAACTGCTATGGTGTTCCAGCTTCCGAGGCCTGGAGTGTGATGGGGGTTTTGAAAGAAGAGAACCGGGGTCTCAAGTTTAGAATTGGCGAGCTCGAAGTCGTGATTGATGATTGCTTGGGCATGGTTGGCCCTTGAAAGCTGTTTTTGTCGTTTATACAATGTTGATTACACGGTGTCTTTGTACAATGCTGGCATGGACTTATAGGACCAGAGGAGTGTAGGATTCATTGAAGCAAGAATTGAAGATATTCCAAATGAAGACCCTTTTTTTTGGGGCGATACTCCAAAAGAACCCTGATCCCCAACTGCTTAGTTAGTACCGTGGCCTCTGGAGTGTGGGGAACAAGCTGGGTGAGTTGGGGGTGCACAACCATCACTGAAGCTCGTAGGCAAAAGGACCGGAAAAATCAAAATTGATAATAAATTGTATACCTATGCAAGGTAGATATTTGTCCTCTCCAATTGTTGAGTCAGTAGGAGTCAAGGTGGTTGCGGCGAAGACCAAGTGGCCTTAATTAGCGCGGAAGCGAAAAGTGGCCAGCGAACTTCATCTGTCCTCTTCTTCCCTTCTCCCCCCAATCTTCTCGACAACCACCCTTCTCCTTTTTCTTTATCTCCCGACCTCCCCATTCATTCCTTCAGCTGGTTCTCGACTCCAGCTTTCTTTTCTTCTTTAGTGAATAGGGAGCAAAGTAGCCACCATGAGCGGCCGTGAGTCCCCGATTCCTCCCATCGCACGCGATCGCGACACTGCATCTCGACTCGACTCAATTGATCTTCAAGTACTGACGAGGATGAATAGTACGCTTCCTTGACTTGATCAAGCCCTTTACGCCCCTCCTCCCGGAGGTGGCAGCTCCTGAGACTAAGGTCCCTTTCAACCAGAAGCTGATGTGGACTGGTGTACGTCGCCTTGAATCTATCTCCCTTGGCGCAGAACTGGCATGGATGCTAATTAGAAATCTTGCAGTTGACCCTCATGATCTTCCTGGTTATGAGTCAGATGCCTCTTTACGGTATCGTCTCATCTGACACTTCCGACCCCCTGTACTGGCTCCGTATGATGCTGGCCAGTAACCGTGGTACTCTTATGGAGCTGGGTATCACCCCTATCATCTCCTCCGGCATGGTCTTCCAGGTATGTTATGCTGCAATTATTGCTGGTCTTTGCGCGAAATGACTAACACCATTTCTCCAGCTCCTCGCCGGTACCCACCTCATCGACGTCAACCTCGACTTGAAGACCGACCGCGAGCTCTACCAGACCGCTCAGAAGCTCTTCGCTATCATTCTCTCCTTCGGTCAGGCCTGTGTTTACGTCCTGACTGGTCTCTACGGCCAGCCCAGTGACCTCGGTGCTGGTATCTGTGTTCTCCTGATCGTCCAGCTCGTTGTTGCTGGTCTCGTTGTCATTCTGCTTGACGAGCTCCTCCAGAAGGGCTACGGTCTCGGCAGCGGTATCTCTCTCTTCATCGCTACCAACATCTGCGAGTCCATTGTGTGGAAGGCCTTCTCCCCCACCACCATCAACACCGGTCGTGGTCCCGAGTTCGAGGGTGCCATCATCGCTCTCTTCCACCTCCTCCTCACCTGGCCCGACAAGCAGCGCGCTCTGTACGAGGCTTTCTACCGTCAGAACCTGCCCAACGTCATGAACCTCTTGGCCACTCTCCTCGTCTTCGCCGCTGTCATCTACCTGCAGGGCTTCCGTGTTGAGATCCCCGTCAAGTCTTCCCGCCAGCGTGGTATGCGCGGATCTTACCCCGTCCGCCTCTTCTACACCTCCAACATGCCCATCATGCTGCAGTCCGCTCTCTGCTCCAACATTTTCCTCATCTCCCAGATGCTCTACTCCCGCTTCTCCGAGAACATCCTCGTTCAGCTCCTCGGAGTCTGGGAGCCCCGTGAGGGATCTGCTCAGCTCTACGCTGCTTCCGGTATCGCTTACTACATGTCGCCCCCTCTCAACTTCAAGGAGGCTCTCCTCGACCCTATCCACACTGCCGTCTACATCACCTTCATGCTTGTTGCCTGCGCTCTCTTCTCCAAGACCTGGATTGAGGTTTCTGGCTCCGCTCCCCGTGACGTTGCCAAGCAGCTCAAGGACCAGGGTCTCGTTATGTCTGGTCACCGTGAGCAGAGCATGTACAAGGAGCTGAAGCGTGTTATCCCTACCGCCGCCGCCTTCGGTGGTGCCTGCATCGGAGGTCTCTCCGTTGCCTCTGACCTTCTCGGTGCCCTTGGCAGCGGTACTGGTATTCTTCTTGCCGTGACGTGAGTTCACCCTGTTTCCCCTCATATTTTCTCTTCTTCCAAGCTAACAATTCCGTCCAGTATCATCTACGGTTACTTCGAAATTGCCGCCCGCGAGGGCGACATCGGCGCTGGCCTCAAGGGCCTCGTCCCCGGCAGCTAAATGAGACTGTCTTTTCACGAGCAGCATGACTTAGGATCTCCTTTTTGATTCTTTGCAACCTCTCTATTTAGTTTTGTGTCTTTTTCTGCTTCGGTTTCCTTTTTGGGTGGATGGATAGACACCGTCTGACGCGGCTGGTTTGGAATATGCCGCTGGGTTGTTGTGTTGTGTGATTCCATCTCATCAACCCTCCCTCGCGCCGGGAGCTTTTGTCGAAGTATTATACCACTGCGCCTCGCTCTCTTCCCGTCGCGAGGGAACAGCGCATCTTTTCTTTTCTGGATAAGCAGAAGACGGTGCCCATGATGAAAAGCGCCCTTCTAGGGCCCTGTAACCATATGTGTCTAGAAAACCAAAATCATATATTCAATCTCAAATATGGCTCATCTGTAAAACACTGTCACTAAGTGTCCATGGTCCATGTTCCACATCCCTGGCGTACTGCAAGGTCCATATATATCAAGGTTGACGTCCACGGTTGAATGATCTCGAAGCAGAACTACTCCGTACTTCCAAGGTTCGAAGGTTGTTTTTGATACAAGCTTGTCTTCATGTCTGCCATGCTCCAGGGCTAGTTCCTACAAAACTTCAAGTGTGATCAAATTTCACGTTCGTGCGCTCTATAAATGTAATTCCAATATACTTATTGTTGCTTTTGAACACCAAACCTGACAAGACAAGATACATCTTAAGTCCTGTAGTCACCGTTAATCGTCACATACTCATGACTGAAGTCACAGAACCAGTAAACAGCATCCTCGCCACCACATCCAGCAGCACCCTTCTCACCACCACCAAGATCAACCTCGATCTCAAGATCCTCATTCTGAAGAATAGCACTAGCCCGCTCCTCATCAACAGTCTCCGGCTCACCATTCACAAGCAGCTGCAGAGTAGCACTACCATCAACAGGACGGAAGCTAACAGAAGTGCGCTCAGGAACAACAGTTCCCTCCGCAACACCCTGGGTATATCCAACAGCACACAGAATACGACCCCAGTTCGCATCCTTTCCATAAAGCGCAGTCTTCACAAGCGGCGACCGCGCAATTGTAGAAGCAATCTGTCGACCGGACTCGTAGTCAGGCGAGTTGCGCACACGAACAGTCACGAACTTAGTTGCGCCCTCGCCGTCCCGAACAACGAGCTGCGACAGCTCCTGCGCGAAATCGGTGACCACGCCCTGGAGCGCGGTGTAGTCTGCGCTGGGGGTGGAGGTAGGGGCGCGGACGGTCTCGCCGCCTGCGGCGCCGTTGGCTAGCACGGCGATTGTGTCGTTGGTGCTTGTGTCGCCGTCGATGGAGATCGAGTTAAAAGAGCGGTTGACGGCGTGCTTGAGGATTGATTGCAGGGCTGCGGGTTCAACAGCGGCGTCGGTACAGAGGACGCCGAGGAGAGTCGCCATGTTCGGGTGGATCATGCCGGCGCCTTTGGTCATACCCGCTAGGCTGTAGGTGCGGTCTGAGGAGGGCAGAGTGAATGTCCGAGAGAGGAGCTTGGGGAAGGTATCTGTTGTGCAGATTGCGCGGGCGGTGCTGAGCCAGGCATCGTGGGTGGAAGCCAAGGTGGAGTGGGCGGTTGGGATGCGGTCGAGGATCTTGGTGATGGGGAGACTGGGTCTATGTTAGCAGAGATTCAAGCGTAGAGGTACTGGCGTGCTTACCGTTGTCCAATAACGCCGGTGCTCATGACGAGCGAGCTGTCGTTCTCGACACCGCTGCACTCGTCGACCTTTCGACCCATTGAAACCGCATCTTCAAGACCACCCTTTCCAGTCACGGCATTGGCGCAGCCCGAGTTAATGACAACCGCACGGATACCATCTCCCTTTCGGCTGGCCAGTGTCTTCTTGCTAACCTGCACAGGCGCAGCTTGGAACTTGTTCGTGGTGAACACTGCTGCGGCCGAGCAGGGAGTGTCCGAGGCAATCAGCGCCAGATCCGGGAAGCGGGTGTTTGATGCCTTGACACCGACGTGGGTACCAGAGACTTTGAAGCCCTGGGGGTAGGTGCCGGTGGTGGGGATGTAGCGCTGCTTGGAGGCCGGGATGGCCATGTCCAGCGGTGCGGAGTAGCATCGGACCTGGCCCTTGACCATGCGAGCGAAAGAAGTCGCCATTGTGGCGGAATTGGTTGTGGGAACCATGTGTGGAGGTATTCTATGGCAGTCCCTGGCTCATAGACACTCTTGGAGAGGTTGAAGAGGGAAAGGTGAGTCAACGATAGAGTCCCCGGTGCCGGAGCTATCGACTCGGCAACTGATAACGCGGTATGAGCCCACCGGCGAAAACTGAACGTGCAGATTGCCTATGGACTTGGGACTATATAGTTTGGATTCTAAGTGTGAGATATGAGTGGTGTATTAGTCTAGCTTGAATTGTCTCTATATTAGCTACAATGGCTATGTCCCTATTTTTGGTGCAGGAGGAGAGGGCTTTTTTTGGTCCAAACGATATAAAATGCGAGATTTATAGACAAACTAATCATACTGGAAAACCTGGAGTATCTCGAAGATCTCCTAGTTTTAATTGACGTACAGTGACTGGCCCGAGTCAAGTGCCGCCGTATACTTCCCAAAGTGACCGGGCAGATCTCCAAAACCGAACGGGGTCGGAGAAACCTATCCGCTCTATTGTTCCAAGATTCCATTCTCGACTCCGTACAGCTGTTCAGCCCTTAGCGCATACCAGTGTCAGACCTGCAGGTCCCTGTGATTCCAACAGCCTTTCGATATTACCCCTTGCGTCCCGACCCTGTGCACATTCTCCGGATCTGATGGTATTGTTGATTCCCTTCCCTTTCGCGTCTCCGTGTACCCTATGCTGACAAGATCACCATGAAGCGCAAGCTCTCAGATGCCGGCGAACAGCCGCAGGTCTCGACCCCAAAGAGACGACGGACAGCCCTTGAACAATCCAACGGTGCCGTCAACGGCACCGCCCCTAATCACGCGCCCTCGAACGACTTCGAACTTCCACCACAGCAGGAGAAATCCACACCAAAGAAGGCCAATGGCGTTTCTGCGACGCCACTCCAACAATCTGGGCTGAAAACGCCCACTCACAAGTCCAAGGCTCGGAACTTGTTCGCTACGCCCACCAAGCCCAAATCTGCGACTGCGGCCACCCCGTCGCGAGTGAAGAATGCAGACCGCTCGGCGAGGAAGAAGAGCGCAAGAGTGCTACTTGAGCAGGATGAGGATGCTGCGTGGGATGGGTCCGAGCGACTTGCGGAGGAGATCCTACAGGGCGACGAACCGGAACCAGAGAACCCCGATCAGCCTGTGACTGAGAGTATAGAACCGGAGGAGGCTGCGGAAAAGGGAGCAAAAGAGCCCAAGCGACGGGCAGGTCGGCCAAAAGGCGCCAGGAACAAGCGCTCTCCGACGCCTGAGGGCGAGCTTCCTGCCCACGAACGATACTTTTTCCAGAATCGAGCCGGTCCCAACAAGACATCCAATGCAACACTCAATAAAGTCCCGCTGTTAACGCATGAGGAGTACTTTGAAAAGCTGGAGAGCTACCAAGACCCTTGCAGGGAAGAGAAGGAATACCTGCTATCCCTACACCACCGGTCGTTCCCCCAGTGGGCCTTCGAATTTGACGAAGGCTTCAGCATCTGCTTATTCGGATACGGCTCCAAGCGCAAGCTCGTGGATCAATTCGCAGAATGGATATACAACCACCGTCTGTCAGCCAGCACAAATTCACCCATCGTTGTCGTCAACGGCTACACGCCTGGCATTTCCATCCGAACGATATTTGCTACGATCGTCACAGCAGTCATGGGCGAGAACGCTCCTTCCAAACTGGGCGCACAGCCAACTGAAGTTCTGGAACTCTTGCAATCGGTTCTCAATGCCCGCCCAGAGGGAGAAGAACCAATTACTGTGTTGATCAACTCGATCGACGCCCCGCCTCTCCGTCGCGCTGTCAACCAAGCCCTGCTCGCGCGTTTGGCCGCTACCCCACGCATTCGCGTTCTCGTCACGGCCGACACCCCCAACTTCCCCGTCATGTGGGACATCAGTCTGCGCGATCAATTTAACCTTCTCTTCCACGACTGTACTACATTCCTACCCTTCTCTGCAGAGGCCGACGTGGTCGAAGAAGTCCATTCGCTCCTTGGTCGCAAGGGCCGTCGCGTTGGCGGAAAGGATGGTGTCGGCTTCGTACTCAAAAGTCTTCCTGAGAACGCACGCAACTTATACCGTCTACTTCTAACTGAGCTCATTACCGGCTTGGAAGACGGTCACCAGTCCGACGATGAGGGCGCGCTTGATAGTGGCAAGCCTGATGAAACGGGTATCGAATTCCGCATGCTTTACCAAAAGGCAACAGAGGAGTTCGTCGCGTCTTCAGAGATGATGTTCCGCACCTTGTTGAAGGAGTTCCATGATCACCAGATGATCACTTCACGTATGGACGCCAGCGGCATGGAGATATTGGGTGTTCCGCTCTCCCGTGACGAGATGGAGGGCGTACTCGAGGATCTGGTGCTAGGGTAGCGTAGATTCCCTGATTCCCTGTGCTATAGATCAACCCTCATGATACCCCTGTACGAAACTAAATTCAAACAATTGCAGTCTCCATCCAGAATATTTCTGTAATAAATCGGGCTCTAGTGATGTATGTACAATGATCGACTCCAGCCAGCCGATCTTAGAAGTTCGCAAACGCCGCCATGGCCATCATGGCACCGAAACTAATCTTGAATGGCCGGTGCTCACTCATGGCACGGTGCAGGTCGACGCTCTTGACGTATTTTTGCAATCGATGCACTGGAAGGATATTGTACCCCTTGGACGCGGCGTACTATACACAATAACAATTAGCACCCAGCGTAGAGCAGCCCCAATCAAGCTGAATTTAAACATCCAGAAGCTTCACATACCTCAACAAGAACAACTCCCATACCCAGAATCACCACCAAAGCCTTCGAGAAAGCCCTCAATCCAACACCAGCAACAAGCCCCAAAACACTACCCAGACTGACCTGCCGCATGCTCTCTGCATTCAACAGCCCGCTCCGTGACTTTTGTCCCACAGATTTACCACCAGCTGCCCACTCGGGCTCCTTGTTGAACGTCGATTGTTGTGGGAGAGGTGAGGCATAGTCGCATAGCATTGGCGCGGCGCGGAAGGGTGACAAGGGGTGCATGGTAGCGGCGGAGAGGCCAATTCCTACGCCCAAGCCGAGACGCAGAATACTTGAGGAGGGAGTGAACATTCTGAAAGCCATTTTGGGTTACAATTGAAGTGTGAGTTGTAGAGTTGAGAGGTGGAAGATCGCAGGTTGAGGGTTGGAGGTGTGATAAGATACCGTGTGACGTCACCAAGGGCTGCACATCCCGCGGCTGCAAGTTGCACGGTGCAAGATGCGGCGAGGCTCCCGGGCTCTGCTTCAACCTTGGAAGCCCTGCACGGCATTTGCTATAGATCCCGATGTACACCACTTATATAGTCAGCTAGAAGCTTTAGTTAGCATGTGTTAAGTATTATATATGCTCTTAATATGATGTTCATACAGAGGATAGGCTTTCCTAATTGAGATATACCTAGTCAGGAAGGAAAGCAATAATACGATACAAGGCGGTGGGTTCTGGACGATACACCGGGGGGCAACGGGCCAACTCCTCGGGAAACCAAAGAGGCTCCGTGATTGGCCTGAGGCAACCTTGGGGGAAACCATATTTCATATTGACTCACACTGCTTGGGACCTTTTTTAAGTTCTGTCCCTCTCTTCTTCTCTTCCAATTCTCCATTTTTCATTCTCTTCTGTATTTTCCCCTCCATTTTCAAAATAATTCACAATGGCTGCAAACGGTACCCAGAGCAGTGACTTCACTGTCAAGGCTGGTCTCGCCCAGATGTTGAAGGGTGGCGTGATCATGGACGTCGTGAACGCAGAGCAGGCATGTGCTTGGATAGTCAATGGCAACGACAGAGTGCTAACCTATTCACCAGGCCCGCATTGCTGAAGAAGCCGGTGCCGCTGCCGTCATGGCCCTCGAGCGTGTCCCCGCCGACATTCGCGTTGAGGGCGGCGTTGCGCGCATGTCCGACCCCACCATGATCAAGGAGATCATGGAGGCTGTCACCATCCCTGTGATGGCTAAGGCTCGCATTGGTCACTTTGTTGAATGCCAGGTTAGTTCAATTGCACCTTTCTCCAAGTTCCTTCGCCCCCGCTACGCCCGCGACGCCTACCGCGCCGGCCGCGCGGGGGAGGGGTAGCGTGGCGATCCCCATGGCGGGGGGGCAAAAAAAAAAAAAAGAGTCAAAATAGCTAACCATTGAAATAGATCCTTGAGTCCATTGGCGTCGACTACATTGACGAGTCCGAAGTCCTGACCCCCGCCGACGATGTCTACCACGTCACCAAGCACGGCTACAAGGTTCCTTTCGTGTGCGGCTGCCGCAACCTCGGCGAGGCCCTCCGTCGCATTTCCGAGGGTGCTGCTATGATCCGCACCAAGGGTGAGGCCGGTACCGGTGATGTTGTCGAGGCCGTCAAGCACATGCGCACTGTCAGCGCACAGATCGCTAAGGCCCGCGGTATCCTCCTTGCCAGCGCGGACGCCGAGCCCGAGCTCCGCGCTTTCGCCCGTGAGATCGAGGCCCCCTACGAGCTTGTCCGCCAGTCCGCCGAGCTCGGTCGTCTGCCCGTTGTCAACTTCGCCGCTGGTGGTGTTGCTACTCCCGCTGATGCGGCGCTTATGATGCAGCTGGGCTGCGATGGTGTCTTTGTTGGCTCTGGTATCTTCAAGTCTGGCGATGCTAAGAAGCGCGCTCGTGCTATCGTCCAGGCCGTGACTCACTACAAGGACCCCAAGGTTCTTGCTGAGGTCAGCCAGGGTCTCGGTGAGGCCATGGTTGGTATCAATGTCCGCCAGATGCCTGAGGGTGACAAGCTTGCTGGCCGTGGCTGGTAGATGTCTTTCCTTATTTCCTCCTTTGTTTTACAGCATTGATCATTGCGTCTCACAAAATTCTTGTACATGAGCCATGAGCAGATGTCCTACGTGACGTTTACATTATACGAATTCAAGTTATACCTTCAGCATTAAGCAATTGATAGATTTAGAATAGGTTTGATTGAGACCTAAAAGGAAACCTATTGATTGATCAATCTACATGTAAAAGATAAACGATGAGTATACGGTGATTGTACTGATGGTGTTTGCCATGCTGAGGCCTGCCTCATGACACAACCAGCTTGTTCTCTCCTGGGTTGCTTCTCTTTTCCTTTTTCACGTGCAAGGTGATTGCTCCTTTTAGCGGCTTCCTCCAGGTTGACCATATGTCTATGTACCTTTCTTTTGCAGTTTGCGCAACATCGAAGGAATCTTTGTGATTCACTTCTTTTGGCTTCCTTTTACAAGCCAGGTCCGATCTTCCCCCAACCAGGTTTATAGATTGGAGGTCTCTGCTCGTGGTTGCTCCCACTCCTTTTCAATCTCTCATATATATAAGATGGTGCTCAACCTCCCCTGAGAGGTCACATGCCTCCTCTCTTGGTTCAGTCCATCTGTTCCGCTTCCTTGCTCTCTCTTCTCCTCCTTCTTCACCTTCTTCTCACGCATCTCGAGCACTCCCATGACTATCAGCATCATCAATATGAATCACTCTTCCTCTGGCCTTGAACAGTGACATTCTTGTGAGTCCTCAAGTCATGTCAAGCGCTCCATGCCAAGTGCTTGATGTCACATTGATCATCCCAATACACAGCGGTCAGTTCATGCTGACAACATATCTTCAACTCAGGAAGATGAGATTATATCGACCATGCTTTACATCCACCGGAGAATGTGAGGAGCATATGCAGCTGTTGTCTCATTGCTTGCCACTCTCTCACTGTTACCATCCTCCTTGCAGCCAGGAAAACAACATGCAGCACTGGAAAAAGAGAAAAGATCAAGGCTACGTGCTGTCCCACCTTAGGAAACGAAGAAAAAACCGAGTCAATCATCTTTGACGTGCCGAAAACATACACTTATAAGACTGTCAGTCAGTGATGAGAAGATATCGACTTTCTCACATCACCAAATCGATCCGTGGACCAGAATGGAACAGTGCATGTCAGAGAAAGATAAAGAGATAAACAGAGATCGTTTTGTCACTTGATCAAACAGTCACCGGCAGCGTTACCGATCATAGACACACTGCAACAGAATTTCTACCAGACCGTTGGAATATCGACGCCCCTTGGGTTCTCTTTGCCAATGTGCATGGCATCAATTATATGGTGATGCGTGAGTCGTAGCCTTGGAAGGCAATCATGTCCCGTCGACCGTCAAACAACGCCTTGAACGCACTCAGAAGATGGGGACTGAATCAGCCTACCCTGCAAGAAGGTGCATATAATATTATTTCAAACTAGCTTTCACGCCACAAATCATCAACCACGATGCAACCTGGGCAGCTGACCTTTGATTCTCCGAAATCGTCCAAGAGAGCTTGCCGGATGCCTTGGGATGCCTGATACCTCGAACCGACAGAGCATTTGGTATAAAACGACTCAGATCATCTACACAATCTGTGCATCAGGGAGATCGTCCGAGCGCTGAGATTACAGCGTCACTGAAGGCTTGCAACTTCCAAGAATCTAGTATGCTTCTGTGGAAATTCAATTCCCGCAAATGTCGGCCTTTGGCTTCCCAAGCGTCATCATCGAAATTGACCCTTGACATTGACGAGATACAAGATCTCCGATGTTCTCATATAAACTTCCAGGAAACCCTGAAGGAGAGGCTAGGCCACACGTGCTGGGATGGGTGGAGTTACGAAGCCTTACCTCTCCGCCTGGACAGAGTGTTCCCGGTGCTCTTTGATTTCGACCATCCACTCTGCGGAAGAAACCACCAGGCGCTGACAGATGCTCAGCAGTTAGCTCTGATGACACCCTTTTTTATCGACTTGTGCAGGCCTTTGGACCAGCGGGTGATGTGGAATGGCAAAGGGATAAATCTGGGCTCGAGAAAGAGGCAACTTATCTTCGAAGACATCAAACCACAATATGTCAAGAAGATGAAAATCAGAAGGGAATTTCGACACCTCCAACATTCCTAATTCAAGCAAATATCATGTTTACATGGGCCCTGAGCAGAAATGGCTACACGGCAAGAGCCTCAAACGCAAGGCCTGATCATGACAAAATTCGCCATTCTTTAGAGTTTTTGTCCTCAACAAACTTTCCCACCAAAAGTGGGCGAAAACGAGGAATGGGACGTTGATCAAACACCCGACGCACGCCTGCAGATTTGGAAGCTTCAATTCAAAATTCAGTGAGAGGGCGGCGATCCGAACAACATGTGGTATCCTGCAAGGAGCGTTCGTCAAGTGCCTCGGAAGATCCAGGACTTTCATGACAAGAACTTTCCAATTCCTCTTCCCCTGGACATTTTGGCTTTACCTTTGGCTTCCCATGGATTATTATCAACCTTGACCCTTGACGTTGATGAGAAAACCAAGCTCCGATGTTGTCATTTTAAGCTTCCAGGAAACCCTGAATGATGACAGCACATCACGATGGATTTCTGCTTGCTTCCCGGCGACAAGCGTGGCTACGACAACATGATGGTCATCATTCGCCGACTCCAAGGCGCCAGGTATCGATTCCTTGCGACAAGACAGTCGACGCGAAGCGCGCCGTAAAGTTATTTATCGATCACGTCGTCCGATGGAGCGGACTACCTGACTCGACTGTCATATCGAGGTCTCCAGTTTGTTTCAGCGTTCTGGGCAGAATTTTGCCGCATCATAAGCATCAAGCGGAAGCTCTCGACAGCGCGCCTTCCTCAGACCGATCGTCAAACCGAGAATGCGAATCGACCAAGACGAAAGTATTGGTAAAAGGGATCATTCCCTCTCTCCTTGGACAGAGTGTTCCCGGTGCTCTTTGAATTCAACCATCCGCTCTCTGGTAAAAGCAATCAAGCGCTAGCAGATGCCCAGCAGCTAGCTCTGACACTCTTGTTTGTTGACTTGTGCAGGTCCCTGGACCAGTGAGTGATGTGGAACGGCAAAGGGGTAAATCTGGGCTCGAGCAAGACGCAATTTACGGAGTACCTTCGAAGACCTTGCACTACCAAAGGTGAAAAAAAACCAAAGATCTGAGGGAAATTGCAGGATCTTCATCATATCTAAGTCAAGCAAAGATCATGTCCTTATTTGGGCCCTGGGCGAGGCTTGTTATCCAACAACAACCTTCCCTTGGCTCCCTCCTTTGGCATTCCAAGGCTCTTATTTACTGTTATATCACAAGAGCAGCTGCAGACTGCCTGCATTGTGTGTAATTGATCATTACTATGAGAGGGTTTCTTACTTTTACAGAGTACAGAGTATCTATACCTGTGTTATAGAATACCAATGACACAACCTTGGAAGGTTGTGCTGGTGCTAGGTAGAATCTAGCAGAAAGGGACCTTTGTTGTAAAGACCTAGGGCTTAACTCTCAAAATAGGCATGTTCCAATGATCATGAAAAACGTCGCATATCTAAGAACCTTCCCCTAGATTGGTGTCGCTATATCCCACAGTTTTCCAGGCTTCCAGCTGATTCCTACAACCAAACTCGGATTAGACGTGAAGGATGAATTAGGGCCTATTTCTTTTGGCAGTAGGATTGGGCCTTGTTGTTGGCAGCAGCCGCCCGATCGTCGTCTGGGCAATTGTTCCAACAGCTAAATCGCGTAAGCTAGGGGGCCATGAGAGAATTAGGAAGGAATCTCACGTAGCAATGGTCTCATAAGCCGTTCACAGGCAGTCGTTGTCGTCACTGGCGCAAGCTGAAGGCTGAGGGCAGTGTTAGTCACAGCATTGAACTCCGAGGAATGATTTGGTTTACTTTATTACTCTCTGTTTCAAGGCATCTTTCGACAAGGTACTCAGCCTCACATTTCTTGTCCTGAGCCAAAACACCAGATATGGCGAAGAGGAACAATGGCAGGAGGAACTTCATTTTCACGGAAATTTTGGGTGGTTGGTGAAATTGATGTGGAATTTTGGCAAAATCTCTTCGTGATACGGAGTAGATGTATAGGGAGTTAACAGAGGTGACAAAGGAGATTTATATCTAAACACTCCGTGAATACGACGAGTCAACCTCGGGTACTCCGAAATAGGCCTGTGCATCCAAAGCTGATCTACATTGTATTCCGTACTAGTGGCACTGGTTTCGATATCTCACTCGATCTATTGAGATCTGCCCTAGCCTGCCTTAAGCCTTGATCTAGTGCGGAGTAGATATGAGTTTAGCTGTGCTGTCGAGCTGAACAATCGGTCCATAGGTATAGGACAGTACTTTTCTGTAGAAGAAGGGATGCTCCCCGTAGTCGAGCGAGACGGGATTTGGGCTTTCAAGGGTCGGGAGAGTAGGCTGTGGCAGAAATGCAGGAGTTCTGTAAATATTGTTCGTCTTACAAGCTTTTCGACTTGTTCTGCCCGCTCCTCGGCCTGCAAAAAGAGTTCCTTGTAATTGGCTGGACTCGTATTGGCCATTAGGTTGTTGACAGGAACAGAGCCCTGAAGGGAACCTTGGGATGGGGCACGGATGGGGTACTTGCGCTAGCCACTCCATGGCTGATCAGCGGATCCAGGCGTCGGCCAAAGTATTTTCCAGGCCGGATGTCAAAGTAGTATCAGCACATAGATGAGAGAGACAAAGTTGATTTGATACATTGCTGAGGGTGCACCTCCCGTCCTTCTGTGATCATGAGATATGGTCACGTATACCATGGTGACTTAGGAACACGTAGGTAGTTTTAGAATTCTAAGCTACGTGTGGATGTCTTCCCGAGGTTTGACCGTTCTTTTTTGGTATCTTTCTTTACGATATTATGGGGAATACGATCTAGAGAGAGCAGTAATGCACTTTGACAGATTGTATGATGCGTGAGAAAGAGAAGAGAGAGAGAGAGAGAAACAGAGATCTATCTACTAGGGCACCGTATCACATGACCTAACCCCATGATCTCCAACAGATATTTTCGAACCTGTCTAATGAGAGTAATGAGGTTCAACTTTGGCCTCGCTGGCATTCGGATCTCATAACTGTAGAAACCATTGCAAGCCAATCCCCAAGAGGAGAAGCATGCGACAAGGTAAACAGTAAACAGTACGTACTCCGTTGATAAGCGAGGTTGTATTACCAAGCTAATAGGCTAACGGTGCCGACTCACCGAGTCACCGAGAAGTCTGGGGAAGATGTGCCTAGAGTTGAGTGAGCAACAAAGCCAATCAAGAGGTCGGAATCCCACCCCGAACGCCCTTGAGCTCCTCTCCGTAGTCTCCGCCGGCCCGCAGACGGGCAATCGCGGAATGCGGTATTTTATTTATACTCCTATTCGTGGAGAACATGGATTGTTCTGCCATTACACATAGTTTAAGTTGAGGCCAAGCGTACATCCCTTGGCAGTGTCACATCGTGAGAAAGCAATGTGAGGAGCTTGGGTTACAGCGTCGTCCTGGACCTCTGCCTGCAGGTGGACTTGTGCCGCTTCTCTCCTGGGGCTGGGGCTGGGGCAGCGTGGGGATCTTGGATGCAATCAAAATGCTGAATAGCAGCGACAATACCGAAAAGACCAATCATTACTTCTCATCACGCTTTAACCAAGAACTAATCTCGTAAATGCTATCTGACCGAGCGCAGCCGCGCATCGCATGCAAATGGATATCTCAAACCAAAAGAAACCGAAGCTACAGAACCCGACTCCAAGTATGTGCACCAATCCTTGGAACCTCATTACTGTGCATAATCAAAATCCATCCCCCGGAACTTCAACCAGAAGGCTCGCACGATGTCCAAAGATGGCTTCTGAGCGCCCCGAGCAATAACAAGAGACTCCACGAATCGGGACTTGTCCTGCGCCGAGAGAAGAGGAATCTGCTGTCCAGTGGAGTCCGTGACTTGGGCGTTCAAAGGCTCAAGAGCGGCTTTCAGAGCAGGTCGCGCCAGTGCCATTTTCTTGAAGATAGCGCGTCGTAGGGCATCGTTCAAGAACACTAGATCTGATCTTGCGCATCGGCCTGCGATCTGCTGAACGATTGTATAACATAACCGGGGGACGAACTCTTGATGGACTTCGTCTATTACGCGTGTCGTTTCGTCATACACGCTGCGGATATCTACCAGGGCGTACCAGAATGCCGCTGCGGCTCGGAGGGGAGTGGCTCCGGGCGAGTCATGGCGTCGAGCGTGAAGTGAAGCAGTACAGCGAGGGGGGACTCGGCGGTAGAGCCCGCGGGAGTGAATAGGATCGGGTAGTATTTTGGGAGCAGGCGGGCTAGGAAGTCAATACCGGCATTGGCAGTCTCTGGGTCATATGCGTCTGGGTTTTGCATCATTGAGGAGAATAGCCGGGCGACGTGATCAATCAACGCCTCTGCCTCGCTGCGAACCTGCATCACGTGAGATGCGTGGGAGGATAAGAAAGATGAAGCAGTTGCCATGATAATGTCTGTGCCTGATATGCCGAGAGGGAAGCTCTTGATGAAGTCGACTGTCATTGAGGGCGGGAAAACGAAGAGCCCGGCTCGCTCAGTGTACCCAGCCCTCAGAATATCACAGGCTGCTTCGATGATACCGTTATCCACAGGGAAACCCACAATGAGAAGGCTCATGGCTTCCATGAGCAGACGCTGAGACTCGGCGCCCGGACCAGAGTTCCAGAATGACGGGGGGGTAGGGGCCCTCATCGGGCAGATCATCGACGCTGATTGTCTCGACATCTGAACGGAGGCCTTTGCCAATGCTAGCAATGCAGCTCAGAACCAGATGCCCGCGCAGACGACCGTTCTCATGAGCAGGCCCGGTGACTTCTTGACAAGCCGTTTTAGCTTCCTGGACAAAGAAGCCAAGAATTCTTTCTAGCATCTGGACTTTCTCCCCGTCGGTGGGCAGGTTCTGGATGATGGTCGCAATTCCCTCGAGAACCTTTGGCATTGTAGAAGCAGTAGCCGTTGGCTTGCTTCTGAATTGGTCTAGTTGATCCAAGAATGCTGGCAAATCTGATGTCAAAAGGCGGGCGCAGGACTTGGATAGTGTGAGGATCGACCTAGAAGCTGCTTGGGCACAGAGTTCAAAGTTGAGAGACTCGAAGAGAATGCTGAGAACGCCTGGAAGCAAGGAGCTGTGACGTTGGAAGTATGACTCGTACTTCCCAAATGAGTCGACCAAGGTTTGGCGAGCTTTGAGAGGTATGCCAGTCTCCCCACCGGCACAGAGCCGGGCAAAAGCATCGCTACCAAAGATGGCGTCGAGACACTGGTCGGCATGGCCATTCTCGTCGACTGCCTCCGAGAGTTGGGCGATGCAAAATATGGCAGTCTCAAAGTTGCGCCAATCCCCGCTCTGTAGGTGAGATGTTGCGCTTTGTTGGAAGACGGTCACTAGTTCGACGCCAAGGATAGGATATGCTGAAAGCAAGTAGTCACACGCTTCATGGCGGAAAGCGCCGAACTCGCTGCGCTCCTCATCACTCCAGTCTTCCAAGTCTTCAGCGGTCGGGTAAAGCAATTTGCTGGAGAGGCTCAGAACCACCTCAGCCAAATGTGACTTGATCAGTCCGTATCTGGGACTGTCTGGTTCGATGTCATCTAAAAGACTTTCGGCAACCTCGTTCCAGAATTCCAAGACACGCGGGGTACCGAGATCGTCAATAGACGCATAGCCCGGGGTCTTGAAGATACCATGGATGAGTTGAAGAACCACCTCATTTTGCGGGGACAAAGGGGCGGTGAAGATGTCCAAGTGTAGATGCGAGACATAGGCTATGAGAAGATCGACGAACGACATGCTCTCAACTCCTGCGTCGCCATTTCTCACGGCCACAATATGAGCAGTCACGATTGAATCAGCGATCACCTCAGCAACGAGAGATAGGGAGCTATTGTCGAAAACCCAACGACGGGTTTCAAAGGCATGGGTCAGGATAGAAGCTGCGGATTCGCTTAAGCAAGGTACCCGGAGTGTCTCAATGACAGTCTTCCCGCAACTGATGGCGAGTGCGTTGACCTCGTCGGTGACTGAGCGCTGACGGATTCCGTGAAAACCTAGCCATGTCTGTGTTTCGATTGGTGAGTAATTTTATGTCTCAGAACTGAAGGTTCGGTGGCCTGTTTCCATGTCTTACCTTCCATGAGCTCATCGCCTCAGCAGCCAGATCAACACTGACCACATTTTCTCCAGCCGTGCGCGCAATTAGCATCATATTTCTCAGAATGAACTGAACAAAAGTAAGTCCATCTTTCATGTTCAATATGGCTCGCTGGAGAGCGGAGGTCTGCCCAGCCCCGGCTTGAGGTTCGGAATCCACCCGAAGAGCCTCCTCAGCAAGTGCAATTGAAAAGAACAACAGCGCCCCGGACGCGTGCTGGTTCAACCTTGGCAGTATCCGTTCTTCAAAGTCCACGCCTTGTACCAGTTCTTCCGAGACGAATTCACCATGTGCGAGACTTGCGGCCAACTGCAACACAGCTTGTTTCATGGGTGTGGCCGGGTGCCTGAGTATCGCAACCAGGCTAGAAGCCAGTTTTCGCACCACCAGCGCTTGTTCCCCCTCGTTGACCAAATCCACAAATCGATTGATCAAATGTTGCGTGATCTCGCTTGCGCCATTTTCGTCGATTTCACTCCTAGAGCGAGTCAGATACTGTGTTTCCCGAAGAAGGTGGAGCCGAAAGCAGTGACTGTGAGGGATTGACCATACCACGAAACATTGATCTTCACCGTAAAGGTGAGGGCTCCCATGAACCGATGTTGGGATGAATGTTCAGTGTGCAGAAGGGAATCCGCGATTGCCCATGCATGGTCTGTTTTTTGAAGTTGCTGAAGGCGAGCTTGAATCTCGTGAATCCTGGCGGGGTCTCGTTGATTTGCTGGGTTGTAGAGCTCGGTCACTAGCTAAGTGGGTATTAGTCCGATCGATCTGGACATGAGTGTTGGGATGTGTACCATGTGGGCTTCTGAGATTAACTCTTGGGCCCCTATGCCCTCGTTTGACATCCACGCCATAATGCCTCACGTTGTCAAGGAGAATGCGAGAGAGAGAAAGTATGGGCATCTAGAAGCACGGGGCTAGGACTGGCAAAACCAAATGTTTGTGTTTGTTGGCCAATAGGAGATCGAGCGGTGTAGAGAGCGGTGACTGCGGGGTTCAACATCTCGTCACTTTCGTATGTTGTAGTAAGTTGTGCCCTCTTTTGAATATGCTGTATATTGCGAAATATATCTCATTGTGAAATATGGATTGATTTCCAATCTGCATAATCAGATCATATGCTCATCAAACCCTGGGACCTAAGTTGGTCCTGGAGCCATTTGGAAACCAGACGTGGAATGAATGGACTTCCAAGTTTGGGATCTACTAGACCCGAAGACACACATTCTTGGTTTTTTATTTGTTTTTTTCAAGGTCAATGTCAAGTATTGAGTTTCATCACCAATTCGCAGATAGAGATTGTCTTCGCCAGTGTTTGAAGACTCCTACCTGCGTACTAGCACGTACCGTGTAGTCAAAAGGCTACAAGAGAAGACCAACAAGTTGTTGTTGAAAGCGATCTTCCAAAGGCTCATGTTTTTGCTCACCAAGTCTGAGTCTGAGAATGGGTTGCAATTCACCAGTGAGCCTTGTACATGCAAGCCATGAAATCAGGTCAAAAACATGGCTATAGGTGAAGGGTGGGCCCGTGTGTAGCCGTATGAGAAGACCGCTCTCCACTTAAAAAACACCTGCGGAACGCGTTATCGGTGACTTATCTCGTGCTCTACACCGAGTAGCATCTGGCTGAACCTCCATGCTCTTCTCTCGACCTCCCCGCCTTCCGAGCACCGCTTTCCGATCGCTAAGGCCCCGTCCAAGATTCTTTTCCGCCCTCGGTCCGCGCTACGCTATCGACATGGGGACCGTAGATACCACTGAACGCCTGTCGAAGCTGCGGCAGTTGATGCAGCAGCACAAGGTCGACGTCTACAGTATGACATCATTCGTGTTCCCTTGATTGAGTGCTGACCGACTCGTTTTAGTCGTGCCCTCCGAAGACAGTCACCAGTCGGAATACATTGCGCCTTGTGATGCCCGCCGAGGTACGCAGCTCCCCTCCCGTTCGTCGGGCCGCAGTCACCGCTAACACCTCACACAGAGTTCATTTCTGGGTTCTCTGGCTCTGCTGGTACTGCGATCATCTCCTTGAGCAAGGCTGCTCTCTCCACCGACGGGAGATACTTCAACCAGGCTGCGAAACAATTGGATAACAACTGGCAACTTCTGAAGCGGGGAGTGGAAGGAGTGCCCACATGGCAAGAATGGTACGGCTTGATCACTTGGATGATTGGTCAACGTGAAACGCTGACCTGTGGGACAGGACTACGGAAGAGGCACAGGGAGGCAAGGCCGTTGGCGTGGATCCTTCTCTGATCACGGCCTGTGAGTGTTGATATCTTGAGTGCGGACGGTGGTATTGATTTTTAACAGCTGGCGCACGTAAACTGGCGGAGACCCTGGAGAAGAACGGATCCACACTCGTTGGAGTTCAACAAAACTTGGTTGATTTGGTATGGGGCAAGGACCGCCCCGCGCGTCCCAGCGAGAAAGTCCGAGTGCACCCAGCAAAGTATGCTGGAAAGAGCTTCCAGGAGAAGGTCTCCGAGCTGCGCAAGGACCTGGAGTCAAGGAAGAAGGCCGGTTTCATCATATGTTTGGCTCACTCTACCCCATTACCATTTGCAGAGGTATTGACACAAATTTAGCCATGCTTGACGAAATTGCCTGGCTATTCAACTTGAGAGGAACCGAGTAAGCAGGACCCTGCATGGCAGACCATGACCAATTGACTGACCCCGAGCAGCATCCCTTACAACCCTGTGTTTTTCTCATACGTTTTGATCACGCCCACCACAGCTGAGATTTATGTCGAGGATGATAAGCTGACCCCGGAGGTCAAGGCTCACCTTGGGCAAGACGTGATTATCAAGCCTTACGATTCCATCTTTGCTGATGCCCAAGCTCTCGCTGTTCGAGGCCAAGCCGCGGGCGAGAACGCCGAGAAGTTCCTGTTGTCCAACAAAGCTTCTTGGGCTTTGAGTGTCAGTCTCGGCGGCGAAGGTCAGGTTGAGGAGACTCGGAGTCCTATCGCTGATGCCAAGGCCGTCAAGAACGAAACCGAGCTTGAGGGCATGCGCGCTTGCCACATCCGTGACGGTGCCGCCTTGACCGAGTACTTTGCCTGGCTCGAAAACGAGCTTGTCAACAAGAAAACCGTCCTTGATGAAGTTGACGGTGCTGACAAGCTCGAGCAAATTCGCTCCAAGCACGAGTTGTTCGCTGGTCTTTCTTTTGATACCATCTCCTCTACTGGACCTAACGGTGCCGTCATTCACTACAAGCCTGAGAAGGGAAGCTGTTCTATCATCGACCCCAAGGCCATCTACCTCTGTGACTCCGGCTGTCAATACTACGATGGAACCACTGACACCACGAGAACTTTCCATTTCGGTACCCCCACCGAGTTTGAGAAGCGAGCTTTCACTCTTGTCTTGAAGGGAACCATTGGAATTGATATGGCAGTCTTCCCCAAGGGAACCAGTGGCTTTGCCATTGATGTTCTGGCGCGCCAGCACTTGTGGAAGGAAGGTTTGGATTTCCTCCACGGAACGGGCCATGGCGTCGGTTCTTACCTTGTAAGGATCTTTTGCAAAATTACCTGGAACTTTGCTAATCATTATTCAGAATGTTCATGAGGGCCCTATAGGTATTGGTACTCGAGTTCAGTACACCGAGGTTCCCATCGCTGCTGGAAACGTCATCTCTGATGGTACGCATCTTTCCTTTCAATCATACGTTAATCCGAAGCTGACCCGTATCTTCTAGAACCCGGTTATTACGAGGATGGCAAGTTCGGTATCCGCATTGAGAGTAAGCCTATCTGTGATTGCCCTGCTTAGAAACATACTGATGTTTATCTTGTAGATGTCGTCATGTGCCGGGGAGTCGAAACCCCGAACAAGTTTGGTGACAAGCAATGGCTAGGCTTTGAGCATGTTACAATGACGCCGATCGGCCAGAACTTGATTGAGCCATCGCTACTGAGCGACGAAGAGCTCAAGTGGGTGAACGACTACCACGCTGAGATCTGGGCGAAGACAGAGCACTTCTTCCAGGCCGATGACCTGACTCGCTCGTGGCTCGAGCGTGAGACCAAGCCTATCTCCAAATAAGCTCAGCACAGCGATCAGTAGTGGTGTTCGAGTCTATACCTGAGTAGGACTTTCATCACAGAATTGGGACTGACTGATCAGCCTAATGCGAGGCTTTGTCAGACACAAATACAGCTATTTTCGGTTAGATTAATCACAAGCCGACCAAAACAATGTAACAACATATTCAACAATTCATTAGTACTCCGCATGAAGCGGTTGAATTGTAGTGGACAACTGGCCAGCGGAATGCGGGAGCTGTAGTGGAGCCTGGTTCTCCGCCCCGGCCAGTTCCAACATCATACGCGCAATCACCGAATTGACCCCCAGTACTCTAAGCTGTCCAGCCAAGAATGCTAATTGCCTTTGGCTCATTGTCGCGCGCAAGCCACAGGATCTGAAATCAAAACCCCTCCAATCGCGGCCCCGCGCCCCTTCTCCCAGCCCACCAGCGCACACTAAACCCAAACACCCCCCGAGTAACGGGATTCCCTCGCGATGAGCGGCCAAAACGGTTACGGAAATGGATACGGCTACTCCGGCTCTAGCCGGTACGATGCGAATGACGGGGCATACAGTGGTAGCAGCGGCAGTCTTGGGGTGAGCGGATACAGTGGTCGAAGTGCCGGAGCATCGAGCGCAGGTGGACGGTCAGATCGCCGCCCTGGCGGATACGGCGGGTTCTACGAAGAAACGCCGCAGCAATCTACTCTGTCACCGGGCCAGTCATCGGCACCAAGTCAATCGCAGTCCCCCGAGCGTCGGCGCGATCGATCAGATCGCGATTGGCAGGAGCCTTCCTCGCAATCGAAGTCACGGTCTCGATCGAGAAACCAGGACCCTGGGAGGAAACGTCAGGATGAACGGGCTGGGGAATCGAGGCGGCACGCGGATGCTAGAGAACAAGAGAGAAATGCATCTCCCGTTGTTAAGAGAAGCAATACAGCTGGGGAGGCCCAGGGCATTGAAAGTGTGTCATTGACCCCGAGACTTTGGAACATTGGCTAATCGGTTTGCTCTTTGAAGCGATCCTACAATCGATCCAGCGCGACTGGGATTTCATGACCGATTCCGAGTGTATTCCCGTGCACGTCGCTTTGAGTCTGATGGACACTAGTACATTGGGCAAAGCGGACCGAGAAGAGGACTTCCTGCGGATGTATAATGACATTCAAAAGACATTGAAGGCCATTGTCAACGGTAGGCTATCTTTATGGCGAACGTGCTCACTAGATACTGATATTCTGCATCACAGAGCATCATCAGGGCTTCAATAGTTCCATCGGAACATACCACAAGATCCAGTCCAATATATCGTCATCGCAAAGTCGAGTGCGCAGCTTGAGGCATGCACTGGACTCAGCTAAGTCCGGATTAATATCGACCAAGCCTGAGCTGAAAGGACTGGCAACATCTTCTCAGAACTACGATGATATCGTCCAGCTGTTCACCCAGATTGAGGAGATCCAGTCTCTCCCCGAAAAGCTTGAATCACAGATCTCAGACAAGCGTTTCCTAGCAGCAGTGGATGTACTCCACACTGGTCTCCGAGTTCTGCGCCGCTCAGAGCTGGAGGAAATTGGCGCTTTATCTGATATTCGTGCGTATTTCATCAATCAGGAAACATCGCTCACAGACATCTTAATCGAGGAGCTGCACGATCACCTATACTTAAAGTCACCATATTGTTCGGATCGGTGGAGGGCCCCAGCCTCTGACGGCGAGGCCACCACTTCCAGCTGGGCCGGGAATCGATCGTGGGAACGTCCAGTTTATGGTTTCCTAGCCAAATTTGACCCGTTGACGCCGATGGTCGAAGATGCCTCGCGAAACCCCGAGGCTGATACATTCTCCTACATACAGCTTTTGATCGAAGCTCTCAATAAGATGGGGCATCTGGATGTTGCGGTGCATAGAATCGAACAACGTCTCCCGGTCGAGCTGTTCAATGTGGTGGACAAAACGAACGCAGAGGTTGATGCCCGCTATCCCGCGCCAAACAAGAGCTTTTCCGCCCAGGACAACTACTACAAACAGTCCAGTCTCCCTACTGAAATCATTGAGAAGCGAGGCCATGTGCTGTCTGAGTTCTTGTGGGCATTATATGCCAAGTTTGAGGCCATTGCGGAAGGCCACCGAGTACTTCACGATGTTGTTGCGGCCATCGTTGAGCGAGAAGGCCTTCTCAAGAGCGAAACGCTTTCTGGGGGATTCAAAGAGTTGTGGTCGCTTCTACAGAGTGAGGTAAGGCGCTGAAAATTGGAGACGGTTTCAAATATCTGTTTACTGACTGTTCTCGGCAGATCCGATCCCTTATGCATGACTATCTTGCTACCGATGGGGATTCCTCCGCTAGACAAGAAGAAGCCGACTCGCGTCGTCATATCTACTCCAGTGCCCGTGATAAGAACAAGGTAAGCAGAAAGATGAAACTGCAAACAGTTTGATTTTGTCATAACTAATCGTTCCTGCAGAAAATGTTCAAGTTATCGGATATTGAGCACAGCTCGGAGATGAAAGCAGAACAAGATGAGCTTGATGAAATCCTCAAGTCTTCGGTGCCAGGCCTTGTCTCCAAGTCAAGGTCGAAGACTGCGACAAACGACACCGCACAGTCCAACAAGGGCAACTCGGGAACCGGGCACAAGATCCTGCTCGAACCAAGTGTCTTCAACATGGGAATCCTTCTTCCTCCCTCCTTATCTTTCATCCAGCGCCTCAAAGACATTGTTCCTGTTGATTCAAATATCTCCATGAGCACATTGACGTCTTTCTTGGACGACTTCATGGTGAATGTGTTCCTGCCGCAGTTGGACGAAACAGTGACGGATCTGTGCACGCTCAGCTTTATTGCGGCCGACGCGTTCATGGAGGACCCCCAGTGGTCCAAGGTCTCTCCTCGGCCTGTCTTCAAGGGCACCGTCAAGTTCATGTCGATCGTCAGAGAATTCAGCAAAATGCTCTCAAGCATTCCACACGACCAAGCATTTACCCAGCTCCTCATCGATCAAATCGTGACCTATTACGACAAATGCTGCGGATGGTATAAAGCGATGGTCACAAAGGTCTCTGCCCGCAATCACAATGGCGAGGTTCGGTTGAAAGCCGCAGCATCATTTGCCGAGCAGGGTGATATCCATGATACCGTCGATGAGCTATGGAAAGGTGCTGGCGACAAGAAGCAGACATTGATTGACACGGAGATTGATCTGCTTTTGAAGCGAACAAATGAGGTGCCCCTGGAGCCATACGATATCATCTCCGATCCCAAGACAGTGGTGTCGCTCTCGCTTTTGTATAACAGCATGCAATGGCTTGGAAGCCACCTCGCGAGAATCCGCCAGGTGGTTGAACACACCGCCGATGCCGAATCATCAAGTCTGACTGCTACTGGCCGACCCTCTCGCCGATGGACTCTATTTGGGTCTACGAAACCAAAGCGTGATAGCATCAATAACCCCGTGCACTTGCCTCTTAATCACGAAACCGCAGTAGCTTTCGATGGAACTCTTCAATCATTACATGGACTAGGTTCCACCGCGCTGTTGACCATGCATGTTGACATCCGCTGCGGTATCATCCACATGTTGACAAGAACAATGTCGGGACCCAATCCACCAAATCTGCGAAACTCCGATCCTGTCACCCCCTCTCCAAATATGACCGAAAACTGGTGGCACATCATCATGAACCAACCGACAGCTGCGTCACCCACCATCCTCGCCCTCAACAACGATCTCATCGCATTTGATACCAACATTTCAACATACCTAGGCGCTGCCGAGCGCTGGTTCATCACATCTGGCCTGGCCCGGTTCATTGACCGCGTCTTCGTGGCCAGCACCCGATACATCGGAGCGATGAACGAAAATGGAGCTTTGCGTCTGCAGCTCGATGTGCTCGTTCTCCAACAGAACCTGAAGAACATCATCATTGACCCAGCGAGCGATGCACCCTCTAGTACCACCGAACTGCACGCTCAGGCATCTCAGGAGGTCGTTGCACTTCCCCGCAGCGCGAAGTTCCTCGACTGGTTCCTCGAGGGTGCGGAGAAGTCCCTGGACTACTCCAAAGACGAAAAAGAGGCGTTCGCATCACAAGGTGCCAAGGCCCTAGCAGCTGGAAATGGAGAACCATTCACCTACGAGGAACTGCGGGTTCTGGTCGACCTTTGTTTCTCTGAGGTTCTTCGCGGACCACGTGGGGCTGAAAGTCGGGAGGAGTTTATGTCGGCGAAGAAGGCCAGCGCAGATGCGCTGCTCAGGCTGAATGAGATTATGTGGGATGCCCGGTAGTAATTCATGAATAGGATCAGAATGTTCACAATAGGGTCAATCTCCCCCCAAGTCAACCAAGTCGCAGGATTCCACCTTGACTCAAAGTCATTTCCTCTTTAATTTAAACAATATCCACTAGCCCTAACGAGGCCTAGCACGATGGGTCACAATCCCGTTTCGGTTACTTCCGAGTCGCAGTATTCGCCTGTTGATCCACGCTGCGTTTCATCTCGTCAGATTGCTGGTTCTCGCAAATGAATTCGCTTGATCCTAGTCTGCGCTATTCATGCACCGGTAGATTAACGGCGTCTAGACTTATGATGCATCCACCATGGCTTCACATAACACCCCCCGTGTTTCCATCCTCTCCCTCTTCTTCTTCTCATTCTTCTCATTCTGTCTGGAACAGTTGACGTTTCGAATCAGGAATCCGTGATTCATTCCATTCTTTTTGTGCAGCCGCACGTCCGATCATTCCATCCCAAGTCAACCCATACCCTTCTTTAAGTGTTTATATCGCTCTGCGAATACTTTCATTCACTTTCTATATTCACAATGAAGTTCCTCGGCGTGGCCTCCGTGGCTGCCCTTCTCAGCGCGACTGTCTCAGCCGGTCCGCTAGTCCCCAGGGACACTTGCCCTAAGGGTTACACTCAGAGTGTATACTACAAGACTATTTACTTTGAGCCTTCTACCTCTGCGGTACCTGAGTCGACTGCGACTCCATCGCCCACGCCTGTCATCTTGGAATCTCAAACCTCTGTAGAGCCTACGTTGACTCCATCCTCTGCCGCCGTCGTTACATCGCAGGCTCCTGCGGTTGAACAAGTCGAGTCCTCAACCCTCTTTTCTGCTGTTGCAGAGACATCTACATCCGAGTCTGCCCCGATCATCGCTCTTCTTCCCACTTCGTCTACCGAGAGTCTCCCTGCTGTTGAGCCTACTTCTGTTGTCAAGGCCGTAGAGCAGACCATCCAGCCTGCCGAGACCACCACTGCCCCTGCCGTGAAGGCTGCTGAGCAGACTACCCAGACTGCTGAAACCACCACTGCCCCTGCCCCTGTCACCGAGGCTGCTGAGCCAACCACTTCTGCTGCCGAGACCACCGCCGCCCCAGTCGTCAAAGCCGCAGTCCAAAGCACAAGCACTACCTCTTCCACCTCTTCCTCCTCCACTTCATCCAGCTCATCCAGCTCCGACAGCAACTCCGGCGAAGCCACCTTCTACGGCGGCAACGTATCCGGCGGAACCTGCTCATTCAGCGGCTACAGCCTCCCAAGCACCCTCTTCGGCACAGCCCTCTCTCTCCAGCGCTGGGATGACGCAGCCAACTGCGGCCGCTGTGTCTCCGTCACCGGACCCAAGGGCAACACCGTCAAAGCAATGGTAAGTAACCAAGTTACCAAGATACCAAGACCCCCTCTCACCCCGAACCCAAATGTAAATCCAAATCCAATATCTAACACTATCCAGATCGTCGACCAATGCCCCGAATGCGAGAGCAACCACCTAGACCTCTTCCAGACAGCCTTCGCAGAGCTCTCGGACATCTCAGCCGGTATCATTGATATCAACTGGTCTTACGTCTCATGTGATCTGGACGGACCCCTCAAGCTCAAGAACAAGGAGGGTACTTCTGCATACTGGTTCTCTATGCAGGTTGTGAATGCCAATGAGGCTGTCACTGCGTTGGATGTTAGCACTGATGGTGGTAGCTCGTGGCAGAGTACTTCCCGTACCTCGTATAACTTCTTCGAGAACTCTTCTGGGTTTGGTACTGATTCTGTTACTGTTCGTGTTACGGGATCTAGTGGGAATACTGTTGTTGTTAAGGATGTTGGTGTTTCTTCTGGTGTTGAGGTTACTGCTTCTTCGAACCTGTGAGCGAGATGATGCTTCTTTGTTTACTTCTTCTGTTGATATTTGTGTTGGTGGTTTGATAGAGTTGAATAGGTGCCTGCGTTTCAGTATGAAAATGTCTTTTCTTTCCCCTGCCTGAGTAACACGTCTTCGGTGACTACGTGCATGTAAGGATTTTCGTCTGAAATTCGGTTTGCAGAGGCTGCAACTGGACACCGCTGCCCGCCTTGCATATATGCAACTATTGCTTGCAGTATGTAGGACCTCGGGACCTCGGGATGATGATAGGCTCCCATTCAGATGGGTTTAGCATACTTGGTTCAGAATGCAGGGGTCCTCACCAACCACAGATGAATGGCTTCCGGGCGAGAGCGCTTCCACGTCGAAGCTTTCATCGCTAAACGCATTATATGTGCTCAATCTGGAGACATAATATTCCAAGTTTCTCAATAAAGTGATGAGATTATTGTTTGAGGCTAGGAGGAAGCAGGGGGGTGATTTAAAATGTGACTTAGACGCCTGAGCTCGTTGCTAGCACTCCGTACGGAGGACTCTGTAGTAACTTACAAATTCGATATCTACATTCAAGCAGAATCTACTTCATATAGACCACATCTATTCAGTTTCAAATTTCAAACATAATCATCATAATCATCTGGGCTCTATAGATCCGTACAAGTACTCAAAGCTTATATCGCAACGAAGTATCAAGATGCATGCAAGCCGCCCTCTGCTAAATGCCCAGATGGCAATAGATATGGGATATCCACTTTAAACCTGAATCTCGGCCTCCTTGTCAAGCTCGACGTGGTCGACGTGCTCGTGGGACTCGAGAGTAGTAACGGCGTCCTCTGGGAAGGAAACACTAGACATAAATCTCTCATTAGCCAAGGCGAACCGAGAATAGGCAGGGAATGGCGGGAGTAGTATAGTATAGTAACTTACGAGAAACCCTTGATCAGGCTGTATTCATGCAGGATTTCACCACCTTGGTCTTTGGCATGTTGCTTGGTACTAGAAGTGTCAAGTGGGTTAGCAGGGAATCTGGAGGCCTGGAGTCAGCAGTATACATACGCTGCGACCTGCTCGGGCGAGGCGTCTTTCTTAGCGGTGACCTGGGGAGGGTTAGCAGTGTTTGGGATCACGATGTTCAAAGTGAACGTACAAGGTAGGTAGGCATGGTGAATGTGTAGATGGTTAGAGAAGGGCAGAAGGTGAGATAGATAAGGTCGAGGGGGAGGATGTTTACATCATAGAGGGGTAGGCTAATCTAAGGCCCGATCACGCATATCTCCGCACCGAGGCGCAACCTTGGGAGTTTCAAGGTCCTGTCCAATCACTGCAGACTTCTCACTCCGATCTACATCGTCATAGCTTACGGATCACACGATATAATTGAAATAATATTAAACCACTGCTCCGTTTCCAAGGCAAAAACCATCCCAACCGTAGATTCGCCAGCCCATCCATTAAGAATGTGAAAAAACAAGTACGTGTAGCGTACGTTAAAAAGCAAGAAAAAGACGCAAGTCTGCGAAAGCAGAAAGTGAAGAGCAGAGAAGTGCAGAGTGCGCGAAAAGCCGCAAAGATAGCGCGAAGAAGTCACGAAGCCCACGTCATCGGAGGCGAAATATATCCCAACGGACACGGACGATGATAGGTTTATAGGAGCAGGACACGTAGGGGGAAAGATCCATAAAGAGCACAAGTTTCGAAAAAAGAAAAATAGGCAGAAAACAGTGAGGGTATGTTCAAGTCTTAACCTCCAGAACGCAACGGTCATAGCACATGCAGAAGAGAGTCCCTTATTCCATCTCCAGTGTCTCTAACTGCTTGGACTCTTCATAGTCATCAAACTCCAGGCCCGCGTCCCGGCAACGGGTCAGCCACTTCAGGGCGATGCCGTTGCGTCGGCCAACCTCGCCTTTCAGCTTCTGACACGAACCGCCGAGCTCGTTGATCACTTGATTGGTCGTCAGACTGTGCTTTTCAAACTGCTCCTCGACACCCCTCTTCTCTTCCTGTAGTTGATGGATATATTCAATGGCGCGTTGGAGTATCGCGCCCTTGTTCTTGTCACAGTTTGGCACGAGGCGGGCGATCTGGTTGATACCCTCATTGATCGCTTCACGACGTCGACGCTCAACTAATGAAATTGTCAGCAAGGGTATATCAGAAGAAACAGCAAGGGACACTCACCCTCTTTGTGGTTATTTTTACGAATCTGGTGCCACTCAGGAGAGCCCACGGTAGGCTTCTGGTTCATGCTCTGGGCCTCACGCGCAGCGTAGACCGCAGCAGCGGTGGAGTTGTGGTTGTGGCCGCCACCCATGGGCGTCTGGTTCATATCATCACCAAACGACAGTCCTTGGGTGAGGTTGCTGGCATCGAAGCCAGCGTCCGGGGGAGGTGGGTACTTGTGTTGGGGTGTGTGTGCGGCCAAAGCGGCTTTGGCATTAGCGGTTAACGCATTGTCATCCGACAGGCCGTTCTGTGGGCCGACGTGTTGCAAGATCTGTTGATCGATGTTCAATTCGGCTCCAGTGTTGGGGAGTCCGTGGTCATAGTTGCCAAGACTGTGACCGAAGTTGTGTTGGTTGTCGCCCATGCTGCCGTTGCTACCGTGGGACGAGCGGTTGAGACGCTGGGGATCAGGACCTAGATCCTCCGAGCCGGTTCTCTTACGCTTGTGCGAGCCATCATCGGGGCTATTCATTGTGGGATTAGACATGCGACGAACGCGATCGTCCTATTCGTGGCAATGGGTTAGTCTTGGAGGGTCGCCAAAAGGCCAGTAAGTGAAACAGGTCTCGGGGAATAAGACGCGTGGAAGTGATAAGGGGAATATATCAGTGCAGGCTGAGGTGAGTCGGTCCTTGACAGATCAAGCCGTTCTCGGGCAGATCAGTGGACACCCCGCGAAGTAAACAGACGCGTGGATGGGACGCGCTCGCGAGGCATTTCGGCAAGGCCGGTCGCATCGGATCCGGCCATCACCGACGATGTCTTGCGGTACAGCGGGGGGAAGGGTTTCTACGGTGCAAGCTAACTGTCTGCCATCGCAGAGGGATCACGATCTCTGGTCGCGTCCGCGGGGGGAAGTTGGTCCCATCATGAGCGCGTCATGATGGGCTGCAGGCAGCGGTCACACAGGGGTAGCAGCGTTGCGAAGGTCACCACTCGCGATGAGCATCTCGACGCGACGTGCAGGGAGATGGGATGAGAGAGATGGAGATGGGGTTTGATGGAGCCGTACCTTGGGATGATCTCTCTATCACCTGACAGGAAGTCACCTGCCTAACAACAAGACGCAGGTCACGTTGTCTGCGAAACCCGAATCTTGAAATTGATAACGCGAAAATAGAAAAGTTGGAAAAATTCAGGGAGAGGAAAGCGAGAGGGGATCGACGACAGTAAATCTACCGTACGGCAAATTTACATAAAACGTGTATCTTTGGAAGATGTAGAGTCGCGAATAAGTCGAGATGGGCTGCTCACGTGGCGACGGTCAAGAAGAGGAGTTGCGGGCTTCGGGGGACGACAGGGACCAGAAGTGCAGGTCACCTGATCAAGTTCTTTTTTATGTCAGCTCTTATGTCAGCCAGACAAAACGACAAAACAAGCACAACAAGAGACGAGACACGACAGCAGAAACGATCGGAAGATAAGCCAACTGCCCTGAATGATGATCCTCTCCATCTCTTCTTGCGAGTCATGTGCAGCCATCCCGTGCCCCTCCGCTGCACCCCCCGATCTCCCTCCTCTCATTGGCCACTGCTCTCCGGAGGGGAGTGCTGGATCACGTGAAATGTCGTCGACATAGCCAATGACGGGTCTTTCTCACCCACTACGAAGGGGATCGGACCGTCGGGAATGCAAAGAGCTTCAACTAATTCCCATTGAATTCAGTGGCCGCAGCCTAGACTACTTCCCAGCGCGCGGATCCGGACTTCCCCCGTAGTCTCCTGCAAGTAATCGAGCTAGACGCACTAGTGTCTGAATGTATGAATGGTGTGGATTTCTATGGATCACCCTGGAGGGATGTACAACATACTTCCCGGCATGGTGGTAGCAATGGGAAACAAAAGTAGTCATGCATCAAGACATCATGTAGGGTTCGTGCTGGTCCAGACTACGATATAACGGTTCCTTTTACAACCAGCGAGGTTCCTGACTTAGAATCTCCCAGGGCGGGGAGAGAGAATCACATGTTTCAGACTAAACGTCTTTAGGATTTCTCAGTCTCTGTTATATCATTCCAAGGTTAGGGTTGCATCGGTCCACTCTGTCTTAGTCTGCAGAAGATTCAAAGATCATGAGACCCTTGACTTCCCCTGCCCAAAAAAGGGGGAATAGTATAGGCCATGTCTGAAGAAAATGTCGATCTGGAGGATCTCCGATATGTCATCAGAGGCACCTTCTTATCACATGGATTCTTTGCACATGATGTGTGTGTGGCGACTACGGGTCTACTTTTACGGTCTTGCAGTGAGGATCGCCATAATACCGGATGATATACACCCTTTCAATCCTACATTTCTAAACTCACCGCTATCTAAGGTATCCTGTGACCTAAATAAGTCCCCTTTTATTGAAGCTCAAGATATGAAGGACCTTTGGAGACATGTGTGATACCCTAGCACACAATATGCTCAAAGGAACTCTCTGGGCTGCAAAACCAGGATCTTATTTAATTCCATATGTGAGGATTTAGGTCAGTAAGTATTATTGGCTTCTTACAAAATAGAAGACAGCCCACAGTCATTACTCGTGAGACATCTCATTTTGAAGCCAAAAAACCAGAAATTGTTGCACATTCAACGGTTTTGAAACCTTGGAAGCCACTCACACCCTGTGTAAATGCCGCGTGATTCTATCAATAGACAACCAACAGATAGCAAGCTTTGTAGTTAGAAATACTCTACATTCTGAAATTATTCTCATGTATCTCATAGTCCAAATTTTAGATTGTTATCTTGTATGTCCCCCTCCCTCGCTCATATCTTCCTCGCATTGGCAAACTTGGTAAATTATTCGCATAAGACGAGGCAACACGAGTGTCGAATTAGAATACAATTTCGGTTACGGGGTATTTTAAGTATTCATTAGCTAGCTTAGGTAGGTAGCCTTCAAAGGCAACCACTCGAGGCTGACGCCTCGCTCGTTGGCGGCAACGGCTCCAAAGTTACCCAGCGTCACCCAGTAGCGGCTATGCAGCTCGGTAAATTTTGCTCAACAAAATGAAAGTTCTCAAGGTTCCTGTTGCTGTGCTAGTTATTGAACAAGGGTTTGTTATAAAGTCATATGGGACAAAGTAACCTTGGAAATTGTTTCCAAGGTTAGCTTCTACCGTTTTGAATACATGGGTATGTGAGTTGTGATCTGATGAGTTTCGAGTCGTTCTTGCGGTGTACAGTCAAGCTGCAGAGACTGGATGGATAAGACGTTAAGTGGAATAAGATTAAAGGATATCAAACTATTGAGTGTATCACAAGATGCCCCGGAGATGACCTTATCCTTCTCATCACTTTAGTCGGTGTGAAATGTTCAAATCCGCTCCCTTTCTCTATTTTCAAGAGAGGAACTGAAAGCTTCCAAGCTTGCTGCAAACTAACCAGACAGCAGAGTGACACAAACTAAGATACGTCAAGCTTTGTCTGTGTAGCGTAAGACGGCAATACTTAGGCTTACATTCCTGACGCTTCAAACCATGAACCCTTGTCTACCGTCTACCTTGATTGTTAATCACTCCAGACGGGAGATTTTTACCTTTGCCCTATCGTCATCTTTTATAAAAGGACCGTTGAAGTTGCGGTGTTGAGAAACTTGCCTAGCCCTAGTCACTTCAAGAACATAGGCCACGCCAGACTTCTGCCATTTTTCTAATACCCTTGATCCGACTAATAGATAGAAGGGAAAGTCATAGATTTTAAGTGCTCGAATCTGTCAGGTAATATTTCCGACTGACTGCTTTCCATGAACTCCGTACTGAGTAGAACTTGAGATGCTCAGCCCCAAATCCTCTTGGATCATTGGCGGGGTCCATGCGCATGGACAATCCCTGTTCACCCGGGTAAATATCGTCTTGGTACGTTGATCTAGACTGTTCCTGTCAGCGTTTAACCTCTATATACCTAGGTAGAACCTCAAGATTATGTACATTGGATCAACAATGATTGATCTCAGGATTAATGTGATACGGTTAGCTTATCGCCATCTGTAGATCCCGACCTCGGGATGCTCCAAGGACCAAGAGAGACGGCCCAGCCAAAGACCAAAATGGCCCGCCTAAAGTGTGGCGATGGCCCAGGGACATGATTTCTTTGATACCGGGGGTCAAATTCGAAATTCTAGGTACCTAGTAAACATCGAGTTTTGCAAACCCACCAATCCCCGAAGGAACCCAGTGACTTGCCATCAGAAGGCTGCATATGGTGGGTAGCAACATGGGATAAAGGTGTGTTGCTAACGGAGCCAAAAGGATCTGATGGTCAGGAAGCCCTCTTTGATACAGTCTTTAGTCTGCTCATCAGGTCAGGCTGAAGTCAGCATAGAGTGAGGTCAAGCCCACTCAAAAGACATTCAAAAGTCGAGATAAGAATGAGTATTCGCTATTTTCAGCAGGAAGCTTAGAAGATACATGAGACTCCATAATATGCATACATGAATAGACCTAAATAGGCGCTAAAAAAAACCCCCCTAGTTAGGTGAAGAGTTTGAGATCAAATGAATATGCCATTGATCATCAAGAGCATCCAGCCCTTGTTTAAATGCTGCGCGAGGGATCCCCCTTCGCATCAATGTCCTTCCGCCCAGTCACCTCCTTGTGCTGAGCCGGGGCCTGGGCCCTCGATGCCGCTCTCCGGCGCTGAAAGTCCAGCGGGACGCTGGCCAGGCCACGGGCGCCGGTGTGTCGGATGCGCCGCTCGGTGCGCGACATGGGTCGACCCGGGGTATCAGGCGCGTAGGCGACCTGGTGTCGGCCACTGGGAGTGCGGGTCAAGATTAGCTTTGGTGACACATAGGGTGGGTCATTGGGGATTTGGGATCGATACTTTTCAACTATGGGGCCAAGGGGATCCCAGTCTGGGTCATCCCAGGGTTGGCGGTAGGGTCCGACGAAGCCGTCGAAGATACCAGGGCCATTCTTGAGTTGCTCGGCTAGGATTCGGGCGCGGGAAAGGGCGATTTCATCTTCGTCGACTTGGCGGGCGCGGCGTAGTCGGGCTTCCTCGATTTGCTGGAGCTCCTCTTCTGTCAGGGGCTTGGGTTCGCACAGAGCCTTTGCTTCTGCCAATTTCTTTTCGAGTTTTTCCAATATCGGGAGCTTGGGGATGGGTCGGTTTTCGGCCTTGTACACGGAGAAGCTGAATGGGGTGTGCTCTTCCGGAGGGGAGACCTTGGAGACTTTAGAGCTTGGGCCTTGCTCTTGAGCGATGTCAGTCCGTTCGTCAATTTGTCGCTTCTTCTGGGGATTCTGGGATGATTTGTGCCCCAAAGAAGTCGATGACTTCTTTGAAGAAGCTGACCCAGCGACGGACGGTTCTTCGAAATGAACGGAACGTCTCAATGAGCCCTCGGACGTGGCAGTGGTAGACTTTCCCTTCAATGACGACCGCCTCTTGTGCTCACGGGGTACATCGGAATCAGAGGCGCCGTGATGGCGCTTCAATGAGCTTTGAGAACTTGATTCCAATTCAAGACTTGTGTCTCGGAACAAAGGCGCGTGGGTGGCAGTAGTATCGAAGGGGGCATAGGTAGACGACTTGGCGTCGAAGATCTTTGGTTGTCTGAGGGCCTCGAAAAGAGTCCGAGGCGGCGAATGAGCCGGGTGCCGATTGCTTGAAACAGATTGGCTGGCTGGCTGAAGCGCTGATTCAGAGCCCAATTCTTCAGATGACAATGGAGCCTGAACCTTACCAGGCGCAGAGCTTCTGAATCCCCATGCTTCGGTCGATTTATGCACAATTGGTGGAAGGGTGGGGACGACGGGCTGCTCCTCGGGTTTCGACGCAACGGAGATCGGGTTATCAGCTTTCTGACTAGGCTCTTGGGATTTGGGGGGTGCAAATGGAGAATCATTCACTTGGAATGGACTACTGGCCGAGGAGAAAGAGAATGGCTCCTTCTTTTCCTGTACCTCCGCAGCTGCTGAGGGAGAATCCTTCACTTGGAATGCACTGCTAGCCGGTGTGAACGAGAATGGTTCCTTTTTCCCCTGTACCTCGGCGGCTGCTGAGGGAGAGTCTTTCACTTGGAATGGACTGCTGGCGGATGTGAATGAAAATGGCTCCTTCTTTTCCTTTGCCTCAGCGGCTGCTGGGTGAGAGAAAATAGAGGGCTGTTTCTCGGGTGTTGGTGCAGTAGTGGGAGAGGACTCGGGTTCCAAGCTCGGTTGCTGTGCCTTAGGCGGCGCAAACATCGACGAGAATGGATTTTCGGCGGGTTTAAATGAGAAGGGTTCGGCTTTCTTTTCCCCAGCGTTGCTTTCGTTTGGCTGTTCAGTAGGCTTAGGGAGTGTAGTGAAGGAGAACGGAGATGAAGACTTCGACGGGGCATCGAAAAGCGTCGAAGTTGCAGGAGCCACAGCGGGCGAAGGCTCCTGTGAAAAGCCGAACAAGTTCTTGGATGTAACTGATGAATCTTGAGAGGCATTTTCAGGCTTGGGAGAAGTAGATGGTGCAGGAGTGATCGCTGCAGTTGGCTCAGCCGCCTGGCTTGTTTCGGGTGCCTTAGATAAAGCAGTAGATGTAGCGGGGGCACCCGAACCGAAAGACCCACGGCCTTCGAAGGGGTTCTTAGCGGTCGAAGGAGCGGGGGTGGTACTAATCGGCTGGAAGAGCGTGGAAGCCGTAGGGGCAGAAGACTGACTGCTTAGTTGGAAAGGCGAAGAGCTTGCTGGTTTAGGCGCCGCAGGGGTTTCCGCTTTCTGTGATGGACTCGCAAATGAAAACGGCGAGGAAGAGGTGAAAAAGTTTGCGCCAGAAGATGTTGCAGGGCTGGAGGTCGGAGCCACAGTTGGGGGATTTGTGGAAGTCGATGATGCAAAATTGGGACTGCTAGATGAAAACAGCGTGGACGTCCCAGCTGCAGCTGGCTTGGGTGTCTCCTTCTGAGGGAATGGGGATTGGGTTTGAGCGAAGGGGCTTGAGGTGGATGGAGCGGATGAGAAGATGGATGGTTGGGTTGCCCCAGTTGCAGGTTGAGGCTGGAAGAGCGTATTAAACGGCGAAGATGCCACGCCCGCAGTGACAGGAGCAGTTTCTGCCTTCTTGGCTTCCAGTGGCTTTGCGAATGGATTAGGTTGCGGCGAGGGGGCGGATGGCGGCTGAACGGCAGCAGAATCGGTAGGTGGTTTAAAGAAGGGGTTGCTAGGTTTGTCGTCGGCGGGTGGAGCAGAGAACATGCCGTCGGGCTGAGAGCTGCCGCCAAATCCCTGGAAAGGCGAAGAGAAGCTCGTTGGTGCTGGCTGATCAGGTTTGGCAAATACATTTTGATTCGTAGCAGGCTCAGCCTGGGGCAACGGGTCAAAGACGACTGGTTCAACCACAGGTGCCGGAGTTTGGTTCCCAACGTCACTCACAAAGAGATCTTCATCACTAGAATTATCCTTGACCGATTTCGCATTTCGTGCAGGCACTAGGCTGTCATCGATCATACTCATTGCGGCGGCTTGACGGATGGACATTCCAAGGATGATGGCGACAAGGCTGCGTCCGGCACGCTTGGATTCCACATAAGTTTCGGAGAATGAATGATCAGACGATGGTGCAAATACTAGAGATTTGTTAGCAGTTGACGACAAACGGAGACGACGTCTTAGTATACGCGCGAGCAGAGTCACGTTGAGGGTAGACAAGCAGTGTTTGGATGTAGAAATCACTTACAGATAGAGTCAACGTGACGATCACCCCAGTCAAGATAGAGACTGCCTTGTCCATTTTCAGCGAAGCGCAAATCCTGGGCAGCACAGAAATCGATTGTCTGCTGATCATCATCGAAATGCAAAACCTTCGTCAGCTCCTCGAGAGTCCACTGGTCATTCTTGGCCTGCTGAGACTGAGGGGTTCGGCAGTAGGCTTTCCAAATCGAGCGAATTGCGGTTTGGCGAATGTGGTTGAAGTAGACCTCGGCGACACAAGCCATCAGGTAAGACACACTCGAAGAGTTGATGATGTTGAAGAAACGAGTGTAGAATCCTTGGGCGATAGCGTTTGGCCGGCGGGCATCTAGCGCGCCTTGAGATTCCCATGTGTTGCCTGCGGCAGCGAAGAGCTCCAAAGCCACCTGCACCCGGTCAGAGGCAAGAAGATCGGCGGGCCACTTCTGAACACGGGCTTCAAGATCTGGTCGCTGGTCGTGAATCGAGAACAAAATGTAATATGCGCGGAACTCGGGCTCGTTAGCGAAGGTGATCCGACCTCTGTTGTCGTCATAGTAGTACATGAGGGACAGCATGGTATTGTTGAGTTGTTCGCGCTCTTGATGGTGATCGAATGGCTCTGTGTTCGCAGGACTTGAAAGAAGATGCAAAGAGACAATATGAAACCGCGCGATTCGCTCTAAACATGTCACGGCAACCTTTACGTCGGCTTCCTGTGTGAGTTGCTGCACCGAGAAGTCATTTCGAATCGAGCGTGTCCGGTCCCAGACAAACTTGTGGATAATTGCTAAAGGTTCATTGCCCTCAATGACATAACGCATGAGGTAATTCATGGTCTGCAGAAGCGTGTTTGGAGTCCGGATATCAGAAGGCAATTGCTCGTCATATCCAGCTGCGGAACGTCGGAAGCGTTTAAGCATCTTGGTTTCCATGTTCTGCAATTCGCCCGTTGATGGATGCAAATACTAGGTTTTTTGTCAGTACGGTGCATCGATGATAACCAATGCTAGTCTTACCTTTTCGCACTTGTCGACCATCTTCTGCACAATACGTTCCACGCTCTCGAACTCGGGACACATGCTAGTACATGTGCCCACGGGTGTGATTGCCTGGTTCAAAGAGGTCGGTTGGTTGGGATCCGCCATCTGCCCAGCTTTGATTGCTTGCTGGCGCTGAGCAGCGCGATCGATTTTGAGCTGCGGACATCGTTAGACATGCCATCCATGCAAGACAACGCAAAAGGTTTCCGAAAGTAGGTTACTGACTTGATCATATCTTTCTTGGTACATATTCATAGCCGAAGCGTGCTCGATAGGGACCGGGGGGTCTTGTTGCGCCCCACCGGCGAAACCTGATGGGGCGGGGGAAGCCATGTTGGAAGATTGCTGAGCAAAAGGATTATTGGTAGTGGGATGTTGAAAGGGGTTGACGGAGGGAGGTTGCAATGAGGGATTGGTAGAGGATAAAGGTGGAGTTCCGTTTGGCGTTCTGGAGAATGGAGAATCTTGGGCGGGCTGCGTTCCGAAAGGCGATGCGACTTGACTCTGCTGGCTCGGTTGCGCAAAAGGCGAGTGCACTCCGTTAGGTTGAGTTCCTTCCGCGCTCTGATGCGTCGTCCCATTTACAGCGCCATTCGCAGTCCCACGCCCACGTCCACGTCCACGCCCAGGAGCAATCCATGTCGCCGACCCTCTTCCACGTCCGCGGGCCCGCCCTGCGCGTGGTGCGCCTGACCCCCTCGGCGCATTTGTCGATCCAAAGCCGGCTGTTGTTCCTCTCCCACGCCCCGTTGAGCCTTGCGCGCCTCCCCTCTGGCCACGAGCCGGGGCCGCAAAAGGGTTAAATGGGCTTGCCATCCTGCCCGCACAGAGCGGAACGAATTGGACGAGCTGCCGCCTCTTGTGGCCGTCTTATAGTGCACAATCCTGCTGGTTTTATTTCTGGTTTGGTCTCGATCGGATATGGATGGAATCGGGAGATGATGGACGTCAGGATCGAACGATGCAGAGGACTGATATTTTGAGCACTGTTTCCTGAAGTCAACACGCCGAGGCGATAACAAAGAAGTCAGCCCATGCCATTATATCACAAAGGTATAGCGGGCCCATTGGAGACCACCCGCGTTGGTTCAGTGGCGCGTGAAAGAAACGATGCAAAGCACGGCTGGAAGACAAAGCGGAGCGACTCGAACTGGGCTAACTTTGGGGTCGCCTACCTGTCATTAAACGCAGAAAGCCCTTTGGCTGTGTCGACACTCGTCTGCCGAGCTCGTTGGCGCCCGCCGCTCGCGATTGATGCGGCTTTGCTTGATAAGGTGCGCGCGTTGGAGTTTGTCAAACCGAGGGCGGATGGCGAGACTATCGTCGATGGGTCGTGAATGAGTCGTATGGGCCCATCCGCGGAAGCATCAGACGAGAATAGATGCACACGCCGCAAAGCGATTGAAAAGAATGGTGTTCTGCGATCACACGGAGCTCTCAAGCTGAACGGTCGTGGCTCCGCTTCCGCTGACCAAGCGCGCGGGTCCAGCATGCGCTTCGAGGCGTCTCATTGGCTGTCGAGGCCTCCCAAGATTTTGGAGGTTCTATACTCCAGCCCTAGAGGGCTCCCCAGCTGAGTCCTGCCATTAATTCAAGCGATACTACATGGAAACTTCTGGGAATTTCCTTCTGCTTTACGTCCAATTATGGGAGATTCTACGTCGGATCTTCCAATCAATTCTGAAACAGCGGCAATCGAGCCCTGCACGCAAACCTGACACTGGAGCCTGGCAAAATACACCATGCTCGCAAGGATGCACTGTTATTGTTTGGCTCTAGAGCCAAGCCAGTGGAAGAGACGGGGTACAAGAGCTAAAATTGACTATAGTGACCACCACCAGAGGAAGAAAGGCAGAAAAGCTCAGTGTAAACCTTGGAAATTGATTCATATTATGAACAGCGTATAATTTTTTTGGAAGTATCTACCAATCCTCGTTTATCAACAACCTCGAGGTGTCCGATTTGGACGAAACCCATATGCACAGTGAACAGTAAAGGTGAAAGAAAAACAAAACAAAAGCAAACCCAAAGATAATGATGTACCAAATGAAGGACCCTCACCAAGAAAGAAAAGGAGAATCAAGGGGTGGTGAAGGCCACAAAGAACAAAAAAATGCACAGGAAACAGATCCAAGAAAACCGGAAGAGAGACGCATATGAAACAAAAACACTCCAAATATATCCAAATGTGAAGAAAAAAAAGCGAAGAAAAATCAGAACAGAGCCCCATCTGTACCCGCACAACCTTGAGATGACACCACCGTTTTGTAATCCACAAGAAAATCGAAGACAATAACTCCCTTGACAAAGCCTCATGACAAGCGCTAAGTTTGTTCCAGAGCCATGAGTCATGCATATTCGTTATAATATACCCATCGCTGCAACATCAATCATCCACATGCTAATCGGGATCCTGCCCGGCCATTGGCAATCTAAGCGTGGTGAGAGAGAGGCATGCCGTGGGGGTGAGGATGGCTGAGGGATCCGGTGCGGAAGGGCAAGGATCGGTCGAGGGAGGCATGAGACATGTCGTGCATGCCGGGACCCATGGGCATGGGGTAGCCCATTGAAGGCTGTGACATAGCCTGAGTGGTGGCAGGAGAGTAATCAACAGGGCCGAAGATGTTGGAGCGGAAGGAGGGGTTGGTCCAGGGGTCGTAGTGGCCCGCTCCACGTTGGTGGTCGGATGTGGATGATGTGAAAGAGTTTTGGGAGGAGTAGTCGAAGACAGAGACGTCGTGGGGGCTGATCATCTCTGCTGTGACGGGGGTGTTGAGCATGGGCTGGGAGAAAGAGTCGGTGTATTGAGGAGGGGTGCCATAGTATGAACAGTCCTGGCGTCCGGCGGCCTCGAACTTGAGGGGCTCGGGCATGGGGAAGCCGGCTGAGAGGGAGCGGGCTGAGGGGATAGTCTCGACTGGTGTGGTCAGAGAGGCAGCAACATGCTGCTCAACGGTGGACATGGGGGTCATCAGTCCTTGGCTGGTGTGTTCGGGCTCTTCGATGTGGATTGAGGGTGCAACGGTGGAGTCATCCTCTTCGTCACCCTTGGGGCTGGGCCCGCGGTTCATGGTGTAAACGATCATGTTTGAGTCAACCTCGCCGCGCTCAAAGCGCTCTTCCATCTTGCGGACCCGGAGGATCTCGTAGATGATCTCGACGTGAGATGGGTGCTTCAAGCTACGCTTGGTGTCGCCAGCGACCTCCTTTAGCTTATCGGCAGTAACTCCAATGTAACCCAGCTTGCGGATGATGTGAATCAAGAGCTCAATACGGACTATGATGGCTGATTAGCGAGGGAAACTGAAGGCATAATGGATGTTTGACATACACTCTTTGCGCAGGTGATCGGGCTCCTTGTGCATAACACCGGGAGGCCACCACTCGGGCTTGGTACGCTCAGGATCGGCAACGGTACCGGCAGGCGATCCTGGAGGGGGCTTGCCGCCGTTGTATGGGTGTCGAACCTGCTTGCGAGGCTCAATGAACTTAATGAATGCCTTGGCAACCATGCGGCAGTTGAGCTGTTGGAAGTGCTTGAGAGCGCTCTCGTAGTAGTGCTGCACCTTGGCGGAATCTCCAATGCGGAGAGGAACCATTTCATCTGAGCCATTGATAAAATCCTCGCTATCGGAAGCCTGTTCGACCAAGCGGTCCTCAGGGCCGGAGAAGGAAGAGTTTCCCTTGCGGCGTCTCACCCGGCGGGGAGAGGTGTCTAGAGTATCTATAGCTTGAGTTAGTGTGGGCCAATAGATTTGGTAAAATGATTAACATACGGCGAGAAGATTGGTAACCAATGCGTTCCCCCAAGACCTCGAGGAAGCTTTGGCGAACCTCTGGGGTAAAAATAGTGGTGTTCTGCTCTTGGATGGAGGCAGATTCCTCAACCTTGACCTTGCCATCATGATCCACGTATATCATAGAGAAGTGAGCATAGGGAGGGCGGAATGATGGGCGAGAGTGGGTCATCATTGGCTAAGAGGCATCAGTAAGAGTTGGTCCGTGAGGCCATGAGCAGATCAACATACAGGAACGACATCCCAGCCTGGTGGTCCTTCAAGAGCCGAAGCAGACCTCTTCATGGCTCCAGTTGTGGGGTATGGTTTGCTGTAAACCATTGTGGCGGTATATGTAAATGAGAATGCTCGACCGTGATGAGGGACGGCGGAAGCGACGTGATCGTCTCGTATGGAGTATAGATCTCTCAGTGACAATGACACATCAACTTATATCAAAGATCCAGAGGAATTGAGAGTGATGCGAGAGTGTTTTCTCTTTTATAGACCTTGTGTGGCGGGGTTGCAAGGTGCTAATTCTGCTCACTCGCAGTTAGCCAACGATTCTCACACTTTCATACCCGTTGACGGGCATCTTCCGTCCACTAAGAAGCCTCGAAGCCAATCGCGGATGTATCATCCCCGCTCCGGTGCGGGAACCGGTAGGACAAACGCCAACAGAGTCCAATCAAGCTCTTGCAAACAGAACCAGAGGAACGGGTGTACTCACTTCAAGAGGATGTGTGCAAGTGGCTCAATGGGGATGTGTGGTGGATAGCTGCAGTCAAGTACCTGTAGACTGTGTGAAGTACTGTTGGTAACCGGGATGCAGGAACGAAAGGAAGCACAGTGTGCGAGCCGGGTTGGAGCAGTTGGAAATGAAATATCTCGAAGATGGATCAAGTAGGATCTTTAAATAAAAGAGGGCAGTATAGTTTTTTTGGATGTTTAAATTCTCTGGAAAAGAATAATTAAATAAAATCCAAAATCCAAGGGGATATGCAAGCCTTTTCAGTTCCAGACTCTAAAGCGACAAAAGGACGATTGCAGAGCGATTGAGCATGGATGATCCCAGAACCCTGATCCCTCTCTGATCAAGTGCATGCAGCGAGATTGGCGCACTTGGATAGGACATGCAGTAGTTTAGTCCGATCCAACATCCCTGTTCTACTATTTGCAGATCGCATGTACTAAAGAATTAATTATTTTTAATCTCATTTTTGACATTTTTCTGACATTTCTGACATTTTTTTATTTGATTTTTTGGGATTTTTGCATTTGGATTTTATTAATTCTTTTAATGATTTTTAAATTAACCACAAATTCCCTTTTTACTCCGTAGAGTGGCGCTGATTATCGATCGTCCCCCCACAACTCCCGGATCCCTAAAGGTCCAAAGGTCCAAAGGTTCAAAGGTCCAACCCCAAAGTCAGTATGAAGTACGGAGTACGCAGTACTATTGGCATACGAGGCAACCTCCAAACTTCCCGATCTAGGTCTTTCCATGATCCCCAATATAAGCGTACGGGGAGCACCCGCGTCTGTCACAAACAATTGGGAACGCGCACAGGCCTATTTGACGCTGTGTGGGTGCTATTCTTAATGCACATACGACATAATACATAAATACACGCAGATCCATTTCGGAAGTCCCGGTTTGATGTCTGAGGTTGGGCGCTGGGGAACATGTACCTGAACGGGGTCTCTTCAGACCTGAAGATACGATTACGCATCCACATTATACATCCTACATCCTACATCCTACATCCTACATCCTACATTATATAGGACTATATCAACTTGGAACGGGGCAATACGGAGCAAGCGAAAGTAAGAAACCAAATATCTGTGACAATTTTTGTGTTCGATCGGATCTCAACAAACAGTGCCCCGGACTAGCGCTAAACCCTCGGCCAACCAGCGGATCAATCAGCCTTTTCTCCATTCCAACCTGAGCCTATCAGGGACAAGGCTTGTCCAGGGCCCAACATCCTGGATCCTGGATGTTAACTCGCCGATAGAAAATCACCGTCTCTTTTTTATTCCGTCGATCTTCCCAACTGACAGGAACTCCGGGGTGGCAAGTTAAAAAAACACTGTATGCACATAATGTAAATGCCTACTTGGCTTCAAATCTCTTCTCAGCTGAACTGCGGTCGAAACCCCCCTGAGATCAGACCTCAAATTTCAATTCAAAAATAAATCAAATGGGTAGCAAGATCAAAAGTACGGCTAGTCCGACTGTGCAACTCTAGTCTACCCTATTCTGGGCGGGATGATGCGAGTCAAGCAAAAGATACCTTCCCCCGAAACAGCAAAAAAGTCGATCTAAGACAGATCGAGGTATTAGTCAATTTGACGTCTGATACTCCAGCGTGATCGACTTGACCGGGGGTGTGAAAACCGGTCGCAAAATGGTTCGAGTATTTATCCCACGGTGGGCTAGTGGTGGTACTTTTGACGTCCGAGATCTATTGTGACAGCCCAATGATCGCACAGAAGCGACCAATTACCCCTGGGTCTGTGCCTAGAGTCCAGGGGAAAGGGACACACTTCAAGCTACTGTCAACGCGTCCATCTCCCGTATTTGTGGATTACCTTATGGCGGTTCTTGGGAACGTACTCCGTACTCCGTAGGCGTTAAGTCAGACGCGCAAACCAAATCCCGGAACAAAGAAAACGTTTGAGACGTTAAGACGCTTAAAAGGCAAGATGACAGGGCGAAACGGAATGATGTCGATGACAGTGAATTCAACCAATGTTCTTCAATCGTTCGCTATCATGCCATAGGAAAGGGGATACACACATACGGAGTACTTCGGTCCCACTGTTCATAGACGCTATATCGGGGAAGCTGCAAGTCGCAGAGTTTTTGATGCACAAACAATTCCGATCAGATTGTAAGTACTGCGTGTACAATGTACACACTTAAGGTCCAGTATCCATTCTGATCAGTCTCATCGATCGCAGCACTACTACTGCCTACTACTGTAACCTCGTAACATTGAAGCATCCGGCGTGCCGTCCATCGCACTAACGATCTAAAATGTCTCTCCAATGCGATTTCATTCATTGACTTCGGGATCCATAAATTGACCGCAGCTACGGGGTAATGACGCGAAGGCAGCAGTATCTACAGGGAGCCCTGTCAAGTTAATTTATTAGCTTACCATCGAAGACAGATGGAACAAAGCGATGACATGGGACTAAACGGCTTCGGGGCGAGCTAAAGTATTTGTCATTTCCTTAGGGCCTCGCAAAACTCGGACTACTCTACTTGAGCATCTAGTTGGCTGGAGGGCGTCACACTAAAGAACACCAACGGCTTCCGTTATTTTTGACATCTCCACAAGGATTGACGCGACGTTGACGTTTGACATTTGGTGCGTTTTTTTTTTTTTTTTCCTCCGTTTCTTTGTTTGCGCCCTGCTGAACTCCACAGCTAAACCCGCCCGAGGTTGTTTGCTTTGTTGATTTAGGCGCTGGTGTTTTTTTAGCGTGGTCAAGCGGTCTCTCCTCAAATTGATCTTAGAATCGGATAGTAAGAGGCAGAATCAAAAGTCCCAGTTACATTTGGAATTACGCATTTGTGCATTACGGGCACTCCGATCAATTCAATAAAAACTCTTGCGTGGGGGGCCTAGACTTGGAATTAGCCCCCCTTTTCGTTAATCGATTTAAGTGGAAATGACCGAATTAACAGGGTCTAACATCTGACAGCTATAAATCCAAGCTTCTCATTGGTCTATAACAGAGATCGTCTCCGCCACAACGTGGCTCAGTTATTTTCAGCACCGCCTCAACAGTAGCTGAAGTCCCTACAGAAAGCAGCATGAACGCAACGTGAACGGATTCCTGCGTGAAAAAGTCGAGGGATGTTCCCTGCTGCAATCTAAACTCTTCAAATTGTGAGACAAACTTCAAGTTTGACGGCTTGGCATTCACACGCTAGTTTCATGCAAACATCGTGCCCTAAAACTTATCAGCGCCAACTATTAATCTAAATTACCGTAGCTTCGATCGAAAATATCGAACAAAAGAACCTGCTCGGAGATGCTCGGTAGCGTAATCACCCTGAAACCTCAATAACCTCAAAATGAGGCGTGGATTCGGCGGATAAGTGACAGCGGGTGCACTGACAAGGGGGGGCCAAATAAACTGGGGGTGGGGGCTGAAGAAACCGCAAAAGTGACTCGATTGGGGTTGGGGGGTTCGGTGATCTACATTCTCAAACAAGATTTCACACGTATGTGCCCACACTACGGAGTACAGAGTACTTCTGGAACGCTCGAGAAAAAGTCCCGGATCAAGTGTTTGTGTTCTTTTGGGTTGCTTCACCGCTACGGAAGAGAAAGTTGTAACTTGCTAAGGAAGAAGAGAGATACAGAGAAAAAGAAAAAGAAAAAAAAGTATATAATTGAACTCCGGGGGCTGGTGGTACTTCCAGAATTTACTTCTAGTCTATAGTTCACTTCGGAATTCGATGGTCCAACAGTCACACTGGGGCTCGTATCGATCGAGATAAATGACTTCAAAAACATGTGGAAAGGGGGTAGGAGTGTACAAGTACACACGAAAAAAAGTAAATGTCTGTTCGCAGAGTAACAAAATCACGTCGCTCTCGCTCCTAGCCATCGCACAAAGGTACGGAAGGCAACCTCCTAGATCATCTCTCAAACTCCACCAGAGGCCTATTCCGAGTCCAGCAAGAGGAAGAGACTTTCGCGGAAGTCTCTTCGTATCGAAGGAGACCACCAGGGCCTATAAAGTTCACTCTATGCGAATCGTCGGGACACACAAGACGACACAGACTATAGTGCGCGTTGTTGTGCAGAGCCGAAGCGCCGCATCCACGATCGATCAATGGTGCGCATCGATCGAGCACGATCGGTCCAAGGAAATAAGAAATTGCGTCATGCAGCATCCGCCGCTGCGTCGGGGCGTTTTGGCCGAAGCCGGGACCCGTCTCGGTGCGAAAAAGTATGTAATGTACCTTTATTTTGATGGCAGGGGCGCTCATGGTCAGAAGGACAGTGACATCGTACTTTCGGAGCCAGTAGAAAGGCAACGATCGAACCCTCGATCCTTGGAGTCCATACTCCGTACAATCTCGCTAGAAGGTTGAGGGGGTCCAGACTCCATACCCCAGCAAGCCACCTCGCTGAAGCGGGTCGGGGATGGCGGTCCGGGGAGGCTAAAGCTGTCAAACTCCAGTTCGGGCTTAGGGGCTTACTCCACTATCCCAAGGGAAGGGTCAAAGTTGAGGATCATGGAGTCCACGGGTGTTTTTATTTTCCTTACCCAGCTGCTTGGATTTGAATAGTTCGTGTTATCACTCCCCC